TATCCCTTGTTGATCACTTGACCAGGGGCCTCGCCAGCCTGGCCAGCCTTGGGCCGATAGGAAACGTGCGGTTCTTTGCACCCAGGTCATTGGCGCGACTCACAGCTGGCGGGAAACGAGTTGCATGAACTTTAGGGCTCCTGGTCTAGAAGCACTTTCTGGGAATTTGTGGCTGGAAAAAGTCGGCGAAAAGTCGGTCCATTTCTTCAACCTCGAGGAGGACAAGGTCGAGCGATCGCGAGCGAGGCATGAATGCAAGTATGTACAGTGATAGGATATTATGCTAATGTCGGTCGCGCCAGCGCGACGCGTTTTTTTGTCGTTGCGGTTGTGACCCCTGTATGGGTTTTTGTCTCCCTCACATGACGGAACGGCCGTTTCCGTCCCAGGCATGTCCGCACCACCCACACTGCCAAACGCTCGCGTCGGCCTCCCACTCAACCTCGCATGGGCCTACACCATCAGCACTGGCTCGTCGATCGAGTATACTCACGCCCAGTGTTCTCGAGTGACGAGCACATGGCTGGAGGTTTGGTTGCATCTCCACGCAATCTACGTTGTAAAGCAAGAACTTCCATCGTTGTAGCAAAGGGGGTGTGTGTTTTTTGCTAGAATGGGCAGAGTTTGAGAAACGGGAGTGTTGCTTTTTGTTTGTTACAGAGTGGCGGGTCGAGCACAGGTGGTTCCTTCCCTTTATGTAGACATGTAACATGGAAAGATCTGCACCGTATGTAACACCAGGATGTGTCTCAGTGTGCAACGAATTCTGCATCTCGCATCTTGTCTGTGTACCGGGGGTTTGAGGGAGACAATGGCAAAAGAAGGGCCGAGCTTCGCCCCTCGGCAGGGGTGCCACTACCCCAAACGTCCGCTCTTATCGGCCATCAACCATACGCCATCGCGCAAGCTTCTCAAGACTGGTGCGAAGGTGATGGGTTGTTCGAACGAGCGGGTCCGGGTGGGAACCCGCAGTAAAAGCAGTGACAGTACACGGGGTTCACCCAAGCACACAGCACTGTCTGTTAGTGAAGCAGCGTCGTTGTTTGATTTCGAGTCACTCGATAACTCACGTCCTTCATTCGTGCCGTCAATGTCGCCCTTGCACGTCCTACGCGTTGGATGGGGAATCAGAATGTGTGGAGGAAGCATGGGATAATGTTGATGCGAGAGTATGAGGAGAGCCTGAGAGGGGGGGCATAAGTGTATGGGCGTGGGGAGCAGGACTGATGGCCTCATGGCGAAACCCATCAGGGGCCATTGTGCTCTGCGATTGACAACATGGCAGGGTGGATGGTATGTGGACAGAACGGAGATTCATGACAGATCTACTAGCCGATGATACAACACGACTGGAATGCTGAAGCAGGGCGTGAGCCCACTATGTAGTCGGGGCGGCGACCGCAATAACGGCAAACAGTGTTGACGCCTTGGACCCAAGAGCACAGGTCTGCGTATCAGTTCCGCCTCAGAGCCTACTCCATGTGGGTACCTACGACCTTGATTGTCCCTGTAACCCCCTGTACATTCCCTGATGGAGTATGGAGACGACATACGCCAATGTTGTGATGGTATGGGTGTTCAGCCGACAGAGGGGCAGGGTCTTTTGTTCCGAACATTGCAGCCAGTAGCCGATCGATCCGCACAACTGATGACACACCGAGTCGTCTCTAGAAGGTAGGGATGTGGCACACGCAGAATCACAGTGATTGCATCATTCTTCTCCTTCCTCTGCTAGGTAGCCAAGGTGGTAATGAGAGTATCACAGTGATTCATAGGTATGTATAGGGTTCGCCATGGTCCGAGTCTCGGCGATCAAGCTATGGCCACTCAACCGGTAGCCGGGTACTTGTGGCTACACACTTGTACACTTGTATGCAGAGAAGACGATCACTGCCCGATGGTAGCACCACAGAACATGCAGCGCGGTTGAGAACTGAACAATCCAGCCCACCAGACGCACGGCTCTGTAGCATGTCAGCTTCGGGACGCGGCTGCTTGAGAACACGTACTGGAGATGTTTTTGCCATCCCTGTCACCGTTGCAGGTACGAGTGTAGTTTCCAGGAAACATTGTCAGTAGGTGTATCAGGAGTCACGGTGGGTATCGAGGGTGGGGCGAGCGAGACGACGTAGACGGAGGAGATGTACGCCTTTTAAGTCTCCTTTCTTCATCCACTGACGGTTCGGTAGGGACATGGCTATGATGGTGTCTGATGGCGAGGGGCAAATGTGCTACACTGTCATCAATTTATGCTCTAATTTTACAATGAAACCAAAAGCAAAGCATACAATGAGTCTCGCGAGAGCGAGCGCTACACGACGGTCCCCAAATGCAGGCAGGGCGCCGCCCCATGGACCAACAAGGACGATCGGCAAATTGTTCATCGGAAAGGGCGCAGTGATCGGCGAGGTATGTGAGAAGCTTCTTCTTCCGTCTCCGATACGAATCGTCTTTTACAACGTTCTGCAGCTCCAAATAAGACGTCCGGGACATGCAGAGTACCCAAAAAGACAAGCTTATACACCGAACGGGACTCGAACCCGTATCCTAAGTACTAGTGTCGCTCTCTCGAACGCCATCGTGAAATGGGAAACTTAGATAATAACCCTTATACGATCGGTGTTACGCCGATGATCTCTTGTTTGTAGAGGGCGTATCGGGTGCGGGCCATGCACAAACCTCATCCTCTTCGTCTGTCCATGCCGTGTAGCAAGGCTGTTGCTGTCGAGGTGGGTGTGGCAAAGTGCCTGTGGGAGTGTCGTGGTCCGCATTCGGCGATCTCGGTCACTTGGCCACTCGGTCATTTTAGGCACTTTGGACGTGATGAACCGTGACTACGCGCGATTGGGACCTAATCTGTCCAGGATACACAGTGCATTCGTATCCTTGTGTATGGAGACCCTCTACTCCACTCATACGTCCAGTCTTCACCGTTCAAAGTAGATACTACGGCAATAGACGCAGCGAGTCACTCCGTAATACTCCGGGGCGGTTTCCGCCCAGCACCGGTCTACAGTCAGAGTCAGTTTTCGCATCCGTAGTAGTGGAAGCACTTACTGCCACGGTTACCCATCTCCGCCTCCGGGTTGCCCTTACAAACAGAGTTGAATACCCACGACATGTGTTGTATGAGGGAGGTGCTGAGAAAGTGGTTGGAGGCAAACGACGAACAGAGCAGCGAAGATTCAAGTTCACTCGTGTCTGACCCCTGGTGCGGGCAGCGTCGCCTAGCAGGCAACTGATGGTGTGTTTCATAGTCGACATTGAATGGGGCTAGTGCCCGCCAGTTTGGTCTTTCAAGCAATTTTGGCTGTCAAAGGCTGGTGTTGTCCACATCGGCTGCCACAGTTGCAAGCACCACTGGCTGAGACCCTTTTGGGGGGTTCGACTGCCGCACAAGCTCGGTGGCTCCACTACCTAAACAAAGCGAACACTGTGGGCAACTAATGCATGCTCCTGGATCCGTCACGGACAGACCTAGTGTATTCAATACTGTGATACCGTGATCGTCGGCACGTCAATGGGCACCCGGTGGTAGACCATGTGGCAAATGACGCAGGATAAATCGTTTGGAGCCCAAGTGAGACCAGGCAAGATGTAGCAGTTCTCTGTGGTGGCGTCAGCGCTCCGTTTGCCACATCACAAGATCAGTACTCACTGCCTAGGCATTCATGGCGCTCCCCATACACCAGGAGTTTGGGACGTGCATGGTAAGTGAGGCGAGAGGGGGGGGGAGGGGGGGCTGGAATCTCCATCCCCTCGCCAGCCGGCTTAAAGTTCCTTTCCCCGCGGTCCAGTGATTGAAGTGATGGGTACGCGACATGACTCTCAACAATAGACACCAAAAACATCTTGCATCTTGCACTGCATGCATAAGGGGTGCTCAATGATCCCAAGTGCAACTAACCGTCCGTTGCTCTTCCGAGGTGCTCGGGGGCCACTGTCACCCCGCTCGTTACTGGTACACCCACCTTCGGTTACAGAATCGGCACACATAGACGCCGACTTTGTTCCACAGACGAACAGGATTGCACAGGTGTCGTATCAGCAAGGGAGTGTATTGATATCACCAGGCAACTGCAGTGGGATGTTGCCACCCACCAAAAACAAGGGTTTCACTGGGCCACCTCAACGAGAAGCATGGACTGCTTGGAGCACGTCCAGGGAAAGTCATTCTTGCTGTTGTCGACGGCTGATTGACGCCACTGGCGGCAGGATAGGCATACTCTTGGTGTGCGCTGGTCGTGCTCCATAATTTGCGGAAAATTCTCCAAAAATGTACACTGTTTGCGAGGGAATTCGTACGAATGTGTCTGTAAAGCTGCTTTTGCACGGAATCGTCCCCACAGGTGTGTATCTTACATACCTGGAGCATGGGAATGGGACCGTGGTAGTGGTCCTTTGGCGAGCATCCAAGGAAACCCCCACTGTGAAGTGAAACAGAAGGTGTGTGGGGGGTACTATTGGGCATCACTGACTTGCATGAGAACTCGTATCCCACATGTACAGAAAACAGTACCAGCAGACCACATCATTACTTCCCCGAGCGTTCGGCCACGGCAGAACATACGGGTAGCAGAGTTCTACGTGGTCAGGATCCCTGTCTGGGAGGTATGTGGGCGTACACTCACGTCCCCTATTGTGGCCGTTTATGGATCCTACGCATATACGGCTGGCTGGCGGGCTTCCTAGCGCTGTAATGAATGCTGCAAAGCCCGACATTGCAAGGGTGCGAGCGCGGAGGTCTGTGAGATGATAGGAGAGAAAGGGAGTCCGCCTAATGGGGCGTGATTGCCTTGCCACTCGACTCGCATCACCTGCCAAGGAATGCAAACAAAGTCGGCAGTCCAGAGTTCACAATGATGGTGCGAGTTTCAGTGTGGACATCCTGAGACACAGGTCTTTGGCTTGTGCTCGAAGAAATGACTGCCACAGGCTCATACTGGTTCGTCGAGTGAGTTGAAGGTGGTATTGGCCTTTAAGGAGTAATATGTAATTCATCAACCCATAGTGGGAATGTACATGAAGGGCACACGACACATCAGGCAGTAGAGGACAACGCGGCCAGCGGGATCCCTGTCGGCCAGGTGGCAGTTCTCTGTTTGAGGGTCAGCTAACAGCCCAGAGGCCAGAGGAGGGGGAGGGAATCCACTCACGCCCAGCATACATCCCCGTGCCCAGAACACCTGTACATTTCCGCCCTCGCGAGCTCATCTGGTATTGGAACCACGCCGCCATGTTGGGGGCCGACATGTTGAGGATGTGTACGTGAGTAAGTGGGGAGTAGTGGCGTGGGTTGGGTATGGAGTGGACTGTCCTGTATAGACGTGTGAGGGCAGTTACCAGTTATATAGCATCCCCAAGGACATTTTCTGCCCATTCACCATCGGTGCGAGTCAAGCATGCGTAGAGACGAATGTTGCATCAAGTTTGGTACAAATCGTCGCACCGGCCAGGGTCCGTATCGCAGGCTCGCCTAGTCGACTTTCGGTGCAGCATACCACATGAACCGTCGGCAGTATCCGCAGACCACCTCCTCACCATCCAAGTTTGGTGGAAGGACCAGCGGGATGCAGATGCCTGATGAGGGGAGAATGTCAGTCTCTGGATCTCTGGAAAGTTCGGTGCCGAAGGTGCGCACTCAACTCACATCCTGTATTGTAGCCGTCCGACTGGCGTCCTGCGCACGTCCGGCCTACGGGGGGTCCGTACAGGCGGGTGCACTCGTCTTCTCTAGCGCTCATGTCTGCCAACAGTATGTAGAGGCAGTAGTATGTAGTGGGTGTATAATCAATGATAGCGGGGTTAGGGTCTTCTTTTCACTTTCTGCCCCGGCAAAGAACCTGGGGGTCACGGGCCGCCAGACCCATCACCGGGCACGCTTGTCTGACTCCACGACCATCAGCTGTCTTCCAATACTGAATGATGACTTCTGAGAAGCCTGTATTCCTTGCAAAAGTTGAGGTCTGAAGATAATGGACGCATTAGAGTTTCCCACAGGGGCTGCCAGCGACCGCCACACTATGTAAAAACCATACCATTCCCATTGCCCCTGCTCACTGCTGCTGCTGCTTTTCAGCTAACAGTTCCGTCTTTGTCGCTGCAAACCACATGAACTCGCCGCAGAACTGGCACACGACCTTCCTCCTGATGATGATTCCCGCATAGGTCGGGTTGACGGGGACGACCATGGGGATGCAGTTGTCTGCGCAAGCGGGGCGAAGGTGTCAGCCAAAAGCGTCGAACGCCGCGGATGGGCGGACATCCGGGAGACGCGGACTCACAGAACGGGTTGAACCCAGTCCCCGGGACCCCAGTACACTTGCGTGTAGCTGCCGCGAGGAACGCGGTGTTGTGATCAGGCGAGCCTCCAATGTTGCTCATGGTTGTCGATGATGGTACTGGTAGGTAGCGCAGAGTGAGACGAGGCGGGGGTGGACTGATGTATGATGTAGGGTGTATAGTGAGCAGCGTTCACAGGTTGCCATCACTCGAGAACCACTGGGACAAGCCACGTGTGGCAAAGAATGTTCTCCCTCAGACACATAGGAATGCATGTTTCTAATGACTCAACATCGTGTGGTCCTGTCCCAAGTGGCTTGGTGCAACGGAGGTCACGCAAGGGTGGACCGGGTGTAAAAAGCCGCCACATGAACGCTCGTGCGCGCACAGCCCTCCCAGCTCTTGCCAGGCCGCTGATGAAAGCCATCATTGGAGGCAAGCAACTGGGCAAAGATGTTGAACCTCTGTGCAGGTGACGTGGTACTGGATACTCCGCTGAGAGGTCCGCCACTTCAAGCGGCTTGCCATGACACGGACCGGCGAGAAGGTGAGCCAAGTACATAGCCTGTAAGCCATCGCCGCACCGGCAACACCCAAGTCGTACCTAAAGTTGTACTTGAGCAGGGTTCGCTGAACTTGCTGGCGTAGAGATACGACGGGTGCATGAAGTCGTGGTACGATGATGGTTGTGGTGCGCCCACAGACACACATATACATGGCTGCTAACAACACGACACACTCAATTGAGCCACTGGGCACAATAATAGCACGCATAGCGAGCGTACCCGTCTGAACAGACCAAGCCTCTGCGAGATATCAGGAGCCAGCTACGCTGATGCTTGACTGACCGCCAGCATTCCCTCCCCACGGGTCACCAGCACAGGTCGGAAGCTCGGTGCCACCGATACTCTGTGGTGGCATCGTGCGAAGCGTGGACAGACTGAGACAAGGTCTGGGGTGGTGTTGAAGGGTGTGCTTTGTCAGCGGTGGGCCGTATAGCTGCTTGAGGTCTGTGGGGGTGCCAGAAGTTGACGGTGGTATCAGGGGAGGCGAAGATGAGAGGTAGGTGTGGGGAAAACTCGTCTGTCGCCAGTCTCGAATACGAATACGAAATACACGGTGATGATCGGCGCCCAACCTTTTTCCGTCTTATCGTCGTCAACGCGTGTCCTAGGCAGGGCCTAGGCTCCGCAGCGGTGGTCAGCAGACCAATGCGTGAGGTCTGAAAGAGTACAGTGGAGGAGTGAGCACTCCCAGACCCCAGTTGGTCGCAGTTCTTGGCCGTGTGCGTACACACCTTACGTACACACCTTATGACGACGGTTTCTCGCCAGTGGCCAGTGGGTGAGAAGTCCCGAGCTGCGGCTTGGGAGTCTGCGCCTACACCTGTATCCTGGGGCGACTCACCGCGGGTGAAGACGATAGAAATTACAGTGCGCTCTGTGTGAATGTGAGGTTATGCAGACGACAGCGCCAAGTGCATGTAGGTCACGGTTAATTCCCCAAATAGCGCGGTGGAAAGTCGCCGATCTCTGCGCCACATCAAGGTACTGCACTCCTTAACTGTCTTGTTTGCGTTCCGCACACCACGGTATGTTGTACCACCCCGTAACAAAGGTCACGTCGTACAGTGACTACCAAGCGGAACGTGCCATTCGCCACCCAATCCCACTGGGGCGCATTGGTGGATCTGGGGATCTGCATACTCGTCGACGCATTCCACAACCCATCACTGAAGAACCATCAAGCCAACGAGTCATGTAGACGGCCTGTGCAGCGCTCCATACCACTTTATGATCAGTCTCCATCCCTGTGTCTCTTTCTCGCACATTCTCATCACCATCACCACCATCTTCCCACTACCACTTACCAGCCGACATGGGTGCCCCTGCTCAACTGTTTGGGTGACGCCCATGGAGCCAAAGACGGCGGTGAGTGAGCGTCACTCTTTCCCGGATGGTCTCGGCCCACAATGCTCTCAGATTGACACCCGCAGAGAACGGTGACGACGTCCGGATCGGGCGTGCCTGCGCGTGCTCGTATTACATCAGCCAAAGGTGATCTGGTGCGGGTTGGGGCAGCCATCAAGGGGTGGGTCTTGGTGCTTGTGTGTACAGTGTGCGGTGACGGTCCCAATAAGATCGGCACCTAAGTTTGCGCCTTACGAGCTGGAGAGCTGGGAAGGAGGAGAGGAGGAGAGCTAGGAGGGAGGGAAACGAGAACGGTGATTTTGCATCACAACTCGGCATCTTCTTAATCGTGACTGGAATGGTCCCATGACCCCAAAACGCGCATATTCCTCGCTTGGAATGAAAACAAACCCCTCACACATTCCTTTTCCCGTGTCGATATCGAGACAGTGCGTTTTAGGTTGGGTCGGTGCGAGCGCCTTCTGTGGGCTCCACCATCACTACCAGTGGTGGTAGACGGGGGCATTGTGGAGGAATGGGTCGTCGACTGGAACGTGCAGTGCGCAGTGACTTTGCCCCGTGCCCCTTGTCAGACTGGCGTTCTCACAACATGCGTGAGTTTTGAGAGATTGGGAAATGTACCACAAAGGGAGGCTTTGCATGGAAGATGAAGGAACCCGCGACGCGTCGTTGGGCACAGGTCAGCTGGTGACCCCGCTCGAGATCTGGGAATGGGTTTATTCCGCCATCTCTATCGTAACGTGTGCCGGAGAATGGAGTCGCGGTTGCGTGGTGGAGGTGGTGGCACAGGGAAAGAGGCCTAGTCCCGGGAGGCAGGTGGTGTTGCGCACGCTCTGGATCTCTGGGAATGGATTGTCACTTCTGGCATTGTCGCTGCTGTACTGCGTACTGGCTGTAAGGTTGATGTGCATTGTTACACTGTCTCCAAGCGATCTGCGTGTCACAAGATCAACACACGGCTGCGGCGGGGTCCACATGTGTCTGGAATTTTGGAGCCACACGCCAACAAACACCAGAGTCACAAACACATCATTTGCACAGCCTCTGGCGGTCCCGCCGAGAGAGGGAAGGCAGAGTCACGTGATCTGTAATTCCGTCCCGGCCTGTTCCATTCAGAGGATCAAAGGGAGTGTCCCGACCGATCGCTGGTTTTTTATTATTTTCCCTCACCTGGGGGTGTGTACCGCGTGCGCTACAACGCGCAAAGGCTATCGATTGGCCGGCGTGCTTGTCGAACAAGGAACGTATGCATATGATGGACAGGAGAGAGAGAAACAAGAGCTGTGCAAAAGTACAAAATGAGCTGCGGGACGTTGCCAAACACCCATACCCCCCCCCTCCCCCAATCCTCTCACCCGACCACTTTCCGCCTTTAAAAAGGCGTGGCCTGCGTGGTTCCCCGAAATAGCTCCCGCCCCACCTATACTTAGCCCACATTGCTTTCGTGTCTTCCCCCCCTTCCCTCCCTTCCCTCTCTCTCTCCACCCCCCGCACACACACACCACACACACCGTCTCATCCATCCACGGCTGTCCATATCCCACCGTCCTCCACCACCACCACCACATCGCTTCCACACCAGTTAACCACAGTCGACCTCATACACGTCGACCACCACCATGGGACGCAAAAAGATCGAGATCAAGCCCCTCACAGTACGTAAAGTTCTTAGCTCTGGCTCCACAGCTAGCAACGGATTTTTACTCCATGGCCACCACCACTCACACACCTCCTTCCTCTCCTCCAGGACGAGCGGAACCGGAATGTCACATTCCTCAAACGCAAAGCGGGTCTCATGAAGAAGGCATACGAACTCTCAGTCCTCTGCGGCGTCAGCGTCTCCTTGCTCATCTTTGCCGGTAACGGCAAACCATACGAGTTCTCGTCGGTCGACTTTGACACAGAGGTGGACCGCTACAACGACTATGAGGGCACCATCGAGCGCCGGCGCGGTGCAGAGTTTGAGGCCATGGCGCTTGCAGGCGAGGACGAGGACGACGAGGACGAGGACGACAACGCCAGGCGGGCATCGACCAGCAAGCCCAAGCCCAACGGCCCGTCAAAGTCCCTCAAGGGCAAAGAGTCGTTCAAAGCGCGTCGCGTAGCGTACCGCGACGGAGCACGCGACGGGCGCCAGGCAGGACGCGGCGCCGACCGTGGGGACCTCTCCGCTGTCATGCCCGAGGACACGTCGTTTGTTGGTGGTGTCCTGGACGATGACAGTCGCGACAACTCGGGTGGGCCGACACCAGACTCTCCAGTGAGCATTTTGTTGGACGGGGGGAGGGGCTGCGTTGTCCGCTAGTGGTTCAAATTGCTGACAGCATTCTCCCCAGTCCGCGGCAGGCCTCTCGTACGCGCTCAACCTGCATAACCAGCATCAGATGGGCGGTCCACCTCCGCATCCCCAGTCTGCACCGGCTGCCCCGTGGAACGCGTACCGCCAGCAACAGGCACAGGTGCAAGGCGGCGCCGGCGGCTTCACCTTTCCGTTCAGCCAAGGCAGTTCCGGAGGTCCACCGTTCCCCATCAACCCGGGCATGGGCGGCCCACCACTCGGCAGCGTCCCCGGTGTTGGCTCTGGAATGAACATGCCTTGGGACAACCAGATGCTCACGACCTACGCCTGGCTCCAGATCCAGCAGGCTCACCAAGAACAAAAGCGCCAGCTCCTCGAAAAGCAGCAGCAGCAGCTCCTCGACCTCACATCGCGTTCCGGTGGCCAAGCACTGCTACGCGACATTCTCGGCCCACTCGGCTCAGCAGGTAGCGCCGGTGCCAGCGGTGGTGCCAGCCAACACGCCCCTCCGTCAGCCCAGTCCAACTGGAACGAGTTTGTATGGCCGACCGCTCCTGCCGACGTACCCGACGCCCAGGGCGGCGGCGTCTCCACTCCTCCCGATGACGACCTCCTCTGGGCCCTGTCCGGGGCCGGCGCACAGCAACAGCAGCAACAACAACCACCCCCACCGCAGTCCTACCAGGACTTTGGCTCCCACCAGCCGCAACACCAGGACCTGAAGCGGGGCCGTGAGCGCGATGGCGACCTGAGGCTGGACCCACGTAACGCTGGCATCGGCTGTCCCGTTGGTCTGAATGTTGGCGCAATTGGTATTGACCCTAGGGCGCAGAAGAGGAGAAAGTAGCCAGTTGAACCGAACACGCGAGTGGACACAGAGTGTACGAGGTTGACGGATGGGCTGTTGATCGCTGAGGATTACTGCGGGGCTGAGGTGTAGTAGGTAGCAGTTGAAATGCCCTGTCGAACGGGCTGTTGTAACACTTTTTGTTTCTATTAGCATGGACACGATCGCGATCGGTAACGTGGGGGGCATGAGGCAGTGGCATAGCTTGGCGGCGCAGGTGGCCTTGCGTCCGCAGAAGGGAGCGGGTGTGTCGGACGCCGGTGACCTGCACCCCCTCGTTGCTCGCTACCCAACAAGTACTAAGGATCATATCGGTCGTCGTACAACAATACATGCTCGTATCTGGTTATTCTTGGCGACTGCGGCGCCTCCATCTACGCGGCATCTCGCGCCTCGGCCCAGTCATCGTCGTCCGCATCGAGCGCCGTACTGCGTGTCGAGCCGGCCTCGAGAACCTCCCAGCCGTCCGGGACGTCGAGCGTGACGCTGTCGGCGGCGACGCTGGGCTCAGGATCGGAGGATGTGTGGGAGGCGGGGTTGGTGCTGGTTTGGATCTCGTCCGAGGTCGAGACTACCTCTTGCGAGGCGACGACCGTGCTCGCCCCCTCCCTCCCCACCCCGCGGGAAGGCTCGTCATCTACTGCGCCTTCCCGCTGACGCGAAAATCCCCTCCTGCTCCCTCACCCGCCCCGCTCCCTGCCTCCTCTCCCTCATTCTTCTCCCCGGCCTCGCGTTCAAACTCGGCGTTCATCTCGTCGGCCGTCAGGTTCATCTTGTCGAGCCAGCGTTGGAGCAGCGACGCGTTGTCGGCTTGCAACGCCGCGTTACGCTGTGTGAGGCCCGAGACTTCGATTTGTTGCGAGAGGATCTCGTCGTGGAGCGTCTGCGCGAAAAAAAGAGCAAGCAAGCGTCAGCGAACGGGTTTGACAAGACACGGTACAGTCGGCTTCCTTTCCAGTTTCTGCTGTAGCCGACCGCTTGAGTACGCACCTTGACATCCTCATCCCTCATCCTCCACCTCTCCTCCCAATTCCTCTCCCTCCTAGTGCCTCCGTCACGGGCATCCCGCAGCTCGCGCACCTCTTCGCGCAAGCCTCGCACCTCCTCGTCGCGATCACGCAGGGCGTCCGCCATGGCCAGCTGTTTGTTCTGCGCTGCCGCTTGCGTGCGGTACAGTGTCGAGAGCTCAGTGCGCATCGTGTTGAGCTGGGCATCGAGGTGAGAGAGGAGAGGGGCGGGTCCAGAACTGACGAGCGAAAAGTGTCAGCATGCTCTGCCGGAGCGTTGAGGGGTGCGTGCTGCGTGCTCGCTGTCCGCGTTACGTCCGAGCGCGACGCCGTCCGAGCGTCCCCGTCGACCAACGACGACCAACGGCGCACCCTCTTGGACTCACCCATCACCGCCGCCTCCGCCACCACCACCACTCCGAAGAAGCGCTGCGTTCCGGACTTTGAGGTCGCGCGCAGCCTTGGCCAGTCGTTGATCTACCCAAGTCAACGACGTTCATTGTGTCACACCTACATTGTTCGATAACGTCCCTCAGCGCGTCACCCGATGCCTGTTGAGCCATGAGCCGTGCACGTATGGCGTGCTGCCATTCTGGAGGGGCTGAGGGGGAGGTAGTTGAGAGTGTCGACATGGCTGTAGTGTTGTTGTGTCGAATGGAGGGAGAGAGGAGAGGTACGACGACGAGACGGATGGCGTCACTTGGCGCGTCGCCACCGACAGTCTATGCTGGGTCCTAATGAGGGAGAGGTATATTTGATCCCGCGCCTAATTAGGAGATTAGAAATTTATCAAATGAGCATTGATTCCTATTAACATTCTTAATCCTAATCCCCCGACTTGAAACCCACCTCCACCTCATCGGTCCACGACAACAAGCCGCGGTCATCATCCTTGTCGTCGCACACTCACTCACTCACCCCTTACAACATGGCCGAACCCATCGAGCAGTGGTTCACCTCCATCCCCCCAGTAACACGCACTTGGGTGCTCGCAGCAGTAGGCACAAGCCTCCTAGTGGTGGGTTGAGACACCCTCTTCCCAACTGTGCTGACCCATGCTCCTCGTTTCAGGAATGCCGCGTCCTCGTACCACTCCAGCTTTACTTTTCTTGGAAGTCGGCAGTCCTCAACTATCAAGTACGTTACAGGTCCATAATGTTGCTCATCGACTCAGCCATGGCGGTTCGTCACGACATTTTGTTATTTCGGTCAACTCAACCTCGATCTAGCATTACACCTCTTCTTCGTGTCAGTTTCTGTATGGAAGCCCGCTGCTCTCAACTGACCCCTTTCTAGGATGAGATACTCGCGTCTCCTTGAAGAAAACTCGTTCTCTAACCGGCGCGCAGACTTTGTCTGGCTCCTTTTCCTTGTCTCCTCCTTCCTCCTCGTGAGCTTGTGCTCCGCGTGGCTAGCTGACTGACAAACCCAGGTCTTGTCCCATTTCATCACCATGCCCTTCCTCGCGTCGTCCTTGGCATTTTCTCTCGTGTACATCTGGTCAAGGCGTAACCCCGCAGTCAAAATGAGCTTGTTTGGCGTCATTGTGTAAGCTGATTGCGGGTGTGGGAACGTGGGTCAGCTGACATTGATACCAGCATCTCGGCACCATACCTCCCCCTCTGCCTGGTTGCCTTTTCATGGCTGCTCCAAGGCGGGTTTGAGGCTGCCATGGGCGACATTGTGAGCTCCTCGTCCTCCTGCTCGTAAGCTGACAGTACCCAGGTCGGCATCCTCGCTGGCCACACGTATCTCTTCTTCCAAGACTACTGGCCGCGCGAGATGTGGTCTGATGGCGAGGGCGAGATCAAGACACCTGCTATTGTGTACGTGCCAAAATGACCGTGTATAGTCAGAACCGACGTTCCAAAGGCTGACATAGGGCGTATAGGAAGCGCATCTTTGGCCAACGCGAGCGTCAGGCATGAAATCACGCGGTGATAAGCAGGTATGACATGGTCCATCTGCCCCGCCTGGAGCAGCCTTCGTCCAACCCCTGTGCAACCCGCAAGTGACGTCTATCGAGGCCGCCACAACATCGACCCACAACCCATAGATCCCCCAACTCATCCCGCCAGAACTCTCTGCGTGTTCTCTTTGTACCATCTCGAACGCATGCATATGCCAAAAAATGCTGTTGTGTAGTGCTACATTCCGCTCCGGTGGATCTCGGTGTGCCATGTTCTGTGCTATCCCTTGTCTCCTGTCCGTAGGCTCATCCGTACGTGCGCACCGCGCCGCCCTTTTTACGCACCCGTCCCTCGGACTTGACCTCGAAATCGGGCACGGGCGAGATGCGTCCTGGTGGCCAGATAATGTGCGTCACGCGAGCGTTGATGAGGGACAATGGGACCTAGGCCGTTAGCAACCAGAGCGTCGGGGAGAGGCAAGACGCCGCTGCGGTGTGACTGTATTGTGATACGGAGGAGGGGAGGGAGGCAAAGGATAACCTCTGGCCGTCCTCGGCCGCAACGATCTCGCTCGACATGACGCCGTGTTGACTTACAGGTCCATAGGTGTTGGAATCCAGAGTCTTGTGGAACGAGTCTCCCTCGATCCACGCGTGCCCAGGCGGAATCTTGAAGGGAGCCGGCGCGCTGGGCGGCAATGGGGTCACGACGTCGCCCTCGAGCGCAATGATGCGCTTTGTCACTAGTGTTTCGGGATTGACTGGAGACCTGGTCGTGTCAGAGGTGGTGCACAGGGAGCTGTTGGAGGTGACAATCGGCGGGATTGAGGGTGGACACAGCGTTGCCAGTACCAGATGACCAACCCAACCTGTCATCTGCCCACAACCCACCCCCACACCTCCCACCAGCATGTATCACACCCAACCCAACTCACCAGAGCGTCACGACGTCTCCTCGGCGATACCGTTGGCCAAGAAAAGGCAACGAGCCCTTAACCTGCCATCGCTCGAGCAGGACCACGTCCGAGTGCAGGGGGCTCGAGTAATAGTCCGGGTTGAACGTGGGCATCATGCTCGGCCCACCAATGTTGCCCACACTATACACATTGTGCGTGACGAAGACAGCTACTGGCAGCCATCCACCATATTTGACACATCTCCAGAAAGTCGGGTTGCCGACGAAGTTGCGCCAGCGGGAAGCTTTGGGAAAGACGCGCTGGCCGGCGGACATGGTGGGCTATGCGGTGGGTCCACGCAGCAGTCGACAGCAGCGGCGGTGAAGGGGGACGGGGACGGCGGTGCGTGTTGATATGGATATGGAGAGATGGAGACAAACGGCAAAAGTCGTCGCCGGAAATGAGATTCAGAATCCCCTTCATCTCCCTCTCCCTGATCTCCCGGCGACGTCACCATTGTTTCCATCTTCCTCACCATCACCCTCATCGTTCGGCCCATGATGGCAAACTTGCCTTCCTACATGCCCATCCCGGGGGCTGCCCTCCCCATCCCGGAACCCCAAGACCCCACACCACCCCGGGTCCCATCCGTCCTGCAAGGCGGCACGGGGATGCAGCGCGTCTCGTCGACGGGCACCGGCTCGTCGTCAACTTCAACCGGAGGCACTTCATCGCAGCCATACGCCGCGCCGTTCCCGCCCGCCATCGCCGCCGCTGCAGCTGCAGCGCAGATGAACAGCTCGCGCAGGTTCCCCGCCATCCCGACGACCAACCTCAGCGCCAATGTGTCAGACATCGTCCTGTCGTCGCTGTTGCCGGCCAACCTGCCCAAGTTGCCAGGTGCAAGCGGCAATACTGCGCCTGGCCGCGCACGCGAGCTCACGAGCCAGCGCGAAGGCCTCGGCCTCAACGTCATGAGCAACAACTTTAGGCGATTTGTGACCAAGGTGAGTGACACAGTTGAAGACATGCTCCTCTCCCCCAACTGACTGGGTCCCAGGTTGGACCAATCTTCTGGCTCCAGGACCGGGTCGAGGAGGTTCTCTTCTGGCAAAAACCCATCTGGACGTGGGCATGGCTCTTTACGTGGACGTTCATTTGCTTCAACCCGCGTACTTTGCTCTTCCTTCCAGCCGCGGCCGTGTTGGCCATCTTTATCGCTTTGCAAGAACAGAAGCGCGCGGTCCCAAGCCTGTTTGGCGTCGTCCAGCCGGCCCCCGCGACCGGTTCAGCTCGCGTTGGGACCGAGTCTGTGTCTTACTCTGCGTCGACAGCCCCAGAATCCGAGGGTAACCCAGTTGTGCCGCCGCGCGAGGCCGAGTCGAGTGTCGACTACTACATGAACATGCAGGCCATCCAGAACCTCATGGGCATGATTGCCGACATATTCGACCTCGTCACCCCGTACCTCGCCCTCGTCGGTGGCAAGGACACGTCCCCGACCTCGTTCCCCATCACCCCTACCCACGTCGTCCTCGTGCTCCTCCCTCCGGCCATTTTACTCCCACTCACCCCAGCCTGGGCGCTCCCTTACCTCCTCCTCCCAGCCGGCATCCTCCCGCCCCTCTTCTTCCACCCAAACCTCAACCCCAGCTTCCAGGCCCTCCCGCGCTGTCACGCCGCGCGCGAAGCCCGTGCCGCTTTGGAAGACATGGCACTTACAGACGCCCTCAGCGATAAGATTGGCTCGCGGCCCATCGCCAGAGTACAAGTGTGGGAGAATGAGCGTCTCGACCCCGCCACAGCTGCGAAGCCATTGTCGGCCGGCACACCACCAGGAAGCTGGAGCGCGCGGTACCTCCGTGCCGGCGAGCGTGGGGCGTGGGTCAAAGTCCGCACGCCTGGAAATCTCTGGGCAGACGAGGAACCCAAGTCTGCCGACGCCGATGAAGGACGCATGGTGCTTGCACTCAAGGAGAACTGGTCGTTTGTGCCCGAGGAGGACTGGAGGGTGGACGTGCCGGCACTGTGGAGCGACGTTGGTGCTGACCCAAGTAAGTGTTGCAGGCTATGGTTGGACGGTCCAGCGGGTAGCAAGCAAGCCCATGCTAACGTGCCCAGACGGCTGGGCATACGCCGACGACTCGTGGCAGTCGCCCTCGGACCAGGCAATTGACGAGAACCCCCCTCCGCCCGTCACACCTTGGCGCCGCGTCACGCGCAGGCGTAGATGGTGGCGCCGCATCTACCTCGAGGAGTAGACTAGAGACCCGTAGCGTGTATGATAACCATCAGTGTGGTAGTTGCACCACTATCATCGAGTTGTCTGAATGCCCAACTAATTGTTCCGGCGTGTCCACAGCCCGGGCAAGAGGCTTTAACAGTTCAAATATTGAACTAATAGATACCCTTGCTTCATCCCACGATGCTGTTGCTTACGGAGAGTGCATAGAGCCTTCAGGGCGCCTGTTTTTCCAGGTTGAATCCAAGCCCCCGGAGCGCGCCGCGACGGCCATGTTCATCAACATCTCAACACCGTTGGTGAAACGGTATCATGCGTCGTTGCCATCGACGCGGCAGGGGTTCGACTCCCTTACGGTGTAGATTACGAGCGTCTAGCGATGCTTGGTTATCTCTTTTGGCTTCAGGACGACTGGGGCAAGGAGGGGGAGGAGGTTGGGAAGGTTGACTCAAGTGTCTGATTCGGGTGGGCCGGGTGTCATGGATATGAGAGCTGCGAGCCTAACGTGGTTGTCCTCTGCCATCTATTGACTAGGGCATGCTCTTCTCGGAGCGTGGCAAGTGCGGTTGGAGAAGACAAGACGTTGCTGACGACCGATGGTAATGGTGCCGTGTTAGCCTCCACGAGTGTGGCACTCCTTCCAATTTGGCTCATTCCAAGAATGAACCTTCCCCCAATCTTTCCCTACTCTTTCTACACATCCCCAAGCCTCGTCTGAGTCCCAACAGCTGTCCCAGAGGCCAAAAATGGACGAGTTAGGAATCGAACCAAAGACCTTGTCAAGATAGGTAGTAGATGCTAATGACACGCTCTACCAACTGAGCTACACGCCCGATTACGTAAAACTGTTGCCCCGCTGCTCTATGAGCCAAGATGCTGCTCCTGGGCAAGTTATCATTAGTTAGAACCTGCAATGGCTACACCAAGATACTCTAGTGTGCGTGTACAAAATTTCAGATCTATTGCGGCAAAGGTTGGCAAACAAGGTACATGTTATGGAAGGGCTTCGGGATTTGTGGCGATCGATTGCGACCGACGGATTAGTGGGTGGAATTGCATGGCTTCACTAGGCTACTCGCCTTGCGGGAAGTGCGTAGTTGGTATTGCTGGTACTGGGAAAGCGGTCGACGCGGTGTCTTCCTCTGCCATTGTGGCGCCGCTTCCGAATTCTGCATTGACATACACATTCTTTCTTCTACTCGATATACACCAGCGCTGACCCAGGGTCGACAGCATCCCCATGCTCGACGGCGATGCCGCTAACCTTCTTGCCCTTCATACCCTCTCCCGCAGCGACGAAGACGCTCGTCTTCATGGCCTCGAGCTCGACCACCTGCTGCTCGTCGCTCTCAATCACATCGCCCTCGGCCACCATGACTTTCCACACGGATGCAGACAGGGGACTGGTCACGGGGGTTCCTGCAAAGTCGCCAGTGTGGGTGGGTTGCTTGCCCGCAGCGGCGTCGGCTGCCTGCTGCGCTGCAAAGGCTGCAAACATGGCCTCTTCCTCTTTGCCGACTTTTTGCGAACAGGCGAGCTGTGTCGCGCGGAACTGTTTCGTTGCCGCCTCCTTGGCTTGCGCCATGGCCGCGTAGTCTTTCATCCTGAACCGCGCCTTGCGCGTCTCGGGAACCCAGCTGCGAGTCTTGAACCGGCGCTCGATGGAAACAAACTCGTCCTCGCCGACGACGTAAAACTCGAGTTGGTCAAAGTTGGTCAGGATCGAGTGGTCCTGTCCCGCTGTCGGGTAGGGCTGCCAGGTGGACAAAGTGCGACCCAGGAGCTGGTATCCGCCAGCCGAGGCGATGGGGTAGATGGCGCCAATGACGCCGGCGAGGCCAATGGCTCCCTCTGGGGTCTTGGTGCGTGAGGGATTGTACTTTTGGCCCAGAATACGCTTGGTCGGATCGAGCGGGATGATGAAGGGCAGCATGACGAAGAAGCCATGCGCAAGCACGAGCCACGGCGTGGCAGTGAAAATGTCGTGCACTTGCTTCAAGGTCATGCCGTTGTTCTTGGCAATGTACTCGGTATTGCTGGGCAAGTAGACGGCCTCCTTTCGTGCGGTCTTCATGTAGTATTCAATCGCTTCGTGTGTCCACTTGTCGTCCGGAACGACGGGGAAACGGTGCACAGTAATGTCGAGCTCGACGTCGTCGCCCCCGACAATCTTGGCGTCAATCTCCACCATGCTCTCGAGGAGGGTACGCTGCGAGATGATCTTGGGATTAAAGTGAACAATAGACGAGCGCACGCAAGCGTTCATGTACACCAGTCCCGGAATGTTGGCGGCCTTCATCGCCCGTTCCCAGAGCTCAACGCGGACACGGTCTTGGATGACAAGGGACATGGGCCCAACCTCGTAGATGAGGTATTCGTCGGCACATTGGCGGAAGATTCGCTCGGGGGTCGTGCCAGTCGCAGGAACGCGGTGGAGGACTGACGAGTTTGTAATATCCTTTACCCGCGTGCTGGAAGTAAGCAGCTTAAGTGGCTGGGCCGAGGGTGTTGTGATTGTTGCGAGCCACTCTGTGTTGGTCTGGTCAATGGTGGCGGCTTCGGACACGTCAACCAGGACGAAGGTGATGGTGTCGCCGGGACGCATCTGACCCGTCATCCAGGCGCAGCCCGAGACGACAGCGAGGACGTTGGAGAAGCCTCCCATGTCGGGTGAGTCGGCCGCAAAGAGCACAGGTGTGTCGCCGTTGATGTTAAGCGAGCAGAATGCGTAGCCTTGATCAATGACGTTGGATGGGTGTGCACCACCATCACCGCCATCAGGACGCGACCACTGGATACGCGGGCCCTCGAGGCGAAGGCCAGAGCGGTTGGAAGATGTCGACACCTTCCATTTGGCAGTGAGGAGCGTTTTCATTCCTTCGGGAGCGAGGTACTCGAGGTCCCACTGCGCGTTGGCAGTAACTGGCACGACCCAGTCGTTGGTAAGCGGTGTACGAGCTGCCACAGGAACCGTGATAATGGTGGGCTCTGGGTCGGAAGCGGGAACTTCAAGGAGGTCGCCAGCGATAAGGGTTCGGCCTTGGTATCCGCCAAGAGCCGCGCCGGTAAAGGTCGATTTGGAGTTCATAAACTCGGCAACGTTGTTAAACCCGCCCTTGACAGCAATGTAGGACCGGAGACCAACGCCGCCACTCGCCAAGCCGACCTGGACGGTCTGGCCCGCCTTGACGTTCAGCGTAGTCCACTGGGGGACTTCGACTCCATCAACGGTCGTCTTCATGTCCGCACCGCAGACGGCGATCACGGAGTTGACGTGGAAGAGTAGCTTGGGACCTTGCATGGTACACTCAAGGCCCTCGACGTTGGGCTTGTTACCAACGAGGAGGTTGGCAGCCTGGAATGAGAGCATGTCGGCCGCGCCACTGCGTGGGATTCCGAGGCCGACACGGCGGCCGGGGAGGTCCTGCACCGTGGTACTGATACCTGGAGCCAACACTTCGATGGCCTTGGGCTTGTACGCAAAACGTGAACACCAAGTGGTCGTGACGGTCGAGTTCATGAAGTCTGGTGACTCGAGAATCGCCTTGCAGTAGTCAATGTTGTTGGGAGGGCCAATGACCTTGGTATCGGCGAGTACCTGGATAGCCTTGCTGATGCACTCATCGCGCGTAGGGGCCCAGACAATGAGCTTGGCAATCATGGGGTCATAGTGAGGCGTGACAAGAGTGCCACTTTTGACCCAGGTTTCGATACGGCCGCGCTCCCCGACGTCTCCCCAAGAGACCTCGAAGAGTTGGCCCGGGGACGGCTGGAAGCCATTGTTGGGGTTCTCGCAGTAGACACGAACTTCAATGGCGTGGCCATCAATGGTCAGCAGCGGGTCTTGCTGCAGAGCAGACTCGGGGAGCGAGCCGCTGGGCTCGACACCCTGACGGATCATGAGCTCGACAAGATCGAGCCCTGGGTGGATCTGCTCAGTGACGGGGTGCTCGACTCTGCGGTTGTGTCAGACAATCCGGCGACCATTCAACTCACTGGATCCTCGCGTTGAGCTCGAGAAAGTAAAAGTCGAGGTTTGGGGACTGGTCATCGAGCACAAACTCTACCGTACCTGCCGAACGGTAGTTCATGGTCTTGCACAGGGCAACAGCAGCGTCACAGATCGCTTTGCGCACCTGCTGGCCCTTTGCTGACGCAAACAGAGCGCAAGGCGCTTCCTCGATAATCTTCTGGTGACGGCGTTGGACACTGCACTCGCGCTCGCCAGCGTGGATAACGTGTCCTTTGCCATTACCGAACACTTGCACTTCGATGTGGCGTGCGCGTTCAATGTACTTTTCAATAAAGACCGCTGGCTCCTTGAAGAGGACCTTGCCCTTTTCACGGGTGGCCTCAAAGTTGGACACAAGTTCGTTCTCATCTGTTCATCAGTATGGGCCAACTGCCCGACACTGGAACCCACCCCTGCACACAGTCATGCCCATGCCACCACCACCACCCGATGCCTTGACAATGACCGGATACCCGATCTCCTTTGCGATGGGGATCGCCGCGTCCAGCCTCTCCACGACGCCTGCCGAACCCGGTACAATGGGTACGTTGGCCTTCTTCGCGACCTCGCGAGCCTCGTGCTTGAGACCCATGGACGAGATCTGGTGCGGCGTGGGACCAAGGAAAATCATGCCAGCCTCCTCGACCTTGGTTGCGAAAGCCTGTTGTCGGATCAGCACCAGCAAGATAAGATCCAGTGACCGCACTCACAGCATTCTCGGACAAGAAGCCATAGCCCGGAGCCACCATTGTCGCTCCAGTCTTGCTGGCAATCTCGAGGATCGCCTCCATGTCGAGATAACCCCTAGGATCGGAACCGTCGCCAATGGGGTGTGCCTCACCGGCAGCAGTCACGATCGGCGTGCCCGCATCGGCAAGTGTGTAGATTGCGACAGTGGGGATACCGAGCTTGTCTGCTGAGCGCTGGATACGCAGTGCAATCTCGCCGCGGTTGGCTATGAGGATCTTGTGCTTTGGGTGTACCATTGTGTACGAAGACGTGTCTTGGAAAGATGCCGGCCACAGCCGATGAGCGTTATCAAGTCGGCTTCTGACAAGAGATATGGGTGTAACCTTTGGGGGGGATGCCGATCTCTTATACAGGTGGACGGGTGTCAGAGGGAGAAGCGTAAACGCTCGAGTTGCCGAGCACAACGTGATATAAACGATGTGGACGTGTGTACCGACAGGACATGGGAGTGGACAGCTGACCGCCGAACCTCATCACAGACGACTGGGCTTCGGCTGCAGCGGTATTCGCCAGCAACGGCCAAGACATGTGCGCTAGTGACGTCGGGTGAACCGATGTTCCTGGTGGGCACGCCGCCGAGACTGACTGGATGCCTGAGACACATAGGCGAGACGACAAGATACACCGTGCGGATAGGAAAGGAGGGAGTACCGGTCGCTTCCAAAAGCCAGAGGGTGCCAATGTCAGCCTGCCCACATCGTTATCGGCATCGTCCACTTGGGTGGGGACCAACACAGTTCACATGACGGCAAGCACGCCGAAAGCCGGTAACTGAAGGTGAGACAAAGGCTGTTCAGTAACCGTCATATAGCGGCGATTCCGACCGGCGACAACCAGGACACAGTGTTCACTACACCCAGTCACTCTTTCCTCGACCCTACAGTCACCATGATCACCGCACCCACTGCGCCATCGTTCCCTCGCGTGTCGCTCAACTGCGTGAGTGCATGTGTCCATTCTCCATTGCTCAGTACTGACATACTCCCAGGACATGGGCGAGGGATACTACCGCTGGCGCCTGGGACCCGATGAACAGCTGTTCCCTTTGATCGAGTACGCCAACATTGCGTGTGGCCTGCACGCCGGCGACCATGCCACGATGCTTCGCATGGTCCGTCTCGCCAAGCAGCACAACGTCGGGATCGGCGCACACCCAGGTCTGGACGATATCAAGGGCTTTGGGAGGCGAAAGCTGGATGTTACTGCCGAAGAAGTCTACTCGCTGGCGCTGTACCAGCTGGGCGCCCTCAAGGCCATGGTCGATGCCGAGGGAGCGGTCATGAGCCATGTCAAGCCCCATGGCATGCTGTACTTTATCCTCCGGGACAGCGAGGAGCTGTGCCGCGCATTCATGAAAGCCCACAAAAGCCTGACTGGGAACGGCGAGCCGTTGCCGTACCTCGGTATCGCAGGCAGCAACCATGAGAAGGTGGGCTAGTGTGATGGAGCTCATAGACATACTGCTGAACTGACACTCAGGTCTGTGCCGAGATGGGTGTCCCCTTCGTCCCTGAGGTCTTCGTCGACATCGACTACGACCCCAAAGGCAACCTCCTTGGCGTTCCCCAGAGTAACCCGTGCACCACGGAGGGCATCAAGGCCAAGGTCACAAGCCTGCTGACTACGCTGTCCACCACAGACAAAGAGGGCAACAAGTTGAAACTGCCGGGTACGGAACGTCACTATACGATCTGTCTCCACTCGGACATGCCCACTGCGTTGCAGAATGTCACTGCAGCTCGGGCGGCCATTGATGAGTGGAAGAGGGCGGGTGGAAAGTGAGCGTGTGATACGCTTCGTAGGGTAACATAGGGCCATGTACTGGCTGCAGAAGGTCGATCAGTCAGAGAGAGGGAAAGAATGGGAGCAACCCTCGTGAAAGGCCGATGGATTCCCGGATAGTCACTCACAGGGAGGCCGCACACCTGACCGTTGAACATGTAGCAAGGCCAGCTGTCTTCCTGTAGTCGTTGACGAGGCCTGGGTTCCTCAACAGATTCACTGGTCAAGAGGAAGGATGACTCATAAGCAGCGACGGCGACAACAAAAACATGATTAAAGAGGCTCTCGTGGTGTAGTGGCTATCATACTTTCTTAGGGTCCAGTCTTGGTCTTTAAGCCTTACCTCACGAGCTATGGAAGTGGTCCTGGGTTCAAATCCCGGCGAGGGCCCTCATCTTTTGCGTGGAAGCATAGCTATACTCGTTTGTTGTCGACGGAAGGGACGACGGACTTGGAAGAAGAGGTGTGGAGGATGTTCGTGGTGGTGGAGTGGTCGTTTGTGGTGGAGGTGCCACTTCTGGTGGGCCCTCGACTCGCTGCGACCCAGCTGGAGGCGGCATGGTGCTTCTCGCTCACTTAACTCATCTAGAGTCGTCATCTGCAGTCCTCCGCGCAATCTGCGCAAATGGCGTCTGGCGATGCCAGACATACGGAGGTCCTTCATTATTATTTTTTTCATTTTCCTTTTTTTGCAGAATAGCCACCGTGTCATTTACCAGGAAGGTAAATTTGTAATAGTTTGTAATCGGATATAACCGATAATTAGCAACACTATGACGTCAGCGGGTAAATGCCATCCATAAGGGGTCAGGGGTCATCTACTTTACGCGTCGGCAGCCAGCGAGCCCATGTGCTCGACTGATACACGAGCTAGACGAGGTGCGTCGCTCCCAGCGTTTGTTGTCTGATCAACGACTGACATATGCCTACACTACTGTACACAGGAAGATAACAATTCTGAACTAATAGAGGGAGGGAGACTTAAGGGCTGCCGATGTTCTTGCCGATAGCAATCACCTTCTTACAGAGGTACTCGTCGGTACCTTCGTAACCACCCTCCTTGCCGTAACCCGACTCCTTCCATCCGCCGAACGGAATCTGGGCCTGGGAGATGGCACCGGTGTTGGCACCGACCATGCCACACTCGAGCGCCTCGGCGACACGCCAGATGCGGTCGGCGTCCTTGCTGAAGAAGTATCCAGCGAGACCGACCTCGGTGTCGTTGGCGAGCTCGAGGACGTGTGCCTCGTCCTTGAACTTGATAAGCGCGGCCAGGGGACCAAAGGTCTCCTCCGTGGTCAGGAGGCAGTCCTGGGGGACGTTGCCCAGGACAGTGGGCTGCACGGCGTTACCCTGGCGAGAGCCGCCGGCGAGGACGGTGGCACCCTTGCTCACGGCATCGTCGATGTGCTCCTGGACCTTGGCTGCTGCGCGGTCGGTGATGAGCGGGCCGTGGGTCACACCCTCGTCAAAGCCAGAGCCGACCTTGAACTTGGACACCTTGTCCACGAGCTGACGGGCGTACTCGTCGTAAATGTCCTCGTGAACGTAGATGCGGTTGGCGCAGACGCAGGTCTGGCCCGAACCGCGGAACTTGGACGCAATGGTACCGGCAACAGCGGTGGGGATGTCGGCGTCCTCGAAAACGATGAGCGGGGCGTTGCCGCCGAGCTCGAGCGAGAGCTTCTTGAGGGTACCAGCAGCCTGCTCGGCGAGGAGCTTGCCAACACGAGTGGAACCGGTGAACGAGACCTTCTTGATCTTCTTGTTGGTAGTCATCTCGTTGCCGATGGCGATCAGGTTCTTGTCGGTGGTGATGACGTTGACCACACCGTCGGGGACGCCAGCGCGCTTGAGGAGCTCACAGAGAGCCAGGTTGGTGTAGGGGGTCTCGGCAGGGACCTTGACGACGGCGGTACAGCCAGTGGCAATGACTGGAGCGACCTTGCGAGCAATCATGCCTGCGGGGAAGTTCCAGGGGACGAGGAGAGCAGCGACGCCGATGGGCTGCTTGATGACAACGTTACGCTGGCCAGGGATGGCCGAGGGAACAACGTCGCCGTACTGGCGAACAGCCTCACCGGCAAACCACTGGATGTACGAGGCCGAGTAGAGAACCTCGCCGTACGCATCGGCCCAAGCCTTGCCGTTCTCCCACACAATAAGACGGGCAATGTCCCTGTCGTGCTTGATGAGCAGGTCGTGCAGCCGCAAAAGCATCTTTTGGCGCTCCATGATGCTCGTGTTGCGGAATGTCTTGAAGGTCTCGGCGGCGACGTCGACGGCCTTGCGAACGTCCTCGACAGTCATGTCGGGGACGGTACCAAGAACCTTGCCCGAGTGGGGGTCGGTCACCTCAAAGGTCTCGCCGTTCTGGGCCTGGACATTCTTGCCGTCGATAATACCGCTCTGGATGAAGAGGGTGGGGTCATCGAGACCGAGCTGGAGAGGGTTAGCACTAGCACGGCATCAGTGGAGTGGAGCGGTGACCGCATAGGTCACCAAAACGAGCCACACCGTGGTCGTCTGCGGCCTGCTTACTCACGGGGTTCTCCTTGGTAATGTTGGTAGGCCAGTTGCTCATAGTGCGGACGTGGGTCAAAGTGCGGTGGGGGGACGAGGAGGTAGCGGAGCCGACACGCGAAGGGGTGAGGAGACGCAAAGACGAGGCAAGTGATGGGGGGAGAGAGCGAGCAAGGGTCGACCTGGATGATGGGCTTTTGAGGCTGTTGTACAGCGTGAGGTGCGATGGACGCATGATTGCAAAGAATTCGTCAAAAGATTGGAGTCAAGGGATCAGCGGTCTCGGCGGGCAGATACACGCGGGGGCCAGACGGAGAGACCTTATGATGGTGAACAGTCGCTCTCCCCCTCCACCAGGAGGCCAGGCGGCCCATAATCCGCCATCTGACCTTTCGGCAAGCGTCGGCAACGGCTACCTACAGTGGTAAGCGAGATGGACGCTCTCATTCGTGGATCCACACGCAGGCAGTGTTACGCGATCCATCCGGAGGCCCCGGTATTTGGCATGCGCCGAAAAGGTCAGATACCGACGACCAGTATCTGACCTTTTTTTCCCCCCTATGCAGCCTGGAGGCCGCAGAGCAGCAGGAGCTGCATCTGACCTCCACCTGGGACACTATCTGACCTTTCGGTATTCGGCAGCGTGGGCATGGTGGTGGCTTACTTACCACAGTTGCGTACTCGATACGGGACACGCGCGGTGGGCGTCAATAGGCGCCGAGACGCGAGTGGCGGTCATCCATGTGTACAGTGGCAAATAGAGGCCGAACGACGCGTCCCCGGCTAGTCTTTCTTCCCTTCTCAACCCTCTAGACCAAAATGCCGCTGACCATGTCCTTACCTTGCGTCCTCTCTTGAGTCATTGTACGTGGTTTGGCTGAACAGCAACAGGTGAAGCCCGCAGATGGCCTCCGCAAGCCCGGTCGGTCGATTTCATGGCGATCGGGAGGTTTCACCACCGACCGACCGAGATGTTACGGCTGACGTTATAATGGTGGGCCCCAACGAGCACTGACATGATGTTGAGACTACCTCCCTCTCACTGCTTGACTGGTCACTAGCACGCTCAACAGTCTCACTGCTGGCACTGCTACATCCCTCTCCTGTCGAATCTGTCCACAGCCCCACCCATCGCCATGACCGTCGCACCAGCACCGCCTACCCGCGCGTTCCAGTATCCAACCGAGGGCCGCGTGCAGCCGCTCTCACGTACCCGTCGGCCCTTCACCACGGAGGACATTGAGCGATTCCAGGATATCTGTGAGTCGCTTTGACAGTGGTACTCGTTGCTGACCGTGTCTAGGCTCCCAGCAAACCCGCAAGGAAGACTACCCGCTCGCCTCGGCGGTTGACAACAACGCCGTCATCTACGACGCTGCCGTCCTCCGCAAAGCCATCCTGGGTGGACAAGTGACGCGCGACGCAGCCATGGCCGAGCTTCAATACTGCTTGCTCCAAGGCCCGGGCGTGTACGCCATCAAGGGCTGCTGCGACCTGGCCATCGTCGACCGCGCAAGTGAGGCGTTTAGAGTTATTCTCAAACGCGAAGCGGCAGAGTCTGGTCCTCGTGGCGACCATTTCGCGCCGGCGGGCAACAACGGGCGCATCTGGAACTCGTTCCAAAAGCACTCTGAACAAGACCCCGAGAACTTTGTGTCGTATTACGCCAACGACCTGCTGGCCCTCGCGTCTGAGAGCTGGCTCGGACCAGGTTACCAGGTAACTGCGCAGACCAACATTGTGAACCCGGGCGGACGCGCTCAAGAACCGCATCGCGACTATCACCTCGGGTTCCAGGACGAGGACACTGCAGCGCGCTTCCCGATCGTGTCCCAGATTGCGTCTCAGCTCCTCACCCTTCAGCTGGCTGTGGCACACACGGACATGCCGCTCGAGTCGGGCCCCACCCAGCTCCTGCCCTTCTCCCAGCACTTTGACTATGGCTTCCAGGCCTACCGCCACAAAGAGTTTGCCGACGTCTTCCATGCCAACATGGTCCAGCTGGCGCTGGACAAGGGTGACGCCCTGTTCTTCAACCCAGCCCTTTTCCACGCGGCGGGCGACAACAACACCCGTGACCTGTACCGCTCTGCAAACCTCATCCAGGTCAGCGCTGCATGGGGCAAGTGCATGGAGAGCGTGGACCGCGAGAGCATGCTCAAGCAGTTGTGGCCGTACATGACCGCATACGCCAAGGGCGAGAGTGCCGAGCAGAGCAACGTCGACGCTCTGTTCGCGGCTGTCGCCGACGGATACTCGTTCCCTACCAACCTCGACAAGGACCCGCCTCCTCCCAGCGGCCACTGCCCGCCCAATCAGCTCGACATTGCGCGCTCGGCACTGTCAAAGAACCAGGACCAGGCTACGCTGTCAACCCTCCTTGACGAGTATGCCCAGAAGCGCCTCCCTTGAGTCTTGAGAGCCCATCAGACTGTCACTGCGTTGAACGTTGTTGTAAAATTTCATCAGTTTCCGTTTATGCACAGTCAATATCAATGCCGCTTGCATGCCCTACACATCCCTACTTGCCCGCGCGGGCACTCACCGCCTCTCCAGGCCCGGTGTACACGAAACTGTAGCTCTCGGCGCGTGCCCGTGACTCCGGAGTCGGCGCACCGGGCGACGGTGTCCTCGCGCCGCGCATGCTGCTGGTTCTCGGCGACGCCGGCGGAGAAGGTATACCTCTGCTCCCAGGCTCGGGCGTGCTCCTGCGACTCAACGCGGGAGAGGCGGCGGCGGACGACGCCGATCCCAGCCGCTCAACCCTCTGCGGCGGCGGTGGGGTAGATGCGCGTCTGCCCCACGATGGCAGCCACCACGGCCTACGTGCGCGCGCCTCTTCCCGGGCCCGCTCTTCGCGCCGCCGCTCAAACGCAGCCCGGTAGCGCTTGTACCCATCCTCAAAGTGATGGTCGACACGGGAAGAGAAGATGAGCTCGCCGCGCGGGTTGGTCGACGGGGGGATCTGGGCCATGACAGTGTGCGACCCGGCGTGGGCAGAGGCCGAGGAACTGGTGCTCACCCGGCGCGGTGTGGTGCCAGGCCGCTTGCCGGGGACCACTTGGGCCTTGAGCGGCGCCGGGGCGGGCTTGAGGGCCGACGGGAGGGGCAGGTAGGACAACAACGAGGAGCGTGGGCGGCGGACGTTGAAGTACATGTTCAGGGGACGGAGAGCCTTGTTCGAGTGGTTGACGTAGGCGTGAGCGTAGCGAATCTTCTCCTCGTGCATTCCCGAAGCGAAGAAGAGGGCCAACGTGATGAAGACAACTGCAACGGCCGCCTGCAGGCCGCGCAACAGGACCAGGTTCTGGCGGGTGAGCGACCACAGCGTAGCATGCGGCTTACCTCTGGCGGCATGACCACCAAGCGGTACGCCATGACGACGAGTGCAACAATGAACGAGTACAGAAACACTGGACGCGTCAGCACAATCAGCCACACTTTGGCGGCGGCATCGGCATCGGCGGCGGGGACAAGAGACATGGCCACACCATGGCTCGCACCTTCGGTGCCGGGTATCCTTCCTGCGGGTAGCCATGTTCCTAGCAGCACCGTGCTGTCGCGCGCACGCAGCGACTCACCACTGTATCTCCTCCGTCTCCTCCTGAGCATCTCTGCGTTCATCTTGAGGCGCTCCTCAAACAGCAAGAGGTCGCGGTAGGTGGACGTGTCCGGCGCGGGGTTGTATGGGGCAGTCGGCGCAGGCCGCCTGGGCAGTGGGGTGGAGCTGCCGCTTGCATGGATGCTGCCAGATGAGGATGACCGAGAGTGGCCCCCCGCTGGTGGGGTTGCCGGACGGGCGGACATGGACTGGGACGGGGTCGACGACGACGACGATGATGGATGTTGGTTGAAATGCAAAGAATGGATCGACGGCCCAAGAGACGACGAATGTTGCCCCACACGGCCACACGATGACGGGGGCGGTGGCACCATCCCGTTCTGCACCCGCCAGGATACCGTTTGGGGTTGGGGAAACATGCATGGGGGGGAATCTCTACAGCGACCAAGTACTATAATGCACAAACTCTCTAGATGCGCCAGACGAGCGACACACCCTCGTCACCACCAGACACAATCGCCTGCGCAGCAGGCAGGCCGTTGGAGGAAGGCTCGGCGCCGGGGGCAGGAGCAACAGCGACGCCGTTGACAACGCCGCCGTGGCCCTTGTGCTCGGCAATCAGAGCACCAGTGCGCACGTCCCAGGTCTTGAGAGTGCGGTCCGCGCTCGCCGAGGTGACGAGGTAGTGCGCAGGCGCGGGGTGCACGGCCAGCGAGGTGATGGGTTCCTGCAATGTCAGTTCAGGCTCTGGCCGCTTGTATAGGTACTCACATCGTGCTTGAGCTCGGCGCGCACCTTGCTGGTAGCGACGTCCCAGACAAAGCCCTTGCCGTCGGTACCACCCGAGACGAGGACGACACCCTTACCACCGCCGGCGCCGCCGAGGACGTCGACAAAGGCGAGGGCCTCGACACTCTCACCCTCGGCGTGACCCTCAAACTTGCTCACGACCTCACCCTTGGGGAGGGAGACGACCTTGACCTGGCCCGAGGCCGAGCCGACGGCGGCGAGGTTGCCTGCAGGGGCGACGGCCAAGGCGGTGATACCGTGCTCGGCGGGGTCGAGCTCGGGGAAGTTGGGGGGGCAGAAGACCGAGGTCTTGAACATGGGCACCGAGGTCGAGGGGTTCCAGAGGATGAGGGTACTGTCGAGCGAAGCAGTGAGAATCTGGCGACCGGCGGGAGGGGGGAAGACACCGGCGGTAACGGGGAAGGTGTGGCCCGAGAGGACGGTCATGACATCGCCAGAGGGCATCTGCCAGAGCCAAACACTCGAGTCCTCGCAACCAGCAGCAAGCACGGGGCCGCGGGGGTGCCAGTGCACCCACTGCACCTCGCTTCCGGCATCCACCTCGACGGCGAGGGGCCACTCGGTCCAGCTCTCAGCGTTGCCGCGCTTGTACACGCGGACCTTGCCGTCCATGCCACCAGTAGCAACCATGTTGCCATCGTGGCTCCACTCGGCAGCGACAACCGAGTCGGTGTGGCCGGCCAGGGGGATGGGTGTGAACGAGTCCGAGTTGATCTCACTGCCCGAAGCGGCGGGGACAGGCGAGAAGATGAAGGCCATGTCGTCCTCGCCACCGCTCACGGCTAGAGGGGGGTTGGGGAACGCCGGGTGCAGGTGAAGAGCAAAGATGGACTGTCCAGACTCGTGCGCGGCTGGTGTTGTTTGTCAGCAAACGCGCGTTCGTGCAAGCTATCTGTACGGTCGCACTCACAGCTACCACCCCAGCTGTTGTCTTCAATCTCAATCTGCTCCACCTCCTCCATGTCCTCGTCGTCGGGGCCAGGGCCGCCAATGACAATCTCGCCATCGTACCCGGCGAGGTCGTCGTCGTCGTCCATCGGCTCGCCGGCGGGTCCGTCATCCTCCACAATCTCAACGACATCCTCGTCACGGAGCTCGACGTCATCGCCGGCGACCTCGTGGTCGTGGTCGTGGTCGTGATCGTGCTCTGCCGACATCCTGGTGTAGTTCAATTAGAAAGATGGATGGGAAGAGAGAACAAGATTAACCTCCACTTGGAAATTTGCGTCACCGCCCAAAACCGATCGACCATGGGTGGAGGCCGCCCACGGCGTGGGCAGCGATGATTCAGCCAACCGGCCCATCCATGCAGATTGATGACCAACGCTGTCATTGTTCATTGTACAAGCACGTCTTGATGAGGGCAGTAACCGTACCCTCTTCACCAGTGTCCCGGTCGCTTTTTGGGGTGCATGACGTTAGAAATACAATGTATTTGTCGTCCTCCCAGACGGAACATTCCACGGTCGTGTGTGGGCGTCATACCCAACTGCATGTGTCCCTCACTCTATCCTAAACGTGCGTGCACAGCTGCCCTGCTCCTCTGCCCTGCAGCTTCTGCCGCATCCGTACGCTCCACGCGGTCCACCATGCCGTCCAGTTCGGCCTTTCGGCGCTCCAGCTGCGCATACTCGACGTCCAGTGCGACGCCGATGGTCCTCTGCCAGCCTTGGTGCCGCTCACACCTCCTCCTTGCCGCACACGTCTCTTCCTCTCCAGCCTCCTCGACGCCGCCTGCGGCCCACTCGGCCACGGGTCCGTCATCCCAGAGGAGCCGGTGGTCGAATCCACACGGCCTCTCAGCGGCAGCAGCCGCCTCGCCGTCGCGACGCTTGTTCTTGCTGCTCTTTTTCTTGGGGGCCGGGGCGGATCCCTCGGGAAGAGGGGCTGGGGCGAGAGCCTCCCATCTCTCAACTGCACGCGCAAGAAGGGCCTGGCGCTGGGCAACAACCTGGGCGGCACGAGCAACGTCCTCGGCCTGAGCCTCCAGACTGGCGAGGAGGGCTGCCGCCCCGCCAGTCTCGGGGAGGTGTGCGGCCGGCGAGCTGCCGGCGGCGTGGGTCTCGATGGCGACGCTGGGTGTAGGGGACGGGTAAGCTGCCAGAGCATTTGTGAGGTTCTCTTGTCCAGCCTTGTCGATGGACGCGGCAACGCCTTGAGCATGTTGGAACGCACACCGTGACGAGCAGAACCTGGGCGTGTCAGTTATCAGAGCAAACAATGTCTGCGTCCCGTTTTTTCTGCACTCACTTGGACTCTGGCCTGGCTGTACGCTCACAGCCGCCGCGCTTACACACGCGCTTGTAGACGGTGATCTTGCCTGTCCGCTCCTCGCACGGTGGACAGACGTACACGTCGAGCAGGTCGACGTCGTTCTCCGCGATGCCCATGCAGGAAGGGTGGAACCAGTTGTCGCACACCTCGCAGCCAATGTATGTCTCGTCGTCCTCGTTGGCGCCCTTGCACACGCAATACTGGTCGTCGTCGTCTCCTGCCGCGCCAGAACGGGGAGTACCGGGCCCAGTAGACGCGGAACGCGCGCGCTCGGCCTTGAGCTCGTCGAGCTGGAACTAGTTCAGCCACTTGCACACACACACACATCAACTCACCTTGCTTCTTGGCCGCTTCTTGTCCTTGCTCTCACTCTTCTCGGACTTGTCCGGCACCGATGCAGGCGACTCGGCGGCCAACGCAGCAGCAGCAGCCTCAGCAGCAGCGGCCGCGATCTTCTCTGCCTTTTTGCGCTCGCGACGCTGCTTGTCAAGCGCGGCTTTACGCAGACGCCTCTCGAGCGCCTTCTTGTCCTCTGCGCTCTTCTTGTCCGGACTAGCCGCAGCAGAGGCGGATGCGCTGGCGGTAGCACTGGCGGGTGTAGAGGATGCTGGGGGTGCACTGCGGGTGGAATCGATTTCACTCTCGCCGTCGCGGTCGTGGTCGATGTCAACGTGTGGGTGTTGGTCGGACACGGTGGTCATGCTGTCTCGCGCCAAGGCTGGAGTCACTGATGGGACCTGTGTTCCTATAGAAGCAGTCACCCCATCACCGCCAGCTTGTTCAAGATCCATTGCCTCGGTCTTGACACGCTTGGCGTCTGGGAGGGGCGTGTCATCGTCGGCGGAGCGGGGGTGCTTGTCGATTAAAGGCGCGTCGGCGACGATATGCGGGGATGCAGCAGGCTTGGATGGGACCGCCGATGCGGCGCCGGCCTCCGGTGTGCTCATGCTGTAACGTGCAACGCGTCGAGGGTGTGGGGGTTGTAGAAGTCACAGATGGGATGACGATGGAGTGTTGTTATGATCAGACCCGCGAAACGCGACAATCTCAGTCGTCGTCAAAAGAGTGGAGGTCTCTCCATCTTGGGATGTCCCGCCGTTGTCATTGTCGTCATCATCCATTCAATCCCACGTTTGTGCTTTCCACAACCATGTCCTCTACACCAGAGCCACAGGAGCCAACACCTCTGACAGACCCGCATGGTTACTTTGCGCTGTTCAAGTTCAACCTCCGCCTGCCGCGGTGTCCGCGTACGGGGTTGAGCGTGAGCTATGCCGATATCGGCGACCCAAACGGCGTGCCCGTCCTCTTCGTACCCCCATCCGGTTGCACGCGCTGGTTTGGAGCTCCTCAAGACCCCTTGGCTGCTGGGTATGGCCTGCGTCTGATTATTGTGGACAGACCAGGCGTGGGGGCGGTGCCCATGGTGCCGCTCGCTGATCGGATAGAGGTATCGTGCAGTGAGTTCCCCAGCTATTGTTAATTCGTTGCCGGCTGACACTCGTGTAGAGATCATCGTGTCTGTGCTCGAACACCTCAATGTCAAGCCAGCGCACATGATAGCCACCAGCGCTGGTGTCTAGTGGGTATCAAGCACATGGTCGCCTATCTTGCGACTAACACGTTCTCGCAGCTGCGCACTACGCCTCCTCTCCACGTACCCCTCGGCCTTCCTCACTGGTCTCTCGCCCCCTCCAGCGGTCTACTTGATATCCCCTTGGTCCCCACCTTTACCGGCTACAGACCCTCTGGCATATCGGCAACCGCTGGACTGGATTCCCGACGCGTTAATCTCCACCCAGGACAAGACGCTGCCCTACGTCATCCCCGCACTCAAGAATGCAGAAGAGGCGTATGGGACAGCCTCCAAGGCTGTCGGGGAGGCGATGGGCGCTGTAAAGTCTTGGTGGGGCGGGTTGGTCAATGTCAGCGTTGGTGCCGGTATCACGGATCAACAACAACCAACACAACCGACACGGGCCGACGATAATACCCAGAATGGTGCAGATCTCGACGGCGTCGACCACTCGTCCAACAACACTACGGCCCGTAGCGAACATGCGGGCCGCGAGACGATCCCCATGCCAGAGGGCGATGCGATCAATGCGGAGGCGGGCACCGATACGGACAACAAGCCTCGTACGCGGCTGTGGGCGCCCAGCGCCAAATACGTGGGTAGCCGGCCTAAAGGCCAGACCAATTGGTCACATGCCCAACTCGTTCGTTCTTGCGCTGATGCTATGATCCCTCTTGCAGCTCACAATGGACTATCTCTACGCCGAGGACTTTCGCGGAATCGGGCAGGAGCACATGCTCTGCCTCAACCGTGGGAGCCACACCGGGCCGGAGTGGTTCGTGCGCGAACTGGCTGGTGTGGCGGGTGCGGTGCGTGCGGCGCAAACGGGCGGCGGACGTCCCAGGTCCCCTTCCAGCACCGATTCCGACGCCGAGGGGAATAAGCGCGGTGCTAGGCAACGAGGTGCAAGGGATGGCGACGGTGAAGGGGGAAGGGAACGCACCGACAGTCCGAGCTCAAACTCGACAACGATCTCACGTTCCTCGGGTCCTGGGATCGTCCCGGACAAGCTCCCTATTGATGTTTGGTGGGGGGGACAGGATGGTATGGTGCCGCGAAATGGCCAGCGTGAGTTTTAAGTGTGGTGTTTCAGGACTCAATTGTCGGAACACTGACGCCGTGGCACACAGAATGGCTAAGCAAGGCCCTCGCTACGCACCCTCGTGAGATCCAGTTTGCTGCGCATTTTGTGGAAGATGGCGACCACTCAGACCTCATGCTTCGTGCCCAGGGCATTGGTGAGGTCTACACCGCCATTATGGTGCAGGGCGACAGTACAGAGCGTACCAAGGCTGCTGGTACTGAAGAACCGTCCGCCAGTGAGGCGCTTGACGCCTTAGCTGCAAGCTTGTCCATCAATGAGGACGACGGGCAGTAGAAGTGTGACATTGTAGAATTCACGCCTATGTGTAATTGACCATGTACGTCTTTTCTTCTTGCAGTAGACCCCAAAATCAACCAACTGTTTACAACAAAAGTACGACAATGATCACAACGGGGAAGAGAGGGTCTGGCGCCCCTGTTACCATTAGGCGGCATTGTAGTTCTTCCCGGTGGCCATGAGAACGGTGGCGACGGTACATGCCGCTACGGCAATGACGATGGAGAGAACACCAATGGCCATGGTACAGCGGCGCGAGTAGAAGATTTCGGACTGACGCGTCAGATGCGTCGCTATGCAGCGTTGTAGCGGACATGACTCACCTCGCAATACGCCTTCATCTCCTCTTCCTCATCGACGGTCTTGGCCTCAAAGTTGTAGTCGAGGTCTTCAATCCTTCTAAGCCTGACACTGTCAGTGTTCCGACCCTTCCACATTTAACAATGTCCAACTACTCACAGAAACATGCCTGCAATCCAGCAGGGCGGGAAAATGAACCCCAAGTACCACAGCATCTTGACCCACTCGAACGGACCCCCACCGCGCTTGTGAATGTAGATGGGCTGCTCAATAGGCGACTCGTCCCTTTGCAGTGGCAGAGGCGTAGGCGCCGTTGGCGGGAGGGCGTATGCATACTGGTACTGGTACTGGTACCCCGGTGAACGGTTGGTGGTCGAGTTGCCAAACGGCCCCGAGCCCGATGAGGGTGAGCCGCTCACGGCTGTGGGTGAGGTGGTTGGAACGGAATAGTCAGAGACGGCCGACGGTGGTGGGTACGTAGAGTGCATTTGCGGCGGCGGGTACGTAGAGTACGACCGCTGATTGGCGTTTCCTCGTGCGCGGGTCTGGGACGCAAAGGATCGGGTGCGCGAGTGGTGCCTAGAGTGGTGGGACGAGTGCTGGCTCGAGGCAGAAGAGTGTACAACAGCCGTGGAGGGGAGAGGGATGTTGAACGCGGCACCTGGGGAGACTGGCACAATGCTGTCGCGCCCCGAGTAGCTCATGTATGTCTGGTTCTCGTCCGTCGGGTCTGACGACGGGAAAGTAACTGACGACGGGAAAGTGACAATTGCTTCGCTGGCCCTCCGGCCAGGAGATTGGGCCAGATTGTAACCGACCTCTGAGGAGGAATGGCGCAGCTCAGGCATGGGTGGGTCGATGGTGAGGACGTGCCGCGTCGAGTTGGGGATGCTGTCGCCCATGCCCTCTGATGATGAAAACGTGCCACTCATGGGTGTACTGGCTCCGATAGGTCCGAGCGAGTTCATGGAAAGCGCAGACATGGAAGACACGCTTGGGCGTGGGTGGCGCTGTTCCCTCTTACGTGCGTCTTCCAGTAGAGCGACAAGATCGACGTGCAGCATTGATCCCTCAATGTCCATGTCAGATGGCACTGGCTTGCGCCTACTGGTCCTCGTGGATGTCGACGATGAACGGCCGCGGAACTCGGGTGTGTTTGGCGTATGGATAGTGGGGGAGTCTGGAGACGCCGGTCCCATCGACGTCTGGGTGAAAAGGGGAAGGGTGAGGGAGAGCTGGGAGAGACCAGGTTGGCGACGACCCAACTCAGCCGAGGTGGCACATGCCGAGTCGGTCGATGAGCGGCGGCTGGCTTCGAGTTGGATAGGAGGAGGAGGATCAAAGACGTCCTCGTCAGAGTAAAAGGTAGGCTCCCGTTTGATAGAGCGGGGAGGGCGCGAAGGGGTGAAAGAAAAAGAGTCTTTGAGAGGATTAAGAGAGGCGGTAGCGACAGTGTAGAGCGAAGCCATCGAGGTCGACGCGGTGAGAGTAGGTGTGGGGACGGCCATGGTGTCGAGAAGCGGTGGTGGTTATGGTGAGAGGTCCAGCACAACTACATTTCTCGGGGAGAGCCATCTGCGGGTGCGCGGGGGTGTCTGGGTTATGTACGACTCTGCCACTTGGGTGTTTCGTTTACAGACATTGTGACAGATTCCTCGCGCTTGGATGCGCCAGGAGGGTCCTGACTCAGGCCCAGCAGGCGTGGCGTCCCCGCTGGCAGCCGGTGCCCCAGCGGCTCGAGCGGCTCGGTGCGGGGAGCATGCGAGGAAGGAATGCCGCCCAGGTGTGGCAGGCAGTGGCATACACGCGCAGGTGTGGGGTGCGCAGCCGTCTGCACCGTTGCCCGACATGCCAACTCGGTGCACAAAGCAATGCACACGGGCAGAACTCGGCGAGCGCACCGGCGACTTCAAGTTGCCATGGCAAGTTGTTGCTTCTGGGGTAGATGGCGTCGACACCGGCCGCAGTGGCGCAGGACGCCACGTTGCCTGGGTGTAACGACCCGGCATCCCCAGATGAGGTATGTGGGAGACACCTCACTGTGCCGTTTAGCGCACCGACCAGGCGCGAGGCGATGGGCCTGGATCCTGAACCTGGATGGGGTTTTCTTTAAAAAAACGATGTCGCCGCAGTGGCCGCGTGCGGCGCCGTAGACGAGCTACGAGGTACGAGACTGATAGGCAACAAGCGACGGTAGAGCCATGTCTCTGGCACGCGCCGTTTTGCGCGTTTTGGCTGTGGCTTTTGGCCTTCCGCGTTCCTTTTTCCTGTAGCCGAACAGCAGATCTCTACGCTCGTGTATGGTCTTGCCGGGACGCGGAGTGTTCTACTCGGGGAACGACCACCCCGGATGTGGGAGGAGGATGCACACACGACCGGGGCCCTGGAATACAGAGGCGGAGGCCTCACGAGCGGGCTGGCTTCTGGCCTCATCTGCAGGTGGCCGCATGGCTGTCGCGCTGTCTCTCTCTCTCTCGCCCGGCACTTGGGAGAGAGGATGGCGTCCCTGGTGCCGGTGCAGAATGCCTGGTGAAGCCGTGACATGTTTCACGTTAGTAGCTTAGTAGCATGAGCGAGCTCTGCATGGCAACGTCAGAGATCAGACACAAGTGGGAAACGAGGGAGGAGCTCGTTGGATCCATGACGACCAAGTGACACATCGACGCGTGCCTGGTACAAAACGCGGACATTGGGCGTTGTCCATTTAAAATGATGTGTCATTGTAAAGACACTGACGTCTAACATCCACGTGGCAGAGTGTGCGGCGGAAACAAATGTATCAACCTGTTGATCCCTTTGCCTGGATGGTCCGAAAGTCGAGACTGCGATCATCAAAGTCGACGACAATATACATATCCCACCCCACACCTACACCATGCCGGCCCCACAGCTCACGCAGCTGCTCTCACAGCTGCGTGCGCCCATCTTCAACACCCTCCCCGTCGTCTCCAACGCCCGCAACGGCGCAAAATACCTCAAGCGACGACTCCGCGGCCCCTCCATTATCAACTATGCCCCGCAGCTGAGCATGCCCTCGATCAAGTTTATCACCTCGAACAAGGCCATGAACCCCTACGCGGGCTGGGAAGGAAACGGACTCAACTCGAGCTACATGCTCCCCAAGGACAAGCTTGTTCCCGAGGGCTGCGTGGAGATTGAGCGCAGTGTCAAGCCTGGACACAACGCGCGTGACCCCAACGCTGCCCGTGCTCCCTGGCTTGTCAACCCCAGGGAGGAGGAGCGTTTCGCCGACGTGGCGAGGAAGAGGAAGCTTGGAAAGGGCCCCCCCAAGAAGGGTAAGTGGGAGAGTGGTGGTGTAGCAGTGGAGAAAGGACGGCTAGGCAAAGAGACGAGGCAGGACATGGGAGAGCCGATGGCGATCCCTCCACCGCCTAGTTGCGCGCTAGCTTATCTGGTGTTCTTGCAGCACCACAGCAAAAATGACACATAGCTAACGTTACAGGCCAAGGAAAGCGTGCCATGCTCGGCAAGGGCAAGAAGAAGAAGTAGAGATGAGGGCAACGGGCCAGGCAGCGGTGAGCTTTGGCCCGGGGACTTCTTTACTGTCGAGTCGTAGCTGACAATATACAGGCAGGAGCATGCCACCGCATAGCATTATACCATCATGCATTGATACAGTTCACGAAAGAGATGGGCCGAGCAGGCCAAAGCTTTTGGAGGAGAGGGACGGCGTCCCGGTTGGGAAGATCCTCTGCAAGGAGGACCGAATGCTGCACCCAGGTGACACACGTTCGCGGACTGGACAGTTGGGAGAAGGCGCGCAGCAGCACTCGGATCGGAGAGGTTCACATCCAATGTGGCCAGCTTGGAAGGGCCCGAATGTCTTGTCCCAGGGGGGCAGCGGGAGGAACATGGTGGACATGGTTGTAACCGCCCGAGAATGACCTATCGAGTCGTTGAGGTATCAGGGAAGTGTGCGGTCAAACAGACCTGGCTATCATATTAGTATCAGTGTGCGGCCAGAGAACCAGAGAGGTGAAGCTTGCATCTTGTCCAGAGCGTCGTATAGGAGGGAGGAGGGAGGAGGGAGTCAGACCAGTTCAGAGTTTTGGGTAGACGAAAGTGAACACCCGTCCAGGCCTACACGGCTGCCCGATCGCCGTTATGCGACAACGCAGATGCATCGTGGCCATGAGAATATCTACGTATGCAGGTTCCATGTCGTGCTAGACAAGTCAGAGTCTCGTCCAGATGCAAAATGATGCAGCAGCCATGCCACCCAACCCGTCTCGACCCCCCGCCACACGCCACACGTGACAGGCGACCTCCACCTCAGCGTCACCGTTTCAGCACATCCACACCCGTCTGCTGTCTCCATTCCATCCAACTCTTCCCGTCCAACTAGCCCAACATGTCGGGCACAACCTACACCCTCACACCTACAGCATACGCGCTCCCCATACTCCACGCAGCAGCCCACACTAGCTCCACTGTCACCGGCCTCCTGCTCAGCAGCAACACCACCTCAACCAACATGGAGATCACCGACGCGTACCCTTTGGTGCACCGCTACACCTCCCTTTCCTCCACTGCCGAGCTGGGACTGGACCTCGCGCGTGCCAAGGCTGCCACTGATGGCAAGCGCATTGTCGGCGTCTATGTCGCACCTGCAGAGGGCGCGGAGCTGGGTCGGGCTGGGGAGGCTATCTTGGTTGCGCTGAGGAGCGACTTTGCTGGCGCTATTGGCATTGTGGTGAGTGGCTCGCTCCTGGATTTGATGGCTAGAATACGACACGTGCACAGCTGCAATATTTGTGTTACGGCGTGCCGGTAAGCTGACAAGCAATCTAGCTCGACAACGACAAGCTCGCTACGGGGGAGCCAGCGTACAACCCCACTGCCGGCGCAACCGTTGCCTTCCCGCCCAGTGCTGTCGTTGCTGGGACCCTCAAGCTCGTCAAGAGCGGCGTGCACCAGGCTGTCCGTGATCTGGATGACCACCTCGATGACGCGTAAGTAGCCCGTTGGCTGAGACCGTGGCTCGGATCGTCGACTTGCTGCTGACGTGCATAGGCGTGCAGACTGGCTCGGTAACGTCGAGGCGCACAAGGCGATTGCCGCAATGGCATAGATGGGCAGCCGATGCGGTGTTAATGAGAGACAAGTGTAATGGACTTGAAGGCGGGGCATGCAGATATACCCTACAGGCCGGTTGACCGGCGCAGCGCGGTACACTGGTTCCCACATTTGTGTGGACGCCTTGTCCACGGCTCGAACCTCTTGGACTACCCTTACCGACCAATGTAGCCGTCACTGTGTTGACTATACTGACCAGATGGTTAACCGGCTTTGGCTGAACTCATGACGACCCTTGATTGACCGCTGGTGCTCTCGGACCGGTATGCCCATGTTGTTCAGTCGTACAAGCCGACTCCGCCGCACAGCCTTGGGTCAACAGGCAGAAATCCTCTCTTGAGTAGGGTGTATTCTCTCCCCTGTTGCCCTGGACCACCCCTGCGGTCCATATGTGCGAGCACGCGCAAACAGTAGTCGCGAAGCGCTTGACCGGGTATCCTCGTAATCACGCGATCCGTTGTTATGTCGCGCAGCTTTCCAGCTACTCGTGTACGTGTATTGTGTGCGCAGCGTCGGCCCCTCATCACAACGGCCTGGTAGCGTTCGACTCCGAACCGATGCGGTGATGCTTTGCGAGGTTGACTGGGGGGGAGGCTTTGACTGTGTGCGGCAGTTGTGGTCGTTGACCTTACCCGAGTTACAAAAAGGGACTTTTTGTCTTGATTTAGAATTTGGAATACTCTGCTTAGGTCAATGGGGAGCTGCTTGGCCTTGACCTCAATGTAGACGGAAACCCCAGAGGTCCATAAGAGACGGTCGATGGTTGGTAGCACTTGGGGCGCCCGTTCGACCTCAGTGACGTCGCCGTGCCTGGCTCGTTGTTTTGCGCCGTCAGTCATGTTCAACTTTTGACAACTAACACACCATCTGCCCCCATCTGTCGCTGGTCACCACTCGTCCTCACCATCCATCCCCCCCCATCTACATGCGCGCACTTTTTGCGGGGCCTTCGCGGTCAGGCCTCTTATGGCCAGTGCGAGTGCGCACATCTCCTCTCCTAACTCGGCCTCCCTACTCCTCGTCGTTTAGCACCTCGAGAGTGACCGCACGGCGCTCCCACCTCAACGCACTCGATTCGGAAGCGCCTGTCTGCAACCAAACTGTGACAATCTTGGACAAGTTCGCGAAACTACATCCCAAGAGGCAGGTCGTCACTTGGTATGCTGGTGACATCTTTCCTGGCGAGGTCTCCCTTTACCGGTCCCCCCGCAAGGATAAAACCACGACAATGGAACTACCCGACGCAGAAGACAAGATCGACCAGTGGCTCGATACGCCCGAGATGCGAGCATTAAACCGTCGACATTCCAAAGAAATCTTTAGTACGATGCGTAGGCGCATTAAGGCCTACCGCAAGTCAAAGAAAGGACCGGACCTGGACGTTGAGCCGATCAATGTCATTGGTGACAATCACGACGACGTCCTCGGCCGTATAAAGGGGTACCTGGATGAGAAGAAGACAACAAGTGCACTTAGCCTGGCTCACCTGTATCTGAATGGTATTTGGGAAAACGCGCCAAGGGTGGAGCCTGATACAGAGGATACACCAGCTGTGGATCCTCCACGATATCCCGAGTCAACAGGCCGAGAGGCAGCAGCCGGTCGTCCGCGTCCGCCCGCCGCTCCCCACCCACGTCGCCATATCAAACCAGTATTGTGGTTGAAGTCTGAAACCATATTTCACCTCTGCGACACATACGATCGAATGATCGGTCTGTTTCTCGACGTTCCCGAACAAGGAGGCTTTGTCGCCGTCCGTTCTCTCCTCGAGCGCCAGCATAAGGAAGGCTTTCCAGTCACGCACCCCATGGCCCTCACTATCTTCCGCTTGGAGACTCTCCCAGTTCCTCTTGAAATCGCTTTGGGACTTCTCCCACCGATGGATCCCGAGCTGTTGGGTCTGGCACTGCAGGCAGTTGTTCGCGAAAAGCGCCCCACCCCAACCTTGGTTCGCGATGCGATTATTGGGTGCCTGCAGGCAGGCGACGAGCCGACTGAAAAGGAGACGTGGCATTGGGAGTTGTGGGCTGCTCTCCTGGATGCGTATGTTGCCTCGAGCACCTACAAAGACGCTCTCGAGACCCTCATGGAGTTTGTCCAGATCGTCAAAACAACCAAGGCCGAGGCTCTCGAGAACGACCAGTGCTGGCCAGACGAGCGACAGGGTCTTATCACCAGCATGTACACCAAACTGGTCAAATTCTGGATCAGCTGTTCTACCACTGTCCCGAGCAACCTACCTGAAGGAGCAAAGGTGCCACCCCGAATTCGCCGCGAGGGCAGCATTGTCCCCACCCATCTCTTCATGGATCTTGTCCTGGTTCTGTCCCCGGGACGGAGTGACGACGGGCTCAGCAAGGTTCAGCTCTCACGCGACTTCCTCGTTCATTACATCAACGCGGAGCGAATTGCCGGCAACGTCGATACTGCGATGAGAGGGTGGGAGAAGCTTTCGGGACAGACTTACGAGGAAACCCTCGCTGGTCAGCAACCTCCGTCTGAGCTTGATGACAAGTCATGGGTAGCCTTTCTAAGACTCCTAAAATTAGTCGACCCCCCTCCACCCCCCTCAGTTTACCGTACCCTGGCGACTGTAGTTCCGCCCGCCGCACAGTCCATGCTGCTTTCGGCTGCAGCAGTGTGCAGGGGAGGAGAAGTCGACATGCCGCTCATTATGGTCCTCCTCGCCAACCTTCCGCCCGGTCAACGCGAATTTGATATGGGGGCTGCAGCTCTGATTCGCAGCGCTCGCCTTCAAGGATACTACCCTAGCTTCCCCCCGCCCTACATGACGTCCCCAACCATTTGGCGCAACGCTCCTACACAACACAGCCGGTCGACGACTGTGAGTGAAATGCAGAACACCCCAAAGGTCCACCAGGAATGGATGTGGGTGCGACGATGCATTACCAGTCACACCGTCACACGTCCACCCCGACTCCCACTCTCATTCGTGAGGAAACTTCAGAAGGTTGAGAACCCGAAAGCAGGCCCAATGTTGGAAGTCTCATTCATCAAGAGCACGGCGGAGGCGCCCAAATATGGCATTGCCCAAGAATTTTGCATCGCCCACGTGGCCGACTACACGCGCGCTCTGTTGCGCGTCATTGCGGACTTGGTGGCCCAGGCGAAGCGCGTGGAGGATTATGACGCGGGCAGGCAACCGAAGAGTCGCGTAACCTGCGTCCACAACGTTCTTTCCACAATCTTGGTACGCCAGCACGATGGAGGACCGCCCGCAAGCGTGGCGGATAAGTTCTGTGCAGTCATCTACCCAACTGAACAGATCCGCCACCCCACTCCACCCGCGGATAGCCCCACTCCACCAGCAGACAGCTCCACTTCACCAGCAGACAGCTCCACTCTACCAGCAGACAGCTCCACTTTACCAGCAGACAGCTCCACTTCACCAGCAGACAGCTCCACTTCACCAGCAGACATCTCCACTCCACCAGCAGACATCTCATCTCCACTCCACGGGTCGATGGCCCCACTCCGCAGTAGAATCGTAACACACAGACCAAAGTAGAAGATTTGTTGTAGGCATGGCCGTTTTTGCATTACTCTTGCGGGCCTGACCATTGCTCTATTCTAACGCGATACAAACTATCAGGGGTTGTTTGTTCTTTCAAGCTAACCATCCAAGAGTTCTAATGGTACTACATACGCGGAGGGGGGGAAGGCATGCGAGGTGCGAGGCAGGTAGGCTGTTTCAGTGGTGGTAAACACCCATTGGGACAGTGGGGACAGGGGTGAAGACGGGGGTAGCCATACCCATGCCCGTCTGCATCGTCTGCGGGATGGACCCGGCGCCCGAAGGCGTGCGAACGGGGGGCATGACGTCGTAGCCGTCGCCGAGACCCCACCATACCGTGGGCTCGTAGAAGGTCTGGAGACGGGCCCAGAGCTCCGTGGTGGAGAGGGGTTCCGAGTCGTCCCCGACGCCCGGTGTCGCTGCCTGCATCATCATGCTATTGTCGGGCATGGGAGGGGTCGGGAGCGAGCTCTGGAAACGACCTGGAGTTGGAGCCGAGCGCGCTGGCGCCGGCGTCTGCTGAGGCGGGAGCACCATGTAGTTGGACATGGTGTTCCAGTCGACGTTGGAGCCCACCGACGCGTCGGGAGGTGTGGTCGTCCAGTCCACAGGTGAGAGGGAGCCTCCAGATCCGACGGCCGATCCAGAGCTGCCACTGTTCTGGCGAGGCGTCTGCGAGCCAGCAGCGACGGGGCGAAGACCAGCGGCCTGACTGGGCTGAGTCGGGACGGGCGTGGGCATCGAAGGTGCGACGAACGGGAACGGCGCCATACTCTCGGTGGACATGAGACCAGGAGGACCATAGTTGGAGACCTCGCCGCCGAGAAGACCAAACAACATGTCCTCGGACTGCGTGTGGATACACACTGCGCTCGCGTCCTGTCCAACAAGGTGAGGGTAGCGGCCAGCAACCATGCCCTGGAGGGCAGGCATGAGACACGAAATGCTGTTGGCCCTGTCCGAGCTGACACCCTCGATAAGCTGACGAACCTCCTCGAGGTCGTGGTACGCCTGCGCGAGGAAAGATGGGTCCATGTGGGGCGAGCACCAGACAGCAAGGGCAGACATTGACACCGCAGCAGAGAAGATCTGAACCCAGGTGGTCCACGTGCGTCCAGCAAGACGAGGCTGGCGGCGAGAAAAGTACTTGCCCGCGGTAATGAGGTGACGGCAAGTCTCCATCGTGGTCGTCGCGACCTTGTGGTCCCAAGCGGAGAACTTGACGTCGGGGTTGGAACGCATGCGGCCAACAAGACGGCGCAGCGCCGGGCGGTAAAGGAACACTTGAGGGCAGTCAGCAATGAAATTTATATTGGTTTTTCTCGAATTTCACCAGCACTCACAGAGGCACTTGTAATAGCAAGTCGAGTTGGCGGTGTTTGCCAGGTCCAAGGGCTCCATTGAAGTGAGATCGACACGAGGCTCAGGCATGGGAGTGTTGACAAGGGCCGGGCAGTGCTCAGAGGGAACACGGCTGGGGTTAAACTTCATGTGTTCCTCCTCACAAGCGCGGATCTGCTCGGGGCTGGCCGGGTTAGAGTCGGGACGGAGACCCAGGTCAAGGACGTTGTAGTTGACGCGGCGCATGTACTCGTAACGCGTGGTGAGGCGTGTCGACACATTTGGGTAGCGGCACTCGATGTTCTCGATAGGGATAGCAGTGCGTTGACCATGGTTGATGGACATGAGACCATCGCAGACAAACGACTCCCAGAAGACGCGGCGGCGGAACTCCGCCTCCCCAAACTCGATCAAAGGGTGCGGCTCCTTGTGCATGCCGAGCTGCTGAACAGCGGTGGTCATGCGGCGCACCCAATAAAAGTTGGAGGCGCTCGCCCCCTTCCATCCAAAGCCCACAAAGTAGGTGATGAGGGTGAGAGCCTGCACACCGGCAACCGATGCGGCCCAGCCAAACCGAGTGTCGAAGCACCGTTGGACCGCGTCCCAGTACATCGCAACCTTGGGGTCCTCGGTCTCGCGAGTAAGGTCGAAGAAGCTATCCATCATGAGCACAATGAGCACGATGGACAGCTTGTGTGGCGAAATGGGGTTGGCTTGAGTTGGACTGTAGACGGCCGGCTCGTAAACGGTCTCAAACTCGTCGCGCGTGAGAATGTGCTGGTACCATCCACTCTGGACCCAGAAGCGTGCGGCATGGCGTCCGGTCTCCTCGCGAGGGGGCAATACAGACATGATCTCGGCAAGGCGGATGGCATTGGCGGGACGGTTCTGGCCCTGGTCGGGAGTAAGAAGAAATTGGGCAGGGGTCGAGTTCTCGCCGATCCAGTCGCTCTCGCGAGCCATAATCTCGTCGGAGAGCAAGAGAGCATCGACTGTGAGACGGCCACCGGACGCAACTCTGGATGGTGTGAACGAGTATGTGCCCGGAGACGACGAACGACGGCCACCCTCCATCTTCAACTCAGTGAATGGCGGCGAGTCGGTGCGCGAAATAAGGGGTGGGGTCTTGGACGGCAAGTTCGCGAACCCGCCATCAAGGTACTGGGGTGCCAAGAGCGGATGGGCCTCAGTGTCGACCTTTGAGTGCGCTTGGAAGAGAGCAGCTTCGAGCTGGGCAATCTGCGAGAACCTGTTAGTGTCACGAGCGGTTTACGGCGGGGCCAGGTTCTGGACATGCTGTTGCTGTGTCCCTGCCCACCGACTATCACTGTGACTTACGCGGTCGTGGAGCTTCTCGGTGGACGCAAGCACAAGTCGCTTACCCTGCATGCAACTCAAATCACCGTCGGGGCAGACAACAGCACACCCGCGCCTGCGGCAGTTGGAGCATGGGAAAACACGGTCGCATTTGGCCTTGAGCCGGCGGCACTCGGCGCACGACTTGCGCGTGTCCTTTGCTGGCTTGTCGTCTTTGCGGAGCTTCTTTTGAGTAGTCGGCGTCACTCGAGGGCTGTGCTCGTCGCGGCGCTTGATGGTGCTGCCGAGCATGTGGGAAACGTGCGGCAGTGCAAGCCCAAGACCGGACAGTGCCATGCTGGCCTCAACCTCCGAGCCCTCGCTGGACTTGCGCTGAGGGGAGTCGGTGGGAATTGGGGTCAAGTGCCGGTACGATGCGTACTGGGCTTGGGCGTGAGCTGCTGCTTGCGCGTGGGCTTGAGCTGCCTGGACGGCCTGAACGGCCTGAGCCTGCGCGTGGGCGACCTGGGCGTGGGTGTTCCAGTCGTCGGCAGCTCCCAGTGGAAGTGGGCTGGTGCTGTGGAGTGGGGTGGGAGTGCGCCGGGGATGCTGCGAGACCTCAAAGTGGTGTACGGGCTGGACCCCGCCGTACATGTCGGTGTCGGGCCCAACGAAGCCGTGTACTTGCTCACCCGCAAGCATCAATCTGGCCTCTGATACTCAACGGTGCTGCTGACTAAGATGGGGCTTGGGCGATGGGAGTCGTCGAAGCCGATGACTGTGCGAACCAAGGAGCTACTGTGGGTCGAAAGTGGCTGAGAGTTGACGCAGTGGGCTGTGGTACCAAGTCGTGGTGTCACAGGTGATGTACTCGGGTGAGTGAATCGAACAGGTTTGGTGGTGTGGTGATGTGGTGAGCTTGTTCTGGGCGTTTCTGGGACTGGTTTTAAGACGACGCAAGCCAGATAGATAAATGGTCCATCCACTTCAGCTGACCGGTCGTTCCGGAACAGGCGCGGGAGTTGCTCGCCATCCGGCCCCACATGGTTTACGTTGCATTGTAACAGGGCGCGTCTCAGAACGCACGGTCGTACCGTCGTAGAACTTACCGTCTACGACAGCTGTGCGGACAAGATGTCGGTCTGCACCAGAGCCGTAGACGCGCGCTTGTCGGGGGGCTCAAAGACCAAGGACGGACGTTGCAGATGCGCCGGCGGGAGGTGGGGGACAAACGCCGTAGACATCGACGTGGGCTCAGCAGAGACAGAGTGTATGGGTGGCACCAGGCCCAAGGATGGTGCCAGGGAGGACTTGATTGACGGGGCAGTGTCGTGCGGTGCTTGTGCTGTACCAGCAGCCAGTAGGTTGCGGTGGTTGCGGTGCGTCGCGGGTTGTCGTGACGAGACCCGCTGAACCTTCGAGCAGGGGGCTCGGCCGCAAGCAGGGTGTGTGGGGCAACCGTTGGGCCGCGGGTTTCGCACGTACGAGCCTGTCGTCCGCTGGGCATGCTTACAGCGGTGCGGCCTGGACAAGTCCCTAGGCACCAAACGTTGAGTTCACGTTACAGAGAGACATTCACTGACCTTGGGCCGGAAACGCCAAGGGAAATGAGGCCGGGGGGGACGAAGGGAGGAAGAGAACGGCGGCAGAGGTTGTGCAAGTTTGATACGCCCAGCGGGCTGGCCAGGTTTGGCTATCTGCGGACACGGGAACATGGGGGAGACCCGGAAAGGTGGAGAAGTCCCCGACAGAGGAACCAACAAAGGGTGTGTGAAGGTGCGGCGTACTCGTGGAGGACACGCCCCCCCAAGGCGGGGTAACGACATGGGGTGGTCATGGCTTTGGTTTGAGAATGCGGACTGCGCGAGCACTACCAGGAGCACCTCTGGTCCTCTGAACCCACAGCCATACAAATGAACCAAAGGAAACTGAAGCAACCCTTTGGGCAATGCTGATGTAGAGCACCACGATAAGGCGACAATGTGGCACGCTGTCAGGTGACAACGTCCAGCGGTTAATTCTATTCCCAGATCCCACTGGTGGTGTTTGTGCGTGGGATCCAAGACTCGTGTGTGCGGCTGTCCATTTTGCAACACTTGCCGCAACTCGCGGCACTTGTACGGAGCTCGTACGGCGCTCGCTGTGGAATGATGTCTCACTTGCAAAAGCAAAAAGGAGACGGACATTTGGCGTCTCGGCGGCTCTCGTTTGGACCCTGCAGATCACTTCTGGATCACGGATCGGCCACAGATCCACAGATCTCAGGCCCAAAAGCCCAAGCCACGGTTTCGGCTCACGTACATAACAACTGGCACGAGGCCAAGAGAGACGGATGGCGGCACAAGCATCTGGGCTGGTGTCTGGCTCCCTCCCGCTATCTACATACATACTCCTGCTTCACTCACTATCTCTCTGTCTCTCTCTCTGTGTTGCGCTCTTACCATGGGACAAGGAGCGACGGGTCTAGGGGGACAATTGCAGGGGGCAGGCTCCCCTGCCGGACGGTACTGGAAGTGATGCGTACTACCGGACACTCAATGGCTGGAAGTGCGGAACAGGCTGCACAACCGGGACCATGGCAGGCTCAGAACTACGGGAATATGGGGCGAGGCCGCGTCGTACAAAGACTGTTGCGATTGCCGCCTCTCCCTCACTGCTCCGGCTGCCGCCCGTGCCCGTTTCCTGCCCCCCTGTGGCCCCGAGTTGTGGTTTGTTCGGGTTGGATTCCGGACAAAAAACCGCTCAAACTATTGAAGCAGCTGGTGCTTAGAATGGAGTGGACTTTCCGGAAACCGCAGAAACCGAACAAGCTTGTGGGCGGACTTGAACCAGAGCCGAATAGCCAAATTCTACAGTTGGGGAAACTGGTAAAACAGCCGTGGGGACTGAACTGGAGTGTCCCTCGATCCTGGCCGAATGGTCGCCAGGTAGCCACTTGGCATTGGTTGCCTCTAAACGCGAACATGCATGCAGTACAGTACATCTTGGCACACAGTTTGTACAGTTTGTTGGGTGTGTTTAATATTGCTGTGCCGATCATGCCTCATCCGATCGTCTAAAGGCCGTGCACGGCGCCGTTTAATGGTCCCCAGGGGTAATTCCAAGATCTTTCCAGTTGATCGTCGTTCGTCATGCTGGCACAACGGACTTGTTCCATTGGACAGACGCGTGATGGCGACAGACTTGGTGCCTCCAACGCGGGTTCGGTGCCGTGTATGTAACTTGCACAGTCGCAGACACTGCTTTCATGTGTCTCAGGTTCTTATGCCACCCCCTCGGTGCTGGTGCTTCCCGAGAGTGGAAACAGTGCTCGAAACAATGCTCCTTGACCTCGCAGTCTGGTGGCAGGCCCGCCCAGCGTAGCTCTCTCAGTCACTTTTTTTGCAACACATATCTTCCAGGGCTGGGCACCACATGGCAGTACCATTGACGCCGAATGTCCCAGACGGTTGCCTGGCAGGACGGATACGGGAGTAACGGGAACCAGCTTTAACCCAAACGGTGCCATGTTGTGACCCCAGAATGTGCCAAGGACAGGATTCAGCTGACGCGATAAGGTCTTCTGTCAGCTTGAATGTGGCAGAGCACAGAACAGTCCAATGTCAGACTGGGGGAGCCTCAAGTGCGTTCAGCCGCAACAGGTAAGACTGCGGATGTCAACGTGCAACTGCAAGACAGGCTGTTCGATTTGTTGGGTCAGTGGTGCCACATTAAACGAGACACTGACCGCCATGGCGCGGGGCGTTTGGCAAACCAAGACCATTGCAGTGCACGCCCCGCCCGCGCCCAAAGTGACAATCTTGTTCGGAAGCTGTGAAGTGAACAGGCATTTCTGCGGAGCTTTGCGGTTCGCGGCGAGGCTTGACACATATATGTCTCGGACAAGGAAGTCTGGAAGCAGTGGGGTCTGGAACATGGCGCAAGTCAGACACGCCCAACATCGCGCTCCGGCTCCGTGAAAACGTCGACCGTGTACACATCGGGTCGACGCAAGGATTTGCACGGAAGGATACAATTCACCGTGGCGCACGTTGGTACGCTTCCAGGCCTCTGGACAAGATCCCCCAAACTAGTCCAATCGAGCTTCCAATGGAGGTTGGTTGCAATGGGCCACTCGAATTGCAGGAACCTCGGGACGTCTGGTTGCCCTCCTCAATGTGAGATCTGCGGGTGGCGCAACACTGTGTGCCCCAAGTGACATCCGGGCGTCCGGAAGCAGGCGTCCGGAAGCAGGTGTCCGTCTCAACTCGTCTGTGCAACTTTAGCTTGGGAACGAGGCTTGCTTTTTTATTGTTGTTTTGCAGTACGACGTGTATTAGTGGAGCGCTTGAAGCGGGAATAAGGTGCAGACAGATACAAGCAAAGGAAAGCTGCAAGCTGCATGTGAAGCGCTTCCAAGTGGCGGACGAAAATGCAAGTCACTGCATTGTTCACGTCGTCTGCCGCACTACTGATGACAAGGTTTGAGTCACTTTCGGAAGTCGGGGCTTCTGAGACTACCATTAACCGCGGGCGGCTGTACCCAACGAATATGAACACTGCAAATATTGCGGACTTCTCCCTCTTCTGTTGTCCTGCTAGCTGCTAGCACATTCTTCCTCTCTTCCTTCGCCCACCTCTCCCTGCCCCGGCTGTGGACTCTGTACCCAAATCAATTTGCAAGTCGCCATCTAGGCTTTCCAGGACAACCACGGCGGCCACGGCGGCGGGTGCCTTGCAATGTGCCGCGTGCCGCGTTCCTTTTCTCCAGGCAAAACGTGGGCACTTCCGTTCGCCCGCCCGCCAGCCCTTCGTGAGGAGCGAATTGGCGACGACGTGTGGCTGCAGCACCCACGCAGATACATTCACAATCAGATCCGGCCACACGGAGCTGGCTGGGGAGGGCAAAGAGGAAGGAAGACTCTAATTGATGGAACTGGCTCGCTCCCAGAAGGTTATTCAATAGGCTTCCTGTTCCGGCCTCATTCCCAAGTGGGCCACGAGCGACGGTTTTGTGTGGCTGGTGAATGTGATGTGCAGCAGCCTGAGAAGATCCCGGTCCTTGCACTCAGGACCAGTCCCCAGCAACTACCTCTGATAGTGTGAAGTTGGCGACACAAGTGGCAGAAGAGGCTGTGATGCGACCCCTGTTCAAAGTGGCACTTACGGCACGCCCTCAACTTGTAACCTCCGTATGCTTGTCTGCCAGTGTCGTACGTGTCATGATGATCCTGGAGGGGTAGGCGTTTGGGATACGGACTGGGTCCTGGAACCATGCGGGCTTTACAGCAAGCAACACCAAACTCTCCATCGGAATGCACAGGGAAGATGGAGTGGGTCCGTTGGAGGAGTAAACTAGGACAGTGTTGTCCCTGTCTAGTCGAATGCTTATGCAACGTCTTACGAGAGAAACGTTCCCGATCAGTCAGATCCCTAGCGACGTGGCGATCAATGTGGTCCATGCAGCGAATGGAGTCAACATGGGAGATTGGAGCTTCCATGGTAAGTTGGTACAAATCATAAGGTGAGGGCGGCGTGAATTTTTGGTCTATAACAATGCGAGGACGCGCGGAACAGGGCCCATCAACAGACTGGTTACAAGACTGTGGAAACGTCAGTTGACAGCCTGATGTTGTGACCACGAGGTACGCACTGCTGTTGACGATGTTGGACGCAATAGCGGAACCCTGTGGAGAGCGTCAGCAAGGTGGAAAGCTCCTGAAAGGAAGACGTCAACGTACAAAACCAAAGCCTGCACCAGTGACGGCGGCGTTGCCGAGCTGTGTTGTGTCAGCTATCAAGGCTCCCCGTTGCTGTGGAGAATGAAGCATGTCGGTCAGACTGATTCGGGGTTACAGCGATCAAGGGGACGACGCGTGCCACTTCCAGACATGCAGACACCGAACACGAGCAACGTTACACGGTGTCAACGCGACTTCGGGCCGAGCGCTGTCGGACCGAGCCATCGCTGACAAACGCCAGACTAAAGCGCACGTTTTCCGCTCCGCACCCGCAAGGATCACGGCATATCCCCAAACGCTCGCTAACAGCGCGTGTAGAGCACCATCGCAGGGGGAGGAAGGGCGCGGTCCTTCACAAGGTCAAGAGCCTTTTGCACACCCGTGGCGTGCAAGTTGTGACGCGAAGGACGCGCAATGTGGTGGTGACCTGGATGGGGCCGCTCCGCTGGAACCAACGTATAGCGCTGAGATGCCGAAGGCAGTTCTTCCACAAGGCAAGACAGCCACAGGTGCTGTCGTTCCTGCCACAGCTTGGTGGCAGTTGGTCAGACAAGCATTGTCTCGGCGTTTGAAGTCGAGCGCGCACGCGTCGACTACACTCCCCAGCGAGGTCCAGGATTGGACGGGACGGACGGGACGCCGAGTAATGCTCCATACCTCCAGCGGAGGTCCACAAAAGGACCTCGGAATGAAGATGAAAGCCGAAAAGTCATTGAAACAGGGACGACCCAGAGTGAAAAAGAGTCGGGACTGAGAACCATCGACTGAACCCCAGAATTTGGAAACTGCCCCCACCAGCACGAATGCAAAAAGTACTCACTTTGCCGCCAAGAGCGCCCATCTTGCCCTTCTTGTTTGGATCATCTCCTTGCTGCACCACAACCGTTGTGTTGCCTTGCTGGTGCTGGGGAGGGGTGATTGTGTATGCGGCGGCAGGGGCTTGAAAGTAGGCGGACGCGGAGCCGGCGTCGGTGGGCTGGTACACAGGGGCAACGAGGCGGGTCTCAGTAGCACCGGGAGCACCAGGAGCACCGGGGGCACCGGGGGCACTGGGAGTTAGCAGGTTGTCGTCGAGTGGCGGAGGTAAGAGGATGTGAAAGTAAGGCGGCGCTGCTCCGCTGTGGAGGGAGAAGACTGAAAGACAACTCAAAAGGCAGCCCAGTAGCCACCACAAACGATGTTTCTTCCCCAGCCGGTCGACAACGATCACCAGGTAACCTTGGTGTACCGATCTCGTGTATCAGGCGGGTCTGAACACGCTAAGTACGTAGACAAAGCGCACACGGTCGCCAGGCATCGGTACTCGAGACGAACGGTGCAATGGACTGTTGTCCGACCTTGCCAGTTCGCTGCAGGAAGAAACGTAGGACGCCGACATTACTGTCGTCCACTCGCGCCACAGCGGGGGCCCATAGAGCCAATCTTGCGCACACTCTGTGGGGCTCACACGCTGCTAGCCTGCAGGCCAGCTGGGCAACGCCGAAGATCGCCGTCGCCACCTCTGGCAGAACGATCTCCCAACGTCGGGATCGGCTTCTAGCAGCAGGTTCTCAAGCCACGGCGCCAATGGCCACACCCCATCTCGGCAGGAGCGCCGGCCAGTGTTCACCATTATTACCATAAACGACCCACGCCCCGGACCTCGAGACGGGGAGCACAGAACATGACACTCACAGCTTCTCGACATAGTTGCTGGGGAAGAGACCACCCTTCTCGAGGGGCACGCCGTTACCGCCTGGAATGACACGGCCGCGGTACCACTGCTCGTTGACCTCGTCGTCAATGACGATGACGTCGCCCTGGCGGAAGTGAAGGTCGTCGGCCTCGGTGCCGTTGTAGTCCCAGAGGGCGCGGGCGTGGACCTCGTTGCTGCCGGCGCCATGGCGCGCAGGGAGCGGCGGGGTGGCGCGGACGGGAGCAGCGACGGTAGCAGCAGCGGCGACGGGGACGGGCGTCTGCTGCACCTGGTAGCCTCCGGGAGCTGGGGGCTGGTAGCCGGCTCCGCCTCCGCCGATGGAGAGGTTCTGCATCGATCCGGCGAGACCACCGGGGGCGCCATATGCGTTGTGGGTCATGTTGGCGGCCGGGGCCACAGGGGTGGCACCGGCGCTGAGCTGGGGGAAGGTGTCGTAGGCGTTGGGCAGGTGCTGGCGAATGGCCGCGGCGTCAGCGGCGTTGATGAGCTGGAGGCTCTCCATGAGGGCGACGCTGGCAAGCGTCTGGGACACGAGGTGCTGCGCGAGGGCCTGGGTTGGCGGCTGGGAGGCCATGGTGACTGATTTTGCTTGGAGGATTAAACAAAGCAAAGAACAGAGAGTGATAAATGTTGGGACGACACGGGAAACGCATGTCTCGGACGTCACAGGCGGTGTCGACGTCAGTTGGGTGGCAATTCGCGGCCGCCGTGGGCGATTTTGCTTCCGACAGCACCGCTTCAGCTTATAGCTTACGGGAGGTCCCACGTTGTGACGACAACCATCCATCAGCGATCAGCGATCTAGCACACTCGTGGTGTGCAGGCTGGAACTGTTGTGGGGCCATATCTACTCCTATTTCTAGAGACGCGCTGCGCACTCGGGAACCACGTGGACGACACAGCTTGACAATGCGGTTCCGATGTGGGTGGGTCCTGACTGCCACACCGTCTGCCAGATCTCTGTGGCAATGATACAGAACCATTTGTTTGGCCTGAACATAGAGAACAATGATGTTGTTAACATCTGCTGAAGGACATGAGGCAAGCAAGCCAAAAGCCCATGCAGGCTAGCAAGGCGTTGAACATTGAACATTGTTCGTAAGCTTCTCCAGAAGCCCTCATCACCATGCTTCATTTTCAATTTTCATCAAGCCTTCTTAGTTCAGTGGTTAGAATTTTTCACTAGTAGTGTTCGCAAGAACTTGCTGTGGTATGAAAGGGTCACCCGTTCAATTCGGGTAGAAGGCAGCGATTATTCGTTTTTGTTTTTGTTTTTGCATGTTGTCTACGGCGTCGTCGGCTGAAGCTTTTTGTCCACGCCTGACTGAGCATGAACCTCTTCTTTACTGGCGGAGACGTGCAACGCTCAGTCTCTGACCCCTGCCTTGATATCCATAAATCCAACATACATTCAGAGAGATGGTAGGGGTGGTACAGATTCGGGGTGCTTGCGCCCGGTGGATGTTGGCAGCCGCGGCGGTGAGGGTGGCCAAACCTCGATTCTGCCGAACTGTCAAGCGCCGCATACAGCATATTTGCCGGCATATAGGGAGTAGCGCTGCGCTCTCTAACTTCGGCGTACATGGTCTCCTTGCTCACTTGAAGACGGCACCCGCGAGAGCCTTGGCGCCCTCGCCAGCAGCGTCGTCGACAAGGTTGATAGAACGGAAGTTGACGCCCTCGACAGCGAGACCGTCGAGGCAGAGCTTGCGGTACCCCGGCGAGTTCCACAGGCCGCCGCCGAGGTTGAAGGCCGTACGCTGCGGGTCGACGACAGTACGGTCGCCGAGCGTCTCGAGCGTGAGGTCGATGACGGGCTTGATGGCTGACTGGGCAATCTTGAGCGCGGCGACGTGGGATGCCATTTCCAGGTCGGTCGTGACGGTGACGCCCTGCTCTTCGGGGAAAGCCCACTTGAACACGACGCGAGCAGCGCCCGCCTGGTAGGCGTTGCGCTTGGCCGAAGCCTCGCCCGTGGTCAGGCCGTCCGAAAAGTCGCTCATGAGTGAGACAATACCGATCAACTCAGTCGGGTCGTCGACGGCAAAGTACTCGAGCAGGTCGGTGTACAACGGCCCTCGTGGCGTCGTGGGAGACGAGTAGATGGCCGTGCTGTGTTCACGGTCCCACTGGTGCAGGAGCCAACGAATAGCCAGGCGGCCAATCCAGAATGCAGAACCCTCATCACAGAGCCTTGATTTGTTAGTTGATACTGAGGCACGCTTGCAACTCACATATAGCCCCAGCCTCGTGCCACACCGACGTCCTCGAGTGGCAGACCCTGGTCGAGGGCGTTTTCCTTGCTCGCGGCATTGTCGATTTCGGCCTCACGGCCGTCCCCAGGCGGAGAAGGTGGCAGCTCCTCGCCCTTGCCACGAATACGAATTGTGCGTCCAATCGTCCCGGTGCCACACACAACAGCCACGCAGTGGTCGATGCCACTCTGGTGGAGTGCGGGTGCTGCGAGGAGGTTGACATCTGTGGCACAAGTGTCAGTGAACTGGGATCGCCTAGTCCATGCAACCAAAATACCCACCGTTGGTCATGGAAATCCGCTCAGCCGGCGTCGAGAGCACGTTGCTCACAAAGGGAGTGAAAGCAGCCGCGTCTGCTGGGGTGGTCATGCCGGCCAGCGCGATCCAGCAGTAGGCAAACAGGCTCTCCTTGAGAGGCGGGAGGCGGGAGCGCGGGGTGTTGGCGCCCGAGGGAGCTGGAGACGCGACGCGGCTGCGGAGTCCAGGTGGGAGTTGGGGTTGGAGCATGGGCGCCGACCATTGAGCAGGGAGATACGACGAGGGCAGCTGCAGAAGCGCGCGATACGTCGCCTCCAGAATGCGGTCTGCGGCTGGGATGTGGCCCACCGACTGGCTAATTGGGGCGTCAGTTATGGGGCAAAGCGAATGGTGACGGAGAGGAGGGACTTTGTGGTTGTCTGTCGGTGTCGACACGCCCCGAGCTGTGCACGGGAATGACGCTGGGGCTGCCACTCGTCTGCACCGACACACCATTGTCGGCAACAACCACCGCCTCTTCCTAGCAGCACTCACACGTTGCACGGGCCGGCGGTGCCGCGGACTTCAAGGCCGTCGTCAGAGCGCACCACGACGAGGACCTTTGATCCGCCGCCATCGGCACAGAGGATCAGCTTGGGACGGGTGATGGTTGATTCGGGGGTCGACATGGCAGAAGAAGCGAGAGTGGGTTGGGAAGGAGGGACAGAGGAAGGATGTGCCAGTGTGTGTACAGTTTGCTGGAGCAAAAGAGGCAGAGAGGGGCGAGTGCGAGGTGTCAAGGACGAAGGGGGGTAGAATGCTTGGCGCACAGCGGTCGTGGTGTCAACAGGCGGGAGCGAGGAATGGAAGTGCGGATATGTGGGTCTGTGGATCTGTGGCGAGGTCGTTTATTTGAGTGGTGGTGTGATGTGCCAGAGCAGCAAGTAGGGGGAAGGGGGGGCAGACGATGAGAGGGGGCAGTGGGATGGGTCTTAAAGGCTGTTAGGCAATGTGTTCGTGTGTGCCCGACAGTGTCCGCATGTGGGAGGAACCGTCGTCGTCCACGGGGTGCACGGCGGCGGCGAGGGGCCCAGCGACGGACGCGGCAAGCACGCCGTATCCGCCAGTGCCGGCGGACACAAAGGGGCGCGAAACACACACCGGCGCGGCGGCGGGCCACGACATGTGATTATCGGCGTGATCGCCGTTCTGTTGTCTCGCCAGGCACGGGCACAAGACCACCCCCAGCCAACGGCCAGATGGTCAGATCTAGGTGCTTTTAACCGTGCCATAATATCTCTCCCGCGCTGCTTCACCCCCATGCGATCAAACTCGCAAAAAGCTAATGCGTGGAGACCCGGATGTACATGCAGTACGCATGGTGGGCGCCGCGGGGTGCTCGCCGAAACTACGGCTCACCACAACCGCCACGATGGTCAAAAAGCGGGTCTTGGATCTTGGTCCCCATCGCCGTCCAGCAATCCGAGACAGCCGTTGGGCGCGTCGCCGTCGGTTGTTGTCAAGAGCCGAGGCTGAAGGGGCTAGGACACACCGACCTCTCCGACGCCGCTACTCAAGGACTGACCGTCCGGCCACTTTTCTGTGGATCTGTGGATCTGTGGCCTGTGGCCTCTCTTCGGCAACGAGGAGTGGCACCGTCGGTAAATGAACGGTTCTGAACAAATGTACGCAGCGCACCCTGCAACCCGGGCAAGATCGCTCAGATTACGCATGCTCGTAGCCAACAACCTCCATTAGCGTCTTTGATAGCCATACACATTCCCCCTTCCACCTTTGCCAGCCGGGGTCCTGTCCCGATTGACGGTCAGCGGAGGTCAAGTGCAGACGAGAGCGCTGACCTTTTGGGTCACAGACCAACCAACCAAAAACCTAGACACTAGCGTGGCGCATGAGCTGTGGGTATGTGGACAAGTAACGAAAACGGGGTTTGGTCGTGTGTCACTTTGTCTATAAACGCTCACTGGAGGCAGAGTTATGACCACCATCTGTCCTTCGGACTAGTCGGCCACTGGCCACTGGCGGTATACTCCGAAGAGGTGCAGAATGGCTTTTGGCAGACTGACTCTTCCTTCGGGCGACAATTTGTATCAGTCGCTTGCACAGCTGTCTGCTTTTACCGGCATGGCTAAGTATTTTTGATTGAGTTGTCCTGCTTTGAGTTGTCCTGCTCATCGGGTTGAAAACAACTTGACTTCAAGGGCCAAGTGGCAGGTGGCAACTCTCTTGAGTCTCCGCCCCGAGTTCAACTCAATAAGCTGGTCTAGGGTTGTGGTTACCGTGTTTCTGACTTGCCAGAGCACGGTCACGGCCCAGACTAAGGCCAGAGACAAGGAGATGTGCTCAAAGGATCAAAGTCCTGCCAATGGCGATCTCCGGCTACCACAGCTGATAGTCGCCACTATGACGCATTGACGCATGGCGCCGGCACAAAGGCAAGTGTGAGAGACTGACACTCCCATCCTACACCTGACACCGATCGGACAAGCCTGAAGTAAGTTGCGAACCACAATGGTAGCGGACACTCCTTGAGCCAGTTGGTCGAAGACGACTTGGTCAAGTCATCTTGTGCCTGTCGTCTGGTGATCCCTGCGTCATGATCATTTCGACGAGCTCATACTGGGCCCACGAGAGCATGGCCATGCTGCCATGCTGCCAGGCGAGGAGAGCAGCACGCAGAAAGAGGCAGGTGGCACGGACACGGGGGCCTGAGAACAATGGCCACCACGGCAGGTGGCACCCGTTGTCCCGGACGTAAAGGCGAGGTAGCCGTCGGCTGTACACCATGCGCGCATGCACTCTGCACGCATATCACACCCATCCACCAAGATCACCAACGTGTTCGTGCGAGACGGATTCAAGTCCGTCGCCGTCACCGTCACCGTCGACACAACGCAGACGTGCGCCACAGGGCCGCGGTGCCAGCCGGTGCCACCCGAGCCTGTGAAGTTGTGTCCGTCATTGTTCTCCGAACCAGAATTCGAGCCTCGCGCTCCGCCATCCATCCTCCCCAAGTGTCCGGGTCTGCGTCTGCGATGCACGCTACAACGCATTATCCGCGATGACATTTTGCATATATGCTTTGGGGTGGGGTTCAAACCGCTTAGGCCTGGGCCTTCGAGGCCTCGAGCTTGGCGTAGAAGTCGTCACGCTTCTTCACTGCGGGGGAATGTCAGCATTCTGTTTGTGTGTGTCTGCAACAGCAGCCGTGCCATTGTGCACAGCTGCAGCCGCTGTCGGTCGGGCCTGGTTCAAGACGTACTCATGGGGACGTGGACGGCGTACCTGCACATAGCCTGTCAGCGTATATCCCTTTAACCATTCTGCACTGTCTCGCGCGCGCGCGCGAGACTCGATTCAACGCACCAGAAGTAGTAGCCACCGAGGGTGCCGAGGCCGAGACCGACACCAATGTCGGTGAGGAGCTGCTTGCGGATCTGTCCCTACGTCAGCACCATAAACCCAACGCATTGCCAACGGCTCGCCGGTGCGCCGACTCGTTGCGGTTCGATGGGACACGAGTTCGATGTTTCTTCGGCGAACACTCTCGCGCAACGAGTACGGCGTCACCCCGGGCGGAAACAGCGCAGGAAATATCGCCGCCTGCTGCTGCCGTTGACTGATGGGCAACGTACCATGCCGGTGATAGGGGCGACCATGTTGATTAGAGTGTGTGGGGGTGGGTGGGTGAGAGTGGTGAGATGGGCTGTGGTGGTGAAGACGTCGAGGAGCGATTGGGCAGCGAGCAGGCGGCAGCGCTGGGACTCGGGTTGGCGCGGAGATTCGCATGAATTTTGGTCCCGTCAATTAGGTAGGCGCAAAGTAGATTCCGTGCGCCTTGAATCGACAGTCACGTTGCATGCCTAATCTTAACGGGAGCAAATTTCTAATCAGTCGCCTGTTGACCGCCGTGGTCGCTCGGCCTCGCTAAAATGGAATATTACGTGTACCTCGGGTATCACCGGCTACAGCCACTGTCCAGGTGCCGAACGGTGCTTGGCCCATGTTCCGTGCTTTCGCGACGGCACCGGGTGGGTGGGTGGGTGGGTGCACAAGTTGGCCCATCTCACATCCTCTTCCTCCATCTCTCTCCACAACACCTCCCACCATGCACCCCTCCCGCCCCTCCCTCGTCCACATCCTGGTTCCCGTCAAGCGTGCCATCGACTATGCCGTGTACGTCCTCTGCCCCATGCCTGCTCTCCAGCGAGCTCGAGCTCGCGCTTTGCACTCGGAGCTTGGTCTCGGTTTTCGGAGACTGGCCCATGGCACCCCTCATTGCTGACCCCGCCGCGCAGCAAGATCCGGATAGCCCCTGGCAACAAGGGTGTAGACACCAGCGTCAAGCACTCGATGGTGAGCAGTCATGCAACACATGCAGGCGAGCCCCTTTGACTGACCACCCCATGCAGAACCCCTTCGACGAGATCGGTGAGTTGTGACGACAATGACCACGGCCGAGGATAGCCGAGCTCCTTTCCGAGCCGAGACGTGGTGGTGGGGATTACCTCTTGTCCACGCAAAGGCAGGCAGCGAGCACGGGTGGTTCGGAGTGGCCGACGCAAGACGAGTCGTTCCAGAGCTAACAAGGTGCAAAGCCGTCGAGGAGGCTGTCCGCATGCGTGAGAAGCAGGGCAAGCTTGTGGAGAGCATCACCGCCGTCTCGATCGGTCCCCCCAAGGCCGTCGACACCATCCGCACTGCCCTCGCCATGGGTGCCGACTCTGGTATCCACATCACTGTCCCCGAGGGCACTGTTGTCGAGCCCCTTGCCGTCGCCCAGGCGATCAAGAAGCTCATTGAGCGTTCGGGCAACACCGACCTCGTCATCCTCGGCAAGCAGGCCATTGACGACGACACCGGTGCCACTGGCGGTATGCTCGCCGGCCTTACTGGCTGGTCGCAGGCCGCTTTCGCGTCCAAGCTTGGCGTGTCTGAGGACGGCAAGGTCGAGGTCACCCGCGAGATTGACGGCGGTCTCGAGAAGATCGAGTCCAAGCTCCCCCTCATCCTCACCACCGACCTCCGCCTCAACGGTGAGTGGGCCACACAAGGCAACGCGCGGCAGAGCAGAATATTGTGCTGACACGTCCTGTCCAGAGCCCCGCTACGCGTCGCTCCCCAACATCATGAAGGCCAAGAAGAAGAAGATTGAGACCCTCAAGCCCGAGGACCTCGGCCTCGACTTCACCCCGCGCCTCGAGACCATTTCGGTTTCGGCTCCTGCCGAGCGCCAGGGCGGCGGCAAGGTGAGTTTTGTTCATTACAGTCAGTACTGACAATGTCCCAGGTCGAGACTGTCGCCGAGCTTGTCAGCAAGCTCAAGGAGGCTGGTGTCATCTAAAAGACTACAACCACCCCAGCTCCACCTTTGTAGCGCGTATAGCACACGAAACGCAGGCGTTGAAGTTGGGATTGAGGGGCACCGGGTCGGTCCCTTCATTCCCACCCGCAGCGTCTGCGAAAGAGAACCCCATACTCACCTCTCGGCCGAATAGTGCGCGGGAGCAAAAGATGCATATGGAACTTGTCCGCAGCCATGAAGTGTATGGACCATGGACCCGTGTCCTTAGGAAGTAAGGGGAGGTGTCAAGGGGGAGTGGGGGGAGGAGTGGGTTTGGAACGACGTTGGAGGCCGGTTGGGTCGGTGCTCATGTGGTGCGAGGCAGCTGTGCCCCGTGCAAAATTCCTAGAAGCTCGCCTGTGTGCAGCACGTATACGTCGCTGGTCAGGCAGACACTCTTGCTGTTGTCCATATACTCTTCTGCACAATATTTCTGGCGACTGCGATATCTTCTCTCTCCCGCCAAACGGGCAAGGCTGTAGGACAGGCTCCGAAGGCCGAGCGCGTGCAGATGGGCAAACAGGCGACTCGGGACGTCCCAATAAAAAAAAACGTAAAAGCCGGCCTCTGCGCCAGAGTGCCCACAGAGTACCAGCGGCGCTCCTGTGTCCGCGTCGCCTACAATGGGAGCCAAGCCTTTCTTGCCCTTCTGGAAAGCCAAATGACAGGCCGTCCAGCGGCACTCCCTACGCCGGTGTTTTTGGCATGGCCACACCGTACACCCTGTGCTAACGTGCTCGATGGCTCATCACGTATCCTGCGGTTCTAAATCACGGATTCGCGGGGTCTATTTGGCAATATATTCTAATTCTTTTGTTATTTATCCCGGGGGCCACTCACCCGGAGTGATCGAGTCGGAGCGTGGGTCCGCCGACTGAGATGGGGGGGTGAGGAGCGGGCGATGGCGGGCTCCAAGAAGCCCGCGGCAGGCATTTTCTGTTCCTCGCATCGTCCACTTTCCGGACGTTCACCATGGCAGGTCAAGGTGGGTACCCTTCTTCGCCCGTGTTCGGTAGTCACAGCGCGCTGACACTTGCCTCTAGCTGGAGTTTCCGTTGTGTGCGTATTCCTCTCTCCACTCTGGCTGTGTTGGGGTTGGTGGTTGCAGTGTTTTCTATGGGAACATAAACAGGGTCACCACCCCAGAATGCGGTCGCCCGCAACGCCGCAAACCACACGTTTGCTCGACAAAGGCAAAAAAGCTAACCTCTCCACAGGCTCGGAGCCCAATGGGGTGACGAGGGCAAGGGCAAGCTGGTCGATATTCTCGCTGCTGAAGCTGATATCTGCGCTCGTTGCGCTGGCGGTAACAATGCCGGCCACACCATTGTCGTTACCAATGACCAGGGTGAAAAGGTCAAGTACGCCTTCAACCTCCTCCCTTCGGGTGAGTAACCTAGTTTCTGCCGCTTTTCCCGTTCTTTTCTTCTTTGTACTAAACACTCCATGTGCAGGTCTCATCAACCCCAAGGTCCAGGCCTTTATCGGCTCGGGCGTCGTTGTCCACGTCCCCTCGTTCTTCAAGGAGCTCGAGGCTCTCGAGGACAAGGGCCTCCAGGTCGCTGAGCGCCTGTTCATCTCGGACCGCGCGCACCTCGTGATGGGCTTCCACCAGGTCGTCGACGGCCTCAAGGAGGTCGAGCTCGGCCGCGGCTCGATTGGCACCACCCGCAAGGGCATTGGACCAACCTACTCGTCCAAGGCTTCGCGCTCGGGTCTCCGTGTCCACCACCTCTACGACCCCACGTTCCCCGACCAGTTCCGCAAGCTCGTCGAGGGCCGTTTCAAGCGTTACGGCCACTTTGAGTTTGACACCGAGGGCGAGATCAAGTCGATGCTCGAGTTTGCCGAGCGTCTCCGCCCCCACGTCGTTGACGGCCCTACCTGGCTCCACAAGCAGCTCCAGGCCGGCAAGCGCGTCCTCGTCGAGGGTGCCAACGCCCTCATGCTCGACATTGACTACGGAACCTACCCTTACGTCACGTCGTCGTCGACCACCATTGGCGGTGTCTGCACCGGTCTCGGTATCCCGCCCTTTGCCATCAAGCGCGCTATTGGTGTCATCAAGGCCTACACCACCCGTGTCGGCGGCGGTCCCTTCCCCACCGAGCAGCTCAACACCATCGGCGAGACCCTCCAGGAGGTCGGCGCCGAGTACGGCACCGTCACTGGCCGTCGTCGTCGCTGCGGCTGGCTCGACCTGGTCGTGTGCAAGTACTCGACCCTGATCAACGGCTACACCTCGATCAACCTCACCAAGCTCGACGTCCTCGACGGCTTTGACGAGATCAAGGTCGCCACCGGCTACAAGCTCGACGGCGTCCTCCAGGAGGGCTTCCCCGCCGACCTCAACCGCCTCGCCGAGGTCGAGGTCATCTACGAGACCCTCCCCGGCTGGAAGACCGACATCACCAAGATTGCCACCTTTGACGCCCTCCCCGAGGCCGCACAGAAGTACGTCGCCTTTATCGAAAACTACCTCGGCGTCAAGGTCCAGTACATCGGTACCGGCCCCGCCCGCGAGAGCACCATCACCTGCTTCTAAACGCCAAAAGGATGCGGTAGACCAACGTCTTTTGCTTTCTTCTTTTGGTTAGAAAAACACAAACAAATTGAAATCAGTTATATGCATTTTCCGTGCAGGGTAGAAAGAAACAGCAGCCGTGGTGCTGGGAAGCTTTGGCATGTGTGGGACGCCTTTGGTATTTGTGACTCTTGGCACCGATGGCGGCACGAGGTGACACGAGGTGACATCTGCGAGGCTGCAGTTGTCATTGGAAAACAATGTAGGGTCACAGGGGGTGAAGATGATGCACCTGAGGCCTGAGGTGACCTGCGCAGGATCTTATCGCTCGACTATTGGGTACCGCATGTGTCGTAGCCCAACACGCGCTTACGCTTGGCTTTCTGGGCCCGCCGACCGGTACTCAACGGCACCGTGTACGGGTTTTTACATGTCTGCATGGTGTCATGGCATTACGTTGCGTGTCTGTACTAATGTACTATGGTACTCCTCTGTGTGTGTGTGTGTGTGTGTGTGTGTGTGTGTGTGTCAATGCGCACGTCCTCCCTCCCTCCTGCTGCTCACTCCACATCGACGTCAAAGGCCTCTTCGACGTCCGAGGCGTCGGCGTCGTCGGGCACCATGGCCTGGCTCTTGCTCGGCCGGCCGTTCTTCTTGTCCTCCCTGTCCTTGGTCTTGTTGGCCTTGTCGTTCTCGCACCGTTCCATCGCAGTGAGGATGTCTGCAAAACCCGGGAGTCAGCTTCATCATTCAGGTAACAGGTTAACGCGCGCGACTTCGCTCACCGTCAAAGCTCATGTCCTCTACGCCGTCGATGACCTTCTTCATCCGGTGCCACAGGCCGCGCACGGCCACGGGGGTGACGGACCATCCGGGACCCATGACGGTGCCCCATGTGATGTCGCGCTCGTGCTGGAGCTTGAGGCGGCGGACACGGGCGAGCAGCTCGTTGCGGGTGACGGTGGTCTTGAGCTGCCCGCCCTTCTCGGCAGCCTTGGCGCGCAGGCCGGGCAGGATGGAGTCTTGCCACTTTTTGCGACACTGCGTCATGGACCGCGCGCCGCCCATGAGCGTCACGACGACTTGCCACGGCGTGTCGGCGTCCGTCACTTCGGTGCCGAGCTGGGCGTGCGCCTCCGTCACTGCCTCGGTGAGCTGCTCGACCTCTTCCTTGGACCATGCGCCCTTGGCCCGGCCCTCGCGGTCCTTGAGCTCGCCGCGGTAGCGATCACGGCAGTCGATCTCGTTCCTCCCGACCGCGAGCGCGACCTTGGTCCATTCGTTGGGGTGCATCTCATACGCGGCGAGCAGGTCGGCGTCCTCTTCCTTGGACCACGCGCCCTTGCGTGCCGTCGGGTCAAACATGCGCTTGACGGCCTCCTTGACGTAACGAACAGGCCGGCCAGGCACAGCAGTGGCGAGCTCGGGGTAAAACTTGGGATACGGGACGCGACCAGCAGTCTTGCCCTTGGTCATGATGATCTCCAGCAGCTCGTCGTCCGTCAGGCGGTTCGCCCGCCTGAATGTGTCCAGGTGGTCGCGCAGTGCAGCACGCTCTGTCTCGGTGAACCGGCCACGCTTGTACTGGAGCACTGTTGGGTGTTAGCACAGTCAAGGAATGCCGAACCCACCGCCGGCAGCCTCAAGACGCTGCAGCTCCTTGATGTCGATCCACTTGGACGCGAGGTAGTCGTGCATGGCGCCATTGACGGCCAGCTCGTCGCGGAGCGCACCGTCAACGTCCTCCTGGCTCTTGCCCTCGCGCTCCGTCGTCTTCTTATAGGGTCCTCGGGGGCCGCGAACGGCCTTTGGCGCGTTCGCGTCCTTGGGCTCCGCCTGCTTCTTGGCGACGGGCTCCTTGCGCTTCTTGAGCGTCGGGCTGTCGGTGGTGGTGCTGGTGTCGGCGGCCTGAGCAGTGCGCGCCGCACGAGCGGCGCGTGCAGAAGACGTGGCACCGCGGAGGATGGCGGAGGGGTCAGGACCGACATCGCTGTCCGAGTCCTGCGCCGCTTGCTGCTGCTGCTGCTGCTGCTGTTCCTTCTCTTTGCGCTCCTTTTCCTTGCGCTCCTTCTTCTCCAGCTTGCGCTGTTTCTTGCGCTGCTCCGCTTCGCGCTCCGCGTCCTCTTCGGCAAGCTTGCGCTTCTTTTCCTTCTTCTCGGCACGCTTACGGTCCTTGCGCGCCTCCTTGCTCTCGGAAGGCTCCCCGCCCTCGACCTCACTCTCGCCTTCGGCCTCGGCCTCGTTGACGACCATGGGCACATCCACGGGCTGCGCGGGCGAAGGAGGCAGGTTGAGTGACGTGGCGGCCGGCGTCTCGAGGAGGGCGCGGACGTTCATAGTGTTCTCAACCGTGCGAGACTTGGACTTCTTTTCCTTCTTGCTGCTGCGGGGCCTCTCGGGCTCGGCGTCGACAGCCGGGAGCGGCTCAGGCGGCTGGTACGGTGTGACGAGGATGGCGCCGACGCTCATCACGTTGGCGACCGTGCGGTCCCCGTGCTTGTGCTTCTTGTCCTTTTTGCTGCGTGGGCGCTCGCCATCGTCGCCCGTCTCTCCCACGGCGGCAGCGGCAGCGAGGGCTGCGGCGGCCTTCTTGCCCTTCCTGCTGCGCGGACGCTCGCCGACCAGCATGTCGATTGACATGTCGGCAGCGCTGCGCGACGGGCCAGCGTACGGCGTCTCGGGGCGCACCTCGCCGTCGTGCTTGTGCTTCTTGCTCTTCTTGGGCGTCGTCACTCGGGCTTGGGCATGGGCATGGGCGTGCGCATTGTCCTCGTCCGCATCCCCTCCTTCGTCGTCGTGTCTCCGCTTCTTCTCCTTACGGGCCCGCTCGCGCGCGGCGGCCTCGGCGATCGACTCGGAGGGCAAGCCAGCGGCCATCCGGCGCGCGTGTTCCTTGTCGGCACGCTTGCGCGCCCCTTTGCTCCCCTGGTCGACATCCTCGCCGTCGTGGCCGTGTCCCTCCTGCACCGCCTCAGCCTCGTCAATACGCTGTTGGGCTTGGGCGAGTTTGAGAGCTGTTGCCGCGAGTGAAGACGCCGCGGGCAGGCGGGTCGCTGGCGACGTTCCCGGTAAGTCTGCGACGCGGCTCAGGGGACTGGTGTGGGCGATGGGGGAGGAAGCCCGGTGCGACTTGGACTTGTGCTTGTCCTTTTTGTCCTTGTCCTTTTTGTCCTTGTGGTCCTTCTTGGGGCTGCCGTCGTGACGTGTTGGGTCTGGAGGGTTGCCGTGGCCCTTGGACGAAGCCGGGTGTGGTGGTTGAGGAGACGCAGGGGGAGAGTACGCTGCTGGTGAAGAGTCGCGCTGCAATGTGCGCACAGACGACATGGGGATTGGGTAGCTGCCGTGGTGGCGGTCGCCGTTGATGAGGAGGCCCTCCATGGTCGTGAGAGTGGATGGGAGGTGTGGAAAATGAAATGTGAAGGAGAAATCTGCCGGGACCAAACAACCGAGATATTCCAGTCCGCCCCTTATACCTTAAGCGCCTGCATGGTAAACACTGGCCCACACCGTACCGCCGCACAAAAAAGTGCAACCGTCACCAACCCAAATCGCTCTCAAGACATGATATTCATACTTTTCATGGCCCCTTCATACTAACAAACCAACGAGACACTAAAAACATCGAGACTCATTATGGTAAGGGGTCCACACACGCCTCCTTGCCGAACACTACACACCATCAGAGGGGCGAATCACGAACCAAAAAAAAAAAAGTTGGGGACGAGGGGTGGGATATAGACTAGACGGACACAAAGGCTGAGCCATAGGCGAGGTGTTTTGCTGTTTACTCCTTCTTGGTCGACTTCTTCTTCGACTGAGAGTCAGCCCAATGTTTCCTCCGCATTCCTTGGCTTGAGCCCAGAAAACGTACCTTCTTCTCGGCCGAGGCCTCAACGTCCTCCTCCTTGTTCTTGCGCTTCTTCTCCTTCTTGCCAGCGTTAGGAGTGGCAAGGGTGGCGACAGCAGGCGACTTGGTGGGCTGGGCATCAGTCTCCCACCAAGTCCATAAGTCCACTCACAGTTCCCTCCTCAGAGTCCTCGTCCTCGTCCTCCTCCTCCTCCTCGTCCTCTGAAACAATGCCGGCAACGTTGGAGCCGGCAACGCCGCCAATACGACCAACGAGGGAGGCGGGGAGAGCGGGCATGGGGAGACCGTTCTTGTAGGCCTCCTCGGCCTGACGGAAGTGGCTGGTGGCGTCGTTGTAGGCGAGCTCGTAGACCTTGCGCTGAGGCTCGTCGAGCTCCTTCCAGCGGGAAGCAATCACGCCGAGAATCTCCTTGTAAGGGAGAGTGGGGTTGGCAGTACGGATGTTCTCGCGGACGTCGTTCTGGAAGAGGAGGTAGGCCGAGGGCGGGCGCTTGGGGGCGTTGGGGTCCTTGGGCTTCTTCTCCTTCTTGGCGCGCTGCTTCTTGCCGCTGGCGGTGGCGAGAGTCTCGCCGTGGGCACCGTCGGTGACGGCAGCGAGGGCAGCCGAGGTGGTGAGGGTCGAAGGGGCGAGGCGGGCATAGTCCTCAATGATGGCGACGCAGCGGGTCATGGCGGCAGCAATGTCCTTGAAGGACGCAACCATCTGGCAAAGTGAGCTTCCATGCTATACGTTGTTTGGTTTGCGGGGGAGCAGGCTGAGGAGGAGGAGATGGGAAGGGATGTATGCATGGAGGCGAGGTGGGTGGGTGTGTTTTTGCAATGGGGTGCCACATGCCTTGCCATTTTTGTGGCGGCGGTGGTTGGTTGTTTACATCCAGGTCTCGCGGGGACCCATATTTGGGTGGGTGGATGCGTAGGTGCCAAAACCCAGCCAAAGTGAAGGGATGGCAGGTTTGTGTGTTGCAGGGGAAGGTGGGGGGTTCTGAGACTCACCTCCTGGCGCTTGGCCTCCATCTCTTCGTACGAAACGGACGACATTGTCGGTATGCTGGCTGGAGAGTTGTGGCGGTTTGGCGGCAGGGAGGTTTGAGCGATTTGGGTGGATGGATGGATTATATAAAAAGGTTGGATGGAGGTTGGGTGTTTGTTGAAAGGCGAAAAGGGTGGGAACACGTTTGGTAGCAAAGGCGGTGCGGTGTCAGCAAAGGGGAGGGGGGGATCGCCGTTTGGCGGGGTGGTGGAAGGGAAGAGACTGGGAGGTGAGCTCACGGTGTGTGTTGGGGTTGGGTGGGTGGATGGTGGTGTAGAGCCTGGGTAAAGCGACGATGGAGGACGATTAGGACGGTGGAATGGTAGGAGGTGGATTAGAAAACGGTGGGTGGGGGGGGGGGTGAGTGGGAAAAAGAAGACACACGGCGACGGTCAAAAGGCTGTGGCTAGCCGTTTGGCGGGGTCACGCTGAAAGGGTTATTTTACAGCGGGATCAAATTTCAAAATAGATCGCACCTATCATTCGTTCTTATGACCGGCCATGATATGGTCCCGGAAACTCGCAGCCAGTTTGGCCCTTTTCCCTTCCTAATGACACATTTGTACCCCCACATTTGTTATTTGAACCCCGGCTCAGCATTGTAAAGCGGGGGTTGGGGGTTAGTAATGCGTCATGTGTCCTGTATGACGACCTTGTCTCGATTTGAAAACACTAAAAGGTACACACAGCCAGAGAGTGGGTCAATATTTGGTTCCGCCCGGACGCGACTGTCCTGTGCGCCGCCTGCCGCTCTCTGCCTGGCGCCGTGTGTGTGATGAAACAGGCCCAGCCGTATACCACCACCACCTCGTGTATGCTGTTCATATCAACAACATCACGACAACTCTCTCACCCTACCCAACCCACCACCACCACCACACACCGGGGCACACCCTCCCTCAGTACAGTTTCTTGTCCTTCCCCACACAACCACATCCACCACCACCTAGCCTAGCCTCTCAACTGCCCCCCCAGCTGCACACACGCTTGCACAATGTCGGTGCGTGGAAACCCCATTCTCACAACGCCCCTGGCGTTACCCTCCCTGTCAACCACCCGTCGCTCACCCAGCCTTCCCCCCCCAGCTCGACGGTCCCCGCCGCCCAGATCTCAAGAAGAAGCTTGTCGTCGTCGGAGATGGAGGTGCGTAGACCCCCGGCAACCCGGTCCACGGGCTGCATAGGACACTGCATATGCCAGTGCGACGACACGGAGGCAAGGCGGGCGGCAACGACAAGGGCCTTGTGCTGCCTGCCCCTTGGCCCTTGGACGACGAACGCTGACGATACAGGCTGCGGCAAGACATGTTTGCTCACCGTGTACGCCGAAAACCGCTTCCCAGAGGTACGTCGTCGGGTCGTCTCTGCTTCTGCTCGTGGACAGCTGCTGACTCTGCGCGCCAGACCTACGTCCCGACCGTCTTTGAGAACCTGATCACTACCATCCCTCACCCTCTGGAGCCGACCAAGACCATCGAGCTGGCGTTGTGGGACACTGCCGGACAGGAGGACTTTGACCGCCTGCGTCCTTTGAGCTACAACGACACGGACGTCATTCTCGTCGTCTTTGCCTGCAACCACCGTCCATCCCTCGAGAACGTTTACGACAAGGTGGGCCGCAGTTGACAGCTGCTCTCCTCCTCCCGCTGACACTCTGCCAGTGGTACCCGGAAATGTCGCACTTTTGCGAGGGTGTCCCGCTCCTCCTGATCTGCACCAAGACCGACCTGCGTACCGACGCTACCACCCAGAGCCTCATGGCCGCACAGGGAGTCGGACCCATCTCTCCCGCCGAGGGCGAAAAGGTGGCCAAGGAAATCGGCGCGCGGAGGTACCTCGAGTGCTCGGCAAAGCAGGGCACGGGCGTGCGCGAGGTGTTTGACGCTGCAGTCCGCGAGAGCCTCAAGAAGGGCAGCGTGGCACGTATTGTCAAGAAGAGCAAGAAGTGCGTGGTTGTTTAGGTCGGCCGGCCCGCGCCTCCCTCCCCCCACCCCCAACTGTCGTTCGTTTCCTTCTTCCCCGCCTCTCCTCTCGCAAACCGTCACAAACAACTCGGGACACCGAGGCGAGGCGGCGGCGGCGGTGGTGGCATGGCGCGCAGGCGTTCGTGTGTGGCGTCTGTTTTGCTGCTGCTGCTACTGCTGTTGCCGTTCGTTGCCTCGTCTTGCCCGCGCGTGTGTGCCGAGTTGCGAGTTCCACCGCCGTCGAGTGCCGCCTCCGCTGCTGCGGTCTCCCACCACTGGGCTGGGCTGTTGTTCACTAGCATAGATACCTGCATGGGATTGAGCCTGCATTTTCAATGGGCCAGTGTTGCGATGACGTGAAGGGCGGGGGGGTGGTCAATGTAATGAGGCTGGGACGACATTACTGTCTGTCACGTGATTATTAGCGGAACCAAACTCGTCCTAATTTGTGCTGCCGGCCGCGGTACGCGCGAGCGTTTCCCCTCTCGTTGGCCGCCCCGAGCCGATTCCTTCTGGTGCATTTCGTCACCTCTCAGGCGTCGTCGTTGTTCCTTTTACCACCCACTTCTCCCTTCACCCACCACCACCCCTTCCCTCACCCTCAGCAACCATGAGCCGTCCCGGAGGAGAGGCATTTGCGCGTCTTGCGCAGCAGTTGAACCGCGCCCGCATGCAGGCCGGCGGCGGCGGCGGCGGCCGTGGCGGCAGCTCGGGCGGACCCAGCCCGGGAGGCATCCTCGCCGGCGGCGGTATGCTCGTCCTCCTTGCTGGTGGTGCCATTGTCATCTCGTCGTCCCTGTACAACGTCGACGGTGGTCACCGTGCCATCAAGTACTCGCGTCTCCATGGTGTCCGTCCCGACATTTACCCCGAGGGCACCCACATCCGTGTACGTCAAAGTGCAGGAGGGACCACAAAGAACATTAGCTAACCGGCTGTACAGATCCCCTGGCTCGAGACTCCCATCATCTACGACGTCCGCGCCAAGCCTAGGAATATCGCGTCGCTCACAGGTACCAAGGACCTGCAGATGGTCAACATCACCTGCCGTGTCCTTTCGCGTCCTTCGGTCAACGACCTCCCGACCATGTGAGTCGAGCTGCAGCGCGCACCCTGCCCCCCCCCCCCCCCCCCCCCCCGCGCATTTTGCTGACCCCGTTGCTAGCTACCGCGAGCTTGGCACAGACTATGACGAGCGTGTGCTGCCCTCGATCGTCAACGAGGTGCTCAAGTCTGTTGTGGCGCAGTTCAACGCCTCGCAGCTCATCACCCAGCGTGAAATGGTCTCGCGTCTCGTGCGCGAGAACCTCACCCGCCGTGCGCGCCGGTTCAACCTGATCCTGGACGATGTGTCCATCACCCACGTCGCCTTCTCGCCCGAGTTTACGCACGCCGTCGAGGCCAAGCAGGTCGCGCAGCAGATCGCCCAGCGCGCCGCCTTCCAGGTCGACCAGGCCATCCAGGAGAAGCAGTCCATCATCGTCCGTGCCCAGGGTGAGGCCAAGAGTGCCGAGCTCATCGGCGAGGCCGTCCGCAACAACAAGGGTTTCCTCCAGCTCCGCAAGCTCGAGGCCGCCCGCGAGATCGCAGGCACCCTCGCCCACTCGGGCAACGCCGTCATGCTCGACACCAAGAGTCTGCTTCTCAACGTCACCGACGACGAGATGCTCGAGACCAAGAAGAAGTAAACCGTCGCCAAAGGTGTCCCAGGCGATACAGCAGTCTTTTTTTTGGTGGTGTGTTGTCTCCGAGATCGTCGGCCCCACCGGAATCTCACACATCTGGAGGAGCAGAGATCACAAAATGTACACCCAAAGGCTAGTAGCGCAGTGCGAGAGATGCAGCAGTACCCCTCTTTCTTGCGGCCCATGTCTGGGCCGTCGTGTGTGTGATGCGTACAAGTTGGGGGTGTGTTGGACGGATGGGCGACAGGTGGTGACATATGGCACAGCAGAAGCAGGTAGATCCGCAGACAGAAGCGTGGGCCGAGGACCGGGCGACTCAGTGGTGAGGCGAGGGAGCGTTCTGGTAAGGCGTCAGTCGTTGGCAATGCCACTGTTCCGGCGCTGGACTCTTGGGTCTACCACGAAGAGAGGGACCACAAGACCTATGGACGCGCCAACCATGGCAGGAACATTGCAGCGAGAAACACGTACCCCCGACCGAGCGGCCGCCAGGTGCTGGCCGACACACCCGCCACCAACACACAGCGCACCCCTCTCCTCCCTCCTTCCCTCCGTGTCGTCCGTCGGCAGGGTGCATTGCAGCGGCCGACCCATTCGCCAGAGGAGGAGGCGAGGAGGAAAAAGAAGAAGATGTGCTCGCACGCTGAGTCGAACAGCGGTCGGGTCAGATGATGAGATTGCTGCGAACCACAACGACCAATGATAACCACCTACACTATACAAGCTGGACGGTGAATTTCAGTGAGGTGGTGTAAAGAAACTTGCCGCGTTGATGTTTTGTTTTTTGTTTCCCGGGGGGGCCGGGAGGGGGGGGGGGGGGAGGGGGTAGTCGTGGAGTCGTGGTCGGTCCAGTCTGCCCTCTGGTGAATCTTCTGTTCATGCGCTAATGCGGGCCTCTGGTAGTGGAATGCCTTGCAGGCGAGACAAGAGGTGGCGACGCCACTTTTTGGGCGATTACTGTTGGCTACTTTTTGTATGCCGAGGTGCACAGATCTGCACATAAATATTATCCATACCAACCGCGGTGTGTAGAACAGGGCCCAGTGTCTTGACTGTCTTCTGGATAGCCCGTCCCAGCATGTGGCAAGGCCACCGGTGCCACCGTGTCTTGAATATATTTTTGCATTGTTTTTTCAGTGCCGAAGTGCAAAGTTGAGAAACTCATAGACCCTCATCCCTCACGTCAACACACGTCACACGTAGGGTGTAGGATGTTGGAGAAGTGCACAGACACTCATTAGGGACGTCAGTGGCAAATGTGTATGGGTTATGGAGAACATGCAAACCCACACAGTGAGGGCGACATTGGAAAAATGTGCCCGGTGGTAATAATCAACGCTCAACATTTGCCATTTGAGACCGCATACATCACCTGTCGCCTGTCTATTCCCACTCAGCCCCAATAATAAAAGCGACCTAATTTATCTGCCTGCGAGGTCATGTCAATTGTGCACGAGGAATGGGAGGGGCCGAGATAGTTATGTACAACAGTGGTGGCATGTTTCTCATTTTCCGTGGCAGAGTTTTCACATCACCTGTTGGGTTTATCGCTAACGATAACGGGCTTCTCACCTCCCTGTGGGGTCTACATATGTATACACGGGCACGGCACGACAGCACATGGCCGACATTCTCTCAATTCTGCTCATCTTACTTCAATCCATCTGCCAACAGGCTTTTGACCTGCGAGGCGTTGACACTTGGTTCATAGGACACCCATGCAGCGAGCAACCACGTTATGCGCTCCCGACTCCCTGGCAAAGATATGCAATGCAATAAAAATAGTCGGGCCGCCGACATGTATAGTCGACCATCCCATTATACGTGCGGCATCTAGAAAACACAACAGCAGCTGTCCCATGCCCAGGACGCCGTGTTCCCCTCCCCTCCGCGCTCTTCACTCTACTCTCTACCCGCCTCTAAGGTCTCCAGTATGAAACGACTCGGGGATCCGCCTTCTAGTTTTTCGTTGCGCGCTCATGCGGCGTCGTCGACGCTCGGGGTGAGGGCCCACCACAGGGTCTGGAGGAGACGGAAACCACAGAGCACGCCGAGGGTGCCTGCCGAGCCAATCTTGCCCATGATGGCGCGGCTGACAAACGAGCCCAGAATGAGAAAGACGACGCCCTGGACGCGAATGTCGCGGCTGGGGACCTTCTTGAATGCGAACAGGAGGGGGTCGTTGAAGATCTCCACCCAGGTGGTGGTGAGCACGACGGTGGTGTTCATGGGCGAGGCGACGCGCTTGCCGATGATGCCCTGCAGACCCATCGAGGAAGAGATGAACGCCAGGGCAGCCATGCCGAGAGGGGTGCGCCAAGAGGGCTCGCCGCGGCTCCTGCAGAATGCGCGTCAGTAAGAGGAATATTTCGTTGGCGTTGGTCGGTTTCTCGGCCGCCACTCACACTGCGTACGAGCTCTCGCCAGAGTAGTGGGCACACAGGGCACCCGCCATGGCCATGAGCACCTGGATGAACGAGGACACGACCAGCCATGTCCTGCGCTTGGCGCCGATCATGTCGCCGACGCGACCCAGGGTGGTGCCGAGGAGGAACGCGAGCAGCGAGCAGAATGCCTGCTGGTCGGGCTTCATGAATTCATAGGTACGCTCGGGGATGGGGTCAAAGTTGCGCGCGACGGCGATGCCGAGCTGTGCGACGTTGCCAGTCTGGAAACCGCACCTGGTTTATTGTCAGCGGACATGCGCGCGGTGGATTGGGCTTGGTGTCCTCGTTTCCCATATGTATGTTTATTTCGCGATGGATCGGGCACTTTCGGCAACTCCCAACAAATGCGGTGGCGGGAAACAGTCACGCGAGGTATTCAAACAGGGATTCAACGTACCAAATGTAGCATGCCTGTGTGTATGTCAGCAAAGCTGTACTGTGAAGGGGGCGATGGTTCGCATGACGTACGGAAAAGGACACGGCTGACGTGAAGCCCGTAAGGAAACACGCGTAGATGGAGACGGCGTTGCACTTCTTCGAGTCGATCTGCGACTGCAGATAGGTGACAGCTCGCGAGGTGAAAGGCTGGGCGACCTTGCCGGCCTCGACGTCTGCCATGGCTGTATTTGTGGATGACGGTGTGGACATTGTGGGAGGTGTATGCACACGAGAGGAGGGAGGGGGGGGGAGAGTAGTGAGAGATAAAGAGAGGAATGAAGAAGCAAAGAGCCAAGAGAGATAAGTCTTGGAGGCCTTTGGAGGAGCACCACCTGCCGCTCCGGTACTCACCGATCCTCTCCTCTTGCGCCAAGCGTCGCCATTGCCCGGGAATTGTCAATAACCTCCACCGACCGGGACAATACAAGTTATGCTCCCGCTAATGCCTCAAATATGTAAAAATCTTACTTTTGTATTCACTCGCCCCACAGGGGTATTGCTCCCAAAGTCCACCCCACGCTAGGGCCCAAAGATGGGGCCGGCGGCAGCATGCAGCTGGCCAGCAATGGCCAGCAATAAGCACAAAGTGCGGCTATTGAGCGCGATCTGGTCCGTACAGCTTGTCCGACCGACTCATTTTCCCCGGCGGCGGCCCCGCCATTGAGCGGCTTCTAAACCACCCAGACTTTTCGACTGCGACGCGCCCGACAGAGCGGGGTGGCCGCCGCCGATATCCCAATCGTCATTGCATCGTCCAGCAAACAATCTCTGAAGACTTGTCTAGAATAACATCTCCTAAAAAAGCTCTCACAATGTCTCGTTCTCCCATCAAGGTCGGAATCCTCGGTGCCACCGGCACTGTCGGTCAGCGGTGCGTTTTCTTTTCCATTCTCTCCGCAGAACCTGTCCACTGACTATTGTCTCGACCAGCTTCATCGAGCTGCTCGCTACCCACCCTTACTTTGAGATCCACGCTCTCGGCGCCTCTGCGCGCTCGGCCGGCAAGGAGTATGCCCAGGTGACCAAGTGGAAGCTGTCGACCCCCGTCCCCGAGTCGGTCCGCAAGATGGTTGTCCAGGAGTGCGTCCCCGAGCCCTTCAAGGAGTGCGGTGTCGTCTTCTCTGGCCTTGACCACGACGTCGCCGGCGAGATTGGTGAGTAGCGTTTACTGGACAACATGTTCTGAAGCTGACACTTTTCCTTCAGAGGACGCCTTCCGCACCGCCGAGCTTGTCGTCTTCTCCAACGCCAAGAACTACCGCCGCGACCCCCTTGTCCCCCTCATGGTCCCCCTGGTGAACCCGGACCACATCGAGGTCGTCAAGTACCAGCAGCAGCAGCTCAAGCTCTCCAAGGGCTACATTGTGTGCAACGCCAACTGCTCGACGACCGCCATTGTCGTGCCCCTCAAGGCCCTCGAGGTCGCCTTTGGTCCCCTCAAGACCGTCATGGTCACGACGATGCAGGCCATCTCGGGCGCTGGCTACCCCGGCGTGTCGTCGCTCGACATCCTCGACAACGTCGTCCCGTACATTGGCGGCGAGGAGGAGAAGATTGAGTGGGAGACGAGCAAGATCCTCGGCGGCGTCCTCCCCGGCGCCACGGGCTTTGACCTGCACGCCGCCAACCCGCTCACCGTGTCGGCCAACTGCAACCGCGTGCCCGTCATTGACGGCCACCTCGCGTGCGTGTCCGTCCAGTTCGCCGCCGAGACCAAGCCCTCCATTGACGAGGTGCGCGCCGCGTTCTCGGGCTTTGTCACCGAGGCCCAGACACTCAAGTGTCCCTCGGCCCCCGGCCAGGCCGTCGTCCTCCACGACGCGCCCGACCGTCCCCAGCCCCGCCTCGACCGCGACCTCTACGCCGGCGCGTGCGTCTCGGTCGGCCGCGTCCGCGACTGCAACATCTTCGACGTCAAGTTTGTCTGTCTCCTCGACAACGTCCGTCTGGGCGCCGCCACCTCGTCCGTCATCAACGCTGAGATTGCCGTCGAGAAGGGCTACATTGTCTAGAGATATGATGGGGCTCCGTAGTATGTGTACCCCAGAGTCTTCGCCCATAGGGGTTGTTATTGCATAGGTTTTCTTTGTTCATTAAACTAGAGGTGTGCAGGGTGTCTCTCGACTGACTGATTTGACTGGCGGCAGCTGGCAGCGGCCCAAAAACACACACCCCATCATGATATCCCATGCTGCATCTACCATCTCTACACACTGTCTTACGCATGCAATCTACTCTCTTCTCACCCAGTGCCCACGTACTCTGCTACAACGCGCCAAGCGGGTCCCACGCCTTGCTGTCGCCGCCCAGCGCCGCCGCGAGGAGCTCGTCGTCTGTCGCCTGCTTCGTTGGCGCTGGCGCTGCTGGCTCGGGCTCCTTTACAGGGACTGGCGTGGGGTCCAGTGGGGTCGTCGCCACTGGCGCAACCTTGACTGCTGGTGCTGGTGCTGGTGATGGTGCTGGCGCAGGTGCAGGTGCAGGCGCAGGCTTGACCTCGGTAGCAGGGCTCGCCGCGGCCTTTCTGCCCGCCACATCGTCGAGGCTCAGGTCCGCCAGGCTGCGGCTGACGGGTGCGTCGCCCCATGGGTTCGCGTGCGTCCAGCTGCTCGACGTCGTCGATGCCGATGTCTCGCGCTTGGGCGATGGCGGGGGGTTACGCGCCGAGGGCGTCGCGACTGATGGCGACGCGACCTCGGCAGCGAGGATGGCCGAGGGCGACTCGACGGTCCACGGGTTGGATTCCGAGGGCATGCGCAGAGCGGTTCGCGGGAGGTTGCCGCGAGACGCTTCGCCAATGCCTGTGCCGGGAGCGTACGATCCACCAGGAGCAGTAGAGCCCGGTGTGGCCCCCCACATCTCGTCATCGGCGCTCTCGCGGAGCTGCTTGACGGCCTCGGAAGCGCTCGTCTTGATCTGGTTGAAGGCCGTGAGGGCGCCCGTGCTGAGACCGTTGGAGAGCTGCGACCAGTTCCAGCCGGCACCAGCCTGCGCCGCGGCCGACGAGTTCTTGTTGACGGTCGTGGGCAGGCGGGCGAATGAGCTCGCGGCCGCAGGGGAAGGCAGGCCGGCGACACTTGCCGCGACCGAGCTGGCCGCCGAGTCTTGGCGGATAGGAGCTGGTGGGCGCGGCGACGGCTGGCGCGAAACCTCGGCAGACGAGTCTACCTCTTCAGGCGTCTCAGAAGGTGTTTCCGGCGCGAGAAATCGAGACATTGGCGCGTTCATGTCCTCTTCGCTGCGCTTGAAGAGACGGTGCCAGAACTTGATGTCCTTGGCGTCGGGAATCAGCACACCCATGTCGGCATCGTGCTCGCGCGACTCGCGATCGTCCAACTTGGGGTTGTAGTCTGCGTTGAGGTACTGCTGGCGCTGGGCCGGGAGGTCGAACCAGTCCCATGCAGAGACCGTGCGGTCAATGTAAGCCTTGCCCTTGCCACCCAGGGGCACACGGCGCGCGCGTTCCGAGTCGAACAGGAATGTGCCAAACTGGCAGGCGTACAGGTGATAGTGCAAGTCGAGCAGGTAGTCTTCATTGAACTCGAAGCGCTCGGGGAACTGGCGCTGGATCTGGCGGACACAGTCGAGGAACTGGTGGAAGACTGGCGAAATCTCCTTCAAGTGCGAGCTGGACGTAAACGTCTTTGTGACGCTCGAGAAGAAGGCCTGCGCGCCCTTGATGGCGCCGCCAAAGTCATCATCACTCTCCTCGTCTTGGTCAAAGTTTTCCGGGGTGGCGGTGAACAGCTTGTCAGAGGACAAGTGGCCGGAGCGCTGCATGAACATGTGGCCAAAGGCCAGCCAGTCCTTCTCCACGAGCACCTTGAAACCCTCAATGGTGCGGAAGTATGGGTCGAGACACAACTGGGCAATGGCGCTCAACTGGGATGTGCGGTCCCAGCCGTCCGAGCAGTGGATAAGGACGTGCGACGAGTAGACGTGAATGTTCTTGATAATCGTGACTGATCCTTCCATGATCGCAGCAATGTGCTTGAGCCACCCACTTCTACGCAGTCGTTCCCGGTCGACAGGCATCTGAGACGCCTCGGCCTCGGCGAGGGTTTCAGCCACGCTCTTGAGACTGTTGCGCATGACGTGGATGTTGTCGATGCCCAGGTGCTCCTTCTTGCAGCCCTTGTACCAGTCCATGTTCTCTGTACCGGCACCCTTGGCGCGGTTCGCCATGGCGTTGGCTGTGGGTCGTGCGTCAATGATCAGGTTTGTCGGCGTGGCGCCGTAAATGTGCAGAGGAGGTGTGGTCGATGGGCCTGCAGTCGAGGAGAATGCACTGTCCGGGGAGAGGTGCGAGGTGAAGATGCACTCAACAAGACGCTCATCTTGTGGCGAGCGCGTGTTCTTGATGCCAATCATGGGCTGCGATGAACGAGTGATCGAAGCCTGCCTGTCAGCTCGGTTCAACGAAGTTCTCAGCTTACATGGTTGGCCCAGTGCAGATACGAGAGTGCTGGGATTCGAGCTTTGGATCGATACTTTGCCGCATACGTCAAGAGCGTGTCCGAAATACGGCTCGGCACGACCATCTTGGACGGGTAGGTCGGACAGAATGTATAGTCACGGTTAATGTCGGTGAACCGCCACGCCTTTGTGCGGGATCCGACACCCTGGCGCGCAAATTCGGCGCGCGGGTTGAACGCTATCCACCCACTGGTCGGGGCGGCCTGTGTAACAGCACCGCCGACGGGTTTGTCGTCTTCTCCAAGTGTCAAGGGGTTCTGGACACTTGTATCGGGCAGCGCCTTGGACGTTGACGCCACCGGAGACCTCGGGAGAGTGTAGAAGAAGGCGTACAGTTGCTCGACCGATTCTGGCTCTATCAGCTCCGGCTGCAGCGCGCAACTTCTCAGCTCAAGCACTCACGAGCCACTGCACAGTCCTTTACACTCTGCCACACATCCTCTGCGCCGCCCTCGCGGTCCTTTTCAAACAGGAACGTGTACGAGTCAAACGTCTTGGTGCCGACAAAGAGCGGATACCTTCCCGCCGCCGACTGCGGCAAGCGCTGCAGGTTGTTGATGGTCGGGTAAGGGACCCATACCTCTTGTTTCTCTGCCTGAGGCTCTGCATGAGAACCGGTCTCGGCGCCGGGGACGACGCTGTCCGCGTTGGGCCGAAAGATGAGATGGTGTGGTGTCAGGTGCAGAGTGCCTTCGACATGGATGTGTGTGTGCGGGGGGTCGCGAGTTGTGCAAGCGAGGACGACACGTTCGACCTTTGCGACGCGGAGCGCGTCCATCGCAGCAGTGTGCGTTGTGGGTGGTGTATGTGGGTGGGGGTGGGGATGCTGATGAGAGGGGTGGAAGAGAGATGATAATCCACTGGCCACTGGACGCGACGCTGAGACAACCACACACGAGATGGCCAGCAGCAGCCGTGTGCCGTTGTACCACGCGCGTATAATACGGTGGCGGCCATGACGCAGCCAGTGTCATTTTATATGAACCCCCCCAGTTAGTCACGTGGGGATGGCGGACATCCCGCGCACTCCGTTTCTCAAGCCTGCGGTCCGTGCCGAGACACAAGAACACCCAACAGCGCCGTCGAACAACGAGCGTGCACGCCAGCATGGACGGTGTGGACGCCTTCGTTCCACCAGCATACAACTGAGACACACATGGTATGCAAAAAAATGCGCAGCGCTGACACACGGCCTTCCGACGACGCCACCCGTTGCGCTCTCCATACGGAGCAAGTCGGAGGCCACCCAACAGAGCGCCGTGGGGCTTAAGCCACGCTCGGCCTGGGTGACAACCTCGAGACAGTCACCGGCGCCGCCAAAATCTCTGATGAGCAGCAGGAACGGTATTCCGCTATATATTTTGTGCATGTGTGTGGGTGTGTTGTGAGGAAAGACTTGGAGCAATTAGTTGCCGGCGGCCTTCTGGATGTGGAACCACGCTGAGGAAACATGTCAGTGGTGCCGTTGAAACTGTTGGCCATGGGGCAAAACGTACAAGCGACTGAGAGAAGGGTCAGCACGCGGCAACGGCAGTGGCAGGATAAGGGGGAGACGTACAGAAGGGGAGACCAAAGCCGGCAACGGTGTAGATGGCGAGCTTGGCGGCGAGCCAAGGCTTGTTGGTGACGTTGGTGGGCATGGCGCTGTGGGTTTACGCGATGGGGTTGCGTGTAGTGACATGAGTGGCACGGGTGTGGCGGTTGGCATCGAGAGAGTTTGTTGTGTACGATCAAGTTGACACGAGATGCAGGTCGAGGAGGGTTCAGGTTAGAGGGAAGGGGAAGGGGGCAAGCGTCAGCTACAGGTGATCGAGACGGGGGGACGAGGAGATGGACGAAGGATCGCGATCCCGCGCATCTCCTCGGGGTCCCAAGTAACACGCACTGGTCGACCTTGTTCTCAAAGTGGACGCCACGGGCCTGCTGGGCCTGCTGGCGGGCGACACGGGCGGCGCGGAGGGGGGCGGTGCGGAGGAGCATGGACATTGTGAGTGGTGAGTGGTGAGGTTGTGATGACGACGGAGCAAGTAGCAGGTTGTAATCGACGGTCTGCTGCTGCTGGCAGACGGAGAGCCTGTGGGCCACCCGCCTGCCTCTGGCTGCCTGGGTGGGTACGCACCCCAGGCAGTCACCCAACCACCGGCCACTCACCCCCCGGCGTTATTCGGAGCCATGAGCGATTTCGTCCGTGTGGCAAGCGGGTAGCACGTGGGATACGCGTGGCATCTTTGCTTCCGTATGCACATGGGTGGCCGGTGGAGGAGGTCTGTTCGACGTGATCCCATATGTTGACACATCCATCGTACAGCCCAATCGACGCACGACACACCAGGAGGGAAGAGGGCCAGGATGACAGAACAGATACCAACAGCTGTCGCCTCTTGCTCAACCACCACCACCACCACCACCACCATCACCATCACCACCGCTCACAACCTTCCCACATCCACATCCAACGCGGCCTTTCCCTTCGCCATTGGCGGCCGGTACCTTCACGCCAAGACACGCCACCCGTTGACGGTCCGATATATCGGCCGTCTGCCCGGCGGCAACGAGCAGGTATGGCTGGGAGTGGAGTACGATGACGATTCCTGTGGCAAGGGCCACTCGGGAACGTACAAGGGCAAACAAGTCTTCCAGACACTGCAGCCTGGCGCGGGCGCATTCATCAAGTATGTCCCCGGCTCGACCCCACTGGTGTGCGGAACAACGCTCGTCGCTGCTGTGGAGGAGCGGTATGGCGCGTTGAGTCCCGAGCACCAGCTGCAGTCTGCTCCTTCTCAACAAGAGGCAGCTGCGGTCGTGCTCGGGTCCTCCAATGCGGCCATCATTGTCGAGGCTCCCGGCATGGCGGATGTGCGCAAGAGAATCGGAAGGCTGGAGCGTCTCAGAGAGATTGGGTTCGATGACGAGTGGGTGGGGACGCTTGGAGGCAGTGAGGAGGAGCGTGTAATGTTCAAGGAGAGGTTGAAAGGTGGGTATCGTGCGTGTGTGAAGATCATGGCTCACCTGCTCAGGTGTGAGGACGTTAGACCTGTCAAAGAACCTGGTCGCCAGCTGGGATCAGGTGGCAGAGATTACCGAGCATCTCCAGGGTCTTACCACGCTTGTGTTGAAGTGAGCTTGAAGGCACTTGAAGAATCGAGCTGAGAACAGTCATTCGCGAATGGCCCCGATCACCTGCCTGTCCGACGCACAGGCCGAGAGGTATCGTTCCGCGTTCAACAACGTCGTGGAACTGCACTTGGGCGACGCGGGGTACACATGGGCGGAGGTGAGCTACAAAAGGGAATGTCAGCTGATCCCAGGCAATCTGTATTGCCTCGCACTTTCCTCATCTCGAAGTACTCTACCTCAACGACAATTCCCCACTCACCAGCCTTGCCCTCGCACCCGGCCAAGACCTCGCGTCGCTCCATCTCAAGACCCTCAGCCTTGACGGGTGTCCCATAGACACCTGGACGGCGATCGCCTCTGGCCTCGTCCCCCTCCCGTCACTTGAATGCGTCAACTTGTCAGGCATGCCTATCACGACCATTCCCGAGCGGACAGGGCCTGCATTCGCCAATCTCACTCGCATCGCACTGTCGGACGCTCGAGTCACGGCGTGGCGCGATATTGACAATCTCGCAGACTGGACAGGCGGCAAGCTCCAAAACTTGCGTATTTCGTGTGCCGTATCGCACGAGGAGGAAGAGGCGATAGTGGAGGAATCACCGTCACGGGCCATTGACCCCCTGCACATGTCTGGAGAACCGCGTTCCGACCGACCCATCCTGGTGGCAAAGCTGGGCGCGTTGACAATGCTCAATTCCACAACAGTGAGTTGAGGGTCGGTCCGCTCAACTCTCTAACACCCAGGTCACATCTGCCGAGCGCTGGGACGCCGAGCTGTACTACATCCACTACGTCGACCACCTCCCTGCAACAGTACCCACGTCTACGTGGGGCCGCTACGACGAGCTGGTCAAGCTGCACGGTCCGGCCGAAAAGGCCAAGCCGGCACAGACGACGCTCAAGTCCAAGCTCATCAACGTCAACGTCATCCCGCCATCGGGCCAGACGTTTACGCTGCGTGTCCTGCCCTCGGCTCCCGTCAGCATGTTTCAGAAGAAGGCGGCGCGGACGATGAAAGTCGCCGAGGTGACGGTGTGTACCGCCCGCCGCCACGACGCCGTCATGGGCCTCTGGGAGCCGGTGGAGGAGATGGAGGAGGGGAGAGAGGTTGGGTACTATGTCACGGAGGGGGATTATGTCGTAGCTGTTGTGTAGCATATTGCATGGAGTGAGGTTTGTGGCACAGAAGCAAGGAACAAAAAAGAAAACGATGTTGCATCTTTATATGTATCACCCGGTAGAACACCTTCCAGGGTCCATCTGTCTCACGATTATTACCAGCTTTTCTAACTCTACGTGTTTTCTACTTCTGGTAGGTGGTCGTGACGTTCTTGTTACGACCGAGGCCGAGGGCCGCAGCGACGTTGAACGCAATGTCAACGTTGGAGTGGACGCCGCGGAAGAGCTCGGCGCCGGGGCCCCAAGCGTAGATGGGCACGTCGACGAGCGAGTGCACGCCCTGCGCCTCGGTGCCGTCCATGTTTCCGGTCATGCCAAACCCATCGGGCTTGTCGTCCGGGTTGAAAAAGTATCCGCTGCCGGCCTCGGCGTTCTTGGTGGCGGGGATACGCTCGTGCTTGGTGGCGGTGCGGAAGTCCTCGCGCTTGTCGGGGAAGGCCGCCCAGCCGTGGGCAATGGCGTAGCGCGGGTCCCAAGTGACCGGGAAGCCGCTGCCCTGCTCGCCGGTGAAGACGGTGTGGTTGGTGGCCAGGACGTCGTCGGGGACGACGTAGTCGGACAGACCAGAGTTGATGTACGCGCCAATGGCGTCGCGCTTCTTGCGGTCGGTGGTCTGCTTGGCGAGGTACTTTGTGTCGGCCGAGCCAAACACGTCAAAGCCGTGGCCGTGGTCGGCGGTGACGACGATGAGGGTGTTGTCGAGCTCGCCAATCTTCTTGAGGTGCTCGAGGGTTGCGCGGATGGTGTCGTCGAGCTCGAGGAGGTCACCGAGAGCGCGCTGGGTGTCCTGGACGTGCATCTCCTTGTCTGCGGGTGGGTGTTAGCTGCAAGGACGGCGGAATCAATGATCAAGTAAGACTCACCAATCAAGGCGGCCTCAGAGAAGAGGGCCCATCCAGTCTTGCGCTTCTTGGCACGGGTGGAGAGCATGTCGACGGCCTTGAGAGTCATCTCCTTGAGACCGGGCTAAAGGGAAGGCATGTCAGCAGGCATATAGCGGACACACTTCTTGCGCCACTTACCTGGTCGTACGCTCCCTGGGTTCCGTCGGGCTGGATGGCATTGGCCAGAGTGTCGGGGTAGACATTCTTGTCGAGCCATGTGCTGAGGTTACCCCTGGTGAAGATGCCCAGGGCGCGCTGCGCGTTGTCAAAGGCCTGGAGCTGGGTGTTGTTGAATCCGACCTGGTAGCCGTGCTCGGCCCAGCGGTCAAACTGCGACACGTTGCCGTTGCCGGGTCCGGGAAGGAAGTTTTCGGCACCACCGCCAAAGAGGAGGTCGACACCCTGCCAGGGGAACCAGCTGTAGTTGCCGCTCACACCGGTGAGGTACTGCTCAATAATGGCCGTGTACTGCGAACGCTGCGAGGTGTGGGTGCAGACGGCGGCAGGGCTCGCGTCGGCAATGTACGCCTTGCTGACCACACCGATCTGCATACCAAGGGTCCTGCGAGCCATCTCAAAGACGGTCTCGACCTTGGGAGAGCCAAAGGCGTTGCCGGTCGAGGTATACATGTTGAGGCCGTTGACGGTCATCTTTTTGCTAATTTTGTCAGCCTTTTTTCGGGATTTTATTTTATTTTCGGAGGGGGGTTTTTTTTTTGTTTTCCCTTCGTTCCACCTACCCAGTGAACAGAGCCGACGCCGAATTGGCCGAGTCTGTAATGAACGAGTCAAGCGAGTGGGTCATCTGCAGACCAAAGGCCTCGGCCTCATCCATCTTGAGCATGGTCTGGTACTTTCCGTTGATGGTCTTGTGGGCGAGGAGACGCGCAGCCGAGACCATGGACCCGGCCATGCCGTCACCCAGGAAGAAGATGATGTTCTTGGCCTTGGGCTTCTTGGGGAGGGGCAGAACAGTCCAAGTAGCAGTGGTCTGCATGCCGTTGTTGTAGGTGAACACGACGTGGTACTCTCCAGGCTGGTGGAGCTGGATGTTGCGGTACGACTTGGCGAGGACGTTGACGGGCGTGGCGGCGCCTTCCTCCTTGGCAAAGAGGTCCTCAAAGTAGGTAAAGTTGTACGACTCGACTGCAAGACCGTTAGCCTCTTGAAAGTGGAGGTCAAAGGCTCACCCTCGGCATCGGCCTTGATGCCGAAGAACTTGGTCACGTCCTGGAGCTTGGAGCCCTTGGAACCGATCTGGAGAGTAAAGTCGGGGCTGGGGACACCATTGTTGTAAGCCTCCGATCCGTTGACGGGAGCCTGGACTTCGACGCGGATGTCAAAGGTCTGGCCGGCGATGAAGTCGACCTGGTCGGGCGGGTACACACAGCCGAGCTTGGGGCAGGCGGCAGAGCGACGGAACGTCTGCGCAGTGGCAGTACCGGCCACGAGGACAGCGGCCAGGAGCTTGAAGGCGACCATTGTCGGAGGTCGATTTTCTGTGAGTGAAGAGTGGCAGAGCTGCTGGAGAGCGCTTCTTGTGCCGCTACAGTCGAGCTATATATGCCACAAAGGTGCAAGTGCCTGCGTATCTGATAGTCCATGCCCATGGGTTGCGTCACTCCAGACTACAGCGTACGAGTTGGGATGACTCTGCGTCTGTGTGGTCTTGGCATCGACCGTTTTACCATCCTACATCCAGAGAGGCGTGTGGACGTGTGGGCATTAGTGAAGAACGTGGTCAATGGACCACTAGGCCCACTAGGTAGGCGCTCCTCGCGTATCCGCCACTATTCCGCTCGACCAGGCACCCACAGTCGCTTGTGGACAACGTGCCGCACAGTTGCGGAGCATGCGGAGCTCAACCACGCCGGTCTGTGCACTGGAAGGAGCTGTGAGAAGGGGGCCTTCCCCGGACATGGTCCTGACGAACATGACGATCGGGCCTGTGTCGGCCGCCAAAGCTTGTTGGATGGACTTGATCTCGGCAACAGTGGCAGTTCCTCGCGGCACCGCGGAGTCCGTGGGTTCGGAGCATCAGTTCAGTAAGTGAGGGGGTAGATCATAGCAGGACGTCAGAACACATTTAGCACGTTTGTGGCCTTCTCGCTTGAGCGCTTGACAGCCACACATGAGAGCATGGGCGAGTGAGGACAGAGGTTTGGTTGAATGCCAAGCCAAGCCGTGCGCCAGCCCGCATGGCGCCAGCTGTTGGCCCACTTGTCCCGCGTAGCATGGCGAACGAGGAGGAGAGGAGGGTGCCGCCGGGGCACATGCATGGGTCCTGGTTGAATGGGTCATGTCGCAATGCCAAGAACCACCATTCGAGCGATACAAGAGACACGTTTGCCTCGTCAGCGAATAACGTGCCGCCCAGCTCGTCATATCTCGGTCCGTTCAGTGTATCGTCAGGCACGGCGCACAACGCCGCCGCCGCCGTCCACACCTTTTTTTCCGGATGTTGCTAAACCACTCTGCAGGAGGGGTCTCTGTTCAGCATGCAGTAGACGTCATGCTGAGAGGTGCAGAGCATTGGTTCCGTAATACACCTAGTTGTGAAGATCTGCTAGTGCTGAGACTAGCGACCATGGGCGAGCAACTAGGCCTTGTCCTGCTGGAAACCGTCCGCGCTAAGCAGTCAAAGAGATCCCATACGCCCTCTCCCCAGATCCGCCCAGAGCTCTGAAGAGTGCACAGACTGGAAAGCGGGGGGCATACGGTATGCAAGGCATCATTCTGTGACTTCATGCGACTCTGGTTCCATTGGCAAAGTGTTTGCTAAAGGTCGACAGGGAAATGGTAGGCAGAGAGAGAAATGTCCGGAAGCGCAACTCGCCGTCCGACCTACCACACGCCCGACACAACACATGTGTCTGTCGTTTCTCAATGTCTGGATCATCATACGCGTCATGAAATCACAGCCCTTGCCATGCAGTGGAATGTCTGTCTCTGATATGGTACAGGCAAGCAACGTTGCGGTGTGGCATTCAGATATTCAGCGGTGCCAAGGGCGGGCTGAGGCGAGCGCATGGGCCAGTCAGGTGGTGGCTGCATGTCATGATCTGTCACCTCCTAGCCCTCCCGGAGGCGCCGTTGCCGTACTGCTGTGGAGCACAGAGTGGAACGGGGCTGGCACGTTAGAATGTAAGCCCGGGGGTGAGCTGGGCCTTACCCCGTGTGGTAGAACGCTGCAATAGCGCCAGCGCCAGACGCAGGACAATGAGGAGGGGGGGCGGAGGAGTGAACGGAAGAGGGAAAGGAAAAAGGCTTGGCACCGACACTTTATCATCCTGCCAAGCAGCCATCCAGTCTTGGCACTGTAGAAACGTGCTGCTCAGTCGACGAGTCGTGGCACCTCGTCTACATGTGTACCTGCTAACCGATGCACGTTCGAAGACTGATTTCAGCTTCTGAGACCTGTTCTGGACATAGTGCGCGGAAAGTAGAGCATGTTGCCGCTTGGGCGGTGTGGCTGCAAAGTCGGTCGTCTGACAACCGTGAACCGTCTGGTCGTTCAAAAAGAGCGCCTGTCAGCGAGTGGTCTGGTTCTTCATCCCGTTCCCCGCCAACCCAACCACAGCCACACTCTCTCACAATGGCATACTTCCACGAGTATGACTGGATCTTCGCCATCGGCCTGCTTTTCGCGGCCCTCGATGCCTTCAACATTGGTGCCAACGATGTGGCAAAGTGAGTCGTGTGACTTGCCCCCCCGCGGGGTCGGAGCGAAAAACAGCCACTGACCCAGCGCAGCTCGTTCGCCACTTCGGTGTCGTCGCGCTCGTTGACGATGCGCCAGGCCATCGTTCTCGCTGCCATTTGTGAATTCCTCGGTGCCGTGCTTGTTGGTGCCAAGGTCGCCGGTACCATCAAGAACGGTATCATTTCGCTCAAGGTCTTCCAGGGCAACGCCGGCGTTGAGATGCTCGCTTTCACCTGTGCCCTCGTTGCCTCTGCCACTTGGCTCATGATCGCCACCAAGAAGTCGTGGCCCGTCTCGACCACCTACTCGATTGTCTCTGCCCTCGCCGGTGTTGGTGTCGCCCTCGACGGCCCCTCGGCTGTCCAGTGGGGCTGGAACAACGGCAAGGGTCTCGCCACCATCTTTGCTGGCTTTGGCATTGCCCCCGCCATCTCGGCCGGTTTCGGTGCCATTGTCTACCTCATCACCAAGTACGCCGTGCTTGAGCGCAAGAACTCGGTCAAGGCTGGTCTCATGATCTCGCCCTTCTACTTCTTCACTGTCGTCGCCGTCCTCACCATGTCGATTGTGTACAAGGGCTCGCCTTCGCTCAAGCTCGACAAGCTCCCCAAGACCACCATTGCCCTCGCCATTGTCCTCACTGCCCTTGTCGTTGCCATTCTCTCCATGATCTTCTGGCTCCCTTACGTCTACTGCAAGGTCGTTCGCAAGGACAGCAGCATCCGCTGGTACCACTTCTTCTTCGGCCCCTTGCTCTGGAAGCGCCCTGTCCCCGCCCAGGACGAGACCAAGGCCCACGTCGTCGACTACCGCGTCCACGGCCGCGACGACGGCCACGTTGCTGGCACTGACGTCTTCGCCGAGACTGCCGCTGCTGCCCCCTCGCCCGTTCAGACCAAGGGCTCGGACATTGAGGCCGAGGCCGACCTCGAGGGCAAGGAGCACCGCACCGAGCCTTCGTCGCCTACTCTCCGCCCCACCGCCGAGGTCCCCCTGGCCGAGCTTGAGGACGACTCGCGCAAGATTATCGGCGCCTGGTACCTCCCCCGCAACCTCTGGGTCCTTGTCCGCTACCAGATCCCCAAGGTCATCCTCTACGGTTCGTCGATCGACATCCACAAGGCCCAGATGGGCAACGCCCAGGAGAGCGACCGCATCCACGAGATGCACACCCGCGCCCAGCAGTACGACAACGAGACCGAGCACCTGTACTCGTTCCTCCAGGTCCTCACTGCGTGCACCAACTCGTTTGCCCACGGCTCCAACGACACTGCCAACGCCGTCGGCCCCTTTGCTGCCATCTACTACATCTGGAGCACCTCGTCCGTCACCCCGGCCAACACCCCTACCCCTACCTGGATTCTCGCCTTTGGTGCTGCCATGCTCGTGATCGGTCTCGCCACTTACGGCTACAAGATCATGGTTTCGCTCGGTAACCGCCTCACCATGCACTCGCCTTCGCGCGGTTTCTCCATGGAGCTCGGCTCGGCCATCACCGTCCTCCTCGCGTCGCAGTACGGTATCCCCGTCTCGACCACCATGTGCATCACCGGTGCCACCGCCGGTGTCGGCCTCGTCTCGGGTGGCCCCAAGGCCATCAACTGGCGCGCGTTCGGCTACATTGTCCTCGGATGGGTCCTCACCGTCCCCGTCGCCGGTACCGCTGCCGGCTGTCTCATGGGCATGCTCCTCAACGCCCCCCACTGGTAGACGATGTAGAAAAACACAACCCCGAAAAATTATATCTGGAGTCTTTGGTCTCCAAATCCCCGTAGAGTTTCCCCACGCCGATTTCCTTCTTTATTTTCATAATCCGCACACGTTGGGTCTGTCGTACATTAGGGTACCAGACGAATGCCACCATCAATGCCTCAGCATAAAAAACACGAGAAGCTGCAACAGAGGGGGTCTGGGTCGTTGCAAGTGGTCGTTATTGGGAAGACGTTTTTTTTTTGGCACCTGGCGTATGTCCTCACTTCAACTGTCACAGGCAGAGATGGTGGGGGTACAGACACCGCTGTGGCATTGTTCATTGTCTCCTTTCGTTCTCGCCACAGTTCTTCGTTCCCACATCCCTTTTCGTAAAAACCCACTTGCAGCAGCGAATGACCCTGCCATTTCTTCCCCTCCCAACACCTCCTGGTTCTACCCGCTCCAAGCACGTGAGAGTCGACTCCGACTACATGACCAACTCCCCACACCATTCGAACAAGAAAGCAGACTAAACCCACTGTACATTCCACTAACTAACAACGTGCGCTCTTGTTGTGAAGGTTCTTCATTTCTCGAAAGCAACAACATAGAACCTGCTCGGCGACTGAGCTAAACGCCCCAGGCCATGCTCCATCTCCTTTAATCTCCGTTTGCCGGCCGAGCGGGGTGTGCCGCCTGTGATGAGGAAAGGCAGTGAAGCGAGTGATGCCAGTAAAGCTAGTAGTGAAGCGAACACGACACATGCATGCCTCCCACGGCGTTGGACATGGAGTGACTGCAGAAGAGTGTAACCTGGTGGGACTGTCGGGCATGGCCGACAAGGTGTGCACGCGCGCATTATGACGACGCGGCTAGTCGAATTAACCGGCCGCTTCTGGGTGGTGGCCGTGAACGCTCGTTCCAGCAACGGACCAGCCCGTGCGTTTACATTCTGGCCATATCAACGCACCTCTCGCTCGTGCTCACACACCCACGCTGTGCCCGGTCACCTACTGCTCTCTACACGAACAACACTACCCTCTCCCACGCTTTGCAACCATGCCCCAGACGTGGTCGACGTTCCCCCACCGCCCCCAGTTCCCGATCCACCCGTTCGTCCCGTGGGTCAGCGACGGGGACATTGACGACCTCAAGGCGCGCCTGTTCACGCCGCCCAAACGCGCGCAGACATGGGACAACGTCAATGGGCCCGCAAGCCTGGGCGTGAGGCATGCATGGGTCGACGAGGCCGTCAAGCGCTGGCAGGTGTTTGACTGGTGAGTCCGGGGCGGAGGCGCGCTTTGTTGTTGTCGTCGTCGTCGTCTTGACCTTTGCTCACACCTGTCTCCCCCCAGGCGCACCGTCGAAGCCGAGATTGCCCAGTTCCCCGGGTTCCGCGCATACGTCGATTTCGAAGGCCACACGTACGCCGTGCATTTCCTCGCGCTGTGGAGCCAAAAGCCCGACGCGGTGCCCATCGTCATGTCGCATGGGTGGCCCGGGTCCGTGCTCGAGTTCACGCCGCTGCTCAAGCACCTGACGGAGACGTACGCGCCTGCGACGCTGCCGTACCACGTCCTCGTGCCCAGCCTGATCGGGTACGGGTGGTCGTCGCCCCCGCCGCTGGACCGGCCGTTCTCGAGCCGGGACAACGCCGGGATCTGGGACGCACTGATGCGCGGACTGGGGTTCAGTAAGGATAAAGGACGCGGATACCTCGCGCAGGGCGGCGACATTGGGTCGTTTGTCACGCGCCAGCTGAGCCAGCACGAGAGCTGTCTGGGTGAGTGTGGAGAGGCGTGGCTCGTGGCTCACACACCACAGGGATCCACCTCAACTTTTACCCGCTGCTCAAGTCCAAGAACCTCAAGATGGCCGACCTCGACGCCGTGGACCAGCAGGCCATGAAACGCGCGCAGACATGGGAAGCCGTCGGCCTCGGATACTTGGTCGAGCACGCCACCAAGCCCGGCACCATTGGCGCCGTCCTGGAGTCGTCTCCGCTTGCGAGCCTGGCCTGGATCGGCGAAAAGCTCATGCACGCACGCGTGCCCGACCCCATCGAGTTTGTGCTCAAGGAAGTGTCCCTGTACTGGTTCACCAACACGCAGGCAACCTGTTTGTGGGAGTACAGGGCTGGGTGGGGGCCAGACAAGCGCCCGCAGGACGCCATGCCGGCGTACATCTCCAAGCCGATGGGCTACTCGCAGTTTGCGCTCGAGATTTACCCCACCCCAATCTCGATGGTCAAGGAGCGCGCAAACGTCGTGTGGGCGAAACGCCATGCCGATGTGAGTGTCTGCTGGGTCTTGCGTAATGGATTTAGCTGACAGGATACCCCCCCGCAGGGCGGCCACTTTATCGCGCTCGAGCAGCCTGTGACGCTGTGGAAGGACGTGGCGGCGTTTGCCGACCAAGTGGTCCCCGCCAAGAGCAAGCTCTAGGTGATGAGCCCGTGGCGGTGGTCGTGTCGGAGGGGAGAAGAGAAACCCCAGCCAGCAGCAAGAGTGGCAGTCGGCAGACAGTAACAACTAGTCAGTAGTCAGTAAGCAGCAGTCGGTAGTCTTATGCGTAGTTTCCAAGTCTCCTTGTTGATGCAGTTCTCGTGGATCTTGTACAATGCTGCTCTGCTCGAGCACACCAGCGCACGGACACACTGGCACACCAGCACACATCGGAACAGTCAATATGCATACACGGGGTGGTGGTGGTTTCGTAATATCTAAATCGCCAAAAAAAATGACCCAACCAAAGCGAGCGAGGAAGAAGGTGCGTGACAGTTGCAGTTGCAGTGGCAGCTGCCTCACGCGCCTCTCAAGCCTCCTGCTTGTCGGCAACCTCGAGGTTCTCGGCCTTGGCCGTAATGTCCTTGACACTGTCGATGGGCTTGTCGTCGCTGCCCTCGGCCTCGCCGACGGTCATCTTGACCTCGCCGTCCTCGGTCTCGGTGACCTTGATGTTGGGGTTGTCGTCGCCGCCCTCGGCCTTCCAGAGGAAACCCTCGATCCAGCCCGCGACCTCCTCCTTGCCCTCACCGGCGAAGATGGCCTCGGCGAACGCGTCGCGGTCCGCAGCGTTCTTCTGCTGTGGCAGGTGTCAGTGGGTGGGCAAATGGGCAAGGGGAAGAGGGATGTGGGGGTGTGGTCGGTGAGGTCGCGCATGGGTGAGGTCGCATTGCCATATTCCAGCCTCGTCCAGGTGCTTGGCCATTGAAGCCTGCTCGACCCAAGCTGCCACCATCGTTCGTCTTCTACCCAGTGGCAAGACCACCCAACCATGCCCGCCACCAACTCTCTCCACAAAACGACAACACTCACGTGCAGAAGCTGGATACCGCCGCCACGCGCCTCGGGAACGTCGACGAGGGCCGACACGCACGCGACGTGGTTGTTGAGGACGGCCCAGTGGATGGGAGGCGAGCCGGCCTCGTTGGTGGCCTGCAGCGCCGCGGCGGGGAGGTGCTCGAGGAGGACCTGGAGGACATCTGTGGGTGGTCAGGTGAGGTTGGCCATGGTGTGCGCGTCAGGTGAGGTGAAGGTGAAGGCGACGGCGACGGCGACAGCGGAATGCAGCCGACTGCTGTGTCCATTCCGCTGCAACCAAAGATCTTGTATCTTTTCCCCTGCTTTGCTCCTCTTTCCTCTTCCTCGCCTCCCCCTTCTCCTCTTCTCTTCTACTCACCCAGGTGTCCGTTACCGCATGCCATGTGCAGCGTCGAGTTTCCGCGCTCGTCCCGTGCGCCTGCGAGGGCGTCCCATCCGTACTGCTCGCCAAAGGCCTTGATCTCATCGACCTCTCCGAAGCGGGCCGAGAGGAGAATGTCGTCGAGCTCCTCCTGGGTGGGTGTAGGCTTGGCCATGGTGTGGGTGTGTGTGGGGTTGTAGAAGGGATATGAGGTTGAGTAGTTGGATTGACTCGTTGGGTGGCAATTGGGTGTCATGGTTTCAATATTTTGCATGCTCGTTCATCGCGCGCCACGTGCGCCGGTGGAGGTGGTGAACGGTGGTTGGAGGGAAATGTGTCCCCCAGGTGTCATACAAAAGCTGGTGACACAAGACCCAAAGACCGATGGACGGCGTTGTCCTGCAGCCTCTTCCCCCCCCCCCCCCCCCCTTCCGGCATCGGAGACACCCGCCCCAGGCTGCATGCTCTCGGTTAACACGTTAACAGGCTCCACCACGGCAGCCACGACAGGACGCACGCTGAGCGCTGCACGGCCCGTTTCTCTAGGGCCTACGAGGCCTTGTCTGCCCCGCGTAGGGGTTTCGCTGTGGGGAGTGGGGGGAGGGGGAGGTGTGTTTTGCTTCTTTTGTGTGTTCGCGTGTGACGCGTGTGCCCGGTTTCTGCGGCTGTCTGTCTGGCTGACTGCATCTGCCGGCGGCTCTGTCGGTGGCTGTGTCTGTCTCCCGCGATCTCTCGGTGCCTCTTCGGCGCGTTTGCACACCCGGGGGAAACAGGAATGAGGGGGATGGTGTGCAAATGGCGAGTCGACGCGTCTAGTAAGCGACGGGTGTGCGATGGTGTCCCGAGTTGTCAAGAGCACACACAGCAGAGTGGTGCACAGATGGATGCTATTCATTGGGATCAAAGTATGCCTGGGTATGCATACAGGGGAGACGAGGTGTGTGAGCAGACAACAACTATACCCACTACCCACTCTCCCGCCGGTCCGGGATCCCGAATGGCCCACCGCGCAGCAGCAACAGCAACACGAGAGGCAATCGGCCGATGATGCCATCGTCCATCGTCGTGGGCCGCCGGGTACGCGCGCGCGCAGAAAAAAAAAAAGGAGGAAAACATCGACGAGATGGGCACCGGAAAAACCCTGTATATAAAATGGTAATCGGCACAATTGCCGGTAATTAGCGGGGGTATATCGTGTATTGCATTTTGTCTAATCCCATTTGAATGTGAGCCCATGGAAGGAACCGCTCCGGGACAATTTCCTGGCAAAGACCTCGACTGAGTAGATTTCCTGAGACTGTCGCTTTCCTGGCATCTCCGAGTCGGGCCAAGCGGGGGAGGCAGGAGGGGGGGACCGTCGTGTAAAGCCATCTCATCTCTCTCTCTCTCTCATCTCTCCATCCCCACATCTCTCTCACGCACCTCTCCACGATGCTCACCGCTGCCACCCGCACCGCCCTCCGCCTCCGCGGCACCCCCGCCATGGCCCGCTCCGTCTCCGTCTGGGCTTCTGTCAAGGCCGGGTAAGTAGTTTGCCTTTTTGTCGTCGGCCGGCCGCCGCCCACCCTCGTGCTCTCGAGTACCCAACCTGGGCGGCCGCCTACCGCAAGTGCAGCAGCAGTAGCAGCAGCAGCTGACGCGCCGTCCACAGCCCCCCCGACGCCATCCTTGGTATCACTGAGAACTTCAAGGCCGACACCTCGCCCAAGAAGATCAACCTCGGTGTCGGTGCCTACGTGAGTGTGCTTCTGTTGTGACCCGCCAGCAGCAGCACTAACACTCACCTCCAGCGTGACGAGAACGGCAAGCCCTTCGTCCTCCCCTCGGTCGCCAAGGCTGAGGAGATCCTCTTTGCCCAGAAGGGTGACAAGGAGTACCTCCCCATTACTGTGAGCCAACACACCGACCACCACGACAAACGACACCGACGCTGACACGTGCAGGGTCTTGCTTCGTTTGACCAGCTCGCCGCCGAGCTCGCCTACGGTGCCGAGTCTGCCCCCATCAAGGAGGGCCGCGTGAGTACAGCTTGAAACTCATCGACAGTGCCCCCCCAGCTGACGCCGTGCCCTTCAGCTCGCCGTCACCCAGACCCTCTCGGGTACCGGTGCCCTCCGCATCGGCATGGAGTTCCTTGCCGAGCACTACCCCAACAAGACCATCTACATCCCCAACCCCACCTGGGGCAACCACACCGCCATTGCCAAGCGCGCCGGCCTCCAGTCGGAGAAGTACTCGTACTTTGACCCTGCCACCGTCGGCCTCAACTTTGAGGCCATGAAGAAGGACATTGAGAACATGCCCGAGGGCTCGATTGTCCTTCTCCACGCCTGTGCCCACAACCCCACCGGTGTCGACCCCACTGTCGAGCAGTGGAAGGAGCTCTCCAAGGTCGTCAAGGCCAAGAAGCACTTTGCCTTCTTCGACATGGCCTACCAGGGCTTTGCCTCGGGTGACATCAACCGCGACGCCTTTGCCGTCCGCCACTTTGTCGAGGAGGGCCACCAGATCCTCCTCTGCCAGTCGTTTGCCAAGAACCTCGGTCTCTACGGTGAGCGTGTCGGCACCGTCTCGCTCGTCACCGCCTCGCCCGAGGAGAAGGCCCGCGTCGACTCGCAGCTCAAGATCATCATCCGCCCTTCGTACTCGAACCCCCCTATCCAGTGAGTCAAGCAGGCTTTCCTCCCCTCCCCTCCTCAGACGTATACCTAACTCTCTCTCCCAGCGGCGCCCGCCTCGTCTCCACCATCCTTGCCTCGCCCGAGCTCAAGGCCCAGTGGCTCTCCGAGGTCAAGCTGATGGCCGACCGCATCATCGACATGCGCGAGAAGCTGTACAACAAGCTCGTCGAGCTCAACACCCCCGGCGAGTGGGGCCACATCAAGTCGCAGATCGGCATGTTCTCGTTCACCGGCCTCAAGCCCGAGCAGGTCGACGAGCTCGCCCAGAAGGCCCACATCTACCTCACCCGCGACGGCCGTATCTCCATGGCCGGCCTCAACAACTCGAACATTGAGTACTTTGCCGAGTCGGTCTCCAAGGCCGTCAAGGGAGAGCTCTAAGTGTGTGTTGGGGGTTGGGTTGGTTTAAAACGACACACACACACACACACACAAAGGTAGCGTCTCCGCCACTGTATTATTCGTATAAAAGCAACAACAACGACAACGGGGGACGCCGTTCGTTTCCTCTTTGTCTCTTGTTTGCTGGGTGTGAAGAGAAAAAAACGGGCATAGCGTAGGATATGCCTGGATTATAGACGTAGATGCGCATGCAGTCGTCAATGTCTGGAAACGATGGATGTCTGGAAACGGACTTGGCCGTTGGGTAGAAGGCGGAAGCAAATTGGCCACAGTGGGCCGGCCGCTTAAGCGGTGAGCCGAGGGCCCGGAGACGGCAGCAGAGAAGGGGGGGGATTGTTCACGCCGTCCGTTGTGTCGCCATCCGGAACATCTCCATCCTCCATCTCCTCCATCGCACTCTCCATCGACGTCGACGGCAGCCCACACCATGGACGCATCAGGCTCCAGGCAGGACCTCGTACGCAATGCCGTCCTCTTCCTCCAGGACCCAAAGGTGAGCACCCCGAGACCCACTCGCCCACCTATACCCACACGACCCCAACGACCCCACCCGTTCTGACATTCTTCTCCTCCCCTCTCCACAGGTCCAATCGTCCCCGCTCGCACAGCGCCTAGAGTTCCTCCAGAACAAGGGCCTCACCGAGCCCGAGATCCAGCAGGCGCTCGGCGAGGCCGCCAACCCGGGCTCGACGCTAGCCCCCGCACCACCCACGTCGTCGGCGCCAGTCGCCCCGCCGGCATACGCCCGCGCCCAGCAGGCGCCCGGTGCGGCCTCGCAGCAGTACGGGTACGGGTTTGCGCAGGCGTATGCGCAGCCCATCGCGCCGCCCGAGCCACCCAAGCGTGACTGGCGTGATGTGTTTGTGAGTAGAAGAGAGAGAGGGAATGAGTGTTGGTTGTGCTGACGGGATTTTCAGATCATGGCCGTCGTGTCCGGTGGTGTCGCGTACGGTCTCGCCGCGCTCGCGAGGGTGAGTTGTGCCAGGCGGACATAGACTAAGCGACTGTCAACTCACGCTTTCAGAAATACCTCGTCCCCCACCTCAAGCCGCCTTCGTCCACGGCCTTCCAGGAGACGTCTGCCGAGCTCACGACGCAGTACGACCAGGCGCAGACTGCGCTCGACGAGCTGCGTGCCGAGACGGCCGCGCTGGCCGCCAGCGCCGAGGGCGAGCGTGTGCGCGTGGCGTCGGCGCTCGACGACGTCGAGGCCGCGGCCCGTGCGGTGCGCGACGCCGAGCAGCGGTGGCGCGACGACATGCGCGAGGTCCGCGGCGAGGTCGAGAGCGTCCGCGAACTGGTCCCGCGCATGATTGAGAAGCACGCCGGCGCGCAGAGCGCCGCGCTCACGGAACTCCAGAACGAGCTGCGGTCCCTCAAGACACTGCTCGTCGCGCGCCAGGGCGCCGCGGCCGCGACGGCGGCGGCTGTCGCGACGCCAGTGGTGACGGACACGGCGGCCGTGAGCGGCACGTCGTCGCCGGCGCCGGTGCCCACGCCCACGCAGGCCGCGGCCAACGCCCTCCTCGCGCCCCGCGGCAAGGCCAGCATCCCGGCCTGGCAGCTCGCCGCGCCCGCGGCCAACGGGTCGAGCGCGAGCGTCGCGTCCACGGTCCCCAGCACGACTGCTAGCGCCAGCGCGTCCGGCGCGTCCAGCCCCACCAGGGAGTAGGGCGTAGGGAGTAGATAGGAGAGAGAGAGAGAGAGAGGATATATATGTAGTAGTGCGCCAACGGTGATACCTTGGCCCCGGGCATAGCAGGCGCAGCGTGTAGATAGGACTCCAGAGAGGCAGGTTGCATGATTTCTTATGTGAATGACAAATCCAGCTACCCCAGGCGTCCCCGTCCATGCCCCCAATGCTCATGCGCTCATGCTTGATTAATGTCGATGTGCTTACAGCGCGATGCCGTCGTCCGTGCCACTGCCCCCGCCGTCAAGACCCCACCTACACGGCGCGTTCCGTCCCCGCCCCGGACCCCGATGACAACGGCGCCGCCGCCGGAATCGCCTTCCAGTCATGTAACAGCTGGTCGACGTGCTTGTCCACATGCCGCACATGCTCGTGGCCATGGAGCAGCGTGTCGGTGTCGCCGTCGTCGGCTGTTGTGGACGTGGACGTCGCCGCGTCCACCATGCCACCCCCACTGCCGCCACGTGCTGCGGGCGGGGACGGGGACGGGGACGGCCCAGCGGGCGCGGGCACCGTCGCGTACAGCGACGAGAGGAAGACGCCAAAGGCCACAAAGCCCGCAATGATGGCTGCGTAAGGGTGTCAGCTGGGCCGCTGGGCCGCTGGGCCGCTCGGTGTGCAAGTAGCAGCAGAACGGCACGCGCCACTCTCCGCCACTCTCCACTCACCAATGGCGCGCCGCGTCGAGTCCCACTTGACGCCCTCAATGGCGGTCTGGAGGTCGCCGAGGTGGATGGTAAACTTGTTGTTGAGCTCCTCGGTCGCCATGTCGTAGCGCTTCATGTCGGCCCGGGTCTGTTCTTTGCGGTCGTTGATGTCCATCTCGATCCTGCGAGACGCAAGTGAAGTGTGTCAGTTTTTGAGTATGTAGCTATGGGCGGTCAAGGCCGTATCAGCTGCCTTCTGGTGTACCCACTCGTGGCGCATGTCCTGCAGGTCCCCCTTCATCCGCTGGTCGACATTGTCCACTTCCCGCCGCATGGCGGTCGCCTTGGAGCGCAGTGCTTCGCCGGCGGTGCGTGCCCGGATAGACTGCTCGGTACGCAGTTCCGAGAGCGCCGCTTTGAAGTGGTAGTCCCACTGTGTTGTGTCAGCGGCGTGCCAGTGCCACGCGGGATGCAGCTTGTGCCTCTGCTGTGCCCTCGAACAGTACAGCCAAAGCAAAGCTCTCACGGCGGGCTGACAGACCGGCGCGCACACTCCTACTCACATTGTCCAGGTCCTCTGTACTCAACACTTTACCCAACACCTCCTCGCTGCGGCCGACCAGCAGCCCGCGCGCGCCCTTCATGAGCTCCTTGGCGGGCGCCGAGTCGATGCCGGCGCGCTCGAGGCGCGAGATGAACGCATACGTGTCGAACGGGTGCGGGTGCCGTGGCGGCTTGGACACGGGTTCTGGGAGGGAGACGGGTGGTATGACGGTGGCGAGGGTTGTCGCCGCCGCTGGGTCGATGTCAGGAGGTGGCTCAGAGGTAGATGGAGGGTCGGTCGGGATCGGCGTGGCCGTCGGGGCCGGGGCTGGGGTCGTGGACGGTCCGTCAGAGGTAGGAGGCACGATGGAGCTGGGTGTTTCTGGCTGCGTTGCTGAAGAGCTGGACACGGCGCCCATGTCTGGCCGGCTGTTGGGGCCTGCGGCCGGATCGCGCAGTGTGTCGGCGCGCTTCTTCCTCTCGGGCTGCGGAGGAGGGTTGCTGTCGGCTCCCTCAGTCGACGGTGCGGTCGTACCCAGCAAGACTGGCGTACTCTCCAATGTCGAGCTGGAGCTGGGATCCACTCCCGCGCTCGAACCAATACCCGGGAGGGAGCTCGTCGACGGCGGCGAACTTGGGTTTGATGAGCTTGCGCCGCTCGCGCTCCCACTACCATCCCCGCCGCTCTCTGGACGCGAGTTGGGCCCAGCTGCAGGATCGCGTATCCCATCCATCCCACCAGCCGAGTCGAACGGGTGCTTGGACGCGTTGATCACGCTTGGCTGGCGGTGTGTCGCCGTCGAGACAATGCCGCGCCGGTGCAGCTGCCCGATGGCGGCGTACGTCGACGCGAGCTGTCGGTCCAACGCAACTGTCCGCAACCCCGGCCCTTCCAGTGCGCTGCTGAGCCTTGTACGTATGCTTGTGCTTGTCCTTGAACCCGCCTGTCCACGGGGCCACAGCACCGGTATCGTCAACGATCGTGTTCGGCTCCAGCTCGCCGCCGCTGATGGCGCCTTGCTGATGCGCGCAGACGCCAGCCTCGGCCGTGTGCCAGCGAGTGCACGCGTGGCCGAGCCTCTGGTCCTCGGGATGGCCCACGAGAGCATTTCCGGGCGCCGATGTGGGTTGTTGTTGTGGTTGCAAAAGTATGAGTGAGATGGAACGAGCGATATTCGGCCTCAGCGGTGAATATTTCCATGACGTCGTCGTCTGTTTTGGCTCTCTCCGTCGACGCGTAAGGCCGCCGGCAGCGACCGGGGGCCGGGGGGGCTCGTCGTTGAACACGCCGCAATGCATGGGTCATGGAGTGTTCATTGCAGAGTCACGCGACAGCGCAGTACATGGGGGAGGACTGTCGATGCATGAGAGGGGCGTCTTGCGCTGCAGAATGGGAGAATGGGCGAGGACATGAGACGTCCGGAATCGGCCGAACGACAAGAGTAACCGGGTCTTGGCCACTAACAAAGTGGTGGTGGCTGGGCACGCTGTCGTTCATCGCATATCACGTTTGCCTTTTCCTTCTTTATCGCTCTCGCGCCTTCGTTCTAGCTGGCGGCGCACCCATGATCCGTCATGCCTCCGGAGCCAGATAACACAGCCGTGGTGGACGTGAGAGGTTGTCACTTTTGCGCGTGCACGTTTGAGATAAATGGGCCGCAAAACAGGCCGGGCGATCAGTTCATCGTTTGCAACCCACCAAAAGCAGGCAAAAGGAGCGCGCACATGTGAGAGAGAGCACTGTGGGCCGGACGTCCGGCAGTGAGCAGCGCCGCGGCCGGTCCACCGCCCCCCCGTGCACGACCGACGCGCGCAAGTGGCCCAGCGATCGGCCAGCGAGTGGCTCGGAATGCGCCGCGCCGGCGCACAAAAGGGGGACGCTGGTACGCTGGGACGTTGGTGACATATGACAATAGAGAAAATAATCCGCGAGACAGTGGGTGGGGGTCCAGAAGCTCCTTCTGCGGGCGGATGTGCTGCTTGCAATGCATGCAATGGGCCATGAGTGGCGTTTTCAGGTGCATGTGGCGCGTAAGCCAGCAGCCCAGCAGCAAGCTGCAGCAGGCAGCAGCAAGCAGCAGCTCACCCGCAGCGACGTCATGTCACCCACCTCGACCCCCCGTCCCCGGGCCGCCAAGGCTGCACAAGCACCCGCCACGGAAAGCTGCTCGGGTGGGATCTGGGGGCTACTCACGCACAAGAATACTCTTCTCGCGGCAGCCAAAGGGACAGAGCCCCAAGGCAAACAGGGTGGTGGCACAATGGACATTGTTATTGCTGGGCCTGCTGGGCAACGGGGTATACCCGACACAGCCAGTGGTGTGGGCCGCTGTAGGGAGTCGATGGGGCTCATATGCCGACAAAGAGCACACACTCTCTTTGCGTACCTGTGATCCTGTGACTGCATTGCTTGCGAACGGAAAATAGAAAATGCGAGACATGACAGAGGCAAACAAGGGGGCCACGGACAGGCCTCGCGGCGCCGTCGTCGGCTCGGCGCGCTCTCGGCTAGTGGCCCAACGGCCCAACGGACGGAGGTGGGCGTGTGGGTGGGCGTGTGATGACCGTTTCCCACAACCTGAGGCTATGCTTGGGGAACTGGGGGGGCTGCTCACGAGGAGGCTCTGGAGGCTTCTGAGGTGGCGGCCAAACAGTCACCACCAAAGAGGCCGCGGTATATAACATATCGTCCAGCCGCTTTCCATTCCATCCCCATCACACTATCACAAACGCAAACCAAACAAAGCCAACCAACCCACCCACCACCACCAACCATGACCCTCTTCAACCGCTCCCCCTCGCCCAAGGTCTCGTCGCGCCGCCAGTCGCACTCGGGCCCCGTCGACCTCGAGCACTGCCCCGGCGACAAGAACGGCGCCAACAAGGACGGTAAGTGGTGTCTTGATTCGCCTCTTTGTGGCGACATGATAAACCGGGTATTGGCTGACGCGAGATTACAGAGCACTGCGTCACCGTCGACGTCGAGCGCAACGGCCTCACCTACCACCAGTGCTTCTTCTGCCGCAGGGAGGTCCAGCAGTCCGAGGCCATCCCCCCTCCCAAGCGCCAGGCCTCGCAAGGCCCCACGGCTTGCCCCTCCAACCCCGGACGTGAGTGCTGGCAAACCCCCAAAAAGACAACCCCAGGCTGACCAAACCCACAGAGAACTGCCTCTCGGTCCAGGTCAAGACTGGCGGCGCCGTTGCCTACCGCTGCATCTTCTGCCAGACCGACACTGCCCCGCTTTTTAGGAAATAAGCAGCTGTCGGGGGGTCGGCGGCCCACCAGCTACCAGCATGGCCAGCACCCACACGCTCGCCCCTTATCGGATTCGGTCCCACCCCACCCAAATTCCCCCCAAGCCACAATCATGTCCTCGACCGTTTGCTTGATTCCAACCAACCGCCGGGGACGCTAGAGTCAGCGGGGGATTTCCATTAAAGTAGCAAGCACTGTGACGAAAGATGACAAGTAATGAGAAGAAGACGACGACGACGACGGCGGCGAGGAGAATGTCAAACATCAGTCTCACAATGCTGTAAACTATCACCATACATATGCGAGTCTATGTGTAATTGAGCACGAGAGGGGGGGCACGGCACACCGAATGAGAACATTTGAGCAATACGCAACGTTTGCTGCTGCTGCAGGGTCTACTGGCCACGAGCGTGCCAGATGCCGACCTCGCCATCCTCGCCGCCGGCGACGAGCACCTCGCCGTCCCAGGCGGTAGCGAGGAGACGCTCGCCGAGCACCTTGCCGTTCTTGGTGACGGTGCGGCTGCTCTCGTCGCGCTTGCGCTGGACCGAGAACAGGGCGTGCTTGGGCGACCGCACGTCCCAGATCTGGCACGCGCCGGCGTACGTCGCCGTGGCCAAAGTAAAGTTGGAGGTCGGGTGGCACGCGATCGACGGCACGGGCGAGCCGACGTTGAGCGTCTGCGCAATGACCGACGTGGCCTGGCGCGTGTCCCAGAGCGTGACGGTGCGGTCCATCGAGCCTGCGGCGAGCGTGCCCGAGGGGCCAAACTGGTCCACACAGAGGAGAGCCTTGTCGCTAGGTCCTTGCTGCGAACGGTCAGTGTGGGTTCCCCGTGAAAACATTCTGCCAGTGGTTGTGGTATCAAGGTGTGAGAGTTTATGCTGGAACACCTTGGCACAATCACACCCGGGGTACTCACCCTAACAAGAACGTTGGCGCCGCTCTCGGCGTCCCATCCACGGATGCTGCCGTCCCATCCAGCCGACCACACACGGGTCTCGTCCTCGCGGTCCCAGACAGCGCCGCCGATCCGTCCAGCGTGGCCGCGGAACACGGCGTCGGGGGCACGCCTCCATCCCTGTCCCTTGTCGCCGGTCGCGTCGCCGTCCGTCAGGCCCTCAATGATACGCTGAGCGTCGCCCTCGATCTTGCGCCTCTTCTTCTGGCCGGGGAGGTACGACGTCGGGTCGGCGGGCAGCATGTGCTCGGTGGGCTCCTCCTCGGGGAGCGCGTACAGGTGCAGGGCGCCGTCCCAGCTGGACGAGATAATGTCGCGGCCCGAAGACGAGGCGATGACGTTGGAAATGGGGCCCGAGTGGCCCATCAGAGTGTACACTTCGCGTGCGGTCGAGCCCTCGCTGGCGGCGACGTCGGGGTCGAGGGATGGGAGGGAGAAGACGTGCACGGCGCGGTCGACGCCGCCGGCCGCGACCAGAATGTCCGAGGTGACCTCGGCGGGCGAGACCCACGTACACGAGGTGGCACCCAGCGAGGTCGGGAGCGGCAGAGTGTACAGAGCAGAGCCCTCAGTGCCGAGGGGCAGGACGCGCGCGTGCGAGAGGTACGACGAGACAAGAACGTGACTGTTGGTGTTGTCAGTGAACGTCCATAAAGCCTGAGCTGAAGATGACTCTACGTCCAGCTCAACCCGGCGCATGCCTCCCGTTCCCCACCACTTACCCCTTGCGAGCCAGGCTCAGACCCGAGACCCAGTCCTCCTGCTCCCAACGTCCAACCTCGGACGGGGGAAGGACACTCTGGATGTATTCCACATTGATGGCCGTCTCCTCGTCGTCGCCGCGGTTCTTCTTGACCCACGCCTCCAGGCTGCCGCGGAGCACCTCGCCCTCGACGACAAAGTCAAAGGGGACAGGCGCAGCACCGCTGTCGCTGCCGTGGCCGAGGACCTTGTTGATGAGCTCGGAAAGCTGGAAACGGCGCCAGTCGGATGGGATAAAGTAGGTCGACTGGGGGATGGCGTATGCTCCGCGCGTGAACAGGTTGACGGGGAGCTGGCGGGCGCTCGAGCCCGAGGCTGTGGGTGCCGACATGGTTGCTGGCTGTGGGGGTGGGGGGGGGGGGATGAGTGTAGAGATGGACTGGACGAGTCTCTCTCGCTGTAGAATTAATATCGTGCTGCGTAACAAGGAAAGTGAAGAGCCAGCTTCGGAAATTTCACAGTTACGTAAGATTTTGTTGTTTGGGTTGAAGCGGCGACTTGAAATGAGAGCGACCGATGGAATGACCCGTTGTTGCATGCTGCTGCAGTTCGCATCTCTCTCTCATCTCGTCTCGGACACCTGGCTGACATGCAGCAGTTCCCAACAGTCCTCCCACCGCCTCCTCTGCCGGACGGGACAGTCCCGACGCGTACACCCGAAAAGCACGCAAACCTCGTCCGCTTCCAGTCCGAGCTCGAGGTCAGTTTAGCTTAACCTGCTGTTGTTCTCAACTGACGCCCGTTCCCTCCAGTTTGTCCAGTGTCTGGCCAACCCACTGTACCTCCACGAACTGCATGTGCAGAAATACCTCGACGACCCGGCGTTCCTGGAATACTTGAAGTATCTCGATTACTGGCGCAAGCCCGAATACGTTCGCTTCATCATGTGAGCTTTCATCAGTTGGATGGCTAGCTGACGTCCAGCTACCCTACCTGTTTGTCCTACCTCACCCTCCTTCTCACACCGACCTTTCGGGCCATGCTGGGTGACATGGGCTTTATTGGAGAGTTGATGCGCATCGGGACGCGACACCACGAGACATGGTTAGTTGTCCCACGTGCAGAGACCAGCTGACAACCAGGCGTGCCGAGAAGGAACCTGTCGAGGCCAAGACTGAGCCGGTGGAGCAGGCAGAGACCAAGCCTGGCGCCGAACAGAAAGAGGCATAGAAGGCAACGCCGCATGCGCGCACGCACACGTTTGCTATGCCCTATGCCTGCGCGGTAACTAGATCTGTTGTACCCTAGTGACATGGTAATGTAATCTACAGTTGCGGTGGTCTATATATCCCTCCTTTATACGTTTGCTGCAAGCCAAGGCCACAACGACACGACCTTTACACGGGAGCCATGGCCCAGCGGGACACGACACCGGCGCCGCTCAGGCTGTCGACGACGAGGAGGTTGGCAATGGGCGTGTCCTTGTGCGAGAGCACGCGGAGGACGTCCTGCGCCAGGAGGCCGCCGACAATGGCAAGCGTGGGGGCGAAGAAGTGCGTAGCGTGCGCGGCAAGGTGTCTGTTGTCAGCTGGGGAGTCGCGGCGCCAAAGCTCACTCGATAACGGCAGCGTCAATGGAAGGAGTGACCTTTTCGTTGACGCCGAGCTTGACGCGGAGCTCCTCGGCAATCTTGGCGAGCTCGTCCACTTGGCCTTCAGTGCCCGTTGGCAGCTGTCTGTTACGCTTCGAGAACTCCCAGACAGCTGTGCATGGGTCAGGGAACAGTCCAAACGACATCAAACTCACCGAGGATGGCGATGGGCAGCTGGGGCTGCAGCGCCTTGCTGTCCTGGCGGGAGAGTCCACGGAATGGGCTGCCACCGTTCTCAGCCTGCTTCAGATCCAGCGACCAGTTAGTCTTATCAATGGAAGCCTCGAGGGTCGAATAGCGCGCGGTCTTCTGAACGAGCGCGGGGTTGGGGTTCACGGACGTGGCGGCGGGACTGGGTTGTCAGCTGAAAGAACTCGAGAGAGTGGCTATCAGCTCACGTCACAACATATTCGTAGGTCTCGCCGAGGTCCGCAAACGCGTAGCCGTAGAAGCCATACGTTCCGGCACCGTAGAACATTGCCTTGGCCTGGCGGGCAGCCGCATCAATCGTCTCCTGAACAGGTCAGCTGAGGCAATGCGTATGGCAGCTAACACACCAACTGCGCCGCTGCAAGGTCGCACGCAACCACAACGTTGACCTTTTCCTTCTCGAGGAACTCGACCATCTTCTCCTTGTCTCCTCCAACAAAGGGCTCCAGAGTGGGGAGGGCAGTGAGGTTGACAAGCGGGTTGAGCGAGGCAATTTGAGGAAGGGCCGCCTCGGTACGCTGACTGTGTTAGCTGCTAGTGACGGTAACCCGCAGCTACCCACGTTCTTGCCCACAGCACCTTCCTCCTCGCGGAAGAGGAAGCCGCCTCCGAGGTCTTCCTCAGTGACGTCCTCGCCGTCCATGATGATCATGCGGCCAATACCAGCGAGAACAAGGTTCTTGATGGTCTCGTGGGCGAGCGAGCGCAGCGAAAGGACGAGCACAGTCGAAGAGCGCATCCTGGTGGGTCAGTATTGCCACCTCGTGCGACATAGGATGGATGGTGAGTATGCTAGCTGCCGGTGTACCCACTTGTTCTGCGCCTCGAGACCCCACAGACGGATCTGGCGGTCATAGAGCGACGCCTCGTCTATTGTCAGCTTCGCAAGAGAGAGCCAAAGCTCACCTTCAGTGATCTGGCCGTTGGCAGCTGGCGCAGGAGCTGCTGGAGGAGCTTGAGGCTGTTCCGAGGCCATTGTTTTAGGTAACTGCTTGATTGATTGATGGGAGAGAGTGAGTGAGTGTGAGAAGGAAGACACACAGTCCATTTGTTGTTGACGAGGGGGTGACTGGATGCGCATTTGAGGGTTCATTATCACCATTAGGATTGTTATTTAAATAAAACATCTGGTTCCGCTAATGAACCTCCACCTGATGTTTCCAACTTTTCCGTCCACAGTTGTCATCTTGTCTCTACATCCCACCTCGCTCCTCCTCACACGACCATGCTGCGCCAGACCTTTGCGCGAAAGGTCATGCGCCTTCGCTCAGTGAGAGCTCTCACAAGAAGCCTCCACGAGTGAGTTACAGTCCTTGGGAAAGGCCAACTGACATCCAGTGCCCCGCAAGTGTCCCCGTTGCCGCTTCCCACCCTCTCTGGCACACTCGCCACCCCCGATACCAGTTCCTTCCCCCTCTACCGCCCGCCACCACGTCTCACTACGGCGCAGGAGCCGCTTCCAGATATTGACAGCCTGCCGACCGAAGACGAGATCAAGCGCATGATGAAGGCACAGGTCTCGGAGCGCGCTACTCGTGACCTGCCAGAGTTCAAGGAGGAGGAGCTTCGCGACTTCTACAAGCAGCTCGTCCTGACTGGTGCTCACGAGGACACCGAAGCTGTTGCGCAGATCGCGGCTCCTGACACTCCGAAAAGGATTTCGTTCAAGGAGAGGCGGGCTCTTCTCAGCGAGCTGCAGGACCGCCTCATGGCCTATGGCGGCGGCGAGGGCGAGGGCGAGGGCATGTCGATTATGCCCGCCTTGCCACCGGGCACACCACAGCACGTCGCTCTCACTGCGGCATTGATCAATGCCGCTCCCCCAGAGGACCCGGACAGCCTGCTCAATGTCCCCCTCGGTCTGGTGCGCACGTCAGAGTGGCGGGCACTCTTTGATACGTTTGTGAGTTGCAGCAATAGTCGGGTGTTTTGTGTACCTTGCTAACATTCTTAGGTATCCGAGAAGGATGCAAAGGGTGCCGAAGTGGTCCTCAACATCATGACGGTAAGCTTTTACACCACGTTCCAATAGTTAACGTATCAGCGCCACGGTGCCACTACCTCTGTGCTCCAGTATGAGAAGCTCATCAAAATGTACGCCAGCCGAGGACAAACGGCAGACGTGACCCGTCTCATTGCCGAGTTTGACCAGGGTGAGTTGGCTACTTGTGACACTCACTGACGATGCAGTTGGTCTTGAAATTACCAACTCCCACCGCGACCGTATCGTCCAGTCCTGCCTGAACAGCTCTGGCGGTGCCGAGTACGCCATTTCCGTCCTCACCCAGAGCGAGGCACTTGGCACGCCCTTCCCTCAAAGCTCATACAACATCATTCTCTCGCACCTCGTCGACGGTGGCGCCAACGTGTTGCCCAACTCGCACACCCGCGCGTTGGCACTGGACCTCTTCACCCAGATGCGGTTTGCGGCCCATCCCACCCCTGACCGCCAAGTCTACAACACCATCATCCGCTCGTGCGCCGCTCCCCAGGACCCCCAGCCCGAACGCGCACGCGACCTGTGGCTCGAGATGACTGGTCCTGGTGGTATCGAGCCCCGGTGCGAGGAGTACAATGCCATCATCTCTGCTCTGGGCAGCACCAAGAACGACTACCTCGAAGCATACGATCTGCTGAGGCAGATGCTGGGCAAACACCACGAGGCGACGTTTGTGCCGTTTGAGGAGGACGCTGTGCCGCGGTCATCGCCATGGGTGCCGACTCTCCAGACATTTACGGCCTTGTTAGAGGGCACCAAGCGTGCCGGTGACCTGGAACGCGCGCGATGGGTGCTCAATCAAGTTGTTGACCTCGCCAAATCGGCCGCGTTCACTGGTGACAGGAGGCGTATGGCTGGGCCGGATGAGGAGCTCCTCTCCAACGTGTTCATGACGTACGCTGCCTGGGTTGCCCCCATCAGCCGTGCAAATGTCCAGCACGCTGTCAAGGGCGCCACCGAGGGCGCCGAGGCAGTGGAGTCGGAGGCAGATGAACGGCCCGCGGCGGACCACAGTGTCGTCGAGGGCGAGTCGTCCTCGGGTGTGGCTATGCCCAAGACTAGCGCCGAGGCTCTGCTCGAAGCCACTGTCCTCTTTGAACACGTGGTCAACGACGTCAACCGCAGCGATCGGAACGTCGTCGACATCTTGCAATACCCCTTCGGCAGCGCCAAGCTCACCCCGAAGCTTGTCAACTCGTACATTTCTGTCATCCTCCAACACTCGGCGTCCGTTCCCGATGCCAAGAGGGCATTTGACAGTGCGTGGGAGCTTGTCTCGCATGTCAAGCCTGCGCCTCAGGCCAACGGCTGGACCTGGCTCAATGTCATGGACCGCGTCTCGCGCGGCAGGATCCCCCGTGACGAGCGCCCTGCTGCCTACGGCTGGGGATGGAGCGTGTGGGACCAGTACCGCGAGTGGTCTACCACGACCTTGAAAAAGCTGTCGGACGGCTCGCCCAAGAGTCTCAAGCAGCGTCACGCCCTCGGTCTTGGTGAGCGCCAGATCGAGAAGATGTGGGCACATGCCATCCGCCTCGCGGCGCTGGAAGACGACACCGACAAGGGCCTCAAGCTGTTGCGCGACTTTGCAACACTCTACCCAGCCGAGGACATTGTCAGGACGTACACGCCTCAAGTGCGAAACAAGGCCCTCGCCATCCGCATGTCCGAGGCCGGAGCCGTCGCCGAGCCCAGTGTCCCTCCCCACCTTCTCTTCGATGACCTCAAGCTCTTGCACAGCCGCCTCGTTCGCGACGAGCACCGCACAGGTGTCGACTTTGTCAAGTTTGTCAGCACCGCATACCAGTATTCTCTGGGGAAACGCCGCCGTTTCCGTGTTCGCGGTGCGGGTGTCGCGCGTACACTCAGGAAGAAGGAGAGGGAGGAGAAGGGCAGGATTGAGACCATCATGTCCGGACACGCGCAGATAGAATAGGCCCGTAGAAACAACCATTCAGTGATACCCTGCACTGCGATACCGATGCACACCCATCCCTCATAGAATGTGCTGTTTTGGCTGCTTGATAGCCCAAACTAACGCTTGCAGATTGTAGTGTTGGATCTTTTCAGTGGCCATGAACGATGCGATGATACATTCCTCTAAAATGCTCTCCCTCCGCTTTCCCTTTCGCCCTCACCCCTCCTTCCCCTCCCCTTTCCTCAGAGCCCATGCAGGAACACCAAGCTCAGCTCCTCTATGGCACGACCTCGATACCGAGCGTGCGGGCGCTACCGATAATGCTGCGGGCCACGCGCTCCTCGCCCAGGTGCTTGAGGCCGTCCTCGGTACACTTGACTTTGGCAATCTCGTACACATGCTTGAGGGAGATGGTGGCAATCTTGCCCGCGCCAACGTTTCCAGAGCCCTTCTCAATCTTGGCGGCCTTCTTGAGCAGGTAGCTCACAGGCGGGGTGCGGAAGGTGAAGGTGAAGGTGCGGTCGGGGTTGATGGTGATCAACGTAGGGATCGGGAGGTCGGTCTTAAAGTGCGCGGTACGGGCGTTGCTGTAGGGGGTTACTCGTCAGTTTATGGTGCGCGAGACGGATAGAACGCGCGCGCGGCACAGGTGGACATTGTCTGCTGAGCCTACACCAATGCCCGCCAGCAGCCACCTGGCCGCGCGAGTGGAGGCAAACGCACAACTCCTTGCAAAAGTCCATGGCCTTGACGGCACGCGCACCGAGCGCGGGACCGACAGGAGGCGACGGCGACGCCTTACCGGCGGGCACGAGGAGTTTCTGTCGTGTCAGTGACCGTGCCGTCATATATCTCGCTTCATCGCGCGTGCACGCACGACTATCTGAGTGATGGCCGCCTTTCCGGACATGGCGGATGGTCGGTGGAGGGGTTACGAGGAAGGTGGAAAGGGAGTCGCTGGGCGATGTGGGAGGGGGGAAACGGCGCGCGGTGCGGTTCCGGTGTGCTGCAACTGTTGTAGAGGTTGCTGCTGTAGCTGGTGAGGGAGGTGTGTTGCCGAGAGGCGGTGGTATAGATGTGTGTTGTTGCGAGATGACCGCCTTGTTCCGACTTCTCTCGAGAAAGTCGATCTTTCAGTCAACGGAAGGAAAAGTGGGATTGAAACTCGTGGTCGATTAGAAACGCTCAGGTTTGTTAATAGAGGTGTGGATGTTTGTAATTAATTTTGTTCCCGTTAAACAAGTGTCAGACGGAGATGAATCTCCGTCTTCACGTGCAAAATATTTTACGTAATTTTTTGTGTGTGACTGTCTGCAGTTCGCCCCCAGGCTCCAACGAGGTTGTTGATTGCTGAGATGACTAGCTGTAACCCAGCGGCCAGGGGCGCATCTCTCGGCCCACGGAACATCAGATGCCGAGCCCAGAGTGTGCATATTGGGGGGCATACAGATAGTACATAGCACACGCCCTCCCATCGCCGGCAGATGTGACCTCCTTGGTATCGAAAGACAATGACAGGTAACCTGTATCCAGCACTTGCTCGCGGTTCTTGTCGGCACTTGGATCTTTACCTGCAGCTGGGAGTGTTGGTCAGTTTGTGCATTCCTTCGACCTGCTAGGAAACGTGTATTTTTACAGCATGTGTCGCGCTGCTTTCACCAGACAGAGCGCTTGCTGCCACCGGTCTTGCCGGCGCTCCCCGGGAACATCATTCAACCGACTCGGCGCCGAAATGGAGGCCCACGTCTCTTTCAGCCATATGCACCGTCACTGTCAAGCTGGCAGCTAGCGATCGGGTTCTTCTCGGACCCAGACCTCCGGGGCTGCCCATACAAACGACAGGACCCTCATGCATCACTCCTAGGGTACAGGCTGCATCCAGCCGCATCCACCCAACGACGCTCACACCCAGGTTCACGGCACATCAATGCGCCGACTCTGCCGGCGCGCCCGGCCCGGATCACGGTACCACGGTGCCACTTTGGCTCCATCTGCCGACACAACATCTTATTAACGCGCTGGCTCTCTCCTCCTCGTACCTTTCGTTCTCCCCATCCTTCTTCATACAGCCTTACCCCCAAAGCATAGACTAATAGCTACACGTCATGACCACCGCCGCCCCCCTTGACCTGACAAACGAGCGCGCCGAGGAGCTCATCCGCCTCATGACCGATGGCCTGGTGAACATTGAGGACAAGACCGGCGAGTTCCTTCTGCACCGTGAGTTGCGTGGAGAGGGCAAATGCCAGGCAAACCCGTGCTGACTGGGACAGTTGCCGACGGCACTGTTATCGACACCAAGGGCTGGAAGGGATGGGAGTGGACCCACGGCATTGCGCTCACTGCGCTGTACCACGTAAGTGTTGACGAGGCTCGCGCACGTCGGTCCGGCGAGTTCGGCGCCGAGATGCCGGCCCTGTCCAGTGTAGCTGCGGCACGGTCGTGTCTTGATGTCCAAGCTGGCGTATGTGCTAGTGCGACGGCTGCAGAGACCGCACAGTTGTGGTGCACATCACCTTGGAGAACGGGCTCTCCCCTCAGCGCAAGTGGCCATGGGCTGACCCCGCCAGCACCAGGCTATTGCCCCCAAGGAGGCCGCTGCGTACTCGACCAAGACTGCTCTCGACTGGTTTGAGATGCAGTACAAGATCTCGAACGTCGGTGCTCCCAAGAACATCAACACCATGTCCCCCTTCTACTGCCTCTCGGCGCTGCTGGACGACAAGAAGGTCGACGACAAGCGCTGGCTGCAGTGGTGTGACGAGTGGGCCGAGTGGATCATGAACGACCTGCCCCGTACCAAGGAGCGTGGCTTCCAGCACAGTGAGTATCATAGCTGGGTGTTCTCAGTGGCCACGAGCTGACAATTCCACAGTGACCTACGCCAACGACCACCACGACAACCTCTGGGACGACACCCTCAAGATGTCTGTCATCCCCCTTGCCAAGATTGGTGTCTTGCTGAACCGCCCCGAGTACATCGCCGAGGCCAAGTACCAGTTCATGCTGCATTGCCAGTACCTGGTCGACACCTCCAGCGGTCTGTGGTACCACGGCTGGGAGTTCACCGACAAGGGCGGCGACAACTTTGCTAACGCCCTCTGGGCCCGTGGTAACTGCTGGATCACCATTTCCATCCCCCTCTTCCTCGGCATCCTGGGCGAGGAGCACCTGCCCAAGGACGACCCCCTGCGCGCTTTCCTCGTCTCGACCCTCCGCCGCCAGATCGACACGCTCGTCAAGACCCAGGACGAGGCTACCGGCCTGTGGCACACGCTCATCATGGACCCCACCTCGTACGTCGAGTCGAGTGCGTCGGCCGGTTTCGCCGCGGGCATCTACATGGCTCTTCGCCAGGGCCTCATCTCGGGCGACCACTACCGCGCCTGTGCCGACAAGGCCCTTGCCGGCGTCATCAACTGCGTCGGCCCCGACGGCGAGGTCAACCAGGTGTCGTTCGGTACCGGTATGGGGCCCAATCTCCAGTTCTACAAGGACATTGCCATCACCTCGATGCCCTACGGCCAGGCGCTTGCCATGCTCGCCCTTGTGGAGTGGGAGCGCATCAACGAGCAGAAGTAACGAAAGGAGTTGCATAGTTTTGTAGTTTTTGGTTCTAGATCCCAAGGTATCTCCATTGAGCATTGAAGCGAATCCATGCGGGCCGGGCCTGCGATGCTGTCTGCGACGATCTGCGACTCGTGAGTCGTCAGTAATGCGTCATGTTGCTCTCCATTTGTTGCTCTGCATAATCAGTTGCTTGCGCAAGTGATCAATGTGTGACCCGACCGGGGCGGTTGCGACCCGTCGTGGCCCGCGACGCGCCGTTGACGGCCCGGCAGCACTCGTGATCATATGCATTCTCGTCAGCTGTCTGTGTAGCTCAGCGGAATGGTGCGTGGGGCATCCGTGAAATGTCCTGTGACGGTCCAACTGGACAAAGCGGGAAGCCGGCGTCACGGTCCGGTCGACCGGATAAGCGTCCTGCTGCGGTCGGTCCACTCCGTCAACATATGGAAAATCCTGGTATCGTCGGCGTCACCCGTGTCCTTTGATCTGCGAGGTGTTTATGAGGATGCCATCAGCCATGCAGCCATAGCCAGCTCCTCCGCTTCACTCAACCGGCGGTGTTGGACGGCCACCACTACTGGTGAAGCTTGCAGCGGCGGACATTGGAAACGGACATATCTCAACAGCGTCCAAATGTCCAAATGGGTTCTCTCGCTCCTCGGCATCCTGAGGCGGGACGGCCGGCTACACGCGGCATCCCGCGGCAGTCGCACTACCGCCCACCAGGCCATTTGGCTGCAAAACGACGATGCGGTCGTGGGCTGGGTCAAACGCTGCGTCTCGTCGCGGCAACGCAGCCCGTCAATGCCGTGCTGAACCGTTGCTCCGCCGGGTCGAGGGTGCGGGCGCCCACCTGGCCCTTGCCGTGCTCACGGCAACGACGGTTTATTTCCTCTCGCTTCCTTCATCTTCTCCTCTCACTCACCCACTAACTCACCAACTCTCCACCCCCGCTCCTGTCCTCACCGAAACCCCATCCATCATGACTCAAGCAAGCGCAGCCTGGCCCAACGGAATCTCCGTCCCCCTCACCACCCCCTTCAAGGCGGACGAGACCGTCGACACCGAGGCGCTCGCTGCCCAGGTCGTCCGTCTCGCCAAGGCCGGCGTCGGAATCGTCCTCCTCGGCACCAACGGCGAGGCCTCGCACCTCTCGCCTGCTGAGCGCTTCCTCGTCATCCAGACCGGTCGCAAGGCCCTCGACGACAATGGTTTCGCCGACCGTCCCCTCCTGGCGGGCACTGGTGGTGAGTGGTGGAGCAGTGCAGCTGTGCAGCTGTGCAGGCAGCGTGGGAGTGGCTGCAGAGGACACCGAGGCAGCCATTCCTGTACAGTGCCTGCACTATTCGGTACTGTTGACTGCGCTGACTCTCAGGTGGCTCGGCGGCTACCACCATCGGCATCACCATTGAGGCCAAGAAGGCCGGTGCCACCCACGTGAGTTGATGGCTGTTGAACAGGCTGCTGGGAACACGCAACGCAAGTGCTGACGAAATGTTCAGGCCATCGTCATCATCCCAGGCTACTTCTCGTTTGCTATGGGCCGTGACCGCGCCGCGGTGGTTGCATTCTTCAAGAAGGTCATGGACGAGTCGCCCCTCCCTGTCATGATCTACAACTTCCCGTGAGTGCAGACAGACAGACAGCTTGCACAACCACACTCTTGCGGCAGCTGACGCTTGTCCAGTGGCGCTGCTGCGGGCATCGACCTCAACTCTGACGAGCTGATCGAGCTGTCCAACCACCCCAACTGCTTTGGCGCCAAGCTCACCTGCGCGATGATCGGCAAGGGCCAGCGCCTGGCCGCCCACACCCAGTCCAAGGATTACCTGGCCAAGCACGGCCAGTACCTGCAGTCGGTCTCTGCGTCGGGAGCCTTCCAGGTGCTCCCCGGCTTCTCCGAGTCGCTCGTCCCGGCCCTGCTCGCCCGCCACACCGGCTGCATCACCGGTACCGGCAACGTGTTCCCCAAGACCATGCAGAAGCTGTATACCACCGCCCTCAAGGGTCTTGCGGGCGACCAGACGGCACTCGCAGAGGCCATGATCCTCCAGGACCGTGTGGCTCGCAGCGACTACATTATTGTCAAGGCCGGCATCCAGGGCACCAAGCACGCCCTCGACCACTTTGTCCAGAAGGGTCTCGGCGGCTATGCCCGTCTCCCCCTTGGCCCCGTCTCGCCCGACGTCGTCAAGATGGTCGAGGAGGACCTCAAGGAGGACTGGGAGTACGAGTGCAGCCTTTAAGGTGCAGAGGAAGGGACGTTGTGTTTTGTACAGTGCTCAGTAGAGAAGATGCCAGGCTTGTGGTCACGGGTACAGCGAAAGGCCGGGGACAAGGGCGAGCGACTGATCCTCTCTGAAGAGGCCAGCAGTGCTGACAGTCGGGGTCCAAGTGTGTCGTCGCTGAACGGTTCATCCAGGTACCCACAAGCAACAGTGGCAGGACTCTCAACCTCGGCGACGCTGTCGGGCCGTCCACGTCCTCTGCTCAACAGAAACCTCTTCAACAGTGGAGCTTCAGTGGTCGAGAGTGGGAAACGGATTGCCCAGACGTTCGTCTGACGTTCGTTTGGTGTTCGTCCTTGTCGTCCGGCCGGCAGGATGATGGCCCGAACGAAGACCGACACCGCCACATATCGACAGCGCTAGGCCAAAAGCTGTCCTTACGTCATGTAGAGTCTGTGCAGTTAGTATCCTTGTCAGACGGCCATGAACAAGGCCCGTCACCTGCCAAGTGTCTACAGACCCTTCCTGTAGCGGACCATTATCGCTGTCGGGTATCGCCCCATGTGTGGCTCTTGCGTCATGAACAATAGCCCAACACTTGCGCCAGTCGAGCCAGACTACCTCAGGCCCGTCTTAGCGTGTGGAAGGCGGACAATGTGTCCCAGAGATGGCTGTTTGCGAGCCGAGTTTTAGGGTGGCATGTGATGAACCTTTGGCAAGCACTGAAACGTGTGCAAACACCGCAAAAACGCATCTGTCGACCAGTGTTAGTAACATTCCTTCCGTCGCTTGTTCCGAGTTCCGACAAACGGCTTGTCCGACGGGTGCTGTGAACGCGCACACCATGGCCTCGTTTCGTTTCCAAGCGCGCACAGAACACACGTTTTGGTGCCCCAAACCTGCCCCACAGCCCCCACGCGTTGCCATGAGGGTAAGTATTCATGCACAGGGATGGCCGGGAGGGTCGCCCAGTGGCCAGTGGGAGTGGCAGAGTGTTTTCTAGTAGGACAACATTATTTGGAAGAACTGGGGGTCGGGGTTCCGCTGTGCCCCGCTCTCGCACGCTTTGCACGCTCATGTGGCCATGACCGAGGCATTGAGAAACGGGCCGGCCGTGGTGGAGGAGGGAATGAAGGGCCCCAGGAGTGCCAAGGTGGCGACTGGTACAAGTGCCAAGTGCAGCTAAGCAGCCGTGTTGCCGTCATACTGCCAAAGCAGCCACGCGTCGCGTCGCCCTGAGTGTCTTGGATTCTTAGGTACAGACGTCGAGGCTCCTGATCGTGTACACCACACTGTGCATGCACTGCACTGCTCTGCGCTTGGCATGCAGCGAGTCAGGTGACCAGGCGCGTACCCATCTGCATGAACACTCCATGTGCCCCGTTGTACCATTGTGAAAGCAACCCCCCAATGCCGGAACGACGCGGACATGCGCTTGGGCTGGTGCGAGCATGCGAGTCGATTGTCATGTTTGGACTGTTTTCATGCGGGTGTTTACGGCGACGCGTGTCCTATTTTGCTTTATTTTATTTTATTCCATTGCGAGGTGTCCTTTCGCTCTTTAATGTGACTGGATGAAACGGCGGCGCAGGGCTGATAGCACCGGTAGTGCTCTAATCATGCGACCAAGCACAGGGTGTGTTCATGCGGCCGCAGCTCATTGGAACGACACCAACACGGCGCCAACGATCCAACGAGATCGAGTCGACAGCGCGTGCGAGGAACGCCACATTCCGGCCCCCCTCTTCCACCCCCTGTGTTCATATCACAGAAACCCCGGTCTCGTCGACCAATGCGTACCCAGGTCGCGGTGCTGACGCCGCACGACCCGGCGATGGCGGCAGACGGGCTGATTTGCTGGCCGGCTCGGCAAACGATATGGCATGCATGCCGACAAGAGTGGTGGCGGCCGTGACAAGCGACGCAAAGAGCCAACGAGACTGCAGCCGACGGCCGTGACCTTTGGGAACCTGGCAGCCACGGACGCCACCGCAGCGGTGCAGGTCGTCGCCCCCCCCCCCCCCCCAATCCCCCTCGCGTCGCGAATCTGCAGCCAATGTGGGCTGTTCTTTGCTCTGCATGTCAGACGCGAGACGGGTGGGTGCGATGAATCTCGGGTGTCACATCGGGCCCCAACGCGCTATGTGGCGAGGAGACAAGGGGGTGATTTCAGAACAGCAGACAGTTCCTGCACGGCATCGTCCCATGCAGATTGCAACAGGCCCCACAGGACTGAACAGGCCGACAGAGGAGGGTGGGCAGCAGCAGCAGCAGCAGTGTGTGTGGGTGTGTCCGTCGGGCAGAGATTGTCGATGGAGGTTGCTCCACGGACCAATCTATCCCCCTTTCTGGGTCAACGTGTGCGGGGTATTACCACACATCCTGTGGCGTTTTCAGAGTGCGAGTCGGCAGCCGCCATCACACCCAGAGAGCGTTTGTGCCGAGCGCGCGCGTACGAGACAGACAGGTACACGACAGGGGGCGGTTGTGCACAAGGGGGGCCCCCAGCAGCATCAATGCATCAAGGACTCGCTATCGTATCGGTGGCGTTTTTCTCGCTGCTGCTCTGCTCGCTCGCGACTCTCTCTGTCTCTGGCGGCGCGCCGTGTCCGCTCCGCAGACGAGACTGTTCGAGTCGGGTCACGCGTGCTGTGCGCGCCGTGCGTGCGTGGTGTGCCGACACTGGCGCCGGACGAGCCCGCCGTTCGGGTTCGGGCCTGACGGTGCAATGTACTCGACAGGTGTCGGCATACTGGGCCTTGCTGACCCAGTGCTTGCGTGCTTTGCCGGGGGTCGGTGTGCAGACGAGTACATATACAGCACGCCCCTGGGACGTTCATAAAGACTATCCCCCCCCCCACCTCAACGCAACAACACAACCGACCCAACCCCCACTACTCGAGCACTCTACCACTACCACAACTTGTCCAAGCGACCACACCCTCTTACAACTACCACCTCCACCTACCACCTACCAACCCCCTACAACAATGGCCGCTGCCGACACTTGCCCCGGTGACCGTTATTCGGGTCAGAACAAGGGCCGTGAGTTGCCACTGCTCCCCTCCACCACCCCATTGCCACCAACCCGAGCTGACCGTTGCAGAACCTTGCCACATCCTGTCATTGTCCAACATCACCCACTGCATCTTCTGCTTCAAGCGCTACTAGGCGACTGTGGTCGTCGTGGGGCTTTGTCGTCGAGTGCTGTATTGCATGCGTGGTCCCCTGGCACACGTGCACATACTACACATACTGCAAACACCCCCACACACCCTGTGCCCTAGCGCGTGCAACACATTCCGCACGCTTCCACAAGAAGAGGCACGCAAGACGCAATTCAAGATCGCGTTTTTGGGTCTTCTGTTTTTCACGCACCACACGCACCACACGCACGAACGAAAGAAAGAGCAAGGAAAGAAGCTATCATGAACGAACAAGCACGAAACATCAACGCACGAGAACCCGCATCTGCCATCCCCCCGGCACCAGCACCGTTTTTCACCACCCCCCATTCATATTGTATCGCCTTAGTTACGAAGCCCATGTCCCCTCCCCGAGGGCACATGAGGCGCCAGTTGTTTGAATCCATTAGTGTTTAGTTGTCATGCAGCCTGGTGTTGCCGTTACCCCTGTTGCTGTTGCCGCTAAGCCACGACCCGAGTTCATCCCACTGACGACATGAGGACCCATATGGTGATCGCCGATCGACAGACAGACAGACAGCCCTTTCTCCACCACTGCCCATCCCGAAAGAGGAGACACCAGCCCGAGATACGCGCGCACTGCTCCCACTCCGTGACCACGGCCCCCAGTGAATCATCGGACGTCCGCACTCGCGACCGTCCTCTGACCCAACAGAACGAGGGCTGACGAGGACACGCGAAGCTGATGTGATGACGCACGGCGAGGGGAGCAGGTGACGGGCGATCGTGCGCGAACCTGGGTCATGCGTCACTGGCGTTTTTCTTCTTTGACACTAGTTGCGCCATTGCCCATCAGTGCACCGACTGCCGTCCTGCTCCTCTTGGCAGTTTGTGCAGCTCGCCACCGCCACCTCGGCTACCCTGCCGCTTCGCAGCTCGGTATGGCTCGGGGCCGCCGGGGCTGCAACGGGGAACGATCACGTACTCACGTAGCAGTCGTGGTTATGATTCAATGAGGCGTGGCAGCAGGACCCGGTGGCACCCACCCGGCACCGGGTGTGGCGCGTTGTACAGCACTTGCAACGTGAACTGGGGCTGACGAGGGCCTCCACAGCGTCTGCCCCCCCCGTGCTTCTTTCGGGCTTTGCATCACGCCTCTTGGCCTCTTGGGTACGTTCCTCCGCGCCACCATCACTCCACCCCCACCAATATCGGACCGGCCCGTACCGGCACCGCTGTGCTGGTCACAGGATCAGTACCATGGTGAGAAGTAAGCAGCAAGGTATCAGCGATATCAAGCTCCATCCAGTGCCTGTCCTGGCAGGGGGGCGCTTCGCCAACCGCTGCTCATATGACCTCGGCGGCAGGTCGGTGAATCACTTCTGCACACGGCCGTAGCCTATCATCTCTCCTATCCGTCCGCCGTCCGCTCGTCGTCAACGGCCGGAGCATAGTCCCTAAACGATGGAGGCTTCTATCTCTCTCCAACATGCTTGACGGACACGGAGGGCCCGCCCAGTCCGCCCGGCGCCCCAATCTTGGGCGGGAGCACGAGGACTTGGGTGTTGCGTTTCCAGAATGCGACCAAGGTCGTCGCGAGGGTGGCCGGGTCGTCTTCTTGCAAAAAGTGGCCAACATCCTGCATGACCTCCAGCTGGAACTTGCCCTGCCTGAGAGCTGGTCAGCCGCCACCGACGCGTTGCACAACTCACATCTGGCCAACCATGAGTTCACGGTCGAGCCTCTCTTGTCCCGCGAGAACAAGGAGCCGCGCACACCGCGCCGTGAGGAAGAGGTTACTCAGTCCATCGTACCATTCTAAACACGTCGTCAGCACCACGCCCTCCTTCTCCCGGTGTACCAGCTCCACATACCTGCCCAGTACGGTTCTGTCTTGAGAAGGTCGATACGCCATTGCTGCTTATCGTCCGGTCCGGCTCCACTCTGAATGGGCACGACATAGCTTGGGACAGACACACGCGCGGATTCCGCATTTCGGACAGAGCCCGACGCCAGACTGAGAGTGAGTGGGTGTGCTTCAGCGAGATGAGAGCAATTAGAACACCTACTGCCACTGGACCGCGTCTGGGACCGAGAGGAAGGAGGTCGGGCGTTTGCCCAGGATACCCTTCATGCGCGGGAGGGACTCGACGGCGGTTCCTGCTGTCAGCTGCGGCGATCTACTTGAAGCTCACCCTCCACAACGTCCAGGACAGCCACACCTGGAATGTTGTACCCATTCTTCTGGAGGACTGGAGTGGCCGCGAGGATTGGGACAGCACCCATCGAGTGTCCGACCAGCTTGGAGAGAGTCAGCGTGCCAGGCGGCCAGCAGCACGGCGTAACCCACGACAAGGGAAGGCGATTCCTTCGGGTTGGGGAACACATGCTCAATCAGCGCAGTAAAGTCGGCCACGAGAGTATCGCGCGACAGGTCCGTGTCGCTGCTTCCATTCTCGACCGTCGTCTTGCCTGAGCGTTAGGCCGGTCCACGAAGGAAGTAACGCACCATGGCCGCGACAGTCAAACGCGAGCACACCAAGGTCAGGCGCGCGCGCCTTGATCTCCTTTGCCAAAGCGGCAAAGCTGAGACCCGATGCACCAGCGCCGTGGTGCGCAATCACGTATGTGCCGAACGGGTTCGTCTTGGACGGAGCGGCGCCGGGTGTTGGTGGGGTCAGGTAGACGCGGAACGTCGCGTCGCGGCCTGGCGGCGTGACTGCCAGCGCCTGTTCAAAGAACTGGGAGGCAGAGAGGGGCGAAACGTCTGTACGGACTGAGAATCTGGTGGTCAGCTTGGGCACAGGCAGGCATTAAAGCTTACCGTCTAGACATCTCGCCGACGTCGTCTGCCAGCTCCTCCTCGTCGTCGTCTTCTTCCTCCTCCTGTGGAGTGGCTGAAGGGTCGGCCCACGGCGCACGCGTCGGGAGCATTGGCGGCAGCCTATTCTTCAGCGACCTTCTAAACTCTTCAGACATGCGGGTATGTGTTGTAGTGGGTGATGGACGGTGCGAAGTGGTTGCTCGCTGTTTGTTCTCGACGTGTGTGTGATGGCCGTGATGGACGGTCGATTGGGCCCCGCACGCACATGACGTTTCTAATGAGACGCTTAATAGGCGGCCACGTCGACGTTGTAATGTCAATTACAAACGTTTGAAACGTCATTTGAAATGGCACCATCTTGTCTACGTCGCCGAGCCAGACAATACACGCAGTCGACATTGCCCACATCGCATTCACCCCAACAACAACGCAGCCATGTCCCCCACGCCCGCACAGACGGACGCGCTAGGACAGCTCTGGGCGATCACCGCGTCCACAACAGATGCTGCACGTGCACGGGACGAGCGTGTGCTGCGCGAGCACAGCTGGGACGTCGAGGTGAGTTGCCCCGCTGTCCCCGGAGAGACGACTCGAGAAACCCCAAGCGATGGCGGTCTCCGGCTGACGACCCAGCTCGCAGTGAACCATATCTTCTCCGGCGGCGCTACCCAAGGCAGCAGAGACACGGCCGGCGCAGGCGGCAGCGCGGCGCCGTCGGCACGCAAGACCGAGACCGAGGGTTCGGCGGCTGCGGAGGATCTCGGCGACCTGGCAGTCCGATCTGGTGTGCCGCTTGGCCCCCGTCGTATATCGGGCACCACCACTCCCCGGCCGCGGCCTGGACAGGCCGGGCTAGGGGTATGGGATACGTTCGTGTGGCCGTTCTCGTTCATCGCATCCATCCTCACGGGGACATGGTACTTCTTCAGTGAGTCTGGTCGTGTGCAGTGGCGACAGTGGTGAAGCGAACCACTTTCTGGTGTTCGCTTGGGTATGGGCCTCTCAGCCGCTTTGATCCTGATGCAGCTACCCATGGCCTGCTATTGTCGCTGCCTTTGCCTTGGGCCTCCCTAACACTCTCCAGTCCGTACCGTCGTCCCCCTCTCGCTCCTCCCTCACCTGCCCCGTTTCCTGCTACCCCCACCGAGCCGCCCGCCTCCTTCTGGACCAAGAGACCCCACGACAGCATCTCTCCGCTTTGTTAGGGATCTCGAGACGCTTACTGGCGGATCCGCCGCGTCTGGCACGTTACCTGACCTCTGGATCGGCCCATACCGCGATTTCCTCGCCGACGTGCGCAAGCAGGGCAAGGTCGGCGTGGTTGTGCTGGTGTGCGCCGAGCACGAGGACGACGAAGAGTTCAAGCGCGACGTCCTTGCCGACCCCGAGTTTGTCAAGTGTCTCAAGGAGCACGACATTATGATCTGGGCGGCCGATGTGGCAGGTCGGGAAGGATACATGGTCTCGCAGACGCTCCTGACGACGACGTACCCTTCGCTCACGTTTGCCTCTCTCTTGCCGGTTCACCAGTCGAGCACGCCGCGCCTCACCATCTTATCTACCGTCCAAGGCCCTCCGTCCACTGCCACCTCGTCCTCGACCATCATCCAGACCATCACCACCTCCATCCTCCCGCGTACCGCCACTTTCCTGCAGCGTCTCCGCCGCGAGCGTCTGACGCTCGAGGAAGCCCGCCATCTGCGCGAAGAGCAGGACAGGGCGTTCCGCGAAGCTGAGCGCCGCGACCGCGAAAAGCTCCTTGCGGCACGCGCCCAGGCCGAGCTCGAGCGCGTGCAGCGCGAGCGCGACGAGCGCGATGCCGAGGCCCGCGTAAAGCTCGTCGAGGACCGCAGGCACTGGCGGAGGTATGCGCGCAAGCACCTCCTCCCACCCTCGGCTGGGCCCGTCCGTCTCGCGCTCCGCACGCCCCTCAACGCCGACCGCAACGTGTACCAGTTCACTCCTGGGCCGTCGACGCTGCCGTTGTTCGTGTACGCCGAGACGCGCCTTATCCCCAAAGAGGACGACCCGGCCAGCGACCCCGACGCGCCTCCCGCAGGCTACGAGCACGCATGGGGGTTCCGCCTGGTCACGTCGTTCCCGCGTGTGGAGATTGAGCTGGTCGAGACTGGCGGCGAGGAGGTGTGGTCCCAGCTCAAGGCTGCTGGTGGCGCCCTGTTCGCCGAGAAGATCCCCGGTGGCGACTGGGGAGATGCAGAGCTCAAGGCTGCGAATGGCGGCCAGGAGAGTGACGACGAGGAGATTGTGTCCGACTCGGATTGAAGTTGGCGATCAGCGTTACATAGTGTCTGCATGCAAGTGTTTTTGTCTGGAAAACAAAAAAAGGCAGAGATCGTCTGTTTGTGTTGCAAGGAACCATCGCAGACCATGAGCCGCCGCCCGTCAGTGTCGTGGGATGTGGAGCTCGTCAACAACGGGCCTAGTTGGAACGCTGTCACGTTTGGGTCCAAGTCTCAAATGCAATGCATGTACAACTGCGCCTCCCATGCGAGCGCGCTCATCTACACGCGTGTGTCACGTCCTCTCTACACTCAGAAGGGGGGGTTGCCACGGGGAAGGTCGGTGTGGGTGTATCCCTTTCCGCCCTTTTCGTGGTCGGCAATGACGGATCCGTCCGCCTTCTTGGAACGGAGGACATACTTGTAAATAACAAGACCGTCGAGACCCACGGGGCCACGGGCGTGGGTCTTGCCGGTGGAGATTCCGACCTCAGTACCAAGGCCGTAGCGAGTGCCGTCGGCGAAACGGGTGGAGGCGTTGACAAAACAGTTGGCACTGTCAAGACCGCGGGCCCAGGCCGACATCGAGGCCTCGTCCTCGGTGACGATCGAGTCGGTGTGGTGCGACGAGTGCTCGTTGATGTGCTGGATGGCCACCTCGACCGACGGGACGACCTTGACGGCAATGGTGGGACCGAGGAACTCGGTGCTGTAGTCCTCCTCGGTGGAGGCAGTGGCCTTGTCGGCAGCGGGCGAGCCCGCAATGGCACCGAGTGTGGCAGCATCGCACTTCAGCGAGACATCAACGGCAGCGAGAGCGTTGGCGACCTTGGGCCAGACGGTGTTGACGACCTTCTCGTTGACGAGCAGAGTCTCGACGGCGTTGCACGCAGCCATGTAGTCGATCTTGGACTCGACCGTGACACGAACCGCCTTGTTCTCGTCGGCACTCTCGTCAAGGTAGACGGCACAGATGCCGTCGGCGTGGCCCATGACAGCGATGCGGGTGTTGTTCTGGATGTGGCTGACAAGCTCGTTGCCACCGCGGGGCATGACGAGGTCAATGTACTTGTCCTGAGCAAGGAGGGACGAGATCTCGTCACGCGTCGAGACAGTCTGGACAAACGTGGCCGGGATGGAGGTCTTGGCCAGCGCACGGGCAATGATGCCGCTGAGAACCTGGGTAGAGTAGGTGCTCTCCTTGCCACCCTTGAGAATGGCGGCGTTGCCGCTCTTGATGGCCAGGGCAGCAATGTTGACCACAACTTCGGGGCGCGCCTCAAAGATGACGAGCAGGACACCAACGGGGCAGGTCACGCGGTGCAGCTCGAGCTCGGGGCCGAGCTCCTTGGCAAAAGTCACCAGGCCAGTGGGGAGGGGGAGGGCAGCAACGTCGGTGATACCCTGGAGCATGGCGTCGTACTTGCCCGGACGGCCAAGGTCAAGACGCGACAACAGAGACTTGGACAGCTTGCCCGACTCGACGAGGGGAGCGGCAGCCTCCATGTCCTTGACGTTGGCCGCGAGGACCTCATCGCGAGCCTCGGCGAGAGCGTCACGGATGGCGGCGAGAGCAACGTCACGCTCTGCGGGGTCGATGAGCTGCGATGCCTCAAAGGCGCGGCGGGCGGCAATGGCGGTAGACTCGGCCATTGTGTTTTTTTCGTTTTTGTGGTGCTGAAAGATGGATGGAGGGAGCTGAGTAACGAGACGCCAGTCATGCCAGTCAAGAAGAAACCAACAGTTCGACGGCCCGACTCGAAACGACCACGTGACACGGAGATAATGTCCGCTAATTCCAGGCCTCGTCGTGCGGTCCACATCTCACGCTGTTGTGCTCTCCCGTCGTGCATCTCCATTTCCACCTTCTCAACCGCCGTCTCTTGCGCACGCAATGCTTTAAAGCAATGCCAGACGACCCACAGGCGTCCCTCATCGGCGTCGCTATCGCATGTGCGGGCAACATTCTCATTTCCCTCGCCCTGTGAGTCACCCCCGCAGCACGCCTGATCGCAACAACGTCATCGCTCTTGCGCGTCGTCGGCCTTAGTTGTTGACCGCCCCCCCAGGACAGTACAAAAGCTCGCTCACAAACGAGGAGCCGAGAAGGCTGCAGCAGCACAGGCTGTTGAAGCCGCATCCAAGTTTGGCCGGCTGTCACTTCACGGTCCACCCCATATTGACCAGCTTGTTCTCAACGACGACTACGTCGACCCCCTGACGCCGACGACCCGCCCCCTCCCTGCGTCGCGCTTGCCAGGCTCCGACCGCAATGGTGGCCGGACGGACATTCCGTTGTCCTCGAGCAGTGGGACCGATACACCACCGCTTGCCTCGGAGGGCACATACCTCACCTCGCGGTTATGGTGGTTTGGCCTCGGCTTAATGGCCGTCGGGGAAGCAGGCAACTTTCTGTCGTACGGATTCGCTCCAGCTTCTGTCGTTGCCCCTTTGGGAACCGTCGCTCTCATCGCAAACTGTGTGTTTGCGCCCCTCGTCTTGGGGGAGAGCTTTACCATGCGGAACGTGATGGGAATGCTCCTCGCGATTCTCGGTGCTGTCACCGTCGTGTGGTCGAGCCGGGACTCAAATAAGCGGGTGAGTGAGGCTAGGTCCCGCACTGCCCTCGGCCTGGCTTTGTGGCTAATCCTTTTGCAGATGTCCCCCGACGAGCTATGGGCTGCGATAACTGCCCCTTTGTTTATTATTTACACGGCCGTAAACATCGCCGTCATTGTCCCCCTTACCCTCCTTTCTTCTCGCGATTCCTGGGGCGGCAAGTACATCGGCATCGACGTTGGCGTTTGTGCCCTCTTTGGCGGATACACCGTCATGGCCACCAAGGCGCTCTCGTCGCTCGTGTCGACAAAGTTCCTTGCCGCACTGCGGTATCCCATTGCGTGGGCGGCTATTGTGGTGCTCGTGGCCACGTCCGTGTTCCAGATCAAGTTTTTGAATCGTGCGCTCATGCGCTTCGAGTCCAAGGAGGTGATACCCACTCAATTTGTCTTCTTCTCCCTCTCAGCCATCATAGGCAGTGCGGTGTTGTACAACGAATTCCAAGACGTTGGATTCTCGCATTTTGTCAACTTTACTTTCGGAGTGAGTGTAGCTTCTGTCCTTCGGCGTAGAACCAAGCTAACCTCTCCAGATTGCCACCACCTTCCTTGGCGTCTACTTCCTCACCACCCCTGGCAATGTTGCCACGGAGGCGCCGTCCCGTACCTCTCTCGAGGTCGTGGACGAAGAAACCCCTCTTCTTACACCACCACGCCGCCCCTCTCTCGTACCCAACCTTCCTATCGGCATCGGTGCCGCCCCAGCCCTCCCACCTGCCCATGTAGGTCGCCTCATAAAACGCACCTCCTCCACCAACCTCGCCGTCGGTATCAACTCGCAAGGCAGCCTGCTCCTTCTCGCGACCACACCGCCGGTCACGCCCAGTGCACCCGGTGGCCATAGCCATGGTCACACGAGGGACAGGTCGATGAGTCTGGGCCGTGCGTTTTCCGGGTTGACCCGCGTCCGTTCTTCCAGCCGGAGTACCATTGACGGAGAGGTGAATGGTAGACACAGTGTATCTTCTAGACGGTAACATCATGTCACATCTTTTGTTGAAGTTGGGGGAAAAAAAGTGGTGTTGCTTGCTGGCCTCCCCCTTTGCAGGGTTGTCTACGGCTTGGACTAGTCTCTCGTACTGCTATAATCGTCGACTCCTTGATGTGTTGTTACTTGAGACCAACACCCTCCCAGTCCTGGCCCTCGCCGTTGTCCTTCAGGAACTCGCGCAGCTCGCCCTCGAGCAAGGCGCCCAGCTGCACGCCTTCACGGCGGTGATGCACCCAGGTACCACTTGGGGCCACGCTAAACCTCTGGGGTCCCGAAATGGGCGAGCTCACCCAGATCTGGTGGTTGGGAGGCTGCTTGTTGATCACATACGTGCCGTGGGGAGGGACGATGAGGGTCATGACGCCAGACTAGATGCAGTGGTCAGCTACAACGAGCGAGGGCAGGCGTATTTACTCGCCTTTTTGCATGAACTCACGCTATACTCGACCTCCCACTGGCCATTGCCAAAGTCCTCGCACAGGACCTCGAGGCCCTCGTGCAAGATGTCCATGTCCTTGTCGGCAATGTCGTGGTACTCCGCGTCGGTCAGGTCGCTACAGAATGTAAGCGCTGGACGTGGTCGTCTCTCCAACAGTCTACCACTAAAAGAGCAGAGCGGTCTTGACACTCACCGAAACTCGATACCAGGCGCAAGTCCGGGGTCACCATGCGGTGTAGACGACGTCGAGCGGGTCTGCGGGCGAGCGGCGACCGAGAACGAAGTGGAGGCGAGTGTGGGACGCGCAAGAGTCGCGGCACGAGACGCGGTCGAGAACGATGCGGCAATGGGACGCGTGGCGAGGGCACGCTGGGCCCGCAAGAGCAGGCGAGGGGCAGTACGGACAGACATTGCTGATGAGAGTAGTGGAGAGAACGAGGAAACGAGTCGGCTGCCAAATGTTGTGAAATGTCGTCAACGGCGTTGGTTATGGCGGGTCTCTGATCTCTGTCGGCCGGTCAAGGTCGCATTAGGATCGATGGTGTAATCGGACTAGGAACAGGGGCTGAAATTCGATTAAGAAGCGTTGTAAGTCAAAGCTAACAGTGCGTTTTCTAATGAAAATAATGCTCCCGCCCCGCGTCATTGCTGTTCAACCTCCACCTTCCACCTCATCAGGAAGTCAGTTCTCACCATATTGACGAGCAAGCTGTGTCAAGCAGCCTGCAACTCGACCTCTATCGACCATGCGGCTCCTCCTAGCTGCCATTTTACCGCTCCTGTTGGCTGTCGACGTCGCAGCAGTCAAACACGAGGACTTTAAGGAGTGCCACCAGACCTCGTTCTGTCGCCGTCTGCGCTCCATCGCTGCGAGGCAGGAAGAGGCCGTGGCCAACGGAACAGCCTTTGCCTCGCCGTATTCCCTCGGCAACCCCGTCGCTACCCCCGGCACCCAGTCTGCTGCATCATGGACGTTCCCCCTCACCTCGTCCCTGTATCCGGACATTTCGTTCAACCTGCGCGTCGACGTGCTCGCGCAGGGTGACGGTATCGTCCGTATCCGCGCCGACGAGGTGGACTCTGCGTCGCAGTGGAAGCGGTACAACGAGACGGCCAAGTGGGCGCTTGTCGACGCTGAACCCAACCTTGCGCGCTCCGTCGACGTGCAGTTTGCCCATGTCGACGGCATGACCGCGATCGAGTACGGCCCCGGTCCTGCTCAGGAGCTCATGCTCGAGATTGTCCACTCGCCCCTCAAGATTACGATGAAGCGTGACGGTATGGACCAGGTTGTGTTCAATGACCGTGATCTCTTCCACGTCGAGCACTACCGTGCCAAGCAGCTGGACGAGGGTGACGAGGCTGAGGCTGAGGGTACTGAAGCTGCGTCGTCCGAGGACGCAGCACAGGCCGTCATGCAGGCTCCCAAGGCCGAAAAGATTGACCGCTCGTGGTTTGAGGAGGACGACAAGGACGCTTTCGAGGAGCGCTGGAAGAAGTGGACAGACACCAAGCCCAAGGGTGAGCTAGCCGTTGCGCAGTTGCGCCTGATAGCTAACAATACAGGTCCCGAGGGCTTTTCGCTCGACTTTTCCTTCCCCAACGCCGATCACATCTACGGTCTCCCCGAGCACGCCTCTCCACTCTCCCTGCCCTCGACCAAGGGTGAGGATGCATACTACAAGGAGCCCTACCGTCTCTGGAACGTGGACATTTTCGAGTACGAGGCCGACTCGCCCATGGCTCTTTATGGTGCTGTCCCGCTCGTCCACGCCCACGGCAAGGTGAACACTGTCGGCGTGCTCAACCTCGTCGGCTCGGAGACGTGGGTGGATGTCACGCACCAGCCCGAGGGTGTGCGCACCCACTGGGTCTCGGAGAGTGGTATTGTCGATTTCCTCATCCTCCCCGGCCGCCGCCCTGTCGACCTCTTTGAGCAGTATGCGTCTTTGACGGGTGCCGCCCAGATGCCTCCCCAGTTTGCGACTGCCTACCACCAGTGCCGCTGGAACTACAACACCCAGGCCGAGGTGATTGAGGTCCAGGACGAGTTTGACAAGGCCGACATGCCCCTCGACGTGACCTGGCTCGACATTGAGTATGCCGAGGAGCACCGTTACTTTGACTGGGACCACAAGCATTTCCCCGAGCCCAAGAAGATGCTTGACGAGGTCGAGGCCAAGGGTCGCAAGGTGAGTTGTGACATATTTACCCAACGATGGTGATCTGACTAACCCCTTCAGATGGTTGCCATTGTGGACCCGCATATCAAGAAGACGGACTCGTTCCGCATCTACACCGACGCGCGCGACCTCGACGTGCTGGTCAAGAAGGCCGACAACTCTGACTTTGACGGCTGGTGCTGGACCGGATCCTCGGTCTGGGTCGACTTCTTCAACCCCAAATCGTGGGACTGGTGGACACGCATGTTTAGCTTCAACGTGTGGAAGGAGTCGTCCAAGGCGCTGTTCATCTGGAACGACATGAACGAGCCCTCGGTCTTTGACGGTCCAGAGATTACCATGCCAAAGGACAACATCCACGACGGCGGCTGGGAGCACCGTGACGTGCACAACATCAACGGTATGATGTTCCACAACCAGACGCAGCACGCCATCACTGTGCGTGATACTCCCGAGCTCCGCCCCTTTGTGCTGTCGCGCTCGTTCTTTGCCGGCTCGCACAGGTACGGCGCCGTCTGGATCGGCGACAACCTCGGCACTTGGGACCACCTGGCCGGCGAGACTGCCGTCTTCCTCTCCAACAGCATTGCCGGCATTTCGTTTGTTGGCTCGGACGTTGGCGGTTTCTTTGGCAACCCCACCCCAGAGCTTCTCGTCCGCTGGTACCAGGCCGGCGCGTTCATGCCGTTTTTCCGCGCCCACGCTCACATTGACACCAAGCGCCGCGAGCCCTACCTCTTTGAGGAGCCTACGCGCTCGTACCTGCGTGACGCTCTGCGTCTGCGCTACGCCATGCTTCCCGTCTGGTACAACGCCTTCCACGCCGCTGCTACAAAGGGATACCCCGTCATCTGGCCCCATTACGCCCTGTTCCCCGAGGACGAAGGAGGCTTCGCCATCGACGACCAGTACTACATTGGCGACTCTGGCGTGCTCTTCAAGCCCGTCGTCGCCGAGGGTGCCCAGGAGTCGACCGTCTACCTTGCCGCCGACCAGCCATACTATGACTACTTCCACCGCAAGCTGTACTATGCGAGCGCCAAGCCCAGGAACATCACCATTGCCACTCCGCTGGACCAGTTCCCGCTCCTCATCGAGGGCGGACACATTGTGCCCACGCGCGAGCGCGTGCGCCGCACCTCGAGCCTGATGTGGCAGGACCCCTTCACGCTCACCGTCGCGCTGGGCAAGGACGGATCCGCCACGGGCCAGCTGTACCTCGACGACGGCGAGACCCTCGCCCACACCCAGGGCGAGTTTATCCACCGCCGCTTCTCGTACACGCCCACGGGCAAGAACGGCGCCGGCAAGCTGTCCAGCGCCGCCCATGTCGTGTACGACGGTGCCAACGCGTGGGCCCAGAAGATTGCCCACGTCAAGGTTGAGCGGATCGTCATTCTCGGACACGAGGCCGCGCCGTCGTCCGTCACTGTTGCCGGCGAGGCGGTGCAGTTCGAGTACACCAAGCCTGTCAAGGGCCGCGAGCCTGTGCCCGGTAAGGTGGTGATCAAAAACCCCGGAATCAAGGTCGGCGCCGACTGGGAGGTCGTCGTTGCTGCCTGAGTTTCTGGCCATGTAGGACCCAGTAGATATAGAAGAGAAAGAATTGATGCAGAACGTCATTGAAGAAGGGGGACATGTGGCCTGACGTTCGGTACATCTTCGTTTGAGGATGTTCAGCAAGGCCCACCGGCCAGTGACCACTGACACTGGCTGCAGGTGTCAAGAATGCTAGGAGACGATATTATTCGTGGTGGGCTACACACCCCTCGTGCGTCCCCAAGGCCCCATGAACACGACGTCTCCAGCTCAGTGTCCAAGAGTACATTCCAACATGTCCGAAAATGCCTTTCTTAATGACAGACCTTTCGTTCCCTGTCCTATGTCTCCCCTGTCTCTCCCCAATCTCTCTCTCTCTTCGTTCTCTACGTTCTCTTCTCGGTGGTCTCCATTAAGCTTCTTTAAGATTTGTTGAGAAAGCCCTTATATAAGCTCGTCTGGCGTTTGTGTGTGGTGTGTTTGTGTGTGTGTGGCTGTGGGGGTTGTGGGATGTTATGGCGGGGGGAGGTTGTGCGTGGGATGCATTTACTGGCCCTCGCACAGGGTCTTGTACTCGGCCTCGTTGAGGAGGACGTTGAACTGGGCCTCGTCCGAGAGCTTGATCTTGGCGAGCCAGCCTGAGGGAGAGGGTAAGCATGGGTTCAAGGTGGGTGAGGACGGGGAGGAAGGAGGTGGGAGGAGCGAAGCGGTGGTGGTGTAGGAGATTTGGTTGCCAGGTTGGGCTAGGCCAGCCTCCCAGCCTCAACCTCGCCTCCGCCCGCTGCACCACCACTATATTTCCCATCCATCGCCACGCCAAGTTCTCCCAAAGGTCATTACTCACCGTCCTGGGTAGGCGACTTGTTGAGGAGGCCAGGCTGGTCGCCGAGGAGCTCGTTGATGGCCTCGACGGTGCCCGAGACGGGAGCGTAAATGTCCGAAGCGGCCTTGACCGACTCGACGGCGCCGATGGACTCTGCGGGTGTGGTCAGCTTCTGCGAGGATGTCGAAAGCTTTCCGCTGAGTCTGTCGACGCAGCGGGCAGACGCTCGGCGTGGACCGTGCGATCAATGACTCGACACTCCGGCTGGAAGAAGAGTCGCCAGCCGGTAGCGAGCGTGACCACTGATGGACGCTGGGCTCGTCTTCCCGACTCACCTCCAGCCTCAACCTCGGTACCCTCAGCGGGCAGCTCGACGAAGACGACGTCGCCGAGGGCCTTCTGCGCGTAGTCGGTGATGCCGATGGTGCCGACCTTGGTAGCGGGGTCGAAGGTGACCCACTCGTGCTCCTCGGTGTAGCGGGCTGTAATGTTGGACAAGGACGACGATAATGGTGCAGCGGAGGTTCAGGAGTGGGGGGGAGAATGCGAGTCAGTATTCAGTCTGCTCGACGGGGCATGAGGGATGGACGCCATCATTGGACACGAACCCACACACCAGGTTCTGGTGTGGATTGGAATTCGGACCGGAACCCCCAGGTAATCTGGCTGGCTGGGAGAGGACTCACTAGAGAGGAAGCGCATGGCGGCGAAGCGGGGAGCCATGCGGGGGGCGCGGAGGGCGGCGGTGGCGGGACGGGCGATGGCGCGGAGAGCGTACATGGTGGGCTTTGTGATGGAGAGAGTGGTGTGAGAGAGAGAGAGAGATGGATGAAAAGAAAGGAGAGTCGAGAGGAAAGAACGAAGCCCAAAAGGAGACCGACCTATCCCGGCCGTTTGTTGCGACCGCTGTTGCCAGTGACGTCGGGCGGATTGGAAAAGCCGTGGTGGTGAATTTCCACAGCCAGCAAAGCCCACCAGCCAGAGGCTCTGTACGGGGGAGCCCCGTCCTAGTCGCTAATCAGCTCTTCGTCGTCGCTGTCCCGCTGTTTTCCTTGGAAATTCCTGCCCAGCCATCAAAGGGTAAACGGCCAGGGCCGCACGCACCCCCGGTTCAATGCATCCAAATAACGGACGCGACGGGTGCGCAAGAGAGAAAACAGATATGGATATCGCTTGCCGCTTACCTGGCTGACCCCTTTGTGCTCCGGCTGGCTGGCTGGCTAGCTGGCTGGCTCGTGCCAACCGGTGTTGGTAAATCGCCTGCTGCAGTAGCCGGGGGTTGGTCACGTGACGGTAACTTGGAACTCTCTCTCTCTGGCAGCTTCTAATGGCTGCATTAGCAAATATTTGTATTTAATTTTAATAGAACTGCAGATGCTTACGCTAATACACGGTCACCGAAATATACTCCCGTTCATCGCCCAGCCTGGCCACCGTCCGCCATCGTCACCGTTCGGCATCTGCGAGCACCGCCGCCCGTGTGGTCCGTCCAGGTGGATTTCATTCTGGCCCGTGTTCATTTGTTCGCCACTCACTCACTCACAACCACGACACCCAAACGCGCGTCTCGCTTCCTTGATATTCCAGCATATATCCTTCACTCGCCCAACCTATAACAGCATCGCCGTCACACGTTTAATCACCACTACCAACCATGCCCTCTACCGACCTGCCATACGCCGCAGAGGCCGAGTCTTCCCTTGGCTACGACGAGCTCGAGGTGTGTACGGTGGCGTCTGCAGCTGGAGATTCATCAACTCAGCTGTGCATGACTCCCATGTGCATATGACGCTGACCTCTGGCCTCCAGGTCCTCCGCAACCAATACTACAAGGAGATTGAGAGCGGGCACGTCACCACCCAGTCCAAGTTCAACTATGGTCAGTTGGCCCCGAGCGGTGCGGGTGCACCTCGTCGAGCAACTGCACTGTCGCCTGTGGCATTGTAACAGAACACTGACGCTCCAGGATGGGGACTTGTCAAGTCTGGTTCGTCCGAACTGCAAACCGAGGGTGTCAAGCTGCTGCAAGGTGGGTTGTATGAAGGCGACGAGGGAAGACGCATGTAGCTGACGGTGTCTTCCTCATCTCTCTGGTGACTGACTTGGAACCTCCTCACTCCCACCTTTCCACGCCTGCGTGCACACTCACTCACCCCATTCCCGACCTCCCGGCCATCCCGACACCCGCACGCCCAACCCACCGCCCGTATCACACGTTGCGCGCGCCCTCCACCTCACACTCTCCCTACCTCGTTCCGGCTTTCTCCGTCCATCATCGCAATCAACATTCTCTCCTGCAGAGATCTACTCGGCTTCCCCTAGTCACCGCCGCGAATGCACCTACTACATCGCGGTCGGTTACTACAAGCTCAGCAACTACACGTACGCCAAAAAGTTCAACGGTGGGTTATCCTCTGCTTCGTACATATCTAACCCTGCAGACCTCCTCCTCGCCGTCGAGCCCGAGAACATGCAGGCCCAGTCGCTGCGGCAACTGATCGACAAGGCCGTGACACGCGACGGCTACATTGGTGCGTACAGATCTGGCGCCCCTGTTGTTGTTGTCGCTGTTAAAGCTGACTGGCGTAGGCATGGGTATCATTGCCGGCGCCGCCGCCGTCACTGGTGTGCTGATTGCCGGCCTGGTCAAGCGTTCGAGGAAATAGGTAGACAAACAAAACGGCCCGCCCGCTCGTGATTTCGGCCCCGATATGACACACGATATACATGACAGAGCGCGCGCGTGCTCGACGGGGTGGTTGGATTGCGGCAGCGCGGCGTGTTGATTCTGAACCAGGTGCCTGATTAACATTAACTATTAGCTAACGCTCGCTTTTTCGTTGGCCGTGTCACAGGCCACGGTAAGGTATGTATGGGACAACGTGCGCCTGTGGTCCCTCCAGCATCGCTTCCTCCGCTACTGAACTCACTATTCACTCCCGCAGCTGCGGCCACTAAGGGCAACGATTCAACCGCCGTGTCCAGCTTGTTATGGGCGATATCGCCTCTCCAGCGACCTCCGTAACAGGCATCATCGGCCTCAAATGCCACTGCTTGGTTATGTGACAGCCCTTCCAACGCTGGCGTGCTCGCCGCCGGGCATTCAACACCCCGAAGGAGATCCGAGCGTCTCCAAGCCGTTTGCTGTCCCGCGCCCGCTCAGTGCTACACTACGTATTCCAGGACGCAATCCGCGTTCGCCAGCGTTGACTGTGCGCTGTGACACTTGCGTACGCTTGGGAATGCACCTACACGTCTGCCAGTGATCCTCTGTGTTACATACATCGTTGGCTCTGTATTCAGCCGCGGTGAGCCAAAGTGGCATCCACACAGATTGGATTTGCCGCGACGCTGCCCCGCGAAGTCGAAGTCGGCCTGGGCAAACCGCCCAGCTGGCCGCTGGCCGCTGGGCCGGGGTGGTCAGTCATCCAGAATGCTAGGAACCGGTTCCAGACGCGCCTGGTTTGTGATCCGAACAACTGCCATGACACGTGCACTGGCGTACTGCCAGCTGGTGTTCGACGTTGCAATCGCCATTGCCACCAGTGTGCGCCAGCTCTCCACCGGAACGTGTGTTTGCTTGTTTGCGCTACTCAGAGTCTGTCAGGCGCGTACTCTCCGCCGTTATGAGTCTCCTGTCAAGCAAACAGTTTGCCCAGAACTCAATCTTTGGGTCGCGGGTGTGGGCAACGGTTCGAACGGCTTGTGTTTTCGTCTCACGAGCAGCGCAACCGCTTCGTCACTGCCCAACAGCCCACATGTCTGCCACGTCCGTCATCCTTGCCCAAGTGTCGTCCTTGGTCCTTGTCCTTGGCAGGCCTGGCCAGCCACCGCGCACTGCCTCCTTGAATCGGGTATGGTTGCCGGTCACATGCCGCCTCCGCGGCGCTGCATGATCCTGAGATCCGTCCCCGCTGTGGCTGTCGTCCTCGACACCACAAGACGAGATGCAGTAGAGACGTTTGTGGCCTTACCATGGGGCCAGAGTACGCGAGAAAGGCGTATGGAGGGGGTGGGTTCCCGACGCCGACAGTGCTGCATAGTGTGCTATGAGGACGAGATCGGGTGGTCGGTCGTGTGAGGGATGAGATGAGCCGGTGAATCTCTCGTCCTTTCCGTCAGAAGGTCGGTGGAATCGGTGGGCCTTGTTCAAAACCGAACGGCATATTGATCTCCCGTCCTCGCGACATGAGGACGCAGCGTCGCAGGAGCAGGCAGAAGAGGTGAAGGACGTAGGTGCTCCAATACCCGGACCAAGCCCCAGAGTCGTCCCCCATACTGTTCCCATGTTGTCCTCGGCGGCACCCCACAGGACCCCGCGCCGGGGCACCTACCTCCGATGTTCCGTTCGTTCCGGAGCCCCTGAGCCGTCCTCGCGTCCTCACATTTTTGCTCACATTGTCCCCCGGATCGAACATTGGCCCCGGATCCACCAACCCTTCCTCCACCTTGTCCTCCCCTTGCACAGTCAGGTGGGTGGGGGTGCAACGATGTTCCTCCTCGTCCTCGCCCTTACTCTTGACTAGATACCCTGTCTGATTACCTGTAGCGACTACTACTTAGGCCGACGCTTTGTTGTCACTCTTAAAGACACGCCACACATCCACACTCCTTTACCACTTCCCCTCCAGCAATGAAGCCCGACAGCAAGAGCGACACCTCTCTCGACATGGACCTCAAGCACGAAGACAACTTTGTCGAGAACGCCATCCAGGGCAAGACCATCTTCTTCCCCGACAACCTCAAGGACTACCCCGATGCTCCGACCTACGCGCTCGTTGCTGAAGGCTATGACCTGCTCGAGGAGGAGAAGACGTGGTCAAACTGGCGTGAGTGACACCACCAGTCATGGACGAGGTTTATTTGGTCCAGGGCTCATCACCGCACAGGCACCTTGAAGACCAACTGGCGCCAGGTCCTTCACACCATGCCGTACCTTATCGCTTGGTGAGCCTTTTCTGCCCCATACCCAAGTGGTGGCAACAACAAAGTGGTCGTTCAACATTGCTTACACTCGCTGTAGTATCGGACAGGGTTACGACAGTGGTGCCAACGGTATCGCTGGTGCCATGGGCGCGTTCCTGATCAAGTTTGGCGAGCCCACTGCTGCTGGCTCGCTTGCTATTCCTTCGTGAGTTGGTCACTGCCCCCACACACACACATTTTCGCGAGGGCGCAGGGGGCTAACTAGACGCATAGTTTGTGGCTGTCTCTTTGGGGAGCCTTCCTCTACTTGGGCATGGCCTTTGGTAACGCCATGACTGGTTCACTGGTAGACCGCTGGGGCCCGCGCAGGGTCATCTTGGTGGCCAGCGTGTGCATGTTTTTCCCGGTTGCCCTCCAGTGCTTTGCTGTCAACAGCATCATGCTCCTGTTTGGAAAGGTAAGTCCCTATCGATGGAGGTACTGTAGCATAGCATCAATGCTGACCTCGACTCTCCAGATGCTCGGTGGTATTCCGATGGGCATCTTCATCGTCAGCGCCAACAACTTCATTTCCGAGAGTGTGGGCATCAAGCTCAGGGCTCCCATGTCTTGTCTGGTCGGCCTCATGTCCAACTTTGGTCGTGAGTTTACTTTACAATGGCTGAGTGTACTCGAGCTGACAAGTCGTCAGTCGTGCTCGGCCTTACGGTTGGCTACATGGGCATCGGCCACATCGACAACGGATGGAACTCGTGGCGCCTCCTCTTTGCGGTGCAGTTCCTTTTCCCCGGCCTTACCATTGTGACTGTCATCTTCGCTGCCGACTCGCCTGTGTATGCCGTCAAGAAGGGCAGGCCCGACATTGCGCTCAAGATGATCGCCAGGCTCAACGGCCCCAAGGACAGGCACACCCAAGCTCGTCTCGCTGTCGTCCAGCAGACTGTCGCCGTCGAGCAGCTCGCACACACTCACTATGGCGCCTCCCACTGGGCGGACCTCGTTTCCAACCCTATCGACCGCAACCGTACCTTCACCACTATTGGTCTCTGGGTCTCCCAGGCGTTCGGCGGAGTAAGTCTAAGCTGTGCTCACTTGAAGTCTTCACAATACTGACAACGGCGCAGGCATCATTCCTCGGCCAAGGTCTCTACTTCCTTTCTCAGCTCGGCATCAACTTTGACATTGTCTTCTCTATTTCCATTTCTCTCGTCGCTCTCTCCGCTCTTATGAGCATCTTCACCGGCTACATTCTCGAGAGCGTCGGCCGTCGCAATGTCTTTGTGTACGGCAACATTTTCCACATGGGCATTCTCGCCGCCGTCGGTGGACTGGGATGGGCCAAGTCGACGGGTGCTGGCTGGGCGCTTGCCATTCTGCTCAACCTCGGTATCTCGACCCAGGTCTTTGCCACCAACTCGCCGGCTTACACTTTGATGAACGAAATCTCTTCGTTCCGCCTGCGCGCAAAGACCCAGGCCCTGTCCATGTTCTGCAACAATGTTCTCGTCTGCGGCTTCAACCTCATGGTCCCTTACGTCTTCCAGGCCCCCGGCAACCTTGGTTCCAAGACCGCCCTCATGTGAGTTCCCCCACCCCACCACGGGTCCCTCCTCGCTTCCAGTCGTTGGTCTGACACCAATCCAGCTTCGCCGGTCTCGAAATCTTCGTCATTGCCTTTGGCTACGCCTACGTCCCCGAGACTCGCAACCGCAGTACGTGTATTGCAGGTGTTGCCCCACCCCGATCCCAAACTGACCCTTACCCAGCCGCCGCCGAGATCGACCTTCTGTACGAGAACAAGACCCCTGCCCGTCATTTCGAGAAGACCGACACGGCTGTCCTCCAGCACGAGGAGATTGTGAGCCACGCCCAGGGCCAGGGACACGCCTAGTTTGCCCATCTTTTCGCAAGTAATTCTTTGTGGCGGAAGGAAGAAGAGCGTGATGTGGGGCTGGACGGACGATGTGCAGAATAGGAGTAGGTGTTGTTACACGGGGATCAGAAGGGAAGAAGAAGTTTGCCATACATGGTAGTCAGTAGCCTTATGGGATGTACAGGGATGTTCAGTTAATGGAATGTGTGTGCACATCGACAGTAGTTCAGGTTTTGTGTATAAGTATCTCAGATGTCAGGGATGATAGTGTTTAGCGTGGTGTGGGGTTAGGCTTGGCGTGTATGGGTCGCTTACATCTTCTCCAACGTCGCTATCCTTATCTACGTCGTTAGAGGGTCGTTACATTGTGGTGTGACAAACAGGGAGAATCCAAGTGTTGGATACTGTCATCTGTGGCACTAGCCACTGCCACTGGGCGACATAGGATTCACACTTGATCATTATATTCGGGCTATAAGCAGCTCGTGCGGCGAACCCCTTGTCATACCTATGGGACATGTACTTTCTTCTCTTTACAATCGAAAGCAACGTTGAAGCGTATGAGCACTGAAGCCCTGCTAACGCCAGCCACAATCGGACTAAGGCCGAAGACGATGTCGACCCAGACATGTTCGTACCCTCACAACCGTATTGACCCGCCTAAATGCGGCTTGAACTCTATCTCATATGCGATTATCGAATTCTTTAGGGCCGTACCCACCGAGGCACTCGTGTGGCAGAATCGGTAGACCACCACGTGTAGGCTGCCTCATATCCAGCTCTCCGAACTGTCCAAGTTCGCCACTTCCAGAGCCCTCAACACCCGGCCCAACACTCGGCGCAGCAACGCACACAGCCAAAGCCAGACCTTACTATCGGTTTAGTTGCCGTGTTCATTTGGTCGCCGTAGGTTAGCCTGTCGCAGACAGACTGCCGACTGCCGTGCCCCTCTTTCCAGACAGAGACAAGGCCCCGTCAATGTTCCCCAGATAGTCCTTCCAATACCCGGCTGCGAACGCGGCAATCGCCCGGGAATACGTGTCGGTTACCTTTCCGACATCCTCGGTGTAGAGGCCCGGCGCAGGCTCTGTGCAACGACGATTACGATCGCGCCGCAGTCGTGGCGACGTCTGCCACAGCCCCACAGGACACCGAGCCACATGCACACCCACCCGTGCGGGGTATCTTCGGTCAACACGGGGGATCGGCGCGAGTTGACCCCGGAGGCAATTCGGAAGATCCTGCCAAAAAGCCGTCCCCATTTATCCGGCCCTCCCCTCCAAAGCAGCATACGCCGTCTTGTGGCGGATGGCCGCAGCGTCCCGCAGACGTCCTCATCGTCCTCGTCGTCCTCGTCGTCCTCGTCGTCCTCATGTCTCCTCCCCGCACTCATTGTTCTCGACCGGGGTCTCCTCGACACGGTTATCCATCAGCCGCGGTACGGCTCATCTCTCTCTGGGCATTTCTTACAGACGGGGTCTTCTCGGTGGATTTCGAGTGACGACCGGGGTGTAGACCGATCTGATCACGGACACGGCAGGACCGCGTTCCGGGTGATTGTCGCTGGGGGGGACGGTGGTGAACCGAGGACGGGTCGGCTGATATAGACCACAACTTGTCCTGTTTGACTAACCCATTCTCTCCCAAAGCTACTTTCCAACCTCGGCTCGACATCATGTCACCTATCGCCATTGCCGACGCACCCGCGCCCTCTGCGGCTGTGTCAAAGCTCACTCTCGACGAGAAGATCTCTCTCCTGTCTGGCCGCACTTTCTGCGACACCGCCGAGATCCAGCGCCTCGGCATCCCCTCGGTCAAGGTCTCGGACGGCCCCTCTGGTACGTATCGCCCACGGACTGTCAGTGGGCTGTAACGCTGACGGTGTGGTCTAGGATGCCGCGGTCAGCTCATGTTCGACGCGCTGTCGTCTGCCGTCTTCCCCAACTCGTCCTCCCTCGCTTCGACCTGGAACCCCGACCTCATCGAGTCTGTCGGCGTCGAGCTGGGACACGAGTGCAAGCTCAAGTCCGTGCAGACTCTGCTCGCACCCACCGTCAACCTGCACCGCGACCCTCGCGGCGGCCGCAACTTTGAGTGCTACTCCGAGGACCCCATTCACACTGCCGTCATTGCCGCAGCATACGTCAAGGGTAAGCGTTTTTGCGTCTTGTCCAATGCTAACCAGCAGGTATTCAGAGCACTGGTGTTGGAACCTGTGTCAAGCATCTCGTGTGCAATGAGAGGGAGACTCGCCGCAAGCTCTACGACGTGGAGATCTCCGAGAAGGCGCTCCGCGAGGTGTATCTCCGCACATGGGAGATCATCATCAAGGAGGCTCAGCCCTGGTCGGTCATGACAGCTTACAACGACTTGGTGAGTTCATAAAGGGCAGTGAGATGATTCTTCGTTGCTGACTCGATTACAGAATGGCAAGCCGTGCTCGGAGCACGACGAGGTGATCCGCATCGTTCGCGAGGAGTTTGGATTCGAGGGTATGGTCATGAGCGACTGGTTCGGTACGAAGTGAGTCTTTCCGTCCTTTTTGACTTGCCATGGTGCACAGTGCTAATGTATAGGGATGGCGTCAGGTCGCTTACTGCCGGCATGGACCTGGAGATGCCCTTCCCCGTGCATCGCCGTCGCCAGCTTCCTGGAGCCCTCGCCAAGGGCGAGGTCAGCGAGGAGGTGGTCGACCGCGCAGTCCAGCGCATGCTCCAATGGATCAAGCAGACCAACCCCCCTCTCAACCGTCCCGAGGAGCGTCCGTTCGACAACAACACCCACCGCATGGAGGTGGCCCGCCAGGCCGCTACCGAGGGTCTTGTGCTCCTGCGCAACGACCAGAACGTCCTGCCCCTTCGCAAGACTCCGGGCTCTAAGCTCGCCGTCATCGGATACTTTGCCCAGAACCCGACCCTCTGCGGTGGTGGTTCAGCGTCCGTCGAGCCTCCCTACCGTACCATCCCCCTCGAGACCATTCGCAAGGCCGCCCCCGAGGTGGAGGTTACCCACCACGCTGGTGTTCCCATCTGGCGCATCGTCCCCGTGGTTGACAAGCGCCTTGCCAGCTCCATTCAGTTTACGCTCTTCAACAAGGGCGAGGAGAAGCCCGTTTACCAGGGCAAGCGCGAAAAGTCGGCCTTCTCTCTTCTGGACGAGAAGATCCCCGCCCTTGGCGACCAGTTCACCATCGAGCTCGAGTGCGAGGTGACTGCCCCGACCACCGGTCGTTACGTGCTCGGCGTCTTTGCCGTCGGCACCACCGAGATCTTCGTCGACGGCAAGAGCCTCGCCACCTTTACTCCCGCCCACATGTCCACCGAGCAGTTCATCTTCAACCGCTTCGACTACGAGGAGCGCTTCGAGCTCGACCTCACCGCGGGTAAGACCTTCACCATCAAGGTGGTGTCGCAGTCCAAGACCGCCGAGGGCTTCGAGCCCGCTCCCCAGGGCCTCAACCTCGGCCTCACCGAGGTCATTGACGAGGACGCTGAGATTGCTGGTGCCGTCGAGATTGCCCGCTCGGCCGACCAGGTCGTGCTCTTCACTGGCCTCAACGGCGAGTGGGAGAGCGAGGGCTCGGACCGCGCGGACATCCACCTCCCCCGTAGCCAGGAGAAGCTCGTCAAGGCCGTCCTCGCTGTTCGCAGCGACGTCGTCCTCGTCAACCAGTCCGGCTCCGCCATCGACCTCGAATTCTGCGAGTCGATCCACGGTATCGTCCAGGCCTTCCTCGGCGGCATGGAGGGCGGCAATGGTGAGTTTCCCCGTGAAACGTACATGGTCTAACACTGCAGCTATCGCCGACACTCTCTTCGGCGACGCCAACCCCAGCGGCCGCCTGAGCATGACCTTCCCCAAGCGCCTCGAGGACCACGCGTCCTACGAGTCCTTCACCAACGAGGTGGACGGTCGCCTCGTGTACACAGAGGACATCGAGTTCGGCTACAGGTCGTACGAGAAGAACGGCGTCGAGCCAGCCTACCGTAAGTTTATTCCTCCCTGCATGGTCATACACATGCTCACCCCACAGCCTTCGGCTACGGCCTGTCGTACACCGACTTTGACTGGTCGGCCAGCAAGCTCGTATCGAGCGACCCCGCCGCCGCCGTCGTCACCACGACCGTGACCAACTCGGGAACCGCGGCCGGCCGCGACGTCGTGCAGCTGTACCTCTCGCCTCCCGGCGGCACCCGCAAGCTCGCCGCGTTCGGCAAGACTCCGCAGCTCGAGGCTGGCGCGTCGCACACTCTCACCCTCTCGATCGACAAGCGCGAGTTTGAGAGCTGGAACGGCAGCGGCTGGGAGATTGCCCCCGGAAAGTGGACCGTGTCACTCTGCCGCAATGCCCGCGACGTCGAGTGGACTGCCGAGATTGCTCTGTAATACGGACGGGTCAAACGCAAACGATATTGTGACATGATTGGGGTTTTTGGCTGAGATGTGTTGAAAGTCGTTAGATGCAATGTATGTCGCTTTAGAAGCACCGTCCAGCGCGCCGTGGATCAGTGATGCCTGGTAGCGCCCACGTTCCGCGTGTTGGAGGGCACCCAGGTCACACATAGGTAATCCCCATCGTGTTTGGTAATTTCCGACCTCACTTCAGATGAGAGCGTCGGTGAACACCAACACATCAACGTGCACCAAATGGGACCCCCACAGAGATGCTGGAGACAATTAGTCATGAATACATATGTAAACTACATCTACATGTACAGGTACTACGCCCTAGGGAGTTGCGGACAAGTCTTGCTCGGTCATCTTGGCCAGGACGAGAGCCAGCGCCGTGGAGATGCGCCACTCTTTACAGCTTGCGAGGTATGCAGTTCCAGCCTTGAAGACATCGGTCGCAGTCAGAGGCATGGACGTGCCCATTAATTCACACAGCTCGATGTTGATCTCCCCTTGTTGCTCGGAAAATGCCACAAAGGCACCGAGGCAGAGGATGGAGATGAACGCCGAGGTGGGGCCATAGATGTTGTCGGTCGGGTGAGGAAAGTCGAGGACCTTGAGGGCGGCGATGGCGTGCCGGACTGCCACGCTCGCCTCGGCCGTTACCGCCCACCGGCGTAGGGGTGGGAGCGCTGACAGTGAGCTGTTCACACCGTGTTCTGAAATCATGTCAGCTGCTTTCTTTCACTCGACGCTTAAATCAACTCACTGCCAGCAACTTTGTACAGGTCGCGCAGCTGGACGCGCAGGGCCATGCACCCGATGTGATACAGCACCTTGGCGGCAGTGTGCATGGGCCCGTCTCCTTCATCGTAATAAACATCGTGCCAAGAATCCAGTGCTTCCCGAAGCCACTACGCGATGGTAAGCCTGTGACAAACCGGAGCGGTAGCCAGGAACACTCACCACTTGATGCCCCGCAAACCCGACCGACAGCTCACGGTCATGAGCCTCCCCCTGCCATATCGACACCGAAATGCCCATCGACCGGTACACTGCGTACTGGGACCGGAACTCCCAGATATGGTGGTGCAAGGCCTGGACGATGATCAGTTGGCAAAACGGGTTGAGGTATCGGACTGGCGGTGGCGGGTTGTCCGTTGATCGCGGTACGAGAATGCCAGTCAAACTGCTGTCAGCCACCATGGCAGCGAAATGTACTCACGTAGGGCAGAACAGGGGAGCAGGCGGAATGAGTGCCACACCCACGAGCCCAACCCACTCCGTGGCAGTCTGGGCCTCCCAGAATCGCTCGTCGCAGGGCAGTACGGTATCCACCATTTCACCATGTGAGAGATGGGCCGGCGTATCGAAAAACAGGGGGAAGAGCATGTCGAGTAGATGGATGGCGAGACCGAGCCGTTTACGAGACTCGGCCTCAATCCAAAACGACCACCGCTGCTCTACTGTCGACACGGATAGGTGTTCTATGAGCTCACGCATGTCGATTGGCGCATCAAGCAGCCGAACCTTTCTGCACAGCTGAGAGGAGTGAGCAAACCCCCCGCCGATGAGCCCCAGTCACTCACGTTGGCAATCAGACCACGCGACAGCTCTCCAAGCTCAAAGGACCGCTGGTGCCCCGACCACAAGGCTGCAAAGGAGGTAAGAAGGGACACGTGTATGAGTTCCGCGTTGCGAAGCTGGGGGTATGAGTGATATCTCTCGGGTTGCAGACCTCACGTTCATACTGTCCATTTCGAACAGTGCGCCTATAGTGCGGCGGATGAGCTCGATTAGGTCGACTGCGAACGCTCTCGCACCAGGTAGCTTGGATAGGAAAGCACCGATACACATGAAACCGGCGATGAGGAGCGGCGGCGCTTTGGCGGGCGAGAAGGTTCTGAAAGTCAGCGGGCCTGTGGGTCGCAGCTGGCGCGGCAAGGTCTTACGGGAGATGCAGGATTGGCAGTTGGGGGTAGAACTGTGCAAAATAGACTGCGAGGAGTCAGCTGGTGGGGTCCACAACGACGCAACGCACGGCTTATCAAGGTGTTGACAGTCCAAAGAGACGACGGCATTATGAACGAACCGCTGGGGTCAAGGATACTGAGTACTGGACCTTGGAGCGTCAGCCATAGAAGCATTAGCCAACGTACGAAGTGTACTCTTGACTCTGTCGTATATCTCGTCGTCGATCCAGAATTGCTCCCACCTGCGGAGGTACGGGTCATGAAGCGGATTCTTCGTGACCTCTTCGATATGGCCTTCGGCACCGAGAACAAAGGGCAGCCTAGGTTGATAATTTGTTGCTGTGCGCGTGAGCTCCATACATCTCCCCTTGTCAACTTACGCCAGTTGTCGGACGCCGCGGGGTTTGGTGGGGAGGGAACTCGGCTCTGCGGGGCTGGAGGAACGCGCTCAGGACTGGCCCCGCCGTGTACAAGGCTCGGCACTGATCCATCGCCTCCGGCAACTGCTGTGGCCCCGGTGCCCACGTTCAGAAAGTCTAGCGGGTCTTGGTCTTGCAGAATCCACAGGGGACCGGTATCTAATGTCAGCGCTGCCGCAAACGTGATGAACCCACCCCACGAAAGCGGATTGCTCGATGCCATCCCTGGCACCAGCAGCGATTGGCCCAGTAGATCCCTCAGCATGTGGTTGGCCGAGTGTACACTGTGCGCTGCCTGCTGCGTTCCGGAGTAGGCGAGTGCAGGAGCGTTATTTGAAGGCTGCGGGGGACCGACAGGACCGTCAAGGAGGTTGCTGCCACCGACCATGGGCATAGCCGAGCTGGTGTCTTGCAAGCCCGCGACATACGGCGGTGAGACCAACGACTGAGCTGAGCTGTGCGAGGCGACCTCTGGAGTGCTAACCGGAGCAGTCCCCGTGTGCGGGGTCACAGCATCGCTCTCGCCATCAGCTGTTGCGTTGCTGCGTGGTCGGTGGATGCCAATATGGCGCTTCAGCCCATCGGGTCGAGTAAACGTCCGGGGGCATGATGGACACTTGAGCTACACAGCAGTCAGCACACACACCCGTCACGGATCGAACGCACGGCTGGTTGGGCATCTAAGACGACAGTCAGTAAGAGAGTCTCATGCGCAGAGCTGCTTGTTGTGAAACGTACGTGTGCGCTGGTGGCGGCGCAGGTTCTCCACACGCGTGAATGCTAGTCCACAGTGACATTGCAGTGACGAGGGGGACGGGGTGGAGTCTTTTGGCATGATTGGGTGGACAATGCGTCCTCAGTTTGCGACGAGTGGGGACTAAAGTGGGGACGAAAACAGTCAAACGAGGAGGCCGATCGCCGAGGAGGGGGACGGAAACCGGAGATCCGCGGCACCGGCACCGGGGGCGGGGAGACGAGGTGCAACACGTTAAGAGACCGGAGGGATGTACAGTGTTCGATCCCCAAGAAGTCCGTTTACTCTACCCATTGTTGGCACGTTGGCACGTCTGTAGGTCTCGCTGCGGTCCTAGACCTTCGCTTCTTTCGTCAGCACAGCCCATTTTTTGGGCATGGCCGCTATGGTGGCTACTGTGCAACATGCCTTCAAAAATGTAAACAAATGAACAGTGCTTGGAGAACACTTGTACATTACTTCTTTGGAACAACGCGCCGTACTTCCGACACTCGCCAGGTTCTTTAATTCCCACATTTACAACGCAAAGCGGTAGTTGGCCTCCTTCTGAACCAGCGTCGGGCCGTGCTTTCCAATGTCCTCTCCACGGTCAAGCCGGGCATTGAGATGGCGCAGGTATCGGTTGATGCACAAAACGAGTAGGATGCAAACGATCGATGCGCCCAGGTTGACACTGAAGGCCAAGACGTAGCGAGGCGGCCTGTAGAGGTACGACGTCCAGATGTTGGCCGAGTTGCCAAACGAATTGATCATGGCAATGGCAATGGCGCGCGTGACTGCTGGGCCCGTGATGCAGCTGCTGATCCATGAGAGGAGGACGATTGTGGCGCCGTAGAACGAGCCAGGCATGATCATCATTGCGAAATAACGAGCACCAGTGTTGAGGGTCGCAAGCGCAATAATGTTGGCGAGAATACACACGCTCATGCTGGCCACAATATGCCAGGTGCGTTCGTTGGTCTTGTCCGAGTGCCAGCCGACCAGGACGATCACGATGATGCACAGAATGTACGGCGGAGCCGTGATCGCGAGCGTTGTGGTCCTGTTAAAGCCCAACGACTGAACGACGACCGCGAAGAAATTGGTTACTGCCGCAGCGATCCAGTTGGTCCAGATCGTAAAGGCCAAGAGCCACACCTTTTTCTGCTCTGTTAGCGACTGAAGAAGAGTAGCAACGGGGAACGAAGGATTTGTGGCACTCACGTCGGTCAAGGCCATCACAAACGCGTGGCGGGTGCTAATTTCCTCCGTTGCATCTTGAGTGCCCCTGTCCACCTCCAGCCGGTACATGAGACGCTCGCGCTCCTGGAGATTGACCCAACGCATGTTCGCAGGCTTGTTGGGGATGAAGAAGGCAAAAATGATGGCAAACCCAACGGTCATGGCACCTTTTAATATATTTTCCGGTTAATTTTTATTTTCTATCCACGTCCGCCACATGACTCACCTTCGATGATGAACAGCCAGCGCCAGCCCTCCAGGCCATGAGCTCCGTCGAGTTGGAGGCAGGCAAGAGCGAATAAGCCACCGAACGCGTTGCCGACCTGCGACCCCGAGTACAGAATTCCCGTGCGCAGGGCGAGCTGCTTGCGGGTGTAGAACTGGGACAGGAGGAAGACTGCGCCTGGGAAGAAGGCCGCCTCGGTGAACCCGAGGATCATGCGGCAGACGACCATGCCAGGGTAGGACTGGACCGCTCCGGTGCATGCCGACACGATACCCCAGCAAGCGCACGCAAAGCAGATGTAGACTCCAGGCTTGGACAGGCGACCGGCGAGCATGTTGGAAGGGATTTGCAGAGAGACTGTGGCACGCACGTCAGAAAGCCCCGAGTCTTTGCGGTTTCATGCGCTCACTGTATCCGGCAAAGAGGACCGCAACGCAAGTGGCAAAGTCAGACGTCGACATGTTCAGGTCGGCGGTGAGACCGCCGATTTTGGCCGAGGTGATGTCTAAAAGGTCAGCCTGGATTGAACACCATACCACCACCACACCGTCCAACACCACCACTGCCTGGTTATATCAGTCGGTAGATAGTTTGACTCTTACTCCCTTGTGTTAAGATATCAAAATGTCATGGGTTCGAGCCCCATACTAGGCTGGTACGACGCGCGCAAGCACGTTCTCGTCACCCTTTTGGGTCCCGCAGCGACCGCAAGGTGCGAGAGGACTGGTGCTCCTGAAAAAGGGGGCACTCAAACCCCATGCCCCGCCACACGACGTTCCCGCTTCACCCTTCCCTCCCTCCCCCCGGCCACATCAACTTACTCTGCCTGTCGAGATAGTTGAGGATATACAGCGTGCACAGAATCGGCATGAGGAGCATGTCGAGCTTACGCGTCGCCGCTCGGTCGATCACGTCGACCTCGTCGTCGGTGAGCCCAATGAGGCTGTCAGGGATCTTGACGGCCAAGTGGCGGTCCTGGCCATCATTGGGCAACTTTTGTCTGTCTACATCCTCAACATGGTGGTGGTACCCAGGTGCTTTCTCTTGGTCGACGTCGCCTTTGTACAGTGCGTTGGTGTGGATGTTGTCACCTGTCATTGGTGGTGGTGGCGTTGCTGTGGTGATGGGGGCCCATGGGGATGGTGGGGTTTCTCTCGGCTTATACATCTCGCAAGTGGGCAACCGTAGCCGGGATCCGGCAACTGTGCGATAGCGGCGTCATCTCAGCTGACATGCTGACATGTATTCAATGATTTTGTTAGCCTTGTGGCCTTGTGGAGCTTTGCAGGGGAACATTGTTCCCCACGTCTTGACGGACGTCCTAGTTTCATGGCAGGTGGGGGGGCCCAGTAACTGGTGCCTGGGTGCGGTTCAACGCGGTATCTTCGGTGGGACCTGGTCGGCCTTCTTCATTTGCAGTACGAGCTACAACGGCCAAGGTCCGGGCCTTTGGCAGTGTACGCAGTGTACAAGTGTGGTTCGCCTGTATGGAGGTCACACGGTATCCCCCCCAGAACTCAGAGTGTCCTGCTTGAACCGCAACTTACCGGCTTTGATGGGGCAGGAACGAGCCGTCGGAGCTTTGCAGAGATAAAGGTCAGCTGGTCAAATCCGACCTGGTCTTTGCTCCGCTGGTCGGACAACAGAGCCTTTGCTGTCCTTGCGTATCGCTCAGAGCCGACGTCTCGCGATGACGCACCTACTCCCCGCAGGCCGTGTCGCATTTATTGTCCGCATTTTGGTAACATTTCTTACTGCTGCACTGGATCTTCTTGTTCTTCTGTCCCGGCGACAGATATGTACCTTCGCCAGCCCCTGCACCTCACAGCCTCCCTACCACACATCTCCCTCACCTCACAGCTTCCCCTTGCCCTTGGTGGCATTGATCCCCATCTTTGTGAGCATGCTGTCCACTCCTCCAAACAGGGTCTCGGCATTCTTGTTGTTGAGACACGAGAGCTTCTTGAACTCGCCCATCTTGAGGTTCTCGTCCAGCCTCGCCGTCTGCCGCTGCCCCTCAGACAGCATAGCATAGGGGAAGTCGGACCCGTACAGAATCTTGTCCGGCGTAGTGATCTGGAGCAGACCGTACAGCGACGTCGCGGTCGTGGACAACGCCACGTCAAAGTAGAAGAGCTTGAGTGTGGCCAGGCTGGTGTGTGGGTCAGTGTATACGTCGAGAATATCCACTTACACATCAGCCGGGGGCATGAGGTTGGCCCCCGCGGCCATAGACCCTACCGAGATGCGGTCTGCGAGCCAGGGAGTGGTGCCACCTGCGTGACTGAGAATGACCTTGAACTTGCTGTCCGCGGTGAACGTGCGAGTGAGAATGAGGTCGACGGCCGTGCGCGTCGTGGCTTGTGGGTAGTCGACAATGGGCTGGGGCAAGGTGCCTGCGATGAGCTTTGGAGAGCTGTATGTGAGCTTCGCCTCCACACCGGTCTCTGGTCTTACATTGAGACGGCACCGGGATGCACAAAGACAATCGCGGCGTATGAGTCGAGCTTGGCCCAGATTGGCTTGAACTTGGCGTCACCAAGCAGTGTATCGCCGTATGTCGTCATGGCAATGATGCCCGGCGCCTTGAGCGTACCGAGGACGTAGTCAATCTCGGCCAGAGTTCCATTCACGTCATTCCAGTCTGGGAGGGATCCAAAGAACGCGAACCGACCAGGCTTCTCGTGGGCGATTGCAGCCACCTCGTCATTGCATGCTCGCGCGAGCTGGCGGCCTTCCTCGCCCGTGCCAGCGATTCCGGGTCCCGGCGCAGTGACGGACACGACTTGGACGCGGACACCGAGAGAGTCGGCGGCATCGATGGCGCCCGAGACGTTCCACGAAGGCAGGATCCAGCCGGAAGGGTCACCGTACTTCTCAATCGCCGCCTTGTATGCGGGCTGGAGGCGTCAGTTGTGCGTGCGTCCAGAGGAACGGGGTGGGTACTAACCGGGATGATGTGGACGTGCGTGTCGATGCGGTTGGGGAAGGCCGCCATGACAGTGACGAAGATAGAGGTGAGAGCGATGGCGAGAGAAGATGACCGCATTGTGCTGTTAAGTAGCCGGAGTGTGTCCCAAAGAACCCCCGGACTGCGCGCTTCGTTTTATACCTCGTTCTTTCCAACGAACGTTACCCCATGACCCTGTTCTGTTGCCCACTATCTCATGTTCTGGCCTGGCCCACAACTGCATGTATTGCACCCTCAGCATCCCACCTGCATCGCGTAATAAGAGTAGTTGCTGCCAATGCGGGGTTCGGTGACCGATGACCGCTACCGAAGTCAGACCCCACAACCCCGCGGGGCTATCTCGGAAGGGAGGAAGAACATTGCGGGGTGGTTGCCGAGCCATCAAGCGAACACAAGAGATACTCAGAGTATGAATGCCCGCCTGTACACCGGCACTTGCAATGGCAGCATGCACTTGACATGGGGAACGTTCGGAACGCCACTCGGGGAACAGTCACGCTGTGGCTCTTCCAATTGCAGGTCGCATAACTTCAATTTATCCATTTATAAACGCTGTGAAACCATTTCTCCCCTCCTCCAGCTACTGCAGAATGAGGTCGTAGGTCGGCGGCGTGGTCTTGGTGAACGCCACAACGAGCTCGGGGACGTTGGCGGCACCCCAAGCCGCGTCCCAGGTGTACGTGAGGTTGTAGTAGTAAAAGTCGTTGATCTGGGCTCCGGTGAACGTAAACGAGCGGTTGGCATTCTCGACGACGTTGCCGGACAGGGTCACGTCGAGGCCGGGCAGGGACTGGGTTCCGCTAGCAAAGGCGTCGGCACCGAGTTGGGGACCCGGAAGAGGGCTGACCGACAGCTGGAGCTGGTTGGAGACTGTGCCGTTGGGGAAGTCTTGGGTGGGCGGGTAGCGGATGGTGAGGTTTGTCGAGCTGGCCACAATCGACACGGACGGGTTGGTCGGGTAGTGCTGCGGCGGCGGTCAGTGCTGCGTCGCTGCTGAGGCCACCACCAGTTCAACCTACCGAGATAAAGCCGGAACCAGCGGCAGTCTTGCCAGCGTCCCAGAGGATCACACCGGGCGAGAAGCTGGGCTGGTTGATGGACGGTCCGCCAACGGTGTTCTCGTCAAACTCGACGCCGCCCGCCGACAGGCCGTCAGCCACCCAGTAGGTGTAGTTGCGGGGACGAGCGTCAAAGGGCGGCGAGATGGCCTGGACGCTAAACTCGTGGTCACCCGAGAACGTGGTAATCTTGGCCTTGGACGCGCTGGACAGCTGCGCCTCGGCGTACGGCGCCGTGACCATCTGCATGGGGATCATGGCCATGTCGGTGTAGTGCACCGAGCCGTCCAGGGGCTTGGGCATGGGGTAAGTGCCGTCCATGCCAATCACGCCTGTAATGGCCGAGCCAAGGATGCCATAGTACTGCGTCAGGTCAAAGCCGTAGGTACGGTCCCATGGGCCAGAGAGAGTGTTGAGGGTCGGGTTGTACGTTTCGGCTGGTTTGTCAGCTACATCGATAGGGGATTAGCTTTACCTGTCTGGTCCCAGATAGACTTGATGATACGCGGAGCCTCCTTGAAGAGAGTCGTGTTGGTAGGGACATACTGCGCGAGCGACAGTGCAAAGAGCGAGACACCAGCATAGGTGCCGCCGTTGTATTCGCTGATGGTGTCGTACTCGTCAAAGAGGTCCACAAACTCCTGAGCCCATTCCTGTCGCGGTCAGCTTCCTCAGCCGGAGCAATGAAGCTTCTCACCTCGGCCCAGTAAGTCATGTTGGCGTCGTTGGAGATGTGGCCCACGTACGCCGACGCGGCGAGACGCATGACCCACGGGTTGGTGTAGCATGGACGGAGGTTGTCGTCGTTGACACCGCCAACGCGGTACCCGTCTCCGACGGTGGCCATGTACATTGCCTTGCGGAGGTTGGAACGGACGGTCGGGTCGATGAGGTCGCCAAACTGCGAGTCGATGATGATGCCGGCAATGGTGACGAACAGGGCATTGTTGGGGTCTGGAGTCAGCTCTCTGTGAAGTGAACAGCTACGCACCATACGAGTTGTAGATGCTCGGCGCGTAGATGCTGTCGCCGTCGGCATAGATGCTGGTCAACGAGCTCTTGAAGGTGCCGTACCCGACAAACGAAGTGTTGGTGTATTGCTGGGTGAGAAGGTTGGCAATCACCTTGTTGGCCAGTGCGACGTCCCCAGTTCCCTGGCGCGCGAGGAGACCGACAGCGTACCACGACGACAGCTTGGCGGTCCCCCAGAGCAAAGGCAGGCCAAAGTTGTTGTCGAGGATGTCCATAGAGTAGGCGAACAGCTGCTTGTTGTTGGCAGACAGGCCTGCGGAGTCCAACCAGGTCTTGTGGCTCGAGGAGCCGCCATTGTTGCGAGGGGTCGGTGAGGCCTGCACCGAGGACAGGCCAGCGAGCAGAGCGACAACTGAGGTGAGAGCTTTCATGCTGATTGAAGGCGAGGATGGGGGGCCCCCCTCTTTCTGGCATTTGTTGTCTTCTTATGGTGCGACGGGGGACGGCGAAGTTGCCGTCATCATCCTCGTCGTCACACTTCGGAGAACATGACCGGAGACGTTCAGCCACCGCCGACGGCAGGTCCCACCCTGTGCGTCCCTCGGTCCTGTTCCTTGGCCAAAACTCTATCCTGGCAAAGATGAGGTCGACATGAAGAGCAGAAGAACGTCTGTCTGTGTACCTATGTTCGGACGTGTCACCCGGAAAGAGTGCCGGTGGTGTGGCGTAGACTAGTTCGATCGCCCGGCCCGAAGGTGGGCAGAACGGGCCGTCCACAATTATCGTCTTCGGCGCCGGTCACCGTACGCCGGTGGATCTCGCATGCACTGCCACTTGTCTGCGAACACGCATGGTACCGATCTAGCGACAGTCTTCTGATCCATATCGGCCCCGATCGCCATCCGGTGAGGTCCGCATCGGCCTTGGAGAGAGAACCAGATGTCGCATGTTCTGCCAAAGGCCGTTGTTGGCGCCTCTGCCGTGCCTTCTTGCCTTGTCCTGCAGGCTCTCCACTCAGAGTTCACATCCATCGCCCTTGATTGTCATAAAGCCCACTTATTCTGTAAAGAAGCGAAGAGGCTGAGGGTATGCGCAGTCACACTCGGGACTGCTGAGAAAGGTCATGCCAGTGCGCCAGGGGTGGGCGGACAGGGACATTGCTCCGAACCCACCCTCTAGCCTGGTCCAACACCCCACCGAAACTTTGGTCTGTGCATCTTGTACGCTGCTTCGTCGGCTTCCCAGGACCAGTGGAGGACCTCAGAATGACGTTTGACAGGGTCTAGCCGCCCATCGTCTTGTCATTGTTCCCGATGCGCTGAACGGACACTTGACCATAGTGGGCAATGGGGACATTTTTCGCCGCTTTTCCAAGTATTTTGGGTTTCGCCGGGGCGCGTGCACTGTGACGGGCTTTTGCCGTCCATGAGAACAGAGTTTACACAAGATAAGATAACACACTCCACTGTTTAACACTGCTACAAGCGGATGCTAAAGAGTGGACAAGGGGAGGGTAGTAGTTTGAGGTTTGACTGCGTTACTGTCCGTCGGTGGGGCGGTGCCACATTTGAAGTTTGCTAGAGATCTGGCGAGATGGTCGCGTTGGCGCATTGGTCTCGTGCCCTCGCGCATCTGAACGTTTCAGCACGAGTCCTTCGCGCCAACACCCCCGTATTCCATCTCACATGTGGATCTACACACCGCTGCACGCGCTGGAGCAACAGCCTAGTGGAACGGGTTGGTCGTGTCCTCGTCGTCATCGTCGTCGTCTTCAAAAGCCTTGGGTGGGTGCTGGGGGAAGGCGACGTGGGGGCCACGGCCAAGAGCGCGTGTCGGCCCGGACTGGATGGTGGGCACGTACTGGTGAAGAGCGCGTTCGCGTTGCTTCCTGGCCTGCTTGGCGAGACGGCGGCGGCGCTTGCAGCGCCAGACAAGTGCCCCAATGAGTGCCACCGTGCAGACGGCAAGAATGGCCACGACGGCAATGATCCATCCGGCGACGGGGTAAGGGTTGGTGTACTCGAAAGTGTAGGAGCGGACACGGATAGAGCTGTAGCTGTAGTCGTTGGACTCCGGGAGGGGCAGCGCCATGGTGGGAGGGACGAAGAGGATGAGGGCCAGGGTGACAATCGTGAGGGTGGTGGACGCCATGGTAAAAGTCGCGTACGAGATTGAAGGAGTGTCGGGGGGGAAGGAAAAGAATGTGATGAAGAGGGTGAGCTAAGACGATACGGGGAAGAGGGAAACAGGATAGAGCATATGCTGTCGACGTGTTGCAGAGGGTTGAGGTATAGGTGGTCAATGCCACTCACGCTGAGCGCGTCACAGGGGATACGCGTCGTGCAGCATGGAGAGGCGCATGTAGAGGCTGGAGGGGTTGGAGGGGTTGTCGACTGATCAAACACGTCCAAGAAGTGCTGTCGAGGACCAGAGCGGCTCCAGAGTGCTCTGGCCCACAGTCCCCATCAAGATCGCTTTTATACTCTGCTGGACATTGGAGGAATCGGCCTCTCCTGCATTGATAACATGGTGGATGCGGGTTTTATGGTGGGCCACGCCGGATGCCCTGGTGACTGTCGCACTTGTAGCCGTCCCAATCTGTCAATCCGCACCGTCGTCCTGTTTGGACTCGTTGCTCGTCTTGTTCTTTCCCCTTTATGGATCTGTGGCCTCGGGGCACACGATGCAGGCACCATCTCTGACGGGGGGATGGGTCACTTGTACCGCGTCATCTTCAAGAGCGGGGCGTGTGACTGCAATTCAAGACAACTCGAGACAAGGGGTGTGACTGACGTCAAGCCGACGTTGGTCGCGGACACTTGGCACCAAACAAAATGACCCCACCCCACACCGGGTGGCAAAGACATTGAATGGCACCGGTGAGACAAATGCCATCATGTCATCACACACACCGCCCACAGGATGCAGTGCTTGCTGGTTGTTACGCTCACCCCCCACAGAGGGCAACCAGCAGCTTTCTTCCCAGCTCTGTATATGCTCCATCATTTGCCACCCCTCTGCTTTTCACACCGCCCTCATCATCATAAAGAGCGACCCCCAACACAACTTCATCCTGACCTTCCTCAACCCGCCTCTGGCCGGAGAACAACTTTGTCCAACGTCCCAACCGTAACACCACTCGAGTGCCTTCTTCCCTCCTCTCCACTCTCTCGCAATGTGGGTGTGGATACCGATCGTCAGCTCCATCTGTGGGTTCATCCTCCTTGTCTGCGTGCTGGCGATCCCAATCGCCATTATCAGCAAACGCCGTTCGGCCACCAAGAAACAACAACAGCAGGTCATGTATTCTGGCAGCGGCACCCAGCCTGTCACGCACAACACAATGCCGCCGCCGCCCGACTATGCGAACAATCCCCCGCCACCCGACTACGCAGGCGTGAGTGTGCATGTGGTGATTCTGAAGGGCGGTTTGTTCTTGGCTGATGCGTTTAAACAGGGAGGAACCAAGGACCCAAACTATTCACCAGTCTAAGACGACGAGGCCGCCGGTGGGTCGGACATGGGTGGCCACAAGAGCCGAAAAAGAAATGACCGCAGCGGCAAGCGGAGTCGCCGACAGGCGAGCGAAGGATCAGTTTTGGCCGTGCAGAAACCCACGCTGCATGTATATGTATATGCTGTGGACGTTGCTGTGCTGCAGAACGTATATGCATGAGACCATGCAGAGGAGAGAGAGAGAAAGAGAGCGTGTGTAAACGCAGGCAGCAGATCAACAAAACCCACTGGGCGGCCGACTGATCCGATCCGAAATGGTGCGCGTCATCTGCCGTGCTCCGCGTTCCCGGCGGGGGGGTGGTGGGTCTGCTCTCGAGTCAACAGCATCATCCCATCCCATTCATTCACTCCACCTCGTCGTCACCCATCGCCCCATCACCATCACTCACTTGCTCTCCTCCCCCCCCCCGCTCCCCCTCTCCCCACCCGACACACACACGTCTGCCATGTCGCGGCGTCCCCGTTCGCCGTCGCCACCCGCGTCCGCCGCGCTCCTTATCAACGGCCCATCGGGTTCGTCGCCGCAGCCCACCTGATAGGCCACTGGTCACTGACGCGCGCCAGCACTTACCCACACCGTCGCCGCAAGCTCGCCTTGTCCCTCGGCCTCGCCCCTGTCTCTCCCATGCACCGAGTCTGCCCCGCCAGCAAAACGTGCGCGCCGTTCGGCGTCGCCGGCGCCTGGTGTCGCCCCCGAGCTGTCCAAGTCGGCCACGGCGCCGACTGCCGCGGCGGTGCTGGACCACGAGGCATTCCCGCACCTCATGGATGCCATTGTCGCCGCGTCGGACGACGCCTCGCTCCTGCACCTCCGCTCGGCGTGCCGCGGGTTCCGGGACCGCGTCGACCGCCTGCTTGCCCACCACGTCCATATCACCTGCCTGTCGCCGCACCCGACCCGCGCCACCGAGCGCGTCCACATCACGTCCCAGCTGGGCCGCTTCCCTGGCTTTTCGCCGTGCGTGTACTACTGGGACGCGATGGGCCGCATGCCGTGGCCGCCACCCACGCCGCCGCCCGTGCTGCACCGCCAGGCCCAGGTGCTGCGTCACACGCGCGTCGCAGACATCCACGGCGCGCTCCCGGAACCTGCTGCTGCGTGGCTGGGCCGTAACCTCGGCCGTGGCCACATTGAGACGCTCCGCCTCTTTCCAGACGCGCGGGGCCGGACCCTCCGTGCCGGTCTCCCAGGCCCTGTCGACACGCTTGTCCTGTTCCCGGTGCCGCCGCCCGTGCGCATACCGCTCGGTCTCGGCGCGCTCGTCCAGCTCCAGCCCGAACACGCCGTCCTCGCACCCACAGGCGTGCGGCGGTTCGTCGTCCACGTGCGCGTGGATGACGGCCCGCTCGCGTTCCCGCTCTCGTTCAAGGCCGGGCGCGACGTCGCCGAGGTCGTCCTCGGCTTCACCCGCGTGCCCGGGTTGAAACCCAGCGAGGCGCCGTGCCCGTCCACGGCCGACCGCGCCGGCGAGCTCGCAGCGTACATTCTCGGCATGATGCCGTTTCTCTCTGCCAACATTACGCTTGTGGGGCTCGACGACGTCGACCCAGCCCTGTCCAGCGGCGTCCTGCGTAAACGCATCGTGGAGCTGCTCGACTTTTTGGGCCTCAACGACAAGTTTGTGCTGCACCCGCAGCAGGCGCCGCCCAAGCCCAAGGACTGGTCGTGGGCCTGGAACTCGCGCCAGATCCAGGACCGCGTGCTCTGCCTCTCCAAAGAGGACTATGCGGACACTGTCGGTCCTGACCAGTGGGCCGTGGAGATGGAGGAGTGAGTGAGGTGTAGCAGAGAGGGTGGAACATTGGCCCGCAAACCCGTTGTTGTATCAATCACATTGAATGCATTACTCATACGCAGCCGTGGTGCTGGGCGTGGGGTCGTGAATCTATGATGCGGTGGTGTTTCGCAAGTCGAGGTTGTCGTCTGACAGTACCGGCGCGAAGTGAGTGTCTGAGATCCCCTACCTTGGGTCTCGCATCTCCTGTTGCACGCTGACACAGCCATCATTCGATATGCAATTAGGTCTGGATCCTTAGATACGCAGCGGCGACACCCCGCGAGAGAAGGATGCAGATCGGGAGAGATGACGAGCCGCGAGCAAGCTGAGTGTCAGTTTCATCCTAGCGATTATCAAAACTCACCTGCTGAACGATTGTGCCTGAAGCTCCTCTTCGCGGCCATCCGAACGCGATGCACGCGTCTCGGACGCGCCGGTGCGCTGTGGCCGGTGTGACAGACCGATTCACATATCGCGCGCGTTGACGGTCGCGTGCATGTCGGTTCCAGAGGCCAGAGGCCAGAGGCCTGCGAAGGGGGAAGGCTGGGTGCACGGTCCCCAACGCCTTGGTGTGGGTTTGTAGTTGCTCTACCCGGGTGGTGTGTCGTCGTCTTGGGTTCCTCATGACTGCGCAACGACACTCTGCACGACGGGCGACATGGCAGCGGCCAGCACGGCGGCCTTGGCCACCTCGGTGATCCCCCTACTGGCATGCTTGGCAATCACCTTGCTGGCCGTCTGGACGAGAAAGCGCGACGCGTGCACGGCGAGGAACCTGCTCTGCTGGCGGGCGAGGTAGCGTGCTGCCACGAGTGTGATCCATTTCGCTGCGCGGTTGGAGATTGCGCGCGACGTCTTTGCTGTCAAGGACCGTTTGGCGTATGCGACGATCCACTTGGCGGCGCGCTGTGTGAGGTGACGCTGCGACACGACGAGCATGGTGTTTGTGGAGTGTAGTGGGCAACAACAGCGACAAGACTGTTGCATGTGCGTATGATGGCTTAAACGGCTTGGCTGCGTTTTGGCGTTTGGGCCGCCGTGCCTGTGGAATGTGAAATTACAAAAACAACAACGACAAGTATAAACACCTTTACTAATCACCATTTGCCCTTTTCCTAAACGGACAGCCCCCAATCTCCGTGTTTCCGACCACGCCCGTTCGTCGCCGACGTGCCGAGATGTTGTCGGAAGCCGGCCGAAAAAGTCTACCTAAGGCAACATCTAATCTCTCCTTTCGAGTCTCCTCTTAGTCACCACCCCACACAAAATGTTCGCATCCCGCCTTCGCCCCATTGCGCGCACCGCCGCTCGTCGCGCCTACGCCACTGCGTCGTCGGCGTCGTCCACCGCCTCGGCCCGTGTCGCCCCCAAGGCCAAGGTCGCCCGCGAGGGCGAGGGTCTCGCTTACGTCGTTGCTGCCTCGGCTGCCCTCTTCGCTGCCGGCAGCGCCGTCTACCACCTCCGCGTGAACAACACCTCGGGTGTCCCCAAGACCGACGAGGAGGAGGAGGAGGAGGAGCAGGCTGAGGAGGAGGCCGAGGAGGAGGTTGTCGAGGCACCCAAGCAGACCGCGACCGACGCCAAGGCCGAGAGTGCGTTTCTCTGACTCATCCAGGTGGTTTGTCACCACCACCTCCACAGGGCAAGGCTGTACTGACACACCATCTCTCTCCAGGCTTGATCGAGGCTGCCGTTGCCGGTCTCGCCGCTACCGCCGAGGAGGTCGACGGCGCCCTTGCCGAGCTCGTTACTGCCACCGAGGCCGCCCTGGCCAAGTACGCCAGCGACAAGCAGACCGCCGCCGTCGAGGCCGCTACCCTCCCCGACCCCGCCGAGGCTGCCAGCCAGGGCGCGTTCAACGAGGAGACTGGCGAGATCAACTGGGACTGCCCCGTGAGTCGGAATGGAGAGCCAGAGGACGTTGAAGACCGGGCGATAGCCAGGCAATGGATATGCTTGCTCGCTTGGTCATCTATGGCCCCGAGTGGCATGCCCGACCCTATTGTCGACGTCCCCCCGGCGTGCTCGTGCTCGCCTGCACAATGTTTATTGCACCAATACTGACTCTCCAGTGCCTCGGTGGCATGGCCGACGGCCCCTGCGGCGAGCAGTTCAAGGCGGCGTTCTCGTGCTTTGTCTACTCGGAGGCGGAGCCCAAGGGCCTCGACTGTGTCGAGAAGTTCCAGGCTATGCAGGACTGCTTCCGCGAGCACCCCGAGGTGTACGGCGAGGGTGAGTAGGGCATTGGGATAAGGTAGTGAGCGTAAGCTGACATTCCCCCAAGAGATCGACGACGACGAGGCCCCCGCACCTGCTGCCGAGGAGCCCAAGGAGGCCGAGAAGGAGGCCACCGCCTAAGCTACATCCTAGATATTACATGCACGTCATTGCTACAATTCTATGGACACGACTACCGGCGGTAGTGTGTATGTTTCACGCCGGGTTGTTGATTGGATCTGTCTCCTTTGGCGGTTCGGGCTTTGGGTGCTCCAGGAAGAGGTTCCACCGCCACTCGTCCAGGTCCTCGACTTTGGCGGCGCTGCTTGGGATCCACCCGTCTCGGCCCTCCTCAAAGATACACAGGACGCGGACGGGCGACGTGCTCACGTGGTCGCCGTCCCGGTCCCTCATGACCAGGCGGTAGGCCTTTGCGGCGCTGCGCGACCCGTCGCAGGGCGCCATGGTGGTCCGGTACTGGTCCGCACCGCGGTACGCAATCTCCGAGCTCATGGGCCAGATCTCGAGGTCGTCGTATGTGAGCGTCTCGGCCCACGCCTGGCTGGCAATGTTCGGCCGGGCGCACACTTGCTCCACAACGATTGTCGTCACGTTGAGGATCTCGGCCTGCTCAATGACCTTGCGAGAGAGGAAGAAGGAATAGGTGGACATCTGCTGTGTCGCTTCGCCCATGATGCACTGTGTGTTAGCTTCCTGAGCAGGTCAGAGGCAGCTCACGTCTGTGGGATAGCCAAACTTGCGATTGGGGCCAGGTGGGCCGTCAAGGAGTTGGCAGATGCCGACGAAAAAGTGCCACCAGCACGAGCTGTGCCCACGGTTGCCCCATTTCCCCGTGTACTCGAGCCAAGACTCGTCGCCAGTGTGGTGAACTTTTTTGGTCGTCTCGGGCGACCAGAACTCTGCAGGGACAACATGGCCTTGCGTATCCCAAATCGCACCATAGTCGTCCGTGACGTCGACAAGAGCCCACAGGTTGAGCAGCTGCGCATACACGTGCTTTCCGGGAGTGGGCCACACACCGTGGCTTCCAGACGCGACGTATGCAATCGGGCGATTGTCCGCGGTGCGCTCGACGTCGTGCCAGCGGAACGTCCTTGGGGGTCAGACATATGTTGTTGGCTCAGCACTTACCCCGCACTGAAGGCACCGCCAGAGTGGGTGTCTTGTTGTCAGCTTGGCTGCAGCGATTAAAGCTCACCAAAGTCCGCTGCGACGGCCTCGCCATTGACTGTCCGGACACGGAGGTGCTGCTGTTAGAGTGGCCCAGAAGCTACGCTACCTCTTGTTCTCACCTCCCAGTCTGTCACGTCTGTATGGGTCAGCTTGAGCGGTCGCTGTCGAACACCCACGATTGCCCAGCCACCCCAGAGTCCCGACCTCCTTGCCCAGATTGTAGGGATAAAACCTGATGGGTCAGAACCTTCCGCGTTGGACACCCACGTCCAGTACCAGAGATCCTGCCTTGTCAGCGTATCCAAGGCACCTGCACACTCACCACTACGCCGTGTCCCTGGTCCACCCAGATCCCGTACACATCGTCAAAGACGCGGCCGCGTCCATCCTCGGCATACACCATCGCGCCCTCTTGCCCTGCCGGGCCGTAGAGAAACTCGCTGCCCTGGGGCATGAGCGGCTGGCCGTTGCACTCCTGGTCCACGGAAAGGGACTGGTTCACGCCGTGTTTCCACAGTCGATCCAGGCCAGAGACAGAGAGGACATCGTGGCCCTGTAGGTTGTGTGTGTCAGTTGGAAGTACTAAAAGCACAGAGTCAAGCAACCCACTGGCCTGATGGTCGTGCCATTGTTGTACTCCACCTGCAGTGTCAGCGGAACCGTGCGTCACTGCACAGCAACGACCACTCACAAAGTTATAGTGCTCCAGCATAAAGTCGACAGAACTGGGGTAATACCTCTCGGTAGAGCTATGCCAGTCAGAATGGGGAATAACTCTTACTCTTCCTGCGCGTTCCCTTCAGATCCACCCACGCACCACATCTTGAACACGGGTGCCCATCGATTGAGCAGCTTGGCCATCTCGGCCTTCTTCTCGGGCGACGACCCATCTCGCCCTCCGTCAGTCTCCATGTCCATCTCTTCTGGGGTCATGGGCCTCATTCCAAACGGCATCTGGACGGGTGTTGGGCGCGCCGGGCGCGCGACGGCGCCTGTCGCCGCAATCGCGAGGACCAGCCACTTGAACGTGGTCTATAGGGGGCACGGTCAGTGGGTGTGCGTGTGTGTGTACCCGGAAGCACACATACGTACCATGACGCAGAATGCAGGGGAGCGGTGCTTTGCGAGTGACCACTGACGGGGGAGGTGTGGGAGTAAGTGATGAGAGGCAAGCAAGAGATCAGACAGGCAGTCGCGACACGAGATAGAAACGTGCTGCCTGTGGTGGGGTTGCGGTGTCTAACCAGAGACGTCATCGGACAGGCTCCAAGTGTGTATTTAGGGAATTAGGACTATAGGACTAAACCAATTAAGGCTAGGCGTGCTATTAGGCCTGTCAATTAGGCGTCTGTTGCATTACATAACCTGCCTGCCTTTTGTAATAGACTGCGGATTAGGCACACCCATTCCTTCCTTCCCCCCCGCCTCCACCTCTCTTTGTGTTGAGCGGAATGTTAAAGCACAGAATGCGGGGGTGGCAAAGATCAGTCCGTTTGGCCCATTTAGACGACGCTTGGCGTCACATCGTCATCGTCACACGCTGGACAGAATACACACACACACCCATACTTATACTCCACGTCCCCTCTCTCTTTCTCTTTCTCTTTCTCTTTCTCTTTCTCTTTCTCTTTCTCTTTCTCCCCACGCATTCACCATCACCCATAATGGCCACCCATCCCGTCGAGTTCAACGTCTCGGGCGACTTCTCCGTCCAGCGCAAACCAGAGCTGTGCACCATTAACATTTCCGTCCAGCTCGAAGGCCCCGACCCAGCCTTTGTGAGCGCCAAAGTCACGACCAAGATGAACGAACTGGTCGCGGAACTCCGTGCTCTGGCACCCCCCAACCACGGGGCCGAGGTGGATGGCCAACTCGTCATCGACAGCGCTTTCCCCGTGACCAACTGGTCCGCCCAGAGCGTCACCACGTCGGTGTGGACGGACCGCAAACCCCAACCCCCACCCCGTGCTGAGTTGGCTAGGACGGCGGCGCCTGGCGAACAGCAGTGGGTCGAAAAGATTGTCCACCATGCGCGCGCAACCGCCGAAGCGACGTTCCACAACTTTGAGGCCTTGGGCGACTTTGCCGCCCGAGTTGCAGTGAGTGTTGGCTGGCCGACATGGTCACTCGCTGCCCCCCGACAGACTCCGTAACTGACACCTCCAGGCTCAGGATCTCGCCAAGGTCGACGGACTGTCATGGGACGTTGCCCCTCTCACTCGCAAGTCCCTCCAGACCTCGGTCCGCCAGGAAGCACTCCGCGACGCCATCGCCAAGGCGCGCGACTATGCCCAGGTCATTGGTGGGCCCGACGCCAATGTTCGCGTCACCGAGGTCAACGACAGCGGCGGTCCCATCTATCGCCAAAACAAGGCCGCCTTTGGCGTTGCCGCGTTTGCCTCTGGCGGTCACCAGCCGGAGCGTATCAACTTTGAGCCTGCGCCCGTCGATATTTCGGCAAACGTCATGGTCAAGTGCGTCCTTGCTTAGCGAGTCACTCGTCACTCCCTCTGCACGGATACAGGTTGTTGTCAAGAAGTCCATTCCATGCATCCCATATCATGAGCGCTCGGCGCCAGTATCTTATCTACACTCACCGCATTACAGACCCCGTCGCGCGCGGCTCTCAAGTCGGTTTCCACCTCGGCACCGGCTGCGTCAGTGGACGCCTTGTGCTGCGCATCGAACGGCGCATTCCAAAGGTCGGATCCGAACGTACCGAACCACGAGTAGAATTCCAACGCTTGCTCGTCGACGTCTTGTCATTCCTTTATACTCTCCATTCTCGCGCAGCTGACGACCGGTACTCACACCCCCAATGTATCTCCCCACGACAGACTCAGTATCGGCACACCGGCAAGCGTTCACCGGCTGGACTGCCGGGCACACAAGCCAACGCCCTGACACGACGCGCTTCTGAGTTGCTTCTGGCCGAGTGCTCAGCCGACCACCACAGACCACAGGACGCATCCTCGTCCACGCCCTTTGCCGCGTCCAGTTGCTGACCTGTTGACACTTTGCGCAACTCACCTGGATGTGACATGGCCAGGATATGTCGTCCGAGCATCGGGTGTTTGTCAAGGCCTTCGTCCTTGATTCGCCGTGCTGGTGTCGCCCAGCGCCTCCGTGTGGTAGGCGCCCCGCCCCCGCCAGGCTTGGCTTGTATCCTGGGTACCCGGCGTTGGCGTGCTTTGGTGGAATGCTCATGGACGATCCCGATCGTTGCACCGCGGGGACTAGGCGGGCAGGACGCTGAGGACCGCGGGATGCTTGCCCATGTCCTCAGACCGAGCCACTCGCCCACGTAATTGGTGGAGCTGTTGCAACGGGGACAGCACACCTCTGCCGTGATCTTACACTCACACTCACACCGTCCCAGCTGCGCGTGCTTGGGAAACACCTTCCCCATGGTACAGCACCGCGCCTGGTGGCTGGGTATGAGAGCTGCGGAAGGCGGGGGGCGATGAGAAGCACTGCGGGTCACACTTGGGTAGGGACATGGTCGATTGATGGGATGGGGGCTTCTAGACCAGTGGCCCTTGAAGGAACATCGTGTCGTCCAGCAGACCAGAACGACGGGTCGATACCCGGACCCCGTTTGGCTAATGTGAGCAGGCTTTTGGCATCATGGTGGGTCGGTCACGCGTCCTGCTCTCCGGATCTCCGGGACGCACTCATTCAATTTCAACTCGTCAACTCGTGGGCGGAACTGGGGCGTGGCTGACCGCCACTGAACCTTCAATCTCTCCACATGTGTACGTGCAAGTACATACGTGCCTCCTGATCCGTTAATCCGGCACGCACACATGAGCGGGGTTCTTGGCACCTTTTGCTGCTACTTCTTGGCACACGACTCTCACGAGGAGACGGGTGGGTGGTGCCCATTATCGCGACTGTATCAACTCATGTTGCTCGCAAGTGTGCGAAAAGGAATGGGCTCCTGAACGACTCCTGAGCGGTTACCACTGATAACTGATTACAGAGGTGTGAACGCGCCCGTTTTCCTGGGACGCACACATGGTGCACTCGTCGTCTTATCTAACCAGGATACAAGCGATGAATGGTTCTGGCGGATGGGCTTTTACAGGGTGAACTGGAGGTACGGGTGTAGCTCACCAACGTCCTCTCATACCTCCAAAGCCGACAGCGCGTCAAAGCCGACCTGGACGGGCTTGGGAGTCAAGCACCACGAGGTGCTTTTGCGCATGACCGTTTGTCGCTGAGACAGCTCGGCTTTGCGTCTTCCCTTCAAGGGGTCACGGGCACGGACACGGGGGGAAAGCACAGCCAACAACACCCCATCAAGGAAACAAGAGTCGCGAGGGTAGAGGCACAGCGGCGTCAGCCTGGACGCCGTACGCCGTGTTTGTCTTCGCAGCACGCGAGCACCTGCCGGCCTGAGATGATGGGTTGAGCTTCCCCAACTATACCAACTATGGGTTGCTCAGGTTCCGTCCGATGTGTCTGTCATGGGACATTGCCGTCTGAGCAGTTGTCCAGTTGACCGTTGCCACATTGCCTACCACCACTGCGGAGTTGATGTGCGGGCTTGGACTTACGTGCGTTTTACCAAACACTCCGTGCTGGCCTGTATTCGAAACGCCAAGCGTTGTTCTCCGATTGTGCACCTCGTGGTCAAGCGCTTAGACACGTAGCCACGCTTGGAACGATCGCCCAAGAAAACCTCCCAAGGTTTTGTTAGAGCCACGCCAGTTGGGATTTTGGAGTCGACGTCCCATAGCCCGACACCTTAGTGCTGCCAGAGGTGGTGCTGGGAGCACGACGCCTCCACTCCTCCTTGGTTGTTCTGGGAGCCATAGAGTGCGAGAGAAGAACCACAGTTTGGCTACTCGTGAGGCACTGACCCACATGGGGAGCTAACTCGGTCGTGAGCCGCTATCTTGAGCTCTGGCAAATCATGATATGCACATTGCATGAACATTGCCTTGCTCCGACCCGACAGGCCGACATGCTCTGGTATAGTTACACACCCCACGCCGGAGCGCTCGGCCGTATGGCGTGGCGACCGTGGGCCGCGCTTGAACTTGTAAACGGTGAACCACACCATCCGCAATCAACATTGCCGGCCCCCCACCGGGACCCGGTGAGATCTCTATCACAGGGCCCGACGAGCGTTCCACTGGCCATTGACAGTGCGAGCATTGGCACCTGTAGGAAATGGCAGTGTGTATAAATGGAAACAACACTCGGTTAATTATCCGGCTCCTGCAGGTTTAGACGGGAGCCGTGCAACACTGGCACACCCGTACCACCAGCCGACACGCGACAGAGCGTGGACGTCTGTGGATCTCAGAGTCGCACTAGTGCAACGCAAGTCCCAAAGCCAATCACCTCATGTAACCGCCATCCGCCATCGTCCCGCGTGCTCCAACACCAACGGCCACGTTGGACAACGTTTGACTAAGAGCAACAAGCTTGGACCTAACAACCCACGACGAGCTCCAAGTGCCGTGCATGGGGTACGGTTTCCGGCTGTGGAGGCCGTGGAATCTGGAGGCCCCGCATGGATGCCGGGCCGGGCATGCACTTGGGCGCGTTGTCCTGACTAACGCTCCTGAGTTACCCCAAGCCGTCCCCCCCCCTCTTCATGGTGGCCACTGACATAGGCCGGCAAAGACGGGCAGAATCGGCGTTGGGCATGTCCACCACGCAGACGGATTGCCGCCACAAACTGGACAGTAACATGTGCCAAGATATGTGCACCACACTGGTGCTCCCATGCACGGGCTTGTAGGCACCGATGCCATGCTCTCAATGTTGGACATTGATCAGGGGAAAGGGAGATGGGCCTGGAGGTGGTATATTGAGGGTTTCGAGGCATGCGCGGGTGTCGACTTGGCCGAGGTGGTGGCGGACGGCCAAGCAAATGCGGCTTCTTTAATCCAGGGAACAAAACGGATGGTACCACATGGGTGATGGGTGAGCGAACTGATAGCGATATTGAGGAGCAGTGAGACCTCCAGAATCCCGAGCACCGGCACAACCAAAGCACGCCAGCGGCCAGCGGGCATCCCAGAGCGTCCATTGAGCGACGTCTCGGCCGGTCCCTAGATATGTGGACCGACAAAAGCCCATGTGGTACCATGCGTCGAGGTGGCATTGCCTCATTAACGCAAACTCTTGGCATTCCTAGGGCACAGTCACTAACGAGTCTGTACTGGATTCCAGAATTGTCATGACCACCCATGTCGCCCAACAGCGATTGTATCACCCATGACAACCGCACTGCAAGCTTGTGAACGTGCAGCTCAGACAATAGCCAGCGACGTTTGTTGTTCGCCCCCTTGGTGTGTATTCTCGGTTCTCCGATCTGCACGGCCGTTGGGGTTGTTGTGAAAGCCCACTGCCAAGCGCGGTTCCTAGCTAGCCCAGGAACGTCACTTGCGCGTGAGTTGTGGTCACTGCTTATCGTACAAGGTTGGCATGGTTGGGCTATTTTACGTTTGCTTGGCTAAAGCGGGAGAGCACAAGGAGGACACGGGTGTACTGTACCCACAGCTGGCCAGGGCCGGGATGGCACATCGGGCTTCAACATTTAGCGCCAGAGAATCAAACTGGGCTTTTCAGGCGCGCACAGATGGCGTCTGAGCTCGACATGCTGCGCAGAAGGGGAGGTGGCAGCCCCGTCCTGCACAACACAACATCACGTCTGGTGCCACAGGCCCCCACAGGGCCGCAAGGGATCAGCGGGGACATGGCACCACATTGTGCATTGCCCTTGTCGAGCCCCCCGCCCGCGGATCCACGGCGTGGCGGGCAGCGCGACCACCCAGAAGGCCGCAGTGTCTCGACCCCGTTAGCGGAGGTCCAGTTCCGGCCAGAGATCATGCGATCGCGCAAGACCGTATCACTCGAGCCAAGACATGGTGCTATCACATATCGAGGTGCACACGCGGTTCCCTGCCGCAGAGCGGACGAGTTGGGTGGGATGCCAACAGGGCTGTCGGTCCAGTCGGAGTCGTGGCGGAGCTGGAGGTCAGCCGACAGGCTCCTGAGATGTGGGCAGCTGGCTGATACTGAATCGTCCTGCTTGCCGCACACCGGGTCCAACCGGCTCTGTTCATAAAGCAGGCCCATAGCCACACTTGTAGAGTTCCCCCAAGGGGAGTCCCCATACCCATCAACATGTCAATCGAAGAGAAGAAGGACAACAACTATCTGACCGATGTCGAGGTGATGCGTCCCGAGGCGGACCTCGTCGAGGACAAGGTCACCCAGGAGTGAGCACGGCAGTTGCCTCAAACCAAGTCCACGAGCGCTGACAAATGACAGAGAGCTCAATGCCACTTCTGCTGATCTGGCCATGGCGGCGGAGAAGCTCGACTCTATGACTCTCGAGAGGTGCAAGGCGGTAAGCTTTCAGAGCGCCGGGGCGTATCACACAAGCGCTAACGTGCCACACAGATCATGACCCAGGTCCTCGAGATGCACCAGTACGACCAGAACTTTCCCTCGTCGTCGCTCGATGCTATCAAGGACCTGCTCGAGAACCCTGATGTCACTGCCAACCCTGACAAGCACGCCGAGCTCATCCATGCCATGAAGCTCGAGGCGCTTCTGGTTACCGAGAACTCGCCTTACGCCGAGGTCCGCGCCGTGGTCGACAACACCGACGACCCGACAATGCCCTCGCTCACGTTCCGTGTCTGGGTCATTGGAATCGTCTTTGCCGGTGCCGGTGCCTTTATCAACCAGCTGTTCTCGATTCGTCAGCCCCAGGTCTACGTTTCGTCCCAGGTCGCCCAGCTTCTTGCTTGTGAGTAGGAAGGGGGAGTGGTGACCGTGCTAACCCTATTAGGGCCTTTCGGCAAGCTCATGGAGCGTACCATGCCCCACAAGGAGTTCAACTTCTTTGGTCGTCACAGCCTTGTGAGTGGTGCAAAACCAATACATTTTTTTCTGACCTGCACAGAACCCCGGTCCCTTCAACAAGAAAGAGCACATGCTTATTACCATCATGGCGACTGTCGCCTTCAACACCCCTTACACTGGCTACATTGTCTTCACTCAGGCCCTGCCTCAGTACTTTGGCCAGTCGTATGCCAAGGACTTTGGCTACCAGATCCTCAACACCATCGGCTCCAACTTTGTGGGCTATGGTCTTGCGGGTCTTTGCCGCCGCTTCATTGTGTACCCAAGCTTCTGCGTGTGGCCCTCGTCGCTCACATCGCTGGCTATCAACAAGGCGTTCCACTCGGACGACTCGATCGCCGTTCCCGGCCCCCTCAAGCGCATCTACACCTGGTCGCGCATGAAGCTCTTCATGATGGCGTTTGTGTCCATGTTCATCTACTGGTGGTTCCCCGGATACATTTTTCAGGCGCTTTCCACGTTCAACTGGCTCTCGTGGATTGCCCCCAACAACATGGCGTTCAACAACATTGTCGGCATGAACAACGGTCTCGGTCTCAACCCTCTCCCGACCTTTGACTTTAACGTCCCCAGTTTCAACGGCTGGACTCCGGTAAGTGCCCCCATCCTCGCGGCGTGAACATGGCCTGCTCTAACACCCTTCACAGCTCGTCATCCCCCTGTTCTCAGTCATGAACCAGTGGGTCGGCATGTGCCTCGGCTTCTTCATGATCATCGGCATCTACTGGACCAACAAGTGGGACACGGCCTACCTGCCCATCAACTCCAACAAGGTCTTTGCCAACGACGGCAGCAGGTACAACGTCACCAAGATTCTCAACGACGACGGTATCTTTGACAACGAAAAGTATCAGGTCTACTCGGAGCCCTACATGTCGGCCGCCAACATTACCGTGTACTTCTGGTTCTTTGCCCTGTACACCGCCACCATTTCGTACACTGCGCTGTACCACCGCCACGAGCTTGCGTCGGGCTTCAGGGGCTTCTGGCGCTCGGTCAAGAAGACGTTCAAGAAGGGCGACGGCCAGTTTGGCGACGACGACGAGGACCTCGGCGAGGACATTCACTTCCGTCTCATGCGCTCGTACAAGGAGGTGAGTGTGTGGGAACATTGAAAATGGGCGTGAAATTCCCGAGAAATTCGTGACTTTTTTTCCTTCGTTTCTTCTTTTCCGCCACGCCGCCGCGGCCCTCAACTGACCACACCCCCACCCCAGGTTCCCGAGTGGTGCTACTTCATCGTCCTCCTCGTCGCCCTCGGTATCGGCTGCGCCGGTGTCGGTGCATACCCCACCAACACTAGCCCCGCTGTCGTCGTGTTCGGTATCATCATGGCCATCCTGTTCGTCATCCCCATCGGCCTCATTGCGGCCGTTACCGGTGTCCAGGTCACCCTCAATGTGCTCGCCGAGTTTATTGGTGGCGGTGGCTTTGCCGTCGGTGACGCCCTGGCCATGAACTACTTCAAGGTGAGTCCCAGCGTCCCAGTCGGTACATGTGTGTGCCCGTGCTAACCCTCCCGCAGATGTACGGCTACATTGTCACGGCACAGGCCATCTACTTTGCCAACGACCTCAAGCTCGCGCACTACGTCAAGATCCCGCCCAAGCACACGTTTGCGGCGCAGATGGTCGCCACTGTCGTCTCGACGTTTGTGTGCACGGGTATCTTCAACTACCAGATGAGCTTTAAGAACGTGTGCACGTCGGACGCCCAGTTTGCCATGTCGTGCCCCGGTGAGAACACCTTCTTCACCGCCGCCGTGTTCTGGGGTACCCTCGGCCCGCAGAAGCTCTTTGGTCCTGGCGGTCGCTACAAGCTCATGCTCCTGGGTTTCCCTATCGGCTTTGTCCTCCCCATCAGTGAGTCCCAGACAACTGTCACCGTTTTCATCACGCGTGTGGCTAACCAACCCCTCCCTCTTAGTCACCTGGCTCCTGTCCAAGAAGTTCCCGCGCAACAAGTGGATCCGCTCGTTCCACCCCGTCATGTTCTGCTACGGCCCCATCATGTTCGCGCCTTACAACCTCTCGTACATGTGGCCCATGGTCATGCTCACGTGGTTCTCGTGGGGCTACATCAAGCCGCGCTACCTCGCCTTTTGGTCGCGGTACAACTATGTCCTTGCCGCCGCGTGGTCGGCCGCCATCGCCATTGCCGCCATTGTCATCTTTTTTGCCGTCCAGATCCCCGACGTGAGCATCGACTGGTGGGGCAACAACGTCCCTTACCAGGGCTGCGAGAACGCCGCGTGCGTGCTCCTCGAGATCCCCGAGAAGGGATACTTTGGCCGCGAGCCCGGGACCTACAACTAAACAAAGTTCTCGCGGGTGCCCGGATGGGAACGGCATGAACGCCTGGCACCATGCGGTCAGCACGAGACATAAGTGGCTCCATAATGGTCCTCCGGGGCCGATCCGGAGATGCGATAAGGAAAGGAAAGCAAGGTTACGAAACACCGTCTTCACTTGAGTTGTTACCAATATATAGTAATGAGCGTTATGAATATGGTTTACTTTTGGACGGGCAAGTAGCCACCCACGGGATCCACAACTTTGGTGTCCCAGCCACAATGGCACAATGGCACAGTGGCGGAATGTTTCGGCAGGATGTGAACGGACGGCTTTCCTATCCGCGGCCTCCGACACACCCGGCACGTTTCAACCCTCCTCCAAACGCAACAACAACGCCCTGTCCAGATAGGTGGGTATGGTCCAGCACTGCGCACTGTCATGCTTGTGCACAAGTTGGTCCTGGCGTATCCGTTGTAGAGAAATTGTCCCTTGTTGCATGGTATGAGGGAGAGCTGTCCCCCCCCATCTGGCCCTGGAAATACTCAACAACAAAACAACCACCCTGACGACGGAAGCACGAGCCCCTTGCGTGTCAGGTCACACACACACCCAGGACGCCATTCCCCATCGTCATCATTCACAGCCCGTTGGTCCTTGTCTCGTCCTTCTTCTTGTCAAAATCCAGCCCTTCCAGTGCCGTGTCGACGAGATGCAGCTCGATGCGGGGTACATCCGCTGCGGGGAGTGGTGGCGGCGTGGGCGGGCCATCGCGCTCAAAGCCAAAGTCTGCCAGGGCGATGCGCGGCGGTGCGCCGCCCGGTGTCGACCTTGACGCAGTGGTGCTGACGGCCAGCGAGTTGGTGCTGCGCGTGCGCTTGAGCTTGGTTCGCAGCGCGGCAGGCAGACTGCGACTCGAGGACGAGGACGAGGGCGAGTCCTTGCCCGCGGGGACGGGCAGCATGTCCAGTGCGCCGGAACTGCTGGCACTGCCAAACGAGCTGTGGCGCTGCCCAGAGGGCCCGGCGAGCGCCAGAGCCAGGTCCTCGTTCATGCTCGATGTCAACCGCTGGCGTTCGGCTTGGGCCTCGGCTGCCCGCCGCTCGTCGTCGTGCTCGTTGAGGTGGTTGAGAGACACCACGCTCCGGAATGCATGCCAGCTGGTCCGACTGCGACTCCCTTTGGGCCGTTGTCAGCGCTGAGAACGGAGCAACCTCCCCTGCCATATGGCGATGGCGCTGGCGCTCGACTCACCCGCCTTGGCCAGTGTTGCCTCGCTGACCCGTCGTGGTCGCTCAGTCGCTGCGGTGTTGGGAACTGCCAATGACGATGGGCGCGAGGCTGAGCGTGAGGACGAGTGGGGGTTGGAGAATGCTAGTAGGATGTTGCTGTCAGCCAGCCGTGTACAGCGCTCACAACACTGCGACGAGGAGCGTACTGTACATACGTGAAAGAAGCGTCGAGACGGCCCGAGCGAACCGGCTCGAGCTGGCGCTTGCGTTCGTGCTGGGTCCTGTATTGCGCGTCGCGGTCATGGCCATGGTGGCAAAGAAAGAGGAGGACGAGTCGTCGGCGTGTGGATGTGTATTGTATGCAGGAATGTGTGTGGAGCTGGCTGGCGACGACTAAGGTTCTTGGGGGGAGAGTGAGAGAGTGAGAAAGTGGAGAATGTAGAGATTAAGATTCGGGGAACTCTCACCAAAACAACATATGTGTCTCGTCCCATGGACTCGTTCTTCTCCCTGGCGGTCGAGAGGCGGCGAGGAATGTCAGGTAGAGAGCGTGGTCAGTGCACGCAGAGAGGGCATGTGTCCTGTGCGTGGGGCCGTAGTGCACAAGCGTTGGCTGAATGCCTGGCAAAACTCGTGCACTGGGCGTGTCCTGCGTCCTGCCACCAGATCTCATGAGATCTCTCCATTTGCATGCACAAGCATTTGCTGCTGCTGGATGGAATATTGAATGACGACTCAGTACTCAGTTTTCACACTGAAAATCAGCTGCGTCGGCGAGAGCGCGGAGAGCATGGGACACAGCCACCCACCGCTTGTGCTTGACGACCACGCTGCTGCTTGACGACCAACGTACCCACCAGCCCAACGAACGCACACCAATGCATGCGCACAGTGTGCAACCACCCGCTGCCAGCAGGGCCTGTGCATGGTCGCACGGCGTCGAGAGGGCATTGGCAAGAGACCAACGACTGGAGAGGGAGACGTGCGGCGCCACCAGGGAGGAGCAAGTGGCCCCACCTCGTTAGTACCATTGTTGCCATTGTTACGGAGATACGGAGATGACATGGGGAGGGGGGTGTTGGGTCGTGAGTGCTGGCCGCTTCGCATTGCAGCTGACGAGCGGCGTACAGCGCGGCTGGGGGGTAAGCATCGATCGCAAGAGCCACAACACGGTGCAAACACAACATCACCTGCTGGCCAGCTTAGCTTTCGTATGACGAAACCGAGGAACACGGCACGACCGTTTGCGTCGCGTCGCAGAGATCGCAGAGAGCGCCATCAGAACCAGACCGTACGGGGTGGTTCAGTCGTGTTGACTTGGGTCCGAGTTTCACCTCTTCGTTCTGCACTGATCACTGAGGCTCTAACAGAGAGCAGCGGCAGCAGTACAGGACATGTAGCAGTGGGCCAGTGCCCACTGGCAGCTCGGTTCTGTCGTCGGTACCCAGCAAGTCCGTGTACCCGTGTCCAGCCTCCGTAAATGACGGGTGTGCCAACGACGGTCACGGGATGCCACCACCGGGCCAACGTGCCACTCGTCTTCTACAAGGCTCAACACGATATGAATGGATACGAGCAAGACACCACTTCTGTGTGCTTGCCAGGTTATGGTCCCTGGTGCACATGGGACGACAAGCAAGGCATGCTTGATGGCGAGGGACAACACAAACGGACAACGAGAGCGGTGTTCAAGGGCAGTCCTCATGGCGTCTACCCCCCTGCCCCCCAGCAAATCCCGTATGTACATGCATGTCTTCTGATCTCGTTTACCACACGCCACATTATAGTCTCTCGACGCAGAGCATGTCCCCCTCTCACGCTCTCAGGCTCTCTCTCAGTACTTTGGGGTCTGGTAGCTGTACGCGCCCGTGTATGGGTTGGGCGCGATTGGGGTGGGGGCCGTGACGGACGCCTGGAACGCCGGCTGGGCGCTCGCATACGGGTTTGGCGCGCCGATGGGGATGTAGTTTCCGCTGTTCTTCTCGCGCAGGCGGCGGGCCTCGCGGCGGGGCTTGACGCAGCAGCACCAGATGATGAGGGACCAGAAGATGATCTTGAGGATGATGACAGTCACGAGCACGGGCCAGAACCACGCCTGCTGGTAGTAGTAGACCGTGTTGTCGTCGTAGGACGACGTGTAGTAGTAGCGCGCCTTGTTGTTGTTGTTGTTGTTGTTGGGAGCGACAGCCGGGGCGGCGAGGCCTGGCTGGGCGAAAGCGACGGCACCGAGGGCGGCAAGCATGGCAAGCATGGTTTGGAGTACGAGGTGTGGAGAGATGTGTGTGACAGAGAGAGGTTGTGGTGCGGATAAGAGGACACGGACGGGCGATGGAAGCGTTGGGTTATATGTCTTGGATTTGCCCACAGATCACAGAGAGCACCGCTTCATACTTGCACCGCCGTTGGAACCGGAGAAGCTGTGAGACGGGGTGAATGTAGCACACCCACTTCCGCACCATTGCTGCTCTGGCGCTCTGGGTGCACACCTAAGTACCCGCAGGCTCTATTAAGCATCGCCCAGCCGTTATCCGCGGCTCAAAGGACCGCCTGGAGTAGCCACAAGGTGTGCGACTCAATTGCCGTTAAGAACACACTCTGCGACTCCCTGGCCTCTCCTGGCCTCTCCTGGACGGCTTCCGCTCTGCCCGACGTTTCAGCAATGCTGCAAGCATAAACTGCGTGGCGCGGCAGGAAACTCTCTCATGTCCTGGGATGGGCTGGGGCCAGGTCTGCAGCTGGAGACGTTCAGGCGGATGGTACAGTACGTCATTGCTGTTCCGGAATGCTCTTTGGCCAGGCCCACCGGTCGGTGCTTTTCTCAGACTCCAACTGCTCTTGGCACGGCCTTGCCAACACCGCTCTGCGGGTCCAGTTGATTTCATTCCATTTCCAGCCCCCCAGACAGCAAGTTCACGTCGCCGGATAGCCAGATATGGGCCTGCGGATGTGATTGCAACTGTGTAAATAAGGTCAAGGACTGGACGGAGGCACGAACCGACAAGATGCTGTGGCTTCGAGCATAACGAGCAGGTTAGGACCAGACCGCGGGCGATAGGCAAGGGTTACGGTGCCGCGTGCCCAACGCTACTGCGGCACCGTGGGGCGGGGGAGTGTTCATGTCCAGCATGCGTGGAGATGGGGAATCGGTGGTGGTTGGTATTAGCCGGCCAGATATGTTGGACAGAAGGACAACGAGATCGTGCGAGCGGCCAGCTGGCTGATGCGATCTCGGTGAATAGTGTCCGAACGAGACACGATGAACCTGGCACGACCAACCGTGTCTGTCGGGTACCCTCCGGCACACACCTTGGTTTAAACCCACGCAGCAAGGTTACCCAGGCCCCCATAGCATACGCTCGTCTAACTCGGAAGGACATGTCCGGTATACCCTTTTTGCTGTTGTGACATCTTTGGCTACTTCGGCTACTGAGCTGCGGGGTCCCACGCCCCCCCCCCCCAACCAACCACTGTGTACACGTTTTACACCTTTCCGAACGACGTCGCTGTTTGCTCCACATAGCATGGCCTACTTGTCAAAGACGAACACGGTCTTGGCGATCTTGTTCTGCTCAAAGAGCGTGTAGTACTCCTCGGCCTTGTCGAGGCCGACCTGGTGCTCGATAAAGTTGGAGAACAGGTCCTGGTTGTCCCGCAGGACCTGCATCGCCGGCGGCGTGAACGTGTGCACGGAGCAACGGCCAAACTGCAAGCGAAGGCTGGAGGAGGACGCGTGTGAGCAGGCAAGCAAGCTTCTGGCGTGGGAACGTTTGTAGCACACTGTATGCCAAAAAACCAACAACTCACTTCTTGCCGTACAGGGCGAGACCGGGGATCTTGACGTCGTGGGTGTGCAGGCCGCACGACGAGATGACACCGAAGGGACGCGCGAGGTCGACGGCCGTCTCCAGAGCGCTGTTGTGGCCCACCACCTCGAGCACAGCGTCGGCACCACGGCCCTCGGTCGCCTCGAGGACGGCCTTCTTGAGCTCGTCGCCCTGCAGCGCGATGGCGCCGTGCTTGCGCGCCGCGTCGAGGCGGTGCTCGGCAATGTCGGTAGCAAACACCTTTTCAAACATGGTGCACGCAGACGAGATGGCGCAGAGACCGACCTGGGCGCGGGTCAGTACACCGGTATGTACCCACACGGCGGCGTGTTGAGAAAACTCACTGGTCCACAGCCAATGACGACGGCGACACCGCGCTTGCCCACGGGCTGGACGACGGCGCCGCCGTTGGCCTTGGGAGCGTCGACCTGGCCGTCGTCGATGAGGTGGCGGGCATTGTACGCCACATAGTAGCCGGTGGGCAGAATGTCCGCCATGAGGAGCAGCAGCTCGGGCTTGATGTCCGCGGGCGCAGGGAACAGGCTCGCCTCCGCCTCGGGCACGCGAAGGTATTCGGCCTGCGCGCCGGGGTTGGCCGCACTGCCGAGGAGCGCGCCGCCGCCAATGCAGCGCGACGTGTAGCCCTGGTTGCAGTAGAAGCAGTTGCCTGGGCATGTTAGCGAATGGAGAGGAGCACGACAGGAGCACAGAGCCTGCCGGAGCGAGACACGCGAACGCGCCGCTCGGCATTCGGCGCCACCGCCGCCGACGCCGCCGACATCCGGGGGGCCATTGTCCAATATGTTGACCCCAATGTCCGGCCCCAACCGACGACACGTCGGCCGCGCGCCGGGCTGGGCCGTGCCGGTCCCGTGCAAAACTCACCACACGACGTCGAGAAGGGCGAGCACACCAGGTCTCCGACCTTGTAGGTCTTGACACCCGCGCCGACGGCCACCACCTCGCCAAAGGCCTCGTGGCCGATCACGTAGCCGTAGGGACCGGGCTGGTGGCCGCGGTAGATGTGGAGGTCGGAGCCTGTGTAGTCAGTCAGCAAAAGTGTCTGGCGAGCTGGATATACGGAGGAGGTTGGTCTGCTCCTACGATGACGTACCGCAGAGGCCGGCGTAGACGACCTTGATGATGGCATCGTTGGGCGACTTGATCTCGGGAGTCGGCACGTCCTCGACCTTGATGTTGTACGGCTCCTTGATCACAATCGCCTTCATGGTCTTGGGGAGTGAAGCCGTCATTTTTTTGGCGGAAGTGGTGTAAATGGGTTAGTTGGAGATGTGGAACGAGCACAAGGGGTGAGAGAGAGAGAACAAGAGACAATGGATATGAGGGGATCCCGTTAAGTGGAAGCGTGGTGGTGGCTGCGAGGGGGTCCGGCACGAGACGTGCCGAAGCACGGCGGAGCCATGTTGTTCCCGTGACTGGCTGGGTATAGTCTTGTCCTTGTGTTGCGAACCCGAATGCCTTTCGCCAGGAGACGCGGTAGGCGTCGGCTAGAGGACGGCGCGGTCGTGAACGGCGGGCTTCGACGGCACAGCTGCACTGCCGGTGAGCCGCCGGGCGTGGGAGATCGATAACGAGTGGGGATGCGGAGAAGGCCGGTCGGCAACTTAAATACCGAAATCCAAAACCACCCCTGTGCTCAGAAACTGCATTGCCGGTCTGGACGCCAGCCATGGCACTCTCTCGTAAGGAGGAGAAGCGAGATGGGACAAGGTGCAAGGGCCTGGGAGTTGCCAGTTGGATGTCTGTGGTTAGTCAAGCAAAGGGGCATAGATGTCTCTCATCTGCAGACGCTGGCAACAACACAACGCTCCAGAGGTGACATGCATGTGTCTCTACAAAGTGGCCATCTTGTCAGTCAACTCCTGGGTTCGCCGGGGAGGCAAGGGAGGCGGTACCACACCGCTACTCCGACTAGCCACACGACTCAAGTTTCGCGAGCTCGCGACCGACTCGTAGTCTGACGACTCGGGGGACGCATTCGCGCTGTTGGCCGCACTGTTGGCCGCGCTGTTTGCCTTGCGAGGCCGCGGCGGGGGCAGGAGGTGGTCCTGCCACGATCGATTGACCAGTGCCGCCCGCTCCTCAGGATCCAAGTCGGCGTACATCTCCGCAGCCTCCATCTCGCGCCGGCGGGCACGCTCTGCTTTACGGCGCCCCTTGACCCTCTCCTCGACCATTGCGTGTCGAAACTTGCCGACGAACTGAGAACACTCGGCATCCGTGAGCGATGCAGCGGCAGCAATGCTGGATCGCTCCCGCGCAACCCGGACAGGGCCGCCTTGTGCCCTCCATGCCTGCGCGCTCCGCCACGCGCCGACAGTGGGGTGTACGAGGGCACCGAACGCTCCGCTGAGGGGTCGCACGAGAAGGTTGAGCGAACTGGTGCCCACGCCCGCTACCAGTCCAACGGCGCCCTGCCGTTAGCCATGTCGTGTGTGTGGTGGTCCAACTCACACTTCGCTTGTATCCGTCCATCGGCTCCGTGACCACCCCGCTCATGGCGTCCATGTAGCCGTACATGAGCGACTTGCCTCCCTCGGCGAGTCCAGTGGCAATGCCGTCGACACGGCGTCGTGGGCGAACTCGTGTGCCGAGCATTCCCGGCACGTTCTCAAAGCCATCCGCCATGGATCCCACCACTTCGCCGCCGCCTGGATGTCAGTGAATGCGGCCAGTGCGTGCAGTAGCGTACCCTTGGCAATGCCCCAAGTGAGCTTGGTCAATCCCTTTTGCTACACCATTAGCTCCGCGTCCATACGAAGTCGAACCCACAGGTTGCTTTGTGAACAACTGGGCCGTTCCCGTCACCGTGGTCGTCAGCATGCCCAGCAGCGCCTGGCTGCCGGCAGTGATGGGGTCGGTATACGTCCTGCTAGTATCGTATTCTCGCGTACCTACTGTCAGTTCCGGTATCCCAAGCAGTAAGAACTCACGGAGGGGCACGAGGTGGCGCCACTTGATCACGCCGCGGCGGACCAGCACTCCCGCCGCAAAGCTTGACAGACGCAGGTAGTGCTTTTTGGACCACCACTGGGCCGCGCGATACGGTTCCAGGTCGCAGCGCATGTTGTTCAGTGGGAGATGTGCGTGGAAGCTGTCGACCCCCGCCTTGGTGCCGTCCTCGGCGCGGATCGACTGGCCAATAACGCCAGCCGCCTGGCGCGCAGCGTCGGACAAGGCAAACTCCAGTGCGGCAGTGAGCTTGTCGGCAGTCAAGTGCTTGTACGGGATGGGCTGGGGCCCAGCACCGGCGAGCGCCACGGCTGTGCCCCAGAACTTTTGGTCGCCAAAGAAGGGGATGATGATGGTGGGCAGGCCGGCGCGGAGGCCCGCCGACGTCGTGCCGGCGCCGCCGTGGTGACACACGGCAGACACGCGGCCGTCGGCGAACAGCCAGTCGTGTGGGATATCCCCTGCACGCGGTCAGCTCAATGGTTGCCATGTCCCACAACTGTACCGTACCTTTGATGAGGAACACGCTTTCGGGAAGGTCCAGGCCGCCGAGATCCGACCAACCGGCGCTCACGATCGCGCGGATCCCGGCCTTGTCGACCGCCTCGAGGACGAGGTTGGTCAACTCGTCGGGATTCTTGACCACAATGGACCCAAAGCCAATGTACACTGGGGGCGTCCCCGCTTTCAGGAACGCGCTCAGCGCAGCGTCCGGGGTATAGGTCACCGTCGTGGGCATCGAGTAAAAGCCCACAATGTCTGATGCGTCAGCGCACCCAACGAGACATATGCCACTCACCAATGTGCTCTTTCCACTCGTCAGGCTTGGGCAGGAGCGATGCACTCCAGGCATACGTGAATGGGATCCGCAGGCGTTCGGTTGCCATGGGCCCTGTGAGCATGGAAAGCGGGCCGAGACCCAGTTGCTCGCGGAAACCATTCAGGATGTCGCCGAGGCCCTGCCACATCCTGCCACACCAGTCAACAACGTGCGCTCTCTTGAACGCACTGATAGCAGACTTACAGAGTGTCGGCAAGCGCATAGCTCAGATAGTTTGTCAAGCCCGGTTCGGCATTGGAGCTCTGGACGTTGACGAGCGGGTGGGCAAACTTGTTGGTCGGCGACCACGGCATGGCTTACAAGTCAGGGCTGATGGGTCTTTGGGAGGCGGTGATGGTTCTTGCGGGGCGGTGCCACTCACTAAAGGACATGATCAGAGGGATACCCAGCGACTCGGCAACGTGAATGTTGGCAAACGCCGGTGGGTTTGATATGATGGCGTCGGCTGCGAACGGTGCCTCGGTCTCGGGGTCGTTTTCAAAGCAAGAGCGGTAAAAGCCCTGCAGCATGTCACCGGTCATTCGGCGCTTGGACGAGACATCGCCGTTGGTGAGCGAGGCAAAGCCAGGCATCAGGCCCGGGTCTGCTCGGTCAGCACACGACTGTGGATGGCGGTGCACCCACTCTTGACCATGTACGCCATGAGCTCCTTAGGGTCGCCGCCGACGTCGAAGAACTCGAGCCGTCCAGCGAGGTTGCCAAACTGCTCGCTCTTCCCCAGGAGCTTGTTCCCGCCCAGAACCAGGTCCTTGAAGCTCGGATGTGTCGCGATGCGCACACGATGGCCGTTCGTCTCAATGAGACGCAGTGCGAGCGCGAGATACGGCTGCACGTCACCTGAAAAGGTCAGTGACAGTCCAGTTCTCCCTACGACAACACCCCACCCACCTCGGGAGCCCACGACAAAGATGACAATGTTCAGGGGAGGGCAGTCTGTTCCGCCATTGATGTCGACCGCAACCTCTGGGATCCGGCGAGGCGGGACCAGCAGCTGGGGCAGCTCGGGAAGCTCCTTCTTGACGTCTAGCCACACGCTGACTGTTCCGTCGGCGACAACGGCCGCACGCGAAGCGGCACCTGGGCCCGAGACCTCTAGGTCGGCAAAGTCTGGCAACGGTGAGCGTTTTGAACAGCAAAAGCAGGGGTGACAGCGGTCCACTCACCGACATCGCCGAGGTCTTCGTGCGAGCCCACCAGGGGCGGCATGGGATCCGTTGGCTCCAACGGACCAACGGATTCGACTTCGACATAGGGAGGGGGCGCGGGAGGCAGTTGAGCGTCCACCACTGCTGGATTGCTGGCCTGCATGGTGTCTGTGCAGTGAGGAGGTAGTGAGAAAGATGAGTGGAGCTGTCTATTCGGGTTGCCAGGAGGGTTTTGTACGTTATGCGAGGTTGAGCCGCGTTTGTTCTTGCTCTGTCCGATCCGCGGCATGTCCGAGCGACCCGACCACCAGAGGCTTTGCTGTGCAACGTCATATTTGGAAACGGTGCGTTTTTGTTGAACCGAAAGAATAAATTGCGGCCCCGTGCTCCCGTCGGCAACCTCGGGGGAGACGATAACGGACACGTCGGAAACACCGCCGTGGAGTCCGGGTTTGCCGACCACCGCAATGGCCATATGCTTTGATAAAACCTGCCAAGCATTCGACCTGTGTCAGGATTCCAGTTTTACCCTTTTACCTGTATGCATACGCGCAAGAGGGACGACGGTGAAGGAGGCGAGCAGCAGGCGACGAACTGTTACTACCACCAAGCTACATTCCCACGGTGGGACCAGGCTCCCTCGGGTTAAGCGACAGCCGGAATCTCCCACAACCGTGTGCGTCATTGTCTGCTCTGGCATGGCGTCCGACGGCTCCCGGTCTTGACCACTTGGCCTGGACGTCACTCGGTTGCTATCTATCTGTCCACACCATGCTGTCGCCATGGACCTCGACACAGGCACTACGCGGGCTGGGACGACATGTCGGTGTCGGGGCACACAAGGTCAACTCTGTTGTCAGCTCCCTGTACCTCGCCGACCGCGACGTGGGCACTTCACGTCGCACCACCTTGACGAGCTCGCGACACCCGCCGCACGTCTCGCGCTTGAGCGTCCGTGCATTCCACACCGCAGCTCCATCCTTGGCCATTGCCGACGACATTGCGCGTGCCGTCACCGGAGCTGCGGCTGCCAACGCCCCCGATGTCCTCGAAGCGATCGGGGGATTGGCCAACGCTGACCGCCTAAAGCGTGTTGCGCGCGACTTTAGAAGTGTGTAGATACGGACGTTCGAAGCATGCTGACCCACCAGCCGATACCATCACCATTCCGACCGATGCTCAGATCCTTTACGCTCTGCGAGCATCCCGCGGCGACGATGTGTACCGAGAGGACCCGACGACCAACGCGCTCGAAGAACGCGTCGCCCGCTTGTCAGGAAAGGAGGCCGCCCTCTTCTGCTCGTCGACGACCATGTCCAACCAGCTGGCCATCCGCTCCACGCTCACGCAGCCGCCCCACAGCATCATCTGCGACCACCGCGCCCACACTTACATGTGGGAGGCTGGCGGTGCGGCCCTCTTCTCGCAAGCGACGAGCCACGCGCTCACGCCATCCAACGGGCTGCACCTGACGGCCGACGACATTGAACGTAACCTCTGTCTCGGCAACGACATTCACTTTGCCCCCAACCGCATGATATCGCTCGAGAACACAATGTCCGGCGTAGTGTTCCCCCAGGAAGAGATTCTCAAGATCCACAGCTTGGCCAAGAAGCACGACCTGGCGCTCCACCTGGACGGTGCGCGCGCGTGGAATGTCGCTGCCAGGGAGCTCGAGCGACGGGGACTGGACGCAAGCAAAGATACGGACATTCAAGCTGTCCTGTCCGAGCTGCTCGAGCCCTTTGACACTGTGGGGCTCTGCCTGTCCAAGGGTCTCGGCGCACCCATCGGCTCCATCCTCGTGGGCAGCAAGAGCCTGATCGACCGTGCGCGCTGGTTCCGCAAGATGTTCGGCGGCGGATGGCGGCAGAGCGGGCTGCTGGCCGCCCAGGCTGACTGGGCCATTACCCACCACATGCCGCGTCTGGCGGGGACACACAAGCTCGCTGCGCGCCTCGCAGAGGGCCTGGAGGATGCCGGGTGCGAGATTTTGGCGCCAGTCCACACCAACATGGTCTACTTTGACCCGTCGCCGTTGGGCCTGTCGACAGACACGGTCATGGCTGCACTTGCGGCTCTCCCAGACCCCATTGTCCTGCAGGACAACCGCTGTGTTATTCACCACCAGACGTCGCCAAAGGCTGTCGAGGACCTGGTGGCCGAGGTCCACCGGCTGGGCCACGAAGCGCCCCAGTCTGAGCGCGGCAAGGCCAAGAAGGCAAAACTCGGGTACTAGGACACATAAAGGTCGTAGGAGTTGGTCGTATAAGCAGTATGATGCAAACTATGGTTGTACAACTCTTGTGACGTACGGCTGCGTTGGAAGGACACGGCTTGGGGGGCGCGCTGGCTGAACAAGAAACGCCACCGGAGGCACTGTAGCTCCGTGCGGGGCCACGATTGCCAGTGAGTGTCACATCTTTGATCGCTTTTGTCAACAAATACATCGTTGTCCACCGCCGTCTCACTCATCCACACACACACTCGGCTCACCGACCATGGCGGCAAAGTACACGGCCGTTCCTACCGACGACCTCTCCAGCGCAGAGGCCGGCGGTGCGATGCCCTCCAGCAGCGATTTCACCAACGGGTTCGGCGAAGACCTGAGGCTGGACGAAGGCGGGGTTGACAAGGAGGAGACGCTCCTCCGCGGGGTCTACCTCCTCGTCACGCTTCGCGTCGCCGCGTCTGCCGTCGCGCTCTACCTCATCGCGCCGCTCCAGCTCAGCCACTGGTACATCCCCGCAGCTGTCCTCGCGTATGCTGCGGCCGTCTACGTCCTCTACAAGCACCGGGACGACGGGCTCGTCAAGGTCGTCCCGCTCTATGCGGTGTATACCGCCTGCGAGAGCGGTGTCCTTGCCATTGTGGTCTGCTCTACTGCCGCATCGTTCATACATGTGGTGAGTTGGCGCAAGATGAAGGGTGTCCGACAACTAACATGACAGGTGGAATCCTCGTTGGTGGTCATGACCGGCGCGTTCCTCGGCCTCGTCATTTCGACGTACAAGGTATGGTGTACATGTGTGCCCGCACCGACTCCCCACGCTGACGTCTCTCCAGTGCTTTATGGACGGCTTCATCTGGCGCGTCATTTGCACCTCGAGCGGCGCCGCCGTCGCGTTTGTCGTGGCGACGTTTACCGCCCCGCTCGGGGGCGCCGTCGCCCTCCTGGTCGTCCTCCTCGTGGCCCTCATCACCGTCGCCGTGGTGCTCACCGACGCACCCACGCTCATTAAGCATCTCGAAGCCAACGAGGTCGTCCTGGGATCGCTTATTCTCGGCAGCACTACCATGTGCCTTGGCATGCTCGGCAGGAAGTAGAGTAGATGCGCTGTTTTCTCTTCTGTACATTGATTGGTTTTGGTTTGATCTCGATGGTCCCCCCGTCGCTTCGTCGACTTCATCGCACTGCAATTGACCGGACCGACTAATGAGCGGTGACTCACGATCCTTATGCTCTGCCTGGAACTAAGGCGCCAGGGCGGCCTCCGGCACTGACTCTCGACTGACACTCCAGACATTCGTGCAACTCGACTGGCGGCACATGCGTCTTCACAGGCTGCTAGCTGCTAACCTAATGCTATGCCGTATGAGCCAAAAGCAGACCTATGAGCATATGGAATGGGTACGGGCCGGTTTGCGTCAGCTAGGCCTTGGCGCCTTGCGCCTTGCTCATAGAGCTAAAGGCGGATATGGTGCACATTGAGACATGGTCGGTCTGTGCGAACAGGTGGTGCTGAGACCGAGGACAACACTGCTCATGTTCTGAGGATACACAGTCGATACCGACGTTTGCATGGGGGCACAAACTCTACCATTCACTTACGGATTTAACCGTGACTGTTGGTGTCTCCTCGGAAGGCCGGTCTCTTGACGTTGACTACCTCCGAAGGGGGTTTCCACACCGAAAGCATATCGACGTGGCTGCAGGGTGTGGTGTGCACGTCACCACTGCAAGTTCAGTTAGTCTGGTGACGGAGGCGAGCTGAGCGAGGATTTGTACTCGGCCAGGATTTGTACTTTTGACCTTGATTTGTACTCACCACAACGAGGGAGGCGGCCAGCGCCGGCCCACCTTGGCGTCCTCACGACGGCGGCCATTTGATCCGGTGCAATTTCCAAGAGATAAGAGAGAGACAAGAGTGGAGCTGCGGCGAAGGTACTGTACTGACGTGCTGTAAAGTACCCCACACCGTGTCTGTGGTCTCACCGAAGATGGCTTGTGGAATGAATACAGAACGAGATCTGTGTCCCATCCGCCATTGAGGCGTCGTGTTTTAACGCATTTTCAGTCGTCTGTGGCTTGAGTTGATGTGACCTCCCCACGCCGCACCCCACCGCCGTCCACTGCGCCTGGGATTCATGTCCTGCCTGATGTCTGACATCAGGAGGCATCACATCACGCAAAGCATCACCCAACGTCAAATGTGGGGCAAGTGAAACTCCATCGCGACTGCGGAAAATGCGAGTGGCACTGGCGCCACTCACCACAGCGCCGACCGCCGGCTATCCCACCGCAAGCACAGCAGTGCGGCTGTACGAGTCACCAGCCTCATTGCTTGCATGCATGCCCGATACACAATCAAAAAAAGTACATTCCCTAGCGGTGACTGCCGCTCCTTTTATTATACTGTCCAGCCAGTGTCATTACGCGCTTGCCTCGTGTCGTTATACAGAATCGTCCTTTGCCTTCTTATTGTCTGTCATTCTCTCGCCGCCGAGTCGTTATTGATGCTCGTCATTGCTCGGTTGCGGTCGTCGTTCTCGTTGCGGATGATAATGGCGTGTCCTCAGCTTGTTATAGCATCGGTCAGCCTCGCCGGCTGCCGCAGAAGCCGCAGAGGTAGCGCACGCCTCCTGCCGACCAAGTTTTAATGACGACGCACTCGTCTGCAACCTGTCAGCTCGGTTCCTCACGCCGCCAGCGCAGCGTGCGGAAACTCACGACCGCGGTTTTCACCGTTGTTGGAGCCTGGGCACCTCCAGTCCATGATGCGAGTATGATGGAGATTGACACGAGGGGAAGGGCGTGGAAGAGTAAAGTGGTTGTAGTGCTGCAGAACAGTTGTAGAGGAGGAGAGGTTGGGGATCTTGGCGACTCCTGTCCCACCGGCTGCCCCTTTAACCAAGTAACAACGACACCCACTTGTCAATCGCAGCACGCACTGGCTGTGCCTGGTGAGATTCTATACCAGACAGCGTCAGCGTGTGTGTGTGCACTTCCCAGCCTCTCCCTGGCGTTGCATTGACACAGGACAAGGTGGGCCACATACCTCTCTCCACGGCGCCGGGTTTAATTTGCTGTACTGTGCGTGGGAAGCTATGCCCCGACAGACAGCAGTCTCTGTGTGTGGGGTGACAGAGGGGGCAGCGTCATAACAGAGAAGCGTGGCTGGGTTGCAAGGGCCGGCGCGCATGTCCGACAAAGACAGAGGTCGTACTGTACAGATCTCGTTCTCTTTCTCCCCACGCGACCAAAGCCATGGCCGAGGAATGGCGAAGGGGAGCGGAGATCTGACCTTGGCGGGTTATTTTCTTCTGCCCACCCAGTGAGATCTCGTAGCTGAGCGCTGCGATGGAATGCTGGAAGCAAAGTTTGTTCGCAGTTGCGTGCCATCGGCCTCCAACAGGTGCCGCGGCACTGGCGTTCAGGCCCATTCACGTCGTGTGTGGGTGTGTGTCTCCTCCCCCGGGTCGAGCGGCCCGGCGAGCAGCAGTCCATCCTGGGAGACAGCAGTTTCAGTGCCCTCCCTGACATCCTGTGGGGTTGCATTGGACGTGGCCAATGGTGGAGGAATGGTAGACGTCTTGGAGAGTTCGTGGACCTTTTACCCCTGTTGGTCGACCAAGGAAGTCGCGCCACCACCACCACCACTACCCCACATCCAGATCCCGTCCTCGTACTGGTCGCCGCAACCTGTCCAACTCGAGTCACATACCCGCCAAGGATAGTTTGGATACTGAACATCCAGATTCCCTACTCCACAGCACACATTCTGGTACGGCGACAGCGGGGCCGGCGGTTCACTCAGCACGACAACGTTCGGAGCAAAACGCCACACCGCATGCGTGCTGACCGTCGGGTGGCGTCGCCACGACGCGTTCTATACCACAGAGTTTTTATTGTTCTCGACCCGAGATCTGGTCTGTGGACACGGCCATGACCTCACTCACTCTTTTTGCACCGCACCAGCACTGGATCGCATGGGCACGTCCTCCGCAAACGTCATAATTACATATTCGCCACCATCTGATCTTGGCAGTGGGCAAGCCGCAGCAGCATACCCCCGACAAAGCCCCGACAAACCACAGGTGCTGCAGGAACGAAAAATGACTGGTCTGGCCTTTACATTAATTATTAGCCCCCTGGTGCACGTTCTCCGACGCTAGCGGACGGGGCTGTCGTTTGATATCTATGCCGTCTGCTTCCCGCCATTGGGCATGCACCACCAGATCTGGCACCCAGTATATTCTTTGTCTTCTTCATTCTCATGAAAGCGCGGGTGCGAGCGTACACCATCAACCCACTCCACTCTTTGTTTTTGGCCATTCCTGACAGCGGGGAATCTGACATTTTGCCCGGGAATCACAGGAGATCTGGCCCTCTCTCGGCGAGTCTCGTAAATGGTAACGTAGCAGAGGTAGTTGCACTTTTGGAGTGTGTGTCCACTTACACCAGGCATTAACCGATCGATCACCTTGGCATACGCAGAACCTATTGTCCACAGAAGACGCAGCGTCCCCAGCTCGTGTCGATAAAGCACGCCTCTGCGCTGAATCAGTCTCCTATTTCTTAAAAGGCGCCAAGCTCACTTCCTCGATTGTACCCGTTGTCATTGCCTGAACACCTTGCCATAACGTATGAAGAATTGCAAAAGTGTTAAGAGGGAGTGTTCAACGCTGAACGAATGGGACAAGCACCTCCGACAAGGCCCCAACCCCCCAGGTATGAGTGGCACACTGGTGCATCAGTGCGAACCATCAGAAGCACCCAGTGTGGGAAGACCAGGTGGAGCAGAGAGGTTCAGCCCCGCAGCGCAGAACACGTGTGGTGAGAAGAAAATAAAAGCTGGATCAGTTCCGTGGCTCCTGTGTGTACTTGTTTCGCGACATGACGGTTCCTCGTGCGCCACATCTCTGCGGATCAGTTCGCATTCCGGGCCAGCTGAACGCCAGTGTGCGTCTGTTTGTAACTCTCCGCTGTGCGTGTCCACCCGGTTCACAGGAGAGAGCTTATCATGGTGGGGACATGTATGTACGGCCCGTTGCTTGCCCGTGAAAACACAAACTGTCTTGCCGCACAGAACGCCGCGGTACTGTTCCTTGGATCTACACCACGCCCATTGTCCAGAGTCAAGCCATTGGGAAATACGAGGAACCAAGGAACCAGGGAGCGCGTCATTGATCGAGTGGTCGACATACGATACAACCGGGGTGTATGCTTGAGACTGGTACAGCGTTCGCCATCGCTACCCCTCATTCCATGTCCAGCAGCGCCATCCCCCTATGGCGTGTGACGTCGAGGTCGCAGGTGTTGCTAGCCATAGTATAGGCGGTGGCATGTTGCTCTCAACATACAGTGCAAGGTACTACGCAATGTTGTGTGACGGCGACCCAATGAACGCCTTGACAAAGTCGTCCCACCGAATGGTCTCGAGCACCACGGGCCCAGCAGGTCGTGTGGCCTCGCCACGCCAAATGACTGCCCACCCATAATCACCGCCATCGATGCTGCCCACAGCCCACGTCCACCCTTCTTGTCGAATATCTTTGCCGTCGACTTTGACGCCTGCCACGGCTCCGTCGCCCATGTCGACCTCTATGCGGTCGAGTCCAAACGAGATACCGTCCCCCGTGGCCTTTGTGAACCCTTCCTTGATCGTCCACAGTGTAGTCAGGAGCTTGGCTTTTACTTTTCCAGAGGTTCCAGCGACAGCGAGGCGTTCCGGCAGTGTAAGCTTTGGCGGCGTCAGCACATAGGCCGTTTGCTGTATGTAGGCGCTCACCTGGTACGAGATGGAATCGTACAGCTCGTCCGGGTCTGTCGGGAGGTCCATGACGTCAACGCCGACATCGACCTCGGGGCCGGATCCATCTCCATCTCCCTCGACGACTGCAAGGAGGACATATGCGCCCTCGTGCGAGGTGTTAAAGTCGAGTGCACGCGCGAGCACCGGCGACGACAGGTACGGCTTGCCTCGTGACTTGTGTTTGAACTGCGGGTGAGTGGGTGGTGGGACGAGTCCCGATTCGCGCAGGTACCATGTCGGCAGGAGGCGGCCGGCCAGTGATCCTAAAAGGTCGACTGGTTAGGACAGTTACGAGACGGGGGTTGGAGGTGACTCACGGATGGCGTCGGCCTCGTGGCGAAACTTGCGGACGCGGGCGTGTGCCGTCTCGGGGATGTGGTGGAGGAGCCTGTCAAAGGTCTGTAGAGGTGAAGTCAGGGCCGCTGGGGTACTAGAACAACTCACGTCTTCCGGTACTGTGGGAGGTACCTTGAGTGCGAAGAGGCGCATGGGTGCGAGGAGAGTGGACGAGTGGATGACAGCAACATCGCGCGACTCGATCCATATGTCGTAGGAGTGGGAGGTGGAGGGCCTCCACTTTGGTGTGTGTTTTGTAATTGATTAGACATTTAGCTGTATTGCTTGTTCCCATTTTCCTAATAGTCACGTGTTCTCAATTTAGAACCAAAATGACGCAGGCGCTGTTTACTCCCGCTGCCGGCCTCTCCCTGCTTCGGCATGCTTTTAGTGGACGATGACGAGTGAAGCGGCACACAGAGAGAGAACCGACGGCAGCGTCGGCCTCGTCGTCTTTGCCATACCATGCGTTAACGAGCTGTCTCTCATTACTCTCGCCACTTGGACATTTTGTGCATCGATACACAATCCACACACACACGTGCATACCCAACGACGGCGACTGCCATCTCTCCAACACATTCCCATCCATCCCCCTTCCACGCCGCTTGGCTCCACACGAGAACATTGATCGATTGACGGCCGGCTCATCATCATGCCCAAGGTGTACGAGAATGAGATCGTCTACCCGTGAGCTTTATCACCACGAGCACTCTGGGTACCGTTCAGCTGACACCACAGGTACTCGCCGGTGCATACGCTCAACTGGATGCTGAGAAAGTATCCCAACCCCTTTGCGACCCACGTCTTCTCCGTCGACACACTGGAGAGGACGATCGATTCCGAGACGGGCCTGTTGCGGTCAGAACGCATCATCGGCGTGCGGCAGAGCGCGCCGTCGTGGATAGCAAAGGTACGTTTCTGGACGTCATGTCGTGGTCGTGCGTGCGTGCGTGCGTGCTTGCGGTACTTTGTCCTTTGGCCGGTCGTGTGCGGCACCTGTCCACCAATGTGACCCACCCACTGACATGCACATGCAGCTCTTCCAACTTCCGCCAATCACCTATGTCCGCGAGGTGGTCTTCATCGAGCCCGAGCTGCCGCGCGCGACCTCCATGTCCGTCAACCTCGACCTGGCCGAATACGTGTACGTGCTGTTGCGTTTTCCTTTTCTACAGCACAAACTGACATTTACCAGCCGGTGCCTCGAACACATCACTTACACGCCCTTCTACCCGTCCGCCGCACCCGGCAGCAGCAGCGAAGGCGGCACCGGCAGCCACGATGCCCCCTCGACGAAATTCAGCCAGCACGCACTCATGGTGTCTGGGTTCAAGACCAAGATGATTGCGCGCCGGATCGAAAAGGCTAGCGTGGACCGGTTTGCCGCCAACGCGGGTATTGGCAAGCAAGGGTTCGAGTGGGTGCTGGAGCGTGGGTTGGAGCTGGCGCACGCGATCCGCAGGGCTGCGGCGGCCGTGACTGCGTGAGCGCGAGAGAAGGTGGACGAGGGGAAGATGAGTAGCAGGGGCAACGGGAGGAAGAGCGAGGACGAGGGGAACGGTTCGAAGGGTACCATTCTGTATAACCCACCCATTCAACAGGGTTTATTGTCACGGCAATCATCATCATTGGCATTCAACGCATGCATCACTCTCACTGTAACAAGGGGCGCGAAGGAGGCAGGAATGGACTGCGGACATGAACGCAGGTGGTGGTTTTTTTAAAAAAGAACACTTTGAGGTGACTACCCGTCGTGATGAACGCGGACATGTACCCACTGAGAGAGCAGAGCAATGTACACAGGCGATAGATGCCAGAAGAGGTCAGCAGAACCGGAACGCAGGGACAGGGGTACAAGAGGCCTTCAGTGAAGGGGTACAGCATGTCGTGAACATTGGCACACTGTGTTGCGCGCTCGCTTCTCTCTCTGACATTCTTTCGCCGTGAGGAGTGTAACTGTTCGCGCCGTAACAAGACCGCTCCCGCTCGCTCTGGAAACAAACACCTGGGATACTCGCTCGCCTGCTCCACCCATACGAGTGGTGCGGATGGGCGGAACAATCCAGGCAGCCATGCAGCGGCGGCGGCGGCAAGACACCCAGTACCGTCGCCACCGACTGGCGTGACACCCAACCACCAATAACAAATAAACGCTCAGCGTCAGCCATACTCGACACCGTCCTCTTTCTCTCGCCAGCGACAAAATTGGTCAGAGGGGGGTGATGCCATACATGACCCGCCCGTGGGCGGCTATCGTACATAATGGCAGCGACTTCCGGCAGCTGCGATGCGTCTACGTCGGGGGGGTTGGGGGGTTGGTGGGTTGGGTTGGGGTGAGTTGCAGTGGATGGGAAAAGACCGTGTACGTCGTCGTCTTGCGCGTCTTGGCCACCACACCGCGTGTTCTTTTATTGCGCCAGCGGGCATGAGGGCGATTAGAAGCCAGCGGGCATGACCTGCTGAGCGCCCGAGCCGGGGGCAGCGGCGCCGCCGATGAGCTAGAGAAACGAGTCAGTTGCGTGGGTTTAAAAGTGGAAAAGACGGGGCCGGGGGCACGTACCTGCTGCTGGCCGGCAGACTGCATCTGCATCTCGCGCTCCTGCTGCGAGATACGGGCCTCGTCCTCGATGGCAAGGGCGAGGGGGAGGCCGACGAGGAGCGCCGAGGTGGTGGCCCACCAGGCGACCTGGCCCGACGAGGCGAGGGCCCACGCGGCCCACGACTTGATCGAGTCGGTGGTGGCGACGATGGAGGTGCGGGTAGTAGGGGGCACAATGTCCTTGAGCGCGGCGATGCGGTCAAAGATGGTCTCGGCGTCGGCGTCAAAGTCGTCCTCGGAAACGACAGACTCGTCGTCCGAGATCTCCGAGTCCGTCTCAAAGTCCGACTCGCGCTCGCCGGCGAAAATGTCCTCCTTGACTTCCTCGACAAGAACCATGGCTGTTGGATGGGGGTGTGGGAGGGGGGGTAGACGGTGAGGGAAGGGGGTGGTTGAAACGGTAAGATGTGGAGAACGCAAAGGTAATGATGGAGGTGGTGTTCTTTGCGCGCCAGGTGATTTTGGCCGACAGGAGTTGAGAAACGCCCACGTGGCTTAAAACGGGGGGACGACACAAATAAAGTTTCCGTCGAGCAGCGACGAGAGAGGTTCTTCATCATTATGGTGAGTCCACCTGCTGATATCCATCGTTGCAACAACACACACACACATACCTCTCAGCAATGGCACTCAAGGGCATCCTCAAGAGCACCCCCGCTGCCGCCGAGGCCGGTCCCAGCAAGCCCCGCGCTGCCGCTGGCGCCAAGCCCAAGGCTACCGTCAAGGCCACCATCGCCGCCCCTGCTCCCAAGGCCCGCAAGTCGGTCAAGGTGGCCAAGCCCGACAGCGACGCCGAGATGGCCAGCGAGGACGACAACGACTTTGGAGAGGACGAGTATGACACCGACGAGGAGATTGAGCGTGCCAATGCCCCCGGCGAGAAGAAGCCTCTCAGTGAGTAGGCCGAGCAATAGCTGTGCCCGCCAGCTTCCAGCTCGTCGCAGCCTCCACACCTGTCTGGACAACACTGACACCCATCACAGAGCGCAAGCGCGTGACCACTGCCACCGACTTTGGTTCGACGCTCACGTCGCTGCTGTCCGAGTCGGCCGTCAAGCCCAAAAAGTCCAAGAAGGCCAAGCGGACCGCCGCCGAGGACAAGGCTGCCGCCGACGCGAGCGACGCCGACGACGACGACGACGTGCCCGCGCCCGCGCCCGTGGACCTGACGCGCCCCGCACCCAAGTCGAACCCGATCCTGGCGCTGTCCGCCAAGCCGCTCCCGCCCTCGCGCGCGGCCGTCAGCCTCGAGCGCCGCGCCGCCCGTGCCCTCAAGGCCGAGAAGGAGGAGCGCCTCGACCGCGCCCGTGTGCGTAATGTCCTCGAGGGGTGGACGCCTGCCCCCGGCGCCAACGTCGGCAGCCAGGAGTTTGAGCGTGGTCTGCGCAAGACTGCCCAGCGTGGTGGTGAGTGCGGAGTGGAGCTGATTGGCAGAAGACAACCCAGCTGACGAAATCCCCCCTCTACCCCCTTACCACAGTCATCAAGCTCTTCAACGCCATCCTTGTCGCCTCGAAGAACGCCGAGGAGGCCGCCGTCACGCTCTCGCAAAAGGCCGGCGTCAAGCCCGAGGCACCACGGAACAAGAAGGAGAGGGACAACATCCTCGGCCGTGGCGCCCGCGAGGATGTGCTCACCAAGGAGAGCTTCCTCGACCTTGTACGCAAGGGCGGTGCCAAGTAAGCCACAGGTGGTGGCAGCTGGGTTCTGGAGGACGTGAGACGTGGTTTTGCATATGCGTGTGCGGAGCAGCGAGAGCGAGAGTGAGAGTGAGAGTGAATGGGAGAGACTCGAGAGGAGAGTTTCTGGATCGGAGTTCTGTATACCCCCTTGCATTTGTGTTATGCATCCTTACTGCATTTTGTGTGCTACAGTTGACCCACGGGGTCGTTACAACGTACAGCGTGTAGCTGCAGCTGCTGGCCTCTGCCTCTGCGCGGCCATCGTCGTCGCTGCCGTTTAAAAAGCCGCTGTCCCGTGCCGTCGATTTTGCCACCCAGCGACATTCTTTGACCCACCTCCACTTTTTGCCCCGCTTCCATCCACTCGACTCTTGTGTCAACAACCACAACCCACCGTGTTCCACCTTTTGCCCGTGGACGCCATGTCCACTACGCCACCATCTACGCTGCCAGAGCTCCCGGGGGGTCTCTTCAATGCACCCCCCGACAGCGTGCTGGTCGAGGACGCCGACGAGGAGGTGAGTGAGGGCGAGAGCGAGCTGGTTCCCCGTAACGTTCCGCAGCTCTCTGACATGACGTTCCCCCTCTGACCCCACCACAACAGATCATGGAGCTGTACATGAACCTCGAGGCGACGACCGGCCGCGCCGACTCGGGCGGGCTGGGATACCTGGACGCGACGGCGGCCGAGCTCGAGCTGTCGTTTGAGCTGGCCCCGCCGGCCGTGCAGGCCGACACAGTCAAGCAGGCGCGAGGCAAGCGGGCCAAACCGGCCAAAGCCATCACGGTCGACTTGACGGTCGTGCAGGACCCAAGCGCGCTGCGCGCAAGAGTGGGCGATACTGGTGAGCTTTAGCATCCTTGGTAACGAGCTGACTGTCAGGCAGTGTTCTCTGGCGTAGCAGGTGAGCTAGTAGCAGCTCAAGAATGCCAAGCACGCAAGCTCACGTCTCACAGCCTGTACCTCGCCCGGCACCTGCTGACCCAGCACCACTTCCCGCCCGCGTCGCCGCTGCTGGACGCGACGCGCCTCGCCTCCGCCCGCGTCCTCGAGCTGGGCGCTGGCACGGGCGTGCTCGCGGCCCTCATGGCCCCGCTGTGTGGCGACTATGTGGCCACGGACCGCGCCGAGAACCTGCGTCTCGTACAGCGTAACGTGTCCGCCAACGCGCCCAAGGCCGGTAGCTCGTCCTCGTCCTCCTCCAAGGCCGCAACCGTCGCGCCGCTGGACTGGGCCGAGGTCGCCGCCGAGGCCGGGCGCAAGGCCAAGTCTGGGGCTCGGTACGTCCCGCCCGAGAGCGACACGGACCTCGTCATCGCCGTGGACTGTATCTACAACGAGAGCCTAGTCGCGCCGCTGGTGGACACGCTGGCGGCCCTGTGCGCGCGCGGCGCGCTGGCGTGGGTCGTGGTGGAGCTGCGGTCGTCGGATGTGGTGAGTGGGAGGATCCGACGTCGTGAAGTGAGCTGACATGATCTCCTTCCTCTGCTCCTCGTGCCGTGTCCGCCTATTCTCGTGCCACATGGCGTCCTGTGAACTGCTGTCGTCGCTGTCCAACCTCATCTCCGGCCGTCCACCCCCTATAACCTGTCTCGACGCCTGTCTCTGTCGCTGTCATGCGTCTCTCCCACCTCTCTCCACCTCTGGCCACTGCCACTCAACTCCAACTCTCCATTGCCACTCCAACTTTCCTGGTGCCTGTACAGCTGACGCTGTTCCTCGACACCTGGCTCCAGCACCCTGCGGGGTTCACGGTAGTGCGGCTGGGGGAGAGCGCGATGGGTGCGTGGGAGGGCGAGCGCGGCCGGTGGGTCGGGTGGGTGGGGTGGTGTCCGCCCGTGGATGAGCGCGAGTGAGAGGGAGGGAGATGTCACAACGCAAGGCAACGCAACATAGATGCACAGACCGCGAGGTCAGTGTCTACCATACTGCGTACAGGTCGAGGGGGGGGGGGGGCTCCTGAAGAAGAAACGGAGCCTTGGAGGATGTATACCCGTATACTATGTACTCTACCATGACGCGTTTGACGTGGTACGCGTGTTGGCATGAGTACATAATGTGTGAAATGACGCCACGAACGCGCGCTGGCTGATGTGGTTTACCCCAGTGGCCAGTGGCCAGTGGTTGTTCAGTTACCAGTGATCCAGTGATTCGGCAGTGGCGCGGGTGACTCTACAGGCGAGACTGGCTGCACGGGCTGTGTCCTGTGGGACGTGGTGAGCGTAAGGGGCAGTTCCATAAAGGCCGTTTGGCCGGTGGTTGGTTGGTGGCCGTGGTTGGTGGTTTGGTGTTTGTTTGTTTGTTGTCGTCTTTGTTTGGCCCACTGCCCACACTGCCTCTACTTGGGTCACTGCCAATTGAACGGCTGTGCCTCTGGCCTCTGGAGCGTTCAGCCAGACCCAACGCCACACGCAGCATCCTCCCCTCATCACAGATCACAGACGCACAGACGACCTGCGTCGACCTGGGTTTTGAGCGACGTGCTCATTCTCTCCCCCGCGCGCGCAAAACCTGCAAAACCCCTTCTTTTGCGGTTGAATTGGCCTGTCCCGGAATGGCGCTGCCCGGGCACTGGCGCACTGGGTGAAGGAAATTCTCTTTGGGCCAGACTGCCGGTGCCGTGCCGATGGAAAAGGGTCGAAAAAGGGTGCCTGGGGTGGGCCGGTGTTGGGTGCACAGTGCACGCGTGTGCGCTCTGGGCTGGCGCGCGAGGTTTTTGGCTGGGAGAAACGGGGGTGGCCCAGGAAAAGCAAGGGTGAGGTGGGTGGATGCAAACATTGCAGTAGGGGCGGTGGAAGGGAGGAGGGAAGGCGGCAGAGGGAAGGGAAGGCAAGGAAGGCAAGGAAACACCCACCGCGTGCATCATCTCCCCCCGTCTGTGTCCCCCGTCTCTGGTTACACATCTCTCTCTCTCTCTCTCTTGTCTCCATCCATCCATCCATCCTCGCTAGACGACGAGCACTCACTTACACTCCCCACACACACAACCAGTCTGCTGGCCGGGCCATCACACTGCCTCGCTCTTTCACCCACACACCCACGCACCTTCCCAACAAACCCCCCCGGCGCGTCCCACACGCCGCCCTCCCCCCGCACCCAAACACCAAGCACCCCTTTTCTCCCCGGCACCCCCCGTCTCCCCCTCCCTCTCTCTCCAGTGAGCAAATCCACACTAGTCAATACATTACTCCATCAACGCTGACCCAACCTTTCTTGCATCCATCTAGTAACATTCTTTTAACACCACACACTCCAGCATCCCACCATGTCCATCGCCGTCGGTAATCCCGGTATGTGTCTCTCCTGTGTCTTGCTCCGTTTCGCGTCCAAGGCACACTCCGGCGCGCGCACGCGCGCGTGCTCGTCGTGTCCGCCCGTGTGCCAACCCGTTCCCCGCCGAGCACATTCACATCCCGCCGTCGACACACCCCGCTGACCACACTACAGTCGTCCAGACCTCACCATCGGCAGTCGTCGCCACCACGTCCCAGGCAGCCGCCACTTCCGCCGCCCAGGTCACCTCGCAGTCCCCGGCTGTCACCACCACCCAGCAGCAGCAGCAGACGACAACCGAGGCCGCCGTGGTCACCACGTCCCAGCAAGAGGCCGCTACCACCACTGCCGCGGCCGTGGTCACCACATCTGCTGCAGAGACACCGACAACAACCGCCGTGCAGCAGCAAGAAACAACCAGTGCCGCTCAGGTGACGTCTCAATCGACGTCGACCCAGGAGACAACGTCGCAGACTCCTACGACCACAGCCACGTCCCAGTCAGTCGCCAAGACCATCACCTCGACAGTGTCGACCACGTCCGAGTCGGCATCCGTCACCCAGACCGCGACCAGCACGTCCACCTCCACTGCTCCTGGCCTCGTGACCAAGACGACCAATGGCGCGACCAGCGGAACCGCCGCCGCGTCCAAGAATGGCTCATCGACGACCTCGCTGTCGAGCGGAGCCGTGAGTGTTTCACACCTGTCACACCAAACCCTCCCCCAAACTGACACTTTTTTGCACAGATTGCTGGTATTGTCATTGGCGGTCTTGCTGCCATCGTCCTGGTTGCCTTCCTTGCCACCCGCTGGATGCGCAAGCGCTCGCGTTCAAAGCGCACCGCCCAGCGCTCGTCCATGTTTGAGCCATGGCAGACGGCCCCGGCCATGGAGGACACGTACGAAAAGCCCTACCCAATGCAGGAACAGGCAACGCCACCTTCTTTCCCTCCTGGTACCGGCATGAACGACGCTGCGTACGGCGCTGGCGCCGTCCCCTACGGCGCCCAGTTCCCCGGCGCCGGCTACGACCAGTACGCAGAGTACCCCCAGACTGGATACACTTCGGGCGGCTCGTACCCTTCGCAGGCATACTCGGACATGCCCTCCTCGGACGCGTCTGGCATGGCTGGCTACGGTGCCGCCGCTGCCGTCCAGCAGGGCGGCGTCTACGACCACAACGCGCCCGTCGACGGCGCGTACAACCCCGCTATCTCTCCCGTCGACCCCAGCGGCGCCTCGCTCGCTACGGGTGCCGCCATTGGTGCCGGCGCCGGCGCCGGTGCCCTCGCTGGCGCAGCTCTTGTCGGCGGTGCTTCGTCTACCCACTCCACCGGCCAGACCGGCTCGGCCGCGGCTGCCGCCGCCGGCCTGCACGACGGCATGATGGTCCGCGTCAAGGTCGGATTTGTGCGCAGCCTCGAGGACGAGCTGGCCATCAACCAGGGCCAGCAGCTCTACCTCCACACCTCATACGACGACGGATGGTCCCTGTGCGAGGACGACGCGCACAACCGCGGTGTCGTCCCCCTCAGCTGCCTCGAGCCGTGGCAGCAGTAAACGCAGCAACAAGTTGTAACCGCTCCAACCCCAACCCTACCCCCTCTACCCCGGCAATATACTGGAACGACGCGGCCCGTGGGCTCTCTGCCTTGGCTTATGGCTGAGGCGTTTGCGTGCGCCGGCGGCGGCGTCTCCGAAAGCGGTGTGGTTGGTCCACCGACCCTCCCCACCCCCTGTCCAAACCTGTAACTGCTTGTGCTTGTGTGCTCTGTGCTCCGTGTGCTTGTGCAGCAATGCTCGTGCGCGTCGGCCCGCAAGATATCGAATAATCAACCCCTCATCTGTATACACCCCCCTCCCCCCACCCACCCACCTCCCCCTCTCCTCTCCTCCCTCCCCCTCCATTCCTCCCTCCGACTGCGCACCGCACAGTCCGGACCCCGCACCGCACGACTCTGTTGATCGGTGAGGACGAAAACCCGACTTCCTCTTCTCCTTTTTTTTCGCCAGCGTAGAGAAACCGAAACCCACGAGAGCTTGGACATTCCGCACAACCAACACACACACAGGACAGTGACCTTTTTCTTCTTCTTTTCCCCCCTCTCCCCTTTTCTTGGATTATCGATAGCTTTTTTAAAGTGTTCCATGTATTTGTCTCCTGCAAAACCCAGAACGAGCAGGCTAGCAGGCAGTGTGCGCGCGTGTGGCCTGTGCTTGGAGCTTGAGGCTTTGGCTTTGGCTGTGGCTTTGGCTTTGGCTTTGGACTTTGACTCGATGGGGGTCCGGCATTGCCGTCCGTCCCGCTGCTACCCAGACTCAGACACAACATGCGCACATGTGGGCACGCGGGGGGGCAAGCAAGTACCCGCATCGTCATTCCGAGGCATGAATGCACAGCAGCCAGGATCCCGCGACATGGCTCGTGCGAGGCATGCCAAGCGTTTGGACAGAGGGAGTACCGTTATCAGTGGGGGACCTGTGGGCCGCGGTCCGCGATCGTTAGATATCGGCGACCTGCGTAACGTGTACACGCTGTACGCAGCCACAATCGGTGCAGATGAGGTGTGTGTATGCATGCAAGTTATGCTAGAAAAAAAAAGGACTCTACGCTGTCTATGCGCGTCCTCGCTCCCCCCCCCCCTCCCCTCTGCCCCCACTCCTCACGCATTCTTCGGCGCATGCTCATACCCGTCAAACCCGCTGGCCTTCTGCACGACGTCCTCGGGCGCGTCAAACACGGCGTGGCCCATGTCGTTCCTGCGCGCGCGGAAGAACGTGTAGCTCAGCACCACGTCGTCAATGTTGTCGAGGCCCGGGTCGTCGAGCATGTCCCGGTCGATGAAGAAGAAGACAGGCAGGTCGACCTCTTCGCCCGCGCGGATCTTTTGCTCTTCAAAGCAAAAGCACTCGACCTTGGCAAAGTACGGTGCGATCTGGCAATGTTAGCTGCGGGGCACTTGGGACTTTGGAATGGGTGCAGCGGGCGAGAGGGCGACGGTGAAAGGGAGGGGGGGGGACTCGTGAATAGGTAAGACGTAACAACGGTGTACCACCTCTCTTTGAGCGTAGCTCTGTTGGAAAAGTACACAGGGTTCAACGGCACTGTGTCCCAGAGAGCAGTCGTTGCTGGCCAATGCGACGGCCGCGATGACATGCCTGTGGGACTGGTGCTAGACCAAGCATGGCCGTTACCCCAGCTGAAACTATCACAAGTTCAGCTGTGACAAGACGGCCATGCCATCGTCCCAGCACCAAGCGTCACAGCAGCCAGGTCGATGCAACCAGGTATAGTGTACCTGCCACAACAGACCCTTTCCTCCTCTCCCCACTGCGCACCCACCCGCTCCCCACGCCCAACATCCTCCCGTTTTACTCCTTCCTTACTCACCTTCTCCGGAGTCATGTTGTACGTGGCAATGCCAATCAAGTCCTGGTCCGAGTGGTTTGTCGCCGTGTAGAACGCCAGCGCCGTCTGGCCGGGCACGACGGTGACCGTACGCTGGACGGGCTCAAAGCTCCAGGGCAAGGTATCCGACGACGTCGCCTCAAACCGCACAGTGATAGGGCGCCCCTTGGAGTCGTCGGTCGCGTACAGGCGGTCGGGCACGAAGCGCGCCGGGTCCGTCATGGGCGTGCCGGCGTATCCTGTCGCGGCGCAGAACGCGCGGTAGGCCGGCACGGCGGCGTACGTGATGCCCGAGGCGAGGGCGAGCGCGCCAATGGTGTACATCATCACGCTGCGGTTGCGCTGGCTGCGCAGGGCGTACATGCGCTTCTGGGCTTCCTGGGCCGCGCGAATGCGGGCGGCAGCGGCAGCCGACGAGGAGGAAGCCGACGAAGAGGACGAGCTTGAGGGCCCGGCGGGGGACGAGTATGGGCGGGTGGAGGCGGGGCGCGGGCCTGCGCGGCACTGGGCACCGGCGCGCACTGTGCGTGCTAGGAGGGGTGCACGGAAGGACATGGTGCTGGCGTGAAGAGGGAATGAGAGAGACGAGAGGATGAGATGTTGGACCCGACTGGCTCTGTTACTTTGCGACTTGGGCGGGTGGAAACGGTCTGTGGCGGTCGTTGTCGGATGGCGCGTCGCGTGGTGGACGCGTGGATGAGAGCGTGGTCACGTGACCTCGGCGTCTATGCCAGGCAAGCCCGTGTGTCTCAAGAGAGAGAGATTACGTCGTACCTGGGTCGCACCCGTGCAGGTTTGAGTGTGGTGTGTGTCGAGTGTCACAGGCTGCATGCATGCATACGGTACAGAGTGAAAGGAGGGGACAACAGCTGCAGTGTCATCCCTTGGGGGTGTCGGTCATGCAGGAGAACGATCTCAAAAAACGGGCCCATTGGGTCTAACGAGAGCATGGGACACCCACCTGGCCACCTGGGGACCCCGGGCGAGTGACGCCAGCTGAGACCGTGTGTCTTCTCTATCGGGCGGCCATGGATGGGGTGTCTTCTTTCTCGACGCCATCTTGTCTCTTCCCACTCATCCATCCACAGATACCCCCTCACACAATGGCCTCCAAAGTCGTCCTTGTCCTCGGCAACACGACGACGGCGGGATACGTCGCAGAGCTCGCAGCTAACAACGCGTCGCCCGGAACCGTCACCCTTGCCATCCCCGGCACGCCCGTCATTGACCAGTGGGTGTTCCATGTTGCACTTCTTCCACCCAGCTAACATCCTCCCCCCACCCCCACAGGGTCACTACCGTCGAGACTGACCTGTCGCACGACGCCATTGCAGCCGCCTTCCAGTCGCAGTTCGCCAAGCATGGCCGCCTCGACTCTGTCCTCTGCGCCTACACCCCGCCTGCCGACGGCGTCAAGGGTACCCCTGGCCACGACCAGACGGCGATCCAGTGGACCCTCGACCCGACCATCCGTGCGCTCAAGAACGTCCTCTTCCACGCTCGCCGCCAGGGCGTCAAGAACGTTGCCGTGCTTGTGATCAATGGTGGGTGTGGTGTTATGCGGCGGGGTGCAGTGTGCGGTGGGGGTGCCGGCCAGCAGTCTGGCTGTGTTGAGCTACAAGCTACATTCCGGCTGGATACAACCGGAGCCAAGCACTAGAGCCACACCACCACCATGCCTACCACCACCGTGTGGCCAGTATGCCATATGCGACACACTAACGCGCCCAGGCCCCGACGTTCTCAACAGCACCGCCGCGGGCGCCATCGTCGGCACTTGGCGCAGCATCCAGCCCCGCCTCGAGGTGCTCGGCTGCACGTCCCAGCTCGTGTTCGCCGACGCCGACACGCCCCTCGCCGCCGAGACGGTCGCCAAGTGCGTGTCCGTTACGGCCTCGCACGTCTACATCGTCGAGAACGGCAGCGTCAAGACGGTCAGCGCGACGTGTGGCGAGCCCAAGGGGTTCCAGTACGACCGCATGATGGAGCGCAACGCCGGCGGGCTGGTGTGAGTGATACATTAGCACGATGGCTGCATCGAGTCGCTGACAGCTGCCCACAGCAAGGCCGAGAATGTGCAGAAGTTTCTCATCTGGCTCAAGCAGACGCGCAGCAAGGGTCTCGTCGCGGCCCTCCTCATCGTCGGCGGCGTCACTGTCAAGACGTTCTGGGCGACCATTGTCGGCGTGCTCCAAAAGGTTGGCAAGTAAACGTGTGTGTGGCCGAGGGAATCAGCCTGGATGGCTTAAGAGTCCCGAGCAGTGCAGAGTCTGAAGAGGGGAGAGTGGAGATGTCTGAAGCCTTTTCGTTCCGGTATTCATTGTGTATACCTCGGTTTTTCTCTGTAGTACCCTTCCAGGAGCCATGCAGATGTGTAACGAGCAGAAAGTGCAGAGGCGATGTCAGCGGTCATCACCTCCCCACCCGTGTCCAGCACCTCCCAGCACTATAGGGGTACACTGCCAATCCCATCGTTTGCTATCGTCTGTTATTTTTTCTTTCTCGTTTTCCAGCCCCTCGCTATCCCCATGCGACCTCCCACCACCAGTATCCGGCCCACTCATCCTGCCTGCCCTCGCCGCGCCTGCCCTTGACGCTCTTCTTGCCTACGCCACGTACACCCAGGCGCAGGCCGGCAGCCGCGCCGAGTCCCTCGCCACGGAGGTTGTCCGGGACGGTCGAGGCGCCACGGACGGGGTCGGCCGCGAACGCGATGCCCGCGGCAGCCGCGCGGTCCGCGAGCGGGGTATACGACGCCAGCGGCGGGAACGCGGCGTCGATGCTCTCGAGCTCGGGCGTGAACGTCGGGCGGATGGGGGACAGGAGGTGCTGGGAAACAGTGTCAGTTGAGAAACTCGACAAAAAGGGACCAACTCACCATGGTACCGCTCGGCGCGCCGTCGGTCGGGGGCCGCAGCACCCATGCGGCGACCTTGCGCAGCAGCGCGGCGTGCGTGGGGTCGTACACGCAGTCGCTGGCGAGGACGAGGTCGAACGGCGTGTCGACCCACGGCGCAAGCTCCTCCTCCTCCTCGCCCTCGCCGGCGGGCACGTCCAGCCCGGCCCGGCGCTCCATGTATGCCGGGAACGTCGTCCAGTCGAGTTTTGCAATGTCGATAGCGGGCGCCGAGTCGTCGCTCGGCAGGCGGGCGGGGCGTTCAGGTCGACGCACACGCGGAGGTTGGCGAGGACCTCGGGCAAGAAGTCCGTGGCGACAATCAGCCCCGCGTCGGCCTCGGCGGGCGCGTTGGACGTGATGGCGTTCCCGGCCGCGCGCAGGTCGAGCAGCTTGCGGCACAGGATCGAGAGCAGACCCGTGCCGGCGCCCAGCTCCAGGACGCGCGTGTAGCCCGCATGCGGGAGGGGCGACTGGAACAAGCCAAAGTCGGCGGGACGCAGCGCCATCTCGCGGCCCAGGAGGATGGCCGAGCCCCACGTCTGCACGCCGACGCTGAGGTGGTCCTGCATCGGCGCGTCGTGCAGGAGCACGGGCACGGCCGCCGTGCGCCGTCCGCGCACCTTGGTGGCGTTGTTGTTGGAAAAGCTGCTGGCCGCCGCCGCGGGCGGGGTGGACGCCGTCGACGACGTGCTGTCGCCGCGCTTGCGCAGTGGCTTCATGATCATGAGCGGCGAGACGGGCGACGTCGCGAGCGACGCGACAAACCTGGACGTCGTGGGCGACAGCGCCGGGTTGGGCTGGGCAAAGTCTGGCCGGAGCGAGCGGAGCGCCGGCGCCAGCTCGGGCGCGACGGGGAAGAGCAGGTGGCGCGTGAGCGAGCCCGCCGCCGACGTGCCGGCCATCATGGCAAGCACGGCCGTCGCCTCGCGCAGCACCGTCTCGATCTCGGGCATGCCGTCGTCGCCGTCATTCTCCTCGAGCCACGTCTGCGCGCGCCGCACCACGCCACCGAGCCATTTCTCAGCCCACTCGCGCTCGAACGGGTCGTTGTGCTCGCCCTCGTCGTCCGAGTCAGAGTCCTCGTCGTGGTCGTCGGAATACTCGTCGTCCTCGTCGAGCGCGTCCTCGTCCTCCTCGGCAATGGCCTTGACGCTCAGCCCGTCCATCTCGAGCCCCAGCCCAGGGACGAGGTCGACGCTGCCGCCCGACATGGTCCGCCTCCGCCTCGCGGGCACGGGAACCGGGGTGGATCCCGACCCAGAGCCAGAACCAGAGCCAGAGCCCGACGTCGCCCGCTCGCGCGCCTCGACGGCAAGGTGGTCGGGCTCCTCGAGCTCGACGTCGCCGGCCTGGAACCCGCCGTGGATCGGGGGCATGTACAGGTCCTTGAGGACGGACATGCACCCCAGCAGGTCGGCCGGCTGGAGCGGCGCCAGTGTCCCCTGTGCCCGTGGCAGGGCCGGCAGGAGGGTCGTCGGCAGGACGGCCATGGTGTTTGTGTGTGGTTGATGGAATGGGATGGGTGTTGTGAGTTTAAGAATTTTGGATGTGTGGATGTGGATGTGGTGCCTTTGTCAATTGGGATTTTCGGGTCTGGCCGAGAACAAGGCCAACTCGACGTCATCGCACAACCTTATCTCTGCGGTCTTGCTGCAGCTGCATGCATGGAGGGCTGCATCGTGCATCATAGACGCGCCCCCGACGCACCCAGCGGGCGTTGCAGGCGCATAAAGCCCGCTCTGGCTGTTCTTATCGAGGATAGTCGGTGGATCTCGGGGGCTTCATCCTGAGAGCTAGAGTGTTACTGTGGGGCCCTCGATGCGCGCCTCAACTGTAGCCTTTACGCGACGTATGCAACAATTCCATATACCACAACAGTAATGTACAGATACAGAGGAACAACAATAACAACACAAGACACCACGCTTACACCGCGCTTCACCGCTCTCAGACATAGTACGCCGGGGGCGGGTGGTCGTACTTTGGATTGAGAATCTCGTCGTCGCTGGGCGGCTGGGCAGGGTAGAGCGACTGGAGGACGTTGTGGAGGAGGTACCGCTCGTTCATGCGGCCCTGGCAGTCGTAGAACTGGACGTGCTGGTTGGCCCTTGCCACGCGCTCGAGCTCGTTGGCGTGGCGGTGGTGGTTTGGGCAGCCGTCGCGGCCGACTGAGTGGTGGGTTAAGCTATCCTGCTATAGGCTGGTAGGGAACCCACTGAGCAGAATGGTGGCATAGCACCAGGTCTCGCCGAGAATCTCGAGCTCCCACTCGTCCATGTCGACTGCCTCGCCGTCGAGGAGGACCAGGAGAGACAGCTTGACCATGTCGGGCGGCGCCTGCCAGCCGTATACAGGGTGGAAGGTCGCGCCGACGGCCCGGCCGTGTTTTTCAAAGTGCAGCTGGTGGGTAAGCAGGTAAAGGGGGTGTACTGTACCCACCTGTTTAACCTTCTGCCACCCAGACATCACCTGCGTCCCACCACCAACGGACCACTGAATCTCCTGCCACCTGATCTGTCAGCTACCTTCGCGCTGGGCGTGCGCTCACTTGCGGGGGAAGTTGTGCTCGCCGAGCTTGCCGACGTGGCGGCCGTACGAGCTGAACAGGACCGTGTCAATGCCGCCCTCCTCGTTGGGCTTGTGGTAGTGGTCGCGCGGGGTCGTGAAATGCATCGCCCGGCCGAGAATCGAGTGCACAACGTCAATGTGGCGGGGCTGCTCGAACCCAGACTGGTAGTGGTCAAAGCCCATCGAGCTGACGTGGGTCATTTCAGCTGTCGACAAGCGGTTTCCATTCGACCCACCCGCTAACGTCGATCATGAGCATGGTGTCGATACCTGCACCCTTGGGATGTGTTCTGGCCAGCTCGCGAAAGTCCTGGTGTATCGGCAGCGGAGGCACCTGCTTCGAGTACCCTTTACGACCGTACTGCGTGCGAAAGGTGTCGTACTGGACGAGTCAGTGTCTTGTGTTGGTGACGTGTAGCCATATCGCGCACCCACCTGGCTCGCATACTTGACGTCTACAGGGACGGCTCGGCGCATACGGGCATTCGCCAACCTCATCTCGGAAAACTCGTCTGGCCGCTGGCCTGTCAGCTACGGCTCATCAGGGCCTCCTAGCTCACCATGTACGTCTGCTGGGCAAGTCCAGGGTGCCTCGAGTGGTTGAGGATCCAGTACAGACGCTCTGGATGGGTCAGCCATACCACAGACGAAAAACAACACCCACCCTCCCCGGCATCGTCAAAGCTGAAGCTGAACTGGGGCCTGCGGCACAGTGGCGAGTACGGGTCGTTGGCCCAGGCGGCTGGAATGGGCTCAAAGTAGCCGAGGGGCAGGTACTTGAGGTACTTCTGGGATCATGGTCAGCTCCTGTGCACAACGTGGCTAGAAGAGCTCACCTTTGGAAACTCGTTACGGATGTGGGTGATGCCCAGCGCGTCCTGGTACCTGTGGACAATGGCGCGTGTCTCTGGGTCTGGCCAGCGCTGGTGTTCCATGTTTTCAATCTTGAGGGTCATCATTTCGAGCTTGACCGCGGGGTCTCGTCGCAAGGAGGTGAAGAGGCCCATTGTGGATGATGGTGAGTGATGCAGTGATGGTGGGGAAGACAAGAGACATGCGTGGCCAAGGAAGACAACGTCGACAGAAGAAGGGAAGGTGTGTCTATTTGTGTGGGTCGATTACAGTTAATAATAGCATCCATTAGAAACTGTAGCCACATGACCTCGGAGGAAATTAGCCTCTAATCCTAATAATGCCTAATGGAAGTCGGCTGTGGCAGTGCTGTCTTGCTAGCTCCTTGCTTCCATGGCGCAAGCTCCGCAATTGGCTCCCAGAAACACCGCATCGCCGTGATCTCTGATCTCTGATGTCTGATCTCTGACCAGCTGAATGGAACGTCGCCAGCTGTGCAGGGGGGGTCCTGAAGGAAGACACGCCGCTGCTTTCTGACAGTCAATAACCGCAGTCTGGACGCCATAGAACACGCTGCACAGCCTGCTGTTCCGCCACCTGACAATGTTCTCCCGGGTATGGCCCGCGACAGAAGATACGGCCTTCCCAGAGGCCAGATACAGGATGGCTGCGCGATTTACACTCTGGTGCCACTGTCAGATGGGGATGATATCACTTCGACGGTGCTTTAGGTGAGACCGGGAAGAACCTCGGATCATCCACGGGAACATCGGCATGTTGAAGACGGCTGTGCACCGGTTACCTCTTTTCGTTAGTTGTTGCTCTCACTTTTTCTCACCCGTGGCCGCCGGTGCTCGTTCACCCTGCAACCAAGCTCATACCAATGCAAAGCAAGGCCGGAACCTGACCTCCTGCAATGCGGCGCACGGCCAGAAAGTCGGCCTCCCGGTCGACGGTGGGCAAAACGCAAAGGACACATTTTGGCGGCTGCAGCGGCGAGGGACCCGCCCGGCTGTCGTCGGTTCACACCATTTCCCCCCACCCCCCACTCTTTCCCCCCACTCTGTCGGCGGTCTCGGTATCCACACTCTGCTGCTGCTGCTCTCCAGACAGACAATGAAACCTCTCCCTCACAAGTTAAGCTTACCGAATAGGCCCCTTGCCAACTCTCCCTACATCCTGCCGGGGTATAGCGCTTCGTTACGACACAGACGGCAAACCTCGGAGCTGGAGCGCAGACCACAATAGGCAAACAGCCACGGCGGGTGTGGGCAAGTGGGGGAGGGAGTGACTTTAGGCTGCGTTTGTTGCTACCTCTTGTCTCTCTGTCCTTTGCAAACAACAGACACACCTCACACACACGCGCGCGCGCATTCAAAAGGGTCTGCATCTGTACACCCCGAGGCCCCCATAGTTACAGATCCCTGCTGCTGCCTGACACAGACACAACAGTCATCATACGCTATCCGCAGCACGACTATATTTCAGAGACCGACACCAAAATACCACCTCCCCCACCCTCTCCTCCACTCCACTATCGACCCCCACCAGGATGACGGCCAGCATGGCCGCCTTGGCCACCCCACCACCAGCTCCACCACCACCACCATATGACTCCCCGCCACTCTTCTTCGAGTCAGCAACGGTCGTGAGCGGTGAGCCTGGCGAGGAGCCATACGTCGCAGATGTGCTTGTGAGGGACGGTGTCATTGTCCGGATTGCACGCGAGGCCGACTGGCAAGGTACCACCACCCAGCCACCACCGCCAGCGGACGCACGCGTCGTCGATGCGCGAGGCCACTTTCTTTGTCCCGGGTTCATCGACATGCACGCCCACTCGGACCTGTACCTCCTCACGAGCCCAGACCATGCGCCCAAGATAACCCAGGGAGTCACGGTACGTGTTTGTGTGTTCAACCCGGTCGGTCGGGACCCACATCTGCCCAACGCCGCCAAAAGTGGCTGACGAGAGATCCAGACCGAGGTCGTGGGCCAGGACGGTATCGCGTACGCTCCTGTCCGGACACGAACGCAAATGGACGCCATTCGCGCTCAGATTGCCGGGTGGAACGGCAACCCGTCAGACGAAGAGTGCAGCCGGCCGCCGTTGAAGGACATGGGCATGTTTGAATGGCGCAGCGTGCGCGAGTACCTCGACACGCTGGAACGGTGCCGACCAGCCACCAATGTGGCCTACCTCGTTCCCCAGGGAAACCTGCGGCTGCTGGCTTGTGGGCCGTACGACGGCGTGGCGACGCCAGAAGAGGTCAATGACCAGGTCGCGCTCCTGCGCAATGCCATGGCCGAGGGAGCGGTAGGCATGTCCAGTGGCCTGACGTACACCCCGGGCATGTACGCCACCACCTCTGAACTGGCCGTACTGTGCACTGCGCTCGCAAGAGAGTTTCCAGGCAGCTACTATGCACCCCACCACAGGAGCTATGGCCACAAGGCTCTCGAGTCGTATGCTGAAATGCTCCATCTCGCCGCCACGACAGGTTGCAGCGTCCACCTCACACATGCGACCATGAACTTTGCCGAGAACAAGGGCAGAGCACCCGAGTTGCTCGCCATGGTGGACACGGCCCGCGAGGCAGGGTCCCACATCACGCTCGATACGTACCCGTACTTGCCCGGCTGCACCACGCTGTCGGCCCTGCTGCCAAGCTGGGCATCGGCGGGCGGCCCAGTCGAGACGCTCGCTCGACTGCGCGACGAGGCAACGCGCGAAAAGATACGCATCGCCGTAGAGGTCACGGGGTGCGATGGCGGGCACGGTATCCCGACCAACTGGGACGAAATTGAGATTGGGTCCACGCGGCATCCCGACCTCTGTGGCATGTCTGGCCGGCGAGTGGCAGACGTGGCCAGGACCACCGCCCGGCTGCCCATTGAAGTCTTCTTTGACGTCCTCGTCAAGGACGAGCTGAGTACGGCTTGCCTCATGCATATAGGCAACGAGGAGAACGTCCGCGCCATCATGCTCCACTCGACACACATGGGCGGGTCGGACGGCATCTTGCACGGCGACACGCTCCACCCGCGCGCCTGGGGCACGTTCCCCAGGTTCATCGGCTACTATGCGCGCGACATGGGCATGACTACCGTCCCCGAGATGGTCGAGCACCTCACGTCGCGCGCGGCAAAGCGGCTAGGCATCTACCCGCACCGCGGGGTGGTGGCTGTCGGGTCTGCGGCGGACCTGGTGCTCTTCAACCCGGTCACGGTGCGCGACACGAGCACTCATGCCGAGCCCAAAAGGGCGGCTGATGGGGTGCGGTTCGTGCTTGTCAACGGGCATGTGGCGCTCGATGAGGGCAAAATGACGGGGGCGAGGGCTGGGCGGACCTTGAGGCGACGAGCGGACGGCAAGGTGACTGCTGGGGGAGCGTAGACGCCCGCGAGGGTGGCGCAGAGACGGATGAGAATTAAACTGTTGTGACCCACTAGCTGTAGGGTAAAGAAGATGAGAGGACTTTGTAGGCATCAAGGACGCTCCAAGCTGCGGAAGAGACACGACCGTTGCATATGCATGTACCTCCTGGCCATTCAGATGTGTACGCAGATGGGTGCCACCTGGCTGGGACACTGTTGGCGCAGACATGCTATCGATTCGTCCACTGGGATCGGTCTTTTTGCGCGGGTTTGACGCCGCCGACAATGTCGATGACGTTTGTGCGGTTCATTTGTTCACCGTCGACCACCACCTCTCTTGCATCCAACATCCCATATCTCATTGGGCATCCATCTCCACACCCAGCAGCACCCCAATCTCGGCCGCACTCACCCCCGGCCAGCTCCACTCGGCGCACGCCTCGCCAGTTTCCTCGTCCCCGTCCTCCCGCTCGGCCCCCACGGCGCTCTGGCACGGACCATGGGTCAGTCCGACGAGTAAGTAAACAATCACAGACCACGACCACTTTTGGCACATACCACAGCCATGTCTCCCACTCGCAACAGTACACGCTAATGCCCAGATCGTTCCTCCCCCAAATCGTCGGCGTGAGTCGGTTGGCGTGCAGCGCCCTCAACGCTGGGGCTAGTTCACTGACGTTCAGATCTTCTACGCCATCTTTGACCCGTCGCTGGGCCCGACAGTCGTCCATCAAGTTCCCGAACGCCTCATCTCCGTCGGCGGTGACGATGGTGGCCTCGACCGTCGCCGTTCGCGCTCTGGTTCGCGCTCCGTGAGCCGCTCTCGGGCGCGATCACCTTCCGTCGTCCCCGGCGCGCGTCGTGCCGCCTCGCGCGAACGCAGCACCCCGGCATCCCGGTTTCTCACGTTGCTGGACTTTGCGCCCATCTCCGAGTATGTGATTCCCAAAAAGGCGCTGCACGGCAAGCTCGTCACGTTTTGCACGCCCGGCGCGTGGGACGAGGGACCGGACAGCGGCGACGACGACGACGACGACGATGACGACGACGAGGCGCTGGATACGAGGGAAGGAGGGCGCGCAGAGTACAAGGTCATTGGCCTGCCAATGGTCATTGATGGCCAGGCAGGCCAGTACCAGCGCAACCAGTACATGTGGAACCTGTGTTTCGTGTTCCGCGCCGACGCGAGCCTCGAGGCGTTTGAGCCGGTGGTGCGCAAGACGGCCAGGATTCTCAAGAGTGCAGAGGTGGGTGCGGATTGGATTGTCAGCCGTGTGCTGACCTCGCCAGGTCGACTCGGGGTATCTTTCCAGCCCTGCACCCCAGCATACCCCCTTGCTGGCTATGCTGGAACAGCTGTTCGAGGATCTCAACTCGTACTCTGAGACGTCGATCCCCCTTGACGGGTTCAACAGCTTGGAACTCAAGCTGTTCCCTTTCTACCGTGAGTGCTAATGAGGTTTAAGACTCCCGTGGTTGTCCAACCTCACATTCACACTTATACTCACTCCCTAAGCCAATCCCCCCGAGGTGCACGACTGGGACGTCCCTGTCCCGCTCGTCAACCTGAACGCGCTCAAGGATGACAACTGGGACATTACCGCCGCCCGCGTCAGCCAGTACATCAATGGCATCAACCACAGCGCCAAGATTGCCCAGCTAGCCGACGTTGACCCGGCTCTCACGCGTGAGACGCTGCGACACATGCTGTTCTACCAGGTCATCATGATGGTGAGTTGACATCGTCCTCCCCCAACTGACGACCAGATCGACATTTTCCAGTACTCCAACATATACACTGTCACACCCGCCTTTGCGCGACTGTGCGCTGACGAATCGGTCATGGACGAGTGCGGCGCCTACGTCACCCGCCCTGGGTATGCCATCGCCGACTGGCCGGCTCTCGCGACACTGTATACAAAACTGCACGCCGGGACGACTGTCCACCAGTGGGCCGAGGCGCACCACATCTGGACACGCGGGATCGACCCGCGCCGTTTTGTGTCGTTCGGTATCATCAAGGGGTTTATGCGACGCGTCCACCGCTGGCCAGTGATTATCGAAAAGCAAATGGCGCGGATCCTCATAGGAGCCGCCATGGGGCCGAGCGACAGCCACCCGACCACCAACGTCAGCGGTATTGCCAGCAGCGGGCCGCCAGACCCCACCCGCCGGCGCGTGGGCTTCCACGCCAGTAACACTTACCGTGGAGGTGGCGAGTCGCGCGAGATGCGCGACCTCATGCCTCCCAGCCGATCGGGCGAACGCACCAACCCTTTTGCTGGCGAAAGCCAGTTTACGCTCCGGAGCACCGGTTCCACGGCCTCCATCACGCTCGGCGGCAGTCCCGACGTGCCCGCCTCACCGCCGCTGCAGCGACGGTCCAGCCAGCGCGATGCCACCGGGCGCAGCTTCACCAGCGCGCCAGACACGCACCCGTCCATCTCGTCGCGCCGGACCAACACGCTGCGCTCGGCGGCTGGCATGGCTGCGGCGAGCGCGAACGCTATCAGTAGCCGCCAGCGCGAGCGGCTGTACGACCTCGACATTGAGCTGCTCAACAGCCACCACCACACGGACGAGATCCAGGTCCGCCTCGGCATGAGCTGGGCGCAGCTGGAAAAAGTTCTCGGCCTCGACGGAAGGGCGCGAGGCGTGGGCAGTAAGGGCGTCGCGGTGGTATACCGATAGTCCTGTCCTCCATCTATCACGAGCTGCGGATTGAGGCGAGCTCGGACGCCCCCCGTCTGGGCGTGGGTGATGGGAAGTGGGCGTGGGCCGCAGAAGGGACCGTGTGGGTGACTGCAAAGTGGACGGAGGGGGCATGGGGACCGGGAGCAGGACCAGGACCAGGACCAGGAGCATGGGATAAGATGGATGTACATGGCCGCATGGTAGGTACGCATTGTGTTGAAGCGTAGAACGTTGTAACAGTTATAGGACCCACATGGAATTGCCGTCAATGACACCAATGACCATATGTCATCGGCGACGGACCACTCTCTCCTCCCGACGACGTCATTGCCGGCCTTGGTCGCCGTTGTTTTCACTCAGATCAAGCTTTCACTTTCAGGTCGCGTCGTCAAGGTTTGCACCAGTTGCAGTGCCGCTGGGCATCGCCCCCAGCCGTGCCTAAGTACAGGACGAAGTGACCATGGGAGGGGGAGCAGTTCCAGTCCACCTAGAACCATCCGTGAGGGCGATGGTGGACGGACCAGTGGTGTGCCACCAGCTTAGCTTTGGTGCCCCGGAACCCCGTGGGCCACTCGTGGGTTTACCTTTGTTGTCGCCCCGGCACGTCTTTGCTTCTGTCCGTCGCGGCTCTGGTATACACATGCATACAGGACTGGGGGGCCAGCTTTGCGGTACGGGCGGCTACAGCTCTGTGCTCGAGGACAGCGTGTTGCATAAGCAGCGTTGTGGAGCCGGACGCTCTGCAGACCAGCCGCGCCGTTTCGCCCGTTGAGTCGTCTGCCGCAACCCGGAAAATGACGACGTTCATATAATCTCACCGACCAGCCTTTTCGGATCCACTCAATATCTTTGTTCCATCATTCTTCTCATCCCGCCCACACACCCATCTTCATTTCACTCCCACCGCCGTCCATCAGCTTGCATGGGGCCCGCTGGCCCCCTCCCCCCGGTCTCCCCTCCCTTCACACCCACCCCATCCATGACAGACGACGACACCTTCCTCGCCTCCCCCGCAGCCGTGTCCCCTACCCCTACCACCCAAACCGGCGTCCCGCCAATTCCAACAGCCGGCACCGGCGCCGGAGCAGGCCCCTCCCCCGCCGCCCTCCTCGCCCCGCAAACGTCACGCCTCGCCGAGCGCCGCGCCCAACTGGGTGACCATGGCGGGCTCGTATGCAACATTTCCGACGACTTGGCAGACGACGTCGATGACCTCTGGGGCCAAGAGGGCTGGGACCCCGCGACGGCAGCCGGAGCCCTCGAGTGGGCCGGCGACCGCGGCATGGTGTTTCGTGCGCTCCGGGTGCGTTTCCGTCTCTCTTTTTTTTCACCGCGACGCCGTCACGAGCGACCGGGCGGCATGGGGCACGCGGTTGAACGCGCGCATGCACACATCGTGGTGCGCGACCGGCCTAGGCCCTCACCCACGCCCCCCGTGCGCGCGTCGCATCGCAGCCCGAAAGAAAAATAGAAAACCGTACGGCATGCTGACTCTGCCCAGCGCAACCATTTCGACGGCTCCAAAGCGCACGCGTTCCTCCTCTCGGCACTGAGCGCACGCATCGAGCGCGGCCTCGGCGGCGCCATCCCCCCGCCCCCGTCTGGCGTGTGGAGTCTCCTGCCTCTACCCCGGTTCACCGACCGGTTGGGCCACCCGATCGCAGTCCTGACGATCCGCGACGTCGCGCGTGACAGCGGTGGCAGCCTGGCCGAGCTGAAAGAGTGGACGTGGTCGGGACTGGAGTTGACACGGCGTGCGCTGCGAGACTACTGGGTCGACCAGCGGCGGGGGACGGGCGCCGAGGGTGCCGTGCTCGTCGTGGACGCTGGCGGAGCCGGTTATCGCAACATGGTGAGTGCAGGGAAACAGGAAGATGGCGTCGGCGGCGTTGGCGGCGTTGGCGGCGTCAGAGACCAAGGCGTCCATACGCGTGTCGCCAAATGCCACCGGCACTCCTTTGCTTCTGGTATTATGGGACGACGACGACGACGACGACCAGAGCGGCCCGGTTACACCGTTTGTACCCTCTTTTTTTGTGCTGACCCGACGCCACAGGAAGTAGAACTGCTTCCAACCATCTTCAGCGTCGGCCGCAACAACTTTCCAGGCCTGTTCCAGAACGTCTACGTCGTCAACGCAGGCTGGAGCCAGCGCGCACTCTGGAGCAGCGTTGTCAGCCGCGTCCTTCCACGCCGCGCTCTCGACAAGGTGTCGTTCCTCAACTCGCGTCAGGACATTGCTGCCGTCTTTGACATGGACCGGTTCCCGAAAGGTGGGTGTACCTTGCACTGTCGCTCGTACTCACCCCATCAGCTCTCGGCGGATCTGCTCCTCCACCCGACCTTGACGCCAGCCTTCGTCGATACTCGCACCCGCGTCCACCAAACGGGACCACTTACGACAGCAGGCCCGGTTCTCGCGTTGCCAGCCGCAGCAATTCGCGTGCAGGATCGCGCGCCAACTCGCGTGGACCCAGCCGCAGTGGATCTCGCGCGCCCAGCCGTGACCGCCCCGAGCACCTGCGCGAACTGGACCGTTTACAGATCCCCAGCCGCAACACGTCCATGTCGTCCATCGCCGACGTCTACTTCACGGCCAGTAACAGTCCCGTGAGCTCTCGCCCTTCGAGTCGCCCTTCATCACGACATGGCTCGTCCCTAGCCCTCGCGGGTCTGAGCTCGCGCTTGGCCATGACCAAGACGGCCACCTTGGACGATGAGGATGAGGGTGCCGGCCCGCGCACAGGGGACAGCTCGTCCACTGCAAAGGCGCCTCTGGCCCCCCTCAACAACGAGACCCCGCTCCCAACCACTGGTGCGATCGAGACGGACTCGAACCACCGCATCAAGTCGCTCACCGACTTTCACCTCTACCTCTCCCCTTCTCGTCTGGCGCACCGCGACCTCTTGTCCGACTCGGAGGACGATGAGCCACTACCCGCGCCTCGGCGTCGTATTCTGCGCCCGGCAATGCTCGAGGGCAACCTCGCGGCGCGGCGCGCTGCCGCCAAGCTACGTGCTGCGTCACCGCCCGACCGCTCCTCCACACCCGCGCAGTCATACGCCTCGCAACTGCAGGCGCATCACGCCAACGGGCTGGACAAGTACTGCGGCGAAGACGCAGACTGCTCCCAGTTCCGCCACCTGGACCCGTCGTACGCGCCGAGCGAGGTCAGCGACTCGCCTGCCGAGACACCGCCCACGTCGATCATCGATACGGACGCTGCATCCCAGTCTGGCGCATCGGCCTCGATGCACGGCACCCCACCGCCAGTGTCTGCCGCCGACGTCCAGTTCTCAGCAGACAACCCGTGGTGGGGCTACCCCGTCGTCCGCGTCCAGGACGGCAGCATTCGGCCCCGGTACGGGCGCAACCGCAAACGCGACCTGGTCAAGACGCTGCTGTGGTTGTTCGTCCTGCGCCTGCAGGCGTGGCGGTCGGCGTTCGAGCGTGCTCTCGGCCTCGACCGTCTCTTTAAGCGCTCGACACCACCCCCTGCGCCGCGTACGCCCACGCAGGGCCTGCGCGACACGGCGGCGGCGCACAAGAGCCAGCAGCAGCCGTCCACCGTCGCCAAGAGGAGCCACCACGACTGGATCTGGATGCTCATCGGCTTCCTCCTCATGCGCGGTACGTGGGCACCGTTGGTCTCGGCGCCGTTTGACGCGGTGGGACTGAGTACCGTCAAGGAGCTGCTCTTTGGCTTTGTGTAGGGTGGTGGTGGTCGTAATGCGCCACCGCCGTGGCCACTGGTTTCATCCTTGGTGAAGTAAAACAGCCTGCCAGTGTTACTCCTGTGCACTTGGTCATGGCTGCGTTGTACATTGTTGTCTGTACTGCATGTATACTGCTCTGCATGTCACCCCCGCTTGCTGCTGGCTGCATTGCCTCTGAACTGTCTTTTTGCACGTTTGCACCGCACGCGACCACGGTTGTCACCCACCCGTATGCGGACGTCGCCCCCTCTCGGCCCAAAACATAGCCTTTGCGGTGCCTTAAACGGCTCTTTGGTAGATCCACGTCGCGACGCGATCAAAGTTAGAATTCCAGCAACTCCTTCTTTTCACCACTCTCCACCAAACAATGGGCTTGATACGGTACGTCCCCTTTAGCTATGCGACTTGCATGTGTGTCCTATAGCTAACACTGGCAGACTGGCAGTGTGCGTGAGCGGCGTCTATGGCGCATTCTTGTGGTGGGCCATTGCTCAGGAGCGACGTGAGTGACCAAAAGTTGGCGGAGCGTTGGAGCTGTCCGACGTGGCGACTCCAACACACCACCGGCCAGACCTTGCCCAGACCAATCGTCCACACCCACGACCAAGCGCAAGCTGACACCCTCCCTCATCTAGTCTCCGCTCCGTTCCCCGGCATTGCCCCGCACTCGTCGGACAAGTTCCCCTCCCCGCTCTTCTTCAACTGGTGCCAGTCGTTGGCCTCGGCGACCTGTGCGGCCATCTACCTCCTCGTCGTCGGCGTGTCCGACGGCTCGCTGAAGCGTGATGGTGTGCTGAGCACGTTGGGCCTCAAGCGGCTGTTTGCTTCTCTCCCCGGTAAGAAGAATGACGGCGCCACCACTCCACCAACGACCAACGGCGACGGCGACGGCAACGGCAACGGCAATGGCAGCGGCAGTACGCCACAGGTGGCCGCCTTGCGTGCCTACATCAACGGTACCGGTTCTGCGACCGTGAGCGCGACCGCCAGCGAGAACGGCAGCCTGGATGACAAGACCGAGAAGGACGAGGAGAGCCGCCGGCCCAGCCCCAGCCCCGAGGCCAACAGCAAGGCCACCGTCGCCGCTCCCCAGCCCCCGCGCCCTTGGTACCAGTCGCTCCCCGTCTTGCTCCTCCAGGTCTCCATCTTCCAGACGACCGCCGGTCCTCTCGGGTTTCTGGCTCTGAGGCACATCTCGTACCCGACCATGGTCCTTGGCAAGGTGGGTAATCGAACTTCCCTGCCGTACCCGTGCTGACCCCCGCAGTCGTGCAAGCTCATCCCCGTCCTCCTTCTCAACGTCCTCCTGTACCGCCGCCGGTTCGGCGCGCACAAGTATGTCGTCGTCGCGCTCGTCTCGGCTGGTATCTCGCTGTTCATGCTCTTTGGCAAGAAGTCGGCCAGCAAGGGTGGCGACAGCGTGTGGGGCCTGTCTCTGCTGCTTTTCAAGTGAGTTGCATGACCATGTCGACCAACTGACCCCCGCCAGCCTCTTTGTCGACGGCCTGACCAACTCGACCCAAGACCAGATTTTCGCCCTGTACAAGGGGTACTCTGGCCAGCAAATGATGTTTATCATGGCGTGCATGTCCCTCTCGGTGCTCACGCCCGCCATGCTCCTCCCGCTCCCCTCGAGCCCGCTCTCCCTCTTGTCCGTGTTCAACTCGCCCGACCTCGCCAGGCTGCACACGTACTTTTCCCCGCCCATCCTCCTCACGTCCGTCCGCTTCATCACGTCCCACCCTACCTCCCTGCCCCCCCTGGGCGCGTACGCGGCGCTGGGCGGTCTCGGCCAGATCTTCATCTTTGAGACGATTGCGCATTTCGGATCCCTCACCCTCGTCATGGTCACCGTCACGCGCAAGCTGTTCACCATGCTCCTCTCGGTGTTTGTCTTTGGCCACGTCCTCACCCCGGGACAGTGGGCGGGCGTCGCGGTCGTGTTTGCGGGTATTGGCGTCGAGGCGCTGTTTAAGCGTCGCGAAGTGTCAAAGCGCGCCCGGAGGGATGTCAAAAAGTAGGCAGTGGCAGTAGTGATGGCAGAGACACAAGTGTAGAGTAGACCCAACAACGACGACGACGCCACGTATAGATGGATTCTTGTCACATGCATTTTGACTGGTCCTTGTACGACGCGGGCTGCACCAGCCACATGGAGACGGTTGACGTGGCGAGTTTCCACAGCCAGAACGTGGCAGACACGTCTACTCCTTCCCCTTTGAGACCACGCGCATAACAGCGACCGCAGCTCGCAGTGTGGCGTCAAACACTGCGGCCCGCGGTCGCGCAAATGTCAATTCTGTCAGTCGTTGACCAGATCTGTTCTCATGCACTGCAGCTGCATGCTCTATTTCGGTGTCCTGCGCGCAACGCGAGGGGGTGGTGTGGGGTGGGGGGGAGGGGGGCTATTTACTTCTTCTTGTTGTCAATGTTGTAGTCCACACGACGGAGGACCATGAACGCAATGAGCACGGCGCCGACGACGGCCGACACGGTGAGGGGCTTCTGGAGCTGCGCCGAGAGGGGGTAGTTGTAGGTGATGTACACGGGCTGGGCGTGGTTTTCAGTGACGACCGACTTTGTAATGGTGACGACGGGACGGCCGGTGGTGTCGAGGTACGTCTTGACGAGCGAGTGCTCGATCGAGTCGACGGGGAAGGGGGCGAAGACCTCGACGTCGGTCGCGCCGTCGGGGAGGACAACGCGGAACTCTTCCTGGCCAACAACAACGTCCTTCATCGCAGTGAGGAAGGGGACGGCAAGAACCTGCTTGCCGGTAGCGACGTCGGACCTGAGGGCCTCGTTGAGAGGGCTGTCCCAGCCGACGGTGAAGGAGTAGTTCCAGCCGCCGAGAACGGGGTAACGGGGGCGGAGCTCGAGGACGCTGTCAACAACGCGGCGGCTGTTGCGCTTGCCGCCAACGGAGGCAGCGGGGGAGCCAGGACGGAAGTGGGAAGTCGAAACGTTGCCGACAATGTCGTAGAAGTAGACCGAGTGGGCCGAGGGAGGGAGACGGAGGGTGAACTCGCTCAGGACCTGGGCGGGCTTGGTAGCGTGGTACTTGGACTGCTGGTGGGCGAGACGCGAGAACTGGCCCTTGAGCTCGGCACCGTCGTTCATGAGCGCAACCTCATCCTGAATGTTGAGGTTGCTGCCCCAGTGCGACACCTCGGCGGCGCGGCGAAGAGTGCGAATGCCAATGATGGGGTCGCGCGACTCGTAGTGCACATAGAAGGGAGCCTGCTCAGCGACCTTGCCGGTGCCAATAGTGGCCGGGACGGCATGGAAGGGGCCGAGGGTGAGTGTGGCGCCCGACTTGGTCACGTCAGAGTCGCGAGTGTACGCCTTGGGGACGTCGCCGTGGGTGAGGATCTGAGGGGTGGGCGAACGAATCTTAATACGCTCGACATCCGAAGGGTACGCGCTGTCCACGAGGGTAGAGTTGGTCTCCCAAACGAGGAACTGGGGGTCGCGCTGCTCGATCTGGACGGGCAGGGGGCGGCTCTGGTACGCAAGGATGGCGTTGAGCGAGATGGTCACCGTGTCGTCCTTCTTGAGGTCACCGACGGGCACGAGCGCGACGGGGACGCTAGAGCAGTGTAAGCGCAGTCAAGCGCAGCCATGGCCGACAATAACTTACTCTCCAAGGCTCTCAACAACCACACCCTCGACGGCCTTGCCGCCAACAAGCACCTCGTACCATGCGGGTGCCTCGCCTTCTGCACCAGAAAGCGCGAGAACGTACTCTCCCGGGTTGTCGACGAGGGCCTTTACGTTGTACTGTGTGGTGACGAGCGAAGTGCTGCCGCCGAGCTCGACGGTGCGCGCAATGGCAGTGTTAACGAATGTCTGGGGCGCGTCGCCGGCCTCGAGATGCCGTGATGCGAGGCCGAACGCAATGGGTGCGAGCGCGAAGAGGGAGAGGAGCCGCATCGCGAGGCGGGCTGTGGAGAAAGAGAGAGAAAGAGAGGGATAAGAAGCAGCAACAAGGAGGAACGTCACCGACAACAACCATCGTCCACCCAATGTCTCCATCTCCAGGCGTCGAACACGTCGCGGCGCTGCGGGGAGATGTGGAGGGAGGCGGTCAGTGGTCACGTGATTATCGCGTGGGTGTCAGGTGCTGATATACTTGATTCCGTGTCACGTGGTGTTTGCGTGGAGGGCACGTTGTCTACACTAAAAATACCACGTCATTTCTCCTTTTGTTTCAGTTGTGGACGCGTGGCGGACGGGTGAAATCGAAATGGGTCTGCAAAAGGGGGGGCGACGTGGCGACGTTGCAACCGAGGCTCACACCCTGGCTGGGTGCACTGGCATCTCCTCAACGCCGAGCCAAGTCTGCACGTCTGCATCCGGTCCTAACCCTTTATCGCCTTGGATCTGGCACCTATTTGACAATCCGCTTGATGCCGGTTGGGAGGACAACGATACACCGCAATAGGGGGGAAACAGTTGAATGTGGCGTTTTTGCCCGTTCCAAGGGTGAGTGTTTCCGATCCGCAGCAACATGCCGTAGTTGCCAGCCGTCTCTCTCTCGGGGAAGCTCTCTTTGATGGACCTATGCAACGGCAATTAACAGTTGGGCTAGCGGACAACAACCCACACACCCCTTTGTGCATGCCTCTGCGCCTCTGCTCTCGTCCACGTCCCCGGCCCCCCCGTTGGCACTCGTATCCGGCAAACCCAGTCGCCCTGGCCCAGGGCTCCCCCTCCCCGTCCGTAGGGACAATCTGGGTTAGCTGGTTGGTGTCTTGGCACAGGCTCTCTCTCTGCCTCTTGGGCAGATTCGTCACTTGTGCCGAGGGACCGTTTGTCCTCCCCTGTCGGCGGCCGCGGATGGGCAGGTTTGAACCTGTTTTGCCCAACATAGCCTGTGCGCGCAGCAGCCGGCGAGCATGCATCAGACCTGAAGCGCAGCCCTCGACGAAATGTGTAATGTGACGCAGCACCTGACGCCGGTGTGCCTCTGCGGGGACAAGGCATACGCTTGTCCAGCCAGCCCTTGACCAGCCCACGAGGTGTATGTGGCCGCCCTCACCCGCCGCCGCCGCCGCCGTCGACCGTCTGGTGCGCGTTGGGTCCTGCGCCTCGCTTGCACCTTGGGTTGCGTCCACATGTGTTGGCTGTCGGAGGCGCAGGGTTGTTGTGCGGCCCGAGAGGCACTGGATCATCTTGCTACAAGGACACTGGGATCCGGAGACAGAAACGTCCAGATCAGCTTTGCCATCTCGTCTCTTGCCCAAAACATCACTTCCACTTGTCATCACTCACACTCTCTTTCATAATACTGGCGGGGCAGTCTGCCACTCGTTCGTTCGCCCACACGCCCCCACACACTCATTTCACCATGTACGCCACGACCGTGTTCGCCATCTTGTCGCTGGCACTCTCTGTCAGTGCAGAGCCAAAACCCGTGCTCGCTACTGGCTCCAGCGGGCCCGTCACACTGCCACTCTACCACGCCTCTGGCCGACCAGACCCAAATGCCGGGTCTCGTGCTGGCTGGTGGCTCCGACGCAAGAGCCTCCTCACCCGCCGAAAGTATGCTCGTCACCTCGACGCGACCGCCCACGCCCACCTCAAGCGCGACATTGTCGACTTTGAGCGTGGCCTCGCCGGTCAAGAAGTGTGAGTGTGTGCAACCAGCGCGCGGACCCACGACTGCAACGACTGCCCTGCCTGTAAAACAGCGTGACAGGCTCTCTGTGTGGCGCTTGGCAGGGCTTATTTGGCGGTGGCGCCATCTAAGCATGGTGTGTGTCGGTGGACTGACGGCCCCCGTTTCAGGATCACAACTTGGGAGCGCGATACAATGTACTCTGCCAAGCTCGAAGTGGGAACCCCAGCACAGACGTTTGAGCTGCAGCTCGACACTGGTTCCAGTGACATGTACCTGTACTCGAGCGCATGCGCCAACTGCCCTGGTGGACCCAAGTTTGATTACACCAAATCGAGCACATACCACGCTGGTGACCCCTCCGACGAGCTCCAGTATGGTATCGGATACGCAAAGGGCATTTGGGCCAACGACACGGTGTCTATCGCTGGAGCCACAGTCTTTGAGCAGACTTTCCGTAAGTGTATCTCTTCTCGCAGGCCAAAGCGCGCTCTGCGGTCTGGGATCTACGCACGGTCCCTGGTCGCGAACCAATTCTCGAACCAACTCTCCGTCCTTGCAGTTACGCGTCGCTTGGCCGTTTCATACCTCGCCTTTGCTGACGACCATTCGCAGAAGCAACCAACGACACGGATGACAGCTATGCCAACACGACCATTTCCGGTCTGATCGGCTTGGCATGGCCCGCTTTGGCATCAGTCGCCATGCCGCTCTGGATCAACTTGATGGACCAGTGGGACGACAAGCGCTTTGCGTTTGCCCTTGCTCGCGTCAGCCTGACGGACGGCACCAACCCTTGGGAGGATGGAGCTGCCCCCGGAGGTGTTGTTACCCTTGGGTGAGTCGCACATGCGCCCTGCTTCACGTGCGGTCACATGGAACGTAGAGAGGAGAGTGCCGAGGTCATGGCGTTCGTTTACAAGACGACGTCGAAAGCGACGCGTCGCGCCGTGGCGACGTCTAGGCACTTGGGTCTCGATTGCTTCGCTTGCAAGGGCGGAGTTTCATTTTTTTTTTGTTTCCAAAGTAACACCATGCTGATTCCCCTCTGCAGTGGCGTCGACGACAGCCTGTACACTGGCGAGATTATCTACCACAACCTGACCGGTAACGACTACTGGCGCGTGGACATGGAGTCGGTGAACATCAACGGCCAGGTCCTGAGCACTGGCAAAAACCTCAGCGCCATCATTGACACTGGCTCGACTCTCCTCACCGGCCCGACCGAGCAGGTCAAGGCGTTTTACTCGCACATCCCCGGATCGTCCCCTACTTCTTACGAGGGCACCGATGGGTTCTACCAGTTCCCGTGCGCCAACGCCGACCAGCTCGACGTGCAGCTCACCTTCAACGGTGTCTCGTACCCGATCGACTATTACGACATGATCTTCAGGCCCGTCACCAACGGCACGCCCGATATCGAGGACGGCATGTGCTTTGGCGCCATGTTTGGGTACGACTTTGACAATATCAACTGGATCATCGGCGACACGTTCCTCAAGAATGTCGTCTCGGTCTTCCAGTACGACCCGCCCGCTGTCGGCTTTGCCACACCAGTCACCCACAGGGCTGGGTGGTACGGCGCTAACAAGAAGGATGCTGGCCGCAAGACCCAGAAGGGTCCTCACCGCCAGGACAACCACTGGTAGAGAGCGAGGTTGACCACGGGAGGACCATGTTCCTCTCGTCACAGGACATTGTTTTTTTCGATTTATTCTAGCTTTTTAGACCATGTAATTACATACGTAGCACCCGCAGCAGCAACACCGAATCCGCAGTACATCTGGGTCCAAAAATCCGCAGTACACGCAGTCGTCGAAGTCCGTCCGGCACCTTGGCTGCGCAGTGTGGCCGGACGGGCCGTTGGGGAGAGATCCGGAAACGATTGCGGCCCGCTGCTTGGTATTTCATAAACCGGCTCTGCCGCGCGCACTGCATCGAAACATCCCATCCAGCTCTGGTGGAACACTTGTCGTTGAATATTGCCATTCAGACATCGTTGCGGTCGTTGAATAGCCGCCCGCGAGGATGTGGTGTCCCCCAAAAGGAACCGAGTGGCACCACCTTCCGTCACATTCACCGCCAACCACACCACCACTTCTTCACGTTAACCGTTAACCCCTACCGCCCGCCGCACAACATATCGAGTGCTGTAAGTGTAAGGCGCCCAGAACTGTGCGGATATGAGGTCAGCAGACTACGAAGTTGAAATAGTTGTGATGGGAATAGAACACCGCCACATAAACCGCACGATTTATTCGAATGGCTGATCCGATGGCTCCATGCGATTAAATGGACCTGGGAATACATATAATGGCATAAGGGGGTATACACGGTACGAGAGGCCCCTTGAAAAAATAATAGGGGGGGTACGAGGCCAGCACCAGGCTTGATCATGCGGTGGGTTCGACGGTTTCGAGGATGGCTTCTTCGGGGGACAGGGTTGAGAGGTACTGCTCGCGAGACATGAGGCTGAATCGGCTGACGTAGTTCTGGAGCGTTTGCAACTGCGTGTCCGTGAAAGGCATGCCTCTGGTGTAATTGAAGTCAAGGCCGTGGTAGTTGGACTGGATCATCTGACGAAGGCGTGCAAGCTTCCGAGCAGCGCATGCAGCCGGGTTACTCTGGTGGTCGTGGGCCAGGTCGCAAGGAAAGTCGACAATGATGATATGCCAGTCGGTGTCCAAAAAAGGGAAGCAAGTCGGGAATTCCGACAGCAAGGAGTCCATGGCATCTGGGTCGCAGATGAGAACGATGCGGCCTCCATGAGTTGTCCTGGTAAGATGGAATAGAACCATGAGTCTCTTGCCAACGTCTTGGTCCTTTGAACTCAAACGGACCACGAGTTTGCGGGCGTCGCGTAGGGTTTGGTAGCCGACGGGGGGGTCTTCACTGCCAAACAGCACGACCGTTTTGCAGGTGAACGGCAAATAGGCGGAGGCGATGGGTTCCCAACGAGAAGTCGACATGACACGGTACGTGTCCAGGTTGAATGACGGCGTGAGGAGGTTCAAGTAGTCGGCCGACATGCCACCAACCCTGTCGACAACTCGGGCGCTGCCGAGGATGAGAAGCTGGCGCTTTTTGAGGTGACGAGCGGTTCGGGTGGTGATGTTGTTGGGGAAGGCGGGCAAACGTCGGCGCTCACTATCCAAGATCAGGAAGTCATGTACACAGAGTGGGGGGTTGGATGGGTGGGAGATTGACCAACTCAAGACCTAGGATTTGAGTGCGGGAGTCCTGGTATCCGTTCTCGGAGTGGGAGTCGTCGGAGTCAGAGTCGCCGATGGTACTGGTGGGTACTTGACCACGAATGGCCGGGTGAATGGAGATCGAGAGGTGTTTGGCGAGGGCATGATCGGCCCTGTCGTGGAACGCGTGGCTCGCTGTGCGGAGGGCGAAGAGACTCATTCGAGGTGCGGTCTCGAAGATCAGGTCCAGGATGTGGGGGTAGAAGCGGTGGTCGAGAGTGGTCATGTTGCCGATGAGAACTTGGGAGGTTGTGGATGTGTAGAGTAGGTGAAAGTATTGAAGGGGAGAATGGATGGTGATGGGAGTGTTGTTGTGTTGTGTTATAGAGGCCAGGCGTGTGTTTATGCCCGAATGCCCAAACAATTCGACACCGTCAACCGTCATCAACCGCCCGGGTGTATTTGGTCCGCCACACCCACCAACACCTTGAACCACCACACCACCGCGGCTTGCCATCAACCCCACAGCCCATCAAGAGACCCAGAAACCCATGGCGACGGAGAAGGGAGGTGCCAGGAAGCAGTGGGACAGGAATCATGGGAATGAGGACGGTCGGAATGGCTGTGACAAGTATATAGGGTAATCAGACGTCCCACCTGTGCGAATGGCTGGTGACATGATACGCTGTGCATGACTATATCCTATTCCGTTCTACAAAGGGCTCCCATATTAACACACATGACGCCAGAGGCTCCTTTCAAACAGAATCGAGGTGTTCAAACGGTAAGGTCTACAGTTTCAAGCTGGACGTCTTCGGCGGACAGAGTGGCGAAGTATTGCTCGCGAGACATGAAGTTGAATTTAGCAGAGAGGTCCCGGGAGCGCGGCGCGTCTTCGGTCTCTGTCTCAATCAACTCCTGAAGGTATGCTGGGATCCGAACGGCACACGCAGCAGGGTCACTCGAGTGGTCGTGGCTCAGGTCGCAGTGGAAGTCGACGAATGTAATCTGCGAGAATCGGTGACCGAGATTGACATCGAAGAAGGGGACCCAAAAGGGCTGCGTGCCATTTTGGTCGCTGATGAGGACCAGTCGCGATGGAGGAGTTGGCCTTGGTCGGCACATCCACGTGATATCGCGAAGTTTCCGAATTGGGATCTCCTCTTCCGAACCCACGTGGACGACGACTTTGCGCAGGTTGTTATTCGTGTTCACGACGACGCCGAATCGGATGTCTACGTCGCCAAAAAACACAATACGTTCGACCGAGAGGTTCAAACGGTCCTGGACGTGCACCCATTCGGAATGCGCCGTCATGCGGAACGTGTGAAGGTTGAAGGAGGGGTTGAGGAAATCCATGTGCTCGACCGTCATCCTACCAACAACGTTGATGACGGTGGTGGCTGCCAGGATGTCTCGCTGCCGCTCTTTAGGATCGGGACCGGTGGGTCCGACGACGCTCGAGGAGAAGGCGGGCAAACGTCGGCCGTCACCGTCCAAGATGACGAGGTCTTGGAGCATGGGCGAGAGTGTGCGGGAGACGAAAGGTCCTTCGGTATTGTCGAGGAGATCAACGCCTGGTGCGACAGAGATCGACAGGTGCTTGCAGAGGGCACGGTCGACCCTGTCGCGAAACGTACGGCTTGCCGTGCGGAGGGCGAGGAGACTGGTTCGAGGCGCCATTGCGAATATGATGTCCAGGACGTGCGGGTGGTAGCGGTGGTCGATGGATGTCATGTTGGCTGTGATGAGGGAGGCGGAAAAGAAGAGGCAAGGAAGATGATATGAGTGTTGTGGTGTTGTGTGTTTGGTAGTGTTTGAATGTTTGCGCCCCACTAATATATCCCTTCGTTTGCATCGTTTGCCACCGTCACCTTTTGTTTGACACCGTCAACCACGACCGCATCAAAAGCCCCGCCCGTGCTGTACGGCTCTCAGTTGTCGAGACCTTTTCATCATCTCAAATGGGCTTACGGCCAGCTTCACACCTTGACTCGTAGTAAAGATGCAGACAGGTGTGCGGATGCACGGGGGCTCTGGGCCATATCGGTGAGTTGAGTGAGGTGTGGTCTTCCCCAGTTGGCGGTGGCCATGCGCCCAAGCTTTAGTGATGTCCATCCAGGCAGCTCCACTCACCCAAAAGCACAGACGCTCCACATGTCGCGATCAGCCGCGTCCCCGACGACAGCATCCTCATGCGCTCATGTCCTGAAAGGGGACTCGAGAATTGCCAGCGCTGCCGCATCACTCACAGACACTCCCCGCGTCCTGCCACATTCGCGACCCAGGTCCTGCCCACTGCGCAAACATTCCCACGGGTGTTGCCAGAGGGGGTGCCTGTGTGGCGTGTCATGGGAGAAATTCAAAAAGAATAACCACAGCAGAAAAAGCTTCTGCCGGAGGCGATAGGATCACTAAATAATATACTCCCGCTTCTAATGCCCGCGTCCTAATATTATTACGGACGATTAACCAGAAAACGAGGGTGCCCGCGGCCTGGCGCGCAGTGCCTTCCCTTTTCCCTGGGCGTGCGGTGTGCGTGGTGTGTGCGAGGTGTCTGAGCGCAACACACAGACGCTGTTGCCACGTTCAACACCACCACTTCTCTCGTCCTCGCCACCCTCCTTCACCCCTCACTCCCCCCCTCATCCCACTCTCAGCGTGCATACTGCTCCCCCCGTGTGCACCAGCCTCTCCCACACCTCGGCCCAACGACGAAAGACATCCCCATCTCGCGACATCGCCAGCGCTAGCTAGCTCCACCCGCAAGCGCGCGCAGCTGCCTCTCCCCTCCCCTCCCCTAGCCCGCCCAGCCTCTCGGCACCTCACACCCCCTCCCGTCGCCTCGTCCCAACACATCTTTTCTCCCTCCCTTCCCACCTTCATCACCACACCACCACCACCATGCGCTCGTTTGCTATCGCTGCCGTTGCGCTCCTCGCTGCGTCTGCCCAGGCTCAGCGCGCGACCATCACTGATGCCGTGCGTACATCCCTCCGCGCCCGCATCGCCCCATTGTTGGGTGCAGCCGGCCAGTTTGAGATGTTGAACTGACGTTTGTCCCACCGTTGCTTTTGTCCTCGTCACTCTCGTTATTGCCTTCCTTCATATACAGGTGAGTCCTGGTTGCGGCCATGAAGTGGAGCTCGACTGACGCACAACAGGACGGCGATGAGGTTGTTGTCATGGTCACTACCAAAGGCGGTGTGAGGACCACGAGCACCATGTACGCCTCTTGTTTCCCAGTCTCGACACGGTCCCAGACCAACACTAACGTGCACCCAGCTCCACCATCATCGCCGACACGGAGACCGCTGTGACAGACGCAACTACCGCGGCTACCGCCGCGACCACCACCAAGACTACGTATGTGTACAACCATCTGTGTGGGTGACGACTGACACGAGGCAGCATCAAGGGTATTCAGGCTGCGCCCACCACCACCTATGCGGTGATGACGGCCACCACATACGGCTACCAGAACACCAACGGCGACTGGGTCACCGCCACCTGGCACAATTCGTTTGTCTCCCCAACGGTCACCACCGTTGTTGTCCCCGAGGGAACCATCGCCGACTACGACTCGTACATGTCGTCGGTCAACTCGGCGTCGGACGCCAGCTACTCTGCGGCTCTCGAGTCGTCCTCGACGAGCAATGCCCGCCGCTCCGTCTCGGGCGCCCGCGGGTCCTCCAATGGCTCGGAGTGGGTCGGCCTCGGCGGCTGGCTCGCCACCTTTGTGGCCACCGCCGTCGCCGCCTACGGCATCCACGCCATGTAAACGACGCACGTCTCCCAACTTCTTCTTTTTAGGACATTTAGGAGCCTCGCCCAAGCGAGACGAATGCCTGCTTGTACCTCTGCCCTCAGCGCCCCGGTACTGGCGCCCCCCGACCAAACTACGCTGTACTACCCCTCACGGACGTTCATGACCCTCCCATTATTACCAGCCTCGACGGCAACCTCGCTACGCCCTGCGCGTCAGTTATTCCTATTCTGACGCCAGTTCGCAGTACGTATATCTCGATGCAACCCCTTAGACATGACTCTTTTGGTGGACGCGACCGGTGGGGAGCCCAAAAGGCAATTGACTGCGCCGCAACGTTGCTCAGAATAGCTGTGCGGACGCGCAGCACCGCACTTGCGCCCCGCGCTTTTACAAATCAAATGTGTACCGTCGTCCGGCATCCACGCTGCATTGTACATGCCCTTAGTATAGCAGTATGGAGCGCCGAGAAGACAAGGCAAGACGGCCCAACGACGTGTTGTCGTGGTCAACAACGGCCAAGGCAGGCTGCCAAGAAAATGGGCCGGGAGTTTTTGTGTTGTGTTCGTTTTGGTGGCTTGAGGCACCGCCTCATTCTGGCTGACAAGTAGTTTGCCTGTTCTCAGCTCAGCAATGCATCGACGATAACGCTGGGCATGACAGTTGTATCTGGAGGACTCGGGACGACGAAGATTTCAGTCTGATCAATGGCCAGTGCCTTGTGATGAATGTTCTGTACCCTCCGTGGGATCTCGGAGTCACGTACAGGAGTCACGCCTACGGTGGCATCAATAGCACAGCCATATCCAAACCTGTGGATCATCTTCATGCAGCCGCGCGTTCGGACCGAGGCTCCTGCAGCCATCTTGCCTTGTCCAACGATGTGGCATCTAAACGCAATATACAAACCTCTACTTGTTCTAACAACCTACTCCCGACGTTCCTCGCGCGGCATCCTCTTGTCAGAGACCCACGCCCTTGGCCCGCTGGACGAGTCCCAGCGCAGCCGTACCAGCGACATCCTCCACCACCACCACGCCGTTCCCAAACACCACACCCTGGGCCGCACACACGTCCAGGAAGACGGCGCGGTACGCATCCTGACGTATGACACCACCGCCGCACACAAGCACCGCGTCGCTCAGCGAGCGCGGCCTGTCACCCAGAGGGCTCTTGCTGACGAGCTGCTTGGCGAGGAAGACGACACTCGCTGCCAACGGCGCAATCGCGTCAGCCACAGCAGTCGCGGCGAGTGGGTCGGGCGGCGACTGGGTGAATGCCTCGAGGACACCGCGGGATGCGCTCGAGATGCGCAGTTTCTGCTTGTTGCACGCCTCGATTGGCGGGAGGGTATTGTCCAGGTCGTGGACCTTGGCAAGGAGCTCGCCAGTGTTCTCGACCACGAAATGAGCTCGCAGGTGGGCCGCAACGCCGCCTGAGGTTTCCTCACCAGCGTCAAAGGCATGCACGGCCGCACGGACGGCACACCTGCCCACATCGTATGCCGACCCGTCGTCGCCGAGGAGGTAGCCATGTCCTCCCCTGCGGGCAGACTGGACCAGCTCGCCGTTGGAGTCGAGCTCCACGCCCACAGCGATGGAGCCCGTTCCGGCAATCACGGCGATACCCCAGCGTGCGTTGGCCTGCAGGAGGCCGCCGCCGAGGAGCAGGGCGTCGTTGTACACTGCCACCGGACGACGGAAGAACGGAGAAAGAAGGGCGGACATGTTGGCTTGGTCCAGCGGGGTGTCACAGCCAGAGATCTGGGTGGGTCACAATATCAGCTGCTTGGCGGCACGCGACTGACAACAAGGTGCAACACTTACTCCGACCCAGATATCCGCAAACTGCACAGGACACACCGAGCTGACTTCGCTGTGACCGTTCGCCGTGCCATTCGCATGGGGTTCTTCCTTGAACCCCAGGCTCTCCAGGGCAGAGAGGGCAGTCGCCACAATTGTCTTGAAGGACTGTTGCAGTCCGACCTGTGACATGGATATCAGCTGCGGCCCAAATAAGAACAACGTTGCTGACACACCTCTGCCATGTTCCCCGTGCCGCCGAGGGCCCTTGCCAGGATTCCCTTTTCACTTGCAATCACGACCTCGGTCTTTGTTCCACCACACTGCATGTTTTATATTCAGCGCCGAACTCGTGCGATGCGAAATGGGAGAGGGTGAGGGAAAATGGGATGTAATGGGAGATGAGGGATAGGGGCTGTTTATGATGATGTACGAACGTCGACGCAGGCATAGAGTGGGTCCGAAGTTGTAGCCGTGGCAGGGGCGTCCTGGTTCTTGGTAAAGGCGACAGTGCAGACAGTGGTGCCAGTCTTGCCGCCGAACGAGAACGAGCGATGGGGCACGCTCGAGCTGGGGGACAGTTAGTCTCCAACAAGTGCAAGTAACGGTGCGACTTACTGGAAGGTAAATGGCACACCAGGCGCAGTGTAGCGCTTCTTGATCTCCTCCTCGGTAAAGTTGCACGAGGTAATGAGGAAGAAGCCTCCTGGACGAACGAGACGCGCAACACGTTCCGGGTACACTCGAGACGGGAGGCGGTCACCAGACTCGGCAACGGGCTCCTGAGAGAGAGCGAGGGCGTCAAACGTGCCCTTGTCCATGACCAGGTCCCAGGTCTCGCCGAGGTCGTCGCGGAGAAGGTCGCCTTGACGCCACTCGCAAGTGACCTCGTTGAGCACATCGTCCTCATCCAGCTCGTCCTCGTCTTCGAGCTGTTCGCGACGGCTGGCTTCGATGCTGGCCCCAAGCTTGGTCGCGCCGGCAGAGTAGTCGATGCCCGTCAAATGAAAAGACTGGGGGTCGGGACCGGGCGAAGTGAGAAACGACAGGAGGAGCGTGCCGTTGCCAGACCCGCATTCGAGGATACGGAGGGGATCTGATCCGGCCTGGTGCGCAGGCAGGTTGGTGTGCGCCCATGCGCGCATCTTGTCCACCGCAGACTCGCCAAACCACACCTCACCTTCGTCGCCAACATCCTGGGAGTCAGCTCACGGCACGAATGTCGTAGCTCACCTCGAAGACGCGGTTCTCACGGCTGTTGGTTAGCTCAGTCTGCGACGGCAGCGGGGTCGCTCACTCATACACCATGTCCCAGTGCTCCTGTTATCGATTAGCCAACGAATCAATGAACCGCGCCTCACAACACCGTTTCCATGCACATCGCTACTCACCTTGGTACCCAGCTTGCTGGGGGGCAGCTCTTCGTCGTCACTCATGATGGGCTAGCGGGTGTATGGGGCGAAAGAGGTAGTGGGCAAACGAGACATGCGACGCCGCGTGCTTTCCGGCGCGCACGCCGTACGGGCACATTTTTCGGGTTTCAATGTTGATCTGATCTGTTGACAACGGACGAGACTGCCGAGCGACTGGAACCGATAAGTTATAAGTGGCATGCTCACGTGCCTCCTTGTTCTGGGCCTTTCTGAAGACACACATCCCATGTAGTGTTGGACCAGTGTCTCTCTCCTCGCTGGCAATGCATACGGCGTGCATTGGGCTGCGGTGTTTTGGGCAAAACTAATGGATGCCGTATTTTGATTAGAATAATCCAACAACAGTTGAAGTTGGGCTTCCAATAACATTTGATCCCGCTCGCGTCGATCGCCGCTGCCTCTGCTGAATGTCGGCGATGTTACCGCGACGTCTTGGGATCTTGGTCTCTTGTTCCATCATATCTTTCATCCCATCTACATTATGCCCCCAAAGCACGATATCAACGTAAGATTCCTCTTTCGTGAGACTCAGCTAACATTTCTCAGAAAGTCGGCTCGGAGAGCTCAGACTTTCCCGTTCTGTAAGTCCTCATCACGCTTCATCACTTGTTTATGCGTTTTTGCTGACCGATGCAGCTGCGAGACATGTGAGCCAACCTATATCGCCCACCTAAAGGAGATACTAACGCTTCAGGCCTCGGTCCCAACCCCTACGTTCGAATGGTGAGTGTTACAACCACAAGTCGGTGAGCTGACCTGCCGCAGACCAAACAAGAGTTCGGTCACGAGTGCAAGATCTGCAACCGTCCATTCACTGTGTTTAAGTGGAACCCGGGAGAGGGTGGCCGTTTCAAGAAGACTGAAATCTGCACCACCTGTGCCAAGATCAAGGGCGTGTGCCAGACGTGTCTGCTTGACCTCGAATTCGGCTTGCCTGTGCAGGTCCGCGATGCCGCCCTCGGCAGGAAAAACCAGGCGCCCACGTCCGACATCAACAAGCGTGAGTTATTCTCTGTCGGCTGCGACGACGGTCATCAGTGGAGACGGAACCTAGACAGCTGACACAGCGCAGAGTACTACATTCAAAACTTAGAAGCGCAGATGGAAGACTCGGCTGATGGAGTGACCTCGTTCGACTCTGCGGCCGCCAACGCCGCCGGTCGCGAGATGCTCAAGAACATGGCCCGCAACGACCCATATTACAAGCGCAACCGCCCGCACATCTGCTCCTTCTTCCTCAAGGGCGAGTGCAAGCGCGGCGCCGAGTGTCCGTTCCGCCATGAGACGCCCAAGGAAGGCGAGACGAGCAAGGGCAAGAACCAGCAGCAGAGCGTCCAGGACCGCTACTACGGGCGCAATGACCCCGTGGCTGGCAAGATGCTCCGCCAAGTCGCAGAGTCCAAGGGTCTCAAGGCCCCCGAGGACAAGTCTATTGTGGGTAGCTACGTCCACCGCTGAACACTAAAGCTAATCATCAGACCACCCTCCTCTTCCTGGGCCTCCCCAGCTGTACCGAGTCGGACGTCCGTACCGCACTCAACTTCACCGTCCCCGCTGTCAAGCCCGACCAAATACGCTCCGTCTCAGTCGTGGAGTCAACTCGTACGTACAGCTTCTATCTTCACCGAAGGCAGCTGACAATTCAGACTGCGCCTTTATCAACTTCACCGACCGCGCCATCGCCGAGCGTGCCGCCGAGGCTCTGTCCGCAGCGGACGGTATTGAGGTCTCGGGCAAGCGTGCCAAGGTCGTGTGGGGCCGCGCGCGTAAGGGCAAGGCTCCTGCTGCTGCCGCCGCTGCTGCTGCTTGAGAAGTGTCGTAGTAGAGATTTTTGTCTGGCATCCGCGCATGTATTGTGTAACACCATTGCAATGGGACTCTGCGCTCTTGTCGCACTTGGAGAAGCTATGGGTCCCTACCCACCGCTTAGTTTGGTGAGAGGCAACGTGGATAGCACTTGGTGGGTTCGATTCATTAAAGTGGGGGTAGCATCCAAGGTCGCCGTCCAGTCCAACTTGTGATTGTGTGCTTGAGCAGTGTCCACCTTCCCTCACATTACACTAGACGACACATATACAGGCAATGGCGGGTACGTAGCTGCCAGCAGCTCATTGCAAGGCGTAAAGCTGATAGTACAGATCACCAGGCGATCCTCGAGGAGGAGTTTGAGGTAGGCTCGAATTCTTGCGGGTACCAGACCGCCAGCTAACAACCTGCCAGGTGCTCGAGTCCATCTTCCCCGACGAGCTTGAGAGTGAGCTCATTGGCCCGGACAAAGGAGCTGGAGCTGACGAATACCTTGCAGAGGTCGACGATAATGAGGTCCGGATACGCGTGGAGCCCGAGGAGGAGGTGACGGGACACCCTTGTGAGTGATGCCGGTGACTGTTGCCTCAGAACGGATCTTGCGCGAGACAACATGCGGGCCTGCCTGTCCCTGTGCGGCAATTTGTGTTATCGTGAAGCGACTCGTCGCTATTCCCCGTTGCCACTACCTTAATGGTATCTCTGGGGGATACTCCACACAGGGCTGCAACTGGCGCGAATGCCCCCCCCCCCCCACCTCCCTCTCTTCGAACCCATGCTGACGGCAGTGACACTCGCTCTCGTGGTCACCTACCCGCCAACCTACCCGGATGTCATCCCCGACATGTCTCTGGAGGAGATTGACGAGGAAATGGGCACACTGAGGGAGGGCGAGGACGAGGAGGTTCTGATCAAGCTGCGGGAGGTGGTGAGTTCGCGAATGCATCAAGTCTGCAGGCCGTGGAATGCGCTGACAATTGTGTGTCCAGGCAGAGGAGTCCCTTGGCATGGCCATGACTTTTACCATTGCGACTGCGGCCCGTGAGGCGCTTTCCGAGCTCATCGTTTCGCGCATTGCCAAGGAGGAGGCGGCTGAGGCTGCCAAGACCAAGGCCTACGAGGAGGTGCGTAACGCATTGTACGATGAGGCGCAGTTCTAACCCCACCTAACAGGAGGAGGCACGCAAGACCCGCGGCACACCACTCACAAAGGACCTGTACATCAAGTGGCGCGAGGCCTACCGCGCCGAAGTGGCTGCCAAGCGGGTCAAGGCCGAGGAGGATCGCGTCCGTGGCCTGCCTGCAAAGGAGCGCGAGGAATGGCGTCGTCGCAGGGACAGGCTGAGTGGCCGGCAGCTGTTCGAGACGTCCAAGGTCTCGGCTACCTCGGACGAAGCGCTTATCGGTGCCGAGGACGCTACATCGGTCGATGTCTCAAAGTACTCGCGCGAGGAGCGTGACCGTCTCCGCTGGGAGGAGGAACAGGAGGGCGCTGGCATTGCGCTGGATGAGAGCGACGACGAGTAGGGTTCTAGCCGGGTATAGATGAGGGAGATAATGTATGCCATATGCAAGGACGCCAGCGTCTGTCTCGGCGCACCGTTCTGCTGATGCTTCCCAGTGCTTTTGGTCTATCCACTGCGCTTGCATGGGTTTGTCTATATAAGCAGTCCATCCTATCTGAGCGGAATCCAACGTCTAAAATTAACACTCCTAGAGCTCATAGAAAGGGAGAGGTGAGTCACAGTCTGGCGTCCAACCACACTACCTGCGCTGGAGCCAAGGCTGGGCAGCCTTGAGGGCAAAGATACCGACTGCACCGGCAATGGCCGCTGCGCCGACCACGGCGCTGTTTTGCACCATCCTCTTCTGCCACTGCTCCTGGCGCTGGGCCTCGGCGTAGCTGATATCAGGACGGAAGGTGACCATGTCGTACATTGCTGTCCAGCCCCTGACGTGGGTTGTGGGGAAGGCAATGTAAGGGGACAATGGTTGGGGAATGGATCCCCAGATGCGGGTGAGGATGTAGTCGACGCCGCGGCGGAGGTGGTACAAGGGCGACAGAACCGACGAGCGCATCTCGACGCTGCGGGGTTAGCTTGATGCTCGCGCGTGGTTGGGCGTTGGACAACTTACTAGTTGTTCATGGCCAGCTCGCAGATCGCCTTGAGATCGGCGGCACGTTCAGTCGAGTACGCCGTCAAGGCGGTAGCGAGCTCGTGGTCCTTCTCGCCCAATGCCGTGTCGGTCGAGCCCGAAATGCCATAGTTGTCGAGATACGTGCCGAGGACGCGCACATCTTCGAGACCACAGTTGAGACCCTGGCCGTAGAACCTGAACGGGTAAGCGCCGTTCATTTGCCAATGACTTACGGGACCATGCTGTGGCAAGCATCACCGAGAAGCACCGCGTGGGACGAGTAGGTGCTCGGGTCGACGCTAATAGTGACGAGGTTGCCGCGAGGGTTGGCCATGAAGTCGTCCACGAGTCGGTCGCCAACCACTGCGACGGCCGAGGGGAAGTGCTTGTTGAAGAAGGCGGTCGCTTCGTCGCGGGTGCGCACCTTGTCCAGCTCTTTGAAAGGGATAAAGAGGGTGAGGGTGAACGAGCCATCCTGATGGTTAGCATGGCTCAAACGTCATAACCCACAGTGTTTGGCAAGGCGATGAGCATGAACGACTGCCTGGGCCAGATGTGCAAGTGGTTAGGCGGCATAGCAAAGCCTCCAGGCTTGGTGGGGTCAGGCGGCATGTGCAGCTCAATGTATGCGTGAGGGATAAACGTCTGGGCAAAGTCGACGCTGCGGAGTCAGAAGAGCCATCTCGGGTTCCGCCACCCACCGCTGATGCCTCATCATCTGCTCGCGAACTCTCGACCACGAGCCGTCGGCTCCAACAATGAGGTCAAACTGGCTGACGACCTCTGCCGAACGGTTTGGTGTCGACGTCTCCGAAACGTCTCCTTCCTCCCCAAGGCCGTGGCCCCTAGACGTCGCAATACCGTACGCAGTCTGACTGTGGAAATCGACGCGGGTGAGCTTGGTGTTGAACTTGGTGTCGATGGTCTCGGGTAAAGCCTCAATGAGGCGCTGGTTGAGCACGGAGCGGGAGATACTGTTCGAACAGTTACCGCGGAGGGGATCATATAGTTGTGCCTCGGTCCTGCCGTCGACAAAATGGATGAGGCGGCTGGGCATCTCAATAGACTCGTCCAGCAGCAGCTGGCCGAGCTTGGGGTCGACGCTCTCGAGGGCCCCAAGGCCACGCGCCGAAATGTTCAGGTTAATTGAACGGAGGTTGGTCATTGCAATGGAACGTCCGCGGGGGTCTTTGGGGCTGAGTCAGCGCCACCCATACGACACAACGAGGCAAAAACAATATTTTGAACAGACGGGCGGGCGGCAACTCACCGTCGCGTGACTCCCAGAGCTCGACCTCCCAGCCGCGCTTGTGCAAGCTTGCTGCGGTGAGGGCTCCAACTGGGCCGCCGCCGACCACAAGGGCCTTGCGGGGTCGCATGGGTGTCTTGCCGTTGCTGGACATGAGGGAGAAGTGGGTGGATGAGCAATGGATCGGAATGGTCGGAAGAGTCGGACTCGATATTTGCTCTCGAGATCTCCACCATCGCTACCGCCGGTCCGGCGGTCCATCCCCTGTATGCGTTTCTCGTCGACGGAACCTATTTTTTCGCTCATGGCCGTCAAGTCCGTCAAGGCCGTGCAGGTACTCGACCATTGCTCTGTTTGCATATCCCACTGCGCTGCCGGTCCCTCCCTTCCCATGCCTCTTGTCCGACACTGCATCGCCTGCACACGGGCAGCACGGCCACAGCGCTTCCCCCTCGCACCACTGGGACGCTTCCAATCGAGCTCTCGCGCTGTGGGGCCTGCACCGCGCGAAATCAAAGAAGATGAAGACGACTTTGAGGACGTCATCCGCGAACTGCACCGTCGCAAGAAGGTTGACGAGAAGAGGAACCAGAAGGGTGCTGACTTTGTAGACTTTTTAAGAGTCACAGTAAGAGGAGGTGCGTCCGAAAGCTTGAACATGACAGAACAAAACTGACGCTACAGGCAAGGGTGGTTCCGGAACCGCTGCATTCCTGCCATCTCGACGCGGCCTTGGACCGCCTTGTGGTGGCAACGGCGGTCCTGGCGGCTCCGTCTACATTACAACATCGCCATTCCTCACATCTCTCGCGGGTGCTACCAAGAGACTCATTGGCGGTCAAGGCGGTCACGGAAGCGGCAACTTGAGACACGGCGTGCGTGGCGAGGACACCATTGTAACTGTGCCCCTCGGCACCGTCATCCGCGAGATCCGGCGTGAAGGCGAGGCGGAGAAGACGACGGCCGACAATGACGCGCTTGGACTGGACCGCGAAGAGCGCAGGAACCGGACTCGTGAGCGCTGGCTCGTCCAGCACCCCAACTTTGAGGCCAACGACAAGGACATTCGTGAGGCCGAGACACTTCTCCGCAAGGCAGGACGGTGGACGCAGCGTACTCCTGGTTTCGACGTCTCGCCGCCTCTCGAGCTCGACATTACCGAGCCCCTCGCCGAGCCTCTCCTTCTCTCGCGCGGTGGTGTTGGTGGACTCGGCAACCCTCATTTCGTCACTGAAAAGACCCGTCTTCCTCGTCTTGCCAGCCGTGGTGTCCTTCCCGTAACTCGCACGTTCGAGTTTGAGCTCAAGCTCCTCGCCGACGTCGGTCTTGTTGGTCTCCCCAACGCTGGCAAGAGTACTCTGCTTCGATCTCTCACCGGCCGCCGTGCCGAGGTTGCCGACTATGCGTTCACCACTCTCAATCCCCAAATCGGCGTTGTTCGTGTACTTGACGACGGAACGTGGGCGGCGGCACCCCGCAGTGCTATTGAGGACACCGAGCTCGAACGCCGGGAGGACGAGAGGAGCCGTGAAGCCGGCGACTACAAGCCCCTGCCCCGTGCTCCTCGCCAGCGCAAGCGTCGTGAGCGTACTCGTTTTACCATCTCGGACAACCCTGGTCTTCTGCATCGCGCATCCGAGAACGTTGGTCTTGGCCACTCGTTCCTTCGTTCTATTGAGCGCTCGCTGGCCCTTGCATACGTTCTTGACGGACGCCGCCCGGACCCGGTTGAGGACTATCGCATTCTCCGTGCCGAGCTCGAGGCCTACAAGGCCGGTCTTGGCAGCCGCGCTCGCATCCTGGCCCTGAACAAGACGGACGAGTTGACCGAGGACGACATTGCGGCCAAGATTGAAGCGCTCAAGAAGGCGGCCCTCGAGGTGGACGACGGCCGCCCAGAGGTGCTCGTTGTCAGTGCCAAGTTTGGTACTGGCCTTGACCAGGTCGTCAACGTTCTTGCCGACGCGGTCGACGAAGCCCGTCCGCCAGCACCCAAGCCCATCAAGGAGAAGCACCCGCTTCCCCCACCCCTTGTGATTGAGGAGCCTATTGAAGTTGAGGAAGATTTGATCGAGGTTTAGAGAGCGTCCATGTAGCACGTACACTAGCAACCATCCCTGTCACCAATGCCATGCATCCAGCACTTTGCCCATCTCCATGAATCAATCCCACAGTTGGCGCCGACCATCCGACGCGTCCGCCAATGTGCGGAAGCAATGTTTAACGTGGGGTCCCACAACGTCGGTCGTTCGCCACCCAATTTCTCCACTCGCACATACACGCATCAACAGCGCGGCGTCACTTGGCATCCTCCCACTCCATCATCACCAACCGTCATGGCGGAAGCGGCTCCCAAGTGCGTTTCAAACACGTCCACGGCCATGGACAATATACGGATGCTTACGTCACAGGCCTGCGCCTTGGTCCTCGAGCGCCATTGACGCCGCATCACACGGCGCAATTGCCTTTTGCCAAATCTACTACGAGGCATATGACGAGCCCACCCGTCGTTCAGTGGTGCGCCTTGCAGCTTGAGTGGAACCTGGAAACAGCTGACATGTCTACAGGAGATCCCCCAATTCTACCTGCCGACTGCCAAGGTGGTGTGGAACGGCAACCCTGTCAAGCCCGACGTTCCCTCCATGACGTCCTTCCTTGATGCCTTCCCTCTCTCCCGTCACGACTGCCAGACACTCGACTGTCACCCTCTGAAGGGTGAGTAGCACGCTTCAGTGATTTTCTGACTCTCAGCTGTTGAGGGAGCTCAGAGCGGCGCCCCCGAGCTTCTTCTGACCGTAACCGGCTCGGTCCTCCACGGTCCGTCCGTCCTGAAGATTGGCGACAACCCCACTGTCGACCCGTCCGAGTATCCGCGCAAGTTCCGCGAGGTGTTCGTGCTCCGCCCTGTCGAGGCCACTGAGGGTATGCAACCGAAGGTACGTTCTGCTTTTGCTTGTTTTGGTGACCCGTGTTCTGACCCGATCAGTACGCTATCCAGAGCGCCAACTTCCGTTTCATCGGCTAGAGAAGACAATACATGCCCTTATCCCAAATCAACCAACCCCCAAACGACATGATACTATATGATGCTGCGTATTCTTGATGCATTGTCATAAACTAGCTTCTTGTCCTCACGTAAACCTACTGTGCTGGACCGTTTAGACATGTAGGATTGCATCAGGAGGGTAGGACCGTTTGCTCCCGCTTGATGGATGGCCGCTTTTGACCTTTATTGTGATCTGGTGATCTGTGCAGTCTGCGCACCATTGTCGCTTGCCGCTTCTTCAACACGCCCGTCGTCCACATTGGCGCTGTGGTTCCCGGGCACTCGACTCTGGCATCCACTCCCATCCCCATACTCCCTCTCTCCTCGCCCCACCTCGCCCCCCACCCATCCAACAACATGTCGTCGCGCCTCTTGAAAGACACCAGGATCTACATCCAGTCCGCCGGCAGGACTGGGCCAGAGTTCAAAGACGACCTCAACTTCATCAAGGTGCGTGTCCTGTCATCCAGAGACCCAGTGACGAGTCCCCTCCCTTTCTCTTGCTGATGCGAGCCTCTCCTGCAGCGGCACTGTGGAATCACGGTTGCCGACCCTAGGGCCGGATTTCTCACTCACATTGTCGTGTCTCTTCCACGCAAGATGACACCTCGGCGCCATTACGATCACGAACTCACATTCTCGTCCAACCTCCACCCAGCTGAAGAGGGCGTTCACCATCGCCAGCGCTGGGACTTTGAGAATCTCGTCGACACGTTTACCTCCGATCGGCGACCACACAACTCTCCCATCGTGGTCCAGAGTAAATGGCTACGGGCGTGCGGAGGGAGGGCAAGGTTCTTGGCGAAATGGATGATTATGGAGGGTAGCGCGTCCAGTCACACCCACAACGAGCACCGCGAGACAGACCTTTGACAGTGGAATCGTGGCCATCCGCCCAACCCTCTTATGCCGTGGATGCCTCGCGTGACCCGCGGCTTCGCAATCGACCACAGGACGTCAACGACAAGCAAGTCGAGCGGCCCTTCGCTAGGTCGCCTCCGCCACACATGCATATGCACGCTACGGATAGATACCGGTCACGCTCTCCCTCACCTTTGCGAAACGATGGGCGTCGCGACCGCGGCTTGGGACGGTCCTCCTTCGACGAATATGGTCGACCAGACCGCCGCGATACTCAACCATGGAATCGCTCACGCGAAGAGCGCGAGTACAATGAGGGCGGCGGATCTGGCTCGCACCGTTCCCATTCTCTCAACTCTCGTCGTTCACCCGTCCCTGGCCCACACCGCGTGTCCACTTCCTCGACAGTCCCAGCCGAGGTCGCCAACGACGTCAACACCAGCCCACTGTTCAGTCCTACAGTGAATGGTCGTACAGAGGCTTCGACCACAGATGTGACCGACTCGACAAGTATCACGGAAGGCGCATCATCAGAGTTCCCAGTAGAAACGCTGCGGGCCCGCTTGTCGCGACTCCATGGCCAGGAAAAACCCAGTGGCCAGGGTTCCCCATCGGCCGCTTCGAACTCTGAAGTTACTCGCGCCGTTAATCCGGCCGCTTCGTTGTTGTCTCGACTCCATGGCGTGCATCAGCCTAGCAGTAAGGAACCCCAACCACCCACTTCAACCTCCCAGGTTACAAGCTTGGCCAACCCCCCCGCCCCGGCATCGTTGATGTCCCGATTCCATGCCACAGAACGGCCCAGCAGCAATGACTCCCCATCGACCACCTCGAGTTCTCAAGCTGCGAGCTCGGTCACGTCACCGACCTCGTTGATGTCCCGAATCCACGGTCTTGAACCGTCCAGCATCATTGACTCTCCGCTACCCACTCCGAGTACAGCTACAGGATTTGTCGAGTCACCAGCCTCGTTAAGGTCCCGAATCCAAGGCCATGAACAGTCCGGCAGCAAGGACTACCCAATATCCACTCCAAGTCCCACTGCAAGCTTCATCGAGCGACCCGACTCGTTGAACCCGCCGAAGAACAACATGAAGACGGCAATTATGACAGCTGGTCGGCGCAAGAGTGATCAGGAACCGGAGAGGCGGCCAGCCCCTGCGCCATCTCCACGAACGCCAGCCTCGCTCGGCCCTGCTCCCCCCGATGATGTCCGCCAGCACGTCCCGCGTCCTCCTTCTGTGCCCCCCTCATCGTCATCGGCCGCTTGCTTGCCACCCCAAGTTTCAGTTTCTCCGACCATCCCGGCGAAGCGTTCACGTCCTCGCAATGCGTCGCCAGCCGGTGACACCGGACCAGGCGATGCCCGAGAGTTGCAGCCGCAGTCTTCCTCCACAGGCGATGATGGCGTAACCGGGGGTACAGCCAATGCAGCGCTGTCCACCCTCGCAGGCAGCACAACGCCCCGTGTATCGGTCAAGAATGAACCTCAAGAACACCCACTCCCAGCGCCATCGAGGGTCACCCTTGTCTGCCCGGTTGTAAAGACCGAACCAGGTCTTTCGTCCGGCTCTGCTTGGGCACATGCGCCTCCTCCAGTGGACCCACCCCTCCTGTCGCCAATTTCATCAGGGGCTATGCCGGCCGTGGACGCCTTTCCGATCTCGCCAGACCACATTCAAACCGAAGATGACGTACCACCAGCCCAGTCATCCACAGACATGGACGTCGAAATGACTGAACCAAGGACAATACGAGAGACTGAGTCGCCGTTGACCCCTCTGCCGGCGTCAGATGACCGCGGCACTCGCGCGGTCTCGTCAAGCTTCTCAAGCACGGGACTGGATATCTACTCTCCATCTCCAGTGGCATTGCCGGACTTAGAGAAGTTAGGGGATCGCGCGACCTCGTCCCGCTCTTCAAGCGCGGGAGTGGATGTCCAGTCCTCCTCCTCAGTGGCATTTTTGGGCTCAAAGGGATTCGACAATCGCGTGACTCCGCCCAGCTCCTCCAGTACGGGAGTGTATGTCATGTCCTCCTCGCCAGTGGCACTCTTGAGCTCAGAGCCGATTAGCAATAGTGCAAACATTCCCAGCTCCTCAAGCACAGCCGAGGATGTTGAGTCTCACACTGCAGTCGTACCACCTGTGTCAGAAGTACTTGACAACCCCGCGGCTTCCCCCAGCTTCTCTAGGACCGTGGAGGTCGATCACCCGGTCGCAGCCTTCCCACACCCGAGGCCGTGCCCGCTCCAGTGGTCCCAATACAGCCCCTAGTCACCGAGGCCGTAGCAGTCCCTCCTCCCGCAGCACGTCCTTCCCCTCCACCAAGTACCTCGTCCTTGCCCACACCAATCTCGCTGCCCGCCAACGGCGCCATCCCCGCTGCGGGGCCATCGACATCACATCACTCCACGCCGACAATGGTCGACTCCACGCCGCCCGGCCAGGATTCTTCAGCCGCCTCGCCAGCAGGCCTCTTCTGTGTTGGCCGATATCCACTGCGATTCCACATCGTTCAAAGTGTTCCCGTGATCAAGTTGCTGATTGTGAGTTTTCTGCTACGCGGTATCGCTAACTTTAACAGGACCAAAATGGTGGCGTAACCGTGGCCCTTCACGAAGCCGAGTTTGTTATTCTGCCCGTTGCAGTGGGTGAGCAATTGACAGACCCTACTGTGCGTGGACTGGCCATGGGTTATGGTGTTCCCGTCACTGCTCGCGTCGTCTCGAGCGACTGGATATACCGCTCCGCTATGAAGGGTTCCCTCCAACCCCTCGATTCGTACATGTGGTCCCGGGTCGACAGGACCACTGCAATGTCCAAATCGTTGTCACCGCTTCCTGACGGCAATACTGTCAAGCGTCGCTGGCCTGGAAATAACAACGATCGCCGAAACAGTTCTGGCACGCACGGCGGCTCGAGCTCGAGGACCCGGCATCCGGTCCAACAGACCGAGTTGGAAAACGAAGGCGAGGACGAACGGGCTGCGCGCGATCTGGAGAGCGAGGACGACGAGGAACGTCTTCAGCCGCGGGCTGAGTCACCAGGCGACGTGGACATTGCGCTCGTGGACCAGAAGAGCGTCGACCGTATTATCGAACGTCGGAAACAGTGGAACCAGGAAGGCGGCAAGTTCAACTTCCTTGTAAGTCTGCAAGGGTTGAAGCCCAGTCCGCAAGGTCCATCAGCTAACAGATACAGCGCGAGGTAGCTCGTAACGACCTCTCAAGAGCGGTTTCGCTGTACCAAAAGTACCATCAGCACATTGACTCTCAAGTTCCTGGTCTGTCAAGGTTCTCTCGCCCGCGGAAGCGCACGCGTGTCCTTGGGACCGATGAGGACTGAGACGGTGGCACCATGCGAACAATCATGCGAACAAGGACAGCGGTGCAAGCTGTCTGTCTGTTGTACATATCGACTGTGTGTATACATCTGTGACCCCTGTGTCTAGTAGGACAGGTCTGTGCATGATTCGTTGCTGCGTTCTAAGAACAAATAACACAGCCACCTGGGCCGCCGGCGTTGACCTTGGCAGTGCAAGACCGTCGTAGCCCGCAGTGCAAGACCGTCGTAGCCCGCAGTGCAAGACCGTCGTAGTCCGCAGTCTTCGGGCAAACAGATGCATCGCGCAAACCAGCCTCGCTGATAAATAACTCTTGATCCAAAACCAGAAGCCCTGTTGGATGACGTCAATCCAGGCTCTGGACGCCGTTTCCGATCGGTGTTGAGTCTACTTGTCCGACTCGACATGCTTGGTTTACACTCATCAGTCCAAGCGTTACGCGCGGTACTTCAAGCACAACGACCCATCGTTGCTGACCCACTCGCCTCTACCCCGTCAGACGACTCTCATTCGACCCCCAGCCCACATCCATGATGACCGACTACGACGTTGCAATCATCGGTGCCGGCATCGTCGGCTCGACGCTGGCCTCCCTCCTGGCCCCGCACACCAACCTGGTCCTCATCGACCGCTCCGTACGCGGCTTGCACGGATCAACAGGACATGCTCCCGGGTTTGTTGGGCAACTCAACACTCTCGCACCTCTGACGGAGCTCGCCAAACGGACGGTCAAGCATTACACCTCCGTCCCCGGTGGATTTGACATTGTGGGCGGACTGGAAGTTGCCAGGAGTGAGGCCGAAGAGGCCAACCTGACCGAAAGGGCCCAACTCGCGCACGACGCTGGGCTGGCCGCCAGGCTGGTGAGCGCGTCAGACGCTGCCGAGCTCGCGCCAGCGTTTATCGATGGGGAGCGGGTGACGGCGGCCCTCCATTTCCCAAATGACGGAACGGCCAATGCCCGCCATCTGGCTACTGCGGGGCAGGACGCGGCCGAGAGCGCTGGGGCCAAGCTCCTGGATGCAGACGTCACGGCCATCACCAAGAGCGAGTCGGGCCCCGGGTATACCCTCACGACATCGACGGGGACGTTCACCGCTGCCCACGTCGTGGTGTGTACGGGAGTCTGGGCCAGCCAGCTCCTGCCCACCCTCTCCGCCGCCGCCGTCTCCGTCGCCCACCCTTACGCCTACTCTTCTCAGCGTACCCAACGTCCTGCCACCTCGCCGTTTATCCGCTGGCCCGCAGCGCACGTGTACGCACGCGACCACGGCGTCCGTGACGGCATTGGCAGCTACGACCACGACCCTGTCCACGTCTCCGCCACGGCGTGCGCGCGTATGCCGTCGGCGTATGGCGAGTGGGAGCCTGCATTCGACTCTGTTATTGACCGCGCACTTGGTCTCCTCCCCGCCCAAACTGCCGAGACGTTTGGACCCATTGTCGCGCCCGCGCCGGCCGCTGTGGACACTGTCAAAGCCACAGACGTGCCCTATGTCTTCAACGGCTTGTTCACTGTCACACCCGACGGCATGCCGCTCGTGGGTCACTTGGAAGGTGGGCTGTGGTGCGCTGTAGGTGTGTGGGTGACGCACGCGGCTGGCAGTGCTGGATTGCTCGCTGGGCAGATTCTGAGTGCTGTCGGAAAAGGCCCCAAGCCCAGCATCGAGGACGAAGGTTTGGGCAAGGCTGTTGACCCAAAACGGTTTGCTGGTCTCGAGGCCGCGGTGCTGGAGCGCAAGGCATTGGCGTCGTACAACGACATTTACAACAAGGAGGCATAGATGAGATAGAATGTACCTCACGGATACAACCTTGCACAAGTAACATTGGATGTCATACACAAATCCCACTCTCCCTTGATCACTTCTTCTTCCCCTTCTTCTTGCTGCCTCCCACAACGACCAAATCACCACCTTCACCGCCATCAGCGCCACCACCTTCCTGCTGGATCTTGAGTCCTGCCTCGAGCGTAAACATCAGGTCGCGCACCGTCTCCTCCAACCCAGCCACTTCGGCTGTCTTCTCGTCCCGGGCAGCACGGACAGTCTCGAGGTCTTGCCTGAGCTTTGCCACACGCGCATTCAGGCCCTCGGTCATGGCCTTCTCTGACCCAAGCGAGGCCTGGAGACCACGTGAGAGCTCTAGGGCCTTGGTTGCGCGCGCCTCGGCCTTTTCGCGAGCGCGCTCGGCTTCCTGTCGCTGCACCTCGGCCGCAGCGGCGGCGGATTCTGCCTCGCGCACGCGGGCGTTACTGGCCTCGAGAACCTCGACGTGCGCGCGCTGCGCAGCAGCTTCCTCTTCGTAGTGCTGGCGCATGGCCTCGAGCTGGGACGAGAGGAGGTACGAGTACTCGAGCGTAATGGCCTCGATCGTAGACATCTTCTCCATGTCGTTGGACGAGGGACCAGCACCAAACCCAGTGCCGCTGTCGGTACGTTGGTGGCTACCTGGAGTGGGCGAGGGGGGGTGGCTCGTGGGGCGGTCTTCCAGAGGGCGGTTGAGCGGGAGGGTACGAGACGGTGTAGGCGTAGCGAGACTTGATGCGCTGGGAAGCTCGACGAGCTTGCCGTCTGTACGTGTCTGAATAAGGCGGTGGACATAGTTGTCGCCCTTGTAGTCCCACACACGCTGCGTCTCGAGTTCCATGGCGAGTAGATGTCCGCTTTCCTTCCAGTGCGCACGCGCGTGGCCCTTGCTGTAGCGTCCACAGCCAACAACACCGCACACAACACAAATCCAGTTGTTCTCCGACGAGTCACACATGCCACACCGGGTGAGACGAGTCACCTCGTCGCGGTGGTCGGGAGACTGGACGCCTTGGGCCGTGGAGAGAAGGAGGTGACTCACGCGGCAGACTGGGCAGCGGGAGTCGCCCCATTTCCTCAGACAGTCACAGTCAAACGTGTGAGCACAGGGCAAAGTAACGAGGCCCGTGATTGTTGAATCCAGTCGCTCAAGGCAGACGGGGCAAGAAGGGAGCTCGTATCGTCTGGGAGGGACGCCCTTGAGGAGGTCCGGCAGCTGGCGTGCGCGCGAAGCGTACACGCTCGGAGGGAAAGCCGGGACGGGGACAGCGACGTCACCGTGCTTGCCGTCTTCCAGTTTGTGAAGGACAAGGTGGTGGATCCTGATTGCGTGACACGTCTCGCGCGCGTCCAGAGTAGAGAATGCACGGCCAGTGAAGATGACCATAAAGTCGTTGGCTTGCAGCGGGTCGCGGAACTTGAGCAGGACGATGGAACGGTTCGGCGTGGTTGCTTCTCTGTGTTGTCAGCTGTTGTCGTTCCTTCTCAATACGACTCACCTAATCATGCGCACACCCTCAAGACCGGTAACCCAACCACCAAGGAACTCCAGCAGGTCAGCCGGCCGCATCCAAGCCGGCACCGCGAGGATGGCCAGCAAGCTGCCATCCTCACCCTCGGCATGCTCGCCAGCCCAGGTCTCAGCGGCCGCACCGGCCCGTGCGCGCGAGCTCTCTCCATTCTGGCCCTCGAGGCGAGCGACCAGCGACGCCGGCGGTGCGTGGCGGAAGAGATGGACCACGCCGCGGCCCACATGGGTCACGCCCGACGCTGAGCTCGTGTCGACAGTTACAGGGTTGGGTCCGGGAATGTGCGCGAGAAGGGGTTGGAGGGAGAGCGCGTCCGGGGTGTCCTCGGGTTTCTTCTTCTTGGGCTTGGGCTTGGACCTGCTAGACTGGGGTGTTGCGCGGTCCTCGCTTGGTGTCGCGCCGTGGTGCGCTTGGGCGTGGGTGGCTGAGCCCGGAACCACGTGCATGTTGCTGTCGTCGCCGTTACTGTTCAATTGGTTCACTGGTCCCAGGTCGTGATGCTTTCTGTGTTGTGTCGGTGAACGAGGGGCGTTGTAGTACTCGTCGCCTTCCTTCTCGCGCTTGTCGGTACTCTTCTCGCGTGTAAAGTCTACCCAGTCGACGGTGATCTCGCCCAGCCGCCAGTCCTGTCCCCGGTCGTCGGCTCGTTCGTTGTCAGGATGCACAGCGATGATAATCGAATAGACGTCGTTGTTCGTGAGTGACATGGCTAGGCCATGCCTGTGTCGTGAGGATGTGTGAATTCGTGAAGGAGAGAGCAATGACAAAGAAGACGACGCCGCCGGCAAGGCCATCAACGCTCGTCATGGCGGACGGGTGGCGACGGAATCAAATATCCCGTTATCGTGCTTCTGCTATACTGCTACCCAATACATTGGCAGGACAAAACCAGGTCTATAGATTACACACCTCTCCTGGGGGGTGCTGCCCTCGCTACGTGATGAACGTGCGAGACTGGGCTGGGGGCTACGGGGCCGTGATGAACGGCCCCGACTGGCAAGCTACGAGCGCCAAAGGGGGTATAACCAGTGGGATCGTGACACGATCACTGTTAAGAACGATTTCCAAGTCATTCTCTTCTCTCTAGGGCAGAGGGACGCCGAGCTCAGCAGCCTCCTGGCGGAACATCTCAACACGCTCCATGGCGTATCCCTAGAGACCTTGTTAGCAGAAGCTAGGGGCAAACATGGTGGCCACGCAGCACTACTCACAAGGTAGTCAAACTCGGGGACGAACTCGGGGTCTTCGGTCATCTTGTGGATCATGTCCTCCGCTGAGATAATACCCCAGACTGACCAAAAGGCAGAGCTGGCAGGTGACCAAAGACGGACCTCACGCTCGAGCTTGTCGACGCGGTCCTGAGCAACCTCGGCGCGCTTGCCGAGCTTCTGCTCACCAGCGCTCATCTCAATCGACAGGTATGCACGGTACCAGTCCATACGCTGCTCGAGCGTGGGGTACCCGTAGTGGTCCTTGAGCGAGTGCGAGCGCGTGTCGTGGTGGTAGTCGGCGCACCATTCGTTGAAGTGGTTGGCAATGTCGTATCCACGGCAGTTGGGAGCAGCGTACTCAAAGTCGATGACAATGTACTTGTGGTGAGGGGGCACACCCTTGGGAACCTCGGCGTCGAGGAGAAGGAGGTTGCCATACTGAGTGTCGTTGTCTGATGTCAGCTAGTCACGTCGTACCGTTAGCTTACGAGAAAAGACCACTCCCTTGCCGCGGTTCTCGTCCTCCATGACAAACTTGCGATAAGCCTCGACCTGGTCGCGGAGCTTGTGAAGCTGGTACTTCTCTACCCAGACCTCCCAATTGCCGTTGATGGATGCGAGAGTGTTGAGGACCTCGTTGGCAAGGGGAATCCACTCGGAGATGGACCTCCAGACCATGGGCTGACCGTCACGGGCTTCCGAGTAGCCGAGCATGCGGAGGTCAACCGAGTGGAGCTCGCGCATGCGACGACCGATGCCGTGAGCAATCTCGGGGACGCGGAGCTCAGCTGCAGTAAGGGCACGCGAGGGGAAGAATTGCTCGACACGACCGTTGAGGAAGGTGCCGTAGACGCGGGGACCAAGGCCGTAGGTGGTCGAGAGAACATGGAGGATGCGGAGCTCCTCGTCACGCGAGATGAGCATGTCGGACGACGGGCCGTAGATGCGGAGCAGGAGAGTGGGCGGGTACTGATTCTCGAGCAGCGCGGGAGGGTTGTCCGGGTCCGTGGGAGGCATGGTAGGCGTAAGAAGGGGAGACATGGAGGGGGAGGTTGGCATGGGGTTGGGGTTGAAGGTGACGAAGAAGACGGCATTCGTCATGGCACCCGACACCTTTTGGAGGTGAATCGAGCTGGGGGTGAGGCTACGGTGGGTCCAAAGCGGCACATTGAGGCGACGGAGGATGGAGAGGACCTTGGTCTTGAAGACGGGGTGGCGCCACTCGCTGGGTTGCGTATCAGCCACTGCAAACGCGCGCACGTTCGCAAACAGCCAGTGGCCAGTGCAACTTACCCGGCGTCAATGCTGAGGGCAACGGTGGGGAGCTGGAGCTCACCGCCTTTGGCCTCCTCCCAGGGGGTACCGGGAGCTGAGGGAGTGCCGTCTAGCCAGAACTCGGAGAGCTTGGAGAACGAGCCGGTGCTGTTTTTGCGGAGGAGAGGAGGACCGCTGGGGGGAGTGCCGGCGGCGCCCTGAGGACCCACGCGAGGAGAAGGGTGAGCGAGGAGGAGTGGGGAGAGGGGTGCGGTGGCATCCAGAGCGCGGTGGTCGGGTGTGACGACCATGTTGGACTGAAGACTGTGTGTGGAGCGAGGTGGGAAGGGGTGTTGAAGGACGATGGACAGGTGGCGATCACACGACCAGGGGGCGATACGGAAATAATCCGTTCGTTAGTCGATCAGTTGTTGAGGGACCCGCGTGCGCTTGTTGTGACGCGTGACGAGGGAGAGGTTTAAATAAGCGGCACAGGAGATAAGAGCCGGTGCGTCCAAAGACGAGAGATAGCTGGAGAGGTAGCGAAGAAGCTGTTGGAGTGGGTGGCGATAAGTGGTGGGGGGGAGAGGAGATGGAAGAACAAGAACAAGAGGGCGATGCCACCACCCATGACCCAAACCCACCCAACGCCGCAATCAGCCGCCCGCCGACCTCAACGCGATCGAATGAGAGAGAGGGCCCACACACCACACGCACCACCCCATAGATAACATTACGTAACAGTGTCACGTGGCACTACCGCGGCGCAAAAAGCCCCGCGGGTGGTGTAAGGCATGTCAAGGGATTCGAACCGCGTGCCTATACGTCATCATCCTCCCACCCAACTCAGATGCTGACGTAACACCACGTGGCGTCATGTTTGGTTCCGGGTCGTTGTGTCATTGCAGGTTCCAGAAGCATCGGGCCGAGATGAGCATCGTGTCGAACGGCATCGTATCGCAGAGCGTCCTATTGTCCACTGCTCCCACAACAAGTCCATCTTATCCTACCCCGTACATAGCTCCAACACTCCCAACCCTTCTATCCATTATCAACAGCCGGGGGCCTCGTCTCTCACAAGCGTCACAGGGCCCCTTTCTCCGCGCTTCGACACCTAATCTGGTCCTCGCGTCGATCCTCCGCCCACCTCCACTCTCCAGCAAGCCCGTCGACGAACCACCCACCTACCAATCCACCAGCCATGGCCCAACCAGCCCCATTCGGGTACCCCAACTCGCCATACACCCCGACCTCGTCATACGCAGCAACGTCCGTCTTTGCCTCCCCTCCCCCCATGTCACCGTCGGCACGCAAACGGCACGCGACAGGTTCCCCGACCGAGACGGGGACAAGCCAGCCGCCAGATGCCAAGCGCCGCCGGCCAAACCTCGCCAACGGGTTTGGTGCCATGTCCATCAGTCCGCGTAACAGCGACACCCCAGCCCCAGGCAGATGGACTCCACCGCCTGATGCCACAGTTCACGATGGCGTAGACGAGCTCTTGGAGCCCACACAGCCGCCGCTGGACGGCGACGTCGGTGTAGAGGAAATCCCAGAACGTCTCCACGGAGGGAATGGCCACCACCGACTCAAGCGGTCGCGCGGTTGGCACCGAAACTCGTCCTTCTCCAGCTCTACGGACCCCAGCGAGGAAGAGTACGAGTCGGACGCGACCTTTCGTCTGCCCTTGCGTCCCACTCCGCCCGTCCAGGCGAGCGCGGTGGAGCACCCGCACGACTCTCCGGTCCAATCCTACCAGTCGCTGGATGGACCACATGTCGAAGTCATAGACACGCCGTCCAAGCGGAAGCAGCGAAGCACCGAGGGGGAACCGCGTGCCAAGCGGCGTCGCGACGTGGCCCCCATAGAAGTCGACATGGAGGGCTTGCCTGAAGGCTCATATGGTCCTGGATGGTACGAGCCTGAAAAGGACCGCATTGTCATCACCTCGCTCTCGTCACCCGAGGGCTCCCCCCCACCGGATACAGCCCACCCTTATCCGTTCGCGGACGATGATGGGAACGGGAACGGCAGGACATACTCATTCAACGAGAACCGCAACCTTTCCCAGCCGGGCGCGCACGGCTTCACCATTTCACCTTCCCTCTTGACACATATCATCAATGCACAGCGCAATCAATCTGTGCAGACACCCTACGTCCCCGGCGGAGAGCGCGGCTTGGTGCTCTACCGCCCAATCGGCACCCCAGCGGCCGATAACGTCGTCAAGGAATGGCACCCGGGACACCACCATACCATCCCGGATCCTGACGGCGACCGCTTTGAGGAAGTCGACGACGACGAGGACCTCATGGCTGGAAGCAGCACACCCATTGTCGGTGTCGCTGTCGACGACATGATGAGCGATTCCCAGATGAACGGCATGAACGGCATGAATGGCAACAATTGCAATTTCGGCGACTACTACGGCATGGACGGCGGTGATAGCCAGATGGACGGCTTCATGAACATGAACGGTATGGAAGCGAGTGCGCCTCAGCCTCCGGTGACAGAAGAAGGATACCAGTGGGCTCCTGATGATGAGGCGATGGACGTCGAGTAATGAGAGGCGAAGAGGAAGAAGGCAAAGGAAGTCATCAAACATCCAACAGAGAAATCAAAACCAAGCGAGGAGGTTGGTTATAGCATAAATTTAGCATTGACGTCTTAAGACGGTATCACATTTCATTAAACGCATGCATTGCTTCAATATCCATTCGCTCATGTGTGAAGGACGAGGACGGCAGACGCTGACGGTCTGTGGCCGCTCATACTCCGCTCAGGCACCGATGGATCGCCGATTCCTTCTGATGTTGGCGATTACCAGTAGTTGGCGATAATCAACGGCCACCGTTCGCCGATGTTGCGTCGACTCCATTGGCGACAACTAACCCAGTAACGGCGATTCTTGGATGGGGACTGCTCTTCGTATTTGTGAGCTGCAGAGTCCGGACGTGATATAAAGCGTCGTCCGCCAGCACCACTCCAAACAACACACACCCGTCACATCACACCATGCCCACCGCTTCCCAGCGACCCATCGTCGTCCTCGGCGCAGGCTGTATCGGTCTCACGACCGCTGTTCGCCTCCTTGAGTCCCCACAGGTCACTCGAGGTCGTTCAGTGCACGTGATTGCTGCACACCACCCGACAGACCCGCTGGACGCACGATACGCGTCGACGATTGCCGGCGCCCACCATCTCAGCTTTGCTGATGATGGAGATGAGAGGCTAAGACGTTGGGATAAGCGCAGTGAGTCGAGTCTCTGGTTCTCAAGCTTGGTGAGGTCATGCTGACGCACCGCTTTCCGTTCGTCGCTACAGCTTTTCAAGTTCTCTATGACGAATGGCTTGCTGTTGGCGAGTCGTCAGGTCTGATGGCCCTCACCCAGACCGAGCTGTGGGTCGGCTCCAAGACCCACCTCAAGATCTATGAGGAGCACCCAGATGTAAGCTTTACTGCTCAGAGGATATATGCCTGCCTTCAAGCTGACAACGTACCCTTTGCAGTTCAAAGTCCTCGACCCAGCCACGGCGCCGTGTAAAGCTGACCACATGGTCCGCTTCACGAGCCTCACCATCACCCCTGCACTCTACCTCGCCTCGCTGGAACGCCGCCTTCGCTCCCTCGGCGGCCACCTGCACCGCGCCCATGTCCCGTCCCTCGCTTCCCTCTCCAGCCCGCAGTTCACGGCACTGACGCGCGGCACTCCGTCGGCAGTGTTCGTGTGCACCGGTCTCGGCGCACTGACGCTGGGTGGGGTGGCCGATGGCAAGGTCTACCCGACCCGCGGACAGGTGGTCCGTGTGCGCGCCCCCTGGGTGCGGCACGGGTGGACGCGCCAGCTGGGCTCGCTCGACGGCGGCGAGGGCGGGCAGCGGACGTATGTGATTCCCAGGTGTACTGGCGACGTTATCCTCGGTGGCACGCGCGAGGAAGGCGACTGGGAAGCGTACCCGCGTGAAGAGACGAAGAGGGACATCTTGACGCGAGTGCTTGAGATATGTCCGACATTGACACCGCCCAACACCCGTGCCGAAGGTGACATTGCGACGCCGAAGGTCGCCGAGCTGGAGCCGCTTGTCGTGGACCATCTTGTTGGGTTTAGGCCGAGCCGAACGGGCGGTACCAGGCTGGAAAAGGAGCAGGTTGCGATTGGCGACTCGGTCGTGCCCGTTATTCACAACTATGGGCACGGCGGCGCCGGCTGGCAGAGCTCGTGGGCCACAGCTGAAGACGCCGTCGAGCTTCTGGGAGACGGCGCCAGTGCAAAGTTGTAGAACATTGATATAGGTGGTGTGCATGCCATGCAGGTTTGCTTGTGCTACATCGCAAGACATCCCAGCCAGTCTGCCCGTCCGCAATAGTCCACGGTTACACACATTATTGTTTTGCTTCTACCATAAACCGACAAAGCTGCCAACGCACCACAGTAGCGTCACGCACCCGATCGGGAGAATACCCACGTACACGATGAGGTCTTGCCACAGCCGCCTGCCGAGACGACGCTTCTGCAGCTGGCGTTCCTTGCGGTACAGCAGGTCGTCGGTACTGGGGTCCTGGAGTGAGGCGGTACGAATGTGGCCGTTACCGCTGCCGCCGCGGAGTGTGCGCGCCGCTGGAGTGGGATCGTCCTCAGGCGCAGCAGGAGCAGGCGCGTTGGAGGGAAAGATGATGGCCAAGGGTGACCGAACGTGGAAAGTGATGATGAAGAACAGCGATGGCATGAGCCAGCTGACTGCTATAGTCGCCATGACGCCGAGGAGCTCAATCTTGTCCGCGATAACCCCGCCGATACACGCCAAGGCCGTAACGACGGCCCACATGCCGAGGCCGACCCACCGGCCAGCCTTGTACCGCTCCGCACCGCGTTCGACGTCCAGTGCCGCCAAGATCGTGTCGCGGCCGCGCAGGATCCACATGGTAATGCTGCCCAGAATGATTGCCGCCATGAGCACACGCGCGAAATTGACCCATCCGTCGTCGTCTGGCAGTTGAGTGAAGACAGTGGAACCCTCGGGGAGAAGGTAGTAGGGTACCAGCGCGAGCGGAATAGACAGTAGGACGAGGATGAGCCCCGCTGCGAGGACGGGCGCACCAAACTTTTGACGGTTGGTGCTCCGCAGAGTGCCATGGATGGGAAGTGTTTGGAGGTGCGGCGAGAAGAACATGGTCATCATGGCTGAGCTGTCAGTATGATGATATATATGTCCGTCTTTGTTAGGGTACTCACTGATGCCCCATCCTGCGTTGGGCGATACAAGGCCGCGCAGGCCACGGCGAGCGAGGTCCTTGGCACCTTCCTCGGCGGGGGGAGCAGCCTGTGAAACCGCAGCCACCGCAGCATCGACTGCTGCAGTAGCTGCCGTCTTGGCCGCTGACACGAGATCGGCACCGGCCTCATCCGCTGCCTTCTTGACCTCGACTGTACGGCCGATAACGATAAACGTCATGATAGGGAGAAGCAGCGCCAGCACGATTGGTGTACCGCGCAGAGACCGGAAGGTCCTGCTTGGCACAACTGCAGGTAGGATCACGAGACTAGCTGCAACGGTCCATGTGAGACGCCATTGGAGGAAGCCATCGGGCAAGTAGGTGGTGGCCAGCGGCTCGAGAAGAGGAAAGAGGGCTGGTGCAAGGTGTCAGCTTTGGTTCTTGAATTCATGTCGCGTCGCTCGGATTTCCAGGAACGCGGCAGCTGAGGTACGGAACACCACGTCTACGCGTTGCGTGAGGATGGGGACTGTAAACTCAAGCGTCTTTGCAGCGCCGCGAGTATTCTGTACAGCCCTTCGCAGGGGTGTTCGCAGTTCGCAGCAGCGCAGCGTCGTTCAAAAGAGCCACTCACTTCCGAGCCAGCCGACAGTGGACCCAATAGTTGCGAAGAGGACAAATGCGCGACCGACGACAGCCGCGTACTTTCCAAACCGCTCGCCAGCGCATGAGGCGAACACGTCCTCGAATGTGCGAACCTTGAGGTACCATGCGAGATAGACGATCACGACGTGTGCGCAGGCTGAGAGGGCAGCAATGATGCACAAGAGAGGCACGAAGAGGGCGACGCCAGCCGGGAGGAATGCAGCAGGGACAGCCGACAGAGCGGGGTAGAGGGCAAGAGGGTGCGCGAGGATCAGAGGTGCGACAAGCTGCAAGGTGTTAGCAGTTGTTCAAGGCCATGTTGACAGCTGCGACGGGCAGTGGACGCGTCCGCAGTCAATTGGACGCGAACAACAATCCAGCCGCGTCCCATTTGTCCCTGGAAGCAAGCTCACCTCAAACAGGCTACGCTCGCCTGGGTCATCGTCCCACTTGGTACGCCTGCGACGACGCGACGACGAGGGCACCAGCGGCTCCGAGGGCGAGGCATCGAGGTCGTCGTCGAGCTCATAGTCGTCTTCGCCTTCGGAGAAACCAAAGGAAAGGCGCGATTCGGGGTCGCTAAGCAGTTCGTCGCTGTCTGTATCCTTTGGTGTCGCTGCCGAGTATCCAGCACTTGCGCTACGCGAGCGATGTGCGGATGGTGGAGGATCGAGGATGATGCTTGAGCCCCCAACGGCGGCGTTGGCACTCGCGACGCGACCTCTATCGGATAGGGACAAGGAGGAGGTCGAGGGAGCGCCATTTCCCGAGGACGAACTCGAGCCGCCCAGGACGATGGCAGAGACGGGGCGGATGCTGGGGCCCTCTCCTCTGTCATCGTCGCGGCCCCGGGGTTCTGGAGTGCGTGGGCGAGTGAAGAATGGGAGGTTTGGGGTCGGCGGAGGGCTGCTTCGTGGTGTCATGGGCATTTTGATGGAATAGAGAGTGATGTCAAGCACCCGGCAGTTGAGCGCGTGCCTGTTTGAATGGCAACGACATTTGCCGACCGCCGGATGTGGATGGATTCTGTTCGTCGTCCATCATCCACCCCAACACCCCCGTACCAAATGAGCCAGTCTACATTCAAGCGCAAAGCCCATGCAGCTTACTTTACACGCTGCATGCGTGCCCTGCCATCACAGGCCCAAGAACACGACGCAAACCGGTACGTACACAGCACTCAGCGTCACCAGCCAGACCCCGCGTCGTCATGCCGTCCCAATCCTAACAACACAGTGTGACAATCGCCTTCTTCTGCCTTGCAGGCCTGGAGCTTCTCGGCGTCCTCCCACAAGACGGGGAACGTGATGACTGGATCGAGTGGCTGTGGAGTCTGCAAGCCGGTGAGCCAAGTTCCCCCCATTTCCAAACTTACCCCGCCCAGACTCTGGTGGGTTCTCGGGCTCGCCAAGCGCGACAGCACACCTGCCCTCGACATACACGGCCCTCTCTGCACTGGCGCTCCTCCGTGCGCCGCTGGACAAGTTGAATCGAGCCGGACTCGCTGCCTTTCTTCGCGCGTGCCAGGCCCCAGACGGTAGCTTTGCACCCACGACAGAGATTGAGGGCGAGTTTCAGAACGATGTGCGAATGAGCTACTGCGCTGCCATTGCGCGCGCCGTGCTGCGTGCTCCAGGAAGGACATCAGCTGGTGCTGGTCCTGGTCCTAGTGACTCCAGTGGCACTGCAACAGTCGCTGCAAGTGTGGACGAGATTCCAGACGTGGACGTCAAAGCAGCCATCGGCTTCCTCGACAAGTGCAAGGTACGTTCTGGTACAGCTCGATGCGTGTCGTCTTCCCCTGTCCAGAGCTGCGCTGACATTCCAGACCTGGGAGGGAGGATACTCGGCGCGCCCGGGCCTCGAGGCGCAAGGCGGCACCACATATTGTGCGACTGCTGCGCTGTCCCTCTTTGGTGGCTTGACTGTCTCCGACCATGCCGCCAGCATAATGGACACCACACGATGGCTTACCCAGCGCCAGATTGGCGGCTTTCAAGGTCGTCCAGGCAAGCTCGAGGATGTATGCTACAGCTTCTGGTGTGGAGGTGCTCTCGCTGTAAGTCAACAGTACATGAGCCATGTTGCTTACCGTTGTCAGACGCTCTCACTTGCCTCTCTCGTCAACGCACCACCCAACACTTCCTTCCTCCTCGACGCACAGTCGCCCATTGGCGGCTTTGGCAAGGCTCCCGAGGACTTCCCCGACCCATTCCACTCGTACCTCGCCCTTGCAGCGCTGGCGCTGACCCCGGCCCGGGACGAACTGGGGCTGAAGGAGCTCGACCCCGTGTGGAACTTGCCTCCCGTCGCTCGTGACTGGCTCTTGTCGGGGGGCAACGAGAGCGCGTGAACCTTTTTTTCAGTAGATGTATACTCGGTTAATGGGTTAACAACTGTATGTATGGGGAATTGGGCTCTTGGGCGGTGATCGTGGCCGTGGTGTACAGGGGAAAATGCATGATATCTGCGTCTACCGAATGCCTATGCTGAAGAAAAATGGGGACCTGTGTGCTATGCCTTCTTCCTGCCATCCAACGAGCTGTTGCCGGGAATCTTGCCGCTTCCACGCATCGCCTTCTTCATAAACGTCTTGCGAGCTGCGTTGGCCGCAAACACCTTTTGGCGTGGTGCAACGACAGGTGGCAGGTCAAAGCCGGCAAGCACAGGAGGAAGGAGGTGCAGTGTGGTTGAGTCGCTGAAGATGGTGTGTCAGTACATCCCAAAGAATAAACAAGGGAGATGGAAGGTGGTCTTGAGGCGATCAGAGGGTGGTGCATGAAGTGTTCGCACACATTTTGCTATTGGTGCACAGCTACGCTGAGCCCGACAAGCAGTCACGACTTCGTTGTATCGTCATTTCGCCAATGGTCTCCAACCATCCAAGACAGTTCACTCACTCAATTTGCCTGCTAGTCTCCTCTGCAGTCTTCCTCTTTTTCCTCCTGCGGGCACCCTTCGCCTTGGTGTCTGCAGCCTCGCTGACCTTGGCACTTGCGCGGGTGTTGGCGGCTTGAGTCTCGGCCTCGGCAGCCTCAAGCAGGGCAGCGGAGAGAGGAGCCACGCCCGGGGTGAGGTCAAAGGCAGTGTCCTCGTCCTCCGAGTCGCCAGCAGCAGCCTGCGCTGCTTCCTTCTTGCCAGCCTTGGCTGCTGTCGCCTTCTCCTTCTTGGCCTTCTTGACAGCAGGTGCTTGGTCGCCGAGTGCCCGCTTCTCCATAGCAGCCATCATGGCGTCCATTTGCGCACGCATTCTCCTCTCCTTGTCGGACAATGGGCCGTCATCGCGCAGCTCCTCCGAGTCGTCGCTGTCGCCATCCTCGTCGTCTTCATCCGTGTCAATCTCGGAATCAGAGTGGAACGATCCGTCCGAGTCGTCATAGTAGTCGACCACATATTTGTCGTTATCCTCGACGTCCTCGTCATCATCCTCGTCCGATTCGTCGTCGCCAGCCGCCATGGCGGCCTCCATGCGTCGCCGCAAGCGCGCTGCCTCGGGGCTCTCGTCATCGTTGTCGCTCTCCTCGCCAGCAGCGCGCTTCCTCTTCTCCTTGCCCTTGCCCTTCTCCACAGCCTTGCCCTTGCTCTTTCCCTTGCTGTCCTTGGCAGACTTGAGAGCAGCAGCGGCCTTGGCCTCGGCAATCTTGCTAGCACGCAGCTGGGCGGCTTCACGGTCTGCCAGACGCTTCCTATAGCTGGTCAGCCAACCACTCCACAGACATAAGCTTTAGCTGTAGCTCACTTGGCGGCAGCCATTTCGCGCTCCTCCTCGTCTGCCTTTCCGGCACCCATACCGACCGCCTCGGGAGCGTCGTCATCATCATCCGAGTCTGAGTCCGAGTCGCTTGCATTGTTGACTGTTCGGGAAGTAGGAGCGGGCAGCGAGACGTCGGCGGAGAACTCCTCGTCGTCGTCGCCAAAGGTCATCTTCTTGCCCTGTGCCTGGACAGCAGCGGCACTTGGTCCTGCTCGCTTCTTGCCCATTGTCGTGTGGTGTGTGAGGTTGTGGGGGTTGTGGGTGAATGACAAAAACAGTTGGAGTGGAGGAGGTCGAAGAACGGACGCCGAATCTTCAAAATCTCGAACTCCCACGTGGACATTTGATTCCGCTTCAGCGCCCCAGGAGTGTGGCACACATGTTGCTCCTTCCACGGACGAGAGATATATACCACAGCTGTCTGCATTGCTCCTCCCGCTCCTCCTTCTTTATCACCAATCTATACAATCATGTACGGTCCAGCATTCAGTGAGCCTTTTGGTCGATTCTCTTCCGATAACCATATGTCACGAAACTGACGCCGCACCCCGTCTCGAATGGCAACACACCACTCCTCAATGGCTTTTATTGTTCTGGTTCGTTCGAACCACCCTCTCCGTACATTGGTTCCTCCATCGGGCTTTTACAGCCACCCAAGCAATCTTCCTCTACGTGCTTGCGCTGTTCATCCCTCCGGTGCCAGTGTGAGTGATAGCTGTGACCTTCACGGCCACAAAAGCTAACCCAGCAGGTATATCAAAAAAGGGTGAGGCAATTGGCGCTGACAAGTCATAACTGACGACAGCCTGAGCTGGGATGTAGGACTTAACGTTGTGGTAAGTTGAAGAAAGTGCATTTCTGGGCCATGTTAACCCAACAGCTCTGGTTCTGCGGGTGGATTCCAGGTTCGTTTTTCAATGGTGGCGGCTGCCGCTGACGCTTCAGGCGTCGCTCATGCTTGGTACACCATTGCCCGAAACTACTAGTTGTCCGACCAAAGGTCCAAGCACTAGTACAGTATAAACTGGTGCGCATACAGGCGTAAGCTAATACGCAAACAGTTCACGAGCTTCCTATCTCTACCTAAACCTCTCTATTCTGTTATCCAATCCGCCACCGCGAAAGAATTCATTGCCCCCACCATCTCCATGCAACTGTGTTCTTATTACCAAACGTCTGAGATCTGAGACCTCATGGCCTTGGCACGGAACTCATCTTGCAACTCTGTGGAACTCAGACTGCCACTGTTTCCCCATCAAATAGCCATGACGCCGAAATCAAACTGAAATGACGTAGGTGAGGTCTCACCCAATTCACCAGACGCCGTCCGTTCATACACAGTTCGCCAAAATGGTGTCAAGGGAGTTCTTTCCACGCCGTCCACGCCCCCTGCGGGTATGCTGTGTAGGCGATATGGGGTGGTAACGAGCCCGTAAGGCGCAGTGTGTGAGGTGAGGTGATAGGAGGTGGGGTGAGATGAGAGAAACGCATATAAAACACTGAGTCAAGGTTTCTCTCAATAACAGCTCGTGTGCACTCACCCTCGCTTCGCGTTATCCCTCACTGTTTCCTTCCTAGCATTCACCAAAATCCAACTCCCACTACAACCCCAACTCCATAATGGATGACTCAAAGCCCCCGCCATCGTACACACCCACGACGCCGCACCCGAACCCGTACAACAACTTTGACCCAGCCACCTCGCCGTACACAGTCCCGCAACACGACAAGAGGACAGACGGGCTACCCAGTGGGACATTGCATGAGACCGCGGGGGACTCTGGCGCGCATGACCGTCACTCGGACCGGTATGGCTTCCGTGAGCACTGACCAGGGCGGCCATGTACTGCAGGGGACACTCGCTGACAGTTTGCAGCGGCCCACCCGCCGCAGCCGCCGGACAACAAGGCAATTGGATCGGACTTGCTCCTGTACGCTCTGGCAATCTTCATCCCGCCCGTTCCGGTGTAAGTTGGGGATCTTTTCGTTTACCGTGCTGAAACTGACACTGGCACATAGGTTCCTCAAGGCCGGGTAAGCTAGATTCCTGAGATCGGTGTAACTAACGCGGGTAGTTGCGGCTTCAGCCTCATCGTCAACATTATTGTGAGTAGCTTGCTTCTCCATTTCTTGGAACGAGACAAGCATGGCTGACGAGAGCAGCTTTGGTCGTTGGGCTGGATCCCTGGTGTGTAACCTCACTCTCTCCCACCTCCCCTCGGCACTGGCAGCAAGCGCTAACGATCTTCTTTTCTCAGGTGTCATCCACTCGTTCTACGTCATAACAACCCACTTGAGCTTCGAATAGGCCGCTCGGGCAGGAGGCGCTCCCTTTTCCCATCCCCATGTGCTCACGGACGTCCGTGAGCACATCTCATGTATGTGTTGTATATGTCTTTACCCCGACCCCGATGCTACGAATTTGCGAGACGTTGTCACTTGTCGCAGTTTGCGAGATAGCACAGGTAGAATGCAATGTGTCATCGAGATATCTACACGATATTCATAATGTTCGTTCGTCGTCGCTTGCTCAAGGACCAGGCCTAGTCATCAATGCACGCACATTGGCAGGCAAGAGACGCGCAGCGTCGTCCTTGTCCATCTTCTTGAGCGAGGCAAGCGGGTAGAACTTGGACAAGGCCACGAGTTCGAGGCGCAGTTGGCGCAGGCCGTCTTCGTCGTCCACGGCGGGTTTGGCGTCTGCGGCCGTGCCAGCGGCGGGCACTGGGACTGGAGGCTGTGCTGGGATAGCCGTCGGCGTCGGGCCAACAATTGGAGTAGCCGAGGCGGCAATGGGCGTAGTCGTCACAGGGGGTGCATGATCCCCTGGAGCCGGGCCAACATCCGATGTGGCGGACACCGAGGGCGCAGGTGCGACGGTGACGGGCTTGTCCTCGACTGACATGGGGTCCCCAAGGACAACAGTGGGCGCGAGCGGAGGCTCATTTTCCATCTTGACGTCACCGTTGACGGTCGGCGTGGCCTCTGCGGACGCAGGCTGTGGCGCGGCAGCACCATTCGAGGAAGGTGCAGTGACACCTGCCTCTAGGGCAGCGCCAGCTGTCGAGAGTGCCGCCTCGTCGGGGGACGACATGTCCGGTGTGTCGGTTTTGTGACGTTTCGCCTCAGGCTCGTCGGGATTGCTGAACCGGCGCTTGGTGCCACGTTCCGGCTGGACCGTATCGACGGAGGCATCAACTTTGGTATCATCGCCATCGATGTGCGTTCCGCCATTAACCTCAGCCTCAGCCTTAACTTCAGGCTTGATCTCAACCTTGGGCGCGTTGGACCTAGTGGCTTGCTCCCTTGCCTCCTTCTGCACACTTGCCAGCCGCTCAATCTCACCGCCGACCCAAGCCAGAGCCTCAACAACGCCCTGTTTGCCCCCCACGCCCTGGTACATGAAATCGGACGGTTCGCGGAGGAGGGGCTGGAGGTTGAGCGGGTTGAGCGGGGACGAGAGTGCGCGCATGGAGAGGTACGCATAATCATTTTGGGCCTTTGCGAAGAGCTCAGGACCTGAGAGTCTGGGTAGAGGTTGGCCTGTGACGTCGAGACGATGCTCGGCGTTGACATTTTCGGAAACGGCCGGGCCGGCAGCGACGGATGACAGAAGGTTGACAGTCTGCCGAGCAATGTCGCCCACGCGGGACGAGAGTACACCGTTGTGCCATTTACGTGTAACGTACTCGCCCACAGCTTGAGTGGCCTTCTGTTGGCTCTCGTCGTCGCGTGGGCTGGCGCCCTCCTGCCTGCGCTTGGCGGCGCCCTCCATTGCGCCAGAGAGGAACTGCTGCACGCTGGCATTGTATGCCTCGCCGCGGGCATCACCAAACGCCATGTTGCGAACATATTCGCCAGCCGAAGGGCCGTCGTAGACATTTGCAAACGTCTGTGCGGGCCAGCCAGGTGGAATGACCAGAGGGCGCTGTGCATCTGGACGTAGCTCGTCCATAATGGGCTCCATCGGGTCGACGCCGGTTGACGAGTCGGGTTGCTGCTGTTGCTCCTCCTTGGCTGCTGCCAGCTGCTTCTGGAACTCGGGTTCAGTGTCGGCATAGCGTCCAAAGTCGTCCCAGGTCAACTCGCGCGTGCGCAAGGGCGGCCGCTTGACACGTTCCGAGTTGGGCAATGGAGGCTGGCCGGTGGCGCCGCCGATGCCTTCCCACTCCCACCACGCGCCTGCCTCCTCGTGAATGCTGGGCCAGTCGACTACGTCACGCCAGCGTGTTCCAGGCTTGGTTGCCCACCCTTCGAGAATGTCGGCGGGGTCGTCCATCTCGGCGATGTCGCGACTGCCGTCGGGGGCCCAGTCCCGCCATTTGCCAATGAATTTCTCACGCCCACGTACAAAGCGCTTGGCACGCACGCGCCTTCCTCCCGTGAGGTTCCAAGCGACAGCAGCGGCTTGTAACGAATTGGGAGGAAAGGCGAGCATGTCGACGGGGATGGTCTTGGACGGTGGGAGTTCCTTTTGCTTGCCACCTGGATTCGGCGTGCCTCGCTCAGAGTCTGGGAGCGCGGAATTGTACTTGTTGGGTGAAGGAGATGGGGACGGCGTGAGAACGAGTGGGCGAGCGCGGTTGATATGCTTGATACCGTGGTTGAAGAGCTTGTTGGCCTCGCGTACAGGTGCAGTGCCGGGGAGGTTGAACGCGAGCGCGGCAGTGACCAGCATCCGGAAGTCGACCTGTGGGTTAGCTTTACATCGCCGATTATCGACAAACCTCAAGCTCGTCAATGTTGCGGTATTCTCCTTCGTCAACCTTGCTCTGCATCGTTCCCAGATCCATCATCTTGTCTGCGCCGCCAATTCGCTCCAGGTAGTCGGGGTACTCGCTGGTGTCGACAGGCTCGAGGAAGAATCCATACTGTGGAGTTGTCAGTTGCCTCTCAAGGGGCTCGCTCGCCGTAGCCATACTCACCTCATCCTTGCGACGCATTTCCTGGAGCACTTTGCTTGCAAGGTCCTTGAATGGCCGCTTGATACGTTTCCACTTTGCTTGGCGGGGCGTATCTGCGCTTCCTTCACGGTACCCAGGAGTGGTCACTGCGCTGCCCCAGGGTGTCGCCGCCGCCGATGGACTCAGAGGCAAGGACAACGGGTCCATGTCATAGTCTTGATGCTCAAGCTTAACATCGACGTCAGAGCCCGGTGTGGTCCAGCCCGTTGGCGGCGAGCGAGCGGAGCGCGGAGTGGCGACGACGTGTGCAGGAATGGCAGACGGACGAGCCTTTGGAGGGCGTCCGCGCTTGCGTTTTGGTGGATTGGCATCGCCGCTGGGGCCTGGAGTGGAGAACGGACTACCACTAGGTGTTGGGACGCTGGACGATGCCGCAGAGGATGTATTGGAGAGAGGTTTGGCAGATGCAGCAACAGCTGGCAAAGTGAGACGGATCGCGGCCGGGGAAGCTGCTGGGCCGCTTGCGTAGTCGTCCTCGTCACGGCTGACGGAGCCCAACCGTGACCCATAGCCATGGCTGTTCGCCCCCGACGTACGGACCTCGCTGCCTGCGCGATGCTTGCTGGAGCCTGCTGCGGGAGAGGCCGCTGCAGCAGCTGCGTTGGCGGCGGCGAGGTTGAGCTTTAGCTTGATCGGAGGCATGGCGGGAAGGCGGAAGGGATGAGGGGACGCCCTGCCCTACCGCAAGGGGCGAGACGTGGGTAGAGGGTGCTGAGAGAGGTTGCTAGGAGGTGATCGCAGGCAGAGGGAGACTGTTGTTGACGCTGTATCGAGCGCGTGCAAGTGGACGGTGAGGGTGGAGGCGGCCAAGTGGGGGAGGGGATGACAGAGGGGGAATGAGGAGAAAGAGAGAGCGGATGCAAAAAAACCAGAACGCAGTATTCTCAAGTCGACCATTCGTGGGAGAGTGGTAGTGGTGATTCCATTCCCCATTAGAAAATGCAAACCCGTAAGTTGTAATTAATTAGCTTTGCACTTCCTAATTCAGAATGGGTTCTCTATCAGGCTACCCCAGAGTCTGCCGTGTGCACCTAGCCGTGTGCACCTAGCGCCCACCCCTCTCAAGAACGATGCTCGCCCACGAGATATTTCTGAACTAGAATTGTGCCACCACTCTCAACAAACGCTGCTTTGTGTGTGAAGCACAGTCGGGGAGATTATCTCGGCAATCATGAAGCAGTGGTCAGCGCCCCTCCTGTTAGAAGGTCCTAACAAACTGCCTTGGATTTGTCGTGGGATTCTCAGAAAGACAACCCCAAATATGCTGTGCCTCTGTAACCATGCCGCAGAAGCGTATCCAGTGCATGGCAACAGGTGGACACAGCAGACAAGACGACGACCGGTGCGGGGGGAGACCGGCCCCGCACTGGGGTATTGGCAGGGAACGGAGGAACCAAAATATGAAACCGAGCAGTGGAGAGACCATGTCTTGGCGGACCAGCTGGTGTCTATCTTCTGCGCAGACACAGTTGTGACATCTCTCTCTTCGTCTATTTCACTCATTCTCAACATGTCGTCCTCACCGACAACCACGCGTAGGAAATCCACTTCCTCAGGCACTTTGCATCGTCGCCCATCACTGTCGCCCACCCGGTCCAGGCGAGACGCACCGTCTCCTACACAACCGTACCACGCGCTCCCCCGCCCCGAGCGACCGAGCAACCCACCTGAACCGCCCCTCACACTCTTGCACCCCACCACTTCGCGCTCGATCCCGCCTCCCGATCGTCAAGATGGTGCTGACGATGAGGAGGACTCGTCCGACCCGTCGTCTCCTGGCACCAAGAGGCGCCAGGGCGCTGCTCTAGGCAAGGGCCGCAGCTCATGGATGCCGTTCGCGGGCATGATCCGCGATGTCAAGGCGCGTGCACCGTGGTACATCTCCGACTGGACTGATGCGTGGAACTATCGTGTCATCCCGTCGACATGGGTGAGTTGACAGAGCTGTTTTGCCCTGGCTGACTGAGCAGTTCATCTTCTTTGCGAACGTGTGTTTGGTTGTTTACGACAACAAGCGTGGTGCTGAACTGTCCAGGTGCTTCCCGGCCTCGCATTCTCGCTCGATCTGATTGTATGTCGCTGTTGCGCAGTTTCATCTCTGACAACCAGGAAACGACAGGCCAGTATGGTGTTCAGGAGGTGCTTCTTGCATCGGTATGTGCCTTTTGGTTGTTGACTCAGTTCGCTGACCAGGCTCAGTTCATGGCGGCATTCGTCGCTTCGTTCTTTGGCGGACAGCCACTACTGATTTCTGGCGTGACAGGTGAGTACCCAGTTGTTGCCAGTTGCTGGTTGATACATCTTTCCATAACTGAAACTGAAACTCTAAGGACCCATCACGGTCTTCAACAAGACCATCTACGATATATTCGCGGGTCGCGATGACTTCAACTATCTTCACTTTATGGGATGGGTCTACCTCTGGGGCGCTATCTTGCATTGGATCGCTGCGTCTTTGAATGGTGAGATTGAGGTATTGTGGACGAAAAGCTCACAACCAGCGGTCAAGGGTCTCAAATGGGTCACTCGCTTCTCGTGCGACACATTCGGCTTCTATGTCGCCGCCGTGTATGTCCAGTACGGTATCCAGGTCGTCACGCGCCAGTTCCACCAGTCGTCCACCCCTGCTGCGTTCCTCGGCATCATGTGAGATTTGCAGCGACGTTGAATGGAAGCTGACCGTTAGCCTGGCTATTGTGACGACTGTTGTTCCACACTACTTCAACGCCATTGCGCGCTCAGGTTACGGCAACAAGCACTTTCGCCGCTTCTGTGCCGACTATGGCATGCCCATTACGATCATTGCCATGACGGGGTTTGCATACTGGGGCCGCTTTGACCCGTACGTCTGCGGTCTCATTCCCTCCCAGCTGACGCCGTCAGATTCGTGCTCGAGTCCGCCATGACGCTCCCGACCACAACCCACTCGTTCCAACCTGCTTCTGGCCGCGCTTGGCTGGTGCGTTTCTGGCAGCTGGACGCCAAGTACGTCGGCATTGCGTTCCCTTTTGGTGTGGTGCTCTTTATTCTGTTCTACTTTGACGCCAACGTGTCGGTGAGTTGCCAGCTATCATCTTCGCGACAGAGCACGACTAACCGGTCCAGTCGCTCATCGCGCAAGGCTCCGAGTTCCCCTTGCGTAAGCCCTCAGGTTTCCACTGGGACTTCTTCCTTCTGGGCATCACGGCCTTCATCGCCGGTCTGCTTGGTGTCCCGGCTCCCAACGGTCTCATCCCCCAGGCCCCCTTGCATACGGCCTCGCTGGTGGTCATGGGCTATGACGAGCAGGCCGTCGAAGACCACGCCATGTCCGAGATGGAGGACGGCAGATCGCTCTCCCCGGAAGTGTCGCACACGCGGTCGCGTTCGAGGTCGAGAGCTGAGAAGCCACGCGCCATGTCGTCCAACTCGTCTGGCCTGACTCGCCGCGTGTCGCGTGTAAGCGAGACCGTGCGCGATGCCCGTCAGCGCCGCCGCGAGATTGCAGAGGCAAGGAAGGAAACGCGCGAGGTGCCAGTGTCGGTTGTGGAGCAGCGTGTGTCCAACCTCGCACAGGGTTGTCTTTGTGAGTGGTCCGCTGCTGTTCTCTAATGCTTTGTCTGACCACCAGGTCTCGTCCTCATGACCAAGCCATTCGAACATGTCCTCGGCTTGATCCCCAAGGGCGTCATGGCCGGTCTCTTCGTGAGCTGCACTCGGCCTCCAGTGGAACTCAGCTCACACACCGTCCACAGTGGTACATGGGTTCTGACGCGCTCCTTACGTCCGGCGTGACCGAGAAGATGCTCTACCTCATTCGTGACCCTCGCGCTCGCTCCCCTACCGATGCCCTCAACAAGGTCCGCAAGTCGCGCATTGTTCTGTTCACCTTGATCGAGCTCGTTGGCTTTGGCGCGACCTTTGCCATTACGCAAACGATTGCGGCTATCGGTTTCCCCGTCATCATCATGCTGCTCGTCCCTGTCCGGGTATTGATTGTGCCCTTGCTTGGATTCACTGATGCCGAACTGGCTGTCCTGGACGGTCCTGTAGCCAGTCCCTTTGTGAGTAACCACTAGCGCGCAGGTGTCTCCCTGGCTGACGCGATAGACAATGGAGTCTGTTGGAGGGTCTGTCTAACGAGAGCACGGACTATAGAAGATCCGGGTGCGAAGAAACCTCTGTCCTGTGGTGACAAAGGCGCTGTCCACGAGGACAATAGAGAGAGCTGGGCTGAGAGAAGGGTGACGAGCGAGGCGTTTCTAGGGAGTGGGTGGGCCAAAGGCTGGCCCAGGCCACCCAGGCAGCGAATGGCTGTGGGCCAGCAGGCAGTTTCTAAATGTGTCATCAACGGGAGTATATTTTCTAATACCATTCATTACGATGTAAATAATTACGTCATGTCGTCGCCTAATTGCAGACTCTGTCTCCCGGCCCGCTCCGTTCATCGCACCGCCGAGTCACCGCCTGGGAGGCATGGGACGCCCCCGTGTGTTCTTATACGCGCATGTGCGCCAGGCATTCCGCCTCTTTACTTCCTCTCCTTCTCTCACACATCGCATCCACCACCACCTCACAACTCATCTCTCGACAATGTCCCTCATCCGTCTCACCGCCACCCGCGCTTCGGCCCTCCGCGTCGCCGTGAGTCCTCCCCCTCCCCCTCCTCCTCCTCCGTCTGCCCCGCCTGCCGCCAGCGATAGGCCACGCCGCGCACGCTGGCCTGCGTTTACCGGCCAAACATCATCGAGCCTCTCTTCTTTGTTGCGATACATCAGCTCTCTTGGACCATCAGCTGACGCTTTACCTCTTACTCTACGCTACTCGCTCACTACCCTGCCCGACCCCGCACTTACCCTTCCCCCTCCGCTCCCTCTGTGATCGCCGTCGCCGTTCGCCCCTCTGTCTCCCTTTTACCTCCGGTCCCGACGTCATTCTCTTCCCACAACGTTCAGCCCGTCATGGCCCGCTCCTACACCGACGTCCGCGGCGAGGGTGCCACTGCCTCGTCCAAGGGCTTTAGGTGAGTTTGTGCTGCGCTGGTGGGGGCCAGCCTTGCCTCGCATCTACCAGAGGAGGCGGTACCCACCGGCGGCCGAGTGCCCCAGCCAATCCGAAGCCTCGAAGCCGGTACCCGCGTTCGTTCAGATTCCTGACATTCTTCTCCAGCCAGCGCGAGCAGGCCGAGGAGGGCCAGTACATCCGCAGGCGCGAGCAGGAGCTCCTCAAGGCTGCCCAGGAGAAGCTCAAGGCCGCCCAGGCCGAGGTCGACAAGCACCAGGCTACCGTCGACGCTTCCAACGCCAAGGACAAGAAGTAAAAACCCGACATCGTTTTACTCAAAAAACGGCACCTACAGTCCATCGTCCAGGCGGGGGTTCCGTTTACAGTCTCCCTTTGTGAGGGAAGCTTGAGATGGAACTCGTGAGCAGCAGAAGAAAGCAGACAGAGCGCACGAAGCAAATGCATAGTGTCTGAATCAATCCCCCTCCCTGCGTCCTCACTGACGATGACTGACGTGGAGAGTTGAGGGAACGACCAAAGGGTCCACCGGAGATGATCAGGGAGGATGACGGTCTCGCCCACTGGCAGCTGGGCATTTTAAGCTGCGCATCGGAGTGGGTCTATGCTGCCCGGTGCGACAGGGACGGCGCGGCGACGGATCGTTGGGTCTGCTGGATTGCTGGCATGTTGGGACCGGCAGTGGACCCGGAACGTGAGGGATTGAGCAGGTTCGGCTTGCTTGCTGGCCACTGGAACGATTCAATAGCTCAGACCAGAGTACCAGAGTAGTGCTGGTGTAGATGTGTACCCATGCTCCGTCTCAAAGCAGTCGTTGCAGTTCCATTTGCCACCCATCAGAGGCGGCACTTCGATGTCCGAGCAGCCGTGTGGGCAACGACATTCCATTAGAAACGCGACTATAAATTGGACTTCTACGGCGCAATACAACACTGTCTGATTTCTAATTATGCCGATAGACCTCCTACTAAGACGTCATCGTCGGCAACCCCGCCGCCAGTAATTGGGTTCATCTCCATCGCGCTGCGCTCGTCTTCTGTCGAACCATTCTCCATCACACATACAATGCCCCCGCCTGGCACGGCCAGCGCGGCAACTCTCAACACTGCAAACGGTGACAGAAAGGGTGCGAGCACGAGTACGGGCTTCCTGCCGTCGGGTCTTAGCCCACAATACTGGTCCACCTGGGAGATCGATGCCAGAGACGCGCGCGGGAGCGTTGCGGAGAGTCTGGGTGAGGGGGAGGCGTGGATTGGTGGATGGAACGATGTGGGCCTTTATGAAGGGTGAGTACCGCCTAGACGAGTTGAGGGATGTAGCAAGCGTCACTGACACTTGCAGCAACAACAAAGTCTCAAACTACCAGTCCATGACGATTCATATCACGACCCACCGTCTGCTCCTCGTTCCCGATAGCGGCCCAGGCCGACCACTCCATGCTCCACTTGCCGCTGTGCGCCAAACCGAGTTTTACACTGGGTTTATGCGCTCATCCCCCAAGATCACCTTGTTTCTTGGACGCGTCCCCGTCGTGGACCAGATCACAAAGGGAGCAGTCAACCTTGACACAAGCTCTCCTGCGGGCGCGTCCACCCCAGCTAGGTCGTCCAGCACACCAGCTCCGTCCACGACGACAGGAGGCGAGCAAGTGGTCGTGTCACAGACATGGATCACCCCCGCCCCTGCACCAGCGGATAACTGGACTTGCGGCGTGTGTGGATTCTCCAACGCGCTCCTTCCCGGCCAGAACCTGTCCCCGGCCACCAAATGCCAACTGTGCGGCGTCAACTATGCCATGAGCAAGACCATGTCCCTGCCTCCCAGCCGAACTGCTACACCGGTCGCAGCCAGGAGTGCGGCGCCATCGCCTTGGTCGTCTTCGACCGCGTCGTTGCCTCAACCTTCTCAACCTACGACAGCACCTGCACCTCTTCAATCAGCACCACCACTGGAGCCGCCGCCTGTGCCAGCTCAAATTGCATGCCCCGCATGTACATTCCTCAACCACACCAGTATGAAGACTTGTGAAATGTGCGGCACCCCTCTCCCTCGACCGTCGTCGACATCGAAACGCACGCCCGCGACACAAGCCTCGCTCTCCACCACAGACAGACACGATGTCGTCCGCCTGAGTTTCCGCAAAGACGGCTCAAAGGACGCATACCGAAAACTCAAGGGGGTGCTGAGCGACAAAGTGTGGGAGAGGGTGGCTGCTGGTCCTGCACGCAAAGTGACAAGCGACGAGAACAGGCCTGGAGGAGGTATTGGTGAGCAATACAGTTGACCTCGGGAGCGCCCCCAAATCTGACCACTTTTGCAGATGCCATCATGAAGTCGATCTCATTGGACGCGCGTGCCCACGACGAAGGGATGGTAGACGCGTTCCGGGACCTGGAGATTCTAATGGTTCGCGCAGGCGAAATGGTGAGTGTCGCGACTGGATCCGTTTCGTTCAGTTGCATCCGATCCCCACCGCAGCTGACATGAGCAGGTCCGACTCGCGCAATCGCTCAATGCCAAACTCTCTTCTGCATCGGGAGGGACCTCGGATGAAGAAGCGACGTTGGTGCGCTCCTCGTTGGTCCGGCTCGGCCTGCCAGCCCCGGCCTTGACGCAGGACATGGTCCGCGACGAGCGCGCATACCTCGACGGCCTGGCGCGCGAGCTCGGAGGTCTCTTGACTGGAAAACGGAAGGGAAAGGGCAAGGTCGGCGCAGCAGAAGACGACGACGCATTGATGATGCGGCCGGGCCACGGCGTCATTGGACTCGACACCGTATGGGGTCTGTGGATGCGCGCCCGTGGCGTCGCGCTTTTACCCCCTGCCACACTCGTGTCCCTCCTCTCGCTACTGCCGCAACACACCAACCCGGCCATCCGGGCCATGAACCTGCCCTCGGGGTTGACGGTCCTGTACGCCCCGCTGTATGCTCCCTCGGTGCTTCTCCACCGCTTGGTTAAGCGCATGACACCTGACCCAGGAGAGGGTGGCGAAGGCGAGCCGCAAGGTCTAGGTGCCGAGGTGGGGCTGTCCATCATCGAGATTGCTGCTGTGGAAGGGTTGCCGATTGGGTTGGCGACCGAGATGGTGGACATGATTGCCACTCGCGCCGTGGCCAGTGGGGCGATGGGGATCGTGAGGGACGACCAGGCAGGTCCACGGGAGGGTGGAGTAAAGTGGTATCGCGATATCATTTCTGGCTGGCCTCTGGGTGCGGTCGAGGCGACGTAGCATACGAGCTGTAGACGTTTGTAGTTTGGTTTTGGACGTCATCCCATGATCTGGTCTGCGACACTGTTCTCTCGGATCCAATGACATTACTCTTTCTGCATATATGCTGATGCGTACAATTCTGAAGTGCATGATGAACAATGTTCGCTCCCTTCTTCTTACGCCCAAGTCTCCTTGACCTCCACCCCAATCTTCTCCAACTCGTCCAGCACGCCCTCCCACACATCCTTGTCGTAAGGACCCCGCACACCGCGGCCCTTGACCTGGCCATCTGCGACCCTCAAGGCCGCAAAGGCCAGTGTACACCCAACAGTGGTGGACATGGCGCTTGCCTGGGCAGTTCCGTTGCAGAGCAACGAGGCAGTGACGGTCTGCTCCGGCGTTCCCGGTGCTGCATCTTTAGGAACGAGCTTGAAGGCGTGGTGCAGGAGAACAGAGTCATTCTCGCCGCTCTCATAGGCCAGCTTCCGCGAGAGGAGGGTGGACATGAGGTCGATGGGAGTTGTCGAGTTGGGGATGGCCGGTGGGGCGTGCGACGAATTGGGAGTCGAAGGCGCCAGCAGGGAGAACCTGAGAGTTAGCCAGCGTCGTAGTGTTCGAGTTAACTCACCATTCAAGAGCCTCGATTGTTTCCTTGCCCTTGTCACCGAGGACCTTGTGGATCGTCGCTCGCACATCAGCCTCGGCGATGGTCGTGCCGAGCTTCTCAGAAATAGCAGCAGCGAGGAAGGCGGGCCACGAGGTCCAGTTGGTCTTCAGCGGCGTGGTGCCAAGGAGACCAAGGCGGCTGAACGAATCGAGGAGGGCGGAGAAGCCTTGGTACCTGGTACAGAGTTAGTACTACGCTCCATCGAAACAATGGCCCAATAAACGTACCTCAGAGTACCACGGAACAAGTCACGCAGGCCATCGACAGGTCCGAGACCGTACTTCTCAGCATACGGCAGCGAGTCGCGGTTGGCAAGACCCTCGAGCGCGAGGCCACGCCACAGGGGGGCCTTGGGGAAGTGTTCGGCCAGGAGGTCCTTGCCGGCAACCTGCTGGATCTGGACATGCGTCAGCTATGGTATTGGTACGCGTGATAACAACCCACCTTTCCGTCAAGCTTGTAGTGGGCATCATTGAGAGCCGCAGTGAGCACAGCCTTGGGGCTCCAGGAGAACTTGTACGCCAGCGGAACGTTGCTGGCGCTCGCCTCGGGGAGGCCACCGCACCACGAGATGAACGAGGTCACGCGCTTGTTCTCATGCTGCACCCGCTCGAGGATACGCATGGCGGCCCTGGGCAAGTCAGCTCTCCGTTCTTGCGACTAAGTGGACCCACATGGAGTCGATTCCGGGGTCAAGCCCACATTCGCCGAGGAGGAGGACGTCTTGCTCGAGTGCGCTGTTAAGTTAGTATGACTATCGAGGCCGAAACACCCCGCGAGAACGTACGCATCATTCAGAGCCTTCATCTCAGGCGACACATACGACGCAGTCACCAGGTGACGGCCGTGCTCAATGCAGTGCTTGGCGACCTGGGGATGCATGGGCGCCGGGAGGAGTGAGACGACAACATCAGCCTGTGAGACAGCCTTGCCGAGCGCCGCTTCGTCAGAGACATCGAGCGTCGAGATGGTGACATTGTCGCGGTTGTTGGCGAGCGACTGGGCCTCGGCCGCATTATTGCTGGCTGGTCTGTCAGCTCTGCACTATGCACGTGGAGGAAAGCTCACCAATGACAAGGGACACATCGGGACGCTTGAGGAATACGTCCACGGCGGGACCAGCGACGAGACCGCTGCCAAGCAAGAGGATCTGCTTCTGTTTACCAGCGGACAGCTCCTTGGCGCGGTATGCCGCCACCTTGTTCTGGAGCCATTCGTGCTTGGGCTGGATGTGGCCATCCAGGACAATTTGGGCACGCTTGATAGTGGCCTCAATCTCATCCGCGGCGGCGGTGGCCTTGCCATCGGCATGCTGGAGTGCACGAGTGACGTAGGGGAGGAGGCAGCGGGAGAAGTGAGCCGAGGCGTCACTAGCTGGGAATGTTAGCCAGTGACGAGTGTTGGAACTCACGAAGCTCTGTGGGGAGAATGTCCGTAGCGCCGACAAGGATATCGCCTGGGCCCTCAAAGGACGGGGTGTCGATGCTGGTGTGCTGGTTCATAAACTCGAATGCGCCCTGGGTTGTCAGCTCTGACGTTCACCAGAGTATAGCTCACCTCGAGATCACAAGTAATGTCCTGGAGAGCCACAAACTTCTGTCGACCACCCATTGCCTTGATGAGGTTGTTGGTCTCAGCGTTGCTCATGATACGAGGGTATCCAGGCTGCCATCCAGCGCCATGAATGACAGTGGTGAGGTACGGGGCAATCTTCTCGGCAAACATGCTGTGGTACAGCTCGGGCTGGTCGTAGTACTCCTTCCTGTCGTAGCCGCCCCCAGCGATGCGCTCAAAGTAGGCCGAGGGGGGGATCTGACAGGCGTAAATCTCGGAGCTGTTGGGGAGGTTTGCGAGGTCGTCAACCTTGACCCAACGGGCTCCGAGAGCTTCGAGCATGTCGCGACTGCCAGTTGAGACGTTTCCGGCACTGGCGTCAGTTCAGTTCAGCGAGAGTGGCTCACCCTGTGAGGCCAATAACGACCGGCCCAGTTTGTGTAGCTGGTGCATCGGCACATGCCTTGCCAGTAGCCATAAGCGCAGCCTTGAAGTCATTGAGATCGGTAAAGGAATACGGGCGCGGAAGGTGCTGGCTGTGAGCTTACAGCGAGTGCACTGTTACTTACCAAAAGTGGATGAGCGACGCCGCGCTTCAGAAGCGCCAGACCAGTCAGACTCAGAGCCTCGCCTGCTCCAACAGCTACACACTGTCAACGCAGATCATGACAGACAGACTTACCTCCCGCATACCACCCGAAAGCAGCGACTCGTTTGAGTGAACCGTCCTTCGTGGGGGCGGTCAGCAGCTCGTGGTCGATCAGGGTCTGCCCCGCAGTTGGAGGAAGGAAGGAGGACAGGAGCGCAGTGTTGTACGGCTGTAGAAGGCATGGTCAGCTTGGATATGGCAGTCACTAAGCTGTAATACGATCAATGCTCACCTGGCCTTTGTGGGTGTGACTGAACATCATCCAAGTGCGCTTCTTGCCCTTATCGGTGTCGATGATGTCACGGACGTCCTGGAGGCGGGGCTCCTTGATACCAAGAACGACGTCGACTTCACCTGTGAGCTTGGGAACTATGCGAGCTCCAGCCTAGAGAATGGTTAGCTCTTCCATTTCGGATCACGAGTTGCCGCCGATCAAGGCCGTCGAGTCTCATCACGAGTCGCGTCCTCTTGCCACTCACCACTTTGTAGGCCTCGTCCGGGAAGCAGCGACGCGCACAGCTCTCAACCTCAACACTGGCTGTACCCGCCAGCTCGCGGACCGCGTCAGGCGTCAGTGGGGCACGGCGTTCCCATACGCGACGTGGATCCTCGCGGCGGATACCCAGCGTAGCGAGTGATCGCCGGAAGCGGGGCAAGTGGGTCGTGGAGAGTGATGGTGGCCTGGGTGGCAATGTGGAAGAAAGGGAGAGAAGCCGTGAGGCCGGACGGAGCTGAGTGAGCACCATGATGAGTAGTTCGAGTGAGGTAGAGAGTAAGACCAAGACAACGAGATGACTGTCCCCTGTTACATACCAGCGTGTCTCCCTTGTGCTTGGGGGGATGGCAACGTGATGGAGCAGCCCGTGAGGCCGTGAATGTCACCAGCAATCCCGGTGTACCGCGCGTCGCTCGGGGGTCTCCACAACAACTCAGGGCATGCGACACGCGAAGACGCTGATTAGATCTCGTATTGAGGGACTGAATGGGCATTAGAACAACGAGGACAAGGTGATAATGACAACAGCTAAGCGCGTTTGTCTCATGACCTGTTGCCGCAAGTCGTTGCTCGGTTCGGTACTTGCCATCTTGTTTCCGCGGAATTGGAGAGCCGGGCTCCGCGGGATTCAGCGCATATGGACCATGACGTCTCAGATTGTGCGTCGGCCGCGTCCGATGTCCGATGTGGACGGAAGGAACGGAGGTGGACGAGACATGCACGACCGCGAGGCGCGAGGCGAGACCTGAGAACATGTTGACAATTGACAGGTAATACGGAAGCAAGGTGTGGAAGGAAGTGAGGAGGAAGACGAGGAAAGCCCGAGTGGTGTTATACTCCCGCGCGCAACGTCCAGTCAACCGGGTGGAGGTTGTCCCAACAGTGACCATCAACAACAACAAACGTCCAACTCTTACCCATCATGCCCCCACTCGACGGCATACAACAGCAAATCTACTACGAGCGCGGGGGGCGCAAGGTCCGCTACCTCCTCCTCTCGACTGTCAAGTCCGGACAGTGGGAGGTGGCTCTTTGGGCTAATGTGGAGGGCAAGCTGCAAGTCTGGGCCGGTGACGGAGACGTGAGTAACGCGTCTTAAGGCTCGCTATTCTGGCCTCTCCCAACGAGCTAACAACGCATGTTGCAGGCCACTCGTTCTTCTGAGATCATCGACTCGATCAAGGGAGGCATGATTCATGTCGAGGAGCGCGGTAACAATGGACTCAAGGTACAGTCACTTCTTCGCCCGTGATCTGACATCGACGTCAGCTCGTGATACACGCGCCCAAGACACCAGTCACCGTCTACCTCGACTCGGAGGACACTGTAGCCTACCTGCCTAAACTCCTCGACGGTGCCTTTGAAGTGAGTTGCGACGTCTACAGATATACTAAAGCACATACACAGGTGCTCTCGCGTCCGGAGAAAGACAACGGTGAGTCGGCCCCTTCGTGTCTTCCTTCACCACATCGGGGTGCAATGTGCAGCGATGCTGTACAGCAATGGAATCTTGGCTCACACGAATAGGCGAATCACGTGTCCTGGCAGCGAAGCTGGAAGAAAGAGAGGCGCGTACGAAGAGCCTGTCACTTCTGACTCATCCAGGCCGAGATCACCTCCCTCACTGCCAAGCTGGTCAACCTGCGTGCGACCCTTGCCCGCCAGCCGGGAGGACCCAGTGGCAGCCAGGGCGGGCGTACTAATCGTGAGAACCTAACTGAGCTTTCGTGCTGACTCTCATCAGCGACTACACCCCCGAAGAAGATGGCTGCGCCGCCTGCCAACGCAAGCAGACTACAGCCCAACCAGAAGAGGTCAGCTTCGACGGGTTCGTGGAGCTGACATGACAGGCGCAAGATTCAAGAGGAGGAGTTTGCTGGCAGCGACGACTCTGATGACTCTGATGACTCTGACGAGTAGAGACGACACGGTTTTGAGCTGGGTTGGCGTTCGCACCGCCCAGGCAACCATCCGTCAAGGCAAAAACAACTGGGAACCTGTGTTATAGTCATACATACGTGTACATTGTATCCTCCTCATGCTGTGTAAACAAGACCCACTCTGAGCACTGTACATGTTCTACGCCGCGCCAATACCCTTGACACCCCATTTCTTCCTTCCTTCCCTCGTGTCGGCTCGTCGATAATCCACCAGACCCAGCTCGGCAGGAATATCACCTCTCTCGGACGCCGTCAATTTCATAAACTCGAGCACGCCTGCTGTGACCTTGGAACTTGGTGGTGGCGGTGGGGGAACAAGGTCGGGCTTGTACGTCCATGGATCTGGAAGAGCGGGAGCGCCATCCCAAGCGTACTCTGGTGCCTTCGCCAGCTTGGGTTTGACGTCGCCGTCGCCTTCCGGGATGGAGGCGATGTTGATAGGCGCTGCGGGTTCTGGGGGCTCTTCGGACGTGGGAAGAGTGACACCTGTAATCCAGTTAGGCCCATTGAGTACGCTTATTGAGTACTGGATACCTACCTGCACGCTTGCGCTTTGCTTCTCGTCGCAGACTCCTAACGTCCCATCCACTGTCTTCATGAGCGGCAAAGAGGTCCACCGCATGTGGGAGGCTACGGCCTGAGAGACGTGCATAGTCGTGTGCATTCTCAAATAACCTCTGGATGTCTGATGGTATGGTCAGCTACAATAGTCGAGCAGCCGACTGTGAGATGGGGGAAGGTACACTCACGGTGCTCGAGCAGCCGTTCCATTTCAGTCAGAGCGCCGGCCTCTGCGCCATCAAACCCGCGTCGAACCAAGGTCTGGCCGATGACACGGTTCATGTACGCGGCCGCTGTGCCGGACTGGAGATGGGTATGTGGAGTGTTGCGCGAGTGAGCCATTTTGGCTGTTGTTGTTGAGTATGGGAAGGTGCGTGTCGCATCAACATGATCAACATGAACACACACGCGACTGATAACGAACCGCATCATTGAACATGCACACGTCATTATGATTTCGCCGGTCACTTGTTCGGATCGACTGCCACATTCCATCGTCATCCATCCACTCCATCTTTCTCAACAACAACCACCACCATGTCCGAAATGACAGACGCCCAGCGCCGTGCAGCGACACGCAAAGCCAAGATTCTTGCACGCGGCAACGCGGGTCTCCAGCGTCTCGCTGAGACCGCACGCGGCGAGGAGGCCGACATGTTGTACGGCGGTGACGACACTGCCAGCGCCGCCTCCAGCGCCGCACCCTCGAGGCCGGACACCCCAAGCGTTGAGACGCTCGCCAAGCCTGCCACCGCAACTGCGTCGACTACCACAGCTTCATCGTCATCCAAGCCCGCGCCCGCGTCCGCGTCCAAGCCCGCCGTCTCCTCCAACACCTCGGCTACTGCCGACCACCGCCCCGGCTGGGCACCGTCGACTGCTGCCTCTGGAGCTCGTCGCCCTGCTGCGGCCTCGGCCTCGACAGAGGAAGAGCAGATGCGCCAGCAGCTCGACGCCATGATGGCTATGCTTGGAGGTGCCGGTGCTCCCGGCGGCATGGGAGGCGGCGCGGGTGGACCTCCTCCCGACATGGCCAACCTCCTTGCGTCGCTCATGGGAGGCGCCCCTCCTCCTGGTATGGGCGGCATGGGCGGTATGGGCGGACCAGGCCTCATCGGTGACTCGCGCGAGGGCACCCCATCATCCAACCCCTTTGGCGGGATGGACCCAATGCAGAACCCGTTCGCCGGCATGCCTGGGTTTGACGGTGCTCCTGGCCAGAACCCCTTCGACGCCATGGCCGGTATGCCCGGTATGGCGGGCATGTTCCCCGGTATGGGAGCTCCAGTTCAGCCTCCTTCCAAAGCAGCGCGCTTCTTCCCCGCGATCCATGCGCTGTGCGTGCTCGCCTTGGTGGTGTTTGTCGCCGCTTGGTGGGAGCCGGCTCTCTACCACGTGTTTACCGGTCGCGAGAATACCATCGCGTCGTGGGCCGCCAGGTGGTCAGGTCTTGCCGGCAGGAGCAGTGCTTTCGCAGCCAAGATTCTCGAGCCAGTGGTGAGTTGAAGTGTCATGTCATGTCTGCGTGCCATACTAACTCGTTCTCAGCCCGTGTTCTACGCCTTTGTGACTCTTGAGCTCGTCCTCCTCGCTACGCGCGTCACGCTCGTCCGCACCCCTCCATCGCTCCACCCTCTGCTCGCCAACGTCCTCCCTCTCCTCCCACCCGCTATCGGACGCACCATCTCCACGGGCTCAAAGTATCTTGGCGTCGTGAACCAGGTGTACAAGGACGGCTGCCTGTTCGTATTCGGACTCGGCATGGCCATCATCCTCGCTGAGCTTATCTCCACTTAAAGGGAAGAGACAGCGCAAACGGTTTACGGGTTTACGGATCTGGTAGAGTATCATGCATTGGTGTACTGTACATTCTATACCTAGGTGTTTCTGCTCGTTCTCACTCCCACTCGCGCGGGGTCATCCACGACACAGTGAAGAGTGGGACCAAGACGGCGAAGACGGCGGGCCACGCGAGGTTTCCAAACATTTCCCACTCGAGCTTCAGCTCGCGGACCGCGGGCCAAAGCAACAACGCTGCAAGCGCGAATTTACCAAGTGGAACCTCAGTCTTTTGATCAGGAATTGGGATGGAGAAGATGGGAGAAAGGGCGAGGATGACCAAACAAGCGAGGAGGATTGCTTGGGGGAAGTTGACCATGGCGAGGGTTGGGATCAAGGCACCGTAGAACAAGTGTGCGAGAGCCAGAAGGCTCTGCCTCGCCGTTCCCTTTGGTTTGGGCATGACGAAGGAGCCCCCGACAAGCGCGACGGGGATGGCAGGGTTCTGGATCGCCCAACCTACCAGACCGGCGAGGACGGCAGGGATGGCCCACAACACACCTGCAAGAGGGTCAGGACAGTCAAAGCCCGCAATGGTGACTGACGCTCCCAGAATCACAGCTGCAGGTAGATAGTGTCCGACCGGCAGGAAATAGTCTGGGTGGGGGAGGAGGTAGAAAAAGAACGAGGCGTGCAGGCGTTCAAGGAGGTTGTTGAACGAGCGCAAAGTAGACTCGATCGTCCGACCCAGAGTGTAGAACCCATGAGGTCCCTCGGCGGGGACACCATACAGTGTGATGGCATCGATACGGTGCTTGGCGAGCACACCGTGTGCAGCTGAGGGACGGCCGAGGGCGGCAAACTTGACATGCGCGACAAGGTGCTTGAGACCCGTCAGGTAGTTGACGTAGGGGCGGGCTGGGAGCGAGTGCAGTGCCGGGTCGGCACCACCAGACCACCGAGCGACATGAGCGGCAGTGTTGATGACATCTTGGTTGGGAAGACGGCCGTTCACTCCCTCTGCAAATCGTTAGCCCACTCCGTTTCCTAGCACTCACCATAGTAGATGCCCAAGTGCGAGAACGAGTGGTAAGGATAGTCGAGGTTCAGAGCCGTCCAGATATTCGCTCGTGGGTTGTAAGATGTCATAAAGTCCTCGAGACCCGCAAGGTAATCGTCTCCGACGACAAGGAAGATGTCGAATGCCCAGTGGGTTTGCCTCCTGAAGAACTCGGCAAGAGAGAGCAACATGGCGACACCGCGAACATTGACCGCACTGGCGTCCCTTGAGAGCCAGTTGGCAGAGATCAGAATCGCTTCAGTACCCTCAGATCGTGGAGGTGCTACGCGCGCAAACGCAGCCGACGTAGTGTTGCCGCTCTCATGGCCTGCGAGAGAAAACTCGGATACGAGGTGTGTCTTGATCGTCTCCCAGTCGGCATTGTCGTCCCGTAGCCGCTCGAGGTCCGCGAGGTAGGTGTCTGCCTTCTGCACGTTGTCCCAGTTGAAGTACATTGATACCTGTGCAGGCTGAAGAGCGTGTTCATCGTGGAAAACACCCTTCCACAGGAATGGATGTGGGAGGAGGAGGATCCATACCACGCCGATGACGGTGAGGATGGTTCTGGATATGTCAGCTCTGGTCGGCGACCATATAACATACCGTAACAGCCACAGCTTCTCCCAGATCTTGCTCACGACCCTCTTATTCCGTGCCAGCTTCTTCCCCAGCGCGCGTTGCTCCGGAGTCAAGCTCCTGTCATCGTTGGGCGACAGGTCCCTGGAGTTGGTTAGCACTGGCTGAGGGGTATGTCTATAACGCACCGGAGGCCGAGCTTGGCAAGCAGCTTGTCGACGAGGCGGACCCGTTGCGCAGGCTTTGGGCTGTCCGCAGTCGCAGCTGGGGTCACTGCTGCGCTCTTATCTGACATGGTGGCTGAGAGAGGAGTTGGAGGGATTGAAACAACAACGAACACCCACTCTGCGTCAGCAGCTGTTCGTCGTCATCGGATTCTGGCGGTCAGACACACCATTAGAACGAGCTTGTAATAGTACAGAATTGGATCCGCTAATTTAGTTTAATAGAACGGTCGCGCGCCAGGCACGGTCGCGTAAATGATCGGGTACGCGTCTGATTTCGCGCGTGGGCGTCTCTCTTTCGTTGTTGTTTAGTTCATCTCCTCTCTAACTCGTTCAACGTCCCCAGTATCCTGTCCTACAGTGCCATCATGACAGAGTATATCTCAGTCATCCCTGACGGTGGGTGGAGTATTTGGTGCGTGCGCTAACGCAGCAGATATTCAGCCTGGCGCGGAGCACCGCTACCTCCGGCTCCCTCACCCACGTACAGGTAGGTTGTTGACGCCTTCTACCGTTGCTGACCTTGTAGGCGCCTCACAGCTGTACCTCCCCTATAACACAGGCAACGGAGGATTGTGTGAGGCCATCAAGGTAGGCGGGGCGAAGGGCCGGACGTGGTTCATCGGCGACGACAACATTTCCCGTTGGTACCTGTCTGCGGGATGGCGCTAACGCGTACAGAGGGGAGCTTGCTGGTACACAACCCCATCGACCCACTCTTTGTCGCTATCCCTATTGTGCTAGCGCTGCTTCCCGTGAGTCTGGTTTCCTTTTGCTTGGCAACAAAACTCCATCAACTAACTCTCGTCTACAGAGCGACGACCGCACCGCCCCGTTCCAACCCCTGCCCGACCTCCTGGCCACCGCTGCTGGATCCGAAGCGTTTGCTCTCAAGCCTGCGTTCTCCCCCACTGCCAACGCTGAGCTGTGGAACCCCGACATGTCCCGCCTGGTCGAGCACAAGCCCTTCCGCCGCGCCTTCCGCGCTTGCTGTGACCGCAAACGTAGGTCGCGTCTTTTTCCTGGTGGATTTGCCTGACCCACGCAGTTATCGAGGCTGTCGCCCAGGAAGGCGAGACGTCCAAAGCCAAAGACAGGGCATACTATCGTCCTTCGCGCGATGCTATTCTGCGTCTACTCAAATTCAAGGTCGACAACTTGGCCCACAGCAAGGAGTTTGGCAAGTTTGACCACTTGGTCCGTGGGCTCGGCCGTGACGGGCTCTTGACCGCCGGCAGTGATGAGAAGCTGGTAACTGGTAAGCTTCACTCGGTTTGAAAGCTGGACTAACGACCTTAGCTGCTAGGACCAAGGCGTCCATTGATCAGATCGCAAACTACCTGCCACCAGTCCTTTTGCCGCTCCTCGTCAAGGAATACGAGTAGGTTGTCTTGCACGTGTTTTGTAACATGAGCTAACCTATGGCCAAGCTTTGCGGCACTCGACGAATACCTGAGAGACCGCGCGGCGGCCGCCGTGGCTGCCGCTGCTCCTGTTATCAACGGCAAGGGCAAAGACAAGGGCGGAGCGGCAGCCAAGCGTAAGGCTGCGAGCCAGAACAGCCGTGGAGTGGAGGCTCTCAAAAAGGTCAAGACGGAGGGCATGTCCAAGATGACTAGCTTTTTCAAGCCAAAGGAGAAGAAGTAGAGTAGCAGGTAGAAAGAGGTTTCGGACTGGTTACCTATGCGTGTGCATTGTGGGCATGTACTTGTATCTATGTACAATGGATGAAAGGAACAAGATTGTTCAGGCGTGAAGTGAGAAATGGTTTATGGTCTTGTATGTCGACCACACAAGTACATACAGTATGGGCGGGCATGCGGTCATTGATGGTCGTGATGGGTGAAATGATAAATGTGAATGGTCCGTCGATGCAATAACGGGACAAGATAGAAAAACGGTGGAGAAACAGCAAGCCTGTCCGCTACCGGCGCTCGCGGTTGCGGAATATGCTGGCGCCGAGGGAACTCAGGCCTTGGTCGTCAGCCTCAACCTGCTGTTTGCAACGAGAAACTCACGGCTTGTGCGTCCTGATGGCTCAGGCTCGGGCGGCGCAGGCGGGAATGCGCACGGCCTGCCGGTCCATTCGCGGGGCTGGACGGCCGCATAACCACCAACACCGACGCTCCCGCGCCTACTGCTCCCGGCAGCTGTCGCTAGCGAACTGACGCTAGAACGGTGTTGGAGGACGCCGACACCTAAAGAAGAGAAGACGACGGATTCGGGGATACTCGTGCGTGCTAGCAGTTCGTCGTCGTCGCTGTCAGACGCTAGAGTCTCGTTGGCCAGTGAGTGCGAGGTCGAGAGCGGCGGGGTTGGGATGGAGGGGTGGTTCTCTTGTGACTGGGAGTAGGAGTAGGATGGGAAGCGGTTAACGTGGGGGGAATTGGGTCGGTCTGAGAGGACCTCTATGTGGGTCAGCACCAAAAGTGATGGGAGAACCTACGCATTCGCATTGGCCGAATGATGGCGCGAAGCGTCGCAACTTCCTCCAGTATCCGCAAGCTCTCCGTCGTGATCCGCCTGCCAACGTCAGCTGTGTCATCCACAATCGGGCCGGCAACTCACACTTCGCTTCGGCGCTCTGCGGCGTCCAGGCCGGCGGCGAGGTGGATAATAGCCGACCGGAGCGCTGCACAACCTTCGGTCTGGTATGCGCTGGGACCGGGTAGTCGGCTCACCACCCAGTCGGTATAGGACATGCCCGAGGGGGGTTGAAGGAGAGTGCTACCGGAACGGAGGCGTGTCTGGGCCGCTGTAGTCGATTCGGAAACCGCAGCGGGCGACACGTCCGGTGGTGGAACAGGGGTAGCGTCGGCGTCTTCGGCCACGGTGCGTGGGCTGTCGCTCGACATGTGTGATGAGGTCGAGGTACTGCCCTCTGGTGCGCCCTCCTGGGCAGAACGTACCAACGCCGGAGGATGCTGAGGACTCGGAGGTGCCGACGCTGAGATGTCGACGACAGGTTGGTCGTCGCCGGTGGCCCAGAGACTCCGCGGGACGATCAGACCACGGCGCAAACCCCACAGCTGCGACCGCAGCCCCTCATTCTCCGCCTGGACTTGTTCAAACTTGCGCTCGAGGGCCGTGAACCGCGCTTCTGTTATCGTAAAGAAGCTCGACATGGCCTCAAAGGGACAGCTTGCCAAGTGGTTCTCCAGGCTTTGTCGTGACACGATTGAGGCGCAACCGCGGTCGGCATGCGAGCATGGGACAGGGGCAGAGGGGCATGTCCATCTGTGAAGTGCTGGTCGTGTCGTAAGAGGGTCGCCGCAGAACTCGCACTTGTCTGACGCACACTCGCCGTCGGCATGTGGAGGGCAGCTTGAGTGCGCGTGGTCCTGTGTAGGTCAGCGACAAGCCGATGCAACTTTTGACCTACCTTCGCCTCTTTGAAAGTAAGAGTAATGTCACATTTGCTGCACGCCATGCGTCGCTGGAAGCACTCATACGCTCGGTGGTGGGGCATGCGGTGGCGGGCCATCTGCGGTTTGTCAGACGGACGCACCGAGAGGACCATGACCCAGGAGCTGGGGGACGTACTGAGAGACCGCAGCTGTCGTCGCCGCACGTGACGACTGCCTGCGTACATGACCGGATGTGGGAGAGGAGGAGCCCGCGCTGCATCACCTTTCCACAGCCCTCAGCCTCGCAGCGTACCTGGAGCTCATCGAGCATGAGCTGAACCAGCGGCTCGGTGTCCTGCAACGAGCTGGGTGCGAGGGCGCTTCTGTCGATCGGACATGAGGGGTTGTGTTTGAGTGCTTGGGTTATACAGTCGCGACAGAATGTGTGCTTGCAGCTCGCAGTTGTCACCGGGTCGACAAGAGCAGACTGGCAGATCGCACAGGTCTGTACCGGGTTGTATGGTCAGTGCGGTTTCTCGGCGGGGGTGCTGGAGATGGGTGGATGGCGGCGACGTGCGGGGCGGCGACGGATGTGTGGGTGGTGGAACGTACGAGGTTTGGATCTACGTCTTCGACGTAGTTGTACACGACCTCTGGACGGAGCATGTGTAGAAGAACGAGGACAGAGATGTGGGCAACCAAGGAGTGGGGAGACAGAAAGATGAAAGATGAAAGAGGTCGACGACGGTTTGTCTTGGCTCGCTGGCCGGCTGGCCCGGCGTTGTGCGCACAGAACGCGTCTCAGTGCGCGGCTTGCCAGGGGGAGCCGAACAGTCTCGCCGCTCAGCTTTGTGCAGTGTCAAAGGTGACGCCTCCATACACTCTGTATGTATGCACACAGTCCGTCCTTCTCACGCACACCGCACACGTGCATGCATCTACTGGAACTTGCACACGACATGCACTGCTCTCTGGAGAGGACGAAGGATCCAGAAATCTTGGCACCCAGGGAGCAGTAATGACGTCGGCCCTGTTCCAGCCTACGCTGCGATATCCTTTCGCCTTGTGGGCCCTGGCAGTGAGACGAGCGGCGACGGCCGTTCACGGCCGTTCTTGGGTTCCATAAGCCATTCGTGACCAGACTGACTACCGCAAGATGACCCCTGTGCGCCAGTACAAGATGCATGCAGTCTAAGATGCAGTAGTTTGATGGGAGCTACAACGCTTTGCTTGCTCTTGGGAACGTTCCATCCGCGGCGTGGCGTCACGCCATGTTCCGGAACCCCAGTACTCGAAACCCCATTACTCGACGCCAACGACGTCCCAGTCAGTGATCTGATTCCCAATGTCAGCAATCCTGCGAGGAATGTACAAACAGTGCCGCTTACGTGGTACTCGTCAAGACCGTCCAGCTGGGTCTGTCAGCTCTTTGTGTCCTTCGAGTCGTGACTCACCTCCTTGATGTCCTCGTCGCTGATCTCAAAGTCGAAGATGTTGGCGTTCGATTCGATACGCTTCTGCGACACCGACTTTGGAATGATCACGTAGCCCTGGTGGTCAGCTGCTGCGACGGATGCCCGCTCAGCTCACATGTTGCAGACCCCAGCGGAGGAAGATCTGGGCGGGCTCGCGGTTGTACTTGGCGGCCATCTTGACTATGACGGAGTTGTCAAACTTGGTCGCGCGGGCAAGAGGAGCCCATGCCTGAGAGGTCAGTCTACTTTGAAGCGAGGACAGTGGACTGCTCACCTCGAGTAGGATGTCGTGCTTTTCGCACAGCTCGACAATGTCCGGGTGGCGCATGAACGGGTGGAGGTCAATCTGGTTGACGACGGGGAGCTCGACGCCGGCATCAACCATCTCCTGGATGTGCTTGGCACCGTAGTTGGACACACCGATAGACTTGCACAGGCCGGCCTTCTTGGCGTCCACGAGAGCGCGCCAGAGCTCCTTGCGCGAGTCGGGACCACCAATGGGCGAGTGGAGGAGGTACAGGTCAAAGTAGTCGAGACCCGCACGGCCAAGCGACGCCTTGAGGTCCCTCAGCGCCGCGTCGTAGCCACGGTTGTGCATGAGCTTGGAGGTGATGTAAATGTCCTCGCGCTTGGCGCCGGAGCTCTTGCAAAAGTCGGTGAGAGCGCGGCCAACTTGGCCCTCGTTCTCGTACCTGAGCGTCAGACATTGTAGAACCCATAACATACCACTCGGCAGTATCAATGTGCTTGTATCCCGCCTCAAGAGCGCCCTTGGTTGCCGAGTAGGTGTCGGCGTCGTTCATCTCGTAGACACCGAGACCGAACTGAGGGATGGTGCGGCCATCCAGCATCTGGAAAGAGCGAGGTTAGCGGGTTCATCCGACGCGCGATGCCGGTAACTAACCTTGAGGGTGCCCACGAGGGACTTTACGGGCGACGGAGCAGGCATTGTATGACAAGGATGCGGATGGGTGAGATGAGAGTTGCAGTAAAAGTCGTGGGCATGAATTAGCCCTTTGAGATACCCGTCGAGACGCGTGGGAGGCACGATCAGCACGTCATTTCGACGACGGAACCAAATAATAAACAACCGGCGGACGATAACAAAGGCGGGGCCAAAAAGACACACACAAAGAGGTGGAGGTTGCTCTGGCTTTTCGGAAACTTCTGCCCGCCTTGTCGTTGTCGTCATCATCCACCCTCACCAACATCCACCCAGCCATGGCGTCGACAGAGCCCATCACGGCATTTGTGTCCTTCCCCTCCCCTTACACCGAGACGCTCCTCGTCCGCGCTCTTGCCGCTACCCTTCCCGCCGTCTCCATCAGCAATGATCCCCCTTCAGAAGAGAACCCTCCCAAGCTGCAATGGTGAGCTAGAGTTTCCAATTCCCGTTCCAGCTGGCCTGCTGACATGCAGGGCCGACTACGACCTGATGACCTTTGACAAGCCCCACGCCAATGACTCATACCTCATCTCGTCATACGTATACCGCAAGGCCCTTATCCGCAAGCACCAACTGCACACCACTGTGGCCGAGTACCTCGCCAAGTCGAGCCACAGGGGCGAGAGCAGCGTTCTTGCTGCGCCGGCTTCAGGTGGTGTCGGCGGTATCCCGAAGGGATGGACTGTGGACGTCCAGTTTGCCGACGAGCTCGACGAGCTCCTAATGGACGACCTGTACGAACTCCAGGAGACGATGGACGCCAACGCCCAGTTGGGAGACGACGAGGAAAGGCAGTGGTTTATCCTCAAACCTGGGTTTGCGGATCGCGCGCAGGGCATCAGAATGTTCTCGACCGAGGATGAGCTGTGAGTTGTATGGCTATCAATGGCTGAGCTGACCACCAGGCGTGCCATCTTTGAAGAGTTTGAGCCACCATCAGACGACGAGGACGACGAGGATGACGAGGATGATGACGAGGATGATGACGAGTCGGCTTTGGCCAAGCAAGCAGCTGCGACCAACCTCGACGACGACGACGACGACGAAGAGGGCGGTACCAATGTCCTCATCTCGCAACTGCGACACTTTGTCATCCAGGTGAGTAGCCAATCCGCCCATTGACCAGCTGACCTGTCCAGGAGTACCTTCCCCGTCCCATGCTGTTTGACCTCGAGGAGAGCGCGACCTCACCGGCGGTGCTTGGCCAGAAGGTGAGCTTTGTCGTTTCCGCACACCGAACTGACATGCCAGTTCCACCTCCGCGCATATGCCCTCGTCACCGGCGGCTGGACTGTTCACGTCGCGCACACCATGCTGGCCCTGTTCTCGGGAGCGCCATACGCATCGCCGCAAACCGTCGATGGCGAGCTCGACCTGCGGCCACACCTGACAAATACGTGTCTCCAGACCGACGGGTTCGGTGCACCTGTTGTCCAAGACGACCTGGTCCGCTTGTTCTGGGACCTCGAGGGTCTAACGGCGCTCGCGGCAACTCCCAATGGCAGGTATGCACCCCGTGGCAAGGTCACAGCCGAATGGCTCGAGGCAACGTTCGCCAAGGTCGGCGCAGTCATTGCCGAGTCGGTCAAGGCGGGTGCCGAGTGTGGTAGCTTTGGTCTGCAGCTCATGCCCAATGCTTTCGAGGTGAGTCTGATGTACACTACCCTCCTACTCTGATATACGGCCGCTGATCAATGACAGATCTTTGGCGTCGACCTCATCCTCTCCTTCCCACCCACAACCTCGGCCTCCACGCTTCCTACCCCTGACGTTACTCTGTTGGAATTCAACGCGTCTCCAGACTTTCAACAAACTGGCGAGACACTCCGCCACAAACTGCTGGACATGTTCAAGGGCGTGGTCCAAATCAGCATTGCGCCGTTCTTTGGCATCCAGCGCGAGGAGGAGGAAGACCGCGAGAAGCCAATGGAAATCGGGGACGAGAGGCACGGATGGCGTATGGTGGGTAAGGGTGAGGTTAGGGGCAACTGGGGTCCCAACTAGGGAGCACGCACTGGACACATGCATAAGATAAACAACAGTGTGGGCCGTGGTAGTCTTTGGAGTTGTCAGAACGTCACACGTTGGAAGTGATGTTTTGGCTGATACCTACCAGTTGCCGAAGGTGGCGGGTGTGCCAGCGGTCGTGCAGGCCGCTGGTCGCCTTCTTCTTTCGAATTCAGCTAGGTTTACGTAGATTTATTGCAACACAATATGCGTGAAAGCTGATGTCAACAGGAGAGGTGGAAGCCAAACTGTGATTAGACACAGCCACATTTTTTCTTCTAAACTTGGTTGCCACCACTGATGCAGTGATCCACTGATCCGCTGAGGACGGCACATCCCCAAGCCGCCAATAACCAATTGGCCTGGAATGCGCCTAGGGACACGCCCAGAGTTCCAGAGATGACAATCCTCCGACGTATGCGGCAACCATGTTCTCTTCTATGGGCTTATCACCATCGCCATGCATTGCGACCAGTTTCTTGCCTGATTTCGGGTATATCGCCTTGTCTCTCTGTTAGGCAGAATTCTTGCTGAGCTGAGTGTCCTATCACTAGAGTTCGGCTGAAAAAGGCGACGCAAACGACCGCGGCGCCTGACCGTTTGGCAATAGGTTGGAGCGCATTTCGTGGGACACCCTGCAAAACGTGAACGATTGCAGGTCGACTGGTGTGGTTTTGCACCAATGCTTGGCCTAACTACCAAAGTGGACTGTGAGTTGCTTTTTGCGTTATCAAAAAGATTCCGACCCCGCTTGCGGCGACAGCCGCGGCACAAGGCAAGAAATGTTGACAGGCAAGAATTGCATGTTAGCCGTTCGTGGCGTATACACCGTGCCTGGGCATATGGTTTCTTTCTATCCCATCCAGCTACCTTTGGCTGCACCGGAGGGCCACAGCATGCAGATATCAGTAGTGGTAGAGACATTTTGGTTGGTTTTGCACCGCTTTTCCTTGAATGCAGTAGTCACGCGGCGCGAATTGTGGGGTGGAACGTCCCACAACGCATACGCATAGTGCTGCTGGGTCTCACCTAGGAGCATAATCTGGAATCCCCTCTGATATAGAACCGCTAGTGCATCTCGACGTGTTTGGCCGCACAAATGCATAACGTGCCAAGAATTCCTCCCGGGGAAGGTCTCTATGTGTTTCTCCAGCGCCCGTCAGACACGACGTGTGAAGCATTTCGCTGAGACGAGTGTATATTTGTGTTCTCCCTTGCCCGAGAGAAGTCCCTCTTTCTTTGTGTTCTCTGACCCTCCACGGAATGTATCGACATTTGCAGTACATAGTCTTCAGCATCAGACTTGTACATCCCTTCAAAGCTGACCATAAATTGGCGGTTTGGCCTGGTGTTTTTTATCGACCGTGGTAGACGTAAGAGAGAGCGCAAACAGATTTCGTGGATGGCGGCGCGACCCCAGCGTCTGTGAAATAAACACCACGCTGACCCTACCATCTTCACTGATACCACCATCTTCACTCATCCCATCATCTTCTTTTCATACAGTCCTTTGTTGGGTCCTCCAGCCATGGCCTCCACAACCACGAGATTATTCTCACAGTCTGTCGTCTACCTCCCTCTACAATGGTCTCTCCTCCGCCACCTCGCCAAGATCCTCGAGGTAAGTTTCACCTTCCTCGTCACTGGCCACTGGTCGACTCGTTACTGATACACCGCAGAATGGTGGTGCAAAGCTAGCATCCTCTTACAGGGAGCAGGGTGTGACGATCATTACAATGGTCTTTCCCACTCTTGAAGCGGATACATCCATGACCCGTCTCCTTCTGGCGGAATACCGCGCCATTGCCCTCGGTCAAGGGCGCGTTGGTGCGTCAGCGGTCGTGCCCACTGACTGGATATATTAGATATATTACCTCCTTTCGCACCAAGGCAAACCCAGCCTCCCCAATCCCCAGCTTGACAAGTTCAAGCTGAGCCTGTGAGGAACATGACGTATTCGCTCGGTTGATCCCTTCTAATATGTCAGGGCAAAGATAAACCGCGTAATCGAGATGCTCGACTCTTGTTCCTCTCCCGTCTCCCAACCCCCCAGCAATGGACCCGCGTTCCTCCAAGCCCCTACCGAACAACCTGGCGCGGTCGTTTTACGTACAGCCCCCGCTTCCCTGCCCCCGATTGCAGACACCTTATCGTCCAATACGGATTCTTCGGATCGCCATCGCTTTTCTCAGAGCCGCTCGTAGAGAGTTAAAGCGCAAGTTGGTCAACTCGACACCCGTCGCAGCCGCGAAACCCCGCCGCAAACGTATCGATGTGCTCGACGACACTACAGCGCCCTCCTCCCGCCGTCCAAAGATTTCAATGCCTATGGCAAAAGCTCTGAACACATGGTATACTGAGGAGGAGAAGCACACCAAGAAGAAGCCCCGCACAATTTCTCCCCTCACCCCACGGCGCCCCACCCTCTCCGTCACGATGCCGCCACCCGCCACGCCATCTCACCCGTCACCGTTGGCACCCAAAGGAGGACACATTTACCCACGTCCTTGGTGAGCGGGAGCAATCGGGGTCGACGCGTGGCGGTGGTCGCTAATCAACTAAACGGCGCGTTGATCAGGCCAGCTAATGATCTTCTTCCTTCCACTTTACGCAACACTGGCTAAAACATGGCCGTACTGTCCAAACCTCTCTTTAGCGGACACATAATCTATATCCCCCTGCACTTCTCGATGTTCAAGTGGGCCGCAGCGCTCATCGAGGTAAGTACTGCCTTCCTCGCCACCCTTCTCCCTGAGCATTAACGTGTACCTACAGAAATCGGGCGAACGTGTCACCACCTCGTACCGTGACACGACCACGACCATCATCTTGTTCGCTTTTCCGACGCTGGACGGCGACGCGGCAACGAGACGTATCCTTCACCAGGAATACGCCAACATTGCCCGTGTGCACAAGGATGGCAAGGGGCCCAAACTAGTCGCGATTGAGTGGCTACACTACATGGTCGCTAGCCAGATGCTCAACAAAGGGCCCTCACGGGCACAGGTCGAAAAGTTCTTGATGAGTCCGTGAGTAACGTGACAGGTTCTCTCGCCTGGGTCCTTCTAACCTTTCAGCACCAGGATTGAGAGCTTCTTGAGCGCGCTTGCACCTTCGAACACCACATCCTCCCACCACAAAGCGACGCCGTCAAACAGCGACCGTTCTCACGACAACAATACCAATTCTTTGCTTGGTAAAAGGTCCACTGCCATCACCCATTCGGAAATATCCCACCAGCACCACAAGAAGCAGCCACACACTGCCGTCCCGACCGAGACCTCTCCCATCCACCTGAACGACGACGGCGACAACACCGCTGATCCGCTGAGAAACGACATCGTGGCCGGCTATCTTGCTTCTTTCTCCGACTGCAACCTTGAATCCTCATGTCCTCTCTACATACCTTTCACCGCCATGGCATCCACCCTGATGCCATCCAGATTCGGCATTTACTTTCGCTTGCAACAGCCGACGTGCGCGTGGCTGGCCAGGTTAATCGCCGCACGTCACTGCCTTCTCGTCACCAGCTATGTATGTACCCACCCTCCTTGATCGCCGACGTACGTACAGGCGGCGGGGGCCACATGGCGTTATCACGCAGATATCAGAGTGGTTGGAGACATTCTGGTTGGTTTTGCATGCTTACATTCTGGTACAGAGTAATAATTGAAGGCCGAATGGTGGGGTGCAACGATGAATGGGCGGATGGGCCAAACGACGCATGCAACATATGGCCGACATTTGGCCTATGAGCATATCCTCTCTTATGAAGGAGCGCAGACGTCGATGTGATCAGTGGCTGAAGAATGCAGGACGTGCCAAAGAGTCCTCAGTGGAAGTGGGCAGTGGCTCCATTGACCGAAAAACACATAACGCGTTGAGGATTCTTCCCGCGATATTCTTAGTGTGTTTCGTCAGTGTCCGAAAAACGCATTACGTTGTGAATAATCTTCCCCATGAAATTGTCTATGTATTTCTCCAGCGACTGAAAAACACATATCGTGACAAACCTGTCTCGGGAATGGCTTCATAATGTGTTTACAGATGAGGGCGCGGGGCAATAGCTTCCGCCGGTCACGTCAACGCGTCCCCAACAAGATGATGTGAGCCGATACCTTCTCTCCTCTTGTCAACCACTTACCGTATTTCCTGTTCACAATGGCATCCACGCCGCTGCTATCGCAATTCACGATATACTACCCCCAACAGTCGTCCACGTTCAAGTGGATTACAAAGCTCATTACCGTGAGCACTGGCTTGCTCGTCACCAGCTACCCACTCATCGTTGACCGCTGACGTACTATACAGGCCGCCGGTGGCAACATTGCAATCTCACCCACGGATGGCAAGATTAATGTCATTTTGTTTGCCCTGCCGATTGTGGACGACGGAGCTGCCACGAGCACCGTCCTCCACTACGAGTACACGAAACTCATCGCTCGATTCAGCGGCAGAGAGGACACCCACATGCTCAGCGTCGAGTGGATTCACTTTGCCATGGCCGAGCATCTCCAGGAACACCCTCGCGAGAGCATGGAGCCGTTCACGATGGACGAGTGAGTGGCGTGACAGCGGATGCGCTGAGTTGAGCGACACTCTAACATGACTCAGTACGCGCATCCTGTTGGTGTTGCGCCACACGGTATCAAATGCGTCCTCATATCTAGTATTTAATCCTTGTAATTCCCGTATCTGTTCTTTACTCTGCATTCTTCTTCATTCTGACACATCCAAGCATTCTTCCAACGTCTTCTTCCTGCGCCGGCGGGTAATGACATCGGCGAGCACCCCCACAAGAAACGTCGCCTTCCGTTGGATACCCCAGATACATCCCGTGCGGCTACCAAGATTGTCACTCACGGCCACCTGCCCACAGCGGCAGCCCCCAACCATTTGTCCCGTTCGGCAGGTGACATCAAGACCACACGTACCGCTCCCCACAAGCGCCCCAACATCCCTCAGGCCCTTGCAATTGTCCAAAACACATGGTCCTCGAAACAGGAGCAGCACCAGAAAAAGCAGGATGGAGTACTCCGCCAGAGTCTGGCCGCAAAGGCCCACCTCGGGGAACTCCCCAAGCTGCCCAAGCTTCCTCCCCGACACCGCAATCTCTTTGTGACTACTAGGGACGGCACTTTCGCACGAGTTGTTCCCTCTTCGTCCGCCCCACCAACCAGCTCACAGACCGACAACCACACCGGCCCGTCGCACGGCCGACCTCCCACAATGTCGAGTTCCTCCCCAACCGGCTCGACAGCCACCACTACCATGGCCGCCACTGTCACGCCGAACGGGCGCGCCAGCCAAGACTGGCGGAACGCACTTCTCGGCAACTGGCGGCCCAAACCCAAGGCCGACAAGCCCATTGCACTTGAAAAGTGGATTCTCAACCAAAAGCAGTCGCTTAACCTTAGTGGCTAATGGAGAAAGGGAGTGCGTGAGCCTCCACACGGAACAGGAGCCCTAAACTCCACAGTCAGTGGGACCTAAAAGGCGTGCGGGGCGGCGAGACCGGTGTGAGAGAGAGACTAAATTAGCAGGACAAGGCGCGGACTGGGGAGGAAGGTACAAAATGCAAGAGAGAGAGAAGGAAAGTCAGACAGAGAGCCAGAAGGTGCTATGCAACATGCGCATGACTAGTACAAGAGCATCTCCAGGTGTCGCCAGGATGCTCGCACCTCCGATCCCACCTCAGTGTGGGGCACCATCAATTCTTAACACTGGGTAGAGTAGGAGGGTGTTGGTGGACCGTGTAGACACCCATCCATGCACACCCCAAGTTTGGATATCTTTGTCAAAATATGCGTTAATTCCGGGTTTTGTGGCACAAAAATGGTCGAAAACTTTCACAACATCTTGTACCGTCGAGCAGACGCTGGAAGGTATCTCTTAGTCTATGTATCGTCTCGTAACAACAACACTGGTGCTCTTCGGTGACGTTTACAGTCTACCTGACCGTTGCGAGGTTCGCGTGACCCCGCTTGTACAGGCAAGCTGACCGTGACCAGGGCGTATGGGCCACTCTCGCCACACGCAAGAAATTCCCACTGCATGCGGTGCTCCTCCACGCAGCAGGATCCTGCTTCGGTGACACCACGTTGCTCCATTGTGGTGGCACGCCGAACATGATGACACGGAGCTCATTACCCAGTGTCAGAATGAGGAAGTATGAAGAGTGAATAAATGAAGTTAGGGAAATTGCCATTTAAATCGAGATCTGACGATAAATTTGATACCGTGTGTGGCGCCCACCAACACCGAGGACTATGTCAAACGCTGCTTCGACCATGACTGCCGTTTGGACTTGAGCGAGGCTCAGATCCTGGTGTGAAGAAGAGCAGCAGTATAGGTGCGATGATAGTGTTTGGCATGCATATAGAAGAAACGAACCCGGAGGTATGGAGCTAGTGAATCCTTTCACCAAGGCGGCACAGAGGACAGACACGCCACAAGGGCGCGAATCGTATACACATGGTCAACGGGGCGCAAATGATGGGACTCGCGTATGGAATGACCCCTTGCGCCCATGGCAAATGATCAAAAACACATAGAGGATTGGTGGGGGCCTCGTGGGGGGGGTCTCTATGTGTTTCTCAGAGGGGCGTTAGTTATGTGGCACCTCGGTATAGACATCTGCTTGGACCAAGCCGCAAACGCGCCTGTAACTGTCTGCAGTGGCTGAACGCACCAGGGATTCCAGTGTTGGCACGATGCGATGCATATAACGTAGAAGATCAAGGCCACGTGCCCCTTAGTACAGTATGCACCTTCTTGCTGATAGGTGGCAGTTTCAGCCCGTAATTTTTCACCACCTGTTAGTTGGGACGCGGACGCATTCCACATCCAACACGGTGGCTGGTCCTCCAGAGGGTACCGATGACGGGGGTGTTAGTGTTGTGGTGACTTCAAGTTGGTTCGGCTAGCGTTCCTCCGTCTAACGCTCGTCAGCTGAGCATGATATGTGGCCCGATTGGTCCTTGATGTCACGAGCTTGGCAACATGCGCCCATGTATTGCTTCAGATTTGAATTCGAAGGTCACAGGATATCAGGACCACACAATGAACACGTACATCGAGATGGTGCGAAATCCAGGATAAGTTGCTAACGAGTGCCAGCCCCAGCGACTGTCCGCCCCAGAACCGTTGGGCACACCGGGAGGGGGGCAGACAGAGGTAGCACCAGTGTAGTCGGATTCACTGGTCGTCCTTGATATCACGAGTGCCGTTAACCAGCGTTCCGTGCAGTAATACTCACTTGGCCTCACTCCAGCCTCCCCAGTTCTGGCAGGTCCCTCAACGTGGCGTACAGCATGGTCGTGCTACGATCCAGCGAGAACTGGAACGCCGCCCTCCTCCTCAGCGAAGGTGGCGATGCCATCGATGGCCCCACACACGTTTTCCGGGTGAGTCCGGGTGGGTTCCGGCTGGTTCGCTGCAGCGTGTCCTCCATTAGCATGGCGCGGGAGCGTCTAGGTTCGTGATGTCGCTGTTCTTTCCACAGCAGACTGGCCGCTCGCGCTCCCTTCCAGGAACAAGGAGAAGAGGTGGCGAGTAGCACGAGATAGCTCCTGGATCTCGCTTTGCTGATACCTGATACACTGTGCATAGCTGTCGAACAGCAGGCAACCAAGTTTGAGAATGTAGTCAGATGAACGTAAGATCCATAACGACACACTAAATCTACCAGCACGCTTGACAAGGATACATAGTGTGCCAGGCTTTGCCTTTCGACTCGGTTTCGCAATGCTTTAGAAGGGCGGAGCCTTGATTTTGCGCTGGTTGATAGCCGCCTCGGTCCACCATGCAAGGTCGTCGGCAAACGTCGGGAATGACCGTGCAAGGGAAGCGCCAGAGTCGCCAGTCGGCTCGTCATTTTCGTTGAGTGTCTTGGTGATACCGCCAACGGCAATGGTGCTCGAGACGACAATCATGCCCATCTCTGACAGCATCGCATGCCATACGAAACTGGAGCGTGTGCCGCTGAACCTGCCGGCCGAGTAGCTCGCGATTGCGGCCGGACGCCAGAACCACTCCTCGAGAAAGTGGTCGGTGAGGTTCTTGAGACCAGGCTGGGGACCCCAGTTGTACTCGCCCGTGACGAATACAAACGCATCAGCAGCCTTGATCTTGTTGGCCAGCGTCTCGAGGTGGGTTGGAGCCATGCCGGGAGCGTATTCCTTGTACATTTTGTCGAGGATGGGAAAGTTGCAAACCTTGGCGTCGATAAGCTCGGCATTGGCTCCGCGCGCCTGGAACTGCTTGGTGAGGTAGTTGGCCAGGCGGATACCCGCGCGGTCGGCGCGGTAGGACCCGTAAAATAGAAGGATGTTGTGGGGAGAAGCGGGCATGACGATGGGAGAACTGACAGCGTCCGATGTTGGATATGTGTCGTTATCACAGTGACTTCCCATGCAAGATTGGAAAGATGGTGATGACGTCAGACCGCGACCTCCACTTTCTGGAAAGTGTGCCGAGTGTGGTGGGGGGTCCTGCGGTTCTGAGTACTTTCGCACGGTCGTACGGTGCCTCTTGTTTCCACGTGGGAATGCCTCCGCCCCCATGCCCCTGGTGGAGGTCGTCTCTCTTGATCTCTTGTGTTCCTTCATGACGCATCGACGTCCTCTCCTCTCACCATCACCCAAACCATGTCGCAACCACTTGAAATCCCAGTACCACGGTAAGCCACGGCCGCTCCCGCTCTTCCCAGGAGCTGACAGTTAGACACGACTTTTACCAGACTCCCGCGCAGGTGACCGTCTCCCTCTACATCAAGGGCTACGCGGGCCTGGATGTGCTCGTCAACTACCACACGAGCAGCGTGGAGGTTATCCTTCCTCCTCGCGGCGAGGACCCCAGCCAGAGCTTTACGCTTACCCCTCTGGCGGGGCACATTGCTCCAGGAGAGTGCACAGAGCGCGTGCTGGGAACAAAGGTGCGTACATGCCATGTCTTCGCTCACCGCTCGGTCACGACGCGTACTGACGCCACAGATCGAGCTCAAGCTCGCCAAAGACGAGCCGGTCAACTGGCCCACCCTTGTCGGCACGGGCGCACCCATCACTCTCTCTGCCGTTCCCTTGACTTCGACACCCACCGCTGGCTCCTCGTCGTCCGCTCCTGCCGCCGCGCGTCCCGCAAAGAAGAACTGGGACAAGCTCGCTGCCGACCTTGATGATGACGACAGCGAGACTCCGGCCAAGGATAGTGCCGACCCCAACGCTGGCGGTGATGCCGCTCTCCAGAAGCTCTTTGCCGGAATCTACGCCAACGCCGACGAGGACACGAAGCGTGCCATGATCAAGAGCTTTACCGAAAGTGGAGGTACCAGCCTCAGCACCGACTGGAGCAGTGTCGGCAGCAGTAAGCTAAGGCCATGGAGACGGAGCTGACAACCAGACACAACCCCCGTCCGCCCTCCTGATGGCATGTACGAGATGAAGATGTAGACAAGCGGAGGCACATGTATCATATCGCATTGAACTTTGTGGTCTTCCAGGGTTGGATTGCCACTCACTCGGTCCCAACTGGACCAAATCACAACTAGCTGCTCAGAGCTTGGCTGAGCACTCGGGTACCATTCGCTTCACGAACAGGGTACATGTTTTGTTTGGCGCTTCCCACTCTTCAAGTGCTACATGCTCTACTTTCCCCTACCATCCCTTCCACGGCACCCACACGTCGACAACTTCATCGCCGTTGCCATCCACAATATAGAACCACGGGAAACACGCGCAGCACAAGCACGCGTGGTTGGGGACAATACGGAGCTTGTCTCCAATGGACAGCTCAGCAACCTGCTTGGCGTCTTGGTCTCGACGCAGGATGCCGTGCTCCTGGCTGACACCGCCGAGGATCCAGCCCTCGTGTCCCTTGGACACGACGTGTCCGAAACCAGGGGAGGGTCCTGTGTCCTTGCTCATAGCCAAAGCGCCAGAGTCGCACAGCGCCTCGCCGCGGTCAGCGTAGCTGCTTACAACGGTGGCAAGGACGGAGAGTGCGTTCTTGCGAGGTCCGGTGATCATGCCGGTAGCGAGCTGCTGCAGGTCGTTGAGGCAGTAGCAACCAGCGTGCAGCTCCAAAGTGCCATTCAGGGCTGCACCAGACGCGTCCTTGCCCCCTGCACCGAGGACAGCAGCGTGTGCAGTCGGTGTCGCCCCGACAGACAGAATCCAGTCACCAGATACGCCGAGGGTGCGCGCAAAGGCCGCGGCGTCGTTGACGCACTCGATCTCGCCCGCGTAGAACTCTCCTGCCTTGTCGAGGGAGCGCGACTGGTACGACTGGCCAAAGTCTGTAAAGGCGTCAGCACACACCTCAGTCGAACGAACCCGAGGCGATAGTAGCGGTACGCACGAGAGTAAAATCCAAAGATCTCTACCTGAGGTGTCTTGGCAATCTCCTCAATCAGAGCCTTCATTTGAGCGCTACGAGGTGGCGCACCAGCACGCTTGCCTCCACCGTCGACCTTGACAAAGACGCTCCATGGTTTGCGGCGGTTAAGTCGTTTATGCCAGCGTTGGAGTGCCGCAATCTGGAGCGGGTGGTCGACCATGACACGAATGGAGCACTTGTTGCCCGCCTTCTCTTGCGCGGCGTTCAAGTCCTCAATTACGCCTTCTCCTACGGGGAGCGAGTACAGGATCTGCGCTGTTAGGCGGTGCAACAGCGGTACGCGGCCAGAAGTTGCAACCAGAATACACTCACGTCGACGACTTTGCCATCGGCAACGAGGCCAGACTCGAGAACACCCCATACTTCCGGCAGCGTCGAGGTCACGAGTGAGCTGACTCCAGGACCGGCTTCAACCTGGAGGCGAGTGCCATCGGGTGTCTTGTGGGCTGTGTGTAAGCGAGAGATCATCGTTGGTCATGGCTGTGAAAGTTGCGAGGTGACAACGTCTCCGTATCATCTCACACTCGCCCATTCACAATGCAGCTCATTAAGCCTGTACGTACTTTTGATATGCGCGCGGAAGTTCATGCCCTTGTCATGGGTCTGCTCGACCATGACCTCACAGTTAGTCTTGAACGCGCGCCTGTCAATGATGCAGGCCGGTGTGCGGAGTTCTGAGAGCTTGCGGCCGACAAACTCGTCGGCGAGCACCTTCTTGTTTGGGTACCGCATCTCCTCCAGGGGCGTAAAGGTCGAGGTTACCGCCGTCATTGCGCTGGACGAAATGGTCAGAGGTGGTTTGAGAGGTGAAGAAAAGAGATTGGATGCGACGTCCAGTGAGTTGGTCGCGGTTGTCGCTTGTGAAGGTGGGCAGATGACGTCATTTTGTACGGGTGAGTGGGGGAGATCGTTGGGGGCGAGTGGTTGTGCGCCGATTCAGCCTGACTGGTCACTTCCTCGTTTGTTGCGATCAGGCAGTTGAGTCAAAGTGGTAGCTAGCATAGTTGGTGACCAGTGTTCCCCTGCCACCCTTTCTCATTCCAAGCCGCAGATCCGATCCTAATCCCCGACGATTGTGGTTTGGACCATCACAATTCTAATCGCACCGCTGCGGTTTGCACTACTCCCACATGTTTTGCCGTGTGCATTCGAACATAACGACTATAACGGGGTCGTTTGCCTTCAAAGCTATGTTGCGTATCTCATTCGCATGCACCCTACTTGGGCAATGCAGCGAGCCATGCAGCGTTCCCAGATCACAGCATCTGTCTCATTCGTCGCCACTATCGCCAGAATCGCCTCCCACCGGCGCCACCGGCGGTGGCCGGATCACAGTTGGCGAACGGCGAGCCTCCCGGCCTACGTTGCTGTGGAATTCCTCCACCGGCCACCAGAGAGCCATTCTCGGCGTTGGATTGTTGCACCATTGTTGCACAGGACTGTCATCCGACACTGTTGCTGGATGTCAAATCAAACACCCAAACCATGGCGACGTTCGTGGCTGTCACCTCACCTCGGCGGCTTCTGCCGCTGACCGCACTTACTGTGGCAGGAATGTAAACGAGGCGTTGGGCAAGTCGCCAGTCCCTTCTCTGTTGTGTGCTTTTGCCATGGGCCTGGGCTTTGAGAGATGGGATCGCGGAACTTGATCCATCTGTGGATCTGTGGCCACCTCTGATTGTTCATCGCAAGCTTCAAACCGTGTTTAAACGTAGCCTCGGCAGTGTGTTGAACGAAGGCGTCTCAACTTGCCGATGCCCAGCCGATGCCCAGCCGATGCCCTGCACCAAAAGTCTTGTGGAATGGCTGGGCAGTTGGCATCCACTGTGCGTACAGAGTTGAGCCCAAACGTACGTCGGTGCGTTGGTCTGCAATCATCGCCCTAACGAAGATGGCCAGATCTCCAATAACGGCAGCGTTGTCAGGCCACACAAAAGCCGAGATCCAACTGAAACAAAGCATCAGCCAGCAGCCGGCAGCCGCGGCAAGAAAAGGCGGTGTGCCATGTGCAAAGCCCCAAGGCGCCGTTTCTGCCGAAAAGCCCCAGATAAAGCTCATTAAGCCTTAGGATTTGAGTAATAGTATCATGGCTAAATTAGTATGCGATGTATTACTTACTGTACAGTACTGTACTGTACACTTTGTTGTAGCACTATATAACTATACAACTATTACAACCGGGAAACGTAATACTATTTAATGTCGGATTCTAGTCCATTAGTATTATTGATATTTCCCGCGCTTTCCCACCCACGCTCCATTACGTACAGGCGCCTTTTAGACCTGGCTGCAAGAGGGTCATACCAATGCATTCTAAGAGTTCCAAATCATCGCCGCATTACTGCACGAAACAAAGGCGGTGGCCCAAGCCACCCCGTCTAATGGTCACGTGACAACAGCCAAACTTTTTTTTGGAGCATGTTTTCGTGACCTTCATCTGTCCTTTCATCTGTCCCCACCCAACTTTTGCTCAATCACATGTCGCTGCCCTCCTCGCTGGCTCCGGAGGTCCAGAGGATCTGGAGCAGGCAAGCATACACCGATCTCTTGCAGGAGCTCCGCAAAGTAGATCGGCAGGCCCGCCGCGGGGCAAAATGAGATGCTCCGGCCCCACGGTGTGGGTGGTTGTTGCGGCCGGCGTACACGCCGAAACTCATCGTGGTGCAGGCTCCGCCGTCGTCCGCCGCATGTGGAGATTATCGGTTGCTGGTTGTCCATTGCCGTCCATTCAGAGTGCGTGTGCCTCCCCGCTGCCCCGTATCTGGCTCGGCGCGTCTCCATGTGGGGGAGCACATGGGGCCATGGGCCGGCGTTCCTTGCTTCTCGCCCCTTACTCGCAAAAAGCCCTGGACGCTGGCAAGCGCCCGCGCAGCTTGGACGTTGTCGGTCACGCGCGCGCGCTGCTCTCGATCCGGTCCGTCAGTCCGCCCTTTTCTGCCTGCACCGTCGACGCGCTCGGTGGCGGCATGCTCGGCACGGTCGCCGCAAACGGACCACCACCGATAGCCCATGTCCAACCGACCTCGACGCAGGGGGATCGAGTACAAAACCCCGACGTCCAACACGGTTCGCTCAGCACAACCCCCCGCCCAACCACAAGGGATCCACACCCTCACTCACCTCCTACACACCCACTCGCTCCCTGCCATCGCAGCAGCTCAACTTGCGCTAGACGCCTGATCGCCTTTGACGCGAATCGACAACCTCCACTCAGTTCCTCCCCCGCAAACATCAGCCGCCCATCATGGCTCTCGGCGAACGTCTTGCCTCTATTCGCATCGGCCCCGTCCGTTGTACGTATCATGCACCCTGGGCATCGATTATCCCAACAGTGGAGGCGCGTGTTTCGAAGTGGCTGACTCTTTTTCAGACAACTCGCCAACGACTCAAGTCTTCATTGTCGGAGTCGTCTGCTTCCTGTCGCCTGGTCTCTTCAACGCTCTTTCGGGTCTCGGTGCCGGTGGTACCCAGGATGTTGTTCTCGTCGACACTGGTAACGCTATCCTCTATGCCATGTTCGCCATCTTCGGTATCATTGGTGGCACCATCAACGTAAGTATTTGCATTGGTATGGCTCCTCCAGCGGCACAATACTCCGGCAGAACCGGAACCAAGTGTTGTGACGGGAATTGGGAATACCGCTTCCAACATTTCTCAGCGGATCAGCTGACACCATCTACAGAACATCCTCGGTGCTCGCCTGACTCTCTGCATCGGCACCTTGGGTTACTCGCTGTACGCCGGTTCGCTCTGGGCCTTCCAGATCCATGGCAACCGCGCCTTTGTTATCGCCGCTTCGGCCATTCTCGGCATGTGCGCCGGTCTCCTCTGGACAGCGCAAGGCGCCATCATGATGGCTTATCCCGAGGAGAAGGACAAGGGCCGCGCGTTCTCGCTCTTCTGGTCCGTGTTCACCATGGGTGGTGTTGTCGGCTCTGCCATTGCCCTCGGTATTCAGGCCAACAGGAGTCTGCCGTCCACTTCCACTGCTGGTACGTTGTCGTGTGCCACTTTGGCCCGCTATTTCACGCAACATCTGCTGACGTCAACCCTCAGTGTACCTCGTCTTTGTGATCCTGATGCTGATTGCCATTCTCGTCACCTGGCTGGTTCTCCCGGCTTCGTACGTTGTCCGTGGCAACGGCACTGTCGTCGAACTTCAGGACTCTATGGGTGCCCGCGAGGAGATTGGCAACTTCATTGCCCAGTTCAAGGACTGGCGTATGCTTGCTCTCTTCCCCATGTTCTTCTGCTCCAACTACTTCTACTCTTACCAGGTACGTCTACCATTGGCTGCCACCGTTACATGGCTGTGGCTAACTTTTCTCAGGGCTCCATTGTGTCGATGATGTTCAACCCCCGCACTCGTGCCCTTTCGTCCTTCCTCTCCAACCTGGGCGCCGTCATCGGAGCGATCATTATCGGCAATGTTCTCGACCGTGTCCCTGGCTCGCGTCGCACTCGTTCCATCGTCGGTTGGTGCTTCACCGTCTTCTTCATGTGCCTCGTCTGGGGCGCGGGTTTCGGCTGGCAGACCAAGTTCAGCCGTCACGAGAAGCTCGCCATGGACTGGACCAACAGCAAGGCCCGCGGCCCTCTCGTTCTCATGTTCGCATACTACATGGTCGACTCGTTTTACCAAGGTCTTGCTTACTACACAATGTCGACAATCACCAACGACCCCTTCCGCCTCGCCCGCATGGCAGGATATTATAAAGGTGTCCAGTCGGCCGGCGCAGCAGTTAGTTTTGGGATGGATGCCGTTGGCACGGCATACATGACCGAGGTAAGTCTAGACATAAGGTTGGAGCCGTCAAAATCAACCTCGAACTTTTCCGCCACTTCTAGCCACATTTCGCCACTTTTGCCACTTTTAGACATATTCTGATGCTCCAGATTGCGGTTTCGTTTGCGATCATGATGGCGAGCCTTCCCCTCTGTCTCCTGGTTCTCTGGCACACCTCGGACTCGAACTACGAGTCGGAGAACACCATCCACGTCGAGAGCCTCGACGAGGACCAGCTCCACCACGCCGCCCTTCCCTCCGGCCACCACACCGGCGGTGTCCACGAGAACGCTCTTGGTGAGACTACCAGCGATGAGAAGAACAGCGAGGTCCACCTCGACACCAAGTCGGCGGCCTAAGACGGTCCATCTGTGAGGTGATACCGTATTGTTTCTATTTTACGAACAATACCAAGCAAGTTCTACCTACCCTTCCCCCTCACCACGGACCCATGCCCGTGGCGAGCAGTTGTACTGTAATGCGGACCGCAGGTTCAGTTGGTAGCTTGGTGTGTGAAAAATGTGATCTGTTAATTATTGGGACAGAACTGCTTTCGCAGTGAGCGTCGATATAGGTGCAATTGTTGTGAGTAACATTTTGCCACAATTACGCGGCGCGCCGATCCGGTGATCCGGTGACCTGTTGCAAGCGAGGGCGGGCGCGGCATGTCACAACCAGTGCGCAAGTGTATGCTCGCCGCATGCAGAGCGTCAAACACGCGCATGTGACTCTGTGGACAGCACATGGACGTATGAATTCACAGGAACTGTACCAACCGGACGAGCGCATGTGCCACCATAGAACGGCATTACGTCAGCAGTGCCGTGGTTCAATTGCGGCGATCTCGCCGAAATCCGGATTGTCGTTGGAAAGACCTTGAGGTCTTATCGCTCCGTGATCCCTTTCCCTATCAAATACCGCCCTTTGGCATCTCCCAGTTCCTTGTTAGTCAGATTGTTGGCCCAGGATGAGATTGTTGATAGCCAGGACGACAGAGGTGGGCGCGAGACCCAGTGTCGGCAGGGCGATACCAGCTGCACATGTGGCTGACGTTACCCTGGCCAGAGCCGCAATCGCGCGGCCGTCACCATTGGCAGTCCGTTACCGTGATAGCAACAAGCGTACATGTGCACAAGGGTCGGCCGACTTGATACGGGCCACCCCAAGACATGGTTCCAAGATACCGCTCAAGGGTCTTGCTTTGGCAACCTCCCGAATGTCCCTCTTTGTATGGGGGATTATAATTGGAGTAAAAAAAGGCGTGATAATAGGCTTTGGGTTTGTTGGCGGCCTTTGGTAACAGAAAGGAGACACAGGGTTGATAGGTGTATTGTCTACTGTCCTCTGTCGAGTTTTCTGCGAGCACGGCTCACTCGACAACCGTTTTACGCTCTGGGCGAATACCATCGGCTGTCTGACGCCACAAACGCGAAATCGCAAGTCGTCACCAAACCAGTTCTGAAAGCCGGTCTTGTGGGGCAGTCATCATTGGTGACAGCGGACACTCAGGTATAAAGTATAGTTCACGTGTATCTTCCTAATGGAAGATGAGCCTTTCGTGGATCCAAGCTGACCGCGCACACTTTGGCTGGAGTATTGTCGGAGCAGTTATTTAGGGCACTGCCTCATTCTTAGTCGAACAGGATTCACATGTGCGCCTGGATGAAGCCAGTCAGTTCAATATACTTGGCGACCATGATTGTCAGCTTGAAATTAAACGATCTATTGTTGACAACCTATGTATGTAGGTAGCATTTACCATTGTGGCTATTGTGGTGGGCGGTACGGTGTTGCCATCGCTAGGACTGGCGAAGGTCCGCTCATTATTCAGCCGAACAGGTTGTCATCAAACAAATGCAATGCATAAATAAGTCACAATGGGTAGGAATGCACGTCGTGTCTCGCCAAACAAGCAAAGCTCACTCCAGCTCACTCCCCGTCAATCTCTTTCTGGAGCGCAGCCGCATGGCGCTCCACTAGCGCCTGCACATCATTCCCGCGCACAAGAGCCTTGTACGAGTGCTGCAAGGCGATGAGCTTGTCGGCGCTCCACAACCGCGCGGTCATGCCGCCGATGAACGTAAACAGGTCCGTGACGCTCGCGGTGGCGCAAAGATCGTTCTCGTTGAGCTTGAGAATGGCGATCGCAACACGGAAGAGAACGTCATGGCCTTCAACAAAGAAGACGTCCCAAACTCGGAACAGTGTCTCGACCGGGAGACAGTCGGTGAAGAGAGACAAGAACCAGCCAAATGTGACAGATGTGAGGTCGACGCCAAGGTTGGCGAGATGTGCCGAGACGCGCGGCACATGTGCGTCAACGAGGTCGCCGAGTACGAGCTGATCTGCGCGCGAGCCGAGGAGCGAGGGGGCAAAGAAGTCTGGTGGGAGCAGGCGCTCGATCATGCAGTGGAGCACCCAGAATGCCTGCTCTGCGCGGGTCAGCTACGAAGCGGAACTAGTAGCTCACCTTCATCAGTGTGCGTCAGCAGCAAAGTGGCCGCAAGCATGTTCATGCCTTGGCAGCTGACGTCGTTAGCGTGTTTCCTAACGCGTCCCGGTTTCAACTCACTATCCAACAGCAGGGTTGTGCCATGAGTACGCGACCAGTACTCTGCGGAGCTTGGCGACACCTGGTCCATCACCACCAAAGAAGACGTTTCCTGGGAAGGTGCGACCAACATCCTTTTCAATCTCTGCCATGACGGGGCTCTGGTCGTCCTTGTGGACCGCAAGGATCTCGGCATACTCGCCAGGAACGAGCAGGTCGCGTGCGCCACTGCACTCGGCCCACACGTCGGCACGGTAAGGCAAGGGGATGCCGCGGCGAACGAGTTTGAGGAAGAGACGATACTCGTCCTGACCCGTTTTGCTCTGTGTGCCAGCCAGAGAGACGATGGACGCAATCGCCCCGCCGACACCGACGTCCTGCTCGCGCCGTTGCGACTTGGGTCGCTTGCGCTTGCGGAGGAAGGCATCCCACTCAGCCATGCGAGCCTTCTGCTGCCGGTCGTGGATGTCGGTGAGTTGGTCGAGGAGGGACGAGACCGTGAGACGCGAAGCGGCGGCGGCGGCGGCGGTTGAGTTGGCGTCAGGCGTCTGTGGCGCGCTAGAAGCCGTCTGCAGACTAGAGGAGCCTCGTACAGATACGGTGAGCTGGTCCTTGGCGGCAGTCGGGCGTGCCGGTGCAGGGGCCAGTGAGCGGAGGGTGCCAGTACGCTTCCGGCCATGATTGCCGTTTCCGTTGGACGGTGGTGGGGATGCCGAGTCCGGGGTGCGGGGCGACACAGGTGAAGCAGACGGTGACGGCGATGCGTCTGTACGGCTGCGGCTGCTTGTGGCGCTTGCTCCACTTGCAGCGCGTGCGCGACCTGGCACTTCAAGACTGTCTGTCGCGGGTGAAGCAGGTGGAAGTGGTGATGGGAGTGCGTCGGGGATGTGACCTGTCAAGGAGATTGGCGCAGGGGTGCCGGCACGGCTGGCATCCTTGAGCATAGATGTGTGTTGGATGTCGTCTGGAATGTCAACTCGTGCGTCTCCTGCGCAATCATTCAACTCACAGATGAATCCATAGCGGTCCGTGAGCGGAGGTTGATCACTTTCAAACCTCGTAGCCGTTGGCAGCTTGCTGCTGCGCGAAGACTGGAAGAAGGAACCGAGGTTTTGGCGGGAGAGGAGGACTGTCGGCGGTCGGCTCTCGTCGGGCACGATGGAGGCGAGCTCAACACTTGGTGGGGGCGTGTCGCGTGCTGGAGCGTCAATGGGCGAGTGAGCGGCACTGCCCATGCCCATTTCTCTGCTTCCAGTCGACGTGTTGAGGGAACCACCGCTCATGGACTGAGAAACAGCATTGCCCCTTGGCGTCCGTGAGCGGCGCGTAGGCACTTCGTCTCTGCCACTGTCGAGGGCGTTAATGGCCGCCTTGCCGCGCGAGAACAGCGTGCGGCCCACAGCCACGGTGGCTGCGAGAGCCTGGTCGCCGTACCCAGCGGACATCTGACGATCGAGGGTGACGCCTCCAACGTTGGGTGCATTAGCGGACGACACGCTTGCCGCACGAGAGCGAGACCGTGGCCGTGCGCCTGCTGGGTCCTTGACTGCGATCTCTTGGTCGCGCGCGGTCGACACGAGCGCGTGCGCGAGGGTCGCAAGAGTCGCATTGGCGCGTGCAGGTTCAATGAGGATGCTCGCTGGGTCCGGCGTGAGGATGCGCTGTTGTGTCAGACGTGTACGTAGCGTGGTCACCTACGGTTGCGAGGAAGATGGCCCGAAAGCTCGGGACGCTACCGCCATCACCACGCCGCCATTCGCCGTCGTCCTCGGCATGTGGTTCGAGCAGCGCACTCGCCATGCTGGGCGTGAGGCTTGCCATACTGCCCTTCCTGCTGGGCTTCTTCCCCCATCCCCAGATGCCCCATGCAGCCTTGCGGTCTGCGCTGGTGCCCGACCCGAGGCTTGCAGGTGTGCCGGTGCCAACACTGCCCACGCGCCCGCTGCGGACACTTCGCATGCTCTGCACGCTGATGATGCTGGCTGTAGGAGACTTGGGTCGCGCGATAGTGCTGCTGTCGATCGGGCTCCGTGAGCGGTCGTCCGGAACGGGAGTACGCGATGGCGACGTTAAGCTGGTACTGAGGGCATCTGCCAAGCTATCGTGTAACTGATGTGTCAGCTTAATGGGCTAACAACATATGTCTAGCTCACCATATCGACGCCGCCGCGTTCTGCGACGCTGGGCAGGGGGACAGGGGCGGGCAGTGTTGACTGTTCGTGATCGGTGCTGGCCCGACGAGGTGTACCGGCCGTACCAGACCCAGACGACGCGCCAGTCGCGTTTCCGCTCGCCAAGAGAGAGTGCTGGTGCGTGGTTGCGGCGCGGAGGAGGGCGTTCTCAGCTTCCAGCCGGGATATCACCTCACGCAGTTCGCGAACCGCACGTGAAAGGACACGCAGCGGGTGCTCGCGAGCATGCTCGACACTCCTCGCCGGGGGAGGAGATGGGGGGAATAGGGGTGCATCCGCGTTGTTCGGCGGTGGGGTGGAGGTCCCGTCTGTCGACTGACTTTCGCCGTCTCTGGATCGTCCTCCACCATTGACGTCGCTGGCATACGGCGCGAGAAAGGCAGCGAGCTCGCGATCATTCATGCCGTCAAAGTGTGTATCGAGAAGGGCGAGCTCATCACGCCCCAGGCAGTCCAGATACGGTGCCCAGCTGCGGTTGTTGTGGTTGAGGCTGTACGTGTCACGCAGTGGTGTGCCCTGTCGCTTGTACTGCGTCGTAGCTGGTCTGCGCGGTGTAGCCTCCTCCTCATTGAAGAGGTGTATAGCGCTGTTGCCTGGGCTCGAGCCGCGCCGTCGAGAAGGGCCTGCATGGAGGTTAAGGCCCAGGAGGTCTGGGTCAACCGGGGTGGGGAGGACGGACGTGCGTCGCTTCGGCGTGCTCAGGAGGCCGGCCACGACAGCATGCGTCGTACCAGCGACCGGGCTACCGCTTCCTGCCGAGCCGACGGCGCCAGCATTTGACACGCTCCCAGCATGATGTCGTCGCGGGAGGTCAAAGTAGCCTGCTGCTGCCGCTGCTGGACTGCGCGGGCTGGACAAAGCGCGTGCCCGTGTCGTGTCGGTGAGGCTGGACACGCGGCGCGTCGATCGCGGTACGCCGATGGGTCCTGGGCTCAGTGGGTGGGCGTCGGCGCTGGCAGTGGATGGCGCTGCGAGACGGACGCCTGCGAGGGGGTCGGAGGCTGTCCTTTCGCCTGGCCTGGCCCGCTCGTCGCCGGCGTCTGGGTCTGGCATGACGGATGTGGGATGGTGGTTGGAGACCGTGGTTGCGGCGATGTTTTGGTGGTCGTCATCGTGGTTGCCGCCGGATCTTGTTCCGGCTCGTCGACCCTGGCCTGGTTGGTTGGCACACGGATGACCTTTCCTTGCCTCTCAACATCAATGCTCGAGCCAGTCCCCTGCAACTAACCTCACATAGCTGCATCTAATCCATAACTATCAGTGACATGTGCATGCAAATGACTACGATCTCCCGTCTACAATCACATCTGAACGTTGTCCGGCTGCAGGTCCTCGTTGGGCTCGCCCATGGTCTGGACACCACCGGACTGCTCATCAGGCCTGCGGGCCGAGACAATGTCGTCGACGCGGAGGAGGAGGGTGGCCGACTCGACGGCAGTCTTGAGGGTCTGGATCTTGACCGATGCTGACTCCATGAGACCGTACTTCTGCATGTCGGTGACCTTGCCGCTGTCGCCGTCGACACCGTACATGTTGAGGCCCTCGGCGTGCTTGGCGCGGAGCTCGGTGAGGGTGCGGATGGCATTGCCACCGCAGTTCTGGATAAGGGTGCGGGGAATGACCTCGAGGGCCTCGGCGATTGCCTTGTAGGGGGCGCCAGCGACACCGGGGAGCATCTTGGCCTTGTCGGACAGCGCGACCGAGATGGCCATCTCGGTGGCACCACCACCGGGGGCAAGGATGGGGTTGAACACGACGTTACGGGCGACGGACATGGCGTCGGCAAGGTTGCGGTCAATCTCGTTGAGAATGTCCTTGGAGGGACCACGGAGGAGGATGGTGCACGCCTTGGGCGACTCACACTCGTCGAGGAAGGTGAAGTACTCGTCGCCGAGCTTCTCAATGTGGAACAGACCGCAGCCAGTACCGACGTCCGACTCGCGGAGGTCGTCGACGCGGTTGACGATAGTGGCACCAGTGGCACGGGCGATACGGTTGTTGTCCGATTTCCTGACACGGCGGATGGCAGTGATAGGAGGGTCGGCCTTGAGGAGGTAGTGCTGGGCAAGGTCCGAGACACCCTTCTCGGTAAAGACAACATCGGGCTTGAACTCGATAATCTTGGCACACATCTGCTTGATCTGCTCCTCCTCGATCTGAAGGACACGGCTCCAGTCCTCCTCGCGGGTAATCTCAATGTTGGTCTGCGACTCGCCCTTCTTGTACTCGAGGGGGCAGTCGAGAAGCACAACGCGGGGCTTCTCGATACGCCTGCGCATCTTGGGGTGGGTGACGTCCTTGTTGATCATCACACCCTTGAGAACACGCGACTCCTCAATCTCGCCGCCGGGAACCTTCTCCACACGGGCGTAGCGCTTAATGTCGACAGTCTTGATGTCGAGGTGCGACGCGCCACCCTCCGCGCTTGCGCCAATGAAGCCGTTCTCCGCCTCGGCAGTCACGGCGACAGTCTTGACGGCGTCAAGAGCAAGGCGGCACATGAGGTCCGACCAGCGCGAGACAAACTTGGTACCGATCGAGGTCTTGATCAGCGCCAGCATCTCAGTCTCTGACGAAATGTCGACGGGCACCGAAATCTTCTCAATGGTGGCAAGGGCGTCATCGAGGGCCTGCTTGAAGGCGCGGATAATGACGACAGGGTGGATGTTCTTCTCCAACAGGGGGAGCGAGTAGGCGAGGATCTCGCCAGCAAGGATGATGACCGAAGTGGTACCGTCACCAACCTCCTCGTCCTGCGTGCGCGACAGCTCGATCATCGACTTGGCAGCGGGGTGAGCCACGTCAATCTCGCGAAGGATGGCATGGCCGTCGTTGGTGAGCCTGCTGTCAGCTAGTGGTCCCAAAGGCTTTAGCTTACAAAATACCGCCCATAGGGTCGAGGACCATCTTGAGCATGGCCTTGGGACCAAGACATGTCCTAATCACGTCGGCAACGGTCTGCTGTCAGCGGATATCCCACGAGATGGCTCCCCTACCTTGGCGGCAACAATGTTGGCGGTCTGAGCCTTGCGGCCCGACTGGCGCTCGGGGCCAGTGTCTGTTGGTCAGCTCTGAACCAGACAATCACAAGCATGTAGACAACGCACTCATGACCACCATGGGCATGCCCTGCTGAGCCATCTTGGATAGACGCGAGGGGGTGTCGGTGTAGGAAGGCGAAGGGCCTGATGGACGCGTTCAAGCTCGTTTGGGGCCTGTTTTTCGAGTCGATTACTGCGAGGGTTGGTAGTCTCGCGTCTATACCTAGTGTTTGTGGTGTCTTGTGGACACACTAGGATGTATATTAGGTGGTGGAAGGTGTTGGATGCTTGTCGTCGCGGTCGACCGTGCTGGCTGAGCAACAGAGTCGCCTCTCCACCGCGCGAGCGCGTCGTCCTGCGCCAGCGCGGCGATAATTCCAGAACATCTCGATGTGGCATCACGTGACCTGCCCCTGGTTCACGACCGCTGGGTGGATCCACCACGCCCAGTGACAGAGGGGCCATTCTGTTGTGCATGCATGCAGGTTGTGACCAAAGACGCGCCGCTTTGTACTTCAAGGTGCTCCCCCGCTCTCTTTGTGTCATGCGAAGCATGCTGCCCGTTTCCTGTTGCGGCTTTTGCTGCTCACTGTACCCACTGTCTACTGTCGCGACCTCCACCTCACTGACGTGCTGCGATTTGTCTCCGCTTCCTCATCTCCCGACCTTTGTTGCTCTCTCGGCCAACCTCAGCTTCGTTCATAACCCACCCACCACAATGTCCGCCCGCGTCCCCCTTCTCCTCCGTGCCGGCGCACGCCGCTCCATCTCCACCTCGGCTGTCCGCCGCGCCGAGCAGGTCGGCACCGTTGGCTCCGCCGTCCCCGTCGAGAAGCCCGTCGGAGGGTTCCGGTAAGGATATCCGACTCTGGATCGGACAACCCAGGATGGTAGCTGACATGGTGTTTGCGTTTGTTGGCGTGTGTAACGTGCAGTGGCGGGTGAGTGAAGCCGTTTGTGGTTGTGCTGATGGCAGTATTGTTGGCTTCGTGAGCTTCAGTCGAGGGCCGTCCATCCAGAAACTGACAATACCCTCCTCGTCGTCCACTTGATGATCTTCATCTCCCCACCGTCCCTCCCGCAGCTCCTCGGTTTCTCGGCTGCCACCGCCCTCGGTGTCTACTACCTCCAGGAGGACACCAAGGTGGCCACTGGCCTCCTCCTCTCGTCGGTTGAGGAGCTCCAGCACGGCACCCAGCGCATCACCTCGCACCTTGACCGCCTGACCGCAGTGGAGAAGGACCTGAACGCCCTCCGTGCCGCCGCTGCTGTCAAGGAGGACAACGCGAAGGTCCGTGCTGAGATGAAGAAGGTCTATGTGAGTCTTGATCTGTGATCTCTGGAGGAGTCTGGGAAGGTCGTGGCCCAACTCAAGGAGAGCGGTTTAACCCATCGGTGGCCCTTCCTCCACTTTCCGTGTGCTTTCATGTTCGCGTGCTTTACGGCCATGCGGCGGCGGTGGTGATCGACATGACACGCGAGCTATCCAGACATGGAGGAGGCATGGCTACATGTCGACGGCTGTACGACGTTGAGGCATGCGGGTGATGGCTGTGGGCCCAACCAGTGGGCTCGGCGAACAGCCCATGTCCTCGATGCCCAACCCCATGGTGTCCATGACAGCCTGTGCCTTAGTCCAACTTTTTTCTCTGACTGGGCGCGACACATCTTCCATCCTTTTGCACACTGAGCGTGACTGACGCGTACAGGACGGCCTTAACCTCGAGCTCCTCGACCTGCGCGCTCACGTTTGGGGTGTCGAGCAGGACCTCCAGAAGGTTGTCAAGACGGGTGAGTAGTTACGGCGCTTCTCGCGCTGGCAGAGGCTGGCGTCTCAGCCGCAGCAGGACCCGGCCTCAGCTGTAGCTTCCCTCGTCTTCAGCTAAGGCAGCTGCGTTCAAAGCTGGAGGCGTGACCTAACTCGTCGGCGAAGTGAGTGGCCCAAGCTGACCCGCACAGAGTCTATCCGCATCTAGATGTAGAAAGCCATTTGGCCAAAATGCACAAATGCTGCAAGTAACAAACAATATGCGCGGTATCGTTAGCGTGATTGGCACTAACGACCAGTGGTCGGAAGCCCAGTTCAGCCTCCATGGCTCAGAGAAGCACCATGCAGCGTTGCCAACAGCACTCAGTTGGAAAACCTCTAACCTGCCTCATTTCTTTGGCATTGCCATGATATGGCGGGCCTACTAACCACAGTTGGTGGGTATGCTATCTGGCGTCTGCTGGATGGCGGAATGGGCAAAGGCAATCGGCGTTGTCATGGCCTTGACTTGGTTGGTTAGGAAAACGCGCTGGTTTCGTCGACGACACCCAGGTAGAGGTACAAACTCTGTTTGGGAATCTAGGAGCAAACTGGAGGAATAAGGAACCATGTCTGATGTGGTGTGAAGTAGTCGATCGAGCGTGGGAGTTACACTACACTGCAGCAGTTGTCTTCGTGGCAAAGGCTTCCCTTCCAGTGATGGACTGCCTGAGACATCGCATTGCACCTTCCGAGGTCATCCTCTGCCAGCGGCATGTATGACGCCCATGCTGCCAAACCCGCGGGGTTCTGCTCATGTATGTACCCTTGTTATGACTACAGGCAGGCAGACCTGGAATGGTCAGATGACCATTACCCACTAAAGTTCCAAACTCGAAACAAATGGTGCCTACGGGTACGAGTCAGACACAGTCGCCACACCTGTACAAGTCGCGAGTGACAGTTACTTGTGTCCACGCAAGTGCTGTGCGCACTTTTCAATAGGTTCAGCAGCGCTCTGCAGCTTGTACTCACACCAAGAGGTCCGAGTTGCGAGGACAACAGTGTGCGCCTGTTCCAACTGAAACGACGTTGTCAGCCTGTTCCGACTGGAACTTCCAGACATAAACAGTCGTGGGCTGGGCGACGGATCGCCATGTCAACAGACACACGGAAGGCACTTGTGGTACGGCACTGCCTGGCACGCAACCGTGATCGTCGGCGAACCTTGAAGCAAGTCACGTCAGCAAGACCCAGACATCCCCGGTTTGTTTTAAACCGGACACGTCGGACGCGTCGAACAATGGCGAAGAGGAGGTACTACTCGTGCCTCTCAAGACCTCAGCTCTTGGTGAACCTCAGAGCCCAGGACAGCGGTTCTACATTTTGGCACACCTGGGACGCGCAGCCCGGATGGTCCTCTACAGATCAGCACGCTTGCGGCGAACCATGTAGAGTCGTGTGGTGGATTCCCCGTGGGTGGCATTGTGGCGGCGGCTTGGTGGTCATCTGCCGCTGACTTCCCGGTGTTTGAATCGCGAGTTGCAAACAGAGAAGGGACCCAAGCCACTGATCACTGACCGCCTCTACTGCGACTTGAAATGTATGGTATCCATAGGGTATCCATATCCACTGGTCTTATCAAGCCTTGCCCTTGCGCTCGAGCTCCTCCTGCTCCTCCTGCAGAATCTGCGCATCAATCTTGGCGCCACGGCTAGGCTCATTTCCGTGGCTGCGCGCAGGCGCGGTCGGGTCCTCCTTCATGGCAGCGACCTCGGGGCTGTCCTCGTCCTTTGCGTCTTCGGCCGCAACGGCGTCTGCAACTCGGTTCGCGAGCGACTTGTCGTCCTCTGGGCAAAAAAACAGGTGTTAGCTCGGGAAGGGCCAAAGCCAAAGGGAGTCGAGCGTGAAGCATGGGCCGCACACAAGTATGACTAGCTTCAAACGCGAAACGCGAGAGCGGTAGGGAACACGATGGGCTCGGCGCCACAAGCCAATCCGGGGTGTGTGGTGAGCACCCGAATAGGTTGTCACGGTTGTCACAACCAGTCCCTCGGAAAGGGCGAATGTTCGGGAAGGCCTCCTCAGCTGTTCCCGTATATCCTGTCGCGCGTACATAGGTGGTACTCACTGCCATCCAGGGCACCGTGAGCATTCTCTTGTCCTTGGGTGTCCGCCATCTTGGTTCCAATTTGTATGAGGTGGTGGTGTCGAAACGAGTTTGTAAAAAGAGATGGGGATGGGGGGGGGGGGGGGGGGGGGAGCGGCCCTTGCCTTCACGACTTGTATACGTACATGAGCTCTTCCCGAACCTGTTCCCGAACCTGGCTCGCCATATCATGCTAGGATCGAGTCAGTGATGGTAGCTGTCAGTGACGGGTAGCAGAGACCTGCCATAACACCCGACTTTCCGCGGCCGACGTCATGAAGAAACGACGTCATTAGGTGGGGCCGTAGACCAGTGGCCAGTGGTGTCGCGGGATTGCTGTCATGTTCGTTTTAGCCCCACCCAAAAGCTTACTGTGACGTGAAGGTGGGCCTTTACGCGCTCTCCCGTGCCATCTTCCACATGGGTCATAAGTCGGTCTGCAGGGATTCGTCGGGACGTGGTTCGGCACATCTGCGGAGTCGGCTGTCGGCGACACATTGGATAACAACAACACTACCGTGCACGACATCAGGTGTCAGGTCCTATTCTGAACCGGCGCGACTCCCTTGTCCAAGTCATCAGACAAGAGTACCCCGGTTTCCAAGATTCCAGTGAGAAGATTCCCAAACCCTGCACACTGGTCGCAAGGGGTCCACATGAGAGTTGCTCAACAGCCGCCACGAACCGTCTCCTTCATCCTTCATCCGCGCCATGTGCCCAGATGGCTGTCCGAAGTAGCGGGTGTTGTCGTGGACAGCTGTACATGTACCCTGCGAGTGTCAGAATGCCTCCCAGTTTGTCACCCGTCCCAGTCGCGTGGACAACGGGTTGGACGAGATTTGAATGGTGAGCAACAGCATGTTGAGCTTGCCCCGGACATCATCGTCGTGGTGTGGGGGAACCAGACTCGCAGGACATGATGAGTTCAGCCGGGGGGCTAGTAGATGGGCGGCACAGAGTGTCTCATCGTCAGCTCTGAGATATCCAATCCCATGCACAAAGCGTGCGTTGTTAAGGCTGAAGGCAAGCAGGTGACCTTTGTGCATGCATTGCAGATCAGCTGTGCTACCCCCTTGCTCACACATGGTCCTGTGAACCTCTTTCCCCACGTCACCGCCTCTCTCCGTGTCTCTGGCACACTTCTGCGTCTGATGATATCATCTCTGGCGTTCGATATGGCCCATGGAAACGGCTGGATACGTGTTCTGAGGGGGTATCGTGTGCAATACCGTGTTTTTGGGGCCTCTGTGCCTTTCCAGTGGGCATGCCAGAAGGATGCTCCCTCCAATGTCACACCGATCCCATCCTGCCAGCCGTGGTTTGCAGCCCCAGGTGTCGCTGCGCTGGCTTGGCTAGCGCCATGGTTCCAGTGCAGGGTTTCTTGTCTGGGCATTCTGAGCATTCTCCTGCACCGTTCTGGCCCTCTGCGCCTCTGCACCGTAGTCGCCCTTGCGGCGCCTGTGCGCACGCAGCCCTGGGCTGTCCACGCACGCAGTGGCGGCAGTTCGATCTTGTTCGAGGCGTCGGAACATGTGGACGCGGCGAGGGGATCAGCACTACTCTTGTCCTGGGTGGACGGTGGCGGCATGACACGGTTACCACACCACCGGCCACCAAACTGTTGGGGACACAGTGTGTTGGGAATTCAGCTGTATGCCAAGCCAAAAGGGCCTGTCTGGGAAGCTTGTACGCAGCTTCTCGAACATTGGGGCACCAAATGTCGTGAAAAGAGTGCGTCCTTCCTTGTTCTTTACACGCGGCGGCGCCTGCGCCTGCAAGCCCTCTGCTCCTCTGATCTCTGACCGCATTTTCCGTCATACCCAAGGCAAACGAGGGGCATGCACTTACGCACGCTGTATGTCCTGGTCCGGCACGATCTGGCGGGACCCCTCCGGCACCCCTCCTCTCCGCGCGCCGAAAGCTACGGAGCACGGAAAGGATCCTGGGTCGGATGACGAGCGTTGCTTAACCGTACTAAATCATCACATCTGCCACTCCGACGGAGAGAGACACTCTGGTGCACTGGGACTCTGGGGCGCCGGTGACTGCCGAATGCCATAATTCCTTCGGGCGACAACGCATGGACGCATGGTGCTCGCCACGACCCAGGATCTTTGGTTTAATCAGTCAGTCAGGTGGCTTTCCAGATGATTAAACGATTGGTGCTCGTGCTCGCAGCAGCAATCAAGAATGGGGATTCAAGGAGCTAGGAGGGAGGTTAGCAGCTTAGCAGCGTGCGTGGACCTGTTGGCGGTGCCAAGCGTGGAGGACCGTGCAGCAGATAACTCTTATAATCCAGTCCATCGTCGCGATCACTACGATCGCTGTCGAACAGTCATGTGTGGCTGTCGCCGAGCAGCCGGAGCAGCAGTCCTTGTTTCAGTTAAAGCATTGGAACATATCAAAAGCGCCGCCGTGGTTCGGAAGATGGTGAGGGATAACCCAACCTGAGAGGGCCGAGAGGGAAACACGGGAGGGTCAGCAAAAGGCGGCGCCGCGGGGGCGTGTTCTCTGTTCATTTCCGGGGGCCTTCCTGTCCTCCTGTCCGACATGAGAGAGTGGAGCCCAGACACGCGAGGGCTGAGGAGCTAGAATCCTGTGGTCCTGTAGACGACTTCTCGCGCGCAGCAGCACGTTGCCAATACCTTTCGTCGTCCGCATGCGACGGGGCTTTCGCTGCCTCCAAAAGGGAAAGCAAAAAAAAAAAACAAAAAAAAGAGACAGTGCCTGCGCCAAGGGGGAGCAGGAGGTGGTGGGGCGGTAGATGCTTCTGGGCTACCCGAAGGAAGGAGACGACAGAGATGCCAGAGATGCATAGAAACGCGCGAGGAGCAGCTGCAGCGCTGCAGGCACGGACACAAGAAAAAAAACGGCGTCTCTCGGGCATGGGTGTTGGTGTTCGGCATGCACCTTGTCCATGTCGGCGGTCAGGAAAAAGGACGCGTACCTGTCGACCCCGAATGTGCCATACCCTCGTTAACCCGCCAAAGACGCGCGTTGCCGAGCTTCTTTTATGCACCCACATGCAGGTACAGTACAGATCGAGGTTGGGAGCACGACCTGTTTGGGGTTCTGGACCCCACGGCATGGCACTGCTGGGTTGGTGCGGACAAAGAGAGACAGAGAGCGCGTCGCTCGGAACCTTGATACCAGAGCCGCAAAAAACCGCGCGCATACGCAGACGCCCTGGGGTTTTCTGTTATTGGCTCTGGAGCCAAAGTCGACTATTTCTGACTGTGGGAGGTTGGCATGCTGGCATTGTGCTGGCATGGGTGCTGCTAATGGAAAGAGATCCATGGTAACAGACGATCGCTTGCCGTCATGGCGACGCCGGCGACGCCGGCGAGCGCGGCGAATTTGCCGCCTTTGCGGCTTTGCCCCTCTGCGTTTCATCGACAGCAACCCCGAGCTCGCCCAAGCTAGACGACGACACCTGGCCGAACTGGGTTTTGGGTGTACGGGGGTGGGTATGTCACGGTCATGGCATGTTGAGCTAAAAGTCGGGTGACCGACGTCGTGTGCATGGTGTGTGTGTGACATAGCGTAGTGTTTCTGTCTGGTGCGCGTAAGGGGTTGCCCCCGATATGCAGAGAAGTACTGTACACTGTACAGCAATGCAGCCGCCGTGCAGAGCAGGATATGGGAGATGGATGAGATGAGACGCCAGGAGCATGTTGCGCATTGTTGGGTTTAAAGGCACGCCCCGTCTTGCCCAGCTGTGGGTTCAGGAGAAGACGGTCAGGAGACAAGGTTTCCCGGAGGCGAGGTGGAAGCGCTGTACGCACGCGCGTGCTGCAGAGCTCTGCAGAGCCCCCGTGGGCCAGGACAACAGAAGAACCCAGGAGAGTACGCCACCAGGTAAGAGAGAGAGCGAGCGAGAAAGAGAGAGAGAGAAGAGAGCGCGAGCAGTCACAGCCTCCCACCCCTTGTAGACCGAGGCGTCGACCGGGAAATTGCTCGCTTCGCTTCTGACCTCTCCTGGGGCCTTGCTCACCAAGAACACCCTCGGGGCGTGTCCATGTTCCCTCAGACCACAAACCCTTTGCGACCCATTCCTCTGCGCATCTTATTCAAAGAACAACGACGACAACGACGACGACGACGACGAGGTGTGGATCTCACCACCACCATTCTTTCACACTGTCTTACACCTCTCTCTCCACCACCACCCCCCATCTTCGCCTTGGACGCCACCACCGTCTGCCACCCATTGGAGAACAGGGTCCCGCAATGTCCACCACGGCCATGGCGGCGCTTCATGACCACCCAACATCACCACCGCCGACGCCGGGAGGCGTTGTCATGCACGCCATACACGCCACCAGCTCAATGGCCGCCACCATATGCCCTCCCCCACGCAGGTCCTCCAGTCCTCGCACCGCTGCAGCAAGCCCATCATGTGCAAGTGGTGCTGCTGCTGCTGCGAATGCTGGGCCATCTCAAACACCCACTCCCTCATCACTCCAGGTCGCATCGCACCTGTCACCACACTCGTCGCCTCTTGCCACCGCCGGCCCATCATCGACACCTCACCTGTCCTCGTCGCCATCGGGGCACACTCACCACACCTCTCTCGACCGGCGTCCAGAGAGTGTGTTTGCCAACGCGTCATTGCGCGTCCATCCCTTCATTAACATGGGCCACAATGCCACAAAGTTGGCCCCGGTCGACGAGCCGCAAGGAGGTCAGGCCAAGGAGTCACGACGAGACCGTGAACGACCAGTCGTCGCGCCGTCACGACCAGCTCCTCCACCACCGGTGGCGGTAGCAGCAGCAGCAGCAGCATCACCAGCAGTGGCAGGCGCATCCCTGCACGCCAATGCATCTGCAAAGCCACTGCCCCTAACAACAACAACAACGACGACGGCAACAACAACAACAACCCCAACACCACCATCAAGGCCCGGCCCGGCCAAACTCCAAAAGTCGGCACCTGCTCCACCCACTACCGATGAGGTCAGCACTTCCGGTAGCAGTAGCAGTCCTGCACCTCCTCCTCCTCAGCCCATCCGTGTCCCCGTTCCTCTACAGCCTCTCCAATCACTACCGCCCGCCCAGCCCCACCGCCGCGGCCTGGGCATCGTCCGCAAGATGAGCTTTCGGACGCGCGACCGCGAGCGCGGCGGCGCAGGAGCAGTGCAGTCCGCAGCAGTGTCGGCGCAAAGCCCATCCCGGGCATCTGCGATCGATGCAGCTGCCCTCGCTTCAGCGCCATCGGCCGTGGCGTCGACTGCGTCGCACAGCTCGAGCAACGACCACTCAACGTCGCGCAAGCTGCGAGCGGCTTCGGACGACACGGGGTCGAGCAAGCCTCGAGTCCTGATGCGCAACGCGTCCACTGGTCACGTCGGTGCTGCTCGCCCACGACGATCGCCAGCGCGCGCTACAAGGCGGTCTGCAGACGCGTCGTTTAAACCTGCCAACGAGATTTTGGGTTCCAGCCCGCCGGCGTCTGGTTCTTCAGAGATGACGCATGCTCGCGGCACGGTGTACGGTTCGTCTCCGCCGTCCGTCGGACAGGTTGTCGACGATGGCGTCGTCCTGAGCTCGTCGCCCCCATCGAGCATTGGACCGGAGCGTCGACAGCGCCTGGTCCCCCGTTCAGAAGCTGCCCGCGGACCAGCTCACAGCGCGCCGACACTGGAAGCGCGGACGCGCGTCTCGGCTACGGCGAAGAGGGAGCGCGAATGGCGCGAAAAGCTCGCGACGCTGTCCATCGTCTCGCCTCCCCGTTCTCCTGGCCCTGCGCTTCCTCTGTCCTCTGGACCCCGGCCTCCTCCTCGCCGCAAGCACACGCCTCCCGAGGTTGCCGACGGTGGGTCCTCGGCAGAGGTGTCGCCAACACGAGGTCACAAGCAGCAGGTCGAGACGCTGGCCAACTCGTTTGGCGGGCTTGGTCTGGGTCTCGGCGTCGACCCATCGACGGTTGGTGCCCCCCGCCGCTCGACGGCAAGTGTGGTCAGCAGTGTCGCCAGCAGCCACGTCCACATCTCGCCCGCGGTTTCTGCTGTGGGCCGCAACAACAACAACGCGCCGTCGGCTTCCCGCAGCGTGTCGGCGTCGAGCTACCTCGACTCGGCGAACTACTTTGACTCGCGATCGGTCACCCCCAGGGGCTCTACGGTAATCGTCTCTGTCCACGGTGGCGACATGGAGCGCAGGCCGCTGTCTACCATCATCCAGGAGCCTGGTTCACCTGCCTCTGACATTCCGCCGCCTTCACCAGCGTTCACGCTGGCGCTGGGCCTCCAGTCCCCGCCGACAGAGTACAAGCGCTCCGAGGCCGGCACTCCGAGCGCGTCTGCCCTGTCCCTCGCTCTGCCGCCGCCAGTGGCATCGCCGGCCATGTCGACCCGTGCCCTCGAGTGGACACCCGACGAGCGTGTGGTCGTGTCGCGTGCAAGCGTGCCCGACTTTCCACGTACCCCCAACTCGTCGGACATGGACCGCGGCGACAGGACGCCCGTGGCCCGGTCGCCGTCGCAGTGCGCCAGCTCGGAGCGCGGTCTCACGCTCGACGTCACCCCGCTGCCCACTGCCCGCGCCCACCTCCCCTCGCCGGCGCTGACGCCGACTGACAAGACCATGTCGGTGCAGTCGACACAGTCGGCCAACAACTCACAGGTCCACGACGACGTTGACGTCCACATGAGCGGCCTGCTGGCTGCTGCGGACGTGCCCACGGACGTTACGTGGCCGGACAAGGCCGAGCACGACGCCGCATACGCCGCGCTCCCAGACCGCACGTTTTCGCTTCCGGACCGCAAGACTTCGCTGCCCCAAGGCATGCCACCTCGACCCCTCCCTGTCCGGCCGGCGGAGAAGATGGCTGTGGTATCGGGTCCCGAGTCTGCTCAGCCGAGCACGTCTGTGTCTGCGTCTGCAGCTGCAGTTGCTCCTGGCGCTGGCGCTGGCGTTGCCAGCGCACGGCGCAGCCACGCCCGCTCGTCTAGTCGCGAGGCATTCGCACTCGATGGCCTCGTCCGCTCCGCGGCGGAGGCGGGCATGCCGGCCGTGCCAGCCGTACCAGCTGTCCCGGTTGTCCCAGTTGTCCCAGTTGTCCCAGCGCAGCCGGTGCAGCAGCAACCACCCCGGCCGCCGCCTGCGCAGGCCCTCCCTCCGCTCCCAGCACATGCTGCGCGCATCGCGAGGGACCACCCCACGCACATCCACACCGCACACAGGGGATCGCACCCGGCTCCGCCGCAGCCGCCGCGCACCCTCGCGCCCGACTCTGTGCCGCGCGACGTCAATGCCGACGTCGACGTCGCTGTCGACGTCAACGCGGACGGGACCGAGACCGGCGCACCCCTCCGGCGCAAGTACGACCTGACGCCGGGCCTCGACTCTGGCCGGCGGCCGCGCAAGACGGGCCTGCCCATGGCGGTGAGTACAAGTGCCGCTTGGCACTGTGGTGGTGAGGTGCGACGATGACAACGGCACGGGTCGTGGTTGCAGCGGGAGTTGGCTTGGCCACAACCACAAACCCCGACTGTCGCTTGGCGTCTGGCATCGCATCGCATCGCACCAAGGAAGCGCAACGAGAGTGTGGCTGACGAAAAACACAGGATCTGCAGCGTTGGCTCGCATCCACGACGACTGCGTAGACGTTTTGGTGTTTACATTATAGATTGTCGCCAACTTGGGGGTCACACGGTGGTCGCCGTCGCCGCCGGCACCGCCGGCACCGCCCGCAAGCCAAGCCAAACCAGGACCCAGGGGCCCAGGGACCGGCGCTGGCGAGAGCGCCAGACGGCGGACGGAGGGACGGAGGGGCGGGTCAACGTCGAGGCCAAGAGGAACAACAAACACCCACCGCGGGCCGACGAGCGCGACCGTCCGCCTCCGCCAAGCCCAATTTCCGCTCGCGCCACTACTGCTAAACCGCGGCGTCCAATTGAGTGTGTAATCAACACTCTGTAAAAGGTGGCCCCGGTGGCCCAATTGGCAGCTTTCCGAGACGGTAAACAAGCTTGTACTGTACTGTACAGCACAGCACCATCGTGAAGGATCAAAGAGGAGGGAGGACGGCGAGAGGCCGACAGGCGATGGAGATGAGGCGCCACGAAAGACATAGATTTACCCGACCACATGTTTGCAACGACAACTCTTTTCACGATTCGCTCATGACCTTATGCTTGTATGTAAACAAACCCTGCACGCTCTCTGTCTCTCGCCCCTGCTCCTTTCATTGGCCCTGCAATTGTTGTTGTTGTTGTCGTTGGTGTTTCCTGGTCTTGTCTTGGCACCTTTTGGTGGTTGTGGTAGCAAGTGTTGCTCTGGTATATTTAGGCCGGTTCGGGAAGGCGCTTGGCGCACCGCTGTACCGCTGTACCGCTGTACCGCTGTTTGGCGTCTTGGCTGGTGTGTGTATGTGTGCCGCAAACCCGACGGCTCCTGGCGACGGAGATGGTCTAGGCGGTGCGCAGCATGCGCGCAGAGGTCCAGCGGCGGCGGCGGCGTGTTTGGTGTCCTCGACGAACGTCCGTTGGGGCATGGCGGCTTGGCACGCATGCACGACGCTTGCTTGCAAACCGTGCAGTGCACAGCTGACGGATCTTACGGTTCCTAACGCTCTTGGCGGCACTCGGTTTCGTCCGGTGGCTGGTGCGTTCGTCGTCGTCGCTGTTGTCGCTGTCGTCGCTGTCGTCGTCGCCGTTCACACACCCCGGTGCCAACGGGACTTGGGCTTTGCCAACCTGCCACACACTTTTGCCTGTTGCAGCATGTGCATCGCGGAGGGGTCGTCTGAACCTGCCTGCCACCCGTCTCCGGGATGTACCGGGGGCCTTGCCTCGTCCCAGGCCCGCACAATGTGGCCCACAATGAAGCACCGCGCACAGCTCAGCTGGCAGACGAGACAGGACATGAGTGGCAGTGTCCATGGGACGGACGGGCCCACGCTCTGGGAAAATGAGCATTTTCGCATACTACATACAGTGCTGTCAAAGGCGTCAATTCTAAAACGCTCCCCTGTGCTGGAACTGGGAACTGAGATTACGGAGCAGCGGCGGGACCGTGGCACCGTCGGGGTCGTCGCTTTTGGAAGCAATACAAGCAGCTAGCAGGCTGCTTACCAACAGCCTGGCCAGCACCGAAGAGGAGCCGAAAGGGTAGGGGAAATGCGTCCTAAACGCTTTCGACCAACGCCGACGCGTTACGGACAGAGCGGCCATGAGCTGCCGCGCATCTCGCGCCGGGGAGGCTTGGCGTTGGCGCATTGGGATAACGAGGCGATGGAGACGAGAGCGGTGTGTGGTGTGCGTGTGTGCGTGAGACCTGAACGGGCCAAGGGAACGTCTGATACGCGTGGAGGGAAAAAATCCAGGAGACGGCGAAAACGAGGACCTCTGGAGCTGTGGGTGCAGTGGGCACGACACGAACGGGGACACGACGCGTGCTATAAGGGTCTCTCGCCGGGTGGCTCGCCGATAGTGTGCGCGCCAGTGGGCAGAGGGCACCGCCCGACTGTACCGCCGTGCAGGAGCATGATATGCATGCATTATGGCGGAGACTGGGCTCTGCAGCGCTGCGGTGTGCGGGGGAGATGTGGTCAAGAGAGGTCAGTGGATCAGTGATCAGTGGTGAGAGACAGAGGATGGGCTCCATGCATTGCACACACACACACACACATTTTGCTCATTGTGTGTGCAGCTGTCGGGCGGGCTACGTCACACACCCACACACCCACCCAATGCCTCACGCTGTACCTGAGATTTGTCTCGGCTGCTGCAGCGTGCAGCGGAGTGCGTGCGTGTGCGTGCGTGCGTGCGTGCGTTGGGCGGGGCGGAACAGCCGCGTGAAAAATGGGCCCAAAGGGGGGCTTGCAGGCTTTGAACGGGGGGGTGAGATTGAACCCTGTTTGTTGCGAGAGAGGTAATCAAACCCGTCATAACCATGATGATGGCATTGACCAACGCTGTGGGTCCCATTTGGCCATTTGGGCCACACCTTGTGACTGCGGGCGGCGTTGCGCACAGTTGTGGGTGGGTGGGGGAGTGGTGGAGTGGGTGGAGGAAGAAGTGGTGGTGGTGGTGGTGGAGCCGCCTGGTTGATCCTCTCACTCCCTTTTGCTGCGGATGGGATGCGTGTGGTGCGCACGGGATTTCGCACGGCTCTGGGGCGGCTGCGGCTGCGGCCCATTTCGGCCATTTCAAAAGGAGAGTTGAGTCCCGGGTTTTCTGTATTCAATGTCTTGTAATTTGCAGGGGCACTGGACCACTCTCTGATACACCTGCACAGTTCTCTCCCATGCACAATGCATTGTGCGCAATGAAGCAGGCAGCGCAGCCGCGAGAGAGGGAGAGAGAGAGCGTCGAGTGTCCAGAAAGCCTAGAGGATGGCAGTGTGGGTGTGTCTACCGGTACCTGACGGGGGCAGGACAGAGCGAAAAAACGCCCAAACAAGGGGTGGGCCATTATGACGAAGGCTGTGCCAGCGAGAGAGCGATGGGACCATGGCAACACCCCCCGGCACGAGACCGGCAGAGCCAGGCAGCACGCAGCGTGCAGAGCGGCAACAGCGCAACAGCAGCATACTGCACACCCCCCAGGCCAACACGCATCATAGGGGTCGCGGGAATACATGCTTTGCGGGCTGGCTGGCTGGCGGCGGTGGGTGGGTGGGCGGGCACGGCCGCTCTCTCTCCCAAACAACCAAAAGTAACTGCCCCCTGGGTGGTCATCTCGCTCCTCCCTCTGTTTCTCTCTTACGTCCTCATCCTCATCCATCTCATTAAACAACCCCCAGTCCGTCTCCTCTCCACCCCACCCCACCCCCCCTTCCACACACCCTTCCTCTCCCCCATCCAAAGTCGCGCAGGGAACGGTATTCCTCACCCACCCACCCCCGTCCTCGCGCGCAGCCTCTCTGCCCCCCATCGCACGGCCACTGTCCGTCGTCTAATTCGTGTGTGTGCGCACGCCAGCCCCTGGTCCAGGTTATATTTGCTGGTGAGTCCACACCCCCACCCCACACCCCCGCTGCGATCCCGTCCTGCGGATGGCACCATGTTGGTCCACTCCACACCTGCGCCGCAGCACTCTCTTTCCCTCACCCCCTCTCGCGGTCCTTTGCATGCGCTTGCGGATGGCCGTACCAGTGGCAAAGACGTTTCGAGGTCGAGGTCGAGGAGGTCGCTTCCGTCGGTGTCGCCCAGCAACCCGCTCTATGCCCAAGCACCGTGCACCTACCGACCCCAAGAGGGAGGGGCACTGGTCTGGGCACTGGTCTGTGTGACTGGCGGGGTGTGCATGACACGCACAAACACTGCCATGTCATTGAATACCGTTTCTGAATCGACACTGTTCCCTCCTCCGTCATAGTGCCCACAAGCACTGCCTCTCTATTCTTCTTCATTCGCGTTTCTTGCCACCCACTGGCATCGCACACGTTGCTGACACCGAATCTAGAGAAACAGCATATATCAACCAGCACGCACCGCTTGATCTGTTCTGTCCGCTGTCCCAAACGACTAGATCTAGAGAATAGCTTTACCTTCTTTTTGAGCCCCCGCAACCCCCCTCTATCACCAACCCGCCGACTCTCTCACACTCGGCACACTATGCTTGCCGCTCTTTGGACTTTGCTGCCATTCCTGGCATCGCCAGTCCTGGCGCAGACCCCGCTCTCCTTCCAGAGCGTCGGCGACGCCGGTATCTCTGCCCAGATGGTGAGTTGTTTCATCCCGGCGCCCGCCTCTGCTAACAATACCGCAGATGTTCCTTGGCACAAAGAACAAGGTCTACATCCTCGACAAGACTGAGAACAACCCCACCACCATCAACGGCCTGTACGGCGAGCACCCTGCATGGGCTGTCGAGTACGACATCAACACCAACAAGGGTGAGTACCACCGCAGAAAAAAGCTGCTGGGGGTGCGCGCGTGTGCCGATTGCAGGCGGTAGGGATGGCACTACCCGCACGCGCCTGCCTCCGTGTTCCCAATCTGCTGCAACCGCGTCGTTACCGTTTCGGGCGGGCGGGCGGGCGGGCGTTTCTTCCGCGTGCATGGTAGGCTAACGGACCCTCCGCAGTGCGCACCATGGATGTCTACTCGAACACCTTCTGTGCTGGTGGTGCTGTGCTTGGCAACGGCACTTGGGCCGTCTTTGGCGGTAACCAGCGTGAGTGTCTCGGTCACACTGTCGTAACCAACCGTTTTACTGACCCAAATTCCAGCCGTGACAACGGGCGGTGTTGCCACCACCACTGCAGGCGCATACTCTGACATGACGGGTGGCACTGCCATTCGTCTTCTTGACCCTTGCGACGACGAGTCGTGCGAGTACGTCCAGGGCACCCAGACGCTCGACATCAACTCGGACACTGGTGGCTACCTCCAGATGACCGGCAAGCGCTGGTACCCCATGGTCGAGACACTGCCAGATGGATCCCTCATCGTTATCGGCGGTGACAAGAACGGTGGCTACGTCAACACTGCCGGCCAGGACAACCCCACCTACGAGTTCTTCCCCCCAACCAGCGACGGTGCCGTCAGCCTCCAGTTCCTTTCGGACACGCTGCCCATCAACCTCTATGCCCTCACCTGGCTCATGCCCTCTGGCAAGCTGTTCATGCAGGCCAACCTCAAGTCGATCCTGTACGACTACAACAGCAAGGAGACTACCAACCTGCCAGACATGCCGTACGCTGCCCGTGTCTACCCCGCCTCGGCTGCCACCGTCATGCTCCCCCTGACCCCTCGCAACAACTACGAGCCCACCATCCTCTTCTGCGGTGGTTCCAACACTACCAACTGGGGTACCGACGTTGGCCCTGGCTACAATGTCACTGCTTGGCCTGCCGACCAGACCTGTGTCCGTATCACCCCCGAGGGTACCACCACTGCGTACCAGGACGACGACTACATGCTCGAGGGCCGTTCCATGGGCCAGTTTGTCCTTCTCCCCGACGGTACCATCTGGCACGGTAACGGTGTCGCCATGGGCACTGCCGGTTACGGTGACCAGAACTACTCGGTTGGCCAGTCGTATGGCCAGGCCCCGCTCTACATGCCCACCATCTACAGCCCCGAGGCAAAGGCCGGTACTCGCTGGAACCGCACTGGTCTCTCGGCTTCGGACAATGAGCGCATGTACCACTCGACTGCCATTCTCCTGCCCGACTCGTCGATCCTGATCTCTGGCTCCAACCCCAACGCCGACTTTACCACCAACCAGTGGCGTTCGCGTACCGACGTTGAGCGCTGGTACCCGTGGTTCTACAACGAGGCCCGCCCTGGTTACACTGGCATTCCCGAGACCGTCTCGTACGGTGGCGCTGCGTTCAACCTCACCCTCAACACCACCGACGCCACTGCCGCCAACAACACCAAGGTTGTTCTCATTCGCGGTGGTTTCAACACCCACGCCATCGGCTTTGGCCAGCGTATGATTGAGCTCGAGACCTCGTACACCATTGACCGCAACACCAACATCACCACCCTCCACGTCAGCCAGCTGCCTGGCACTCCCGGCCCCAACCTCTTCCAGCCCGGCCCTGCTCTCTTCTTCGTCGTTCAGAACGGTATCCCCTCTGACGGCGAGTTTGTCATGGTCGGTACCGGTTCCATTGGCACCCAGCCTACAGCTACCAACGCGGCCCTCCCTGCCTCGACTGTCATCGAGGTCCCCGTCGTCGAGTCGAGCACCTCGGCCACTGACGCCGCCCCGACCGCCGGTGCCACCGACACCACTGTCGACTCGCACAAGAACTCGTCATCAGGCGCCACCCGTGTCGTCGCGCCCATCACCGCCGGCGCGGCTCTGCTTGTTGGTCTGATCGCCGCTCCCCTGCTCCTGTAATCTCGCATTTGGACATTAAAGACTGGACACTTAATTTGTTAAACCAGTACATCCCCCCCACCCCACCCTCATCCTAACCCCTTACCTACCCCGGGATGCCTCGTACTGTCTCGCCTCTCCCCCTGCCCCCCGTTTTCGTACCCGCCGTACCATCGCATTTACACGCGCACCCAGCATTGCCGTGAACTACCTTTGATAGCCTGGCTCGCAAAGCCTAATGGACACTATGCCTCGAGACTCGAGACTCGCGCGCGTTCCCTGATCCTGATCGTTTCCATCACAGTTTGTCACCCAGAGTTGTGCATCTTTTTACGCTTTTAACGTCACCGTTGGACGATCCCTCGATGCGGTGTTGTTGTCGGGGGTGGGTTTGCTTGTTGCAGTGCTGTGGGAGTGGGTACGGGCCCGGGTTTGTGGGTGCCCACCACACCCAACCCTCCCCAGCCTCACCGTCTCCACGCGCCGTCGCCCATGGATACCGCCGGGACACACCCCGCCTCGTTCCGATCCACCCCAACGCAGGCTATTTCGGACAATGGAGGTATTGTGAACCCAGGAAGCGTTTGGCGCAGCCTGTAGCTGGCCAGCTGCGCCAGCTGGGAAAGTGGCGGACAAGCTGCAGCTGGTTGGAAAGCAACGACGGATGGAGATTGCACTGCTGGCTCGCTCGCTCGCTCGCCACCCAGGCCCGCAGCAGCAGGCTACTATCAGAGTTTGCCTGTCTGTCTGTTTGTTTGTTTGTGTGTGTGTTTGCAGCGATTGGCATGAGGCAAGGGTGCGCGTGAGCGAGTAGAGTACCGAGCGAGCCGACCGCAGCAAGGTAGGTACACATGTGCATACGCAGTACGCAGTCGTACGGTCCGATCTGGAACATGTGGACATGGATAGTGCAGGGATGTGGCTGGACAGCAATGTGAACGAGTGAACTGTATCTGCACACAACACGGTGAGAGGCTGGCTGCCTGGGAGGACTCGCCACATACGAGCCGACGAGGCGGCTGAATTACACACACAGTCTATGTGAACAGGACGCGGCCTGCCCCGGGGGCTGCCGGTGCCTTTGCGTCCCAAGGATACCGATGCACACACTAGAGTGAACAGGTTTCCCATGCATCGGGTGGATTGTATGCCGTCGAGCGTGCGTGGGTGCGCTGGAGGGTGTGGGTCAACTGGCTCGGCGCCTGGAATAGGTCGCCAAACACGACTTCCAACGCCGGAATCGGGAACCGGGCGGAGGCCGAGCAACCATCTCTCAGTGCTTCCACGCACCGCGCACCCGCGTATTCTAGCTTCTAGCACTTGCTCTCGCTCTTGCTCTGGCTCTTGCTTTGCTTCCTGTATCTCGGATCTCAGATCGCCTGCTCCCTCCTGCTCGGCCCCAGGACGCCTCCTTATGACCCTTTTGGCTCTCACCCGTTTATGCACGGCGGAGGGATGGCGCTGAATGGACACGTCTGTGTCGGGCCGTTCCTTGCAGGATCTCACACACGCATACAACAAACAAGCAGCGAGCAGGGATATACTGTATCACGCGAGAGGGTGGGCACTGGGAGTATTGACTGTACCGTTCACTGGCTGACGGGAGTTTAGTCTTAGTTGAACCCGGCGTGTGTTCCGATCTCGGCGCCTGCATCGTGTTCGCCGCGGGGAGTGGCGCTGGGGGGCTCACTTCATGACTCGATGGCACTCGAGAGGTTCATGGCATTCCACGACGCCCAGTACGAGTAACGGAAACAGTCCGTCATGGAGTCATGGAGGCGTCGCGGAAAAGGCCCACTGAGGCCGTACTGTGGTCCTGTGGGGGCCCTCCGAGGATAGGACTATTGTTGGGTGCCGGTTGCTCGATGGGCGCCAGTGGCCGGCGTATAGCCCGCTGACCATTGGATGCCGCCACAGACGGCGTTCGCCAGCTGACCGGACACGGGGTCAAGCTCCACCAATGGATATAATGAGCAGGGCTCGTGCGATCTCTGCCATGTGCCGTGCACCGGGGGTGCGATCTAGGGAGCCGATGTGATCTTGAAGCTTCAGTCAGGTCCATGCTCCAGCGTGAAAGACGTTGAGGTTTGTTCAAAGCTCGTCGTAAAAGAAGTCAGCTGGTGTAATTGTGTAGGGACGACCCGACAGTCTTGCATCCCGTGATGCACTTTCGGCTTCTCGGCCTTTTCCGCGTCGGAAAGACGCAATAGCCATTGTCTACATGGCTGCAAATGGTACCCAAAAACCCGCCATGCCAAGCATTGCACCCAACCTTTGCATAGAGGTAGACTTGGCAGTGTCATGTGGGTGCGAGGGCCGTGCTGCGAGGGTGTCAGTGGGGTGAGTGGTGGCGCCGGGGTGTGTGGGGACCCGTCGGTGCCAGAACACAGTGACCCGAGAGGGAGGGAGGGGGGGGGAGTCTCAAGCAGTGTCTTGAACAGAAGGAAGACGGGACAGAGCAGTGACGCAGCAGTGACGCAGTGACGCTCGGGTGGTTCGGAGAGGAGGGACGTTGGCGCACCCACTTGATGCCGGCCGGGCGATCGCTGTGAAATCCGATCGAGAGAATGCCCCGCGCTCGTGAGAGCAACGGGTAAAGAGTGGGTCAGAACTGGGTTCAACACAGCTGGCAAAACTGGGTTCACTCAGACGCTGTATGATCGTATGTCAAGAACCAGAACACGCTGCGTGGAACGCTGCACGACAAGAAACCTGCACGGCACCGGCTGATCGTCGTCGTGTCGTCGTCGTCGCCGCCGTCGCCGTGGGTCTCGAACCTGTTTCTCGCACCAGAGACATGGACCCGGGTAAACGATCCGCGGTGGCGTCCGTTGAACAGAGGTACAGAGGCCTTGGTGATTCCTGGGTGTCTCTTCCGCGCGGATGTCGGGATATGGCGCGGCCGACAGGAGTGTGCACAGGAGGTGCACGAGAGTAGTACCGGTCCCGTGTAGGTGTGTTCCCGATGCATGTGCGGCGAGTGGTGGGATTTGGCAGAGTTTGGAAAAACAGAGTGGGTGTGTGTGGGGTAGAAAAGGGAGGGGGCTAACGTGGGTGGGTTGAAAAAGGCGGGGCCACTTTGCCCGTGACTCTGCAGACACCGCCCACACAAACGACCACCCACAGAGCCAAGACATGCCATCCCCCCTTGCCCTCCTCTTCAACCTCTTTCACCTTCTTACAACCACCTCCAGCAAACTCACCAGCCCCCGCCACGGCCAGTGGCCACCCCCCCACCCCCATCACTCCCACTCATCACAATGTCCGCTGCCGTAGCTCCGGTCGCCCCGGCCGCTGCTCCCGCCGCCCCGCCAGCGACCCCGTCTACCGCCCCGCCAACAGGTCTTTCCCCACCGCCCCTCTCCCCACCTCTGATCTCTCCCTCCGCGCTCCCCAGCGGAGCAGGCACCCCAGAGGTGTCCATGGTCGAGGCCAGCGACTTTACAGGTGTCACATTCACCCCAGAGTAAGTTGGTTGCGGGACGGGAGCTCGTCGAGGCGGGATGGAAAGGAAGGGACGCACATGGCCGTCCGTCCGTCACCAAGCTAGTGGCGCGCGAACGGCGCTTAGCATCGCGATCTGGCCCAAGAAGCACATGTCCGAACATGCCGCCTGTATCGGTGGACGGGTGCGGACGGGTCAAACGTGGTGGTGCATGCGTGCGTGCGTTCATGCGTACACACACGAACGTGGTGGCCACCGTTGCTTTGCTCGGTCGGGTCTGGATCTTGCTGGGCTTTTTGCCTTTGCTGCTGGGGCCGGGTACTTCCTGCCATCGCAAACGCCACCGGCCGGAATCACGCCTCAGCAACGGCGGCGCTCCTCCCGGCTGTACGATGGCGATGGATGGCGGCGGCGGCGGCGGCGACTACATGCGCCGATGTGGTACACCCAGAGCCCGTTTCCATCTCGGCGACGACAATGTGTGGCCCACGCCCACCCATTTTTTGCCCCGTCCTAGCCGTCCTTGCCGTCCTTTGACGGGTGTCTCCTCCTTGCCCGGCCGAATTCCGCTGACATATGACACAGACTGTGGATGCAGCGCCGGCACTGGGCCCTCGAGGTGCTCCGTAAGGAAGGCATCCGGTCCGTGCTCGATCTCGGCTGCGGTCCCGGTAGCCTCCTCCAGACCCTTGTCATCCCCCCGCAAACCATCGCCGAGCGCCCAATCGCAAAAGACGGCGACCTCCCAGAGGGCAGGGAACTCTTCATCACCGTGAGTAGTACATGGCGGCGGTGCAGTGCGAGAACCGGTCGGGTGCGAACGTGAGGGGGAGGGGTGACACGCCTGGATCAGGACGCGAAGGAGGCAGAGTGAAACAGTGTGGTCGTCGTGGTGTCGCAAAGCCATGAGAAGCATCAACGCCGTCGGCGGAGATGCGGGCGTCGCTGGATACAAGATCGTGCTCGCTGGCAGCTACTGCTGCTACACACCTTGTGTCCGTCTGCATACACCCACACCCACACACCACCTCCTGTCTTTCTGTCTTTCTGAAAAAAGCCACGCCCCGCCCCCACAGCGGCGTTGTCACTACCTCCGGGGCACCGAGCCCACGAGCCCTGCTCGCCCCGGTTCAGGACAGTTTTGATCTGTGCGCATGGACGGGGAAACGGCGAATGGGAATGGGGTGGCACACCCCCGTGCCGTCGTCTTCGTTCTCCTACTGGCTCGCGGTATCCCTGGCAGGAAACCTGGTGGCGTGCGGCATCCACCTCACGTTTTCCTTTGCCCCACGTCCGTCGTCACTCGCGGGACGCCGTGGTTGCTTGCCGTCGAGCGGAGCATTCGGAAGCTATGAGCGGAGATGGCGTTGCGGTCCGGTTGTGTGGGGTGAGGGGAAGACTCTCACGGGGGACCGGGGTGGAGCCGGCGGCGATGAGCAGATTGATTGGCCACGGGACGGCGGGACGGAGAAAGAAAAGGACGAATGCTGATACCGCGTAGCGCGTGACGGCCGTCGACCAGGAGCCTGGCGTGATGGCGTCGGCGATGAAGACTCTCGAGCCAACGGGAGCACCCCGATGGGAGACTCTCAACACGGAGCTGTGGCTCGGCGGCATCGAGCGCTACAATGCAAGGCTAGAGGGCTACCAGTCGATTGTGGCTCTCGAGCTCATTGAGCACCTCGACCCCCACATCCTCAGCCGCTTTGGCGTCGTGACTCTGGGCACCTACCGTCCCAAGCTCATGCTCGTGTCGACTCCTGTGAGTTGAAAGATCGACCGCAACAACTGACAATCTCAGAACTTTGACTTCAACTCCAAGTTCCCGGACCATGAGCATGACGACTGCCCGAAGCGCGGCTTTGCGGACCCGACTGGCCGTACCGACCGTGTGTTCCGCCACTCGGACCACAAGATCGAGATGACCTACAAGGAGTTCCGCAACTGGGCCATGGCCGCCGCCGCCGACTGGGGTTACGAGGTCGAGGTGTCTGGCGTGGGCATCTCCTCCAAGCCCTCGTACTACGAAGGCAAGGACGGCAGGCAAGGCAAGCCCATCTACGCCTCGAACACGGCCGTCTTCCGCCTCACCACCGGCGTCCCCATGCGGTCTCCTCGCAGCGTGCGCACCGTCGAACTTCCGTTTGCCCGCGGCGTCTCCGAGGCCATGCACCCCCACCGTCTTGCAGCCAAGTTTATTCACCCCGTCACCGAGACTCCTTCCCCAGGCGCGCCCCTTGCCCCCGCGCAAGTCGAGGAGGCCGTCATCACCGCCTTTTCGCACGTGTCGACGTCCAACCTCTCACTGTCGGAACTGTGGGGTCTGCCAGGCGTCGCAGCGGCATGCGCAGGCAGCAAGCGACACCTCGTCTCGTCCCTTGGCGGATGGGGCAACTGTGCGCCCCTGGACGGCGCGAGCGGAGCGTTCGAGGTGGTGCGCGCCGAGAACGGCCTGGAAGTGAGGCGCAAGTGAGCGATTGAACAAGCCGCGCAAGTTCAAGTGGAGAGCAAGAAGCGAGAAGCCCGTAGCGAGGTGGATGAGCAGCAAGTCACCCGGGTCGCGAAGGGAGGCGAGGGGTTGAGGAGGCAGGCGGAAAGTGGGTTTTCTCGCTACAGGTTCGACTCTCTCCATTCCACCGTGCGTACGAGGCTCGTCCAGTACATGGGTTACACCGAGGGTACACCGTGTCCTTTGCTGCGAAAGCTCCAAGGATCACAGTGTACGAGTCATCTCGCCGCCAGTGCTTGGAACCGTCGTCGTCGTTTTGGGCGTGAGAGACACCCAGAAACGAGAACTCCACAGTCCAGCCTTCCCCCTAAATACCCCCGTCGTCCCGCCGCAAGCGCGCGTGAGGCAACACAGCCAACAACACAGAATAATGACCCCCCAACCCACCCACAACCGTCCATTCCCCATTCCTCAACCCATGTAAAGTCCAACCATGCAACAGAGACTCAGACGCGTACACGCATGCATATGTTGCTCCTCGCTTTGATTGTTGTATCTCGTCTTCTTCTTCCTTCCTTCTCTCTCGCTCTCTGTCCTCTCAGATCCGCGCCAATCGAGACAGATAGTTTTCTACGACCTTCTTGCCGTTGTTGAGGTTGAGCAAGCGGATGCGCTCGTTTGCCAAGTGTCCCGCATCGCTCGACTGGCCGAGGGGCAGGTGCACGCACGGCGCGGCAAACTCCCTCTCGAGCCACGACATGGTCGGCACCGTCCCGCCCTCGCGGATCTTGAGCGGCTGCTGGCCCCAAATGTCCTTGACGGCGTCCTCGAGCGCGACAAAGTACGGGTGGTCGAGGCTCGCCAGCCACCACGACGCGGCGTGCGTAATGGTCACGTCGAGGTGGTTGGGGCTGTCGAGGTCGGTAAACACCTTTTCGCAGTAGGCGACGAGGTCGTCGACGATCGTGTCCAGGTCCTGGTCTGGGACGAGACGCATGGAAATGTCGGCGCACACGCGGCGCGGGATGACCGTCTTGTTGGCCGCGCCCGAGGTGGTGATGTTGGCGATGGAGAAGGACGGTTGGCGCCAGACGCGGACGAGCTCGTCGAGCGGCCGGCCAGACGCGCGCGCGACAGAGGAGAGGAGCTCCAGTTCCTCGGGCGTCTGCTTGCGCACTGCTTCGTCTGGGTACTTCGTCAGCGCATGACCAGGAGGGTGTGAGCAGCAATGGTAGATCACTCACAGAAACCAGGCAACTTGACGCCCTGCGCGTCCGCCAAACTACCCAAGACCCGAACGAGGTCAAACATGGGCTCGGCGACAGCACCTCCCTCCACACCGTTGTGGGCGTCGTCGCCCTCGCTCGACACGGACAGGTTTGCGTACACGACACCACGCATACCGTACACGACACACGGGTCTTCTTCGTCGATCCAGGTCGAGTTGGCGAGGAGGACGACGTCGACTTTGCCAATGTGGTCCTGGTCTGTCAGTATAGCTGCGCTTTGCTGTTGTACTTTGTGGACTACCCAGCAAACGACAGGCCGATACCCACCTTGTTCCTCCTCACCGCCGCTGCAAAGCCGCGACTGCCAGCCTCCTCCTCGCCTTCAATGAGCATCACGAGGTCCACGTCCAGCTCGCGGCGCTGCCTCAATGCGGCAGCGGCACACGCAACGGCCATGATGGGACCCTTGTTGTCGGTGACACCGCGTCCGTAGAGGTAGCCGTTACGGCCGGTCAGCTCCCACGGGTCGCTCTCCCAGTCCTTTTCGCCGACGGGTTGGACGTCATAGTGGCCGTAGAAGAGGACGCGCTTGCGAGGCTTGCCAGTGTCGCGACCGGTGAACGTGGCGAGGACGAGTGGGTTGCGACCGGGGTCGCCCGAGAGCATCTCTGCCGACGCACCGAGCTGGCCGAGCAGCTTTTTGAGCAAATGGGCGCCTTGACGACAGCTCTCGCGGTGCGCCTCGTCGCTCACGGTGGGGACAGCCACAAGCTTCTTGAGAGCGTAGAGCATGACGTCGCCCGAGCCCTCGATCACGCCTTCAATGTCATCAATGTCGGTATCGTGGCGGGTGGCACGGGCCATTGGGATGGACCAAATCTTGACAAACGAGTCGTTTCCGGCAGTGATCAGCTCGTACTGCCCGGGCTTGCGCGCGGCCGGCACAATGAGCGCCGCGAGAACGACGTCTGCGTGTGCCTTGAACGCGGCGGTGCAGTCAAACGACTCGTCTATGCGCAGCACGCGCCCATCAGCCGCACCAGTGAACACGTCGCAGCCGAGGACCGTCATGGCCATGACGTCGGCGTCGTGCGCTTCAATCGTCCGGATACGGGCGCCGGTCTCGAGGTCCCACACGTCAATCTCGCCGTCCTGGAGTCCGGCGTAGATGAGCGAGTCGCGGTGCGCGATCGAGAGCACGGCGCCACTGAGCCCGCTGAATTCGCGAACGAGGTGGAGGCCGCCGCGAGGTGCGCATTCCCAGATCTTGAGGTCCGAGTCGCCGCTTCCGCTCGCGAGCCACCGGGAGCCATCTGGACGCGTGATCATGTCGAGGGCATAGACGTAGCCATAGTGCGCGTAAAACAGAGTCGAGTCGACGTCAATTTCAAACTCGGTCACGGACGTGGCGCGGAGCAGGCGGCCAGCGACGTCGGAAGCTGCCACACCGGCCGGGATCGGGGTGGTGCAACGACCAGAGGCCAGGACGGCGCCGGGTGTACGGGGCGTGCTCGTTCCACTCCGCACATCGGCAGGCGGGGTGTCGAAGAAGGAGTGTGGCTTGTACCGTCCTGAGCGGACCGATGGAGCTGGGCTCTGGCTCGAGGCAGGAGGCGAGCACTTGGGCGTGGTGAGCTTTGGCGCAGCGTTGAGAGAGTTGGTAGCTTCAGTGGGGCTGTTGATCGAGATGACAGTGGCAGAGCCGGCGGGGGACCCGTTGGGCAACTTGGAAAAGTTGACCCACTCGATGGTGGTGTTTTGCGCGCCAAAGTAGAGCGTCCCGCCGTTGCGGTCGTCCCACGCCAACGAGTAGATGTCGCCCGAGGTGTCATCGCATGGGCGGATGATGTACAGGGGCTCGAAAGTGGTAGTGCACCAGATCTGGGGTGTCAGCGACAATGGTCAGGCAGCTCTTCATCAAGCTTCCAGCTGAACCAGAACCAACTCACCCTTACGTCACCCGCGCTGCTGCTCGACACGAGCCAGCCCTTCTCCTTGATCACAAGCAGCGCCAGCACACTGCCTGCATGTCCCAGCAAGCGGAACAGAGGCTGGAGAGACGACCGCGAGAAGACGGTGATCTCATTGTCGCAGCTCTGGCAGCCAGCAAAGACGTGGTCCTCGTCCGCCGCAAGCGAGAGGACACGGCCCTTGCCGACGGACAAGAGGTGGGAGAGGGTAGGCGGGATGCCGACGCGGTTGCGCGTGAGCGAGTCGGCTATGGGGGACAGTGTGCGAGGCGGGGTAGACGGCGGTGATGGCGGCGGGGTTGGGGGGAAGACAATCGGCGGTTGGCAGCGGAACATGGGTGTGGGGGGGTCGGATGGCGAGGACAAAAAGTAGACAGAGGTTTGATGGCGGCGGCGAGGAAAAGTTCAAAGACGCAAGGTGTCGCGCAATGGCGTCAGCTATCTGATCTCACCTCGCGACTCGATACACTGGGAACGCTGGGACCGCCACCCCTCCCCACGAGCCTTGTGGGACGTGTGGGGCGGGAAGGTGCACGCTGGTGTTGGACAGCTGTCTGCGGGAGTCGCGGAATGGGAGCTGCCCGCGGCGCGGTACGCGACGCCGCGCTGCCCACCCCCACACACGTCCCAGCTGTAGAGACGTTCCACAGCCCTCGTGATCGACAATGGCACTCACCCTTCCTCATTGCCGCAGGGGTAGCGACAACCGTCTCGTGTCGCCGCGCCCCCTTGACGCTGTGTGCGCGGCCGCGCGCGCTGATGGGGGAGACGGGTGAAAGCGAGGGAGCCATGGGGAGTTGGGTTGGATGTTAGATCCGGCGCTGTTTGTGGTAGCGTCGGGGTGGAGCTTGTCGAGAATACGTGTTGCCTCGTGCTCGCTGCGCCGTTGGTTTCAGGTACACGTCTGGTGAGACGTGTGCTCGATCGATCACGAGACGAGAAGCGGTGAGCGTCGGGACGACGTCGGTGGCTTGGGTGGGACTGATTACGCCAGAGCTGCGGCCGAGTGACAGCCGGACTGTGAACACTCGATGGGCGGGTGGGGGTTGGAGTGCTTGAGACGAGGTATCGAGCGATGACAAGGATGACTGTGATGGAGCACAAAAGTAAAGTGTGTGTGTTGTATCGTTGGACAAGAGTTCGGCGTCTGATTCTTGATGGCCCAAAGTGCGAGGCCCCCAGGCACGATAGCAGGAGTCGATTACACTTTTCGGAAAAATAAGCGAGCACGTCACCGCTCTGTCCACCCAGCCGACCATCTCGCTCTGCAGATAGATAGATAGATACACACACACACACTGCACTTGGTGATGCTGAATGATATATGCATGATGAGAGAGTGTGTACGACAATCTACAGTGAGACCTCCTCGCTCTCCTCCTGCCCTTGGGCAACAGTGCCCTCCTGGCCTCTCTCGCCCCTTCCTAGTCCTCCTCGATATCCATTGCACTCGACTCGTTGAAAGTCGTGTCCGGGTACCGTTGAGTCCTGTAGCTCGCATTTGCGGTCGTCGAAATGCTGTACCCCCTGGCACGGGACGTGCTCGCTCCACCACCTGCCAGAGTTCCAATTGTCGACCCTGCGCTCAAGCTCAGGTCGACGCTCTCGCCAGCCTCGTCGAGCGTCGCCGGGTCAGCCTCTACGGGCAAGGGGCCGAACGCGGCGTTGCCCTTGGGCACCGAGAACGGGTCGAGGTCGGTGCGCGCGATCGCAGCAGGTAGGCCTGGGAGAGTCGTTGGGTCGTGCGCCTCGACTTGCTCGAGGAGAGCCATCTCGAGGAGAATGGTGGCCACGGGGTCTTGCGGCGAGAGCGAGAGCGCCGAGTGGTACAGCCTGATAGCCGTGCGGACGTCACCCTCCAGCTGCGACAGCATGGCTTGGGACGCGTAGGCAGTCGAGTTGGTCGGATCAAGACGGATGCAGGCCGCATACGCCGCGCGGGCCTCGGTGTAGCGCCGCTGCACGCGCAGCGCGTGTCCCAGGTTACAGTGCGTGGCGGCCCATTCCGCTGCCGAGCCCTGCATCTCGCCCGCACCAGCGATCGCGCGCTCAAAGAAGTCGATGGCGGCGGAAAAGTCGTCGCGGTTGTACGCGGCAACACCGAGCTCGTTAAGCAAGAGCGGGTCGGACGAGTGGATCGCGGCTGCAGCGCGAAAGTACTCTTCAGCCAGGGCTGACTGCGAGAGTTGCAAGTGCTCTTGTCCGATGGAGAGGAGTGTGAGATGGGATCTGAAGAGTTAGCAGAGGAGGCAACCCGCAACTCACCCTGGAAAGAGCCTTGCGGCAGTTGAGTATGCTGTGATAGCCTGGTCATGCTCGCCCTCCCATGCGAACGCGTGCGCAAACGTGATCCAGGCTGGAGCGAAGCGTGAATCGATCAAGTTGGCCTTTGAGAAGAACCGCCTGGCCTCGGTCCACCGCTTGCCGGAAAAGTACCACAGGCCGACAGCATACCACGTCGAGGCAGCCTGTGGCTCCTGCTGGACCAGGTCGTGTGCGAGCATGAACAGCGACGAGTGTAGGCGCGGGATGTGGTGCATGCACGCCAAGTGCAGGGGGAGAGCACCAGGGTGACCAGGCATGCGGGCCAGAATCTTTGACGTGACCACATAGCAGTCCTCCCACTTGTAGCGCGCAAAGAGCTCCTCGGCGAGGCCGACCAGCACGTCACAGTTGTCGTCTAGTTGGTACGTTTCGACGAGCTGCTTGCGGGCGGCGGCAATCTCGGAGACGTGTGCGTCTTTTCGCAGCTTGGAGATGTACATGAATCGCACAAAGTCGGCCTCCTCGTTTGCGAGCTGTTGACGGTATGCGAGGTTGTTGATAAACTCCCATTCTGATGCAAGGTGAGCTGCTGGTGTCGGACACGATTTCACGTACCTTCGGTGGCCGACATCATCTGGCCCTCAACAAGCTCTCTGAACGCGTCATAGTTTTTGACGTCGATAATGAGCGCCTCGATAAAGCACTCCTTGGCGCGCTCGAGACTCGAGAGACGGAGGTGAAGGATGCCACGGGTGTGACACATTGCCGAGTGCAGCTTGACACCGTCGGTCCCTGGCCGGCTGGTAGCCCCAACCTCGCGGAACGGGTTGCTCTCGCCAATGAGCTCGAGTGCTTCATGGTATTTTTCTTGAGCGATGAGACATTGTGCCGCGAGCGAGCGGCACGCGAGGTGGTCGTCGATGAGGCGGCGCAAGAGACCTTGGTCGTCGTCGTCCTCGGGCGCCTTGGCTTTGCCCTTGTCGCCACGCTGGCGTGGTGGTGGACGGGGGTCTGTCAACAAGCGCTCAGCTTGGAGGTAGTGTCCCGTGAGAAAGTACGCCTGCGCGACCCAGAAGGCATCGGTCGAGTCGCCTGAAGGTAGGTGAGCACCGTCATGAGCGTGAGGCACCTACCTGTCCAGCTGAGGATCTTGTCGCCCCAGAACATGGCCGTCTCGTAGAGGTGGTGAATGATGGCGTCGTTGCGCCACACCCGCATCGAGTCAATCATTCCCCAGCGGTCGTCCTCGTCTTCTTCGTCCTCGTCTGCCTCGGTCGTCTCGTCGCCTGCAAAGCGGGAGCGGGAACGGGTGGTGGGACGCGGCTCTGAGCCAGGTGGTGGCCGAGAAGGGCCTGCACGAGTGAGGGGCGAGCGGATTCGAGGAGAGACCTGGGCCATGCCCATGTGGCCTTGCTCTGAGAGGAAGGCGGCGCGACCCTTGGAGGGGGACATGAGGTTGATGGACATGTCCGAGAGGCTCATGTCCGAGTCTGCTGGGTTGAGGGAGAAGGAGGCTGAGAGGCGAGAGGCGGATCCTGGTGCTGTCCTGCGCCGTAATGGAGCGCCTTGAGGAGTAAAGGCCATGTTTTGTGGCGGGGTGTGAGCTGCGGGAGGCATGGTGTGGGTGGAGTGGGTGGTGGGTGGTGTGTGGGATGTTGTTGGACGTCGCAGCAGCAATGGACACAACAACACACGCGCGCACTGTCTGTCGCCCATGACGTGAATGTGTATATGGTCCCCCCTGTTTGCCAAATTGATTACATAATACGCTCCGCGCCAGGCCCCCCCCCCCCCACCCCATGTGTGTGCGTCGCAAGTGTGTGCGGTGCCTGCCGCTCGGCGCTCGAGCGCCGCCGCCTGCCCGCCTGGCCGTGTGTGCGGTTGCATCCATTCCATCTCGCATCCCACATCCCACTCGCTACTCGTTTTGTTCCTCCTCGTGTCATCGCTCCTTTTCCTTCCATCCAACCACCACCTAATATCCATCCATCCACCCCGCCACACACCCTCTCCCTACCATCCCTCAGCCTCACACTCACCACACGCACCACACGCACCACACCACCCTCCCCCTTCCACCGCCCAGCGCACCCTCCCCCCCTTCTCCCTTACACGCGTCCAGCGGGGGCACCGCATCCTCAGTCCCACCTTGCTCCGACGACGCGCGCGCATCCGGGAACAATCAACCCACCCTCTCCCCCAACTGGCAACAACTCCACCGTCGGACTCCCTGTGTGCCCGACACTTAGCACCTGCCTCCTCCCTTCCCATCCCCCGCAGCATCCGCCATGCAAGCCCCGAACATCTACAACGTGAGCATTCCCATCAACCCCCCTCCATCCCACCCATCAGTCCCCAACAATGTCCTCGCTGCACGGACAACAACGTACACATCCTTCCATCCTTGTCGTCCCTCTACTGCTTTCTTATCAACGAAACGCCCGACGCACTGTTACTGACTGCATCCTTTTCTTCTTCCTCGTGCCGGCACCCACACCAATCTTTGCACCTCGCTTGCATTCCTTGATCGCCGTTGCCCCTCGTGACTTTCCTGGCGACCCTCTGTTGCTCGCGCGCACACTTGCCTTTGTGCTTCTTCGCCCGCCTTGCTCATCACCGGTGTCTTCCTTATCACCTGCACACTGCCCACACACCTTCATTGTCCTTCCCCATCGGCGCCCTCACTCCACACCCCCCCATCAATACTTGGTTCCTCCCTGCCGCCGCGACCTCGTTGTCACTGCCAATCGATCCATCCTTCCACAACACAGCACCACCGCCTGCCCCCTGCAGCCGCTCCGCCTGTTGCGGCAGGCCCTCCAGCGCCATCGATGCAACGTCTTGGCGAGTGGTTCGAGTTGATCAAAAACGAGTTTGAGAACGTCGCCCAGGACAACGCCATCTGGAAGGCGCAGCGAGATGAGTATGAGGCACAAAGTGAGTTTGTCTGCGCCGTGCTACAGCTGACCCAATCTCAGTGGCCCAGCAGATCACCGAGTTGGGCATGATCAGGAAAACGCTCTACGAGCTTGAGGGGACACACGCCAAGGTCCGGCAAGAGTGAGTGTTTTCGCGTGTCAGGGCCTGAGGCCCGTCATTGTTGTTGTTGTTTGCTAACATGGCAAAAGGTACGAGGCCGAGATTGCTCGTCTGCGTCGCGAACTGGAGACTCGCGGTCCTCCAGGAAACGGCCCAGCACCCAACTCGCCTCCTCACCTCCCTGCACCAGGAGGTCAGGAGCGTGACGGCGGACCAGGCTACCCATCGCTCCCCGGACCTCCTCTAAACGGCGGAGAGCCTGGTGCTTCGCGCTCCCCATACCCACTGGCCCCCATCCCACGCCCCGCGTCCACCAGCATTGACCGCAAAGAGTCGCGATCAGTCGCTCCCCCGGGGAGTCCTCCCCCGCACCTCTCCGACCTCGACCCAGACAATGTATCGCGCGAGCTGAAGAAGGAAGGCTCAGACTGGTTCGCCATCTGGTCTCAGACTACCAAAAAGGTCCTCGACGTGTCGCTCGTCCACTCCCTCGTCCATGACACTGTCGTTTGCTGCGTCAAGTTCTCGCACGACGGAAAGTGGCTCGCTACTGGCTGTAACCGCACAGCCCAGATCTACGACACCAAGACTGGCGCCAAGACCTGCGTCCTGCTCGACGAGTCGGCTACCCGCACAGGGGACCTCTACATTCGCAGCATCTGCTTCAGCCCCGACGGCAAGTACCTCGCCACCGGTGCCGAGGATCGCCAGATTAGGGTAAGCTGCGTTTCCAATATATTCAGCTGACATTCAGATTTGGGACATCAAGGCCCAGCGCATCCGCCATCTTCTCCAGGGCCACATGCAGGAGATCTACTCGCTCGACTTTAGCCGCGACGGCCGCTTCCTCGTCTCGGGCTCTGGGGACAAGTCTGCTCGTGTGTGGGACATTGAAAAGGGCCAGTGTGTCTTTGACCTGCGCATCGAGGACTTTATCCACAACGAGCAGGGTCCCATCGACGCCGGCATCACCTCTGTCGCTCTGTCGCCCGACGGCAAGCTCGTTGCCGCCGGGTCTTTGGATACCATGGTCCGTGTCTGGAACGTGCAGACTGGCCACCAGGTGGAGCGCCTCAAGGGTCACAAGGACTCGGTCTACTCGGTCGCCTTCTCCCCCGACGGCAAGTGCCTCGTCTCGGGCTCACTCGACCGCACTCTCCGCGTCTGGGACCTCTCACAGACCAAGCGTGCCCTCGACTCGCTCCCCCCCGGTTCAAAGGAGCCTGTCGAGAAGGGTCTCGGCACCTGCGCGTCCACTCTCAACGGCCACAAGGTGAGTTATTGGTCCGTAATGTTGGACTCCAAAACTGACAAGCCAGGACTACGTTCTCTCGGTCGCCATCTCGCCCGACGGACAGTGGGTCGTCTCGGGTTCCAAGGACAGGTCGATCCAGTTCTGGAACATCCACAGCGGCCAGGCCCAGTTCATGCTCCAGGGCCACAAGAACAGTGTCATCTCCATCGACCTGGCCCGCAGCGGTGGTCTCCTGGCCTCGGGATCGGGCGACTGCCACGCACGTATCTGGAGCTATGGCCCCGTGTAGAGTGAGAGAGTCGGAGAGACAGATAGCCAGAGAGAGAGAGATAGTCATCGTTGTGTCGTCGCGATATTAGGTACACTGTAGCGGATGCACAGAGTTTGGTTGAAATTGTCACGTGAGGGAGTGTGGCTGTGGAGTCGGGCCTGTAGCACATTCAAACTTCACCACCCATCGCTTGCCTCGCCTCGCCCTAGTAGGTAGCCACCACGCTGCCCCGCTGAACGCAGACGACGACCGACCTCGGATGCATATCCGTCTTCCACCCCTTGGTCCACCACATGCCGCACCAAGGCACGCCTCATGCATACGCATTCGCATGCTCCCTTCAATCCCCTGCCATGCATATCGTCGTGCACCCATGCAAGGACAGAACTGCACCAGGCCGTTTTGGCAGTGATGCAGCTTGCAGACGAAGACGAGCACGCAGATGGGACATGCACAGGCGTGGATCACGGCGTGCTGCCTGCCATGCCCCCCCCCCGCCGCCGCCGCTCTTGCGCTCTTGCGCTCCCGCGCTAATTAACGCTAAACCCAAAATCCAGCCCAAACAGAGCAGTCACGACCCCGCTGTACGCTGTCAGCCCGCTTACACGCGTGTGCCTCTCCTGTCAGTAGCTGCCAGACACCTATGCACAGCATACAGACTGGGAGATCAGTAGGTGGAGCAAGGCGTGGCATGCATAGTCTACATATTGCGGAGGAATGTTCTGAGAAAGGCGGGCAGAAGCGTCTCTCGCTGGCGGCACGGCCAGTCGGCGGCGGGGGTATCTGAGAAGCGTGAGAGGGCAACAGGAGGAGGAGGCGACGGCGAAGGGCGAGCGGCGGCGGCCTCGAGGCCCACGGGCCACGGGCCCACGACTGGGACCGAGTTGCTCTAGCGCTTGCCAACGGTGGGCAGCTTGATGGCATACTTGTCGGTCGGGATGCGGTCGCCGAGTTCCATGCAGTGGGTAAACCAGAGCACGGAGACGATGCGCGTGTCGGTGGTGGTGGCTGCATTCTGGAGACGCTGCACCCAGCGCTTGTCGTCAAAGAGCTGGCGGGGCGGGGCATCGACGAGGATGAAGTCTGGCTCGTCCTGGATGTCGACCACCTTGCCGCCGTGGGCCTATGCGTGATTGTCAGCTTTGGGATCCAGAGGCCAGAGGTCACACGGCTGCACTGCACAATGCTGCACACACTTACTTCGAGGTCGCGCACGATCGAGGTGAGCTCGCCCGCCAGCGCAAAGTGGATGCTGCGGCCGCGGCGCCAAAAGAGCTCGGCGGGCAGACGCTGGGTGGGGCGGTCGGCCCTGGCTTCGTCCTCGTTCTCGTCCTCGCTGGGCGGCAGGCCGTGTCAGATACAGCACAGTCTAAGCCGTGTCACTCACTTGACCACACGCCATCCGCCCCAGTTCTCCTCTGGGTCGACCACACGTCCCTGGTTGCGGCAGTGCTGGAGCCAGCCGACGGCCAGCACCGGAATGCCACCGCGAGCGTGGGTAAAGGTGTCGACGAGGCTGTCCGCGTCGCGCACGCGCTTGCCGAGGTGGTTGGGAGAATAGGCCTGGGGGTTCTTGGGACGGTAGGTGATGCAAGCGTGGGGGCCTTGGTGGACCATGTCGTCGGCGGCGACGAGAATGGCGCCGATACCGTCCTCGTTGGGGTCCACATACAGCTCGCCTCCTTCCTCCTGAACGGTCAGAACAAAATCAAAAGGAGAGGAGCGGCTCACAAGGATGACCTTCAAGTCGTCATTATAGGGTTTGCTCTGGCGCTTGTCCCGGTGGAGAAAGAGCTGGTCATACATGCTGTTGCGGAACATGGTGTGTGTTTGTGTGGGTGGGTGTTGGGTTGGCGAGTGGAAGAGTGGTGAGATGGACCGAATGAGACAGCGCCCGCGCGACGCGTCGTCTGTCCCGCTCTCAACTCTTTGCTGCCGCGGCTGTGGTGCGTGGCCTTGGCCTGCCTGGGTTGTTTCAGCCAGTTGTCGTCAGTGATCCAGCGGGCCAGCGGCCAGCGATCCAGCGAGCGGCACACAGTTGAGCCATGTGGGTGGAGTGGAATGGGCCTAAATGGCCACTTGCCCCATGCAGAGTGCGGTGTACGCTTGCAGCTTGGTTGCCACCGTTGTTCCAAACCATGAAGCGACCGATGGCTGGGCTTGGCTGCTATGCGCGGTGGTGAGGGTAAAGGCATGGTGTCGTTCAGTGATGGATCAGTGATCAGTGTACCAGTGTCGGGCACAATGAACGAACAGCAAGACAAAGCTGGCATCACACAGGCCTCTGGGGTGTACATTCCATTTCCTAACCGCTCTTGCTCTCTGTGGGGATAGCGTCCTCGCTATGAAACCCGTTCGCCTGCTGCTCATCAAGGTCACCAACCAGCGGAAAGCTCGGCAAGGTCGGTCGAAAGACGCAGGATCCCGTCGGCGAGCTGCTGAGTCTTGTCTGCGGACACTCCCTTGCGCGCGGTCGCGATGTGGGCAAACTCGGCGGCGATGGCGGCAGCCTCGTCGGCGGCCTCTTGAAGCTTGGGGCCGAGGGGTTCAGCTCCGGGCTGCGCCTGAAGAGTCTTCTTGGTCTTGACCAGCTGGACAAGCTGCACCAGGAGCTCGATGAGTGCGGACATGCGTTGCGCGGCGCGGTCGGCCCTTTGCTCGGTCTTGCGGATCTCCTCGGCAGTCTCTGCGATGGACTGGGAAGGAGCGGATCTGGCGTCAGCTGGAGCTCAACCACATGGATACTCACCCCGTGTTGGAGACAGGGGGGTTGATGTCGGACGACATTGTAGTGCGGATGGTGGTTGTTGTGAGAGGAAGGTGGTGGTTGTTGTGAGAGGAAGGTGGTGGTTGTTGTGAAGAAGAACAATGTCATGGGCGTCGGTACTGAAGACGCGTCGCTGCCGCGCGCGCGCGGGACGGCTTGCGCTGCCGCCCCCTTGCCGCGACCAAACCCCACCCTCTCTTGTCTCTCATGGGATCACACCGGCTGCGCGAGATTCGTCAGCTGTAACGCAGACCAGGTCACTGCCTGGGCCGTACGTGCAACGCAAATGGGGCTTGGGCATGAGCTTGACATGGCATCGCGAAACACCTACATACACACAACTGGTGCTTGATTCAGCTGCACAACAACGTTTTGATTGCTGACGGAGTGTTTGGTGGTGGGTGCTGGACCACCTTTGTGTGGGACACGGCGCTGACTCTGGACGCTGGTACGCTGGCCCTTCAAGACGTCCAACATCTCAGCCCCACCCTGTGCACGTGTCGCAGTAGGGCAGTGCCGAGGCCATCCCCTCTGCTCTTCTTGGTATTCTCTTGACGCAAAATGCTTAGTGTTTGTCTACGCGTGGGGGCAACTGCAGCTGCACAAGAAATGAGCCTGGTGACACTCTTTGCGACTCTCCCATCGTGCCTGTTGCGTTGCTCGCTTGTGCTCTCTCTACAGAGTCCTAGGCATCGGTAACCATCACCGCACCCTTCTTCTTCTCCTTCTTCTTCTTCTTCTTGTCGAGGGTGTCAGGGTGGGGAGGGAGGTCGATGTAGTACTTCCGGGCACAGGTCTCCTTGCCCATCTCGAGGCATTCCTCCACCCAAGCAGCCGCGACAAGCCTGGTGCCGTGGTTGACGGCGTCGCAGATGTCGGCGACGAGGAGAAGGGTCATGTTGCAAGTGAAGTTGCCCGGCTCTTGGTCGAGCACGATCCACCACGGGTGCTCGTCAATGTCGAGGGTGATGACGCCTCCCTTCTAACCATTGTCAGCCGCGGCCATAACTGGTTTGAAAGGGTTGCACCTACCTCGGCCCTGGTCTGGTAACGAACGGCCTTTCCGACGAAGGCCATGGTGACGAAGTCGTAGTCGCCGCGGCGCTTGAAGATGACAGGCTGAGGTTCGGTGTCGGACATTGTTCCTTGTGTGTGTGTGTGTGTGTGCGTGACGGCGCGCGCGCGCGAGAGAGAGAGAGAGAGAGAGTTGAGACTTGAGAGTTGAGACTTGAGAGGTGAGAGTTGAGCGTTGGGAGATGAGGAAGAAGGGGAGAGATGCCGGAGGGACACGCGCATCGGCGGTGAGAACCACGACCTCCATGAGCGATCGAGCGAGCGGCCGGCAAACAGCTGTGCGCAGCCGTGGGATGCACAAGTGGGCCGACCCACCACCGTCATGACGTCAACGTTCGCCGTCTGGTGCACCGCCCAAACAGCATGGGATTTACTGCCACAACCATGCAGGCCATGCATGGATGCATCTAGGCCAACCATGCACCCGTGCCACTCAGCTACGGTTGACACCTTCCGCTGCAGGGTGGCCCACCACCAAAGAACCTGAACTGCAGGGAGGAAAGCAAGGACCCCGTCATCGCCACACGAGATTCAGCAGCCAGCAGCGCCCGACAGGACGAGCGGACAGTAGCGAGCAGGAGACATGGCCTGTGGTGGGTCTACACGGTATTGCCTGTTTGGGATCCAGAGGTCGCACGATGTACGCGATGTACACTTACTTCGACGTCGCACACGATCCAGGAGAGCCTGCGCGCCGGCCAGCCCAAAGTGCATGCTGCGGCCACTGCACCAAGCAAGCTCGCCGCCCGGAGGCTTGACGACTGGTCCGGGATAGCATCCTCTTCCGGGGCATTCAAGCTGGGCGGCCTGCCGTGTCAGCTTGAGTACGGTACAAGTCTTACTGCGCCACACCCCGCCCGGTCCGGCTCCTGGCTGACCGCACGTCCTGCGGTTTAGCAGTGCCGGGGGAAACCCACGACCCCCACCCCAATGCCACCCTGAACGCGAACAAAGGTGTCGACCACGTTATCTGCATCTCCATTGACGTGCTGGCACTGACGGTTGCTTGAGGACGACGCTATAGTGAACATGACGTTTGTGGGTCAGTGGAGTGAGTAGAAGAGAGGTGGGGGAGACGCAACATCGACGCGCGTGGTGTTTCGTATCTGACAGCTTGCCAATGGACGCAAATCCCCCCTACAGGACGCATCGTCAGTCGCCCTCGCGATCTCTCCATCTCTCTGTATCGGCCCCTGATGGGTGAGCCGAGTGCGGTGTTTGTGTGTTGCAGGCATTCAACACAACCGCGGGTGGGGCAACATGACGTGTCACACAACAGCGTGGTCAAAAATGCGTCACTTGTCAGGAGATGGGTAGCTGGGGCGGCAGGACGATGACCCGACGAGTGGTGGTCAGCTGTCCTGACTGTGGTGTGGTAGGCCTGGAAGAAATAACAGCACGCACAGGCACACAAGTCACAGGCCATTAGTCATAGCACACAGTACACAGCCAACCGGCCCACGGGCCACGGGCCACGGGGTTCTCACTAATCTCATTACGCAAGTATGAGGCATGACTGGCAACTGGGGCACAATCGCCAAGCCACTGAACGCGTTGAGAGCTACGAGTTGCGGCGGGCCATTTCCTCGTCGAGAGCGAAGCAGAGAAGGCGGGCTTGCTCGCACGCCTCCGTGAGGTGCACGACCGTGTCCTCAATGTCCTGAAGGTGCTTGCGCAGCTCGCCGAGCTCGGGGACCTTGATGTTCGGGTCGGCGGCCGCGTCGTTCGACTCGGGGGGAAGGTATCTTTAGTCAGCTGAATCTCAATCGCTGTACGCTTACCCCTTGTTGGTGTCGGTGCCGTTGGAGGACATTTTGAGGATTGGTTGTTGCTAGTGGTTGAGAGGAAGAAAGCCAATTGTGATGGCCTCCTGGCGACCCTCGCGGACGCCAAAATTGCGGGAGTCCCCCGGTGCCCATGACAGAGACCGCTCCCGCCCACCCCCCCTCCGCTATTGGCCACTTCACCACCTTGGCCGTGAGGCTCATCGGTTGGGGCGTCCTCGGCGGGGTGAGCCTCGTCTGCGGCAAGGCCGAGGCGGCGGGCCCTCCACAGCTCCTGCAAGTGCGTACGGGCCTGTTCGTGGCCCGCGTCGGCATGCTTGAGTGCCGCCTCGAGGTGGTCCCGGGCGGCTTTGGCCTCGTCCACGATCTCGCCGGCAGCGGAAATGGCGTTTGTCCACTGGTCGTCTTGCATAGTGTGGGTAGAGAGTGTGGATGTTGTGAGTGGAAAGGTGGAAGTGGAAAGTAACGGCCAACCGGTCAACCTCATGCTTTCACGTGGGCACCGGTGGAAACGCGGAAACGCGCGAAACGCGAAACGGATGTCTTCTGCCTGCCCACGCGCAATCGCACGCGACCCGCACCCGCCTGCACGGCCACACCCCCACAGTACACCCCCGCCCACACCCGCGATAAGACGTGGCGGCCATTGCACGGTTCGAAATTGGATCCGTCAAAGCCGTGTGATCCCGCTGTCCTGCCAGCTAACGTTTGAGCGCTGATCGTCTTCTTCCCTTCTCCTAACACCACCACCACCACCACAAACACCACCATGCCCCACAGCAACACCAACAACAACAGCAACAACAGCAACAACAGCAACAACAGCAACATGGGGTAGGCTTACAGTGATTGATCTCCAGCTGACGGCGGCAGCCCCACTCTGGACAACGCTGCCATGATCGCGGCAGTGAAGTGTGCAGTCAGGTTCCAGCGCTCCGCGCGGAGCATGACGCAGATGATTCAGCACTTCAAGAACTACATCCCCGAGCCATACACCGGGTGAGCAAGTCATTCATTGAACCACATCTGATGGCAGATCGGGTTCCTACAAGTCTGCTGGCCAGGCAGCCACGGTGACCATCAAGCTGGCGCAAATGGCCCAGAAGTGCGCCGCCCTGGCCGCCCACAATGCCGCCAAGTGCATCGAGCTCGCCATGGACCACGACGGCATGTGAGGATACCGCAACCGAACTGAAGCTAATGATGACCCCAGCATGCCTCATGGCTCGATTCGCCAGGACGCCCGCACGCTCAGGGACAAGGCCACGGAGTTGCGCGACATGTTTAGAGAGCACGGCGCCAAGTTCAGCGAGTACTGCAACTCGCTTGAGCAGCAGGCCAACCCCGCGGTCCCCGCCGAGGCGCAGGAGGACGGCCTTTGAGGAGTGGGGTGACCGTGAGTGGTGCATGTAGCTGGGAAACGGTAGTGGAAGTGGGTGTCAACAATGTACATGTCGCTCTGTCGAGTTTCCCAGGCCAGCATTTCACTCTCTTCTGCAACGAGTGACAGGGCCCCACAGCTGAATGCCCTCGGCGACTGATGCCCTCGGCGACTGACCGCCCTCGGCATTCTCTTCCTCCTGCGGCCTTGATGAGCTGGACGCATGCATACATGCCTCTTGGCAATAACTGGGGGAGCTCTATCACACAGACACGCACACACCTCATCAGTACTCATTTGCCACCCACGAACCGCTTTGGTCGTTCAGCCAAGCGGAACACGCCCGCGGCGCCGAGGTCCTCCGCCGCCCGTTGTGCTGAATCGACCAGTCCGAGCGGCCGTGGGGCCCGTGCCTGGACGCGGTGGGCGGCGAGGAGGGCGCGAGTCGGTCTCAGCGCCGGCACATACAGGACATTGAGCGGTGAGCGGTGACCTGCAGAGCCATTCGGCAGTGTGATGCGGTCGCCTCTGTCTGCCCCGTCCGGTCGGCGCTGCTGGCACCAGATGTCGAGTGCGAAAACGGGCCTTCGCATTCCTCCCCGCCGGTCAGCTTCTTTTTGGTGGGCCACCCTGCAGAAAGAAGGCGTCTACAGCAGCAACCGTACTTGAGTGGCACGGGTGCATGGTTGGCCTAGATCACTCCATGACATATGCATGGCCTGCCTGGGTAGTAGATTGCATTCTACCAGACGGCGAACGTTGACGTCATGACGGTCATGGGTGGGGGCAGCCCGGGAGCTATTTGCTTTCGTCCTGGCCGCGGTAGAAAGATGTCAGTGATATCTGTGACCGTGTCAACCTCTCCTTCTCAGGTACCATTCAAGCAACCTGTACCATCTTGCCATGGTAAGAAGAGTGTTGGGCGGCGCTGACAGAGCCGCCCTGGCCCCAATCTCCAAAGCCCTCCTCACCAGCGCCTGCGACCACCCACATCCAGGTTGGTGCCATGTACATAGTTCTCTCTTTCGGACACCTCGCACATTGGTGCCTTTCTGTCACAAGTGGATCCTAGATTGTCCTCCATGCACACCCTGCTTCAGATCCACCACTTGGGCCATTCACGGCTCTAATCACTAGCCGTGCATTGCTGGGGAACCCTCCACCCTCGTCGTGTTGGACGTGTTGTGTGGGGGAACGTTGCGCGGCATGGTTCGTAGGGTTTGCGGTAGAGACCACAGTACGCCCTCACATCTGGCCTCTGCTCGTACACCAGGCACAATACAGGCGCAAGACGTGGTAGACACCCTCCTTACCGGGTTGATCATGGGTACTCGAGCAGTACCAAAACAGTGGTACACCGATGGTGCAGTGATCAGTCGCTAGCAGTCGGGTTTGCGATTGTCTGCATCCAGATTGGACAGTCAGACGTGTAGCCCCGTCGGTGGAGTGTGAGAATGAGACAAGTGGCCAGTGGCCAGTAGAACATCTGCACTGTGGAACCCAAACTTGCATCACTCCCCCCGCTCCCGGCCCCCGCCGGGAACAAGGTTACAACGTCGGACCACTCCTCCACATGCTTCAACCTGCTGCGCCAGCACGGCCACCGCAAGCTCCCTCTGCTACTCGATCATGTCGCAGTACTTGGTGGTGTTGGCGCGGTGCGCTTCAATCATGGCCTGCTTCTCCTGGCTCTTTTCCAACATCTTTTGGCACATGTCAACCACGTCGCGCTTCTTGGCGGCAAAAGACCTGTGGTCAGGCACGGTTGAGTTACTATATGCTCACCTAGTGTGCGGCGCTGTGCCGGAAAGGTCGGTGTACATTGCAGCACATTCGGCGTTGAGAGCCGCAAGCTCCTGGTCCGTTTGGGCACACTTTTGGTGCCAGGTGGACTTTTGGTGCCAGGTGGACATCTCACCCATCAACTTGTAAGGGCCGTGACTGTTACATCAGCTGGCATTCCATTCGCAATCGGCTCAAGGTGCTCACGTGTATGGCTTGGGAGGGTGCTTCCTGGAAAAGCGAGCCGCGTACGTTGTTTGCTCGTCGGCCTCGTCTTGGGACTCCATGGCGTCCAAGCAGACCTCCACAGCTTCCACCTCGAGCCGGTTCTGGATAGCGGCGCTGTCGTCAGCTGGAGCTCCATCACGGTAAGCCTACCGGGTGTGTGCAGCGGTGGTGCGGCTGTTAGACGGCATGGGAGTGTTTGTGGTGTTGGTGTTGGGAAGAGGAAGTAGGTAATGTCAAAAAGGGGTGTATTTTCAATTGATCGCGAATTCCGACCGCTGTGGCCGTGGCGCGGTGGAGGGCGTTTTGTGGAATTTGTGGGCGTGATGGGAGTATTAGTGGGGGACGGTCAGTTGTCCTTTCTCTGGCCTCTAGATCTTTGCTAATGCATGTGCATCTGCATATCACACAGCGCGCAGCGTGCAGCTGAAACAGACGATGCTTTTCGTCGCGGGCTGCCGCACTTTGGCGGGGGCAGGGGCCACGCTGGGCCACGGCCGGGAGAACGAACTCGGGTACGCGGGTGCGGCAGACGGACAATGTCGGATACGCGTCCGCTGTACTGTCCGCTTCAGAACACGCGCGCGTTGCAGCGTGTGCACACACCTGCAGAGAGGCTGCCCGTGTCCCTCTGCGGTGCCACAATCGTCCTCATCCATCGTCTCCTCTCTCCACCCCTTCTCTCCCGGACTCAGCACCGCCAGCACCACCACAGCAACAGACATGCCTACCACCTCCACCACCTCTGCCCAGTCAGGCAACCGTGTCAAGATTCCTCCCGCCACCTCCCCTCGCTCTGCCACCCAGGTCAAGACCGTCTTCAAGGGCTGCGGCACGGACCAGTTTACCATCGTTCTTGTTGGAGAGTGCAGCAAGCTCCAGACGCAAGCCGGGGTAGGTCTCACGGCCCTTGCTTCACCCCAGCGCTCACCCTGCTAGGCCCTCGGCGCAACCATCGGCGATGTCGCCCAAAAGCCCGGGTTGATCGTCCTCGACCAGGTGCCCGGGCTGCACACCGTCGACGGCTCGCCCCTCCCAGACCCCCGTCTTGCGGCCAACCAAATCAACCCGTCTTGTGTCCAAGGACTGGCTGGTCGCCTGCATTGAGGCGCAGGACAGCGTCCCCATCGACGACTACCTGATCGACCTGCCGCCTCACCACAGCGAGGTCAAGAACAGGAGCAAGAAGGGCAAGCACAGCAAGAAGCCCGAGACTGTCAAGTACACATAGTTCTAGTTTTTATGGCATGAGGATTCAAAGCGGCTCCACCCATGGCCCATGGACGCAACCGGGGCCAGAGTGTTGGAGGTTCAGCAGTAGCCAGGTTGCCGAGTGACACCACCGAGGATGGGCAGTGGGGCAAGTGCAAATGGTAGACAGCTGTTGGTTGCGCGCCAAGTGCTGAACCAGCTGGATGTCACTGGCGCTACTGGCAGACGTATGTAGACTCTTCAAGGCCTGACCTTGCTGGTCTGCGTAGCCGGTAACAAATGCCGCCTGTGCGGAGTGAACAAACAACTGTTCATCCTGCGACGGCAACGCTGTAGCACAATGCCTGCCTCTTCTTCAATGCCACTGGATATGGCAAAACTCAGCCCCGAAGAGTGACAACTGCTACTGACAGGGCTTTCACTCTGGGTGGTCATGAACACTAGAACGGAACTGCATCGTAGACATTCTCTACACTGCCTACACTGCTCTACCGTACGACCCCTCCACCCCGTCTTGACGCGCTTGCGGTTGTTTGCCTTGGGGGGAAGCTTGATTACGAATTGCTCGAGGGGGTAGTAGCCGTGATTGGCCATCGAGATACGGGCCCAGTCGGCAGAGAGGAGCAGAGCCCCGTTTTCGTGGGCATGGTGCAGGGCGGTAATGAGCTGGCTCTCGCCGACGTAGGGTTCCGGTTCTTGTTCGATTAGGACACCCCACGAGTGAGGTGAACCTCAACGGCACCCTGGGCCTATCCGGGGTCAGCTGGGCAGTGTACAAGGCGTGACACGTACAGTGACATCGTTGATGAATGTCTGCGACACGCCGACGAAGGCAAAAGTGTAGGGGCCAGAGTCACGAATCCACAGCAATTGTGCTGCGGGGACGCTGGCCATCATGGCAGGGGGGATGGCGAACAATGAAGCGATCCAGGGGGGACGAGCGACAGAGAATCGGGGAGCGCCCAGTCAGAGGCGGTGTCGGCTGACCACTGGTTGACACCGAGTGGCAGGATTGTAGTCGAGGAGAGAAGACGGAGGTGAGGCCTTGGGGAGAGCTGGAGGAGTGGGAGATCTGTGACGGTGAGAGGATTGTGAGAATGGGAGAGTGGGATAGGGAAGAAAAGGAAATGCACACCGCGCAATGAGAAATAGTGTGTGGGTGTAGATCAGCCGGTGTTGTGCAAAATGCCGCCCGCGGGGTGATATCGGGTTGTGGGCGCGCGTTTTTGTGACCGGTGAGACGTGAGACCATACTCGGCGGGCAACTGCCATGGATCAACCAGTGCCCATGGCTCTGTTCATTGAACGGGCGGGCTGTGTCCGCAGACTTCGCTCTGTGCAACTCCATTCGGACGACACTGCGGGAGCATCTTGTTGGACGTGGCTTGTTGCCTAGGGACACCGTCCAGACCAAGCGTCCCATCAATCTCAGCCACATCCAGCGTGACCGGCTATACAACGACCGTTTCGCACGTCCTCGTTTACGGGCTGCAATGCAAATTAGCAAAGCAAGCCTGCTCCAGTGTGCGCCAGTGCCTACTGGCCATTTGTATCGCCGCTGCTGTAGTTCATTGATCAGTGATCAGTGAGCGATCGGGGGCTGCCACTCTAAAGACCTCTCGCCAACACTGTGAGCCACACCACTGCTGCAGCAAGCAACGCAGGACCATGGAGCCACGCATCCCATGCATCCGGACGTCTTCTTGAGGCTACACGACCGACGAATTGTCTAACGTCCCGCAAGCGACGACCTCACGATCCAGGCCAGGGCGGGAGCTTGATGAGGAAGCGCTTAAGGGGGACCAACTGGCGCTTGGTGACGCATTTCTGTAGCCAGACGATGCTAACAAGCTTGGTGTTGTTGTCGGCGGCGTGGCGCAAACGAGGGAGGTCGTGCACGTTGCCGAGATAGTCGCCCGGCGCCTGGTCCAAGATTGCGATCCACGGGAAACGGTCAATGGGGACGATCACCCCTCCCTCCGTCTGGTGAATGTCAGCTCCACCCTGTCATCGAGACATACGCGGCAGACGCTGCTGACGCGCTCGGCATTGCCGATGAGCCCAAAGGTGTCGGGGATGCCACCGCGGGGAGGGAAGAGAGGTTTCTTGCAAGAGATGCGACGAGGCATTGGCCGTGATGTTGAGGAGGGGGAGATGAGTGGATGAAAGAAGAGGCAAGAAGGGAAATGGGGGCAGGAGAGCACGCTGCTATGACGTAGCTGGTGGGAGTGGGGGAGGCGACGCGTCATGGGTCAAATCTTGCAGCCCCCACGCGGCGCCGATACGGCATATCGGCATATCGCTGCGGACAGGTGTCTACAGTACACAGTGTTGTCCTCGCCGCTTTCGACCGGTGGGTCATTCACCAGGCCCCCTTCCAGACCTTTGCCAGCTCGGTGTACGTGTTCAGCCTCACTGCGGTCGGCCGCATTGAAGGTCACCTCATGACCTGCCGCCCCACGCGGTATGGCCACCCCAGCTGCCCCCAAACCCACCAATTTTAATCCGCGGCCGCGGCCACGACGCGCACTCCATGATGTCATGGACGTTCCCAATCCCCCACCCCCCGCCCCCCCCCCCCCCTTGCGCTCGTGCCCGCCAACGACAAAACACAAAAGAAAAGAGGGGGTGAGGCTCCAAACTACCCGCGTCCAGGCAGTCTCGAACCTCTGCAACAGTGCTTCGTTGCTACGGTCATACTTCGTTTACGGACACTAAATGCACATTCCGGTGAATGTCTGACCACTGAGGTAAACGTCGTTAACACGGGTGTTGGATGCAAAACACAGCGCCGATAAACAGTACGGACGTTGCGCCTGATTGCGCGACTGAAGGACGGCGCAACCGCGGCCAGAGTAGCAAAGTCACACCTAGAGCACAAACGATGCAGACACATTGGCGCCTTGCCACCCCACTTTCGGATCTCAGCGGCCCCGCCCTGTTGCACGGCTGGTGGCCTCGAATCTGCGGGGGCGGGCGGCAGCGTGAAGAGGCAGCCATGAACGTTGAGCGATCCCCCCGTCTCCAGACACTCCTTTATCAAGGCGATGCTAACGAGGTTTGTGTCGTCGTGCCACGCCTCACCCCAGGCTTGGAGAGGCTTGATATCGCCAGAGTACATGCCTGGATCTTGGTCGAGTACGGCAGCGTAGGCGAACAGACCGATGCGGGAGCACCTGCACACCTTCAGACTCGTGAATGGCAGCTGGCATTTGAAGCTGTAAGCACCTGGGATTGAGCGGCCAGTTCCTGACTGATGCCGACGCTCCCTGCGTGGTGCCGACAGTGCGAAGGCGGTGATTTCTCCGCCGCGCCATGGGACGAGGGGTTCGCGGGTGGGTAGCACTCTGTATTGCCAAAGAATTGAGAGACGGAATGAGTGCGGGTAGAGGAGTGCTCCATGGTCTATGAAATATGCCGTGGCAGCGTGGGGCGTCCGTCCGCACATCTAACTCACCGTCACGGCGACGGCGCCTGAATCTACGTCGTACCGCTAGGTCTGTTCACCACCGAAAAGCTTCCAGACGCGTACGGAGGTACCGAGGGTAAGCTACTTGCAGACCATGGCCTCCGTCAGGCCACTCGGTCTCATTGCCGACCCCGCGTGTGCCCGCCACACAACCGTCGACGCACACAGCCTCTTTGCTGGTTGTCAGGCATTCTGTAGGGCATATTCTGCACAACACTTCCTGGCCGGCTGCATGGCCTTCGTTTTGCTGACTTGGTCAGCCGCCACGCAAGCGACCTGCTAACAGGACTCTGGGCCATGGCCTGCTCCCTCGCGATCAGTGCGGTAAACATATGGCCTCATGCAGCATAGGAATGGGCTTGGGAACGTCATGCATCTCGGAGCGGACGAATAGAGCATCCCATGGCCGAGGGTGGGGGACGTGTGTTGATGCAACCGTCACTGGCGTCACGCACAGCGCGCGGCGTCCTTCACAGCGCACACGCTGGCGACGACGGCCGAGTGGACAATGGTCTTGATGAAGGGCTGAGGGCTGAGACGTCAGAAGGGTCTCCCAGTAGGCCAGTAGGATACACGTACACGTAGCCGGCTGCGGCGGCCACCTGAGGGAAGTTACGGCCAACGGCGGCGAGGAGGATGGCGCCGACGAGCTTGGAAATGAAATAGCTGAAAGCGACTTGCGAGATGGGACCGATGAGGGGGCACACTCCCAAGGCGTGCATCATGGGCCAGAGAATCATAGACGTGAGGACGTGGACGGCGCAGCTAAAGACAAAGGTGACGATAGCCTTGCCAAGGCGGGCGAGGAGACTCATTGTGATATTGTGGAGCTGTCGAGTCGGAGAGGACTGTATGAGAGGTGAAAAGGAAGAAAGAGTGGCTGAGAGAACTGGTGACGCGACTGTCGTGCATATATACACCCCGCACAAAAGCGGCGGACCGCACGTACCGCCCCAAACCCAATCACGTGATCACGTGGGCATCTGCTCCCGGCGCCCAGGCCGAGTGGCCAGTGGCCCAGCGGCCAGTGGCCAGTGGCCCAGTGGCCCAGTGGCAGTGCGGCCTACACAGTCTCTGGCCCCTGGGGGCTACATTTGCTTGCGACCGGACACGGCAAGTGATCCAACTCACCAGTGGGTCAAGGGAGCCGGAGTGGCTATCTTTCTGACACTGTTACATTCACTGATCACCGGAAATTTGGTGGAAGCGTATCGGGACTGGATGCCACCGGCCGTCGGCGGACACCAACGCAACAGGGCGGTGTGTGATAGTTTCCAGTTTAGTGTGCTGTTGATTGTCACTGTTCCTACCTACCTGGCAGCACGACACAGGTGGATATCACATAGGTATGACATTGAAGAAGCCGGCGTATGGAGGAAACAAAAAGTAACGGAACAATCGTTGACTGGCGATGCCGGGCATCCATAACCTCCCCGCCAAAGGCCCAGGCGGCCACACCGCCAGCGACCAGGACGGGTTGGGGGAGTTTTTGGACGGCAACGTCGGCGATGGCATTGACGGCTGCGACCAAGGGGTCGTCGGGGTGGCGGCGCGCCGATGCGAATCCTTCTTGGACCATGTTACCAATGAGAGGTTTCACTGACCCGAGAACAGACCGCGCACCCGCCAAGAGAGCACTCAGTAAAGCTGTGCCGGCCACAGCGGTCCACGGGCGTGAAGCAGGCAGGACAAGGGCAATGGGGGCAACCGGCGCGATCGGCGCGACAGGCGCGACAGGCTCGACAGGCGTGACAGAGTCGACGGGCGCCACTGGGTCGACGGGCGCGGGAACGTCTCCCTCCACGACGGTGTTGAGCGGGGTAGGGATGCTGGGGCCAACGCTCTCCGCACCCATGTCGTGGTTGGTGTCACTAGATATCAGAGGCTGTACATGGTGGCCCACACAGGACCGGTTGTGCTTACCTGAACAATCTGCAACTAAAGTGAGCGCGTTCTGGACCACCGACAGAGCCCGGGATCTCGCAAAACTGGAAGAATTGGGCGCCAAGGATGGGGATTGCGTTGGGAGTGTCGGCGGGGATACCAAACGTGTCCAACAGAAAGCCATAGTCCTGGGTGGACGTCTTACCGCGAGCAGCAGGCCCACGTTGGGTGGTGCCACGGGGTGGGAATGCGAGGACATGGGTGATTGACAGGTCTCACACGGACGTGGCTAATGTCGCACTGCGGGCCTGCAAGTGTCAGTAACAATACAGTGATCAGGTGCACAGACAGACGTACGAGGATTCGTTTGTGCAGCTATAAAGTTTGCGTTTTTGTATACGCCCTGGCGTTGCACTAAAAACACGCATTCGCTGTAGGCGAGTCCCATTGTGCTCGGGGAAAAGAAATGTAGCAAGAGTGGAGGAGAGAGTGGCAGGAAGAATGAGTGGAGCCGGGGTATGGGGGCGCTGGCAGCGTTGTGCCAAACGACGGCACCGTGTGGGTAAGTGGTCGTGTGTTGGTTGACGTGTGCGTGCCTCGCGCCTCGCAGATGGGCCATGCGCGAATGCAATGACCTGACCATGACCGCGGCCTCTCCACTATCGCACATCAGCCGCTGCCCGCTTGCTTCATCAAAGCTTTGCTATGAGAATCGTCAAGAACGGTACCAAGCACATCAGGGCGAGAACGAATTGCGCAGGTGAATCCATGCCGTCAACAAAGGAGTCGCAGCCTGTTCGCAGGGGGATGAGGAGGCTGTTTGCAGTGTGCGACGAGGATACTGGCGGAGCGCCGACAATCTCCCTCTCGATGTCTCGGAAACGGCCAAGCTTCGTAGATTGCGTGACATTGCTGGCATTGTCAATGTGAATGGGTCGTCATGGCGAGCATTCCACACAATTCAGAGACTGTTGAGATGACCAAACTGGTGGTCATTCGGTGCAGGTATCTCGCGGTACAGGCCTTGCATCGCTCGGTCTATAGATCCACACAGCTGACCCTCAACAAGCAACAGGTTCGCTACGCTGAGTCCACTTTTTCTTCAATCGGTTCAATGTACAATTCGGTGCAGGTATGCACCCATTATGCATAAAGAAAACGGCGAACGGCGACGCAGGGGTCGATTATGTGACGCCGACAAGGGCAGGGGTGTCTCTCGTTGGGGGGGTAGTGGGGGTGGGTCGGTCGCGGCTTTCGCACGACGGTCGAACAGCGCTTTTACTGGCAGACGGTGACCTCCACAAGGGCCTTGAAGAGTGTCTCGAGCATTGCAGCCATAATCATGAACCTGATGGCACTAGCCACAGACTCGTCGCTGAGAGGTCAGAAGGGACCAAACACATATTAGAAGGATACACTTACAAGTACGTCACCATGCGGACACTGCAAACCCTCTTGACGACGGCAAAGACGATGTGGACAATAATGGCCTTGAGGACACCGATGGCAATGACCCGGGCGCGAGGCAGCAGGTGGGGAGGGAGCTGAAGGGTACCATACGAGTGCGAGATGAAGGCCAGGTTTCCGACAATGCGACAGGCAATGACCTCGGCGGCGCACATGAGGAGACCGGTGGGGACGAAGTCCCAGAGACCGGTGAGGAGGGTCATCCTGAGGGCGCTCGCAACGGCGGTGACAACGCAGAGGGCGCTACGAATGCTCTTCCAGGCGAGAATGTGGTACGACATGGTTTGGTTAGGTCGTACCGGAGAAGTGGTGCTTGGGAAGGACTTGGAGAGATGCGAAACGAGGGTGAAGAGTGAAGGTGTAAAGTGTGAGCCCGGCAGTGGCGCAGTGGCAAATGGGCAACGCGTCGGGTGATCGCGCGTGAAGTGCCCTGGGCCCCGCCGTTCGCGCACCGCGGACGTAAATTTACAGAGCCGCGAGCTCATCCGGTCGTAGATGGGGAGCAAAAGGGTCCAGGAGACACTGGTACCTCTGGTAGATGTGGGGTGTGGTTATGGGTCTAGAGAACGGTCACGCCAACGTTGCAGCCAGCTATAATGCCAATATGCAACAGGCATGCATAATGACAAAGACTAGATGCTAGTGTTGTGAACAGTACGTTGCATAGATGAAAAGGAGACGGCGGTGCGGAGCTTTTAAGCCGCGGCGCCAGGGTAAATCTCCTACTACAACAGCTAGGTCATACAGGGTATGTAGGATTGCGGGGATGGAGGACGAGCGGTTGGCGGCAGCGCTGTAGGCTGGGGTGGCGAAGTTGGGTGCTTACGGGACGTGAAAACCGACGGTTGTTTTGGTGGGATCATCAGTATGCGCTGTTTCACGATCTTTTGGCCACAACAGATACTCAAGAACCACAAGCGAGATAGGCCTCTGAGCGTGCAGCACCACATTGTACTAACATGAACGAGACACTGACGAGGCACTACATAACCGGGCACTTTATTGGGCATCCTCCTCAACGGCCTCATCCTGGAAGAGCGCTTCGCGGAAGGCGACAGCAGCGACACCCCCGGCGGTGCGCAGGGCCTTGGGGACGTCCTCGAGCACTGTCTCACCCGCAGCGCTGAGAGCGGCAGCGATGCGACGGTCGGGGTTGGCCAAACCCGCCCTCGCACCTTGCGTGGCCATGTTGCCAGCCACGGGGAGAATGGATCCCACAAGGGAGCGTGCAGCTGCCGATGCGGCCGACACTGAGGCGGTGCCGGTACGAGTTGCCCAGCCTGGACGTGCCCTGACGATGGCGGGCATGGCGAGCTCAGGCAAGGGGAGGCCGGTGTGGTCGCCCGTCGCCGACTCGGCAGCGGGGACGGGGATGTCGGTGGCCTGGGTCGCCGACTCGGCAGCGGGGACGGGGATGTCGGTGGCCTGGATGCGCCCCACGGGTTTGGGAGTGGGGGCCGGGCCGGTCGAGAGGGTCGCGAGGGTCGCGTCGACGAGAAACTCGTCACTGAACATTAGGTACTGTACTGTGGCTCACACAACACAAGTCAGGCTTACAGGTTAACGAGGCAACCGAAATAGGCCCTCTCTGGCCCGACAACATGCCCGGCCACGACGCAGTGGGCGAGGAACTTGAAATCCAGAACGGGAATGTCCTTGGCCTGAGCTTTGGAGAACTGGTAGCGGAGTTCGTCCTCAAGAGTCTCGGGTGGGCGCGTCTGGCACTGTTGCATGAAGATCGAGGGGCTCGGAGCAAGGAGGGCGTGGGTGGTCCGTGGGTCGTTGAGGGACGACACGACCGTCGCTCCCGTGGCCTGTGCATGTACGTAAGCAGAGGAAAGACACAAGGGGTAGACAGATGGACCTACCTGAATACGCAGACGGGTCTTGCGATAAAGCTTATTGCTGCCGGAGCCCAGGATGACGAAGAAGCAGAGGTTAAAGGCGAGGACCATGATGTGTTTAGTAAGGTGGGTGACAGATTGGGAGAATGAAAGAACGTGGGGGCAGGACTGTCAACCTATATGTGACCCGACGGCTGCATGTTTGTTCTCTTTGGTTGACGTGTGCGGGCTGGGGGGGGGGGCTGACGCATGAATTGATCGAATTGACGTGAACGATTCCAGGGTCCACTGTACATACCACTGTTGCCCACATTGTTCGACTGGGCCCACGAGCGACGGGCGAGCAGCGACCCAGCAGGCCACAGGGGCGAGGAGCCAGCAGGTGCATGCGACATTGCCATACAACCGATGCACCGATGGGTCTATATACCTCACGGCGCTCACAGCGATCACGGCTGGTGTGGCCCTCCCATGGTGCAGTGTTGATGTGGATAAGACCTACATACTAACAATCATGGCGTTACAAGCCAGAGATTGGCGCTCACGTCTGCGACACCTTTGGCGCTGTGAGGCGCCCAGTGCGCTACAAGAGCGTAGCCGACTCCAATTGACGCTTGGCGCGCGGCGCACTTGTAATGGGCTCCACAACCGCAGCCCGCTTGATTCCTCGCCCACCAATGTACACCCACCTACCAATTTCACCAAACTACCCATCCGCACCCTCACCAATGCACATGGCTTCCATCCTCATCGCCCTCTTCCCCGTCGGGGCCACCCTCGCCACTGTTGTCAACCCGGCCCTCCCTGTCGTACCCGATACCCCGAGTCCACCGTGTCCTTCGTTCGTGTCTGGGCCATTTCCTGCACGCTTGTTGTCGTCCAGACTAGCCTCAGCTACGTCATCTGCCGTTCGCGTCATGCCTCGCTCCTCGAGGACCACAGGGCGTTTATTTGGAGAGGCTTCAGGGTGCGCTTGCAGAGCCGGAGTGCGCGACCGCGTACCAGTCAACATAGCAGGACATCCAGGTGCGTGCGGCTGTCTGCCCGGTAGCCACAAGACGTGGTGGATTGACACTTGCAGAACAGGGGCGGACACATGCAGCCGTACCCAGGAAGCGCGGGTACCCGGGCCATCGCCCGTCGACCCGGGGTGCCGCTTTAGCGAGCCGACGTGCGGCCCCGCAAGTTACTCCTCCGCTTCGCCCCCGACATCGACAATCCGCACAAGATTCCAGTCTACGCATGCAGGGGCGGAAAGGTCCTCACTTGGGAGAGGCTGACCTGGTATGTTGTTTCTTGCCCTCATCTTCTGATCTGGCTCCCCTCCCCACGTCAGGCCCGGATCGGCATCCAAGTTCACCCCTAGCGCCATCCCCGACCAGCACGCGTTCACGCGCGCCCTCGGCGACCTCCCGGGCGTGGAATTGGCTCATCGCGCTCCAGAACGAGTTTCTCGACTGGTTTAGTCGTCCGCGCGTCCCGGGGCCTGGAAGGAGCAGGCGCGCCACTGGGGGGTTGGCGAGACGGGCGGCTGGCGAGGTGGGAGGAGGAGTGGGAGCAATCGGTACTACACACAGGCACAGAGAGACAGACACAGCAGTTGCTGCAAAGAAAGACTGCAGACTCGTTTGTTTGCCGAAGCGTCGTTTTCAAACACGTCGATCTCCAGAATTATTCACTTGTTCATCCAGTCCTCCAGTCATCCACTCATTACTTATTTGCTCATGGATTCCTTACACAACAGACAGCTCCTTCCTCACCCACTATCTGAATGGCTGTAGATAGACCACATACCCATGTCTTACGGCTTCTTCGCTTCCCACATCCCCAACGCAGCCGGTAACCAAAGATACTTTCGTCAACACGCAGAACATCAGCTACCCGCCATCCACACTCCATTCCCCTTCAGCGTGGCCTAAACACAGTCTCGTGCCTGCTCAAGAGACGCGTGTCGTGGGGCACACGGACGTCGGCCAGCGTACCATGTAGCGTACACTACCGTGGCCGGCTGCTCCCTGCCCCCCCACTCCTCGACGGCACCCCTCGTAACTGTTGTTGCACGGGCCCCCGTGAGATTGTACTTAAGGGCGCCGTCGCCGGCGTTTCATGCATCGCACGATACCTGACTGCAACACCCACCACCTTCACTCTCCCCCAAGCAGCCGTCTCCCCATCACTTTTTTCTCCACACCACCCAGCAACAACAGCCAACAACCAATACCACTGCTTTTTCAAACCATGAACAAATACCGACTCGTTCTATCGCTCGGTGCACTGCACCATCGTCCTGCCGCTTCTGCACATAGTTGCCGACTCGCGCCTCTGCACCACAACTCGCTGGACCGTCTGCTTTGGTCTCCTCGTCTTCCTCGCATGCCTCTTCCACTGTCCACCTTCCACCACCACCGACGTCTGTCTCGTTCAGGACAACTTTTTTGCTCGCAAGGGTGTCTTCATTCAATTTATGCAGACCGCCGAAGAGGGCTGCCTTGAACCGTACGAGGCTGCTGTCTGCGGTCAAGACTATCGAGATTAGTGGGACAGTTCCCCATGGCCGTGTCAACGATCTGCAATCACAGACAGACGGGGCCGCGGGAGAGTTATATCGCGGAGTTATTGACTGATGCTTTAGGCCCGTGGCGGCGTCATCGCCCCCGCTCCAGGCGGTGGCGAGACGAACCCCACTGCCGTACAGCTGCCGGTGAATATCCTTGACAAGACCGCCCGTGCCCAGCAATGCCACGCGGACTGCCGCAAGATTCTAGATTCTGCGCAACCACGCGCCCGACCTCGACATCCATACGCTCAGCCCCGTGTACGAGTGTAAGGGAGGTATCGTGCTGACGTCGAGGAAGCTGTCTTGGTATGTGCCTCTTGTTTGTTCCAATGTGTTCCCATCCTCCCAGCGTGCAACTAAGTCTCTGGCCTGAGTGCGCCATCCGGTTCCGTCAACCCGCACGCACTCACCTCTTCACTCGGGCCGGTGGCTACGCCGCCGCGGTCTGGTTCGGCTTTTGCGACATGGTGTGCCACATAACCTGCGCAACCATTTTCATGAGCCCCTGGCTTGCCGAGTTCACCACCGACCTCGGTACCATGTTTGTCGACTTTTGGACGACTGTCCGCAACTATTGGGACGAGATCCTCGACAAGCTTGGCGGCATTGGAGGTTCGCATGAGCCCAACGGCTGGCGCGCGTTGGCTGCCCGGATGACCGCTAGCGGACAGTAAGAGTTAGGTTGCGATGCTGGTACTCGGCGGAAAACTCCAAGAGAAGGTAGAGAGAGTGACAGAAATACACTGTAGATAGCAAACATGATGTCAAGTGCGAAGCAGTATTCCTCCATTAGTCTTTCATTACCGTCCTCACCATTCCTCCACTCATTCACTCGCCCACTACGACGTGCTCAACCGCACGTGCAGTTCTTCACTAATCCACTCATTTACTCGCACGCCTGCCTTCACCGTTTCTTCTCAGCGCCTTCCATACCCGAAGGAGAATGCAGGACACTCCCGTCAACACGGACGGCAGCTGCTTGTCCTAGCCCGGAATAGCACCTTGTTGGTGTGTGCCACACATGGTACCAAATATTTCGTATTTAAGCCGTAATTTTCGCAATTATTTTTCTTCGACCTGCATTGTTCGTCATTTCGACACGTCGGCCGCTCGGGAGCTCCTCAAGCAGTTTCCGGGTAGCAATACCAACCCCGTAAAGACGCTCGTTCATGTTTGACGAGGTGGCATCGTTGTCACCGAACTGCTCATCCGGTATGTGCCCTGTTGAGATAGTATTACGGGCTGCCTCTCTCCCATATCGCGCCGTGGGCTCTACACCCCCAGTACCCCACCGAAAGGCTACTGAGTGAGATACCAGTACATCCGCCCGGTTCATCGACAGCCGCCACCCTGCAAAAGACCACATGACTCACCATTTGTCCTTTGCTCCCCAACGTATCACCCACCATGTACACATCCAACTCTTCTGCCAGCTCCTCCTCCTCCTCTAGGTGCGCAGAACAATGTGGACGCAGTAACTATCGACTTCTCCAGCGTTTCACAGGAGACCAGGCCGCGCGCGTCCTCGGTGGAAATCCCCTAGGAAAACCACCAGAACGCATCGGCGAACGACGAGACAGCAGCAAACAACCAGAAGCTCGCCAATGCCAACAAGACGGTCACTGCGGAGGCCGCACGTATTACGGCAGCGCCGTTGAAGATTCTGCAAGAGCGGGCGCCTGCGGGCAGCGGTCCAAGCAGGGGGACGGCGGGTCCGAAGAAGCGAAGGAGGCTGCCGGGCGAGGACGAGGACGGTGACGAGGATCTCGACGACAGCAACAGCGCGGACGACGGTGAAGCTTCTGCCTCGGGATGCGGCGGCGCTACCTTCCAATTTCAATGGTGGTGGCGGGGATGAAGACGAGGACTTTGTCAGCTGTCTGGACGACAGCGTTGATGGTGGCGGCGGCGTCGGCGGTGGCTCCCAGTCCCCGGCAACTCCCCTGCCTCGCACCCCGCCCGCACCCGTGCGAGCGTCCGACAACACGATGAGGACACTGCGACGAAGGCCGCCCGCTTGTGCCCGAGCGCACCAAGCTCAAGCGGGTCTTCCAACTTGCGAGTGGTATGCATCTCTCGATTGGCGTCACGGTCTACCGGGAGATGGGCCGTTTTGCACAGCTTGCCAATCCAGTGTACCAGTATGCAACTGTGCTATCATTTGGCTCACAATGCCGGGGCCCAACTCGTCAACTTTTATGAGGACGAGGACAGCATCCCGAACATCATCGTTGTCCCAGACAGCAAGCCTGGAGATGTCTTGGAATGCGAGCCCGCCGAGTTTGCCTTCTTTACCGGGGCAATGTGGGGGTACTCCACCATTGTCTCGGCGCGCAGTTTTTGACAGACGCCTTTGTGCAGAGGTACAAACCCGCGACATCCACGTACCGCCTGGCCGCCTGGAGGTCAAGGAGGCGCCTCCAGCGGAGCCTGTCAGTTCTGCCAGTCCTGCTTCGACGTGAGGCCATCGCCGGCACTGTCGTTCCCCCTCAACTGTTCATATACCCTCGCGCTTCACCATTGATACCCCCGACTTCTTCGACGTCCCCCCCGCCCCAACCATGGTTCTTTAGGTTGCCCACGCCCTCCGCAGAAGCGGCACCCCATACACTTCCATCAACACACACGGCGACAGCAACCGCCTTCCACCACCACAACACTCTATCCCCCTCAGGTGCACAGCCTAGTCACTCCAGCTCCCAGTCCACGCATCGGATCAGTCTCCGCCCGCCGTGGCCTGCGCAGCTGCCGCCCGTGCCCTGCGTATCCGCTTTGCCCCCGACCGCCAGAACCCGGACAAGACCCCAGTGTACGCCTGTGTCGGTGGCAAGGTCATCTCGACGGAGCGTATTACCTGGTATGTTCTCTCTTGGTCTCTTCTTCCCAATCGGCGCCTCCCCCCTTAACCGTACTCAGGCCGGGCTCTATCGACAGGTTCGACCCCATCGTCATCCAGCCAAACGCCTTCAAGCGCATGGCCGGTGACGTATTGGGGTCCGTCCTCCACTTTTACATGTTCCTTCTCGGGGGGTTGACTGCCTCGTGGTCCCTGATCACCGTTGCGCTGCAGGTCTGCAGCTTTGTCGCAAGCCTGTGCTCAAAGCTCTGGAAATACATGGCGCACAACCCCATCGACTGGCTCGCCGCCCTCCACCCTCCCCCCGCCTGGCACGAGCTTGCCCGCCGCTGGGCGGGTCACAACGAGTGAGGACAGACGGTGTGGAAGATTGAGCAAGTGGTGGTAGTTAGGAGAGAGTACGAGAGTAGTAGTAGAGAGATGCAGTTTGAGATGCCTCTGTACCTCTGTCTGCCCTAGTCCAGTCATGTCGTTTCCAACCACACTTATCGCCGGCCTCCATCAACTCATCACCCACTCATCCATTCATCCTCTTCTCCATAACCTGCATCTTCTCACCCTTCCTCAACGCCCTCAACCCCTCCAAACATGCGTGTGTTACATCTCTTCAGGTTTCCCACGCCCCCTGCAGAAGCGGTACACGAGACACGTCCATCAGCACAGACGGCGACAGCAACCGCTTTCCACCACCAAATCACTCCATCCCCCTCGGACGCCTCTCGCATCCACCCACCACCTGACATCGACAGCGTCTATGACCAGGTATCCTTCACCCAGCGGCGCTACTCGACACCAACGAACGCCTACTCCTCCCACTCGGACGCGAGCTCGTGGACGTGGAACCTCCAAGATGAGATTCAGGCGGTGTGCGGTGACCTGGTGGTGGTGCCGCACCCCACTCCCCCAGCAAGCACCTTTGTCCACACGCAATCCAACTATTACACATCGACACTAGGCTCTGTCCCATCGTTCACGTCACATGTCGTCAACATCCCCCAAAGCATGCTCCCAGGCATGGCCTTCATTGACCCAGACTGTGAGTTCCATTCTCGTTGTGTCTTGCCGTGTGTGCCGCTCCTAACCATCGACAGGGGAGCCCAACCCAGACCTCGTTCCAGCGCGCCCTGTGGGCTGGAGTCTGCAGAGAGGAGGGCGACCTCTGGTTCACTTTGCACGGAGCACCACCTACAACAGCTTTGCCGCCATCGGCTCGATCCTCAACGCGAGCTCCAATCCCGCAGACATTTCCACCCGCGGCGCCGCGCCTCCGCTGGACGACGGCGGCAGTCAACGGTACCCTTCACTTCCATCCACGCCGACATGCACTATCCACACCCCGCTTCATCGTGGATGCTGCAATTGCGTGGACACCGCTCCCGGCATCGGTCTCAGACGCCTGTCGGTCGTCCCTCGCACGCCTTCCTCAGCCCCATGTCTCGTCGGCTCCCTTTCCTCCACGTCAGTGTTCACTATCCCCGACCCAGGTGCACCCACCGTCCAGTGGTTCCACACCATGACCAACGGTGTCGGTCGCGTCGACATCCCTGCCAACGGAACCCCAGCCCTTGACGACCTGGCGTACCCTCCCAACCTGTGCTTCACCGGCGTCGCTCCCCTCCACTCACAGTACACTGTTGCATGGGCCCGAATTGCCTTTCTCTCCTACCTCCAGGACTGGGCATCAACGCGCGACAAGTGTGACCGCCGCAACCTCTCCCTCCATCCTCTCCCACGAGACGTCGTCGAGGTCTTGCACCAGGTCTCCACAAGCTACTGGAAATCGTACCTTGAGCGCGTCGACCAGGACCTCTCTGAATCTGTCGCGGCCATGACCAATGCCCACATCCAGCTTGGCGCCGAGGCGGCCAACACACTCCGTGCGCACTGGACGCGGATGAGGTGTAAGCGCGCCGGAATCGCGGCAGCCAGGGCCGTGATCAAGGAAAGGGCACTCGCCTATGGATCCCCCTGGGCCCGCGACGGCATGTACTTTGTGCTTGTCCTCCCTCAGCACGACATTGAGATCATCGTTGACGACGGCTACGCGCCATTACCCCGCAGGAGGAGCGATGGGGCTACAATGATGTGGACCACGTCAACCGACGACGGGGACGCCTGCCAGTGGACCGTCTGCCCACCTTGCCTTGGCCCCCGCCGCGATGGGCGCTAGTGGCCAGCGCAGGAAGCTTTGAGGCAGCTTCAGGCAATGAGGCATCGTATGCTTGACTAGTGACACAGTAGTTTGTTCGGGATGTACGCGGCTCTCACCTGCTGATCACTTGGCGCGGTGACCTGAGGACTATTTATCACTAGTCAGAGTCACACCGTCCAAAAAAGAGTCACAACATTGTCACTTGCGGGGGAGTCGACGGAAATGGAAATTAGCCCACAGGTTGAGGTATGGACAGAGGGAATGCAAGGCTTCTGCAGAGGAGCAGAGACAAGTCTGCGCGTGGACCCGACGAAACAACGACGGACTCGACTAGTCCGGCTTGTCGGTCCGCACGACAGTCAACTCTCGGTTGCAGCCCGCGAGTAAGCCGATCTGAGCGTGGTGCACTTAGTGGCTGTTGACTGTGGACTCGGACCTTGTCCAGGGCCTGCACGGGTATATGGACCTTGCAGCGGCGGGATGGACCGCGGCGATCGACAAAAGCTGTGGCACCGATGGCGGCGGACATGGCGCAGTACTAACGGCAATCGGCCCCGAGTTGCCGCTTCGAGAGCAGTTGCAGTGACGGCCGTGAGTGTTGCGGTGAAGGGCGGCTCCGGTAACCGCAAGCGCTGGCAGTGCATGCAACGAAGCTCGTCTCGAAAGTTAGGCAGCTACAAGCAAACGTCGGCCGACTACCGAGATACATATATTTCAGCGAGAATGTGACCTATGGCCTGTGCATCGTGCATGTGTCTCCGAGTCAAGAGTGCAACGTTTACCCACTCTTCCGCTTTGGGGAGGACCGGAAGCTGAACGGTCCCCGCGGCGTCAGTTACGACAATGGAGTGTGGAATGAAGCTGTCATCAGTCGAAGATAATTACGGTGAAGGTACGCCATGTTGTTGTTATTGCTGTTGTTCGACACGGAGGTGTTGGTGGTAGAGGCAAAGAATAACCCCTTTATTTTTCTTAAGAAACACGGTGAGAAGGAAGAACGTCATTGAGGCGGCTGCCGTCCACCCTTTGCTGGACCGGGGTCACACCTCTTTTGCCTGAATTATCTGCATATCTGGCCATCTGGATTAAGGATATAAGGATTGATTTGTATGATTTAGGCAGGGTGAACCCCCAATTGTAGTATTCCCAGTAAAACCCCGTGTACGGTGTAATCGGGGGGGGGGATAGCGGGTGCTACAAGCAACAAGCAGGACGGCGTTTCACAAAACGCCCGCGGCCGTACACATGCTACTCTCACTCTCACAGCCACTCCACTCCTCACTCCTTCGCCCTCCGCAGCCTTGCTGTTCCAACCCTCACACCACCCGCTACCTCAAACGATGTCGGTGTTTCGACTCGCGAACGCTCCCGCCTCCTTGGTGTTTGTCAATTGCAGCGAGGAGCTTGTGGAGAAGTGTGTTGTACGTGTGACGTTCCGTGTTCGACGCCAAGCTGACAATGGATTAGCAGCGGGGCGCTCACCAAGTCGAGTTCTCCAAGCACCCCTGGGCAGTGGTCGTTGCGCAGCCCCCTGGCAATTACGAAGGGCCTGACGAGCCCCTGGCCGCAATCCGTCATGCCGAGGATAACGGTGCCCACGTCCTTTCCCAAGACTGGGTGGCAATGTGTGTTCACTACGAGAGGTTTCTTCCCTTCCACGCGCACCACATCTCCCTCCCTCCGCCGCCACGGGGCACGAAACGGGCGAAGCGATAGCCCACATCGGAACAACGTATTGGATTGATAGAAAACGAGGCAATCAAGGCGGCACGTGCCAACCTGGCAGCGGCCAAGGAGTGCATGACGGCCTTCCACGCGGCCAGGGCAGCTATGGAGGATGTCGGGGACGAGTTGCTAGACCAGGTGGAGACCGCACAAGAGCTCGTTGACGTCTTAGAAAGCCGCTGCCTGAGCCCAACCGACGACGACGACCAACATGGCGGCCCCGTGGACAGCAAGCCAACGGCAAGCCACAAGCGCCGACGCGGTTCCGAGGACGACCCTGAGGAACAGGGAATTGCCATGGGATCCGACTTCCAGCTCAGCGTTCCCTCCGATGAGAGCGCGTCCGGGACCGACGACGGTCCGCCTCCCACGGCCCAGCACCACCGGTTCGACGACGTGGAGTTCCTCAACCTTGACCACGGGGCCTCGGGCCATGTGCTCTGGTCACCTCAAGCAAACAAAGCGTTGTCCAATCTGTCGCGGCCACATGTAAAGAAGACTCTGCTCAACGCAGGCTGGCTGACCCATAGTACCAAGCTTCAAAGGATCTATCAAGTTGGGTCGTGAGCGTTGCCAGAAATCGGGGCTTTTTTCGCCATTTCTCGACCCACGGTCCTTGCCAAGAACCACTTGTGCATGGTATGCGCAACTCGTTGGTGCAGCATGTCCTCTCTGATCACTGACAATTCCCTGCGCTATGGCGCCTGGGTCGTTGACGTCGAGGACTCGCCCCGGTACATCGTCGTCAACGACGCGCGCTTCCTGGCTTCGAGGTGGAGGCGGCGGAGCCTCTGACGGAGATGCTGCGCAAGGCGCCAGCAAACGCACACGCGTTGTGTCTAGTTGCAGAGTTTCGGCCTGCAACGAGAAAAGGACGGTAGTGGACCACACGCCGCACAGGCTGCGCGTTCCCGTGAAGGCCAGAAAGGGCCGAGGGGCCCAGTAGGGATTCCGTTTATGCATACTGCGACCCACAATTTGGTACACGATTCACCTTCTAATGGGACTGATGACCTGATACGTACTAAAGACCATATGCTGAAGTGCACACCAAAGCCGTGATTGGAATGCAAAGGGGGCGCGGGGAAGGTGGCCTGGGGCATTGTGGGGTATCCCATCCACTTCAGGACCCGCCTATGTACTCGACTGGCCCCCCCCATCAACTCACGTTAAGAGCAACGTGAGGTTGCTACGCAGCTTGTTTGGGATGCATCCCGCTAGCCTTGCGGCTCCCAGATGGCTCGGCGGTTTATTGTATGCCACCAACAGAGTCACCCCGTCCGAACCTGTATGCGCGGTCGCGTGGAATGGACAAAAAGGGTTTGCCCACTAGGCTCCGGCATGGACAGACAGTGTACAAAGCGTGCTCTTGAGCTACGTATTGTTTAAAACATGCGTTCTGGTACACTGTTCGCGATACATCGGCGGCCGTGACGAAGAGCAGAAAGCAAAACGAAAGAGTGCCCTCCCACGGAAAAGGAAGGAAAATGTGAGGCTCGAAGCAATGCTGCGACACTTTGAGTGGTCGCCGTCCATAAGCTCATGGACCTCTTGACGGCGCCAAACAGGATGATCTGACGGCGAAAGCGAGAGCGGTTGCGAAGTGGAAGGCAGGGGCAGCCAGACTGCGTCTTCCGCGTTCTTAAAAGGCGTGTTGAGGATATCGCGAAGCGTTAATAGCATCCAGGACGTCTGCAATGCACCACACTTGTGTGCAAGAATCTGGTAAGTATATCCTACTGGGCGACCTTTACTGTTCTGGTCTGTCAGCCTCGAGATGGACGTTGCCCCTGCGAGGCCGACTCGATGATGGGCGGTCTTGGCATCAAACTACAGGGCACTACGCAATAACAAGTAACTATGTACTTCCCCTGTTTTGGGGGCCACTCCTATCCCTAAGACTCTTCCCAACAGTCACTACCCTCCGCGACATACCCCTACTCGGGCCCGCGGGCAGCCTTGAAGGCCGTCTTGGCCGCGGTCGTCATACCAGAGAGGAGGTCGGGCAGCTCCTTCAGGAGACTACCGGTCGTGATCGTCTAGCGCGGCCTTGGCCGCTAGGCAGGTGGATACAGGCTGCTTCCCCACTGTGAGATTGGCACGAGCCGCCTGCGTTGCCTCGTCGTCACGTATCGGGGCCTCCGTGCGGCCGATGCAGATGCCCGCCTCAATGCTGTTCAATCGCTGTCTGCTTACCGAGGCCTGGGTGAGGGGATGCGCGCCGAGTGGTCGCGTGGGTGCGGGCGGGGGAGTGGACGCGGGTGCGAGAGGAGGAGTGCGCGCGGGACCCTGTCATGAGCTACAGACCAGTCACCGTCTGCTTACCTAGAAGGGGTCGAGTAGCTTCGGTTGAAGAGCCTCAAAGTGAGGAAAAGAGATGGTAGTGGTGGTGGAATGAAGAACGAGGAATGAACAAGAGGGCAATAGGGCAACGGCTGTACAGTCCCTGCGTGGATGGGGTGGATGGGGCCTGCGGGGTACGGGCAGGTTGTTGCCAGGCAGGTTGTTGCATATCAGCAGCCAGCGCACGCGCCAGACCGACGACGACAGGTATCGCAGTTCCTTGGCCCCTGGAGCTGGAGGGGTGGTCCACAGAAGACGGCGACCTCAGCGTCAAAAATCGGACTTTAGGTTGCCGGTTCCCCCTACGAAGACGAGCACACCAACATGCCCAACCAGCGCAAAGCCGAAGCCGAGGCACCATGCGTCTACCCCTCCTCCGCGCCTCTGCCCTCTGAAGCGCATCGTCAAGACAGCACCGGACTCGGACGACCTGTAAAGTGTCCATAACCTTCCGGGCTCGCACAGACCGGCACATGCACTCTCGCACCGCTTCAAGAACTGCAGGGATGCGCCAAGGTAGGTGCAACTGTTTTCACTCTCTGTGTGCGCCTCTTTTGATCAGAGAACAGTGCTGCCATGTCCACAGAGGTATGGAAGTCAGTACCGACACAAACGCTACAGTAACTTCAATGGCGACGAACTGCAGCAGTCAGAGTTCCTGTGCATGGTCTGGAGCTGGTGAAGACTTGGGAATACGAACAGAGTACTATGGTTCCACCGCTCAACAAGTGCCGCTACAAAGGGCGGTCATGTATCAAACGTTACGGGTTGGAGAGAACAGGGAAGGGATCGCAGGGGTGGGAATATCCAACGCCGTTAACAACAAGCGCGGGCAGGGGGGTCTTCTCAGAGCACCTAGATGGCTTCCGTGCCCCAGCCGCCGGCAAGGAGGGTGGCCACCACAAGGAGGATGACGATAACCAGGGCGGCGCCAGCGTGGATTCCAGGGAGGGCAGCATTATCGCGTTCAACCGGGATGTGGGTGTCCATGGGGCCGGGGTGGTCAACGCTGAGGGGTGTTAGGTTTGTTCACACCGGATGGACCGGACCATGCTTACCTCTTGATGCGCATGCCGCCATAGTTGCAGTCCTCGCCCAGAAGAGCCTTGCTCTCCCTGCAGAGAACAAAGAACTGGGTGTTGACGACGATGACGTTCGAGTACTCGTCCGAGGTGAACCGGGTGACGAGGTCGTGGCCGGACCACGCGTTCACGTTGATGTCCTGGGGGGCCGTGTAAGGGCCAGGTGGGGCCGGGAGGACGGACCAGATGAGGACGTGGGTGATGCTGGGGTCGGTGACCTGGCGGGTGAAGGCACCGCCACGGAACTGGGTATGTCAGCGGATCACAGCCGTTTAGTGAACAGAGACTGTCTGGTACAAGTAAGCAGAACGTACGACGATCTCGCGCTCGAAGTGGCCCACTTGCTTCCTCTTGCAGCCGACGGACTGCACGAGGAACACGGTGTCCTTGAAAATGCGGTGGGGTGGGGTGGGGAGCGCGGCAGTGGACATGGTGTAGAGGGTATTGGAATGGGATGGAGGAGGTGTGGGCGGTGGTGAGAGTGAAGGAAGGAACAATGGATGGAGTGGCAAATGTTTGTGCATTACAAGCTAATTACAAGTCCCTTATTAGAAATCCTCCCAATTTTCGGTTGGCTTCTTTGATTCAGGGGACGTAGCGTACCACCTCATCGACATACATGTTGATGAGTGGATCAGTGGTCAGTGAGTGCGCACACAAACGTCACAGTCAATGGAACGGGCAACAAGCTGCATTAGACAGAGCACATGTGTATGCTTTGGAGCCGGTGAGAACTAGTGAGGACATGGGTCTATGGATAGCTCCATCTCTAAAATGGCGTGAAAAGGGACGAGGTTTCGCTGAAGGTTGGACGGGAAGGCGGCAATGTGTACTCGAGTTGAATCGAAGGCAGGGATGTGGGGCCGTCGGTAAAGTAGGGACGACCGATGGGTGCGCAGAGGGGGAATCTTGAGTTGGGACGGAAGATGCCTTAGGTTGCGGCCGTGACGGAGCCGCGGCAAGCTCGTCGTCGACAACGTCGGGGTCAACGTCCATGTCATCACCAAGCTCGTCGTCGACAACGCCGGGGTCAACGTCCATTCCATCACTGGCAATGGCGACAACAGGGAGGGGGCTGCTGGAAGTTAGGCTTGTTCACACAGGATGGACCACATGCGATGCTTACCCCTTGATGCGCATGCCCCCAAAGTCGTCCTCCTGGCCGAGGAGGCGCTTCTCCTGCCTGCAGAGCTCAAAGAAGCCCTCCTTGACGACAATGACCTGCGAGTTGCCCTGCGAGGTGAACTTCTAGACGAGGGCTCGACCCGACCACGCCTCAATGTTGGTGTCTTGGGGAGCGGTAGCCGACCGAGGTCGACTGGCGGGGAAGATTGACTTGATCAGCACGTGGGTAATTGTGTGGTCGTCCACATCCTCGGTGTATGCGCCACTGCGGAACTGTTGAGAGATGGTCAGTGGATAACAGGTCACAGCAGATATGTCTGGCACAAGGAAGCAACTTAGAAACATAACGTACGACGATCTTGCGCTGGAAGCGGCGCACCTCTTTGCGTGCGCGGTCTTGCGACTGGACGAGCCACACGGTGTTGTGGAGATACGGGTGAGGAGGGGGGGTCCGAGGTGAGCATCGTTGATGATGGACGGTGTGAATGGGGCGCCGTTGGGACGGAGGAGTGGTGTGGAAGGTGAAGGGGATGGAGTGAAAGAAGAATGTCGCCGTGCAGAAACAGTGTGCTATAACCCGTCAGCTCGAGGAAACATCTTCCGTTCTGCACACGTCACCTTCGGAAGCAACGTTTTTGTGAAAGTGGCACACTCCGACACGCCTTGTCGGCCTTGTCCCCGCAGCGACATCGTCATATCATGAACGTTCGTCCTTGAATCACACGTATACATCCGCGACATGCGACTTTGCGATGCGTTTATCGATGACAGAAGGCATTGCTGGCCGCTGGGCGGTTGCAGTGCTCGGCGAACACATCGACTTGGCCGACCTTTTTCGCCTTCAAGCCACTGCCATGCAGCGCCCGCAACCGGCAACACACCTGCACGACCAGGCTCTCCACATGCACAGTACCAAAACCACAGATCAGTGCAATGCATTAGATGCCATACGAAATCCTCAGACCCCAATCCCAATGCCCCAAAGGCCACGGCCTCACCACTGGTGTATCCCACCACTCCATCGACGACCCACGTCGCCTTTCCCTCGCACTCACACCTCGGTACCAAACACACGAGCGAGCAGAACACGGCGGAGGACGTCGGAACCTGGTGTACGCGAGATCATGTACGGCAGGGGCTTGGTCTCGACGGGCTCGACGGGCGCCGCAGGTGCAGCCTTGGGTGCCGTGCCGTTGGCAGTAATGTCGTGGCCGGTGATGCTCGTGCCCGTAAGCTCTGCATTCTGGGTACGGTCCGAGCCAAAGCTCTCGCCAGTACCACGACGATCGACGACACACATGCCGCGCGTGATCTGTCCACAGCGCTCGACGCCAAACTCGCGAGCCGCAACGCTCCAGCCGTCGGCGAGAGCGTGCGGGTGAGAACGGCTGGCGTTGGCGATGGCGTACCACACCGCCACGGGGTCGTGCATCTCCATTGCGTCGGGGAGACCAAACTTCTGCTGGAGACCGCGGACACGGAGCAGGAAGGCGGTGGTGAACGCTTGGAGTCGGGTGGGAGTGGGGAAGGCGGCTGCGTCGGCACCTGGGATGAGACCTGGGTGCAGCAGGTCGGTGAAGGGGATCGAGTGTGGTGTGGTAATGTCCAGGGGAGCAAAGGTGAAGCGGAACTTGCCAGTCTTCATCTCGTCGAGCAGCGCTTGGAAGGCGTACGGGTCGGCGAAGCAGTTGAACTCGGCGACGGGGGAGGTGTTGCCAGGAACGTCGAGCGCGCCACCCATCCACACTACCTCACCAACACGCGAGAATGCCTCGGGGTCCGCGCGGTATGCCCAGGCAATGTTGGTAACTGGGCGGGTTAGCTGACGTCGAAGTTGCTCAGCAATCCGAAGCTACTCACGAGGACCAAGAGCAATGATGGTGACCGTGCCCTCGGGCTCGGTGCGGAGGAGGTCAAGGATGGCCTCGTGCGCGCGTTTGTCGGTGAACTCGAGGAACTCGCCCTTGTCCGCATCAGCCGGTGGAGTGAACTCGGGGTTGGTCTCCGAGATGTTGGACAGGCCGTCGACGCCATGCTGCGAGTTGTCAGCAGTTGGTCACCGAGGTGGATTGTGGTCACAGTACGTGCGCCAGCGCGGTGGCCTGATTGTTGGCTCAGTCCAACCACTGGCCACTGTGGCCACTGCGGCCTTGGCGCATCGCCTGAAGTGACATTGTGCGCAAGTGGTTGCCTGCTCACAGTCCAACAGCACTCACGAAGTAGGTCGCGACATGCTTCTCGCCGCCGATGGGGTCGTTCTCGCCAACAGCCACCAGGGTCTTCTTGCCCGACGCAACGCTGGCGTAGCGCTCGCGCGACTCGGGGTGGGCCTGGAGCTCTACGCCGAGGTTGTAGTAGAGCTTGAGGAGGTTGGCAAGAGTCTGTGGGGTGTGCGCATTGCCTGTAGCGTGTCAGCGTTGTCTTTGAGACCATTGAGAACCCCTGTGGCCTGTGGGACCCGACGCCATGTGCGTGTGTGGGTGCAGGTGCGAGCAAGGAGCAGGTGGAGGGCGTGGGTGCTTACCGAAGACGGGCGTGATGAGGGCGACGTCAATCTCGGGCTACTTGGGTCAGCGTATGCAGGTGTATAGCCTCCACGACGCACCGACGCGAGGGCGAAGAGGATGGCGAGGACGTCGTCGACTCCGGGGCTGAGGTTGGTGTGTCAGAAACCGCCGTAGCACGATGAATGCAGTCGACTCACTCGGTATCGATAACAACCTTGCGAGGGGCAGCCATGGCGCGAGTTGGGATGGGCGAGAGGGTAATGTAACGAGGTGGGGGGGACAGAAGGAATGCACACGTCGAGTGCGCTGTGCTGGATCAGATGAGGAGAAGGGTGACTGATGGAAGAGAGAAAGAGACTGAGAGAGAGATAGAGAGCGAAAGTGACTGACCGCATGCCGCCGCCGCCGAGATAAACCCCGTGCTCGCTGTCGGTCCCGCGCGTTGCACAATCCGACGTCGTCGGTCGGAGGCCGGCAACTCTTCCGTCATTTGCATATTCCAACCCGATCAGGTCGGATATATCCACCGTCTCTCAATCAACACCTCTCGCGACCGCATGCTCCTCCAAGACGTCCTCGACGGCACAGCGCCTGCACGCATGGTGCTCGTGCATCACTCTATCGCAGCCCCAGCATGGCCCTTGCTGCATGAGCTCACGCAGCGTGCACAGGAGCGGTATGTTTTTCGTTTCACCTCCACCGGGTCAATATTTCAAGATCTGATGCTGACGTTTTCAGACGCGTGCCGCTCTTATCCATCAATGTCCTCCCTTCTGCTGCTGGCTCTAGCAAGCTGGCAGGATCGAGCTCGGGCGCGAACAAAGTGCTGGACCTGAGCTTGCCGCCTGGATACGGCGGAGACGGGGACGTTCTTGCGCGCGTCAAAGAAGCTTGTGAGCAGCCGGCAGTGTCCTGACAGCGACCTACACTGACGCTCCAGGTCGCAACCTCGCGCCTGGAACCCAGGTGCTCCTCGACGCACCGGATGTGATTGCGGATGACTACGGAACGACTGTGGTCTTGCGCGTCGTGCGCGCCATCCTCGCTGCTGTCGGCAGCTTGAGTCGTTAGTTGACGAGTCGCCTTCACAGCTGACCATCGCAGTCCCCGGCCGGCTCGTCACCGCACTCCCATCCTCGGATCTCTTCACAGACTTGACCTCTGCTACCCTATCCTCGTCCCTCGCCCTCCTCTACCCACACCATCCCTTGGCAGTGGAGACTGCCGCGCGCGCCGAGCTCGTCCCGACCTCGAACGAGTCGGGCTTCTGGTCCCTCCTCAACACGTCCACTGCTAATGGAGATGGAGATTCGCTCGCTCTGCGCGCGGCAGACGGCGTCGAGGTCGCGCCGAGGGACCACTATGTCCTGCAGGTCCTTCTGCGCAAGGCAACGGGAGGAGCAAAGGGCATGCAGCGGTCTACTGAGGGTATCAAGTGTGACGAGTCCCAAAGGTGGAGCGTGGTCGCTCTCGACGACATTGTCCATCCCTTTCAGGCTGTCGCGTCGACAACAGCAGCATCTGCTGCGGGCACGACACACGCCGACCTCAACCTCCCCTTCAACCTGTCACTGACAGACCGACAGCGCGCAGAGCGCGGCGCCGTCCCTCTCCCCTATGCGCATGAAGGTGAAGGCGCAGACCTGGGAATGGGCATGGACTGGAGTGACGACGAGGAGGACGACGAGTTCTAGAGACGATGGGCCTAGAAGGACAGGTGGTAGACATTGTACACATTACTACACAGACATGCATTATTGGGGTATGATATCTGGCCGGTCGATGCCGCGTGGGGTATCTCGAGTGAGTGGGTGACGGAGGGGGGCCAAAGAGGTCGGAGGTCGGAGGTCGGTGCCAGTGTTCGTGGGCAACCTAGCGAGTGCTGGCTCCAAAGTTCGTGCCACCGGTGCCAGGAACGCCAGAGTCGGTTGGGGGTTCGTTCTGCAAGTCAGTGCCCGTTACGGCTGAGAAGCGAGTAAAGTAGAACACGGTGTCAAGCCCAGTCCATCACGGTTCAACCCGGTTCACGCCTACTACCGCAGGAGTATTGTGGCTACTGCAGCTCTGTCTACCTCGTAGCTACTGCAGTGACTTTCACCGCCAATCCCAATCCCCCTGTCCACACGCTAACTCACCTTCTTCTCGTCAATCATGTTGAGAAACTGGCCCCAGAGAGCTGCGACGGAGCCAAACTCCTTGCCGACGCCATAGACCTCTTCGAGCTTGCGGTTCAGGACATTGGTGTGGGTCATGAGTTCCTCAAAGCCCTGTATGTCAGCATGAGATCGTTATGATGGATGCAAAGCTGCGTCGGAAAGGAGGAGTGAGACGGCAGGAGAGAGGGAGTGAGGAAGGGAGACGGATGAACGAGAGGACAGCCCGCGTTCGACGTCGGAGTGGTGTCACGAAGCATGCCGCGCCAAGAAACCATAGGTATCAACCAACTCACAGTTCCGATTTCCCCCACCAGGCGCTTGCGTTCAGTCTCGAAGAAGGACGTGTCCGTTGTTGAGCGGTTGAGAGACATGGTCGATGGAGTGTTGTTGAATGTGTTGACGCGCGTAGCGTCACATTTGTTGTGGTGTCCCCGGCACATTGCCGGCCAATTAGAAACATTTAAGTGGGGTCCCAAATAAATAATATTGGAAACACGCCCCTCGATTATAAACGTCATCGTTTATCTCCCACTCCCCCAACAACGTTCCTTGCCAGCACCGTGCAACAGGCTAGAGACAACTGTATCATGAAAGGAAGAAGACAGAGAGAACACATAAACTGGCGACGAAAGGGCTTAGAAGATGACGTCGTCGTCCTTGTGCTGGTCGAGCATGTCGCCGCCTCCCGCAGCACCGCCTCCAACGCCGTCATCCTTGTGCACCTCCTCCCCCTGGGCCTCCGCCTCGGCGTTGGCGACAGAACGGTCGGTGTCGGCCGCAGCAGCATCGCGCTTCTTCTTGCCCTGCACCTTCTTGAGGCGGAAGAACTCTTCACTGTGGGAGATGTCAGTCAACGGTACAGAGTGCTGGTTGGGATGAATCTTTGGGTGGGTGGAGGTGTGGAGGTTGGTAATCGGAGATACCAGCCCGGCGAAGGCTGGTCGTGCAATCCGCACCATCCGTTGGCCGCACCAGCCGACAGCATACGTACCGGTCCATCTCGTCAAGCTCCGAGTTGATGTACTTGATAGTGTTCTCGAGACGGGGAATGACGACGTGCTCGATGGCGTTTACACGGCGGTTGGTCGCGCGGATGACCTCGTCAAGAATAGTGAAGGCGGTCTGTTATCAGCCCAGATCATGACGGTCTATAGCTTACCTGGAGAGACGCGAGCTCGACAAGCGTGCCGACAGCCTTGACATACGTGTCTCGACTGCGTTGGATCTGCTGTCCACCACGCGAGAGACCCGTGAGATTGAAGTCTAAAACCACTGGTCAGTACTTGTGACGAATGCCGACACGGCTAGAGGAGACTCACCACTAGCGGCGCCAGACCTCACACCCTCGAACGCAGGCAAGACGACACCCGACACGTTCTCCTGCTTGGCTGCAACGGTGTACGAAGCCTTGCGCACACTCTCCTGGACCTGGTATCCGATATCGCCGGCGGTGTAGGTCACCTCGGCGAGGGAGAAGGAGGCCAGCTGGAGGACACGGCCCATCGCGCGCTTGGCCTCGTCGACTTTACGCAGGATGGTGCGGAAGCGGGTGGTGAGCGCGTCGCGCTTCTTGGCGAGGAGGGAGTGGCCGGTCTGGGCGCCCTTCAGCCTGCCCTTGGTGAGGGTGAGGTTCATACGAGTCGGGCTGGAGGAACGTGTCAGTGGGAGCTGTTGGGGTGGGGGGAACGGAGAGGGGAGACGTACAAGATTGCCTCGCGGGGGCCGGTGCCGGACATGTTGGCTGGCTACGGGTGAAGGGTCGGAGAGGAGGATGAGGAGAACGGGGCCAGTGCCTGCGTGAGAGTGCTAGATATGATAAGAAGGAGACTGGGTAGGTTGAGTGGACGGATGGCGAGGATGGATCAAGAGATGACGACGGGCGAGCGACGTTTCAGCCGCCGCCGGATCCCACTCGAGCCGTCATTTTGAATCCGGTCGGTACAACTCTCCTGGCTCACATCTGTCAATACCATCCACCGACATATCCATCTCTCATGCGCAGCGAGGACGAAGAGGAAAACGACTACGAGGACGACGAGGACGATGATGAGGTATGCTCACCACCCGATGCTGCTGGATGCATGCACTGACACTCAGGAGGAGCGCGATGATGCCGACAAGGACCTGTGAGTTCGGTCATTTCCACCCTCCGACATGCGTCCCCTGTTCCGCGCTTCCACCCTCCTCCATTGCTGACAACCACAGCTTTGGAAGCGATCAGTTCGACGGGGACGGGGACGGGGACGGTGACGGTGACGGTGACGTAGAAGGCGAAGCGGATGATGTGGAAGAGGACGAGGACGACGAAGATGACGGCGATGCGGACGCCGACGAAGATGACGAGGAGGAGGACGAGGACGATGAGGACGAGGACGAGGATGATGACGAAGAGGGCAAGGACGATGAAGACGAGGACACTACTGCTCCACCGGGGGATAGCCAAGGTGAGTTGCTCGGTGTGAGACTCGCTGACAGACAACCAGCCGCTACCAAGCCCACATCACCCGCGAAGACTGCTTCACCATCCGAGCCAGCACAACCCCCACACCTCTTGCGACGCTCCCTTTTCATCCCAGGCTACACCGAACCTCCAGCATCTCTCACAATTGAAGCCATGGTTGGAATCCCTCTCCCCTCGGCGGTTCATTGCCTCGCGGCGAGCACTTGCCTCAGCTACCTCCTCACAGGCTCGCAGGACGGTTACGTCCGCGCATACGACACTTGGCCGTCCGTAAATGGTGCGCAGGTCATGACCGCCCAACAGCGCGGTGTCGTCGGTCTTGGTGAAGGTGTCAACAAGGCTGGCGTAGGGCGCGGCTGGTGGGCCGTTGAGGTGGACGGCGTCGAGAATGGTCAACCGATGCGCAAGTCTGAGCCAGTCTTTTCGCTCGCCTGTCAAGGCGACGCGCTGTGGACGCTTGCTGGGACACAGAGCGGACCCATCAACCTCTACAGCCTGCGGCACCAGCCTGGCCACCTCGTCCACTCGCTCAAGGGCCACTCGTCGGTCGTATCATGCCTCCAGCTCTTGCCAGGCGACACGAGCTTTCTCTCGGGCTCCTGGGACGGTTCCGTTAGGGTGAGTCTCGTACTCCTTGCACCTCTTAACTGACGCTTTAGGAATGGGACCTCAACACTGGTCAAGTGTCACGTAACTACCCCACACACGGCGCGCAAATCTCTTCTATTGCCCTCAAGCCCATCAGCACGATGGCATCGCCGGCACCAGCTGTGAGCGTACACGTCGGTGCCGACTTTTTCAAGGCCGACCGCGAGAATGAGGACGACACACCAGCACAGGCCAACGGCAACTCGACAGAGGTTGACGGAAGCAAGGACGCAGACGGAGACGCAACTATGGCGGACGGGGACGGCGATGTGGATGACGCTGCGTCCTATGACCCCCTGTTTGACGATGATGCCGAGGGGGAGGAGGAAGGCGACGTGCCTATGGCCGAACCTACACCAGCACCAGCTGCACCGGCGCCAGTGTCCATCCCAACACCAACACCAGCTGCACCGACTTCCCTCGCACTTCCGGGCACAACCAAGCCGAGTCCCGCCGCAGCGCCTAGTGCTCCCAACCGCCTCTTCCCTGCTGCCTCGACACCCACGGCCAGCGCCTCGCGCCCACACGTCTCGGCAGCCGCCAACATCCCTTTACTCTCCCCCGCCAGCTACCAGGCCTTCTCCAACGACGTTCTTCTCACCTCGTCAATGGACGGTCAAGTAACTCTGATAGACAGGCGATCCGATTCACCTCACGTTGGTCGTCTGCAACCAGGTGACAAGGCACCACCATGGTGTATGTCCGCCACATGGCTCGGTGACGGCAACCAGGTGCTTGCCGGACGACGAAACGGCACCATTGACGTGTGGGACGTGCGCAAGAGCTCCTCGACGGCACCCTCCTTGTTGCGGACGTTTCGCACTCCACAGGAATCGGGTCCCGTCTCGTGCATTGTTGCGTTTCCAGATGGACGCCATGTTGCGACTGCGTCCCAGGACAACATCCGTCTCTGGAACACCCTCGAGACGGTCGAGTACTACGAGGCCGAGGAGGGTATTAAGCGGTCACGGTCCCGGCCGCCGTTCCGCATCATTGCGGGACATCACGGTGGTATCGTGTCAAGCATGAGTGAGTGGTCGGTCTCTACCTTGCCTAATGGCGTTTGAAGCTAATCGAATCCCCAGTCGTCGACCCTACGTCTCGTTTTCTCGTCACCGCATCAGGCGACAGAGGATGGCAGGGAGAGAGCACAAAGGTCGTGCTGATTCACGAGGTCAAGTGGTAGGCTGTCCCCGGGTCAATGGCCAGTTGTTGAGCATCCTTGCCGTCTGACGACGAATCCCGTCCCCACTCACCACGCCACCAGAAAGCGGACGTCCTGTCGTCCCGGCATGTAGTTTATGGTACACATCTATGTATACATGTGTTGCAACTGATCAGAGAGGGCCGCTCGGGCCAGCAGCCAGTGTCATGGACTCATCTGGCGAAACCTCGGCAGCCACGAGATGAGCAGCCCTTAAGACCTGTAGAACGATCGGTGTGCCTTCATGAACATAGATGTCAGGCGCACGGGCTGGGGTAACCAGTTTGGGGGACAGAGATGAGTCGCAAGATACCGAACATGGGTCGTTGTCATTTCGTCCACCCCAGTAGCAACCCGCCAGTCAGCTTAAAAGCCGATATCCCTCATCTTGAACAACCCAAGTGCCTGCACACCACCCTTTTGATGTATGTATCAGAAACGTCACGCCCGATCACTAGCCAAGGACCCTCAAGCTCCAGGCTCTCGGGTAGCTTCTTGTTTCCAGGGTAGGAATCAACCCGACCTTGGACGAGGTGCAGTCTCTAACCGTAAACATAGCAGAGCTGGCCACAGCGCCTCGCTGGCCGTGACTTTTTTCTCGGAGCTATCTATGCGACTCGGGTCTCGGGGGTCCGGAGGTGCGCGACGAGTGGTCCGATACCCCTGCCGTGGTGGGTGTACTGGTGTGAGAGCACCTGCGGCGCTTGGACCCCTTGCTCCGTGGCGGCCGTTGTTGGGATCCTGGAACGTAGGAGTCCTGGTGTCGACGTTTCCTGACCGCCTGCGGCAGACTCTGGGGAAAAGTCGGTTCTGGGTGGTCGTTACCGCCAGAGCGACTGGCACATTTTGGTGCTGGTGCCCGAGGAATTCTGGAACAGTGGCTCACCCTTGGCAGGGCTGTTTGAGGCCATACCGAGGCCATACCGCCGGCGCGCAGCCATGTGGATCTGACACCCTCTCGCGTCTCGCGCCGCTCGATCGCTCGACGGCCAGATAGCGCACGCTGCTTAGGCAGCCTTTGGCAGTATGTCAGTACATGCACTGGTGAGGCTGGGTTTTGCTGCAAGTTTGTGGTACCAAGACAGATATCAAAGATGCATTAGCGCGCCATACCGAGAAAATGGCACGCTGCACGTCATCAGACAGGTAGGGGCTATGTCTGAGAGGCTGCAATAAAACTAGTGTAGTGCCCAGTGGTCGGGTGATGGCTCGTATTAGAAGCCCCCGCCACCGTACATGTACGTCATGGGATGAGGAGAGCGGTCGTAAATCTATAAGTTGGTGGATAGTTGTGGTGGTGGTGTGTGACCAACGGTCGGAGAGCGCTTAGTAAGCATGCGGTGATCATTTGAGAAAATGGACGCTGTTGTTGCCCGAGCGCGCATAGATGTACCGGGCGAGGACCTTTTGCTTGTAAAAGGACCGCTCACTGGACTGCGTCACGAGGCAACAATCTAGAGTACCATCATGGCAGGACACATGTGGTCCCCGGGGGCCCAGGATGTTACCACTGGCCGCCACGACCCCCACTCACCCCGCCAAGGCTGCGGTTCGGATCCTCCTTTGGCTCGTTGGCCAACGACAATTGGTAGAGCTCCTCGGATTCTTGAGAGACGGAGTCGATGCCGGATTCGATAAACACCTGGATCGGCTTGCACGTGGCCAGGTTGTACGGTTGAGACTGGTACTGTTGAATCTCGCGGATAATGTCAGCCGAGAGCTGGCGCTTGAAGAAGTTGATGAGCATCGGACCGCTTCCGCCAGTCGTTGTGCTGCCGTTGATGGTCGTGGCGATGGTCGCTGTCGTCGAGATCATGGTGGTGGCCGTTGCAGCCGAGTTGCTGGTAGCAATGGTTGAGATGCTGTCCTTGCGCATCGACATGCTCGAGGCCGAGGGGGTCATGGGTTGCGACCCGTCCGGGTTGGGCCCGGGCACCTTGTCCTTGTTGCCGTCCTCGATGAACGTGAGGGCCGAAAGGTAGAGACCGAGGAAGGGAACGCATGGCGGGTTGACCGTCTTGAGCATTTCACGATACTTTGAAAAGTTCTTGCTCGAGTCCATGGTACGCTCCAGCTCCCTCCACTCCTTCATCGACTTGTCGGGTACCAGGTCCCAGGTACGCTTCATGCGCATGACAGCCGAGCCACTGATCGCCGCGACCACTCCGGCCATGGACGAAAAGTTGTGGAGCTCGCGCAGGTCGTAGGCGACGCGGATAAAGTGCTTGAGGATGACCATGCGCATCTTCATCTCCTTGGTCGAGACAATGCACCATGTCGCCCAGCGCGCCACGCTGTCGCCGACAAGGATAGCTCTGCGAACATTCGGTGCCAAGTCGGGCATACGGTCGTTGACGGGCATGTTCCACTGCTTGTTCAAGCACTCGGACGGGCGGATACGCTGGAAGCACGTGCTCTCGATGAGCGTCAACTGGCGAGCAAGCTCGAGCGGCTGAATGTCAAGGAGAGCGATGGGCCTGGACGTCTGGCGAGGCAGGATCGGTTGAGGAGGCGGTTGCTGGCCACCAGTAATGACACGTCGTGACTGAGCATCGCCGTCGCCTCGTCGCCTGCGGTCCACGAGCTGGGTGAGTTGACGCGAGATGAGCTCGTTGCCGTTGGCCACCAGCGTTGTCTTGGCAAACTCGTCGACAACGCCGAGCGCGTCAATGTCCTCCGACTCGACATAGTAGTTGTCCAACCACGCCTTGAGAGCGTTTGCAACACTGTAAGAACGTCAGCTGAAGTGGTTCAAGGTTGTGGCCTGGTCAAACTCACCGTAAGCGAACAGGTGTCTGCTTCCTGAGCGTCCACTCCTTGATCTGGTCGGGCGTAAGGTCTGGCGGGGCGGTAATGTTGTAGCGCTCAATGAGCAGCTCGACGAGCTCGTCAATGTTGACAAAGGAGCGGAACGTGAGCAAGAACGCCTGGAAGAACGCATTGTCGTACTGGACGTGGGCAGTGAGGCGAGCGACGAGCCCGCGGATGGTGCCGGCCTTGACGGCTCCCCTGTCGTCGAACACAAGCTCTCCCACGGGGAAGTCAGTGGCGAGATACCACGCATCCTGGGACCGCATGGCCGACGGTGGTGGCGCCATGGGCGCCGGAGGAGGTGGCTGGTGGGCGATGCTGGCGCTAGAGGCAATGGAGGGTGAAATGGCGCTGGACGGCGGCATCATGCTACCGACCGTGCCACCAACAACGCTGGATATGGCGCCGGTACGTGTAGCTGTCGCAACAGACTCTTCGCCAAGGAGCTTGGCAAGCTTCTTGCCCGACTTTTTGGCCTGGTCTTCTGAACCGGAGCGGTTGCGGAGGAAGCTGGGCACGGCCTTGAGGATACTCGCGCGGTTCGAGTTGCGCATGGAGCCACCCGTGTCGGACACGTCCTGGGCGTAGGCCAATGACGTGGACGACGAGCTGCCCTCGCCACGACGGATAGATGCGACCAAGCTGGTTTGGCTGCCCGACGCCGATGCCGAATGCGAGGCGCGCGAGACACGGCTACCGCGGCGCGCGCGCCTTGCCTCATCCTGGTCGAGATATTCAGACTCTGTAGTCGCTGCGCGGTTACGACCCGACTCGGTTGATGCCAACGATGGCTGGCGCTCGTGATTCCCAGTAGGGTCGCGCTCCGAGATCGGCAAATCGAAGGACATGACCGAAAGGGCACGTCCATGGATCTCGGCCGCAGCGGCAGCGACACGACGAGCAGCAACGGCAGGAGAGCGGGCACCGAGAGAACCGCGGACCTGACCGTGGTCAAGCATGGCGACCTGCTGTTGGGCCACAACGAGGAGGGCCGACAGTGCACGGAACACACTCGCGACGGTGTGGCCCGTCTTTTCGCGTGTGGAAAGTGCCTGTGGCTCGCCGGCGCGGAGGAAGACATCGGCGGCGCTCGTGTAGAGCCCCATGTTTGCCTCGTCGAGGTCGCGGAGGGCGTGGCGGGCCTTGCTCACGAGGTCGGCATACGCGCGCGCGTCATCATCGGAGGGGGAGGACTCGGTCAAGTCACCATCCAAGTCGATTGCGATGGCGACATCAATGTGACCGACAGCATCGCGGAAGCGTGCGGTCGAGCGGACAATCTCCAACGAGCCACTGTCAAACCAGCCACCGCCACCTGTGCGGATGACGGCGTCGCACTCAGCCTTGAGCTTTTGCACTTCGACGACAGCGGCCTGGTCCAGTGGACGCAGCACCGTATCCTTGACGTTGCCGAATCCGAAGCGGCCAGACATGAAGTCTCCCAGGCGGTCGGCGCCAAACCATGCGGCCAGTCGGCGAGCGCGGGCGACGTCTCGCCTGTCGGGCGCCGAGTCGCTGAGTGCGAGGTCGGGGAATGACTCGACGACGGACCGCAGCTTTTTGGCCGCACGAATCACCATTGTCCACGCGCTCTCACTGGCTTCGCGACCACGTGGGCCAGTGATGGCGCCGTGGATGGTGATTTGAAGCAATCCAAGACTGCCAACGAGGCTCATGTCGCTAGTCCACGCCGGGCGCGACATAATGTCGTCTTGTGCGCTCGGGTCGTAGCTGCGCATAGCGGGGATCAGGGGTCCGACGTAGCCGAGGGCAATCACAAGTGAACGGACGGCAGTGACGACGGCGATTTGGGCCAAGGCGGCGCGTTCCACTGCATCGTCGTCGTAGCGGAGGGCGGTAGACAGGTCGGACTCTGCTTCGCGAGCAAGCAGGATCTGCTCCTCAGCGGCGGCACCGGCAATGGCAGCCTCGTACACGAGCTGGATGGCGTCAACGACAACAGACACCAATGTTTGGATGTTTGGTCGCCCAGGTGTCGCAAAGAGGGGCGAAAGCTGGGTACGTATCCTGTCCTCCCAGTCTTGCTGGGAGCGACCCGTATGTACAGAGGCATGAATAGACGGCGCGCGGTTGGCGCTGGACGCAACCGTGCCACTGATGCTGGCTGGGGGGGCAGAGATGCGCCTGGCCGCAGCATCTGTTGCCGTCGTAGGAGAGGAGGCTGCCTCGGTGGCGACCGCCTGAGGTGGGGTACGGCGGGTCTCGCCGGTCTCCTGGTTGACATAGTACCACGTCCTGCCGTCGTCGCTTAGCCGTGCGGTCCATGGCAAGGGCACGCCGCCAGCAACACGATGGGGAGGGACACGGAACTGCTCGTCGGGCTGCATGGATGCTGGGCGGGACCGCGCTGACGAGGTCGTCGACGTCGAGGGCCTTCGCCGGCGCTCCTCTGCGGGATCGTACGAGTCGGTTGCCCGTGGCTGGCCATAGTGCGACGAGGAGGTTGGCTCGTCACCGTTTTGGCCCGCGGTGCCATAGTCGACGTCCTCCTCGTCGTCTGGAATCTCCCATGCATTCTCGCCAGTGTGCGTGTTGTGATAGTAAACCTGCAGTTTCATGTCAGCTGGTGGTTTCCCTCGTTTTGTCCTGAACCACACGTACGCGTCCGTCGGGCGTGATATTTGGTACCCAAGCGTCACCCTGGGCGTCATCTGCGGTATTGTTTCCGTTTCCACCTGGGCCAACACTGCGGCGGACAAGATGAGACCGGAGCGTCTCGTCTGGGTCATGTGCGCCTGTGAGGTTGTCCGGATCGCGTTTGGCGCCGTGTTGAACAGAAGTGACACCGGGGTCGCCGCCCATAAGCTCCAGAGCCAAGTCGTCTAGCGACGTGGACCGCACGTCGACCGGCCAGCTTCCCCATCCAGCCCTGGTCATGCTGTCTTCAAAGCCAAGCAGGTCGCCCGAAGAGCCATTATGGACGCGGTTGTCCGGTATGATCTCGATTGAAGCGGCGGTGCTGTATCTTGACTGACGATGCTGCTGCTGCTGCTGCTGGAGAGAATGTTGCTGCAGTTGTTGGAGGGTCTCGTCATGGACATTGTCAAACTCGTCTGCGTCGTCGAGTTCTCCGTCCTCGACGTCCTCGACGTAGTTGCTGGGGAACCAGCCTCGGCTGGTGGCGAGCATGCCGTCCCACCATCCACTCGGGAGCATGGTCAAGACTTCGATAATGTCGCCGGCGCGGAACGAGAGGGCGCTCTCGTCTGTTGCCTCAAAGTCGTACACTGCCCGTACGCGATATCGTTCGCCCTCGGGGACGCGTACGACCTGGGCATCTGGCGGCAGTCCCAAGGCATTGGCGGTGGCCGAGTGGGCATCGCCGCCATGCGTTTGCGCGTTGTGCGAGTGGGACCCATAGTGGGCGGCGTGGCCACCGTGGTGCGCGTGGAGGGGTTGTGATGAGGGTCCTGGGTCACTCAAGTCGACGATGCCGATAGCCTCGAGCGCGGCGCTCGGCGAGTACACTGCTGCCGACGACATGCGCGTGTCGGCCATGTGAGATGTGGGTTACGGGGAGTGATGGACGAAGGAGAAGGATGGGAAGGGGTCGGGAGACACTGGGGTTGACAGAGAAACAGAGGGGGTCCGTGATCTTTGCTGTGGGCGGCGGCGCTGGGGCGGTCCGTGCGGCACGCGGCGGCGCTCGGTGCCAGCCAGCGTTGGTGGGAGTATGTATGTGTGTGCGCAGCGCAGAGTCTCGGGGCAGGTTGTAACCGCGGCGGCGGTAGTCGCAGTGTCGACGAAGAGGAGGAGGAGGAGGAGGAGGAGGAGTGATGGAGGTCGCAAGAGGTCTGCGATGGGACAATGGTTGGTCGTTTGCGCGCAGACGAAGAAAGCTGGGCGCACGAACGGATGCGATGGCGCGAGATGGGATGCGCGCCAGGACAAAAACGTGGAAACGGACGAGCCTGTCGTGTCTGGGTTGTCGGGTCTCGACGATGGATGCGTCAGGCGCCCAGAGGAGGATGTGTGGGGGGTCGTGACTGCCTAAAAACTCGAGCGAGCGGCAACGAAGATGGAAGGCGAGTGTGTGATGGGCGGCGACAAGTGGGCCGGCGTTCAAGTGGAGGGAGGAACAAGAAATCGAGTGTGGTTGGTATATTCAGGCCAGCAAGCGAGGCTGGCTGGGTAGACGGGTGGTGGACGGCGGCCACGAGGGAATTGTAGGTTGTGTCCAAAGGGTGGGCTGGGGGAGAGAGAAGGGTCGAAGCGGTCGAGGGGCTCTGTCGGCGGCGGATGAAGGGAATCGAGATATGCGGCCAGCGCCAGTGTTCCAGTGTGTCGACCAAAGACGCCGAATCGCAGCCCAACGAGCCAACGAGCGTAGAGGCCCTGTGCGGCGGCGGCGGCGCGTCAGGCGGGGGCCGGAGGCGGCGGGCAGGCGCGCAGGCGTGCAGGCGTTTGGCTGACGGCGACTCTCAGTGTCCCACCGTTGTGGGTGTGATGGATATGGTGCGGCAAAGGCGTGACAGCCGGCGGCGGCAGGAGCTACTACTGTATGTGTGCCGGCGGTGTACGATGGAGGATGTGTGGCGAGGACGTGGGTGAGGTCGAGGATGGGGGCTGGGAGTGAGAGAGACGGCGTGATGGACAGCGGAATGTGCGGCCAAGATGAGATGGATGACGGCGGGAACAAGAGACACGAACGCACCACGCTCTTTTGCCGCCCACGGCGAGAGGAAGGGGTTGAGCACACACACCACGGCAATCCCCCGCTTCCATCGACACATACTCGTCCATATCATCGCCGTCAATGCATGCACCCATGCATCCATGCAACTGTCCACTCCAACGTTCCAACAACGTACAACCACGCGAGTGCACGACCCCCTCTCCCTCCATCGTCTCTGGCGACTCACCCAGGTCCAGAACCGAACACGCCGCTGGCCGGCTCGCCGCTCTCAGGTGCCCGCGCGCGACCTGGGCCGCCTTTTTTCTCTCGCTGTCACGTCCAGCCGGCGAGACACAGGACAACGACAGACGCCTCCAGAACGCCCAAAACCACAGGCGCAGTCGGACCACACTGTTGCACACCTGCTCGCTAGTGCAGGACGGCACACCTTGCTAGGCGTGCCATGGCATGCATGCCCCAGGATGTTCCAGGATATCGTTGGGCACCGCCGACTCTTGCGAGGAAAACCCGTCAGGCCGTCAACCGGAGAGGCGTTTTTCACGATGGCGTTTTTTTTTTTGGCGCTCTGCCTGGCATGACTGGCGATATGCCCCGCTCCTGATCTCTCTTTGCCCATTGGACTGCGTCTCCGCGATCTCTACTGCTTGCTTGTCGCCAGCATGCCAGCTCGCAGGAAAGAGATCTCGGATGCACGGCGAAACCCTTCGTCTAGCACACCCAGGGCCCACCCCAGCGCGCTTCCGGTGTCCGGTGTCCGGTTGGCAAACACCCCCTCGCGATCCAACGCCATCTCACCTCCCCCGCATGCCCCGCATGAACACGACCATCCCCGCGCGTGCGTACATTGCTGTCGTGTGCGCGATCGAGCGTGCCCTCCAGAACTGTTACCACGACGTGCGGGCGATGGACGCGCAGGGCAAAAGGCCTGCAGCGGAGCAATTGCGCGGCCAGACGTCTCTGCGGCCGGCGGCGATTGGCGTCGTCACCTCTCCAGCCGTACGCCGTACCAAGCGTTACCCGAGAAGAACACGAAGAACCAAAAGTTCGGCAACGGACAGAACACTGTTGCTGCAGCAACAGCCCTAAGCGTGCAAGCCAGGTTGCACGACCAGTCACCGAAGCGCACTAGCGGCAGTAAACAACAATGTGCTTTTCGTGGACACGACAGGCGCAGGCGTGGAAGACCCCAGCGCGAACATTTGCTTCGGGCTTTTGGTCCGTAGTTAGTGGGCTTCTTTGTCGTACTTGAGCTCGGCAACACTTTCTTCTTTTGGGTCATTGCGCCGTCCCCTTCCCGACAGCCTTCTGCTCTTAACAGGCCTTCTTTTTGCCTCCCTCATTCCTCTCTTGGCTGCTGGCCTCATGGCCGTCGCGTGGTCCTGTCGAGCTTAAACGAGTGCGAGAGAGAGTACGAGGTCTCTCCCTCTGTGATCATGACTTGGGCGGTCTAGGCCAGAACTTTTTGCTGTGGTCCACATTAAGGCACCATCGCATCGGACCCGGGCCGTCCACTCTGGCCACTCTTGAACCTCTTTCTTGGGCCCAACCCAATGCGTGGTTTGCCTCGTTCTGGCCTTTCATCCTCAATCCACGTGTGGGTCCTTGTGCTCTCCGTTGGCCCACCCATTCCGTCGTCCCTGCACACTAAGGGCGCGCACAGGTGTCACTCTTTTGCACTCTTTCGCAGCTGCGTGCTTTCCACACACGTAACATGCATGTGCACGCACATTGTGATTTGCGGAGGCCCTCTTTCGGAAGCGAGCCTTAGAGCTAGCTTGGAAGCCAGGTTTCGGAGAGCCGGATGGATCTCGTCAGCGTTGCTCACCGCTTCAGCGGATCACCGGCCAGCGGCGGCCTCCGCAGGCCAGCATTTCACGCCGTTCCTGTTTGCCCCAGGCAGGACACATGTACAGTACAGTACTGTGCAGCACACAAGCAGCCGTTGCATGGCCCACGCTCGCCAGACCTAGGTAGGTTCAGGCCTCAGGGAGCCTTGTGCCGTTACCGAGAGCCCATTCCGGCCGACAAGGCCTGCGTCTACCTGCTCTGCTTTTTTCAGCGCTTTCAAGGGTGTGACAGAGCGTGGAGACCCACACACCGCGCGCACGCCACAGGGATATGTGCAAGTCCGCGGGCTGTTGGGGGACGGTGTTGTGCCGTTGTCCTGGCCCATGGCCTAGTGTGTTTTTGGTTTTCCTGCAACTTTTTTTTTTTTGCTTTTTGGCCAAGACGCGCGCCGCCAGACGCGCCAGACGGCGGCGGTCCCAATCGTCCAAGCGAACCACGAACCAACGGCGTTGCTCGCGTGCGTGCCGACGACCGGTCGACGGGTCGAGCGGCGTTCGGCGGTCAGTGCTTGCCTGTGTGGCGTCTGGCACGCTGGACCTGGCAACGTCGTGGAACACCTCATCCGATAGAGCAGGCGATCTGGTCAGCCGTGGCAATCTGGTCAGCCGTGACTGCCGCCGGTCTAGATCCTTGTCCTTGATTGACGTGATCCCTTATTCTGTTCGCATAGGGTAGGAGGAACGTCGTGGATCTATAGGGGTTTGTCTGTAACTTGCAGCAACGACATACAGCAGACTCGCTCGGTTCTCTCGGGCTGGTACAATGGACACCTCTTCGTGCTGCATTTCAATCATGCGCCTCGCGCGCCTCTCGCGCGCTCAAGACTCTAATCTCTCTGCTCTAATCTCTGGATCTCGCGAATCGGGGACAGGTGACGGGAGGGGGAGGGGCGACTGTGCAAGGCGGGAGTGGAGGCGAAGGCGTGCCCGCCGACGATGACGACAGGGCGCTGTTGACTGGCAGACGAAAAGTAGTGCACAAGAGCTTTGGAGAACAAGGAACCGAGTGAGAGAGGGGGGGCAAGGCCATGCGAGGTTGAGAAACACTCTTGGCGCCATCAAGGCGCGAGGGTGTGTGTATGTGTGTTGGGGAATGAGTCGATTTCGATGTTAGGTCGGAGGCCAGCCGAGGAGGGAGTCAGATTGTTTGGTTTACGGGGTCGGAGCAGTCGGCAGGACAGCGATAAAGGAGCTGGACGACCGAGCAGGAGGCGGTTTATGCGGTTGGGTGTAGTGAAGACAAAAAAATGCGCAATGCTGGGATGGGAGGGCGAGAGAGAATAAAATGATGCTTTATGGGGAGGGTGGCGGTGCGGCAGGTAGGTAGGTTGCAATGTTGCCGAGAGCGGTGCAGCTCCGTTTTTAGGCAAAGTAGTGGGTGTGAACACGGCTGTCGGGGTGTACGGGCATCTCAAGCTTGAACGCGTTGAGCTCTTGCTTGATGGCCATGGCCAGTTCAGGTGTGAGACGGTTGCAGGTGGCAGGTTCCGATCGGCGATCATACGTGCCGGCATCGTACGTGCTGTATACGGCACACTCGGGTGCCCAGATGAGACGACGGCGGATGGGGGCAGTCATCGCGCGAGCAGCCTGGGGCTGAACGCCGTGGCCGGCAAGCGAGAGCGAAGGAGCTGACGTGTTCAGAACGGGACGCTTATAGATGCTGGGCTTCAGGTCGAGCTCGATGGGTCCGCTGTCAAACGGCGAAAAGTCGGGCGAGAGAGGGTCATAGGTACCTGGGTCCTCAGTGACTGTCTCGACCTTGTCGCCGCCGATGCTGTCGACATGGGGAGCGTGGGCAACGCCATCTATCCTCTCGGGTGTGGGCGCGGTGAGCGGCGACAGCACCGAGCGACCAGGAGCGCTGGACTGAAGGACAGTTTCCGAAGTGGAGCTTGAACGCTGGCGGCTGGCAGTCTCCATGTTCTCGTTCGAGACGGTGTCTGAAGGAGAGAAAGCAAAGTCAGCTCGCTGCGAGTGTTTGACATTCACGACCACGGTCTATACTCACTCTTCAGAATACCCTTCTTGGGCTGTGCTTTGTGGTTGATGTTGGGACCAACCCAAAGAGGCCTGAAATCGTCGTCGACAAGGGACGTTTGGTGCATGGACGTGGTGATGTCGTCGACGGTGTCGTCGCCGTCCGAGCTCTCGGCATCGCTGTCAAAGGTGTACGCGACAGCCTGGACAATGGTGGGGCCACTGCTACGAGGCACAACGTGGACCACGGACGGTGCTGTCACTGCCGCCGCCGCGGAGGCCTCGGCAATCTGCGTGGCACGAGTGGTCGTGCTTACATCCCACGTAGGCTCTCCTGACGGCCCGGCCAATTCAGGAATGGCCTGTACCTGTGCCATCGCGGCACGCTTGCTTTCCTCGGCCTTCTTCGCCGCCTCCTGGCGCGAGCGCACGGTATGTTGCCGGGCGAGCTTGGCAGCGGGCGTGAGACCAGAGAGCACACGGTCCTCGTCCTCGGAGATGCGGTCGAGCTCGGCAGTAGCGTGGCTGACCTCGGCCGGGGCGACTTCGGCCTTCTTGCCGTTCTTCTTCTTGAAGCTCAGAACACCTTGCTTTGCAGGAACAGGCGCGTCCTCGTCCTTGGGCTTGTCCTTGAAGATCTTGGATATGCCCATGAGCGAATTGCGGCGGGCAAGCTTGCCAAGGGAGCCGAGCTTCCGGATCATCATACTGGCAGACGAGACGGTCGAAGAGATGGACATGTTGTCCGACGACTTGTTCTTCATCCTGAACAGACTACGCTTGCCGCTGTTGCTCTTGGCGCCGGCGATCGACGGAGTGGTGGTCGCGGCGGTACGCTGGGTCTCGGCCAAGCTGACATCGCTCGCCATCGCCTGAACGTTGATAAACGGTGCGTTGGGTGGTGCGAGGTCGACATGTCCGTTGGCGGGAGGGGCAGGGCGCGAGCGAGACACTTGGCGGGGTTGCTGCTGCTGCTGCTGTTGTTGTTGGTGACGAGCCTGCTTCTTGTCACTCAGCTGTTGCTGTTCCGCAGCCGGCGCAGTCTGAGAAAGGGGTGAGGGGCGAGACTGCGCCGAATTGGTTGCGTTGGTCGCGATGGTACCAGTGGTGAGAGGTGTCGACGAGCGCGATGCAGACTTGATGGATGGCGTGGACGATGCTGGCGGAGACGCAACAGTTGGCGATGCTGTGCGGGACTGGGTGGTTGAAACCGGCGAACGCGATCCGTCACGCGAGCTGCCCTGGCTCTTGACCGAGGCCGGGCGGTCGCGGGCTCCGAGTTTTGGCGGCGGCACGAGGTCGGCGTCGTTTGCGGAGAGAGGAGGGGGAGAGTTCATGTCGGCGCTCGCAGTGCGGATGTGGTCAAGCTCTTGCGAAGCGCTGCGTGGAACCTTGTTGCCAAGACCATCGACAGAGACGGAGCCAAGGGAGGCGCTCCGGACGGTGTCGCGCGACCCGTTGCTCCTGTGCTTGGGCCCACGCTGGTAAGGGTGGAACGGCTGTTGGGGCTGCTGGATGGCCTTTTGGGACGAGGGCTGAGCTGCAGAGGCACTTGAAACAGTTCGCCGCCTGGGTGGGTCGGCAACATCGTCATGCTCTTGTTGCTGCTGCGCTGGCATGGGGGGCATGCTGCCGGGCGCGGGCATGTGTCCACCAGCAACCATTTGCTGGTACACGTGCGCCCAGGCGGAGAAGTCGGCCTGACCATGCTGGAAACCCTGCTGATATGCCCCTGGTGCGGGGCCATTGGGGTAGGCGTGGAAGGGGGCGGCATAGAACGACGGAGCAGAGACACCGTTGGGTGCACCCCAAGCGGCGGCTTGCTGGTGCATGGCAGCGGCGTATCCCGGGTTGGCAGCAAAGTAGTTGGCGTACTGTTGCTGAGTGTATGGCGATGGGACAGGCTGGGCCATCTGTGCGGTGGTCACCGCTGCAGTGGGCGCTGCCGAATTGTTCGAGCTGGTCCGCGAGCGCGGCGCCCCTGGCGCCCCAGCGCTTCCTTGCGTTGCGGGTGATGGACTGCGTTCGTAGCTGGGGGAGCCAAAGGGGGCGGAGACGGTGGACGAGGGACGAGACCGGTCAAAGGACGCGACGTGGTCCATGGATGGACGGTGCGCGGGCTGCTGCATGAGGGTGGCTGCCATGCTCTGGAGGCGGACGTGTGAGCTGGTGCTGTTCGTTCGATTCCGAGATCGGTCGAGCGACGAAGGTAGAAGGGAGAGAACACGATGCTTACAGGATGCAGGCGGTGTCAGCACTCACGGCAGAGCGAGTGGGTAGGGAGGGTCTTTGAGACGGGAACTGGCAAGGAGACTGGGTGGAGTGCAGTGTCAGCAAGATGGAGCGATGGTACAGGGCAAGGACGGCTCTCTCTCTCTCTCTCGCTCTCTCTCTCTCTCGCACAGCCCTCCAAAGCCAGCAAGCGGTGTGTGCATGCAAGCACACGGAGCACTCGGCGTCCGTCTTTGGGCTGGCACACACCGCCGGAACGTCGAGCACACGCCGCCGCCAGGGCCAGGGCAAGGAGGTGGAGTGTGTGGACTGCTGCCAATGGCTCATGTCCAAACTGCGCAAGCGAAGCAAAAGGAAAGGGAAGGGCAACATACCTGGACGGAGACGGCCAATGTTCGGGTGGTGGAGGTGGTGTAAACGCCGGAGAGGGGTGGTATAGAGTACAACGGGGTTGTTCGAGTGCTGCAAGAAGGACAAGTTGACAACGCTGATGTGGACGCCTCTTGCGAAAGGGAGGGAGAGATTGTGCTGCGAAGCACAGAGTCAAAAAGACAGGGGAGGGGCGTTCCAACAGCTACGCGGGCCGCCCAGTGCCTTGGATGTGGGAGCGGGTCGGTGCAAGCCGGGCCCAGCGAGAGGTGGGCGGGGGCAGGAGAACGTAGGACCGCCGGCCACGCGGTGTCGATGGGTAGATGGGTGTGCGTTGGGTGGAGCAAGGGGAGGAAGGAGGGCCGGCGCTCGGAGCGATGGGGGAGGGAGCGGAGTGGTGACGGCCAGTCCGAGGTTGGTGGGTGTGTGTTGCAAGGAGAGATGTGTCAGAATGGAGTGGGCGTGTGCGAGTGATGGGGCGGCCAGTGGGGTATGTGGGGAGTTGAGTGTCGTGCAGTGCTGGAAGCAAGGCGGTACAAGAGTGCGCGCGCGCGAGAGAGCGAGAATGAGAGAGAGAGAGACAGAGAGAGAGGTGGTCGCGAGGGGAGGGGAGAGTGGGCAGGAACGGGGAGGGACAGTGGCCTCCGTCGTGGCCGGTAGAGCGCTGGGTTCGCGGCCTGACCTTTGGTGTAGCTGCGCTTGCTACGGGCTGCGCGGCCGGGAGAAGCGAGCGAGCGAGCGACTGTGGGAGAGTGGTGTACAGTCGACCGGTCGTGCGCGCAACGGGGGTGCGCAAGGAGAGGGGGGGGGAGTGTGTTGGGTGGAGGAGAGAGATGGAGGATGTGGAAAGACAACACACGGCGAGATGGCCAGAAGCGGTGCGGCGGGCAGGGCGGCGGGGGCGGCGTGGCACGCTGGCGCGCGCTGGCAGTCGGCAGTCGGGAGAGAGCCGACGGCAGGCGGATGTAAAAACAAACCACCAACAACCTTAGACTGCCGCTTGGCACACAGCATGTTGTTGCTTGCGTTGCTTGGCATATGCATGGAAGCGCGGGTGAAAGGCATGCATGGAGGTGCTGAAGGCAGGCAGAAACGCATACACGCAGTGCATGCACTTGGACGTCTCCTACGCAGTCTGTTTTCGTTTGGTGCTGCGTTGCAGGGCTGGCACATGTTCCGTGTCTGCTGCTTTGTGTGTGCGTCTCTCTCTCTCGTCTCGGCCGGCCAAGCCTGCAAGCGAGTGTAGGTGGGCATGCCACCCAGGCCACCCATTTCATCACTGCAAGTGCTGCTTGCTATACGGTTGCTTCTGCCAGCAATCCTAGCCCAACCCCTTTGAATGATGTACAAGGGACCCGGCTTTTCCGTTCTCCGTTCGGGGCAGTGCTCGCGGCGACAGCCGAAAAGAGACATGCATCGAGTGCAAACACCAGAATCACTGCATGACTGGCATGACTGGGAAGCCACTCTTTCCGCAGTGAAAGAGGCGAGCCATGATACCATCACACCAAGCACCTTGTCTGGACAATGTGCACAATGCTCAGCAGTGATCGCAGTGAGAGAGAGGGCACACGACAGCGGACCCCAAACAACCTCACTGAAACTGGTGAAGGCTGCAAAGCCGCACGCACACGTTTCGCCTTGCCCTGCCTCCCTGCCTAGCTGTCTAGCTGTCTCGCTGTCGTGTGCGTTGGTGTCCCTCGTCTGGGCCACTTGGCTGTACATATGTATGCATGAGAAGCTGCGCAACTCGGCTCCCACGGAGACAACGTCAAGGACGTGCTCGACAAGGCGAGAGACACATGCCACGACCTGCGCCACAAACAACACGCTGCTGGAAAGCAAGCACCAAGCGAGCAAGCCAAAACGGACCGCTGCGGAGAATGTATGTACAAAATGACCCGGTTCCCAAAGTAAACATGCCTCAGCACAACAAGCGCTTTGCAATTGCAGACATGGTCCAAGAGTTGGTCGTTTTACACGCTTGTCCACGTGTTTGTGCTCTCCATCGCCGACGCGATGCCTTTTGGTGTCAAGCTCCGCGGCGGCGGTACGGCACGGCACGGCAACGGACGCGCGTGTGGACACGCTCGATCCGCCGAGAGCCGAGGCATGCGCCGGGTCTTTGCACACCAAGTTCTCTATTGTTGACCTGTAAATCTCGTAATCTGGGAGCAATGACAGCACCCTCTGGCCCGTCGGACAGGGCCGGACACGACAGTGCATGCACAGTGGACCTTGCAGTGGCGTAGTGTCGGGGGCATGCATGGGAAAGGGCATCCGCAAACATCCAGTCCGTCCGTTTCGTTGCCCGGCGCGCTCACAATGCTTTGCTGTTGCTATCTGGTATATCTGGACGTATGTATGCCCATTTTGTGCGCTACGGGCTAATGAACCGGCAAACTCGGGCTCGCAGTCACCGTCATTTGAGTGAATACGTGAATAGCGTGTGGACTACACGTGCCGTTGCTCCTTGACCACATTGCAACCGAGCAGCCGAGCCAGCTGTCATCATGTCGTTCCAGGAAAGAGGTGGTGCATGTGCAAACGCAAACACCCAGCGGGCAGAGGGTACATGTCCCCGATATGTGGCCCACATGCTTTGGCATTTGCCAGCTGAGCCCAGTGGCACCGGGACTGGAATCAGACACAGTCAGTCCCTTTGGCGATGGGAACAGCTTGCACGAGCAATGCAATCAAGTCGAGCTGATCAAGCCACCATTGGCGGGCACTGTGTTACTCCAGACCAACACAAAACAGCTGAGTTGCTCCTCAGCTGAGCCGAACTTGTGCGATTCATTCCTTTCATTCATTACTGCCTTGTTGGCGCTGCTCGAACTGCGCCTGCCGTCTTAGTCGACCGCGGCTTCGAAAACGTTCATCCCAGAGATTGAGAGTTCTCGATATGCAGTGTGACGCACACTTGGCTTGAAACGAGCCAGCAAGATCCCGCTGTTCCGTGATCCGTGAGATCTAGCTTCTGCGGTGGAGATAGAAGCGTGCTCGCTCAACCTTCCTAGCGTGCTCGCTCAACCTTCCTTGGACGTGAGAGCTTGTGCAAAGGGTGCTGTGTACGGTGGTGGGTGCATATGAACCGTTTGCATGGTAACGCTCAATCGACTGCGGCCTGACGCACAAAAGAAAGTGGAAAGGAACGAAAGCGTAATATCTGCTTTTCTGCGTTTTGTTTGCTTTTGCGTGGGGGTGATCGCCAGCATCACAACCCTGCGACGATCCTTGGCAGCCATGGGGATTTCGTCCCTTTTGGAAGGACGCATTCGAAGTAAGACAGAGGTTTGTGCGGTCCTTGCGGCCTGGCTGACGCGTGTGTGCACGGACTAACTCCGCGATCTTGTGCATGTACATGCTTACTGTGTCAGTGTGCGCATGTGGGCCTGGGGTTCGTCAGAGATTAGGCCGTGGTGACGTACGTCAGAACACAACGAAAAAGGGCTAAAAATGGAACTCTATTGCCCAGAAGGAGACTTGAACTTCTTCAACCGAATCTTCAGAAGTCGCAACAGTGAAATTGTGTGCTGCATCTGGCATCGAAGTTCGGCTTCTGTGTGGTGAGACATTGTGCGAGGAGCCCGGACATGTCAGACACCGGTGCCTGCCAAAAGCGAGAACACGTCGTTTGGGGAGCATTGGCTCACTGCTGGAGCCAAACGCTGGGTGTCAGCCACGTGCCAGAGCCTAACGACCACGCGGCAACCACAGTGATGGATACGGCGGGCCCAACGTGTACCAATTCTGGGGTTGTTCCTATGGGTGTGAGAGGCCTTGGGCAGGAAGAGGAGACCCTTTGCGAGCCTGATCTAGTCTTACTGCACATAGGTGCCTCTTCGAATGGCAAACGAGTATGCCAGTACAACCGCAGTACGATACCCGGCCGTGATGAGTGGCGCTTGTTGCTACAGTACTGCCACTGTGCTGAACGGCTCTGTCTCCCAATTGATATTGGGTCTTTCCCCCTTGTCGGTTCGTGACTCAAAGCGGTCTGCCGCGCTGCAGAGTTGCATCATCGACGGGGCTGCCGACGAAACCTTTTTGATCTTTGAGGACTTTTTTTCGCTTTCTGCCAGCGCTGGCCGATCCAGCGAGCCAGCACCAGCAAACGTAGGAGTTACGGACGTTCAATCTAGTCACGTGCTTTAACGTTTTGAAATAATCACGTGACCACTCTCGGAGTTCGGCTGGTCTCCGTCTACAATGTCACCCCCAGGCGCCACCGCATAAAACATCGACTGTAGCATAGTAGTGAGGTATTTCTCTTGTCCTTTCGCTCACTGCCACATAAGGTCTTTACCGCTGCTTGCTTTTTTTTTCTTCCTTCAATCTCTTACACGTTTTCTTGTAAGGTATGCAATCCGGTCGGTGTCTGCCAGACACAGTACCCAACGTGTTCAGTATTTAAGCTGTAATTTCGGTGATTATACCTGCACTCTGCATTTTCTTTTCACTCCGACAGTTGTTACAATACGACGTGCAGAGACCAAGAGATACGTATCTGCGCTTGCCCTGAAGCGTACGGTCTCCTGCGCTGGAGCTTGGCGAGGGATGGTTTGTCATCAATTACGTGCCTCCCATTTCGCAAGCGCTCTGACTGTCGCCGTCGCCGTCAGACCGTCGTGCATGGCGCATCGAGAGGTCAATGAACATGGGAACGGCGCCCAAACTTCGCAGTGTTTGGAGCGTCGTATTTTCCTTTCCTTTTCGTAGGAGGGGTTCACTTTCGTTTTGCTTCCTGCTCTTCGTCACGGCCGCCGATGTGTCGCTGCCACTATACCGGGACCCATGTTTTAGGCCCAGAGAGCACGCTTTGAACTATACCCTGCTTGAACATGAAAAGCGAGTTTTTCTTGTGTCCATTGTCCACGAGACGTGTGTTGCGCACTTTTGGACGATGGGTGTCATCTGGGGGACGATAATACACTACATCGCGGACAAGCTACTGTGCGATTCATGAAGTAAACAATGCATCGTGGTCAAAACAGAGAAGACCTCCTGGGCTGGCGCCCATCGCGCCAGAGGAAACAGAGACGGGAAATACAGACGGTGTCGAACGGCTGGCTTGGTTTTGCGGACGCGCGAACGATGGGTGGCGTGGGCTGTGGTCACGATTGAGAGTACGGGCCGTACGGGGAAGACCTGGAGCCTGGGGGAACAGACAAGCTTATTGCGCGTGGGGGAGGCCGAGGGGCGCCGGGCCCCGGCGCTGCAGCCTGGCGAGGTAGGTATGGCCTGTGGTCGATGACGCGCTCTGCGGTGGTGCAGAGGTTGAGCCAGTCGACGGACCCAACCTTGACGAGTTGCTTGCGCCTGGCTGAGCAAGTGCCTTGAGTTCCTTCTTGGTGGCGATGGCATACCCCTCGTGGTCCGTGTGGACGACGGCGTACGACGGCCAGTCATCCAGCGCCACGATTTCCGCTCCACGAGTCTGATTATCGTCAGCACGGCCTAGATCCAGGACCCTGTAACACTTACGAGGGCGGCAGCAAGCGAGAGATCCAGGGCCCTCACCAACGCGATGCGGATGCTGGCGGGGTGGTTTCCGACGAAGACGCGGTTCGGGACGTAGCGCACGGGAGGGAGAGACCGGAGCTCGTCCTCCACGGGCAGCGGGCGGCGACCGGGGGCGGACTGGCAGAGGGTCGACAGGGGGGTGAACGGGTTCATCGGCGGGCTTGTCTGCCCCGCCGTTGGGGCTGGGCGCCCGAGACGAGAGGGAGGGGCCGTCGGCGACGGGGCGGCTGGGGCTGGGCACGGGCGTGTTGGCGCTACGAGGGGACACCGCCTCGTCGACGACCTCGGGCAAGATGTCCCAGTCGTCGTTGCCAAGTGGGCCCTCGAAGTCTTCGTCGTCGTCCCCGTTGGCCGCGGGGTGGCGAGGGCCGACTCGACCGCAGAAGACGATCCCGACGACTCATCGCCTCCCTCCCGCTGGGTCTGGGCTGTCGACAGGCCGGCGATCTGGGAGGGGTTCAACGCCTCCCTGTGCTCCCGGTACTCCTTCAGGCGGCGGTAGTACTTCCTCGACGAGTTGCGGCGGGCCTTGTCGACGAACGTCTTGAGTGTGTTCCATCGCTCGACTTCGTCGAGGCAATCTTCTAGCACGGGTAACGTGACAGGAGGAGGTAAGGACGGCATGGTGGAGTGGGAGAAGAGAATGGGAGATTGAGAGGAGGTGGGAGAAAGAGGAGCGACAATGAGGCCGGTAGTGATTGCATGTGAGGTGTTTGTGGACAGGGGCGGGGCACCGATCACTACGCGGCGATTGGGCGCCGCCGTCTGCCGTGAGGAGCCAAATTATCCTCCACTTCCACTTCTGCTCTTGCGAGCTGCGAGAGCTCCTGGTGGCTGGCGGTCTTGTTCGTTCACTTGATCACTTGCACACTTGCCCCCGCGGTAACGGTGAGAAACCACCGTACGGACAGTCCATTTGACTTGGGATGGAAAAGGAAATCCCAACGCAACACTCAACGCAGGCATCCGCACTTGCGCAACGAAAGCAGGTACGCCGTATGCAGTGGGATGGTGTATTGTATGCACAACAGCATGTGCTATGCATGCAACGCTTCCAGTCAGGCCAACAAGTTATGATGATGCAGTGCATGCAATGCATGCATGCATAGAGACAAGTTTTGCACCCATCGACAGACTATCCATGTGCCTCAGAGTGGCATTCTGCACCCAGTTGGTAGACACCACCGGTGAGCGCAAAGGGCGTGGAGCTTTTCGCCATTCGACTCCCCTTGCTGGGCGAAGAAGGATGCCACACGCTCCGGCGTGTCTGATGAGTGTTGTACCCAGCCAGACAAGCGACGGCGAGGGCAAGGGCAAGTGAGAAATGCTGGGCAGTTAACAACAAGGTGACACAAACTTGTCGCAGGGATTCCTCGCCGTGTGGCCAAGCAGTTCGGGGGGGGGGGCGGTTCTTTGGATCAGACCCTTGGCCCACATAGTATAGGTACATGTTCGTCAATAATCCAGTGCGCACGCAAACGTCAGAGTCTACGGCACTGGCGGCAAGCTGTAGGAGAGAGGGTACATGTGCATGGTAGTAGTACGGTCGGGTATACTTGAGGTTGGCGGAAGGGTGCGGTGTCTTGCGGGGGGGGCGGCGCTGGGCGCGCGGGCGGGAAATCGGTCACGCGCGGCGCGCGCGGGGGTTAAAATTGGCGAAGCTTGACGTGGTACTTGCGGTATGCCACGACGTGTCCCGAGTCCACACAGTCATGCAGCCATCTGGTGGACACGGCAGTCGTGCCGCGCCACTGGGCCTCGCGCAGAAGCTTGCGCACCTTTGCAGGTGCCTCCGCGAAACCGTCCTTGTCCACCCTGACAACCACAAAGTGTGGTCGGTCGGCGAGAGGGACGACGCGAGCGCCGGCCTTCTGATCATTGTCAGCGCAATATACAGACTCGGTATCTAACACCTACGCGTGCCATGTCCACGATCGACGAGTGGACGCCAACAAAAGCCAGGCTCACGGCCGTGTCCCGGTCACCGCAGAAGATCTGGTGGTGCGGATACTTCTTCTGGGCGGGCGGGGGGCCCTCTCCGGGGCAGGGGCCGCGGCGGAGGGGACGAACGGGGAGGTCGACCTCGGGGTCGGCGCTCGGCGCGGCGGAAGCTTCGCGGTTGGAGTCGGCGCCAGCCTCCTGCACCTGGATGTCGGCGGCGGCAGCAGCAGCGACCCCGCGGGGGGAGGGAGGCAACGACTGGTCGATGGCGTCAGCCGCGGGCTGGTCAGCCCCGCCGTTGGGGCGGCTCGGGCCGGCCACGGGCGTGTTGGCGCGCGGCTCGTCGACCTCGGAGAGGAGGTCCCACTCGTGGTGGCCGAGTGGGCCCACAGAGTCTTGGTCGTCCTCCTCGTAGGCCGCAGGCTCGAGGGGGGCAGCACGGGACTGGTGGGAGGGGGCAAGGGCGGCCTCGACCTCAGAAGACGATGGTGGGGTCTGGTTCGCGGCCTCCTTCACCACGTTCTCCTCGGGGGGGTACATGGCGGCCCGAACCGCACGGCCCTTGACGAGAGCCTTGGATTGCTTGCGGGCGGCACGGATAGAGGCTGGAGTGCGAGGAGGCGGGGAGTCGGGCATGGTGAGAGGTGAGGAATGGCGAGTGGGAGGTGATGGGTGGAGAGTGGCGAGTGGATGGGAGAAGAGGAAAATGAAAACAAACAGGCATCTTAGCATGGGGTGTCTATTGTCTTGTGGGAGCCTCCAAATCTCCTGTCTGCACCGCCAGCCACCGCTGGAAACGAGCGGCCAGAGAGCCAAGGCAGCCTAGGGCCTAGGCGGCTGCTGCCGCGTCCTGCCTGCGACGCGATGTTTGGCAGACACGTGTCTGAGGCACGTACGACGTACGACGACGGTTGTGCGCGCAGGGGCTCTGGTGCGGGGGGTAGGGCTGTGTGCAACCGCACCAGAGGGGGATGGAATGAGCAGCGCAATATGCACTCAATATCTAACACGTACTGATGCCATCTCAACGATGGAATCGTCGAGGCCGATGATCACCATGCTCACCGGGGTGTCGCGTGTTGTTACGACATGATGCATAGAGACGAAGGGAGATATGGATCGCCCTCTACTTAGTGCGAGCGTGCATGCTCGCACTGCACGCTCACACCAATGTACGCTCGCACCGTACGGAACCAAAATGAGGTCGCGCACGACTGAGAGTGGCACTTGCAACATGGCGGTCCCGGACAAGATTCTCGCAGGAGGATACCTCGGCTGGCGCGGGCGTGCGAGCCATCAGTCTTCACCACTGCGAAGTCGGGCCGGGCCGAAAGGGACACGATGTTGTGCCGCCCGTCTAGTAACTGTCAGCATGGTGTATGTACAACAGGCGCGAGGCGAGGGACACGCCGTTTCAGCGTACGCTCCACTAGCCGCGTCCTTGGAGCTTGACAAGGGCGGTGTCATGGGGCAGGGCGGTGTCATGGGCCAGGACACGCTCTGTGGTGACGCATGTAATGAAATGAAGAACGACGGAAGAGGGCAACGGGATTGTGCATTTCTTTGGGGCCTGGGGATGTCTGCGGACAGTCGCAACCAGAACAAACGGTCTGGATCTCTAGACCACCACGCCGTCCCTGCATCGTCCGCACGCGGGAAAGAATCGGAAGGCATAGACTATACATTTCGGAAAACAGGACAAGGGAAAGGGCGCGGGAGGGACACGGCGAGTCTGCGTACACTGCCCTAGCCGCGTCCTTGGAGTTTGACGAGGGCAGTGTCGCGGGGCAGGACGGTGTTGCGGGGCAGGACACACCCCGCGGCGACGCAGGCCATCAGCCACGTTTCGGAGACCACCGCCACGAGGTTGCGGCGCGCCTCGCGAAGGTCTTTCAGCAGAGCTTCGCTGCCGAGGGCGTGTGAGCCATCGGTCCTCACAACAGCCCAGTCCGGCCTGGCGGAAAGGGGCAGGACTTTGCCGCCGGCGCTCTAATATGTCAGCGCGGTGTATGTACAACAGGCGGGAAAGAACACGTACGAGGACCATACGGTGGGCCTCGTCGGACATGCCAAGGAGCGCAAACGTGACCGGAAGCCCGGCACGCCCGCCACTAAACACGACCTTCTCGCCGTACCGAGCGACCGGGATGTAGGGGCCCTGGTCGGGAATGGCCGCGCGACGGCGGCGAACGGGCGGAGCGGGGTTGGCGGCTTGAGGATCACCGGTGGCCGCCGTTGGGGTCGCGAGGCCGCAAGGACGAGGGCTGGTGGGGGGCAGCATTGGACTGGTGGGACGCGGGAAGGGCGGCCTCGACCTCAGACGCCGATTGTGGGGTCTGGCTCGCGGCCTCCTTAACCACCTTCTCCTGGGGGGGGTACATTGCGGCCAAAACCGCACGGCCCTTGTCGGTCGCGCGGATGGCGCCGCGCTCAACCTTTTCCAGGTGTTCTCTTGCCCGCGTTGTCTTTTCTTGTTGGCGTTCCAAGCGTTTGACAAGGGCGGCGGCCTCTTTGCGACCGGCGCGGAGAAGGGGTGGGGTGGGTGGGGGTGGTGGGGGTGGTGGGGGTGGTGGGGGTGGTGGAGGGGGTGCCGTGGGTGGGCTGGGTCTGTCAGCATCAGCTGCTGGTCCACCATTGTTTGCGTACGTGGTGGTTGGGTTGCGGGTGGAAGGCATGGTGGTGGTTGTGGTTGGAAGAGAAATGGTGGTTGTTGGTGTGGTGGTGAGAAATGGGGAGAATGACAATGAGCAGGCATCACGGGGGTCTTTCTTATGTGCTTTGCATGGGGTTTCTATCGACGCGACAGGCGCGTGAGAGCTATCAAACCCCCTTCAGACCCTCCCACCAAGGAATCCGGCGGCACGGGGCAGCTGCCGCGTGAGACCTCGGTTTCTGCCTGCGACGCGATGTTTGGCAGAATGTGTGTACGACGCGTCACTGTGACAGATCTCCTGCGCGAAGTGCACCGCGAACTCTTCGCGCGGGTAGACGCGCGGGGTGTGGGTTGTGGCCGTTTGGTCAAAGGTCCCCCGGTCGAGAAAAGGCACTAAAGAGACAAGCGGGAGTTCATTGTGTGAGTGACGATGACTGGAAGAGGGGAGAGAGCGGATGTTGCGGCGGCGCGCGGCGGCGAGCAAACAGACAGAAAGTGGAGGGTTTTTAAGCTGGGGATGGCGCGATGGAATAACGACCGTTCAACAATGTGCAATGACTTCAGAGTGGACCCTGGGTGGGTACTGTATGTAACCCGCTAAGCAGGCCTGTGGGCGTTGCCAAGCTGGAGGATGGATCAGCCCCTTGGCCCTTGGGGAATGGGGAGTTTGTTGCTCTCATTCTGTATTGCTCGTGCTCCGTAAGCGCAGCGGGGGTGCATCTGACGCAGATGGGACCCCAGGGAGCGCCAAGTGTCAGTGCCACAGGTTGAAACCAAAGACACACAGTCCTCTTTCCTGGTTCGCGACAGTACATGGCACTAGTTGCATTTCATGGTGTCCGCCGGAGGGATGTCGGCTCGGTCCAGATGGTTTCCGAAGACAGACGGGGTTACTAGGTGACTCGGCGCACAGGATGTGAAGGAAAAGACCAGGAGGAAGGGAAGGGGGAAGGAAGGAAAGGGGGAAGGAAGGTCTACTCAGTGGTTGTGGCTGAGCTCGGAAATGGTGCTGGTAGTTTCCTCCTGCACAATGGAGATGCTCCGCAGGTGGCATGCACTACTGGTCCTGGCCGAGAGGCCGCGCGGCAATGCAGCTGCTGCTTGTCAGCGCAGCTCATGCGTCTGGCGAAACGGCTAGACAACTCACTGTTGGGCTCGGTTTCGAGTGTCTCCTCGATGTGCGTCTGGACGTGGTGGTGGGAATGGATGGTGCTGGTACTGTCCGAGGTTGGACGGTGAAGGGTTGTGTAGCTGGATGGTTTCTCGGTTTTCAGTTTGGGGGATGACAGATCGTCGCCCTCGAGGACGTCGCCGCCGTCCAATGACAAAGAAAAAACGGAAGCTGGGTGGTTGCACGCGTTGGACTTGGGACTCGACGGCACCCTGCTGACCGGAATGGCCATTTCGGCCATCATCAAGGACAACTCGTCGTTGGCGCGCATGGCAGTTGGCAAGCAGCCGAACAATGGTGAGATAGGCGACATGACCGGTAGAAGCTCATTGGAGGGCCGGCGGTTGATGTCATTCCTGAGGTTGGTGGGCTTCAAAATCTGCAAAGGTGGAGGAGCACGGCGCCGGCGGTTAGGGTCTACGGGCGCCAACGGCGACGGCGAGCGCGGGCTTGGGGATGCTGGTGGGGTGAGAAGAGGCACAGGTCCCGGCATTGGCATGGGCGGAAGAGGCTTATTCTTGTAGCGCGAGGGTGACTTGGGTGGCCTGAGAGGGGACGCTGGAGCTGACGCCTGGTGTTCGCTATGTGGGGCAAGCGGGGAGCGCTGGATGCTGAGCGGCTGGGTGTTGCCCTTGGAGAAACCACATGTGACGCGCTTGTTCTGGCTCGTGAAGCTGTCATTGCAATTGATGTCACCCCAGAGTCCACCACCGCAGCTTAGGGGCGCGGGGGCAGACCCGCGAGGTTGCTGAGGGCGACGTGATGTGACCGACTGAGAAGAGTGGGGAGACTGCCCAGCGCTGGTCGTGCGCATAGCCACAGACGAGGGAGACTCGCTTTTTGGCGAGAGAGGCGCATGTTCTGTCTCGTGGATACCCCAAAAAGGAGGCTTAGTCTTGCGCGGCTGTGGTGTCTGGCTTCGCTGAGCACTGGGGAGATCAGGCGCCGGCGCCCGACGGCGTGGAGTGAGAAAGTCTGGACACGAAGCCTTGATGGTAAGTCTGTGGACGCAGACTGGTTCGGAGACCTTGCGGAACGTGTTCTCGTTGACCCCATTCTCGTTTGCAGCCTTGGGGTTGCTCTTGCCGGCGGTGAAGAAGGACCACGACGACGAGATATGGTGGAGGCGACGGTTCACGAAGGGGGCGGTCCTGTCCGGCACGTCGTTGTCGTTGAAGAAGTGGTTGGTGGTGGGGTCGTCGCGAGAGAGGGCATGGAACTGGCGTTTGCGGACGTCCGACCGGTCGAGGTCTACCCCTCCGCGCCAAGCGAACGGACCACTGGTAGTGTCATTGTCGCGCGGACAGAGGCTGGTGAGGTCGGGGGAATGACAGCGGCCGCCCCCCTTGTTGGCGTCCCTCTTGTCACCAATCTGGTCGCGGCGGAAGAGGGCCAGCAGAGTGCGACGGCGGGGCTTGGGAGACACTACCGGGGTGTCTTGCGAGTAGTCGCATTCGAGTGACTTGACCGAACTGTTGGGCGTGTAGACGGTGTGCATGGTGCTTTGTGAGAGTGTGGAGGGACCGGCGTTTGCGCGCGTGTATGGGCGTGAACGATTCGGTTTGGAGAAGAAGGCCGGCATGTTGCACCGGGCCGAGGGGCACGCGGGGGCGGTGGCGGGGGTTGGCGGGTGTGAAGGATAGGGCGGGTGGGGTTACAGGGGACAGAGGGGGGGGGGGTAGATGAAAGGTTTGAATGAAATATGGGATGGTGTGCAGAAAGATGACAGACAGAAGAAGAAAGTGGATGGGACGGGATAAGAGTGCAGAGTGGGAGACCAAAACGTGGTCGGTGCCCCCTGTTATGACGTCATTCTCGTCAGCGACCTTCGTGCCCCCTATACCCATCCCGGAAGGACACTATGACAAGCGTGGAACGTCTGACGCACACCACTGCTCTACAGATGTGTGTGTTCGCGACTCCCTCCCCGCGCGATGCCCGCCAGCAGGTCAGCTGTCCCACGAGCCTTCGGGCTGCCCAGATCAATGCACCAAATGCCACCAAAGTTTACTAATCGACTGAGCTACTGATCTGCGGACAAGACGTTGAACACCGCGTGCAGCCGCGCCGTACCGTAGTACCGCAGCCAGCCGCGTGGCCGATGGCCGACGTCACGCACACCGCCCTCGCGGGGGTGGGGCCGATCTGCCCAGTCTTCTGCCCTCCAGCCCTGCCCTTCCGTGCTCGTCACGCATTCACAGCGTACAAGGCCATCACAAACAGTAGACCCATAGGCCCGTAACAGCGTGCACCACAGAGACGGGCATGTTCTGTAGAGCTTCGGACAGATGTTGCGCACCGACGCGTCCCATCAGCGACACAAGGGCAGACATGCAGACCCGACCCCCGCCACACGCATCGCTCTGCTACCGCGCGCGCGGCAGCTGGCGTTGACCTTTGGCAGCAATGTGCGCCGTTGGTCTGCGGCCAGAGGCCAGAGGCCAGAGGTACAGAGAAGCAGAGATCCAGAGACACATCTGCACGAGCCCGTCACGGTGCATATCGTCGTCCGGAATTCCATAGCCCTCTCGCCCCCGGCCCCCGGCGCCCCCGTGCATGCACCAGGTGTTATACGAGTGTGCACCATGCTGTCAGCTCAGTTTCGGCCTCGGTGCATCCCTCCACGTGCCTCCACCTGCCCCAAGTCTTCCCGCCGTCAGCGGCCAACCCTTCTCGGGCTCTCCTCGCCCGGCGCGGCCCCACAGCTCTCGACAGCGCACAGCGCACGTTGCCTAGCGTTCTAGACGAACGTATTGCCCTGGCGTATGGATGACTCGCGAAACCAAGTGAGAGGAAGGGGGCCAACAGGGCCACAGGCACAAAGCAGAGGAACGAGGCGGTAGCCGCGGTGATCGTGTGGCTTATGATCGGTGAGAGCTTCCCACCGCGGCCGTTCGCTGGCCGCTGGACTGCAGCAAGGTGGTGCATGTATGCATACAATGAGCAGTGAGGCAGACGCGCAGACGGATTCACATGTAGGAAAGGTTGTGTCAACTGAAGGGCAAAAAACGTCGCGCCGGCGAGAACTAGCTTTCGGTGGCGTGGACCACTCATTGGCTGCAGTCCAACACAACTGCAAGCCGGGGTAAAACTGTGCCACGAAGGCACAGACGGGACTTGCGTAGCACCGGCTAGCGGACATGGGGGCGAACAGTGGAGTTGCGCAAAGGAATGTCCATGTCCGCCGTTTCCCCCACGTCCAACTTCCGTGGCTATCGGGGTTTGGCGAACGCTCGGTGTATGTTTCTCGACAAATCGACATCCTACCCATGAACATTATTTCTGAATTAGATTACAGAACTCTCTTTGTGGCCGCACTGCCCACGCACCGCCCCCGCAACTGTGGAGGTGGACGGAACACCCAATTGGGCGAATTTGCATTGCCTGAAAGTGCGGAGGGAAGGCAAACATTCCACTTGTGGTTCGGCTCTGTCGACTGAATGTGCCCTTGCCGCCACTTCCGCCCTCTAGTGACTACAAACGGGGGAATTTGCTACGGCCTCAGAGTCAGACGGGCAGAGGGAGACTGTTCAGCCATCACGACGTCCCGCCATCTCCAGCCCGCTAGCTGCTGTTTGCCAATCGCACCGTGGTCTGCAGAGAGTGTAGAGAGGGCACCCGGGACAGATATAAGGCGCACCTTCCGTCCAACTGACGTCTTTTTTCTTCCAACCAAAACCATTCAACATGCTCGCTTTTGTCGTCCTCCTCCCCATTCTTCCCCTTTCCTTCGTTTGGTCGGCGCCGGCTGGCAACGCCCCCGCCCCCGGCCCCGACGACCTCGTCCTGGGATCAACTTCGTGGGTGAGTGTCTTCTCAGCGGGCAGCAAATCTCCTTGAACATTTTGCTGACAGCTGTCCACAGGAGTACTACGTCCCCCCCAGCGTCTCCTGCCATATGGACACCGACGGGACCATCCTGGTCGTTGTCTGCTCTGCTGAGCAGGACCACAACAGTACGTTTGCTGGACGACCGTGTACCTCTGATTGTTTGAATGGTGGCTGACAACACAACACAGCCACAGCCGAGCAGATCGCGCCCGTACGGCCCCCGTCCTGGCGCAGGTCGCCGCCGGAGCGTCGACGGACATTGTCCTGGGCTCCACTGACTGGGTGAGTGTCTTTTCAGCGGGCGGCAACCTTCTTGAACACTTTGCTGACAGCTGTCCACAGGGCTTATGCCAGCTGCCCAGGCTCGTTTGCCACGCAGCCCGGGACGGAGACACGTTTTTGACGCTTTGCGTCGTCGAGTCTGCCAGCGGTACGTCTGCGGAAGGAATGGTTTGCATGGTTTGCCTCTTGGATGGTGGCTGACAGTGCAGAGACCGCTGCCGACCTTGCCCCGGCCCTCGCCCACTTGGCCGCGGTCGCCCTCGAGCCCGCCACGGAGATCTAGGGCGCCTCCGTGGCCTCTCGACCAGCCCCTGTCTCACGGAGCATGCATCCGCGTTTTTCTCGTCGCTATTGTTCTGTCGGTGCACCACGGTACACTAACGCTGCAAGCCAGAGGCCAGAGGGGGCTGTGGACGGCACGGGTTGGACTGCTGGGGGATTCGAAGCGGGCTTTTGCTCTGGGGACCCGTTGCTCCCAATTGTCAGTCACTAGTCAGGCACTCTGGCACGGCGGTCGATCATTGGCACTGCAGTCACAATCGTCACCAACGCCGGACGCGCCACCAACGCGCACTCGCTCGTCCTCATGGCCGCTGCCGCCGCCGTCACTCTTCTTCCCCTCCACCCATCTCATCCCTCAAGCGCCGGCATGCTTTGCTTCCACAGTGTCCACTAGATGCCCCGCGCTGCCGCAGGCCGCCGCTGCCGATGCATCCACTCGCAGCAGCCTTTGCCCCCAGCTTACCAGCGTGTCGTTCCCCCGTCAATGAACCCATTGTGCACCGTGCACCCTTCCACCTGTCCACACACTCCCCCAAAGCAACCACCTGCACACAGCAACGCGCAGCACGCCGTCCTCGCAAAGTTCAAGCCACTCACCGTCGATGCATGTGTGCCTTTGCATATCGGAACCCCCATCAACCGTCGTCTTGCTCGTCTTGTCACTGCCTGCACCCTTCGTCTCGTCGTCGACCGGAATACTGTTGCCGTCTGCTGCTCTCCCCCACTGAGACGCAAGGCTCTGACCGACTGTCGGCACAGGTACACCATCCCTGGTGTGAACCAGAGGAGGAGACAACCTCAACGTCCCAGAGGCCTTCCAACGTGGCCAGCCGACGCGGCAGTTCAGCAAGCCATGTTCGTCCCAAGACAGCGAACTTCAACCAGCGTGCGTGCCGCGAGCAGAGCAAGCTATTTGGGCTCCCCCCGCAGCTGGTTCGACTCCAAACCGCCGGGGTCATCTCGGGCATTCGATCTAGTCCGTACAACTCGCAAGGCCCAGTAGACTGCCGCCCTTCAGGCCACCGTTGACAGTCCCTCAAGAACAGCGGAGGATCTTGTCGGATCTGCTGTCGACAGGTCCGGCCGTGGGTTCAACCTGTTGCAGTGCCACTCTCAGTCGTGCGCGACCACCTATTGGTCCCGTTCGGTGCCAGCGTGCACCCTCGCACTAACTAGAGTGCGATGCGTGTCTGTCTCTCTCTTTTCGTATCTATGCATCATATCGTAACAACAGAATACGAGGAGGGTGTGGTGTCGAAATAGGCCCCTATAAAGTGCAGTTGGATGCCCGCGATACAGTTAATCGGGGCGTGAGCAGTGATGCTACCATGCTTCAAGAGGTCGGCGATAGACGAAGAGACAATACCACAGACTTTACAGACCGTACCGAAGACTCACCAACAGGCCGCGAGGAGCTTGGCCGCAGCGGCCTGAATGTCGAAGGCGCAGAGACGATGTGGGCAATGCCTCGCTGGTACGCTGGAAGCCGTTGTTGGGGGGGGGGCGGGCGGCGGCATCAAAGACGGCGGCCGAGCCTGGCCTGCCTGTGGATGCGAGTTAGTGGGAGCTACGCCCTAAAACTGTCTGCACAGGGGACATACCAGGTCAGCGGATCAGCGGCTTGTCGGTAATGACCTTGCCTCCGCGGCAGCTGTAAACGGGGGTCTTGCCAGGGTTTGCCAGGGTTGCTGTAGTTTTCGGCGAAGCGCTGGAGAAGTTTGGCAGCAGTCTCCGCACCGGCCTTGGCGGCAGGCGATTGGTCCCTAATGTCTCCACCGGCAACTGGAGGGCGATAGCGTCTGTCGTGGCCCCACCCGGGTACCTCATCAGGCGTCCACCGCGCGCCTTCAAGCGTCAATCAACCAGATCATCAGGCGACACAATTTCCGGCCACCATCTCTCTCGTTGCTGAAACAGCTGACGGTGACATACCTCAATGTTTTGCTTGGCCGATTGGAAAGGGGTTGCACACCCGCGCTCGGCGACCTGGAGAGTCTCCAGATACACTCCTTTGCCTTCAAAGAAGGTGTCAAGGCGAGTGCGGCGCCTCACCAGTGCAATGCACGCGACGACAGAAGCAGACGTCGAAAGAACGCCCGCGGCGATAGCAAAGATGACAGGCAGAGAGGTGGACACGGGCGGGTACCAGCCGGCGGCGAGGATAGGAGCAACCGCAGGGGAGAGGGCACTCAGAAATCGGAGGAGGAGGAGGAGGCGGCTGATCAACATGTGCACGGTAAAGTTAGGGGAGCCAGATCGATAGAAGAGGGCAAGAAACAACATACCAGGTCAGCCCTCCCAAAGTGAGGACCTTTCCGTCCCTGCCTACGTCGACTGGAATCTTGTGTGAGTGGGTGATCGAAGGAGGTTGGGTGGATGGGAGAGCGATGGGTTGGGAATTGCCGGGGGTTGGGAAATGCCGGGTACACCATGTCTGCGTCCGCGGTGGCCACGGTGGGCCAGCTTTTGGGCAACCCTCCTAGATTGGAACGCCTGCGGCACAAAAAGGCCATTGGCGGTATTCTGGACCAGCCTCACCCTCATTCGTGAAGATAGCTGCCACTCTCTTGCAGAGTCCGACCTAGTTGTGTGGCTGTTTCTTCTTGGTAGGATTGAGGTCTGACTTGCTCTTTGATATGCAGCCGGGGCAGGCGGCTTCGGGGCAGGAGGCGATGTAGAAAGTGTGGAAACGAGTTGCATGAAGAAGAAGAAAGAAGATAGATACGGTGCCGGCCTAAATACCCTGAGCCCGAGCCCGAGCAAAGTGCCCTGCCAACAGAAGGCGTTCAGTAGTATGAATGTCATGTGGTTGTAGGAGGAGATCAAGTTGTTTGGATGTGGCACGCCTGTTGAGCTGGACAACTCGGTGGAGAGTCTTGATATTGTCCTAATTGGAGGTTCTGGGCCTTGCTGTGTTTCTGGGCTTAACGCCTGTCGAGTCTTGACAGTGTAGGTGTCTTAGTTTGTAGATGCATTGGTTGGAGCAGCCATAGGCCTTGTCAGTGGCAGACACCATAGATGCCTGCCTCTGTGAGCATGCAACCGCGCTGGTATGGACTGACAGGCCTACACCCATTCTGTGTATGTGTACAATGCATATCTCGCCAAAAGGGGCTGTGGAGGTCAGGGTGCGAGGGCGCGCGGCGACGGTGTCGATGAATGTGGCGGAACCGCAACGACCTTTCGGCGGGGCACTATAGCCACAGGCTACATACCGATGGCGCGCTCTCCTCGCACCGTCACATCCACACGATTCCCACCACTCCATGCCACACCACACCACACGCGACCACCACAATGTCTACCGACCTTGGGACCCTTTGCGTTTATGTCCAACTTTGTCTAATTCTGCTCGCTGCCTTCCACGTCCTGGTGAGGGTTACGGTCAACGTTCAGCCCATGCTCCGCGCTTTCAACTCTCTGAGCATTTTTGTCATGGAGATCTCAGTTGTCCTTCTTGCAGTCACTAGGTTGCACCCCGGTCGTATGGTACGTTTTGCTTTTATGGCAATAACACTTCAGCTCCCAAGCCCCCCACCTCGTGTCCATTGTCGACGGATACTGGAACGACCTTTGCGGGCAGTTGGAACTGGCATATCTGGACAGCATTCGTATCGTGCGCTTCGTGCGCGCATTCGCTTGACTTTCCTTGGGGTGAACTTTGAAGTTGTCCGCCCGCTTAAAATCGCTCTCCCCACGCTCGTCCGATAGCCACGAGAATACCAGTAATGCATTAGTTCGGCTGGCATTGTTGGTTGCAATTGGCTATTGTAAAGAGAGATTGTCTTAGCCGGGGGGATCCAGAGAGACACCTGGTGAGATTGCCATGTTCCTGTGGTCCATATCAGTGACGAGTGAACCAGTGGGACCTAGGCCATCGGGCAAACGGATTTGCAGGACCAGCCAACCCATCTAAGCCGACTTATGTACCTTTCCGGCCGGCAGTCAACCTACGTCGCGAATACCCCGAGATGGGGTGATGCGTTAGTGATCAGTGACTTGTTGCTCAATGATCACCACGACAGCGGTGACAACGACTCCATAGAGTGGCGAAGGAACCTTGCTTGCCAGTTTGAAAAGCATCATTCCCTGAGTTGTACCATGAGCCCATGCATGTGGCAGTGTCTTTCTCCGTTGTTGTGCAGGAGAAACCGATAGAGACGTTCGCGGGAAGAATCCTCAACGCGTGGTGTGTTTCTCGACCGCTGAAGAAACCCATATAGACGTTCGCGGAAAGAATCTTCAACGTGTTGTGTGTTTCTCGACCGCTGGAGAAACGCATAACGCCCCTGACAGACAGGTCCCATCCCCCACAGGCCCTCGGCATTTTGGTTCCGCGCACAGCGCGCCTCAGTCAGCACGTGCGCAAAACGCTCTCGCTCGCTCGCGTCCTTGCTCTTTGCATTTGCCCCTCCTGTGTGTACACGGCTCAAATACACCCTCGTTTCCAGTATTTAAATTGTAATTTCCCATACTTATATCTTCACTCTGCATTCTTCTTTATTCAAACAGATTAAGAGTCAAACTATCCACTCTCGACCCAGTGTCAACCTCATCAACTCCGGGTTGATTCTCAAGGGTCTGTGCCACACCCCTCAACTCCACGTTGAGATTCAACATGGCTCTTCATTCCAACACCTCCTCCCCAGCATCCTCGACCTTTCACTTAGTCAGCAACCCCTCTCCCTTCATTCTTACACACTCATCACGTCATTCAACCGCCCGGTTCACCCACCATGTCCCTCTCGGCCTTGCTCAGGTTTACCCTGTACGCCAGCATCATCTTCACCATCGTTTTTGGACCATGTCCCGTCTTCGATCGCCTGAGTTGGTTCGCCCCCAGCGTGTATGACAGCCTTGTGCATGTCCCCAATAGTGATCCTGTGACTTCGTCACCCCAATCCATACATACGCCTTCGATCTAATCTGTCCACAGCAAGACGAGGTCACTGCCGGTTTTGATCGCCCCGCAGCCCCCACCTGTGCCATTTCGAAAGGTCACTCAGCTGCCCCACCCTCTGTTGAGAACAAAAGCTGGGGATCGCTGAGTAAGTCTAATACCCAGCGTTTAACACGCGCTTACAGCTAGCGGGGCACATCAAACGTCAAATCTTTTGCGAAATGTGGTTCACGTGGGTGAAGGAGGATTCCGAAACCCCCCCCCCCCCCCCTTCGTACGCATCAACGCCAGCGGTGGCTCTGCTAACAAAACAGTGCCGACAAGTTCATGGCCATTGTGTGCGCCACCTACATCCTCTCCCTCTGGTTCCTCAAGCCCATCCCACGCGCGCGCCGCAACTGATTTGATCGGTGTCACTGCCTACTGCACCACCCCGCATTCTTCTCTACACCTCGCGTGCTGCATTCCCTAGTCGGGCACAACCCCCCACCCAAGCTTCTATTGGTGCTCCGTGGGCGAGATGGGTTCTGCAATGACGAGTGCTTTGGGTGGAAGATGTTGTCCCCACGTCGTTCATCTCGTGCTACCATGGGCCGCGGCTGCCCCAGACGTGGTTGTGACGAGCCTTGCCAAAGACGTGTACCTCTCACGAACCGCAGTTCACTACCCCTTCCCTGCCAGGTGGGAGAGCACCGCGGCCTGATTCCACTGCCAAGGCCAGCACAACGTTGTCAGAAACAGTCATTGTCCAGCCACCCCTTTCTCGCGGTGCCTCTGGTGTCCTGATCCATGAGCACCACCTGGGGAATCGTGGCATTGTGTCAATTCTCTTTCACCGAAAAGCAGGGGCTGGAGCTTCAAACCGTCCGTGAACCCCGGTGATGCCGACGTGGACGCCCCAGCCTCGGAAAAGGCTAGCTCTTCACCGTCGCCACCATCCTCACTGCCCACCGTGGGGACATGTGCTTTCCGTTCAGGTGCCTTTGGCGCTCATGAGATAGGCGCGTATTGCTTCGAGAACCTGGTTGTCAGTCACTTGCAACACGAAGGAAGGGGCACCAGTTCCCCTGCACTAGGTACCATGTGGCCCTTCTACGGGTTCCTCATGCTGTTATACATCAGTGAGGCTGCTGCAATGGAAGACAGTGTCCAAGCTGTGGTCAGACTAACAATTGTTGCTATGGTGTTCCTACGGTAGGGTGCCGGGCAATACCAGCCCAGGGAACAGGCCGGGAACCACAACCTGGGGGCAGTGGGACAGTGAGCCAGGTAGCGTGGCATGAACGAGTGGGCATCAAGACCGCAATGCAGCACTATCGATAGCCACACACTGAAATGGCGAAGACAAGGTCAGCCACAGCGGGGAGATTGTCGTACCTCGACGTGGACGCATGAGTAACACTGCCCATGCGTCACAACGTCGTGGACACTCAGCTCGTGCTCAAACCCCCAGGTCACTGGTTTCCCAACACTCTGCACTTGGCGCCTGTTACGCACCCAAATTACCTTGCGTCCAGTGCCACGCTGAATAGACCCTCCTCAGCCGCGCGCCGGACGTTGGCAAGTTGTCTCTTTCCTCGAGCCCTCCACGCACGATCATTCATCACGATAGCGCACGCATTGCACCACGGTGAGCTCCAGAGCCTGGACGTTAGCCATCATGTCTGGCGTGTTCACACAAGCGCCAGCGGTACGCTCCGAGCACGGCCGAGAGGTTCAAGGAGGTAATTCGTCGATGGGACGGTCCTTGTGGAGAGTGCGGTGGAGACATGTGTTGGCATAGACTTGTGTATACGGCAATGGGAAGGCGTGAACAGAGAGCTGATGCCCACCAATGTCGACAGGGTCGTGCAGCTGGGAGTCGGCAACGGTAGCGCAAAAGCCAGAAGGATGAAAGCGAGCGAGAGAGAATCTTTGGAGCCCGATGCCGTGTCTAGTGACTCGGGACCAACACGTAAAGTGCGTCACCGGTGGCGATCAAAGTATGAGAATTGCTACGTTGCGGCGGCTGCGGAGGGTCCAGCCATGTGCCCAATGGGCGGACGCCGTGCGGGGCTGCCGGGGCTAGCAATGGAACAGACTTGGAGGAGCGGGTGTTGGTGATGTCGCCACTGCTCGACGTGGAAGCGCGGTGGAGGAGTGGACCATGTTTCTGGGACACGGGGGGGAGGGGGGAAGGGTAGCTCGTCACGTGCGTCGCTCGTGTGGGTAGGCGCCTGGAGCAGGGCGCGGATGGCCTCGGGCGATCGGCACTGTCAGAGCGCGGCGTGTTGAGGAGGGTCGGACTGGCAGCAAGGGCGCGGGACGAAGACGTCTGCAGGGGACGCTGGCTGCGGTTTTGGGAAAGCGCTGGCGATGCTAGATACTGGGGCGCCGCCAACCCGTCTCTCTGTTCGGCAGAGTGTTGTCCGATTCGAGTTCGGGAGTATGCGAGACAGCCGAAGTCGGGAGGGTGGCGCGCTGCTTGCCGTAGGGGTGGAAGCGCGTGTTACTGCGGCCGGTCCTGGGTCCCGTGCTGCCGCCGCTGGTGATGGTCCCGCCAACACTGCGAAGGCTCTTTGTACTGGCGCGCGCGCTGCAGTACCGTCCGTGGTGGCCCTGTGACGCGTCAGCGCGGCCACTACCCGATGGCTCGTCGCGGGCGTTGTCGTCATTGCCCTCCGAACCGATACCGTCGGCTCCGATAGACGGGGCGTGCGAGCCCACACCATTTGGTCCAGTGCGGCGAGCTGGTGCTTGACAATGGCCTTTTGGTGCTCGAACTGCTGCTGCCGCGTCGTACCTCTTCGGTACGACGAGGTGGACTGGTCCTCGCTGGGGGAGCGTTAGCTGTGATACGGAACCAAGGCGCTCAACGGGGCACGTACCGGAAAAGCCGGTGAACGCCGCATCGCCTCGAGGGGTCGGGCTCACGGTAGCCTTTAAGCGAGTACTCGAGTACTCATGCCGAGGAAGAACAAATAACTTGGCAACCGGTGTGCCCGCCATAGCGGTTGACAAGTTTGTAGTATTCTTGCTCCATGGCTTTGCGCGTGTCAAGCTGCATAGCCATGGAGGGATAGTCCAACAAGAAGACATTGATTGTCTTGAGCGTGTGGGAGGTGACGAGCTGGCCGCCGCCGTTCTGTTAATGTTAGCGACGTGAATCGTGAATACAAGGCTACACGTACGCGTACGATGTCGGCAATGTAGCCGAAGAGGACGTGGTTCTTGTTTAAGAAGGCCACAATGTCTAGAAACGTATTGCAAATGGGGGCGAATGTGGGCATGGATGTGTGTGGGTGACGTGAGGGATGGGGTGGTGTATGATGGAAAGACGTTTAGGGATTGCGCCATCCATTCATCAAAAGCGAGTGCGCTCGGTTAGTACTCGGAGCGTTTGCTGCCGATAGGAAGGTCGCAGTCAATGGTGGATTGTGTTGCGAGTGCCACTATCAGTCGTGCGCGACCATCTTTTGGTTGCGTACGTTGCGAGCGTGCACCCTTGCACTGACTAACGCGCCATCATATCTCTCTTTGTCTCTATACACCATATCATGACAACAGCTATGGGCTTCTTAGGGCGCGGTCCCCGTAAATACTGTGCCCACGGAAGAGGTGAGCCTCAACCCGGCCCTTGGCTCTGGTGAGTAGCATACAGAGCGTGGCAGAGTGGACATCAAAAACCTAGATGCAGAACCATCGATTGGCGGACTTGGCTCAACTCGCCACAGCTGTCGTCATCTCGCACGGTGGGTCCAACCCCCACCAACGTCATGTGCACTTCAATCCAGCAGGTGTCAACGCGGCTGCCTTCCCACAGCGAGCGGCTGTTGCTCCACAGTCTCCCCTTGTTCACGGTTGTCCCGATGTACAGCAGTGAGCTGCCTGCCGGATTGGCCACTGCTGCGCCACCTGCTGCAGCTACGGTCGGACTGCCGCAGCCCGACCTCGACTACCGGGGTACGACTCCTCCATGCGCCACCCCCATCCAGCTATCCCCCCATGCCACTGACCCTTGTCACCACAGGTCTTCCGACTGGACTCGCAGTTCTGCGCACTCTGAGCAGATGTTCCTGCCACTACCCGTCTCACCTCTGAGGACGTCCCACTCTGCCCGCAGTCGGTATACGTCCCTATGACACCTCTGACGGCCACCGCCAGTGGGCCGGCACATGATGCAAAGCGGGTCCGGGCCCTCGTCGGCGGCCACCTACGTCTCCGACTCGCCACCGGAGCACAAATAACTGGTCTCTAGACCCTGTATGTCGTTGTGGTGTGTGTCTTGTTTGTGTGCGCGCGCTTTAACACACTAGAGCCCACCGTATTTGACTGGCCGTGTCCCTAGCACCGCTCTGCCTTCCCCCACGAAGGCTTGTGCATTGGGTTTGGCCAGATACGCACTTCAAACCCACCTCATCAGTGGAAGGTAATGGAGTCCCAACAGTTTGGCTCTTGGTGGCACCGCGCACCCTATGACCGCTTTCCCACCGGCAACGGCATTTTATAAGGGCTCTATCCCTGGGCCTGACGACCTACTCGCCCCACACAGTTGGGCCTCGTATTATAGTGTTATATCCTCTAATGAAGGTGCGGAAAAAGGGTCCAACAACAGCAGCTTCCATTAGTGCCGCGGCGCATTAGCAAAATGCAATGGGTGGTGTGGCTGACACTGGTCTGGAGTCGCCTCTTGCTGACAGTCCTCTGATTGCGCGCGTGGGTTGACGCGGCTCGCATCACCCCGTGTAAGCTCCTAGTATACCGCAACGTCAACGCAAGCCCTTGCGGTTACGCGAATCGCAGTGCTCCCTTCTAGATCGCTGTTACCCGAACAGGTTTAATGGTCCTTTTCGGATTAGGGGCAAATCTAACCAAATAGAACCAATTCGAACTCTCCAATACCACTCATACATGGGCCGACCGGACAAGCGAAAAGCAATAAGAAGAGGAACCGGAACTGCACTCGGGAAATTCTTGCAACCCGAGATTCGAACCTCCGGCCTCGTGAGGCCGGTTCGGAGGCGGCGGAATAGGCGGGATGTGGGGAGCTAATGTTGGCGAAGCCTCCCCGGCCGCATCACTATCCCTCCTCACCGAATATTTGTCTTTGCGTGCAGGCCCTATGTAGGAAAACACAAATTACATAATTGTTGAGATTACGTAACCACTTGCGCCACTGCAGTGTGGCACCGAGCTGACTGGAGAACGAGGGTACCGCACCAATGCTGCTCTTTCTGCTTCTTCATTGTCCTCATGCTTCTCTGTAGTGCTCGGGCCTCCCTTCTGTGTGCATATAAGCAGCTCTGTAGACGTCTATGCATCCCCATCCTCTTCTAAAAGACAAACTGCCAGCTTAAGACCATCGGTCTCGGGCACTAAACGGCATCAAATCCCAACACGTAATATTGGTCTGATGGCCCCATTAAGCCGATCATGCTCCTTCTGCTACTTCCATGCTCTGCAGCCAAATCTCTCATGACCAGGCCGTTCCCATCTCTCATCTGTCGCATCTGTCGCGAAGGTCGCTGTGCAGTCCACGTGTATCCGTCCGCATTATTGTTCTGGAGAGAATCATTCCGTCCGCACTATTGTTTTGGAGAGAATCATTGCCAAGATAGGGCGCCGTTTGCGCGCGACCGGCTCAGAGGGTACAACGGTGCGGTGGAGGTACTCACTGAAATGCGACCCTACTCAGTGTCCAGTTGCAAGAGTTGCAAGGCCAGATGAAACAGAGTCTTGACTGGTACGGGCGGGCGGCGGATCCTCTCGTCCGGTCTGGTAGCGGCTTGCCTGCTCTTTGATGCTTTCGTCCGTTCGGTGCAAATTCAATTGACAAGCCATTGACACTGCGGCGCCCGAGGCCTCATCAACAGTCGAGGAGCACAATGGGTGACTGTCCACGTTCTGATTCTCCACTTTCTGGTCGTTGTCGAGCACCCTCCTCTTCTCCGGGTATCCCCTCGTCGGCGAGCCATTGGGAATACTGCCGGTCGCATCTTACGGTGTTGTCCTTATTGGGACCACTTCACTGAAAGTCAAGCGCGCCGTCCTGGACCTCTTCCTTCACTTGGATGACCACTTACGTCCTTGTTTGTTCAATGCACTCGTCAAGTCGGTTCTGTGCAGGAGTGTCCATTTCTGGTGGTTTCCACTCACATTACAGCCGGCGGCGACCTTCCCAACAATGTTAGTTCTGAGGTTGAACCGCGGATAGACAACGTCTCTCTCTCCTAACCCAGACAGCTTTGCAGTCGTGTGCCAGACCAGCTGTGGCTGATAGTCAGGAGTCAACCGCCACGCCCGGGAATGTGCACTATGATCTGGTTTCGTCCTTGACCAGACGGGCGAGTCGAATGTCAGCAGTCCGCTGGTCGAGTTGGTCTGTTGCTGTTCCGCAAGTTCCAAAGACATGCACCAACATTTGTCTGTCAGAAATGGGTACTTGCGTCGGGTATCGTTTTTGGGAGAGGCTTCCTCACAACCTCTGCCCTTCGGTCACTCAATAACAGCTACGCACCACTACTCACAATTGCAATTGAAACTGGATGGTTCCCGCATCCCGCACACCGTTGACTCAGCAGATGCTTACCGCCAACCGACGTAGGCAAGGGGAGGTAGCGTCCCCCGATGTTCGTGCCACCGTCAACAACCAGCATGCTCGACTCCGTCTATCTGCACCAGCACCAAATGCATGCATGTATCTGAAAACCAGGAGACAGGCTGTTCTGCAACCATGGGACCCACTCTCTCAAAGATGGGGGGTGTTTTGACTGTCCTGTCCAGTTTTCAAGTGGCGCGCTCGTTCGTGGCGCCGTTTCCCAAAACATCCCAGGCTACGAACGTGGTATGATGGTCGGAGTTATGGGAACGGCCTGTTCATTGTCTAGTCCAGAAACACGGCAGTAGATGAATGCCCACAGAGTCGTAGGTGGCCGTGTTGGTGGCTGTCTTTGGCAAGGGCCCAATGCGCGAGGTTCAGCGACCCTTCCCGGCCAGTAACCGAGCTGCGTGGCCCATACAGGTAAGCACACAGGCAGGTAGCGAATGACACCGGCGACATGAATATTGCATCTCTGCTCAGAGAACGACCCGTTTGGAGATAAAAGGCGGGTCGCGGCAACAGTGCTGGTGCCGCTTGCCATTTGAGAGTGCATTTCACATGCAGCTGTAGTACAGACAGGATGTTTTCATTTAAGGACATGTGTTTAAGGATTGTGCGATTCACTCATCAATGTGCTATCAGGGAGTGCGCTCGAATGCTACGCGGAGGGTTTGATGGTGAGCGGACGGTCGCCGTCAGTGGTGGTTTGTGTTGCGAATGCCACTGTCAGTCGTGCGAATGTACTTTTCGTTGGGTACGGTGCGACCGTCCCATCTCTTTTTGTGTGTATGCTGAGTATCGTAGCAACATATGGCATATATAGGAGAGGAGACTTGGGAGGTGACATTGACCTGGGGTGACGCAACATGTAGAGAGAGAGAAAGGACGAGTGGAGCAAGAACGGTATCACATGTCGGGTTGTGAATCGGGCACCACGGAACCCACTGAAGAAGAAGAGGACGAGGGGTGGGCAGACTTTGAGGAGTGGGCCGAGGGCGAGGTCGCCATGCGGGCAATGGGAGGGCGGCCCAGGCCGAGGCCTTCGTCGCCGCGGGGCACGGGACGCAGGGACTTGGTGGACGAGGCAGCCGGGAGCACGGTGCGCGACGACGAGCCCGCGAGCTGTGGCGCGGGTGGCGGCGTATCGAGCCAGGTGCCGAAGCGACCGACGCCGTGAGGGGCGACCTCCCCTTCGGCAGCGGCTGCGGGCACGGGCTGCGCGGGAGCTGCAGCGGGACCCAGCTCACTGCCGCAGGGCCCAAGCCCGCGGCCCGAGGATGGCGCGGGCACCGGAGGGGAGAGTTCGGCCGCGCTTGGGAGGGCTTCGGCGAGGTCCAGGACGGTGCCGAACGGTCCCAGGGCGGTACGGGCAGCGGTGGTGACGCCGCCGGTCACACTGTTGGCGGAAACCGCCCGGCTTGCGCCCGAGCCCTCACTGTCCGACGAGGACACACTGCGGGGGCGGGGAAATCTCTTCTGCGAAAGCGGGGGGAACGGGAGGTCCACGGGCGCGGGCGAGTCCTCGGTGTCGGTGTCCCCTCCCGTCTGGTCGCCCGCCTCATCCCCCCCCTCGTCGTGCTGGGTGTTGAGCTGCGTGGGGCTCGGCCCCAGGCGCCCCAGAGCCCTGGCGGAGACGGCACGCTTACGGGCGAGGGCGACACGCTTCACAGGTGCGTGGCGGGCCTCCTTGGGAAGGTCCTTGGAGTAAGGAGCAAACCGGACGGCACTCCTGCTACCGCCGCCACGGCGACTGCTGAGACCCCTGACGCTGGAGCTCGGGCGGGCGCTGCACACGCGCTTCTTGACCTTGGGAGCGCGCTCGGAGTCGGCCTCTGGCTGCGTCTCTTCGTTGAGCTCGGTGTTGCGGGACCCCTCGCTCTTGGCGTCCTCCTCCTCGTCCTCGCTCAAGTGTGGCAATCCCCAGGTAGTGGCGTCCACACGAGCGACGTGGTTAAGAGCTTCCAGTTGCTGACGCTGCAGTTCCCTCTGTTGCTCAATGTAAGAGCGGCGGGTGGTACCAAACAGGTATGACGAGTTGGGAAGTTGGGTGCTACGGGGGCGTTAGTAGCTATACTGAACCACGCCACAGAGAGTATACGTACTTGTAGAGTCTGTGGAGACCGTAGCGACCCATCAGACCCGGCCACATGTAACCGTTGGCGGCCGTCTCGAAAACCCAAGTCGTTGTGACGCACACGACCAGGTCGTAGCCAAGCAGGCCGTACTTCTTGACGAGGCGGTAATACTCGAGCTCGAGCCTCTCGCGTGTACTTGCTTCTACCCACATAGGGGGGTAATCGGTGAGGAACACGTTGATAGCACTGTCCTCAAAGAGCGTGGCCACCTTTCCGCCGCCATTCTGATACCGTTAGCCTCGTGAACGGTCAATCCACTGCCAAACCTACCTCTATGATTTGGGAGAGCAGCTTGAACTGCCAGTGGTAAGGGCTGAGATACGCTACTGTGGTGGAGAAGAGACCACTCGCAGGGGCGAAGCCTTGAATGTTGCGCATGGTGTGGATGTTGTTGAGGGGAAGGAGAGGGATTAGGAAAAGGAGTAAACACAGAATGATGGGCGCGGGCGCAGACGCTCAAAGCTGCCCCCGCTGTGCTCACGCCCAAAAATGCCCCCGTCAACCCCCCATGGGGAGAGTTTTATCCCGTCGCGCGTTGTAGCACAAAGCATTTCCCCAGCAATACATCCTCAATCGACAGGCCACACGGCGTCCGTCAAGACTCACTGCGACAACTACATAGGACCTGGGGGGTCCCTCACCCCAAGCGGGTGGGGAATGGGTTGGGTTGCTAGGGACTGGCGCTGCTGACTTCATTGTTATATACTGGCATCCCTGCCACTGTCATGGGTGTGTCGCTCGCACGAAATCGTAGTCCATATAATGCACCCAGATCGCAGGGAGACCAAGTAGGAATGCGGCACCGTGTCGCCGGGCGTCACGGGCGCCGTCCCCAAAACAACTTGCCATCGTCCCTCCCCGGGAACCAAGCAACTGCACCAAGAATGAACATGCATCTTCGACCACTGAGGGTTGGTCGCCAGCGTCCGGTCTATGTACCCTGCCACCATCTTGGCAGACGGTTGACACCCAATCGTCGCGTACTTGGACCATGTCAGGTTTGTGACAGCTCGTTCCATGAACGCTACCTGCTGCTGCCATCCTCGGTACTCCGGGGTCGCTTGGCGAGATTGGCCAGCGGGGTGCGGGAACGGGGTTTGTAGGGCCAGGTAGAAAGGTGGCACCACTCACATGGCATGCTACCAGTTTGACCTTGGTGATGAAGCTGCACCTTTCCTCGTTTGGGCTGGGGCGGTCCCCCTGATCGACTGCACATGTCTGGGGCGTGCCTGCCTCCTGCGGTCCGAAGTGCTCAGTGCGCGTGGTGCCAAACAGATACGAGCTGGTTTGGAGCTCGTTGCTAAGGGAATGTTAGCAGCACTACGGATTCAAGCAACGAAGAGCATATGTACCTGTACAGGCGGTGCCGGTTGTAGCGGCTCTCCTCGTACGGAGACATCCAGCCGTTGATCGCCACTTGGTAGACCCACGACGCCGTCACACAGACGACGTCGTGTTTGTCGCGGATTCCATATCGCTGCACCACCTTCCGGAAATGTTCCTCCTCTACCTTGCGTTCGTCCAGTGGCATACCCACGTGGGGGTAGTCGACGAGGTACACGTTGATGCCGGGGGTGTTGAGGGAGTCCGTGACCCAACCCAGACCGTTCTGTTACTGTCAGCCATGTGAACCGTCACGCCATAGGGCAAACTTGCGTCGATGATGCGCTTGAGCACCCAGCGGTCGGGGTGCGTGGCGGAGATGTACACCATAAATCCTTTGAACAGCTTGCAGATGGGCGCGATCTTGAGGATCTCGTATCCCGACATGGCGGTGTGTGTGTGGGTAGATGGATGAGTGAATGGATGGATGTGTAGGAATGGGGGAATATGGGAGGAAGAGAAAGAGGACAACGAGGACGCGTCAACACACACTGATCAATGATCCGCCCGCGCCCCCCACCGGCCCCAAACTCGTGTGTCGCGTCCCCTCAAACATGAAGGTATGGCCCGCACAATACCCGTTCTGTGCTCGCACCGTGCACAAAACAATGAGCAAGCACAGTCGACGGGGAAAGGCATGTCTACTACCTGGGGGGCTCCACCCACAACCTCCCGTGCTGAAACGTGCCGTGTTCCATACTGTCCGTCGCCGCGGCTTGTTGACGGTCCACAGTGTCATGGCCATTGTCTTTGCCCCGCACTTGTCTCGCCGTCGTCCCCACCGATGATTCACACACAATTACAACACAGTGTTGTGGCGCGGTCAAGGCCGCCAAGCAGCTTCTTCCCTGCCAAATAAACAACTGCCTTGAAGAATCATCGTCCATCGCGGCTGCTGGCGGCCACTGTTCTTCCGATCTCCCCTCCCACGAACTGGGCACACTGGCAACACGCAATACTCGAGCACTTGGAGACTGGTTTCTTGTGGTGATGCTTCCTGGCCACCACGAGCGCCTCGCTGTTCCCACAACGGTCGCTGTCATTCGTTCTGGGCGGCCTCCGGCTGGACGGACTCTGGCCAACATTGACCACTGGCAAGTACCGGCGACAAAGAATGGCGTCGTAGCTGATCGACGCCGGCGTGGAGACAGGGATGACAGGTGCAGACGTGGAAAAGGGTGGCAACCGCCCCAGGGTCCCCTACCGCCTCAACGTTGTCCGTACGCCGCCCGTCGACGATGCACCTTTTGCTGTGCAACCTTGGCTGACGATGAAACTGAAGGAGCTGCGATGACTACGGCCACCACCCACTAATGCCACGCCATGCTGCAAAACTTTGCTGATTGACACTGCCATCGTGTCCCAGAAATTGGCGTCCTGGGAGGAAACTCTCATCGAGCCTGCGCCACACAATGGCACATGATGGCCCCCAGCTGCAATCTAGCCTGGCACGCTTGCAGTTCGTGACCGAAGACACATTATGCACTGCACCCCTGCCGTGCCCGAGACTCGCGTGGCTGACGTCTTTGGGAATTGGGATGGCTGCGGAGCTAGTCCGACATGGTGGGTGAGACTCGTTCTTTGTTGGACCTGAAGACTCTTCTCCTCGGATTCACGCTTGGTTATTTATCGGTGACGACGCACGACGGATTGTAGGCGGTGGTGATCCAGATCTGGAGCACTCGCCCTCTGGCCTCTGGGGGACGAATCCCAACTCGGCGTTGTGACATTACCCGAAGGGCACAAATAAGGCTACATAGCATTGTCAAACATGAACAGCGACGTGCGGCTGTGACAGTAAAGATCAACACGCCGGACGGACATCTGGAGGCCGGCCAACTAGAGCTCCAGTTGCGAGTCGGGCATGGTGATCGAAACGAACGACGATGGGCGCGACGGCAGGGGCTTGAGGGTGGAGACTCGGGAACCAACACCGAACCCGTGGCGAGGGTGCCAATCAGTGGGGACTGACAAGCGCTGCCAGTCTGACGACAGCTCCACCACTCGGAACGAGCACTCCCCAGTTGAGGGCCAGAGACTCTGGTCGCCACGGCGGGCAAGGATGGCCGCCCAGGCCGAGGCTACGGTCGCCCACGTCGAACGGTTGGAAGGAGTGGTAGGACCCGTTGCCACCGTGGCCGTGGTCGGATGTGGTCGCCGCAGGCGCCGGCGACGACGAGGCGGACTGTGCCAACTTGGGTGTGCCGGGTGGCGTGTCCAGTACGGTACCGTAGGGTCCCAGGCTGTTGGCCGCGGCACCAGAGTCGGCGGCAGGCGTTGTGGGGCCTGGGACGGGTCCAGGAGAAGCATTGGTCAGGACATCGGGTGAGGCGTGCGTGTTGCCCCAGTCCTATGCAGTCCTAGATGCGGCACGTGTCGCCACACTGCAAGCGCCCGCGCGTCTTCTGCGAGAGGACGGGGAACGGGAGGTCCTCGAGGGGAGGCTAGAGCTACGTGTCCGTGTCCGTTTCGGTCGTGTCCTGGCCCGGCGTGGTGAGCTGGGTTGGGCTTGGATCTTGCTGAATCCTGGGCATGTCCTTGACGCGCACAAGGGCGCGTCCCTTGGGCGGGCCGGCGTACATTGGGCGCTTCTTGGTGTAGGGGGCGAAGCGCGATCCCCTGCCGCCGGTGCCGCCGCTGCTGCTGCTGCCACTCAGGAAGCGGGAGCTGGGCTCCGGCGTGGCCTGAGTGACGGGGAGCTCCAGCCCCACGACGCTAGAGGGGGGGCCACTACCGGACGGTGCGTCGTCGTCGTCAACTACCGTGTCACCCCCGACCGTCCAGTCCGAGGGCACGCAGGTCACGTGTGTGAGCTCGGCAAACTGGCGGCGGAAAGCATCCTGCTGTTCAAAGGTAGCGCGGCGAGTGTTTCCAAACATGTACGATGAATCAAGCAGCTCGTCGCTAGCGAGACGTTAGCAGCAATAGAATTCATATGGCAGACGTACCGGTAGAGGCGGTGTGCGCCGTAGCCGTGGAGGCAGTCGGGGTACGTGGTGTCGAGGATGTAGCCCTTGACCGAGGAATCCGTAATCCACGCCGTGCTAACACAGGCCACGTCCCGGCGATTGCGACCGCTGTAAAGGTCGACAAGCTTGTAGAACTGGATCTCCATCTGCTTGCGAGACACAATACCCATGTTCATGGGTGGATCATCCAAAAAGTAAACGTTGATATCGGCGACCTTGTGTGAGTGGACCATGCGGCCCTCGCCATTCTGTCAATGTCAGCCGTAGAAAGCGACAGCGCATGATGAAGCTTACTTTGTCAGCGCCAGTGGAGAACGCTGAAGATGGGTGTGATTCAGGAATGCCACGACGCCCAAAAGTGTTGCACACAGGGGCGAAGAAGTTGGGAGAGTCCATGGATGGCAGGATGGTATTCTATGGAAGCAGTTAGCTCCCGTCCAGGTATGGCGAGACGAACCTAGAGACCACAGCTTGATAAGGCCAGGACGTCATCACGCAGAATACGTCACGCTGGTTGCGTCTCCCGTAGCATCGAATCAACTTGAAGAACTGTTCGTCCTGCTTCTTGCACCCTCCAACGACATGCCCGAGTCGAGAAGATATGCGTTCATCCCTGGAGCGCAGGGCCAGCTGGAGGGTGTTTAGAATACTAGGGTGTACAGCAGCGCGGCAGTTGTGGATGTCGTCGACGATGTCTAGCTTGAGTTGAGGGTGGCACAGTATCTACCGTGGTGGTGCAAAATGTAATCATATGCAAAAGACTCGTGTTAACTGTCGCAAAAAGCAATAAGAGTGAGACTTGAACGAGTCCCGAACCAATCTTGCAGTCCGGGATTCGAACCCCTGGCCTCGTGAGGCCAGTACGGATCCTCCACAGATGCGGCGAGTGATCGCTCACCCATTGCCGACTCACCAGTGACCTAGCCGGTTAACCGCCAATTCCGTGCGTCCTCATATAGCCCGAGGCGCAGCTACCAAAAAACGGAGTTGCTTAACATTTGTTTGCCCATCAAGCGCTTCATGCTCTTTGCTGCTTTACAGATGTGTGTCCCCTCTGTTATGATCAAACCACTGATCCACTGACCTATCCGTGGGGAGGATGCCAAATAGCCGTCAACATCCTTTTTAAAATGATATTTATGTTTAGCTGTCATGTCCCCTGCCCACAGCGGTACACTATCTTGTTCTTTCCTTTCTGTTTCCGGGCCCACACACTCCCTCCTCTTGGGTATAGGTAAGCAGTCCATGCGTGCATGAGTGAGTGGAAAGAGGCTGTATACACCTACTTTGGTCAAAGGAGACAGTCCATCACGCACAACAAGGCTGTCGTTCTGCCACTCATGCCTGGCATCCTCCACGAAGCCGTAGAGACGCACTCCGGCGCTTATGGCAATATTGCCAGTCTACATGCCTCCAGTCAATTTGCGGAGAGATGTCATCTTGACCGCGCCTGCCCCATTGACCGCCGCTGGGAATGAATTGCTGAATCGCGGCACGCGAACATGGCTTGCAGGTGTAACAAGTGTTGTTCTCAATGGGATCTCCTTCCCACACCATGCCTCTACTGAAGGGAGGATTTACCGTCCTCAGATGTTCCAAGGAGCGTTGCATGCGTTGAAGCAAGTCATTTGACCGCCGTGATATTGGGAACGACGTCTGGACTGGGACAGGCGGGCGCGCGTGTCCGATCCCCACACTACGATGCATGCCAATGTGTACCAGCTCTAACTAACATCTTGGCCTGCAACGTGCATACTCTGGACACGGTCATGAGACATGGAGTGGCATAGGTGGTGCATAGGGGCAACCGAAACGGAACAGCCTAATATGAGGGTTCGAGTACATGTGGTTGATCGAGAAAGTCAAAGAGAACAGAACGACAAGTTGAACCCGCTGAAAGCTTAGCAATCAGGTTGCGAGTCGGGAATTGCGCTCCAGGCGGGTGAAGTGCTGCGAGACGGAGCGTTGCGGTAGGGAGTGGTGGGCGGTGACTCTGGAACCAACACCAAACCTGGAGAGCCGGCATCCATCTGCGGAGAGGCTGGGGGGCTGCCTGCCTGGGAGTCATCGTAGATTGCCGAGGGCGGCCTTGCAGTCTGCGGGGTGCTGGATGTGGGCCATCGCGACGGACGGGGGAGGGTAAGCTCCGGAGCAGAGGCGGTCGTCGCCACGGCGCGGTCCAGACGTGGGGCAAGCAGGTCGAGGTCATTGTGGAATTCCCGCATGGACCGGATCGAGGAGCTGCCGAGGCGGTAAAGGTGGGCTGTATAGCCCCGGTCGAGCCACGGCCGCGCGAGCCACTGCGACAACGACGACGCCTCGGGCGCCTGTGGGGGAATGTCCAGTATGGTTCCGTAGGGTCCGAGGGCGACGTGCGGAGCCACGTCAAGAGCGGAATCGGCGCTGGTGGTGGGGTAAGCGGTGGCGTCGGCAACATTGAGGAGGGTGCCACAAGGGCCAAAGAATCGGGGCGGGGCGGGTCGCGGAACAGCACCAGCGGTGGTTTCGTGGGCCTCGGGGGACGCGTTCCAGTGGCGCCCGCGGCCATTGCCCCTTGTAACCTCACGCTGGAGGGGCGGGCGCCTCCTCCTTTGGGACAGCGCGGGGAGGGGGAGGCCAGCCGAGGGTTCGCTGTCGGTGTCGGTGTCGCCGGGGTCCAACCCCAGCGCAGGGGTGTTCAATTGTGTAGGACTTTCACCTTGAGGGGTCGGGCGCGCGCCATTGACACGGAACAGAGCTCGTCCCTTTGGTGGGCCCGAAGACACGGCACGTGGCCTAGCGTACGGCGTGTAGTGGTTGGTGCTGCTGAGACCGCCGCTGGCGCCGTCGCCACTGCCCCTGACGCTGCGAACGATGCTGGGGCTCGCCCGTGGACTCAGCGACTGGCCCCACAGCGGCGGCGTCGCCTGCGTAACTGGGAGCTGCAACTCGTGGATCGGGGTGGGGGTTCCACTGCCTGACGGGGAATTGTCGTCCTCCTCGAACTCATCGTTGTCAACGGCGGGGCGGGCGCCGATCGTCCACGGCATTGGGGTAATCGGCAGGATCTGGCGTCCCATGGCGGCTTGACGCCTGATCTGGTCCTCGCGAGTGTCGCCAAAAATATACGACGACCGGGGAAGGTCCTCCCTAAACGGACGTCAGTGATCAGTGGCCATTGCAAGTGAAGGGGGGAGAGGGGACACATACGCGTACAGCCTGTAGGGTTCAAAGCGGACGTGGTGGTCTGGGTCGTAGAAGCCCTTGGCAGCGACCTCGTGTACCCAGGCCGTGTTGACACAGGCCACGTCTGTCCGCTTCGAGTCGCCATAGCGTTCCACTAACTTGAAGAATTCCACCTCCAGTGTTGTCCGAAGCGGTCCCGCCCGCATTGCCATGGACGGGTAGTCCAGCAGGAATACGTTAATGCTGGCCATCTTGTGGGACGTGACCAGTTGGCCGCCGCCGTTCTGTTATTGTAAGTCTTGTAAACAGTCAAAGACCAGCCAAACGTACGCGGATGATCAGGGCGATCAGCTCAAAAGACTGGTGATGTGGTGACAAGTATGCCACTATACCGGCAAAGGCGAGGTATATGGGTACGTTGGGTACCGATACGACGTTCATGGGGATTGATGTGGAGGATTGATCGTCCATAGGTAGCTGGGTGATGGGGTGATGGGTGATGGAAAGATGAGTCAACACACAGATCGGCGGTGGCTATCAAATCCCGCGCGCACCCTCCCAACGTGCGGCTCCAAAACCTGCGGCCACCAATCTGCTGGTTGGAGGCCCAACGGGTCATGCACCTGCCGCCTATTGTGACACTGATTCAAAGGCTATATCGTTTAGGATGTCCAGAACAACGCGACAGTGAAGGCGATCGGCCATACATAACACCTGGGGGGCTTACCAGCAAAACCCAACACAAGTGGTATGTGTGCTTTCGGTGGATTCCTTGGAACATGTGCCGCCTATGTCCCCACTCTTATGTACATAATCCGTCATCGAATTTGTAAGGCAGAACCCAAACAGACGACAGACAGACCAAGCCATAACGCTGCACCATACAGTGCCGCCGTCAAGGCCTTCCTGACTAGAAGCATCTGCAGTCTCTCCTTCCCTCGCCAATAAAAAAATAAAAATCCCCATCGTCCGCCGCTGACGGTTGACCGCTAACGTCCGGTCTATCCATCCTCTGACCATCTTCGCAGAACAGTTGTACAGCGGGGGACTGTCTTAATGCAGTGGTGGCGGCTCTTGTGACCGACCATAGATGCCAAGCTGTGGCAGGGAGCGTCGTTACCATCCCTCGTCTGCGTTCCCTTCTTCCCGGCGAGGGGCTCCGGCGGCCGCTCCCAAGCTCACCGTAGGCGCTTGTTAAGGTACGGGGAGAACAGGGCTCATGGTAAAGAGATGGAAAGCACCATGACAGGGTCCGCTACTAGCTGAACGTTGTCGGTGAGCCGGACGTCGAACCTATCGTTCGAGCGGGGACCTTCACGTCAGCGACTGCGGTTCAACCGCCGCGTGCGAAGACACTCAAACAACGTCCGTTGGCCCTGGTCCCCGAACAGATAGCACTTATTCACCGAGCTAATAAGCCGTCTGATGATAGTCTTCCATGAACCGGACTCCTGCCAGGGACCACTGCGCCATCCAGTGCCACATGACACTCCCAAGCTCGCAACAGGCCTGGAGTTCGTCGCAGGCCGAGAGTTCGTGAGCGAAGACGTTCATATAGGATGCGAAGTGAGCCTCTGGGTGTGTGTGGCCACGGGACTGGATGTCTTTGGCAGGGCCGTGGTGCTCTTTTGAATATGGTCGGTGGGATTCGGTCTTCGTTGGCTCCGCAGAAGGGTGTACTTTGATTTACCTTTTGAAATTTGGGTGTGACGCTGCTCGACAGATCGCAGATGGTAACGATAATGTCAGAATGTCAGACGAGAACAGGGAGAAACACCCGGACCGGGAGCAGGAGCAGCACGTCCGATGTACTCGGGGAGGAGGTGGCAGTGAGGCGGGGTGTGTTAATGTCAGATGTGTGAACCGTTCCAAGGTAGCGGAAAGGACCACTCACCAGAAAAGACGCAGACCGCCACGGCTCTCCTCAGAGGTGAGCAGGACACCACGGTGAGTACAGTGCTTGATGTACGCCCAAGGAACGACGAAGACGGGCGTCATGTGGTCGGCGACGGGCGCGTGCTCGTGGAGGTATTTGGTGGCTGCGTCGATCGAGGGCTTGATAACGTCTTCGGTTACGGTGTCCGCGTAGTTGCTCTGTGGTCGGTCGACCGCTACGAGCTTTACCTGCTTGCCACTCTTGACGTTCTTCTCGACGTTTGCACCCATACCCTGCACTCATGTCAGTCTGCTAATCATGTCTACATGAGAATGACCGCGACGCCAGGAGTACCAGACGACAGGTCTGTCTATACCCCCATGTGGTGACGTGGAGGGAAGGCGGCACTCACACGAAGGAGAAGGCGACCCCGGTGCCGGTGCCGATGGGCGAGTTTGGAATGGAATGGTAGCCAATGCCCCCGGCGGCGATGGCGCGGGGGAACAACTGGCGGGCGATGACTTCAGGCTTTGGTAGGTCGGAGTGCGGTGGATAGAGCAAGCAAGTTGATGTTTCGTTGGAGGACGGGGTGGGACAGCCTTGCATGAGGGATGCTGCGTGTTAGGGGGTTAGCTCCCAGCTCGTACCTGCGATGACATAGGAGGGTCATCCATTCAGGTCGTGAGAGGATGTCAGCGCTCAGGAAGGAAAGGCGTTAGCAGCATCAGCAATCCGCGGCTCCCACTGGTTGCGGTGGTAGCAACTTCTGGGGCTGGTAGTGAGCAATTCAGCAGACAGCAGCCTTGAGGCCCTTGAGGGTAGCTTGCAACGCTTCACTGTTGCACAGTCCTAACGTCTTCCTTTCCTCACAGGAGCACGGCCAGCTGCTTCGTAAGTGACCGCCATCTGGTGCATACACCTCCCTATGTGCCAGTCCACAACACCGGCCGTCCTCCCAAAGCCAACAGTCTAGCCCCGTAACCGTCTTTCTGTCGTTCTTGCTATGTGCCTACACCGGAAGCTATGGCGGGAGCGTAACCGCATAGTCCTCGGCGAGAGGTTTGTCATTCGTATCGAGTCTGGCCAGTACCCACTCGAACGACACAAGTTCGGCCCCGTTCTGGATCTGCCAGCGGAGGCGAGGCACGAGGGTCGGGTCGCCGGTGTAAGGACCCCTAGGCTGGGGCAGTACGACGAACCACACCATCTCGGTCAACGGGGCGATTACGGCGCCTTCGGCCTGGTCATTGTCAGCCCGAGATGTTTTAGACAAGGCCCAGCACTTACTGCACAACGGTTGGCAAGCTCGTCCTGGTCGCCGATAAATGTCATCGTGATGTGTTCCGGACCGCGGGGATAGAATACCAGCTGGCGTGGCATGGTGCCTTGCTGGCTGGCTGGTGTTTCTGGCGCACAAGCGAAAGAAAGAGCCACTTCGAGCGAGGAGGAGACTAAGATGAGGCGGCAGAGAGCGAGAGAGATGGACAGAGACAGAGGGCGTGGCGTGTCGGCTTGCGGGGTGGCCTGTGTTTCCTGCGCACTCGAGAAAGAGAGAGCGACAGCGAAAGAGCAGGAGAAAAAGATGCAAAGCGAGACGCGGAGAGAGAGAGACAGCGAGAGATGACGGGGGATGTCGGCTTGGTGGCTGGACTGTGTTTTGTGCGCACTTGAGGGGGAAAGATGGCAATGGAGAGAGAGAGAGAGAGAGACAGAGAGAGACAGAGAGAGAGAGAAACAGGACGATGACGTTTGGATGTCGTCCATACGCCATCCGCAACCGCAGCCTGTGTTTGGCGCCCAGCGCGTCACTTTCCCACGCCCAAAACATCGTTTCCGGGTAAACGGCAGAACAATCTACCCACTGTACCGCTGTACCCACTGTACGGACGTCCCTACGGTGACGCGAAGTTGCGCTGCGGCATGTATCCCCACGCGCCATTGCCAGATCCACAGACATGAGGGGCACTCGGTCCGTGCGACAGGAGCGGGGGGTGAGCACTGGCATTTTTGCGGGGAATTTTGCAGCGCATTAGGGCAATAGGCAGTGGGTGCAGCGTGGGGGGTGCTGTGCGGTTGCCGCTGTCAAAGGCAAAAACACTCTCGCTTGGCCATTTTGACAGTCTTCGCTCTTGTCAACCTTCCTCAAACACCACCACTCACACCACTCACACCACCGCTCACAGTACAACCATGCGCTTCCGTCTTCGTCTTTATCTCATCGACAAAGTCGTCCTCACTATGTTCGTCTCGACACTCTGCATCCTCTCCCGTCTTCTTTTCCGCCAGCTCCTCCGTCTCGTCCGCCTGGCTTTCCCCTCCCTTTCTCCCGGTGCTCTCCTTGCTGCTCTGTTTGTTTCTGCTGTCGCCCACCCCATCTGGTGGATGTTCGACCAGAAAGCGCTCCTCGAGCAGGAACACGATAGGGCCTTGGAAGGTATTTGGGTCTTCGTCCAAAGGATCCAAGTGCCCGAGCCAGACCTGCAGCATCCTGCCGAGGAAGCACGGGACAACGTCAAGGTAGGCTTTTGATATTGCGTCTGGTATGTGCCAAGAATTAACAGTTACAGGCGCGCGGGGGCAAGCGTCTCAACAACGTCAACAGTCCCATCATCAAGGCCGTGGCAGTGCAGCTACCCGTCCAAGACGGCAATCCCTATGCCGAAATCGGCGAACACACGCCTGCGATGGATGAGGCCAAGGCCCTTCTTCTCCGCTTCGCTCCCACTGTCGACCGCCGCCAGCCGATCCCCGTCTACGCGTGCAGGGACGGCATTGTGGACATGCGTCAACGCATCTACTGGTACGCGCCTTGTGCAAGTCGCGTTTAGCAACCCTGCTGACCACTCAGGCCCGACGTTCAGCACCGCTTTGTAAAGCAGACAAAACTCTCGCCTGGGTTCCAAACCTGCTGCTACGCCCTGGCGTGTAGGAGCCTCGAGGTCACCTTCGCCTTCGTTGACGTTGTCCGCGCCGTGTGTGCCGTGTTCCTCGGACGCGTTGCTCTCAGCATGGTCCTCCTCCGCGCTCCACAAACGGCCATCTGGCTTTTTACGCGCGCGGACATCCTGTGTGAGAAAATCGACACCCCGCTTCGCACCTGGATCCGTGATGAGTACTGGAGCATTGCCGACCGTTACCCGCAGTTTGCCATGGGCCCCGACCCTCGTCCGTGAATGCCGCAGGAATGCCTAATTGTTTTTACTTTAAAAATGCAACTTTGTCCTTCGGCGTTCTTGCTCGGTTTGAACTGTTAACGGCCAGAGACTCTTCACCGGACATGTGCCGTGCCGCTCGTTGCACACGCGCTTCGTGTCGCCCCGAAGACCGCGCGCGCTTCGCACTGCAGCTCATATAATGGGTAAGTAGTGCTTTGTGTACTTGGACCGCTTGCGTAGACATGCAGCCGACAGTTCCGCGGTCCAAGTACACACAGCCGCAAGGCCAAGTCATGTCTGGTGCGGGGTACCTGCTACAGGGGGAATGGGGCATACTCCACGCCAAGTACGGCATGAGGTGGCAGTAACAGCTACATACTAAACAAACTATTCCTTTAAAGGGTACTGACGATTGGGAAAGAGGTGTAGGAGTGCATGTGGGGTTGCTTAGTGGCAGATCCCGCATGCAGCTGGCTGTTGAAGGGGGAAAAAAAAGTCCGAGTAAGAGACTATCGACGATGACAAGCAAGGGCTTCTTGGACCCGGGCGAAGTTCCGAGAGGATTGTTTCAGTGGGCGGTTTTGGCCCTCTTGCTTGGCTTGGGAAGCTTTTCGAGCTTCACCATGAAGGGCTTGAATGGTATCGGGTTTCCTTTGCCAAGCGGGACGCCTACCCACTCGCAGGAGACGATGACCGACGCACCCTTGCTGACGTCCCATAGGGCCGCCAGCTGTTCTGGGGTGTCGGTGTACACCTGTCTGGCTACGGATTCCACAACGACAACCTGCGGCTGCTGCTCAAGGCGCTGGATGACTGCTCCATGTTCCTAGGGAACGTAAGCGTGGTGTTTACTGGGCTAACGTACACGCAAAGTCGGCTCGAAGCGGTCGCCTGCACCAATGAGGGCGACAGTGACGGGAAAAGTGCGCTTCTGCACAAACGAGTGCGAGAATGAGGTTGCTGCCGGGTTCTGGGCCGAGGGGACGGGTGGACAGCGAGCCACCCTGGGAGGAGGCGGGTGTTTCGGTGCCGATTTCGAAATCCGACGACCGGCGACGTGCCGCGGCTTGGTCATTTTGCCTCAGTGGCGAGGGGGAAGCTGTGTCGGTGCCTGGAGACCAATGGCCACCACCCAGGATTTCAAAGTCCGACATTATGTCCTGGGTGTGGTCCAGAGGCTCAAAACGGTTGTTGAGACTGGAGGATGGCGGCTCTGGGCAGTGCTGGCCGCTGACGTTGGAAGTGGCGTTTCTTGTTCTTTCTTGGAGAATTAACCGACGAGGGAAGTCGAGGGGGCCGGGTTTGGTGAGGACCGGGGCAGTCTGCTAGCATGCCCGACACGAGGCCCGGAAGGGCAGTTGCTTGGCGGGGCAAGAAGAGGTCGAGGTCGGCCCTGTTGTCAGCTAAAGAGGAGCAGCACAATACATACCTGGACACGAGCCACTTGTCGTCATCCACCAGGGCCTTGCGGTTGAGGACCTCGTACAGCCAACCCTCGTGAACGACACGGATTCCGGGAGGATCGCCATACGAGGTGCAGAACGTGTCGACGATGCGGTCCAGGTCCCAGTCCTCTCCGCTGTTGACTGGAAGAGGCGCTTTGGGAGCGTACACGATCTGTCCAGGGGTATCCTTGCCCCCAAGGCTAGGACCCCATGCCACGATATGGGTTGTGACGAGATCCAAGGGGTAGGCGACGACTTGGCCACCGAGACGCTGGCGGTTAGGGATAGAACAAGGACAGATGGACAAAGAGAGGATACTCACCACGATCAGAATGACCTTCTCGGCGGTCTTCTGCGGCAAGCAGCCACTCTTTTGCATGAAGAACGCGAATCCTGATAGGGGTTTTTGCGGGGGGGTTGCCCCCACCGCAGTAGTGGGAGTGGACATTGGGCGAGTGGTGTGTGGGACAGCGCTCAGCCAAAAGGGTTAGGGCGTGGTTGGCTGAGTGGATGGGTGAAAGAAGAAGAAGTAGAGGGGTAGAAACGAGGTGGCGAATTCCTTTATGCAGATGTGTCCGCGCGTGTCGTGAACTGTCTTGTGCATCTGTGGGTAAACAGGCAACATCTGGAGGGCTGGCTTAGGCACGTGCCACAAAGTTATAACATGTCTGACAAAACCAAACAAACTGGCAGCAAGGCTCAACAGCTGACATGCCTTTGTCCGTTGTCCTGACCGGCCACACCAATGGCAGCTTGGCCAACATCCCCATCCCAGTTGGTTAGACCAAGACGATCGTTCTTTGGTGCTACGACTGCACGCCGTCAGTCATTCATTGGCACGTATACCATGACTGCAACTCAGTCTCTATCGACTTCAAAATCACAGTAGCAAGTTGTGCCAGCACCGAAATGGAAAGAGGTGTTGGTAGAGCACTGACCCACTCTGCCACTGTGCTGTTAATGAGGTCTTTCGGCCGTCGCCAGCCTCAAAGTGAGAAGTTCTTCCACATCCTTGGTGAAGTAGAGGTAGAGGCTTTTGTTGGTGGCGGACGTTGGGTAAAAACGAGGTCATCCAAACCAACATGCGGTGCGGCCCAACGCCGATATCCAGTGGACAGCGGATGTTTTTTGCATGGGCCCTACATGCACACACGTAGCGTCTGCAGCATCGGCTGACAATTCGGTTAACGGGCATGCAATTTCCACAGGCCACAGGGCGTGGACATGTACATGGGAGGGCGGTTGTGGCCAGCAGAGGCATTCGGGTTGTATGCACGGAGGGTTGAATGGATGGGCCTTGGGGGGCTCGGGTCAAAATCAGGTAATGGGTGCAGCAAAAATGATTGGCCGCATCAAATTCGAAGACTCGAACCCCCCGCCGTTGCAAGGGCAATGCTCCACCTGTGTGCGAGAAGGGGAAGTATTCACAGCCAACTCAAGCATGGAACCATTGTGCTGTTCAGGTCGCTGTCCTGTCCGCGCGAATGCCCATATAAACTACGCTGGTGGCAAGTCGGATTATGGAAACCGATTGCACCACAAAATGTGGCACAGGACCGAATGCTCTGTCTGTTTCGTCTCGGGCTTCTCTCGATCTCATCTTTATAGCAGGTAGATCTATAGACGTGTATGCATCCCCATCCTTTTCCATATGATAGTATTGCCGTAGCGAAAAAACTATTGGTCGCGGGACCGCCGGATTACAATTTCCACCGTCAGCGCCTCCTATGAACGAAGCCACTTGCCACTGGAAATCTCCAGCGCAATTGACGCCATCTCTTGTCCTCAATGCAGAGCTTTTGCTTTTACATTTCACTGCCCGCTGGTGCTCGCTGGCTGGTCAGTCGTCACCTGCCGGGTCACCTCGGTGACACAAAAACAGAGGAATCGCGCACCGGGGTGTGATGTATGTATTGCTTGAGGAGACGTCACCGGTCGCCTGTGGCAGGTTTTGTCCCATTACCCCGGTCGCTCATGGAGAGATACAACGAACAAACCTGTTGCCAAAATAGCATAGCGCTGTTGGCGATGCATAAACGACCCAAAATCACCATGGAAAACGATATTTACTGCCTCAGCTCTGATGGAGCAAGTGGGTTGCACAGACAACGGGCCACAGGCCACTGTGGATAAGTAGATGTCGTATCCGGCTGGTTACACCCACTACTCCCCCGCTAGCGACTTCTGAAAATGTGCTGCGAGCAAATGTGCACTGTTGGGGGACTTGTCAAGCAAATGAGCAGGTGAGTCAACTCGACGCAAGGCAGTGCGGAGGCAACGCGGATCCAATTTTCCTATGTGGCCAAACGTGTGTGCACAAACACCACATAAACGGCGCCCACACTGTGACGCCGATCTCTCTTCTCCATCATCCATCGACACGCGCTCCATCATGCCTCCCATCCACAACAACAACAGCAACAACAACAACAACAACAACAACAACAACAACAACAACAACAACAACAAAACGCTCTTCGCCGGCTACACGGCCCTGGTCGCGTTCGCCCTCGGCGTCGCTCCCAAGACCGCCCGCGAGTGGCGTCGCTCGCTGCAGGTACGTTCCACCTTTCTCCCCGTGGCCGCCGTTCCACCGCCGTCCAGCTTAGTATACCTCTGGCGTTTTTGAAGAACTGACTTGTGGCAGGAGCAGCTTGGTGCGGACGTGTCGTCCAACACCAAGACCCCCAAGGCGTTCAACCTCGTGGTCGTTGGTCTTCCTCAAGAGGCATACGGCGTCGACGTGTCGGTCGAGACCATTGAGAACTCAATGGCCACCTCGGCCGCCTACATCAAGACGTACGCCCCGACCATCGACCCCGACTCGGGCGTTGTGGTGGTGACGTACGACTTCATCAAGCAGTCCCGCCTCCAAGGACGCGTGTTTACGGCAGCCGACAACTGGGGCGGCTACCGAGTGTACTGGTGAGCGCCTCTTGCAATGCACACCCACTTCAAAGGTGCTCACACATCCGTCTCAGGCCATCGGTCCGCCACCTCTACCCCGCCCGCTTCGGCGGTACCGCGCCCGAGGCCGTCCTCCCAGCTCTCGACGTCAAGGCTGAGCAGGAGGATGAAAAGCCCGACGTCAAGCCCGAGCCCATCGAGCCTGTGCCCCTCCCCGGCCCCGATCTGGATCTGCTCGGCCCCCAGGTCGACGAGCCCGAGCCTGCCCCCGCCCCCGCCGTCCCCGTCGTGGACGCTGCCCCTGAGCCCGATGCTCAGGAGCAGGACCACTTTGAGGGCCAAGACGAAGGTCGCGAGATGACCCTCGCGCAGCTTCTTGCGCAGGAGGAGGATGAGGATTTCCGCCGTAGGGTGGAGGGCAACAGGTTGTACCGCCTGGCCCTGCTGGAAGGTGATCGTCTCCGCAGCATTGTCCGCACGAGGTACGACTAGGAATCCACGCGGCGAGAGGAGCGCCAGTTGTCATGTAGCCGAGGCGGAGAGTGTACGAGTGAGAGGGCGTTGACATGAGACGCATATGCAATGTACTACCTGGTATCGTGCACTTTGTTACACACACACACACAAAAGGCGTGTCCACGCGTTCCACGAGGAGGGACCCATTTCCGCCGTACAAGAGACGGTTAGCAGGAGTAACTCTCTCCAGTGAGCGACTGTGAACGGTTGCAACTCGCCTGAACAGGCGCGCATCCTCCCACTGCCACTCGTTAATCTCTCGTGCCATCGAGCTTATCAATATGCAGCATATCCGTCGTCGTGCTCCGTATTTGGTGGTGATGAGTCTGATCCCAGAATCGACGTTCATTACAGACCGACCCAGTGTCAATGTAGATACACATGTGTCATCGCGTCGCAAGGTGCATTGTGCATGCATGTTCAGGCCCCCACCCTCACACCATCTTGGCATCCTCGCCACCTTCCACGTCGGCTTCTCACATGTCGTTGTGGTGAAGCATCGCCCACTTGTAGCCACGCTCACTGCCAGCCATGAATGCCTGGCCGTCGGGCGTGGCGGGACAGTCCTTCTCGTCCATTTTCTTCTTTGTCTGGCTCGAGGGCTCTGGGCGAGATCGAACAGCAGCCTACGCTTGAGTACGGCGGACTGCTTTGCTTGTGCCACAGTGCAGTTTGAAACTGCATTTTCACTGTGAACTGTGTACAGCACACACGATGCTGTGGTTTGACTATCGTGCGATTGAGGCGCGGCGACCTCTTACAGACTGGGTTGTAGACAGAACACAGACTGACTTTCATCATGTACTATTGAAAAGCAACCGGGAATGTACAATACTTGGGCACAGCGGGCATCAGAGTATACCATCAACAAGCCCATGATGATGGGCGTCACTAGCGGGCGCCGCGAGGACGCACCACGCGGACCTCCATGCTCCTCATAAACGCGTCACGGGTGCGGGCGTAATCGTTCTGCTCCCTCCTCTCATTGTCTTCCGCCTGGAGCATCTCCGCAAACGTGGGCTCACGGTCACCAGGGGGAGGGGGCAAAGGGGGCGCACAGTGGGAGGACGAGCTGGAGGTGGACCAGGCGCAGCGACAGGATCGAGACGTGGACGCGCAGGGGGAGGACGAGCGGGGAGGACGAGAGCAATGGCAGCTGGCGCAGTGCCTGCCAGACGTGCCGGGAAGAGGTAGCGATGGGACGGCCTAAAGACACATGTCAGATGTTTGCACTGTTTCACGTCAGGGCAAACGGCCACTCACCAAAAGAGTCGCATACCGCCCCAGTTATGCTCGGCGACAAGGAGGTATCCGAGGCGCTCGCAGGTCTTGATATAATGCCAGTTTACGACGAGGACGGGGGAACCATTGTCAATTACCGACGCGTACTAGCGCAGGTACGTTGCGGCGAGGTTAACGGAAAAATCGATGACGGCCTGGGGACGGGCGGGAGAATGTGAGGCAGTTACTTGGTCGCGATGGTGGCGATGCGGACTTCGTAACGGTCGGCACAGACGACCCGACCCTGGTCTAGACAATCGAGGAACCACCACTTGGAAACGCATTGCGAACCACCCTTCCTGCTTTTTCGCAGCTCCTTGAGGTCATAGTTGTTGCCTTGGAAGGTGGCGCCAGCGGGCAGGTCAAAGACGAGAAACCTGGGAGGATTTTCGAGGTTCTTGACGGCATGCGCCGACAGACTGAGGCGTGTGAGCGCTGTGCGCGCACACTAAAAAGGGTGCCCCCCCCGCTCCGTTTACAGGCGCCTACGACATTTACTTACAATAGCGGCCGGGCTGAGGCGGTAGGCGGTGCTGACAAAGTAGATTGTGACAGCAGCTGGTCGGTTCATTTGAAAAAGGAGGATGCCATACACGGGAAGGGGAATAGGCGCGTCGGTACTGGTCTCGAGCCCTTGTGGGCGAAGTGGACGATTGACATCGACGGCCTCGAGGGCCTCCCCGGCGGGAACGTGCTTGAAGGCATCGGCACCCGAGCTGCCCGAAGGATGCATGTCGCGGGCTGCCAGATCGAGCGCTGGATTGTCGGGGTCGCGTGGGAGAGGAATACGCTCCTCGCGCAGGGCAAGGTCGCATTCACGTTGGATCAGGGCGTCGAGGCTCTCCTCGAGCTGCTTCTGCGTCTTGACGAGCTCGTCACAGGTGCTCTTGGCGGTTGCCACTGTAGCCTTGATCTTCTTGATGGCTGCGCGCAGTGCGTTAATAGCCATGTTGTTGAGCCAGTGGAGTGAGATGGGCGTGGTAAAAGAACCATCCGCTCGTCACGCAGAGCTTGCCCCCAGCTCTCTTCAGGACGTCCGCCGCACCGGTTCACCAGGTTGAGGAACTCTGCTTGGGGGGGGAGGACCGTCCCCTTTAGACAAGGTGAGGGCCAGTCCACGACGATGCGGTTTACCCTGGGGTCGTGCGGGTTCTCCAACATAACTTCCCTGCCGCGCTGGTGCAGTGTCAACGAGAGTGACTTGACAAACGGCAAGGTCACACTTACAGCAATCTCCAGAGAAACCAGGCAATACAGGGGGTGGCGGATGGAGATGAAGATGAACATGTCCTTGTACGGTACCCCTTTGGGCGAGGTTGCGTGGAGGCGAAGGTAAAGAGCAGTGGCGTCCATAGTGTGCGTGTGAGTAAGGGGTGGTAGTGGAAGAGGACACAAGGTGAGAGTGGTGTACAGCGTGTGGGTGGGACGTCGGGGCGAGGAGGAACAGGTCGTCTGGGCCGAAGCGCAGGGCCTGGGGTGCAATGGAGCTCAGATGGCGGACCATCGACGTATGTGGTGTTGAAACGAGTGGCAAGAAGAGAAACAGAAAGATACAGCGCCGCCCTAAATACCCCGAGTCTGACCACCCAAGGCACCGTGCCCTGCCACCACATGCTGGTTGGCCGCCCTTGCTTTATTCACCCTGCTACGCCCTCCTCCACGCGCTGATGCATTGGTGCAGGCCTAGACTTGGTACCATGGGAAACCGGAGTCTCCAGGTGCGCTTCCGCCCCGGTGGAACGAGTGCGACTCTGCGCGCTTCGACGCCGGCGACCCACCCCTTTGCGGTTTGGCACGTTGCGGGCGCAGTTGATGCCGGCCCCCCATCGCTTCCGCCTCGGATTTGAGAAGCTCGGCAACTGAAGGCTGGGGACAGCGACAGGGGGCCGCGTGCGTGCATGCCATGGCAATCACTGCGGGACGCACTGGCGGAACCTGCAGTGTGTGCGGGTTACGGCCCTGTACACGACCTACGTGCTGGTGCGCTGGTGCAATGCCACCCATGTAGTTGCAGTAGCGAAACCCACGCCACCGGCATGAGCTTTGGCACGCAAGGTTTGAGTTTCGTTGTACACGCTACTTCGGGCACGTTATGGTCGCCCGTCTGTCACAGCTGTTTCGGCATTTCGCGCGGGTCGGCTGGCCACATGACACACTGACACACAGCGATGACCCGTCACACCGCCCCACTCTGGCTACTCGGTTTGCCCGTCATTCGGGGTGCGTATGTGGGTTGATCCCTCGTATCACACAGCTGTGGTCGATACACAGAAGATGATCCGACACCCCGTGTGAACCACCCACTCAGGCAGACCTCACAGGCGATTACCGCATGCGTCGTTGCGCTGACACCTCTGTGCCAAAAAAAACCCCATTTTGGGTCCATTTTCCGATTTTTTTTTGATTTTTTTTTCCCACCGCGCCACATTGGTGTCGAAAACCCCGGGTGACAAATACGCCCGTTTTGATTCGTCGCCGCCAACTCGGCCGCCAGCACATCCCCCCACCAAGCTCCCGACCGACGCCCTGCTCTCCATGCACGGCTTTAGAAGATTGCATAAATGCATGGTACACTACGAAAGGGTTATACACCCTCCCGACCCCGCGAGACGTCGCGGCGTTTTGGCTGGCTGGAGAAAAAAGAAAGAAAAGGAAACCTGAAACCGGAAGAAACATTATACTCGCCCGTTGGCGTCCCGTGGGCTCAACACGCCCCGCTCCTCCGCTCCCCCTCCTCCTCCTCCTCCTCCTGCCATACCCTGCAGACGCGCAAGCAGGCTCGCAGCGGCCTTGGCGGGCGGTGTGCTGACGTCGTGCCGCGCGACGCTGGCAGGTCCGTCCTCGGGCAGGTGGGCGTGGACGTGGGCGTGCTCCGGCATCTCAGCCTTGACAGCCTCGCTCGCGCGCATGGCTGCGGCGGTACGGCGGCGCGTCATGGGTCCCGGCCGCGGCTTGGGCGTGAGGTGCGGCTCGTCGTCGTCGCTGTGGACGTCGGTGAGACCCGGTGCAGCCGATGCGGGGGACACGCGGCGCGCGGTGGGCGTCGTGAGCGTCGTGGTCGTGGGCGATTCGGGGCGCGACAGCTGCGGCATGGGCGACTTTGGCCGCCGGGCCTGCGCCTGCAGCAAGGGCGAGGTGGCGCCGTTGGCAGAGAGACGGCGTGCGGCAGCCTCATCGGCAATCGTCTTCTGCAGGCTCGCTGGAATCCCGCTCACGCGGCGCGTGTGCACGACCGCGGGCGATTCAGTGACCACGGGCTGGATGCCGAGCGAGGACGGAATGGAGACTTGCGCCGAGTGCGTCGGAGTGAGCACGGGCGCGAGCGGGCGTGCCGGCGCCAAGTTTAGTTTGGATGGGCTCGCACTGTGTTTAATGTTGGGCGCCCCGGAATACGAGGACGTGCTGCCAAAGGAAATGTCCGAGATGCCACTGCTTGTCGCGTACGATGCCGAGGTGACGCGCGAGCTGGCTGGGGACAGGTGGTGGAAGGATGGGGTGGACGGGGACGGGGACGCGAGGAGCGAGGCCGTGGTGGTCGGGGTTCGCGCAATGGGCGACTCGGTAAGGTCGACCACTGACGAAGAGGAGGGGATGGTGAGAGTGTCGAGAGTCAGAGTCTGCTTAGGCAGAGACATAGACTTCTCCTCGGTCGACACCCTCTGGGCTTTTCCCTGGTCGCTGGGGCCGGCAGAAGACTGAACAGGTGCGTTCTCCTTGGCCGCGGCGGACGTGGGGGCCAGCAGACCAGGTCCAGGGATCGGGAACGTCTCCACTGCACCAGTCGCTGCAGGCTTGCCGCGCACTGCCCTCGGCTGACGCGCGGCTCCGGCGGCGCTCGAGCTCGCCTGGCCGAGAACGGCGGCCTTGGACTTGTTCGCGCCTGTACGACCGGGACGAAACGTCTCGCCAGGCGCTGTGCGCTGGACACGTTGACGCTTGATAGGAGGCAGTGCGGCCTCGCGTGCACGCGAGGCGGCCGTGGAGCCAAATGCGCCACCAGGAGGACGACGAGGAGCTGCTGCTGATGCTGCTGCTGGTGCAGGCTGCGCCGCCGGCGCCGCCGAGGTGGGAGCGTCCTGCGGAGTCTTGGGCCGCTCACGCTTCTCCTTTGCCTCCTTGGCCGCAGCCGCACGCGCAGCAGTAGCTGCAGTGGGCTTGAACAGGCTGGACGACGCCTTGCTCGCGTGCGTGGGCTTGGCGAATGACGGCGCCTTGAGCGGTTCAGTCGGAGGAGGGCCAGAGGCAGACACGGCACGAGTCGACCTAGTCGGCGCCGAGTCCGATGTGTGCGCAGCTGCAGCCTGAGCACGGGTGGCACCCGCAGCGGAAGGCACGGTGGCACTGGCACTCCTGGTGGCGAGGCGAGCGGGTGCAGGAGCTCCCTTGGAGTTTGCTCGGCCAAGACCGAGACTTGCGGGACCAGATGGAGTCATGCCGGGGCGGAACGTCTTCTTCTCGACGGGACCGTCAATGTGCCTCTTGGGAGCAGACAGGGGTCGGCGAGCGGCGCCTGTACGCGACGACGTGCGTGAGGCCGGTCGACTGCTAGCGGCTGACGAAGACTCGGAGGGGATCTCGAGCTCGGCAGTTGGAGTGTGGACGGGAACAGGGGTGTGCGTGCCTGAAAGAGTCGGTTGGGGCTCCATGACGCTGTGCGTCGAGGCCAGAGGGGTAGCGTCCATGTCGACCTCGTCGGCGAGCTGGCGAGCGGGGGTCTCGGGCAGGGTAACGGGGTCTGCGGGAGTCATGATGACAGTCTCGGCTGGGGTCTGGTCGATGGCGGAGATGGCAGGCACCGGTGTGTGGGAGGCCTCGACAGTGACGGGTCGGTCGGTGGGTTCCTCGACGGGCTCGCCAGCACGCTCCTCGACAGGCTCGACAGGCTCGACAGGTTCGACAGGTTCAATGGGCTCGGCGATGTGATCGTCGACAGGCTCGTTGATGGGCTGCGCAACAGGCTCCTCAGATGGCTCAGGAGCAGCCTGCTCGCCCTCGACCTCAACCAAAGGCTCGGACACCAGCACGGCCGTGACCTCTGCCTCCGCCTCCTCGGTGGCAGGTTGCTCGTCGTCGGCAATCTGGCTGTCGTGTTCCTGGACGACGGAGACTGGCTCGGGGACAGGCTCGTCCCGCTCGACAACTGGCTCGTCGAGCTGGACCGCGTCGACGTGCGGCGGCGACACGGGCACGAGTTCGAGCTCGGGCTCTGGCTCGGCAACGTCGATGTCAATGTCAACCAGCGCCGGTGCAGGCACGTGGACGTGGACGTGCTCCGGCTCCGCGACAGGGTCCAGGACCTGGATCTCGGCGGGAACAGGCTCGTCGATAATGTCCTCTTCCTCGTCCATGGCAATGGACTTGTCTGCCGGCGACCTGTGGGGCTCGGACGGAGGCTCAGAGATGAGGTCCATGTCCTCCTCGCCCATGTCGACCGTGCGGTCTGCAGCGACCTGGACAAGGTCGTCGTGGACCGTGGTGATGTCGATCGCAGGCTCAGGGATGGGCTCAGGGGTAAGCTCGGCGGGCTCGGTGTCGACCAGGGGTTGTTCGAGCTCGGCGTGAGGCTGGGGCTCCGGGACGGCCGCAGGCGGCGCAGTGGCCTGCAGCAACTCCTCGAGAAGCGGGTCGGCGGGGTAGTCGTCGGCGTCGTCGCGCTTGGCAGCGATGACGGTCACGTCTGCCTCGTCCTCGTCCTCGTCCTCGTCCTCGTCCTCCTCTGCAATCATCTCGTCCTCCACCTTGGGCTTTGCCGGTGTGTCCAGGCCGCCGAGATCGAGACTCATGAGGTCATGCACCGTACTCATGCGGCTGAGCAGGCGGGAGCCCTTGAAGACAAATGGCGCACGGTCCGCGGCGAGACGCAGCGGCGAGTCGCCAAACGCGATGAGGGGCTCCTCAAACGCAGGGAGGGCAGCCTGCTGCGCGATGGGTGTCTCGATGGCCACTTGGGCCGCTTGCAACGCGCTCTCGAGGACGAGGTCCGTGTGCGAGCCCTTGCGCTTGAGGGGGCGGACGGGCGTGTCCGTCTCCGCAACGTCGCCGAGCGGGGAACGCTTGGGTAACGGCGAGATCCTGCGAACCGTGTTGGCAACTGGCGTGGGCGAGGCCGAGGCTGCTGAGGGCGCGGACGCCGCGGTGGGCGTGGCGAGCGACTCGGAGGCGATCCGGCGTAAGGGTGTACCGGCCGGTCCAGGCGAGGAGAACTTTTGGACGAGGTCGGCGACGTGGGGCGTGTTCTGGAGGCTCCGCGAAAGACCCGACGGCGACATCCGCACGGGCGACTCGATGGTGGCATTGTCCATGGACAGGTCCGCCAATGTCAGGTCACCCCCATCGGTGGAGATCTTGTGCTTGCCCAAGAGCATGGACAACGACGGCGAGTAGACGCTTCTCTGTCCATCTCGTGCTGGCGGCGTGTCGGATGGAATGGGGATACCGGCAGCCAAGGCGAGATCGGGGTTCAGCGAGAGGCGGCGAGCAGGCGTGCCGAGCTCCTGTGCGACGCGCTCAATGTCCAGCACGCGTTCACGGACGAGCGAGACGCGACGGTTCGGGTCGGACGAGCTGCCCTCTGAACGCAGAGACTCTGAGCTGGCCTTGGCCAAGCGAGGTTGCGGGGTCTGTAATGTCGCAACCTTTTTGGGACTGATGAAGGGAGCAGGTTCAGGAGGAGATGTTCGGGTGGCTGTCGTGGGAGGAGGGAGGGTGGGTGTAATGGACCTCGTGCTTGTGGCCGTGGGATGACGCTTTGCGCCACCGAGCTTGCCGAGGGCCGCAGCACGCTCGGCATGTGAGGCGGCAGCACGCGTCCGCCGCGGCTCGTCATCGACGTCGGCAGCGGGGCGTACGATGCGCTGCGGCGGAGCGAACCGACGAACCGGCACATCCGTGGCCGAACTCGATGCCTGGGCGGTAGCCTGGGACCGACTGGGTTTTGACAATGGGTTCCGCCTGCTCTCTGCCGCGGTAGAGCCGATGCTGCTGCCAGACGACTGGTGCGAGAGCGTGCTGCCGTGTGTGGTGGAGCTCGAACGGGTGAGACGGCCGCTGGGGAGTGGGTCCACTGCGCGGCTGGCGCCAGACGGCACGCGCGGACGGGGCGGTGCGTCGACGTCGAGGTGTTGCTCCATCCGGGCGGCGCGCGTCCTCTGTGGGCCAGAGGTGAGGGCCGAGGCTGTGGGACGTTCCTTGTCGGCCGTTGAGGTCGATGGCTGGGCCCGTGTGTGAGTGGGTTTGGGTGGGCCGAGACCGATCCTCGACCTTGGCTTGGCTGGAGCAATGGGGCCGTCGCCGGGGGCTGGGAGGTCGAGGTATCGCCTGATGGTTGGTGTGAGAGGCGCCGTAAAGCTGAGAGACGTCAGATCAACTATTCGACACACGGACTCGAGCCTTCCGCGCAGGCGCACTCACTCGTCTACACGCTCTGGCCACGTCTCGCTAAACGTCGCCCAGACGCGCTTGGCCGTCTTGCGAACCTCGGCATCCCTGTCGCGTCCCATCTTGCGCACACATGTTTCGAGGTTCTCGAGGTCCTTTTCATGGTGGAAGCGGCTCGCGTCCCACTCGTTGACGGCTTGCTCGATAGCGGTCGCGCACGAGCGCCTGCACACGTCGCTCCTGTCGTCCAGCCCCGTGCGGAGGTAGATCAGGATGAGCGGGAGCGGACAGTGCGCGACAATGGTGCCCAAACACCGTTCTGCGCGCTTGAGGTAGACCTTGTTGGGGCGTGCGAGGAGGCGGACGAGGACGGGGATGTAGAGGTGGACGAGGGGCTGGAAGTGGGTCGAGAGGCGCGGGGCAAACGTCTGCACGAGGTCGGTTGAGGCGCCAGACAGGCGGCCACGGTCGGAGAGCATCTGGGCGGTGGTCAGTACGGTTGTTCGGGTGACGACGACAGCGACCAAACACCCAGCACCAGTGACGGCTGCTGGAAACCACTCGTGCTACTCACACAGTCGACAATCTTGAGGCCGACACCCTTGTTGCCGACGCCGACGACGTAGGCGTCCATGTGCTTGTACGCTCCGCCGCGGGTCACTGCCGCAAAGCGGATGATGGCGCGCTCAAGCCTGTCCCATGTCGCCTCGCTCTCGCCGGGCTCGAGCACGGCCGCGAGGGCGTCCAGCTCGGTTTGGAGGTGTTGTGGTGTCGGGCACTGGAGGAGGAGGAGGAGGAGGAGGAGGAGGTGTCAGCAACAGGATAGGTAAGGGAGACGGGGAACGGGTCTAGCTGATTGAAATGACAGCATTGTCTCTGCTTTTGTCTTTTGCCACCAAACGGTCTTGTCGGCGGCATGTGAACGCAACGCTGTTTGGGCCGCCGTCCGTCGCACCCGCAGTACTCACTGGTATCTTTGCGCCTGCCGCGTCTGCTGGCGGCATGGTTGGCAGGCGTGTGCGGACACGGACAGAGGGAGTGACTGTGGTTGCCTGTTGTAATGTGGACACACGCTGGACGATGGATGTGAGAGATGTAATGTGACAGGCGAGAGACGTGGTGAGATGTTGTTGCGCGCAGAATCCACCCAGCCAGCCGCCGTCGTCTGCCCCTCGACGCGTCAACAAGCCAGGCACCCACAAGAAGCAAGTGCCGGACGACCACACGCGCGCGCGTGGGTTTTGCTTCCGTCCGGCTGAACCCGGACATACTCCCGCCCACACCCCGTACACGGTTGCACTGAACGGAAACGATGGGGTGTCTCATGGCTGTCCAAGGTCTACTCTCTGTGTCTCTCTGTGTATCTCTCTCTCTCTCTATCTACATATGCTATGCTACATGGGCGGCCTCGGGTTGACCTTGTTCTCAATCCCCAGCATGCCGCAGAACGCCTCGGTCTGCGGGTTCGTGTACCACGCGGCACTGCTGCCGCCCGGGTGACCCTCGGGAGGTGCCGTGGGCCAAAACTGCTGCACGCGGCCGACGTCCACTTCGCCCTTCTCCCACACCAGTGGCGGCGGGGCCGACAGGTCGTCTCCGAGCGCTTGGCCGGGAACGAGTACGCCTTCTTGCAGGATACGCTCCAGCTCGTCTTCGACCATGGCCTCGACAACCTCGGAATCGGGGAGCGGACGTTGCTCGAATTCGGTCGACAGGTACGGGTGCAGCGCGCGGCTGATGGCGAGCCAGTGCGGGTCAAACGTCAGCCGTGGGGGCTGGCCCGGTGCAGACTTCCTGGGTGCGGGGATGTCGAGGAACTGAGGGTTAGAGGCACGTTCCGTGTCATGAACCCACCTGGATAAAGTCCTTGCCTGGGCCACACTTGTCGAGAGCGAGGAAGCGCGTCGACCTCGGCCCCGTTGCTGGTGCCACGGCTGGTACCACGGACACGGGCTTGGCTGGCAGAAGGTGAACAGGCGCCTCGTCAAACTCCTCGTCCTCAATGTTGATCTCGTCAGGGTTGACTGGAGCAGCGGTGTCGGGGCTGGGCGAGGGGGCGGATGGCGGGGTGAGGACATTCTCCACGTGCTCGTCGTCGTCCGAGAGCGTAATCTCGTCGGGGTTGACAGTCGCAGCCGAGGGAGCGGTCACCACAGGCTCCTCATCGTCAGAGAGGGTAATCTCATCGGGGTTGACAGCTGCAGCCGGAGGAGCAGTCACAGCGGGCTCGTCGTCGTCCGAGATGGCAATCTCGTCGGGGTTGGCAGCGGCCACTACCGCCGATGGAGCGACAGCCGTTCTCCGCTTCTTCGAGTCATGAGAGTGCTCAAACAGGGCGGCAAACTTGACGTGCAAGTGTGCGGCGAACCAAAAGTTGGGCTGGAGCTCGTTCAAGAGGCCGAACAAGGGTGGCGAGCCGAGCGTGTTCTTGTCGATCTGGAATGTCAGCTTGCAGTGTCCAAACATTCATAGACTTCCAAGCTCACCTCGTCCTTGAAGTATGGCTTGCGACGTATCAATCCGCGTGTGTCTCCATGCCTGGCGATGGAGATGGGCCAGTCGTGCGAAATGAAGACGCTGGGGTCGTCTGTCAGGGGGAGGTGCATGAGTTTTGTGACGTCGTAGTCGCGGATGTGGTACACGCTGCGGAGGGTAGAATTGTTGAAGGGGACGTTCTCAAAGTGGCCTGTGTGGGTTGTCAGTGGGATGTTCACAGAAGTCTGTTCTGCAGGGCAAGAGAGAAGAAGAGAAGAGAGAAGAGAAGAAGCAAGAGAAGAAGCAAGAGAAGAAGCCAAACCTGGCTTTGACACCACCTTTGCCAGACTCACCCTTCCTGTAGTCGTGCGACTTGTAGATGCCGCTGGCGCCCGAGATCCTGAGACCATCTACCATGACGCTTCCTGCTGCGCCGAGGTAGTAGATGTTGGATGCGAGCCATCCGCCATGGTACAGCTCCCACATGTAGTTGCTTGCCTCGTGGTTGCCGCCAATGACGATGGTGAGGACGGGGGCGACTTTTTGTCCCGAATAGTACTGGTGGAATGTGCCGAGGGCCTGGTACTTTTGTGGGACTGCGAGGGACGCAAAGTCGTGCTTGTTGCGGAGCGCCTGAAAGTCACCGCAGAGGAGCAAGAGGTCTACTTTGTCGTGCTTCTTGTGTTCATACTCTGCGATCGAGTCGTAGATGGCTGTGAGGCTGCCGTGGCAGCATCCTTGGACTGCGACCTGGGAGGTGGTGTGTGAGCAGGGGGGGGGGGGGGGGGGGGGACTGGGTGGAGTGGGGTGTATGTACCTTCATTGGACGGACCAAGGTGACGTAGGAGGGAGTTAAGAGAAGGGGGATGGCAGAGAATGTTGTGACAGTGATATTGATGGATGTGGCCGATGCATACTATATTTTGGACGAGACAGAGGTAATGGTATTAGGAAACTGGTTACAAATGGGGAAATAGAAAGTCGCCCCTGTGCCTCCTACTTTCGCACGGTGGCATCACCCGCACTGTGTTACAATACGTGTATTTAATTTCTATTAATTGTTCCGTCATTAGCATGTTCCTGATAATCGCGCCGGGTCGATGGCGCTGCGTGAGGATAAGAATCCTCCTTCCGGGCCAGGCTGATTGGGTGAGCGCAGGAGTGAGCCAAGCAGCAGCCAGCCAGCCAGCCAGAGAGAGACCGAGCGCCGTGTCGTGCGCGCGCGCACAAGTCCGAACAGAGGCCGATGAAGGACCTACAGGAGGAGATGCCACTGCCGTTTCCGCGCGTTCAGGAAAAGTGACAGGCAGCAGCTCAGCAGCTGAGAGCCATGGGCCATGGGTGTGTTTCTTATCGACTGCACGCCCAATCACAGCACCTAAACCCACACAAGCCAGTGGCCATCCCACCCATCCATCCATCCATCCATCGCGCACCCTGGGCACCTCCCAATCGTACAGTGCTGTTTGCAACCAACACCAACCCCTTACCTCTCTACCATCTACCTCTACGACAGATACGCAACACACATACACACACAACAACAACTACCTTGTTGCAAAGGTAGACCCCACCCACCCCTCCCTCTCCCCGTCCAATTCGGTGACACCTTAAACCAACGCCGCCGCCTCCCCTGCCCTCTCCTCCGTGCCGCAGCCGTTGCTCCCGGGCTAACCGTCTCGTTACTCCACATCCACCGAACAGACAGTCAGTCCTCCCTCTCGTCGCTTTGCCATCCACAACCCCCTCTTTCCAACAACCAACACTCCCCAGTTTACACACATCCACATCCAGCACACACACACATCCACACCCCCCGACTAGCCGCAGGCCCATCCCCCCCCTCCACCCATCAGCGGCCACCTCAAACGCCCTCCCCCCCCCCACCCAACCAACAACCCCCTTCCCTTCCCCCCCTCCATCCATCTCACTCAATGGCTGCCGAGGTGAGTTGCACACAACATCTTCCTTATCGTCCCACTCCTACGCGCCAGCATAGCCTCCACAAACACACACACACGGCCTCTTGCGCAGCCCGCGCACCTCCGGCAAGCGCGCGCGCGGCAGCACGCAAACAAGAGGCGGGGCGCACTGCCCAAACCCACGTCGCGCGTGCCGCCGGTCGTGTGAACGTGCAGTGTTCGTCCGGCGCCGTGGTGTCAGATCCTCCCATTGCCACTCACTCCAAAGCGTCCACCACCACCACCACCCCATCCCTACTGTTATACCCCAGTCGAGCTCTCCGTTTCTGACCACACCCCCTCCTCGCAGCGCTCCGCTGGCACGCCCGTGGCCATGCCTACTCAGCAACAGGCAAACGCCATGTCATCCGCATCCACAGGCCCTTCCTCTGTAGCCACCTCGGTCCTCACAGAGGACGAGGAAGACCTCGAAGACTACAGGCCCGGAGGCTACCATCCCATCAACATTGGCGACGAGTTTAGCAGCGGTCGCTACCTCATCGTCCGCAAGCTCGGATGGGGCCACTTTTCCACCGTCTGGCTCGCAAGAGATAACACGTGAGTTTGGAGAAAGAGAGCTGGGTGTGCGCGCTCGCGTGCTGACTCGTTCCCTCGCAGTACGTCTCGCCACGTCGCGCTCAAAGTCGTCAAGTCGGACGGCCACTACACCGAGACTGCACTGGACGAGATCCAGCTGCTCCAGAGGGTGACCACCTCGTCCGAGTCGCATCCGGGCCGCTCACACGTCGTGGGACTCGTCGACGACTTTCGACACGACGGCCCGAACGGATCGCACGTCTGCATGGTGTTTGAGGTGCTCGGTGAGAACCTGCTGGGCCTTATCAAGCGATACCAGCACCGCGGCGTGCCGACCCACATTGTTCGCCAGATTGCAAAGCAAATACTGCTCGGCCTCGACTATCTCCATACGGAGTGTCGCATCATCCACACCGACCTCAAGCCCGAGAACGTCTTGATCTGTATCGACGACGTCGAGTCGGTCGTCCAGGCCGAGCTCGCGTCGTGTCCTGCCGCCGTGCCCACCAAGTTGGTCGGCGTGCCGCCAAGTCAGGGTCGTTTGGGCAACCAAACCCCTCGCAAGGATTCCATGTTCATCGTTGGGTCCCAGCCGCTGCCCAGTCCCAGCTCGAGCTATGCCAGCTCGCCCATGCTCGACAAGTATGGGTTTGGCATGAGCAAGATTTCCGGTACCAACCTCGGTGGCAAGTCGGCGCCTGCCTCGTCGTCAGCAGCCTCCGCAGCCCAGGCAAAGGACACGGCCGACTCGATCGGGGATGGTCTCGGCAACGTCAAGCTTGGCGCCGAGAGCGAGCTCACATGGGAGAAGACCAAGACTCCCGTCGCGCTGCCCAAACCGCACGGCCCGTCGCTGCTGTCGCAGCAGATGAACCAGCCGCCAGCGGCCGCTGCCGCGGACATTCTCCCGCCACCAGGCGGTGCCAGTCAAAACTCGGGTTCCTCAGAGACTGGCACCCCAGCCCAGACCGTCATCTCCACCCCAGCCACTACCCCAGACCCCGGACGTTCAGACGAGCTCAACATCTCCACGTCTGTGCAGTCGACGGGCTCGGGCTCTGAAGACTCGGCAACATCGTCCAAACCCACCCCTCGACCGCCACAGACGGCTTCGTCTGACGCCGAGTCGTCGCTGGGCCACCTCAACAACCTCCAGCAGCAGGAGGCCCACCTGCACCCGGACAGCAAGATTGCTCCAGTCGCCGGCGACCCCAACACCCTCCCTCCACCATTCCCATACGACCCCGTGTCGCTCGAGCGTATAACGGTCAAGATTGCCGACCTCGGCAACGCGTGCTGGGTCGACCACCACTTCACCAACGACATCCAGACGCGCCAGTACCGTTGTCCAGAGATCATCCTGGGCACGCGCTGGGGACCGAGTGTGGACATTTGGAGTGCTGCCTCGTTGATCTTTGAGCTGTTGACAGGCGACTACCTGTTCGACCCGCAACCGGGCACCAAATACGACAAGGACGACGACCACGTCGCCCAGATCATGGAGCTGCTGGGCGAGATGCCAAAGTCGCTGGCACTGTCTGGCAAATACAGCCACGACATGTTCAACCGCCGCGGCGAGCTGCGTCATATCCAGCGACTGCGTTTCTGGCCCCTCCTCTCGGTCCTCAAGGAAAAGTACCTGATGGAAGCCGAAGAGGCCGAGCTCCTGACCTCGTTCCTCCTCCCCATGCTCCACTACTATCCCGACTCGCGAGCGACCGCCGCCGAGCTCCTCAAACACCCGTGGCTCGACGGCGTCGTCGTCCAGGGCGACCTCGAGATGGCCAAGCGCGAGCACGAACGCGAGGTGGAGCGTCTCCGCGCCCTCGAGTCGGACAAGCCCAAGCCGGCTGCCGCGGCTGCGCCTGCCGCCGCCGCGGGCGCGGGCGCGCCCGGCGCGGCCCTCGACGAGATTATCAAGCTCGGCCCGCCCGTCGCCGGCATGGTCGGCATGGGCCGGATCTAGTCTCTGTGTCTCGCAGTCTCTCCCCCCACCTGCGTAATGCGTGGAGGCGGAGGATGTGAGGACGATGGCGCCGGGGGGTCGCATCATCCTGTTTTATAAAGACCCTCCCAACGCCACGACACGTCTTGCAAGGAAAGGAGACTTGGGGCTGGACACGGGTACCCGCCCGGTCACTGGTCCCCACACGAACGCAACAGCCTGGAAACATCTCGGACGCTGGACGCTGGACGCTGAACGCTGGACGCTCTTGACGCTGCTTGTTCCACCGCTCGCGACGCACGCGACGTACACGCCCACCCACCCCCCAAACACTTTTACAATCGATAATCTGCATACGAGGAAACACCGCGCGACGGGAACGACGGAGTGGACGAGAGCGAGGGAGGATGAGGGTGAGGGCGAGAGGAAGCACACCAGTGCTTTGCATATGGGAGGGAGTGGACGTGGAGGTGGAGTGGAATGGAGTGATGATTTTGTGTTTATGAGCCGTCTCGACGCCCGCCACACAGCGAGAATCTAGGAATGTAGTAGTAGAGCGAGCGAGCGAGCGAGTAGAGTGGTTAGCAGCGCGGTGCTCTTCTCGTCTCCCCCGATACCCCCACCCCCACCCTTTTCCCCTTCCACTCCTTCCCTCCCCCTCTCTTGAGACATTCCCGCCTCTACCTACCCTTTGATATAGACCCAGGTCGTCCGCGACCCGCATGTAAACCGGTGCCAAGGACGCGCGCGCGCGGTACATTTCAGATCAAGGTGCATCGCCAACTGCCACGCTACAGGACCGTGGACCCTGCACCCCGACCGCTCCAGTCGCCACCAGCTACACGAGTACTGCCAGAACACTGCCTGCCAAGCTGCCAAACTCGGCGACGGGACGTGATGGCATGATGCTATAACGCTACAACGCTTAATGCTTAATGGCGGCCCGGGGCGGCCAGTACCACCGCGTCGGTCCAGTGACAGTGACAATCTCGCGACAGTAAATAGCAAGGTTGTCGATCTGCCGACGCAGCACCCGCAATCCGCGATCCGTGAGCTTGAGCCAGAACCGCCAGCCGAGAGGGTGTGCGTGTGCACGGAATGCAATATCCCGCCCATAGCATGCCATGTCATATGCCATTGTAGCATGCCGCGTGGAGCAGACGAGCCAGATCGCAGAAGCGTACACCCAGCCCAACCGACCAACCAGACCCAAAACCCGGTCATGGCGATGCCACAGATCAGCCAACGCGCGCGCATTCGCCGTGGTCCCAACGCACCGGCGTTGTCGCGGAGGCATGTGCCAAACCACCGCGCCAAGGACGGCCGCACGGCATACCGTGCGCCACGGTCGTGCGCAGATAGACGATAGACGCTCTGCCCAGCGAGCCAACCGCAACGCGCGAGACTACGGATAATCGGAAACGACGGGCCACTGTGGCTTTTGCTGGCTTCGCTCGCTGGCTTTGCTTGGTGCTTCGCTCGCTGCCTTGTCCAACCACCGCGATGCGTTCCAGACATGTCCAGCGGCCAGCGGCCCGTGGCCGGCCAGTGGCGGAGCGGTGTCTCAGAAGAGGTGTTTGGGACGTTATCGCCGGCCTATCGGGAACCGTGGCCTGGCGCGAGCTGTTAAACGACCACCACTGGCTGCTGGCTGCTGCGTCGCTAGTGGGCATGTGTCGACGGCGGGATAACCAGGGGAGTGGGTGCTGCGCGCTCGCTCGGATCCATAACCGCTGTTCATCGTCTTCTATTAAGGGGGTGGGGTTCCTTGCGTCCATGTCTCGCGCTTATCACGGTGCCCGGCGGGTGGTCGTGTGCGCAGACTGTCACTGGATCACTGGATCACTGGATCACTGGACCTGCTCGCGCGATGTGGGGTGGTGGGACATGGGCGAGTGCCACTCGCGTGTGCGTTGGCATCGTGTGTATCGCACAATCGCGGCTGCATCATCCTCACCGACCTCGGCGTACGGTTCCGCCGCCGCCGCCGTCATCATTACCGCTCGCGGACGACGGCGATCCGCAGCCGTCAGTACGTCGGAGCAGTGCAGCATGCCATGGCCCGGCCCTTTGGCCCCTGCCTGTCCTCTCTCCCTGGCATCCTGCTCTCAGAGAACGAGGCCATGAACGTAGCACCCCTTCTGGACGGTAGATGCGATCACATAGCTGCTCGGACAAGCTCATAAACACACCCACCACACCTCGCCTCCCGCTCACAGCCACCTGCCGCCCGCCCGCTCTGCCGCTCCCCTACTGCGACTTTGCGGCCTTGGCCTCGCGCGCCTTCTTCCTGAGCGCGCGCGCGCGAATGTCCTTGTGCATGCCGAGGATGACGCTGACGCCGAGCTGCTCGGACACGCCGCCAAACAGGCCGACGACATAGTCGAGCAGCGCGTGCGACGGGTACGGCGTCGCGTCGTACGGCCTGCCCTGCGCGCCGCGCTGGAGGCCCAGCGAGCCCAGCGTCGATTTCACAAAGTCGCGCGCGGTGGGGACAGTGAGCGACGGCTTGCGGATCTTGGACATGTTCGAGACGACAAACGCAGGGAACACCATGCGGAACATGACGCCCACGGGCTCGACCTCGGCGGCCACGGCCGTGTTCCACGTCTGCAGGCCGCCTTTAGTGCACGAGTAGGCAGCGAGCAGGGCCGAGGGGATGCGGCCCGACAGCGAGCCAATGTTGAGGACAAGCGACTTGGGCGCGTCCAGGTCCGCCGAGCGGGCCACGAGCTGGGGCAGGATCGCGCGAGTGAACTGGAGCGTCCACGAAATGTTCTAAAGGGGTCAGTCAGCTGGGCGTGTGCTTTTTTTTTTCTCTCTAGGCCATCGTAAAGCACCACTCACCGTCTGGATAATGGCGTCAATCTCAGCAGGGTCCGTGTCGGCAAACGCGACGGGCATCTCGTGCGACGCGCCGACGTTGTTGATGAGCACACCGAGGTCAATGTCGCGGGTCGCGGCAACGACGCGCGCAATGGCCGCGTCACGGCCGGCAACGTCGGCCGCATCGGCAATCACAGTCTTGGTGGGCACCTTGTACTTGGCCTCTGCAGAGCGTCAGCCTGGGGTAACGGGGGTGGAGATGGAAGCATGGCAGCACGTTCCATGACGCAATTGTGCGTATAGGCGTAACCGGGAGGCCACCCGTCGCCGTGTCCGCGCGGTGTGCACACACCGCGCCGCATACACCGCGCAGCGGGTCTCCGCCGCAGCGAAACCACTGGCCGGCGAGAGGCACAGACATGCGAGAACAGACACGACGGTACGCACCAATCTCCTGGGCAAGCTCGTCCAGCGCCGCCTGACGACGGCCGACAAGCACCACGCCGAACCCCTTGGCCGCGAGCTGGCGCGCAAACTCGAGTCCGATACCGGCCGTGCAGCCCGTGACGGCCGCCCACGACACCGCGCCCTTGGTCTTGGTCTGGAACTTCTTGAGCTGGGGGAAGAAGGCGTCAGCAAACGGATGTGGATGGGTGGGGTCTGGTGTGGTGGGTTCTTTGAGAGCAGCGTCCTCGGTCGCCGAGGCGCACGCCGGACACGGCACCGTCACCGCACAGCACATGGCACTCACGCTGATACCGGGGACGACGGTCAGCTCCGCGACGAGCCTGAACCAGCTCCAGGCGTAGCGCGCGACAAACGCGGCGCCGACAGCAGCGAAGACGAGGGTCGGGAGGGGCACGTCGACCACTGCGAGAGAGAGCGTTGTCAGCTGGGTTCATTGTCTCCATTCCGTAGCTGGCTGCGACGTACCGATCTCGTGGCCCCACACGGTGAACGAGGGGTGCGTCGTGGCCGTCGAGGCGAGGTGGATCGTGTCGGCCGGCATGGTTTGTGAGGTGGTGGTGGTAGGAGCGAGTGGAGAAAGTTGGACGTCGTGGACGACCAGCACGCGGCCAAACCATCGACCCGGACATGGACTGACCGCGTCGGCAGGGCGACGCGCCGGCAATCACGTGGGGATCCCTGGCTGCGTGCGGCCAAAGCCCATGCGCGATCCAAGAGCACCCGCGCACCCACCGTCCACGGCGTGCACGGCATGCATGGGTGGCGAGAATGGGGCAGCGGTACAGCGGGGCACCAGACGCAGCAGGCGTGATACACAGAGTACAACGCAACAGAAGCACTGACGGACCAAGAGACAGTAGATGCATACATCAAGTAACCAGAAAGTACGAGAGCGTGAGAGTGGAGTGCTAGTTTTGTGGATTTCATGTCGTGGGTGGCGGTGGGGGTGGGAGGTTGGGTGAGCCGGCAGCTCTGCGCGGGGTGAGGCCTGCCTGTGGCCTAGGCTCAACGCCGCGAGGCCGTCCGCACGGGCAGTCCAAGGCGACGAGGCGGGCAACAGCCTAGAGTGGGAGAGGCACAGTTGTGAGTTGTAAAGTGGATCGACGAGTCCGTCCGAGTTGTGAGGTGGGCCCCAAAGGCCAAAGGCCCGCTCATGGCTCTTTGATGTCGCCCTGGCTGCGATTCCTCAGCATGTCGAGGATGAGGGACATGCCCTTGCGCGACTGCACACGTTAGTCCATTGCCTGCACTCTCGCAGCTCACCTTTTCGGTATTGCCCTCAAACTTGCCGACGCCGTACGCTTCGATCCTGTTACGCAGGATCTGCGACCACCGGCCGCCAAACTGGGAGCGCACCTCGGCCGTGGTGTGGTGCAGTGTTGACCTGGATGTCAGCTGTGCGCAAGGCAGCAGCGCTTGACCGCGTTCCAGCAGCAAGACTCACCCTCCGGGCCCAGCACACAGCTCGGCTCCCTCAATGACGTGCATGAACTTCTTAAAGCTCAAGTTGCCCTGGTGCATCCGCAACCTCGGCTGGGCGTAGTAGTCGTCTTTGAGCCCCTGGTCGCCGCCCCATCCTGGCGGGTCGACGACGCTCTCCTCGAGCACCCAAGCGTCCAGCCCACGGCCGCCGCTGGCGGCAGCCGACGGAAGCCATTTCGACGCCCATTGTGGGACCACGCCGCGCTTCAGGATCAGGCGTGTGGTCTTGATCCTGCCCGTCTTGGGGTCGACGGTGCGCTCCAGGACGTCGACGGAGAGAACATGTCGTGCAAACGGGTTGGGATACCGGAGGAAGAAGGCGAGCAGTCCGGTGGGTGGTGGTTCGGAGCTGCGGAGCGCGTCAGACGGTGGGTGGCACAGAGGAGCCGACGGGGAGAGCGGGTGAGCCGTCTCATGGTGGGTGACGGTGACAACACCTACAACAGCGACGCAGGACCGTCACTGCTGCCTGCCTCTTTGCACAGTGTTGTTGACACATAGCAAGCGTGCACAGGGACTACGCACTATTCATGTGTCTTGTGGTAAACCTGGACCATTGTTGCAAACGATCAAGCCGTCCGGGCTCGCAGCCGCAGAGACCGAGCGAGAGGGGAATGAGGCGGGGCGGAGACGCAGCTGGACCTGAGAGAGTGTTGTGCTGCAGTGAGCTCGCTGGGTGTCGGGTGCCGTGTGGTTGCTGGAACAGAGGATGTTGGATGTGTGAGAGAGCCATACCGAACACCAGGCCCGACCTTTGTCCACCCACCGGCAAGCGAGATTTGGTCCCGTCCACCGCCTGACATTTGGCTCGAGCCATACGTCATTCACAGCGGAGACGGCGGGTGGCCACTCGCAGAAGCCAGGATGGTCAGGCCACAATATCGTCGACACACATGCAGCAAGTAAGGATCACGGGGGGACACAGTGGCTATACATTCTATGCGTGTGTATCTATCAAGAAAAGAGATCGTCTGTCAATAAGAACAAGATCGCCCGTCAAAATTAGAACAAGGTCTACTACCTCCACAGCCTCCTACTCCTTTCCGGGAGCAGCGGCGCCGGGATTCCGGCGAGGCTTGTCCAGCGCCGCGTTGTGCTCCAGTATACTCCGCACGCGGTCGGCGAGGGGTCCCACTTCACGCACACGGACAGGCTGGCGGACTCGGGGTTCGGCAGGAACTGCTGCTGCTGCTGGCACCGACGCCGCCGGCGCTGCCGGCGCTGCAGCGGCAACAGCACCTGCCCCTCCTCCTCGCGAGTTGGTCCGTCCGCTCCCCCGCCTCGAGCCGCGTCCGCCCCTGGGCGACTCTGACGCTGCTGGCGCGTCAACAGGTGGCGGGTGCGCGAGCCCGATCGGGCCCCGGCGACCACCCTGGATGGGGTGCGGCCTATGCAAGTGGCCTCGACCACCAGGACTGCTAAAGCTGTTGCTGTGGCCGCTCCCGCTGTCATGGCTAGCATGGCTCGCATGGCTGGCACCGCTCGCATGGCTGGCACCGCTCGCATGTCGGGAGCCCCCACCACGCCCTCCTCCTCGCGCACCGGGGCCACCGCCACCCCGACCGCCCCGGGCCGACCGCCATGACGGGCCCGACGATGGCCCGCTGGTTGAACTGGCAGACGGCGACGCACTGGGCGGAGTCGCATACACGTGGGCATGCTTTGTCCATCGTCCGGGCGTGTCGGCGCGCGTCTTTGTCGGCGATGGCGACAGCTTCAGACCTGCCGGGGCCGGGCCTGTCCTGACGGGTGTCGCAGTGGCAGCACTGCCCTTCCTTGGCGAGCTTGGAGTCTTGGTCGGCGACCCAGAGCGCGATGCCGACGCCGAAACGCGCCTCTCCTTGCCCTTGTCCTCGGGCTTGGAGCCCAGTGGAGGGAAGGCAGAACTGTCGCTTGGGTTGACTGCCAACTGCGCAAACGCCTTCCTTGTAGCCTCCTCGTCATCGTCGTCGTCCGACTCGCTGTCCCAGTTGTGATGAGCCGGTCGGTCTTCGGCATCCTTCTGCTGGCGTTTGTCGCTCATGACCTCCTGCTCGGGCTTGGACGCGGGTGTGGATGGGGATGGGGATGGGGAAGCAGACGCAGACGCAGACGCTGCGCCACCGGTGCCGTTGCGATTCGATCCTGGCACAACACCACGGCGTGCGTCGGCCTCCTGCTGTCGTCGAGGGCGAAACGCGCCCACATCCTCTTGTGGGACGTACCCCTGGCGAACCTTTTGCTCTTTACGAACACTGGCAAGAGTGTTAGATGGAGTCTCACGATCACTCCCTCTGCATAACTCACGATCCATCCTTGCGCCTGGAGGCTGGAATCACGCGTTCGAGCGTGCGCGGATCGAGAACGATACCAGACGCTGTGGCATCGGGGTTGAGGGGCGGGCCGGGGGGAACAGACATGGCGAGAGAGAGAGAGAGTGATGGTCACAGGAGACGGGGGAGGGGAGGGGGAGATATTCACAAGACGACAAGACGGGCAGAGATGTGGTACAAGACGACGACGACGAGATGGATTGTTTTGCCCCAAGCGTCACCAGCAAAACACCAACAGTGATTGACAACTCGCCTTTCCAAATGCGGTCATCGCCAATAATTAACGGAATCAATTGGCTCCTAATTAGATTAGAAATTTTAACCGTAAATGAACCGCCCCCCTTCCCCTCTCTCCGCTCTCTCGGTGCCTGCCTTTCACATCTTTGTGACTTTTGTTGCTCCCTCGTTGTCTACTCCACATCCCCTTCATCACCACCCTCGTCGACGTCATTCGGCGCCATGGAGGCCGTCAACACAAACGGCAAGGATGCGGTCCGCCTCTGCGAGCACATCGTCCGCGGAGCCTTTGGCGAGGTTGTCTGTGTGAGTCTTTTGCGGCCGTGTTGATGTCTACTTTGCCATGGAGCTAACCTCTCCCCCTTCAGCGTGTCGCTTCCACACTCCTCAACCGCGGCCGCTTGACCGCTCTTAGCATCTCCAAGCTTGCTGCTCTCGCTCGCCCGACGACCAACGCTGCCCTCCTCATCCTGATCCAGCACAACCTCGTCGGTTCGACGGGCGCGTCCCGCCGCGGTCCTGGCGAGGACGAAATGTACGAGTTTGACGTGCCCGAGTGTCTCCTGCGTCTCAGGTGGGCGCGCATCCTGGCCTTGACAGAGCAGACGTTTGGCGAAGAGGTAAGCCTCTCTTGGTTGACGGTATACAAAGCTAACGGCCAGGCCCTCGTCATTGTCCGCCAGGTGTTCATGTACGGCAAGCTGTCGATGCCCGAGATCCAGTCCGAGTGTGGTGCTACTGGCGACCGCAACAAGGTGCTGTCCCTCCGCCGTACCGTTGTGAAGCTCCTGCGACAGGGATTCCTGGAGCCCACATGTGCCGAGCTGCTCATGCTGCGCTCGGACCAGATCGACCGTCGTTACAAGGTGAGCTCGTTTTGCCCATGGTCCTTGGCTGACATGTCCAGTCCAAGTGGGTCGAAAAGTCGGCTGCCATGGGCACCAAGCTGCACTCTGCGAACACACTTGCCGAGCTGCGCAAGGTGTCGATCAGCGAGATCAACGACGAGCGCCGTGCCTTCCGTGACCCGCAGCGCGCGCTCAAAGAGGTCAAAACCAAACGTTCGGCAAAGGACGTCGCGAAGAGCAAGGGAGACCCCGACGAGAAGTGGGAGGTCTTGGACGACGTGCCTCTGCGTGTCAACTACGACAAGTACAATGTCCTCATCCGCAACGAGCTCATTATCAAGGCGGCCGAGGACAGGTGGAACCGTGCCGCTGGAGAGGTTATGCGTGCCGTCCTCACTGCCTCGCTCCAGTACCAGCACGACCCCAAGGAGATGCGCACCGACCAGCCTGTTGGTGTCACTAGCATCGTGGACCACCTCCCGACCTCGAGCCACAAGCTCCTCATGGCCGGTATTGCCGGCCAGAGCTCAAAGAACGTCCCCGAGCTTGTCCGCCAGTACCTGGCCGTCATGAGCGGCGACGACCTGGCGAGCGACAACACTGGCGCCCGCTTCCTCAGCCACACCGACCACTCTAGCCCGAGCTACTTTGTCGAGATTGAAAACATCTGCACGTCCCTCAAGGCGTCGCTCCTCACTGAGCTGGTCCGCGATCGTATCGACGACAAGGCCGCACGCGTCCTCGCCGTCGTGGCCCGCGCACACTTTGCGTCAGAAACCATGGTCCGCGACTGCGCCATGATCCCCCTCCGCGAGGCGCGCCAGATTCTGTCCGAGCTGCAGAAACTGTCTCTGATCGATATCCAGGAAGTGCCCAAGACAGCCGCCAAGGCGCGCAACCCCATGTTCCCGTCAGCCGACTACCACCTGTGGGGCATTGACCTGCGCAAGGCCTACGGATTCTTGCTTGCCGGCGTGTACAAGACTGCTGCCAACCTCGTCCAGCGTCGCGAAAAGGAGGTGGAGAAGCGCGCGGCGCTCCTGGCTAAGATTGACAGGCCAGATCTGGAGGGTGTGGATGTCACAACGTTCCTGAGCGTAAAGGACCAGACCGACCTTGGCGAGCTCAACAATGCCCTCACCATGCTCTCGCTGGCGGAGACAAGGACCGACTTGGTCACGATGATGCTGCGTGATCTTCCTGGCGGCATTCCTGCCAAGTAGATGCGCGAGGAGGGCGGCTGTTTTATGCATATACATTAGATCATGAGCGTGAGCCCATGCTTGAGCATGCAGCCTGGAGGCCTGGATGCTTGGAGCATGTCAACAACAAACATTTTACAACACCTCCACAGTGAAATCGAGAATGGACGACAGGGTCAACGGGATCAAATCCACGTGGGGAGGCCGATTGATCATTACAATGGCTCTCAAAGAACACAACCCATCCACAACTCTTTCCAACTCGCCGTCCCTCTCCATCCATCATTTACCCCCCAACACCATGAACGGCTACGGGCACAACAACGGTGGGCCAGCCGCCGGTGCCGCCGGCCCAGCAGGAACCGTCACCATCCCGACAGGACCGACCAACCAGCCCCGCGTGCTGGTGCGCAACCTGCAGCGCGACGATGTCACCTTCCACCTCTCCGGAGTGGACATGGCGTATGCCAACAGTTTGAGGAGGACAATGATGGCCGATGTGCCTACTGTCGGTGCGTATTTGTGATCCATTTGGCGGGAAGAGGAGACGGGGCAGCAGCTTCTTCTCGTCTTGCCGATGGAGTTTGAACAGCTCGACGATGGTGGAGTTTGTTTTGCCTGAGAGAGACAGAGACAGAGAGCATCTTGACTGACATGACGACCCCGCAGCCATCGACCAGGTGTCCTTCCTCCAGAACACCTCTCCGATTCCCGATGAAATGCTGGCCCACCGTCTGGGTATGGTGCCGCTCGTCAGCAAGTTGGTTGGCAAGGGACTGCGGTACACCAGGGTGAGTACGAGCAACAACACCTACACGACTCTGTTGCTTGCAAGCCAGCTTTCCGGGTCGTTTCTGAAGCTGACACTCCCAGGACTGCGACTGTGATGAAGGATGCTACTTTTGCATGGTGACGCTCCGCCTCAAGGTGTCGGCAACGAACGCAGACTATGGCCGCCCGATGACCGTCACCAGCGACATGCTCGAGATCATCCCCAGCCCCAACACTGTGAGTAGAGGTGTCTCTGGCTACCAATTGCTTCCGCCTAGCCACATACACTGACACACCGTTCTCCAGCCCCAGGCCACCCCGTATGGCCCCCCACCAGAGCTCGGCGAGGAGGAGCAGGAGATCATGCGCAACCGTGACCCGGACCTCGGCCAGCCCGTCGGTAAGGGCGACCCGACCTCGACACCCATCCAGCTCGTCCGTATCTCGCGTGGACAAGAGGTCGAGGTCATCTGCAAGGCCTACAAGGGTATCGCCAAGCACCACGCCAAGTGGTCCCCCTTGTCTGCGGTCGCGTACGAGTATGACCCGTACAACAAGCTCAGGCACACGACGTACTGGTTCGAGACGAACGGTGAGTAGTGCCCGCAGTGTCGTGTCACACCACATGCTCGACCGTGACTGACTCGTGTGCTCCAGAGGAGGAAGAGTGGCCCCTGTCCTCGAACGCCGCGTTCGAGACCCCGCCAGACCCCACCCAGCCCTTCGACTTCAACGCCGTGCCCACAACCTACTACTTCAACGCCGAGTCTGTCGGTTCCGTGCCCGTCACATCCGTCTTTGAACAGGCATGCGACATCATGGTGGAAAACCTCGCCCAGATCGTCCTTGCCGTGCAGCAGGAGACGGGCGCGGACGAGGACGACGAGGACGGCGAGGGCGGCGAGGGTGGAATTGTCGAGCCCGACATGGGTATGGGTATGGGCGGCGGCGGTGGCGGCGGCATGAACGGCGACTATGGAGGTGGCTACGACGGCGGGTACGGCGGCGGTGGTGGTGGTGGTGGTGGTGGCGGCGGTGGTGGTAGTTACGACTCGTACCAAGGAGGCGGCGGTGGTGGTTGGGGAGGTCCACAGGCTAACGCGCCGGGCTGGGCCGGTGGGGCCGGTATGAGCCCGTTGAGGCGCTAGCTGTGGCCTCATCCTTGTAGCAGGCGTATCGATAGGTTAGACATGCACCAGTAACCACAGTCTGGCAAGGCAAGGCAAGTTGGACAGAACATCGCGGGTCATTATCATTGTACAATGGTGGTGGTATAGAGCACACTTCGTCGTCCTCGTCCCCTCCGCATTCTCGCCGATCATGTACAGCTGCGGGCTTAAACTCCACGCACCATACGACGCACCTCGGCGCCACCAATAGCTCTGCTCTCCTGGGCCTCAATCTCATCCTCGGTGACGATCCGCTTGCCCAGAGTGCGCTTCTTGGCAGACTTGGGAGCCTTGACAATGGCCACCTCGTCGTCATCACTGTCGCTAATTGGGATGGCGATAGGTTCAGAGTCTTGACGCATACGCTCGACCAGAGGTGTACCCTTTGCAGTAGACACCTTGGGCGTGCGGGAGGCAGCAGTCTTCTTGACCGGGGTTCCGGCGACGCGCTTGGTTGGGGAGATGGTCTTGCGGGACATGCGGCGGGGTGGGGACGGCTCCGACGACACTGTCGAGGCGGTTTCGGCGAACGACGAATCGGCAAAGGAGTCTTCCTCTTCCTCGTCCTCCTCGTCTTCTTCATCGTCCTCCTCAGAGTCCTCTTCGCTGTCGTTCTCCTCATCAAAGTCCACCGAGCCCTCCTCAGCGTCGTCGTCCTCGGCGACATCGTGCGCCTGAAGCTGAGCGCCAGATGCAGGCTTCTCGTCGATATCCATAGGCTCATCCTTCTCCTCCACCTCAGCGGTGGTCTCAAAGTCGCCGCTAACCTCTCCCGCATGGCTGGCCTCACTTTCGCGAGTCACGTCGCCGTCGTGGAAGCCGGAAGCGCCCTCGGTGACGTCGCTGTCGGAGTCCTCGCCTGCGGACTCGTTCTCAGAGTGCGTCTCCTCGACATCCTCGGCGGCAGAAGCGTGCGAGATGTGCGAGACGTCGGGCTCGGCGATAGAGTTACGAGTAATTTCACCCTCGGACGCGGTCTCGACTCCGGATTCAGACTCGTCCTCGTCCTCAGACTCGGAGAGGAGGGAAGCGGCGGGCTGTGTCACAGGCTCGAGTTCGACCTTGTCAAAGTGGATGAGACCGGGCTTGTCCGCGTGGGTGGACTTGCCAGGAGGCGAGGGGGCGAACGGGTCGTCCTCGTCGTCGTTCAAGACGCTCTCAACGGATTCCTGAGCGTCAGTTTGAATCAGGAATATATAAACCCACCATCGTCGTGTTGCCAGCATCATCTGTGGCAAAGCTCTCGTCAAACGACGTGTCGCCCTCGTTGGCCTCCAGAGCACGCTGCATAATGTCGAGCTTCATGTCGGCCTTCTCCTCACCGAAGGCAGCCTGCTGGTCAGCTTGGATGCTAAGGATAGGGAAGTTTTAACTGACCTGAGTCTTAAGACGCTCGTTGAAGGCCGCATTGAGGCGTTGGATGGACTCCTGCATGTCAAATGCGCACTCCTCGCGAATCTCGACCTCGAGCGAGGCGTTGCGCATCTCGCTCTCATAGAGCTGTTGGGTCAGCTTACGGAAAACAATCACAAGCTCACCATGGTCTTGAGCTCCTTCAGCTGCTCAAAGAGATAGTCGACGAGGTAATCGTGGTCATCGTCCTCTTCCTCCTCGGCGTCCTCCTCGATGACCTCAATCTCCTCCTCAACAACCTCAAAGACCTCGGGCTCGGCCTCACGAGGAGTCTGGGGACGAGTAGGCGGGCGGGAAGGAGTGCGGGACGGAACGCGAGTAGTGGGACGCGGCAGGGCGGTGCTTGTACGGCTGTTGCTGCTGGCTGTGGGGCGGGAGAATGAGCTGGTCGAGGTCGCCACAGTGACAGGCGTGACGGCGGTCTTGGGCATGACGGGGACAACGACCTTGATCTTCTGGCCAGTGTGGTGGTGGCCAGTGAGAACGTTACGGACCGCGCTAAGTTGCGAGCTGATCTGGCGCTTGAGTGTCGGGAAGGAGTTGACTTTGACGGCTGTGGTTTGAATCTCGCGCGCAATGGCAGAGAACCGCATGACGTGCGAGTTTTCGTCAAAACCAGTGTCATAGGGGTTGACATGAACCACCATGACGGCGCGGCCGTCACCGACAAAGAAGCTCTGGAAGATCTCGGTGAGTTTGGAGTGGCGGAAGGGGACGATGGCGACCTTCTTCCTGGCGCTCAGAGGTCCTGGAGCAGCCATCTTCTGCTGGTTGGCACGCAGAACCTCGAGACACTGGCCGAGGACCATGAGAGACTTGTTGATGTTGCCGGCCTCCTTGAGGCGGTCACCGGTCGTGCCGGTGTTGCGAGTACGCTCCGAGCCGGCGAGGTCGACAATCGAGAGGCGCGAGACCTGGGCCGAGTCGGGGTCCTCGGGTGCGCCGTTGTGGACACGCACGACCTTGAGAGTGAGGATACCGTGGCTGCGCGAGCTCTCGCGGTTGGCCATGGTTCCAAACACCTGGCGGGCACGCTGGCCAGAGCGGAAGACGGCAAGTGCCTCCTCGCGAGTGCGAACGCGGATCTCATGCAGGCCCGACATGTACTTGCCAGTGCCTTCGGGGTCGTTCTTGAGCACAAGTGCACGGCGCTTCAGAACACCCCCACCGCCGTTGGCCATAGCAGCCAGGCTCATGGACGATCCAAGGGCGGCGCTAGAGGCACCAACACCGATACTCATGGTGCGTGGCAGATGGGAGAGCTTGGGACGAGAGGCCTGGGGGAGGACCGAGTCGAGGAGGTCAAAGATCTTTCGTCAGCTCTGTATCGTTTTCTCAACGAACCTTCTCGTTGTAGACCTCGACATAAGAGACGAAGACTGCGTACGAATAGTTGCGATCGACCTTGATCGCTGAACGGTCAGCTCTGTGACAAACGCAGAACCCACTGTCATCAATTCCGTCCTCGGCTTCCATGGGCAGGCTGTGGAGTGAGATCTCATCTTCGTCGGTGAGGATAACGTCGGCGAGGCCTTGGCACTTGAGCTGGTGGGTCAGTAATGAGGTGAGACAGTCGAACCCACGTTAGCCTTGCTCTCATGGCCTTTGATAGAGTTGAAGACCACGTCAATGGCACGCGGAACCGCTCCACGCTCGTTCAGCCCAGAGGTCTGGCCCTGGATAGAGTACCTGCTGGGTCAGCGAGGGTATGATGTGACGACTCACGATTTGCCAGAGTTGCTGACTCCGTAGGCAAACACAAGACCATTGTCGCCCTGGAGGAGCTTCTCAACAAGCGGGAGGGTGGTAGTGCTAAAGAAGTCGGCTTGGCTGGTCTCCGGCGCAAACACGCGGTCAAAGCTGTACACGTGTGGAGGCTTTGCGAGGTGCGCGCGCCCCGAGTCGGCAGGCTGGCGCATGACGACGTTCTTCTCATCCTGCAGTTCGAGGTACGGCGAGAGCTGGAGCTCGCTGTCGGTAGGCGATGGCCGAATACGCAGGTACGCCTGCAGTTGCTGTGTGTACGTGTTCTCTGCCGCAGCCTTCTTTGCGGCCTCCTTGGCAGCCTGCGAGGAGGTCAGTACCGCATCACACGGGGCACAGAATCACACCACAGCCGACCACTCACCTCCTTTTCCTTCTCCTTCTCCTTCAACTTGTCCGACACCTTGCGCAGCTCGGCCCTGCCCTTCGCCAGGAAGCCTGTAGCGCCAGTTGGAGGGTTCTTGCCGAGAGTCGCCGGGGAGGTCGCCGCCGACTCCTTGGCCGCGCGTAAGCGGGTGACGCGGGTGGCGGGAGTCGGGGCGGAGACTGGGGTCGCGCGTGAGCGAGTAGTTGTTCGAGGTACTGCTGTGGTTGGGGGAGCCATGGTTGTTGGGTTTGTGGACAATGTCAAGAGCTCGTGCGTCAACACGACTGCAGTACTGCAGGCGCGCGACTGTCTTTGCTTTGTTTGTGTCCGTCGATCGTCTGGGTGGAGACGGAAGTATATCTTCAACCAGACCTCATTACGTAATTAGATCCTGGTTGCGCAGAACGGAACTATATTTGCCGAATGATCTCCCCCCCCCCAAGTGGCAGTTTGCTGAATGCGGCACCCATGCAGCAGATGGCACAGGTGTCTCTCGGTTCTTGTGTAGAGGGCTAGCGTTCTTCTTAGCGGATAAGATAATGAAGGTATGGGGAGACCATCCGGTCGACACAGAGGACTCACCGCAGAGTGCGTGGAACAGTCCATCTATAAGTGTCTGGCCGACCGCAACCAGTGTCGCGGTATTGTTGGTACGTCTGTCTTGGCGAGGTCGTTCACATGTCTTGAATAGCGACGAACGTCTAAGCAATATGCGGTGATTTCCTGGAAGAGCTGAAAACAGAACGCACTGAAGGGTGTTCATTGTGTGCCGGCCGGTGCCGGTACATTTAATTGCGTATTAATTGCCGAGATTGACAAGTCACCTCCGAATATCCCTCCATCTGTTCGTCCATTTGGACCTCTGCTGGTCCAGGTGCCTCTGGGGTGGCACCTAAGGACGGTATTGGCTAAGACATTGTGGAGTTTCCAAAAAAGTGACCAGCTCTCTGCCACTAGTGGCGGTTACTCGCTCTCGGCGTTATTAGGCCTCCACACAGCGGCTGGATAACGTATGGAACGCCGCGTTGTCGGCATGTCAGAGTGAATCATTGCAACTGTTGCAGTTTGCTATGGCGCACATCTGGAGGATTGGAAGCAGAAGGCAACGACTGGGTGCCAGATAGAGTTCACAATGTAGAGCAGGAACATCGTGCCTCGCCCGCCCGTGCACACACGCAAGGCGGCACGCCAGCTGCTTCTCAGTCTCTGTCTCTCAATTATAGATCTGTATCTGTGCGCAACATGGAGGTGCCTGGGAATGTATATGCAATGCATGGAGGATAGACAGTACCAGTACGCTACTCTGAAGGTGATGATGCACACAGTTGCTCCTGCGTGGAGATCGAGTCTTATGAATGAAGAGGTTTCAACGGGAGTCTTAACGCATGTTGAGGTTCGAGTTGCAGTAACGACACCAAAAGCGCCAGTTGTCGGTAGTGTTGTGGCCCTTGCAAGGTTCTGAAGCTGTCAGTAGGATTCCTTTGATATCCTAATTTACGTACGACCGCGGTTATAACCGTGCTGGTCGCCCAGGCAAAACTTGGGAGGGCGGCGGTCGAAGCTGCTCATGTTGAAGGGGGTGTTTGTATCTGGGGTTGAGTAGTCGGAAGCTGGATAGGATGGTGAGAACGAGGTGACCCGAGGGCATTCTTTTATATCGTCTTGAGCGCGGTCGGTTGATCGTCGACGGTTGCATGTTCAACGTTGATACACAATCGTTGACGAAGAAGAGATGTGTGAGTGGCGTCACAGCCAGGAACAGGCTCTTGTGTACGGCGTTCATGCAGGCGGCAGCGGCCACTGGGCTATGCTTCCAGAGAGAGGTCATAGCACTGATACACCTGATCCAGAGACAATAGAATTGCTGCCGAGTGTCGTTTGATCGTTACGTGAAGTGATGCGTGGAGGACGAGGCGGAGCAATGAGCACCTGGACGTTTCCATCAGCCACCAGATACGACTCCACTTTGATTGACCGGACAACACATCAGTGATTGCCCCGGTTTCTTGTCCAGTCAAGGTCCTGCCGCGCAGCCAAATATTCATGCGACTGTACTCCTCCGGCCAAGGGACGGCTTTGCGCCTCGGCACTATGGTGTCCAGCGGTTGATTGCCGCCTCTCCCGTCTGCTCACGGAATGTGGTAACAGGCACCCGGCTTGGATCTGACAGGTATTAGGAAGCATGCCGAGCTCGATGCGCAGCTGTCCCCATACTTCTCTGCACAAGCCTGAATCAGTAATCGCTTGGTACGGTCTGAGGAACCACGCACCAGCGTGCAATGGAGAAATGCGCAGTCATATTGACCTGGCGCCGCGGAAAGTCGAGGTCAGTGAGACGTCGGCGTTGCGCCAGGGTGGCGTGGTCATTCACACAGTTTGGGAAGTGGCGGTTTACATACACATGGCGCGACAGTTGAGCGCAATCCCCACAGTCTTTCTTTGCGCTCCCACCAGTCACCCTATGCCATGCGGTGGTGCTTTCAGTCAACGTAGTAACCGCAGTACTTGCACCGCCAGACATAACGCCCATGATAGACAAACGTCTCGGGAACGCACTGCTCTGGAATGTCAGTTCTGCGAGAGGCCGTTGTGCCACTGGCTTACCGCCTTCATTGTTGCCCGAGTTGTCACCGTCGCATGTGCCGTCGTCAGAACTGTCGCTCTCAGTTCTGTTAGAGTCGCACAGCAGTGAGAGTGGGATGATCATTGTGAGGCAACCCCAGAGTGCAATGAAAGGAGACGTCATTGGTAAAGCCGCTACTTGTATGAACTTGAGAACAGACAGTGCACAAAAGACGCGAGGGGGTTGGGAAACAGGTTTCCGCTGAAGGAAACATTCAGTTCTCAACTCTTTTACTTAGCCTGTAACGGTGCAACAGTGGAACCCAGCGCCAAAGGTGAGAAGAGACATAGAGTGACCCTTCCGCTCATCCGTGCGAGCTGCGAATTTGAGTTGGCGAGAAAACTCCATACATTTGGCTGCGCTATCCTTACTGGCACCGCCGACGGCATGGCCGCTGCTACATCTTAATTCTTGGTCGTGTGCGGGAGCAGGACGGTCGGTGGTGCACCCCACTGCCGACAACAGTAGTAGCACCAGCAAAAGTAGCGTTGGTCGTAGGTGCCGTCGAGGAGGACACAGGGTTCTTGCTGGCCATCAGTGACGACAAACGAGCGCGTGCGCGCCAGGAACGAAACAAACAAAACCTACGTCCAATGTTTTCATTCTTTCCGTTGCCTGGGCAGTTACCCGTCTTCTCAGCGTACGTCTTGGGGTGTCCTGGAAGAGAGCGAGGATAGGTTGCTGCAAACGTGCCCTTCATGGTGGAGTAGGGAATACGACGTGGTTGAGAGAGGGTGCCGTTCGGCAGTGATGAGACCACCCCTTACCGTGGTCCGTGAGAACGTCGAGTGATTGGTCTATTCCGCATCAGTGTGTGTGCGACTGTCAACCTCCATGATGGTGCACAAAGCCGCCTGCTGGGACGAATCCTGACAATGTTTGGTACCCAGGCAGTTTGCCACTGGAAAGTTCTTTGGCGGGGGTCCACTTGAGGTGGGTACGCACTTGAGCGTGCCATTGATGAGAAATAGCAGTCGTGCATTCAAGGAATCACTTGGTACCGTCAAACCGGTTGCAGTACAGACACCAGACGTAGTTCCTCTGCTCGTAAGGACAGCGAACAAGGTGACAAGGACCTGGAGTCAGCCCTCCGTCGAAAAACTCTATGACTTACGGTCTTTGTTGTTACCATAGCAGTCGCCTCGACAAGGCTGAGGTGCCGTCCAGTACATTGTGCCGAGGATCGTCAGCTTCTCAGACTCATCCATGAGGACTGTTGCAAGACGAAAGTGTGTGTTTAGCGGATGTGTGTAGTTGAGAGTTCGGCGGATTGGGTATGTGCTGTAGCGACGCCGAAGTGAGGTGAACTTCCGACCTCAGGCTCGCTCGTGGCAGTCAATGTGCCATCATCAAGGGTAGCGTTCGGCATGTAACGAGACATGATGGTTCATTATATGTACTCTACATCACTACCAGGGATACTAAAACCGCTTGCAGTACTTGCAGTAGGTGTACGACTTTCCAAAACGAGGCACATACTTGGTCAGGAGCCAGCAGTATCCTCCGGTGATTGTCAACAAAAGAGGCCCTCGGTCCATCAACGGGATGGCAGTCACCAGATGGTATGTGGGAGTTTCAGGCCCACTCTGCACATCATCACACGAGCTACTCACCTCCGCGGTTCTGATAGTTGGCCTGTGAATCGCCAGGACACACGGTTCCTGCGAGCTCCACGCCGTGGTCGTACGTTTGAATGTTGACTCTGTACATGGGTAGTGAAGGGGTGTTGAGTTGAGAGAGAGGGGGTTCAGCTCCCTCTGTTTTGAGTCTCTCTCTCTCTATCTCTCATCACGACCAGCCATCCACTGCCATCTGGGGGTCCAGTCACCCATGCGCACCTCTGACTGTACTTGTGTACCTCTGATGGTGGCGCACAGCGCCATCACTCGGCCTCATCGTTTGAGCCTGACAGATTCGACACCAGTTTGCGTCCTGGCTTTTAATCGAACTGGGTCTCACATGCAGGCGGGACTGTAGGCTTTCATGAACGACCTCGTACCACCAGCGCGTCCTTTACAGTCTTGAGAGACGAGCTTTGCCGTTCTATGTTAAGACGGAGCAGGCAACAAGAAAATCGTATAACTTGGTTTCATCGTATAACGGTTAGTACATAAGATTCTGATCCGCCGGATAGTTCTTGTAATCTGGGTTCGATTCCCAGTGAGACCTTCTCTTTTGACCTATCTGCATGTCCTGTCCTTGCCCATGCATCGTCCCAACTCGTCTGGCAACGGTGCGGACAGTTTTCAATGGCGATGTCGATGGTGGATGGTTAGACCAGTTCCGCCACTTTCGTTTTGCTTCCGCGCGGATCGCGGCATAGATGGCGGCGGATTCGCCTAGACTTCGTGTCGGTTCACTGTAATCACTTGGACGCGTGCCAGCAGCTGGCTGTTCTTGGCTGACACACGATACCAATATCAGCGCTTAGGCAGCATGCGAAGGATTGACCAGGCCCTTTGGTTGGCCAACTCGCACTGGATTTCGTGTGGTAAATTGATTTTGATTTTCGCCATTTAGGCTTTACGCGTTGAGCTGCCTCGCGTCTCAAGCGCCTCGTCAAGCCACCAGGCCACCAGGCCCCAGACCCGCAGACCTGCTTCTAAACCAGCAGCTAGAGGCTGAGATGGCGCTCTCGATCTTTGGCGTCCTGAACGCCTGGGACGCGTTGACGATCTAATGGAAACATGGAACCTCGCAAGGAAGCGTCCCCTGGAACCGGATGAACCGGATGCAGCCACCCGTCTGCTGTGTGACGACCAACAAGCGGTCCGTCTGCATCGGAGAGGCTGGGCACCACGTCTTGTGCCCGCGGGGGGTAGCTTATCAAGAGGCAGTGCTTGGTACTTGCCCGTGGTGCCGCCGGTACCCGGATGCAATCCATATCCGACGACCTGAATCGCCTATGTCGCTGCCGATCTGCCGAGTGGCAAAGATCCAAACACGATGGAGCTCCGGACGGCCCATGCCATTTCAGCCTCGTACGCCATCGCCATTTCAAGCAACGTACGTCCTAACTGAATGAAGCAACTGACCTCGGAGTCATTGATGGGGTCGGGTTGTGTATAGGCTTATGGAAAGCATTGGGTAAGCCTGTTGGGTCACGTCCGTCATGTCGGGTGCGTGTGTGTGCCCCGTCCATGGCCCCTTGGGTCATGAAGTTACAACGTTCATAGGCATTACAAACAAGAAAGGGATGGATACAACGGGCTGGTTTCTATGTGGTTTATCGGAGCATGGGCACAAGTCTATTCCTTCGGTCTTCTCAGGCGAGCATGGTAGGGAGACTACCTCGCACGGTAGTAGTAGTAAGCCTGCTGCTGTTGCTGCAGCTGTTGCTGCTGGTACATTGCACGCTGTGCCTGGAGCATGGCGTCCTCGCGCTGCGACTCGGAGCGGGTTCGGTAGCAGAAGATGCAGCGGCGGCGGCCGTGGGTCCACTCGATACGGCAGTGGTCTGGAATACTGTCAGCATCGTGTGCTTCACACTCCCCCGGTCATGGGGTGGCAAACTTACGTCCGTAGTTGGCCCTGTTGTACGGCGCACCCTTGCAGATAGGGTGGTACGAGGCAGACATCCGGGGGATGTGAGTGGCGTGGTGCTGGAGTGGTGTGGTGGTGTGCGCGCTAGGCAAAGTGCGAAGGCCGATAGATCGACCTCCTAGGACAATTGGTGTGAAGTGTGGTTGGTGAGTGGTTTGTTGGTTGAGAGAGGGGTGGGGAGAGTACGACGAAAGCGGTCACCTTTTGTGCTCGTCGGTGGACCCAGTGAATCAGTGAAGTCATCGCCACCCTGTTACAGTCTGTCACCCCCCTCGCACCCCCGGCACGTCTTGGCTGCGCGAATTCCTGGTCGCAAGCTCGCTGCGTGGGTGCGGTGCTAATACTCCGGGGGCACCCAAGTGCCAGATACTGGAGTTTACGTGGCACCAGCCAACCAGCGAGCCAGCAAGGACTACCTGGACTGCCTGTATCGAGTCAACCTTGAACGCAGGCGATGAACAGCCCAGCCGCCTTGCATAGCCTCTGCCTGGCTGCCCAAACAGACTACACCCAAAAAACCGCGCAAGCATTTGAGCGACATTAGCCTGGCTCTGCTTTTTACAACACGAGTCAAATCCAAAGTCGGGTGGCGCCCAGGTCGGTGCCCAGGCGGTGTCGTGGCGTCTTGCTGGTCGTGCCGCGGACGTGACCTGGTGACGGTTGCTGGCAGGCGGCAGCCTCTGTCGTGCGTTTCAACCGCAAGAGGCACAGCCTTAGAGAGGCCATTGGCAAACCGGCTGGGTGGACCCAAATGTGTCTCGGGTGGGTAATGTACGGTGGTCATGCTCGTCAGTGTCGTCAATGTCTCCTGACACACACGTTCACTTGCTTTGCTGCTGCCGCTCCAAGCGGTTAGGCTGCGTTCATCCCAGCAGTCCACCACAAGGCCGTGTGCCCACCATCCGTCTGTGCACGTTGACAGTCGACGGAGGGTGGAAACGCCACTAACGTCATCGCCATCATCGTTTGTGTCACCACACCAGGCGGTCAGATTGTTGTGGTTGAACGACTACTGTTCAAGGCCAAAGTGGTCAGCTCCACAGGCAGCATGTTGGAGGGAGAATTGCATTGCATTGCATTGCATACGGCGGACAGCGGACAGTGGACGACACATCCTGGAAGCCAGCTGCAACTAGATGTCGCTCTCCCAGTCGTCGTCCCAGGCGGTGTTGCCCTTCAGGGCCCACACCTCGGAGGCCAGCCGGAGGTTGGACATGGCCATGGCGCCTGCCGCAGAGGTCTGCGGGATGGTAGCCATGTACAAGTGCCAGTTCTGACCGCACACACTGCAGACCTGGTATGGACCGCCACGAAACTTGAGCACAAGGCATGGGACTGTAAAGCGTCAGAGACTTGGCAAATATCACCCGTATTGTTTGCAACCCCGGTCTTCAGGTGGAGCGTCCACTTATGGCCACTTACAGCCGGCGTTGACACCGGTCTTTTCGTGTCCGGCACAGATCATGACCGCTGAGTTGGGTACCGGACGAGGGATCCAGTGCTCGTCGTCACTCATGGTTGGTGTGTTGGTGTGTTGACTGGTGCAACTGAGAACAAGAGACACCCTGTTGCTGGGTCAATGGTCAATGGTCGACGAGCGACTGGACGTGTGCTGTCACCTGTCCATCACTGATGGCGTCCGTCGCCACCCACTGGCCACTGGACACCATGTGTGCTTGCTTCCTGATGGGGCCGTGAAGAGTCCGTCTGTCGCCACCCTCCACGTCGTCCACACGGGCCACTAGTTGCAGTCCACTCTCCTCGGCCCATGACCACAGCTTTTGTGGATCTAGCATACAGTTGAATCAAACCCCATACATGATCCAGCCCTTAGCGGGGAACAAGCAAGTACAACCGGTGATGGCAGTACATGCACCTGTACCTATCTTCCGTGTAGTTGAAGTATGGGACACACTCCTCTGGTGAGAGGTGAGCGGAGGGTCAGCGAAGCGTACGTACCGGCCAGGTTGTGACCGTGAACGTTGCCATGGCAGAAGGGTATGATCGACAAGATCCGGTACTTGGGCTTGGGCATTGGTTGAGGATAAGAGTGGCTGAAGGTTCCTCACGTCACGGTGGTTTTGGGTGCTTCGCACAGCGACCAAAGCGTGGCTATTTGACCCATGCTTCAGGTTGAGCCATCACCCATCAATCGTGTATCACGATGTTGCCTATGATTTGAACCATCAATGTGGGCCGCCGCCGCAGCTGACAAGGGGAGTGAGTGGTCTTGGTTGGAAACGACTCGGAGAAGTGGTTCAAGGCGACGCACAGTGCCACAAGCAGCAGCCCCTCATGAAACCGCCGATCATGTGCTAATTTGGCGAGCTCACCCCACGGTGTAAGACTTATTGTGCAGTGTACCAGAACAATCAGGAGCAGAAGTATGCAGTATACTGAGCGCGTCGGCCATGCATTCAGTTGCCCACGCCCATGGTCACTCTTGGAAGACCCAGAGCGAGCAAATGCCTGCCACTCGGAACCAAATTGGGGACGGACCCTGATAAACCGGCCAGGTCCGAATGTCGTCATGTGGTGCGCGTCCAAGGGGTGAATCGGGTGAATCGTGAGCCTCGCGCGTTGAATCGCATTATCGTCCATCTCCTTGCTTTCTTGATTTCTTTCCCTTCACCTCGCCTTTTCATCCCACAACCACCCACCATGGCTATCCAGGCTCGTGCGGTTCCACGCAGGGCCGCGCCGGGTGATGTCGAGAAGGCTCCTCTCGTCGACACTCCCGACAACATCGAGGCCGAGGGCGATGACGATAACAAGCACGCGCGCCGGCTCACCACCCACTTCTACGTCCACCCGATCCTGCTGTTCTTAATTGTGGGCGGTCTCTGCCTGCGCAACTTTGGATTCCCCTTCCCCAGCCCAGCACCCGAGCCTCTGCCTCCCTTTGTCGAGGATGGCATGAAGCAGTGCGCAATCATTGCGCGTCCCCCGCCCACCCCTAAGGACTTTACCGCTGCGCGTAAGCGTTCGGACCGTTTCGCCGAGGGAAACCGGTGCCGTCTGGCTCAAGAATGCGACCCTCTGGACCGGCGAGAACGACGGCGAGGAGGTTCTCTACGGTGCCGACGTCTGGCTTGATGGCGGTGTCATCCGTCGTATCGGCAAGGCTGACGACATGGTCGACCTGCTCGCTGCGTCCAAGGACTATGAGGAGGTCGAGCTCAATGGCGCGTGGGTCACCCCCGGTATCGTTGATGTTCACTCCCACCTCGCTGTTGATGCTTCCCCCGAGCTCAAGGGTAACAGCGACACCAACTCGTGGAAGGCGTCGATTCAGCCTTGGCTCCGCTCGCTCGATGGATTCAACACTCATGACCAAGCGTTCAACCTGTCCATTTCGGGTGGTATCACCACCATGCTTGTGCTTCCCGGCTCGGCCGGCAACATTGGTGGCCAGGCATTTACTTTCAAGCCTCGCTGGACCAAGGAGAACTCCCCTCAGAGCATGCAGGTCGAGCCTCCCTTTGTGATCGAGGAATCCGACTCTGGCGAGAACCAGTGGACTCGTACCGGTGCTTGGCGACACATCAAGGTGAGTTTGGCTGGCCTCAGAAGCAAACTAACAAAACAGCATGCCTGTGGTGAAAACCCATTGAGGGGTGAGTGTCGTTGTTCTAGCCTATTGCATTAGAGTGATTGGACAAAATGCCGCCCGACCTCGGCCTGCGTCTCCGTTGCGAACGATTGCTAACAGTACTTCAGTGTACGGAAACACTCGCATGGACTCCGCCTACGACTTCCGTCGCGCATACACCGAGGGTGCAAAGCTCAAGGAGCGCCAGGACCGCTGGTGCCTTTCGCCCAAGACCCAGACCGAGCCTTTCCCTTCCAGCCTCGAGTGGGAGGTCATGTCCGACATCATTCGCGGTAACGTCAAGGTCAACATCCACTGCTACGAGACTGTCGACCTCCAGGACCTTGTCAGGATTGTGAGTTGTATGAGGTCTGAACTGGGCACCACAACTAGCTACTAGAACCACACTTACGCCCCTTAGAGCAACGAGTTCCAGTTCCCCATTGCTGCATTCCACCACGCTCACGAGGCCTACATGGTCCCCGACCTCATCAAGCAGGCTTGGGGTCCTACCCCTGGTGTGGCCATCTTTGCCAACAACGCCCGCTACAAGCGTGAGGCTTACCGCGGCACCCCCTACGCTCCCAAGATTCTCGCGGACGCTGGTCTCCGTGTCTCGATGAAGTCGGACCACCCCGTTTTGGACAGCCGATTCCTCGTGTAAGTAACGCTGCAATTCCCAGGAGTCTGCGTCTGTGTCCATGCTTATGTGAAAGTTACGAGGCTGCCCAGGCCCACGCGTTCGGTCTCAACTTTTCCGAGTCGCTCAGCTCGGTGACTACCCACTCTGCTCGCATCATGGGTCTTGGCCACCGTATCGGCTACGTTCGTCCCGGCTACGATGCCGACATTGTGGTCTGGGACTCGTTCCCTCTTACTCTCGGCGCTACCCCCAAGCAGACGTACATCGACGGTATCCCGCAGATCATCTCTCCTCACAACTTCAACAAGCCCTCGGCTGCCCAGGACATCTCCCCCGCCGGCGACTATGACAAGGAGGCACAGGAAGCCATCGACTCGCGCGGCGACCCCAACCTCCGTCCCAAGAAGTCGTCGTCAGCAATTGTCTTCGAGGGTGTCCAGAACCTGTACCTTGACGGCGTCACTGCCCAGGGCGAGCCTGGCCGCGTCGTTGTCCAGAACGGCGAGATTGCTTGCGCCGGCAAGGACTGTGTTGTCGCCGAAGGCGAGTACGAGGTCGTCCAGCTCAACGGCGGCAGTATCGCCCCTGGTCTCATTACCACTGGTTCCAAGCTCGGCCTTATCGAGATTGCCCAGGAGAAGGTCACCTCGGACGGTATCGCCTACGACCCTCTCTCTGGTACCGAGCTTCTTGACGGCCTTCTTGTCCACGCCGTCGACGGCGCTCGTTTCGAGGGCAAGGACGAGCTCATGGCTTACCAGGCCGGTGTCACCACCGGTGTCACTTCGCCCATGACCTCCAAGTTCTTCTCTGGCCTGTCATACTCGTTCTCGACGTCGGCATCGCACGCCCTTGCGCCTGGTGCCATTGGCAACGCGGCCGCTGCCCTCCACCTCAACCTTGACAACTCGGGCGCCTCGGTGTCGTCCAAGATTGCTCTCCTCCGCAGTCTCCTGAGCGGTGGCGACTCGCTCAAGGCCAGCGACGAGCTCCACGACGCCTTCAAGAGCGCTGCTGCTGGCGACCTCCGCCTCGTGATTTCGACTCACAGCGCCGACGCCATTGCTACTCTTATCCGCGTCAAGCGCGAGGTTGCCCCCAAGCTCAAGCTCACCATTGTCGGTGGCTTTGAGTCGTGGATGCTCGCCGAGGAGCTTGCCCAGGAGAAGATTGGTGTCATCGTTGCCCCCTCGCGCTCGTTCCCGGCCTCCTGGGACCAGCGCCGTATCCTGGCCGGCCCACCCATCACCAACCACACGCTCCCCTCGTACCTTGCCTCGCACGGCGTCACTGTCGGTCTGGGAATTACAGAGGAGTGCGACGCTAGGCTCACTCGCTATGACATGGCCTGGACGTACGCGTCGTCCCCCAACGTGTTCAGCAAGCCCGATGCCATTGCCCTTGTCACGACCAACCTGCAGGAGCTCCTTGGTCTCAACGATGGTGTCCAGGCCAAGGCTGACCTCGGCTTCGTTGCATACGAGGGTGACATGTTTTCGTTTGAGAGCCGCGTGCGCGCCGTGCGTGCTCCTGGCGCCGACTCCATGGACCTCTTTTGAGTAGACAATCACTTTGAGGAGTAGACGAATCCCGTACAGAAATGCATTATTGCAAAGGAGGTGGAATGGGCGCTATCTGATATGACCAAGCGAACATGCCGCACCACCGTGCCTGGTGTGGGTGCTGACCTTCCTTCGGTCATGGCCGCAGCAACGCCGGTCAGGTAGCGCGTGGGGTCGTCGTGCTTTGTCGTCTTCGTCACTGGTTCACGCAGTCCCGCTGCTGCTGTTGCCCAGTAACCCTCATCAACAACCTCGCGTCAGTCAACACGCTTCTCTCACCCACTCTGCTTCAGCGCGCTGTCAAGTGCCCCGCTTGACGCACCCCTCTCGCTCACTCACTCACACACTCTTCCCACCCCACCACCACTCCAACCCCCGTATGCCCAAGGCTGCCAGCCGCCGGCGCAGCCGCTCCTCCCTCGAGCGTCCCCTCCTCAGCGACACGGACGGGCTCCGCTCCGAGGCCGCAGAACTCTCTCCGCGCCCCGACCACCCCGAGCTGCACGACCCGCGCGACTCCAACGACTACATCGGCGCATACTCGGAGGACATTGACCACGACGAGAACGGCAACGGAAACGACAGTGGCGACGACGACGAGTACGCGCACGACTACGAACACCGTACGCGCCGCCGGGTCTCTTTCCTCGACATGGTGCCTTCGCGCCGCGACAAGGTGTCCCTGGGGCTGATTGTGGTGCGTAGGGCTGTGATGGACAAGGCTGCCCATTCTTAGGAAACGACAGCCGATACTTTAGCACAGCTGCTGACGCACAAACTGTACAGATTGGCCTTGCGCTCTTCCTCCCGCTCACTTGGGCACTGGTCCTGACGGCCAACGTGCGCGCGCTGGGATGGTTTGCGCCGCACCCCCCACTGAACGCGCTGGCCATCACGGCGTTTGTGCTGGGCATCATGCCCGTGCAGCCGCCCACGCCGCCGGCGGGGATCCGCGCGGCGCGGCTGGGCGTCCACCAGCGCGTCCTCCTCGGCATCGCGCTGCCGGCCATGACCATCGGCACGAGCTGCATGTACTGGAACAAGCACATCCATGGCGCCGCGCACATTACGACGTGGCACGCGCGGTTCGGTATCGCGACCTTCTGCTGGATGTGGCTGCAGGCCGCGTTCGGCGCCGCAAGTGCGTGGAAGGGTGGAGCGGCGTTTGGCGGTGGCATGAAGGCCAAGGCCATGTACAAGTACCACCGGTGCGTCGTCTTATCTTTTCCATCTCGGCTCGCTCCAAAACAAGGTGCTGACAAAGAACTGCAGGGCGTCGGGATATGCTCTTGTTGCGCTCAGCCTCCTCACGGCCGTGCTCGCCGGCGGATACTCGACGTGGGCCATTTCGCGCGGGGAGCAGTTTGTGCCCCTCCGTATCGTCGCGTTTGGCGTCGGCATCCCGCTCGTGTTCGTCGGCCTCGCTATGCGTGTTCGCCCCAGCAAAATGAAGTTTACATAGAGGACACCCCCCCCCGATGCATTAGCATGGACGATGTCTTTCATTCGCCAGCGGCACGCACAACTCGCTAAAGCACGTGCGATAATCCAACATGGTCTTCGCATCTAACAGCCGCTCTCGCATCTAACAGCCCTCTCGATACAGCTAGCTCAACACCTAGTATCCCTTCTGAATGTCGACGACGTTGAACGGCTTCAGTCCCTTCCTGAGACGCTCTGCGTTCTCCACGGCAATGTCGGTACCGATTGACAGCTCTCCCTCGACGTTGCCCGACAGGTGCGGAGTGACAATGACGCGGGGGTGGGTCCACAGGGGGTGGCCGTCGGTGAGGGGCTCGGGCTCGGTCACATCCAGGGCGACGCCGTAGAGACTGCCGGCATCGAGGGCCTTGAGGATCTCGTCTGGGATGTTAGGTTTTGTTAAACAGTGGGGGATGTCGCGGTGGACGCGACAGCACCGCTGGGTAGTCTGGCCACGCGTTTGTCAACTCACCACTCTTGATCAGGTCACCGCGGCCGACGTTGATAAACAGCGCGTCAGGCTTAAGGAGAGCTGCCGTCAGTTGTGATGTATGCGTTGGACAACTCACCAAGCTTCTCGGCGTCCAGCATCCACTTTGTGTATTGTGTGCTCGGAAGGCTGGACACGAGCACGTCCGTCTCGCGCAGGAAGGCCTCGAACGATGCTGGGTCCTTTGTCGAGAAGAACTTTTCGGGGATCGAGCCTGAATGTCAGTTTGGGCGTCCAACAAAACATCGCAACTCACCATCGGGGTCACCAGTGCCAGGAATCACGTACTGGCTGTCAGTCAAGTCCTTGGGGCCAAACGTACCTCTGTCTCGCTTGTGGACTGGCCGGTGGTGTTGGCGGCAATCACACGCATGCCGTGCGCCTTGAGCAGGCGCGCAGTCTCACGACCCAGAGCACCGTAGCCAAGCAGGCCAACGGTACGGCCAAACGTGCTGCGTGCGTAGTAGGGCTCGCCACGGAGGTCGGCTTCGGTCTTGCTCCAGTACTGCTTCTCCTATAACCGTTAGCCTTTGGAGTTGCGTTCCAAACTTTTGGGGTTGGTTGGAGCTCACCCTGGCAACACGCAGCATCTGCTGGATCTGGTGGTACAGGTTGATCGTCATGGCCACCACATAGTTTGGAATGGAGAGGACGTGCGCTCCGCTCGCCGTGCTGAGCGTCACGTCGGGAGGGTTGGGCTGGGCCAGTTCACGGATCGCAGGTGAGGAGCGGAGAGCCATGTCCACGCCGGCGGTGCTCAGCTGGATGTGCTTGAGCTTGGGCAGGTCGGCCAGGGGGCAATCGACCGGGAGGGCCTTCCACTGGCTAAAGACCATGTCAATGTCGCCGCGCACCTCGGCGGGGATGGTCGCCTCGGGATCGGTGTGGATCTTGGGGTAGTAGTGGACGGTGGGGAAGGCGCCGCGCAGCTTAGCGAGAGCGGGAGCGGGGAGGTCGAGGCCGATGACGGCAAGCGTGTCAAGGGTAGCACCCATCCTGACGGCCGGCATTGTGATGGACTGAGAAGTGTGGATGAAAAGAACGAGTCGGTAAGAGCTCGCGTTGTTATGGATAGAGTTGGAGTGGGCATCATAATCTCGCCCGTCCACCGCTTCCGTCGGCTACCTCCGACTCTTGCGCGAATGCTTCGTATCGAGCACGACTCAGACGGATGGTGGTGAGCACGCACGCCACGTTGCTGCATCAGCAATATCGAGTCAGTAGCGTTTACGGAATGCATGGGGAGATTAAACAAGTGGCTGTCGTCTAAGATCTGAGAGATAGGTGTGTGTGCATTGACTCGGTGAGGCGGATCGGCTAATTTGTCACCTCTCGTCTCCACATGTCAACCAGTCCCACGCATTTCCATTCGTCGCACCCAACTAGTCTACCTCTGGGATTCAGAACGGTCCCGGATCCTTGGCAGGCAACAGTGACAGCAGACGTTTCAGATGGCCCGCATGCATTGTCTGCATGTTGTCTTGCTCGACATGGTTCGCCGACAGTCGAAACCGATGTCCTGTGCCGAGCACATTCTTTCTCCATGCCCAACACCAAACTCGCCATAACGGTCCCAATCTAATACACAGGGCCATCGCTCATGGGTACCGACCCTGGCGTAAAGGCCCAGAGCGTGCCAAGCTTCATTCTCGAGTTAGTGAGGGCAGGACAGTGTCCATGGTAGGGAGTGGCACGCGCCTGGAACGTCGGACACGGCTACCGTGGACACACTGAATCTGTGGTAAGCACAAGAGCACCACACATACTTGGTGGTCATCAATTTAAGCGGACACGCTGTGGACCCAGAGTGTGCGGCCATCTAACCGAATTGCAGCTAGATGAAGCGGGGCAACGACCGGCCTCCACAACAGCTCACGAGCCGAGCAGGAAATGACCAGCGATGCAAGGACGACAGCGTCCTCGGCATGGCCTGCGCTCAACATGCGACAAACACCCACTTCACTTGAGGACGAGACCATCTCGTGATCTGCTTGAGTGGTCGCTCTGCGGCGAATGGGGGGCTCCATAATAGTACATCGACGTAACCGGTTGGTACACGACATGATATGCGCTGATTGTTTTGCTTTCTACTTCTTCTGAACGTCAAGCAGGTCGGGCATAAAACGGTGCTCCTTGCCCTCGTTCTTGACGTGCTTCTTGAGCCTGAGGAACCATGGTCAGCACCACATCTCGTGGTCTCGGCAAAGGGGGTGACTAACTTGGCCAGCAGCTCCGTCTTGGCCCACTTGCTAGGGGCAGGCTTCTTCTCGGTACACCAGTAATAGACGTCCCAGTCGGGCTCGTCCAGAAGCTAAGGGGGGAAATAAGTCAACAAAACAGCGCTCTTGACAGACAGAGATATGACTCACCTTGTCAAACTCCTGCATCTCCTTCACGGTCATGGTCGGCAGGTTGTCACGAGCAAAAGTGCTGAACAGCAGGTCGTTTTCGAGGGTACCGCGCTTGCGAGTCTGATAAACGAGACGTGCACGCAGGACATCGGGGCTCTCGCCGGTACGGTCGAGGGGAGGGGGCATGGCCCAGTCCTCAATGACGTCCTCGGGGTTGCGGGCGGCACGAGCCTCAGCGGCGGCGGCAGCAAGTGCCGGGTCGAAGGGGAGGGGGAAGGGGTCCTTGGCGGTCGAGGACGACGCGTGGAGAGCGCGCGACGCGACCACACGGGGCGCAACAATGGCGCGGGCAGCGCGGGCTGCGTGTGCGATGCGGAGGGACATGTTGTTGTTGATAAAGTTGTCAACCTGTTGGTCGCGAAGAAAGTCGGACGGCAGCCTGTCGGAGATCGGAGAGAACCGTCATTGTGGACGATGGACAGGCGTGGGGGACCACCGTGGGAACATTGGGAGAAGCGGTTGGATGGTTTACGTAACAAAACGTGCCCATCACGTGGATCACGTGTCGATTCCTGAGCCGATCCTGACGCTCCTGTAGCCGATCCGGGCGCACACACTGTAATTTACCGGTTGCCGGGACGACGTGCGCGATCCGATAACTCTGTTTCTGCTGTGGACGAACGCATGCGAACAAGGGTGTGTCCGTTCTCACACGTCCTGTGAACGCGGGGACAGAGCTACGACGCAAAAAAGAGCCATATATAACACCCTTCTACTTCCATCATCCCACATCTCTCCTTCTATCTCTCTTGTACCCACACACACAGTCTCTCTTCCAAGATGGATCCCGAGTTTCTCCAGGAGCGGGTGCACGGTACGTGACTCTTCCGTGTCCCTCGCTAACAGTCCCAGAGTTCATCTCTATGATGCTGGCCTCAAATGACCCGTCAGTATCCTTCTCCGAAAGTCTTCCATGTTCCATCGTACTCTTGCACGACCTGTCAACGATGGCCTCGACCATCGCTACCATGACATCACCTTTTCAGGACAAAACTGAACCACCCCTAGCCGCAGACAACAACGTTCATCCAGCTCACGCAACAGGCGCCTGTACGGTCGCATCATCCACGCCAACGTTGCGCCGGACGCAATCCTCCAGACGCCGGCGCACTCGACACAGGGCACTGAGAACATTCACAACCTTCTTGCTCTCCACGCCGCTCTATCCGACAACACCCTTGGTGACCTCGTTTGGGACGAGGCGTGAGTAGGAGGACTGTCGCTGCACGTTGTCATGTTGGACGAAGTAGACGCTAAAACGACTTGTTTCCAGGACCAAGACTGCACACGTCTGGGTGAAGACGACGTACGCTCTTCCGCTGGACAAGGCTCCCTGGCCCATCTCTGCGGCCGGCCTCCTCCGCTTCAATGTGGAGTGGGACGACATCCAAGTCCACCTTGCTCCCGACCGCCGTGTCCCGGCTCCCTCGGACGCTACCGAGGCCCACGCCAAGTACCATGTCACCAAGGTCGCCACGCCACAGCGCCCGCCTCGCCACCGCATTCTGCAGTTTGCGTACCACGTCGTGTGAGTTGCAGTCCGCCCAACGAACTCTGACGTTCGTTTAGAATGTACTTTGTCCGCCTCATCGTCCCCTACTTGCTCCCAGCCTTCATCACGCTGCTCAAGTTCTTTGAGCGTCACCCGCTCTCGGACGGTATCGTCTCGGTGACCTTTGCTGCTGTCTACGAGATGGCCCAGTGGTTCTTTGCTGGCGTCTTGCACTTCCTCGGCATCCACCTGGGCCGCCAACACAAGCCCACCACGGACGTCTGCGAAGAGTGAGCTAACTGATGCTAGGAGTCGCTGAGCTGACACACATTAGTTCCCTTGGCACCACCACTGACGTCAACACCCCCAGCGAGAAGTCGTCCCCCGCGTCCGCCAGGAAGACGAGCGACCTCCCGGCGTCTGCCCCTAGGTCAACCCAGTCCTCCCAGGCGCCCTACACCCTCGCTCCGGTTGTTGACGCCAGCGCCGAGGACGAGCAAGACGACGATACGGCCGACGACTCGCTCCGCCTCGCGCCCGAGATGGGCACGGACCAAGGCCGTTCGTCTGCGAACACGTCGCGCTCGCCTTCGCCCGGCGCGGCTGAGGGTGCCGAGCAGCACCACAAGCACGGCGACCACAAGAAGCACAAGAAGCACAAGAGGAACAAGCAGACGCCTCACCACCACGCCCACCACCAGCACAAGTAGATCCTGTGCCACAGGACATCAGACCCGTCATCCCTCCACATGTACATTCGGATCTCCCCCCCGTTGTCCATGTTTAGATGGCTTCCAAGCCGCATCTCTTGTGCCTATAGATAGAATCCAAAATGCAGCCATTGTAGATAAGCGCGGACATGTTCATGACGGGAAAAAAACTATGACAAAAAGTGCTATGGAAAGTAATACAGTTCTACGTTAGTCTACTGACGAAGGCCCATAGGTGGCCGACCGCCTACAGTTGTCGCACGGCGTCGGCCAGTGCCCGCCAGTTGGCCTCATTGATAGCCACGCGCAGCTTCCTCAGCTGCGTGGCAAGCACCATGAGAGCGTCGGCCGCCTCGCCACTCCTTGGTGTCCGGCCCTTTCCTGACCCGGGCACCAGAAACTCCTTCACCGTCCGCGCAGCTGCCATACACATGGCCAACGTGCGGCGCATGTCGCGCAGCTGGGCCTCTTGGGTCGGAGGCACGCCCACATCGGACGGGAAGGGTTGGGTCGGGATACACCGGTCAATGTCGTCCAGTTGATCGGCGAGGGTGGCGATGGCAATAACCGGGTCGGCGGAAACGGCTGGCGGGCGTGCACCGTGAGCGGCGAGGGCGAGGAGGACGGGGCCGATGGCGGAGACGAGCTGGGCCGCGACGGTGTCGGGGAGCGGTCGGGAGATGGGGGCGAGAGGTGTCGGGGAAAGGGCGGGTGGTTGTTGTCGGTGGCGGAAGGGAGGGATCGAGTTCGAGGTCGGGTGGCCGTTACCGTTGCCGTTGGGGGTCGAGTCGGGTGCGGAGAAGGAGCTGTGTCGACGTCGCATCCGCGGCGGAAGGAGGTTGGGATCGATGTTGGCGATGGCCTCGGCGAGCGAGCCGGCAGCGAACCCCATCCGGAGTCCATTAGTGACACTGGTGGGCACCAGCGATCCAGATCCAGTTGGCAGTGGCGAGGTCGGTACAGCAGGCGAGGGCAGGTCGATGACCATGGCCGAAGGGCTGGTTGGAATGGGCAGTACTGGCTGCGTTTCTGGAGGCGCAGATCGCGTACCCGACATGTGGTTGCGCGTCTCAGACCGTGCATGCCAGAGGAGGGGGACATCCCGCTCATCCTCGTCCACCTGATCGGTCAGCTTAGGTATTCGATCACATCTTAGCTCACAATCATGGCGTCGATTTCCATGGCGTCCTCCCCATCGTCCACCTCCAGCTCGAGCGCTCTCTTGAGCACGCCGAGTCCCACTTTTCCCACAACTGTGGGTACACCATTGGACTCGCTCAAAAGTGCGAGATTGCGATCATCAGTCCAGAGGCTGACCGGCGCCTCTTGATGGAAATGGAGGCAACACGCGAGGATACTGTCGTCGGCACTGTTGCCGCCCGGTCGGGTGACGGCGTTCTCGCTCCATCGCTCAAGGCGTACACGGGAAGTGACTCCGATTCTGTTCCCTCGTGCACGCTCGAGGAGCCATGTTGTAGCAGAGCGCGCGGCGTCGCCTACGGTCATGTCTGTGAGGGAGTCCAGCGGCTTGATGGACGACTTGAGCCCGTCGAGTTCTGCAGGCATTAGCTGGGGCAGGGCTTGGAGACACCATGGTGGAATATGGGTATAACCTACCCTTGACAACAGTTGTAGGGATGAGCAGCCACGCGTCCGTCCGGAGGAGCAACTGATGAAGCTCGCGGACGAGCGAGAGACGAGAGATGAGGACATTTGTGTCAATGGCGAGGTAGTGTGATGGGGCTGGCGCTGAGCTTGACATGGCGTCATGCTGCATATGACCGTTGCACCACTGGTTGGGAGAAGGAGTGGGGACGGGGAAGGCAATCCAATGTTGTCCAGCGAGATGGAGCAGTCGTATAGGTGCAGTGGCGTTGGGCAGGAGAGAACGGAGGAAGGAGTGGCCGGAGTGGAATCTCCCGATGCTACGCGGGGACCCCAGTCGTCAACAGAACGAAGGCGGTCACGTGACAGTGCCAGGACGGTCGTTCAGCCTGGGCATTGCATCCCCCCAGGTGACATGCACGCGCGCCCAAACCCAGGTAGCGCGGTCATCGCAGGAAGCCTGTACCCCTTCTTCAAGGAAGGTTCGGCGCAGATGCATTGGCAACAGTCGGCTGCGGCTGCAATTGGGATATGGCGACCGCCGTAGGGGCCGCGGGCTTGACTGGCATAAAGACAACTCCAATGCCAAGTAGTGCCGGCCGACACCCAAGGGGATCGAACGCTGTCCCCGGACTGCGAGACAACTGGTCAAAGTTGCTTTCCCGCTCTGACCAATTGGGCCCTGCCCCACAGCCCTGTACAATACGTGGCTGGCCATCGGGCACTTATAAACATTATGGAGACCAGTCCCACTATCCTCCCGCAAAACCTGCAAACAGAGGCCCCAATGACAGCCACCGGCGCACAATGTTCTGTCGTGGTCGAATCAGCTTGATGGCTTCGCTGCCCCCTAAGCCTGCTCACAGCCCCTGTTCATCGACAGCAAGTCACCGGTACAGAGACCAGTATTTGACAGAGCTGGTTGGGTGGCTTGCGACGGAGAATGTGTCGGGCTGGTGAGTGGAACAAACGACTGTGGTGCGGACTGGGGAGTGGGATAGCTGGCCCCCGATGTTGCTACAGCTGTGTGAGCTTGAGCAAGATGACCTTGAGGGCCGAGGTAGCGGTTGAAGAACGAAGTGGGCCAAGGTTCATAAGGCTTGCCACAGAATGCGCAGGCGGAGGCCGGGGAACACCACATGCAAGGGTCTGAAAATGTATCAGAGGGCAGTGCAGCTCACGTCCTGTTATTGTTTAGATGCAACTCACAGCCCTTGTTCCTGCCGTCTGGTGAGCCGGGGCAATGCAACATGATCACAGTTGAGAAGAGAGTGAAGGGTTAACTGCAGTGAAAACCCTTCCTTCGTCAAGAGCAAATGAAGTGCTGATTGATCATCAGCAATCCGAAATTTCGCCCCCTGCGTGTCCCAACCATGGTCGACTCGCACCCTTTGTAGGTCACAGAGGAGTAGTGACTGGTGCACCCTGGAATGTCTGGGATAGAACTTAAAAACCAGGTCTGTTGATGAACCATCACCTCCACAAGCCTGACGGCTGCTCCCCAAAATTCTTTTTTGAGTGGAGTGGCGACCTCAAAAAAAATAAAAAGAATAAAAAACATATGCCCTGCCTATTACTTTGCGTGGAGGCTTCAGCATCTCCGCCTTTCGTCCTAGCCAGCACGCCTGCCTTTTCAAACAGATTTACACAGGGACGTGCGGGTATGCCCGAGATAATTCTCATCCAGTTCATCATTGTATATGAGTGTGTATGAGGCAGCGGGCTAGAACCACCCTATTACCTCCTGCCGCAATAAATGCAGGAGCTCACTCCGCCAGCAACGGTGGGATGGCAAAAGTCTGTAATTCATTAGAACGGACCCGGCGCTGGGGAGACAGACTTACTGCCAAAGTTTTGGCCAGTGTTGGAGCCGCAACAGTACTGGGATCCGATGCGGGCACCTGCGTTCCAGTGCGGAGTCAAACCGTGCGCCTTCGCGATTTCCGGAGCGGTATAGTAGGGTTGCCCCGGGATAAACGGCTTGCAAAGGCAGTAGACGCAGTAGGGAGAACCGGGCGGGCCACCAATGCGGCAGCCGTCTGGAAAAGTCAGCACATGTCAGATGTCTATGTATTGGAGCGGACGTACTGCCAAAGTTGCGTCCGTGGAAATCGCCGGTGCAGACCATTCTTGAAGGATGAGGTATTTGGTGAGAAGAACAACTTGTTGGATGGAACCGGAATGTTTTAACCATGTCCTACCACAAGAGTGATGGCCTGGCACACTGCCATCAGCAGTAAAACATTGGGTGGTACTGCCAGTGATTGAGTAGACAGCAGCGAGTCTGCCATCAGCGATCAGCGAGTGACAGCTCTGCCTCGTGAGGTGTGGTCCAAATTCTGAGGTTGACACAGACCTTTTGTCGTCCTTCCCCTCCTATTATGCACACCATTCATATCATGAGACTGCTGTAACGAGCACTTTTGTGCAGCTACCCACCTACACCATCGGGTTTACACTACAAAACCCCCGCTTACCACCTGCCACAGTAAATGCAGAACCAGACACCATTAGTCGGGCCCCGCAGGCACGTCCCTACATTTATTCAGCTTGAATTATGCGTACATGAAAGTGAAATGAGGTCACGTACCCCCAAAGTTCTTGCCAGTTGCATCTCCAGCACAGGGATAGGTGTGCTGGGCGGAGGACACCGTGTTACTCGCCTGGAAAGTCGAATTGTTGTTCTGGGGGGGAGCATACCCACTGGCCACACCTGGAACGGCAACCGATTGATACGGCACAGCACCGTAAGACTGGTTAGTCGGCCAGTAGGTGGTGTTGGTGGCCGGACCGACGGGAGCCTGGGGGCTGTTGGCGGCGGTTGGCTTCATCATACCGCAATAACGACATGGAAAGAATGGTGAGATTGAGACGCAGGTGTCTGAGAATTGATGAGATCAGCGGCCATCCACATGGATCAGCATGGCACTTACTGCCTCTGTTCTGGCCGAGATTACCTCCAGTGCATACCATTGTCTGAGTGGACGGTGGGTGGCAGTCGTTTGTAGAGAGGATAACTGAGGGAGGTGATGGGGACTCCGACGTGATCATAAACGCCTCACTCAGCTGACGCCAGTTGACGTGTGTCTGCATGACTCAACTCGCCCATCAGCAGCAGAAGACATCATGTGGTCTTGCTTCTTGACTCGGGCACAGGGTAACCGCCTCTGCCATCAAAATGTCCCCAGTTCGGAGGTCACCGGATTGCACAAGACCAAAGCCGGCCTACCATAGTCCTCAGCCACGACCGTGCGCTTCAGATGTACAGCGTATTTATCATCATTCATAAACGTCCTGGCTTGAATACAACTACTGCAGTACCGATCTGCCGCAGTACAGGCAGCACATGTTTAGACCTCCAGCAGCAATGCAAGGGGCTGGAAACGCCATCAGTATGTGCGTGTCACATGGGGGAATCGCCACACGTACAGTTTTTGTTTTCCCCACTCCAGTGGCCTGGACACGCGGGCAGGGCCACCGTCTTACAAGTTGGCGCTGCGCCGGTAGAGGAGAAGTAGGTCATTCGGCCGGAGGACATCGGGGTGGCAGTGGGAACTGGGGACCGAGCGCAATACCAGCATTTGATAAACGTGGTGGTGTACGTGCCCATCATACAAGGCCCTGCATGTATGTGTATGTCAGCGTGATACCGGATAAAGAGCCAGCATCCACTTACAGCCACGGTTCCGGCCCTGCGCGTTACCGATGCAGATCATGGATGTCAGCTGTGGGTGGGTGGGAATAGCGTATTCTGAAGAAAATAGAAGACCTGCCGTCCTTTTACACGGTGCACCACCACACCAGCACAAACATCAGTAATCAGACTTGGGAGGAATGCCATCAGTACATTGGGTTGTCACCTGCTGACGTGTCAGGCGAACGGCAGTCCCTGCCGCAGGAAGATTCAGAAGCTGATGGCACACACAGACCCCAGCATTCCAACGACCGGTAAGGCCGAAGGCAACTCCAAGTCCAGTAACACCAGCAGGCTTGTGCCGCATACAGAGTTCCTTGGGACGGTGGACATGATGGCGAGCTTACTTTAGGTCTCCAAACGGTTGGAATGCAGCGCTAAGGACAAGACACGCTGGCACGGACACACCGGCACGACCGACATTGGACTGGAAAAACTCCATACATTTACTACTGCTCGGCGACCTTGTGGTCCCACATTAACCCAAGGCACACGTCACTACACACACTACCTCGTCAAGTCACAATCTTGCGGTTGCAGTACTGGCACATATACTGGTTGTTGTACGGGTTGAGGTAGGGAACACACGCGTCTGGGAAGTCAGCCTTAGCAGTTAAATGCCCAACTCACAGCCCCTGTTGGCCAAGTTGTCGCGGTTACCCCTGCAAGCCATGATGAGTATGGTCTGGGTTGTCGTGGCGAAGAGGGTGAGTGCTGTGAAGGTTGTAAAAAGGGCAAGCTATTGAGGTTTACTTAAGCTGAATCGATGCTGTCGGCCGACGGTCACATTCGAGAGCGCCGAACAAGTGCTCTGGTCGACTGATGAAAAAAAGGTACAAAAATACGCCAAAAAATATTGGAACAAGAGATACAGCCCGTACAGCTCCAGTCCGTCTAGAGGAGGCAAGGAAGACTTCCTGGCAATGGACTCAAAGTCGAAAGGGTACTGATTATCTATGGACAACCTACAGGAACCGCCAATGTGGCATTCTCGATCGATGTGGTCACCAACACCGAATCGCGGCCAGAAACAAGCAACAGCCTTGGATCCCGGACGACGTTGCGCTCTACTTCGTAACGGGATTCAAGAAACAGGCAGCCTATGTACATCTTATTCACGGCCTATAGATTGCCTCCCCATCCTGCAAGTACCAGCCTGTTGCCCCCTCAGTGGCCGGGAATAAGCAATGTATACACTCCGTCCGGAAGCTCTGTGCGTTGTACTCGTACACGTGTGGATCTGAGATTGTTAGTCACAGTCCACACTATCCAAAGCTGGACTTACTGCCTTGGTTGTAGAACCCTTTGTCCCCTGCGCACCACCTGATCATGTCCTCGGATCTCTTCCCGAATTCCAAACCACATTGCACTAGACAGTCGTGGCGTGTACAGAAAAGAACGGCAGGACCTATGTATCCGCTACGGCCTGCACAACGTCCTTCATTCCAGAAGTCATGAGGCGCCGAGAGCAGCGCTGATGGGGCAAAGAACCATCAACGGGGACAACGTGGTCTGCTTCTAGTATCGCACGGGCCGCAGGGGGATTCGATCACTCGGCAAGGCGAGAAGCAATTAACCGTCAGTCGTCGTACCTTCTCGTCGTTCCCATGCTCGATCTACTGGCAGCCGGGCACCATTCACAAAGGTGCAGTCTACAGCAAGGGCAGGTACAGGGAGCTTGCTGTGGTAAAGTTGAGGGATCTGCTGGATCATGCATTGTCATCTCCCCTCCGGCTTTCTTCCAGAAGCCAAATATTGCCGTCATGATGCCGGAGTTGCCACCGACGATGGAATGTTGCCACCGACGATACAGAGTTGCCACCGACGATGCAGTGTTGCACATAGTCCGTTACTCAGTACCTAAGTCTCCCAGCCTGCCACCCCCTTTCCTCCCAACCTGGCCCTCGCAGCTGATGGTGCCGTCTCCAGGATTGTAGCATTTGGAGTGAATAGCAAACTGTGGTGATGGCGGAAGGCGACTACGCACATGCGTGAGGATGGAACAGCCCGCAAGAGCTGGGTATCAGGTTGCGGTTGCTCAGCGCGTTTCACAGTAAGCAGCTTGAATCCGCTGATCCGCTGATCAGGCGAGGTACGGTGGAGGGACACAATATGCATGGAGGTGGACAGTTGTACAGTGGAGACTCCACCCATGATGATCAAGCCCACCACTGGAGGCAATACGTGCAGCGCCAGCGCTGGACCTGTTGATACCACACCGGGTCACAGGGGTCTGGGTGGCTGTCAATATGCAGGTCATAGTGTGGGAAGGCCTTCTGGTCACTCACGGCCACGGTGGACACCGTTTCGATCGCCTGTGCAGATGGGTGACATTGTCGGATGCGAGATTGAAGTGGCAAGGAAGTTAGGAAGTCGCAAGTTCGTTGGTCTTGAGGGCCTAGGTATCTGTTCTAGCTATATAGGTGCAAGAAGTCAGGAAGCCCGCGGCTCTCTTCCATTAACGCCACGTCTGTCCGCAATAGACGCAACGGTAGAAGCCTTGTGGCCACAAGCGACCTTGACACGGGTCTAGGGGGATCAGTTAGCAATCAAAGCACCATCAGGAGGAGGTTTTCACTGTTCTTGTTGCGCATCTGATGGTCGCCAAGACATCGAGGGGTGGCCATTGTTCAATGTTGTTTTGATGAGAGCTGGCGATGGAAGTGCGTGGCGAGGTGGCGCAAACGCCCGACTTCAAAGGCCAGTTTATGTATGTGGACGATCACCGTGTTGCCCGGGAAGTTGACCGCCATCACTTACAGGGGGCGACAGATGCACAGCCGCTTCATGTCTGAAGTGCCTTCTTCAAGGTACATTCTGGTCCAAGCCTGAAACAGCAGCACGACAGGTCCCGAGGCGTCACCCTTGTTCCATCCAAGAAGGTGAAGTCGCTATGGTGGCGCCATGCGGGCCGCAGATTGTGGGAGCGGCAATCATGGAAGGTGCCACATGTGACGTTCACTAGCTTCAGTACTCCAGCTGCCAAGACTGTAGTAATGAGTGCATGCTGTTGTAGGAGTCTATCCCGTCCTCCCTTCAGACAGTCACCGCCAGAGCCTGGGCAAAGTCGCGCTTCAGGTCATCAATGTTCTCGAGACCGACCGACAGCCGCACAAAGTTGGGGGAGATGCCAGCGGCAGCCATCTGTTCCTCGTTCATGCTGCCAGTCCACATGGCAGCCGTGTGGACGGCCAGCGTCTCCACGCCGCCGAGGGAAACAGCCTGCGAGTCGAGGCGCAGGGCAGCCACAAACCTGCTAGTTTGCTCGTAGCCGCCCTTGACCTCGACGGCGACGACGGGACCACCACCCTTCATCTGCTTGCGGGCAATGTCGTGCTGGGCGTGGCTTTGGAGCATGGGGTAGTGGACCTTGGTGACTTCGGGCTGTTGCTCGAGCCAGGAGGCAAGCTCCAGAGCGTTCGAGTTGATCCTCTCCATGCGCAGAGGCAGGGTGCGGAGGCCACGAAGCAGCAACCAGGCATCCATGGGTGACAGGACGGAGCCTAGGGTGAGCGACGTCTCCCACATGACCGAAGCAAGACTCCTGCTGGTGCAGATGGCACCGGCGGTGATGTCCGAGTGACCACCCATGCTCTTGGTCGCCGAGTGGAGGACGACGTCGATACCCAGGTCAGCAGGGCGACAGTTGAAGGGACCGGCAAAGGTGTTGTCGGCGAGAGTGAGGATCTTGTCGTCGCCTTCACTCTTGCTGTGCTTCCTGGCGATCTCCACCACTGCAGCGAGATCGGTGAGGACCAAGGTCGGGTTCGCAGGCGTTTCCACGAAGATGAGGCGAGTATTGGGCTTGATCGCAGCTTCAATAGCGTCGAGGTCGGCCTGCTCGACAATGCTGGTCTCAACACCGAAGCGAGGAAGCATCTCGTCAAAGAGCTTGGCTGTTGCCATGTAATGCCGAGTCTGCGCAATGACATGGTCGCCCGCCTTGACGAGGCTCAACACTGCTGTGCTGATAGCGCCCATGCCACTGGCAGTCACCATGGCAGTCTCCGTTCCCTCCAGGCTAGCCAGAACCGAAGCGACCTGCTCGTGTGTCGGGTTGCCATAGCGGGTGTAGAAGCCGGGGTGTCGCTCTTCCGATGCCATTTCGGCGAACTGGGCCGCCGAGTTGGCCCGGAACGTGGACGAGTAGTAGATGGGAGGGTTTACGGGGTCTATGCCGGCGAGGGAGACCGCGGTATGGCCATGCACGGCCTTGGTGTCGGGGTGCCAGTCGGGTTGGGCCATGGTAGATATTTGGTGAGTGAGTGGGCAGAGGCGACGAAGCCATTGCTTTTGAGTCGAGCAACCCGACATTGAGAGCGACGGCCTGTAAACACCGGGAACCGATCGACTCGGCAAAGCCTAATGACATCATTATTGATTACAGTCTCAGTTCTAATAAGAAGTTGCAAAAGTCTAATGCTGTTCGACGCGTGTTTACACGGCGGCGTGAACCGAACGGGGTCCCCACACGGGATCCAGACAGTCACGCCTTTCGTCCACCCATCGGTTCGCATGCATATGCATTTGCAGCCTGGCAGGGGATATCAAGCTTCATAGAATAAGGGGACGTAGAGTGATGATTGCGGGCGACCAGACGGACGTACACCAAAACACAAGGCGTCATACGGAGGTTTTTGCGGGACTTGCCGATGAATGCCGATGCGCGGTGGAGGTGGAGCAGGCGAGGACGACGGGTGAGTTGCGATGCTTGCGTCGTTCCTCTATCCTGTTCTCTAACACTCTTTGCCTCTACCTACTATGACATCCCTCTTTCCCAAGCCACGCCTCCTCATCGTCGGTGCCGGAGAACTCGGCGCTACCGCCGCTGCCGAGGCTCTGGCGAGCGGCAACTATGATGTTACCATCCTCGACCGTGCACCTTCCATTCCTGCCGTCGACGCAGCTAGCACCGACATCAACAAGGCCGTGAGGTTCGACTATGCCGACGAAGACTATGCCAAGCTCGCAAAGGAGTCGATGCGACTGTGGAAGCAGGACAAGTGGAGGGGGGCGTATCGCGAGTGAGTCAAACAGTCGACGGGTGATGGGCACCCGAATGGACTTTTCCCGAAGCTTGCCCCCCTCTTGAGAGACATGGAAGGACACATCGTTTCTCAAGGGGCGTCTGGTTTCGCACGACCACTGCCCAGCTGCTTTACTTGGATGACCATTGTCCAGAAGAACCTTCATATGCTTCTCACACCTGCTAGCAGCAGCTCATGCTCTCCAGATCAGGCGTTGTCTTCCGCAACATTTCTGAGGAGTTTCCAGAGTCGATCGCGGTGTACAACAATGCTGCCAAGCTCGAGCCCCGGGTCCGCCTCCTGACCACCCGCGAGGAGGTCTCCAAGGCCTTGTCCCCTTCCGGTGGAGCCAAGCTGGGCGCTCCCACTCTGGCGGCAAAGGCATACTTCAACCCTTCTGGTGGATGGGTCCACGCTTCCGGGGCCATGTCCGTCGTCTACGATGACATCAAGCGCCTTGGCGGAACTCTTGTCCCCGGTGCCGAGCTCGCTTTGCTAATCATTGAGAACGGTGACGTGCGCGGTGTCAAGTGCGCCGACGGACGCGAGTTCCACGGCGACAAGGTCATTCTTGCCCTTGGCTCGTGGACTGGTGGTCACCCGGCCCTCAAGGGAGTGGTGCCGGAGGGCTTGATGGTGCCCACAGGTCAGACTATCGCCGCCGTTCAGCTCAGCAAGGACGAGTATGAGCGCTACAAGGACCTCAGAGTCGTGTCATTCTTGGACGGCAGTGGCTTCTACTGCTTCCCAGTGAGTCCTGGCACACTGAGCCATGCTGACTGGCAGCCAACCCCAGACGGCATTATGAAGTTTGCGCTGCACTCGGGTGGTTACGTCAACGAGGCCAACAAGCCTCGTACTGCTGGCGACAGCGACGCTGTGGCGTATGCCGATGAGAAGCGTGTTGGCTGGATTCCTAGCGATTCGTTCCGTTTCATGCGGTCAAAGTACGCCGAGCTCTACCCAGAGGTTGCAGCCAGTAAGTCACATTCATATACGACAGCTAATCCCAGAACCAATGGCCTTCACCCGCATGTGCTGGTACTCGGACACGCCCGACAGCGACTTTGTGATCGACTACACAAAGTACCCAAACCTGATGGTTGCTTCTGGAGGAGCTGGACACGCTTTCAAGGTGAGTGATTCGGCAGTGAGCTTGAGGGGGAGCAGGTCTTCATCTTCCATGGGCAGCTCACACCACAGTTCCTTCCCGTCATGGGTTCTATCATCCTCGCGCGCCTCGAAGCCCGTCTCTCGCCTCAACTCGCACACAAGTGGCGCCTGGACCGCCCAGTTGTCGAGTTTCAAGGCAAGGACCGTGGTGGTATCCCGCGCGCGCCTTTGGTGCTGGAGAACCTTGTCTCAACAGAGGAGCTGGGGCCTGAGCGCCAGGCCAAGTTGTAGGCGTCGACCAATACTGTCGCCCATCTATAGATCTAGAAGATGCAGGATATGCCTGATTAGCTGATTCCGAACCCCTTCGCCTTGCGATTGAATGTCGAGTAGCCGAACTCGGCATCCACAGCAGGAAATGCCGAGGCCCGCGCCATCGGACATGACCGTAAATACAACAGTTCCATCCCCGCTTAGCGAACCTCATGCACGCTTGTTCACATCATCCACCATGACAGTCGATGTCGACACGGTTACCGTACCTACAGTGGTCAATGGAAAGGCAGGTGTTGCACTCCCGGTGAACGCTGCCGCCGAGCTGGCCGCCCAACCTCCCCCGACAAGTGGCCCACCACCTGTCCCCGTGCTCACGTCACGGACTCTCTTGGACGAGCATCTCGCCTCCCGCCCAACCACCGACTTGCCTGCAATCTTCTTTGCGGCCACCAACGCAGAAGAAACCCTGTATCTGAACCAAGCCGGTGACAGGGTGTTTGGACGGCCGGAGGAAGGCGCTGTCAATAGCGATACCCGTAAGTGGAGCCTGCCGTTGGATAAACAGAACACTCACGCGCTAGCTGTCGAGCTCTTCTCGCAGACCAAGGTGGTGACGTGCGTCTCGGTGCTTCTGCTCGTCGACCGCGGCCTTATTTCTCTCGATGATTCCGCCGACATCGAAAAGTACCTTCCCGAACTCTCGACATGCCAGATCTTGACCGGGTACGATGAAGCAGGCGACGGCGTGCTCGTACCCCCAGAGAGAAAGATCACGGCACGCATGCTGTGCTCGCATTCGTCAGGTGAGCAAACGCTGTGGAAAGCCTCGCTGACTTTCAAGGTCTCATCTATCCCCGCGGCGTCTCTCTCATCTCGGACTACTGCACGCGCCATTCCATCCCGACAACCTTCTCCCACCCTGGCGGTGCCGAGGTGCTGGTAGCGCCGCTAATCTACGAGCCCGGTTCCTCCTTCCACTACTCCCAGTCTATCGACTGGGCTGGTGTCCTCGTGGAGCGCGTTTCGGGCATGAGCCTGCACGACTACATGCGCAAGTACATCTGGGGCCCTCTTGGAGCTGCCAGCATGACGTTTTGGCCGACGGAGCAAGTCCGCCAAAGCAAGATTTGGGTCTGCACTCGAGACGAGGAGACCAACGAGATCCAGCTGTTTCCCAACGGGTTTGCGCTCGCTCGCCCCGAGACGGTCGCCGAGCAAGAGAAGAGCCTGCTTCTCGGCGGAGGCGGCCTCTTTGGCAGCCAGAAGGACTACCTCGCCTTTCTCCGTGCACTCCTCCGCTCCGACCCGCGCTATGGGGCACAGGACCCACTGCTCTCCCCTGCCATGTACGCCGAGCTCTTTACGCCAACGATCACATCCAAGGGTGCCGAGGTGCTGTGTGACATGGTCAACAGCTGGATCCCCGTCGAGCCGCTGCATACACCCGAAACCGTCAACCACAGCGTAGGCTTCGCCCTTTGCCTCGTGGACGTGCCCGGCCGGAGGAGGAAGGGCACTGGATACTGGGGTGGAGCAGCAAAGACCAACTATTGGATCGACCCAGTGCGAGGTATAGCCGTGAGTGCACATGGAGATGGTAGCGACAGCTGACAGCTAGGGCATTGTCGGTACCAACCTGTACTGGAAGGGCACCAAAGATCCTTGGGAGGAGTATGCCGCCGAGTTTGAGCGGCGGCTGTACGCCTCTATCACGTAGTGTGGTTCTGAGGGAAGGCGACGAGAAACATGAAAGCAAAGGCAGTTGCATGATCAATCTAAGCATCGCCGGGTCAGTGCCTGGGTATGAGGCTTCGATCGCTGGTGTCGCGCGTCCTTGCTCTTTTATCAAACGAGGTCACCGCAATGATAGCAGACCCAGCATTGCCGCAGCGGGATCCAAACCATGCAGCAGTCGGCTAAACGTCAGCTAGGACCCCTTGGGGACATATGTGGCTACTACTCACTTGTCTGGCGCCGTCCATTGCAGTTGTGGTCTTGAGAAGGCGAAGGCGACCTGGGCAAAGAGACCGCGGCCATGGTCTTGGTGACTTGAGGTGGTCGTGGTAGCTGTGCGCTGTGGGGCAACACAATGAGCGCCTGTTATGTCCACATTGGGAGAGTATCCCGTGGAATGTGAGATGTGTGCGAAGGCGCCAGTGAGTGGTCGCCGACAGCCATCAGGTGGCGACCGGACCATCATCAGGTGTAGTCTCAGTGATTCATCACGCATTATACAAAACCCTCGTTCCACCTCCCTCTACGGTGTATCGACGAGCCTCTATCCCAGGGGTGCTCCTCACCAGCGCTGCCCTTGGATCGTCGTCACTGTTCGCGTGCAGTTTTTGCACCGGAACACAAATGTCTGGTAGTCGTACCATAGATGGCACTCTGCTGCGCGTTTGATCAGAAACGCGCACCACGAGCCAGTCTCTCACCAAAATGAGGGTTCATGCAAAGGTACTTGCGCTCGTACATTGGCTGAGACATCGTGGAAAGCTGTCAGAGTGGGTGGTGGGTGGGAGACGGGGACGACTGCCTGATGGGAGGGGGGAAGAAGACACTGCAAACTTGGCGGAGCCGACCTACTTGTACCCCTTTGATGCGATCAAGACATCTTGGCAGACTTGACTCGTGGTGCTTCATTCACTTTCAGCGGCGACGAGCACCAACCTTGTCAGATGCTGCTTCCTTCTGGCACATGATTTTCGGCATTTGGCATCATTACTCTTATTATATCGATATACATACATTGCCGATCGTCCTTCTGCCCCCCCCATAACAGCACAGAATACAATGTAGAGCCCCCGGGTCGGTTCGTCCGACGTTCATGGTGGCCCCGTGGGGGTGGCGTTCTTGCACACGACCTGGGAGGAAAGCCCTCATACAACCAACGAAGAGTCGCCGCAAGACCTCATCCTCCGTGTGCTTTGCATGCGCGCAGCGGTACGGTCACCGCGACAGGTAGGAGGCGAAGGCCACCACTGTGACTTCGTGGCAGTACCGGCACATGTAGAACCCGCCGTTTGGAGTGCGCTTCAGTGACAGCAGACATGGATCTGGCAATCAGCACCCGGCGTTTTCACTTTTGTGGTTCCTGGCAGACCCCGCCGCACTCACGACCAGCGATACGGCGATCAGGGTGGGCACAGAGCTCGTCTTCCATTGCAGTTTCGAGATGGGTGATGGTGGGGGCGGGCTGGGAGTTGCGAAGACCACGTACACAATGCATAGGACTGGCCCGCTTATGAACGATGAACTGGAGAGGGTGTCGGACGGCGACGGATACAGATACGGCCCGATTTTGCCAATTGTGTCTGGCCGACAAGTATCCGCAAGGTGTTGCCGCCAGTGCCACTCACGCCCCACATCCATTGTCCATTTCTCTCTCCCAGCGTACCAGCATGGGAGGGGACTGAAAGGTGATGGACACTACGTGGTACGGCCTTGTGCCGCAGCATTCCACGACAGGTCACGGGGGTGGGATGTCGCCACCAGAAGCGCTCCCTCATCAAAAGGTGTGAGGTCTGCAAGCCCATCTCCGTTTTCCATCACCAGTTTGGTTCTTGGTAGGGGTTGACACAAAAAACGCTTCGTGCCGATCAGCAACAGTGCCTCACATCCCCCAACAGCCTGGGTGTACCTCAATGTCACTATGTGAACACCCCGCTGATGGCATATGGCCACCCTGGTGTCTCGGAGTGGCTGCTGTCGGCCTTCGGGAATGAACCGTTGGGGGCTGAGACAGAGAGAACCACCTCATCACGGTTGGTACGCTGACGAGCGGCGGTTCGCAACGGTACCTAGCCCCCGCGGGTCGCCACCTGACATTGACCGTTCACACGCGAGTGGTCACAATGCAGGGGAAAAGGCGCGACAGTGGCCCCGCCATGGGGCTGTCAGTTCCCAGACACGGCCGTATGCTGCCCAAGGAATTGCGAGTGAACCGCGTCGCCAAGAAAGGCTACCTCGTCACGTTGTGAAATCCTCCCACATCACCTGTCCCCCATTGGTACATACCAGTCTCTCTGCTATGACAATTCGATACGTTTCTCGTTTCTCGTCAATTCTTAATCGTGATATGTGACAGTGAAGGTGATACGGAGGTTGCGCGATGGCTGCGTTTCCAACAGCAGCTTTTAATCCCTAACTTCCTCGTCCCTGTAGGTCGGTGCCAGAGGCTCATCGACAAGGTGGTTAGCCTTCAACTTGTTGAGAACGTTGAACCTGGCCATCTCCTCGGGGGTGAAAGGGTACGGCGATTGACGGTCCCTGTTCAAGCGGATGGGGACCAGGACGATGACGACGGTGGCAGCGAGCAGCAAGGGAATGGCGTACAAAAAGTCCGTATACCGCACAAGGTCGTGGTCCTGGACGTATGCAATGTAGTGGACGGCGATGGGGAGGTGGAGAAGCACGGCAGTAGCGAGTCCGGGGTTGTATCCCATGTTCACGCCAATGTTCATGGCCAAACCGTGGGCGAATATTTGGGCGACACCGAAAAAGACCTGCGTGAGGCCGAGCCAGATCTCGTTTGGCCATAGCACCGGAGCCAGGAAGAACGGATAGGCAAGCGTGTTGACCACAGCTGTGCCCTTCTTGTTAAGCGGGTAGCGGTCATAGTCGCGTCGTTCATTGAACAGGGCAACGTTGATGATGAGCGTCGTTCCACCAGGGATGATGTACTCTTCAATCTGGTGGGCGGCGACGGCCAGCGTGTTCCAGATGAGAATCGACTGGATCTGGCTGAACAGGTGGCCGAAGAAGGCCATGAAATAGGCGCCAGCAAAGAAACCAACCCCGACAACGTAGTACCAGTTGTCGCGGTAGACTTTCAGCCAGGTGATCGGGTTGTAGCGTGTGCGGCTGAAGCGATCCATTTCGTCCTTGGTGAACGCGTACCGGTCGTCGCCTGGCTTGGCCAGCATGTAGATGCCCACAAAGTAGAAGATGAACACATAGTTGGACAGTGCAAATCCAAGGGCCTTGACCCAGTCGAGGACCGGGTGCTGGCCCGCGTAGTGCACGAGGTAGACGATGCCGACGGGAAGAAACCCGCCAAGGGATGTGAACAGGCCCGGGTTGTAACACGTGCCGAGGACAATGTTGAATGCGACAAGGTGCATGAAAGCTTCACACACCAGGCCAAACACAATGGGGACGAGGGTAAACCACGAGACGGTGTTGCAAAAGACGGGTGGGAGGTAGAGGAGGAAGAGGAACCACCAGTTGCCGAGCACGGCGTTGCGCTGGTTGAGCGGGTAGTGGTCTGCGTTCTCTGTCGCCGTTTTCCAGCCCACAACGTTCCAGACTGAAGGCAAGCCGCCTGGGATGACAAACTCCTCCCAAAAGTGGAGGGAGAGGATACCGACGTTGGCCAACAGGCATCGCTGCGCAATGCTGAAATGGTCCCAGTACGAGGCCAAGATTGAGAGCGCCAGAACGCCAAAGGCGGCGCTGATGTTGGCCCAGTTGGCGAAAAACCAGCTCGACGCGCGCGACATGGTCAACAGGAGTAAGAGTCAGATGAGTGAAGGGGGCAGTCGATGATCGATGACGCTTTCAATGTTTGCATGAGAGAGATGTGAGACCTGTCCATGATCTATGACGTGCGGGTCGGGAACCCACCTCGGGCAAAAGGAACCTGGGGCACGCCACCACATTCGGACATCGGCGTGCACACCTCGGGGTCGGGCAGTGCACGTACTGTACATGAATGCATCTTGCATAGCCCTAGCCAGACTTCTTGCCCATTACACGGCCGCAGTACTTGCAGTAGACGGCGTCATAGAACAGACTGTTGAAGCCTTGGCAGGACACTGATGAGAGGGGGCACAATGATCAGCGCCGGTTGTGACCGGGAGTGTTACTGATCGCACTTACATCCGGTGTTCCGGTGGCCGGAATCGCCCTTGCAGAGCGACGGCAGTGGCGAGTTGCCAGTCCACTGGAGCATGTGGAGAGTGATGAGTGGTTGAGAGTAAACGTTTACGCGGGCTGATGGAGGGATAGCTATGGATGTGTTTGCAGATGAGGGAGTGTATGAATGCAAAGTGTGTGTGTGTGTATCGGGGGGTCGTCAGTTTGGCGTTTTGCTGTTTGTGTGCGTGTGTACCCAACATGCTTCGCACCATGAGTATGCATGCAGGCAATCCTTTGATGCCATCATGGAGAGCCAGGATGAGACAGCTTCTGTCGAGTAAGGACCACCCTTTGCGCGTTTCAACAGGTCTCAGTCCTGTGGCCTGTGGGCTGCAGAACCAAAAGGCTGAGATCCACTGCCCGCGTCTCTTCGAATCATCGCTCGCTCGTGAGAAGCAACAGACGTTGCATGCTGCATATGAAACCCTTCCGATCACTACCCTCTTTGTTCTCCTCGCTGGAGGTCGACGCCACCCCTCCACCTCGTCCAGCTCGTCTGCCTTCTCGGCGGCATCGCTGACGCAGAGTATGGAGTTGCTACATACGGAGCGTGGTGACTCGACTCAAGGCGACATGCCTAGTCTAGGTCACGGCCGCAATACTGGCACTCGCACCCTTGGTGTGTCCAAACTGGCACGCACGAGTCTACGGTCAGTCACCGGCCAGCCGTGCATGGTCCTCACCTCCTTCATTGGTGCCGAAGCAGTCGCCCTCGCAGTCGTCATCGTCGCTGTTGCCATAGTTGTAGCTCATTGATGGTTTGCTTTTTTGGAGCCAGCCGGTGGTCTGGTGTACTGGGTTGCCCACCAGCGCAGGTTTTATATGCATCGAGGTTTCTCTCAAGGGAGCCTCAGCTCGCCCCGCCTGGATGGTTCTCGTCCGGATGTGCCCGCAGCGGTGTATCATAGATTGTTGGACGTGCGAGAACCATGTGAGTGTGACAACGCTGCTGCACGTCAACGAGTATTGGTCAGTGATCAGTGGCGAACCAGCCCTTAGAGGAGAAGCACTCAGGCCAGAGGAAGCGTTCTAGTTTTGACATATGCATGTCAGCAGAGGACATGTCACGCGGAAATCAAGACGTCCAACACCATGCTCCGAGCTGCGGGATGAGCCTTCTCGATACGCGAGTTGAGTCTTGTCTCTGTGTGTGCGTGTGCGTGTGGCGGCTGTTTCGTGGGCAATGGAAGGTTGAGTGCTTCCTTGTTTACAGGCGTTACACATAGCAGGACACAGCTACACGCACACACTGTCGCTCATTCACCACAGAGGCGTCGTCTAGGCCAACGCGGCCAATCGCGAAATGGCCTCCTTGCCCTCCAGCTTCTCGCGCTTGAGATCGTTGAGTGGCTTGGCTCCGAGCCTCTGCTCATAGAATGCGATAGCCGAGTCGTTCCAGAGGTGAACCATCCACTCGATACGCTCACACCCCCGTTCTTGGGCCAACTGGCCAAGGCGTCCCAGCATTCGCTTGCCAAGCCCAGCAGCTCGGTGTGCGGGTTCCACAAACAGGTCATCAAGCTGTAGACTCGTGAGCGATCGCTATGGCAGTAGCTTACGTTCAAGCCCGTGACGGTCGTCCAGGTCGAATAGGTGGAGTAGAACTGGGTCGGGTGTCAACCCAAGGTGAAAGGGGCCACGGGCTTACCGTTGCCAATGCCACGGCCTCGTCTCCACTGCGCGCAATGAGCGCGGAGAACTTGCCTTCTTGTAGGGCTGCCGCAAGCTGCGAGGTCAATATCGGTCGATAGCTGTGCTACACACCTTGTCGGAATCAGAGGTGACTGCTCCAGGCTCTTGAACATAGTCGGCCTGAGGTCAGCGCGCAGCCTCATACAGTTCCTACTCGCCAGCGAGTTCAGGAGACGAATGACGTCGGGCTGCAGTCAGTACGGGACTGTCCCCCAAGAGTAACGCACAATGTCAGCAGGTGTTGCCAGTGCAATGGTATAGGCGGACATGGTCGAGGAGTTGGTGTAATGGCAGATGCAATGGTCACCGGTGTACCCGTGTGCTTTAATAGGTTGCCGAAATACTGAACAGTCGACTAGAGATTTGAGTCGACAACCGCACTGAAACGTTGACGACTCTCGCTTTCTATCCTTGGAATGAGCAACTCACGTGTGTATTTTGCGCCACTCCGGCATGGTCATGGTGGGCTCAGAGAGCTAGAGAGCAAGCATTGCGTCGAACGCGTCCAGAGTCCCCCACGCCGAGCACCTCCTGAGAGACGACAGGAATTGGCCCTCACGTCAAGCTGCCGGCCCCGCCGACTCCATTGTTGTTCGGACGGACCAGACATTGCGAGCCCCCGTGGTTCCCCGCTCGCGCCGCCCAACGGCCACCGTCCGTCCACTGTCAACACAAACCTTAATCGAGGTGAATAAACAGTGGGCGGACGCGCACATGACTATTACGGGAACGGGTATTAGCGGAAGCATAAATTTCTAATGACGCCGGGACTAGTCGGCCTCGAAGGAAAAAAACAATTTCACACCCGCTTTGCCGTCATCCGCGCGCGCGTGCCGGCTGGGTGTGTCTATCGGTGTACTCGTCGCCGCTCATTCATTCCACAACACATTCCGTTCTCACATCGTTCGCCACCATCGCTTTCGTCCTCTGTCTCTCACTTCTGGCACGCAACTTCTCAACCATACGATCCAGGCGACCAAGCCTCCTGCAAAGCATGCACGCATAGCCTCCACCCGTGGTCGCTCCGATACCCTCTACTGTACCACCTAAACAACAAACACCACCACCCACCTTGCCATGTCGTTTCTCTTCCCGTCATGGTCGACGGCGTTCTCGGAATCGTTTTACGAGGACGCCAAGAAGATGCTCGAGACAGCCCTCAACAAGGTGAGTAGCTTATAGTGCTTGCTGTCACGGCTACGCGAACTGTGCTAACCTCGCAGGGCAACAAGCCACCTGTCATCCAGGGCCGTATCGAGGTTGTTGACCTCAACATGGGCACGCAGGTGGGTTACTCACGCGTCCTTGTCAATAGCTAACGTTCCAGCCCCCGACTCTCACATTGCTCGAGATTGGAGACCTATCGCTCGACCGGTTCCGTGGCATCCTTCGTCTAGGATACCAGGGCGACGCGTGGATCGAGGTCCGGTGTCGTGTGCAGGCCAACCCGCTGAGCCATAACCCAAACCTCATCCCTTCGTCGACGCTTCCGATCTCGACACCCCTCCTCGCGTCGCAACCGCTTCTCGTCCCCATGACACTGAGGCTCAGCAAGCTTCACCTGCGCGCCATCCTGATCCTTGTCGTCTCGGCGTCCAAGGGTATCACCCTCGTGTTCAAGAACGATCCGCTTCAGAACGTCGATGTCTCGTCAACTTTCGACTCGGTTGAGGTTATCCGCGGATACCTCCAGCAGGAGATTGAGGGCCAGTTGCGTGAAATGTTCCGCGAGGACTTGCCCGGCATCATCCACCGTCTGTCACAGCGCTGGTTCAGTTCCTCGGGAACGACTGGCACAGTCGAGACCCCTTATCGCGATGTCGATGCCGCACCAGCACCATCGCCATCGCAGTATGGTGATGACGAGGAGTACGATCCCACAGCTGCTGGCGAGGATATCTTCGGTCCCCCCAATGCCCCGCGCTCGAGCGAGACGAGCACGCCGCGCCGACGAGCCGTGCACCGTATCCCCAGCTCGACGATTCGCGACCGCCAGTCCAACGCCGGAGGCACCATTTCTGGCTCTCCTACGTCATACACTGTCTTCCCCGACATTGAAAACTATGACCCCACGTACGGACTCCGGCCGGAAGGTCTGCCCACACATAGCGGATACGAGGCGTTTGGACGACTGTGGGAGAAGGCACGCGGTGGTGGTGGCCGTGGTCTCGGGTCTCTCATGGACGGGTCCGACCCCTTTGACGGCACCGACCCCAACAGCTCATACGAGGATGAGGAGACGTACGGCGAAGAGGACGAGGAAGAGTCACTTCACAGCGGCGAGCTGCTCGAAATGGACGACCTGCCCACACGCAGCACACCGCGCAGCCCCATGGCGCAGTCCATCGCTGGCTCGGTCGAGTGGGAGTCGTTCCCTGCTGTTGGTGGCGGCATGGTCACCCGGCCAAGGGTGTACCATGCCCAGTCGCAAATCCGCGCCCCGTCTGAGTCCGGTTTCGGTCCTGCGATGCCCAGTCCAGCGGGAACTGCCGGCACGGCTGGTACGGCTACGGGTTCAGTGACTGCTCGTGCGAGCAGCATCGGCGGAGGATCGACCATTGGCAGCCTACGCGGCCGCACGCCAAACTCTGCTGCGGGCCTGGTGGGCTACCACCCTCCAGGCGGCCCCGGTTCGTCATTGCGCCGTATCAACACTTCCAACTCGGATGTCCACGGCGTACGCAAGCGCCCCGAGTCCCTAGCTGCGTATGCTCTGCACCAGCAACATGCTCTTGCTCGCCAGCAGTCCCCACTCCGCACCCAGTCGTACGGAGGCCATGCTCGCGCCTCCTCGCCGGGCCTCGCACGCACGCGGTCAAACTGGGACTCGCGTACGGACCAGGACGTCCTGGGATCGCCTCCTATGCGACGCCCTGCCTCCTTGGACGCAAACCGTTCCAGGAGCACGACAGACCCGCGGCCCCCACCGGCCATGGTTCGCCCGCGCGAGCGCACCACCTCGTTTGGCACCAACGTCGGCATTTCCACCCGAGCGGGGCTGGCCGGAATCACGCTGCCACTCAACAACAGCGTGTCACAGCTCGCGACCTTGTCACTGTCCGCCAACACGTTGTCGCCCTATGCGCGTGCGCACGAGCACATTGCTGTCCGTTCGTTCCCATACCTGGGTCGTACACCTACCGGCAGTGCACCAGGCAGCGCCAACGGGGCCATCACACCGGTGGACAACAGCAACGTCAAGGCGCGCCGGAAACGCATCTTCCGCCTGGGAAGCAACAACGACCGCGAGCCCAGTCTCAGCCCCGAGAGCGATCAGCGGACGCCGCCCCTGGACTGGGACGACGAGACGCGCTTGGCCAGCAGCTCGTCCGAGGGCGCGAGTCGGTGGAGGCTCAACTCTCAAAACTCGGCTTCGCTGCCCGTGTCGGTGGCTGCGTCCGTGTCGGTGCCTCGCGCACCTGTCAGCGCGGTCAGCGGCGCTCGAGCGAGCTCCAAGGGATCCTACGGGTTCCCAAAGATTCCGGAATAGCCCGCAGTCCGCGCGGCGGCGGCGGGAAACTAATCAGCTAAGACCTTTCGAAACGTCGATTGCCCACTTTGCCACTTTATCCGCGCCAAGCATTGTCACCTGATCCACCTGATCCGCTGTTGACCTTGGCAGCAACCTTTGTGGCGGCAAGCACGGTCATCTGATCCGATGTCAATCTATCTCGGCGGCCAAGGAGTGTTGCTCCGAGCGACGGTGCTGTTTGTTCCAAGCGATATCATCTGTTGGCCGACCCATTATCACCACCACCCATTATCACCACCACCACCACCACCACTTGTCCCTCGCACAATCATTGCGCATTACCTCCACACTGTTCATCGATCCTGCCACATTGCACGGTTCAATTTGGACCCCTCCCCCCCTTTCCCTCTCTCTTTATCACGATTTTCTCTCTGCACATAGAAGTCACGTTGGCATCGGCACAACCAATGGCATGTATCCTTGTTACAATATCCAGCTATATGACGCGTGCAAAAGACAGTCACTGCTGTATTAAGAGACTTCACACAGACTCAACGCGGTGGTTTGCTGGGGACAGACCGACCTGGCGCCGCCATACCCCTCTCTACCAGTTCTTGAGGTTCCAAATGAGCTTCTGCTTGAACGACATGGCCTTGTACGCGGCCTCCTCCTCCTCGTCATCCTCGCAGTCCCAGAACTCGCGGCCACCGCTCGAGAGGTCCATCTCGTCGACGCGGACGTAGCTCGTCTTGCGGACAAACTTGTACCCAAAGTATCCGATGATGTAGACGGGGACGGTGATGTAGTGGGTGATGAACGACTTGTAGTCGAAGGGGTGGAAGAAGGCGTCAAAGCCCTTGAAGATGGCGATGAGGACGGTGAGGACGAGGCAGCAAATGGCGTAGTAGGGCTGGAAGGGCGCCTTGTAAGGCAGCGTGTCGCGCGAGATACCCTGTGCCTTCATGCCGCGCATCATGGCAATGTGCGATGCGAGAATCGAGATCCACGACAGCGCGCCGCAGATGGTGACCGAGGCGGTAAAGTAGTTGAAGATGGTCAGGCCGTCGTTGGACGCGACGAGGTAGGCGAGACACATGAAGCAGCCGGTGAAGATGAAGGCCACCCATGGGACACCGCGCTTGGTGCAGCGCGTAAAGATGGCGGGCGCGTTGCCGTCGCGCGCCATGCCGTACAGCGTGCGCGAGGCAATGTACTGGTCCGAGTTGGCGGCCGAGATGGTGAAGATGAGGATGCACGCGTTGATGATCGAGGGCAGCACCTTGATCTTGGCCTCGACAATGGCCACGACCCACGGCGAGGCGGCAGCTCCGCCACCGGTACCCTTCTTGACGGCGGCCTGGAGCGCCGGGCCCGACGAGTCGACAATCATGCCGACGATGAGGATACAGAAGATGTAGAAGAACAGGATACGGTAGAAGGTCTTCTTGATGGCGGACGGGACCGTCTTGCGGGGGTTCTTGGCCTCACCGACAGTCACACCGATGAGCTCCGTGCCCATGTACGCGAAGAGCGCGAGCACCCTGGCAGAGGTCAGCAGTTGAACAGCCACGCCCAAAGAAACCTACAGTGCGTTCACAAAGCCCAGGAACTCGCCCATGGCCCCGGTCTTCTTGTATGGCTTGAAGGCCTTGCCATCCTTCCAGTAGTGGAAGCCGAGGCGGGGTTGAGTGGAGACACCTCCGAGGTCGATGATGAGACCGAGGATGATCAGGCCGGTAAGGGTAATGATCTTGATCAGCGAGAGCCAGAATCTGGGGTATTGGTTAGCCACTGTTTGTTTCTGAAGGAAGCGGAGCACGTCCGTTCATGCGGGAAGCGTATGGATCGGTGTGATGGGTGGGTGGGTGGATGTTGTAGGTTGAGATTGTAGAAACAAAAAGGACCCATATTCCTCCGCCACAAATGTCCGGTACTCACTCGACCTCTCCGAACCACTTGATACCGAGGCAGTTGATGGCGACGACGAAGCAAATGAGGATAGTGACCCATGCGGCACCGTTAATTTCCGCGTTCCAGTAACGGATGACGAGGGAGCCGGCGACAATCTGGTTGGGCGACAGGAAGAGGTACTTGCAGAGGTAGACTGGAAACGTGACGTCAGTTCTTGATTCTTGTCGTGTGGCTTGCTCCAAAACGCCCCTCACTCACCGAGAGCCGTGCAGAATCCATAAGCTGGGTCAACGCAGCGAGTGGCGTGGCCGGCGAAACCCTTCTTGGAAGGGAACTTGGTCGACATTTCACCCAGCGAAGTCATGACGCCGAAGCAGCTGGAGATTCCGTCAGCGCCACATTCGATTCGATTCGATTTGAGGTCTGGCCGTTCTCCACTGTCCCCTTGTCCACGGCCCACACCGTATCGTGCCCTATCGGTACAGCGACACCAGGATGGGCCACGGCGGGATAGCCGCGATCAAGACACCACCAAGCTCCACCCGGTACGGGGTAGAGCGGCTGGGTTCTTTTGTCTCTTTTGGCTTTCGGCCCCTTCTTCGGCACCCCGACGCGTTTGCACACTTACACAGCACCCATAACGATGTAGGCCAAAAACACCGATGCGGGGCCGGAGCGCGCAATCGAGGTTCCACTGCCTATCACGAGACCTGTGCCTGAGGAAGTGTAAGTAATCGCGCGTGCCAAGACTCGACCGCGTGGAGAACGGTGTGGCCGCGATGAGCGGACCGGCGCTGGACGGAATTACACCGCCACTTCAACGCCAGCTCAACCACTATGGGTGCCACAGTCTCCCAGTGCCACTGGCCACCACAAAAACTACTCACCAATCGCACCACCGATGGCAATCATGGAAATCTGGCGGGGCTTGAGACTACGGTGGGTCTCCTCGGCCTTGGGCTCGATGACCTCGACGGTGACGTCCTGGGCATACTGATCTTTCTCGTGGTCGTAGAGGGGGTCGCCCGTAAAGTGGTTCTTGTTGTCGTAGTGAGACATGGTCTAGTGGGGGTCTGTGGGGGAAGAACGCGCGGGGTCTGTGCTGTGTTTCCGTTGCTCTTTATGCCAACGGCCAAGAGCTTCCAGCTGATAGCTGTCACTCGCTACCGAGAGGCCCGAAGAGAGCCGCCAGACCCGGAGACTCGCGGCTAACGCACCAGTGGCCAGTGGCCAGGCGAGAGAATGGCATGGGGGGGGGGGCCCAGGACCAAGGCACACGACACAGCGGCGTCCACTGTCACTGGATCACTGGCGGCAGATACCGCCCGTGTTTGATGGTTGCCCGCAGAAGCGCGGCTCCTCGTTGGCAGGTCACGGCGGATATGTGGAGACTTCCTTCCATGTTCAGCGCGGCCCAGCGCGTGGTGCGCGTGTCCTGAGAGGCCTCTGGGTCCCCTGCTCGCAGCCCCTTTACCCCAGCCCAAAGTGACATACGGGCGATAGGAGGTTGTCGTATGACATCTCACGCGTGTGGCTGCCATGCTGCTCGACACCTGATCAGTGTGCACAGTGCCAAGAGGCAATCAGGGGCGCTCAAACCCACTTGGCCTACGTCAATGCGTTAGCTCGTTAGTCTGATCTGTGGAGTGCATGCGGGCAAGCGGAGCATGAAGGTCTGGCGTAAGCTCTGGCGTAAGCTTTGGTGCGTAAAGCGCTGGCGTTCCGCTCGTATTGCGCTTTGGCCCAGAGAGTCCCTGCGTGTGGTCGCCGCATGCAAGCGCTTTTCTGGGCCTGCCAAGAGTGGGCGCGTGAGTGGCTTGGGCGATGTGGGAAGGCTCCCACGGCAGTCGTGGCGGCTCTTCAGGTGGACCCAACGCCGGTTCCCCGTCCAGAAACCCGCTACTGTAGAGTGCCGGTGTGATCGCTCCGAGAGACATTGGCATCCCGCGTAACATGCGACAGCGACAGCCTGCCTCTTGGACGGCTGGTCTACACATTCCCCGAGGCTGGGGACAACTACTGGACATCGGTAGGCTAAGCATTGTAGGTACGGCCAACACAAAGGCAAACTGCGCAGCCTTGATGCATCCATGTGGGCAAGTGTGCATCCCCCGAGCAGAGTGGGCTCGGTTACACGAGTTGTCTTGGCATTCTGGGGGATGGGATATACCACTGGCCCCGCTTAGGCTTATCTGCAAACATTGCGGGTCTCGTTTCCACGTAACCGACAAATTCGAATATGTGAGGGCCATGGGCCATGCTAGGAGTGCTGCGCTCGCTCGAGCCCACCCGGAGATCCCGGCCCATGTCCCGCAAACCTAGTTGGACGTCCACCCTGCCACTGCCCATGGTGTCCCGGTTGGATCGGCCGTTGGCGTCGTCGTTGGCTCTCTGTCCCTCTCTCCCGTCAACTTTCCCTCCTCCGCTCGGTCTCGCAAAGGGTCTCAGGCGTCGACCCCGTTGTCCCACTCCCGAAAGTTGAGCCCCAAGCCCGTTAGCCGAGTTGTTCTTAGACTTGTTGTTGGATGATCGTCCAGGTCCAGAACGTGGCTCCGGGCCGAGGACGCTGGCGGACGTCTGACGGTACTTGTTACGTGAGATATGACGGCACCCACGGAGCACCTTGTTCGGAAACAGGTCAGCATCGGTTGCACGATCGGTATGACTGGAAACAGGCCGACATCACTTCGCGGCTGCGGTCAGGAAACATACGAAATGCCAGAAAACGACCCACAACTCCCCGCGGGGCTCAACATGATTCGAAAAAACAGCTGCTCACTCGATGGGCACCTTGCGGGCATGGGCACTACGGTGCCCTGCGTGCAGCCCACCAAAAGGGCCTGGTGTTGGCCAAACCTGAGTCCCCAAGAACCCACTCTTCCACTGCCCATTTTCGTTCTTGTATCGCCTGACGGTGGATTCTCTTTTCACAAAAGTGGGGAAATACGGCCCCGTACTTAAGGAAATCGCCTGCCAAGCCATATCCACCCTCGAGGGCTGGGTTGCACTTCCCTCACGCTCCAGAGAGCGATCGCGCGGACGGACGGACAGACGGGGGCCGGGTTGGAGTGGGTTTTGCGAACAACTCTAGTCCACTCTGTCTGTGCCACATGAGACCCAATCAACTGCATCACCACAATCATCACCTGCTGCCAAGAAAACAGTGCGAGAGATATGGGCAGACGCAGCTTGTCCGTTTATCATGGCTATCAAGCACGCCAAGACAGCCGCCAGATTACCGTCGGACGCACGTGAAGCCATGCAGAAAGAAGTAGGCGGGCCGTGGGTGGATGGATGGCAGACGATAGACGATAGGCGGTTGTCGCGTCCGAGACATGTGGTCCGCCAACATGTCTACACGCGCCCAACAGTTTGGGAACGATCGGACACACGAGGATCGACAAGGAATTTGATCCGGACAATGGACGCCGAATGCCGTTTCAAACGCGCGCGCGCCTGTGGGTTACAGGCTGGCAGGATGTGGGCTACGCCTATTCCGCACGCCTTGAGTTCGGCGGTTATGAAATGCCGCGCGTGTCCGTGAGTGTGGCATATTGGACAATGAGATCCGGGGCCATCAACGTTCAACCCCTGGTAACTGCCGCCGGCTGTGTGTCACGAGTGTGGCACCGCCGATCGCGTCATTGGTTGATAATAATCCGAATGGCCGTCGACGTCGGCCCCGAACGGCGCCGATTTGGGGCGGTGGTGGCACTGTTCAAAGCAACATGGTAGCGGTCTGCGCGTCTACATTGCCGGCGCATGAAATACAGAAGAGACAGGACGTTCCCACTGCTGGTAAACGTTATGAATGGAAGCACGCGGCATCGATGACGAGCACACGGGCATGGTCGACTGTGCGCGTGACGTGTGCGCTAACCACAGGTCTTGGTCCGAGCCGGTGCATCAATAGCAACATGGTAATGAGCATCCCGCGGCAAGACCGCGGTCTCAATACAACTGTTTAGGTCCGGGTGGCGGTCCGGAGGGGGCTTTATGTTTTTTATTTATGGGGGCGCCGGATGATTAGTATTATTCGCGCAAATTCCGGGTTGTTTCGTCGTTTGTCCACTTCTTCATCTCCCTAGTCGCGCGACCCAACACACCCGTCCAACCCAACACACCCGTCCATTACCCATCTCTCCATCGCACACTCCCACTCCCTCTCTGCCGTAAACCCTCACCCGTTGCACCTGGCAGCTAGCCAAGCTCTCTCCGTTTCACAATGGACGCCGCCGACCACCCTCACCCGCTCGCGGCCCTCCCGCCAGGCCACTTCCTCGCGCTGCCCCCGACCTTCTCCAACGACCCACGCACGTCGCTCACTACCGCATCCCACGCTGCACCCGGCCTTGCGCCCAACGTCGCCTCGCTCGCCGCCGCCGACTTCGATGTCGATGTGCGTACCGGTTTTCTCCCGCCGACCGCCAACGTGACTCGCCTATTTGCTCCGTACGATGTGTGGGAGGACGCGCTGGACGCTGCCCGCGGCGCTGGCCCCGGCGATGGCCTGAGGCTCGGCGGCTGTGGCAATGGCAAGCGTGAACAGGCATGGCGCGAGGCCGTGGCTGCCATCGGCGTGCTGCCGACCGACCAGCTCGACGACCTGCCGCACCTCCGTCGCGCCCACCTTGTGCTTGCCTTCCTGCTGCACTTTTACGTCCACTCGTCGCCACCAAAGTCGCACGCGACCCCCGCAGAGGTTCCCCCCTCCATCTCTGTGCCACTGCTCGCCATCTCCCCGCTCGTCGGTCTGCCTCCCATCCTGACATATGCCGACACTGTGCTGTGGAACGTCCACGCGGCCGACAAGTCGCGCCCGACCAACATGGCTTCCAACCCCCCGGCCACCACCCTTGGCAGCTTTACCAACACCAAGTCTGAGGCTGGGTTCTACCTCGTGTCGGCCGAGTGCGAGGCCGCCGGCGCCGCTGCATTGGCGCTCATGCGTCAGTGTCTCGACGAACTGTTCCTCGCCGACGAGCTGGCCCTCCGCCGTCTGACGGTCTACCTGCGCCAACTGGCCGTCCAGATCGACCGCGTGGGCGACATTACGCTGCGCATGATGACCGAGGTCGACCCAGAGGAGTTTTACCACCTCATCCGACCATGGTTCCGTGGCGGAGATGGTGACGGGCCCAACTCGCCCGGATGGATTTTCATGGGGGCCGACGAGCACGCCCTTTCCGAGGCGGAGAACAAGCTTGCAGGCGACAACGTCGTGGGGCGCAAGTTCTCTGGGCCCTCTGCAGGCCAGAGCTCCCTCGTGCACGCATTCGACATCTTCCTCACCGTCGACCACGCACCCCGACCCGACGAGGAAACCGGTCCGGTCCCCCTCGCGACTGGCACTGCCACTGCCGCAGTTGCCGCAAAGTCTCCGGCTGGTCCCGAGACTTCAACTCCGGCCACGGTGATTAAGCTCAACGCAACGCCGCTGCGCGCAGGTACCAACGACGAGGCGTCCCCCGCATCGGAACACCCACACCAACAAAAGTCTGGCGTGGTGGAGGCCACGTTCTTGCAGCGCATGCTGCAGTACATGCCCCTGCCGCACCGTACGTTCCTCCTGCACCTGTCGTCGCACCCAACCCCCTTGCGTGACCTCGTCATCAAGCGCGCCGACACGCACCCGGCCCTCGCGGCCGCATACGACGAGGCCCTGGCCGCCCTCCGCAGGTTTAGGGACAAGCACATGCGTGTCGTGTCGCGCTTCATTGTCCAGCAGGCCCGCCGGGCGCCCTCGGACCGCATCCGCGCCTTGCTCGGGGACGCGCGCGAGGCAGAGGAGATTGTAGAGGTCGAAGTGGACGGCCTCAGGGGTACCGGTGGCACACCACTCATCCGCTTCCTCAAGCGGTGCAGGGACAACACTAGCCGTGCCATGGTCACCGAGCAGTAGTAGACACCAAAAAAAAAACACTCCATTAAAACGGATCTAGATGGCGTAGAGAGGATGGGTAGACAGAGGAGGAGGAGGAGGAGGAGAGAGGGGACCGGTTGTATCATAGTCCTAATTAAATGTCAATTTTGTGTGAGGTTTTCGGACATGACTCTCCATCATCTGCAGCGTTTGTTACACAATTGAAAACTCTGCTGCATACACATGACGTCTTGCTTGCGCGTGTTATACACATGCTCTCTGGCTCGTACATGATTGGCTTTGGGCCTAGGTGTAGCGCTGGACCACGACCGCGTTGGCAAGCTTGGCCTGCTCGATCGTTTCGCTGTCGGGCAGCTCGCGGCTGGGGAACGTCGTCTGGAGCACGAATGGGCGGGGGTCTGGGCGTGATCTGGACTGTCAGTTACAACCGCCCGTGCCATAACTCACGCAGCGACGAATCCGCGAATGTCGGCAACAGTGTGGTCGAGGTTGACACGCGCGACGAGGCTGTTTGTCAGTTCAACGTTCTAACGTGGCTCGGTAAAACTCACCGAGTGCCGTCACCAAGACGGACTTGGACGCTGGCAGCGGGCTTGGAGGGGTCGAGCTGGATGCTCGCGGGCACAGCGGCAGGCGCGGCTGCAGCAGGGGCAGCAGCTGGAGCAGCAGCACTGGACGAGCTAGCCTCGGGCTGCGCAGATCCAAGACGGTTACCGCCGCCCTCGAATGCGCGCATGGGCGCCTTGGCTGGGGGCTGGTAGGCTTCGTGGGTACGCTGCTCGACGACGACCTGGACGGGCTGGTCGAAACGGACGTTCCAGAGCGAGGCGGGGGCACGGCCCGACTTGATAGCGTTAAGCAGGTCCTGGGATCCAGGAGCGTCGTAGGCGTAGAGCTGGCCGTCCTCGATGCTGAAGCCGTTGGACCAGAAGGTAAGACGACGCTCGACGGGCTCTTCGTCGCCCATCTCCTCGTCAGAGTCTTCCTCCTCGTCATCGTCATCCTCGTTGTCGAACGCGCCGGGGATGCGGCGCTGGGAGCGCTGAGGGCGGCCGCCGACCGAGACGCTGGGAGTCTCGTCGTCGCCGAGCGTGTTGCCCGAACCCCACTGGTACGAGGGCTGGCTGGCGGCAGCGGGCTCCTGGGGACGTTCCGAGGCCCTTACTATAAGCTAGATTCACCAATACCCCGTCGACAGACTCACTCGCGTGCCTGCTTGAGGATATCATCGACGAGCCCACGCCCACCGCGGGGCGCGTCTCCGCCGCTACCGCCGGCGCGGCGATCAGGCTCCTGGACAGCGAGGCCGCTGCGCTCGCCACCAGCGTAAAGCTCGTTTCCACGGCGTTCAGGCTCCTCGTCGTCCGAGTCTTCCGCGGCATGAGCTTGAGCGTTCTGTTGTCAGCCATGTTCTCTAGCGTTATATGTAGCTCACCATGCCGTCAATGGTCGCAAACTGGTTACGAGCAGGACGGCCCCAGCCGGCAGGGAGGGCATCCGCCGGCGCGCCAGAGAGTGTACGTGGGCCGCCGGGGTTGGCGTCAGCGGAAGACGCGGCGAGGGCGGCGTCCAGGTCGTCTTCGTCGTCTTCCTCGAGGCCGCCAGCGGCCTGGGCAGCAAAGAAGTCCTCGAGTGCGCCCTGTGGCAACGGTCAGTGGGAAGCGCGGATGGGGACGGTGGCGAGGGGAATGAAGAGGAGGCTCTCTACCACTGGTGAATATATCGGAGCCGCACCAGAGCAAGAGACACCTGGGCAACTGTCGCTGCCGTCCTCCCTCCGCCCGTCACCTTCCTTCTCATCCCACTCACCTCGAGAGTCGCGCCATCACCAAGGAAACGCGCGGCATCCGCCGGACTCGCCTGCGTGACAGCCACAAAATGGTCAATGTCTGGTACTCTGTCAGCTTATCCCGTACTTCTCACAGCTCACCCTGCTGCGTGGGGTTGAGGCCGGGCATGGTGGTGAATGGTGGTAAATGGCGTGGAACAAGGAAGACAACATGGCCAGTCGAGGTGAGGTGTGCGTCATAAGCAGCAAACGCGCGTCGCCCACGTGTATGTCACGTGACTTTTTACTTCGATCTCCACCAACGGCCATCAGACAATTTCAGAGGGGTCAACGTGTACAGTACAATGGCGTTCCACAGAGGTAGAACCTCGTGCGGCTGCTGCAAGTCGGTGCATATCACACAACCCCCCACTCTCAATACAAGATACATGGCTATCCTTTACTGCTCGCCCTTGAGGTTCTGGACGGCGGCGTGGAGGACGGGCGACGACTGGCGGCTGGCGCGCTGGGCGAGCACTTCCCTACGGGCCAACGAGGCCTTGTTGAGGACGTCAAGAGTGTCCAGGGTCGACTCCCAGTCGATGCAGGCGTCGGTGATGGAGACACCGTACTTGAGGCCCTCGCGGCCCTTGTCCGACGACTGTTTGCCCTCGGCAAGGTTGGACTCGATCATGATACCGGTGATGCCAAGCTCGCCCTCGGCGATCTGCTCGGCGACAACGGCGGCGACCTTGGGCTGGTTCCTGTGGTCCTTGTTCGAGTTGCCGTGCGAGCAGTCGACCATGACCGAGGCGTGCGAGTCGGGGTTCTTCTTGCGCATAGTCTCCAGCGCCTTTTGCACGTGCTCCTTGGCAAAGTTGGGGCCACCCGAGCCACCACGGAGGATGACGTGAACATCGCGGTTACCCGAGGTCTTGACGATGGAGGCGTTGCCCTGGCTGTTGATGCCCAAGAAGCAGTGCGGGTGGTTGGCGCTCTGCATGGCGTCAATGGCCACAGAGACGGAACCGTCGGTGCCGTTCTTGAAGCCAACGGGGAACGAGGCTCCCGAGGCAAGCTCGCGGTGCAGCTGTGACTCGGTGGTGCGCGCACCAATGGCGCCCCAGGTAATGAGGTCACCGATGAACTGGGGGGAGATGGTGTCGAGCAGCTCGCAGCCGACGGGCATGCCCATCTCGTTGATCTCGCAGAGGAGCTGGCGAGCCATACGCAGACCCTTGTTGATCTGGAACGAGCCGTCGATATCGGGGTCGTTGATCAGACCCTTCCAGCCGACAGTGGTACGGGGCTTCTCGCTGGGAACAAGCGTCAGTAAAACATTGCGATACAACCCGGCTCGACTGCTCCCTTGGGCACAGAGCATGACATGAACGCGGCGGTGGGGCAGGCTGCCATGGCACTGTTTCCGCGTTCGCCTGCGCAGTACCCGAGGTCCCAAACTCCAAGAAAACTCACAAGTAGACACGCATCACAACCTCGAGACCACCCCAGCGACCGTCCTGGACCTGCTTGCGCAAACGCGAAGCGTACTCCTTGGCCTGCTCAGTGTCGTGGATCGAGCACGGTCCCACAATGACCAGCAAGCGGTCCAGGGGGTCGGTTCCCTTCACGATGGAGCCGGCATTGCGACGCGAAGCCGAAATGGTCTTGGCGGCAGTGGCGGGGACGGGCAGGTCGTGACGCAGGAGCGCGGGGGGGATGAGGGGGTCGTACTGTGAGGATGATTAGATCGTGCACTGCGACTGGAGGGAGATGCAAGGGGGTGGGGGGGAGCGAGCTGGCTCGTCTGCGGAGATGTTCGCTCGTGGGCCGAGCAATAGCGAGAAGGAGCCAGGGGTTGTGATGCAGGTTTTTCTAGCAGAGACTCACGCCGGTGACCTTGTTGTCGTCAAGAGGACGGTTGCGGTCTGGGGACTGGGTGGAGACTGGCATTTTTGTGTGAGCGATGCGGGGTGGGTGTGTGGTGTGGTGTTTTGCGGGTTTGGAAGATGAAAAGAAAAACCCAAAGGCTGGAGTCGGGTCTTTTGGCGCTGGCAAGCAAGCGCGCCGATTGCCGGCGAGATCTGAGCGCGCGCGATCCGACTCGAGTCGTTGGGTATGACGGTGGAACCGCGTCACTATATCACTGGCTGGCCAGTCGCATTTTGGCTAATTCGTCCCGACTCAAGTTCAGTCTCTTCTCCCGGCCAAACCATTTGGGCTATTAACCGCAAACAAAAGGATTATCCAGCTAGATGGCATCGAAACACATAGTCACAACAAAAAAAAAGATCGATATCTGCTCTTCTCCCTCTCTGCATGGCAGACCCAGCATTGCACCACACACTGCTCTCACGCCTGCCCGTAAAAGTAATCCACAAACGGTTTCAGGCGCAGTCCCAGAATGTTAACCACAGGCATCGTCGTATTCTGCGGGTTTGCTGTTAGCTTTTTCCCTTGGCAGACACGTGTCCCAGTTCTGCTCCCTCATCTCCACAGGGTTCGACCAGGGTCTAGCACTCACCACACGACTGTCGCTGCCTCCGACCACCAACTCTGCCTTTTCGTCCTCGACCCAACCGAGGACACTGGCATAGATTTGACGACGAGCACGCTGGCGCTCTTCCTCGCTCGCCCAGCCCCCCTCCGGCTTGGTAGGATTGACGGGCGGCAGGCCCTTGGTGTCGTCGAACGCGGCCGCCTTGGCAGCCACTGACGTCGGCGAGTGGTTGAGCCTGTGCTGAGCGATTGACAGGCCAGAGAGGTTGTTGCAGGTGTGGTACAGGTCGGGACGTTTGAGGGGCTTGTCACGCAGGCCACCAGTAGCTCCGGGCTCCTTCTGGGCGGCAAGGAGGATGTATTCTTGCAAAGCCACCCTGTTGAAGAGATGGTGCATGGCCTCTTCGTCGGCCCACTCGTCGTTACCGTCGTCGTCGACAATGGCGATCTTGGCCGACGTGTCGGCGTGAAGTGCGTCTTGGCGGCTCTTCTCGCGCTTGAGAAGAGTTTCCAGGACGGGGAATCCACCGCCGACCCACCATCCATAGCACCCATCAACTAGCTTGTTGGAGCGGCCACGGAATCCACCAGCCTCACCAGCCTCGCCTTGCATGAGGGCCGACCAGCGCACCGCCGACGCAACATCGATGGGCGCCGGGAACGAGGGGGCGAGGGAGGCCAAGGGAGCACCGTCGGTGGGGACGATGGAGGACAAGAGAAAGTGCGATGCAAGTGAACACGACGTGTATCCGCCGTGCGCTTCGGCCATGGCTGCGCGAGTGGTCGACTCGGTGGGATCGTCATAAGGTCCGACACCAAAGGCCCATGTCGAGCATGCAAATCCTCCCTCGTACGTCTGACATGCGGCGATAAACTTGTCCACGTTGTGGACAAGCTCGGGGGTAATGATGTCGAGGAGCGTCGCCACTACCAAAAGGCAGTATGTGCCACTGGCGGTTAGCTTGTAATACCCTGGGAGTGACCCACCGAACATCAATCTCTCCACCATCGCACACGACAAAGCCGCCGTCAGGACGCTTACAGCGCATGAAGAAGTCGTACGTCTCCTGCCTCATTGCTGCGACTCGGTCCCATCCGCCCGTGGCCGATGCGTTGCCCACGATCGCGAGTGAGCAAACCGAGGCGTACGTCGGCAGCAGATGGGGAAGGTGCGAGTTGTTGGCGCCGCCGGCAAACCCGCCTGCAGGGGACAGGTAGGCCATGATGGTGTTGATTGCACTGTCTTGTCAGCTCAGAGACAGGCGATGTAAGCTCACCGATCCTTTGTCCCCTGGTCGAGCGCGACGCCCAACAGGTCCAGGCTGTGGACGGTCCAGAACATGAGCCACGGCTTGCTCGCGTCCAACGAGACATAGGCCGACGGCAACCTGAAAAAGGTAGAGGCTAGGAACTGGGTGTGCTCGGCTTTGCGAAGCGTTGTACCGCCATCAGTCATGAGTGCCGGCGGCTGGCTGTCGAGGACGTCCGTGATGGCGCCCTCTGTGTCGCGTTGCTCAAAGATGGTGCCCGTGTCGACACCATCGCTGGGTGCGGGAATGTGCGGGAGAGTGAATATGGAAGGGTATGCGGCGCCCATGGCTGTGTATGTGTGTAGTAACGCGTGAGAGAGAGATGTGTGTTGTATGAGTGATGGTGATGGCGGCGGGGGTTGTCAGTTGACGGCTCGTTATTGTTCACTGCGAGGCCCGTTGGCACACCTCCACCGGCGGATCTGGATGGCAATGGCGCGCCTAGGGCGCCAGAAGATAGGCGAGGTTGATACATGGGATGCCTGTGTGGCGCGCCTGTGGATTAGCCGTGTTTTACTAATTTACTAACTCACTAATTTAACGGCTTTACTCTGCAGCCGTGGTGGTGACTTCTGACACAAAGGGGCCGTAAGGCATAGGCGCATAGGCCATGTGGAGCGGTTGTCTGCGCAATGAACGTTGTTGAGCAGAGCTTCACCCGGGTTCTAGTTGCCGTTGTCCGCCTGGTTGATAAGATGCCCAGCGAGAGCCACGACGTCCATCCATCGGGTGCCTCGATTTGAACGGAGAGAACAATTTTGGGCCTGACCCCCCCAGCTGCCAAACATGCGACGCACACGGTGTGTTTTACTGCTCTCCGCGCGTCCGGTGATCAAGATCAGCGTGATGGTTATCCAAGGATCCCCCACAACACACCATGTTCTGATACTGAACGCGTCACCGTCTGACTGCAGCGCTTAAGCGCTTGCATGGATGGTCCATGGACGGCAGCAGGTGGTGCACGCGGCGACGCCATCCCGCCCAGGAGGCCTCAGCAAGGGCATGTCAGCCCGGGTATGGCACGCGTGACTGACCCGGGACCCGTCCTCGTCACCGGGGGCCACTCTCGTTTATAATTTCCAGACCCAGCACGCACCCTCTCCTGTCTCTCTCTCTCGCACCCCCCATCCCCCCCGCATCCAACTGTGCATCCCTTCTCCCCCCACAGCTATCCCCCCCTCTAGTTCCCAATCGTCCCCTCCAGCAAACACGTGAGTCGTCTTGCTTCGTGCATGCGTGCGTTCGGCCGGCGGAGTATAGCGGACGGTGGGGCCGGAGACATCTGGCGACATGAGCGCCCCTGTCCCAAACCCATGTTTCCTCCATCGCCCCGTTATCGCGCTGGTCATCGACGGACATGCAGGCGGACACCGCACAGCTGCGGTCCACCGAGTCCGTGGGGTCAGGACTCGTACCCGCAAGTAAGGGCTACGGTCATGTCCGGGTCAGCGGCGGCCACCTAGCTGCCGACGGCACCGTCGTCGTCGTCGTGTCGTCGAGATTAAAAGCTTCTGCCTCCAGGTGGTACATACAACATTTGTTGACACTTTCTCTTACCACACAAACACACACAAACACACACGACTATGGATTTCGCATCACAGATACCCGACATGATCACGAACGCGGGCCGCGAGCTCGTGCGTCGCCTGACGGCGACCAGCAACACCCCGCTCCTGCCGTTTGTGCCCAAGTGGAGTGAGTCTCGGCACAGCAGCTGTGGTGGACGCGTCTCTTGGTTCTAACACACCTCAGTCAAGGTCATCTTCCTCTTCCTCATGGTCTGCCAGGCGCCATCGTGGCCGTTCCTGTGGCACCTCCGTGTGTGGTACTACCCTCTGCGCGCATACTACCTCGCATACACCAAGGGCCACATGGCGTACTGGAAGAACTGGCGCAAGGAGTATGTCGAGGCCGGCGGTCTCAAGGACATGCGCGTCAAGGTCTGGCGCCGTGCCCTCCTCGACGACTGCGACTACAACATGCACCTGTCCAATTCATGCTACGCCAAGAACTCGGACGCCGCCAAGATGAAGTTCTGCATCGACAGCTTTGCGCCCTGCTTCGTCACGGGTCTGCACATGGCCCTCGGCGCCAGCCACTGGAAGTACATGAAGGAGATTCCTATGGGATCGCAGTACCTCATGGAGACGCGTGTTGGCAGCTGGGGTGACAAGTGGTGAGTCCCAGAGCCGTTGCCGCTGGGTGGCGTTCTTGCCGCCGGCATGTGGGCTGCCTCTGCCTACGTGCCACCGGTAACATGTCAAAATGGCTACCGGTATCCGCGAAGGCGTCTTTTTCCAAGCGATAACACACTCGCTAACCCACTACCCAGGATTCACGTCGTCACCGAGTTTGTTATTTTCCCCAAGGGCGGCAAGCGCAAGGGCGGCAAGAAGGCCCCCGTCTCCGAGAAGGAGCAGATCATCCCCAACCTCTCCCTCCCTCCCTCTGGCACCGACACTCCCTCCTCGTCCGCCACCTCTGCCAAGGGACACACTGTCCCCCAGACTCCCGAGGAGGTCGTCCGTCGTCTCACTGCCGCCACCCGCTCCGCCAAGCCCCGTGCTGACGGCGGCGTCGTCGCGTGTATCGCCGTCACCGACTACTGCTTCAAGCAGGGCCGTATCACCATCCCTCCCCGCATCGCCTTTTACCTCTCCCTCCTGTCTGAGAACCCCGACAACCGCGCTGCCGCGCTCAAGATTCTCAACTCCAAGGACAAGGGAGCGGCGTTCGCCAAGGGCGGCTGGAAGGACGCCGTCGACGCCGACCAGATTGGCCGCGACGTCGGTCTCGGTCCTGACGGTACCCAGGACTGGGCCAACGAGGGCCGGTTTGCCATGCAGGCCGTGGACGAGAACCTTGCGTTGTTCTAAAGCGACACGCACACAGCCTTTGCACTGGCAGGGGATAATCTAGCTCTCTCCTTCAGGGAGCGCACCAACAACACCATACGCATGTGGGCATTCGCAACGCCGCACCATATAGACAACACACACACACACCTCAGTAACATCTCACCCAGCGCCGCGCGCTTGCGTTGTCCTCGCAGTGTACACCCTACAGTGCTCTGCCCCGGCAGCCCGGGAGGCAGCCATGGATACAATCCTATGCAGTATAATTGAACCAAAATGACGTGCTCTGGGCGTGATGCAGTTGAGAGCCATGGGACTGTGCTGACGTCGTGGGTGATATTGCATTCTGGAAAGTGGGGCGGTTGTGATGGTCGCAGCGGAGTGCTGTATGTAAACGCAGTATGCCACTTATGTGCGTCGGAGTGGGCTAGGACAGTGTGTTCTGCAAACCGAGTATAGCGATCATGTGCAACGGGCTGACCAACGATACTGTTTTTTCGCCACGAAACCGGACTAGATTTGATTTCAATCCTAATATCATTTGAATTGCGTTCCTTGCGTGCCGGCTCTAATACAGTCAACACACACCGTGTCCTGGCTGGCCCGTCATGCACCAACAGCATTTACACTTCACCTCTCATTCCGTCTGCCGCCTGTTTATCCCACAACAATCACCACCCTCACCTCCTCGCATCATGAGTAACGCGGAAGACGACTGGGAGAAGGTAAGCACCTCCATGATCAATAGACTGCATGCTTGTCGCTGACGCTTGTGTCTTCTCCTCTGACTTGTTCAAACGTGCGCGTTGGTCCCACTCCAACATCGGCCGACTGATGGCTTCACTGTATCCACATGCCTGATGATGCCCACCTACGCCCCACTCTCCCGACTTCTCCTACACCCTCGCCGTCATCCTCCAGGAGGACCTCGGTCCATCCCCGACCACGACGGCCACCGCGGCCGCCGCGCTGCAGCCTGGTGCTCAGCCGTTTCGCCCAACTGCTCCCACGTCGACTGCTTCTATCACCGCAGCGCCTGCCGCGTCTGTGACCTCAGCAGCCCCCGCTCCAGTGCGAGTAGCGGCCACCCCGACGATTCTTGCACGCCCCAGCCCTGCGACCGCGCCGCAACAGGGCCAGACCCCTACACCGCCCGGCGACGGTGATGACTGGTTTCGTGGCGCGCCGAGGCCGGCCAACAACCGACAAATCTGGGATAGCGCGTGAGTAGCATACCATCGGCGGTGGTGATGCTGCAATGCTGACCTGTGGTAGTAACCGCGCCGGGCCGTCGACCACCACCATTCTCCCTCCAGCCTCGGCCCCACCGCCCAAAATGCAGATCCTGAAGCGGCCGACGACCCAATCGCCCAAACCCACTAGCAGCTCCGGCACGGCCACCCCGAGCAAGAGCATCGAGCAGCGCGAAGAAGAATACCGCCTTGCGCGTGAACGGATCTTTGGTCCTGGAGGAGGATCGGACAGTGGATCAAGTTCGCCGGCAACAGCGACCAACGGCGGTGGCTCTGTTGGCATTCCACCTGGACCAGTCCCTCAGTCCGTGTCCATGGCTGGTCTGGCCGGTGTGGATCGCGGCGGCAGCGGCAGCGGTGGACGCCGGACGAACCCGGGATCCAGGAGTGCCAGCGGAAGGGGGTCGCCGAGGGTCGACGAGGCGGCGCTCGCGCGTGCCGTCAACCAACTGTCCATGTCTGGCGGCGGACCACCACTACACCAGCAGAGCCGGAGCGGGAACGGCACACCGTCCTACTCGCAGCAGATGGGCGGCGCCGGCCCCATCGGTGCTGGCCGGTTTGACGGCATCCCGCAATCGCAACTCCAACAACAGCACCAACAACACGTGTACAACCCACAACAACAAATGTACGGTGGCCAGAACACTGGCGGGTACCCGAATTACGGACCCGGACCCACTCCTGGAGGCTACGACCGCAACCAAGCCCGCCTCCCTGCCCGTCCACCCATGGCGCCAATGGGGGCTGGCGGTGTCCAGGTGACCGTCCAGCAGACGTCATACGCGTCCGTCCAGCAGATGCAGTGGGCGCGGGCGCAGGACGAGCACCAGCGACGAATGGAGCCCAAGCGATACGACGTCAGCACCACCACGACTGAGCAGTATTACGCCTCGGGAGCGTATGCGTATGGGCCAGGAGGTCCTGCGGCTCCCCAGCCCCAGCCCCAGCTCCAGCCTCAGCTCCAGTCCCAGTCCCAGCAAGGCGGATACCAGGGGCAAAGGTTCGGCGCCGGTCCTGCGGGTTCTGGTTCAGCCCCCGGCAGTGGGCCTGGTACACCAGGTGGTGGCCCTGCCCTGCGTGGGGGTATGTCCCCCGGCGTGCTTCGCCAGCCGCGTGGGCCAGGTGCCGGTAACGGATTCCGGAGCTAGAGAGAGGAGGTTCTAGATAGCGCACGTCTGTAGAGGCCGTAGACGACTAGGCATTTTGTCACTGATGATGAATGTGCCCCGCCGAGTCCCAATTGCGCATTGGAGTGGCAAGGGCAGGAGGCACCGTTGGGCAAGCAGACGCAGCGACGCTGGGCTGCGTTGCGCGTTTGACATGCCTGCTCGCTCCCTCTCATTCGACGTGAATGCAGATACACAATACATGCCGCCGCTTAACAGGCTGCTCTATCCCTAAATCCAATAACTCGCTCCTGGCGTAACACTCTAGGCGCGCTGAGCGGCACGCTTCTTCTTGTCGGTGCCGCTCTTGCCCTCGAATCCGGGACGACCCTTCTTGTCGCCCTTGTCACCGCGGTCGCCGCGCGACTTGTGGTCCTTCTTGCCTCCCTTGCCCGCCGCGGCCTTGGTCTTGTCCTTGATACCGAGACGCTTGTTGCGGCGCGCATCGAGGCGCGAGTTGATGTTGTCGTTGCGCTTCTTGATCGCCATGGCCGTGGACTTGTCCACAGTCTTCTTGCGCTCAACCCTGGGGAGAGTGCGTCAGTACATTGTGTGCGTGCGGTGTCGACGGCAGCTGTGCGTCGTCTCGACTCACCACTCCTTTCCGCTCTTGCCCTTCCTCTTCTCCTCGCGCTTGACGGCATTCTTGAGCACCTTGACCTGGTCGGCCACCTTGCCACCAGCAGCGCGCTCCTCGGCCTTGGCCCACCTCTCCTTCTCCTCAATCTCGCGGCGCTTCTCCTCGGGCAGCGAAGCCAGCTTGGCGTTGTGCTTTTCGAGGTGAGCGAGAGCCTGAGAAGGGTTGGAAAGCTTCTTGAGGGGAGCTCCGGAACGCTTGGTGGCGCTGGGGAGGGCGACCGAGGGGAACGAGATGCTGTCGTCGGGCTTGGGGAGGTTGGGGACGAGAAGCTGGGTCTGGGAGACAGAGTTAGTACAGTGTCGCAGGAGTTACACAGGAGTAACGCGACCACGTGCAGACGCGGCGGGTGTGGTTTGCGAAGCAACACGACCACCCGCCTCGCCGCCTCGTCGCTCGCTTCAGCTCGTGGTGGCTCACCTTGGCAGTCTTCGCAGTCACCTCCACACGGGCCTTCTTGCGCTCCTCCTTGCGCTCCTTGCGGCGCTTGTCGCGGATCTCACCGCGCCTCTGCCTGCGCGCGGCCTCGAGCGCATCGCGGCTCTGGGGATCCTCGTTGTCGTCGATACCACGGGCACGCTTGTAGCCGTCCAGCTTGGCGCGCATGCGGTCGCGCAGGTCGGTGATCGACGCCGCGGGAGGGAGCGCCGAAAGCGCAGGAAGAGCGGGAGGCAGCGCAGACGAAGTGGACGCCTCCTCGACCATCTCGACGTCGGCACCGGGCAGGTTGGACGGGTCGAGCTGTACAGTCAGTTGCTGCTAGAGGACGGGAGGGGCCTACCTTGTCCTGCTTGACCCTCCTCTTGTGCTCCTTGATCTCGTCACCAGTCTTGCGCTTCTTGTTCTTCATCCAGCGCGAGTCGAGCTCCTCCTCGGTGGCAGCGACATAGTACTGCTGGGGGATGAGGCGGAGCAGGGTAGAGAACGTGTTGTTGCGCTGCTCGATGGACGCAACGAGGGCGGGGTCGCGCGTGGGCGCTGTCGCGGTGGTGGCCATGGTTGGTGTATGTGGTGGTTGTTGGGAAGTGGCGACGGTGCAGAAATATTCATCAGGTACAGGTGGGTGGCATTTTGATTCCGTCGATGGCCATCTGGGCGGGCTGGATGTTTATTCTCGTGTGGAGGCAGGCAATGTTCTGATGCATGCGCTTTTCTTGCCATACTACAACGTCTCGCTCTATATCTATTGGGGGGGTGCATTATGGGACAGATCATTACCAAAGAGCAGCAACGGCCGCGAGGGTGACAATAGCCACAGCTGGCGGCAGCAGAGAAATCGCGCCGCTGGACGACGACGACGCCGCAGTGGCTCCGGTGTCGCTGGTGGAGGTTAACCCTTGCCTCAACTTTCAACTCACCCTGCGGGCCTCGACACGATAGAGACCTGTAGCACGGCGACAAGCCCATCAATGGCAGCGTAGCCGTCCTCTTCGACAGTAATGTTGTGGTTGATACCAACTAAAACGTTAGCCTTTCAACCAGTGTCGCTTTGACTCACTCGACGAATTCTGCAGAAGACCCGCGACATAGGTCACGTCCGTCTGGTAGGTGTAGTTGCCGTAGCTCGTCTGGCCAGAGAACGTCGATGCCGTAGTCACGTTTCTAGACTCGACGCTTGTCTGGGTAACATTGCCCACGAGCTCGTCGCGACCGAGGTTGTAGCCATCAGGCACAATGTCGTGTCCCTTGGCCTCGTCCATCTCCACCGACACCGCGAGGAAGAATGCCTTGGTCCCGTTTTGCTGCCAGTAGCGTAGATGCAGGCCGCCGTTGAACGTTTCTTTGCAGCTGCCGACGTATGGGTCGCCATAGTCCCACCTCAGGACGGCAACCTGGGTGACATTGCCGTCGCCGTCGCCGAGGTTGGCAGATTGAGTGTCGCCAAAGTGCACGCCGAGACACTCATGCGCAAGAAAAGTGGAGCTGGGAGGTCAGTGTGCTGACCGCGTAGAATCTGCAGCATACCTACAGCATGTAGTTTTGGAAGCCGCCATCATCGAGGCTGTCGACGAGGACCTGTGCGTCGGAAGTGCCAGACAGGATGACGTTGATGGGCTCGCCTTGGCCGGCAGGGTATGTGTTGTTGACAATCTACAGTTAGGATGCGGTGCTGCTACGCGCCCTTCACAGCTGCCTTACTCACTGTCAACATCGACCCGCCACCGTCGGCAGGGTTGTTGTATCCGTCTGCGCGTTTGGCGAACGCCTGGAGCGCCGGGGTGGAGGGCTCGCAGGGAGCTGACGCAGCGGCGAGCCATGGTGCGATTGCAAAGACCGCAGTGGCGAGGGCCAAGCGGGTCATGGTGAAGGTAGAGAGTGTGCTGGTGAACGAATGTGAGTGAAATGAGAGTTGCTGTCGAATGCTTGTCGGTTGATCGGTTGACGACCCCAGAATCCGCCGCTCAGGTCGCGTGTCACGCGTAGTCTCGATCGTCTCCTTGTCAACCACGTGCGGGTACGGAGGAATTCCGAGTTGCGTCGCCAAAAGTTCTATATGGGGTGCCTGTGTCGATGCTGTGGGGAAGCAAGGAAAGGAGTGTGAGATAATGGGACAATGTCAAGCGTTGGGACAGGACGATGTAAATTGATGGGAGCGATCCGTAGTCTTTCCTGATAATGAAAGTTGCGGCGGCGGCAGATGGCGTCAACACACCCCCGTCGGAGTTGATAACCGGCGTCTTTTCACACACTCGACATGGGCCTCCGTCATTCACGCATCGCTCTCGACCGTGGCCGAGCAGTACATTAATACAGCAAGCTCATGGTGGCCACCGTCTCAAAGCCTTTGTCTTGAAAGTCAGGAAGGCCATGCAACCAGCCCTCAGAATAGCCAGCCTCCGCACTTGCAGACGTGGCACAAGGAAACTGATCATCCGCGATTCTAATCTGGTACACGGGCCGTGAGGAGACAGCGATACAGCGAGCAACAGTCAAGAGCTCACAACTTGCACCACTTCGCGAGGAGACTGCTCCGATCAGACTTGCGAAGTCTCTGCAAGACGATGACGACCCTCCTCGGGGTTGCCTCACTCCCGCCCCATCGCTCTGGGTTAGAAAGGCACTGGATGTCATTAGGATCCACTTCCGAAGGAATACAAATGTCAGCAATGTTCCGGATAGCTCTGGCTTGCCCCTGGAATGGCAAGCACTCGAACGTCGAACACGACCTCGACCTGTTGCATACAGCCTCGTGCGCCTTGGGGGCACAGTAAACATCAAAATTAAACAAGACGCTGATCACCGGGGGCGATACTGGTCTGGACGATCATTGCCAAGTGGCGAAACCACTTCCTAACACAATCCACAGACATACAATGTCCCGACCGCTGCTAACGGCCTTGTACGCCTCCCACAGTCTCCAAAGTACAACCTTTGGCTTCATGAGATGCTACTTTATGAGTATACATGCAAGAAGAACGAGAGTAAACGCAAAGGCCGGCGTAAGGCGGAGGTATATGTAATTGGCGAGTGCTCCATGAGCCCTGGAGCAAAAGAAATGCCTGAGACCTTCTCGGACATCGCAGCCTCCGGCGGGGCTCGAACCCGCAACCAATCGATGCCTTAAAGGCAATTAAAAGTCGAACGCGATAGCCAATTTCGCCACGGAGGCCAGATGAAAGCTGACATGGTAGTTTGTTCAGGATGACAGAAAGTTCAACCTCCATTGGAAACTCATGTCGTTTTCGCCCATACCGTAGTTAGCGCTGGTCTTTTGGGTAGTCACATGTGAAGAGTAAGGAGAGGGGATGCATGGAAAACAGAACCCCTTATATACAGAGAGATCATAAGGGGTACGAGAGAACAACGGAGGATTGCCCTCGTTCTCCTGTCGTTCAGGCGACACTTCCGTGCCGCAAGAAATGTGCCACAGATGAGTCATAGAAGCTTCTGCCGAGAAGGGACTTCCGGAAATGTTTGACCCGTGCTCGGTCGGTCCTGTCAGCTTGAGGAGTGGTTGTCTGGATGCTTAGCTTAGAATTTCCGGTGGAGCATTGGGCTCGACTTGCCAACGGTGGTAAGCCGTGGCCGGGGAATGTTGTGTTGTCCGTGGTTCTCCGCCCGTCCGCCCAAATGCAACGTACGCTCCTCATCTAGTGTGTTTTCTCTATCTGTTTGCTTCCTAGTCTTCCCATCCTTCATCAGGTTCCTCTGCGAGATGTTATCGGTGTGTACGGTATCAATTCCACATTCATATCTAATAATTAATATATATATTTACTGTTCCTATCCTTCTTGTTGGATCCGTAATACTTAAGAGCAGCGGAAACTCCATTCACTAAGTAGCCGGCCTGTTTATTGGACTGCTGCTAACCACTTGCAAGCGCAAATAAAGAGAATAGGAGGTGGGTCATGAGTAGAAACTTCGCAATGCTTGCCGCCTTCATAGACAACACACGTGTGGGTGGCAGGAAGAAGCGACTTTCCGCCTTATTGTTGCGAATTGAACATCCTTTTTCGCATGCATGCATGCCTTCTGCGCCCGGTACCCACATCATTATACACAGACGTCAGCCGTGCACTTCGTGTAGGGGAGCATTCATCTGCACAGGGGACAGTGCCTACGGGGATCTCACGCCGTACCTGTGCTCTTTTGCGCCACTGTGGGACTTTTACCACAAGTGTGCCCAAAAAAACAGACGAAAATTCACCCAAAATAAAACTGTTCACCCTAGTCACCCGTCTCAACATTGACTATCTGACAACAATTGCAGAATGCACACCTATAGATATGCATGACGGCATAGCATGCACAAGTGTCATAATGCATGGCAGGGTGCCGCAGCAAGGAAATATGTTAGAAGGTCGGAGCGGTGCCATCCCCGGTTGGGCTTCTGCCACGAAGGTATTCACGACTTCTACGTTCAAACGACCGTAGAGTGAGTGGCCGTCTGCACACGCCCATCCACATGCCCGTTCAGATGATCACTTAAAAACCCATTGACATATACTATGCTTACAACCGTGACTGCACGGTAAAAACCCAAATCGTGTCCTGATATAAAAGTCTAATCTGCTCAAGCAGCCGCGGCAACCTGCGCGGGTGGCGCCGACTGGGTGGGCGCGCTCTTCCAGCCAAACCGCCTCCACAGCTCGTCGCTGACCCTCTTCTTCTCGACGGCCGCACCGCCCTCGCCGGCCATGACACTCTTGTTCTCAATTGCCCTGCGCGCAAGGAAGGGGAGCACCTCCTGGAGCTTGCCGTACGCAATGTACTTGAGGGCAATGGGAGGTCCGGGCTCGAACGCCTCGGCGACGCGGTCGGTAATGTCGTCGCGCATGCCGTAGAGCTGCGCGATGAAGACCCGCGAATTGAGGCCATCACGGAGACGAAGCTTGGACGATGGGCCGCGCACAGTCAGGCCATCCTTCTCCATAGAAGCAAGGACGAGCTCGACCGACTCGGGGTTGTGGGTAGCGAACACGGCGGAAAGGGCGAGCTCGGGGTGGTGGCCGTCCAGTTGACGCGCGAGGGTAGAGGTAATCTTCTGGACAGAGTCGTTGTAGGCCTTGTCGGTCGCCGGCTTGTCGGGCCAGATGGGGTCGGCACCGGCACGGCCCTCGACGCGCCACTTCTCGCGCTCGCGAACAAAGTACGCGCCACGGACGAGCTTGATGCCCAGGGCGTAGCCGTTGTCCTCCGAGTGGCGGATGGCGGCGTCGAGGAGGTATGGTGCACGACGGAGGTAGGACTGGTACGTGCCAAAGATGACAGGGCCGTTGAACGACTTGCCAGCGACGGGCTTGTTAAACTCCATCGACAGCAACAGAGTGAAAGCGTCGAGGGCCGGCTGGGTCGGGGCGAGCTCCGCATCGATCATGAGCTTGACGCCGAGGTCGGCTGCGCGGCCAGACAAGGTGCGCATCTTGGTCCAGAGGCCGTGGAGAGCCTCGAGGTCCGAGTCAGAGACACCGGGGTCGGCAGCGAGAATGCCGAGGGGCTCAAATGCGCCACCAACTGAAGGCAGAGATGCGAGACGAGACTCGGCAGGGTCGATGACCATGCCGTCTGACTCCTGGGGCACACCCGGGAAGGGCGCCGGGAGACCATCAATCACAACCTCGGACGACTTTGACAAGGGTCGGATTCGGCAAATGGTGGTACTGGCGCGCTCGAGGATGTCGGGGTCGATCAAGCCGGACAGCTTGATAGCAAAGGACGAGGTTCCAGTGAAGCCACCGGTGAGCGACAAGTGGCGCTCAAACTCTCCCAGTGCCTCGATGGCCGACTCGCACTCAGCCCAGTTGTGAGCCTGCGCGGCATGGTGTGCCTCCGCCAGACCGTCACCGGCCTCGGATTCGGCAGAGTAGTTGAGGACACCGCCAATGTTCTGCGCGTGCAGGTCGTTCATGGCGTTGATACACTCGGGCAGGTCCTCGCCAGCAACAAACTGGGCAAAGAAGGTGCGCCGCACCACCGCCTCGGTGATAGCCTTGAGTCCTGGGGCGGGCGAGTGGGTGAATGCGTGAAGGAGACCCGGGGCGGCGTCAATGAGACGAGGCCATGAGCATGCCGTGTACACAAAGTATGAGCGGAGGAGGGCAGATGTAGGGAGGGCGGCGATGTTGGTCTGGGGCTCGGGGTCGGAGCTGGGGGACACGAGAACGGCGCCTGCGAGAGCGACGGGAACGAGGGCCAGGAGTCCCAGGCGCGAGGAGCGAGGTGGAGCAGAGCTCGCGTCAGCCGTGGTGGAGATGGAGCGCACGACGGGGCGGCGTGGAAGAGAGCGGGCGCCCAGGGCGCCAACACGGAGTGAAGGGCGAAGGAGCATCGAGAATGCACAAAGCGTGTAGTGGGGGGATAGCTGGGAATACATCTCCCCACCCACCTGGCGCCTTTGTATAGCATCCCACAGAGTGTATCGCTTGCTTGCCTGTGGGTCGCATGTGGTGACGTTCGCATTGTTGCCACCAGCGCCGAGCGCCTACTTGGGCGGCTAGTTCGTACTGCATTTTGTGGCTTAGATCCGGGCGGATTAGCGCAGGTCATTAGTCGCGATTCATCCGAGGTTTAATCCATTTAGTAAAATGTCTAATCGTCTCGGGAAAGGGGGGCTTTCTTCGGTATGGCGCTTGCCACCATCTCTCCAGCCCTTGGCGGCAGCTGCACATGACCGCGGCAAGGAGAGCCCAGTCACGGTGTCTCAAGCATGTCTCGCGGAGCTGCCGGTGACAAAGAAAGGTGCGAGGACGCTTGGGAAGGCCGCGACTTTGCGGTGGTCGGCCGTCTGACGCCTCTGTGAGATAAGGGTGTTGGTCGGGCTTCGCGCGCCCTCTGTGCCGAACAGTCCCAGCTACACAACAATTGGACGCTCGTCTCTTCCCATCCGGGTGCCTGTCGGAGAGCGTGGGCGTGTCGGCGTGTCGGCGAGTGTTCCACAACAGGATGTCCAGTTGGCCGATGTCGGGCTGGTCGGAGCTTGCTAAACGGCGCGTAGCTCGCTGGACCGGCCGGCCACTAGGGCACTTTGGACGCGTCCTGGTCACGGATGGGTGAATTGCCATGTGGCGAGAGAAGGACAGTGTACTGGTGAGCATGGGTGGAACGTCGGGTGAGTGTATCGGGGGTGGGTGCGAGACACAGGCCGAAAATGTGTTGTACGGACAGACACATGGATGCCACACAAACAACAACAATCGGCTTGGCAATTTGCTTCCGCTCGCGATCTATTTGCGGGTGTGCAACAACAAAATCTCGACGTCCCACCATCTCCATCGCATGCACCCACGCCATGTCCGCGGCCAACGGCCATGCACAGCCGACTCAGCAGGTAGCATATGCCAATGTGGATGACGACGACGACGACGAAGACCTTGACCTCCGACGTCTCGCGTCCACGCGCTCGCTCGACCCAGAGCAGCCCGTTCCCGACGAACCACCACGGCCTCCCTCCCGTGTCGACGAGGACAACGCGCCTCCGCCAGCGGAAGAAGTGACACCACTACGCCTGGGAGCGCACTATGCTGTGCTAATCCTTGCCGCCATGCTTGGCACTCTGATCCGATTGGGACTGGACGCGCTTGGGGCGTGTGAGTTGGATGGCGTCGATGGTATTCCAGCTGACATTCAGACGACGGCGCCGCCATCTTTCCTCTCGCGTGGGCGCAAGGGGTGGGATGTGGGATCATGGGTCTTGCATTGGCGAGGAAGAACCAGATTGTGTGGATGTGAGTGATTCTCTGAGAGTGTGGGGCAGCTGGGGCGTGAGCTGACGGCCAGTTACCCACCGATGTACACTTTCTTCACGACCGGTAAGTGGCAACGATGGCCTTCCCCATCTTGGTAGATGCACACGTAGCGGAAGGCAGTGGGCTCCTACTCTTGGGAACCAGTGAGACTCTGCTCCAGCTGTGATGTCTCTCAGTCCACAGCTGGTAAAGGTTGAGCGCTCTACAAACTTCAGCGACACTTCACCCACTCCATGGCCAGAGCTGACGACCAGGCATCGCGGGATCCGTCACGACGTTCTCATCGTGGATGCTGGAAGGCTATGAGGCATTTGCCAACTTCAACCACTATGACCGAGGCGGATTTCACAATGTGAGTTACTAGTTTGTTGGCAAGCATGAAACTCACGGCCGACAGGCGGTCGACGGTATAGCGTACTCATTTGCGACCTTTGCCATCGCCATCGCCTGCCTCCACTTGGGCCAGTTCATGGGCCGCTGCCTCCCGCGCATCCCTCGCCCCGAGGCACTCCACACCGTCTCCCATCGGTCGCCGTTCCTTGACAGTGTTACATTCCTGGTGGCATCACTGAGCTACCTCGTCGCGTTGATCATCTACTTTTTCGCTCCGCACCCGTGGCGTCACCGCGCCGTCTTTGCGATCCTGTTAGCTCCACCTGGCGCCATGCTGCGGTTCTTTCTCGCCAAGATCAACACCCGCGCGGCGTTTATCGACAGGTTCCCTTTGGGAACGTTCATTGCCAACATGGTCGCCACGCTCGTCCTCGCTGGCGTGGTGGCCGCGCAGCATCGCCCGGCAGCTGGCAGCTCGGCTGTGCGGTGCGACGCGCTGTACGCTCTCCAGCAAGGGTTTTGCGGGTGTCTCTCCACCGTGTCGACGTTCGCCGTGGAAGCCCGTGCTATTAGGGGCAAGAGGTGGAAGTGGATATACGTCCTCGGCAGTGTGGTCCTGGGACAGGTGTTGGTCCTCGCGGTGCTTGGCGGGGTGGGATGGGGTGTAGGGTATGTGGACGTTTGCACCGGGTCGGATTAGACGAGACAATCTTTCATTACTGCGCTTACAGCATTATATTTAGAATTGCGGAGCAGCTGTTGTATATGTTATAGGGTCCAGCTCAAAGAGCCACTCTGCATCGCCATATCGCCAGCAGCGAGGAGCCAAGACTGGGATGGCAGGCGACGGTAATGGGCGGGGGCCGTAGCTAGCCGCCGGCCGAGCGCGGTGCGAGCGTCGTTATCGGCCATGTCCGTGGCTGGTTTCGGACCACCTCAGCACGCGGCGGACTTTCCGCGTGAAGCTCCAATACAGCAGTGCTTGCGTGGGCGATGGGACAGAAGTCAGTGGTCAGAAGAGCTATGACGGGGTCAAAGAGACGTGTGTCGTGTGATGGGCGATAAGATGGGAACTGGCGGCTTCGTGGCTACGCGCGGTGACGTCAGCCACACGATGAGCAGTGATACCTAGACTTGCGGGCCGTGTTCACTCCAGACAACAGAATCGGAGAGGAATACGAGGTGTGCATGCTCACTGGCCATGAAAGCTTCCTCGCGTGCAGCGGTGTCATCGGTACTTTGTGCTTTCTGGACGACTTGTTAGGTACAGTTGGGACACAAAAGTTCACCCATCCGGCTTACCACGCTGACATCGTTTGTCCAACCTGCACGCTCGGTCAACGGTGATGCATATTGTCGCTCGACCTATATGTAGTGAGAACACGACCTGAGACGCACAACTCGTTCGCTATGTTGTTCTCTGCGCGCCACTGCATCGCCACCGCTCGCGGCAATGTGCGGACCAGGCACAACGCACCCAAAGACTTGGTCAGTGTTTCGCCGCTTACGCGTCCGTTGCCCGTTGCGTCCGCGTCGGTTCCGCTTGGGTATGAACCATGGGCGGGACATGCAACCACTGTGCACTGGAGTTTTGGAACTGGACAGACCATGGACGACAAGCCAGCTCGCACGATGCCCCGCCAGCCCGACGTCGACGAGGCAGCACCGCGCCGAGAAACGGCACACGACAGCCAGACTCGCGAGCCCGCCGCCGCCGCCGCCACAACCGACGATACATTGCGCTACCACAACGTAGACTCGGACACGGACGAGGAATGGCATCTCCTGGACCTCAATGACGAGGAGGAGGAATGGCAGCTCTTGGACCTCATGGACGACCTGGCCACGGAGCGCCACCTCGATACCGACGAGTCCACCAGCGACATTAGAGTAGTCGCCGGCCGCGACACTGCTCCGCCAGTCCCTCAAGGCGAGAAACGCCGGCCCCTGCTAGACCTCATGGCCGAGCTGGGAATGGAGCGCGTCGTCGAACTTCCAAGCGCAACACAGACACAGGAGGCTGGAAACGGTGCACCGGGCCCGCGGGTCGTCCTCTGGCGCAAGCGCGCCGACGCCGGCGCCATCGATGCCCCGACGATTGCCCAGGTGCTTGCGCGGCGATACCCGACCGCGCCAGCTGCGTGGCTCGAGCTCCGTGCAGCCCACGCGCATGACCACGCGCGTGCTCGGGCGCAGAGTGAACACGGCGAGCAGCTGGCCTCGTCGGTGCCGGACTCGGATATTCCAGCGCAAGAACGGACGCAGCAGCGGCTCGAAATAGCGTCGCCTCAGCAAGACACTCGTGGACCTCGGATCGTCTGCTGGCCACGACTTGACGCAATTGGCAGCACCAGCCTGGCCAACCCAGCTGCGTCGTCCTCGCAACCCGACAGTCTCAGTGAGGAGCTCAACGCGCTTGATATCAAGGTGCATCGCAACGATCCCGGTCGGCACAGCGCCGTGCTTGCTCTTCCGGCCTTGGTTTCGCCAGGCATCACTTGGTTCGGGAGGGACAGAGACGGAGACGGAGACGGAGACGGAGACGGAGACGGAGATGCCGCCAGGGCTGGGCCCATTGACCTGGCCATGTCAGACGGTACCCCGGACGTGTCGACGAGGATGCGGGACATGGTGCGCGCCATGACTGACCGAGTCGAGGCGCAACAGGCTGCAGCCCGGGCGCGCGAGGAACATGTCCACCGCACGGCTGCGGCGTTCTTGCGCCGACCGGCACCCGCCAGCTGTCCCCGGATCGTACCCCATGGCATGGCCAGAACGCACTTTGCACCAAAGGCCGAGGCGACTGACGAGGATTAGCATCGCGACCAGTAGCATTAGTAGAGCTTGTATAGCCTGGGTGTGCAGAAATGAGAGTACATTCGCCAGGAGGAGGGCAATCTAAGGACACAGTAACACGCCCGAGTGAATCTGTGCCACTATCCTTGGACGGCACCCGAGCACCTAGCGTCGGCCCCAGTCCCACCAGATGGCTTGTGCGCCCTCTGTGATCTGTGAGCTGTGGGTGTGTGTCTGGAGTGGCCCTTCTGGAATTTGCCCCCACCTACCCGTTCGCAACTATCACTTCCTTCCTGGTGGTGTCACTCCATCACTCCACACCACCACTCATCTCTGACCACAACCCCACAGGTTCAACATTACTTTGAGCACAGTTGTCACAGTCGTGAGTTCCTTGTCGACTCTGGTATTCTGGAACTCGGGGCGTAGTTATCTCGGCAGCGCTGACTTTGCCAGACACAACCTCTCAGCATGCTCTCCTACGCTGAGGTCGCGGCTAGCCTCTCGCTCTCGCAGAAGGTATGCAGGTCCATCCACCCTATTTCTAATGTTATAGAGCCCAGGCAAACTTTCAAAGCCCAACATCTGTAACCGTGTGAGTGTCTAAAGCACATTAGTGGTGAGGAAGGACTGACCTGGTACAGAAGAGGGTACGCCGCACGCCAGTTGACTCAGCTTTAGCCTTCTGACGGTCGTTGCAGATGGCCACGGAAGATGATGTCCTCAACGCTTGCCTCTCGGATCCCAAAGACTCTGCGGGCTGGCAGACGGCAGTTTGTCGCCACACAAGACAGACCTCCCCCCCCCAAGGTGCGCCTGGTCGCGAGATGGAAGCTTACCTCGTCAGTCTCCTTTGCAACCAGCGGTACCTCTTCGCCCGACCCTCGGTAGCCGCGGTGTCCGCGGTGGCGCAACGTTCGGTCTGCTTTCAGCTCGCGACCGCAAAATTATCCTTGACATCGAGGCCACGGGCGTTTCGGTCATCAACGTTATTGGTGAATTGGTGACGGAAACTGCCTGTGGCGGTCAGTTTCGGATCAGCTGTACGTCCACCAATCGAGGATCTCTCTGTCGAAGACATCGTCATGGGCCTCGACCACCAGCGGCCACCGGCACAAGGGCGCATACATCTTGCCAGTCGATCCAGTTGTACCGACCAAGGCTCGACCACTATGGAAGCGAGAACAACAAGCTGCACGAGCGAACCTGCCTCACATGGCCCGACCAAAGCACTCACTTGGTTTCGGGCCAGACAGAGACAGAGATAAAGACAGAGGCAAGAACACGTCGTCCAGCACACGGCTGCGGCGTTCTCGGGTCGATCGGGGATCGTTCGTCACCACGCACTTCACCACTCTGACACTCGAGACGGACAGCGTGTATTGAGCCGACGAGGACGATGATTCCGTGGCCCCACGTTGGATCTGTGGGAGACCAAATCAGTAGAAACGCCACAATGCGAGCTAATGACAAAGGCTCTGTGGGCTGCTTGCAAGAGTACATTGGCCAGTCGGCCAAGTTTGTCTCTGCCTGTGTGTGTGTGTGTGTGCACTCTTTTCCAGAGGAAAGTTGATCGCGATAAAACTAAAAACACATGCGTACAAAAACGACCAAGTACCACCAAGGACCTAAACTCGAATTTTCCTCTCCTTTTTTTGCTTTCCTTTTTTGCTGTTTTGTATATCTATCTCATTTCGATTTTGTTGCTTAGGCGGTCTTGTTCCTCAGGAGGGGGTGGAGGATCTGTTCGTGCAGGGCCTTGCCTGCGGGGACCATGGGGTAGACGTGCTCGGACGAGACCATGCACTCGAGGAGGACGGGGCGGTCGTTGGGGTACTCGAGGAACTCCTTCATCTTGGCAGGGAGCTCCTCCATGGTGGTACACTTGATGGCCTTGGTGCCCATGGCCTCGGCGAGCTGCTGGAAGTCGGGGTTGTGCATGCGGGTGTGCGAGTAGCGCTCCTCGTAGAAGAGGTCCTGCCACTGCTCAACCATACCCTGGAACCTGGATACCAGTTAGCAAAAAAGGGACATTTTTCAGGGGCGCCGGTAAATAACCGAGTACTCACTCGTTGTTGAGCAGGAGGGTCTTCAGACCAATGCTGTACTGGTTGGCAGTCTGCAGCTCCATGGCAGTCATGGAGAACGAGGCATCACCGTCAATGTTAATCACGTATTTCTCAGGTGCGCCGACCTTGGCACCGATGCCAGAGGGGACACCAAAGCCCATCTGTGGATTGTTAGGTGGCTGATGACGATGAGTGCAAACTCGCAACACTCACGGTACCGAGACCGCCGGACGAGACGAAGCTCCTTGGCGCAGCGTGGCGCCAGTACTGGCATGCCCACATCTGCAGACAGTCAGCCGTGTGAACGATAGAAGGGGTGGGACTGGGGTCGGTGGTGGGCGCCAAGTGCGAGTACAACCGCCACACTCTCGTCTTGGTGGGGGTAAAGTGCAAGCACCACCGCCGCAGTCCCGTCTCCACGGATACTTGCCTGGTGCTGTCCAACTCCGGTACTCAGGATGAACTTCTCCTCTGCATTTGTCAGTGACCTGGACGATGGACGAAAGGAAGGACGAAAGGAGGAGAAAGAGGAGGATGCCACAAGCAAGGTGGAGGAGCGGGACTATTTTTTGGTCCCGCTCTACATCCAAACCATACTCCTTTCTGTACTCACTGCCAATGACCTCGGCCTGAGCGTTGAGCTCCTTCATGACCTCCTGGGGCTTGAGACGCTGGCCCTCCTGCGAAGGGCTAAAGGTGAAGGGGTACTTCTCCTTGTTGGCCTTGCAACGGTTGAGCCAAGCCGAACGGTCGACGTTCTTGATCTGGGGGACGAGCTCGGCAAGCGAGGCAACAACGTCACCGAGAACGGGGAGCTGGGCCTCGATAATCTTGTTGACGTTCTTGGCCTGGATCTCAAAGTGGATGATACCGCCGGTACCCTCAAGGGCGGCCTGGCGGGCGGCGGGGGCAAAAGTGTCGACCTTGCCGGTGACACGGTCGTCGAAACGGGCACCGAGAGCAATGACAACGTCGGCCTCCTGGATGGCGTAGTTGGCATAGGCGGCGCCGTGCATGCCGATCATGTGGAGCGACTTCTCGTCACGCTCGTCAAAGGCTCCAAGACCCTGGAGGGTGGTGGTGACGGGGATACCGCCAATGTCGGCGAGCTTCTTCAGGAGCTCGGGTCCCTCAGGGTCGGCCATGACACCGTTGCCGGCGTAGATGATGGGACGCTTGGCACGGTTGATCATGTCAGCGGCCTTGGTGATGAGGCTGGCGTCACCGGGCTGCTTGTTGCCGACGGTGGGGTGGAGGGGGTTCTGGGGGAGGCCAGGGGTGGCGCCGGGGGTGACGGCCTTGGCGGGGATGGGCGTACGGAGGATGGCGGCGGTGACGTCCTTGGGGAGGTCGACGAGGACGGGGCCGGGGCGGCCCGAGGTGGCGATCTTGAAGGCCTCGTTGATGCGGCGGGGCAGCTCGGCAATGTCCTTGACCATGACGTTCCACTTTGTGCACGAACGCGAAATGCCGACAACGTCGGCCTCCTGGAACGCGTCTGAGCCAACAAGCGAGGTGGCGACCTGGCCACAGAAGACGACCATGGGGATACCGTCCGAAAGAGCGTCCTGCATTGGGGTAATGACGTTGGTCGCGCCGGGGCCCGAGGTGACGAGAACGACACCAGGCTTGCCCGTCACACGAGCGTAGCCCTCGGCCATGTGGCCGGCACCCTGCTCGTGACGGGGCAGGACAAAGTCAAAGTGAGGCGAGTTGTGGATAGCGTCAAAGACGGGGAGAATGGCTCCACCGGGGTAGCCAAAGACCTGCTTGACATCGTGACGCAGCATCATCTCGTGGAAGATCTGGCCACCAGAGAGGCCGACAAAGCTGTACAACAATTAGCCATTTGCCGGAGTGAAACAAAAACAGTTTTTTTTTCCGGCTACTCACGAGTGGTCGTAGCCATCGCGGATATTGGGGTTGGCCTCGGCAGCGTACGGCGAAGCGGCGGTGTTCTGGTTGGGGGGCTGCTGGAAGTGGGCGGCGGGGGCAGGACGGACAGCAGCGGCGGGGGAGTTGGTAGAGGCCGAGCTCTGGATCCTCCTAACGTGCTCCCTAACACGCTGCTTACCCTCAACGGTCATGCCCTTGCCGCGGTGGGGGGAGTACTCGACAAACGCGGGAGGCAGCTGCTGGGTCGACGACGACGTGTGGAGCTTTGCCTTTTCCGACGACTTGCGGTCCGTGGAGCGGAAACGCTTCTGCACGACAGCGGTCGAGAGCAGCGCCGACGACGCCGAGGGGCGCGCCGGGAGAGCACGAGCCAGCGAACGCGATGGGCGGCCGAGCATGGTGGGTGGGTGGGTGGTGGGTTGGGGGGGGTTTGCGAGATGTGTCCTTTTTGTGTTGCGTGGTTGCTCGCTGTGTAGAGCTTTTTGGTGGTGTGCCTTGACGAGGCGTTCGCTTTTGGGTTGCGCGGGGAGAGAGGTGTGTTGAGAGAGAAAGAGAGAGAGAGAGAGAGAGGAATGGGATGCTCGAAGTATAGAAGCGATGGCGGCAGAGTGGGATTTGCGGGTGAGGTGAGTGGTCGAACGGCACTCCCCGCCCAGCCAGCGCAACGCACGCACGCACCGGCCAGCCTGCCCAGAGCACCAGAGCCCAGCCGTGGTTTCAGGCGCGGCAACGACTCGAGAACCTTTCTCTTCCTGACTCAAAACGATAATTGCCCATCTTTCGGCCGAAAAAGTTGACATCGCGAAAGCAATTTTGGCCCCTCACATTCGAAATTGCTTCAATCTCTCGGTCAAAATCAATTTGCTCCCGCTGGTAATGTCTCTGGCTACAACCGTAATGCCTTGTGTGCCAGGCTGGCGGGCTGGCGTGGCGCCGGGCCCCGTGGCAGCGGCAGCTGCAGTTACGCGCGCCATGCACAAGAGTGTCACAGAGGATCACGCTGGCGGGCTTGAAGCGCCATGGTTTCAACGGCGTCGCCAACAGAAACAGATTACAGACGCGATGAGTCAGAGTAGCACGACGAGACTCACAGCGCCGCATAATGACACCGACAGCCGTGTCGTGGCATACACACACACAACCCTCCTCGACTCACTCGCGATCGTTCGCGGGTGTGTTGGACACATCGACGTCCAATACAAATGCACACATTTCGCACCAGTGCGAGGACATGCGTCCCTGTCGCGTCTGTCGTCATGTCGTGCATGTCCCCATCGCATACACTACACAAGCACACAAGTACACAACGCTGCATGTGGTGCAGCCAGGTGCAGCCACACGCACGCGTCGGCACAGCCGTAGCGCACGATCCAGGCCGGCGGAGACGCCGAAACCTGGAGTGGAAGCAAGCTGCTCTCTGATAGTACACGATGCGCCTTTTCTGGAAGGCTAGATGAAGGTAAAGCGCAGTCAGAGGCCGGCCAGATGGTCGATGGACGGCACGAGACATGGCTTTGTGGATGCTGCACTGCACGTCGCACGGGGCACCGCGAGCAGCTGATGCAAGGCGTTTTTGATTGCGGCCCACAAGACGTTGCAACGGATCTGAATTGTTTATCTCTTGAGGCATTGTACCTCGAGGCTGAGCACATGGATATCTCTTGCTTGGTCGTGCAATCTGTGCTGGAGCCACCATATTATCTCGATACAGACCCAGTTGCCACCCCCTCCATCGTCGGCCGAAGGGGACCCGAACGACCCACTTTGCACCCAGGCACCCAGGCCCAGAGCTTTCATTCCCGGTGTCGATCCCCTTTGGCACCTCGCTTGTTCGCGCCAACCGAAAAAGAGACGACCGTCGGCTGTTGACCGGTGCATCCGGGGCTTCAGCCGGGGACCCCGCCCGCGGGAGCAGATGACACGGCCTCACAGAGAAACACATTACGGGCACCGATCAAGAGGGAACCCTTCGCATAGTGTGTTTTCCGGCAATTTTACTTCCGAGCACGTGACTATCGCGTGGCATGACCCCTCTCATGTTGTCATGGCCCATGCCCATCTTTGTATGTCCGTCCCGGCGTTCATCCCTCGTTCTTGCCGCTTACAACCGGTTCGGATGGTGGGCTTGCCTTGCTGCTGTCGTGCCAGACTCATATGTCCGGGTCGCAGGTACACACCGAGCGCTCAGTGGAGCTTTATATGCCGAGGCGTGAACGTGGGGCCAGAGACGGCGACCCCTCTCTTCACCATCTGACTCTCGTCTCACTCACGCTTCTCATCTCACCATGGCGACTCCGTTCACACCCAAGAACAACCCCGCGTTCATTCTTCACGGCAAGCTCAAGACAAGCTATGAAACGGTTCGTAACAGCGATGCTATTATGTACATGTGCTGACGGGTCCAGCTCCCAGTCCCCGATGTAGGCCCCGACGAGGTGCTGGTCGAGGTCAAGCACACTGGAATCTGCGGCTCTGATGTCCACTGTGAGCACGAACACAAAACAACCGTATGCTGACTCCTTTCAGTCTACAACACGGGCAAGATGGGCCTCGTCTCGTGCTGCTCGGCCATGTGCCTGGGCCACGAGTCTGCAGGCGACATTGTCCGCCTCGGCGCCAACCTTGCCAAGAAGGCGGCCACAGCCAACGGCCACTCGGACGCCAACAGCGCCAACACGCTCCATGTTGGCGACCGCGTCGCGCTCGAGCCCGGAACCACTTGCCGCATGTGCGACGACTGCCGTAGGGGCCAGTACCAGATCTGCGAGCACATGGAGTTTGCAGCGTACCCGCCATTCCACGGAACGCTGCAGCGCTACTACAAGCTGTGAGCTGGGCCGAATGTGACTTCCTGTAGCTGACTCTTCCAGCCCGGCCGATCTCGTGTACAAGCTGCCGGACTCGATCGACACGCTCTACGGCGCCATGATGGAACCCCTCTCCGTCGCGGTCCACTCGGTCGCCAACGTGGGCGCGCTGCGGACCAACCAGAACGTGCTCATCATGGGTGCTGGACCCGTCGGTCTGCTGGCCATGGCCGTCGCAAAGGCCCTGGGCGCCAAGCGCGTCATTGGCGTCGACATCAACCTCGACCGTCTCAACTTTGCAAAGTCGTACGCCGCCACGGACATTTACGTTCCCATCAAGCAAAACGACGGCGAGTCGCGGCCAGACTACTCGCTCCGCGCGGCCCAGGACCTGCTCGCGACCCTCGGCGTCCCCGAGCGCGGCCATGGCTCCATCGACCTCGTCGTCGACGCCACGGGCGCAGAGGTCTGTATCCAGATGGGCCTCAACGCGGTGCGTCCCGGCGGCACACACGTCCAGATCGGCTTTGGCCCCCCCGACGTCACCATCCCCATGTTCCGTACCGTCACAAACGAGATTGTCCTCAAGGGCGCGTGGAGGTACGGCAGCGGCGACTACCCCATGTCCATCGACCTCGTCGCGCGTGGCCTCGTCGACCTCAAGCCGCTCCTGACTCACACATTCCCCTTTGAAGAGGCGCTCGAGGCGTTTGAGCTCACGCGCGCTGGAAAGGACAAGGAGGGCAAGCCGGTTATCAAGTGTGTTATTCGTGGACCCGAGTAGGGTTGTGTTGTTTGTGGGTTTTGTTTTGTTTTGTTTTGTTTTCTGTAGGCAAATGCAGCCCCTGTGTATGGCATCACACGAACCCCGTCTACTTGAAAACCCCGTCTACAACAGTCTCTAAATTACCTATGCGCTCGCAAACACGCCGCTCCACCACACGCTCCACACCATGGCCAGGAACGCCGACACGCCCATGCCGGCCTTTTCGTTGCCAAAGCCCAGCAGCACGAGGATGGTCCATGGCCAGCCGATCAGGCGGTCCAGGAGGGTACCGATAATCTTGGCAATGAGGATCTCTTCGCGGCTACGCGCGGCGGGACGGGGACGGCTAGGAGGCAGGGGAGGCGCGAGGACCGGTGCCGTGATTGGGCTTGCGGCCGAGTGCGTCACGGGCGGCAGCGACAGGACAATGTGGACGGGCTTGTGGTCGGAGATTGTCAGCTGCGGGGTGGACCGGAACTCGAGAATGTGCGTCGTGTTGTCGCCTGCAATGGCGACCGAGTGCGGGGCGTACAGGTCCGGAGTGTCGGTGTGCGAGGCAAACAGGATACGGTCAGTCCAGCCTGGGATGCGCTTCTTCGAGTATCCCTCGATCTCGCCGACGATACGCTTGTACGTGGGTGCAAAGCGCGTGAGGTCGCCTTCGCGCATGCCGCCAAACACCTTGCCTGCGTCCTGCTCCCGCTTAAGCGTGTCCAGCTGGACGAGCGCGGCGCGTTCCTTTTCCAGCGAGGCCAGGTCATCGCTCAGCTCGCGCGGGTAGACGCCGGCAACTGGCAGACGCTCAAGGCGGTAGTTCAGGTCGCCCATGATAAACAGGTGCGACGACTGGAAGGGCTGGACACGGTGGTGAAGGGCGTCTCCGGGTTCGAAGATGAGAGACGAGAGAATGGCCTCGTATTGCATGTTGCGACGTCCAATGTTGTGGTCGTGCGCGTCGAGGTGCGCACACACAAACGTCAACGTCTCCCAGCCGCCTTGCTTTTCGCCGCGCATGATCGGCAGGCGGACACCCACAGCTCCCTTGTTGCCCATGCCCATGTGCCAGAGTCCCACCGTCGCGTCGAGCGATTTACCAAGACGCCCCTGCGTGGTGGACTCGCGCGCAAACACCCACAGCGCGATACCGACGTGCGAGACGCGCTTGACGAGGTGGAACTTTTCGGCCACGCGGGTCGGCGACAGCGAAGTGGCGTGGGCCGAGAGCAGGGACTGGATGCGGTCGGTGAGGGCGATAAGAACGGGAGTGGAGAGACCAGCGACTGGGAGTGAGCTAAAGCGCGTGTATTGTCAGCTTACAGGCAAGATGCAGAGGAAGTAGCTCCTGCACGCCGATGGCGTAAATGTCCGGGACGGCAGCACCCTTCTCCGCCGCCTGGGCGTGGAGGACCGGGATGAGCCAAGACGACAGGTCCTGCTCCTGGGCCTTTGAGCCTTGAAGACCGGTGTTCCAGGTTGTCAGGAAGACTGTGAGTGGGCTTGCCATGATGGAGTGAAGTGGATGTTGACAAGCAAGTTGCATATCCACATTCGTGACACGCGTTCATCTCCCGCGACGTCACACCTGTGGTGGAGGGGGGACGGCGGAAGCAAATTCCATCGATCCCTCCTCCCCCGCCGCCGTCACCGTCGCGTGGACCCTCGCGCTCGCCGACGCTGTCATCCTCTGGCATCTCTATCGTGCGCGTCCTTTCTTTGTGACCTCTTCATTGCTTCAAGCGGTCCACCCTACCCCCCAGTAACATTTATTCGCCATAAACGCCATTCAAGCCATCGGCAACCGCGCAGGCATGAGCGGGCACTACAACCTCAAGGGTGAGGACTCGCTGTTTCAGGCAGCACGAACTGTGAACGCAGTTGCTGACATTGTGCGCAGCCCTCATCAAGGGCATCCGCTCGTGCAAGGTGTGTCACCGGCACATGCCCAGGACGCTAGACTAACTAACCTTTACAGACACTTGCGGATGAGCGTGCAGTGATTCAAAAGGAGTCAGCCGCGATCCGAGTGAGTTGAGCGCCAGCTCTTCTAAACGCCCAACTGACCCTCCCCAGACCGCCTTCAAGGAGGAGGACTCGTTTACGCGCCACAACAACATTGCCAAGCTGCTGTACATCCACATGCTCGGCTACCCTGCGCACTTTGGACAGATCGAGTGTCTCAAGCTCGTGGCGTCGCCGCGCTTCAGTGACAAGCGTCTGGGCTACCTCGGCATCATGCTTCTGCTCGATGAGAACCAAGAGGTCTTGACACTGGTGACCAACTCTCTGAAAAAGTGGGTAGCCCTGCATGTTAATTGCTGACCCCGCAGTGACATGAACCACTCCAACATGTACGCCGTCGGTCTCGCTCTGTGCACCTTTGCCAACATTGCCTCGGAGGAAATGTCTCGCGACCTGTGTAACGAGATTGAAAAGCTCCTGGGCAGCAGCAACTCGTACATTCGCAAAAAGGCGGCGCTGTGTGCTCTTCGCATCATTCGCCGTGTGCCCGACCTCATGGACCACTTTACCGACAAGACGCGTGCGCTCCTCCAGGAGAGGAATCACGGTGTGCTGCTCGCCGGCATCACCCTCGTCACTGAAATGTGCGAGCTCGACGAGAGCATGGCGGCCAACTTCCGCCCAGCCACGGGTCTGCTGGTCAAGCACCTCAAGTCGCTGGTCACCACTGGCTTCTCGCCCGAGCATGACGTTCTCGGCATCTCGGACCCGTTCCTCCAGGTCAAGGTCCTGCGCCTGCTCCGTATCCTCGGCCGCGGCGACGTCGAGGCCAGCGAGGAGATGAACGACATTCTCGCCCAGGTCGCTACCAACACGGACTCGTCCAAGAATGTCGGCAACTCGATTCTCTACGAGACTGTCCTGACTGTCCTTGAAATTGAGGCTGACAGCGGTCTCCGTGTCATGGCCATCAACATTCTGGGCAAGTTCCTGACCAACCGCGACAACAACATTCGTTACGTGGCCCTCCACACCCTCAACAAGGTTGTCGGCATCGACACCAACGCCGTCCAGCGTCACCGCAACACCATTCTGGACTGTCTCCGTGACGGGGACATTTCCATCCGTCGTCGCGCCCTCGAGCTGTCGTACGCCCTGATCAACGAGAGCAACGTCCGCATCATGACTCGCGAGCTGCTCGCGTTCCTCGAGGTCGCCGACAACGAGTTCAAGACGGGTCTCACCACGCAGATCTGGCTGGCGGCCGAGCGCTTTGCACCAAACAAACGCTGGCACATTGACACTGCTCTCCGCGTGCTCAAGTCGGCAGGCAACTACGTCCGCGAGGAGATTCTGGCGGCGTTTATCCGTCTTGTGGCGCACACCCCAGAGCTGCAGTTTTATACTGCCCAGCGTCTGTTCCAGGCTCTCTCGGCCGATCTGTCGCAAGAGTCGCTCACCATGGCGGCTGTCTGGATCATTGGCGAGTTTGGCGACGTTCTTCTCCAGGGCGGCACCGTCGACGACGGTGAAGAGGTCAAGCCTGTCACGGACGAGGCCATCATCGACTTGTTCGAGACTGTCCTCAACTCGCCATACGCCGATACCCTCACCCGCCAACTGGTGCTCACGGCCGCCACCAAGCTGTCCGCTCGCTTCACCGAGATGCAGACCTCAGACAATGCCGTCCAGCAGGGCCGCATCGCCGAGCTCATGGCAAACTACTCGGCCAACCTCGAGCTCGAGACCCAGCAGCGTGCCGTCGAGTTTGGCAACTTGCTCATCCTTGGTGACGTCAAGGCCGGCATCCTGGAGCGCATGCCGCCACCCGAGATTCGCGCCACTATGATGGGGACCATCTCAGAGCGCCGTACGGTCGGCACAACGCGCCAGGACCGCGACACCACCGTCACCGACCTCATCGGCGACGAGATCAGTACCCCTACAACTCCTGTCAACGGCGCTCCCAGCCAGAGCGCACAGTCGACACAGGACCTGCTCGCGGACATCTTTGGCACGTCCGACGCCATGCCCGTGGCTGCTGCTGCTCCTGCCGCCGCCGCCGCTCCGCAGTCGGCCGCACAGGACATCATGTCGCTGTTCGACTCGTCTCCTGCTCCCACCTCAGCTCCTGCTGCTGCCTCGGCGTCGTCCTCCCTCTTTGACATGGTCACCCCAGCCGCCGCCCCCGCGCAGCCGGCGCCTACACCGGCGGCTGCCGCTCCTGCTCCCCAAACACCCCAGCTGCAGACTTATACCGCGTACGACAAGAACGGGCTCAAGATCACCCTCACGCCAAGGGTGTCGGCGCAGCCTGGTGTCGTCCAGATTCTCGCCCGGTTTACGTCGGCCAACCCCGTCACCGGTGTCAACTTCCAGGTTGCCGTGCCAAAGGTAGGCTTGCCACCAGTCGTAGACTTTGCTGACCATTTCCCCAGACACAGCAGCTCCAGATGCAGGCCATGTCCAAGACCGACGTCGGCCCCGGCGCCACCGAGACCCAGCAGATGCGCATCCTCGCGCCGGCCGGCGCATCTATTCGCCTCCGCCTGCGTATCAGCTACAGCTTGGCAGGACAGCAGGTCACTGATCAGCAGGACTTTGCGGGCTTCCCGGCCAACTTGACTAGTGGAGGCAAGTAGGAGCCTGGAGCAGACGGGGTTGTGTTAGTTTGGATCATGATTATGAATATGTTTAGAGATATGCATGCGGTAGAGGCAGGACGGAGGTCGTGGCTGGGTGGTGTGGTGCAGTGCACTGGTATGTGCAGATTGGTGGTGGTTGCAGGCTCGTCCTTTCCCCCATATCCCCGGCTGGTACATGATGCGAATATGAATCGTGTACTACTCGAGAGACCGTTGTCTACTCAAAGTAGTATGCCTCTACGGCTTGTACAACAGCGATAAAGTGATAGAAGATGGTGCCAATGTGCTGGCCCGTCAGCGAGGACGGGCCATCTACTCTGTTAAATCGGGCCTTGATATCGTTCGCGTTCTTGACGGCAGCGCTCGGCGCTCGCTCCGTGCTTTCTGCGTTGCTTTGCGTTGCGTCGAGGAAGGATATTTCGGGTCGTTTCCGTCACACGCGGACCGGGTCCTTGAGGATGGCGTCATCGTTGAGGGCTAATTGCTGAGACGGTGGGCCATCGGTGTCGTGTGGTACGCGAGCTGTGCCAGGCGCCACGGTCCGGTCAGCCGTTGTCACGTGATGAACAGCGACGACCGACTCTAATGGAGGAGGGTGTCGTCGCGGACAAGTTCGACTTGCAGCTGAGGAGTGAGGTGTTGGGCACTGTGCGGTGAGTGTAGTGCGGTCGGTTGAGGAGACGAGGTGGATGCGTGTTGTAATGAAGAGTGGGTGGTTGAGACGGTGAGACGGCCTTTTTCTACCAGTCTTTGTATGCGGGAGCGGGTGGCGGTTGCTTGTGTGACATGTCGAGGAGCGTTGATCCATGGGACAACGACCTTCTGTGACAGATCGCATTACAGACAGCCGTGGAGCGCGTATGCTTTGACACTGCCACAAGCGATTGGGCATGTGCGGTGGGGGTTGCATGAAAGACCTTCGCTGCGTGTTGTTCAAACTCGATGGTGGGCAAGAGGCCTGTGATCCTGTGATCCTGCGAGGATCGAACGCCGGCCCTCATATAAATCTGGAGAAACACATAGAGCGCCACAGTTTCCGTCCAGAGCCGGACGATAGTGGCGAAAGGTGGATCCTGCAAAACACACCACGCGTCGTCGCCACAGTCGATTCCCCAGAATACTGTGTCAATGTCCGCTGATCCTCTGACGAGGCGGTGCGCTCGTGAAAAGCATCCGCGGGTGGGGCGCAACCTCACTTTCAACTACATAAACACGCACGACGACCTGACTCTTCTCCATATCATCCCTCTCACCATCCACCATCACTATACTCTGATATGACTTTCCCACCTCCCAAACGCCTCAAGCTCGATGCGTACCCAGGCGGCGCATCCTCACCATCCTCGAGTGAGTACAAACCGTTTCGTAGAGGTCGTCCTGACGATCAAGGCCTCGCAGCTCCATCTACAAGCCCCCATGACCACCCTGGTGATGCGTCCGTCAAGGTCGTCCACTTTGACCGCTACGACTGCCGCCCGCTAGAAGGATGAGTTCACACTCCCGTGGTCCCATGGCGGATAGCTCGTATCCCATCAATGTTTCTGGCGTATTTACGGGCAGTGCGAAAACCATGGACGTTGCCTCATTCATGTTCCAGAGGTTCCGCCAGTGCGGTCACATCGTTGCCATCCACGTCGTCGAGGTCGACGAACAGCGCGACCCGCTCGACAGCAACAATCCGCGCGCTAGCGGCGTTGGAGGCGTGAAGATCAGCTTCGATGATCAGGACTCTGTTCGCCGTGCCCTCGGCCTCGTGAGTTGTGTTTACCAAACGTTGTGCTGACATGTTAGTCGCGCGACCAGCGCCTGTACGCGATCGACGGCGAGGGCGAGTACGAGCTGCTCGGTTTTTACCACCTTGTTTGTCCTGGTTCTGCTTGGGTGAGTATGCTCAGCGAAACTCACAACTGACATGCAGGTGCGCATTCGAGAGCAGGAGATCCAGGGCTACTCCAGTCATTGGCCGCCGTGCTCCATGGACGGCGCCCAGGCTCGTGAGCTGTATCGCGCTCCGCCGCACACGACTCCTTCCTTCGCTCCTCCAAGCGCTCCTCTGCCATTGTGTCTGGCCTTCTCAAAGCTCAGTGAGAAGGACCAGCCCCCCTTCTACGACGACGCTGTCGTGATGCAGACGCCAGGTGTGGCAGCGACAAATACTTGCGCCGCGCTGGTGCCGCCTCGAAGGTGCCATTTCTTCCCACTCTCTTCGAGGTTGAAAGTGTGCCCTGGGTGGGCGAGGCCTTCCTGTACCCGTACGACTCCCCCGCATTGGCCAAGGTCCGCCGCAACACCGTAATCAAGTACCGTGGGGAGTCCCTGCCGGGCGCGGCGTACCGCGCAGTCACCAGCATTGTTTCCAAGACAGTGCCCACGTCAAGAAAATCCTCGACGTGTATGGAAACGCCAACCCGTCTGTGGTCTTGATCGCCGCACAATGAGCTTACCGGCCGAGTCGTACCGCTCGCTCGGTCTTGACCTCTTGACGACTAACACCGCCAAGCCCGCGGCCACCCCCGACCCCATCGACAATGGCCATCGACGTGCCCAGCTACACCACAAGTCGGACATCAAGCACCCAGGCCAGACAACCAAGCGGTTCTACGGCCTCGACATCGAGTCGGACCACCGGGAAGTTGAGCCCGATAACGACCCGCGACAGGCAAGGCCCTTCGACATTCGTAGCGCTCCGCTCCTCACCCCATCTTTGGGCTCTGCTGTCGGAAACACTCCCAACGTCAAAGCGTCCGTTGGACCTGTGCCTGAGCTCGCTCCCTCTCTGCCCCTGCCTGCTCGTGGGCAGCCAACCTCGACTCTCGCCAACGTATCGTGGCTCACTGTCGACGTTGCCAAGATTCTGGCTCGCATGGTGAGTAAAGGAAGCAGGAAAATGCTAATGTTACAGAAAGTTAACCTGAATCCTTGGCCAGCAAGACGTGGTCCGAACCCTACGTCCAGGTGTTCTCAAGCAGGCCAGCAGCTTGGCTCTGCCATTTGTGCGCTAGAATCGAAGACTGTTCGGTACTGTAGTAAGTCTATCACTGTCGGGCATTGCTGATGCCAGATTCAACGCTCCCCGTCGTTATTGTGGACTCCGGCACGGGCTTGGGCAAGTCGACGCAGTGAGTACCACCAAGTTTGCCCGTCTGACCTTAGGATTCCTCCGCTTCTCCACGGCACAGCTCGCGTACAACAGCGAGGCCCAACTTCCACGTCAAGTTGGCACCCGCCCTCAAGGCTCAAGGAGTACGACATCAAGAGACCATGCGCAACGTGAACGACCGACTTATCCTTCCTCGACCAACCCAGCTAGCATCAAGAGCTGAATCGCCGTCAAGACCCGGTCCAGACCGCAACAAGGTAGGGTGTATGTCATGGCTGACGGATAGCACATTTTTAATCACTTCACCGCTGTTGTACAAACGGTGAAGGCATACAACCTCGAGGCGTCGATCGGCCACGGCCCTCGAGTAGTACATGATTTATTTTTATTCGCATTATTTACTCGAGGGGGAGGGGGGGGGGGCGGGCGGTGCAGTTGGGGGGATCAGGCGTGGTAGCTAGCTATACAATGCCGCCTTGACTAAATCATACGAGCCGTTCACGGCGCCCCCACACATTCTATGTAGTCCCACAGACACAGTGGTATACGACGCTTGGTACAGGACGTGGCCAGGGCAGGGAGGGAGAGGGAATCCACTGGCTACTGGCGCTGTAAAGTCCCGCGCCCACGTCCGTCTCCTAGACTGCAGCGCGCGCGGTCAACAGCGTAGCTCCTATCACGGGCTTCCCGCCACTAGACTTGCCATCCGCTTGTGACACTGACCTGGGTCTCTGTACGGCACCTAGAAGCACCACCGAGGACTTCCACTAGATCACTTGTTGGCTAGTGGGGTTGTCAGAGATCAGATCTATGACCCCCGCGAGGGCCCCCGCCGGTTCCCGCCAGTCACACGAGCCCTCAACCAAACGGTTGTTGAATACGCCCGAGCGGCATTTTCCATCGCCACGAGTGAGAAGTGAGTAGCAGCGTAGCAGCCAAGAGGTCTCTTGATGCAGCTATACAGGCACCACGTCCACGATATCGGTGCACCCGATACCCTTGGGTCACAAAAGCGACTGCATTCAACACAGGCGTGTGCCATGAACTTGGACCACTCTTCATTGCGCCTCATGTTGGCCCAACTTTGCGCCTGGCCGGGTTTCAGCTGTGTGTACGTGTGTGATCCTCGTTCAGAAACATCAACGCCCTTTGGATAGCGGCGGCGCGGCGGACAGGACCCCGGGCCACAATGCAGCGCAATGGAGTCTTTGTCACGTTGCCGGTGGACATGACAGGTCGACAGCCTCCCTTCTCACAACCACACACTTCTTCTTCCCAACACCCCTCTAAACTTGCGGCACTCACCATGGCCCGCTCCATCGACTACTCCTCTTTCCCACACATCATCGCGCGCGTCATCTGTTCCGTTCCGCCTCGATCCCGGCTCTCATTACTTGCCGCCCGACATGCTTTGCCCTCAAGACCATTGCCGACAAGACCCTTTTCTACCACATCCGCACCACCTACAAGGCTATCAAGTATGGCCAGCCCACGGGGCGCAGCATCTCGGTCATCCAGACCATGGAGTACCGCGACGAGAAGACGGCGCCGCTGTCCATCAACCCGCCTGAGAACACGCGCGCGCTCCTCGCCCACACCCGTGTCCTGTCGCTCGAGACTCCGCCTTGAACGACTTCATCGTCCAGCAGACGGGCGCCTACTTTTGCCAGGACCGCACCGGAAAGCTCAAGGCCATGGGGGAACCCGACTATGACGAGGGTGAAAATTGGGCGCGGAAACAGAATGTCTCGGGGCTCTGCGGGAGTGGTGTCGTCCGATTGCATGCATCCTGTCACAGTTGACATCGTCTCGCTGCCACTATCCTTCCTTGTCTTTCCGCACAGTACATACTCGGCTCCCCCCCCCTCTCCGCGGCTTACACCTCCCCCGAAGGAGGCTTACAAGTAGCAGCTTGAGCATGTCACGGTCGAGTTTACAGATGATCCACTCTCAGTTCGATGCCGGCCTTGGCGCGGCGCCCGGAATCGTCTGCCTTGGCCCAGGGAGGTTGATCTGGTCGTTCTTGTCGTCGACCCAGTCCTTGAGGTCTTGCTCTGAGATGGCAGTGGCGGACTCGACCTCATACTTGCCGTTGCCGGGACTGGGTCACAGCTGAAGTCGAGTTAGTTTAGCAACTCCATTAGAGACCCACCGAGGAATAGATGAGGTACTTGGGCCAGATTCCTTTCCTCAGACAGCAGTTGTGCGAGAGAGACAGATCCAGACCAATGTCACCCTTGCTGGCCTCGCGGACGTTGCGATAAACCCAGCGGGGATCGTCGTCTTTTCCAGGATTGATCTTGACGGCCACATTGTTGCGGAACGCCTGGTAGAGAGAGCGCGAGAGGGAGGTCGTACAATCCGGCTCCGGCTGGCGAGGTGTAGGCAGAGGGTTATCGGGAAAGACACGAGTCCAGGCGGCAAGGAGCTCGTCAATGCGGTAGCGCATGTTCTCGCATGCTTCCCAGTGCACAGCAGCCTTGTAGGAAAACGCGAGGTCTACGCGGCGACGGCGGTACTCGTGGAACATGTTGTACACGTTTAGATCTGTCAAGTGGTCACTTATGGATGCTGCAGGCGAATCTGCGTCTCCTCGACGACATTGGTGACGAGCTCGTCCTTGACGGCACGGGCGATACGGCGGATACGTCCGTCTAAAGTTAGGCCATGTTCCTCTCAAGTCCGCGTCTCGGACCTCACCTTCCAAACGGCAACGAGCTTCACAACCTCAAACGGATAGGACGAGTCACGGGCGGACATGAGCATCCTCGCCAGTGGCGGGTCGAGAGCAAGCTCACTGGCCAACATTCCGTCGGCGGTGAGGGACAGACCGCTGGATTCGTGGCGTACCAATCCCAGCACCTCAAGCTCGTCGACTGCGCGATAAATCTGCACAGGGTGGGGCGAGGCTGAGGTGTCAGTATTCCTGTGGTACAGTGTGCTTGACCTCCCCGCTGTGGAAAGTACATGCCCTTCAGCCAATGCAATGAAAACTCACTGGGGAAGCGAAAGTCGCGCACAGTGGCAGCGGGCAAGCAGCTTGAGGAGGACGAGTGAGAAGTCGCACACTGAGATGGGATTCTCATCGTCGTAGTCCGGCATCTTGTCCTGGAAACCCTTCAGGTAGAGTCCGATGTAGGTTCCTGGTCGCACGCGGCCAACACGACCCATTCGCTGGATCGCTGGGTGAGACTGGATTTGCTGCACGGAGTACGCATCCTCTCGACCGCGCCGTGCAGCGGCAGGAAGCGCTGTTCCGCTCACCACCGTCAATGACGACGTCCAGGTGAGGGAAAGTCAGGCTCGTCTCAGCCATGTTTGTCGCCAGAATGACCTTTCGCCTGCGCAAGGTGACATTGAGGGCCGCCACGTCCAGGTGATCGTCCAAAGTGTCGAACAGCTGGTGGATCTGCTTCTCAGTGGCGCAGAAGACAAGAATGTCGCCTCCATTGCCACCAGCACCTTGGGCGAATGTGTCATCCTGGAGCACCATGTTGACGACATGGGCGGCGGTATTATCGACCCAGTCAATGGCACTTTCGACGAGATGGTGTTGGCTGATGGTCTTGGGCTGTCCAGGAAGCTTGACAAGCTCCGGCTGGAACTCGCCAAAGTGCTCCATGAAGGCGCCGTTCCCACCTGTTGCCGACATGAGCAAGACTTTGAGATCTTGCCGGCGTCGAAGGATCTTCCGTCAGTTCCAAACTGCATCTGCGCTGTACCCACGGCATGCAAGTGACCAAGCAAGAGGTTAAGGTTGGGGCTCATCTCGTGGACCTCGTCGATGTCGACTATCTTGACCGTCTGGAGGTCTGGGTTGTTCTTGAGCTGCTCGAGCTTGAGGGGTGGCTGGGAGTAATGGTGGGGGGATGAGGTGCAGGGGCAGGATGCAGAGTGGGGAGTATGGGGTGACATTGTTGTGTGTTGTTAATGAAGAGTGGATGGATGTGAATGGCAAGACGTCGAGGAGGTGTTTATATATTCCCACGAGGGCCCCAACTGTACGTGCGTACGCGAAGAAGATGCATGGGGGCGGTGGTGACGTGTCACGACGCGTCGATCCATGGAACCACAACAACCGGGTGTTTCAGACACTGCCACAACCGGCTGCACGGGGGTGGATGGGGCGTCTGCCGTGGGGGTCGTGCAGGAGCAAGGAGCCGCCAATCCGCCTGTGCAGAAGAGAGTTGGCAACCTGTCGTCTGTGGGGCCTTGGGAAGACGAGCGTTGACGCTGTTGACAATGCTGACTGCTGCTGGATGTGAGTTGCAGATGGGCGCACAACGTCGGATGAACGCCTGCGCGCGCAAGCCCAAGAGATCCAGGCTCCAGGATTTATGCCAAACGTGAGGAGAAGCTGCTTCAAGAGTACAAAAGTGCTTGTGCCCAAGCCCAGCTCAGTTACAGCCATGGCTGGATTCGCAGACCACTGAGAGCTGAGAGGTTAAGGGTGGACTCTATCACTGTGTTGGCCGCGTTGTGGGGATGCAAGTACAAAATTCGCACGGCCGGCAAGTAGGTTATGCTTCTCCAGACCCCGACTCGGGCGAAGCAAGAACCAAGAAGCCAACTGCCAAGAAGTTGGAGCGCATCGCACACTACCGTCACGCCGGTCACTCAGTCCTGCGGGCTCGTGGCAATTTCTGCAGTATACCCTATACAAATCACTACTACAGAGATAGCTCGGCAGTACCGTCGATAACATCGTCCGTTTCAGAAGGCACTACTTCGACTGTCTGAAGAGTCGGGGGGGACGAAACGACAAACTCTGGCGCCATTGCTGCGGGCGCCACGAGCGACAGGGTCGGAAACTGGGGAAGCGGCGTGACCTCCAACTCGAAGCGAGCCTTGTAAAGATTGTCCCGCTCGGAAAGAGCGGCTGTGAGGTCGTTTTGTTCTCTCTGGATGAGGGAACTTAACGCTTGGAGCAGGGTCTCCACTTCGCGGACTTCTTTGGAGTGGGAAGGATGGGAAAGTTCGAGACCCACAAATCGGAACCGGAGGTTCAGGATGGTGTCTCGATAGCCCGCGATACGGCTGTCCACCTCCAAGATGCGGTGTGTGACGTGGGAAATGTCAAGCTGGCGTTTCGCAACCAAGTTGTGAGCGTGGGAAACAGCATTGGCATGTTCGGCAAACTGCTTGAACGTGGTGACAATGTATTGGTGTGCTTGGTTGGCGTCACGACCGATCTTGCCCCGCTCGTTTTGCTCCACCGCGTGTCTTTCACGCTCGCGTTCGCGCCGGGTGTGATCCAACTTCCGTTCCTCTTCGACTTGCAAGCTGTAGGCCATGGACTGCTGATCGCGCTCATTCATGCTGTCACGTAACGGGGGGCGATCAATGTGGGTTAAGGGATTGCGCGCGGGGTGCTCCAGCTGTGACGAGTGGGCATGACCTAGGCGGTGGCGACTAACGTTCATGAGTGAGAGGCTTTCTAACAACATCGGCCACCAGAAGAGGGGGAAACGAGGCTGGTACATAAAGTGATGGCTTACGCGGCTGCGACAAACGTGTGTTGCGTCATTTTCGGGGTGAGGGCTGGCAGACCGTTTGGAGCGACGATTAAACGTCATTTTTCGGCATTTTCCGACTCCGATGCACACAACACCCGACACAGCCGTGACGAACGATGTAGATTCAATTCTACGCACCTTGTGTGACTGTGCACTGAGTTTACGGACCTGGAATACTCCGATGGAGCCTCTGCACAAAAAAAAACAGATAAGCTGAGAATCTACAGCTGTAGCATCTAGTCGTGAGGACCAGGCGGGAAAGCAGATCTGGCTGCCAGGAAGCGCAGTCGGATTACCTCTCACTGGACCCACAGTTGCACAGTTGATAAATATCCCAAGCCTTGGTAAGAGGGGGAGGGCCAATACCTGCCTATGTCCCCCACAATACCATCGCCCACTCAACGCAGCAGTGAAGCGTTCGGCCTCGTCACTGCCTTCCAGTGCCCTCTGCCGGCGAAATGCTTGCATCTTCAAGTACCCCAGAGAACCTGGGTGAATTCAAATTACTTATAGCATCACGACAACACGACATTACAGTAGCAGTCTACCAGCGTGTGTGGTGTGGCAAGTTATCGAGACGATCAAACGATCAAGCTAGTAGCAGATCAAAACGTCGTCGGCCGTGCTGTTTTCCTAGTCCTCGATGTGTATGCTGAACAGTCCGTCCCCAGCATCTGCGGAGTAAGTCTAGCCTTGCATGTATGCACGTCAAGACTGTCGATGAAATCCAACACCTAACACTGTTTCTGGTGTCTAGAATGGTGGTGAAGTAAGGAGACAACCGACCAGTTCAGCACCCAACCCGGCACCACCCTGAAGGCGCAGGTGTATGCCCCCAATGAAACGATAAAGCGACAATCACACACTCCTACGTGATCCATCTTTGGCATAGACGTTCGCGTCTGTGGCCATGCGGCAATGACACGACAAGAAGCGCAGAAGATGAGCAGCGGCATCGTCACGAACGGATATGGAAGCTTGCAAGCCGATTGGTCCGGAGAATGGCGAAAAACGACTGTGCCTGTTGCGCTGGCGGTCCACTTCCCGAACATCCGCAATCCCTTGAACCTGCTCAGCCAAAATCTCAGGAAAACCGAATCTGCGCTGGCGACACGCATCTCCCCACGACACAGTGCGCATACGAGTTGCCGGTTAAGATACGAGAGCGTGGAGGTCTCATTGTCGGCGGGGATCCGAAGATCGGCGATGATCGGCGCTCCACCTCCTCATCGTTCAACATCTTTCCACTCCCAATTCCACTCCTAAAAAGTGACCTGTGTCTCTGAGAGACTGATCTGCTTCTGCGAGGACTCGAACCCCGGGCCTGGGTGATGAAAGAAAGCCACATAAGCACCCCGCTCTAACCAACTGAGCTACAGAGGCTTAACGCCATTTTTTTCAATGGTCTGTCGGTGAAATACGGTCATCGCCGGTTGAAAGCGTCTTCTCAACGTCTTGACAGGCATGGCGCGGACTGTTGGAGGTCTGAGAGTGTTGTGAAAGACATCTTTCAGACACTTGGGGACAGGCTGTCGTCTAGAGAAGGCCAAGATCCCCACCACGGCCCCGTCTTGGCTCGAAGCTCAAGTTGAAGTACCCTCTGGTGTCCACGGGAGTGATGCGGCAGCAACTGCCAACTGGCTGCAGGAAGTCGCACGGTAACATGAGTTGAGTCTCAAACGGAGATGAAGATGGAGATGAGACCGCGCTCGGCGCCCTGCAGGTCGAGACGCTCACGGTACTTGAACACATTGGTCGGCGGAGCAGGACCGACTACTTGTGTCAGCTTTCGGGCTTCCAACAGCGGACCCACGATCGAATGTGAAGAGCTCGACTTCGATGTCCTGGAGGAGACTGAGGAAGTTGAGGAAGAATGTGTGCTCTCCATCTTCGTCGTCCTCGGCGCGCTCGTCGACTGTGCGCAATGTCTGTCCAGGATAGCGCACCCACGCAAACGTGGTCTTCTTTTGACGTGCCGCCGGGCAACGTTGATCATGGCCATGAGACGGCCCGCCACTGCTATACACCGTCATCATGGGTTATTCGTGGTAGTAACAGCTAGCAGAAAAGGTGACCAACCTGGGTAGAGCGGGTGCATCATGAGGAGGTGGTCAAAGACCTTATGTGGGCTGAAACTGGATCAGGCCGACGTACAGTTCGCAGCGCCAGTCCAAGCACTCGTTCTTCTTCTTCTTGTCCCTCGTCTTCTTGTTCTTCTTGGCATGCTTGCCCTTACCGCCGCCGAGTTTGTACTTGGTGCGCGATTTGAAGCAAGGCGGGAGCACAGCGCTGAGGGGGTCGACACCAAGAGGCAGGAGCACGTCCGCCTTAGGGAGAAGCTTGCACTGTCAGTGAAGCAGGACAGCGGCATACTTACCAGAGCGTACTCAATGGGCTCAGCAGGGCGGTTTCTTCAGCCTCATGAGTGGCCTGGATCAAGTGGACGAAGTTGCCTGCTGCAGCCGTCTCGGCCCTCAGCTTGTCGAGGTACTCATGTTCCTTGAGCGTGATCATGCCAGGGACGTCATCCGGGGAGACACCGCCGTCTCCAGGTATCGCGTATGGAGGTTGAGGCATGGTGAACGAGTGTACTGCGTGTGATAGTTGTGTTGAGTGAGAAGAAGAAAGTGGACCCGAGTCAGAGGCAGTGGTGCTTTAGATTTCTACGTGGAGAAGAGCTCCCGCGCGTGACGCAGTGAGCTGGACCGTGCCCGCCCATCAGGCCTGGTGCTACGTACAACCGCTCTGTGTGACCAGCGATCCAACGACCAAGCTCAGCACAGTCGAGGCCCATGCGCGTAGCATAGTGTCAACTATGTAGCACTGCAACAGACAGCAGCGTGTAGATTATATACAGCGTTATACTTCGGGAAAGTAGCTACCTTGACGCATGGAGACTACTAGCGTGCTCAGCTTGTGACCCGAGTGCAGCTGGCGTTTCCCTCTGAGCTCTGAGAGGCTGTTGTCCCGTGTTTGGGAGGCAACCGCGTCCTACCGAGACAATCGAGCTCCACTCCTCCTGGTCATCTCCCCTCATGAAACGGAAACGAATGACCCACGTCACAAGAGGAGGTTCCACCGCCAGAACCGCGCACATGGGACCATATTGTCTCAATTGTCCTGTCGGTCGACTCTTTACTACATCGGTCTCGCCGAGGTACAGCTACCTTTCTTGACCACGCCGTGCTTCGTCATGCGCTCATGCCGTTCCAAGCATCGTGTTGGGGATAAGGCAGAGCGACAGAGAAGGCCCTTGCAACTACAAGGCGGTGGCGCCAAACTCGCTTCCCCTTCTCGAGTAACTGTGTGCAGCAGGGAAACAAGGATGTGCAGGACCATCAGTAACGTTTCCTCGCGACGTCAAGTGGTCGCTGCAGAGGGTGCGTGTGCCATGGGATCACCTCCCGCATGGCTCCATTCACCCAACTGTCCTTTTACAACTTGGCTTCTCTGGATACGGTGAACTAATTTGACATAGAGAGAGTCGCTCCACGCTAGTACATAACATTCCGCGTCTACAGATAGCGGCTCCAGCGGCGGCTCCAGCGGCGGCTCCAGCGGCCCAGTTTTGTACGGGCGGTGTAGGTTGGGTAGAGCTGCATGTACGACTCCATTGTCATTGTGACACGCGTGAGCAGAACCGTGTCGATGTTGAGGGAAAGGTCGGCCACCGTGCGATTAACCCAGTTGGTAGCTCTCTGGGGCACTCCCACAAATCGCATAATGGGGGCAACAGCGCACAGAAACATGGCGCACAGGTAGCGGAGAGCTTTGACAGCCTCAAAGACCAAGTGTATGTAGGAGCAAGCCATGTCGACGTGCCTCTCAATGGCGGTGGGAATTGGGGGGTCGTTGACGAAGAGGTGCTTCACTTGGGGCCTGCAGTGGTCAGTGGAGGGGACTTGGCGGAAGACACATACCAGAAGATACGTCTGCGGAGGTCCACAATTCCGTCCTTGCATGCGTACACGTGTATAGGGTGGGCGTTGCTAACCGAAGGGGCAAAGAAGAGAATGAGCTTCTTGGCGGTGGCCTTGGCCATACAACTGGGATCCTGGGCGCGGTGAGGAGGTGGTAGCTGAACGGCCACCACTTGGAGCGCCAGGCTGAAGGGACTGTGAACAAGGATGCCTCCACGGGTCTGGATGTGTTAGTCCCAGTCGCCAGCGACGATATCAAAACTTTCCTGGACATTGAACATGGCAGCACGAGTGGGATCAAGGAGATGGGGCTCGGGCGCTTGGTGGTCTTGAACGTAAACGCCAATGTCCTTCAGTGCACCACCATGCCGTTGCTCGCGGAGTGCGATGTGGTTCACAGTCGAAACCAGGAAGCCGAAGGCGATCCAAGAAGTGTGAGCCACGGGGACCCAGCTGGCGAAGGTTGTGAGGATGCGGGGAATGGGAGGAAGGAGAACGGCGGCGGGGAAGGCGAGTGGGACGACATAGATTGCCATGCGGAGGACCAAACGGACGAGGAACCAGTTGACCCAGGCTATGGAGACAAAGACGAAAGGAACCATGCAAATGGCAAAGCGGTCGATGGGATATAGGGGAAAGTCCATGATGGTGTTTGTGGTATGTCTCTTTGAAAGAAAAGTGTTAAAGTGTGGAAGTGGAGAAAGCACAAGCGGCCAAAGGAACAGCTTTGTTTGAACGTGCGCCCGCACGCCCCACCGATGATCCGATGACACACCCTCCGACGACCGAACCGACCGGCCGATGGAGAACCACGTTGGAGACTGGTGTCCGAGCATCAATCCCGCCCTGGTGCTGTGGCCGCCGGCACTTGGCTACATAACCTGTGCAGCCCATGTCACTCGAATAACAATAAGCACCCCCCAGGTTACACACACAACCGTATCGTTGCACATGCCTACCGATCTCGAGCCCCCCACCCCACGATAGGTGTCGATAGATAGTTCAAAACGTCACTTTTAAAGACGCTTCCTTCTCACTCGAGACCCGCCGCTGATTCAGCCTTGAACCTCCCTTCAAGGGTGGTGCCACAATGGTGGTGGCGAAGGTTGGTGGCGTGCTAATGTGCATGCGTCAGCGCAACAATGGAGGTGGTGAAACCCCAGGAAGGCACGGCAAAACGTGGTTGTGTGACAGAGGTGCTTGGGGCCAGTGAGATCAATGTCGGTGTCGAGGGTGCACCGCCGCCAAAGCTGAAGCGACGCGAGGTGTGCTCTCAACACGAACACTGGTACCCTGGGTGCGCCTGTGGCAGTTGGATGGATGGGGTTATAAAGTGAGGGTGTTTCTTAAGGTGTGATGCGCAGTTGCCACAGCCGGCGAAACGCGGGTTTTCCGGTATTTGATTCCCTGGCTCATGCTTTGCTCTCCCTATTATTTGGTTCCCTTTGTTTGGTTCTCGGATTTTGGTCATGTTTTCTCCGTCTTTTCTTCCCACCCTTCCTTCCTTCCCTCCTTCCTCTTCGTCTACCATGTTTCATACTTTCCTAATACCACACACCTCTGTCAAGAGAGATTTCGTCTTGTACAGAAGCATGGCTTATCGTCTCTGATGGGCCCATACTGTATTAAACGTGCGCTCATTTTTAGCATTCCAGGTTGTAATTTGTGAATGTTTCTTCCCTCTGCCGTCATATTCATTCCGCCACAGACATGTGGCCCGTCTTCAGCGCCCTCGCCGCTCTGTCCTACCTCCCCCCCTCCCCCTACCCCTAACGACGCAAGCTCAAGCCTAAAGGTCCATCTCTGATGCGGGTTGGCGAAGACCCGTTCGGGACCCCTCTACCCAATGGCTTCAAGCTGCTCTTCACGTTCAGCAATGGCAGAGCGCCGCAACGAGCCGGTGACAACATCAAGCGCCAATCGAAGTTCAGCTGGAAGGCAACACCCCGAGCAAGAAGAAGGTCGTCCACTGCGCGCCAAGCGACGACAAGGACAACGACGAGGACAGGAGCGGCAAGCAGGTCACGCTGTATATTCGCCAGGTCAAGCTCTCTCCTCCACAGCTGTACGCAGAGCTGCTGACGATGCGCAAGCGCCATCCCGGTGAGTAACTAACGATCAATGAGTCTCCGGCCTGTTTTACAGCGTTGTATGCTGCGATTGAGGCTATCCAGATTGTCTACTACGACCTGATACTTACTGTAGGCACGGCCCCAAAGGTCGAAGTCATGCTCGAGGCCGCTCAAGTTCACGTTGAGGCCAAGACCGAGGTTGTCTGGATCAGATATGCTGGCGTCACCACCGACGAGATTGAGAAGCGCATCTCCTCGACCGTGTCCGAGGTGCGGACCTTCTATGCCAACTTCATGGGCTTGGAGGAGATGCAGGGCAAAACGATCGAGGTCTACAAGCTGGACAGTATGTGTTTGGTGTTTGAAAAGGTCGCAGCTGACGGCCCAGTTGGCGACCTTCGCGTGGCAAGCTCCTTCGAGTACCGCGCTCGCTACGATCTCCAAGGCGCCGAGCGAATCCTCATCTCCACCCTCGCCCCCCTCAGCCTCAACTCGGCTCGGGGCGGCTTCCACCACTGGCCCGCAAGCGCCATCCTCCCGGAGGCCACCCCGCTCCGTCACAGCGACGTTGTTTCCCAAACTGGCGAGATCAACAAGCGCATCGACGAAGTGTGGGACGAAGCGGCCCACGAGTGGGCCAAGTACAACGAGGCCAACAATGCTCCAGTGGTCCACGACAACGCCCTCGAGACAGCTCGCCAAACGTCTGACATCCGCCAGACGTACGCAAATGGACTCGTGCCCTGTGTCCGCATCCAGAAGGATGTTACCCGGGAGGAGCACCAGCGCGAGGGAGGAGCAGACGTTGCCCTCGACTTCCACTCACCGTTGGCCGGCCCTGGTCCTGCACTGGCGGTCTGCCTCAAGCTGCTTGCTCACGGTGCCCCTCCTGCGGACACACTGTCCACCGAGGCCATTCTCGAGATCTTGGGACCCATGATTGATTTCTGGACAATCTGCCTCATCCACCGCGATATTCTGCTGGCCTTCGTCTTCTTCGTCTGGTACCTCCGCACTGTCTCGCCCATGGTGTTGGATGTCGCCTCCGCCAAAGTCTCGTACCTGGTCGCGATCGACAAGATGCACACCGTCGGCCGTGACGCAGAGGGTAAGCTGACATGTGGCATCCTCGATGGTGACAAGTGGAACGACCTGATCCCCACTGGGTGGATTTGCTGGATCGGCCAGATCATCGTGGTGCGCCTCTCCGAGTGGGAATCTGCGCTGGCCGTCCTGTCGGTGAGTTCAGTAACTTGAGATAACAGCACTGACCCGCAGTCTCACATGGGCAGAGCGCGGTACAACCCCATGCTCGAGACTACCACCATCAAGCTGCAAGGTGTCGCCGAAGCTCTGGTTCAGGTCTGCTCAAACGTCTGCCTTGACTTCGGTGCTGCCCACGGCCGTCGGCCAAACCATGAGGACCTCAAGGACATTCGCCTCCAGATTCTCGAGGACAACGCGCAGCTCATCAAGCTTCGCGATGAGTACCAGAAGGTCTTCCAGGATCGCAACAAGGCACTCTGCAACCGAATCGCAGTCGGCACTGCGCGTCGTCAGGATATTGATGCTGGCGTAGAGCTGGATGAGCTCTATCTCGAGTTGGGCGAGACAGGTCACGCGAAAACCGCCAAGCTCAGCACGGCGTACTCGACCACCATCAACCCCACCCCCGATGGTGATCGCTGGTCAGAAGAGCGCGAGGCCCAGTTCAAGGTCGCCCCGTCCGAAGACCAGGAGCGCATTGCCTGTGGTGTGCCACGTCACATGATGAGGCACCCATGCAGACCAGCACACGTTGGCGACGACGACGAGGCATGGAGGGTCTTCTTCCACTCCCTGAGGAAAGGTGTGGACATTGCGCGCGCTGCCGCTCAGCCTCGCGGCGACTCGCACTGGACAAACCAGCTCTCCGAAGAGGCCCGCAAAGCGCTGGCCGAGCGCCGAAAGTCCCGCCGCCCCGGCACACCCCACTTTCCGTCCTCGACCAACCCGCTGGACGCTCTGCAAGTTCAGGCAACCGAGAGTACCTTTGTCGACAACGATATCGACAGATTTGTCCTGTTGAAGTGCTCTGCGTGTGATGGCGAGGCCGTTGTGTGCCAGTCCTCGTCGTGGCGACACACATGCCCCAAAGGTGACGGGATCGTGCCGCAAGGGCCTCATCACCAAGCGCTGGACCTACGCTTTTGAGGCCTTTGGCTCCCGAGCTTTTCGGCGACGGCGACGACTGGGACGTGGAGGTTGTCATGACCGCTACCTTGTGGCCGCACCTGCGTGCCGGTGGTGACCTCGAGTCTCTCGGCTTTGCCCAGCTCACTCCCGACACGGATCTCGACTTCGCTATTGTCGTCGGGCCGAACAGCTCAGACAGCTGGCTCGCCCGTAATGCCATTGCCGCCCTCGCTTACCACACCCCCGGCAAGCTGGACACGTACGACCAGACGACATGGCACGACACATCCCTCACCCCTTCCTTGTGGCTATGAAGGGGGGTCAGCATTTGGACGAGCGGCGCTGCCGCAATATGTACCGGCTGGGCGTACATCGGCATCACTCCCGCCCCTGTCCACCATTGTGCGGACAGCGACGGCAACGCCCTCAAGACCAAAAGCGGCAACCAAACGACAGGCAAAGGTGACATTCTCACCGGTCGTTTCATAGAGTCCTTCACTGAGCTCCCGATCGGCATGAAGCTGCACCTTTGCTTGGACTGCGCACTTTAGGCGCGTCCTGACCGCCTCGGCACGACGCTCGTGACTTAGCGCCGCCAGTGCCAGCAACCCGAGCACCACCAGTACGACCACAACAACGACTGCAACGACGACGAATACGACTACTCTGGAAGTCTGGAAGCTCGGCCTCGGGGTCCCGCTCGGCCTGTTCAGCTACAAGGAACCAGGCAATTCCATTACTCTCTATGCTCGCGAGATTCAGTTCACTCCCCAACAGCTCAAAGCCGTGGTGCTCAGGTTTCGCATGTTCCATGCCGGTTAGTAATGCTCAGCGAGTCTCTCTGCTAGAGGCTGCGGCTCGCATCGACATTGGGTGTGACAACCAAATGCTTACTGTAGGTCACGTTCCTCAGCTTGAGGTTCTGCTGCATGCCATCGGGCTGCACATTACGGCGGGTACTCAGCACCTCTGGATTCGCTACGTCGGCCAGACCTCCGGCAAGCTCGAGGTGCGAATGGCCCAGGCAGCCACGGAGGAACAGACCTGCTTCGGCCACTTTATCAGCTTGCTGGCCCCTGGCCACAAGCTGAAAGTCTACACGCTCGACCGTAAGTGTCTAAAAGAAATGCAGCTGATATCTCAGTTGGATATGTTCCTCCTCCGACAGGCCAGATCGACTACCGTACCCGGTATGATCTTCAGGGCGCTGAGCGTATGCTCATTTTGGTCTTCGCCCCGTTGTCTCTCAACTCGGCTCGTGGTGGTCTCCACCATTGCCTTCGGCCAAGATTCTCCCGGACGGCACCCCTCTGCGTCACTGTGACGCAGACTCGCCTGTGGCCGACCTGAACGGCCGTATTGAGGACCACTGGGACAAAAAGTCGACACCACTTTGGGCGGCATTCAATCAGAAGAATGACGCTAAGGTGATCGACGAGAATGCGCTGGCTACGGTCAAAGCCAACTCTATGGTCAGGCAGACCTATGCTGGTGGATACGTGTCCAGTGTCCGAATCCAGAAGGGTCCGACTGCTGAGGAGCACAACCGCGTCGCTGGGGCTGAAGTAGCCCTTGATTTCCACTCGACGACGGCGGGCCCAGAACCTGTGGCGGCAGTGAGGCTGAAGCTCCACGCCAATGCAGCACCACCCGCCAGCGAGCTCTCTCAGTCGGAGATCAGGGACACCTTGGGCCCCATTATCAACTTCTGGACGTCGTGCTTGACACACGTCGAGGTTTGGGCTGCATTTGTCATGTTGGCTACCTACCTCCAGATTGTCAAGCCGATGGTCATTGACGTGGCCTCGGCACAGGTGCTGTCTGATCGGTATGGACAAGCTCCATACCGTGACAGACAAAACCGACCCTCAAGACATCCTTTCAGGTGGAGTACTAGGGGGACAGAAGTGGGAAGCGCTCACCCCACCTGGCTGGATCTCTTGGATCGGCCAGGTGGTGATCGTTAGGTTGACGCCGACTGAGTGGTCGCTGGCAGTAATGTCGGTGAGTTCCAACAACGTGGACGTGGGTAGCAGCACTGACCCGCAGTCACACATGGGCCGGGTCAAGTACGACCCCCTGCTCGAGACGCTCATTATCACTCTGCAAGGTATCGCTGACGCGATTACTCAGCGGAGAGAAAATGCCTGCCTAGGTTTTGCGGCTGCTAACGGCAAGCGGCCCGAGAAGGCTGATCTCAGGACAATTCTCGGCAAGCTTGTCGAGGATAATGCTGAGCTCTTCGCCCGTCGTGACGCGTGTCAAAAGAAGCTCGCGGACCGTTGTGAGTGGCTCTGGAGGCGGCGTTTGATCTCTGCTGCGCGTCGAAAGGAGCTGGCCATTGGCGTTGAGCTGGCTGACATCGCAGAGTCGCTGGACGCCGCCGCTGACAAGACAGCGCGACTGCGAGTGATGCGCGCCCCAACCGTCACTGACCACCACGGGACGACAACGTCGACACCCGTCCATTATGCGTTATTGGAATTAGTGGCCGGTCGGTTCTGGGTGGTCGGCGACCCACCCTCCGAGGGGCCGCGGGCTCGGCCTTCACCCACCGCCGCGACGCACGACGCGGACCGTGTCGACGTGTCTACAGGCCGTGTGTGAGTTGCCCGGCGACGGTGCGGGCACCGGGCATGACAGCATGCGGTCGTTCTGTGCGCGACCTCACCGGTATTGAAAGCTTCGGCCAACTGCCAGTTAGACTAATGCTACAGCTGTTTCTGAGTCGCCGAGGCAATATCAACGGCGGTGCTGTCACCGGATCACCCGCTTCCTTGAGACATCCTTCACAGAGCTGCCGATCAACATGAAGGTTGCACTTTGGTACCGACACTTCAAGCATCCTGCCCACTTAGGTGAGTCTGCTCTTCACTTACAAAGCCAATGGCGGCACGCCATCGCTGCCGCCCGCCGAGCCGGCGAGGTCGTCATTCATTGAAGCGCCGCGTGCCGCGCATTCCAGTCGAGTACCGAGCGCACCGACTGTGTGCCGAGCAGGGCCTTGCGGAGCGGCTGCAGCCGCTGCAGAGTCTCGTGCTGAGAAGGAAATGTGCCACGTGAATGCTACCAGGCGCCTGTAATGCATTACATGCCTGTGACACGGTGGTGCTGTTGTATGGTGGTATGGTGAGGTGAGGAGGCGCAGGCGTTGAGCGCGTTGACATCAGAGTGCACACGCGCAACATGAGTTGAAACAGACAGCCATGACTGTACTTACATGGATACCGACACTGTCAAGCGGAGACCATCCCGTCAAGAACAGGAAACAGGGGCAGGTGCAGGGTGCGGGGGGAGTGTGAGACGCATAAGTAGAGGTGTGCGTGCCATTCAAGCTCTCGATATAGCACCAGCCAGCGCACCAGTGGCCAGCGGCCAACGTCGAGCTGGGAACAACGCTCCTTCGAACGGGAAAATGGCCAGTAGAGCTGTAGCACGGTCAGTGGCTAGCCGCGCCAGCAAACCTGATTTTGTCTTGCGACATGGAGTTTGCGTAGCCTGCCTTTAAAGATGAGATGAACTGACGAGCAACATGACAATTAGAGGAGACACGGACCATGAGATGGTAACAAAGGCACGGACGAGCCACGGTGAATCTGTGCGGCTGACACCACAACGGCCCGGTTCAGATCCGAGAGGCCTCGTTGCAAGCGCCGCCCACCCGCCAAGCCCCCCGCCCGCCTTTCCAGTGCGCGCTGGAAGTCACTTGCATTCCAACCTGCTTCTGCCACACATGGGACGCACGATGCAATGTCTGTGGTCAGTAGCTTGTATGAGCCCTCCGCCGCCCCGGGCCGAAGGACAGCAAAATGCGTGAAATGAATCAGAAAGTGACGTCGCGAGCGGTGCGGCACCGCCTTCTGGCTTCCTCTCCAGTGGTTGTTGCCCTGACTGACCGCACGCCCACCTGCAACGGTCTCCTGCATTCCCACTCGCAGCACTCGTCTTGTCAACACCCACATTCCCACCTCGCCATCACCCCCATCCATCTCTTCCCAGTGCATTGCTCGTGGACATCCCCGTCGCCAGTCACACCGTCGTCCCGTCAATCTCTGGTCACGCGCATCGCAGACCACACCCCCATTTTCGCCGCGACCCCGGGCGTGTCACATCAAAGTCACCGGCTCGGCCGTCGGACCTGACAACAGCCTCACCGTCGCACGGAACACATCGCGAGCCCACCTCTATCCCGTTTGCACATTGCACATCCCATCTCCACCTCTGTGTCGCCCATCCACCTAGGCGTCTCCACTACCGCCCTCCACCCGGCATCACACGATGCCAGACCCCGGCCAAATCCCCGCCGTCGTCCTGGTCCTAGCGTCGACGGTCGTCCTGGCCCTTGTTGTCTTCAACGTCCCGCTCCTCAAGAGCTTGTACTTCTTCAAGGGCGAATTCTCCAGTGGCGGATATGAGGGCACCTTAACACTGGGTACGATGGGCTATTGTCTATCGACAAACTCATCCTGTGTAGGACCCCAAATTGGTTACAGCCTTGGTGAGTGAAGCAGAGCGAACAGTGACAGCGCTAGCAACATGTGGCTGACGCGCCTCGCTTGCAGACCTCAACACACTCCTCGGCGTGTCTCTGTTCAACATCCCCTCGGCCGTGTCCAAGTGGATGAGCTACACCCTCGTTCTCCACATTGTCGCCCTCGTCCTCGTCTTCATTGGCCTTCTCGCTGGTCTCCTCGACATGATCCCTGGCTTTGGCATGATGTGCTTCCCTACGTGCTTCACATCCATGGGAGCCGGTGTCACCCTCATTGCGCTGATTTTCGACCTGGCCATGTTCTACATTCTCAAGGCCCGCGTGGACGCCGTGTCTGGCGCGTCGGCAACCATCGGTCCAGCCGTGTGGATGACACTAGCCGCATGGTTGCTGGCGTGTTTCGCCGGCTGCATGTGGGGCATGGGCCGCTGCTGCTGCGGCCAGTACTCGAGCGCGAACCGCAACCGCAGGCGCGACCGCGACCGCGAGGTTGCAGATGCCGAGCACGACATGCGTCTGGGTGCTATCCGCGACGAGCAGCGCCGTCTCAAGGAAATGAGTAAGGAGCCAGAGCGGATGCCTCTTACCCAAGGAGAAGAAGACAAGTATCTCTACGAAGAGGCTCCAGCCCTCGGCCGTAACGGCAGCGTCCTCCAGGGCGTGGGCGTCGGCTATGGTCGTCGTGACAAGAACGACAGCTATGGCTACGCCGGCGGCGCTCAGCGCCAACCGTCAGTCAACTCGCACCTGACCGCGCCAGGTGCGGCCGGTGTCGGTGCAGGTGGCGCAGGTGTTGCCGCAGGTCACAACAACTATGTTGACCCGTATGCCTACGACCCCAACCAGCTCGAGACCTATGACGAAGGGTATGGCCAGCAGCAACAAAACTACGGCCAGCCTCAGCAGTACGGGCAGCAGAATCACTGTGAATATATTTGACTTTGCTTTCGCGCTGCGCTGACGTCCACAGACAACGACCCGTATGCGAACAACCCCGACCCGTACCAGCAGAGCTACGCGGCCGACCCGTACGGCCAGCAGCAGCAAGCTCAAGGCTACAACCAGTACTCGCAGCCCACGTACCCGCCCGCAGCGTCTGCAGCTGCTGTCGCCGGCGGCGTGGCTGGCACCCGCGGCGGACACAATAACGATTATTACACGGGTGCGACATCCAATGAGTCGCACGGGTACGCTGACCCGGGGCCGCGCGTAGCCCATGCAGAGCCTTATGGATACGAAGACGATGGCCTCGGCGCCATTGGTCGTGCGGCAGCGTCCGCCTCTGGCGAGCGTCAATACACGGGCCACCAGGGCTTTGGTCTCGCATCCCCGCCCCCGACCAGCCCGCCGGCGGCCGCTCTCAGCGTCAACACTGCCCCAGCCATCCACACTCCCACGCCCCAACATCTCATCTGCCACAACCCTTCGACTATCCTCTCGTCTCCCGTGTCCGAATACACAAGCGACCCTTCCAACAGCATGTACTCGACGGACGGCAACCGGCCGCCAAGCTACGGACAGGTCGCCTCGGGCAACACGTACGTTCAGCCCACAGAAAAGGGTCGCCCTGTTTAGTAGTGCTTTGCAGCGGTTCTTGGTGCCCGAGATCGTTTGTACTGTATGTAGGTAGATATGATATGCACGCTCTCATAACGGACAATGCGAGACTGTCGAGGCGACAACGGCCGCATGTGGTGAAAGGGCAGATGAGCGCGTTTGTCACTCGACACTACGCATCTGTAGACCGTCTGACCATCTACATACATGTCGTGGTCGAGACCGCGTCAGCCTATCCTTGATCTCTCATGTTACGCCACAAGGGATCAGATATTAGAGGTGAATGGCACTGCGCACTGCCATGGCTGGCTCGTGTCACCGTCGCTGCTGCGACCTCTCGCAAACTCTCAGGACCGATCAATCAGTCACCTAGCCTCCACGCCCACAGTGGAGATTGTTAGGATCCCGGATACAGTCGCGCGTGGTCGCAGTTTTATACCTTGATGGGAGCGTGACCATGGCACAGGACAATCCGCCACGAAATGTGTCAGAACACCATCACAACAGGCAACGACAGCGGCACCGAGTAGGGGGGATACATCATACATCTATCCGAGGGAGGGCGTGTACATGGTAATGATGCTGCTAGACGACATGGGAAAAGAGAGCACTTGAGGCGAGAGGGTATATCGCAGGCCGAATATTAAGTGGTGATGTGTTTTCGGCCTACGACTGTTGCGCCCCCTCGCCTCGACCGCGAGCGAACCCCCTCTGCGCTGGGATAGCGCAGCACGCGCTGCAGACACAGGACGCAAGCGCACACCGGCACAGGACTGGGTACTGGCGCAGCCGCACGCGTTACGCAAGCGCTTTGGGGGCACTGCGCGCCGCCGCCGACGCCGGCGCTTACTCGACCTTCTTGAAGTACTGGCTGGTGACGGCCTGGCCGGTCACGAGGGTGAGGACGGTCTCGCCGGCCTTGAGGTACGACTCGGTGAAGGAGCGGATGGACGACTCGGGGATGAGCTCGGTCTGGGGACTGTAGACGAGTGGCAAAAGTGGCAAATGGTAGGGCCCCAGTGATCAGCTACTGTTTCGTTGCAATCTTCCCTCTGCCGCACACGAGAGCACAGGAAGAGGGTGTCAACTCACGCAAAGCCGGTGGTCTTCTTGACGCCAGCCAGGATGGTGGAGACGGCGAGGGCGTCAAAGCCGTAGTGAATGAGGCGTCCGAACATACCCATTGGATTGTGTGCGTGGAGGAGGGAGGAGAAGATGAAGGACGATGGTTGCTCGCTCGCTTGACCTCTCTCTTGTCGTGTCGTCTCTGTCTCTCTCGGCACTCGTCGGGGGAACGCGTCCTTCAGCCGGCAAACCCGTGTCACACACACACAAATTGGTCCCGCTCAACCTCCCACGTGACGTTACGTAAAACACCACGCCACTCACATTCCCTCCCCACACCCCTCTCTCGCTTCCTTTGCGGGGTAATGATTGCATCGCCTCTCCGCCACAGCATGTGTTGGCGTTCTCAACACTCTCAACCACCCCGGGTATACTCTCTCCAGTGCTGTATATAACCCCCTTTCACGATGGACCTCAAGGCTGCCATCCTCCGAGGTCCCCTCAGGCGAGCACGACGTTCACCAATGGAGGAGGAACCTCCCCCACCATACTCACCGCGAGCGGCACCGCCAGACGCGCCGCCGCCGACAGCACCGCGTCTGCAACTGCAACGTCCGTCCATCTCGGGGCCCTCGGCCTCTGAACCAATTGCGATCCCTTCAAGCCCACGGGACGCTTACTCGGATGCCGTCGCCACACAAGCGCGCTCATCGCGTGCACTGCCTGACGTCCCCCGCCGCTCCGTCGGCCGCTCCCTGTCCCCAAGAGGTTCTCCATTGGCAACCCCGGCATACGTGCGAGCCCTGTGCTCACCGCAGCCCCAGGGCCCCGCATCCCTCGCCACTCTGCCACTCGATCTTCTCCATCACATCTTGGCCCTCACCCTCGACCCACTGGCTACACCAGAGCACTACCTCTTTGACGTGGAAATTGAGCGGCTGGCACGGATCGCCGGTCTGTTCAAACTGCGTGCCGTTGACCGGCGGTTCTTCCTCAGTGAGCTGGGAGTCTTGTCCACCACCTGACCTCTTCAGTTGCAACTGCTGTCCTCCGTGACAAGCTTCTGCCCACGTACAGGTCTCTGTTGGCACCGGGAGCGAGCTCGGACCCATCGCCACCAGGTGACGGCGAGGACCCATCCGTTGGCTCCGTCTTTGCGCGCAGGACGCGCGAGGCCGCCGTGCTCGACCGCTTCATCGCACTACGCATTGGCGAAGACTGGCGTAAAGCCGAGAGCGAGCTGTGTGAAGACTTGGGTCTAGAGACGGAGATCTTTTCTGGTTTGCAGGTGCGTTTTTCTTGTGTCCACACGCCCGTGTTAGTTGCATTAACACGCCCCTCAGCCCGCCGCCCGCATGGAAGACCTCCTCCTCACCCTCCCCGCCTACCTCATCACGCCCACAGCCCCACCAAAGGGCGAGCTCTACCTCGCCCTCCCTCTCCCACACCCACACCTCGCCATCAACGTGTCCCCGCTCTGGGCGCAGCTGTGGATCCACTACCAGCCAGTGTTTGAGCCCGTCGCCCCCGGCAAGCGCGTGCGACGTATCCTCGCTCTGGAAGTGAGGAGGGGCAGGACGAGCGAGGATACTGTCCAAAGACTCAAGAATGGTCTTGACGCCATTCGCATGGGCAGGCTGGACTGGGGCCAGAAGGTCGAGAATTGAGCTGGGAGACCGGAAGTTGTATTTCTCATCCTTTCATGTAGCTCTGACTTCGGCTTCAAGGCCAATATTAACACCGTGATGACCGGATCGGCTGACAACACTTCTGACTTGTTACTTTGCTGACGCGTTCTGCCGTGAGGACGGATCATCCCCGACCTTCTGCCCGTCGGCTGATCTGCAGTGGCTCTTGGTCCACTCTGTGGATGAGTGGGATGGCCATGTCTGGCTGCTCTGGGGCACCTGGTACGTCGTCACTGTCAGTGGGAGAAACCAGAGGGGCATGTGACCATGGAGATGGAAATGCTCTCGAGATGACCTGTATGGGCCAGGAACTGGGTTGTGTGTGCGAGCGTGGCACCTGATCAAGAAGGGGCGCCCGTCCATGCTTCTGTCGCCTTCCTCGCTCCCCCCTACTCACACGCCTTCCAATCCTCCCATCATGCACTCTTACGCAACGCTCATCTCTCAGCTATAAGAGGTACAACCTAACAACAACTGTTTCCCCCAGACACACCACTTGCACAATGCCGCATCGCCGCGCAAGTCCCACCATCGGCGACCTTGGGTTGACACTGAGGAGTACGCGCAAGCTGCACCACGCCCTCGCTGACCTATAGACGCGGTCCAGTACTACACGAAGCTCCATGAAGGCGTCCTCACCAAGCTCAAGCGCCACATGGGCGTGTGGCTCACCATCGCCGTCGAACTCCAGGCCTCTACGACGTGGACCCGCAGTGCCGTGGTCGCCGAAGAGCAAGGCAAGACGTTCTGGCTCAACCCGGCCCTGCTTGATGGAGAAGAGTCGCGCCTGCTTTTGGCCATTCCCAAGTTGGACAAGTTCGCCACCCCTGACATTATGAAGAAGATCGACGAAGCCAAAGCGACGTACGATGCAATGGAAAAGAAGATGGCGAGCGGTGCACCCCCGGTGGATGAGGACGAGGAGGATGACAATAACCTCGACGAGTTGTTTGTTCGCCTTCTAAACAACGAGGAAGACCATGCTGAGGCCATGGACCTTGACGAGTCGGACGGCGAGGTCACGGCCAACCCCGACGACCACGCGTCAACCTCCTTTTCCCGCCACGAGCAGAAAACCGACACCGAGGATGACTCTCCCCTCGGCAACATGATGTATGGTCACGACTGGCTCATCCAGGAAGGCCTGCTCGTCCAACAGGGCGAGGACGTGACTACATTCGAGTACATGCTTCGCTGCAAGGAGACGTGGGAGGAGCTCAAGATGACTGTGGCGGCATGCCAGATAGAGATTACGCGACTCAAGAAGCCGGTCACCGTTGTTGATGGTGATGACGAAACCCTTGATGATGATGATGACGACGACGGGGACATTGTTTTTGTCGGCGCCTTGGCCTTAACGAACCAGGTTGCTGCGCTGTCTGTCGAGTCCGAGGAGAAGTCTGGCACGAGTTGCAAGTGTTGACCTTACTCTTCTGATACGACGTAGACGCAGTCGTGTTCTGTCTTCCAAGGGTGTATATACTCCATGAGTCTGTGTCCGCCTATGCATACAATCTGGACGCGCGAGGACGGAAGCCTCATTCTCGAGATGGACCTGCATGGGCAAGGAACTGGGTTGTGTATGCGAGCGTGCCACCAGAGCAAGGGGCACCCGTGCATGCTTCTGTTGCCTTCCTCGTCCCCGAATCCTACACTCCTTCCTTCCTTCCTTCCTTCCTTCCATCCTCTCATCTATCATAGACTCTTCCACACAACACTGACCTCTGAGCTATCAGAGCCACAACCTAACAACAACTCACCCACCGTACACGCGCTACGCACTCCGCAATGCCGCATCGCCACCACGCAGGTCCCGCCGTCAACCACCTAGGTCTCAAGATGAAGAGTACGCCCAAACGGCATCACACATAGGGGGTACTGATCCATAGACGCGGTTTCATACTATACCAGGGTCCATGAAGGCCCTCTCGCCAAGCTCATGCGTCAGTTGATCCCCTGGGTCAACACGGCCGCCGAACTCCAGGCCTCTACGGCATGGAGCCGCAAGGCTGCGACAGCCGAGGAGCAGGTCAAGGCGTTCCTGCTCAACCCCGCCATGGTCGACGGTCAAGACTCTAGGCTGTTCACTGCTATCCCCCAGTTAGAGAAGCTGACTGGCCGTGAGATCTCGGCGGGCATCATTGCTGCCAAAGCCAAGTACCACTCGCTCGAGAAACAGGTTACGAGCGGCGTTCGCGTGGAGACATCGGGCAAGGAGGATGATGGACGCGACAATGATCTCGACGAACTGTTTACCAACCTCTTCAACAACACCAAGGACGTTACCAAGTTCATGGACCTCGACCACTCCGACGACGAGGACGACGAGGACGACAAGAACGCGGTCGCCTCGGACAACCACGCTTCAACACCCTTTGCCAGCACTGAGGGCGCCAACGATCTATGTGGCGACTCTCCCGCAGGCGATACACTCTACGGTGCCGATAACATCCTCCAGGAATCCCTCCTCGTGCAACAGCGTGACGAGGTGCTTGCGCTCGAGTACCTCCTCGACTGCAAGCAGACTTGGGAGGCCTTCAAGATGACTGTTGACGCTTGCGAGCTGGAGGTTGAGCTCCTGAAGCAAGTGGGAGATGTGGATGACGAATATGACGAGGACATTGCCGTTATCGACCCCATGGCCCTTGTCGACGAGGTTGTTGGGGCGATGATCAAGCGCACGAGAAAATAAACAGTCGCACGTTCAGGTGACCTTGGCTGTTCGAGACCGCCCAGCCTGTGCACCCGTTCTGTTGGCCATAGTTGTTTGAGACACCTTAGCATCAGTTACTATCGTATGTATTACAAGCGTGTATGTACTCCATGAGCGTGTGGTGCCCGCCTGTGCAGATGTTCTGACTGGGTTGGGTGGTGAGAACACATCGCAAGTCGAGAGTAGAGTGCCACTCGAAAAACATATCCGTGTCATTTCCCCCGCCACCCCGCGCGTATCACTCGGGCCTCCGCTTGCGGGGGTGGTGCTGGCAACCGTACGAGTTGACGGCGACCCGGCGTCTCGTGCCCACCATCGCCCTATCCACCATGACCATCTCCGCCCCCGTTCTCGACAAGGCCGACCCCAAGTCTGAGAAGTGCGTCACCACCGTGGAGTGTGTTCCGAGCGCGCTGGCTGGAATGAGCTTCTATCCAGCCAGCCAGCCAGCGCGCACCTTTCGGAACCTCCACTTTCCGGCCTACGTTCCACAACCTTCGGCTGACACGTTACATCCAGGCTCTACCCGTTCCACCTCCCCTTCACTGAGGACTGGAGCGAGCAGAAGGAGCTCTTCGGTAGCGGTACCATGATGCTCGCTGGTTCCGGCATGTTCATGCGCAACCCGCTGTGAGTAGTGTTTCGTGGATGTGGACGAGCTTGGTCCGGCGGGATTCGGCCCGACATGGACAAGAAGGTGCTGGCATAGACGGATCGCTCTGTACCCAGCACTAAACTCACTTGTCCTTGGTGTTGGATACTCGCTGTAGAGCTACGTGGCATTAGACCTCGCGAGCTGTGGAAGGCCGCTACTCCCCAACCCACTGTCGCCCTTTGCTGACGTCTTCAGCATCGTCTGGACCTCGATGATCATGGCCGTTCAGGCGTTCGTCACCCAGGAGCCTCTCCGTCGCAAGGAGGATGCCAGCTCGCCTCTCGCTATGCTTGGGTAAGTGACACATTTCCTCATCCACCGGTTGCTTGTATGCGCAATGTCGTATGCCGCCAACTGTGGTACTGTGACGTACACGTCTGCCACGAACCACACATAACGACTGCGTTCTCCTGGTCACACTCGGCTGTACGAGCCACAAGCTTTACGCTCAGTGCGACTCGTGGGCGTGCCAGCTCCCAGCTGCCAGCCGCAGCTGCATGCTCCACGGCTCATGCTCTGGTTGGCCTCGAACTCCGGTTCCGTGGCGGCGCCGGCGGCGTCCTACACCCTCATCCCCTCACCCTGTCCTGCGTCTTGTCGTCTTCTTTGTTCTGTTCCCCAAACTGACATTGCCTACAGTATGGCCGCGTCCGGTATGATCGCGACCTCGATGGGCAAGGTTCTCCTTGCTCCCGAGGCCCAGGGTGCTGCCGCTGCCGCTGCTGAGGCGACCATTTCGGCCGTCACTGGCGCTTAGACGCAAAGGACTGGAGTCCTTTGTTTTTCATTTCTTTCCCGATTATCGAGTCCGGATGGGTCACCGAGGTTCAGTTCATCACATTACGGTATGCAGGGTAATGGTTGTATCAGTGCGTCCACGAGGAGGTCGTTGAGGAAGCGGTGTCGTGAGAAGGAGGTCTAGCACGCCAAAAAAAAAACGGCACAGTCGAGAACGACGCCAAGGTGCAAGGTGCCGCCCACAGTGCTCCAGCCACCGCACATCGCTTCGGGGCTTCGCACAAAACGCACTGACCGTCACTGATCGCACTGACCATGCCTGCTTCTCACCGCGATCACCAAACATTACCCGTCTCTCTTTTCTCTCTTCACCACACGGGCCGCTCCCCAACGCAACCATGACTGTTCCCTTGAACAGCAGCTATTACTCTCCACCCGACATTGTCATCAACGGCAAGCAGCAGCCCCAGCCGCAAGTCTTTGAACAACATACCGACCAGCCTGGTCCGTCGTCCTCTACGCCTGCGCCTGCGCATCCCCAGCTTGGCTATAACGAACCGCCCACAAACACCTCCCCCATCCCCACCCCCACCACCACCAGCACCAGCACCACCCAGCCGCAGCCCCAGGCTCACAGCATCACCATTCAAGCTCGTGACGGCCAGCTGCCCCAAATCTACGTCATGTCCAAGCCAGAGCCCGCGCCAGTTGCTGCGCCGCCTGCGGTCGCTGCGCCCCTTCCCCTTCCCCCGCCTCCTCCCCCGCCGCCAGCTGCGCACCGTCGCCCACACCCGCTCCTCTGGGTGACGCTCGCCATCAGTGTGCTCGCGCTCGTCCTGGGCGTGCCCAAGGGCAGCATTCCGACGTTTACAGGTCGGCACCGTGCTCTCCGGGTGAGTAGATGGGGGTGGCCGAGGGCGTGGTTCATGGCGTTCTCAGGACAATGCAGTTGCTGCGAGGGGAAGGGAAGGGAGTGACTTGCGGCCCCCGGCCGGCCAGCGCTCCATCTGTCCTGGTCCATGGCCATGTCCTTGTCCATTTCAACCTTGAGCTGACCACTCTACACAGGCGCAAGAACTCCTCGTGCAAGAACGCCTGACGCTCCTCTCGCAGCTGTCGTCCTTCCTCCCGCCGCCCCTTGCCGCCCTCCTCTCCCCAACCAACGCCAACGGCGCGCGGTCGATCGACGTCGACCTCGAGCTCATCCGCCTCGGCACGGGCCTGCAGCTGTGGAACGCCGGCGACGCCCACGGCCGCTGGTGGACGCTCGAGGAGCTGGGCGACGGTGCTGCCGTCGTGCGCTCGGCCGGCCACGTCGGCAGCGGAAGCAGCGATGGCGCCGGCACCGTGGGCGACAAGGAAGTGTGGGTCCTGCGCGAGGGCGACGACAAGAACCCGCTCCTCTCCGCGCTCACCGCAAGCCTGATGGCGCGCGAGCGCGTGGCCGGCGACCTGGACCGGTGCCGCGCCAGCATCGTGCCGTGCGTGTGCCCCGCGGCGCCGCTCACCGTCGCTGCCTCGACCGTCACTGGCAAGGCCGGCGACGCCGACGACGACGTCAAGAGCGACTGGAAGGCGTGGGAGAAGGAGAGGCAGCGCCGCGAGGAGGCAGCCGAGGACCGCCGGCGGATCCTCCGCGAGCGCGAGGCCGAGGTCGAGGAGCGCGAAAGGGACGTGGCGCGCCGTGAGGCGTGGGTCGTGGACGCTATGCGGTGAGTTTGGTTTCTGATCGAGCCGTAAACTGACATGTCTTCAGCAAGCTCAGTGACAGGACTCGGTCAGTTGCGTCGGCCATGCCATTCAGAGAACCCAACTGACGTCCCCCCCAGTGCCCAAGTCGGCGAGATGACCCTCGAGGACCTCATCACCGAGCGTCTCAAGGCGTACCAGCGCGAACTGGCCCAGCGCGAGGCCGTCTGAGAGGGCGTGGCGTGCACAGTGTGGTGTTTGTATTCCTCCAGTCTACCATGACGGCCGGCCCCAGTCTCCCGGTCTCCCAGTCCCAGCACACGCGGCGGACAATCGCGGACAAATTATGGCTCCCTTGCTCCTCCCTCCCTCCCTCCCCATATGCAAACCTCGTGTCGTGCAGTCAACTTGCCGAGATAGCCCACCGGTTCGGGTACACACCTTGCAGCCTCGGCAAACCAACCACCTGTCTCAGGCCTCTCACAGGCCTCGCGCACCTCATCCATGGCTGTAGCCGCCGGCAACAGAGGCCGATGTCTGTAACCCGTTGCGCCGTTGCGCCGTTGCTGGACGTTTGTACGCGTGCCTCGCTCGTAGTGAGGTTTCCTCGCTGCTGGACCTAACCGCGGCCGCGGCCGGTGCCACAGACAGAGCCAGCCCGTATTACACTCTGCCGGTGACGCATTTGTCAAGACGTCAGTGTCGCGTATAGTATATCGCCCCTATCCTGTGCGCGGCTGCTACACTAAAACAGGCGTTAACATGAAATGCTATACAGCTGGTCCTCAGCGTTGACTCTAAAAACGGAAAATTGAAAGGGAGGTGGTGGGAGGGAGGGGAAATGATTGGTCGTGTACGGTGGGTGAGAGGGTGGTGGTGGGTGTTTTGGGGTCGTGTAAGAGGGAGTGGTATGAGCAGAAGAGGCAGGCGGGCGACGACGGTATGTGGGGTTGGGAGTCGGGTGGAGTGTTCTGGCGAGTAGAGTATAGGGGCAGAGAGGTGACGGCGCCGAACAAAAGAACGGCTGCAGATCACGTCTGCGCGTCTCCGACCCGAGGGTCCGCATTAAATGGGTCCGCCATGGCCTAGCTCGCCGAGCTCGTGGTGAGGGAGCTGCTTGTGCTCGTGCTTGTGCTCGTGCTTCGGCGGTTCCGCTGGCGCTCGTCGCTCGTCTTGAGGGCCTTGATAGTGGCGTTGGACTGGGCCGAGTCCTTGCGATTCAAGTTGGCCTTGCGCCTTGCGTGGGCCAACGCGTCGTCGCCGTCTGCGTACTCGTCTGGATCCAGCGCATTTGGCAGTCCCTCTCGCGCGCCGGCGTCTGGGACCTTGTCGATGGGCGACTGGAGGCGGCTGTCGTAGCCTGACTTGACGCGGTTGTTGGACGTCTCCTCTCGGATTTCGGCGCGCAGGTCCTCGAGCTCCCACCAGTTCAGGTAGCTGAACACAATGTTGCGTCGCCACAGCGTGCTGCCTGGCAGCGTCTTGTCAAATGGACCGAGGAACGCGTGCGCGTGGAGGTGTGCATGGGGAGACCTGGGGTCGGCTGACGTCGTCGTGTCAGTTGTCTCATTGTCCTTTGTTTTCGGAACATCTCTTGGATGGCTGTGTACCCCCGGGGATGGAAAGTACACCGCAATGTCTTTTACTCACCTGGCATTCCGTTGACAAAGCCGACACGCACGTCCTTTGCAGTGAAGCGCCGCTCTGCTTCTGAGCCCGACGAAGCGTGGCGGGCGAGAAGCAGGCGGTGAGCCGTGTTCACCATGTGAGAAAGAAGGGGAACGTCATAGGGACCCTGTTTTGCGCGCCTCCCGTCAGCAATTTGCAGGGATCCAGATAGCTTGGTCGTTGTAACATACCAGGTCGTACACGTTGGTGAGGTGTCGGTTGATGACAATGATAAGGTGACGGCCGCTTGGACAGAGAGCCTCCTTGCCCTCGGCAGGATAGACTGTGATGGCGTCGTCGCGGTAGATGATGCGGTGGCCCGAGACGAGCGTCTCGGTTTGGGGCAGCCGCAGTGGCCTCAATGTGGGCGAGGAAGGGAACGGCTTGTTGGAGGGGCCGGCGCGATAGAGGTCGGGTGTTGGCGAACGAGCTGGTGATGGAAGGGACACGGCTGTACCAACGGGGGACGACGGCACGTACGGCGCCGAGGGCAGGAACTGGGCGCCGGCACTGGCGACGTATCCACAGAGCACGCAGCCTGGGTGGTGGTTGGCCGCCGCAGCTGGTGGCGAGAGGGGCGATCCGTGAACCCCAAGGAGTGGAGAGTGCGAGGACGAGGCCTTGCGGACGGCGCTCTGGTGGTGCGGAGGTGTCATTTGCTGAGTGTGGAACGTTGACACGATTGGCGAGTGTGGAGCTGCCAGGCGGCCGTTGACCGTCGGCGACGTAGCGGCCACACTAGTCATGGTGACAGAGGGTGGGCTCTTTTTAGCAGATGAGGGATTTGCTGTGCGTGCGCGCGGGGGGGTCAAGATGTGGTTGTGGATGAGATGGTGGTTGTGGTTGTTGCAAGCGCGGAGGTGTGGCCAGGTGTGTGTGTGTGAAGAATCGACGACACGCTGTGTGTGTGTGTGTGGTGAACGAGGAACAGCCGGGACACTGAGAGAGAGTGCAACCCAGGGGTTTTCGGGTCTGGACACTGCGGGCGGCGGCGCAGCACCTTGGGAGGCGCGTCAAAAGTGGCGTGCAAACGGGGAGTCCAAGCGGGCCGGGGGCCTCTGGGTCGTTGGGTCGTTGGGTCGTTGGAGCTTTGCAAGGATGATGCACAACGACGGGCTGCCAGACGCTGGTGGCTGTATGTATGTGCAGGATAGAGGCAGACAGAGAGAGATGGACAATAGATGTATAGATGGCGACGAGATGGGGCAAGCTAGCGGCCGGGTGGAGAGAGAGCGCCAGACGACAAAGGGTGCGGGGAAGGGACCGTTCAGAGCGATCAGAGCGCACACCAGAGGGCTAGACGGCCAGACGCCGGAGGGATGGATTTGGACTGTGACTTTGGCTTGGCTCTCGGGGCCAACCAGGCTGCAAATGAGCCCGCGCGCAGTAGAGTACACTCCTCTCCTCTCGCCTTGTATGGCCCGTTGCAGCATATGGGCTCTCTCTGGATCTCTGGATCTCTCCCGACCTCGTTCCCCCGCCCACCCTGGTGCACCCTGCTCCCCTGGGATCGACCCGGCCGCCCGCCCGCCGCCGCCGTGTGTCTGCTGCATTATGTGTGTCCTGTTGTCACAGCCGTCGGCTTGTAGCAACGCTGCTGCCAATGCCCCGCCCACGCACACACTGCAGCTGTAAAGCACATCATCTCTCTCGCAGCGGAGAGTCTTGGCGCGCACCATGCTTCCCCTTGACTCCGCCTGCATTCACGAGCCTGGGCTCTCTCCTCCCCCTTCGTCCTCAACCCACAGCCCATTTTGGCTTTCATACCAGGGCAGGTCCATAAACATCGCCCCTGGAAATCACGTGATGTGGCCGTTGTCGGTCGCCATGCACTGCACATACGTCGCTCACAAGGCGATGAAAGACTGACGACGCCCCATGGCAGCAACGACAGTGCATTTGTGCATTTGTCACCATTAACACTGTATATGCCACAGATATCAACTGCTGCGAAAGATGGCCAACGTACTTACAGTGTCAACAGTAGAGGACAAAAGGGCACTTGCGCACAGGATAAGAGTATGAATAAATGAACGCGGGAGCAAGTGCCCTTTTTATTAGCGTGCCGTGGGGGGGGCAGACCGGGTGGAGAGAGGTGGCAAAAGGGTGCGAGCGAGCAGCGTTGGCACCCACCTTACCATTTTGTGTTTCAACTCACGATCTAATACCGAGCCATATCGTTGCAGTGGCCCTGTGTAAGTGACCTTCGCCTGGACTTGTAAAAGTGTCGGACCGTTTTGGCAGAGATCAAGAGATCTGATGACGGCAGCAGTCGCCGCCACATTTTGTCTCAGCACATGCCGATCTCCGACGATCCACACAGATAACACAATAGGGGGAGAGATGACAAGCCCACGCATGACCCAACCGTAAAAGCCCTCTATGCCTGTCCGAGGCAGCCTCATGAGCTCCATCCCTACCTGCAGCTATCTGCAGCGTCCTTGGCAACTCTTTTTGCTCATCCGCAGCCCAGCGGATCAGCGGTGTCAGCAACTCGAAACAGGCCCGTTGTTAGCCGTTTGGCTGCGCCATGAGAGAGCGCGCGCGAAACGACGACTTTGGTCCCGCCTTTGCGGATTTGTTCCCGCCGCGCTCGAGAAACACACTGCGCCCACTCGGAGGGCCCATTGAGACCGCGATAGTGTGTTTTTCAACGTTCGACGACGTTAATTGCGCCCCCGTGTTTACTGGGGGGCAGACGGCTACGGTGGCTTTGCCAATTGCCGGGTCTTGGTCGCGCACAACCGGCACGCGGCATGACCCGGACTGCGTATGGATGTGGGTGTTGGCGCTCGCATAACCATGCGCCAACACGCTGTTTGCGAGCTCGGCTCGAGGCGGTTAGAGCGGGGCTACGGCGTGTGGGGTAGACAATGTGGAGTCCCGTTCCTGGGGTTGCGCATCTCCCATCCATCTCTCGGCCGCATACTGAGAGCCTGATACGCGCGCGCGCGCACACACTGACCCGTGACGGCGTACGGCGCCTCTCTGGTCTCTCGGCTTTCACAGCAGCTACCTATATAAATGATCTGGCCACCACGCGCGACGCTTTCTCAACTCCACTTCCCTCCTCCTCCTCCTCTCACTCCAAACCGCACCACTCACCACCACCACCCATCACAATGCCGCCCGCTCCAGCCTCCCGCGCGTCCATTGTGCGCCTCATGAACGCGACCGCCTCGATGGGTTGCCGTGGCTGCGGTCGTACTCACTCGTCTGCCCACTCGTGCGCTTCTGGCACACACAGCCACGGCCACACCCACGGCGCTCGCGGCATGGCCACCCCCGTCGACCTCCCCGGCCCAGACCAGAGCGAGGGTGACTATGCCTTTGAGGTGAGTTGTTTGGTCTACCCCCCTTACTCCTGCTCCCCATCGCAACGACGTTGCTCGACGCCTCTTGTGCCTCCCACACGGAATTCGGGTTCGGCTAAAATAAGCGAACCATCCATCCTCCATTGTCAACGATACAAGAGCTGACCACCACCGTTAGATGGCTGCCTCGACGCTCCGCTTCGGTACCGGTGTGACCCGCGAGGTCGGCATGGACATTACCAACATGCTTTCGCGTCTGCCTGCCGCCGAGCGCAACAAGAGCAAGATTGCCGTCTTCACTGACCCCAACATTGCCAAGCTTCCCGTCATGAAGACTGTCGAGCAGGCGCTCCAGAAGGAGGGACACAAGTTTGCCGTCTTCGACAAGATTGCGGTCGAGCCCACCGAGGACTCGTGGACTGAGGCTATCAAGTGGACTCGTGACAACGACGTCACCCACTTCCTCGCCGTCGGCGGTGGTTCGACCATGGACACTGCCAAGGCCGCCAACCTCCTCTCGTGCTACCCCGAGGCCGACATGTTCGACTTTATCAACGCTCCCGTCGGCAAGGGTACCCCCATCACCAAGCAGCTCAAGCCCCTCATTGCCGGTGAGTTGAGTTGGATATGGTTGCAGCGTTGGCGCGCGCCTGGTTGCCTCGGTCGATTCGGCCGGAGCCTGCCGCCGCGTACCCATGCCTCTTGCTCTCGTCCACCTGCATGTATACTGTAACTAACCTATCAAATAGTCCCCACCACTGCCGGTACTGGTTCGGAGACCACGGGTACTGCCATTCTTGACATTCCCTCGCGTCGCTTCAAGACCGGTATCGCCTCGCGCGCCCTGAAGCCCACTCTCGGCATTGTGGACACTCTCAACACTGCCACCTGCCCCCGTGAGGTCGCCGTCGCTGCCGGTCTCGATGTGCTCTTCCACTCGCTCGAGTCGTGGACTGCCGTTCCATACTACGAGCGTACCCCTCGCCCCGACAACCCGATCAAGCGTCCCGCTTACCAGGGCTCGAACCCCGTCTCGGACATCTTCTCCAAGTGGGCCCTTGAGCAGACCATCAAGTACCTCCCGCGTATCTTCAAGGACCCCACTGGTGACGAGGAGGCCCGCGCCCAGATGCTCCTGGCCGCCTCCACTGCCGGTATCGGTTTCGGTAACGCGGGTGTCCACCTCTGCCACGCCGGCTCGTACCCCATCTCGTCGCTCAACAAGGCGCGCCCCAAGGACCTCCAGTACCACCACCCTTCGTACAACCCCGACGTCCCCCTCATCCCCCACGGTGTCGCCGTCTCGCTGACCGCCCCCTCGGTGTTCCACTTCACCGCTCCCTCGTCGCCCGACCGTCACCGTCAGGCCTGTGCCATTTTCATGGGCAAGGAGCGCGCCCACGAGCTCGACAACGTCCGTGACGAGGACATTGGATCTGTCCTTCGCGAGGAGATCCAAAAGTTCCTCGACCTCGTCGCCGTCCCCCGCGGTCTCTCCAAGGTCGGCTACGCGACCTCGGACATTGAGACCCTCGCCAACGGCATGCTCCCCCAGCGCCGTGTCCTCGACCTCGCCCCGCGCCTCGTCAAGAACAACCAGGCCGAGGAGCTCGACCAGCTCCAGCACATCCTTGAGGGTGCCATGTCCTGGTAAACAGCCGAAAAAAGTGTCACTAGGCATTGGTGGTGGAGGTGCAGCATGACGAGAAAATAGCCTAAACAAAGATCGAGTGGTTGCGCAGTCGCCGTCCGTTTTCGCTGGTTGTTTTTGGCTGTTAGGAGGAAGGAAGAAGAAGCATGTATCAAGTCAACCGAATGCATTCATTGAGGCGAGAGGAACGTGACGGGCATGAGCGAGGCAGTCTCTCGATGCATACGGTGTCCTGCTGCTGTCCATTGGACACACTATGCTGCGGGACGCTGTGCGTCATGGGTGCCACAACCACGTGTCGCCCGCGCGCCACGTCGCAACTGACCGATCCTGGAACGCTCGCGTTCGCGATCCCATGTCCGGACACCACCCACAACCTCTCTCTTGTCGTCCATCCCTTAGACCACCTCCGACCGACCACCTCGACCGGCCATCTCACCATGCTCGCTCGATTCCGGAGAAGCGCGCTCGGCGCCCTGTCTCTCGCCCTGCTGGTTGCCAGCCCCGCGGCAGCACTCGACGTCAAGACCGTCAAGGCGCAGCTCACTACGGTTTCTGGTGTGGGTGACGTGACGCACACGTGAGTAGCTTGGACGAGCCGGTGGAATGGTGGGGCCAAGAGGACAGTGTATAGTGCTGGGCGGTGTAGTGCAAGTGTGCCAGTGGGTGTGCCAGTGGTGCAAGTCCTGGACGACCTTACCACGAATGACAACCACACCACCAGCGTCAAACGCATGTCATCTTCTCCCCTCCGTCCTCCAACGCACCAACACAGTCACTGACCTCTTCACCAGTCTCCAGCCCGGATCCACATGGCCAGAGCTCGCCCTCGGCTCGGGTGACTCTCTCCGCATCCAGCTCACCGTCTCCGAGTCGGGCTCCCCCGTCGTGCCCGCCTACGCTGCTGTGCAGTTTGTCGATGCCGACGGTCGCGATTCCGAGTACGCTGTTGGCGTCAAGGCCACCGGCAAGGCCAGCTTTGTCCTTGTGAGTAGCGAGGATGGTGCCGTGCAGCCGGGCGGGTGTCGTGAACGATCCCGCGGGTGCTGCTGCAGGAGCTGGCGTCCTTTGCACAGGTGCAGCTGCTGCGTCGTGCTCAAAGATCTCGTTGCTGCGGCTGCGCAGCTTGCTTGCTGGCGCCTCGCAGTAGCATCTGGTGTTCTGCATAGCTCCTGTGCCGCGTATAGCGTTCCTCACCCACATTTGAATGGACCATAGCTGACTCTCAGAACACCGACAAGCTCCCCAACTCGCTCCGCGCCGCTGCTTCGCCCCTCAAGGCGACCCTCCTCCTCTCCAGCCCGGGCTCCAAGCCCGTCTCGTGGGCCCTCGGCTCCGTGACCCTCCCGGCCGCCCCCGCCGACGTCACCCCTACTCGCCGTAGGCACGACCTGCCTCCTCGCGCCGGCGAGCCCGCGTTCGCCCCGCAGCCCGAGATCACCCACACCTTCCGTGTCGAGGAGAAGACCGTCGCGTTCCCCAAGGCTGCCGCCGGCGTCGCCGCCCTCGTCCTCCCCTGGGGTGTCCTCTTCTCCCTCATCGGCAAGATCTCGTCGTCGCTCCAGTTCGTCACCCCGCCAACGATGATGTACGCCCTCTTCGTCTGCCTCGTCGGCCTCGAGGCCCTCATCCTCCGCTACTGGGCCGGCTGGCGCCTGTACGAGCTCTTGGGCCCCTTTATCGGCCTGGCCGTCGTCACGGCCTATGTCGGCACGGTGGGTCTCCGCGCCGCCCGCGTGGAGCGCCTCAAGGCCGGCGGCAAGCCCTAGAGAAGAAGAAAAACAGTGGTCGTAGTAGAACAGACACACAGAGTAGAAGATCGATGCATGTCGATATTAGCAGCGTTTGTGGCGGATTGTCGGGCGCATCCTTCTCCTGACCTCCTGGCCATTATCGTACATCGTCCGTCGTCCTGACTCACCGTCAGCTGCTTGCCCTGTTACCCACAACCGTCTATTAGACCTGGTTGCAGCTTTCTCTCACCAAACGGGTCACCCACATACACTGGGGGTTGGTCTGGCCCCCGCTCATAGCCATGTTCACACATGACAGGGTGTTGAGATGGTGTTTGGCCTCTGCCACCTAAACAAACAGTGACGGGGCAGGCGACCTCGCTCAGAATATTATCCGTTCGGTTCCACGTTACAGGACAAGCCACACAGAGGTCACAGAGCCGCTGGGTGATCCTAATGCCATGCGTCCAGCTCACACAGGGCGCGCGTAATTGCGCAGCCGCCACTTGTGGACAACAAGCATAAGGGAATGGTGTTTAATAAGGAATAACCTTTGACAAAGTGGCCAGGTCTTTGAGCTGGGGTTGCTTACCCTCCCACAAGTACCGCGTCTTTCGCCATGGTCCTCATCTCAAGTCAACAGCGTGTTCCGCATCGCCATGGTAGTGGGTACAAACCCAGTAAACCTCGACAGCACAAACGACCACCGCCTGGAGTCCCCGCACAGCGATGCATGTGAAACGCAAATGCTTCCGCACAGTGGTCGCATCTCCCGTGGCGGCAGCGCGCCCATGAGGACCCACGCACAGCCCTCTCAGCTGGCTGGCACGACCTCCGTGTGCTCGGTTCCATCTTGTCGTCTTCACTCATCCTTTACACTACCACAAACCGCACCCTTCGTCGCGAGATTCCCCTCTCCCCACTTTCACCTACAGACAAGTACTGGATACTTGTCACCACACTCCCCTCCCCCGCCTCCCCCGCCCGGTCTCCTTTGCTTGCACGGATCCCTCCTGGTGGCTGGTCGACGTTTTGAGCCCAACGATTTAATCTACCCTCGGGACACTTTCGCAACAACAACTCCACAGCCCCACCTCCCCCTACTGCACACACACACTCACGCCCGCCCGCCATATGTCGCGCTACTACACTCAAGGCGCTGGCCGCCCCGACGCGGAAGAGGAGGAGATGATGGACCGCGTCGTGCCCGGCGGCTCGAGGCAGGTCCGCGGCAACACGGCCGCACACCAGCCTCTGCGTGACTCGTACTATGACGACGGGGAGGAGCGGGACCAGGGCTTTGACGTCCGCGCCGACTTTGACGGTGCCGGTCCTCGCTGGAGCGAGATGTACGGCGTGGCCAAGAACGAGACGTGAGTGGCTACATCAACTCTGGTGCGACTGAGCTAACACACAAACAGGTACCGCCCAGTGTACGACCACGATGTCGCGGCGGCGCCGATGGCGGCGTCGGGCATGGACAGCATGAAGGGCACCAACACTGGTGGCTACGATGCGTCGGAGATGGTCTCCGTCCCCGTCTTGGGTCCCGAGTGGGGCAAGGGCGAGCTCCACGATGTCTCGCGCCGTGGCCAGGACGACATCAAGGCCGAGAAGCGCCGTATGAACTTTCGCGCGTGGAGCCGCGACCAGCGTGGCATGTGTGGTATCAGCTGGATGACCCGTACGGTGTTTGTCTTTATTGCGTTCGCCTTTATCGTCGCCCTCATCCTCGTCCTCTACTTTACAATCCCGCGCGCTGTCACGTTTACGATTTACGACTCGGACCCGCTTTACGTGGACAATTCGACGCTGGTCCTCACCCGCACCCCTACAAACTTTTCGTTTAGCGGCGAGCTCCACCTCCTCGCGGACTCGTCCTCCAGCTGGATCCCTGTCCAGTTTAGCAACGCTGTCGCGACAGTGTATGACCTCGAGACCATGAAGAAGATCGCCACGGGCAACCTTGGCAAGTACAAGATGGCCAAGGGAAACGCCAACGCCGTCCGCTTCCCTATCAACTTTGCCTACGAGGCTGTCAACACGTCCGACACGACCTGGACGGACATGTACAATGCGTGCCAGTACCCCTTCAGCGGCGTGGTACGCGCCACCCTCAACTTCCGCGTCGAGATTGTCCAGAGCATCGTCGGCCTCGTCGGCCACCCAATGTCGGTCGACTCCATCACTGGTGTCACATGCCCCTTCCAGTTCAGCTCCGCGTCTTAACCTGACACGCATGAACATTGGTCCCCCCCCGCCCCCCATCTTCAACCATTTTCCCACACCCTCTTATCCCTTCTCTTCTTCCCTCGCGACCGCCACCCTCTCCCTCTCCCTCTGTCGTTATCTAAGGTCTCACGACACCGCCCCCTAGGGCATGGACTTTGCGCGTAGCGCAATCTGTACGTACACTAGCATCTGCATATTCATGATTACGCCGTGTGGTGGTGATCCGCCTTTGGCTTGAAACTGATGTGACTGATGGAACGCTGAAACTGATCACGACTGAGACGGAGGGAGACCCGAGCACATCACTCGCGCTCCCAGCACTTAACTGGGTCTGACGGCTCTTGGCATTTGGTACACTCTCTCGCATCCCCGCAACCAAGATGGAATCGCCCCCACTCCCAGAGTTGGCGTACACCGTCACCGGTACGTCCTCATGTCCCAACACCCTATCCTCTCACTAATTAATCTTGAAGGCATATTCACGGTTTGGAGTGCTGTCAAGGCCCTCGATCTCGCCCGCCCACCGGCACCCCCACCGGTACACTCACCAGCATCAAGCCCCTCGGCACCGTCGCCCTCGCCCACGCCCTCGCCCTGCACTACTGGCCACTACGGCTCCTCCCTCCCCTCCCCAGCCATGCTTGGCGCCATGCACAGCCTGCTCAACAAGGACGACACGTACTGGACCGTCACGTACAAGATCCTCCGCTCCGCTCCCCGCTGGGTGGCGTCGTTTGACAAGATCAAGGCCAAAATGGACAAGTTTGAGCAAGGCAGGAACCGGCTCGAGGTCTCGGTGTGCGAGGCGTACACCCCACAGGCACTGACCGAGTGGGGTATCCTGGTAAACGAGAAGCGGAGGAAGCTGTTGGCGTGGACGAGCGAGGATGTGCTGGAGGCAGGTGGCGAGGAGGGCACGGCTGAGGTGGCGAGCGCGGGCAGCGTGCACGAGGGGGAGGTTGCGGGCAGTGACGCAGACGACGGGTCTGTAGCGGAGACGGAGGAGTTGGCGCCTGCCGTCAAGAGGGGCAAGGCAAAGGACAAGCGCAAGAGGGCAAAGGGAAAGGGCAAGAAAGGTCGACGCGCCAGGATGCCGATTGTGGACTCGGGGTCGTCGACCGAAGTCGACGATGTGGGCGACGTGAGTCTCCAGCTGGACCTCGTTGGCGAATCCGAGACACTGCCCGTTCACGACACGCCTGCGGCACAACTCGACCCCGTCACGGACCACCTCGAGCCTACCTTGGACGGCAGCAACGCCGACCTCGTTCCCATGATGGTCGCGTTTACACCCATCGACGGTTCCCCTCTCACGGCTCCCACGTCGCCCACGGTGCCTGCCACAACTGCCAGTGAACCCATCCCGCCTCACGTTGACGCCATCCCTACTCTCAACGACCAGGCAAGAAACGGTTCCCAGCCACAAAGTCCCCAGCTCCTCGAGACAACCAACTTCTCCGTCCCGCCCTCCATCGACGAGCTCCAAGCCGCCAATGACCCGATGTACGCGGCCGAGCGCCGCCTCACAGAGGAATGGCGGATGCAATCCGACGCGGCACTCGACGCGGCACTCGAGGCCACCCTCAACGACCTGCAGGCCAGGTGGGACGCGACACGGCTCCAAGCGGAAACGCTGCGTCAAGACGGACTGCACAGGCTGCACCTGGAGGAACAGCTGATCCGCTTTCTGGTCCACTTTATGAAGACGGTCAGCAGGCAGGTCGAGCTGGTCGAGGGGTGTGAGCGGGAGATGGCGCGGATCATTACTGTCGAGAGGTACAGGTCGGATCGGGAGCGTCAGGAGGAGGAGGAGGCAGGTAAAGAGGAAGAGTAAGCAGGACGGCCATGATGAAGCGTAATATACAAGGCTGGTGCATGGTTTGAACGATAAACGTACACTCTCGAGTCCCCCCTGGTTCCGTTGTTCACCTTGGTGTGGCTGTACCGGTCCGCGATCGCTCTTCCTTCCCGCTCACCCACTTGCGCACCGCGTGTCTACTCTCTGAAAGCACCCACGCACGACGCCAGCGGTCTTCCTTGGCGCGCTGTTCATCCTCGTTCGTGTCCGTGTTTCCACTTCCATTCGAGTCGTCGCTGTAGTCGCCCAGTCCCCAGTCGCGCCACAGCTGCATGACCGTGCCGCAGCACGGCCAGATGTCGTCCCACGTCACGTCGAAGAGGAGGTACCATCCCTCTGGGAGAGGGATGCGGCGGAGTCGGGTGGCCAAGAGGATGGACATGACTGCCAGGACGTGGGTGGGCTGTTGAGCGTAGAGTGGTGTGAGAAGGCTGATGGGTTAGCTACAATGTAGACGAATTCGTACCCACGCATCGTTTAGAATAGACCAGCAGAGCTGCGCTACGCCCTTTTCGAACACGAGGTCGAGAATCCTCAGGTAATTGATAACGTGTGAGTAGGGAAGGTCAACCTGGTGGGTCAGGACGTTCGAACTAAGATACCCACCTGCATGTTGAAGCCAAGACGCTTTAGCAACTGAGACTCGTTGTACTGGATAGCCTCTTTCCCTGGTATGTCAGCCCCATTTTGCAAAGATACTCACATTCCCAAAACACGGTGCTGTGAAAGCTCGGCACGGAAAACGCGAACCCGTCCCAAACCTCTGCACGCTGTTTGCCCTTGTCGCTGCCCGAGCGTGAGGACCCAGCCAGCTGAGACAAGGGTGCACCGGCAGGCTGAGCGAGCAGATGTTTTATGCGCGCGTGGAGGTACATGTATGTGTTGATCAGGTCACGCATGCGGACGGGCGTCTCGTTAAGTTTGGTTGCGAGGTACAGTGCCGAGACGGAGAGGTCCTGACTGGGTTAACTCCCGCTTACAGTTCGCGATCTTAACACCCACGTTGACACCAAAGGACAGCATTGACGAAACGTAGAAGAAGCGGTGGAAGATGACCTGCGCGGTGGCCATGGTGCTTTGAGGACTGGGATGTTAGAAGCGAAGGGCAATGACCCAGGGGCTCACAGTTCGAGCAGGATGCCGGCTTCTTGGATCATCATGCAGCCGGCGACGCGGAGGTCAGACTCGACGTCGGCAGGGATACCATCCTGGGCCGACGGGTTTGACACGATCTGCTCCACCGTCGCCAGCGGATGGGGCGGGCGTGGTGTTGGCGGCATTGGTTGTGCTTTGAGAAGAATGTTGTGAACGGCAAAGCGTGACCACAAAGGGTGATCCACCTCCACTCTGTGTACCCGCTTAATCTGGGATAAAATGGGTGAAAAGTGAGGGATTTTAAATAGGCGGGCTTAGGCGCTTAGGGCCCAGAGGTTGAGATTAAGAACATCATTAGGAAAACGCCACCTTGGGTGACGGCGACAATTAGGAACGGCCTAATGAGGTGAACCACAGACACCCAACAACGACCACGACAACAACACCGACTACATATGGTCTGAAGATTACATGCACAACAATACAACCTCATAATCCCCGTGGAAACCAGTGCACCAGCTTGAGCCCATCCGCCCCAGCTACTTGTGTGCCGCACATGGTCCGTCTGACATAACCTGTGACGTTTTGAAGCCTGGCGGCGTGGCGGGGGATGCTACACACGGGCAGCGCCGCGGCGAGCTCCCACTGCTGCTGCTACATCCGCGCGTGGTGGGTTCGAATCGCTGGTATCAGTCGTGCGGCCTGGCGACATGGCCTCGTCGGTCCATACCCACTCGTTCCGCTGGTGATCAGAGACGAATGCCTCGCTCCTTGTATCATGCGACAAGGCGTCCAGCTGTCGCTTGTGCCGCACCAGCGGGTCGTATTTTTCCAGGAGCTGATAGTCCAGTGGCACCGGGTCCAGTGGCCGGGCATCCACCAGCGGCGTGTAGCACAGGTCCATCGCCGCACGACAAAAGTCCAGCACGGCGTCGCGTGGAGGGATACGATCGCGGTGTCCCAAGTCGCGCAATTGACGGCCTGCAAGGATGTATGCGAGATAGATGTAGCCGTTGGACTCTTTCTGCCACTGGTCAGGCGTTGGCGATGACATGCGGTGCGGCCACTGGGCTTGGTTACTGCAGCGTCAGCCAGGTACTAGCCAGCCGACGTACAGCTCGTATGCCTTATCAAAGACCGCCAGGTTGAACATGGCCGCGTCTACGGCGTCCCAGTCATGTGCCTCCGTAGCACGCACCCATTCGGCGCTTGCGTCGCGCGCCGCCCAAAGAACACGCGCACTTTTTCGAGCGACCGGGTCGACGTAATAGTTGAGGCGGTGATATTCGGTGCGCGGGAAATGTTCGGTGATGGCTTGCGCGTGCTCAGAGGACATGGGGGTGACGTGGTGTAGAATTCCGCAGTTCTGGTGTCCCATACATGTACTACGCGACTGAAGTCACTGCAGTGGGCTGCATGGAGGATGGGGGTCTCAAGACGGATAATGGAAGATGTAAAGTGCACGATGGATCGGTGACAAATGTCCAGTTGGGTGGCGACAACAAGGAGTTTGAATGCTTTACGTAATACCTGACGATAACACCATCTGTAATCTTGGGATAAAATGGATGAAAATGCGAGATTTTAAATGCAGCACTGGGTGGCCACGGCTGGCAGCGACGCGCACGATCCATCCACCCAAAAGTTGAACCCTTCGTGCTCGATACCATACCCTTTCCCTTCGCCACCCCCACAACCCCAATACACACATAGACAACATGTCCGACGACGACTGGGGTGCGTAGTCCTATTGGCGATAAATGGCGCTGGTTTCAACCGTGCCGCTCGCGTGACCCACCATGCTGACACTTTCGATCAGATGTTGACGAGACCGTTGCCTCGGGCACCTCGACCCCTGCCCCCGTGGCCCTCCCCAAGCCTACTGCCAACAAGTGGGCCGGTGAGGACGAGGTGGGTATCCATATAGGATGCTTTGGGAGCTCAATCTGACGCGATAGGATGACTGGGATGTCTCGGACAAGGAGGAGGCCAAGCCCGCGGCCAAGCCCAAGACTGTGACCGCTGCTCCCATCAAGAAGAAGATGACCCTCAAGCAGAAGCTCGCTGAGAAGGAGCGTCTTGCTGCCGAGCCGGTAAGTTGCTGGTTGTTCTGGACCAAGCTGGGTCCTACGGTAGAGCCATCGGAAAGAAGGCTGTATTGTTACTTGGTCCCTGTGCTTCGGCCGAACAGACGATTGTTCCCGGATGAGAGAGCTGCTTGCTGATGGGCAGCGCGACGCCGGTGACGACCTTATGGACGAGCGTACCGAGCAGGACAGGAGGCGAGAGGCCCGCGAGAGGGAGCTCGCTGCCGACCTTGCCGTCGCCTCGGACCTCATGGGTGACGTTGAACTTGACTCTGGTGAGTGGCAAGAGTGCCAGCAAGTCGAGATACAACGTGCTGCAGCGACGTGCTGCAGCTTGTGTGTCCCCGCAAGCACCCCATGTCCAACTCTCATTAACCATTTCCCAGGCGCGGCCCTCAAGGCTGCTCTTACGGCCAAGCCTACCACCAAGTCCGACTTTGCCGAGCTCTCGAAGAACATCATCGCCGCTATTACTTCCAAGCACGAGGCTAACCCCCTCTATGCCGCCTTTGTGGAGCAGTTTGGCAAGGATCTCTGCGAGAACCTCACTGCCGTTCAGACCCGCAAGGTCTCGAGCGCTCTCAGCGTCCTCGGCAACACCAAGCAGCAGGAGGAGCGTGACAAGGCTAGCGGCAAGAAGAAGGTGAGTTTAGCTGCGACCCAGGTTGGAGGTCATCCCGCAAGCCGTGGCCCAGATGTCGATACGCTGTCATTCATGTGCTAACACTCCCAGGGTGGTGCTGCTAAGCCCAAGCTCGGTGGTGCCAAGACCATCACCAAGATTGACGTTGAGGCTTACGACGACGTCCTCTCGGACGACGACTTCATGTAATCTGGCGCCAGACCCAGCATCCACACATCTGCGCGCCAGCTCACGTCTACGCTTTCTTCACACGTTTTCGCCGAGCTTGTATCCCAACTGCACGCCTCGCCGCCATCCATCTGCCTCGAGAGCATTTATGATTGTAGGAGATTTCGTCATGTAGAGTGATACACTACAGCATGCGAGGAGCGGGATTGGTGATGATAACAAGGCCGCGTGACCATGAGAGCCCCAGGCTCTACAGTTGACACGCTGCTCTACTGCTCTGCTCCAGGCCTCACGCACAAGACCTGGTGAATGCAGTGTCTACCGACGACTGTGTCTGTCTGCAAGGAACAGTGCAGAACGTCAGGATGTCTGTCGAGGGCGTCGTGTCGAGCGCATCGTGTCTGTGGCCTGTGAAGGTGCTTTGGCGCTCTGGCGTGCTGGCTGGAAACGGAGAACGCACTGTGCGCCGGTGTGGGCCATCATGATGGGCGCTGTGTGCGTTTCTCGCTCGGCGGGAGCAAAATGCCACTGGGCCCGTCGCCACCCAAGAGTGCATTACCTAATCACATCTGCCTCGTTCTGACGCCACCCGCACACCATCAAGTGTCGTCCACTGCCTTCACTCTTCTATCCACCCTCTTAACAACAGGTAAGCATACCGGCACAATCTGGAGCAAGTCACGGGCATGAGCTGATACCGTTTCTTCCCAATCGTGTACTCGTTGTGACTGCTCATAACTGGACCATCGACGGCAACTACCCTCCTATACCGAACGCCCTCGTCTGTCGTCTGCTTCTTCCATTGTCTTCCTCTCGCGAGCAGGCGACGCACTCATCATGGCTCTGCCGAAGCGTATCCTCAAGGTGAACTCTTGGAATGCCGCACTCTACAATGTCAGAGCTGACGCTGTCTCCTCCGCTGTTCGCGACGGCTCCCTCCAACGTGCATCACCTGACCACTGCTATCGCCCCTTCCCCTCTTCCTCGACTCCACCTTCCTCCTAATCGCCTTATCATTACCCTCATACCCCCCGCAAACCCTACAGGAGACCGAGCGCCTCATGGCCGACTCGCCCCCCGGCATCACCGCTGCTCCTCACGAGGACAACCTCCGTTACTTTGACGTCACAATAGCCGGCCCAGGGCAGAGCCCGTACGAGGGTGAGTAAGAGCTAGAACTGCTGGTGGAAGTGTGGCAGGTATGCCGAGCAGGCTCCTAGCACCTGAGTTGCCCAGTGTCGACGCGACTCTTGGCTAACAAACACCCCAGGCGGCATCTTCAAGCTCGAGCTCTTCCTTCCCGAGGAGTACCCCATGAACCCTCCCAAGGTCCGCTTCCTGACCAAGATCTACCACCCCAACATTGGTAAGCTACGAAACGCCCGTTTTCAAAGCTGACACTGCCAGACAAGCTCGGCCGTATCTGTCTGGATATTCTCAAGGACAAGTGGTCGCCCGCCCTCCAGATCCGCACTGTCCTTCTCTCGATCCAGGCCCTCCTCGGCGCTCCCAACCCCGATGACCCCCTCGCCAACGACGTCGCGCAGGCGTGGAAGGAGGATGAGAAGGCTGCCATTGCCGAGGCCAGGCAGTGGACTCTGAAGTGGGCCCAGTAAAGGGGTAGCGGACGTAAGGAAGACAAGACTTGTACCCTACAATCTACAATGTAGACACCTGGCGTCAGTTCTGGCATCGCTTGCCCTAGTCAATATGATACGGGTGTGGATACATGGGTGTAACTGTCTATAAAAAGTGATGGTGGTGATGGGGTTGCACTACCAAAAATTGTCCTTGGGTTGCTGGTGCTCTCAGCACAGCATTCTAGTATCCGCCTGGTCCGCTCTGGTCCGCCTCGCGAGGCCGTGAAGGCCCTCCGCGGGCTGTTCCGTCTGTTGCGCTTGGACGACGCGACTCGCTTCCACGGTCGCGTCGGCGTGCGCGGCGGATAAGGGCGAGATAGCGGGCCGTGACGCGCGGTTCGCTGCCACGGCGGGTAGGCGTCGTCTCGTCGTCGTCGCTAGATTCGGCCGCCTCAATGTCGACTTCGGGGTTGAAGTCTGGGCAAGTTAGCACACAAAGGCTCCCACTCTGTGCTCTCACCTTTTCTGCACAACGGGCAACTGGTCGATACTTTCAAGAGCCACGGGTCGACACAGACCTGGTGGAACTTGTGCTGGCCCTGGCATGGCAACACACGCAAGTCGTCGCCAGTCTCAAACTCGAGCAAACATATAGGACACTGGTCGTCCCGTACGTCTGGCTCGGCTATCAAGGCAGAGCTCCGTGGGGATATCGGTGGGGATAAACCCAACGTGCTCGGCGGGCCCGATTCAAGTTCGCGCGTGAGCGTGCTACTGGCGGGACCTGGTCGTGAGAGGTCAGGTAGCGCGATGCCTAAATCACTCTGCGATCCAATATCCTTGTGAATGGGCTTGTTGAACTTGATAATGGGGAAAGTGTCGACAATGGCCTTGGCCAGACCCACACGCCGGGGTGGACCAGTCTGCTGGTTCATGCCGCCGCCAGGAATGTAGCGCCCTCTGGTGGGTTCAAGGGGCTGAAGGGAGCGACGAACAACGCTGAAAACGGTAATGCACACCATGGCACTCATGAAGCCTGCCACGACGTATGCGGCAATGAGGCCCTTGCTTTTGGTCGAGCCAGAAGCGTTGGAAGCCGCCGGGGTGGGTGACGATGTTGATGCAGGCGCCGTACCTGTCCCTCCAGACACTGCACTTCCATTTCTGGCCAAGATAACACCGCCGAGGTACGAGTCGTGCGTAAGTGAGGTGCCGGTGAGAGTGGAGTTGACATCATTTGACGTCGTGTTGAGAAGTGTTCCGTTGTAGGTACTGAATGTCGAGTTGGTCTTTTGTGAGAATTGCGAATTGTAGAGCTGAGATGTAGACAGAGTTGACGTCGCAAACACATCCAAGACGTGGTCAAAGTATTCAATGTACTCGGAGTTGAGGAGGCAGGCGGATGAGGTGAGCGAGTATAGGATGGCGGCAACGGCACCACGGTCACGAGCAAGTGTGAAAATGTCTGCCAGTCAGTGAGTGACACATGTGAGAGGCACAGCAAGACTCACCGTCTTCCATACTGGCGTTGGTCTCATTATTGTCGCACGAGACCCAGGCAATCCATGGTGTTGCGACATTTCCCCAGATACCAGCGCTGGCTTCTGTGAAATGGACGACTGCGCCGCTAAACGTTGTGCCATCGTTGGTATCAGAAGAGAGCTGGTACGAGCTTTGCTCAGTCAGTATTTATAGATCTCTAAGCATCACGGCCAGAGCATCAACCCACAGGAAACCGCCGTACGTTCCAGTAGGGTGGGACCAGTATAGGTCAAATGGGCTTGACGCTGTGAGGTTGAGTGCGCTTGTATCGTTGACCGGTACGGCTGGGATATACGCCGCAGCTGGGAGCGCGTTGGCGACGAGAGCGACGACGCCAAGGAGGGCCGACGCGATCATCGCGTAAAGAAGGGCAGATGCCGTAGATAAATAAGAAAGGATGTGTTGTTGAAAGAACAGGTAACGGAATCACTCGCGTTGGGTGGGAAGTGGGGGGGACTGCGGCGGAGTTGCAGGAAAGCGATACACAGAGTCTCGGGGGGCGGTTGGGATACACACGACGCAAAAGCCCAGTGCCGACGATCAGAGCTGAGTTCCCGTGCTACGCATGTCGTTGTGCAGTTGGGTGCAGCAGCAGTGGCGTCGGCAGTGTGCAGCGGGGACTGAGAACGAGTTGTTGTGAGGAAGAGGATGTGAGAAAGGTGGAGGTTGGATTCGCGTTTCGACGGCCTAAAGGTCCATAATGGGAATTAACTTGGGAGTTGTAATTGGCGGCGGGAGTATAATCCTCGTTTGATCGCGCTTGGCGACAACCTGGAAACCGTGTCTTGTTCTGCTGATATGATGCATGCAGGGCTGCCGTGCGCCGTGAACCCGAGGAGACGCATTGTTACAGGCACGATACCGATGGGTCCAGTGAAACTTGTGGAACCATGGCCACAGGAGTTGGCCTCACCAATTACGACGCCTGGTAAACAATGCCGCATGCCACTGGGCTGTGGGTGGTGACATAGGTGCGACCTGAGCAGCTGTGGAGAGTGAGGCAATAGGCTTGAAGCGAGTGTGTATCACACACAACGGGTGGGTTGGAGTCTCTATGACAGACATCCCTACGTCAGACATTGTCAGTAAGGGCGTCGGACGACAAAAGACAGACTGAAATGCGTGTGTGTAGAGATGCCTGTGGCAGGGAGAGTCATGGTGGTGTACAGCTGTCGTGGTGCGTCTCTACAAGTGTAAGCTCGGAATCCTCAGCATCGCATGGTATGCGATTCCTCGCTAACGATGTGTAACATGTTTGAAGCACCTGCGGCATACTGGACTGTTCCCGCCTCTGTCTTGCAGATGGCTGTGGCAGCGCCGCTTATGCCCGTTGTATATCTCCACTTTCATACCCTATCCTTGGTAACCTCTGCAAGAACCATCCCTCGGCTGTTGTGACACTTTGAGGGCAGAAGCCTAATAATCCCCAGTGATTTGTTTGATTTGCCCTTTGGTATTCAAGCCCATGCTGTGAGTGTCAGTCCTCTTGTGCTAAATGCAAAATCGGATGAGGCCCTCGGCCATGAAGCCTCCATTGCACTGTCCAAGGCTACTTGGAGACTTCTGGAACAACTTCTAGAGATGGAACCGGACTCATAGCAGGTGGTGAAGTGTGGCCTACTGTACTGACCAGCAAAGGCACAGTCACAAGGTCAAATGAGTCGCTTGCCGGACGTTTTCTCATCCCGACTTCGTGACTCTGAAATGATATCAGCACTCTCTTCATTTTTGGGACATCCCATGGTAGACAGTCAACACCTGCTGCAACCAGAGGGATCTGACTTTACTCCGGTCCTTTACTGGGGAAGGCGATAGCTGACAACGTCTACAAGTGACTCATAAAAACAATCCGCCGACATTTCCCAGGATTTTTGCGACATTTTCCTTTGAGCTTTTGACCAGGCAGAATATGCGATAAAAAACCTTGTCGCGTTTAACTACAAGGGCCACAGACAGGCGATGAACGCTGAAAGCTGGGTCTTCCATTACCAGGTTGACCGTTGACATGTCCTCGATTTTGTCCCGATTTTGTCCTCTCGTACTTCAAAGTCTTGGCCAGGAGGGACCATAACAGCACCCGCTTACCCAACGCTTACCCTTGAGATTCCACAATTCCAGCCGGGCCTCAACCGTCTATGCCGCGTTGCAGAAGAGGCTCGCATCATGTCGCCACGACGTCCTGCGTGTCCTGGTTGGGGCTTCGACAAACGTCTCGTCCGCTCCGCTGTCCGCTGGATAAACAAAGCTGGGCGGAAAAACCAGTTCCGCCAGGCACCATCTGTGCAGCAACGACCAACTCGACGCATGCCCACACTTTTCCATTTACCACATCCTCTGCTCCAAACATGACCCGCACACTTCCACTGACATACCCGGCGCCCGTCCGTCGCCTTACGGACCCCTCTCCCGCTGCCATCGAGGCCGCAGCGGTCACCCTCGTCGCCGCCTTTGACAATCCGACGACGCGCGCGTGTAACGGCGAAGCTTCCGAAGGCATCGATATTGTTCGACAGCGGGCGACTCTTATCGAAGCGATCATAGATCCACGTATGGAAGTGCTCGTGATTGAAGAAGAGCAGGACGTGGCAGCACTCGTGTTCATCATCCCGCCAGAGTTTAAGCGGAGGCCGTGAGTTGTGCTGCTCGTGCGCAAACGCTGACTTTAGGGTGGACTCTCTGGCACCTCACAATGCCGCCCTCGCCGCCTTGGTGACCCCCGAGCTCGAGGCAGTGGGCAAGAAGGTAGGCACATCTCATTCGTTGAATGAGAGCTGACGCTACTTAGCTTGACACAGCTCTTGCACAACTGAAGCTCGACACATTCGGCCCCGCTGTCAACGAGATGTACTCGATAGGCCGACTGGCTACTTCCCCAGGGCACCAGCGCAAAGGGTTGGGTAGGATCCTGCTAGACGTGATCCTGGATCGGGCGAGGAACGAGAACAGAGACATTGCACTGGTGACGCCCACACCGTCGGTTCGCGACTGGTACCTGCGTATGGGTTTCCATATCCATGGAAAGCTGGACATTGAGTTGAGGGGTACGGATACGACCTGGTGGGCTATGAGCACGAGGGCCAAGGTGTAAGGTGGAGTTAGGGTGATGGTCATAGAGGTGTAGATGGAGTGTGCTTGAGCGATTAGAGGTGCACTGTTCGGTAAGATGAGAGGTATAGGCAGTGCCAACCGTACAGAGTATTTCGGAACTGCGATTAGAGACCCCTTTGCCCGCGTGCCAGCGATTGTTGTTCGTCACATTGGTCTCTACATCACCACATTTGAGCTGTGAAGAGGTTTACTGACGATCTCTTGGGGGTCTTGGCCAACAGCATGCAGGCCCTCAGGAAACAAGCAGCAGCAGGGTCACAAGTAACAGTGGGCCGTGTCCACCCCTCATGCTCGTCACTGATCACTGAGGGCCGTCGTTCCAGGGCAAGGCCTTCTTTATGCCCTGACAAGGGTTCGAACGAGGACCGCTTCAAAAGGATTTTGACTCTTAATCTGTAGGATTCGTGAGATCCTCGTGAGAGCAGAATCCAACAGATTAGGAGTCATAAACCAGAACCAGGAGATCGGCGGCGTTTATTAAACCCATTTACAAAATGTTCATTACTTTTTCAATAATGGTCATTTTAAATGACAGCGCATCTTCGCTAGTATAATGGCTATTATCCCTGCTTTTCATCAGTGAGCGCAGAAGATCGGGGTTCGATTCCCCGGCGGAGAAGATGAGTGAGCGAACAGCTCCAGAAACCTTTTGGGCCCGGCGGGAGGGATCACCTTACGCCTGTCGTGCGCGGGGTACCCATATATTTTAGCTACCACTCTTGCCCTATGCAGCGCACAGAGGCCAGAGGTGACCTTTTATGAACCTCCAAATCAAATCGGCCAGTGGAAATTGCGCGACCCGGCTACTCGTCGAGTCTGGAGCCTGTTTTGAATTGCCTTGTGTGGTCGATGCGACGACTACAACCTTGATTGTAATCTGGGGACAGTAACTTCGCAGTGGCATTGACTATCGAGCACTGCATACATGTCCGTAGCTCCTCGTCGACGTCCATGCACCAGATCCCCAACACCGCCGCCTCATCGCGAGGGCCACTGCCACTGGAAAGCTATGTCCGCCACACGCACTTTGTATCAAATGCCACATCATTACCACGTGTTATGACGAGTGCTCGCATGCACGCGCCGGCACTCGTGAATGTCAGTGACCTCGGTGGATCAGTGCAGTGGTCGTCTATCTTTGCCACCTAGCCTCTCCGCTTCCACAACAACGTTCAAAGAGTAAGCCCAAGCATGCTGCAAAGCTAACACCCAGTGGCCTCGCTCAGCTCCAGGCGGCTCAGTACGTGTCCATATCAGGCATCCAACTGACCTCATAGTGAAGGAGCTTGCCGACATCAAGGGCAACGGCACGCCAACAGGCATTGCGCTCGTGTCGGCAGACAACATGGAAGAATGGGTGTTCACCATCCAAGTTCTGGGAGACGAGACAGTGTACAGGGTGAGCCCATCACGTCAAGCATAGCTCACACTCCAGGGAGAGACGTTTGCCCTTCGAATCCGCTTTGGTGAACGATATCCAATCGAGTATCCAGAGGTAACCTTTCTCGCCCATGGCCAGTACAAGCCGCCCATGCACCCACACGTGTACACGAATGGTCACATCTGTGCCAGCATCCTCGGTAGGTGTGAGCGAGCGTGCATCGCTAAAACTCCAGGTCCAGAATGGTCACCTGTGCTCAACGCGGTGAGCGTGTGTATTACGATGCAGTCGATGCTGGCGTCGTGTAAGAAGAAGGAATGGTGCGTGTATGCCGCTGGGCCTCCAAGACGGCGCCTCTTCCCACCAGTACCTCCCCAGCTGACACCCTCTAGGCCTAAGGGAAACGACTCTTACGTCGCCCGTGCACCCGCCAACCCAAAGCACACGCGGTGGGAATACCACGACGATGTCGGTGAGCTGTTGTGGACCAACGATCTGACATCCGCAGACGGTCTAGATGCGGAACACGCACCTCATGCACACGAACACGCACCCCCCTCGCCGCTTATGCGGAGCGCCCGACGACTATCCGGTTGTCTCCCGGCGCAAACACTTTAAACACTCTTCCTCCCAACTCATTCTTTGTGAACGACCCTTTGTCGTGTTGTAACACTCTGTAGTGGCCCGTATAAACTCATTCGGTCCTTGCTCCTCTGCTAGGATCATTATGTCATAACTGATACAATGTGTATGTGGGGGTTTAGGGCTTTTGTATCTTAGCGCGCGAGACTGCCCAGTCGCGCGAGCGAGTCCTCGGAGACCTCGGCTAGGAATTGTCAGCTGACTTACGGCCGCTTTAAGCTCACCTTCCTCGATCGCGTCACTCTGGGCAACAATCTTGAGTACGGCCTTCTTTGATGATTCTTGCAGCTCGCCAGCAATTATCAGCTCGTCGAGGATCTGAGAGTGTCAGTGAACCGTCGAAAGAGCGTCTGAAGAAACCAAGGGTGGCCGTCTCGGGCAGCACGCACCGCATATGCCTTCTGGAAGTTGAAGATGAGGTCGAGCTCGCACACCTGGAAAGAGTCAGCTTGAGGGGAACGAACTCCGCGACACAGCTACTCACATTGCCAAAGTACCGGTCGAGAACCTCGACGTAGCGGTGAATGACCTCGAGGGTGATGAGCTCGTTGTCACTAGGGGTGATCGAGGTGATGAAGAAGAGCGACGCGTAGCGGCGGTAGATGACCTTGGTGTCTGAGACTGTTAGCACAAGGACAAGCGACCTTGCAAGGGTAGCACGAGGCCAAGCATTGGCGACGTGGGACTAGCTGCAGACACCAGCTGTAGCAATCCCACATACGAGCAGCTGATAACGCGACCGAGACGGGGTGGACCAGGCAAGTCGCCTTCCCTCTCCACTGCACCTCCTACCGCACCACCGACGCCAGACTCACCCTTGTACTCCAAAAAGTTGCACATACGCGTCCGGCGCGCAAGCACAAGCTGTGTCACGTCCTTGACGATCTTGGCCTTGTTCTTGGAAGGGAGCGTCTGGAACCACTTGGCAAGGCGGACCTTGCCTGAGCAAAGTGTGTCAGCAAAAAGCACAAGCGGAGCACGCGGCATGCAGGATCGCGCTGCAGTAGCGCTTTGATACTCACCTTGCCGGCTCACGAGCATGACAAAGTTGATCATGGTGGATGGTGGGGACGATGGCGATACACAAGAGAGATGACAAGAGGTGACGAGCTGGTGAATGCGCGCGGAGAGAGTGGGTCGTCGTGTCAGGGTCCTTGTCGCGTGCATTTCGCGTGGCCGTGCTGCGGGCGGCGGATGTTGACGACATCGAGCTCGAGGTCAACCCCGGTTTCAGCATTGCCCGTACGCTCTCAACACGCACACTCCACAATGACAGACGTGGAACATGGAGTCCTCCCACCAGAACAGTCGCCGGCCGACGAACTGCGCGCTCTCATGGGCCGGGAGACGGCCAAGACGCGTCTTCGCCGCTTAGCAGTGAGTGACAGAGGCAGCTGAAGGGGTGTTCATGGGAAGCTGACTTGCCAGAGCCATGCTGCACCTCCATTCAACCCGGTCTGCACGCACACAACACCCACATCTTGTCGCGAGCACAGCGGCGAGGTCTGCAATCGTGCACACTTTGAGCCCCTCATGAGGCCCTACACCGATCCAGCCCTCGGATACTGTTCCTACTTGAACATGTGCTATGGTGACCCCATGTTCGCCGGTAACCCCAGCCTGGGTGAGGGATCCGGCGGGCGTGGAACCAAGGAGTGCAGGTGAGTTGAACACCACACATGTAGCCGTCGCTCACGACCCAGGTATCTCCACTTTCAAGTGTCGCCAGCGGCGGAACGCACCTCAGTGCCGCCACCCATCCCTGCTCCGCTGGCTTTGCCATCCTCGGCCGCTTCGCTGCGTCCGGCGGCCGTAACGGCCCCAGCACAGTGGATCAACTGCGATATCCGTTCGTTTGACTTTAGTGTCTTGGGCCAGTTTGGCGTCATTGTCGCGGACCCGCCATGGGACATTCACATGTCGGTGAGTCGGCTGCGAGTTCCGCCATCTTGTTAGCTGACCAGCAGCTGCCGTACGGAACCATGACGGACGACGAGATGCGCAACCTCCCGCTCGCCTCCCTCCAGCCGGACTGGGGAATCCTCGCGCTGTGGGTTACGGGCAGGGCCATGGAGCTCGCGCGCGAGTTGCTCGCTGGGTGGGGGTACCTCCGCGTCGACGAGCTGGTGTGGCTCAAGACCAACCAGCTCCAACGCCTTATTCGTACCGGCCGCACTGGCCATTGGCTCAACCATACCTGCGAACACTTGCTTGTGGCCCTCAAGCGACCGAAGGACTGGCCAAGGGACAGACCCGTGCCGTGGGATGAGGACCCGGCACTCAAGAAGCTCCATCGCGGGGTGGACACGGATGTGGTTGTCGCAGAGGTTCGGTGAGTTGCTCAGTTTAGGGAAGCCGCGCTGACAATGCAGGGAGACATCACGCAAGCCAGACGAGACGTATGGTGTTATCGAGCGACTGGCACCACATGGCCGGAGACTCGAGCTGTTTGGCAGAAAGCACAATATCCGACCTGGATGGCTTACACTTGGAAACCAACGTGAGTTTCAAGACGCGCGCCTTCGATTACTAAATAGACAGTTGGCGACTCGCAGGTTGCAGAACCCGACCTCCATGCGCGCCTGACAGAACGCTTCCCTCAGCAAAAGTTTACGCTGGTTGTATAGTTTGTATGCATAGTGACGTGTCGTGACGTTGTGGTAGTGGTATCGCGGTGCTGGATATAAAGACGCTCTTCTTCTCCTTTCCTTTCTACTCTGTCTTGATCTCAACCCTCTGAACTGCCCGCTCAATCCCTTCGGTCGCGTTACCGTCGGCAACTCGCAACTTGCGCTCGAACATGGGGATCGAGCGCTGGCCTTCAGGTGCTTCGCCACCAGCCATTTGAGTTGTGCGCTGCAAATGTCAGTTTATGGCCCAGGCCGATCAACTCACGACTGCGGCGCGATCGAGACCACTCTCGAGGCCTTGGAGGAGAGCGCACGCTTTCTGTCGGGTCAGCATACGACGTATGTCTTCGAAACTCACGCAAAGGTCGTTGCTGGAAAGGTACCCACAGCGCTTGCAGGTTTCTGAAGGTTAGCTCGAGCTGGCGAGGTTCTGAACCTACGCATCGCCTTCATGGACCTCTGCGTGGCCTGGTCTAGAACAAAGCTCTCTCCTGAGCGGATAATGTCGACAATAGCCGATGGGCGGACGGCCTCGAGGTCCTTGAGGAAGACGCGCGCGTAGCCGCGGTAGGCTGAGGTGTGAGCAGGACGTTGAGAGAGTCGCGGTTAAGCCATAAACGGAAATTCACCTTCAGGAGAGTAGATGCATTCCGTCGAGAAGTAGGTGAGCTTCTTAAAGTAGGCATACCTGTAGAGTAAGCGTTTGGCTGTGGCAAGGACACTCACATGACAATTTCCTTTTCATACGCATACTTGAATGGCTTGGACCGCTTGATAGTATCCTCGGACTGCGTCGTCACGGCCGTACACCTCTGCAGGCGAGCAACGTCACCACGGAGAACTGAGAGTCAGTGCTGGATTATGGCTCAACTTTCAGCACGTACTGTTCATCAAGACAGTCTCGGCAATGTCATCGGCATTGTGGCCTGTCACAATATGGTCCACTCCAAGACCGGCGGCACCGCGGTCGAGCGCCTGGCGACGGAACACGCCACAGAAGGTGCAGTTGTTGCGTTTTCCGACTTGGTCGACGACCTTGTCCATTGTCCATCCGTAGAGCTCGTCGTAGGACAGAATCTTGAGCGGGAGGCCGTACTCGGCCTGGTTTTGCTTGACGGTCTGGGGGTTAGCGGGAAGCCGCAGGAGGGTGGAGAAGGAAGGCAGGGAACAAAGGAATCAAAGGCATTTTGGCAACAGACGCGGTGACTTTAGAGTGTTTTGGACACCGTCTTCTGAGGTCCAGACCCGCCGGCGGCACTCACCTCGAGCGAGTCGTCTCGGTATCCCTTGATGCCCTCATCGATGGACAGCAAGTACAGGTCGAGGCCATAGTCGTATCGCCTGTTCAGCACCGTAAGGACGTGTGCAAGGACCGTCGAGTCTGATTGTCAGTGACCTGTAAGGAAACGATAAGGCAACCCACCCTTGCCTCCACTGGCACCAATGGCGACCTTTTCTCCTCGCTCAAAGATGCTTCCTCCACCTTGAGCTCCCTGCGTGATGGTAATGTGGACCTCTTCCTCGAACACGTCAAAGAAGCACTGCTTGCAGACTTGCTGTCCTGTCTTGGGCCTCTTCACAAGGGCACGTGCTGTTGTGCAGATGCTGCAAAGCGTCGGCATGGTGGTGATGTGGTGGTGGTGGTCGCGGTGGTAGTGGAAAGTTGAGTTATTTGGGTGGCGACAAAGTGACAGCTGTATCCCGGTGTCCCCGTATCCCACAACGGGAATCGAAGGCGTGCCACACTGGGTTTTAGCGATAGCGGGCCTAACCGCACGCCTGTGTGGTCGTCGGTTGCCGCCATGCCGCCAGGCAGCCGTTCCTGCCCGGTTCCGTCATTGATGATCGCCTGTCAACCTCTCCAACTCCCACCACCACCTCAACCCGTCGCCCACTTGACATTTCATTCTTCCACTACCCGTCAGCATGGCCGCCCCCTCCTCGCCGCGAAGCGGCCTAGGAGACAGCGGCTTCACTCCCACCTCGACTCCCGCACCTCCACTCGCAAGCGACGCCCAGCCGCTCCCCCTCGCGTGCGCGTGCCTCAACATCACGATCGCCGCTCTGGCCGCAGATGATCTCGTTACGCGCATCGCTGCTGCACCTTCTCAGTCATCTTCTGAAGATGATAAGCCTGCTGTCGCGCCCCCATCCAGTTCTCTCACTGGACGGGTACAGGTGTGGCTGCCTGAGAACACCGAGACTGTGGTGAGTAGCTCCAATCGCGGCCGTTCAGTTGTGGAGTGGAGTCAAGATTGTGTCAGGCCTAATGTCCACAGAAACACCCAATGTTGGCCACTTTTGAGGACGACGGCGATGGATCCTGGCGCAAGTGCTGGGTCTGCAGCGTTCAGGTGTATCGTGTGACCAGCAAGCATGCCGGCGATATCGCACCCACCGACGCATGGGTGGATATTGAGTTGGGCAACGGTGTTCTGGTAAGCAACAAGCCTCATTCTTCCTTGCTCACGCCACAGTACGGCTCTGTGCTCGACGCTGCCCAGCAACGGACACTACTTCCTTGGTCTGGTCTAGTACTAGACGCACCGGCCGACTCTACCTTTGGTCGTCCTCCTCAAACTTCCACCCCGGTTCCATACCCTTCCGTCGGCAACGACTCCAACGTCCCACTTCTCCCACCCATCCCAGACCCATTCTTCTTGCCTCCACCATTTATTCCCAGCCACCCTGCCTTGCGTGACATGTGCAAGGGGGCCGTCGACGCGCTCCAGGTGAAGCAGGACGAGATTGAGCGCGATATCCGCGAGTACATTTCCCAGCGCGCGTTCGACTTGCGCCGCATCGAAGACCAGGTTCGTGCCGAGGTGGAGACACTGTGGGACCGGTTTGCCGATGGTCCCGGTCGTGGCGATATCACCGAAGGCCGTCGTGCCAGCGTGACAATGCCTCGAGGAAGCATCTCTGTTGCTCTCTCTAGCACTCTCGCTAGCACCCACAACCCTCCTCCTCCTCCTCGCCAAATTCCAACCACCGATCTCGACTCGGTGTCTGGTGTCGTTCCCTCGCCACCAGCGATTACAGGCCAGTTCAACCATAACACTGCCATTGCGGCGGGTGTCGCGGCTACCTCGTCACTGCTGTCCGCCTCCCTGTCCGCCAATGCCTTCTACGCACCACCCCCTCGTACGGCACAGGCCAATATCAACGAGTTTGACAACCTCACCAAGACGGCGTCTCATGAGACCGGTGTCGAGCGTGAGGTTGCCATGAGCTATGCCTTCTCTGCAATGGCGGATGCGGCCATCACCTCGGGTCGCCGGCGCAAGTCGCTCGAGCACGCCGAAGTCAAGCTCGCAGAGGAAGCCGAGGTCAAGGCCGAGGACGAGCAGAAGGGCTACGACTCGTGGATCGGCATTGAGCGTGCCCAGGCGCGATCGCAGGCTGAACAGACGGCAATGGAGGTCAAGCACAGTGCTGCTGCCGCTGAACAGCATGGCGCTGTTGCCAACGGATCCAAGGAGAGGAAAAGTCGCGTGACCTTCCAGGAGCCCGAGAAAGGCGCCAAGGCTGCCGCTGAAGAGGATCCTCTTGACGCCAAGGACGAGCCCCAGGACATCGAAGACGATGACGGTGAGCTTTTTCCTTCACCTGTTGCTTAGCTGACATCCAGACTATGTCTTTGACATGGACACGGACGCCCCGCCCGTCTCCGTCGAGCAGCCCCCAGTTGTGGCTCCCGTCAAGCCAAAGCTGCGCTCCGCGTTCGAGGACAACCTCTCGCAGACATTTGCCGCCGAGATTCCATCCCACCGTGCCGGCTGGCGCAACGCGCAAGGCCTGTCTGCGGCTTTGCGGCGTGAACCACGCGAGGAAGAGGACGACGACGACACACCCGACTCCACATCTGGCATGGCCCGCTCGGTCCCTATCCACATTGCCAAGCCGCGCATCATCAGCTCCCGGCCTCTGGAGCGCAAGACCTCTCTGACCGACAAGGAGGGCCACCTGGTCCCAGGCTTGATCACTGCCATGCGCGAGCGCGGCGTGGCCCCATCCCAGCCCCGTGCCATTGTCGGCAGCGTGGCGCATACGGCTGTCCGGAGGGGAAGCCGCAGCGTCAGCGGCGACAGGGAGCGCGACCAGGTCAAGAGCTATGCTCAAGACGCCGGAGCCATGTTTGAGTCCCTTGCCGAGGGTACCGTCGACTCGGACTCGGACGAGGCCGACGACGCGACCCCCGTCCCGAACGGGGCCAAGTTTGTGCCTCCACATGTCCTCGCCCAGCGCGCGACCAAGAACGACAACGTGGGGTGGGCGAGTCTTGCATCGTAGACACGCGCGTAGGAGCACCGCCACCGTGTAGCCGAGCCGAGCCCAGCGCATCCCAGCCCACAGCCTGCGACCCAAACCCACAGTCCCATCCCTATCCCTATCCACAACCCCCACCCCCACCCCCATCCCCATTCCCCGCTTTGGTGACACAATTAGAAGGAGCGATACGAGAGGAGCAAGAAACGAAACCAGCAACACAGCAGTTGAAACCATCTCGGCGAATTAGTGAGACAGACGCGACGCGGCCACCATGTCATCTTGCGCGGACCACGAGCATCGGCATTTCGGACAGTGTGAGAGGCAAGCAAGGCAGTGTGAGGCGACGAGGGGCAGAAGGGGGAGAGTGAGAGTGAGAGAGAGAGAGTGATCAGATTCAGTTGTCACGACCACTGTAGAACAAGGCAATGCATTAGCGTATCGTAGAGTGTATATGGGGGATAGCACGCCGCTGTGTGCACTGGGGGCGGCGTTTCGCATGACCAAAATCAAGCGGCCCAACGAAGAGAAATACGATGAAGAGAAAATACGATGCATGCTGCTGTGCGATAGAGAACCCATATGCGAGGCGCGGGGCCAAATGATGCTATGAACGAGACTTCCATGCAGGTTGCGGGGGGGGGGGGGTTGAGGTTGAGTTGTTGTGTGCGATTTGGTGGGGGTGGGCGGTGCAATGCCGGGAATCGTGCTGGCCGGGTAGATTGGTGTTCTTGTCTCTAGATGCGGGGTGTTGCTGCGTGGTGCCCGGTGGTTTACTTGTGCTCGTTCTCGTTCTCGTCGACGTCGTTGTCCACGTCCTCGTCCTCCTTGTCTTCCTTGGCCTCGCCGGCCACATGCTCCTCCTCCTTGACACTCTCCTGCCCCTTCACCGCCCGCAGGGTCTGGAACAGCGACTTGAGGCTGGGGGCCGGGCGTTCGTGCTCGGCGTTGTCGACGCTCGTCGACGGGTCGTCGAGAAGGTCTTCCGCGTCGGCAGGGGCGGTCGCGGCAGGCAGTGGTGCAGGCTGGGGCAGACCCTCTGACGTGGGCTCTCCGCCCACAAGGCCATCCGCCGTGGCCTGCGCGACCAGCTTGCGGTTCGCAGCCGCCTCCTCGCCCTTCCTGCCGACCCAGACCCAGCGCGCAATCTGGCGCGGCGTCCGCCCTTGCTTCTCGGGCGGGATGAGAGGTCCGCGCGTGGCCCATCCCTTGGTCTCGTAAATGACACCGAGGGCATCGAGCCAGCGCTTGACGTCGCGCCACTCGTGGTTGAAGCGCACGTAGACGGGCGACTCGAGCGCCGCGCGCACCGCGTCGGCGCCATAGGCTGGTGGCCGGGCGGCGGTGGTCAGGCGCATCTTGTCCTGGGCGCGCTCTTTCTCGGCGCGCACACGGTCGTGGCCCAGCTCTTTGCGGCCGTGGATGAATGCGAAACGGGCGAGGCCCTCGTCGTCAATCTCCACGGCGCGGAGAGCGACGTGCCGCCACGTCTCCGACCCAGCGGTCATGGTGAAGCGCTTGCGGAGCTTGTCCAACCGATCGATATGGGGGCTCCAGTCGCCGGCATGGGACGTCGCGGTGGGTTCAGGTTGGGAAGTCAACATGCGCAGGAGGGCTACGACAGCGACGTGCAGCGTCTGTCGAGTGAACGTCACAGCAGGAGCAAGGTCGCAAAAGTTGTCAATGATGCTCTCGGGGGACGAGGAGGTGTACACCAGTTCGAGCTCGAGGAGGGCCAGCTCGTGCCACTTGTTGGCCCCCTGGATACTGCGAAGGATCTCGACAGCCGTGGGCAAGTCCAAAGGCTTGTTCTTGAGCTGCAAGCGGTGTTGATATTGGAGAAACGATTGAGGCGTGGGCCGATCGGGCAGGAGGGCGATAGGAGGGTAAAGACGAGCGTACCGCACGTTGACAAACTTGCTGCTGCCAAACTTGCGCTTCAGCTTGTGATTGGGAGTCATGTCGAGGCCTAGAGAGTGATGGCGAGTCAGGCGCCCACCGGAATGCGTTTGTTGGACTGAGAGCGCCGAGTTGAGGGTGGGCATGCGTTCTGTGGCGAGTAGGTTTTTGGCCATGTCCAGCGTTCGCAGGTCGTTTACCCGCTCAGCATAAGCTGTGAGAGCGCGGGCAGCTGTAGGCGAGTACAGATACGGTCTGCGCTGAAAGTACTCGAGCAGCTCGATCGGAGAGAGCGGAACGGAACCGGCGACAAGGGCATGGACGACAGACGCTGGCGGCACAGGCTGGGAGGTCGTCGATAAGGGAGCAATGCGAGTGTCCAGTGATGCCGGCTTGGACCCCTCGCCCGTCGCCGACACTGGCACGCTCGCAGGCGACGACACTGAAGGCTCGGCAACGGTTTCGGCCGATGAGCCGAGGGCCGGTGACGCCGAGGTCGAGGTCGACGTCGACGCCGCACGAGCAGCAGCTGTAGTAGCAGACGCGCTGGGTCCTGCACCTTCTGTACCCTCGTTGGTCCTCCTGTCGCTGCCTAGGGGCATCTTTTGCCTTTGCTTCAGTGACCCGGGCACATCGCCCGCCGAGCCTTGCTGGTGGACGTGATACTCTGTCGAAGGGGGAGCAGCACGCAATGCCTCGGGCTCGACAAGAGGCACGGCGGCAGAGTTGACTGCTCTACACGCGCCCGGCCGTCCAGGACCATACCCGCCCAAGAACGGGTGTAGACGGCGGCCAGCAGCACCCGACGCCGACTTTGACGTCGACGACGCTAAAGGTGTTCCAGCGGTGGCCGCCGTTGCGACTGCCGAGCGCGTAAGCGCCAGGCGGGGAAACATGGTGCGGACGCTGTGGTGGTCCGAGTCTTGTTTTCCACAGTAGTCGCTAGGTGGTGAGGGGGAGGGCGGAGCTTAGATGCGCATGGCGGGGGGAGATGGCGATATGGGTGGGTGTTGGACGGTGGTGACTGTAGCGACGGGTCCGTCCGTCTTGACTTTTGGCGTCAAGACGGAACACGGCGCGAGGAATTGCTTCCGCGTCCACCCAACCACTGGAAAGCGGACATTGGGGATCTCCGCAGAGACGTCGAGTCGTGTGAGTGCTGTGGCAACGATGTGGGTTACAGCATGCATGGGGGTGCATGCGGTTTGCAGCCTGTGCACACAGACATCACATGCATATCAAGGTCTCTTCAGTGCACTTGAACTACTTGGCTGGAACATGATTCGTGGCTTGCCGTCACTTGTTGAGTGGCGCCACTCAATGGTGGTGAGCCGGGGGAGGAGGCGGAGGAGCGCCCGGAGCAGGGCCCTCGGGACGACTGCCAAACGGACCAGTGCGCTCCAAGGCCGCACGACGGGCCGTCCAGGCCAAGTACGGAGGAGGAAGGAGGAAGAGCCATCCTACAAACATGCCCCAGTGCGTGGCCGAGTGGCGCGCAACTCCCGCCTTGGTGTGGGACGTGAGGTAGTGGCCCAGGTGCCAGAACGTGATCCACTCGGAGACGAAGGCGAGGGTGCCAAACAACAGGACGGCACAGTCGATAGCCACAATGTCGGCCAGGTTCTGCAACTTGTGTGAGAACTTGGGGCGAAAGACCGAGACAATACAGGCGACAGCGCAGAGGGCTGAGTGTAGTGTCAGCGTCGGTAGCAAACTAGGCGGTTGGGAGAAGCCCCATCCCCAGAGCGCGCCACACATGCACGCACCAGCGGTGAACGGGATAAAGAACATGAGGCCCGTCGCAGTCGTGTATCCGCCACTCAGTGTAGGATAAGCCAAGGCCGTGCGGAGCGTACCGCTGATATCGTACTTGAGGGACGACTCGGTGCAGTTGTCCTGCTTGACATCACACCAGCCCCATGCGCCAAAGTGGTAGCCATGGTCGGCAGTCACAACGTCGAGGTAGCGCTTGGAGGGGAAGTCGGGAGCAGTCACTGGAGGCAGCGGGGAGTGCATGTGAGCTGGGAGCGAGCCGGCTCATTGAACAGCTCACGACAGGCCTGGAAGTAGCACCAGAAAGCGATAAAGAGGCAAAAGGTGTGGAGGTGGCGGTGCCAGCCACTAAAGACGTCAGCGAAGCCATACGCCATGGTTGTATTGAGACTTGAAGGTTGAAGGATGTCGTGAATAGATGAGCAGAGTGACAAGTGTGAACAGATGATGGGAGGAAGGTGGTGGTGGTGGGAGACTGTGGGGTCAGTGATGGGAAGCGCTTTGGCCCGCAACCCCACGAGACAAGTCTCACGCCGCAGCAAAAAACCACCACCCAGTTGTGCACACACATCCGCGTGTGTCCAGATGTATGAGGCTTGAGTGATGGGAGGTTGGGTTGTTGTGCTCGGCATGTGTGCGTTTCCTTGGCGCCGCCTGCAATCAGTTATTTGGCGTAAGCACTCGTTTGGCCGTGTTTGCATCTTTGCTCGGGCCTCCTACATCAGCACTACAATACATGGCAGTCCAGCCGCCTACGATACAATTAGTCGTGTTTCTAACACCACACAGTGGCGACCTCTTGGTGACCTTCTCCTCTTCGCCAGCCTCGGGCCCGCGAACACTCTAAGTTGGGTTGAGGGCCTTCCACTCCTTGCTGATGACCCTCACAAAGTCGGCTGCGGTGTGGCCGTCATCACAGCCTTTCCAGACGCCACCGTCCACGACACATCGGCGTGTCTTGTCGTGCTTGAGAGTGGACGCAATCTCAATGGTACAGCTCTTTGTCACGCCGACTTTTTTCGTGTGGCGGACACTGTCGGCCAGGCGGAGGCGCGCCTCCTTGCCAAGATGCTCCAGGGGTGCGTCCTCGTCCTCGGTGTCCCACTCTTTCGGACGGGGCTCGTAACCCTCTCCTGTGAGAGCAGCGAGGCGCTGGGTGTACCTGCCCACCATGGCCGCCCGCTTGCCCTCTACACACTTGCCGACGCCCGACGCCCACCAGTCGATACCCGAAGTCTCGGCGCATCGACGAGTGAGGGCAATCGTGCCGATCGCGCCTGGAAAGTTGCCATAGTTCATGCACGAGAGGGCGGCATAGAACTGCTCCAGAGGGGTGTGTGCGGCCAGGCACAGCTGGTGGGCATCGCCCGCACACTCGACGTCTCCGTGCATGCAGTCCACACCGTAAGCTGCATGGCGATCGATGCTGCACGGTTGTCAGCGGGGGAAATGGCAGGGGTGGAAGTGCGTCATGGGCAATGCCGTGGTGCGGACAGACAGACGCTCAGACGCTCGATGTATTGGTATTGTCAACCACCCGCAGCAAGGTCGACCGAGGCGTCGTCTGTCCAGTGTCCCTGGCAAAACATGCCTAATGCGACCTGCAGATGCAACCATGCACGGGGCAGCACGCATAGATGGCGGAGCAAGTGCCCAAGGGTGTGTGGGAGCAACCGTCATGAACCGGAATGAACGGATGACAACATGTGCCGCCAAGCGGACATGGCCTGACGACAGTCCTGAAGCAACCTTGCTGCTTGACGATCAAGTCTTGGTACTCACTCTCCAAGGAACTCGAGCTTGAGATCCACCTGGTCCAGGATGCCTTCGTGCTTGAGAACGTCCTCAAAGACGCTCTCACACATGCGCTGGAGCGTTCAGCTTGTATTCACACCACAGTGTGTTGGTACCACTCGTCGGTACCACTCTGCTCGCAGCATGTCATGACGTTCCGCAGTCTGAGAGCCTGGCCCAAAGACCAGCGGCGGCGGTGGTGACCACGGCGAGAGAACCTTGTACTCACAGCATCAGGACACCTAGACATGACATAGAGCGAGACGTTGACGCGCTGCCCCGGATGTCCAAAGACGAAACCGGGTGACTCGACTGCAGCCAGAGGAGCCTGCTCGTAATTATAAGGTGTGGGGATGGCTGTCACGGATGTCGCGAGGGCGGCCGCGAGCGAGAGGGCGAGGCGTGCACGGCGCATGATGGGGTAGCGCCTTGCGAGGGATGTGATAAAGACAAAAAGAGGGAGATGGAAGAGTGGAAGCAAGATGTATGTATAATCCACAGTGGGTTGTGATGGAAGAGATGGAGATATTGCCTGTGCACTCTTGGTGTCTGTCACGCGTGCGGTGACGCTGACTGAGAAACGCGCCATGGTGGCGTCTGTCGGCTGGCAGGGTCGCATAGCGTGTTTTTGCGGCAACGGGCCTCTGGCCTCTGGCCCCCTCTGCCATCTTTGGATCTTTGGCCCTTGGAGCGAGGAATGTGTCATGTATCCCGAGAGCCGCACAGCGCACCAATGGTCCATTCTTGGGTTTCTCTGTCGGCTGGTGCGCACACGCTCTTGCTCGCTCCCCTGCCTCCTCTGCAGAGTGCGACGCTTGGCATCCGGAGAGCAAAAGGGGGAGTTCATGGCGTCATATGATCACCAGCTGCCATCGACTCGACCAACCACCATCCATCATCGTCGCTGTAATGATCCAGAACTCGAGCATATCCACCTGGCACTCTGGCCACATGACCCACCCAAAAAGGTTGGTGCGCGCTCCATGTTTTGCAATCAAACGGCCACCACACACGTTCCTCCGGTTTCCTGCCCAGTGCCGCCTCGTTTCGATCTCTCTCCCCCTCCCCAAAGCCCAGATGGCCAGATGGGGAACAGGCGTTGCTTGCGCTTGACCATGCTTGTTGCGTGTATTCTCTGATCTCTGGGCATGCGTAAAAAGAGACACTTGGAGCAGAACGGGTAGCGCGTATGTACTCTTTTTTTCGCTTTCTGTTGGCTGGATCCGAGGCATGACATCCAGCCCACCACGCAACGCAAAAACCCAGCGGCCAGATACAGAATGGCGCGTGATGGCGCACCCATTACCGCCAGTGGGTCCGACACACCATTAAGCTACCCCGCATCCACCGAAAGAGCCGAGCCCAACCCGTGTGCTGCTGCCCAGGCCCAGAGAGAGAGGGGTGGGCGGAAGCTTGGCTGGTGTGCATTGCAAGTGGGGGTTTTAGCAATTAGCTTGCGACGGCGGCGAGACAGAAGGAAGAGACGACGGAATTTGCCACCACCATCCAAACAAGTGCACGGGGGGGCGGGGCTCTGGGCATATGACGTACCCCGCGTCTGGAGTTGTCTCGTTCAGCCGGCGGGGGGGAGAGGGAGGCTGCTCAATGAGCATCTGCTGACCTCTCCCCCTTCCTCCCCTCGAGCAGTCCAGATCAGCCTCTCTCTCCAGCTTTGGCTGCTCTCGCTCCCCTTGCAATCTGCTTGGAGCGGTCCAGCGGCCAGCGGACCAAGGACCAAGGGCCAAAATGCAATCGTATATATAACACCACCATTGTTCGCACGCCACTCTCTGCCTCTCCGTTTGCTCCAACACCTCCCTCACCCCCACAACACCACCCACCCATCAGCCAGCAACACCGTCTCACACTCGCTCCTACTCCCTCCACCCACACCTAACCATGGACTTCCTTCCCACTCCCGCGAGGGACGTTCCCAAGATGACCTACCAGTGTCTGGCCGTCATCACCGTCGGTGGCGCCGCTCAGCCTCGCCGTGGCTCGCAGGGCTCCAACCACTCGGACGAAGGCGGCGGCCTCGCTCGCGTCATCTCTGGCGGTCGCCGCAAGTCGGCCTCTGGACCCGGCATTGTCGGCGGCAAGAACGTCGAGGGCGCCGCCGGCGAGGGCACGTGGTTCTGGCGCGCACGCATTGGTGTCACCGACGTGAGTATGAGAGCGCAGAGAGAATCAACGTTTGTGAACCCCCCAAAAGCACATTGAGCTGACAGTGGGTGTTCAGGACGCGCTCCTCATCCTCCCCTTGTCCGAGCCCGCCAACCCGCTCCTCAAGGCCCGCCCCCCGCCTCTCTCGCACATTCTCTCGCCCAACGGCACCAAGAAGGCTGCAGCGTCGGGAGAGGAAGGCCTGGGCGCCAAGTTTAAGAACGCCATGCGCCGCGCGTCGGCTGGCTTTATTCACAAGCCTGAGGCTCCCGTGGCTCCACACGACGGCGGCATCCCCGAGAACGCCGTCGAAGACACCCCGGCGTCGCCTCCCGCTGCTGCTGCTGCTGCTGCTGGCGGCGGTGCCGAGCCCGAGGTGAGCCACAACGAGGCGACCCAGGACGTCGACCACACGGCCCGCGAGACAGGCTGGCCGGCCGAGGTCGAGGGCCACCCGCTCCAGTGCATCACCGTCCCGCTCCACAACCTCGCCAAGGACTCGATCCACCTGGGCGGAAACGACAAGACCTCGTTCCACGTCTCGGCGTCCATCGGTTCGGCCATTGCCGGCAAGGCGGGCCACCTCCGCTTCGAGTTTGACAAGGACTGGGTCGGTGGCAAGGGGTGAGTAGTGTATGTGCATATGGGGCGCCTGCTGACAGGATTCCGTAGCGAGTCTGAGCTCCTCTACGACCGTCTCTCGACCGCCGTCGCCAAGGCCGCACCCCTCTTCAAGACCGTCCAGCTCGGCGGCATCAGCGGCGGTGCCGGAGGCGCGACCACCAACGCCAACCCCAAGAACCAAGGCCACGACGCCGACTACGACCCCAACTGGCAGGGCAAGGTGCGTGGTACGTGGTAAACCAGACCCGCTGCTAGGTCTGTCCTCAAGAGTCACCCCACGGATCACCAAGGCCCCCTCCTCCACCGTATCCCCCAAGAATGTCGTAAAGACCACCTCCCCCCGTCCAACTTTCCACCTTTGTTCCCACGCCCCCCTTCCAAGCCCCCAGAGACAAGACGAGAAACCCAGAATTCAGAAGACGGAAGACGCAAACGAGCTTGTAGTGATCGACAAGAGGGCGCGCCTCTTGGTCGATATAATGATGCACTGTGTCGAAGAAAGAGAGAGAGAGACGGCCAGAGGCCAGAGGCCAGAGGGCTATTCACACAGACGCATTCGGTCGCTACGACGTTTTGTTATATCCACTAAAAGCTAGACTAGTTTGCTGGTCCTTTCCATCGTCTTCCATTCACTCGTTCTTGCGGCTGGATTCACACACGATAACAAATGCACCACGGGATGCCGGAGGGGGCCTGCCACCGACGTCATCCCGCACAACATCTCCCGCGCGCCCACCCACCCACTCTCGATCTCTTCGATCTCCTCGATCTCCCGGCCAGATTCCATACCGCACACGCTGGAATGAACCCAAACCATCCACAATCTTTCGAAATAAAGTACCCGACCGACCGCGCCCGCGTTTTATCAGAGCACACGCATCCCCACCCAAGCACCCCGCCCGCGAACCCCCGCCCCCGCAATGGATGGAATGTGCATGCTTGTGTGCGGTAGAACATCGCTAGCATGCGATATGCGCGTGGGGATGGGGTGGATACGCGCGCAGCCCCCCGCCCCGTCGGCTATCAGGCCACTACCAAAATCACCACGACGAGCCGCAGTGTGCGCATTCGTGTGCGCAGTGACTCGTGGCCGGCGCGAGGAGCGCCATGCTCGTCCCCGCGGGATACGGGTACGCGCCATGGTCGCCGTACGCAACCGGGTCGTCCTCGACACCCTCGGCGGGGGCCATGCGGCCCAGCCACTGTGGCTCGGGGTAGTCCGGGCTGTCGTACGGGTTGTGGTACGGGCTCTGGTACGCGTCCTGCTCGTGCTCGTGGGCGCGGGCGTAAGGGTAGCTGTCGTGGGGGTGGTACGCGTACCCAAGAGGAGGAGCCGGAGCGTACATGTGGCGGCGCGGGTGCACGTCCGCCTCCGTGTCCGAGCGCGTGGCCGTAGTGATGTGCGTGATGGCGGTGATGGGGCTGGTGGGGGTGGTGGCGGCCGTGTGGCTGCGCTTGGCAGCGGGGTAGTCTGGGCCATGGTACGCGTCCTCGTCCTCGTCGTCGAACGAGTACGAGCGAGAACGCTTGTACGAGACCTTGCGCTCGCTGCCGCCGTAGCGCGTCGCGGTCTCGGGCTCGGGGGCACGCAGGTGCGTGTGGCCGTTGGGCCCACTGATGGCGGCAGTGGCGGTCGAGTGACGCGAGGCGGCGGCAGTGACACGGCGGCTACGGCTGCGGGTGTCCGGCTTCGGCTCCGTTCCCACAATGGCCGAGACGGCAGTGGCCGAGTCGACAGTGTTGGCGCTCAAAAGCGTGTTGACAGACGACAAGCCCGACGACGTCGCCGAGATGTTACGCGTCACACGGCCGCCGCTGGGTCCGTGCGCGTGACCAACGCCAAGGTTGGGGTTGGCAGTCTTCTCGACATGGGCACGCTTGTTGTGGCCGCCACGGCCATCCGAGAACGAGCACTTGCCCTTCTTGCAGCTGGCGCACGCCGTGCCGGCAAAGGTCTTGCGCGTGCAGCGGCCCTTCTTCTTGGTGGATGGCTCGGACGAAGAGGAGGAAGGCGACTCGACAACAGGCTCAGGGCGGCGGACGTAGCACTCCCACTTGCCGAAACACTTGTCGCAGGGATACTCCGCGAGCTCATACTTGTCCGGCTGGTTGCGGCAATGGATCTGTATGTCAGTAGCTATTCTCTTCATAGTGACGAGCGGGGGGAGATGGGATTAGAGGCAGGTATACAGCAGAAGGTAGGGGTAGGGTGGGGTTACGAAACGGGGTTGTTGGGCCTTGACCATTGTCTGATGGATGTTTGGCACCTTGGGGCCGCCACCATAGAGCGCGTAGGGTTCATACTCACGACGGCAATGGCCTTGGAGCGGAAGAGGGCCGGGTGGGCGTTTACTTCAGCGACCTCGTCCTCATTGAGGCCCGAGTAGTCGAGCTCAGGCTTGACGGGCTGCTGGCTCGTGCGAGAAGTGCGGCGGCACGGGGAGCGGGGCTTCTTGTTCTTGGGTGTGGCCTTGCGAGTGTTCTTGGTCTGGGCAGGATTGTGCTTGGCCTGCGAGGGCTGCTCAGTAGTCACAAGAGGAGGTGTGCCCTCAGTCCCGTCGAGCGAGGAAGGAGGGCTCCCTGTGTGTCAGCGCAGGTCACCAATAAGCGATTACCTACCCGTGAGGAGGAGGAGGGCAGCGGCGGCGTCGGACGCGGCCGTGGTATCCGAGCGGGGGTGACACATGGTTGGCACAGCGGCGGTGGTGTCGAGGTGTGTGGCGGAGGAGTATGGTGGGTGGGGTAATCTACAAACACGAGGTCTGCACAGTATGCACAAGCAGTGAGCGGATGGGAGTATGCGCACAACAAAGTCGGGAGAGAGGGAGAAGTAAACTCGCGGCACTCTTTCTACCCCCTCTTCCCCTCCCTCCGCCAGCTCTGATGGCCTCTGATGGCCTGCGGTTGTTTGCGGTTGTTTGGCCTCGTCGGGTCACACTGCCTTCGGGTCGCACTCAGTTTAATCAGTCACCCCAGCTGGGTCCCGTAAGCACTCATTCCTCATAGCTCACAGCCATACCGGAAGTGAGTATCAAAGTAAATCAGCCTCGCAAGGTATCATGTCAGCTCTTCTGAATGGGTGCATGGTCTCTACCCATGCTGATGTCTGTCTTTGTCGCCTTGGATCTCTTCCATCACTCCTTCTCTCTCCCTCTCCCTTTCCATCTTACCAGACTCTGGGATCACCCGAGTCCCGGCACACGCACGGCGGAGCCTAGACAAACTTGGTCCATCCTTTCGCAGCCGCATCCTTGTCCAGGGCGAGGAACCAGTTGGTGACCTCCATCCTCGTCTTGGCCGCGGGAATCACGCTCTTGACCTGTACAAACCCATCACCGGTTGCCACCAAGATGCGCTTGTTGCGCTTGTCCAAAAAGGCCGTCGCCGGCTCTGGGTCAGGGAACTTGGCCATCCAGCCGGGCAACGTGTCGGTCGAAGCAAGTCCCAGGTCGCCGAGCTGGAAGGTGATGCTCCCCCTTGTGGGCGTGTCTACCTGCGACCACAGGCGTGTGTGCTCGCCCCACGCGCGGTTACGCGCTTCAATGCTGGCAGCAGGAAGGGTCCAGTCCACGCGCGACATGTCTGATGTGATCTTGGGTGCGCGTGTAGCCGCGGCACTGTCCTGCGGGCGCGGGACCACCTCGTCTGCAATCATCCTGCGGAGGACTTGGACGAGGAGCTTGCCACCCAGCTCGGAGAGCTCGGGTAAGAGCGTACCGTACGTCGCATGGTCCGGGATGGGCTGACTTGTCAGTTTACAACAGCACGAAGGCGAAGCTCAAACTCACAACGTCCTCGACGGCACCAAGGATATGGCCCGAGTCAACGCCGACCTCGCGCTTGCCGACGGTCTGGACCGACACACCCGTCGTCGGGTCACGGTTCGCGATAGCCCACTGCACCGGTGCGGCGCCGCGGTACCGTGGCAAGACGGAAGGGTGGACGTTGAGCGTGTGAGTGAAGGGGTCCAGAAGTCGTGAGGGAATGATGTGGCCAAATGAGGCAGTGACGAGCAGGTGGGCGCCGTGCGGTGTCAAGAAGGGGCGAGGCCAAGTGTAGTCTTCTCCCTTCAGGCCGGTGGTAGGAACCGTGTGGGTGGTGAGTGCCGCGTCATGGGCAAAGGCTTTGAGTGGGGCTGCTGGGTAAGTCTCGCTTCAAGGGATCCGTCAGGCCTACTCACGGACGTAGAGCTGCTTGCCACCGCGTCCGACCTGCCGCTCGGGAGGGGTGAGGACACTGATGGTCTGCCAAGTATCTGTTTGTCAGCAAGGGAATGGAGATTGGTCAGGTTGCACGAACGAAGCCGGAACCTGCACTACTCACCCTCGGCAAGCAGCAGCTCTTTGAGGATAGCGACGCTGAACTCATCAGAACCGCAGAAGAGGATCTTGAAGGGCTCTTTTGGCAGTGTGGAGTATTGTCGCAGGCTTGAGCATGCGAGGGGTGTGCGGTGGGCCAAGAGTCCCACAGCAGCGCGGGAGCGGGACGAGCATGCCGTGCGCAGACCGAGCATTGTCGATGTTGTTGATGTGAGAAAGTGGTCGCAGTGGGTTGTGGCGGAATGGAACGAGTGCGAACATCAAGGATGCCAGAGGAGACGACATTGCGTCACTACACAGGATTTCCCGGCGACGCCCGTCGCAACACGGTGTCAATAACGTCTCGGCGTCTGTCCCGTACTATACGTTGCAGAAGCGAGCAGAGAGAGCTTGTCCATGTCCTTGTTCGTACTGTACCGGGAAGTGATGGCAGATGAACACGTTGCGTGCATGCTTCATGCTTCGGTTGATGGGGCTGAGGGATCCCGGGACAATTGTTTTGGCTTTTCATTAGAACCGCACTTAAAGGACAACAATCACATTAGTAAAGTTTGTTCTAATGGCAGAAAAAAGCTTCCGCTTGCCGGTCGCTGTTCTTGATCACGATCGCTCAACTGACCTGTCCTCTGTTGTTGACAGTGTTCCCTCGTCCCATAATCCACTCCCCCTACCCTTTCCCTCCTCGCCAGAATGACTGACGACGACCTTGAGCAAATTATCCTCCCCCTCGAGTCGGGAAGTGAATGGCGTTTCGAGCTGGAAGGAGACGAGAACATTGCACTGAGGGTGAGTGAGACGCGAGGAACACGGCGAGGAAAGCGACGTTGGCACGGCAAGCAGCGAGTACAGCGTGGACAGGCGCAGACCATCATCTGTACAATGGAAAGGCCGACAATGGGGCTTGCGACCGTATGTCCCCTCACTACGCGCGCTCGATTGTTGACCAGGTCGCTTCACCCCGCTTCCCAACGTTGTGTCCATAGAATCGGTGCAAATGTACACTGGCAGGTGATGGCCCCCGCGTACGCGACGCTGTACTTTTGTTGCTGCTTGCCCCAGCCTGTCTTGTTCTCCAGCTCGCAGATCCTTTCTCGCCGTCTGACCCACTCACGACGTCCAACTAACCACCTCCAGGTCCACTCCACCGACCCGGTCTACCTCAACGGCGAGGAACTCCCTCCGACAACATGGTACCCGATCCACCGGTATACAAAGGGTGCCATCTACTCGCCTACCGAGGGCAAGCTTGAACGTGAGTTAGGGCGAGATGCATCACAAACTGACGCCAGTGTCCTCGCTCCCCGCGTCGCAGTACACTTCCACCAGCACCACTCAGCTCCACCTCCACTCACTTCACCTTGCGCTTGAGCGTCTTCGCATCCTCGCCCGCCGCGCAGGCAATGTCACTGTTGAGCCTGGACCTTTCAGTGGCCCTTCTCCTGCGGTCACAAACCCCGCCGCACGCGGACCCCGCGTCATGGTCCTTGGCCCACCAAGCAGCGGCAAGACGACCGTGGTCAAGAACCTCGTCAACATGGCTCTGGGTAGTGGAGTGGGGTGGAATGTCGGTGTGGCGGGTCTGGACCCATCAAGTGTAGGTACAAACGCTCTGGTCGGTGCTAACCTTCAGCCTTCCAACCTCATCCCCGGAACTCTCTCGCTCTCTTCCCCAGCACACCCTATCCCGACCCACCATGTTGCGCACCCTCTTGGCTCTCCACCCGCCTCCCTGCCGAGCAACACCCTCTCGGCGGATGTCCCCACCCTTGGATGGTGGTACGGCCAGCTCGAGCCCACCACCCGCGGTGTGCCAATCTGGAGCAAGATTGTGACTGCGATGGGAGACGTATGGTCTGAGCGATGGCGCAAGGACCCGCTCCTCGCCGCGTCGGGCCTGTTTGTCGACGCTCCCTCTGGCTTCGCCAACCCCCTCCTGGGACAGACCAAGGACGACCGCTCACGATACCCTCTCCTCACCCAGGCCATTGACGCTTTTGACAGTAGGTTGCCGAGTTGAGATACAACTGCTGACCAACCCCTCCAGTCGACCTCGTTATCGTTATTGGCCTTGAAAAGCTCACGATCGAACTCCAGCGCATCCTCGCCTCGCGCGGCACCAAGGTCATCCAGCTCCCCAAGTCGGGCGGCGTAGTCGACCTCGACGACACGTACCGCGAGATTGCGCACGCCCAGCAGGTCCGTTCGTACTTTTACGGCGAGCCCGCGCTGCCCGCCAACCTCTCGCGTCTTGTGGGGCGTACAGTGCCCCTCGGCCTGCAGCTGTCGCCGTACAGCTTCCAGATTGGCTGGGACACGCTCCACGTCCTCCGCGTGGGTGAGGGCAGCGCCGCGCCGTCCAGTGCCCTCCCGCTCGGCAGCTCGCACATTCTGTCGCCGACCCGCCTCAGCCGCGTGGATCCCGGCGGACCCGCGCACGTCGTCCGCCTGCTCAACATGGTCCTTGCCATTGTGGCCATTACGCCCGAGGACCGCATTGCTCCCGTGGCTACCGACGAGGTCAAGGAAGAGGTCAAGGAGGAAGCCGAGGGCGGTGGCGGCGGTGGAGACGAGGACGAGCCTGATGCCGTGGCTGGTAAAGTGGAGCTGGACGAGGACGAGGTGCCGTTCCGCGAGGAGATTGGATGGCGCGAGGTCCTGGGCTTTGTGGTGATCACGGGCATTGACGCTCTGAAGCGTAAATACACCGTCCTGTCGCCTAGCCCCGGAAAGCTGCCCTCCACTGTCGCCATTGCGGGTGCCATTGAGTGGGTGGACTCGGCGTAGACGAGCGACGGGTGTGAGTGGAGCGGCAGCGTATGTGTTGAAGCTAGTATCAACGGTCCAGAGACCAGCCATGCATTTTGTGTCCAACAGCCAGCTGCCCGTGGCCGTCGAGTATGTCCCGTTGTCCTGTGCACGCCATGCATTGTTTTGGCAGCTACAGATGCTAAGCCCCCGTCCATATCTCTACTACGATAACTACTACCTTACCGCCAAACACACTCTTAAACATCCGTCTTGCCCTCCACGGCAGGCTCAGCGGCCGCAGCGACCTGGGCAGCGCGCGCCGCCTTGTCCTCGGCCGACGCAAAGACAAAGGCCAGGGGCAGACGCTTGTGGAAGGCCGCACGGAGCGAGTCGCGCTCGGCACCGTCCACGATGGTGAGGGCGGTGCGCATGTCCGAGATGGAGGGCGTCACCTCGGTGAGGCGGGCGAGGACGCCAGCGACGTCGGCAGACGACGCACCCGCAGCCTTGAGGGTGCGTGCCGAGGCGAGGACGTGCGCCGCGGTCGGCGCGGGCCACGTGGCCACGAGGTCGGCGGCGCTCTTGTCCGAGATGAGGGTGGGGAGGACCTCGTCAATGGCCGCCTTGACGGGGCCGGCAGGGATGGTGGTAGCCCGTTGACGCAAGTCGACAAGGGCAGGGAGGAGACCGGGGGCGTTCTTGTCAATCGCCGAAGCCTCACGGAGGTCACGCAGGGCACGCGCAAACTGTCCTTTCCTAACGTGCAGCTCGTAACCCGCCAGCCACGTCTCTGTCCTCTCGGGGTGGTGCGCCTCGAGGGGAGCCCAGAGCTTGAGCGCGTCGTCGATCGGGGTCTCGGTAGCAATGAGCTTTTCGCCACGGGGGTCGGCGTCGGGAGCAGGCGCCTCGTCCTTCTTGTCGCCAGTAGCCGCAGCGGCCTTTTTGGCCTTTTGCTCGGCCTTGGCCGCCTTCTTGGCCGCCTTTTTCCTCTCGGCCTCCTCCTCGGGAGTGAGCTTTTCGACCGTGAGCGACGGGTCGTCGGCGATGCGGACGTAAATGTCAATGGCGGACAGGGCAGTGCTGAAAAAGGCAGGGTGAGTCCTCAGCTGGTCCTCGTACTTGATCAGAGCAATGTAAGCGCCCAGGGTCATCCGGCGCAGGCAGTACGAGTGGAAGTCGTACTGGTCGTCCTCGTACTCTTGGAACACGGTCACAAGCGACTGGTAGCGCTTCAGCGCCATGGCAAGAGCACCAGCACGGTTGTACGCGTCGCCTTCCTCGGTGAGGAACCACAGGCTCTGCATGTCGGTCAGGTCCGCAACGGCGGTCATGTCCTTTTTGGTGAACATGGCCAGCAGCTCCTCGGCCTTTTCCACGTTGCCAGCACGCAGCCAGTACTTGGCGGCCTTGCCGTTCAGGAAACGGTCCTGGCCGTCAAGCAGACGGGCGTCCTCCATAGCCTCGGCAGCCGCCTGGGCGTCACCGGCGCGCTTGAGAACCATGGCCTTGGCCATGTAAATCTCAGGCAGGGTAGGGGTGTGGGCCAGCGCAATGTCGAGGAGCTCGAGGGCACGGGCGTGGTCGGGAGTGGGCTGGAGACGGTGGCTCAGATGGAGAGCAAGGAAGTAGTAGGCCCAAAGGAGAGTGGTAGGAGGGGGGATGGTGTCGTCACCGTGGAGGCTAGCCTCCGCCTCGAGCTTGGAGACAATCTCCTCCACGACCTCACCGACCGTGACCATCTTGGCAGCATCGGCGTAGACGCCCTTGACGTCCACAAAGAGCGAAGGGACGCCGCGCTCGAGGCCGCGGACGATGTAGTCGCGAACAAGCGAGCGGAACTCGTCGCCAGTAGCCACATCCAGCGCGAGGCGGCGGGGAGCCGACGAACGGGGGTAGGTCTCGCCAAACTCGACAAGCGTCTTGAGGACGGCTGCTGTGGTCTCGGCATCGAGAGCCTTGGAGATGTCCTGGCCACGGTTGCGGAGCAAGGCCCTGTAGTACTCGAGGTTGTCGGCGTTCTGCTCCAGGAGAGCGCGGTATGCCGCCTCAGCCTCGTCCTTACGCCCAAGCTCGAGGAGAATCTGAGCCTTGATCTGGCTCGCCTCGCCGGTAGCCGAAATGACATCCTCGCGGAGACCCTTCTCAAGGCGGTCCATCGCGTCGTCATACTTGCCAGCCTTGATGCAGAGACGGATAACGTGCATGAGGGTCTGGGCCTTTTCGGGAGCGGTAGCGCCGTCCTTGTTCAGCGTGGCCTGGAGACCGTCGTAGACACGGATCGCCTCATCATAGTCGCCGGTGAGCTCGTGGCTGATCATGAGGCCGAGCCATGAGCTGCGGATCTGGGGGCGGAGAAGGAGGTAGTGGTGGCGCGACTCGAGAGCGGCCTGGTACTGGCGAGTGTGGGTCGAGAGGGCAATGGCGTCGCGGAGCACGGGGATGTTGTCCGGGTCCTGCTTACGCGCCATGGCGAATGCCTTAGAAGCCTCGGCCCAGTCGCGGCGCTGCTTGGCGAGGATACCCATCACGTGCCACGTAATGTGCGAGGTAATGTCCTTCTTGACGGCAGTGCGGGCCATGGCCTCGGCCTCCTCAGCCTTGGGCACCGAAGCAGCGGTCGCGGGGAAGGGGAGCGACGAGTGGAGGGTGAGGGCCTTGAGCGCAATGGTTTCTGGTAACGGTGAGCAAAAGCGTCATGGCACACGTTGGGCCACCCACCACCATGGTTGGGGAACTTTTTCAAGATGGTGTCGGCAGCCTTGAGGCCCTTCTTGTACTGCTTGAGCTCATAGTAAGTCTCGAGGACCGTCAGCAATGTTATCGAAGACGAGGGGGAGACTTGGAAGGGGCCATTGGAGAAACGCACCAAGAGCTCCTTGAAGAGCTTTGCCTCCTTGTCTGGCAGCTGGCGGTGCTTGGGTATCCCGTGTGCGTGGGACATGGCTGCGGAGAGGGAGGAGGGGAGGGGGTATGCCAGAGATAGAACAGTGGGTTGGAGATGAGAAGCAAACGCGGCCCGACTGGGATTATTCCACCTGGTCGCTCTCGTTCTTTGTTGCAGACGACCAGAATCCCGAGTGCGCATTGGGATTAAAAGAGGAGGGGCCATTTAAAGCGCCAGGCAGGGCGGTCATGGATCCCCCCCACGCGTTACCGATGCTTTTGTTGGTGGCCGGCATGTCAGATCCACAGAAGAGTGTGGAGAGTCCAGGTCTTCTACGTTTCATGGCAGATGCATCATTGAGTGAGCTAGGACAATTGCAGGACCCGGGTTCTAGTTAGAATGGACGAGGAGAGCCGTTGCTGGACGCTAAAACAGACACACAACATAGACTGCATTCATCACACTCACCCTCTCTTCCGTCACCGCGGCCGCCGCCAGTGTATCGATACGGCATGTTCCCAGGCCTTCTCGACCTGCGCATCGACCGTGCTGGTCAACGAGCTGGACCACGAGCGGCGATCGACGCATCGCCGCTGCACGAAATGACGTTCAGTCGGCTCGGCCCACCACCCATCATCACGAGCACTCTTCCGGCCATTCGCCCTCGTTCGCCCGGTCCCCTACCCATTCTCCAGCTCACGCTTGACTCGTTTGTCGCCACCGGTCGCACCTATGATGTCTACCGGGCGACTGCTACTCTTCCGGACGGCACTGTCCAACGCATCATCGCCAAGCTCACCGATGCGGTTATCACCTCGCATGCCCCCGAGGCTGTCCGGCGCGAAGCCACCGTGTATACGACGCGCCTGGCCCATCTCCAAGGCTCTACAGTTCCGCGATTCTACGGCCTCTGGTCTGCAACTGCAATTGAAAACGAGTACTGGATGCTGCGTCCACGGCACTACCAGCTGACCGTCATGCTCCTCGAAGACGTGGGCAACGACTTGGCCACCAAGCTGGACGCCGCCTGGTGGATGCCAGCCAAACCTTACGCGTAAGTGGTGGTTTTTGGGTGCTCAACTGACCAACAGCTCAGCCATCGAGAAGGCTTATGGCTCGCTCCATGCTGCCGGCGTTGTGCATATGGATACAGAGTTGTGGAATGTCTGCGCTCGAGGTGACGACACAACTACAGTGCGCCTCATCGACTTTGAGACGTCCAAAGCAAACGGCGACGCCTGGTTTGACAGGGAGATGGAGGCCGAGCAGAAGTGGGTCGCCGAGACGCTGCAATTCATGCGCACATATGGGTGACGAGTAGCGCCAACCTAGAGCTGTATGTGTTGTACTGTACATGTCATGTCTATCAGTTGTCAAATGTTGTTGTTTGCCAGAAACGACGGGCGGTGCGCAGTGCGGAGCTGGAAATGCGGGGAAGGCGGTTCACCCGACTGCGGGGTAGCGCCAGAAGACGACGAGGAGGGTGTGCTCGATCGCTCACAAGGTCCCTCCATCACCCCTCCTGCAATCCCATCCTCTCCATCACCCATACCCCCTTTGCTCCATCCCATACCTGCAGCCATCAGAGAACACACAGCGCAGCCGCATCCTCGGGAGACACAGAGAGACGGCGCGGTTCCAGCGTCGCGTCCACAGCCGACCTCACAAACCTCCGGCTCCCCCGGTCTGCCAGCCATGGTCGACGACCGCGGCCTTGAGAGCGACAAGGAAGAGGAGCACCACATTTCAATCGCCAGCTTACGCTCAAAGTTTGAGACCCTCGCACACGGCCACATCCACTCACGCAATGCGCCAGTCATTGCCCCAAAGCCAGCACGACTGCCTGCACCGCAGCAGCCCGCTGCGGCCAGCCCCGCTGTCTCTGCCGCGCCGCCGGTCGCAGTGACAGCCAAGCCAGATGTCGCGCAGGTGCCCAAACCAGATGTCGCTGGGCCGGTAAGTCTAGCTAGCCTGGCAAGGTCTAGCTGACCCATGTCGTAGCCTGTCACGCGTACACCACCACCAGTCGCCCCCAAAGTACCTCCTCCACCAAAGCCTGCTCCTCGGACAGTCGCTTCGACAACAGCGTCCACCAACCCTCCTGCCCCTCGACCTGTCGTGAACAGTCCACCTGCGCCTGAGCGTGTTCTTACCGCGCCATCTGTAAATCTCGACACGGCCACGGCGGATGCAGATGGAGACGGAGACGAACACGTACAGTCCGTCAAGGCGCTGCGAGAGCGTTTTGGCCAAGTGACCTCGGCGCCCGCTCCAATTGCTCCATCTGGATCTCGTCGCGCGAGTCTCGAGGCTCTTCGCAAGGGCGACAGTATTGCCAGCTCACCTGCTGTAAGCCAGACGTCTCCCGTCATATCACAGGTGTCGCCAGCAGGTAGCCAGGCTTCCTCCTCGGCAAAGCCCCTCATCGCACCCAAGCCAGCTCTCATAGCACCCAAGCCCGCATACGCCACTGTCCGGCCATCGAGTCCTGCACTCAGAGGACCAGCACCCCCGCCTCCCATCTCGCGCTCGGCGTCACCTTTTGGTCAAACATTGTCGGCCTCGCCAGCTGCCGATTCGCAGCCGCCGTCGCGCTCGGCCTCCCCTTTGGGCCATCGACCGGCACCACAGCCTCCAGCGACCAAGCCAACCCCGCCAGCCCTGCCGCTCAGTAGGCCGCCCGTTGCCGATCCCATCATGTCCGAGCCAGGTTCTCTGGTGTCTGAGCCCGTTCCCATCGACTCGGGCGCTGCACCGCCACCCATTCCCGGAAATAGACCTACAGCAGAGTCAATCCAGGCCGTACCGATCCCTATTCCCAGAGGCTCATCGCCAGCACCTCCTCCCTCAAGGCGACCTGTTGTCGCGCGTGTCCTGTCCGCCTCACCACCGTCGCTGGAAACGGCACTTACCTCACCCCCTCTGCCGCCGCCCGAGCGCCGGCCGACGTTGCAAATGTCCCCTTCGCCTCCTGCCGCGGGTGCTGTTCCTCCACCATTACCACCTCCTAACCGCCGGCCAACGAACGCTTCAACCATCTCCACCAGCTCGGCGGCGTCTGTAGAGACAGTGGCACCGTCTCTGCCTGTCACGAGACGTCCAACCGAAGCTCAGGCCGTTCCATCCCTTCCTCAGCGTCACGCAACGCCCCCAGAGGCTGGACATGTTCCCCCACCTCTGCCCACGACCAAGCGGCCCGATGCTGGCACAACCATTGTCCCCCCTCTACCTGTACGACGTCCTTCTTTCCATGACGGCGCAACACCAGCCCCAGACAGCAAGCCGCCCCTGCCTGGCAACAAGCCTCCAGCTCCCACAATGATGGCCGCCGCGGCCGCCGTTATTGCCGTTACCAAACCACCTCTTCCCAATCGGTCTCGCGCGACCACGGTAGGCAAGCCAGAGGTCCCGCCAGCAGCTGCTGCCACCGCCCCTCCACGCCTTCCTGTTCGCCAAGCAACAGCTTTGGCTGCCCCTGCAGTGCCTATCGCGAACCGCTCGCGAGCGCTGTCTGTCGGCGCGCATGATGATGGCTACCTGCCACCTCCTCCACCCATGCGGAACGTTACTGCCGGACCGGGCACGTCGCCATCCAAGCGGCCTGCGGTTTCTCCGGCCCCATTGCGTCGTGCCGCGACAGTTCGCGTCCAAGGTTCCGGTGGAACACCTGGTGATTCGGACGACGACGAGGGCGGTCCCGTTGCGCCTCTTACTAGTATTGCTCAGCGCCTTCTCGACGAGCACCCGGACTCGACCAAGGCCAACAGACGTCCCCCGACCTTCCTCCCAGACATCAAAGTGACCCTCCCCCTGTCTATCACCTCGTTTGCTGTATACGGTCGGTTCGCGTGTGTCGCCCACCACAACGTGCGCGTCTTTGACACGGAATCCGACTGCAATCAGCCTATTCTCACGTTTGACCAAAAAGATGTCGGGCTCGATCTACGAGTCAAGGAACCGCGCGTTACGGCCATGGGCTTCCGCCCATCCAAGTTTGAAGACCAAAAGGGCCGCTACCTCTGGTGCGGTAACAAGGATGGCCACGTTTGGGAAATCGACATCAAGACAGGCGACGTAACGGCCACAAAACCCAGTGTGCATGGTGCTGCAGTTACACACATTATGCGCCATCAGCAGTGGGTTCTTACTCTTGATGAGGTGGGCAAGCTGCACGTCTGGGAGCCCGCCAAGGAGGACAGCACGAGTTTCCGCGTTGTCCGCACACTAAGGATCTCGGACAAGGTTACCTTTGCCAAAATGATAAAGGGAAGGCTGTGGACCGCAACTGCGCCTGCTGTGCGTTCAACAACCAGTACCAACGGTGCCCGTGGCCCCACCGTCCGTGTCTACGACCCGTGTTCTGAAAACGGCGCCGCACCGCTCAGTGCCCTCACGACCGAGTGGACTGGCTCCGTCACGTCCGCCACCGTCATGCCCTTTGCGCCAGACTACTTCTACCTTGGTCACGAAGGAGGCTTCATTTCAATTTGGAAGGTCCCCGACAACGAGCTCGTGTGTCAGCAAGTCCTCAAGATTTCCACGACGGACATTCTGTCTCTTGAAGGCGTGGGCGAGCGTCTTTGGGCGGGAAACCGTCGTGGCCAGATCCATGTGTGGGATGTAAAGAACCGCCCGTGGTTGACCACCAACTTTTGGACTGCCCATATGTGAGTTTTGGCAAAGTGGGGAATGTAAGGCTGACCACCAGTGACCAACCGGTCCACACTCTTGTGGTTGACCCGGCCTCGATCGACGGGTCGGGCCGATTCATGCTGTGGTCCTGCTCGCGCGACGCGCTGCATGCCTGGGACGGCCTGCTGGGCGTGGACTGGATCGAATCGCAGATGGCTCTCCGACGAGAGCAGTACTGCGATATGCGCGACATCAAAGTGCTCGTGTGTACTTGGAACATTGACAGTACCAAACCGACAGACCTTACGGGATCGATTGAGAATGCCACATTCCTCGAGCAGGTCCTCTCCAGCGTCGATTCGCCGGACATCGTCGTGTTTGGGTTCCAAGAGGTCATCCCTCTCACGGACAAGAAGCTCACAGCTAGTAGGTACATGCGGAAGAGCTTCTGTTGACCCACCAGAAACGCTCCTATTCGGAAGCAAGGGCAAGGACGGCGGCGGTGCGACCAACGAGGCCGTGTCAGGACGGTACCGCGCATGGGCCGAAAAGCTCAGCTACGCTGTCCGCTTGCACATGCCTGCTGAAACACCGTACGTCAAGGTCCACTCGGAACAGCTCGTTGGTTTGTTCTCGTGTATCTTCGTCAAGGCATCGGAACGCGAGCAGCTGCGTGATGTGGACATTACGACCGTCAAGCGGTGAGTCGAGGTGTGCTGCGAACTGTTGCACTGACAAGATAGCGGTATTGGAGGCATCTATGGTAACAAGGGTGCCATTGTTGCCCGCCTCGTCGTAGACGACACATCGCTTTGTTTCATCAACGTCCACCTCGCGGCAGGCCAGAGTCACAAGAATGCCCGCAACGCCGACGTCGCCGCCATCCTCGAGGACAAGGCGATCTTCCCTCCCGCTGACAGGCTTCCCTACGTCCACGGCGGAGACGGAACAGCAATCCTCGACCACGAATTGGTAATCCTCAATGGCGACCTAAACTACCGTATCGACCAACGCCGCGACTTGGTGGCTAGCAGCATCAAGGTCGGTGACCTGGATTTCTTGCTCGAGCACGACCAGTTGCGAAAGGAGATGCGTGCAAACCACGCGTTTAGGTTACGGTCCTTTGCCGAGCCGCCCATCACGTTTGCGCCAACGTACAAGTATGATCCCGGAACCAACGACTATGATTCCTCGGAAAAGAGACGTATCCCCGCATGGTGTGACCGTGTCCTGTACTTGAAGTCGCCACTCGTCACACCCATCAACTACCAGCGGTACGAGATTACGTGTTCCGACCATAAACCCGTCTCGTCTGCGCTGGGTATGCGGATCAAGCGCATCGACCCGATCAGACGCAGGGATGTGGCGAGGGAAGTGGCCAACGACTGGAGTAAGCGCGAAGAGGAGATGCTTGTGGCTGTACGCCAGGCGTATGCGGGGCTATACAGTGTTGGCCAGTGAGCTGTTGGTAGGTGTAGATTTAGATATCCGATGATGTATCAAGCATAGACATAGCGTCTGCGAGGGTGTTTGTACTGGGGTTATGTGCGGCGTTGTTGTCCGGCATGGGAGGTGAGACGTGACGGAATTTCGCCGAAAATGACCACTTGGCGCCGCCACCTCATGCCAGTACCGACCTTCCTACCACTCCATCCTTTCAAGATATCACGCACCAAATCAGCCCACGGTCAGCGCAGGCATACCGTGAGCAATCCCAGTTGATCGGGTTGCACAGAACAGCTACCAAAACCCGTGCAATCCATTTTTTCATCATTTTCAGCCCATTTTCCGCTGCTCCCGACCTTCCATCGCAAAAACACCTTCCTACGCGTCGCCAGGGATCGAAAACAGATGGCAAAAGAGAAGATTTGGAGCCAGGGTGGATCGAACACCCGACCTAGCGATGTCTTCCTGTTAAGGAAGTCTGATGACTGAACTTCAGTCGCTCGCTCTCCCAGCTGAGCTATGTCTCCGAGATGAAAACGGAAATTTGATAACAAACTTCAGCCATCGACCTCCAATCGCTCACAGAAGCTCCGTGGTTCCTATATGTATGGAGGACGTCAGTGATCAATGATCAGTGATTGTGTGTGAAAAGCTAGAGGACATTCAGAGCCTGCTTGATGGAGCTGGCTGATCAGAGTATGTGGCGAGGAGAGGAGGTGCAGCCAGAAAGTCAAGACGTGCTCGTTGTCCTCTCCCTTGCCAAACCTCAGCGAGGACTCAACAGTAGAGCCTGTCAAGATTAGACATATGACCACCTGCCCAAGTAAATCCGGTTCGGTTTTCAAATCAATTTCATTATGGCCGATTCGGAGTCAATGATCCGCAGCGGGTTTGCATCCGGCTATCGGTCACTTGGTTACATCGCTGGAACGCCGCGTTTGCGTGCGATCTCACAGACATCCCATCGCTTTCAGTCCCTTGTGTCCACCCACTCTCTCACCCCCTTGTTCTCCACCATGTCTGTCCCGGCTCCTACTGGATCTCCGTCGCTCGCAGACCACGCGCCTGTCCGCGCCGCCCTCCTCGGCAGCGGCCTGTTCGCGACCAACTCGTACCTGCCCTCTCTCGTCAACGTCCCCGGCTTTGAAATCAGCACCGTCTGGAGCCGCAGTGAGAAGTCTGTGTCGGCTCTGGTGGCCAAGGCCGCCGAGCTTGGTGGCCTGCCGAACGTCGCGGACCTGCAGGCCAAGCACGGCGTCGAGGGCCTGAACGAGGTCCTTGCCGATCCCGAGATCAAGGCCGTCATCCTCGTGCTGCCTATTGGTGCCCAGCCCGGTCTTATCCGCACGGCCTGGAAGGCGGGAAAGCACGTCATCTCTGAGAAGCCGCTGGGACGTGATGTGGCCGAGGCGACATCGCTCATTGACGAGTACGAGCGCGACTGGAAGCCCAAGGGACTCATCTGGCGTGTTGCTGAAAGTGAGTCTTGTGTGATGTGGTGAGATGCCGAGTACCGTTGGTCCGAGACAAATGCTGGGCATGTCCATGTCTCGGTCGGTCGCCTTTTTGTGCAACGCTCTTGTGCGTTGCGCATGTCAGTCGCCTGTCGCTGGCGTCAATGATCTGCAACTCGGCCCGCGGACCTCGGCCTCCCTCGACCTGAGTGACTTGCACCGCTGACATGAAGACTACGCGCACGAGCCGTTCCTCCACTACGCGGCATCAGTGCTGCGCACACCGGGTCTGGGCCCAGTCCTCTACTGGCGTCTGCACTTTGAGACGATGCTCCCGGCAGGCGCGAGCTACCATGCCACTCCATGGCGCACCATCCCGGACTACCAGGGCGGATTCCTCCTCGACGGCGGCGTGCACTGGGCTGCGCTCCTGCGCACTGTTCTGCCCACGGCTTGCTGCCCCGTGTCTCTCACCGCGCACAAGAGCCTGCACCGCGCACACATGCTGCCTCACGACACACTCGTCGGTCTCGCCCACCCGGCAACGGCCGCCACTGTCCAGCCTCACGGCGGCCCGACGCCGCCGCAAGCCGACAACATGCCCATGGCCCCCGGACAGAGTACCCCGCACGGCACGTTTGTCATCTCGTGGGCTACTCCCGACACCCCGCGTGGCGGGCGCGTCCCCAACGAGCTGTACGTGGTGTGCGAGCAGGGCACCCTCCGCGTCGTCAGCCACGGTCGCGCCTGGACAGTGTCCCTCACCACTGCCGAGGGAAGCAACATCGAGCCTGTCACCCGCGAAGGACCCGTCAGTGGCGTGCAGGTCGAGCTGGCCGACTTTGCGCGTGCCGTCGCCGCGAGGGTTGAGGGCAAGGAGGACCCGTCGCCCAACCATGGCGAGCCACGGGCCGCCCTTTGGGACCTGTCGTTCATCCAGGCCGCGCTGCTCAGTGATGGAAAGGAGGTGGTCATCGATGGGCTTCACTAGTATCTTTTGACAGAGGAAGAGTAGATGGCAGAGGGGATTTGATCTTGCGGTCCCAGACCAGATGTATCCTGGCACGCTGTCATGGAAGCTGGAGCAGCCAATGTGACAGGAGAGCACCAGAACGACACCGCTGATGGGGAGAAGGTATAATACAGGCCGGTAGCTGACAAGAATGAATAGACCAAAATCACCAGAACACAGCGGTGAAGGGTGACGAGGGGTTTAGGTTTTTGAAGCACAACAACAAGCCAGGGGGGTGGGTCAGCATCACCACTGTTGTCGCTGGGTGCGGCCAGTCATCCTCTTGCGAACATTGCCTGCCTCACAAGGGGCTGGTTAGAGACGTTGGACACAACTGAGACATGTTGGAAAAAACGTCCCAGTCAAGCAGATGCCACACTGGTCCAACCGCAATTATTAACGCACCACGGGAGCCCCCATGGGTGGCACGCCGTCATGGACCGGGTCAAGAAGCCCTTGCACTGTACATGAGGCAGTACACACAGTGTTACAAGGAGGTGCGAGATGCAGGAGTCCCTCATTCCCACGCGTTACATACAAGCACCACACACACACACACACAGGTGGCGTTTCTGCTCCCCTCGTGCTTTGCTATCCCCAGCACCGTCTCCTCCTCTATGTCAGCTTTCCCGACAATACCGGTACCGGGTATCACTCCCACGGGCTTTGGATCTGGTCTGGTGATAGACTGGCAGCTGAATCGAGTCGGAATGTCGAGGGATTTGGGGGTCGCGAGCGGGGGCCGGAGCACTCCCTCTTCTTCCCCCTCCCAATATTTTCCCCTTGTCGGTCAACGATCGTCTCGTGGCCCCCCTCAAGCTCGGCACCCTCTTCTCTCCCGTTTACGCTGTACGACATAAACAAAGAGACACATGCAGAGCATTTTAACTTCAAGGTTTCGCACATTGCCAAACGCCACAGAAGCATGAGGACAGGTCCAAGGGGTAGGAAGAAGCACTGACGGCTTGAACGGCGCCGTTTTGTGTCGCAAACACTGCATGCTTGCTCTTACGACAATAGATCCAGAGTCGACGCACTGACAGAGGGCACCAAAGTATGTCAAACAGAACAGCACCGGCCGATCCCTTGCAGCCGCCTTTTCGGTGTTCTTTCGGAGACCCGCAATGTCTATCGGCCGAGTGATGGATGTCTGAAACCCGTCTCATAATTGCAGACGCCAGCTTCGTTGACGCGTCCAAGCAATGTCTCATGGCTCTCTAACACCAAGGAAGCATCACCCACCTCTCTGCAGTGCACCTCCCTCTCACCACGTCCTCCGGGTGCATGGCGTCTCTGTCTCAAAGGGGGCGGACGATGGCGAGAAAGAGAGCTGATGGAGGGTCAGACTCATGACACCAGGAGACGCCAGACAGTTCAGAGAATACTCCCCGCAACGAGAAGCAGCAGTGGTTACACAATTCGATGCATTTAAGAAACAGCATTTATTTAAGAGGGTTTTACGAGTTATGGGTTTATAGCGTATTTAGGCACAACACTTCTTTGTCACTGATCACTGTTCAACATGTTCACAACATTCTTTCACTTCTTTATTTCTTGGGCTCCATGCCACGTCCAGCGAGGTCATCAATTCTTGTGAGCCATGTTTCTTGTTCTTGGTTCAAGTGGGGGCCTCTTGAGTCGAGGCGTCGATATCCATCTCGTTAGAGGGACAGCGGAAAGGCATTGGAGGTCATGGGGCCGGGGATAGGAGGCGGTTGGTACACAGGCAAGGCGAATCGAAAGGGCGGACGAACGTAGGAGTACGGCCTGCCGAGGGGGATGGCCATGGCCCAGCCGTAAATGTAGGCGACCCAGAGGATGAACTCGCGGGTGTGGGCCACACGGCATCCGCAGGTGGGCGTGCCGGTGCAGAAGGGGAAGGGCTCGACGAGAGCGGCGGGGCTCCAGAGTGAGCCAATGCGGCCGGGGATGGGGTGGATTTCGAACGTGTGGGTGAGGGGGTCTACAACAAGAGTCGAGTCGGGGGGGAGGAGCGTAATGGTGAGTCCGAGGATAACAAGGTAGTAGTCCTTAAACGGGGAGAGGGGGATGAAGATGGGGTAGTCACTGGTCATCGGGGCCCTGGCGTGGAACCGGTTTGAGAAATCATGGATGAAACCAGAAGACCCAAAGAACTTGAGCACGAAGTGGATGGGCTGCTCCACGATGGAGAGAAAGAGAAGGCGCCTCACATTCGCCGGAAAGTCGTTGGCCCAGGCCAAGGAGGGCATGGCAGGGTAACGAAGCGTGACCTCAAGGGCGAGGTGTTGGACCAGCTGGCATTTGTCATTGTCCATGAGTTCGGGGTCGATGACCCGCGTGGTACGAGACACGTCGTCGAAGACGGCAGGGGTCCAGGGGGCCTTGTTCGCAATGAGTGAGGAGGTGACAAGCCTGACTTCGGGTTGGCGACACACCACCAGGGAGCGTGGGTAGGCGGGGTTTGGAGAAGCTACAAGAGGGAAGGGAAGGCGATGGGCGAGGACAGGGAGAACGACCAGCGGCACCAGTGGAAGTACCATCCCCTCAGGCTGCTGTTGGATGTTGGTGGCACCGAGGGTAGGCTCATGCGGAGGTGCCACAGTAGACCGTGGGGTCAGGCCCGGTGCTGTGGCGGTTAGCAAAAGAATCTTCCTTGCGTCTGAAGAAAGGGGTTTAAAAATGACTTACGACTCGTCCGGGGTAACGGTAGGACCGGCCGAGGGGCCAGGAGCTGCAGCGGCAGTGCTGGAAGGCTTCTTTCTCGGGGCGGCCCTGACCTTGACCTTGACCTTGTTGGTCTTGGGCTTGGGCTTAGGGTTTGCCATGTTGGTGTTGTTCTTCTTGCCGCGGGTCATTGTGAAAGGGGGGTGGGGGGTGGAGAGTCTACGGAAGCGAGGTAAGAGGGAAAAGGAAAAGGAGAGAGGATGGGGACGAGAGAGCTGACGAGTCCAGAAGACCCAGAATGGCTCGCATTAAATACCATTCAGCAGCCACTACGGTCGCCACTCATCTGAGCGTTCGTCTCCTGGAATCACACCCTCGCACCGGTATCCGTCAGCTGCCAAGATGACGGTGCTCGGCTTGCGGGATAATTGAGTGGGGAAGGACACCCGGAGAGGGCGAGGAGAGGAAGAGGATACCCGGCAAACAAGTCACTCATCGAAACGAGGGTGCCACTCTCAGCTGAGGACTGCCACTCTTACTGCCTCTTCGCCCATTCATGGCCAAGGTTCACTAGACGACGTCGTAACAGGATAGAGAGCGGACCCAGTGGCCGCTGTGACATGCAGGAGAAAGGAACAAGTGAGGTCGGTAGTACAACGCGGAGTAAGAACTGGGTGACCGGACTCGGGTGTGCGGGCCGGTTGTGGGTTGTGTGATGGTCGGGTGTGTGATTTGGTGCCTCGGTGCGTGTGCCGGATTATCTCACGCGGATCAGAGTGCACGGTTATGCCTAACGTGGGAGAGGTTGTGGAACATCTGATGCGTGATGATCGGACGATAGTCGGGGGGCTCCCAGAGCCGTAGACTGCGATCGCGTGGGATTGTGGGTGTTATGCACTCTACTCTCAGTGAGCACGCTGTGTGAGCCACTCGAGCACAATGTCGAGGTTATGCTTCGTCTTGTTACTTGTCGAATAGCACTACGTAGATGTCAGCTAGGCTTATGCGGTATCAGAACGCACGGATACAGCACGGCCGCCAATCTCGGAAAGCCGCATGTCTCGAATGAGGTCGTCCACCACAAGAGCCCCCGGCAGGTCGTTCTTGTTGGCCAAGACTAACAGCGGGACACCAGCCAGGGCGGGAAGTGCGAGCAGGGAATGGAGCTCGGACGTGGCTGTGGGCAGGCTCTTGGGCTACACGGGCCGGTGGTCAGCTTCTTTCCTCCTCCTCATTCTGCTCTGTTCCTGTCACAGATACCCACGTCGGCTGCGTCCACCACGAACCTGTATCATGTGGTCAGCGATGAGCTCTGCCTCAAGGCGTCAGCTTGCCCCAAAGACTTACACGACTGCATTTGCACCACCGCAGTACCTTTCCCACATTGATCTGAACTTGGGCTGCCCCTGCGTGTCTGTCAGCATTCTGGTATCCGGGGTTGGGCTGGCTCGTCGACTGGGCTGGCTTCTTGGACGCTGGGGCTGGGAAAGCGCCAGCGCGATGGGACGCCATGGTCCCATCAGCAGGCGGCCTTCGCAAAGTCTTTGGGGAGAAAGACGTGCGCGGCCTTCCAGCCTCGAGGACGTGACGTGTGTAGTCATGGTCACCCGGCGGGCTGTTGAACCTTTGGGGGTCTGCGAGGTCTGAATGGGTCTGCGAAGTTCTTCCCCTCGCCAGCCAAAATCCCATATGCTCCATGCGCAAAGAGTCCCTTTCCTGCCAGCGCCAGCGCGTGTGGTCGTCGTGGTGGTCCGTCTCGGTGTAGGAAGGCATACTCACAGCAACGTCCCAGACCTTCATGGTCACATTGCCCTTGCGTATTTGTCTCAGGTTGAACGAGACGGTTGGTACAACTTCTTCTGACCACTGGCCGTTGCCCAGAACATTGACGAGCCTGTTCTCCGTGAGTAGCCGGGCGTGGTGCGAGGTTGGGTGGCGACAAGGGATTTCCATGGTGGTGTCAATAGAAGCATGGCAGAAGCATGACAGGAGTGGTGAGCAACGTTATGGCACGGCATCATTGACAGTTTACCAGCCGCGAGACAGCGCAAGTGATGGCCAGTGGCGGACGGTGGTCGCGGCCACGAGGGATGTGATGGCGAGCGCGCGCGTGTAGGGTTGGCCAGCAGAAGCACAGGTGTGCGTACACAGCGGACGGCCGCGGTGGTGAGGTTGAGGCGGCCGTGGACACGCGGCCATGGCAAGTCAGGCGCGTCGCGACCGTGGAGGATCACGTGAAGTGAGCGTTGTGGGCCGGTGAATGAACGGCAGCGATGGCGAGACACATCGTGCAGGCGCCACACACGCACAGAGAAATGGGAAGGAGGGAGGAGTGGTAAAGGTCGTCGTGGACGCACACCGATTGTGAGTGTGATGCGATGGACGGGATGGTCGGTACGTGAGAGAGCACAACATGTTGTGCGAGTGAGACGAGGAGAGTGAATGGAGGGATGGGAGTAGACAGGACAACGGGTGTACGCGTGAGCTCTTTCTCAACGTGGACACCATGTGCAGAGCCACTCACGAAGTCTTTCCACTCGCCTGGAGGCCGACAATCGTAACCTCGAGGTGCTTGCTCCAGAGCAGGCTACGGAGCCATGCTAACAGCCCGCTGATAAGGGACGCCATGGCGCGCTGGCGTGTGCGCACGTCGTTGTTTCAAACGACACCGACACCCGAGCTGAAAGTACTGGTCGTGCACAGCGGGCACAGCGGGGTGGTGAACAGGAGCGAGAGATGGTGTGGTTTCAACTGACGTTCTCAGTCTTGTCGCAGCTTGGTAGCAGCGGAGGCGGCCGGTAGCGGCGGCGCGTTGCGTGGTTTGTGCTGGGTGCTCGTGCGCGTTGATCGAGTGGCTGGCGGGTCTCGACCACGGGCCAGACACGAGATACAGCGGCGCTTTGTAATGCTGCTCGCCTCTTATCACACCGGATGGGACGGTGAGAGAGAGGTAGCAGTGGAACGGTCCAGGCGAGGTCAAAGACGTCGGCGACCTTGATATATGTGCGCAAGGTATGGAGGGACACTTGGGAATGGGAGACAAGACAGAGGGGTTTGCGGGCCCGGTGTGGGACTCGAAATGTCTGCTGCAGGGATTGCGGTGGCGTGGTCTCTGGAGGTAAGGGCTCTTGTAAGGGCGATACGCGGGGGGCTGCCAGTCGGTACGCGTGGAGTGTGCGACGACGTATCTCTGCACGCTGCAGTGGGAGGGTTGGGACGGTGGTTGTGGATGAGTGGGTGAAAGGGACAGCACAGGCAGTGCATTGCCGATTGACAGTTGGCCACCGACCGAGCGAGCAGTGAGCAGTCCATGACGTATCAGGGACATTCCGAGCCCGACATTCCACAGCCATGTCCAAAGATATATGCTGCTGTTCATTCCACACGCGCACTCGCTTGCAGCACAAATATATACATCATCATCATGAGCCTCATCCCTAATTTGACAAGCAACTGGTCTAACTACCATGGGTCCCCAGGATCACAGGTGAGCCTTGAAAAGCGTCTCGGAAATGTACTGCGCCTCGAGCTGGCGGCCACCAAAGAAACGTCCACCAAGGCCACGCTGGGCGCGCTCAGCCGAATCAATGTCCATAAACTCGATGTAGACGTCGCCCTGGCTCATCTTGTCGACCTTGACGCGCGCAACGTGGCCATACTTGCTCTCGACCTCGCCCTTGACGTCCTCGGCAAGATCCAAGTCCCAGTTGCGCTCGGTCTCTTCGTCTGGGTTGAACATGTTGCCGACTTGGAGAAAGTGCGTGGGGCGCATGAGAGAGGGTTTGGGCGCGACCGGTGCAGGACGCGACGCAGCCGTGCCGGGCATCTCCGTGCGCGCAAGCTTGTACATGAGCTCGCGACGGCCTGCGGCGTCAAGACGGCCACCACCACCGCCACGGCCGCCGTCGGCAATGACGTCCTCGATCCCGGCCTGGCGCTCCTCGACAGCAGTAGCGCGGATGGTACGCCCAGCAAGCTCAAAGCCGTGCATGGCATCGAGAGCCATCTGAGCAGATGCGAGCTCGCGGAACTGCACATAAGCGGTGCCCCTCGAGTTGCCGGTGACGTCGGTGTGGAGGTCGACAAACTCAATGTCTCCGAAAGGCTCAAACACCTGACGAAGGTCCTCCTTGTTGAGCGAGTCTGACAGGTTGGTGATGTAGACGCGGTGGTAAGGGATGGATGCACCAGAGTGTGCCTCGGGGTCGAGACCAGGAGGAAGCTGGAGGCCAATGGAGAGAGGAGGGAAGCGAGGGCGGCGGTCACGACGGTCGCCGCCATCACGACGGCCCGTACGGTCGTTCCTCATCGACGCGAGAAGAGACTTGAGGTCGATGCCCTCGCGGTTTTTGTCTGCGTCTGTGAGGCCAATCTGCATGGGAATACCCATCACAACGGTACCAGACATTGCCAGCGCCTTGTTGACGAGATCCACAGTTGCGAGCTCGACGTATCCAATACTGTATACGTTAGCGCGGTTGAACCCTTGCCTTCCTTTTGTCAACTCACCCCTTGGAGCGGCGTCCCTTGTCGGTAATGACCCGGGCATCGCGCACCGAGCCACGGCCGAGCTTGTCCTCGAAGAAGAGCCCCAGGTCCGAAGACGTGAGGCGTGCGGCAATCTGGGACACGAAAATGGTGCGCTGCTCGGCGTCAACCACATTGTTATACTGGTCCACGGGGTCGCGAGAAGGGGACCTGCGGCGCTGCTGTAAAGAGGGTCAGTAAACGAATGTAACCTGGGGCAGTAGCAAAAAGCAAACTCACACCACGGGCGGCCTCGCGGCGCTCTTCCATCATCTCGCGGTCGCGGCGCTCACGCTCGCGTTCCTTCTCCTCACGCGTCATGTCACGGACACGAGGAGGGGAGCGCGAAGGGCGGCGCCTGTCGCGCGAGTCGCGGCTGTCTCGGTCGCGTCCATCGCGCGCCTCGCGGCGGTCGTCGTCTCGGTGCCGGCGGTCGCGGTCGCGTTCGCGTTCACGGTCACGGTCTCTGTCCCTGTAGTCGCGATCATTACGGTCCGAGCGCTCACTGCGCTCGCTACGTTCATAATCGCGTTCACGGTCTCGGTCTCGGTCGCTACGTTCGCTGCGCGGCTCGCGCTCGCGGTGGTGCCTGCGACTGTCATCCTCGCGGTCCCTCAGCTCGCGCTCGCGGCGGCGACGACGGCGTTCCTCGCGTTCTTCATCGGATTCGTCCTCGGGGTTGTGGCGGCGGGATCGCTCTTCGTGACGGTGCGACGACCTAGTCCTGTCACGATCATCATCGTCATCTTCGCGATGACGCTTCTCACGTTTACTGAAACGGCAGTGGTTAGCAAAAGTTGGACACAAGGGAGGGAGGCAACTTACGCGGTGAGTTCCGGGGTACTGTCACGGAGGGGAGTGGCCGCGGCCATGGGGGGAGTGTCTGACATCGGAGGTGCACTGGGGCTCTGGGTGTAGGGGGCTTTGAGTGAGGAGTGGAGAGGTGAGCGAGGAGGGAGGGAGGGAGCTGGAGAAGACTGATGCGTTGAGGATGCTAAGCGCACGAGAAAGGATTGTTGTTGAAAGCGGGACGGATAATTCCATTAGAGATCGCCTATTACAGAATCTGACAGCAAGCTCGCCACCCTGGGAATAGTCGGCGATTCAGCCCCCACGCCAGAGTGGCACTACCTCCCACGTGGAAGATTTATCACGTGACTCTACTGGAGACCCCGCAGTCGCGCGACGAGGCGCCTGGCCGAGATTGATGACGCGCACAGCCAAGACGAGAGGATATATTGTTGCGTCCATCGCTCCCGACTTTGCCCATTTGCTCGTACAACCTCTCTCACATCCTCCACAGCCTCTTTACTCACCATGGCCGTCTTCCCAGGCGAGCCTCAGTCGTCAGGGTTTCCCGTATGGCAAGTATGTGCCGTCCTCGCCTCCCTCGTCGGACCCCCGTTGCTTGCCATCGGCCTCTACGCACGACACGTCAAGAAACGTCCCTCGAGGCATCGTACAGCGACAGTCCTCGTTCTCGGTGACATTGGCCGCTCTCCACGTATGATGTACCACGCAGAGTCACTTGCAAGGGCAGGTTGGGAGACACACCTAGTTGGATATGGCGGTACGTCACTGCCTGTGTTCTGCCGCTTCAACACACGGCATCGCATAGCCTGCGTCATTTGCTAACACTTTGCCAACAGACACCACACCTATACCGTCGCTCCTCGAGACCCCGCGTGTACACTTGCATCACCTTCATAACCCGCCCAGCCTCCTTTTGCGCCTTCCATGGGTTCTCCGTGCCCCCATCCGTGTGGTGACGCAAGTCTTCTCCGTCATGTACATTTGCGTATTCAAGATCCCCTGCAACACCGAGATCCTCCTCGTGCAGGTGAGCCTCGAGAACGTGTGTACCAGAACTGACACGCACCAGAACCCCCCTTCGATTCCTACCCTTCTCCTCGCGCAGATCATCTCAAACACGACACGTACAAAGCTTATTATCGACTGGCACAACACCGGCTACTCGATCCTTGCCATGCGTCTGGGCGAGTCGTCGCCCATCGTCCGCATTGCCAAGTGGTGAGTTTGCCCTATTCTATGCACAAGCAAACTGACATTACTAGGTTTGAGCGTACTTTCGGACGCGAAGCCTATTGTCACCTGTTCGTCACCTATGCGCTGCAAAAGTTCCTCGTCAACGAGTGGCACCTCCAGGGCCGAAGTGTCGTGCTCCATGACCGCCCGCCCTCGCAGTTCCAGCACACCGAGATCAGTGCACAGCTTAGTGTGAGTTGGGGCGAATACAGAAATGATGCGTACTAACTCTTGCAGCTCTGGAGACGTATTGGCCCCGCGATTGACCCGCCTCTGCCCAAGCGCCTGCACACGACCGATATCCGGCGTACAGGCTTCACTGAAATGACTCCTGACGGACCTGCGCTGCGTCCCGACCGACCGGCGTTCATTCTCTCCGCCACGTCCTGGACGGCCGACGAGGACTTTTCCATCCTCCTCACCGCCCTTGACTCGTACCAAGCCGTCAAGACATCAGGCGTGTCCGACCTGCCCGGCATCGCCATGATCATTACGGGCCGCGGCGAACTCCGGGCCGAGTTTGAGCGGCAAGTCGCCAAACGCGAGAAGGCCGGCCTGTGGCCCGACATTTGCGTGCGGTGCATGTTCCTCTCTGCGCGCGACTATCCGCTGTTGCTCGGATGCGGCGACCTGGGCATCTCGATGCACCAGTCCAGCTCGGGGCGCGACCTGCCCATGAAGGTCGTGGACATGTTTGGGTCTGGTATGCCCGTGCTTGCGCGCGGCTTTGCCTGTATCGACGAGCTGGTGAAGGACGGCAAGAATGGGCGTGTGTTTGACAATGAAGCCGAGCTGGGCGCGCAGTTGATCGACACGCTGGTTGGGTTCCCGCACGCCCCCAAGCTCGAAGCCCTCAAGGAGTACTTCAAGCCCAAGTTTCCCTCCAGCCCCGGACGCAGGGTCACGGCTCCTGGCAAAGAGGTCGAGTGGAGCTCGTGGGACGATAACTGGGACGCGGTCATGAAGCGTGGTGTCCTCGACTTCAGGCGTGCCGAGTGACACCACTGCCCACAACTGTATATAAGACTAGGGGGGGTATCTTGCAAATGCATCGCACAGCCATGAGGGATATGAAAGGTGTATAGTACAGCTTGGGGCGCGCGCGCGATCACTTCTATGGGGGGGCCAAAAGAAACGTTGGTGTTACTTGCCCAGCACAGTCTCGCGGTCCATGACCTTTTGGTCGAGCTTGACGAGAATCACCGTGCGTTGCGGGTACTGATCCGTACTGACGGTGTGGGCTGTCACGCGGGCCGGGACATCGAGGCCGTCCAGCACGCCTTCGACGATTCCGGCCGTAAACGCCTCGCAGCTGAGCTGGGACATGTCCTTTGGAATCGAAATGTTCTGGGTAAGAGGCGGCTGGTTCATCGTGATCATGTCTGGAAACAAGTATGAGCCGTTGTGTGATTCTACCCCCCGGGGGCACACGTGCAAGGTTTGACTTACACTCGTCCTCGCCCTCGACACTCCTCTCGAGACCGTCTGCCGGGCGGCCAAAGCAGTACTTGTACACCTGGGTATGCACAAACTGCAAGATGGGGATGAGACGGTGCTCGCGGCGCGGGTCCTTCATGTGCGATGCCTGGGCGCTGCGGAGCAGCAGAAGGCCGAGAACGCGCTGGCCCGTTTCGTATCCGAGGGTTGTCAGCCTGGGAGATGGCAAGTCAGCAAGGCAGCAAGGCATGAAAGATCACCAGCTCGACATTACCTCTGCTCCAGGTCGGCGACGCTGTCCACCCGGCTTTGCGAATAAGACACAATCTCGGCGAACATGAACGCCCAGCTCGCAAGCGCCACCTCGCTACCGCGTGTCTTGTTGAGTGGCCTGTCAAGAATGTTCTGTCCTGCGGCCCCACCGCCGGCAGCGCCAGCGCCGTTGGGAGCGGCGGGAGGTGGGTTGGGCGAGCGCGACATCGAGTCGCGCATGGAGAGGGGCCGTTGATGCGAGCCAGGACCCGAGATTGTGGATGTGGACGTGTTTGTCGAGTAGCTGTACATTGGATTGCTTTGTGGCGGGGGTGGGAGGGAGGTAGACATTGTGGAGGGTGGGCGAGAGATGTAGTAGAGGCCAACAACAACAATATGGCGACCACGTCAGAACACCATGACATGGCCGTCATGGCGCTCTGCGCGCCAGACGGACCTGACGCGTTGACGGGATTTGATTCCGTCCCGAACCCCGCCTCCATGCTAACAGTGGTGCCGTGAGCCATAGAGAACAGTCCGTGCAGTCCACTTGATCACTTGGGAGGCCGGGGGCTAACCATGCACAAAGGTCAGGCAGGACATGTATAGCATCTTGATAACTGTGGAGAAAAACAACAGGTGTGTGTGGGTGGGTGGGTCAACGGAATCGGAAACAAAAGGAAAAAACACACTAAGTAGAGATGGGTCCGACCTCGATCTCAAGATTCGAACCCTCGGAATTAGGCGCCTACTCCCCCCTCTCACTCCCCCCTCGCTCTCGCCCCCCATCGGTGGTCGGTCGTAATCCCGGTGGATTCTTCAGGGAGCTCTCTCTTGCGGTTGTGTGCAGCCCTGGGTTACAATGGCTCGGCACCAGGAGCTCTCCATCTGGCCCGAGCCATCCATCCACGTCGGGCACGGAATCTAGGTATTAAAGGCGGGGCGGGCCCACCCCAATTAACCAGTCCGGCAGCGCAGCTTCATACTTGGGTGGATGTAAGAAAAGAGAGCCTCAGATGTCGATGCTAGTACTGTGTTGAGATTACGTAACCACTTGCGCCACTGCAGTGTGGCACCGAGCTGACTGGAGAACGAGGGTACTGCACCAATGCTGCTCTTTCTGCTTCTTCATTGTCCTCGTGCTTCTCTGTAGTGCTCGGGCCTCCCTTCTGTGTGCATATAAGCAGCTCTGTAGACGCCTATGCATCCCCATCCTCTTCTGAAAGACAAACTGCCAGCTTAAGACCATCGGTCTCGGGCGCTAAACGGCATCAAATCCCAACAGATTAAGAGTCAAAGGCTTCTACCCACGATACCTTTGAGACCAACGGTCTCAACTGTACCAGAACCTTCACTCGAGGATCCCACAACCGCCTTCCGAGGCATAGCAGTCCGCTGCTTGTTGTAGCATCGCTACACATCGAGGTTAAAGCTTGCTGCCACCTTTCCGAAGGGGCACACACCTCCACTCTCCCACGGTGGTCCGCCACACTCGTACACTTCTACTACCTCATATCCAACATGGCTCGCAACGAATCTTCGTTCCCTTCCTGGTCCGACCTCAAGGACAACGTCCCGGTCCTCACCTCCACCGACAACTTCGAACGATGGGACAAAGCCATACACACGTACTGCCTCGGCAAGGGCATTCTCGCCCATGTCAAGGGCTTCGTCCTCGACCCGTACCGAGCTCGTGACAACCAGCTTCCGCTTGAGAACCTGCTCGCGTTCGAGACGGACTACATTGCGGGTGTTGAAGCTCCCACGGGGCAAGACATCGACCGTGAGGCTCTCCACGACCTCATGGCCACCGCTCTCGGTGACGATGCGCTCCCGGCTGAAATTGCCGAAGCAATCGACGAAGCTGGAGATGAAGTCGTCCTGAACGAAGACATGTTCACACGCTGGAACCGTTGGGCCCGTCTGGAGCGTCTTGCACGCACCGTGCTCCTGCTCACCATTCATGACGACCTCTCTATCGACTATGAGACGCTGCCTACGGCCCGTCACATCTACCTCGCTGTCGAGTCACGTTTCCGTACCGACAATCCTGAGAAGGTTGCTCTCTTGCAGCGAGAGCTCCATGGACTCTATCTCAAGCGCGGATCTACCGCCGACGAGACTGACAAGTTCTACATGGAGTACGTCCGCATCTACGCGGCCCTCGTTCGCCTGAACATCAGGCTCAGCGACAACGACAAAGTCGCCAACCTGTTAACTGCGATTCCGACTGAGTATTCTGTCATGCTCCGCTCGCAGTGGGCTTCCGAGCCCCTCAAAACCTGGTCCAGGTTCACGGCTGTATACACCACCTTTGTCGAGAGCCTCCGGGCCACTGAGGAACGCGAAACAATTGCCAGCAACGGAGCGTCCGCCGCTACCGCTGCCAAACTCAACCTCGACAAGAAGTCCAACAACACGCAACAGCGTAGCCGCCAGCGCGACAAGGGCAGAACTAACAACTCTCAGACCTCGGGCAACAAGCCCAATCTCGTCTGCGTCAACCATCCTAACGCGACGAGCCACAGGACCGAGGATTGTCGCACCGGACCAAAGGTCGCCGCTTCCGTAGTAGTTGCCGATGGATACTATTCTGCATCTGTAGTTCCTGTAGACTCCCCTTCCCCATCGCCAACCACGACTACGACCTTCCTTGTGGACAGTGGTGCCACGCATCACATTGTCGGCAACCGAAACCTCCTCGTCGACGTCAAGAAGGTCGCCAAGCCCATCAAGATCCAGCTGGCGGGCACCAAGTATAGCATCTCCGTCTCCGAGGTGGGCAATATTGTGTTCCTTAATAAGGACCAGCACCCTCACACCGTCGAGAACGTGCTCTACTCGGCAGACACCACAGACAACATGCTCTCGGCCTCTGCGCTCACCCAGGACGGTTGGAAGGTCACCCACGATACCATGACCAAGGGCGATGACGTCATTCCGCTCTCCAACTCCTACCTCGGCGGTCGTCTCGGCGTCGCGCTCGTCCTCGCCGACCATGGGCACTTCGCAGCCTCGGACCGCGCACCGCGCGCTCCGCTCCATCACCTGCACCTCCGCTATGGCCACCTAGGCAAGCCAGCGCTCCTCCGCGCCGTCCGCAATGGCTTGATCCCTGACGTCACCTTCGACGAAGTCAAGGACGACCCTTTTACCATGGCCAACTGCGAGCCCTGTCTCGCCCACAAGACTGCCAACCTTCCTCGAAGGGGTCCCTCGGATCGCGGCAACTCAGCCACACGCGAGTACGTGCACGTGGACATCAAATCCATGTCACACCCGACCACGAAACGCCATCTGTATTGGCTAGCGTTTGTGTCTGACTTCATTGGATACCGCCTTGCGATCCCCCTCACCAACAAATCCGACGCCACGGCTCGTATCAAGACTGAAATCGCAGCCCTCGAGCGACAGGCCGACGTCAAGGTCACTGTCATACGCTCAGACCGAGGAGGCGAATTCAAGTCCGGCGAGTTGGCTCAATGGTGTCGTGCGCAGGGCATTAAGCATCAGCTGGCTCCTGTAGACGACCAAGCCCTCAACGGCGTGGCTGAGCGTCACAACCGCACCGTCTCCGAGATGGTCCGTACGCTCCTTGAAGACACAAAGCTCTCCCACGACTACTGGGACCACGCCACATGGTATGTCAACCGCCTGCTCAACATGACGACCATGTTTGATGACAAGATCACTGTCTATGAGCGCTACAGTGGACGCAAGCCGCACCTCGAGCGGTTCATTCCATTCGGAGCACGTGTATTCGTTCGCAGGCCAGCGGAGACAAGCATCCCGACTCTATCGCGTCCAAGGTCCGTGCCAGCCAGAATCCTTTCCACCTCGCTAGAACTGCCAGGGTGGACTGTCCTCTTCGACAACAAGCGCGTTGCCAACGTGTACGACGTGTTCGAAGTCAAGGATGGCAAGGAAGGCGACAAAATACAGGCCTTCGCCACCATTGAGGACATTGAGACCAACATAGACGCTCACGAGAGCGACGATGACGTCACCGCCACATCGACTAGCGCCCCTGCTACTCTCAACGGTCTCGACGACTCCGACGACGACGAAGCCCTTCCTGCAGCATCTGCACTTGCGCAAGATGGCGAGACGGCTTACCTTGCCTCTCTTGCAGCCGAAGCCATCGTTCTCGGCGACCCTGTCACAGTCAAGGAAGCCCTAGACGGCCCAGACCGTCAGTCATGGATCGAGGCCATGCAGGCCGAAATCGACAATCTCAATGGCAAAGGGACATGGACTGGCTCTGAGCTGCCCCGCGGCCGAGTACCCATCACTGCCAAGTGGGTATTCAAGCACAAGACCAAAGCCGATGGCTCTATCGCCAAATTCAAAGCTCGTCTCGTCGCGCGCGGTTTCTCGCAGGTACCCGGTGTTGACTTTGAGGATACCTTTGCCCCTGTCTCCCGTCTCGCCAGTCTCCGCATTCTCCTCGCGCATGCCGCCACCCACGACCTTGAGCTCCGACAGATAGACGTCGAGGGAGCCTATCTTAATGGTCCCCTCTCTGAGGAAATCTATCTTGCCCCACCTCCGGGTGTCGAGGTCAAGCACGGCAACACCCTCCATCTCAACAAAGCCCTGTATGGACTCAAGCAGTCCGGACGTGCATGGTGGCTCGAGCTCGACAAGGCGCTACGCTCCATCGGGTTCAAACGCTGCGCTAGCGAATGGGGCCTCCATACAAAGCCCACCAAGCTCGGCCCCATCCTTCTCCTTGCGTATGTCAACGATATCCTTATTGTCAGTCGTACCAAGGCTCAGGCCAACACCGTTGTGACCGCTCTCGCCAAGTTCTGGGCCCTGACCGACTTGGGTGAGCCTAGCCAGATGCTGTCCATCCGTATCGACCGCGACAGAGCCACAAAGACCATTCGTCTTTCGTCAACCGCCTACATCGAGCAGATCGCAGCCCAGTACGACCTAGAGTCCGTCCGCACAGGCAAGACAGCCCCTCTGCCAGCCTCAGGGGAGCTCAAGGACCTACTTGCCGACGACCACACGGTTATCAACGCGCACGATCACCGCGTTTACCGCGAGCTTGTAGGCAAGGCACTTTGGCTCGCCATGTCGACTCGCCTCGATCTATCCTTCTCAGCTTCCGTCCTCTCGCAAGTCCTTCGTTCCCCCGCTCCCAAGGCTCTCGAACTTGCCCAGCGCATGCTTGCCCACGCGCATCACACCAAGAACGCGTACCTCGAGCTCGGCGGTGCCATCGACAACCGACTCATGGCCTTCGTCGACGCCGATTTCGCCGGCGACCTCGAGACTCGCCGTTCGACCACAGGTTTCTCCGTCCTCCTCTACGGCTCCTCCATATCATGGGCCGCACACCGCCAGGGGAGCGTAGCCACCTCGACAACTGCCGCAGAGTACGTCGCCATCGCCGAGGTCACCAAAGAGATAATTTGGCTCCGTCAGCTTCTTCTTCAACTTGGTATCGCCGACGACACCATTGTCGAGCCTGTCCGCATCCTCGTCGACAACCAAGCTGCCATAACGATTGCAGAGCGTCCTGTGAACTTCCCCTTGTCCAAACACATCGACGTCCGCCACCACTTCGTGCGCGAGCAAGTCGACAGAGGGAAGATCACCCTCGAGTACGTCCGCACCAGTGACCAGCACGCCGACTGCCTCACCAAGGCTCTACCTGGTCCCCTCCATGCTCGGCACACTGCCTCCCTAGGTCTCAAGAACCCGACCAACGCTGTCAACATGGTCTCTGAGCCCAAGGACGAGCACCACGACGTGTAAGATGTTTCTCGAGGATAGAGATGAGGGGAGTGTTGAGATTACGTAACCACTTGCGCCACTGCAGTGTGGCACCGAGCTGACCGGAGAACGAGGGTACTGCACCAATGCTGCTCTTTCTGCTTCTTCATTGTCCTCGTGCTTCTCTGTAGTGCTCGGGCCTCCCTTCTGTGTGCATATAAGCAGCTCTGTAGACGCCTATGCATCCCCATCCTCTTCTGAAAGACAAACTGCCAGCTTAAGACCATCGGTCTCGGGCGCTAAACGGCATCAAATCCCAACAGTACTGCTGCAGACAGTACCAGCGAGGTAACGAGGGTATGAGGTGCATGGCATACTAGCGGTAGATCATCTTATATAGGTAGCGCTTGGGGGACTGCTGACATCATACGGTGGAAGCAATCTGGTCACGTGTTTCTAACAGTGGAAAACATGGACCAGATGAGGGAGACGTTACGTGACAACCTGTGTGTCCATTATCCAATTAGGTAATACCGTATAGGGGCATTACTACTTCCAATGTTATTCCTCGGCGCCCCCCCCGTCGCGGCCGTCCGAGACGCACGTATCTCGCCGTGGTCCTGCGCACCTGCTTCGTGACAATGCTCCTTCTCCCCTCTCGCTTTCCCATTCAGCCTCGATAGCACACGACGAGCAGAAAGGAAGGCACAACAATGGTGGTCCTCCTCTCAGCACGTACCCGCCTCCCGGCCCTCGCACGCGGTCTCAGCAGTGAGTCACCCCAGAAGCCACCCACCTGCTTTTGCCTGCACAACCTCCACATCGGACTCGCTATTTTGGTCCTGTCGTCAACAGCCCACAGCTCCGTCCAGAAAGAAAGCTGACCGCCGCAGCCTCGGCCTTCCCCTCCAAGCTCGCCTTTGCGTTTGACATTGACGGTGTCCTGAAGCAAGGCAAATATGTGCTGCCCCAGGCCAAGCGCGTCATGCAGTTGTTGACGGGCAGGGACGGGCGCCTGCCAGAGTGAGCATGGGAGCATGAGTGGTCGGTGGAGGGACGGCAGCTGCTCAACCCCGCTCCTGCAGCATTGTTGCTCGAGTAGTGACTGAGCATCTTTGGAAAGCTGACTATTTACAGACCCGTCCCCTTCCTCCTCATGACCAACGGTGGCGGCGTGCCCGACGCCCAAAGGCGAGCGCTCCTGTCGCGCGATTTGGGTATCGAGGTAAGTCCATGATGGCAAGAGGGTGGCATCTGGCCATCTGGGGAACCTCACCCTCCGTTACCTCCTTAGCTGTATCTTGCCCACGAGCCAGCTAACACCCACAGCTTGGCGAGAATCAGCTGGTCCAGTCGCACACACCATTCCAGGCCGCCATGCGCGAGTATATCGACAAGCCCGTGCTCGTCATTGGTGGAGACGGCGACGCGGCTCGTAAAGTGGCCGAGAGCTATGGCTTGAAAAAAGCAGTCATCCCGCAGGACATTATCCACTGGAACCGCTCGATCTGGGACCGGTACCACTTCACAGACGAGGACGAGAAGGTTGTGCGAGTGAGTTGAGAGAGGCGTGCGCTGCTGCCGCTACTCTTTGCACTCCTGCGAGAAAGCAGCCATCACCATGACCGCCGTTGTGCTCACTCGATACCAGCACGACATCGACTTCAACTTCACCCCGATCCATGCCATCTTTGTCCTGCACGACTCGAACGACTGGGGACGCGACCTCACCATTGTCAACGAGCTGATGCAGTCCCGCGGGGGTATGCTGGGCACGGTCCGGGAAGACCGTACAGTCCAGAAGCCTGGCGGTGAGGTTCCCCTGTTCTTCTCCAACCCGGACTTGGAATGGGCCAGGTGAGTGCTAATGTTGAGATGTGTCGCTAGACGCGCTTACATCTCGCAAGCGATTACCCGGTCGTGCGTCTCGGTATGGGCGCGTTCAGCTTGTCCATCGCGTCCGTCTACAAGGTGCGTGCCCCAAGCGGTTGGAGCGGGACACGACGCACGGTGCTGACCACAACCAACCTACAGGCGGCCACCGGCCTCGACCTCCCCTTCACCCAGATCGGCAAGCCCCACCACCTGACCTACGAGTTTGCCGACTCGATGCTCACCCGCCACACCAAGCAGTTGCGCGGTGTGGACCAGGATCTGAATGTGTGAGTAATAGTACCAGTGCATTGTCACTGGTGGTCGGGCTGCAACTGGTAACGATGCTGACGTTTTGCCCAGCTACATGATCGGCGGTGAGTGACTCAAAATCTCCTCATTAGATGTTGTTTTGTTTTTGTTTTGACCACGTGCTGACGGCAGACAACCCGATGTCTGGTGAGTCACCCCAGTGTTTCATACACCATTGGCATCCTCCAAGCGCATCCAGCTCGTGATGTCGGCGTACATGCATGGTCGCATGTGCGATGGTCGACGCGTACCCGCTCGCCCTTTCTCACGACTCACACTCAACCCCGCGCACTTGTACTGACGGTCACAGACATCTGGGGCGCCAACATGTATGGCTGGAACTCGATCCTTCTCCGCACAGGCGTGTACGCGGGCGGCGAGCCGGCGCACGCGCCGACGTTTATTGCCGACGACGTCGAGCTCGCGGTGGAGTGGGCCATTAAGCGGGAACTGGCCAACGCTGGCAAGGCTGCGTAATGGGCCTAGACCTAGACCTTAGACCATGGGCAAGGAAGTACGAGTTCCTCATGGCTCCGTGTACGCGACCAGGCTCGGATAGAGGTCCTCTAGGATTTGAGTTGTTCCTTCTGGAGATGGATAGATGCGTGGTGGGATGTATTCTTGCCCCACAGCCCGCGACCGCGCCGCGGTGGTTGACCGCTTCGCTATGTTGCATCTTGGGTGGACAGCGAATAGCGTCCACTTTCCGGTACAAAAGACTCCATGCGACCGTCACCGCCGCCTCGACTTGATATGCAGGCTGCACGAGGCCAAGCCATGACGTCGAGGATCGGGGACGCAGAAACAATAGAATTCCAGCTGTGCGCAGACTACCTGAGGTTCCGCGACCGGGGCGGCACAGCGTCCGGATGCCGGAGGGATATACACAACGCCAGCGGGTCTCGGATACTCTTCTCCTCGCGTTGCAGACGTACTGCTTGAGCTGAACGGCGGCGCCAGCGATCGGGTCGATCGGGACGTGTCGATCCGGCATTGTTGCGCCATCGAGGCTCACCCTGAAGCTCACAAACCTCACAGGCTAGTCGCAACTGCTGTTGCTGGCCGGTAAAGGGCGGCAAACAGCTGCAGCACCGCCCACTGCCCACTGGCATGCACATGTGCGTGCATATGCATGCGGGAGGGGCTCGGATAATGGGCAGGAAACGCCTCGACGCGCCGCCGGGATCCTGGGACCTCGAGAGACCCCCGTCCACCGGGTCCTGTCGGAGCGAGGCTGGGCTGGCGGACGCCACGAGATGGTCATTGTTCCCCAAACCCTCGTCTCCACCAGCCACATGTGCTTTTGGCCCCGTGGGTCGACCCCCCCCCGAGCGGTCTGGGGTTGTGGTGTCCGGGGGACAGCCACTGTGCCAACTCTCCCTTGCTGTCTACTGGACAGGTAGGTCGGTACTGTCGGTACTGGGACAAATGACCGGAGAGATGAGGGTTGGGGTCAAGTGGCTCGACACTCAGGCATTCTCGCTGATAAAACCCGGAAAAAAGATGGGAAAATAGTCGGAGGTTCTCGAAATATTCCGATAAACAACAATAAAGCATGTCTTCGCGTGTTGTTTCGCTCACAGCTCTGGACACCGTTGATCCACTAAGGCAGGCCCAGAGATCCAGAAAACTGCGGCATGGAAACAGGTGGCACAAAAAAAGAGCACACACAGCCCGTGCGTAAATAGAGCCACCAAGATCACCAAATCGGCCCGGCAACATCGACCACGTTCGGATCGCCAGTCTGCTTTCGCACGTTGCCACATCGTCATATCGAGTTCTGACTCGGAGGCGAGGAATGGTCGGCACGGATAGATATAAGCAGCGGTACCGTCCGTAGCCTATTCCAGGGACTGCCCATTGTTCTTGCCTGCTGAGAGATACGGTCTGTGGCGCGCCGGAGACGTGGCTTGGAGAGAGAACGGACGAGGGGTCATTTGCGATTGCTACGAGGAGGGGAAACCCCACAGGTGACGCAACCTGAGGGATACAATGAAAGGACGGCAACGAATTATCACTGCGAACGCGTGTGATTCCCTAGAGACGTCCCAAAGTTGACACTGCATGTACAGTAGGTGCTGACGAGGAAGTCTAGGGACGCGTGCGGTTTCCATTGTTCGATCGGTCCGGAGGCTGGCGGGGCTCGTGGTATCGACGTCGGACCCTCCGCAAGTGGGGGCTTGAGGATTGTTTAGGAGCTTGAGGATTGTTTAGGATTGACAAGGCTGGGGTCCGGCTGCACCCAGCTGGTCTGTTTCAAGAATAACTGTATGCAAAGAGGAGCATATGTGAGACGCTTCGGTGGTAGATCGTTAGGGCCATGCGTGGCATTCGGAGCCAGAAAGCAAAACGGCAGAGGCCGAACCGAAGGCTTTGGGTTCATGTACGCGCCAACAACCCTTCCGCATTCGCTCGATCAGCATGAGCCCGCAGACATGGGTGACCAACCTCCCTCCCTCCCGGCACTGGGAAGGTCAACACGCATCGGTCCGGCATTCCGATTGTGTTAGGGGGAGTCGGTCTTCGTCAGCGCTCCCCACACTGCGAAGGGTAACCCCACTGTGCGTTGGTTGGATTCCAACAGAGGTTGCCCACGCCTCGACGCCTTTACGGGTACCTCAGGGCATCGGTACGTCCCGAACTTTTGACGGCAACCGAGCAAAGGACATTGTTGGCACTGCTACTGCTTCAGGTACAATGCCTGGCCCCCAATAAAGTACGAGTACATGTGAGCGGGTCGTGTCCGAGCTATGTAGTAGACAGGTGCACACACAGGGTGATGGCAAAGGGTCGACTTTGGGTCTAGTAAACGAGGCAGAGGTAACGGTCTCGACAATAGGGTTGATCCGTTCGTGGGTTCTCAATAGACGGCGATCATCGCGCTCGTCCCGGTGTTCATTGTCTCGTTCAGGTTGACACGTCGGGGTCTCAACATGCTGCGGATTGGTCCAGACAATGCATCTCGTATCAGATCTGTGGGAGGCGTGTGCACATGTGAATGCATCTTCGTACTTGGCGACGCTGATGGCGACAAGAGACAAGAGACAAAGAAAATCCCCGGGAACCATCGCGGTGAAGGTTGCAGTCTGGAACAGTGGTGGACGTGAAGTCTAACGTTTTCTGTGTACCTGTGTATGCATGTCTAGCAAGTGGCCATGGGTCAGCTGGCCTTTGGAGAAGTGGCCAAGCAGAGACATCCTGCGGAACTTGGACCGCACAAGCGGACGCATTCAGTACACGCCCACGTATGTACACACGCAATGGCTATAGCTGCATTCCATTGTTCTTGACGTAGGTGCCTCAGCCCCACCTACGTCCTCCGACTGGGGTCCCCCAGGCCAACCATCCTTCACAGCTTCACATGCTCCTGTCCCTCCCCTTGCTTCTTGCGGGGGGATCAAGGGTGTGTGCACCCCACCCCTCTCTCCCCTGTCTGTGCGGTCTGGTTTGCCGGCGGGCCGCACAACAAAGTTGAACGATTCCTGTTCACAGGAATGTCGGACGCTCACGCCACACCCAGATGGCCACTGTACCACTGAATGTCCTTGTCAGCCCCCAAACTCGACCCCGCCTACGTTTGCCGCATTGCCTGCCCCGCCTGCTGTCCCCGAGCTCCGCCGCGTTCGCCCTCACAGTGTCCCTTGCCCTTGCTCTCTGTGGTTGTGGTGGCGTCTGTCCGAGCGCGACCACCCCCCCGCTCACTCTGATTGTTCTCCAGTCGGCACTCCAGTCCAGATGCCGCCGTTGCAGATTCGATTCCACACCCATCAACCCTTTTCATGACCCCGTTGCTGTAGCGCTCCAGGCTCTGTGGGTGTGAACACCGGTTAACTGGGCCCCAAGGCCTCTGCGCTGTGGCGTGGCAACGCGGTCGAAACCTGCCATCGAGCACCTGTGGTCTGTGGCCTTTGATTGATGGTGTGTTGGCCCCTCCACAATCCCACAACCTGAGCGTCGGGACTCCAGAAGCACGGCCGCCGCCACCGTGACCATCTGGACGTGGCCATGATGCAGTGCCGGAAAGCAGCACAATGAAAGAAGACTTTGCTTAGTCCATCTCATTCCTATACACAACAGACAGACAGAACCCAATTGTCAGCGGATCTGGCCTTTTGAGTACAAGACCTCACCACCGTGGTCTTGTCTGTCGCCACCATCCCCATCCCACTCTCCATCTACTCGCTGTCTCCCGCTCGACAACACTTGCCACCCTCAAGAACACCAGTAGCGGCATTGCGACCATGCCCTTTCAGCTCGACGTGACGTCTCCGTGGGTGAGTGGTCGTCTTCCCGGGAGTCGTTGTGATCTCCCGGTAGGCAAACGCGTGCAATGCCCAGTCGCTGATGGCAGCCCAACTCGGGAAGGTTCTGGACTGGTGGTTCGTCAACCCCGGCGTCCGTCATATCCACCACCGTGTCGACCATGTCCGAGGATCAACTGACCGTACTCGACACGCCAGAACTCTGCAGCCCTCGCAGCATGTGCAGCAGCCTCGAGACAGAGTCTGCGCCGTCCACTCCGAGGACACACTGCAGTGCCGACGACGGCCCGTTTTCGTGTGCCACCTCGCCGGAACCCGAGAGCGACGAGTATGACGAATGGTCGAGCGAGCTGAGCGACGCGCTGTCGTATACATCGTACTCGTCCTATTCGTCTGAATCCTCGTCGGCGTCATCGTCATCGGCATGGTCATACGCATCGAGCTTGGCCTCTGTGCAAGTCTCAGACAGTGCCTCGGAAGACGTTGACCCGTCCGGTCCTTCCGGTGAGACGGGGCTGTCGCCCCGGGTTGTAGGCATCGACCTTTGCGAGGTGAGTCATTTTACGGGCTATGTGGCGCGCGCGTCGACGCAGTTTGTGTCTTGTTCCTTGGCGCCTGCACTTTTTGTCTATTGTATTGCGTCTCGCTCTCCGGCGTGTGTTCAGACACAAAGGGACTGTGGGTGTGTGCATGTGCATAGCAGCCACCCAAGACACCAGAGTTGCCATGACAAGACCAATGGTCTGGTGCTGACAAGCAACAATAGGGGTCCTCACCCGCCGTGGGCCAGTCTCAAGACTACAACAACAAGACACTCGTGTCGTGAGTAGACTTCATGCACACCCACGTCCCCCCATCAACGACCACTCTTGACAATGCTGACCGCTACCAGCATGCGTCCACCACTGTCATCATACTCTGGCGACTACAACCACGCCGGCTCCTCTCGCGATGCAGTTCACTTCCAGCAGCCCCAATACCACCATCCCCTCCTCTCAAAGACCAGTCACCATGCCCTCCCCCTCACCGGTGCTAGACCGTCACCCATCACCCCGCGTCTCGCTCCCACCGCCAACACCCACATTCACCGCGCCATCGTCATCCCTCCCCGGGACGGCACCCCTGCAACGCCCACCGCGCCGGCGCACCGCCTCGTCCTCGTCCCCCGTCCCGTGAGGGACGAGCTCGAGCGCGGGCGGACGCTCACTGTGCGCTCGCCTGATGGCATGCAGTACCGCCTGAGTGCCAGCGGTCCCGTGGCGGTGGTCACCGCACCTCTGAGACGTGGAGAGGAGGTACTCGCCCGTGGCGGCGCCGAGATGCTGGTCGTGGGCAGCCAGCCGACCTGTGGACCGCCTCCAGTCGCGCGTCCAGCCTCGCTCCCTGCCACTCCTCCACAGCTTGCAGCCGCGACCAGCATGGACGGTTCGATCCCGCGCTCGACCAGTGAACCCCCCACGTCTGGCGTCGACCTGGACCAGCTCTTCCGCAAGCACGTCTCAGCCGCCTATGTGCCTTCTGGGACAAGGGAGACGACGTACCGTCTCCGCGGCGCGGCTCGGCGTGCGACCAAGGCCCATGCGAGGCTCGAGCATAGTCTGCGGGTTGCTGCCGCGCGGGCACGCAGCAGTCAGAGCCGAAGCCGCAGCCGCAGCACTAGCCCGCGTGTGACCGTTGGCGACGACGGGGTGGACGTGGACTTGGCTTGAACATGCTTCGAGCACGTTTGTTCTTCAGGTCAGGTCAGGGCTTGGTCTTGGCTTCGCGTTGTCTCAACATTGAGAGACAAGAGGAACCAAACAACAGCTCCAGGTGGTACACAATCGATCGCTGTCGATCTCTTCTCTACCTGGCCAGAATGGCAGATTGTCCACCGCTCAGCTGCCGTCGAAGGTGGTGGGATCTGTTGTGCATGGACAATCACAGACAATCGATAAGATTCTCAACCGCAAGCCCGGCCGAGTCTACGCGGGCGTTCACTGGCCCACTGGGCAGCTCACACTCTCCATTCCCCGATCCCCCTCTGCCACATGCCACATGCCACCTCCGCCACTCCATTGTCCGTGTCCGCCAGACCCCGGCCATGGCGATCAGGCCATGGCACGCAAACTGCAACGCCGTCCAGAGGCTAGAGGCCCAAAGTTCTTTTGTCCATTGTGGTGTAGTTCCCGACCAACGCTGAGCCACTGTTGTTCGTCGTCGACGCGTCATGCCGGCCATGCGTGATTTCCAGCTGTTCCTGTTCTTCAATAACGCATACCTGCTCCCATTTATACCCCACGCCACGCCGATATACCGCCTATTCCTATTCCTATCCATCCCACATCCATACCGTGCTCGCTATACCCGTATCCCACACCACCGATACCAATGCCATTCTCACTGCAGCACGGTGACACCCAGGCTACACTCCTGCCAACGGTGGTGGCGAGGCCAAGTGAGCGACATTGGCAGTCGCCTCTCGCCGCCATGCGCCCTATTGTACCACACCCCCCGTACCCAGATCGCTTGTTATTACTGTCCGTTAGCTATCGTCTCCCCTAGCCCTTGTCCTGTTGCAACAATGAAGTAAATGCCCTGCATGAAGAATCTAGTGGTTGGCTTTTGGGTGGGTATATATCTGTGCACAGTGAATGGCATTCCAGCCATACCCAACGGGTCATGCAAAGCCCTTGGTGTTTCGTGTGCGCGCGTAGGTGGTGGGCCCCGACCGTCCTGGTCGAGCCCCCCGTCGTGTGTTGCGAATACGTCGTCGCAACCGTCCCCCGTCCCCCCCGATCGTGTCCTCCGCTCCGGTCTCTATCTCCCCCTGCTACCCTCTCCCCACGTCACGCCCGCTTAGTGCCTCGCGGGACCGCGCGTCTTGGTCTTGGGGAACTTGACGGGCGCCTTGAGGACCGCACGGCGCTGCTTGGACGCCTCGGCCTGGGTGAGGCCGAGCTTCTCGCGCTCGGCCGGGGAGGCAATGTCGACGGAACAGCCGAGCGACTTGAAAATGTCCGTGACTCTGGAGGAAATGCGTCAGTGGCGGAGCTTTGCTGTGGCCTTGAAAGTGGAGACGTGTGTGTTGTTTAGAGTCGACAAATGTCGCCACCACGTCCACGTCGGTCCAACACGCTTTGACATGTACTCACTTTGTAGGAGGCAGCGCCAGCTCCTTGGCCACCTTGGCCACGTCCACGCTCCAGCCGTCCGCGGCCAGGTAGCAGACACAGATCCAGGCCAGGAGCTTCATCTTGCACTTGTCGGTGACGGCAAACCGCTTGCCGACGGGCTCGGCAAAACGCGCGCAGAGACCGTTGAGCACCTGCGCGGGGATGCCGGGAAACTTGGCGGGCATCTCTGAGACGGACATCTTCTGGAGACCGTGGGCAGCGTTGTAAAAGCCCAAGAGACACGACAGGTAGTAGAGCATGCGCCTGGAGGTGGGTGTGTGAGTAAACGAGTCCCCGAGTGCGCGCGGTGGGAGAATACCCAAGGCGTCTTCTGGTTCCTACTCACAGGTTGTTCTTGCGCGTGCCCGAGGGACCCTCGACAGTGACACGGAGCTTGTCCTCGATCCACCTGCTGCGGCGGAACGGCAGCAGGGCCGAGCGGGCGCGGTCGTCCTCGGCCTGGGTGAACGCCGCGACCTGGATCGAGCTCCACTCGGCATCGGGAACAATGGCCGAGCGCGGGTACACCTCGGTGGGGACGTTGGTCTGGGTGTTGGGAACAGGGATAAACTCGGAGGGGGCAACGGGGCCTGCAACGTTAGCACGGTGCAAACAGAGCCTGGGCAAAACCAGTACACTCACCCTCGGGCTTGGCCTCGACACCGCCAATGCTGGCAATGAGGTCGGTGCGCACACCGGACATGGCGCTAATGTCGACCTTGTTGCGCTCCTCGGCGCGGATCTGGCTCTTTGCTTTCCTCGTTCCAAAGGTCTCGCCGAGGTCGTTCCTCTTGGCCTTCCACATGGTCATTGCCTCAGGCGTGCCCGAGAGGGGAGCCTCGCGCAGACGCTTGACGCGGTGCGAAAGGAGATACAGCGGTGCGGGGGACACATTGAGCGTGCGCGTGGCCGGGTCGTACACGGCCGCGAGGTACTGGCAGTCGGCACCCTCGCCGGCGTTGCGGTCGCGGTTGGTGGAGAAGTACTCGACGTCCTCGGTCTCGCCGGCGACCAGGGTGTGCTGCTTGGCAAGCTCCGAGCTCGAGGCAGGGTCACGCGAGTAGAGGGTGAAGGGGGTCCTCTTGCTGGGCTTGATGGAGGGGAAGTTGACTGCGAATGTGTGTGAGCTGTGTGTAGGCTGAGGAGCAAGTCGACGCTGTTTGGACCTACCGAACGCGGGGCCAGCACCCGACGACGACTCTGCGACGACGACCGAGACGTCTGCCGACGACGAGCCCATGGACTTGCGCTTCTTGGACTTTTTAGCTTCCTGTGACGCCATGGTTGTTGCTGATGTTGTTGGCAGCAGCAAGATGAATCCAAAATCTCTACAGTCGGCGCCAGAGGAACGAGCGGAAGCAAATATTTCAGTCGAAGTGGAGGTGGACCTGTGTCGTGTGCCCAGGTGGTTTGTATGCGGGGAGTGGGATGAGTGGTGGGAGGAGGGAGCGCAGTGCAGTTGAGAGCGGCGTAGATGCATTGCAAGGACGCCTGACACCTGCTGCAAGCTCGCAAACTGTGCATGGAGGGGTGCTCACTGTGCCGTGTAAGGTGCACTATTTGAAGGTTGTCAACATTTGCTTACGTAAGGCCACATTTAGCCGCCTGTATTTTGGTGATGCCCAGAAATGTTAGGTCGAGACCCATCGTCATCGACACCAAAACCCCCCCATCTCAGCAACCATGGCCAAGGTCAAGCCCTCCAAGGCCGTCACCAAGCCCGCCAAGGGCGCAGCTGCATCCACCGCAGCTGCCGCTGCGGACATTGACGACATCTTTGCGTCTGGCCCGTCCAAGCCCGCAAAGGCCAGCGCCAAGGCGACCGACGGCGGCAAGAAGAAGAAGAGCAAGTCGGGTGCTGGCGACAAGGAGAAGCTCGCTGCCGACGCGGCCAAGGCTGAGAAGAAGAAGCTCAAGGGGTCGGAGGCCAAGAGCAAGAACAAGAGCGGCAAGGGGAACAAGGCCAAGGCGGCGGCGGCGGCGGCGCAAGAGTCCGAGTCGGAGGGCTCGGACTGGGACGTCGAGGACCTGGACGACATTAACGAGTCTGAGCTCGAGTCGGACGACGACAACGCCAACGGCAGCGCCGCTCCCAAGGTCCTCGAGGTGGTGGACCCCTCTGCGGCGATTGCGTCCGCTGTGGCTGCGACCAAGCGCGCAGAGGCTGCGGCGGAGAAGGAGCGCGGCAAGAAGAAGAGCGGCAAGGGCGGAAACGACAGGAAAGAGGTGGAGGACGACAAGGCGTTCCGCGACAGTCGAGGCGACACCGATCGTGAGTGTGGGCATGAATGGACGTGGGTGGTTGCCTGGGTGCTTCAGCAGATCGTACACGTCTGGTGGGGATATCCCTCGGAGCTCCCACGTCTCTTGCCGAATGTGAGCACCATGCTGACTCGCCCTCTAGGCAAGCGTACCGAAGAAGGATTCCTCGTCTTCAAGGAAGCCGAGCTCAGCATCGACCCCACAGCGGGCGGTACCCCTCTGTGCCCATTCGACTGCGACTGCTGTGAGCCAGCTGCCATGTGGAAGTCGCACGAAGCTGACCAATATCACAGGCTTCTAAATCCTCCCCGCCGTGCGCTCTTTTCCTTGTTGTACAAACAGTCCTTGGCATATGCACGTCCATGTTGCAGAGGTTCTGGGTTTCTGCTTCTCTACTGCTGCTACTACTACTACCGCCCCTATCGTTCCGTTGGCCCAAACTCTTGCGCGTATTACGTGACGGTGTCTGTCCAGTCAGCACGTGTCATCCACGCATGGCTCGTTGGCTCCTCCACTCACAAAAGTAATCGTCCACCAGAGGCAGGTATCCGGCAACCAGCTCGCCCGCAAGACCAATGAGCGGAATACGCTCGAGCGCCTGGATGAACGACACAATCTTGGGCCGCGTCCATCCAATCCACATCGGGCCCTGCAGGAAGAAGCGAGACGCCAAGCGACGGTCCACCTGGGCATAGTGTTCGGCGAGGAGTGTCGAGTCGCGGGCCGGAGCGCGCAGACGGCGGGCGACGAGTTGGAGCAAGAGGGGCACGAAGAAGGGCGTGAGCGACCGCGACAGAGTCGGCAGGGACGAGCGGCGGAAACGTGACGCTGCCGGCGATGTCTAATAGGGGGAGGAGGGTCAAACGTCAGCTCATCATCTTTCCGTCTGATTGCATCCCACTCACCGACTGGCGCATGAGGAGGATGACCTGAACGAGGACGGCCGTCGCGGAAAGAAGCTCGGCAGTGACCTCACCGGCCGACTCGAACTCGGGAACCAAGCTGAGGGGGTGTGCGAGATACTCTTGCGGCAAGGCCAGAGCGAGGGGATACAGGTGTGTGCGGAGGGGAGCACGCGCGACGGCTGGGACGACGGGGCGGGCGACGGGCGCCTTCCCCTTGTGGTCTGCCGCCTTTGGCACGGGCTTGCCGTTGTGCGCGAGCAGCTCCTTCTGCGGGATGAGCGAGACGTCGTACTCGCGCTGGGGTGTGGGCGGCCACACGATGGGTCGACGAGTAATGGTGAGCAGCATGAGGCGGAGGAACGTCTTGAACCCTTCAAGACCGAGCACGACCTTCCACCGGATGCGGTCGCTGCCGCGCTTCTTGGCCAGCATCTCGAGCAGCAGCTCGACATAGGTGATGGTCACGAGTGCGCGTGAGGCGCGCTTGTATGCCGGGGAGCGGTCGGTCCAGTACCGCGTGTAGCGGGCGTGCTCGCTGGCGGCTGGGAGGAGCGGGATGGTGCGTGGGGTTGCGCTACCGGCACCCGGGGACTTTGCGTCGGTATCGGCCGGCGCCGCAAAGGGGTGAGGCGGGAGGGAGAGGGCGGGCGGGATACGCTTCTCGAGGAGGGCATCGTGGACGCTGGACACGACGGAGAGGAGGGCATAGACTGGGGTATGTGTGTGTGAGCGTTGTGGCTCGGTGCAGTGGCACGCTCGACTACTCACGGCCTTCGGACGCAATGTCGCCGTCTGCGAAGCGGCCGGGGAGGAACCATGTGACGTTTCGGATGGCGGACTCTACTGTCTGTACTGTCTGTACGTTATCCAGGAGCAGCTGCTCGTAGGCAGTGACGATGGTGGACGCCATCGTGAGGCGAGTGCGTGCGAGGGAGAGTGAGAGACAGAGAGAATGAACAGAAACACGACGTCCCATGGTCCATTTCTCTCCATCGCCGGCAACGAGCGCCGTCCCCACAACCGGCCCACCGCTCGTCACCGCCGGCGCTGGGCGGACACGGGATCAAATATAGGTATGGTGATCGCGTCGGGTGTAACCCCCCCAGGTGTCGCTCATCGTGCCAGCGTGTGCACATTCTCTTGTCCGTTGTCGCAGCACACCTAGCTTATAACGTTTACAACTCTCTCATTGCAATCGATGCTCTCCCTCGTCGTCGCTGCATGACACAAGCGGCCCGCTCCCAGGACGACGCGCTTAACGGCCTTTAGCACCGCCCGCACGTGCCCTCAGGCGCTGCCTCCACCCTCCACCGTCGCGACAAGTTCCCCTCTCCCGCTCGATCCCCCACCACCACAATCCCATAGCCCACTCCTTGGGAGAGACATTGGTTTCGTTCTCCCTTTCTTCCTCTCTTCATCGTCGTCCTTCTTGTCACCATCACCCTCGCCCCCTCTTCTTCTCCGGCACCGCTCTCCGCTGGCGTGAGCCTCGGCCATCTCCCCTCCCGAGCTCCACAATGGCGAGGCCGCTCCGTGGACCTGGCCCCCACACGACACTCCTTCAACCACCACCACCGCTCGGCAGCGTGATGGACGGCCGCCCAGAGTCATACTTTGACAGCCAGCAGGACGCGACCGACATCTACGACCTGTACGACTCGTACGGCCGCGAGAGCGTGTATTCCGTGGGCCGCGAGTCCGTGTACGACGATGGCGGGGGGCTTGCAACAGCGCCAGGACCGAGCCCATTGCGTTTCCCTAACAAGGAGCTGGCACCTCTGGACGGGTCGACTGAGAGCGACGGCGTCGTCGCAATGGACAGCGTCCCGGGACAAGGCCTAGCCAGTCCAGACGTCTTGCGTCGGCCATCAGACACGCCGGCATGGCACGCCGTCGACCACCCACCGCCCGTCATGGCCGGCTGGTCGCGCCGCCCCTCGGCCCATTCTGATGTCGGAGGCGGTGGAGGGGGCGGTGGCAGCGGTGGCAGCAGCAGCGGCAGCAGCAACAGCACTGCTGCAGGAGCCATGGGCATGAGTGGTGTTCCCCAATGGGCACCAGAACCACAACACATCCACCCGTCGTCCAACCCGTCGTCTCCAGCCGGCCTCGGTGCCCCCTTGTCCGTCGTCACCACTGGCGTGCCAAGCCTGGTCATGAGCGCCAACACTGCCCCGTCCATCGCGACTACTGTGACGCCCACGACGCCGACTGCATCCATCCCAGCAGCGTCGGCACTACCACCCCATGTCCGCACATCTGAACGGAACCTGGCGGCGGCGGTCGAGGACCCTTCAGCAGCGACCCTCAGCCCGACAGGGTCAAGCGCCTCTTCGCCCGTGCACGCGAGTATTCGGCGGATACACAGCACCCAGCGTGTTGCCAGCCAGATGACTGGCAGCAGCGGTATCTCGTCCGTCTCGTCAGTCGCCCTGTCCCCCGGCGGCATCTCGCAGGCCAGTCTTGTGTCGACACAGTACCCAGGCGAGGAGGCCGATGCGTTCCATGTGCGGTCAACCTGTAAGTGGCAAGGAGAACACGGCGCGGACCGCTCGGTGCCTTGCACACTCCCTCACACCGAGGGCGAGGGGGGTGGCACGAACATTGAGACTCGGGTGGCTGACGCGACGACCACACAGACGCACGCCTCGAGGTCGAGGGTGTGCATGGCGACGGATGGGACGAGGGTGTGGAGCGGACCCGAGGTGGGGCTGCCAACGCGCCTGAGCGCAAAACGATTGCGTTCCCCGCGCCAGGCGCCATTACCGACCAAGAACGCAACTTTATCAAAAGTCTGGATCGGTACGGCTTTGTCAACCAGCCAACGCGGTCGCGCTCCGAGGGCAGGCTGGCCTTTGTGCCGGCTGCGCCGCTGAAAAAGGTGCCCAAGCTCGGCCTCTCGCCGTCGCCTAGACCAAAGTCCAAAGCGGCGTCGGGCCCCGTCAAGCCGCCCCCATCGCCAACGCAGCCTCCCGAGCATCCTCCCAGCGGCGCCGCGACCAAGGCCCGACGAAAGGAGGAGGAACGCGTGTCCAAGTGGATGAAGATGATGAGCGTGGCTGAGCGGGACAAGGGCGGGAACATTACCGCCTGGAAATGGAGCGCACACGGCGACGGCGCAAAGCACCCGACACGCGTCTACAAGGGCGTTCCCGACCGCTGGCGCATGGCGGCATGGTGGACCATGGCCGAGTCGCGGTCGAGCAAGGCCGGTCGCCAGCCGAGTCACCAGGCCCTCGAGGCCGAGTACCTCGCACGCAAGGAAGCGCCCAGCACAAGCGACGTCCAGATTGACCTGGACGTTCCGCGTACCATTTCGGGCCACGCACTGTTCCGCACGCGCTTTGGACATGGCCAGCGCGCCCTCTTCCACGTCCTCCACGTCTTCTCCTTGTCGTGTGGCACATGCGCCTACTGTCAAGGCATGGGCAGTGTGGCTGCCACGTTGCTGTGCTACTATGAACCAGAGGTGAGTACGGAGAGGGACAGGTGGGCCACAGAGTACCGGCTAACCGCTCCCACAGCACGCGTATACCCTCCTTGTCCGGATGCACGACCTGTACGACCTCCACGGCATCTTTGCGCCGGGCTTCCCGGGCCTTCTGGAGACGCTCTATGTCCAGGAGAGGCTCATGGAGTTTGTCATGCCAGACCTGTATGATACCTTTGTGAGTGCAACGATTCAAGCCGCGTACGCCACGCTGACACCGTGTGCTCGTCAGAAACAAAACATGATCTCCTCGACTGCATGGGGCACCAAGATTTACATCACGCTCTTTGTCAACACGATGCCCTTCAACGTCCAGCTGCGCATCTGGGACGCCTTCTTCTTGGACGGGTACGACGTCATGATCGTGACCGTCTTGGCCCTGCTGTGGGCCTTCAAGCCGCTCCTCGCTGCTCCCGGCGCCGACTTTGAGTCCATCCTGTCCCTGCTGTCGAGCTACTTTGTGCCCGAGGACGACGACGCGCTCATGTCCTGGGTCCGCAAGTTTCTGTGGCAGCCCGGCGTCAAGGAGCGGATGGCTGCGTGGCGGCAAGAGTGGCGCGGGCTCGTGCAGCGCGGACAGACGGATGGCAAGCTGTTGTAAGCAAGCTGTTGTGAGTGGCGTCAGTCGTGGTCATCCCCTCCTCCATTGCATTCGCCTTGACAACCTCTCTCTCTCTACCCCTCCCTTGCCCCCGGCTCCGTCCCCTTCAACCAGTCTCCATCCTCCCCTACCACATACAATTCATCACCCCCTCATTGGACACTTTTCCATCGCTCGCTAGACGCTACTGCGATTTTAGATACCTCCCGTCTCCCAACACCATGCATTTATATTGTTCCTGCAGCGAGTAGCCACGCCCAGGGTGTCGTCCACGCACCCAGATACACCTCCCCAAATCAAATCAAAACAAAACATGGTCGTCCCCGTGAAAACATCGTCCACAGTCTGGGGTGTGGCACACAAACGGCAAACCCGGTGTCGTGCTCGTCCTTGTCCTCACACAAAACCCGGCCATCCGATACCCCGTGCCCCGTGCCCCCGTACCCCGTCCCCGCCCCATCATCCCCATGTCCTTGTGTAAACGGGTTCCTGCAACAAGTCCGTCCGACCCCACCCCCCAAGCACGGGAGACGGATAGGAGAGCGACGAACACACGCAGTTGCGCGACCCGCGTCCGTCGCGTCCGACCCTCGGCGACCATCGGCGACCTCCGCACACCGCAACATTGCGAGCCCCGCACTGCCGCCGCCGACAAGATGTGGGGCGGGATAAGGATGTGGATGCGGCAAACGTTGGCGGCAACGGCAGGCAGGCGGCCAGGCAGGCGGAGGCGGCTCGAATAGGTTGAGGAAAAGGTAATGGTAATTGGAAAAGTGAGTGTTACAGGATAGCCGAGCCGGTTACCACCAGAGCGCAGAGGCCAGAGGCCAGGGAGCCCACTCATACCACCTTGCCACCCCGTCGTGTGACCCGCTTCACCACCCTCGTGACCTATTCACTGGATCACTGGATCACTGGGTTTGTGGTTGGCCAGAGGCCAGAGGAACGCGGTGGTTGCTGTGGAGCTGTCTCGGCGGGACCTGTGCGCTCCACCCGGAAGGGGAGGGGGCTCGTTGCCATGGCGCTGGCCGCTGGTATTGGGCCGTGTGGTACAGTATTCAGTTCGGGCAGTCGTGCAGTCGCGCAGTCGTGCAGTCGTGCCGTTCCGAGTGGGCGGTGGGAACATGTCGGCAGCGTTCCGAGTGGGCGAGTGGGCGAGTGGGCGGGTGTCAGCCTCACCGCAGCCGTCAATGGGCCGTTCTCCAAGTGGCCAGTCAATACTGCTTAGTTGCATTGTGGCACACCGACTACGGTGGCTCACCACCACCACTTTGCAACTGCTCCTCGTGCTCTCTCTCGTTCTTCTTATCCGGTGCATGCTCCTTTTGACCATGGTATATGGCCTATATATGCGACAAATGAACAGGGGTCGGAGCTTTCTCTATATAACGATCAGGGGAGAGGGAGAGGGAATCTAGGTGCCACACCAATGTGCAGCGGGGGGGAGGACGGTGTGTCTGTCTGTCCACGCGTGTTTAGGCCGAGGGCGCCGAGGGACGGAGGGTGCGCTCGTTCTCAAACATGATGCTGGGGTCGAGGCGGCCGTGGAGCATGTCGAACCAGAGCTCGAGCGACGACTGGCGCGCCCAGTTCCACGACGAGTCAAAGTGACGCGCCTTGTCGGCCGAGAAGACGGGCGCAATGCCGTCAATGTACGCGTCGCCGTGCTCGGCCTTGATGGCGTCGAGCTTGGCCTGGAGGGCCTCGGCGTTGGCCTTTTCGGCGTCGGCGCGCTTCTCGCCGGCGCGCGGGTCCTTGCCGAGGTAGCGCGACAAGAGGTCGATCTCGCGCTGCGCCTGCTCGTCCTGCTTGACGACAAACTTGTCAAACTCCTCCGAGTTCATGACGGCACCGCCGCCACCACCACCGCCGCCACCGGCAGCGGCGCCGCCGGCAGAGAGGCTGATGCCCGAGTACGAGGCGTAGCTCTGGGCGACACCGTCGAGGAAGGTCTTGGCCTCGGCCTCGGAGCCGAGACGCTTGGCGGGCTCCGAGGTGACACCGAAGAAGAGGACAGAGTCGGCGCGCATGGGGCCGAGACCCCACTGCTTGTTGAGGTGGCCACGGGCAGCGGTAATGTTGAAGCCACCGGGGAACTTGGCGGCGATCATGCGGTTGGTGAGACCCATGGTGTGCTTGCCAAGACCGGCGTAGCCGACCGAGAGAGCGGCACCAAGCTCGTCGAGGGGCAGGTCCTCACCCTTTTCGGGAGCCGAAGCAAACTCGGTCTGGAGGTCACCGAGAATCTCGTTCTGGAGCGTCGACTTGCCGCCCGAGAGCTCCTTGAGCGACTTGGAGAGGGGAATCTCCGAAGTCTGCTTCTTGAGCTTCTGGGCCACAATGATGCGGACAGTGTCGACAGCCTTGGGCGGGACGTCCTCGACGGCGGCGGCGGGGCCGGCCGAGGGAGCGGCAGCAGCGACGGGGGCAGCAGCGGCAACGGGGGCGGCGGCGGCAGCGGGAGCAGACGAGTCGGCGGCAGCAGCGGGGGCAGCCTCCTCCTCGGCCTCGTCCTCGAACGCATAGTAGACCTCCTTCTGGTTCTTGGCGTGGCAGAGGATCTGGCGCTTGAGGGCCGTGGCGCCGTCCTGGGCCTCGTACTTGGCCTTGAGGGTACGGGTGGCCATGCCGGCGAGAACGGGGCCGGGGCCGACCTCGATGAAGCGCTCAAACTTGGCGTCCTGGAACAGAACGTCCTGGGTCTCAATCCAGCGAACGGGCGAGGCGAACTGGTAGGCGAGACACTCGGTGAGAATGTTGTAAGCCAGGCGCTGGCGCTGGGCGGGCGAGTCCCAGGCGTCCTTCTCCCAGCCCTTGAGGACAACGTCCATGCGGGGCGAGTTGGTCTCGTCAAAGATCTTCTGGACGTACTCCTTCGAGACCTCGAAGGGCTCGGCGATCAGGTTGGGAATGTACTTGCCAACAAGACGGTCCGGGTTGAGGTGCTCGGGGTTGATCTTCTTGACGAGGTACGAACGGAACGAGACGACGCCGGGCCAGAGGTAGCGCGAGTGGAAGGGCACGTCGATACCGGGCAGGGGGATGGTGGCGTAGCCACGCTCGAGGGTGACGGCGCCGCCGTCCTTCTTGACCTTCTCCTCCATCATGTCCCAAGCACCCGAGATGATCTCGGTGAGGTGCTCCTTGATCTGCTCGACCGACATGGTCTTCTGGAGCTTCTCAAGGTCGATCTTCTGGTGCTTGAGGAGGTTGAGAACGTTGGTGAGGGTGGCGAGACCCTTGAGCTCACCGGCAGTGACGTACTGCTGGTCGGCAACGTTGAGGTTGACAATCTGGACGAGAACCTTCTTCTCCTTGGAGATCTGGTCGACAATCTCGCGGAGAGCGGGCTCGGAGAACGTCTTGCCAACACGCGAAGGGTTGACGGCCATCATGGCGTACTGCGACTTGCCCTCGGCGTCGCGCTTGACGGCGCGCTGCATGGTGATACCACGGAAGAAGACAACGTCGGCGAGCGCCGAGATGGGGAGCACGTCGGCAATGGCGGCAAGGGCAGAGTACTCGCCGAGCGAGTGGCCGGCAAACGAGGCGTTGTGGTCAATGAGACCCTTGGCCTTCATGTCGTCAAACGCAGCCTTCTCGGTGACGACGAGCGCAATCTGGGTGTACTGCGTGGCGAAGAGGAGACCCTGGGGGTGGCTGAACGTGTAGCTCTGGGTGTACAGGTCAATGTCGCCAAAGAGGGGCTGGGTCTTGGTGACGCCGGCCTCGTCGACAGTGTCGTACGTGAGGTCCATGTAACGCTGGCGAATGGCCTGGCCCTTGATACCACCAAAGTGGATGGTGAGCTCCTTGGGGTTGTTCTTGACAATGTCAATGATCGAGAAGCCGTAGACGGTGGTCAGGTGCGCGTCGGCTGCGTCCCAGACGGCGCGGGCAACGTCCGAGTTGTTGTAGAGCTCCATGCCCATGCCAACCTCCTGCGAACCCTGGCCGGTGAAGACGTAGGTGGTCGGGGGCTGCATGACCTCGGCGTCACCGTCAATGACCTTGGTGCCGTTCTGGTTGAAGGCCTCGACCTTGATAACCTTCTTGCCGTCGCGCATGGCGACGTGGGTGAGCTTGACGTTGATGTCGTCACCGGGGAGGACCATGCCGACAAAGGCAACCTCGTACGAGACAACGCGCTCGGGGTGGTTGTCGGCGGCAACCGACTCGACGTACTTGCGGGTAGCGGCCGACGACCACATGCCGTGGGTGATGGTACCGGGCAGGTTGGCAAAGTCGGAGAAGTACGGGTTGATGTGGATGGGGTTGAAGTCGCCCGAAATCTTCGAGTACGGCTCGTTGGTGGCCGGGGTGCGGTAGGTGGCCGACGAAGCGTCGGTGATGAGCGAGTAGCCACCCGACTCGAGAGCGACGGGGAGGCCGACGGCCTGGCCGGTACGCTTGAGGTACTCGACGACGGGGTTGCCGTGCGAGTTGTGGGCCTCGTAGTCAATGGTGGCGACCTGGACGAGCGACTTGGTCTGCGAGCGGACAAACGCGGCACCAGTGACCTGGACCGAAGCGTAGGTCGACTTGTCCTTGAAGCGGAGCTTGGACTTGACCTTGAAGGTGAGCTCGGTGCCAATGTCGAGGGCCACAGAGTCGTCGTCCCACTCGAACCAGGGCTTGGACTGGAGGACGCCGACCGAAGTGGGCTTGTCGAGCGAGACGACATAGTCGTCCTCGTCAATGGTCTCAAAGGTGTTCTCAAAGTCCGAGAAGCGGCCGCGGTAGAGGAAGGCCGAGGTGACCTCGATGACGGGCTCGCCCTCGCGGAGGACAAAGCCCTTGACCTTGACAGTCTTGCCAGAGTCCGAGTTGATGACCGAGACAACACGGGCCTCGGTGGTGCAGACGTCGCCGGCCTTGACGGGCGCGACACCCTCGACGAAGCGGAAGCCGTTCGAGAGGTGGACGAGGTTGATGAGGTCGCCGTCAATGGCCTGGGGGAAGATGGTCTTCATGATCGACTGCCAGCCAAGAACAATGGCATAGTCCATGGGGGCAAGCACCTCGGTGTTGCGAGCCTGCTTGAAGCGCTCGCTCTGGTTGCCAACGACGTCGCAGAAGCGCTGGATGGTGGCAGCGTCGACCTTGGTCTCGCCGCAGGTGAAGGTGGTGTCAAGGGCGAGCTGGGGGAGCTTTTCGTTGTCACCAAACCACAGACGCCAGTAAAAGTCCTTGATGGCCTGGTTGCGGCCCTCGACGACCTCGTGGATCGGGGCGTAGCCCTGGTCCGGCTTGTAGTTGAAGCGGAAGGTGAGGGGCACCGAAACACCCTTGCGGAGCTCGTTGAGGACGAGGGTGATGACCTTGGTCGAGGGCTCGTAGGTGAGCTCGACGGCCTTGAACTTGTCGTCGTTGGGGCCAGCGCCGGCCGAGCGGATGGCGCCGTAGACGGTGACAGAGGTAGGGGTGATGACAACGTGCTGGTGCTTGCGGGGAGCAAAGATGCGACGGAACGGGTTGGTCACGTAGTTGGAGCCCTGGACAACGTTGACGGTGGTGAGGGCGGCGCGGAGCCACGAGAGCTCGGGGCCGGCAATGCGCTGGAGCCAGTCCTCGACGTCGGGAACCTGGTTCTCGAGGGTGAGGGTGCGGGTGCCGTCGGCGTTGATGCCCTCGAGGGCAATGGTGGTGTGGGCGAGCGAGGGGCGGGCACCAATGTAGTCAATGGTGGGGACCTTGGACTCGTCGTTGTCGTAGAAGCGCTCGAGGATGCGCTTGGCGAGGAGACCCTCAATGTTGCCGAGCATGTCGGCAATGGGCTCGTCGGCAACGTTGGCAAACTTGACGGCCATGGGGCCCTGGAGGATACAGACACGCTGGGGGTCCTGGTCGAACACGGCGTCCATGTCCTCGGCAGCCCAAAGCGAGTCCTTCTTGAACCAGACCTCAAAGTTCGAGTCGAGGATGGGGATGAAGGGCACGGGCTTCTGGCCGGGGCGCTGCGAAATGTTGAGGAAGTAGGCCTTGTCCTCGGCGGCGACAAGCTGGAGCTTGGCCTTGGGGTACTGGGCAAAGAACATGTCGACAGTGGCGGCGGGCTCGTCGAGCGACGAGAACGACTGGATGAGCGACTCCTTGGTGCGGATGCCGTCGACACCAGCGAAACGCTCCTCGACACGACGGAGCCAGTCACCAGTGAGGTTGCGGAGCGAGACGTCGACCCAGCGCTTCTGCTTCTCGACGTACATGAGGCGGATCATGCGGCGGGTGATCTCCTCGTAGGTCATCTGGCCAATGTCCGAGACGACGGTGCCGTCGGCCTTCTCGCCAAACCAGGGCTTGTTAAAGTCCTTGTTGAGGCGCTCAATGACATAGTCCTTCTTGCCCTCGAGCCAAGCGGCGCGCTTGTCACGGGGGAGGCCAAAGACGGTGTCGTCAAACTCGCGCCAGAGCTTGACACCGCGGGTGGCAATCTTGTGGATGGGCTCACCGAGCTCGGAGCGGACGGTGAGGATACCACCGGTGGGCTTGTCGTAGGTACCCTCCCACTCGGCGTCGTCGACACCGGGGGCGTCGACAATGAGCTTCTTGACCGAAGGCGACGTGTCGGCCTCCTTGGCGACCATGACACGCGAGCCGTAAAGGACACCGTCAAAGGGCATGGGCTGGAGACCAAAGAGCTTGGTCGACCAGTCACCCGAGATGTAGGGCCAGACGTCCTCGGCACCACCAAAGCCGGAACCGGCAATGAGCGAAATGTTGCGGTGGTGGCGGATGGCCGAGTAGGTCGAGATGATGGGCTGGTGGAAGTCCTCGGCCGAGTGGTGACCACCGGCACGGCCACCAGTCCACTGGAGGATGATGGGGTAGTCGGGGTTGGCCTTGGCAATGTTGATGACCTGGCGGATACCCTCGACCGATCCGGGCTTGAAGGCAATGTGCTTGATGCCAGCGGCCTTGAGACCGTCAATGATCTCGGTGGCCTTCTCCGACGAGGGGATACCGGCAGCGACACAGAAGCCCTCGACGGGGGCGCCCTCACGGCGCATCTCCTGCCAGAGGGGGAACTGGAAGGTGAACTGGCGCTGGTTGATGTAGAGAGCGTTGAGGGTGACACCGACACCGGGCTTGGTGCGGCGCTGGATCTCGGCGACCTTGGCGCGGACGGCCTTGGCGTTGTAGTGGCCACCACCGGCGAGCTCGATGTGGTAGCCGGCGTTGAGGGTGGCAGCCACGAGGTTGGCGCCAACAGTGGTAGGGGTCATGCCCGCCACCATGATGGGGGGCTTGCCGAGGAGACGCGAGAAGGGCGTGTCAATGTTAATCTTGCCGTCGAGGGTCTTGACGAGACGGGGACGGAACTCGGAGGCCCAGACGGGCTCGCGACGGATAGAGTTCGAGTCGTAAAACTCGGCACCCTGCTTGCCCTTTTCGCCAATGATGACGACGCGGACACCACGGCCCTCGGTGACACGGGTGGTCAGGAATCCGACACCCGAGTTGCCGCCGGGTCCAAAGTCGATGGCGTGGGTAGCGGTCATGGGGAAGTTGCAGGCCTTGGCCCAGTGGATGTGCTTGGTGAAGATCTGGTCGCAGACGCTCTTGGTGACGCTGCCAGTAAGGGTGCGGAGGTCGGAGCCTAGATAATGGGGGGGGGAAGTGATCAGCGGGAGCAATTTTGAAAAATCCCAAATCTCGGCAATCTGCCGGTTTGAAACTTACCGTCCTCAGTGTTGTAGATGGCGATGCCAAGGTCCTTGGGCGACCAGAGCTCGGCACCGGCGAGGTCCTCCTTGATGAGGCGCTCGGTGGCACCCTCAAGGAAGGCGCTGTGGTAGGGCACGTTGATGGGCAGGAAGCGGGCGTTGAAGACAGCCTTGCGCTTCGAGAAGGGGATACGGCCCTGGTCCTGGCCGGCGGGGGCCTGGACCTTGCGGAGCGCGGTGGCGAGACCGTAGAGCGACTTGGGGGGGCCGGTGACGACGAACATCGTGGCGGCGTTGTAGAGCGAGATGCCGACCTGCGAGTTGGCAGGGAGGAACGCGTTGACCTTTTTAATGTGGGCCTCGAGGGGCTTGAGGCTCAGGCCGTTGACGCCGAGCATGGGGGTGGGGACGCCCTCGTTGTTGGCGACGGCGTCGGCAATGATCTCGGGCTCGATCGAGAGGAGGGGGAAGGCCTCCTGGCCACGGAGACCAATGTAGAAGAGGAGCTTGACGGCCTTGAGGATGTTCTCCTCGAGAGACTCCCACGAGGTGGCAGCGGCGACGGCGACGGCAGAGACGACACCCTGCGAGTGGCCGGTGGCACCCTTGAAGCGGGCGAGCATCTCACCGGGGGTGAGGTCGGCAATCTTGGCCGAAATGACATACTGGACGAGCTGGGTCACACCAATGAGGGGGAGCGACAGAGGGATCGAGGCGAGGTACTCGACAGTGGGGCGGGTCTTGGTGCCGCGGAGCCACGAGATGAGGTCGAGACCCTGGCTGTAGTAGGTGTAGCCGTCGGCCTCAGCCTTGGCAGCCAGAGGGAGCAGCTCCTTCTCGGTGATGGTAGCAATCAGGTCCTCAACGAAGGGACGGTAGAGGTCAAAGAGCGACTGGAACTCGTCAAAGTAGTACTGAGCGCGGGGGGTCAGCGTTCTATTCTATTCCTGTGGGGGGACAAGACCTGTACTCACCTCGTTGACACCCTGGCCACCAAAGAGGCCGTAGAGCTCAGTCTCGCCAGTCTTGGCGGCGTCGAGGACGGCCGAAGTGTGGGCGACCTGGACCTCCTTGTCGCCGAGGGCCTTGCGGGCGACGGCGAAAGCCTTAAAGTATGCGGTGAGAATCTCCGCGCGGGGCTCGGGGTCAAACGACTGGACGAGCGAGTGGACGTTGAGCGAGGCGAGGAAAAGCTCGTTGAAGCGGTTGTAAGCTGCGAGGAGGACCTGGGCGAGCTCGTCAGAGCCCGAGGTCGATGCGGCGACCTTGTCGGCGGCAAACGAGAGGAAGCGGGCGAGGAGCTTGATCTGGGGCTCGGCGGAAGGGGTGGCAGGGGCCTCGTCGTCCTCGTCGACGACGGCGACCTCGTCGTCGGCGCCAATGTCGGCATCGTGGAACTCCTGGGCAAGAACCTCGGAAGCGACCCAGGCAGAGAGAGGCGAGGCAGGGACAAGAACGTGGACGCGGGCGGCCTTGGAGTGAAGGACGAGCGGGCGGTTGGCGGGGGGACCGCTGAAAAGGGATGCCATGGCGGACTGGACACCAGGCGAAGGCAGCCCCGAGTAGTGGTTAGGTGGAGAGGAAGGGGGGGAGGGAGAGGTGGAGGGGGGGAGTGGGTGGGTCCCGAGAGTGATGAAGAGAGAAAGAGAGAAGTAGAATCGAGGTAGGGATAAAGAGGAGGAGGGGGTGGGTGGGGGGGTGGTGCAGCCTGTGGGGCGTGGTGGAGGGGGGGGTCGTTGGGTGGTGGGTAAGTACTTTGGGTGGGTCAACTTGGCACCAGTGCGGCAGGAGAGACGCACGCTGGGGGGCTGCTGCTGGCTCGCTGCGTTCGGGAGGGGCGGGGCTTGTCGGCTGGACCCAATGCATCACGCTCTTCGCAACCCCACCGCGACGACAATCTGCCTGGCTCGCTGCCCCCCTGCTGCTGCTGCTGCTGCAACGTCAGCGCACCTGCGTGGTGTGTGGTCTCTTTCTCCCCCACCCCATCGCTCTCGCTCGCGCTCTGGTGTGTCCGGCCTGGTCTCTCCCCACAACTCTGACGGATATCTCTGCCTGGGTTTCTCAGGACGGCAAAGGGAACCACCACGTGGCAACCCGGCATCGTTGCATCGCTGGCCTCCTCTGCTGCTGCTCTCACGCCGTCGCGGCCAAATAGTGCGCAGATTCTGCCCGCCGTCGCCCCCAAAGGTATGAGACACAGTTCCCCGTTCCTCGAGAGATAGGCGAGGACGGGCCGGTTTTGTAATTTCTAATGAAAGCGAGCCATGAAGCCCGCAACACACACATTCCGTAGGCAAAATGTAAATTGTTTTCTTTTTTTTTTGCATTCAAGTGGCTATTAATTGGCCGCGCGCATTAGGATCGGCACGGACAGAGCCTGACATCCAACCCGACATTTGTGACGCATCCTGCGTCTCATGTCGCACCCAAAATACAGGATCATGGTAGATACCTGAGCAAGAGTGTGGTGGGGAGAATGCGTGGCATGGTGTGTGCAAGCGATGAGCAAGCGTTGCGCGCAGCTATCGCCAGCGTGTCTGTCTGTCTGTGTGTGTGTGTGACAGTCTTCCCTCCGACTCGTTCAGTTGGGGATGTGGTGAGCAGATTCCCGCGGTGGTGTGTCTCCCAGAACAGCCCAAACCAGCGACATCCCCATGTCTTTTGTTGATTGATTTGTATTGTCAGACGTTACCACTGGTCGGCTCTATTCGGCGCAGGGCATGGTACAAGGGCCCGCAACGTGGCCCACAGGCCACAGGTGTCTCTGTCGCTCGCGTTCGCAACCCCAGTGCGACAGCAGCAGCAACGACGACGACGAGAGAATGGGACACGCGAGAAATGGTCCCTCCACTTCGGCTGCCCTGGCGGCTGTTTCCTGCCCCTGCGATACTGGCCAGCTGGCTGGGTGGGAGCGCACGACCGACCGACCGACGAGGACCATGATGCGTGTCGTTTTCTGCCCCAAAAGACCGGCAACGGTGGTTTGCCCCATCGCTCCCCAGCTGACCGCGCGCCGCCCGCCGCCGCCGGGGGAAATATCCTGATCACTGCCACGGCAGGTCGCTCGCTGGCTGGCAGGCAGGCAGGCTGCAGGCTCTGGCTGGCGGTCGCTGGCTGGGTGGGTCACACTCTGGGTGGTCGGTCCCATCTGTGCTGCATACAGGCTGCAACTGTCCCACATCTCTCTCTCTCTGCTCTCACCTTGGCACAGTCAGAGGCGCAATCTACCCCACCAGGACAGACACCCCCCACCCACCTCTCCCTCTCTCCTTCAAGTCAAATCACACATCCCCGTCGTTTGACTTCTCTCTCCTCTCATCTTTCCACAACTCCCCTCCGCCTCCACTCCACACCACCCTCCCCACCACCCACCCCCCCCTCCCCCCAGCGACTTCGGTCCTACCCCCCCTCCAACCCCCCCAAGTCGTCGTCGTGGCCAACTGCAGCCTACCGCAGCCATGTCCGCCGAAGCCGACATCCAGCGCCGCGAGCTCACCTCGCGGTGCATTGCCATCGTGAGTACCCAGTTGATAGCGGCTGTGGCGCACACACGCCCCGCCCCATCCTCTGCCGCTCGCACCAGCTGTCCCCCCCCACCCCCGTGCTAACCCCATGCTTTACAGATGAACCGCGCAGACCCCGTCCTGCTCGACTACATGAAGTTCCACATCGACTCGCTCGATGCTACCAAGGGTGCCGACTACGACAAGGCCAAGAAGTTTGGCCAGATCCTGCTCGACAACTGTGAGTTGTGGGGGGAAATAGAAAAGACACAACGAGTGCCGGAAACTGACCGCCCCACCCCCCACAGGTGCCGAGGTCATTGACAAGCCCCCCGTCTACCGCGACGTTGCACTCCCCACTGCTCCCCACACCGAGGTGTCGGGCAAGGGCGATATCCAGTACTCTGAGATCCCCGCCAGAATGTGCGCAAGCTCGAGTCGTACGTCACCGAGATGGCGTCGGGCGGTGAGGTCCAGCCCTCTGTCAACCTCGAAAAGGTCCAGAGCGACATTGACAAGCTCTGGGAGCTCGTCAACGCTCAGCCCTCCATCACCCCGGCCCAGAAGGCCGCTATCAAGTCCATGTACGGCGAGGTCATCAAGACCCTCGGCTCGGGCGCCTCGGACCCCGTCGCCCGCGCAAAGGACGCTCCCAAGCAGCGCCGTGACTCGTCCCAGTTCCTCCGCCCCAACGTCGAGGAGCACACCGAGGTTGACGACGCTCACCTCCCCTTCCTCCACCTCAAGCGCAAGACCGCCACCGACTGGGCCTACTCGCAGAAGCTCACCAACATCTACTTTGATGTCCTCACGGAGATTGCCACCTCGGGTGTCACGTTCCAGAAGAAGGCCGCACTCCTCACCGGTGTCGGCAAGGGCTCGATCGGTGTCGAGATCCTCAAGGGCCTGCTTTCCGGCGGTGCCACCTGTGTCGTGACCACCTCGCGCTACTCGCGCGACGCCGTCGACTACTACAAGAACATTTTCCACGAGGTCGGATCCAAGGGCTCCAAGCTCATCGTCGTCCCCTTCAACGGTGCCTCAAAGCAGGACACCGAGGCCCTCATCGACTACATCTACACCACCCTTGGCCTCGACCTCGACTACGTCGTCCCCTTTGCCGCTCTCCCCGAGAACGGCCGTGAGATTGACAACCTCGACGACCGCTCCGAGCTTGCCCACCGTCTCATGCTCACCAACCTGCTCCGTCTCCTCGGTGCCATCAAGACCAAGAAGGCCGCCCGCAAGTTTGTCACCCGCCCTACCCAGGTCATCCTCCCCCTCTCGCCCAACCACGGCATCTTTGGAAACGACGGTCTCTACTCCGAGTCCAAGATCTCGCTCGAGACCCTCTTCAACCGTTGGGGCGCCGAGTCGTGGGGCGAGTACCTCTGTATCGCCGGCGCCGTCATCGGCTGGACCCGTGGTACCGGTCTCATGAGCGCTACCAACTTTATCGCCGAGGGCCTCGAGAAGCTCGGTGTGCGCACCTTCTCCGCCAAGGAGATGGCCTTTAACATCCTGGGTCTCATGCACCCCCTCCTGTTCGACATTACCCAGATCGAGCCCCTCTGGGCCGACCTCAACGGTGGTATGGACCGCGTCGCCAACATTGCCGAGGTCATGACCTCGATCCGTGTCGACATTAACAAGGTTGCCGAGCTCCGCAAGGCTATTGCCCTCGACAACGGCGCCGACTTCCGCGTCACCAACGGTGCCGACGCCGAGCGTCTCCACCAGAAGATCTCCATCGCTCCCCGCGCCAACCTCAACTACGACTTCCCCGAGATTGAGCAGCAGTCGGTTCTCGACGAGCTCAACCACCTCCAGGGTCTCATCGACCTTGACAAGGTCATCGTCTGTACCGGTTTCGCCGAGCTCAGCCCCTGGGGCTCGGCCCGTACCCGTTGGGAGATGGAGGCCAAGGGCGAGTTCACCATCGAGGGCTGCATTGAGATGGCCTGGATGATGGGTCTCATCAAGCACCTCGACGGCAAGCTCAAGGACGGCAAGCCCTACGTTGGCTGGACCGACGCCAAGTCGGGCGAGCCCGTCGACGACAAGGACGTCCGCGCAAAGTATGAAAAGGAGATTCTTGCCCACTCGGGTATCCGTCTCATCGAGCCCGAGCTCTTCTGGGGCTACGACCCCAACAAGAAGGGCTTCACCCAGGAGATTGAGCTCAACCACGACCTCGAGCCCCTCGAGGTCTCTGCCGAGGACGCTGCCAAGTTTGTCCGCGAGCAGGGCGACAAGGTCGACGTCTGGGCCCAGGAGTCTGGCGAGTGGTTTGTCAAGTTTAAGAAGGGCGCCCGCGTCCTCCTCCCCAAGGCTGTCAAGTTTGACCGTGTCGTCGCCGGCCAGATCCCCACCGGCTGGGACGCCCGCCGCTTCGGTCTCCCCGAGGACATTATCTCGCAGACCGACCGCACTGCCCTCTGGGCCCTCATCTCCGTCATGGAGGCCCTCATCATGTCGGGTGTCACCGACCCTTACGAGATCTACCAGCACGTCCACCCCTCCGAGGTCGGTACCGCCCTTGGTTCCGGTATGGGCGGCATGCGCTCGCTCTCGCAAATGTTCAAGGGCCGTCGCGAGGAGCTCGACGTCCAAAAGGACATTCTGCAGGAGACGTTCATCAACACTGTCGCTGGTTGGGTCAACCTCCTCCTCATGTCCGCCTCGGGCCCCGTCAAGATCCCCGTCGGCGCCTGTGCCACTGCCCTCCAGTCGGTCGAGATTGCTTGCGACTCGATCCTCTCGGGCAAGGCCAAGGTCATGATCGCCGGTGGCTTTGACGACTTCTCCGAGGAGGGCTCGTTCGAGTTTGCCAACATGAAGGCCACGTCCAACGCCGAGACCGAGTTTGCCAACGGCCGCGAGCCCAACGAGTTCTCGCGTCCCATGACCTCGACCCGTTCCGGCTTTATGGAGTCGCAGGGCTGTGGTGTCCACATTCTCATGTCGGCCCGCACGGCCATTGAGATGGGTGCCTCCATCCAGGGTATCGTCGCCTACACCTCGACCCACACCGACAAGGCCGGTCGCTCCGTCCCCGCCCCCGGCCGTGGTATCCTCTCCACCGCCCGCGAGGTCACCCCCAAGGACGCCCTCCCCATCCTCGACATCAAGTACCGTGCCCGTCAGCTCAAGTTCCGCCGCAACCAGATTGCCCAGTGGATGGAGAACGAGATCGACCTCCTCAAGGACGAGCTCGTCGCCCTCGGCCGTGCCGACGACGAGGCCTTCTTCAACCAGCGTGTCGCGTTCATCGAGACCGAGGCCCAGCGCCAGGAGAAGGACGCTCTCGCTACCTTTGGTATGCTCGAGGGCTCGGACCCCAACATTGCCCCCCTCCGCAGGGCTCTTGCCGTCTGGGGTCTCAACGCCGACTCGGTCGGTGTCATCTCGTGCCACGGTACCTCGACCAAGGCCAACGACAAGAACGAGTCGGGTGTCTACAACCTCCAGTTTGAGCAGCTCGGCCGCACCCCCGGTAACGCCGTCCCCGTCATCACCCAAAAGTACCTCACCGGTCACCCCAAGGGTGGTGCCGCCGCCTGGATGTTCAACGGTATGCTCCAGACCCTCAACTCGGCTCTTGTCCCCGGTAACAAGAACGCCGACAACATCTCCGAGGAGCTCCGTGCCTTCCCGCACCTCTTCTACCCTTCCAAGGCCATCCAGCACGTCCGTCTCGAGGCCGGTCTCCTCACCTCGTTCGGTTTCGGCCAGGTCGGTGGCCAGGCTGCCATCCTCCACCCGCGTTACCTGTACGGTGCCCTCAACACGTCGCAGCTTGACGAGTACAAGAAGAAGCGCCGCGCTCGCGAGCTCGACTCGTACTCGCGCATGTCGCAGGCCCTGGTCCTGAACAACCTGGTCCAGATCAAGGACGCCCCGCCTTACGCCCCCGAGCTCGAGGGACCCGTCCTCCTCAACCCCCTTGCCCGCGCCGGCCCCTCCAAGGGCTCGTACGCCTTCACCGGCAAGCTCCCCACCACCGTCACCCCCAACAACGCCAACGCCGCCGTCATCAAGGACCTCATGGCGGCCGGCACCTCGGGTGTCGCCGGCGTCGGTGTCGACACCGAGCTCATCTCCGCCGTCCCCACCTCGGAGACCTTCCGCGCCCGCAACTTTACCGCCGGCGAGATCCAGTACTGCAACGCCGCGCCGGACCCGGACGCGTCGTTTGCCGGCCGCTGGGCCGCCAAGGAGGCCGTGTTCAAGGCCCTCGGCGTGCCCTCCAAGGGTGCCGGCGCGCCCCTCAAGGACATTGAGATTGTCGCCACGGAGTCCGGCCCCACCGTCCAGCTCGCAGGCGACGCCGCCGCCGCCGCCAAGGGCCGCAACATCAAGGTCTCGCTCTCGCACTCGGACTCGAGCGTCGTCGCCTTTGCCGTCGCCAACTAAGGAAACGGGAGAGAGAGACAGAGAGAGAGGCAGTGGCGTGTGGTGTGTGAGAGAGAGAGAGAAAACCCGACCCCCCCGTAGCTATAAACCCACCTCCCCAACCACCCTGCGCGCGCGGAGGAAGTGTGTATTGTTCCCCCCCATAGAGATTCGTGGAATGTGAAAAAAAAACACATGTGCATAGAGAACAGCAAAGGTGCAATTGAGAAACACTGACAGGTGCACGGGAGGTGACAGGCGAGTGCAGGTGACGGGCGTGGCGGTCGCGAGACGGGGCATGTGGCAGTGCACTGTGCCCAAGGGCAATGCCCGCCACGTACATTGCTCCCACTGTCCTGTCAAATCTCGACTACTTTCAGGCCACGACGGTCGCCGCTGTTCTGCTGCATGTATGCATGTGGGACGAATACTGTACTCGTCGTCGTTGTCCTCGTCGTCGTCCTCGTCATCACATGGCTAACTATTTACATGGCCGACGTCAGGCACACTGCGGACACGGTTTCTACCAGAAAGACTTGATCGATGTGTGGCTGTTGTTGCCGTTGCTGTGACGGCCGTTGTTGCCGGTGCGCCTGTTTTCAGAGCCGAGGGCCGGGGGTCGGGGGGTTTAACGCGCCTCGTACTCTGGCTTGTTCGTGAGGATAGAGTCGGCCGGGTGGGAAGCGGTCCACTCTTCGAGCGTCATGAACGACACCCTGCTGGACATGGCCTCGCTTTGCTCCTCCACGCCCCACGAGCTAAATTCGAGGTGCTCCTTGACATGTTCTTGGACGGTGTCGCCGATCCAGCGGCGCATTGCATCCACAAGGGGGACGCCCTTGAGGTACCACGGCAGGTTCAGGACGGAGGGAACGACGCGTTCGAGGCCCACAAACAGGGCTCTGCTGCCGTTCCAGCAGAGGACAGAGGACAGGTGCTTGACAATCGGCCCCAAAGCTCCTCCGTCGTCGCGAGTCTGGTCGTCGACACGGACCGGGGCCATGTCGCCAGCGCAGTCGGCAGTCGCGTTCTTGCCTGTGCGCATTGAGGGCTCCAGGACCACAACGATCTCCCGCGCATTATCACACGAGAGGAGGGGAGGGATGACGCCGCCACGCGCGGCGAGGCTGTTGTCGTAAACGATGTGGATGTGGTGGCGCTTGGCATCCATTGGCGCGTCGAAACTCAGACGGTCGCCAGACACCGACGACGCGTCCGCCCAGTTGATGGCGAGATCAACAGACATGAAATAATGAGGAAGGAAAAACGCTGGAGGGCCACGGCTCCTGAAAGTGTTGACGGCCTGGAGGTCCTTCGTGAGGCGAATCAAGGTGCTCGCACTGGTGTACGTGGTCGTGTGCCAGTCGAACACACGCGTAAGTGCCAGTTGACGCTCACGCGACTGGCCCCGTGGTGTAGCGAGCGTCACCCCGTATTCTTCCAGTTCCTTCAGTTCGTCTTGCGAGTCGATCAGGACTTCACGCTCAGCTGGGTGGGGCGGGGCCGGGTCCATGTCGTAGGGAAGACAGGGGAGGCGGTAGAATGGATGGTACGGAGAGAGAATTTCCGCCTCGCCTGTCACTCCAGAATCAATGTGGACGAGGATGTGCTCAAACAGTCGCTGGTCAATGCGGTCGCGAAGACGCTTGCAGGTGGCGCGGACAGAGATGGCGGTGGGGATATCGACATGGGACACAACTTCCTCCACAATGTGTGGAAACATGACGTAGTCAAGGACGGGCTGTGACGAGGATGGCAGGGTGAGGGACTTGAGCATGGTGGTGGGGAGAGAGACTGCGAGTAAGAGGGGGTTATGAGAGAGAAGGAAGAATGAGAACAGTCTCGTCACGGTTGACGAAGACGGCAGGACGGGCGCGTGCAGGATAATTTTCGGGTAAACTCGGTGCTATCTGTGCTACCAAAGTAGTAGTCGTCGGGCTGCTGGTAGCGGGCGTGTTTCTTCAAGGATGCAGTATCCTAGAGGCCACAGAACACGGTAAGACAGGCCTCGTCGCCCTCGTCTCTTAAACTTTGGTTGGCGGGGATACTGGGATAACAGTGTTGATGTTAAGAGGCATTGGCATTGTGGGAAAAAAGGAAACAATGGTTGGAAATGCAACCAGTTCATCTCGACTAGGACCAAGTCATGCTCATTACGGCTGGCTATTGTTTTACATGTCCATGTAGTACATAAGTGTGACGAATAATGTGCTAGCTGTCTTCACATGTCTTGACATGTCGTTGGCCTGTTCATGGACGCCTGCTGGAACTGTACTCTTCCTTGGCGTTGATGAGCCAGTTGGCGGGTGCAATAGCCTCGTACTGTGGCTTCGCGTTGATAAGCAAGTCGGTTGGGTTGGAAGCGCGCCACGCGTCCAGCGTCAAGAACGAGACCCGGGCAATGGCGTCGTTCTGCTCCTGGTCGCCCCACTTGCCGAGAAATTGGGGCTTGATACGGTTCCTCCACCACAAGTGGTCAAGACGCCGGATATAGTCGTTGATCAGGCGGCGTATCTCGTCCACGAGAAGGAGACCCCTGAGGCGAGTCTGCATGCCCAGGATGCGCGGATCAACTAGCTCGAAGCCAACAAAAACGGCTTTACCGCCGTTACAGACGAACCATGGCAGCGTTTCGCCCACTCCTGTCAAGCCCCCAAGATTGTCCAAGGTGAGGTCGTCGGTCGGGAGGGGGCCCATGGCGTCGGCGGAGTCGGCATCCGCGTTTTCATTCTCCCCAACTTCCGAGGGCTCCATCACGATGACCCACTCATCTAAGGAATTCGGAATCAGCACGTCGAAGCTGAAGGCGTCGTTCCCCAGACGTGTCTGGTTGTCGTACACGGCGTGGAGGTGGTAGCGTTTTGTGCCTTCTGGAAAATGGATGCCGAGCTCCTCGTAGTCGCCAAGTATGTCCATTCCGACCCAGTCGACGGCGAGATCTACGGGCAGATAGGTGTCGGGAAGGACGGTTGCTCCAATTCCATTGCGCCTGATGGTGTGGACCGACTGGAGCTCGTTGGTGAGACGGATACGTGGTTTCAACGTCGGTTCTCCCGCCCAATCGACAACGCGTGTCAAAGCCAGTTGACACTTGCGCGACTGACCGGCCGCCGTGAGGAGCGAGGCTTCGTAGTCTTCCTGGTCCTTTTGTCTAAATGCTGCGTCGAGCTCCCATTCCTGCACATCGGTGTCGTAATCGCGAGGCGGAATCGGGTCCAAGTCGTAAGGGACAAACGGGAGGCGGTGGAACGGTTTGGACGGCGAGCGCAGTTCTACCTTGGTCTTCATATCTTCAGCCGTCACTAGGATATGCTCAAACAGCCGCTTTTCGACGCAGTCGCGAAGACGCCTGCAGGTGGCGCGGACGGCGATGGCGGTGGGGATATCGAGGTGGGACAACACTTGCTCCACGATGTGTGGGAACATGACGTAGTCGAGGACCGGCTGCGATGAGGATGGGAGGCTAAGAGTGCGAGACGGAGGGTCGGACATGGTAACAGGGAGACTTGTTAAACTCTGTCGGGTTGCTGGAAGAGTTGTCGGTGATGAAAGGACGTTGTTGGAATCGAGTTGTTGGAATCGACTGTTGTGGTTGACGAGGGATGACGGTGCTCGGGATAAATGTCGGACAAACCGAGATGGCGGTTCGCCACCCATATCTCAGTTGCAGGTGGGGGACACACTGTCTACTCGGGATGCATGCAAGTGTTCCAGAGGCCAGAGGCTAGAGGTCAAAGGATCAAAGGATCAAAGTGTTTCGCTCCATTCTGATTGCTGGGGTCGCTGTGGCTCGTTTGGTACAGGCTGGACCGGCTGCAATGGCCTGCAGTAAAACAGCTATAAACAAAGCGGCGGCCACACGGTGTCACTTGGGCCTTTTCCTTTCACATCAATCGCCATGGCCCCCATCCACCAGATCGACCACCGCTTCTATTCTCATATCCTCGAACTCATCATCTCCTTCCTCCCGTATCCATCGCTCCTGACCTTCCGCGCCATCGCCAGGTCCTATCGCGACAAAATCGACAAGAACCTGTTTCGGCACATCCGGATCCAGGCGATCGACCACACCCGTGCGGTCCAGCAAGCGTTTGCGCCGTTTTCCCATCTCCCCCTCGTCCCTCCTAGTGGATTCACACCCGCAGGACCAAAGTCGACATGGTCGACAGAGCAGAACTGTCTGTACACACTGGCAAATGACTCTGCTCAACGCAAACTCCGCCTCACGAGTGCCGTTGATGTCATTGAGTGGTGTCGCATTAACTCTTGCCCGGACCTGGAATACTTCGCCCATCATCTGCAACAGGTGCCTATACAACGTGCACGCCACGGGACCATGAGGGCGTCCTTCATCGAGTCTCGCGCTACCGCGGAGTGGGTCGATGTTTCCCCCCCGGCCTCCGGTGCATGGACGGCGCTTCGGCTGGACCTTCCTAAGAACAATCAAGCCCCCTTCGTCCTGCACCTATTGATCAACACGGCTCCGGCGTCGAGGCTCCAAAGGTATAAACAAATCTTCTTGTGCGGCAGAGACGAAAACGTACCCTATACACACTTTGTCGTTGTCTTTGAGCCATACTTCGACTCCAGTGTCGACCCTCCGGGGGTGGGAGGACAACGGCGCGAGTTGTCATTCCTCGAGTTTATTTTCGATCGCATTTCGCTCTTTCTCCTTGGCGATACCCAAGTCACATTCGTTGGGCTTGAGCAAGTTGACCCTTATATTCTCGGTTTCGACTTGGCTCCCGGGATCGAAGCCGTCGCCAGCATCAAGGAGGCCATCATGGACAATGTCAGGAGCTCGCTTGCGACGGTGCCTCGAAAGCACAAGAAGACCCGCGAGAAGGCTCTGACGCGTGTTTCTTTTATGACGCGTGCCGAGTGGGACGCTCAGCCCAAGACACTCCTCGACGAAAGGATCCCATAGCGGTCTATCGGCCAGACCCCGACAAGCAACGTGAATCCGCCACCGTGGGCGAGCAAGGGGGAGGATAGGAAGGCGGCAGGTATTGAGAGCAAATTGAGTTGTCATGTTTATGTACAAGTTACTTGGTCCTGGCTTGGGCAACGCACAGGTAGCGCTGAGAGTTACCACTGCCTGTGCCAAGTGTGTCTGAACGTGTGGTCCACATACATGACACAACAGACCTCTATTCCACTACACCAAAGTTACCGTACTGGTCACCCTCGTCATCGTACTCAATCGGAACCATCAGGCCTGTGACTGGGTCCAGTTCCATCACTGGCACGCACTCTGGGGGCGGAGGAGGCTGGTAGTCGGGCCGCTCATCCAGGTAGGACCCTTCAGGCAGCGAAGCGCGCCACTCGTCGCGAGTCACCACTCTCAACCCGCGACGGATCTCTTCCGCGGGGTTCTTGAACGTTATCGTGGACACGAGCTCGTGCCAGTCTGCGCGAGACACGGGTCCAAAGGGCAGGTCTGGCAACCCATACTCGACAAGGTCGCTGTACATGATGTGCGCAAACGGCTCCAAGCTCCCAAACTGGGAGGAATTGTGCACGCGCCATTCGACAATGTTGGTGAACGCCGCCACGGTCTCGTCTGGGGTGAAATGGCTGGGGAAACCGAGGGCATGGGGGTGCAAAAGCTCAACCCCGACAAAGGTCAGGTTGCCGCCGCGAACGAGGACGCTGGCTGCAAACCCGACGTAGTCCTCCAGAAGGCCGACGCGGCTACGTGGGTTGGCGGACGTGTTCTCCTCGGCCTCCTCCTCTTGTTCCGCGTCGGTCGGGTCACCAATGTTCGGCTCCAGGTCGTTGTCGTTGGCGTCATTGTACGGATCCACGACTACCAGAATGTCTGGGATGGGATACCCAAACAGCGTGCTTCCAAACGTACATTGATAGAGTCGCTGCGGGCTCGACGACGCGCCAAAGCGAAGGTGCAAGACGTACGTCTGGATAGCTGGCCGCGTCGGCGCGTCGGTGAACACGACACCGCGCTTTTGGCGCGTGTGGGTCCCCAACTCGATCCAGTCGACCAGTACAGGAGCACACAGGTCCGACTCTAGGTCGTACCGCGCGAACCCGGTGCGGCGGACGACCTGGAGGCGACCGGCAAAGTCGTCCGTTAGCTCGTCGGCGTCTACGAGAAGGAACGGCCGCTCGTCACGCTCGACAAACATGCGACGCGAGTCACGGTGCGGGTCCAGCCCCACATTGCCCAGGTCGAGGACACGGATGTAGCCCAGTTGGCGCGTCGTGCTTGCCACAGCTATCGCATGGGCGGGTTCGGGAAGGGTAGTCGTCGGCTCGCCGTCGACCATGTAGCCCGGGCGGTAGATAAACGGCAGGCCCTGGAACGGTGGTCGAGGCGAACGCAGCTTGAGCCTGCCTTCTGGGGCGACGCTCAGGAGGACGTGAGTGAGGAGTAAACGGTCAATCTGGTCACGATACGACGAGCTCGTGAGGCGAAACGTGTACAGCTCCGGGTAGGACAGCGACGCGAGAACGCGGTCGATAATGTGCGGGTACATTTGGCTATCGAGCGCTGGGACGTGCGTGTTGGCTGTCGTTGTTGACATGTTTGAATATGGTCGAATGAGCTGCATCCTGGATGAAAAGCTCGCAGCGAAAGACTGGTAAGGTGGTGTTGGCAAGATCACCAACGACGACGAGCGCCCGGCATAAACCACTCCCGTCCCGCCATGGGCACGGTTTGCGCGATGCCAAGAACGCGGACACTTGGACGCGGCTAGTAACCATTGATGCAACCCAGTTGCTTGAGTCAACGGGGAAGGTTGCCATGGGAGTAACACATGCATGTGAGCTGGAAGGCCACGAGACGATGGCATCATGGCACCGGCAGCACCGACACTGCCCTCCTGCCAGGCTAAACCTCGGAAGATTCCATTCCCCACATCCAAAGATAGCGGAACGCCAACGAAACACTCTCCATCGCAACCACACTCATTCAACCACCAGAGAGCCCCAGCTCCATGGCCGAAGACTCGGCTGACATCTTCGACGACGCCCTCTTCTCCCTCTTCAACGTCCCGCCCATAGCGTTCAGCACGGGATCGAGCAATGAGACGACCTACACGCCTCCCCCAACTGCGAGCGACACCCGGCCCGTGAGCCTTCGCCTGCCGCAGCCCCCCGCCGACGTGTATTCCCAGCTACAGGCCAACAACCTCTGGCTGTCGGGCGTCTTTCTCGCAGACAAGATTGCGACGCGCGGCATCGCCTTGACGTACCCCGTCGCAGAGCTCGGCGCCGGCGCGGGCCTGCCTGGGATCCTGGCCGCAAGGGACGGCGATGTGCTGGTGGTGGCGACCGACTACAACGACCCAGACGTCCTCTCGGCCCTGCGGAGGAACTATGAGGCGGCGTTTGGCGAGTCGACGAACACGACCACGTCGACGCACACGCACGGTCCGTGGGTTGTGCTCGGACACACATGGGGCGAGTCCCCGGCCCCACTCCTCGCCCACTCACCCGACGGCTTCGACCTCATCCTCGCCGACACGCTCTGGGCTTCACAGACTCACGAGGTGCTGGCCGACAGTGTTGTTGCGCTCCTGCGCCGTGGTGGGACGACGCACGTCGCTGCGGGACTGCACACTGGCCGCGGGCCCGTGGCGCGGTTCATGGCGCTGGCAGAGGACAGGGGACTGCGAGTCACGTTTGTAGAGCAGGCGCGGTGGCAGCCTGGCGGGGGGTGGGAGAGCTATGACGGGGGAGGGGAGGAGGGGGAGGAGGAGAGGGGAGTCGTGGTGTACTACATCCTGCGCTGGGCAGAGTAGATGGGTTCGTTGTAATGTAGACTGTGCAACAATCCTTAGGCCTTGGCCATGTACCCTGGCCTGTTACGACTGTCACAACCTTCCCATCTGAGATGACGCCAGACAGTGCGTATAACGCACTCTCATCGTAACCACAGTCATTAGCGGTGCTTGACACCTGGACGCCTGGAGTATTGAGGTGTTGAGCGCGATGGAGGTGGAAAGGGTCGTTGGTGGTGCAACCAGAAGGGTCAACGGTGCTCTGCGGCCACTGACCTCGTTTCGCCACACAGACGTCAGTTATCAGCGACGCCTGCTTGCCACACTCTACGACCAAGTATACACTGTACATGTAACGGTGCTATTGAACCGCCATGGTTATGAGTAGTGGCCGCTGGGCCACTCTCACATCTCCGCGCCCGCCTGATCCATCGCCGCCCACCCAACGCGGCTCTCGAGGTTGGACCGCGTCTTCTCCTTGGCCGCCACGAGCCTTTCGAGGCGTGCGACATCGTCAATGTCGTCGTACTTGGCAGCGCTCGCAGAGGGCTGTGGCTGGGACTGTGGCTGTGAGCTCGCCGCGCCCGCCGCCGCAGCCAGTGTCGTGCGCATTCCGTCAATGTCCTTGTCCAGCCGGGCCAGCTCGGCACGCAGGTCTCGGCGCGCGACGAGGGCGAGGAGCTCGGTGGCGGAGTGTTGCGCCGTGATGCCAATGTGGTGAAAACGGGAGGGCTAGAGGAGCGGTGTCAGTACAGTATTGGTTGCAGCAGTGAAGGGCGCGAGACGTACGCCGAGCATGTCGCCGCCAAACTGTGTCCTTGTCAGCACTCTGGACCCGACGACGTTCAACGTACCCAGCGACAACAGATGGTGAGCACGTCCACGGCCCCCTGATCCTTGAGGACGCGGAGGACACGCTCTCCGCCGTACTTTTCACCATCGTCGTCGAACGCTTCGAGCAACTGGTGTTGTCAGCTGTTGCCTAATAATGGCTAGCGTCCAGCAGACACACCGGTCTCCTCCTCCCCTCGCCTCAACCTACCTGGTAGTCTTCCGCACCCCCAGTCCCATCTTTACCTTCCACCAGGGCCAGCGTCCTCACGGCCCACATCCTGTGGTCGGGCTCGCGAGCCCTCTCTTTGCCCTTACCGCGACTCGGCGCGCGGCCCTCGCCATTCTGGAACGCGCCGTCATTGCGCTCCAGCAGCTCCCCACCCACGAGCCGGACCACGTCCAGCTCCCGCACCACGCGCTTGGCTTCCTTGGTCAGCGCGGCGGGACTCCGGACGTGCGCGGGAGGCACAAAGGACAGCGTGAATGAGATAAACGTCGAGCTGCTGGCGTGCAGGTGCGGCGACGAGGCGAGGAGCGGGGCAACGGCGCCGGGCTTGAGCCATGAGTCGAGGGTGGGTGCGCGCGGTGGTGTGTGTGCGCGTGCGCGCTTGGAAGCTATTTGGGGTGCGTCCGGGGACGCGTCACGTTTGTTCATGGGTGGAAAGTGGGAGGTCGGTGGTGGTGGGTGGAATGGGTGGATGACAAAAGTGGAGGTTGGTTGTTGACGTGAAGATGACGGTGTTATCAGTCGCGTCAGTGGTTGTGACCACCTTGGGAAAGCACTTTCACCCACCTCCACGCACTCTGCTAGCTGCCGCTTCTCTACACACTTCCACTGCACACCTTCTAGCCATGATGATACGTATACATGCAAGTTGTATTGAACTAACCCTCGACTTCCTCTGGCACGACAAACCAACCTCAATCACACAATCGCCTCGAGCTGGTGCGCAAGGTCAAGCGCGGGCTTGATCATGGCCTGCATGGGCCCACCACGCTTGATGCCCTTTCCACCGGCAATGTCGAGGGTGATGCGCGACGAGTCTGTAGCGGCCACGGCAGCGAGGGCAATGTCCGGGATGGGCGACTTGGGGAACGTGAATGTCTGAGTCGAGGGCTCGAGGTTCCATCCGCGCTGCAAAACGGTTGTTAGCTATAGGCCGCTATCGACGCATTCTGTTAGCTCACCTCGGTGGCAAACTGAATCAGCTGCGAGGTCTCGCCCGACTTGAAGAAGAGGAGCTGGGCGGCGTTCTGAAGGGGGAGGGAGGGGTACGAGGTCTCAATGGTGAGGGCAATCTGCTCGCGAATGGTGCCCATGAGACGGTCGAGGAGGACGGTGTACTCTTCACGGGGGACACGCTCGCGCGCACGGTAAATCTTGTTGTACGCGCCCTCCATCATCCAGCGCTCGAGGTCCACGGGCCAGCGGACAAAGACGTCGCCCAGCTCAGAGACGTCGAGGGCCTCGAGGGTCATGTGGAACTGCGAGTACTTGCCCTCTGAGAGCATGGCGAGGAGCTGCAGGCCGACAATGATGGGGCGGTTGGGGGATGAGGGGAGGACGGTCGCGAGGTTGACGTAGAAGGGCTGCAGCGCGGCGTTGTACTGTGCGTACGCCGTCAGGTCGCCCCTCCTCAGCGCATGAAAGGTCGCAATCTCAATGATGGTGCCTGTAGAGAGTTAGACCGAGGGTAGCAGTGGGGACGTTGTTGCACAACTCACGGGCAGCAAGGAGGTCCTGGGGGTTGGCGTTGGGAGGCGCAAAGTAGAGGCCAGACTGGGCGAGCTTGATCTGGAGGTTCTGTCAGCTAACACGAATCCCGATGTGGAGGGATCTTGAGCTCACCTTGAGCTGTGTAATGAGCTTTGTGACGGCGTCCTTGTCCTTTCCCGAGTCAAAGGCGGTCTGGAGCTCAGCGAGCGACTGCTGGAGGTCGAGAGACATGGCGGTGGAGAGGGGGTGGTGACGGAAGGTGGAGAAGGTGTAAGAGGTGGAGGGATGGCGGGCCAAGGAGCTCGAGGTGGGGACCGTGGGGAGTGTTGTTGTCGCCGCTGTCTAGTGTGCAGTGGTGTTCTGTGTGTCTAATATCTGTGTCGTCTAAGAGAGAGCGTGCTAGCTGATGCAGCGTCGGGGGTGGTGGTGATGATGGATGGTGGAGGATGGATGTGTGTGTATTGCACTGTCCCAACGACCACGCGTCGTCGTCATTAACCCGCTCGCTGGCTGGGCTGGGCGGAGTGTGCCACAATTGGAAAACGCCGACCGCCAGCCTGGGCCCACGCTCTCGCTCGCTCGTCATTGCCCCGCACCCACCACCCAGGCAGGCCCAGCGTACGCGCACGACCACCGCCAGGCCACCGCCAGGCAGGCCACAGGCAGCACGCGGCGCCGTCAAACGCAATGAAGCGCCCAACCCCATCATACACATCTCCCCCTAACCTCAACTCACTCACCACCCAACACCCCCTCTTCCCCACCCCTCTTCCTACCCTCAGCGGCGACACACACAGTCCCCCGCAACCAACCGGGTCTCACTCATCTCCCTCGCCTCCCCGCACCTTTCTTCTCCCCCAACCGCAAACACACACACGTCTGCCGCCCCGTTCGCAGAAAGATCCATAGACTCGACGGCAACAACCTTCCCCGCCTTTCTCTCCTTGCTCAACTTTTCTAAACACTTTCCACCAGTGAGTTGCACAACAACACTGCGACTGGTTACAACACAGACGCCGCCTGCGCTTCCTCTCCTTTGCACCTTACTGACCCCCGCTTTGCAGCCACCATGTCCACCGCCGCGGCTCAGGCCAACGGCCACCGCGCTTCCACCTCCACCGACTCGCCCATTGTTGCCTCGGCTTCCAGCACCCAGACCGCCTCTAAAATCTCCCCCAGCGATGTCGGATGGCAGTTTGTCCCCCAGTACTAGTGAGTGTGGTGGTGACCAAAGACCAAGGAGCGCGCTCGGCGGCGACGGCGTACACCCAGCTGGCAAGGGGCCGATCCTTCCCCACCTCGCTCTGCCGATTGTGTGCCACCCGCGTGTTACTCGACTGGCCTCGTGTCCCCAGTGCAAGCGCTGACAGTGTGACTCAGTAACTTTGTGAACAAGCAGCCCCACCGTCTCCACTGCTTCTACAACAAGCGGTCGACCTTTGTCCACGGCGAGGAGGGTGACGATGTCACTCCCGCCCTTGGTCAGCAGGTGAGTTAAAACGACCATCGACCGGAGAATACCACCACCCCCTCTCAGTTCCGCGCCAAAACCGCCGCGCGGTGGTCTGCAGTCTCCAGACTTTTGCTGACGCCATGTCTACAGGAGATTCACGAGCGTATCGTCAACATTGGCTTTGACCAGGCCAAGGTCTACATCAACTCGATCGACTCGCAGTCGTCGGCCGGTGGCGGCATCATCATCCAGGTCCTCGGCGAGCTGTCCAACGCCAACAAGCCTTGGCGCAAGTTTGTCCAGACCTTCTTCCTTGCCGAGCAGCCCAACGGCTACTTCGTCCTCAACGACATCTTCCGCTACCTCAAGGAGGAGACCGACGACGAGCTCGAGGTCCAGGACGACGCTACTGTCGTGACCGCCGCCCCCGGCGCCCAGGCCGAGCAGGCCCACGCCGCCGCTGCCCCCCAGGCCGCCGTTGCCGTCGAGGACGAGACTCCCGCCACCCCGGAGCCCGAGGCTCAGCCTGAGGCGGAGGCCGAGGTTGAGGCTGCCGTTGTCGAGCCCGTTGTTGCCGCTCCCGTCGAGGAGACCCCCGTCGAGGAGGTCAAGGAGGCCGAGCCCGAAGTCGTCGCCACCCCCGAGCCCGTTGTTGCCGCTCCCGAGCCTGTCGCCGCCGTCGAGGAGCCCAAGGCTGCACCCACCCCTTCCCCTGTCCCCACCCCTGCTGAGAAGCCCGCCACCCCTGCTCCCAACGGTGCTGCCCCTGTTGCTGCTCCTGTTGCCGCTGCCCCCGCCCCGGCTCCCGCTGCTCCCGCCAAGCCCAAGTCGTGGGCCTCGCTCGCCGCCGGCGGCAAGGCCTGGGGTGCCGTCGCCGCTGCCCCTGCCCCCGTCGCTGCGGCTGCTGTTGTTGCTCCTGCTCCCAAGAAGGTCGAGCCCACCCCCGCGCCTGCCCCCGTCCCTGCTGCTGTTCCCGCTCCTACCCCGGCTGCGGCCGCCCCCGCTGCCGCTCCAGCTTCGACCCCGGCTGCGTCGTCGGGCCCCCGCCACGCCTTCTACGAGAACGCCATGAAGGTCCAGACCGCCCACTGCTTTGTCAAGCTTCCCAACTGGTCGCAGGATGCTCAGCAGTCTGGCGAGACCATGGACGAGCAGACTCTTCGCAACATTGCCTCGCGTTTCGGCGACGTCCACAAGGTCGAGATTGTCAAGGGCAAGGCCTGCGCGTTTGTCGAGTTCACCAAGGTCGAGTCGGCTCGCAAGGCCATTGTCGCCTCGCTCGGCACCAACCACGGCGGCGAGGGCGGCATCATCATCGAGGGCGGCAGGCTCAACTTTGAGACCCGCAAGGAGAAGGACGAGCGTGGACCCAAGGGCCGCCGTGGCGGCGCCCCCGAGGCCGGCGGCGCTCGCACCGGCGGAGCCCGTCCCCAGGGCGGTCGCGAGGAGGGTTCCGGCACGGCCCAGCGCGGCTCCAACGCCGCCCGTGGCGGCCGTGGCCGTCCCCGCGGCGGCGCCAACAACGCCGGCTCGGACCGTCCTGCTGCCAAGTAAAATCGGCACAAACGTAATGGCTTGTCTATAAGGCCTTTGTTTGTGTCGCCCCAACCTTGGCGCTTAGACTTCTCCCCCGACGCTCGGTAGACGCTCCCGCATCCCCCCACCCCTCAACACCTCGCATTTCCTCGTGCATCCCCCTCATCGTCGCATCCCCCCACTCCCATCCCATCCCCCCAGTCTTCCCCTTCCCCCTTTCTTTCTGTTTTTTCTTTTCTTTTTATTTCCGACAATTTGGCTTGCATCGAGAAGGAGAAGGCAGTAGTAGGGTTCATGGGGTTTTTTGAGTGGGGGGTTGAGGTAGACAGCAGAAGAGCGAGAGAGAGAGAGAGAAGGAGGGACGAGGACGAGGACGAGGGTCGCAGCATGGTGATGTGTGCATTGTAGTATGGAGAATATCGAAGAGAGAGAGAGAGCGAGACGCCCACGGCGAGCATTGTTCATAGTCTAGTCTCTTTGTGCGGGCGACATTATATGCGTGTGCAGGAGTAAAATGATTTGGATCTATGACAAAGTGTGTGCGCAATTAACAGGGAGCGCAGTGCAGTACGCAGTGTTGTGAAGAACAGCTTCTACCAGCCAGCATCCCTCCCGCGGCCGCGTCCTCGACCAGGACCTCGACCCCCTCGACGACCGCGCTGACCGCCGCGTCCATGCCCATGGCCACCTCGCGCCGGTCCTCCGTCCACGACACCCAGTGGCCTCTCCCTCTTCTCGGCCCCCTGCGTTCCCTCATCGCCATCGTCCCCCTCCCCCTCCCCCTCCCCGGCGCGGGGACGCTTCACCAGCCCGCCCTTGGCAAGCACAAACTTCCAAAACGCATCGACGAGGGTGCGGTCCCGGCCCCATGTCCACTCGAGGGTGACGCGTGCGCCGAGGACCTGAGGGGCATCGGCGTCGGCGCCTTGGGCGCCGTCGGCGGGAGTGACAATGACCAGACGGGCGCGGAAGAGCGGTTCAGTCTCGGGCAGAGGTTCCGTCGCGGTCGCCGTCGCAGGCTTGTCGGCTAGGGCTGGCTCGGCGGCGCCGTTGGCGGGTTGGTCTTGCTCCACCGGAGCCGGCTGAGCCTGAGCCTGAGCTCGTGCGCGGCGCGCAGCGCGCGACCACGAGTTGACCATTGGTGCCAGGTCGAGCTGGAACGTGGTCGTTCCGGTTGCACGCGCCGAGATCTCACCTTCGGCATCGACCTTGGCCTCGTCCCCGTCCCCGTCCTCGTCCTGGCCTTGTGTTGCCTCTGCCGCTTGGACTAGGGGCACAAGGTCCACGTCCTGGAGCACGGCCATGACGGCCTCGCGTAGCTGGTCGGCAGTGCGTGGCGGGGTGGGACGGATGGAGAACGAGTTGGAGAGAGGTAGGAGGTGGGCAAAGCTCGTCCCGGGCTCGACGACGGCGGGGCGGGTGATGCTCTGGGTTGGGAGTTAGCGGAGCGCAACGAGCGGTTACCGGCCGGCTGTGTAGTCCGTCGAACATACGACAGCCAGCTCCAACCCGGGCCATTACTCACGTCAGGCAGCCTGTACGGCGTATACCCCCATACGAGCACCCACCGCGCGGTCCGGCTCTGCTGGAGCTTGATGACGGCGTAGTTGTCCGTCACGCGCTTGACTCTGGCCACCAGCGGCCCCAGGGACGCATACCGGCCTACCAAGGACGTAAACCAGCACACTTGGTCTCGGTGCTGGCGGCTCTCGTCAACCATCTGGCCGATAAAGCTCTCTTCGCCACCACGCGTGATTTCCTCGTTGGCCGAGCACGTCGGCGCGGCGGGGGCTGGGCCCGCCTTGGATTCACGCAGGGCGACGGCCTCGGCGTCGGACGCGAAGAAGGGCGGGTTGCACAGTGTGAATGACAGCCGGGAGGCGGTCGTCGCTGGGATGGACGGGGTGCCGAGCCACGCTAGGAGCGAGTAGCCGTCCGTGCAGCCTGGGAGGAGGGTGATGGCTGCTGCGGCACCGTTGGCCGCGACGACATGCGTGGCGTGTGCGAGCGACGTGGGGTCCAGCTCGGACGCGTAGATATGTGCGTCGGCGCGGAGACGGTGCAGGAGGAGAGCGTAGATGGCGACATGGCCGGTACCAATGTCGAGTGCGCGGAGGGGCGCGGCAGGTGCGTGCTGGGCAACGTCCAGGCATGTGAGGATGTAGTCGAGCCTTTAGTGTCCAGTGTGAGTACAAGAGTATGGTGGGAGCATGCCGCTTTGAATGACGTACCTGTTCGCAATCTGGCGTGAATGGTCAGCTTCTGTGGATCTGTGGGAACAAAGTGTTTAGAGGTACGTACAGTCGGACACAGCCTGTCGTCGCGCAGGTCTACATCGAGGTTGAAATCGGTCTTGAGCAGCGCCGCAGTGAGAGCTCTTAGGGCTGCAGCATCGTGAAAGTCGATTGAAGGGCCGTGGTCTGTGACGGTGACACTGGGGAATGAGAGTCAGGAGACGCGTGCCAGACGGAGCACATGAGTACATGAACACTGCACTCACTAGGGCTTGAGGGTTGGGTTGGACGCTGCGAGTTGGGCGAAATCTGGGCGTGTGCTTGCGTATGGGTTGCGAGGGTGCATATGGCAGCAGCGGGATGCAAGCGAGAGAATGCACTGGTTGAGACAAACGATGCAAGCGAGCGAGGTGTGGGAGAGAGAGAGATGCAAAAGGTTATTTATTACGCACCTGAGAGCGGGGAAGACGATTAAAGGCACGGGCTGCGGCGACGCGGATGGGACAAGAGAGAGAGAGATTGAATTCCGGCGTGACCATTGCCATCTCGCTTTGTCCATCGCACATTCCACCACCATCAGCTGCACCATCATTACCCTCTCAACCAGCAACTACTCGTCTCCCCTCCCCTCCGTACGAATGCGCAGACAGCGTCGCCCTCGCTCTCAAAAGGAGCCCAACCAGCACCTCCGGGCAGCACAGTGAGCACACCGTCTACCGCAATCGCGCGCGCGTCTCCTGTGACGCGTCGCAAGCCGTCCCACTCCTGAACCTTTTAACTCACACCGCAGAACCGGCATACGCATGGCCCACCTCGCTGTACTGGCCCTCTACACCCAACTGCTCACCTACGCTATCCAGTTCCTGCATGTCGATACCTCGGACACAGTCCACAAATGGGCCTCGTACAGTGTCGCCATTGCGGCCATCCGTAAGTTTGCCGCCCGCCGTTTCGTCCATGCGTTGTCGATTTCTGACCTTGCTTCCTAGTCTTCACCGTCAAGCTCTTAGACGAGCGGCCATCGGCGACTCGTAGAAGGAAGCGCGCCGCCGTATGGGCCCGGGTGCAGGCGCTAGTGCGCGACGGCCTCCGCATCGTGAGTAGCTTTGGTCAAACTCCCACGGGGCACCTCCCATCACAGCCTTTCTCACCACCTGACACTTTCTGCGCCAGATCTCAGTCTCGTCTGCTCGCACAGCGCTCGCGTCCTCGCCCACGCTTCTCACTCACTCGACGACCTCAAACTCGTCAGGCAGTCCACGGGCATCGCCCCGTTCGTCTCCGCAAAAGGGAAGCCACGACTTGCCAGAAGCACAGGACACTCCTTCCAAGACCACAACCGTCCCTGCGCCTCTCCCCGACGCAGACCGTACAGAGGAGCTCCTCGGTGTGCTCGCATCGTTCCCTGTCGCGCTCCAGCACCACCTGTTAGGCACACGTGCGCTGCCGCACCCCCCTCTGTGCGATCTCTTGCCCGCCGGCTACCTCACCAGTCTGAAGCGTACCGAGGCCCGTGTGCGGTTCGCCGCTGTCCATGCTGGGCCCTCGGGGTCTGGGTCGCCGCAAAAGCCCACTATCGACGGCGCACGTCTGCATGCGAACGGTCTCAGCAGCAGCAGCAGTAGTCCCAATGGGAATGGTACGAGCAACGGCAACGGCAATGGCAAGGCACCCAACAGCGATGACGAGGGCGGCGACGACGACAAGTCGCTGGTGGCGCCCTTGACGCCCAGCAAAAAATCAAACCTCCACACGCCACACCCGTCCAACATGCCCCTCGCGCTGCTGCGCCTCCTCGAGGCGTACATTATGGGCTTTGTCGAGCTCCCGACTGACCGTGGTGGATGGACGGCACTGCAGGGGAACCGCGCGCTGGACGTGGTCAAGGGCCTGAACGCGTGTCTCAGCGAAGCAGAGGGCGTGTATGCGGGTGAGTGGAGTGGAGCACAGGTGGAGCTTCCGGGTCCGCAGCTAACGTCCTACAGACCCGCAGCCGATGATCACCGTTCGGCTGTGTCTCAACGTCTTCCTCTTTGTCCTTCCCCTATGGCTCGTGTGCCTTCTGCGCGGCTGGCTGGCCATCTTCGCCACAGTCATTGTCGGTGCCCTGGCCAAGTTTGTGCTCGAGGCAGTCTTATCCGAACCCGAGGCCACTTGTGAGTACAGCTGCTGCAGCAGCTCATGCAGCAGCCCACGACGTTCCTCGTGCTGTGGCTGACGATTCCGCCGCAGCCTCCAACCACCCCCTGCACAAAGCCACCGTGGCCATGGTGCATGAGTCGCTGGACACGTGTCCCGCGCTGGCACGATACTACCGCAGGCGCCTCATAGCCCGTCTCGGCGGCGACAGCCACGAGGTCGTCGAGCTTGACCGCCGGATTCGCCGTCGCGACGAGTGGCTGCCGACGTTTACATGAGGAGAAACCCAGTTTGCATCCAGTGGGGGGGGGACTTTGTTTTCGTCCTTTGTTTTCAATGTGTTTAGAGTACAACGGTTCCACTATAGTGTACTAGTATGTGACTGTTTCGCTGTACCCCATTCGGCGCTCGGCAGAGATGTGGGTCGAGGGCCGACAGGGTCGTCGTTGTATGGACTGATGATGGGCCGATGGCGTTGCGGAGATCGGAGATGAGCGCCCGGCGTCTCGTCTATCCGGCCGCCGTGAGCGCCGAGTTGGACAAGTCCGTGCGTCGTGGGGCACTGGATACTGGGGGTTTGTAGACCTGTGGCCTGCGGGCATGTGGACCTCTAGCCTGTCGCCGGTCATTTGTGGTCAACTGCATTGATCCAGCAAGTGTGGATTCTGCCACATGTCCTCGCGTTCGACGCTCTGGCTGCCACGCTGTGGGCCGTCCAGTTCATCTCCCATCTGCCTCATTGCCACTGCTGTCTGTTGCTTCGGCCACGGTGCCATTCTACAGTCCAGCCTGGGTGTCACTGAAATGCCCAGACAAGTGCCAATGGCCCGGTCTCTGCGACAGCCACGTGCAAGGGAATGGCTTCGAGAACCTGCAACAACAAGCCAAAAAAGATGGTCGCTTCTCTCCATCTCTCTCTGGTCCTCCTGTACACTGGCCAGTGTTTCTTCTCTCGCTCTCTCTCTCGCTCTCTCATTCTTCTGTGCGGGCGTCTTCACCGCGGCACCGGGCAAATGTCATCGTAGATTAGGACTCCGGCCAGCTTGGTAATATACGTAATCCTAATCCAGTGTAGTCTTTGTCCCACCAGCATTTATCACCATTTATCACATGTTTCCTTCCCGGATTCGAACCCCGGCCAGCTTGGTAATATACGTAGTTCATCCAAGGCACTTTAACGTGTGTGCCAACGTGCAACCTTACATTATGGTTTGGCGAGATTGCCGGTGCCTTAAGACACCGTCTGCGCGTAACCGGGAGTAATTACGTAATATTTGCGATGGCGGTGGCAGAGAGGCCTGGCCGGTGTTGGCTTTTTCCAGCTGCGGGCAGATGGGCCACATGCATGCTGTCACGGCGCTGCAGGCTGACTCGCGCGCTCAGTGATCAGTTACACACAGGCGGTGCGGTGAGTGGTGATCGAGTGTGAGCAAACCAACCGAAGCACCGACATTTGTATGCGCCCGGTAAGCCGGTAAACCTGTACCCTTTGTTATCCGGTTGTGCGCTGTCTGTGATCCTGTGAGAGCAAGCCTATTCCACGCCACTCACTCTGGTACTCTGATCACTCTGCGCTCACCTGCGCACATGCCTCCGCCGAAGCATGTTGTTTTGTATACCCGGGGTGTCAGCGGGGCCCACGGGGGGGAGTGTATGCATGGGCACAGCCTATGAGCTTGCGTGGATACCACAGGACGCGTCGTTTTTTACCTCCGTACCGCGTCATCATACCGGTTAACCGGGACGACAGAGAGCGCGCGCGTGCGGGAGTGAGGGAGAGAGGGGCAAATGGGTGTGTGAGCTTTTGGTGGCCGGTTTCGTTTTTCTCCCATCCCATCCGTCTTAAAAAGGCCTATTCTCTCTCGCCCTGCGCATCTCTCTCTCGCTATCCACTCCCACGCCCCAGTCACATCCATACACAATGTCCCTCAAGTCCATGACCCGCGACGAGGTCGCACAGGTGAGAAAACATCAACACGCCGCAACTCGGCGGGAGGGGGGCGAAGGCCCCAACTGCGCCCTGGCTCACCCATCCCGTTTTCACCTTTTCCCTCTTGGCTGACGCATCGCACAGCACAACAAGGCCGGCGACCTCTGGGTCATCATTGACAGCATCGTCTACGACCTCTCCAAGTTTGCAAGGCTCCACCCCGGTGGTGCTGGTGTCCTCCTCGACGCCGAGGTCGGTGAGTAACAGAAGGCGGTGGCGAGGGCAAGTGGCTGGCGTCTCTCTGCCGGTTGCGGAACCGGCGCAGCGTCCGGCCAATCCAGTCGCCGTCAATGCCAAGAGGACCATTCACTGACGTCTTTCCCAGCCGGCAAGGACGCTACGACTGTCTTCTTTGGTCTTCACCGCCACGAGGTCCTCCTCAAGCCCCAGTACAAGCGTCTCCAGATCGGCCAGATTGAGGGTTCCAAGCGCAAGATCAAGGTCCCCGAGCCCGGAGACCTCTCGCGCGTCCCCTACGCTGAGCCCACTTGGCTCACCCCGGCCTTCAAGAGCCCTTACTACAACGACTCCCACCGCAGCCTCCAGAAGGGTGAGTACAGTTGTTGTCATACACTGGCCCGCATTGGATAGCGCGCGCTGCTGTGCCTAAATTACCCCGCAACGTGGAGGTGTAAATGCGGTAACCCGGGATACCCGGCTAACAAGACACACAGCTGTGCGCGAGTTCGTCGACTCGACCCTCTACGCCGATGCCCAGGCATGCGAGGAGAATGGCAAGCGCGCGTCGGCCGAGGTTCTCAAGTTCATGGGCGATGCCAAGACCAACATCAACGCTATGCGTCTCGGCCCCGGCAAGCACCTCCACGGCAAGGAGCTCTTTGGCGGCGTCAAGGGCGAGGACTTTGACTACTTCCAGTGAGCTGAGCCCGTGCGTCGTTTTTGCAGTCAGCTGACATTCCTCAGCGAGCTGGTCATGACCCAGGAGCTCGTCCGTGCCGCTGGCCGTGGATACGCCGACGGTCTCAACGGCGGCATGGTTATCGGTCTCCCTCCCGTGATGAACTTTGGCCAGGAGCCCCTCCGCACCAAGGTCCTCAACGAGGTCCTCTCCAGCGAAAAGGTCATTTCGCTCGCCATCTCGGAGGCCTTTGCCGGTTCCGATGTCGCCGGTCTGCGCACTACCGCCGTCAAGTCGGAGGACGGCAAGACCTGGACCATCAACGGTACCAAGAAGTGGATCACTGGCGGCATGCACTCGGACTACTTCACCGTCGGCTGCCGTACCGAGGGCGGTCTGACCGTCTTCCTCGTTCCCCGTGGTGAGGGTGTCGAGACCAAGCAGATCAAGACCTCGTACTCGACCGCCGCTGGTACTGCCTACATTACCTTTGACAACGTTGTCATCCCCGCGGAGAACATGCTCGGCCCCGAGGACGGTGGCCTGCTCGTCATCCTCTCCAACTTCAACCACGAGCGTTGGGTCATGTGCTGCGGTTCCGCCCGCTCGTCGCGTCTCGTGGTCGAGGAGTGCCTCCAGTGGTGTGCCCAGCGCTACGTCTTTGGCAAGCCCCTGCTCGCCCAGCCCGTCATCCGCCAAAAGCTCGCCTTTATGATCGCAAAGGTCGAGGCCATGCAGGCCTGGCTCGAGAACGTCACCTACCAGATGTGCAACATGTCGTACAAGCAGCAGAGCTCCAACCTCGCCGGCCAGATCGCCTTCCTCAAGATGATGTGCACCCGCGTCTCGGCCGAGATTGGCGACGACGCCGTCCAGATCTTTGGTGGCCGCGGCCTCACCAAGACCGGCATGGGCAAGCTCGTCGAGCAGTTCCAGCGCACCCAGAAGTTTGACGCCATCCTCGGCGGCGCCGAGGAGGTCCTCGGTGACCTCGGTGTCCGCCAGCTCATGCGCAAGATGCCCAAGGACCAGCGCCTGTAAAGCATCGGCATCAGTGCGGTGGCGAAAAAAGCGGTGGTGTGACTCGGGGAGAAAGCAGACAGACAGCGACCGCGTTGTAATAGTGCCTGTATTGTACGCTCCATAGAGCAGATATGACAATCCACTTGAAGAAGCACAGAGAGAGCGAGGGCAGGGGCGTGACGGGGGATGAGCTGGAGGCCGTGGCGAGGCGCAGTGTTTGCGTGAGCCACAACGGCATCAAATATAGCGTCAATAGCACTGGTATTTAAATTGTGATTTCCGTCGCTTTTTCCTTCCTTTGCACACTCTTCTTCATTGTGGCAGTTGGCGGAAGGGCCCCCGTCTCCTTCACCCTTCTCGGAGCTTCTCAGCTCCCCCGCCTAGCCACCACCAGAAGCCATGTTCGATCCATTCGACATGGGTATCGCAAGCCTAGGCCCCGAGCCAGACTTGAGCCTCGTGTTTCCGGGCCTGCTCGACCTCGAGCGCACCCCGCACCTGCACACACCATGCCCCAAGAGACACATACCAAGAACAGGCTTGCACAGGCAGCGGCACAGCAAACCCACACCCGCAGCTCCCCAACTTTCGTCCCAAGCTGGTCATGATGTACTTACCTACAATTTGTTTTTTAAAAATAAAAATAAAAATGCAATAAAAATTGTGACTACTGTGACCAGAGCCCGCCATCTGTGACGTAAATATCAAGATCGGGCTCGATTGTTTGAGCCGTCATCGGAACGGGTATCATACTCGTCTTTTGTCTTGCCACAGTAGAGTCCAAACCGCACCGAAAATGCACCGGCTGGCCGCTCTCGCTGTGGCTTTCCTTCCCCGCCGGGGTCGTTCGCCACGACCGTGGGGCCGGCCTCCCCTGGTCTGCTCACAGGTAGCGACGGCTCTTGCCTGTGTGCCGTGACTTGTTGGAGTAGCCGTAGTACTACTGTACCACCGCTTTACCTCTCATCGCGGCGTCCGCCAGGGCCCACGGAGAGACCACACTCATGTACGGCCCGACGGACTGCGCATGCGGCCGCCCCTGGGGCTCGTCCACCTTTTGCCGTCTCCGGGCTACACGACGCGGACCCTAGGCGTGCCCTCAGTGTCTATGGTCTCAGTAACGAGCCCCGAACGGAGAGTGGAGCCGTACGCGCACAGGGGTTTGCCATTGAAAAAAGGGGCACACACAGTCCCCATGGAGCCGAGGTGCGACACGGCAATTGTTGTTGTTGTTGTCAGATAGCGAGGAAGTGGAGGTGCGGTGGCCGCACATCGACGTCATTCTGAACGAGAGAATGGTCGTCGGCCGTCGTCGTTTGCAGTGTTCGGCGCACGGGCGGGGATGCCGACATGTAGACCGTGAGACGGCAAGCAGCAGCACACGTAAGCTGTAAAGGAGGGCATTCCTATTCTGGGATCGAGTCTTCAGACCTGGAGCTGCTTTACGCCTCAGTTGCGAGTCTTGCCAGTCGCTGCTGTCAATTCCTTCCAGCTGTCGCCGGTGTGTGTCGACGTATGCTCCATCCCTGTTGCCCCTCTGCTGTACAGTGTGCACCGGACACTAAATGGTGTGGATTGTGAAGCGGCAGGTGGTAAAGTAAGTCTTATCGGCTCTGAATGTCAACTTTGGATGAAGAGGGACGCTACGAGGGAAGAAACGGCGCGCAGCTGGGCAATTGGTGGTATTTCGCGATTTTCGTTGAGCGAGCCCACCCAGCCAGGCCATGCGCGTCGCAGCACTCCACCGGCCAGAGGTGGTCACAGGACACAACAATGACGCCCAAGACTCTTGGCCCGCAGGCCCCCCCTCGCCATTCCGCGTGCCTCGTCGGCGCGCTCCCACTGCTGGCTCTCGTGAAACGTGAAATAGAGCACAGCCTCGTGCCAACAATCAACCGACCGGGCACGGACTCCTCCTCGGTCCTTGGCTCGCGGACTGTGACAAAAATAATATGACAACCACGTCTGAATGCATTGCTGAGACGCATTGCTGACTAGTTCTGTATCACGTTGGCGGACGCCGGTGCGGCCAAGATGACAAAGAGTGCGCGACACAACAGACGCCAGTCCGTTTGCGATTGCGGTTCAACGGTTGGTGGGTTGTGAGTGTTGTCGGTGTTAGGATGAAGGTACGGATGTTCAGTACAGTACAGTAGCAGCGCAGATAGTGACGTATGTCTGGCGTAGAGACCTCGGACTACGGAGTACACCCTTCGCATCGTTCTCGCCATCGCCGACGCCGAGCTCCCAACCTAGGCGACTACAACACCCACACAGAGTACGCGTCCACCTCGGCCTTCGGGGTATCGTTGTCGACCCAAACTCCAGCATGCAGTCCCCTTTCGATGTGCGACGCCGCACCGCAAGCGGCGGCCGTGACAGTGTGTTGGTGCTTAGCGGCGGCCATGGAGGACATGGTCGGCCATTTCGGGCGCCGGGCTGCGTCCGGCCGCCGCGATGAAGACTTCGGTGCCCGACCGGCGGCAGTCGTTGTTGCGATCTGGTCACATGGCCAACCCCTCTACCAACCCTTGGCGCCAGCATATCTCCAACATGTCTTGGATAGTGCCAGGATATCCAAAGGAGCATACTGAGGGCACGCGTCGCAGACACACAGCGGAGGGTTGCCGAGGGACCCGAGCGACAGGTTGGCTAATTGTGGGAAATGGGTGCGCCACATTCGTCGCGTCGCACCAAAATCGCGACCACAAATTGGCCATTCGGGCCTCCAACCATCATATCCCAACACCCAGCTCCACAATGGGACTGCGAGCATGCTCTGACGACCCGCAGCGGGCCCCGAGGGGCTCCCGGTGGCCTTCATGGCCGCCGGGCATGCTGTTGTGAGCCCGTATCGGCTGCCGCCACACTCCAGGCTGGTTCATGAGATTACGGGAAGGAGTGGATATCAGTGGAAGGCCATCTCGGCGTCTCGACGTCAGAAACGGCCATTGGCTCATCAAGCAAACGTAAGATGGCCGTCTGGGTCGCCGAAGGTGACCGAGGAGGAAGTATGTAGACATGGTCCAGACGCCTGACGTATTAAAGGCACAAGATTGAAATTGGCCATGCTCTTGGCACTCCCACTCTGGCATGTCATGCAGTGGTGGTACATGGTACGTATCGCTGGGCTGGGAGCAGCACGAGATGGTGACGAGTTTTGGTCACTCATGTCGACCTTCCATCCAACCGTGATGTTGACTGTTGGTAGAGGTCAATCACGTGACAGTGACGAGGGGCACACTTGTCTGGAGAGGCTGTGGACGAGGGAACGAAGCTCGGTGTTCGGGACGGCGCTCGGGACGTAGTCTAAAAATCGAGCGAGTTGGCGATCTCGCGACCAGCTCAGACGGGCGCGCCGCGTTTCAGACGGGCAATTGTCGCCACCACGGTTCTCGAAGCCCGAATAGTCGCAGAACGGTTCCCGTCTTCGTCGTTGAGACCATCCGTGGCCTCCCTCCAACTACTCCCCAGCGGTCCATGTACGGAGCAGCCTGTAGCGATGTCGCTCTACGTGCTCCGCGCACCAGAATATGATCGCGTGGACGCCCGGTCGGTAGAGCCACTGGAAGACGTGGAGGACTGGCGTGTCGCCAGAGGTGAGGGTGAGGTCTGTCAGTCCTCAGCGTATAACTGCTCTCAGCACACGACTGCCCCTCCGCGTTGGTGTTCTTGCGTTGCCCGCGGTGAGCCTTCAGTGTCAGCGATGTGACGCTTCCTGTCCAGGCTGCACTGGCCAGCCAACTGGCGCCCGACGCCATTGGGCCGTCACTGGGGGCGAAAGGAGTTATGTCGGAACCTTGTATACAGTATGCAGAGGTCGTACAACGTAAAGAACAGCCGTGATGCCAGTGTTATGCCAGGAAGACGAGCACGGAAGGTAGGGGTCCTGCCTGGGGGGTTCCGAGACAGAACGCGTCGCGCAGACCAAGGCCTATTCCTTCTCCTTGCGCAGCTCCTTGATGACAGCCTGAATGTCAGTTTCACAGCGACCAGTGGAAGACTTACAGCAAGGGTATCGGGGTTGGCGCCGGCCTCGATCATGCCAACGCAGATGGAGAGGGTTTGTTTATCAAGACCTGGCGCGTCAGTGTTTTGCTGGGGGCCAATGCGGAGCCGATGCGTACCGGTCTGGAGGAGCTGCGAGAGGTCATGCAGCGCTGGTTGTGAGCTACTATATTGATCATTGTGCAACTCACTGTCTAGTGTTTCGCGTGCGTTTTGCAGACGGTCGTCGGGCATGGTGGATGGCGAGGAAGGACAATTGGCCGCCCAGAAGGTCCGTGGAGATGACGCGTTTAACCCCATCATCCACATCCATCCACCAGCCAAATTCGCCGTGTGTCACCATCTCATTCCGTCACCATCCATCACACCACTTTCACCGTCCTGGACCATCGGCACCGCCCTCCATGCCCCATGGTCCCTCCCCATGACACGGCCGCGCTCCTCCCCTACATCGTCGCCGCCCTCGTCCTCGCCTTCACCGTCATCATGGGCGGTCTTTTCGCCGCCGGGCTGACACCCTCCATCCCAGGCCTCCCCGGCCTGCCATCGCTGCCCCGCGCAGGCGCCAGTCCCGTCAGCAATGGCGGAGCACGAGGCGGTTCGCACCCTCCCCCAATAGATCCTGGAGACAAGTATCCAGGCATGGTCAACCTCAGCGGCACGCTCTGTTACATGAACAGCGTGTTGCAGGCATTTGCTTCGTTGCCAACCCAGCTTGCTCACCTCGAACGCATCGTCTCGCTGGCCATCAACGCCGATGTCCCAACCCCAGTGACCGACGCGCTCCTTGACCTCTTGACCGAACTCAACACCGGACATGCGCGTACACCCCCCGCGCTCCGCCCACACGCGCTCATTGCGGCCCTCTCGGCGTTACCCCAAGTCCGTCGTCTCCTCGCCACCCGCGAACAGCAAGACGCGCACGAGCTCTTCGTCGTCCTCGCCGAGGCAGTCAGCGATGAGGCAACAAAGGTCGTCAAGGAGATTGCCCGCACGCGTGGTCTCGGCCAGGCTCTCGACTTTTCCCCACCCACGCGCGAACCGTCGCCTTCCCCGCCAGCTTCCATCTCGTCATCTTCCTGGACGTCGTCGCGTGCACCCTCTGTTGCCCCGACTGTGCGCGCACCATTCCGCCGCCCAGAGTCCGGCCTGGCCCAACCGTGGGAAGGGTTACTCGCACGCCGCCGTGTGTGCCGTCGTTGCGGGTACAGCGACGTTATCCGCACGGACACGCTCGGAGGAATGGAGCTGCCGATCCCAAAAAGTGTGAGTTGGAGCGTTCATGAACACACGCACCTCAATGCTGACAACAACATAAAGGGTGACGCGACACTTGATGAGTGCATCTCCGAGTACCTTGCACCCGAGGCTCTCGAAGGCGTGACATGCGACATGTGCACGCTCCGAGCCACCGCCGAAAAGTATGCTGCCAAAGCCGCGACGCAACCCGTTTCCGAGGCCGAGTCTGCTGCGGGCAAGAAGAAGCGCGCGACCGTGATTCGCACTGCGAAACGACTGGCCGCCATGGTGGACGCTGGCGTCCCTGCCCTCGACACGCCCAACGTCAAGTGGGAGACGGTCCGAACAGACACTATCCGCGAAACGGCCGTGACCCGCGCACCGCGTACACTGCGGTTCCTCTTTGTGCGCTCCGAGTACACACCATACGGACAGCTGCTGAAGAAGACTGCGCGCATCGCCTACCCGCTCATGTTCGACATGGGCCCTCACATGGCCCGCGGCGTGTGGGAGCCCCGACCCGAGAGCCTCAACGTCGCCGGCATGATCAAGGCTGGCGCAGGTGCGGGCCCGGCCCCGCGCGCGCTGTATCGCCTTCAGTCAGTCATCCTGCACTATGGCTACACGCATAGCTCGGGCCATTACGTCGCCATCAGGCGCAAACCCAACGCTCCCCTCGGTGTGCCAGGGAAGGGATGGCTGAGGATCTCAGATGCGGACGTGGACGAAGTAGGAGCAGACGAGCTGGCGGCTACACGAGGGCAGGTGTTTATGCTCTTTTATGAGCGCGTCGACTTGCCCAAGAACGTCGAGGCAATGATCAATGCGCCCACCGAGAACAACCACGTCGACTCGACAGTGGGAGGAGCCAGGTACCTTGGGGAGGTGGACTCGATGCCGGGCACGCCGGCCGAGCCAGCTTCCACTGCACCCTCTGCCGCACTTGACCTGCCCACTGAGAATGGGATAGACAGTTTATCGTAATAATATGTCATCTGGCCGTCACTCGGGCCCTCTAGACTACCTTCCTTGCTGCCCACTGCACTACAATATTAAACTTATCCGAGAAGCAAGGACCGCACGGCACTCCATTCAGGAGCGACGCCGCGGGTCTCAAACTGGAGCCAGTCGGCCGCTCCAGAGGGGAGGATGCCCATTGTCCAGCACTTGTAGAGACCCAGGGCAAATGTGGCCAGGTTGCACAGCACGAACACGAGCATGGGCGGGAAGAGGAGGGCATACGTCAGATCGCCGCCGGCACGAGGAGTGCGGAAGGGCTCGAATGCTGGGCGTCAGTTGCTTGTCAAGGGCAGTAGATGAGGGGTGCAAAGTCGAGGTGGGGCACAGCACTTCTACTACATAGGTAAAGCGTGGGAGGCAATACCTGCTGTTCACCTGCCGGCAGGGGAGAGGCCTGCCTGTCGAGGCCGGCAGGTGCTCGTCGCCCCGTGTTTCCCGACACAAGCCAAGTCTCAAGTTTCAACTCACTGCGCAGAATACCCAGGAGCGCGCCAATGGGCCCAGTGACGAGCATGAAGATTGTGCCGAGCGAGAAGATCTGGACACCCGACCCGGAAAAGTAGAGCATGATCGCCTGCATGGGCAGTTGCTTGGCGGGGCTGCGGGGTCAGCTTCGTGTTCCAGGTAGCCACGCTGGCCAGATAATTGAACACAGGAGACATGAGTGTCCCTTGGTCTCGATGAACGAGCTGAAAGTGCATTCAGCAGCTCAGCCAGCGCAAGACACACACAACGTGCGGCCCGAGCAACCAAGCAACTCACGCAAACGACACCTCCCATGCGCGCTTCAACTTCAGTTCAGTGGCATTAGCGACCGACTTGGTCGCCTCTGGTCGAGACTGGAAAGGTACGTCAGTGGGAGTCCTCTAGACGCGCCAATATCTTCTCTCGCGGTATTTGCGGGAACGCACCTTGCCGTCGCGGCCGAACTGGCCGAACCCTGGTGGGTTGGGGAGAGATCTGACGGTGAGTAAGAAGGCGGGAGGTGGAATAACAGAGAACTCGAGTGGACGTACTTTGGGACGGCAGCAGTGTTGTAGTCGAGGTAAACCATTATGGGTATGGAGAGAATGGACGATGATGTCAAGTGGAGTTGTGGTTGTGGTTGTCGTGGCCTGTGGCTCGAACGCGCCAGCTCCGTCATGAGTCACGTGACCGTCTACTCTCTAATGGGCATTTTCTAACTCCCCTAATAAGACCAAGTTTGGGAACGTAATCTTAGTGTTCAATACGTTTGTAATGAAATTGCCGTGCCTTGAGGGACGCCCGGGTTTGAGGGTGAGATTTAGATTCGATTTGAGTGTGTCCTTGTTCCCATTCCCCCATTCATTCCCTTCACTCAACCCCCCGTCTCCCCATCGCTCTTGCTATGCACGACAGGCCTCCAGAGCTCCACGTATCGGCGGTGAGTTTCTCATCTCCTGTCCGCCACCATCGCTGTCGCAGCTGACGCTCTCTTGCCCAACCTCTGCCGTGCTCTGTCTATCGCCGTCGGGACATGCTTCTGCGCCACCCCACAGCTCTCACCGACAGAGTTCCGCGCGTACACGCGATACCTGGACCTCTTGGCCCTCGCGCAGGCCCGCGAGGGTGACGGTGGCCTTGATGCCGACGGTAGCGTCCGTTTTGATCGCGACATTGTGCGCGACTTTGCCGTCGAGCGCCTCGATGTGCCCAGCGCGGTCGTCAATGACGTGGGTGCCAGTCCAGAGATCGATTTCGGCCCGGAGTCTCCATTGATGGGCCACACCACCTATTGATCGCGTGCTGACGCGTCGCCACCAAACAGGTCCTCGAGCTCGTTCCCGGAGATGGGAGACTTGCTGCCAACCAGGTTTACGCCGTCCTCCGCCTCCTCGCGCATGTCGCGCCTGTCAACCCACGCTCACCGCGCTCACCACGCACGCCGCGTCCTCCCCCAAGGCGCTGGACGTCGACCTCGTCTTTGTGCCTAGTGCGTGTTCATCAGCTCCCAGTAGCAACTCTGCTGACGTTCTCTCTCTCTCTCTCCTTGTAGTTGATCCGCTTCCATTGGACCCAGAGATCTTGCCTCTGGCACCCCCACGCCGCGCGGTTAGCGCGACTGGCAGTACAGGTGGCCCGTCCCGTGTATCCCCCCTACCTGCACCAAAGCCTATCCTCCCTCCTCGCCGCTTGACCCCACCTCCTGCGCCGCCCTCGCCCCCCAGCCGACGCGCCACTGTCCGCAAGTCGCTGCCTGCTGGGCACAGTCTTGACCCGTTCCGCGATTCACCTTCTCCAACGACGTCGCCGGCGAAGACACGCACATACTCGACGTCATCGGTTATCGGGGCCGTCGGAAGCAACAATCCATTTCGCCTGGGCGCAGCAGCGGCTGCCCCCACTCCGCTGATGCCACTCGACCATCCCCCACCGTCGTCGACCCACAAAGTCGGACCTCCTCTTCCCCCACGCAAGCCAAGCATCAGGCGGCCGGGCCCCGCACTCCCACCCCGACAGAACAGCTATGGGGCGAAAACAGACACTCGGCCAGAATCGTTATCATCCTCGTCGGCATCGGCATGGAGCGATGGCCCGACGCGTCAACAGCCGACAAGCACTACCACGCCCTCTGATATCATGCAGCAAAGTCTGGCGGCTGCAGCAGCAAGCGAGGGGGTCCGGTCGCGCAGGGAAGACTCCGTGCTCGAGGTCATCCGCAGCTCGTCGGCTGCTGTTCACGGCAACCCGGCTTCAGGAGCCTCGGCGCCACCGCCGCCGGGCCGACGCGATATCATCGAAACTGTGACCCGTGCTGTACGCGAGTCTGAAGTCGACTGTCTGCCCCCACCACAGCGTGTCCCATCCGGTACGCGTCCCAAGACAATGCCCTCCACCAGCCCCAGCAGCTCGGGTGCCTTCAACATGTCGGCCGACCAGTATCGCCAAAAGCATCCTGGACTCAAGACATGGTCCACCGTTGGACTGCTGAGCGACAAGCCTCTCCGTTCCAGCTTTGCCCTCATCATCCTCAACGTTTCCATTCCCCGCAAGGACGCCCTGCTCCGCGCTTGGGCGTCGAGTACACTGCGGTTCTGTGCCGATGGCGGAGCTAACCGGCTCTACGACGCCCTCGACCCCGACGAGCGCGCGTCCATGTTGCCAACCATGATCAAGGGCGACCTCGATAGCCTTCGGCCTGATGTGCGTGCGTACTACACGGCCCGTGGTGTCGCCATCAAGCGCGACCCAAGCGAATACGCCACCGACCTCATGAAGTGCATGGAGGAGGTGGAGAGCATCGAATCGGCTTCTGGCAAGCACTTTTCGCTCCTCTTCTTTGGCGGCCTGAGCGGTCGCCTTGACCAGACCGTGCATACCATGTCGATCCTGTTCAAGCTTCGCAGTACGCGCAGGGACACGTTTGTGATCAGCGACGACTCGCTCGCTTGGGTTCTCGACACTGGCGTGCACCTCATCGAAGTCGACCACGCTACCATGGGCCAGACGTGCGGCATTCTCCCCGTCGGCGTAAACGAAGCGTTCGTCCGCACCGAGGGTCTCAAGTGGAACCTGGACTGGGTCACCTCTCTCGGCGGTGACCTGAGTACTTCCAACCATCTCCTCCCGTCTGAACCGGCCGTCCTGCTCGAGACCACGGCGCCAGTGTTCTGGACCGTCGAGATCTCTGCGCCTCTCTCCCTCCCAAACATGCGCTCTCCGCTCTCGCCCGCCGACGAGATTTCTCGCGGCGTCAAGGAGCTTGGAGTTGGGTTTGTCCGCGCGGCTGGCAACGTCGGTAGGCGGTTGAGCAGGCAAGGTGTGCCGCAAAGTCTGTCGTCGACTGCCAACGGCGACAGGGCCGTTTCGGATTCATACTGGGAGCAGCACCGCGAGCAGCGTGAGCAGCGCGCCCAGGTCGGGGATCATGAGTGGTCACGGGAAAGGGAGCGCCGCGAGCGTGTGGCCTTGGTTAGTACCGACCACGACAGCGACTACGGTAACGGGCACGGGCACGGAGGCAGGGATACCGAGCCCGATGGGTATGCTCTGCTGGATTAGATAGATGCACATTTGTTGTGCTGCCTTTCCGAACGGCCGCCAAACCATCTCGACGGCCAACGGGTTGGTGAACTGTTCTCCTGCTGAGCTGCTGACCGCCGTTGGCAGGTACGGCTAACCCGGGGCGTGTGATGTACGGCGGGCAGAGCGCCCGTCGACAAGGACGCGTGGGGGTGACCAGTGGCCAGTGGATCAGTGCATTCGACAAGTGCTGTATGTGATTCCGGCCCCCACGTCCACCTGACATGTCTCACGTCTCACCAACCTACTCACTCGCCATTTCTCAATCACCCAGTCCCTCCTGTTAACCACCCTTCACTCGTGCCCACACCTCCCTGCTCCTCCCTCCTCGTTCACGTGAGGGGTTCACGAACAATGTCCGCTTCGCAACAGGACAGCGAGCCCAACAAGGACAGAATCAATGTAAGTGTGCCCCTGCGTCCGTCACACGCCCCGGACATTGGCGGCGTACTCTTCCTGGACTCTGTTGACCTGGCGGTCCAGCCCTCCGTCGACTCGTCTGCGGCCACCACCACCATCAGCCAGGCCGCCGGTCAGTCTGCCACCCGCCCCGCCGAGAAGACCCCTCCTCCAAACCCCGAGCCCACCTTTGCCACCACATACGAAACCATCGTCAACGTTGCCGAGGAAGACCGTGCAGGCCGTGCAGGCCCAAGTGCGCAGGAACGCGAGATTGCCGCGCTCTATGAGTCCGCGCGCCCTATCTTGGCTGCCTTCGGGGCCCTCCTCCCCCCCATCACACCCCAAGAGGCAGCCATAAGAGAAGAGCAAAAGGCCGAGCGGGACAAGAAGGAAGCCGCAATCCTCCAGCAATTTACTGGGGCAGACAGTGTGGGCATCCAGGTCAAGCTCCCTCTCCGGGAGAATGGTCTCGCCGTCCTCCCCGACGACTCTTACGATGGCGACTTCCTCGAGAGTCTAAAATACGCCTGGCTGCCGCTCCCCGTGTGGTGCATTCAGGACATGATGCGGTTCTCTGACGCCACCCACACCCTCAAGCTCGTCCCGGGCGACTCGGGCTCGTTCGACGACACCTCTACCCTCGCAATTGTTAGAGACGGTACAATCAAATGGCGTCTGCAGACATCAAACTTTGCAGACACCGAGGACCTCGATGGAGACACTCCCAGATACTATTTCCTTTCCCTCCTCGAGCGGGTAGAAAAGTGGAGGGTCTCGAAGTTGGGTCCAGCGGCCTCAGACTAGGGATACAGCCTTGCCCGTGTGGATTATGTATACATGCCAATAGGAGCTAACTCATAGACATATTGTGACAAGTGTGGGACCCTCCTGTAGGGCGTGCGTATCAAACATGTATGTATAATGACATGTAGGTCTATACCGTATTCTAGATGTCCCGCTACTGATGCCACAGCTAGGTGCAGCAAGCTGTGGCGGGGATAGGTACCCACCTGGGCAATATCCGTGATCATGCACAGGCAAAGGGTAGGAGAGCGACGAACGTATCTGCTTTGAAAATGCGCTCAACTTCCAAGTCGTCGGATGCAATGTTGGTCACACGGGACACGACCTCAGGTAACTAGTAGTCTTCATACACATACGCACCAGCGCGCACCATTAAGAAAGACTGGCTTGGGTTTGGATTCCGCCTTGCAGTACGTCCCATTGTTGGGGAAGTGACATTTGGGTTTTAGCAACCAATAACGACCCTTAGTTCGCAAGCCTGGCGAAACGACATGAAAGGAACAAAATACTCTAGTAAGATATTGGGGAGGGGTCACCTCATGGTAAGCCCAATGGCAAGTTATTGCAACGTTTGTCAACAGGTTCCACTGGTTGTACGTCTCGCACGCGGCCCGGCATGGTCTGCCACATTGTTTGAGCGTATCAAAACTATGCTAATGGTTGCTCCAAATGCTAAATGCAAGTGGGTTTACAAATCCAACCCCGCGGCTATTGCCCACCTCCTTGAGGCGCATTGACGTCATCGAGTTGCTCACCAACGACCAACGGGTCACCGATCATGACTTGTCTGAGTGGTCGTTCCCTGTTATGTTGACGGTATCCACCAATCCCAGGTCTTGGGCCACCACTTCTACCACCGCAGTGTTAGGTAGGACCGCTTACTACTGATTGCTCGCAACAAGGACCACGCTGCACCGGTCAATTCAACACTCGACCACCTCTTTCAGGTCATACCCACCGTCGGTCCACCTCAAGAGGATAACCTCGATTGCTTGGGAAAAATGCTACTGCAAGTTCCTGTGGCTTCTCTTAGATCACATGGCGGGTAGCCCATACCCGAGAGGACTTGGAAAGAGACACAGTGGTGTCGAACCCGGTGTCTGAAGATAACCATCAGCCTCCGTCAAGGGCTGCAGCGGGGCATCCGCCAGCACTGGGCCCACCGCACGCCAACGGCGACCATGGGCAGAAGCATTACTAGCAGCTCTATGTTGTGAGATAGAAGGAGGCAATGACCCGGGCCGTCCTGGATGGTGAAGGTCCTAGAGCCCATCAGGTAGGTCACACAGACGATGGACGGACCAACACCGAACGCGCCCTAAGCGCAGATCTCGATGACATACTTGTCAAGACGGCCTGGAATGGCAACCAGACAGCGGTGGCTGTGTGGCCTATTACCTGCTGGTTCCATCTCCATACACACTGAAGTAGGCATCTCCCGGACCGGGATCCCAACTCGTTGTCAACGTCACTGCCACACTGTCAGGAATAGGAAGGCAGCCTTGGCCACGCATGGGCCACGCTCGCCGCTAAATGTCCGCCCGACGCCACCTCCACGGCGGCGAGAGGCGCCAGGCACTGTGATCGCGAGCCGCTACAGACATGCCCGGCCGGCATCCGTCTTTGCCGAAACGGGGGGCCATCTGCAAAGCTAGTGCCAACGAAATAAAATCCAAATAATGGAGGAGGGAGAATGGACATGTTCCGGCTGTGACATGAGTGGCGTAGCGGAGCCACTCCCGTCATGGTGGCGTCCGGGGGGTGGGAAGGACCGCCGCGGGGGCCTGTGTTGACGCCGTCGACATATGCCTACTTACAGTACTTTGTCAGGCGGCTCTGCAGCTTAAACCAGCCGAGCCATAACCGCGGATGACTGCGCAGAATTAAGCAATAACAGAACAAGGGCATCTTCCACCGCGTGGGCGACCATGCCAAGACTGTTCCAGGATACGGAAGCCTATCGAAGGTCCACATGACTATTTACAACCACTTGGCGGCGTGGGTCGTTTTTGGCACGAGCCATTCGCATCGTGACGAGTGCGTTGTGTAGTCGCTGTGGCAGCAAGTAAGTACAGCGGACACAAATGACACTAGTGCTGCAACAATGCCGTCAACTCTGTTTATCGATATGGTGAGCTGGCGCTGGTATGTACAACCTCTGCACGGCACCGATTCGTACCGCAAAGCAGCAACAGCATGCCCCCTCCCCTCTCATTCGAGATGCAACGACTCATGACCCGACTACCGCTAACTTGGTGTGCCGGGGTAACGCTGTGGCGGCGTGGCCCATGCATGGGGCCAAAATGGGGCACCATCGGCGTTCATATGCTTGTCTCTCGACCTGCCGCTGATCTGCCGGCCCACTTGGGTGGCGCCGAGGGACAATGTCAGCGGTGGGCGCCACACCCTGCTGGAGATATGATCCACGATCCGGGCCAGCATTCACTTCCCCCACTCTGCTGGGTCATCCTCTCGCTTGCGTCGGTCCATGCCATATACCGGAACGCTCACTTGCATGCCTGTACCGAGGCTGCGGAGCGCCGTTGCGGTATTCGGTAATGTATGTAGGCAGACTGCCTACGCCGCTGATGAGTGACCCTGGTCGCCTGTGCGGGGGGTATGGAGCCCAAAGAAGGGACAGCAAGGAATACACAACACATGCTCTCCCACGTTGATGTCCACCGCAAGGCGACCTCATCGTCCTCGTATCCCCTGGCCTTACTGGCGCAGGCAACCCTCGCAATACCGCAAAGCCACCGCCACGGGTGTGTAGCGGGGCGGCGTTGAATGATGGACCTTGGGCCTTAGGGTCCTCTCTTGCTCCGTGGACTGACGGTCAGTAAAGCTTCGGCATACCCATGCAACCGCTTCTCGAAACGGAATACATAAGATGCTTGGCTGCGAGTTCTTCTCCCCTTGTCCGCAGCCCATCAACTAACGTCTACCTTCTGCGCCAACTATCAACCTTCTCCTATAATGAAACTTTCTGCCCTCGCCTTGTGCGTGGCGGCACTGGCCACTACGGCCCGGGCAACCGCGTAAGTTGTTTCCTTTTTGCCATGGTGCCACACGGGGCTAACTCGACAGCGTCGCCGACCTTTCTGCCTGCGCGCAGGCATGTCTTGAAGCCGCCCTCGTCTCTACTGGCTGCGAGGCCGAGTGTGACGGTGCATGCGTGTGCAGCACCGACTTTACCACCAACGCAACCCCCTGTGTTCTGTGAGTAGCCGCGGGTGTGTCAGAATTCGCTAACCCACTCAGGGCTTGTGGCATTACCGACGCCTTGCAGGTTCTTGACGTGCAAAGCACTCAGTGCAGCATGGGCACCATCGAGACTTGCACAGCTGCCGCTACGTCAACCCAGGCGAGCGCGACTACCACTTCGTCAGCCGCGGCAGCCACGTCCTCGGGATGCGCAGAGTACGTCGACACCTCCGCTCCTCTCTTCCTTGTTTCTGCCACTGACACCCGCCAGCGTCTCCACCCTCTCTACGTGCGCACAGACCTGTCTCGTCGGCGCTCTTACGACTGCTGGATGCACTGGACCGTGTGATACTGCCTGCTTGTGTGGCTCTGCTTACAACGGGGCTGCCGCTACATGCCTTGCCTCGAGCTGTACCGCCGCCGACATTCAGGCAGTTCTCGGCCTGTCTGCTGCTCTTTGCCCCGCTGCCACCACCACTGCCGCGCCTGCCGGCACCACGACCACAGCTCAACCATCGTCAACCAAGGCCTCGACGTCCACAACTTCTTCGGCTCCTGCCCAGGTTACAACCGCGCCAACCACGTCTGCCCCCGCCCAAGTTACCACCACGAAGGCTACAACGACCGCGGCCCCGGCAACCACTTCAGCTGCCGCAAACTGCCCTGATGTCACCAAGCTTTCATCCTGTGCCCAAACCTGTTTGCTGGGAGCTCTCTCGAGTGCCGGCTGTTCGTCGGCATGCGACGTTTCCTGCATCTGTGGTACTTCATTCACAAACTCGGCTGCCCTCTGCTTGGCCACGACGTGCACGGCTTCCGACATCACCGACGTTCTCGCCATGCAGGGTTCTACCTGCCCCGCCTCTGGGACGACCACGGCGGCTGGTGGTGGCGTCACGACCTCCAAGACAACAACGTCAGCGGGGTCGACCACGACATCCTCCGGTGGAAGCAGCGGATCGTCTGGTGGAAGCAGCGGATCCTCGGGTACCGGATCTTCCACCACATGCCCCGACACCAGCAGCCTCTCATCGTGTGCCCAGTCATGCCTTAACAGCGCGCTCACAGCCGCAAGCTGCTCGAGCGCCTGTGACGTGGACTGCATCTGCTCGACTCCGTTTGTTAACAGTGTGAGTTGACTCAAGTGTTACGACGCCAAGGAAAAATATATACTGACAACCAGGCAACTCTTTGCATTGCCACCGGGTGCCCCACCGACGCTGCGGCCGTTCTGGCCCTCCAGTCCTCTACCTGTAGCTCATCGTCGTCCGGATCGTCCTCATCGGGGTCCACCTCGTCAGGTTCCACGTCCTCTGGATCTTCGGGAAGCGGGTCAAGCTCGAGTGGGACAGGTAGCTCGTCATCAGGAGGCTCGTCGTCGACCACCTGCCCAGACACCAGCAGCCTCTCGTCTTGCGCGCAGACCTGTCTGAACAGTGCCCTCACGGCTGCGAGCTGCTCGAGCGCATGTGACGTGGACTGCATTTGCTCGACTCCGTTTGTCAACAGCGTAAGTCAAATAAGTCGCCAAGGCAAGAAGGTATGCTAACAAACAGGCCACTCTTTGCATCGCCACTGGGTGCCCCACCGACGCTGCCGCCGTTCTCGCTCTCCAGTCGTCTACCTGCAGTGCTTCCAGCTCCGGGTCGTCATCCTCAGGATCCTCGTCGTCTTCGAGTGGCTCCTCGTCATCCGGCAGCTCGTCCTCGTCGTCAGGATCGAGTTCGACAACTTGCCCAGACACCAGCAGCCTCTCATCTTGCGCGCAGACCTGCCTGAACAGTGCCCTCACAGCCGCTAGCTGCTCGAGCGCATGTGATGTTGACTGCATTTGTTCGACTCCGTTTGTCAACAGTGTGAGTCACGCAAATGTCCAAGACCAAGAAGGTATGCTAACAAACAGGCAACGCTTTGCATCGCCACCGGCTGCCCCACCGACGCCGCTGCGGTCCTTGCCCTCCAATCCTCCACATGCAGCGCTAGCTCCTCGAGCTCATCGTCTTCGTCGGGATCCTCTTCGTCATCTGGAACCTCGTCGTCGTCATCAGGCTCAACCTCGACCACTTGCCCAGACACGAGCAGCCTCTCCTCGTGCGCGCAGACCTGTCTCGCCAGCGCGCTCTCGGCCGCAAGCTGCTCGAGCGCCTGCGACGTCGACTGCATCTGTTCCACTCCATTTGTTAACAGCGCCACATTGTAAGCGCCGATCAATCCCTCGCAAACTGAAGTCCGCTGACATTTGTTTTAGGTGTATCGCCACGGGATGCCCCTCGGACGCTGCCGCGGTTCTCGCCCTCCAGTCTTCGACATGCAGTGCGAGCTCATCGAGCTCTTCCTCCTCGTCATCGTCGTCGTCAACAGGTAGCGGCAGTGCCGGCAGCTCGTCGTCGAGTACCACGTGCCCCGAGTGAGTGGTTTTTGTGATGGTTCTTTTTTTTTTTTTTTTTTGAAAAAAAAAAACAAAAAAAAAAAACAAAGAAAAAAGAAAACGAAATCGAAAAATGCCACCAACAGAAAAGAATAGGTTTGCTAACATTGTTTTCCCTTAGCACCTCTTCGCTTTCGACCTGTGCGCAGACGTGTCTGGCTACCGCCCTGGGAGACGCTTCGTGTTCGAGCGCGTGCGACGTTACGTGTATTTGCGGTACATCGTTTGTCAACAGCGCCACTCTGTGTAAGTCCTGCACCTGGGAAGAAGCTATACACATACTGACGGCCCCAGGTATCGCCTCCTCGTGCCCCACGGACGCCGCTGCCGTGCTTGCCCTGCAGTCCTCGACCTGCAGTGCCAGCTCGGGATCCTCCAGCTCCAGCTCTGGATCCGGAACGGGGTCGGCCGCGAGCGGATCGAGCGCGGCAGCAGCTGCTTCGGCGGCAGCTGCCAGCGCCGCCGCGGCCAACGCGACTGCGAACGCTACAGCGACCGTGAGCAGCCTGGCCGCAACCTCGTCGGCCCCGACGGCCACCGTCATTGACACGACGCCCTCGTCTACGGGCTCGTCGGCTGCGCTCCGCAACATTGCCAGCCGCTCCGAGATTGCCACCATTGGCGGCTTCTTCATCGCGGCCCTCGCCTTCCTCGCGTAGGATGGTGCACTGAACACTGTTCTCGTAAACCTTGAAGACCATAAAGAATAATGGCTATAATTGGCTCTCCTCTGGAGGGCGAAGACGAATGAAACGAACTGTCTCCATGAGCATGTGCAGTTGTGTTTAGCGTTGGAACTTTCTCGCCTAGTGCCGCGATGGGAACCGAGTATCTGATGGTGAGGAAGTCATTGCACCCGCTGCTGCCGTGAGGTGGGCACCGAGAATTGAGGGAGAGGAGGCGACTTGTTCGCTGACAGGTGGGCCGCAAAGTACATGGGCTGTGCCGGAGGCTTTCAGCCTCAACTCTTGCTGCTTAATCAGTGCAGTTCTCCAAGGAGCCATAATATCGAAACGGTACATATGTCACTGGATTGCCTTTAACGGGGACATGGTGGCGAGTGTTTCTCCATGGACACGCGCACACACTCGGTATGCAAGAGCATGTGAGCAACTAACTGCGTTCCATGTCTGGCCAGATTTGACCTCGCATCTTCTTTCGCTTCTGCTAGGCACGCTGCGCGCCGACATCCTGTGGATGTGGCTCCAAGTCGGACATCGACTCCTTGTTAGACTGCACGGCCATTGCTCCGCTCTCTGGCGTCAACCACTGGATGCATGAGCTCTGCCTTGCCTGACAGCAAAAGCAGCCCCAGCACCCGCATCTCGGACGACCATTCTGTCATGTGCCAATATGCCACAGACGGACACGGATCATTGCCAGTCCGGCCCGAAGAAGTGAAACCACAAACGCCTCGACTCGTACCTGTCCGACGCCGGGTGATGGTCCAGAAGACGGTGGAATGCATGCCAGCACCTGAAATACAGCGGGCCGTCGTCGCCGCCAAACGCGGCGTGCCACGAGGAATGCGTGAGTACAGAAAAAGAGCCCTAATAGGCTCGGAGGATCGCCGTTTGAAAAGAGTGTTAATACCCGCTCTAGTGCCGTTCCTATTGGTGGGGGGTTTGTATTGTGTTGCTCGTGCGAGTTTTTGTTCCTCGGCACATACCCCGCCCCGTTTGTACGGCATGCGGAGGACGAGGGGCCCACCAAACTCCCCCATGTGGGTGTGCACGCTGAGGGGTGTGCACCGTCGTCATTGGCGGACACGCCCACAGCAAGGTTGGCTTCTTACTCGCTGGTGGGATGCATGTCCTGGCCAGTGGCCAGTGGCTCCTGGAATACCCAGGGCGGGTGAGGATCTTCCTCGACACGCGGGGGGGGGGAAGCGAAGCACATTGGGTGGGTGGGGTCTGACTCTCTCTCTATCTGCTGCCCACTGAAAAGCAGAGTTGTACCACAGAACACGTATGCACGATGCCCAGCCCCATTGCCCCAGACGAATGCTTTTGTGTGTATAGGTTGTTATCGGGCGGTGGGATGTGCTGGGCGTGAAACGACATGATGGGCTGTCGCCAAAGTCACATGTCGGGGGAGTTGAAAATCTGCCACCGGGGCGTGCGCGCGGGGTGCGTCATTGCTGCATGGTGGTGGGATGGCCGCCGCGGGTGGGATGGATGGAGAAGCACCAAACGGCTTAATCGACACATGCACAATCCCATTATCCTCTCTCACATCCCCTTTCAACCAGTCTCTCCATTTCCCACTCCCTTCTCCTCACCCACCCACCACTTCCAGTGCACCCGTCGTCGTAGCCAGCTCGTTGGCCACGACGCACACCCCCGGCAGAGACATGTCCGTGTCGTCGGCCACGACGCTCATCTCCCCCTCCAATGGCGTAGCGCCCCCACCAGCGACCCCCGCCAGCGCAAGCACGGCCGGCTCATCAGCGGTGCAGCATGCCTCACGCAAGCGCCAGAGCAGCGTTCACTCTGCCGGACATGGGCACGTCCACGGACACACTGTGCACTCGGCGCATTCTCACACGGCAGGTCATGGACATGGGCATGCCGTGCGGAGGTCGTCGACGCATTCGACCCACTCGACGAGTCACCGGGGTACGCGCCGCGGCAGCGAGGGCGAGAGTGGTCGACGCGCGCTCGCAGCTGGCCTGACCATGGCGGCTCTTGACGCTGTTGCAGCTCAGAACGCACATGTCGACAAGCCAAAGCCCAAACGCAAGGCCAGCGAACACAGCAGCCATGGCCATGGTCATGTTGTGCACACCACTGCCCATCGCGCGCACTCGCACCACAGTCACGCCCACGGACACGGACACACGGCACCCAAATCAAGTCGCAGCGAGACACACCTCCCTCGTCTGAGCCGCACACCCAGCTCGAGCGGTGTCAGCGCGGTGACGTCCGAGTCGAGCAACACAGGCGGCAGCTCGAGGCGTCCTGCTGCTGCGGGGGGCCACCGCACACGCTCGGCCGAGCGCGTCCAGGTGGAGGTCGTTGAGGGCGGATCGGGGTCCGCAGAGGCAGCCGAAGGAGCAGACGACGGCGAGTGGGAGAGCGGCGAGGAGACACCGGCGGTCGGCTCACGCCGTCTCCGGTCCGTCTCTGATCCGCACAAGCTTCGCAGCACACAGCAGCGCAAGGCTAGTGCTCAGAGCAACGCGACTGTCGAATCGGCAGCTACCGGCACGACTGGCGATGGCGGCAGCCCGCTCGAGCTTGGCAGCATGCATTCTCCGGGGCATGAACCGCCGGCGACCCGCAAGACGACCGGCTTCCCGGCACCCAGCGACTCGCAGACGTCTTTACCCAGCGCGGCGAGCACCAGTGCCGTTAGCGGCGCCGACGGTATTCCTGCAGCTGCCGCCCTGCCTTCCCCACCGCACACCAGTTCCGAGGAGGAAGCCGTCCCGCGTGCCGACTCTGCTCCACTGTCAGAGCCGCTTCCACCTGTTGTGGCTGCCGAATCTGTTCCGACGGCTTCGAGCGATCCTGCCCCAGTCACGACCGAGCAGCCTGCTGCGCCCTCTGGCGGCTTCCCCTTCCCGCGCATGGTGTCCGACGAGTCAGCCCCGCAGCACGTTGTCCGCCCCCACGCCGTCCAGCACATTTCGCACGCATCGCAGGCCATCTCCGAGTCGCCCATTTCGCCGCCCCAGTCGGTCCCATCGCGTCTGGCAGAATCGCAGACAACGCAGTCGAGCGCCTCGGCACAGTCGCCCGCCGCGCACGGGCCATCATCGGTGATGGCGTCGGCACCCCGCAGCAGAGTTATCAGCAGCCATGCACCGTCGACCTTGCGCCATCGCGGCTCGCAACAGTCTCTGCGTTCCATCCAGAGCCTCCGTGCCCCGCCCCACCCGCTCAACAGTCCCACAGGCCGCTCGGGTTTCCTCCACACCAACAGCCCCAAGGAGAAGCGTGTCTCCAGTCTGCACTATCCGCCCGCGGCACCTGCTGTGGTGTACCGCGAGACGGTCGGTGGCCACGGTTGGGACGAATCGCAGCCCAAGGGTCGAGCCGAGCACGTCGTCGAGCGGGAAGAACCACCCTCGCCCGCCCCGCCTCCCCGCACTGAACGTGTTGGTTCCTTTTCGTCGGTCCGCTCGCTCAAAGACTTGCTGGCCGGCACCTCGACGCCCCCCGCGCGTGCCATGCCCCCACCGAGGAATACGTCCTCGCGCGACCCTTCACGCCGCCTCACCGCCATGCAAGCGGCGTCGGCCGTCGCGCGCCTGAACACCACCTCGGACCCCGTCGCGTACCACCAGTCGTTGGGCTTTTCGCCCCAGACGGCCGAAACAGCCCATCTTCTGTCTCGTTTCCTGCCTCAGCGCCGCACCGACCGTCCCAAATGGGCCATTTCTGCGCGCGAGGCCATGGCGACCATGGAGGCCGCGGAAGAGGCGCATATGCGCGGCGAAGAGATCCCCGAGGGTCGCGTTGGCGTCACCGACGGGCAGTACCGCGACGCCCACGAGAGCCTCGTCGCCACGCTCCGGGAGCTGGGCAAGGCCGCGCCCGTCCGTCGCGGCGGCGCCAGCAGGTCGTACTCGTACCACAACCTGCTCGGCGCCGTCGCCGAGGACCCGCACGCCCACCGTCCGGGCACCGGCCAGACCCCCTTTGAGATCAGTGTGGCCAGGTGTGTGGCGCAGCGGCCCACGTCGAGTCTGGCGTACTAGATGGGCGCGCCGTGGTGTGGGTTGTGCAGTTCCCTCCTTTTTGTAGGAAAAACGAGAGGTTACTCGTTTTTATTTCTTTTTTTGTAATCGTACCCAAGAAGCAACGGTTGGAAGGGGGTTATGCAGGGTGGATGAGTGTATGCCTGTTGCATTTGGTGGTGGCGAAAAGCCCCAGGCCAAAGATCCACAGATCCCACTGAGAAACCACTAACGCGATGTACCACACTTGGAGTGGGACGGCATACTGCGTTCTCCAGAATGTCGCCCTTTTATGGGTGAGGTGTGAAATTGCTTCCGTTACTTATGCGGACCTCCACCCAACGGCCCAACGGCCCAACCCTCTCTCCTGGTGGCCACTTTTCGGCGTGAGCGTTCGACAAGCGCTCACGACAAGCTCACCTTCACATTCAACCACCACCACCACCACCCGCATCAACAAACATGGCTTTCTCGGACGAGACCAAGGACCGCGTCAACGCCGCTATTGGGTGAGTGGGGGTTTGGGACTCGCAGGACTGTGCTGACATCCGTGTAGCATCGCCAAGGTATGTTTTTGAGCTTTCGCCGAGTCGGTCCGAGGGAAAGGCCACTGTGTCGCCCTACATGTGCACACACCTGGTGTCCAAACGCTCCCCATTGTGATTGGGAGTGCTTTTGTTGCGCGCAGCGGCGCTTGTCGAGTGCCAGGCCATGTGGGACGAGACACCTGGGTGCAGAAACCGCGCCTGCCCGTCTCGGCACTTGATCCGCGCCGCCGGCGCCGTGTCTCTAGCGCCTGGGCCCCATGTCCTTGTCTCTTGCTCGCAGCTCCGGGTTAAGAAAGCGAGAGCGAGGACCTGCCGCAAAGACAAGCCACCACTGTCCTGGTCTACCCCGGCGCCCTTCCCGTTACCGATGTTGCAACCTCCCGCTGACACCCCGTCCAGAGCGTCATCACCGTCGGCTGGATTCGTGAGTGTGCCACAGCCATCTGTGGTTCATTGTACGCACAAAAGCGCTAACGAACGCAGCCCTGATCATCTACATTGGCTACAAGAGCTCCAACCCCCAGCCCTCGCTCATCAAGTAAGGTTGCAACGCGGCGGACGGGTTTTGTTTTGGAACGTGGCTGACGCTTTTCTTCAGGCTCATCACCCCCCTCGCCTAAACCAGACAACTGGAATGGATGGAGAGCAGGTGGGTTGCCATCCTTTGAAGGAGTACTTGTGCTGACCCATACAGAGTTCGACATGACCCCTCGCCGTCGTCGCGCACCGAGGATGGAAGGAGGCATGGTCGAGCGAAAGCAGGTGGGGTTCATCTACCATGGATCCACCTGACCCCACCAGTGTACGACGTAGCCCCCCTCATGCACTATGGCCTAGACTCTACTGTTGTTCTGCAGGCTGCAGGCTGGATACCGGGCGGATACCGGACGGACTGCGACATTGCAACGCTGACAGAACGACTAACGCAGGCTACGGTCATGGCATACCGTCTCCCAAGGCTCTCTCTCTCAGGTCTGAACGGGTGGGTGGAGGGGAGCTTTAGACTATGCTACAGGAGGATCACAATGTCGTCGTCGTCATCTTCCTCGTCGTCATCGTCCGTGTTGCAGGTCGACTGCGGCGGCGTGTAGCGGGGTGGAAGAATGGTCTTGAAAAGCAGGCAGGTCAGCGTCTGTCTGAGGTACCTGGCCACCGCACGCCTCGGATTCCTTATCGCCCAAGCGCCACGCCCATCCTCTTTGTCCCCCAGAGAAGCCACCACCCAAAGAACCCACCTGTTCCTTGTCTTGCTTCAAGCGGCGCGGGGTGAGCACGGTGCGTTCCGAGGGCGTCTTGAAAGCCGAGGCGGCGGGGTTCTGGACGTGGGCCGTGTCGCCGCTGCTAGAGTTGAGGATACATCCCACGGCGATACCGTCGACGTGCGAGATGGGACGCTTGCGCTTGGATCCGGGAGCGTGGATGAGGAGATCGGCAAGGGTGGTGAGGCGCGCGGTGGGGGAGTGCACCGCCGCCGCTGCTGGGGCGCCGTACTCCGAGACTGGAGTCGGAGGGAGGACCGGGGAACGGGGGAGGAAGACGAAGGCTGGCTGTGGTGGCGAGTACGGGTTGCCCTCGGAGCAAGGAGCGGTGTACGGCCAGGCCGGCGCCGAGGAGGAGGAGGATGCGAGAGGACCGGGGAGCGCAAGAGGAGTAGGCAGGGTTGAGGATGAGGGTGCGGTTGCAATGCTGTGGATGGTTTGAGTGGGTGGCGAGGGGAGGGGCACGGCGGACATGACGGAAGAGCAGGCGAGAGAGTGAGGGGTAGAGGGGGAGGCAGGTGTTGCGGTGTCCGTTAGGTGTGGGTGCGTGTGGTCGGTATCCGGCGTTGTTTACATTGTAAGTAAAAGCGAGGGAGAGAGGGAGGGTGCTGTCGGGTGCTCGTCAAACGAGTGTCTACGAGGGTGCAAGAAGGGGGATCGGGGGAGGGAGAGACGGAGGGAATGAAAGAAGAAAGCAGTGATGGATGTGTGAAGGCACTAAAGGGATGGTTGCAACAACAACGTCCACAAATACCCACATGGACGCACGCTGGGCTGAAACAACAAGCCGCCTTTCCCACCTGGCTGCGGGGGGTCTTGCTTTTACCGAGACGAGCGTCAATGTCAAATATCATGGTGGCAGTGGGCGAACGTTGATAGCGTTGACAGCGTTTGTGTGCGTTCCTCCATGCATCTGTGGTCAGTTCTCATCCCGGGAAGCTGCATCATGCCCTCACCCCCGCCGGATGTGGGGGCGGCCAAGTGCGGGGCACTGGCGCACTGGGTGTGGTGACGTACGGCGGGATCCTACTCGCTGGTGGACATTTCAAACCAAACATCTGGCAACACCCGTCCATCTCGCGCCAGTTTACAGCACTGCCCACCACCCACCCCCCGACCTTGACCCCATCGCAACATGGCCTCTATCAGAGAACAGATTGCACTCAAACGTGCGGCCGCACGCAACTCGCCCATCAAGCCCCGTCCTGGGTATGCACCCCCGCCAGTCGAGCTCGAGGAACGCACCGTCCCGGGCCAAGTGTCGCGTGCACGCAGGAGTGGTACGTGTTGTGGTCTCCTCTCCGTGTGTTCCCCCCGCGTTGCCTCCCACTCACACTACACCCTCTTGTCAATAGAGCAAGCTGACACCCACAGGCAAGCTCGACCTCGGGTCCATGTCCCTCGACGCGATCCCCTGTGAAGTCTACACAGACCTCCTTGGCATCCCAGAGCACGAACTCACTGTTCCTCCACCCACACCTGTACCTTCCGCGGCCCTTGCGACACCCACAAAGGCCAAGCAAGTCGAATATGATAGCTTTGGACGCGCCATCGCCGGCCTGTCCCTCGACGACGACAGTGAACCTGCCCGGCGCTTGGCGTTTGGTACCCCCGAGCCCAAGAAGCGCTGGTCCGAGCCCGAAGAGCTCACAGCCCTGCGCGCGCCCGATAACATGATTCGCGAGCTCGAGTTTGAGATCGGCCTCTTTGGTGGCCTCAAGAGTGTAGACGTGGGTGTGCGCGCGGAGAGCTGTCGTGCTGACCTCCTAGCTCCGCGGAAACAAGCTCACCGCTCTCCCTAACGCGTTTGCCGACCTCTTGCGACTCAACGTCATTGACATTTCGTGAGTACCTCAACCCAAGACGTCCTTCTTTTTGCTCACACCCGTGCAGCGACAATGCTCTCACCGCCTTCCCTCCGTCCCTCCTTCTCCTTCCCGAGCTGGAGAGCGTGATTATGACCCACAATGCCATCAAGACTCTCGACCTCACAGAGCCTGTCAAGCCCAGCGACGAGGGACTGGCGTACGGCACGGGATTCCTGATCACAAAGTTTGAGCGTGAAGCAAAGGCGCCCAAGACGGTCCTCCCGGTTCTGCGATCCCTCAACCTGTCGTACAACCAGCTCTCGACCGACGCACTCGCCGGCTTGGCAGGCAAGACCCCGCTGAGGCTTCGCGTCCTCAACGTTGGCAACAACGCCCTTGAAGGCATTCTCGACGCCAGCGCTGCCGGAATCGACCACACCCGCATGCCCGAGCTCGCGTCCTTGGTGCTGGGCGGCAACAAACACCTCAACGGTATCGAGGGTGACGTTGCTGCCGGAGCCGCTATCGACACTGAGGGCTGCGCGTGGGGCAGTACAGGCGGCGCGGCCATGAGCCTCGGCGCGTCACCCCGTAAGCCGCGTGCTTCCAGCCCGGGCAAGCCAGTCGGATACACACCTGCACCTGGTGGACCGACCGACATACCCCTGCCCACTGCCACCATCACCTTTGCGACCCACCCGGCGGCCACCTTTGACTCGCTGCCGCTCGCCGTCGAGATGGACGTGTACCTGCCCAAGGACGCGTCGCCGGCCACTCCGCTCCCCGTCGTTGTGTGGTGGCACGGCGGCGGCCTTTTGCAGGGCAACAAGGAGAACCTTCCTCCTCACTTGCGTCGCTTCCCCAACAAGGGCCTCAACGGCCAAGGTGTCATTGTCGTCTCGCCAAACTACCGCATGGCACCGCAGGCGGCGATCCTGGAGACTCTTGCCGACGCCGACTCTGCCGTCAACTATGTCCGTACCAAGCTCAACGACAAGCTCGCGGCCATTGGCGAATCGGCCCGCGTCGATCCGGACCGCATCGTCGTTTCTGGCGGCAGTGCCGGCGGATACCTCGCGCTCATGGCCGGTGTCCCCACTCCTCAACGCGTCCCCGACGCCGATGTGGGCGGCCACCGCGGTCCCCTCGGCTGGGTGCCCAAGGGTATCGCCGTCTTCTACCCCATCACCGACCTCGCGCACCAGTTCTGGCAGACCAAGACCGACCCCGTCCCGTGGTGGGGCAAGAGCGTCCCGCACGAGGCGGCCCGCCCGCACATCAACCCCCGTGACCCGCCCGTCGCCACTGCGGTGTCTGGCGGTCCCCGCTCCATCCTGTACCCTTACATGCTGCAGGAGGCGCTGTTCCCCAACCTCCTGTTCTACAACCAGCGTTCGGTCGGATCGGGCATGGACTCGTTCCGCCCCGACGCGCACACGCTGAGCGCCACCACGCGCCTGGAGATTGTCGCCAAGCGTGAGGCCGCCATGCCGCCAGTGTTCATGTCCTATGGCTCCATTGACGATAAAATCCAGCCGCTCGAGCCCACTGTCGAGGTGTTGCAGAGCACCAAGGGTGAGACGGAGGTGGAGGTTGTCGAGGGCGGCGACCACGCGTACGACGAGAACCCGGCCGAGCAGTGCGAGGCGTTCTACACTTGGCTCGAGCGCGTGCTTTAAGAAGTAAGGAGATGACAGGTTGGACATAGGACAGTCAGTCTAGTAGGGATCCCGTCAGCGCCCAAGCTGCTGGTTATGCATAATCATAAGCGTTTCTTGTTTGCGAGAATTCGAAGACCCCAAAAGATGCATATAATAAGCAAAGTCCAACAAGCGAGAGATCTAAACACCCCTACATGACAAACAGCTGTCGGTGTCAGTTGTGCATCGGTCCCCCGATATTTCCAACTCACGGCTTTACCCTCCTCCTTCCACTGCTCCAGCACCTCTTCGCCCTTCCCGCGCCAGTCGCCCTCGACGACCTCGGCCATGCGGTTCGTGACCCAGTCAAACTTCATGTTGTCGGGAATGTACGAGTCGATGGGGTGTGTCAAGGCATTGCCGACGGCGTTGTGCAGTCCGACAAGGTCGTCGGCGCGCACCGAGTAGACGTATGGCCTGGAGACAGTGTCAGCTTGGCCATATCGTCAGGATCTGGCAGCTGTGGGGCTTGAGAAAGCGGAGCAGGGCCTCAACCAAGCAGCTATTACGGGCCAAGTGGCTAGCTACATCGTACTCACGGATCAAGGTTGACCATGTGCCATTGCTGGAGCCGCCATGCCTTGCGGTCTGTGGGGTCGTTTTCGTCCCACGAGAGAATCGGGTTGATAAACTGCGCTCGTGTCAGCTGTGTCTGTCTGCCTACACATTCCCATAAACTCACCGGCACGCCCTGGCACAGCGCGTCCCATGGACTCGGGGAGATCCGCGGCTGCCCGACGCCGACGAGCACAAAGCTCTCTGCCAGCTGGGTGTAGAACTGGACCTTGTTCAACGGGCCGTAATTGATAATCCCGGCATCCAGGACCGCCTTGAGCGTCTCCTTTTCGTCATTGACAAACCCGCCCGCAAAGGAAACGTTCAGCTCGGCCTTGATGGAGGTAAACGCGTCAAGGGTCCACGTGAACCGGCCATACTTTTCACTGGCCTGGGGGCCGAGGTAGTGCACCTGCTTGGCGAGGACGTACGCCTGGTCGGGCTTTTTGCGCTCGGCGTGCGTGACGTACGGGAGCCGCTTGCACGAGGGCTCGATGGAGAACGAGAGGAAATGGTTGGCGTTGGTGTTGGCCGGGGAGAGGGTGAAGCCCGGTCCAAGGGGTGTTCCGGGGCTGCAAGGCTGTCAGACAAACACTAAAGGCAGACTCACTCGTCCCAGTACCACCACGCCAGCAGCTTCCACGCCGGGATGCCGTCCAAGTTGTCCTCTGTCTTGAGGCACTTTTGCCCGTCGGCCTGGTCCTTGTCGAAGCACACATCAATCTGCTCCGGATCGGCAAGGACCAGACGGACGTTCTTGTGCCAGCGCTGGTAATACTCTGTTGTGCGCCTCATGTCGTGGTTGAGCCACCCCAAGGACGAGTAGAGCACGGCGTAGCCGTTGGCCTGGAGCGTGCTGATGGTCGACTGGGCATACACCGTCTCGCCCGTGTTGTCTGTTCCGCCCACGGCGTCGGCGAGCCAGTAACTTGCCAAGATGACGACCGTCGTCTCGTTCCATCCACACCCCTCCATGGCCGCCTCGGCCTCTTGGGCCACGCCGCGACGCGGCGCGCTGGGGTCGTGTGTATCCACCAAGAAGCCCAACTCTTCGCATCGCTCCAGGCGCTTGATGACCTCGAGGTTGTGCTGCCAGGTATCGCCCTTTTGGAAATATGGGTTGTCACCAATCTCGCCCAGGTCGTCGTCTGGGTGCGTCGGTTCCGGGTCGGGATCGGCGTCCCCGCTGCTGCCGCCGCCGCCTTGGTCCATGTCGTTGACCACGTCGTGCAAGGCGCTCGACGATCCGCCATAGTGCGTCCATCCCAGCCCGACGAGGGACGCAAACGCGAGCACCAGCCCGACGAGGCCGATAGCTGTCCGCGCGCGCGCAGAGCCGAGACGGAACCCGGCACGTCGTCTGTGATAAGCGTTGTCAGTGGAGTGTTCATGGTGTGTTCACAATGTGGTCCAGGGGAAACAGCGACGTCGCTCTGGAGGCCCCACATCAACGACGCTACCGAGCATGCTGTCACTAGTTGTGCGGAGGGGAACACGGAGTGTTTCCAGGCGTAGGGCTGTCGCGTAGCACACGCAGTCCGACTCACCGTCTATGCTGCGGCTCAAAGTGCGCCGCGTCATTGTCGTCGTCGTCCCTGGTCGAGAGGGGTACGTATTCTGCCTGAGGCATTGTCGCGAGCAATACTGTGGGGGCCAGTGGCCAGTGGCCTTTCCGTGGGGATGATGTTGTTGTGTATGATTGGAGACACTCGATCTCACAGAGTTCGGCGGAATGTGCGGCACCAGGGACTCGCAAAGGGGCAGGGATTCGCGCGGCGACGGAGACGACTCGCTCCCCCAGGTCGGACTGAAAACGTCCGCGATGCTGCACATTGGGTGCCCTCCATCTTGGCAGAGCCCCGCTTGCCGCTGGCCCGCTGTGGGAAAGAGTTCTATGTTAGCGCAAAAAATAGTGCTGCCGCTTGCACGCTAAAGTCATCAGCCGGTCTGCCAAAACGTCCGGAGGTGATAATCGGACGCCATAATCCTCCTGTATCTTGCGATCCTGCACCTGCCACCTCACCTGCCACCTCTCCAGTCACCATGAACCCAGATTACATGCTCCAATGTCCCATACTCTACGACCGTACACTACTGTCAACCCGCACAGCCTGTTGTCTTTTTTATCTATCTAAAAACACTCCCATGTGGCAGCTGCCCAAAACCACACCCTAGTCCTGGATCTGGACCTTGATGGCACCCTGGGTGGGGTCGGCAGCGACCTGGAAGGCCTCGACGGCACGCTCGAGGGGGAAGCGGTGGGTGACGAGGGGCTTGAGGTCGATGAGGCCGCCGGCGACGAGGCGGATGGCCTTGGGGTACTGGTTGGCGTAACGGTACTGGAACTGGAGGTCGATCTCGTTGGCGTTGCAGTAGCCGAAGGGGTAGCTCTGCTCGCTGGGGCCGACACCAATGACAAAGACCTTGCCGCCAAAGATGACCGAGAAGATGGCGGTGCGGATAGACGACTCAAAGCCAGTGCACTCCATGGCGACGCGGATGGGCGCGGCGGCGAGGGCCTTGATCTTCTCGGCAGTCTCCTCCGACTTGTCGTTGCGGCCAATGACCAGGGTCTTGACAGTGGGCACGAGCTTCTTGGCAAACTCGAGACGCGACTCGAACAGGTCGGTGATGACAATGGGGTAGCAGCCGGCAGCGTGGGCGGCGAGGAGGGTGATGAGACCAATGGGGCCGGCACCGCTGTGCAATCGTTAGCATTTGTTCCAAACAAAAGTGTCGTGTATGTGAGTGGCTCACCAGATAGCAATGGGGTCACCGAGGACAATGCCGGCACGCTCAATACCGGCAAGGGCGACAGCGAGGGGCTCGCAGAGGGAGCCCTCCTCGAACGAGACGTTGTCGGGAAGCTTGTGGAGCCACGCCGAGGGGTGGGCGTGGTAGCGGGTGAGGGTGCCGTGGTAAGGCGGGGTGGAGAAGAAGACGACGCGGGGGCAAGCATTGTAGCGACCGAGACGGCAAGGGTCGCAGTCGGGCTGGGAGCAAGGGACACCAGCCTCGATGGCGACGCGGTCGCCGACCTTGACGTCGGTGACGCCCTCGCCGACCTCGATGACCTCGCCGGCCGACTCGTGGCCGGCACCGCACTCGTCGGTGACGATCATGGTGGGGCCAATGTGGCCGTGCTTCCAGAAGTGGACGTCCGAGCTGGAGGGGTGTTAGTTGAGAGCATGCATGCAGGTGGGAGGACACATGGGGAGGGCATGTAGCTCATGCTTGCAGGCGGCTTGCGCTGGCCTGGACGATGCCATCACCGGTGCCACTTGATGCGCCACTTGACAGCTCAAACGGTGATCGGCATCTTCGGCCCGGCATGTGCCGGCGCCGAAACGGACGAACGCGACGACCACACCACATCCCATGACCCGTGCTGCGAGCACCAGCGACCAGAAGCCACCGGGCCACCGTTCGCTTCGCTGCGAGGTACGACGTGTCTCGCTCAGAACACTCTTGTACTCACCCGCAGATACCAGTCGCCTTGACGTGGACAATGGCCTCGCCCTTGCGGGCCGACACCTTGGGCTTGTTGATCATGTGGACCTCGTGGGCCGGGTTGTAGGCGCAGGCAATGTTGGCAGTCTTGTCGGCGAGCTCGGCGTCACCCTCCTTGAGGATCTTGAAGTCGGCCGACTTGAGGACGCGGGCAGGGTCGTAGGCGACCTCGTAGAACGAGGAGCCGGGGGTGGTGGGGGCGGCACCGCACATTGTTTGGATGAGGTGATGGAGGGTGGGGGGACGTGGGGTTAAGACGTCAAAACGTCAGAGAGGGGAGGGATGGGGATGCAATGGATGAGGGGGAAGAGAGACAAGCTACGTGCATGCTGCCTGGGCATTAAGAAGTATTTGCAGACGGCCCAGCTGCAACCCGGCGGCTGTGATGGCGTGGCGGCAGAATGACAGGCAGTCTGGCGGTTGTCGCCCATGGGCCATGTTGTCGGACGGTAATCTCCCGGAAATACACCGCGGTAGTCTGCTCAGGACGTTTACGCGGGGGGTGGGTCTCGCTCGGGGGGCGGACGGTTGCGCTCACACTAGCCAACCACCTTTTCCTGGGCTGCGAGGCCTGGACCCCGGCAGCTGCTCGCTCGCAACCCAGCACCTATGCAGGACACATGCAAACGGCGTGGCCCGTGGGCTGCATGGACGGCAACCAGAAGACGGGGCAGCCACACCCCATATGGCGTCAGATGGGAGTCCGCCAGGCTGACACCAGCGAGCCTTTTTTTTCAAAATAAACGCCGAGTGACGACCCAACCGACTCCACGCAGGTACCGCCGAGGCACAGGCGTGAGTCTCCCGTTGTCGCCACTCGTTCGCCAGAGACACCTGCTCTCGCCATCAACTGTGCAGTGCATACAGATGCTCTCGCTCTCGCAACACAAACTAGATGGCTCCTCGCCCTCAAATCTACAGCGGCCGCAAGGGTTAGTACTCCCCAGAGTACCACACCCTCCCTGGCCGCCCGTTTTCCTTCCATCTCAAATGACATGACTGACCGGCGGGGCGGACAATGGCGTCCTCTTCGGCGCGCGTCTGGGAAATCTAGTACAACTGTGTGGTGTGCCGTAGCTGGGTAGGGGGGAGGGGGTGAGGGGATAGTTTTTCGTTTTTCGTCTCGTTCAGAGCGCTAGGTTCTCATGCGGAGGCACTGAGCTGGGCAGCGGGCTAGGGATGGTCAGTACTGGAAGACCAAACGGATGTGGAGACGGTTGGGCACGAACCGAAGGAGCAGAGGCGGCGGCGGCAGCGGCGAGGCGCTTCTCACGCTTGGACTGGTAGTCCTTGATAGCGGACTTGATGGCGTCCTCGGCAAGGAGGGAGCAGTGGACTGCAGTGGTGTTAGCACAAGGTCCACAAGGTTGAGCCAAAAACGGCGTTGTCGAGTGGCAAACTGGTCGTCACGGCCCCGCAGTACGGACGGCGCGTCCACAACGTTCCACAAGCTGCCGTATGATCCCACTCACGCTTGACAGGAGGAAGACAAAGCTCCTTGGCAATCTCAGTGTTCTTGACCTTGGCAGCGTCGGTGATGCTAAGGCCCTTGACGCGCTCGGTCATGTACGACGACGAGGCAATGGCGGAACCGCAGCCAAAGGTCTTGAACTTGACGTCCTGGATGATGCCGTCCTCGCCGACCTTGATCTGGAGCTTCATCACGCTAAGGTTGTCAATTGATGGACGAGGGATACCGGGGGTGTACGACAGAATGGCCGAGACCCTAGGTAAAGACTTTGAGGTGACTCACTCGCCACAGGCTGTTTTGGAGTCAGCAATCGGGTTCGATACGTAGCGAGATGTGTTGTTGCCATCTCCCCAGATCCCGGGAACGCTGCAAGGGAAAACAGGGGGAGTGTAGCAAAAGGTTACTCACCAGGAGCGCCAACGAGACCGGTACCGACATCGGCGTCATTCTTGTCGAGCTTGCCGACGTTGCGAGGGTTCTCGTAGTGGTCAATGACCTTTGCGTGGTAGCGGGCGACGCTGGCGGGGGCGACACGGAGGGGTGCGGTGACCGCGCGGCGGGAGAGGGCGAGGGTGGAGTTGCGGAAGGCCTGCATGGTGGGACTTGTGGTGGTGGGTGTGATGGACGATGGAGAGAGAGATGGAGATGGATTGTGTTTTGTGCAACCAGTGAGAAGAGGGCCCACTGAAAACGCGCGTACTGAGCGGCACGACCGGCAAGCCCGAAAGGCGACGACGGCGGCACGCTGACCAAACATTTGCTCCCGCTCCGCAACAACGGGGGTGGCGGCGGCGCCCGGCTGGCGGGGCCATATTGGAAAATACAATATAAATTGCCCCCGTTGTTAATGCGGAGAACGAGGATATTTGAAAAATATCAAATGCGTCAAATTGGCCCACCACATCAGGACGGAAGCAAAAACACCACATACGCACTATGTGTATGCAGGTGGGAACCCTACGGCGAGTGTATGCGTTTTCCTGGGCGGCGCGGAAGCAAACTCCACCCCCACAGCCCGTCACCTGATCACCTGATCACCTGCGTCACGTGATCTCCCCCATATCAGATATGCCCCGCCGCATGGAGTGCGACGTGGGTGTGATGATGGAACGGAGGCCGGAGGGTTGGACACGGAGGAATGGCATCGCACTCTGCCAACCGGATTTCCTGGTGCTCGTAGCAGCAGTAGAGCATCCTTCTTGTCAACAGGTCGACAACTGAGGCGGCGGAGGTTCAGGGGGATCCTTAGGACGTGGAGGTCTCAGGACAATGGCATAGCGTGTTGGGAAGCAAGAGGCGGAGACGTGTCTGTTCTGACCCGATCGACCTGACCTAGCAAGCAAGGTCGATCATGGCGTTGTGCAGCCTCACAACGATATCCACAAAGTTGTCAGCCTCTCCTGCACCCACCGACTATCGCTCAGCACATTTCTATGAGTGGTACTCCGCTCAGCCGGTCACGTCCCCATATCATAACAGCGGCCTTGGGAATCCCGTGGGAGAACCACCCACGGTCAACAACGTTCAATGTGTGCGTGGCAGCTGGTACATCCATATGCTTCACGTAAAAATGGGAGTCTGCTTCACACGTTCATTATGGACTTGTTTGATCGCCGGTATGCCTCAACCGCATCCGGCCATTTTGCAGCAACGGGTGCGTTGTCATGACGTTGTTCGAAACATGAGAGCTTGGCAGGGCGGATGAGCAGCAGGGCGGGGCAGCCACTTGCGACACAGGCGGCCGTCTGAAGCCAATTTGACCGGCCGCCTTGTTGCAAGGTGGCTGTTCGCCGTTCGCCTGCTGCTCATCTGCCCTGCCGAACATCCCGGTCACACCTGCACACCTCGGCTGCTGTGCCCAGTTGCGATTAATGGGGTCCTGTCCTGACTGCCGTTGCGCCGTTGCGTCAATATCCAGACCGGAACGTGACGGCTCGAGTGGTCGCTATATAGAGCTCTTGCTCTGGCGCGGCTGACGACATCGTCATCCCACACCCCTCTCCCATTCATCTACTCACCGTCTACCCAAGACAGCCCATCCAGCACCATGCCTTCTGTTGTCGCACACTCGGGAATCAACGCCGGCGATGTCAACGGCAACACCGTCAACTACAGCCTTGACAACCAGAACTCGAGCACTGAAGTGCCCGGCATCTCGGACGCCGACCGCCAGCGTGGCTGGGTCCAGCTCAACTCTGGCAACGACAACGTGCTCGCCTACTACTTGACCGATGAGGACACTGTCATCCTCTTGCGTCGTGCCGACTCGGAGCACTACCTCGAGAGGCTCCCGGATGACCGCGCCCTCGCCGATGTTTCGCTTCCCGGCAGCCACGAGAGCGCATCGCTCTATGGAGGTGGGTGCAGTTGAACATGCTTTTGGGTACAACGCGTGGCTGACTTTATCCATAGGCTTCATCTCCATCTGCCAGACTGTCAACGTCGAGCAGCAGCTCAAGGACGGTATCCGCTTCTTTGACATTCGCCTCAAGTCGCAGGAGGGCGACCTCAAGTGCTACCACGGCATCCAGAATGAAAACTCGACTCTGAAGGAACAGGTTGGCTGGATGAACGACTTCCTTCGCTCGCACCCGCGCGAGACCATCGTCTGCAGCATCAAGCAAGAGGACGACAACGCCGACGATTTCCCCCAGCTCGTCTACGACACGTTCAAGGAGTCGGGTCTGTGGAGGTTTGACGAGACCCTCCCCACCCTTGGCGACGCTCGTGGCCGCGGTGTCCTCTTCACCCGTCACCACAAGAACCGCGACGACCAGTTCCCGGACGGCATGGGCATCCACCCGGACTCTTGGCCCGACAACCGGACCGATGGTTTCGAGTGGAACTGCAACGGCATCCCCTTCCGCATCCACGACTGGTACGGCATCGACGGCCCCAACCAGGTGGGCCCCAAGGCCGATGCCGTGTGCAGCTTCCTCGAGCCCACGCTCAACCCGCGTGGTAACGGCAACGGCAGCGACCACCCGTACACGATGATCTTTACCTCGGCGTCAAAGTTCCCCGCCGCCACGCCGGCGGTCGTGGCCAAGGGCGACTCGGCCGGCGGCGTCGGCAGTGTCCTCAGCCAGGGCGCAGCCTTTTTCACAAACCTCACCAGCGGAGCCGGCATGAGCGCCGCGACGACCGCGGGCGAGGGTGTCAACTCGCGCCTCATTCGCTGGCTCCTCCAGCGCGCAAAGGACGGCAAGCGGCCCCGCGCTACCATCATGGCCGACTTTTACCAGGAAGGTGGGTCCGGCGATGCCGGTGTCTCTGGCCTGCTCATGGCCTTGAACTTTATCAACAACGACTAGAACAACAGGCGGGCGGGCGTGGACGGACTCTGAAGTATCTGTAGTACACGCGCAATGTATCGTGGTGGCCTATATCCTGTTACAACTGCAGACCTTAAACCCCCCTCTACTGGAAGGTGAACACGGGGGAACGCCATGGCCTGGGAGACCCGAGCCGCAGCCCAGTCGCCGTCGCTGCAACGACGTTTGTGGTGGCCTCCATTTCCGCCGAGGCGCGTCCCGAGAGGCGAGCAGCCTCTTCGGCTCGCCACCTGCGGTACACCCACGACTCGTCGGCGTTGGGCGTCGTCGTTGGCAGCAACGTGTCTTCGAGTCGCGAGCTAATCTTGAACTTTTTGCGCCGTGGGGGACCCCCAGGCTCCTCAACGTCCGAGGCGGGCTCTGGTTCAACAACATGGGGCTGCTTCTCGGGTGAACGGCCTGCCGCTGCCTCGTTGTCGGCCTTCTGGACGGCATCCCGTGCGCCCTTTTCGCCTGCAAAGACGGGGGCGTGGAGCTTTTTCGCTTGGCGGATTTCCTTCATCTTGTCACTCAGAACACGCAGGAGTGTGCCGCTGGTGCCCGGCGTCGCCTCGCCCTCTTTGCGCCTCGCGTCAATGTCCTTGCTCGCAGCTTTGAGGCGGTCGCGAACGTCCACAAGGTGCACGTCCAGTTGTGCCAGGCGTTCCTTCAGCTTGGCCTCCAGCTTGGTGCATATGAGATGCTTGAGCGCCGGAACGGCGACAGTGGCGAACAAGAGCCGGAAGAGCCAATCGCGCCTGGTGTTGCGGAAGGTGAATTCCAACTCGTCGACTGACACGTCTACATTGTGGACGACAAGGACGCTGGGGTAGTCCTCGCGCCTGTCAATCTCGACATCCAGGACAATGCTGAGACCATTGCGAGCGAGTGTAATATCCACAAGACCCGTGTCGGCATACCTGATACCCTTCTTCCAGAGCAGCGAGAACGGGACATTCTTGACGTCCGCCTGGACTTGCTGGACGTGGATGCGTAGCTTCCAGTGGTTGGCCGCTGCACATGACGCGTCCATCGAGTCAAACGGTGACCACTTGTACGCGATGTCTTCCTCGACCGTGATGATGGACGGGACGAGGTTGGAAACGGACAGGTACACATTCTCCAGGACAAGCTCCACAGTCGGGTTTGCCAGCTCGAGACGGGGTACGGGGATGTACCCCAGACCACCAAGCGCCGGGCCGATCATACCGCCAATGTCGGACCACAGCTGGCGCTTGAACATGAGATGCCCCCGGCTGTCTTGCATGATCGACTTGACAAGTCGCTGCCAGTCCTTGTCGAGGCGTCGTGTCAAAGGGTCGTCGTAGAAAGGAGTGACCACTTGGGCGCCCCGTGGAGTGTCCATTGTCCATCCTAGCCATCCCAGAACGCCCGACGTAAGCGCACTCCAGTGTGCGCCATACAGCTCGTTTGACAGGAGAGCCTGGGTCCGCGTCCGCAGCTCGATCCCCCTGGCCACACACTCTGCAGTTTGGACGTAGCCCGGCTCGACCAAGACGCGTCGAATGAACGCGTCCACCTCGCGACTCATGCTCCGCAGTTCATGAGAGGACAGAATGTCCGTATAGATGGTGAGGATGGACTGCTGAACTGGTTCGACAGACTTTCCGCGCGCAAAGCGTTCTGCCAACGTGATTAGGTTGGCCAGAATGCGCCGTGTGGCGGGGCCGAGGGCTCCATGCGATATGCCCAGGTCATCGGGGTCCTCCCCACGCTTGATGGCAAGCATCTCGGCCTCGTACACTTCAAAGGTGTCCAGCAGCCAGGTCATTGATTCAACGTAGCCTTCTTGGCCTTGGAGACTTGTGCTGACAGTCAGCTGAGGCTCCTGCCATACGCAACAACTCACACTGCCGAAGACACCAGCTCGTGGAACTTTGCCTGTTGCCTCGTCTCACGCCCCGGATCAGACTGCGCGTCCGCCCAGTCTTCCTCGGTGTCGGACCCCTCTTCGTCCCACGCTGGAAGGAACGAGCCGGGCATGTTGAAGGTTGGATTCTCGTCTATGGGCGTGTCTGGCGGATCCTGCGGAACTGCCGAGGCGGGCTCGCCAGAGTTGACGGGAACCGCCTGGGGAACACCATCCGCGCCGACTTCTAAGACCAGGTCGACCGTGTCTTCATCGGTATCGAGCTCCTCGTCACTGGGCTTGCCCGTCACCATCTCTCTCCCGAGCTTGACCAGATCGCTCATGGCCTGTCGGACTTCCGGGTTGGTGATGAGGATCATGCCGAGCGTTCGGATGTTGCGTGCAGCTTTGGTAAGCTCGCCTTCGCGTTCGCCATAGTCCCTTGCTGCACCGTTGACCAGGGCATCGAGGTCCTTGTCAATGTTGTGTGCTTCAACCGGCCGCTCTTTGGGTGTAGGCGCTCGGCTCGAACGGATGCGATACGACGAGCTGGATTCGACAAACGCCATCCACGTTGTATCCTGGATGAGCTCGTCGGCGTTCTTGACCTTGATGACCATGCGGATCGTCTCGACAAGCCGGCGTGCAGATGAGATTGCGGTCAGGGTGTCGGCAGAGAGCGACATGGACTTTGGTGCGACCAGGTGCTTGGATACAAAGCCGAGCACACTGTCCAGTTGACTGTTGGAGGGGAGACGCCTGAGGTCAGCTGAGTGAACACCATACTGTTTAGCTCACCCATTGCGAAGAGCCTCCTGTGCACTCCAGAGCTTGAGGTTGCGTTCCACGTCCGCCTTGATGGCACCTGCATCGTCCACGCCGACCACATACGACACGGCGCCCGACGACGGCGAGTCGGACACTTCCTTGTGGGTTCGCACTGCCTCGTGAGCAGGGGTGGGGAGGAGGGTCAAAACGTACTGGCTAGGCAGCGGTAGTCCGCAGATGTGTGATATATGTCATGTACTGCGTATGAAGGTAGGTGGGAAGCAATCTGGGAGTGTCTGTTGTGGTCGTCGTCGGCGACATTGTGCCAGGCATTCCCCACGGTGTGGCCGGCAATAACTAGATTAGGCGATGAGGTCACTGGCGGGTGAAGCCGCCCAGCGCCGCCGGGCAGCCCGACCAAGCCAGCTCGGCCAGTCATTTGTATGCATGCGCATCCATCGCTCATACAGACCCCATCCTCCAGGCAGCACATGCATCGACGTACTGAATCCATACTGCCTACGACTGACATTTCGAAATGACCTGGGGGGCGACGGAAGCTACTGATCTGGGCAGGTGAACGACGACAACAAAAAAAGTGGAGGTGCATCCATCACACACCACCTCACCATTCACCATGTCGGCCGTCGACATTCTCAGCCACAGCGGCCACGAGTATGTCGTCGAGTCCATTTTCTCCCACCTGGACTGGCGCAGCATCCTCGCTGCCAGTGCGGTACGTATTACCATTCACTCGCGATCTGATCTGACGGTCCCAGACGTGCACCTTCCTGAACGACCTTGTCGTGTCCAGCTCGGCGCTCCAGCTCCAGCTCCGCACCGCCTACCACGGCATCAACAGAAGGTCGGTAGCGGTCCAGCGCGGGGGCACAGCGTCTCAGCGTCTGGCACGCATGATCGAGTCTGAAAGGAACTGGTCGACTCTCCAGCCGCGGCACATCGATGTCCTCGACTTTCCAGACCTGCAGTGTTGGGCGGTCACGGACGGGCTGCTCCTCGTCACACATATGGTAGCAGCGGAGGACCCAGGAGATAACGACGATGATGACAACGACATGGAGTTTCCAAAACACTTCACTTCATGGACGGTCCACGACATCAACGGACGGAAAGGACAAGGAGCGATTCCAAAGGTCACCTACCAGCTCGACTTTGAAGCGTCCAGCATTGCATCGTCCCGTGCGGACAATGTCGTGGCAGTTGTTGAAGTGTCCACCCGTTTCGACAACGCAAACTACATCGTCACCAGTGTGGTTCATTACTTTTATCTGGAACCGCCGAGTGCTGTTTTCGACGGGTCGACGGTCAAGGCAGTCCCTCTGGCAGACGAAGGGACCGGCAAGCCCAAGACTCTTGAATTCAATACGTATATCGAAACACGACCTTTCCACGAAGACATTGTGATGGTTGCACGGCTCATGGACTGTGAGCTCCAACTATTGCCAGGTGGTGTCCTTGAAACGGCTGTCGGCGGTAACGATATGGAAACGATTGTGTGGGACTGGAGAACAGGGGAACGCACGATGGTGAGCTGAGGAAGAACAGGAGAGGCCCGAGCTGACTGTAGGCGCTGGGTTACACAAACGAAGTACGCGCAACATGGCCGCTCAGTCACTCAGAGACCCTTGTGTTTGGGAACAACGATGGCCGCTTTCCTAATGAGCCCAACTGGACCGACCCCGCCATGCGTGTTGCCATCTACGAACGCACTGGAGACGACGATGACGAGGTTCAACCGTCGTCGACTGCCTTCTCTTTGGTGGAGTACCCGGTCCTCGACGAGAACTTTGAGGCCATCACGGACGTTTTTAACTGCGCCTATGACTGCGATGACCCAGACTCGCGCCTGCTCGTCCTGCGTCCATCGTTTGAGCTTTCCAGCTTTGATCCCGCATTTCCAGGAGAGCAAAGGGTGGCGAGCGTGGCTCATGAACACCACATTATGACATTACGTCTTTCCGATCTCCGCCACCACTTTGCCAGTGAGGAGGCACCTCTCGACCCAGAGTCAAGTGTGGATTGGGCATACTTCACCGACTATGATTGCTGGGGTGAGGCAGCCACCAGCTGCACAACTGTGGGCGAAAAGTCGATCATGGTTGTGAGGCGGGACGACGACCCCGATGGCAACACGAGTCGGTACCACATCCACCTCGCCGATTGGCGTAGCCACGCGGCACGAGGACTTCATCCGTCGCCTCTGGGAAGCCGTGCTCCACCGCCTTCTGTTGAACAACACCAAGGTGTGCCCGTTCAATCGCAACCCCAGGCCGCCCAACTTGCCCAGCGTTCAGTAGGCATGTCCTCTCCGTGGGACTGGAGCCGCACCGGCATACCACGTTGGCCTCCTCTCGCCAGGGATTGTCTCCAACCAGGGGCTCAAGGACAGGCGCTCGAGGAGGTCGGTACACGTCCTGGAGTGGCTGCCGAGCTGGGCGTGGAGGTAGGGGAGGCCGGTGACGGAATTTATGACGCGCTTGCCGACTCGCAAAATCTCTATCTCGCATTTGTGAGTTACTTGGACGCCGTTCCAGCCTCGCTAACCTTACAGGACATGGAACAGGCCGAGGAGATGACCAGGATTATGATCCTTTCATTCTAGAACATCTATGCATGCTGCTCGGGAGATGTTGCCGGGAAGACACATTACAAGGTGGGCAGTGTTCCTGTGGTTGCCAGCAATCAAACATACCCACGACGTCATCTCGGTAAAGTTCGTCAGCCGCGAGATCTGGCCATCACATGATAAGCCAACGCCCATTCCCCATGATATCTTTGACCACCGCAGCAGAAGCAGTGCACTTGCTGCACGGCAACGGTTCGTTCCGATGTTCCCCGTCGCTGTCAAGTATGAAAGACGGCTAGTGGAACCCGTTGAGAATGTCGTTTCGTCCACTTTCCAACCATGACTGTCCCCGACTACGACGTTGCCATTGTCGGCGCGGGTATTGCCGGCAGCACGCTCGCCTCGCTCCTCGCTCCTCATGCCCGTGTCATTCTCATTGACCGCGACGTTCGCGGCCTTCCAGGCTCTACAGGTCACGCGCCCGGCGTTGTTGCGCAGATCAACACACTCCCTGTCCTCACCGAGCTGGCCCGGCGCAGTGTGGCAGCGTACACCGCCATTCCAAACGGGTTCGACAACGTCGGTTGTCTGGAGGTCGTGCGTGGCGCCGATGGCAAGAACTGGATTCAGGATCGCGTGGCTGTCGCTCGCGAGCGCAAGCTCGAGCATTCGGTGCTCACCACGAAGGAGGCGCAGAGCCTCGCACCTGCGTTCGTCCACGACGACGCGACTGGTGCCATCTACTACCCCAACGACGGCACGGCCAATGCCAAGACGGTGACATGGCACGCCCAGGACCTCGCGGCTGCTTCTGGCGCTACACTTGTTGACGGCAATGTAACCAGCATTACCCGTCTTGGTCAGACATACACGATCACGACGTCTGACGACGCGCACACTGCCCGCCGTGTGGTGGTCGCCACTGGCGTCTGGGCCGGCCAACTCTGTCCGTGCCTCGCTTCTCGCGCTGTGGCCTTTGCGCACCCGTACGCGTTTGCCAACCGCCACGCACCTCGCACTCGCATGGCCCCCTTTGCTCGCTTCCCCGACGCTGTCATGTACGTCCGCGACCACGGCGACCGCATCGGTATCGGCAGCTACAACCACGACCCGGTTGTCGTCCGTACCGCTGCCACCAAGGTTCTCCCCACTGCGTACACCCCGTTCCAGCCCCAGTTCACACACACGATGGACGACGCGATCCGACTTCTCCCGCCGTCCACGGCTGCTACGTTTGCCGGCCGTGTGGACGCACAGCCCGCCGAGCTCACCATGCTGGCAGCCGGCAATGTCCCATACGGCTTCACCGGCGTGTTCACAATCACGCCCGACGGACTGCCCCTTGTGGGCCGCATCAATTTGGGCATGTACGCTGCCATTGGGTGCTGGGTCACACACGCTGCCGGCAGTATGCGTGTCCTTGCGGATCTGATCGTTGCCGACATCCGTGGCGAGGACGCGCCCGAGGCGGACGAGTGGCTCCGTGCGGCTCTCGACCCGTGCCGCTTCCACCCTATGGCGGATGTCGAGTGCGAGAGCCACGCTGTGGACAAGTACAAGGACATCTGGAACAAGAAGGACCAGGCCAAGGTGCTTGCTGCCCTGTAAGATGAACGTCGTACATGTACACTTACGCAAAAGGTTGTCAGTTGAAACATGTGTATGGAATGATGAATGCTCAACGGAGAAGTGTTGCCAAAAAGTGGCGTTAACATCATCAAAACTACTGACTACTTCATCATCTTCAACTATAGGGCATCATTGTCCATGGATCGGAGATCCAGAAGTGTCCATACGCTGTCGTCCCTTGGCGAGGGAGAGGAAGCGTGAGAGGGGGGGGAGCGAGGTCGTTTACTCCTCGGACGACGAGTAGCGAACGGCGCGGCGCTTGGGGGTGACGGCGGTCCAGACCTGGTTGTTGTTGCCAGTACCGCACGACCAGATCTGGACGGGGTTGCCGTTGGAGGTCGAGCCGCCAGTGTTGTCGAGGCAGAAGCCCTGGTTGGTGAGGGCGATGCGGTTGTCGCCAGTCCAGTACCACTGCTGAGCAGCGAGGCCGTCGTAGCACTGCCAGATCTTCATCTTGGTGCCGTCGGCGGGGCTGCTGCCGGCGTCGAGGCAGAAGTTGGTGCCGGCGACCTTGACCTGGCCGTTGCCACGGTTGATGACCCACTTCTGGGCACCGGTTCCGTTGCAGTCGTAACTGCGAATCTTGTCAGTAACCGTGCCACACAGCAAACATGGCGAGTCTGGCACTCACACCTGGACGGGGGTACCGTTCGCGAAGACAGCACCCTGGACATCGAGGCACTTGGTGCTGGCAGTGTTGGGGTGGAGGGCGACGCCAGAAGGAGGAGGAGGAGGAGTAGTGCTCGTGGTGGGAGGAGGAGACGTGGTGGTCGGCTCGCAGTCGGCAGCAGCAACGAGGCCGGCAAGGAGGGCGAAGATGGCAAGCTTGGAGAACATGGTGTGGTTGTGGTTGTTGTGTGGGTGGGGTGTCGTCGAGTGTTGCTACTGGTGATCTAGGAGAGAAGGAGAGACTGGAGATGAGGAAGAAGGCTCCACAGACGCTTGCTATTTATGCTGTTTGTCTCAGGCATGGCCGGGTTGCCACACGATCACCGTGAGCAAGGAAGCCAAGAACGTCAGTATCACTTGGTCAGCTTCAGTCATGCGTCTGCTGCTCCCACAGGCCCCATGGGTCCCGAACAGAGATGCGACAATGCTGATCTCCGTGACGAAGGCTACGTCGTCGCGGTGGGCTGCGCATATTCTGGACGCGGAGGACAGTTTGCGGAGATGGAGCCGATGGTCACCCCTGCGCTCCTAGCGACGTCGACGCAATGTGGGCACAAGGATCAACAGCGAGCATGAGGTATTGGCCCAAGGCCAACGTTGTCAGTGTCCCTTACCATGGCGTTGGCCGGCAACACTGCCTCGCGATGAACGGCACTGCCTCTCGGCTTGGACTGGATCCCTTGTTCTGATTATCGCAAGGTTCTTTCGTAATGGCACTGTCGCGGTACGACGCCCACGCCGACGGGCATATGCGCATGGAGCGCCACACCATATGCTTTGATGGACCCTCACCGTCGATTCCTTCCGCTCGATGCCTAAACTGCTTTCTCCTTGGCCGTGTCAAGATGTCGAGCTTCCGCGACAAGGTGTGGGTCGGGTCACACACATGCCCCATACGGTGAAACCTTTACCGGCCAGATTGCCGACCTGGAACCCAGTTGGGACCGCTGCTGCTGCTGCTGCTGCTGCTGCTGTCCAGCCTCCTCAAGGCTATGAATCTGATCCCAGCAAACATCAGGTCCGAGATGCCACCCCGAACTCGCTAGTACAGAAATGTTTACGACACCTACGTCAGTGGGTGAGGTTGTGGGTGAGGTTGTGCGCCAGAGACGCGTTTGCGAGCAACAATGTTGGACAGTCCCCGGCAACGAGGGATATGGCCGACACACCCGGTATACGTGGATCGGATCAGATCTGTGATTTGTGAACCGTATGGAACGCAGCAGAACAGAGGTTCAGCCAGGTCGCGGCTTCTGACTGCTGCGGATTGTAGCGTCGATTCTTTGTCCAGGGGTGTGGCGACAAGCAGGACCTGGCCGTTCCATCCGCGGTGCTTGGCATATGGATCTTGTGTTTGACTGGAAAGTTGAGCGCTCAACCTGCCACCCTCGATATGCTTGTTCGTCACGCGTCAGCTGACCCGATGTGTTCCGCGCCACCACCTCTCGGTCTCTCGGCAGAAGGCCCCCAACCCCCAACCCCAAAGGCTGTGCTGATGTCGGTACCCCGACGCTCCACGCGCGCCCTGCTTCCGCATACTTTGAGCCCACTCACCTTGGAAGCGGAAAGAGAAGGATGCGGCGAGCCTTGTTCCACCGCCTTTGCTATTGCTTGGAAGGTTCGGGTGTTGCTGATGACGCTGGAGACGGGCAAATAGTAGGGTTCGGTAATGTTGGCAGAGAATGTCTTGGCTGGTGCCTCGCACCCAAAGCTCACTGATCCGACGGACAAGGTCCAATATTTCACGGTTTGGGTACCTCATCACCAATTCTGGCGCGTGAACCATGGCACCTCCTGCCGTCAGCTAGGGCAGGTGGACGGTGGTGGACCTGTCCGCGGGCCGTACTCCCCGCCGATGAAGCTCCGCGCTTTGTTTTTTGGATTCGGCGTCCATCACTCTTAGTCCAGTCAACCGCATGGCCGTGAGAAGCAGTGAGGCGGTGACGGGGGAGCACTGTCTAACTAAATGCCTGCGTCGTCCTGCTGTCGGTTCCGGGGTGAATCAGTTCCGTTAATGTGTGGGCCAAGGATAGCAGCGTCATGTAAAGCAACAGCACAGTCATCAGCCATGATGTTAGCAACAAGTGTGGCTTTTTGCTGTTCCCAAACAGGGGCCTAATGCCTCTACATGCTGGTATGTAACGGTCGCATAAAGGAAGCCCAAGTTGCGCCGCTACAGGCAAATCAATTGTCCTTGCAACGCCATGAGCACAGCAAAACTGTTGCCGACGTCGACAAGAGCAACATTTGGACGCGGGACTATTGCCAGCAGATGACTGGCATGATTTGGGGGAATATGACCTGCGTCCCCTGCGGCCCGCGGTTTACTGACGTAGCGACGTAGGGATGCATTGTTAGTGGCCCTTGAACAGGTTCGAGGGTGATCGACATATTGCTAGTCAAGCGCAAACCATGGAGAACAAGAGAAGAACGAAGCAGTACCGACACGAAACAACGGTAAACCCGGCCCTTTGCCGAGCTTGCCGACAGAGAGCGCTACTGATCGTGGCCATGTCCTCGTGTTTGTAGACATTGGAAACGCGACCATACGTCCGCAAAGTATCCTCGCACCGGCGTGCACCACATGCGTCGACCGTGACAATGTACAGCCTTTGATCGACGCCCTGTTTCGCAGCACGCGGGGACTCCCGCGCTCGGACTTGCGGTGACGCAGTCTCGTTCCAATGCGACGACACGACGCAAAAGCCAATGCAGATGATGGACGACGCCGACTTGCTCGGGTTACATCGGGTATGTGTGTGCTGGGGCCTCCACTCTGGAGAGAGGCGGGTCTAGCGTCTGCCCCAACTGAAAAGGTGGGCTTGCTTCTGGTGGCCGCAAAGATGATGTGGCGGAAGGCAGCTCGGGCGGCCATGTCTTGCAGGCAATCTGTGGTACCACCGCCTCCTCTCCTTGATCAACCTTGTACAGCTTTCCGTTTGAAAGCATGTGGGGCAGTCAACAGCGACCACGCGATGTCATGGCCCCCGGTGGCCGAGGACACACCCGGTGCCGAGGGTGTGGCATAGTGTCAGTTGTTGACGTGTTCCAGCGACTATTCCGTTGAGCTGCAGTCATATGTCGTGAGTACTTGCCCTCAGATGTAAGCCCTTGTCACTGGTACACCTGTGCTACAGAGTGACCACCGCATTGCATTGACTCGTCTAAAACACCGGCGCGTCCTTGAGGAACACCTTCCCTTCCTCGGCATTAACCCACTTGGCGACGCGGTTGGCGGTGCTGACGACGGCATTCATGGGGAGGTGTGGCGAGACGGCAATGTACAGCTCAAACGGCTTTGTGAGCCATCCGAGCACAGCCTCGTGCGCGTTGGCCATGTACACCAGCTTGAGCGGGGCTGCCTGGCCTGACCGCGCAAACAATGTGTCTTGTACGCGCTCGTACAACGTAACAAGCCGTTTCCTGTCCGCGCTGTCGGGTCCGTAAGGGTCTTCCCACTCTGGTGCGGTGAGCTGAGTCAGTCCGCGAGACTTGTACACAAAGTGTCGCAGGCCAGGCGAACCGACAGCTGCCACGCTGTATGGGTGCGCCTTGACGCTGGCCTGGATCCGGTCGAGCGCGCCGTCCTTGGTCAACTGCTCGACGACCGACTCGCGCCAACCGCACAGGGGCTCGAATGCGTCCCTGTCTGCGCTGATGAAGACCAAACCAACGTCCTCGCGCACAAACGAAATGTAAGCGTGGACAAAGCCCGCCGGGTTGAACTTTGGTAGGCAGATTGGTAGCCATGTCTCCACGGAGCGCAGGGTTGCCGACGTCGCCAGCGTGTTGAGGAGGAGATGCATGTCGGACGGGTGGACGGCGTGTCGTCGTGGTCGGAGGAGCGTGACAATGTGGCCGCCAGCAATAAGTAGAACGTAAAGTAGGTCCTGTCAGGTCAGCAGTGCAAACGGGGACTGTGATCTCACCTTGAACTTGGCGGGAGGCATCAACGCCGAGGCCGCGGTATCCCTCAAAGCTGGTGCCATACGGAGCGGCTGCAGTGTGGTGGTGAAGAAACTCAGGTCGTGCTGACACTGAGCCACAATCTTGTGTAGGAATGGATCAGAGCCTGATGTCAGCTGAAGGGCTACGAGCATCCAGCTTACCTTCGAGTAGCCTCGACAGGTCAAAGTTGCTGCGTCGTTGGAATGCGCGTGAGATCTGAGTAGCGGTCACAACTGAGAGGATCTGGAGGTAGATGTATTCTAGGTGCATGCGCAGCTGTGAACTGTCAGTTGCTGCTTGTAAGGGAATGGAGAAAGCTACTCACCACATACTCTGGCTCACCCCAGTCGCTGACGGCGAAGAGGTAGAGCTGAGGCTTGAGCACGAATGTGATCTGGGTCTGGCCGCGGAGGACGGAACGTGGTCGGTCATCGTCTTCTGCAAAGATAGATATGAGCGCCTGCGCTACACCCATCATGTTGGTCATGGAGTCATCGTCGGGATGTCCTCTGTATTGGGTGAGCCACAACCTCGAACAATGACCCACATTGCCAGCACTGGCTTGCCAGCGTTCGTCAGCACATAGTATCTCCTTGGCGAGAAGGAGCGGTCCTGGACGCTTGAGAGGGTATGCACGTCTGAGCCGAGTCAGTATGTATGTGCTACACCGCAACTCACCTCTGCTGCTCGCTGCACGCGAATGCCCCCTTGGTCGGGTATCCCTCTGAACGAGCTCTCGCAGTCCTCTGCGCACGTCTCCCGTTGACGGCGCTGACACCTCGCCGCGCGCGTCCGTCTCGTCGACCTCCGTGTCTGGTTCCGGATCTGGGACGGGTACGGATGGGTCTGCACGTTCCTTGCCCTTGCGCGATCCGCCAGACTGAAGCGAGACGCCAGACGCCGAAGCGACTGACGGGGCAGACACGGACAAGGCCGAACCAGGCGACGCGCGACCGCTGTCCGACGCTGCGGGCGATAGTGCCGGTGGTGAGAGGAGACCTGAGACTGTAGATGAGACCGTGGTATCGCGTACTCGGCGTGGGGAGGAGTCGACGCGTGTCGAGACCGGGACGCTCGACGTGGAGACGGTCGCACGACTAGGTGTACCCGGGAATGGGGAGAGTGGTCGGCTGGGTGTGTCGTCACCGCCTGCCTTTGCACCGCGGTCTCGGCCTCGCAAGCTTCGTGATCGCTGAGAGTCGCCTAGATGTTGCCCAAAGGCGTTGGCCTCTGGTGGCGACATCGGAGGCAGGTGGTAGTGGTTGAATGGATGGTTGTTGACAATGACGACGACGGTGATGAAAGTGACGCGACGAGATTTGGGAAACTCCACATTGTCGTTCTTATCCACTCACCCTTTCATCCGATGATACCAAAACATCCTCCTTCTCCTCATCACCACCATCGCTCACGGCAACGTACACGGCACCCATCGGTTCTCAAGATCGCCGTCGGCGGCGCGGCCTTCGTCGTGCTTGTGTTTCTCATCAGCGTCCCCCGCGATCTATGGCCAGGTCTCTTCCCGTCCTCCACCGGCGGCAAGCTGGACGGGGACATAGTCCCCGCCCGTGTCTCGCATGGTCCACTGGAGGACATTCTTCACGACATTCACCGCAACTTTACGCGCGTCTGGAAGGAGCACAGTGACCATGCTGTCCCCCAGCCCGTGTACGCTGGACCCGCACTCACCGCCGCCCAAAAGGCGCGGTATGCGCACCTCCGCCGACCACCTGCAACGCGTCATTCTAAGATTACGGCTGAGGGTAAAAACATTGTGCCCAAATACATGTTTACAACGATCGTGCGCGACATTGGCGCCCAGCTTCCCGACTTGCTCAACGCGCTCGCCGTTGTGACGCTCTTTGTCGGCCCCGAGCACGTCAGCTTTAGCATTGTCGAGGGGCCTAGCGGTGACCCGACACCGCACATTCTGCGCGACCAGCTGCGGCCCATGCTCTTGGCACTTGGCGTCGCGCCGTCTGCCATCAACATTGAAACCGATGCCAAAAAGATCGACTTCAACCGCGTCAACCGCATTGAGGAGCTGGCCAAGCTGCGCAACCGCGCACTCGAGCCGCTGTGGAAGGACGTCGACCAGCAGTATCTGGGCAAGACGCCGCCAGGCCGCCGGCGCACTGTGGGCGCCGACGTGGCCGCTGTCGTGTTTTTCAACGACGTCTTCCTCCATGCCACTGACATTCTCGAGCTCCTCCATCAGCATATCTGGGCCAGTCGCGGCAACGCAGGTACTGGTATCACAGCTGCCTGGGACTGGATGGAGCGCGACCCGGCCTTCTTTTACGACGTCTGGGTGTCGCACACGGTAAGCAGCGGTGTGGTCAACATGTTGGGTGGTTCTGACACGCCTACCAGATTGACACTGGAGACATCTTCTATCCCATCAACCAGGCTTGGTGGAGTGCGAGCGATGACATTCTGTCCACGTCCCCGTCCTCGCGCGCAGCATACGACCAGCTCCGACCCTTCCAGGCATACAGCGCCTGGAACGGCATGGCCGTGCTGTCGCCCACACCCTTCCTCCCACCAACCAACGTCCGCTTCCGCCGCAGCGACCCCAAACGCGACGAGTGTGCGGCCTCAGAGTGCACCCTCATAGCGGCCGACTTCTGGAAGTATGGGTACGGGCGCGTCCAGGTCGTTCCCTCCGTCCAGCTCGCGTACGGCCGCGACGTGGCTCTCAAGACTGCCGTTGAGCTCCGCAAGACGCAGGCCAAGCTGGGGTGGAAGGAGTGGGAGGGTGTGCCGCCTTACAACCTGGACACCACTGTCTCTTGGATCAAGGAGTGAGTTTGAGGTCTGAAGATCTGTGTCTTTTTTGGGGCGAGGTGGGGTTGTCGACTGACTGCGAATCAGACCGCCAGCAAACGTCCGCTGCAACCCTTGGCCCGAGAAGAATGGCCTCGACGCCAACGTATGGGAGAATACCCTTTGGGTGAAGCCATATGTGCTCTAGACAGAGCTAGAGAACGCCCCTCGGATCGGGAGCGGCGATGTAACATGGACAATGGACGGAAGGGATATTTACTTTAGTGTGCGCAGCAGGATAGTGTATGGATGTCAGCTGAGGGACGCCCACCGGAATTATGTGATGTGACCGAACAACGTCTGTTGGTTCACCCGCTCTGCCAAATACATTGTGCCGAAGCTACTCATCACGGATCACGGACATGACGTGAGCAGCTGAAATTACTGGGCCAGGTGGAGCGGCGTTGACACAGCCCGACGCAGGAGAGGAGCTTTGGCACAAGATTACCTGGGGCAGGTGGAGCGAGTTTGACACAGCCCAGGTGACACTGACACGGCCCAGCTACACGGCCCAGACAACACGGCCCAGCCCATGTGTCCCCGTGATCCTTTGATACTTTGATCCGCTTCGGCGCGAGATTACTGTGACGGATGACGTGACATTGAGACCGAGTGGCACTCCTGACACGGCCCAGACGACACGGTCCGGCCCTGGTCAGGCAGTGACGCAGCCCAGCATACGTTACACTGCCCGCAGGAGAACGCGGCCCAAGGAGTTGGTATCGCTGGGAGCGTTATCCAGCTGTCCGCAGTGGCACCCAGATTGAACCCCACAGAATGGCATGATCTCTAACAAACATCCGAGACAAATCTATCGCGCCAACCACGTCCGTCTCCCTCTAGCGTCTGATGGGGATTTTATCCGCGGCCAACAAATGGCATGCCAGAAGCACTGGCGAGTTAGCTGGGCTGACTTGCCTCTCATGGCGCGAGGTTACTCACAGAATCTCCAGGTGGAGGACGTCCGCCTCGGCGGGAAGACCGACGATGAAGACGACCGAGTTGGCGACGTTCTTGACGTCCATGACGGGCTCTGGACGCAGGCTGCCGTCGGCCTGGCGCGATCCCTTGGAGAGGTATCCTGCCATGTCCGTCTGGGCGTTTCCAATGTCGAGCTGGGTACAGGTGATGCCGTATTTGCGGCCGTCGAGCGAGGTGCTACGGGTGAGACCGAGGACGGCGTGCTTGGACACGGTGTACGCTGCGCTGTCTGGGCGAGGCGCGGATGACGAGATGGATCCATTGTTGATGATACGTCCGCCCTTGGGCTCCTGCGACTTCATGACACGAACGGCAGCGGCAGTGCACAGAACAGCAGCCATGACATTGACGTTGAGCACCTGGCGGAACTTGTCCATGTCGGCATCCTCGATGGGGGTGGCCGAGAGGAGGTCGATGCCTGCATTCTGGAAAATGTCAGTGGGGTGGTCGGGCTGTTGCGGTTCGGTTACTCACGTTGAACAGGACATCCACGCGACCATACTTGCTCCTGACGGTCTCAAACATGCGGTCGACGTCCGCCTGGTTGCTCACGTCCCCTGTGACAAGCTCTACTGTCGTGCCTTGCTTGCATGCATCTGCTGTTGCCTGGAGTTCTGCCTCGCGGCGGCCAGAGAGAACAAGCACGAGGTCCTGTCCGTCCTTGGGGTATGCCTGTGACAGAGCGATCGCGCAAGCGCGTCCGATACCACCCGAAGCACCAGTAATGACGACAACCTTGGAGGGCATGATGTGGAGGTTTGGAATAGTGGGACAAGTAGGAGAGAGCGAGGGGAGGGGGAGGTCAAGACCGGTGGGCAGAAGCAGTGTTCGGGCATCAGCAAATGCGTTATAGGTCGGCGAGGTGCCGATCTGTTGTCCGGAACACCGGTCCGACGCACCGGACCGGCTTATCGTCGGGGGCCAGATAAACAATGGCCCGATTGTGCTCCACCGGCAACACGGCTATCGAAGGCAGTCAGCTGACCGTGGGTGCCCGCGGGGAATGTCGGGGGACGGGATCAATTGTAATCAGTCTTATCTATACACACGTCATTTAATATTCCGCGCTCGACCCCGGTAAACCCTTATCCGGGGCCACTGGTGCCCCATCCATCCCCACGAAATCGGCCTAGCGGTCACGTGACTCGGTTTTTGCGGAGCCACTTTGATGGGACTGTCGGGACCGGTCGGGTCCTCTGCCCGCGTTGGTTCTCGCGAGTTGGCCTTGTTGTTGCTCTCCCACTCTCTTCCCCCCCCCGTCGTCGTCTGTCCCGATCTATTTCGTGCCTCTCTTTGCTTTTCAACACCGGTCGCTCCGCCCACTAGCACGCTGCCTCACGCACACCCACACTCGCTCCCTCTCGGGGTGTTGCGGCCAACCGTTGGCATTGCTTTTTTTTCACGTTCCAACCACCACTATCTCCTGGAACATCCGTTGGTTGCTCCACATCCCCGTGACTACCTTCTCCCCCTCCCCCACAACTCGTCCCCCCTCAGCCCCGCAGCCACCCGGTGCTGTTGCGTGAAACAAACCTTGTCATATCTCTCTTCCCAGGTCACGCGTGATCCCGCGTTGCTCCTCGTCGTCACTATCAATTCAAGGCCACACACCTCTAAAAGGACAAGCGTCGTCCGGAGCAGCTTTTCCCCCCCTCCATCGATAATCATCTTTGCTCCGCAACAGCTCACCCCATGCCCAACGTCATGTCACCACCTACACTCTGGCCAGCACATGCACTCGTCTGTTGCGACAGTGACCACGGCAGCACGTCTTCCATGGCCCCACCGCCACCCAGTGTTGCCCTGTCCAACGCCTCCGACGTCTCTCTCCCCTCGGCACTGTCGTCAGTCCCCACCTCAACAGCAGGCTCTGTCACGGCCGCATCAGCATTGGGCTCGGTCCCTCCCTCGTGCGCATCTCCATGCCCATTCGAGGCATATTGCTGCCTCGATGAACACTGTGCGCCGGACGCAGCATGTGGAGGCGACGCGTGCCCCAACGCAAAGGACGGCCCCCAGACCCACGCTGGCTGCACTGGCGGCTCGTGTGGCGACTGCTGTGACGACCCGAAGTGCGCGCCCAGCACGGAATGGTGTCTCCCGGGCTGCACAATAGAGGAATATGTGAGTCATAAAAACGCCTCGTTCGGGAGACGGCGATCCATTGTTTACAAACATACTGACCACATTCCTGTCTCAGTTGGCATGCTGCGCAGACTCATGCGACACAAACAGCCACACGGATCCACTCGGGCTCCTATCACAGCAGCAGCAGCAGCAGCCACTTCCCACCCAGTCATACTTTGACCTCATCTCCGCCGTACTCGCAGGACAGATTGCACCCCCCACTCCCCTCCCGTCGACGTCTGCCCCGGCCCCACCCATGCCCGCTGCCCACAATGTGTGCCACTGGCAGAACTGCCACCGCACCTTTGAGAACATGCCCCAGCTTCTCGCCCACGTCGCCGCAGACCATCTCGGTGCGGCTTCCTTTGGCCCTTCAGACCAAGGTGCCAACCATGCGTTCGTCGAGACCCCCATGTCTGTCGGCCTGCCCACCCCGCAGACCCAGCAGCACACCCCGCTCATGCGCATGTCGTTTGACGGGTCGCTCCCGACGCCGACCCCGACAGCGCCACCGCCACAGCAGCAGCAGCAACAGGTGGCGCCTCCATCCCACCCCACTCCTAGTGGCGAGCACCACGGTGACCTCTTCGCCTGTCTGTGGGATGACTGCTTCCCACTCGAGTCGTTCATGGATGGTACTGCTCCTCAGGCAGCACATGACCACTCGCACGCCGGCCACAACCACGCACATGGTGGCCACAACCACAGCCACACCCACCCGGAGACAGGTGAGGCCTTGAGCCCCCAGACCATGCTCCGCCACTTGCTCGAGGAGCACCTGGGTGTCCCGTCCGTGTTTGAGCAGCCAGCGCCGACCCCGGCCGCCCACGTCCATGCTCATGCGCACGCCCACCCTCACCCTCACCCCCACCCTCATCCTCACCCACACACGCACGCCCACCACCAGCATGGTCAGCCCGGCCGCCCGAAGCCGTACTCTCGTCCCATGTCGAGGTCGCACTCGCATGCGGCCCACCACCACGCCCATGGAAAGGCGCACCACCACCACCAGGACAACAAGGCCAAGTTCCCCCTGTCGCCGTCGCCAACCCCGGCACCGAACGCCCACGTCTGCCTGTGGCCTGGCTGCACCCTCCGCGAGCCAATGGCGTCTGCCGGTGACCTCATGGAACACCTGTCCGAGGTCCACGTCGGTCGTGGTCGCGACAGCTACCGCTGCCTGTGGGATGGCTGTGGTGGCTCTGAGGGCCGCCTTTTTAGCTCTCGCCAAAAGGTTCTTCGCCACCTCCAGAGCCACACTGGCCACCGCCCGTTCGTGTGCCAGGTGTGCGGCCAGAGCTTTTCCGAGGCTGCACCACTCGCCGCCCACATGCGTCGTCACACCGACGACAAGCCCTTCGTGTGCGACTTCCCGGGATGCAACAAGGCGTTTGCCATCTCGAGCTCGCTCACCATCCACAAGCGCACGCATAATGGGGAGAAGCCATTCGTCTGTGCCCACTGCGGTAAAGGTTTCGTCGAGGCGAGCAACCTTACCAAGCACGTGCGCACGCATACCGGCGAGAGGCCGTTTGCGTGCAACCACCCGGGATGCGGACGCGCTTTCAGCCGTCCCGACCAGCTCAAGCGCCACATGCTCGTTCACGAGGCTGGGCACAAGGGCCGCGGTGGCAAAAAGGCAGCCGCCGTTCCAAAGGTGGAACTCCAAGCTCCCAAGATGGCGCTCCAGGCGGCTGTGTAAGATGTTCAGAAGCCACAAACAAGTTGAAAAAGCAGTTTTGTACAGTTAAGCTTTCTTTCGCCATTTGTGTACAGTACACCGAGTGTCGGTCTCCAGGGCTTTTTATTATATATGCAATGTATACTCTGTGACGCCTTACCATTGAGTAGCACCTGGGTGTTCGACCCAATGTCTGGGAATTTTGCTTCCGTCACGCGCCTCCAACGCGACGTGGCTTTGGGAAAGTGACGTTGTTGTTTCAATCTCCATTCTCCATTTCTTGTCCATCGCAACTCCCTCCCTCCCTCCCTCTCGTCTTCCGTCGACCTCCCATCCCCCCGACTCTCATTTTATCTTCGTCGGAGATGCGCCTCGCATCTCTCCTTTCCATTGCGAGCCTCCTCGTGCCGGCTCTCGCCGCAGACGCCGCACACTGGGCTTCCATCGCCGCATCGTCCCCCGACGGCGTCATCCCTCTGACTTCGGCCACCTATGACGAGATTCTCTCTTCGGACCGCGACTATGGCGTGACTATCATCCTCACTGCCCTGCCAGCACAGTACAAGTGCCAGCCATGCCACGACTTTGACCCCGTGTTCCGCGCCGTGACCAAGAGCTGGACTCGTGTCCCCAGGGACGACCGCGACACGCACTTCTTTGCCCAGCTCGATTTCCAGGACGGCCAGGCCATCTACCAGCGTCTCAGTCTCGCCTCGGCTCCTACCATCTACTACCACCCGCCTCTCAGCGGCGAGCGCAAGGCCGAGAATGGCTCGCCCGTCAACTACGACCTCAACCGCGCGTGAGTGGCAGGTTGTGCCAGAGCAGTGCGCGCAGCTCCGCAGTCCAGCACACCCCGCAGCCACTGCGAGCGCGTGCTGGAGCCTGGCCTAGTACCAGCGGGCACATGGCGACGGCCCGGATCCCTTTGCTAACATGCACAGTGGCCTCGGTCTCCCGGCCCTCCACACATGGGTCAAGTCGACCACCCCGGTCGCCTTTGACATCTACAAGCCCATGAACCCTGTTCCCTTCATCGTCGCGCCCATTGTCCTGGCCGGCGTCCTCTATGTCCTCTGGTCGGCCCGTGCCATTGTCGTCCCCATCGTCCAGAGCCGTCTTGTCTGGGGTGTTGCCTCCATCATCATGTGCCTCACCTTCACCTCGGGATTCATGTGGAACAAGATCAAGAACGCGCCTTACGTCCAGGCCGGCCAGGACGGCCGTATCAACTGGATTGCGGGCGGTTACTCGAACCAGCTTGGTCTTGAGAGCCAGGTCGTTGGCGTCCTTTGTGAGTGGTGGCTTTCTTTTTCGTGTTTTGTGTTGGTGGAAAATGTTTGGTGCAAGCGCAGCCATGGCCTACCTGTCTAAGAGGTAGAGTAGTGCCACCTCTCCAGCGCAATGGCTGGACACAGACTGGTTGCCCACGGTAGTGTTGGGCCGTATGTGTCGCCACGAGCACGTCTGTGCTGTGATGGCGTCCGGGAATAGCCTGGTCCTTGGCACAGTTCGCAGGACAGTGGTATCCAGTGTGGCTTTGCCACGCTCCCCATTCGTCCGTCGCTCAGAGGCCTTTCGGCATTCTAGTCGTGGCATACTGCGGACGTCTGGATGCCTTGAAGCCCTCCGTATGGCTCAGCTCAGCTGCGCTCTGGGTTGGGTCGAGTGGGACGTGCCGTCTTCTGGACCGATATCTGCTCCAGCAGCATTCTGCTGCCACTGGACAGATCCAGTGAACGAGCAAAGCAAACTGGGACCCGCCAGCTGCGCCATTGGGGACCCTCTCGCTCGTACGCGCGCTAGATTTCTGCGTGGCGGCATCGGGGCGGCCTACAAACCCACCACGTCCTTGCTGGGCTCTGTCCCTGTCATTCTCTGCTTGGGCTTCGTCGGTACCCCGCAAATTGCCCCTTTCACTCCAACCGTGCGGCTCCACTGGTTTGGAATGACGAGAAGGCACTCGTCGGGGTGATCTTCGGGGGGTCCTCTGATGCCCTCATTGCACCACACTCGCGGACACTTACCGGAATCTCCTTCCCCGGTCTTTCATCCTAAAGCTGTCGTACTCCGTTTCCTCATTTTATCCAGTTCCATCGCAATCCCCACAAAAGACAAATCAAAGAGCCCCGCTGACAATTCCCGCACAGACGGCGTGCTTGCCCTTTGCGTTCTCGTGCTGTCGGTTCTCATCCCATCGCAGGGCTCGCCCATCAAGCAGCGTGTTGGCACCTATCTGTGGCTCGGCATGCTCATTGTCCTCTTCTCGCTCCTGATCCGCATGTTCAGGGTTAAGAACGGCGGATACCCCTTCACTATTCTCTAAGACGCCGACGCCGTTGTGTGCACGCAAGAGGCGCTCAAACCTCTGCCACACGTCCGTGTACGCACCTGCTTCCGTCACGTACACGCTCCAGAGCCAACGCGGAAGATGGACGGTGAGCGGCGAGAGCACTGTGGAGCCTGGGCGTCTGCAAGGAGCAACGAGAAAGAGCATGGAGAGGAGTCGACAACACTTAGAAAGGAAGAAGAGCGGACAAGCCAAAGGGGAAAACAGGCGCCGTGTGGCGGTGCTAGAATGACGTCCCAACGTCCCTTGTTACCCACCCAAAATCTCCCCCCACCCATATCACACAAGCAAAGTAGAAGCACAGTTTATGAAGCGCCGGGCGCGGAGACATGTATACGTGACACAGCAGCCCAGGAAGGGGAGGTAGATCCAAGCGAGGACCTCTGGTAAGCTCTGCGGTTCAACTCGGGACTATGCCTCCGGATCAACTATGAGAAACCCAGAGGCTGCTGAGAGCAATGGGTGTGTGGAGGCGCGGAAGTCGTGCTGTCGCCGGCTGTCGTCGCGCGGGGCGCGCGTTAGCCCCAGGAACAGCGTTGCCAAGCCAAGCAAGACAGAGAGACGCGAAACGCACTCCAACTGAAACTTGTTAACCCCACTCTGGGGTGGTTACTTTGACTGTTTAGAATGCGTCCAGCCCCCTTACATGCCACCGCGTTCCCACGACGGTATCCAAAGTGGGCACGCGAGTGCACCGCCTTTTTGGTGTGATGACAGCGAGAGACAGAGACCGTTCAGCAGGAGAGTTCAGACGCTCCGATACGGGGGTTTCAAGATGGCAACATGCATGCATGGTGCTGGGAGAAAACATAAGGCCAAATAAGCTAGACAGAAAAGACTGCCCCGGGTGTACCGGGGTACCAGTGTGGCGGTTTCACAAAGCCATTTATCAGTGGGCGATGAACAAAACACGCCGACAGTGTGAGCTTGGGACAGACAAGTTGCGAGGGCGAAAAGGAGGATGAAGAGGTTTCCATCTACAGCGTTTGCTACAAAGAGTCTAAATGGTCACAACGAAGGTGGAGGTTGGGATGGAGGACCACTTCTTGAGGGGGCGGGGGGGGGATAAAAAAGTGTATTTACTAAGGATTAAACTTGCGCGCACGGACGAGCGGTCGCACTTGATGTCGAGTGGTCGCTCTTGATGTCTTGGAAGAGGGCCACTTTAGATGGCAAAGACAGCGGCCATGACAGCGGCAGCGACGCCGGCGCCCGAGACGACAACGTTGCGGCCAGCGCCCGAGCCGGCCTTGGCGGACTCGCTGGCGGCAGCAGTTCCCGAGGCGGTGGAAGGCTTGACGGACGAGGCCCCGGCTCCCGAGGCGCCTGGAGTAGAGGCTGCAGTTCCAGCTCCAGAGACAGTGGGAGTGGTGGCCTTGGCGGAGGTGCCGGGGGTAGTAGCGGCGCCAGCGCCAACGGACGAGCTGCCAGCACCGGCGGCACCGGAGGCAGTACCCACAGCACTACCAGCAGCGGTGTCAGCGGCGGCAGAAGCGGCGGCCGTGTCAGCGCCGGCAGAGCCAGCAGCGGTGTCTGCACCAGTACCGGCGGCAGCCGTGTCGGCACCAGCGACAGCAGTGTCGACAGCAGTGCCGGCCGCGTCGGTTCCAGCAGCGTCAGTGCCAGCGGCGGCCTAGAAACACGTCAGTCTTGGAACGGAGCACATTGGGACGGAGAGAGGTGGGAGCAAGTAGGATGGGACACTCACGTCAGTCGGGGTGGCAGCAGCGTCGGTTCCGGCGACAGGGGTCGTAGCCTCCTGAGCGTAGGCGGTGGCGGCGACTGCAAGGTCAGCAATGCTCTGGGCGTTCATGGACAGGTGGGGTGCATGGGGTGGAAGGTGGAACACGTGGTGGCCTGCGCCACACTGAAAACGAAGCTACGACAGTCGGGTGCCACGCTCCAGCAACCAAAGACTACTCACGGGCAGCGGTAAGGGCAAGGGTGGCGAACTTCATGGTGAAAGTGAAAGAATAGAGAGCGAGGTTAGAGAGTGATAGGTGTCTGAGAGATAGTTGGTGATGCTGAAGGATGTGGGCACGTCTGCGCGTCTTCTTATACTGTTTTGTGGGGGGGTCTGCTTCTGTGAGTTCTCTGGGCAACCACACGACAGACACACAGACATATGCACAGAGGACACGCTACGCGCGCGTTCGCGCGCTAAATCCATCTCGCCTCCCCCGCACCTGTGCGCACGCGCAGAGCATAGACAGCCCGTTGTCGCCCCTCACAACCAAACCCGAGGGGGAAAGAGGCCCAAGGACGAGGGGTAAAGCAAACACATTCGCAAAGCTCCGCCGTTGACGACGACGACGCTCGCCGACGCAAGCTCAGCAACGACCCCGGACGACGACAGTCTCTTGCCCCGCTCTGGACGCCTACGGGCTCTCCGTGGCCGACAACGATGATGCGAAACAGAGGGCAGGCACCATCTGCTGCGGACCATCGGTGGGGGGGGACCAAAGGAGACGAGACCCATTCTGGGGTGCCCTCCCACCTGCCACTTTGTGCCGCCGGCATCGCACATTTCCTATCCGCCTCAACACACCTCTCTCTCCTCTCGACGCCCACGGCATGGCGGGACACGACAGTCCACAGCTGGTGTTGTAGAGCCTCGGCCTGGACTCGTCACCGTACCGTGTTTTGCACAGGTTTGCAGGGCCGAGAACGCGCGCGCGCCGTCACCGAAAAGGCACCTTTCCGGGATCCCTCCGGTCCGTCCGCAACTCAATGCACAAATCACAGAAGGAGGTGGTGGGTGGGTCTTCTGGGTGGTGGGTCCTCTGTACGCCCTCTGTGCGTTTGTATCTCGAACACTTCCTTCATCGCATTGATGAGCGCAGGCCCGTGCAATTGGCACGACGAACGGCCTCCTGGCGCGCCTCGTACGCAAAGGGGAACGAACAAACGCCCAGCTGTGTTTCCTTTCCGCCGGCATTGAGGAAGGCTTCGTCCTGTGGCCTGTGGCCTGTGGCAGCATCTCCCCGTGCAGCGGTTGCCGCCCGCACTTCAGGCGAGGAGGAACACACCACATGGCAGACGCGTGGAGTCGGACCGTGTTCTCCGACGTGGGCAACCACGGGGCAACTTTAATCACAGGTGTTGCATCGTGTGGCAGGTGTCGCGTCACGCCGCTTGTCGTTGCTCGTCGCGCGCTGTGAAGTGCGCAGCGTGTGTGGAGGGGCAACCCGAGCGCAGCAGGCAATGCTGTGCTAAAGCACCAACACAGACCACCTCCTGTACGCTCGGAGCGGCTCGGCCCACGCGTGTTCCAGCAGCCACTATTTCCATACCGGCATGATGGTATCCCAAGGGGGCGCCAACGGGCCAACGACGCGACAGACACAACCGTGCGTCCACCGCGGCCCTGTCGCATGCACTATGCATATGCATAGCGATCCTTGCCAGCTTGCTCTCTGGCCTCCTCTGTGCGCAGTCATGCCGAGCTAAAACACGCTCTGCGGTACTGCAGTGCAATCCGCAGCAGCACACATGTACGATGAATGACATTCCCAGCTTCCCATGTGGCTCTGACGACCAAACTACTGCTGCGGATCCTCCCTGTCCTCGTCCAGCTTGACAGAACGTGGGCTGCACTGGTATGCGAGCATCAGAGTGGAGACGAACCCCAGCACAAGAAGCACCACGTTGATGGGAGTATAGTCGCCGTCGAGCTTGCCCTTGACCAGGCGGTCGAGCGGGTTGAGCACGACACCGATGCCGCCCGAAACGGTCATGGCCAGGCCGTACACCGTGCCAAACGTCTCAAAGCCAAACGCCTTGGCCGCATAGTCGCTGTTACGAGCGTTAGCTTCCCCTTTTGGCTGCCACTTTGGCCCCGGTCTGTGCACCATTACTCACCTGATGGCAGTGTAGAACAGCGGCCGGAAGCACACGAGACACGCGATGCCGACGAGCTGGGCAGGTGTGGCAGGAAGAAGTGTGCACACGCCAAACCCGAATCCAAGCACGCACATGGTCAACGCGACGTCTCTCGCTGGGCGGTTGTCCAGTAGCCACCCCACAGCCGGAATCATGGCGATGCCCGCGAGCGGAAGGAGTACGGTGAATGCTGTCACAAGTCAGTTGCTGCTGCGTACGGTGTGGCGTTCCGTGATCGGCGTTGCTCGTCGTCCAGACTCGTCGCGTGTCATGACTGGGGTCTATGTCTCCGGGTTTCTCGCTGCACCGCGTAACACGCACGCCGCTGAGTCGAGTCTGATGTGACCCGACGAAAGCAGCACCGCAGCGCGTCGCGCGTCACGCGTGGCACCCAGCGCCCCGATGGAAGGCACAGCACTGACAGGCTGCGAGAAAACAACAGTGTCTGCAGCTCAAGCCCATCGCCACGGCGGTCAAACACCCGGTATCGATTCAAAGATTGCGCGCACACTCACCATCCGTAAGCTTGTCTGCGAGCTCCTCGTCCTGGGTGTAGAACACGAGCTGTGTGTAAACAGTTGCGAGGTACCAGTTGATGCGGGTCCTGTCGCGTGTAAGCACTCGCGTACACCGACGTTTGTGCCAAGGATTCCGACATTGCCCATGCCGCGGTTCCATCTCACTCTCTCCGACCCCGCAGCATCCGGAGATGGGAACGGTTTCGTGTTTGAGAAAACCCAACCGCTACAGGTCCCGAAAACAACGCGACACTCACATGTGCACGACAAGGCTGAATAGCATTACCCTGCGGAGAAGTTGTCAGTGTTTATTGTTGGCTGTATGCGGTGGACTGCTGCATGGCAGGCATGAGCCAGAAAGACAGTATGGCCTCTTGCCGTCACACCCTCACCACTAGCGCTTACTCACCAGAACCATCTGCTTGTCACCTGCTCTTTGGCCGGGCGGCCGTACATGACACCGACGACGGGATCGCGGACCTTCTTCTCCAACTCGACAGCGAGCGCCTCGTCGCCCTCGTCATCAGCGACATTGTACGCAATGCGGCTGAACGACGAGCTCATGCGGCGCGAGCGGGACGCGTGCGTGCGGTCAAACGCTGACATGCGCGAAAAAGTCGACGAATTGAAGTGGATGTGGCTGTCGCCTTCGTCGTGGTACGAGGGCTGGCGGGAGACTCGGCGGCGCGAGGCCGGCGTAGGGGTGACTTCGTTGTCGTCCTCGCCCACAGATGGCAGCGGGTGGATGACGGTGCGTGGAGAAACGGGCTCGGCAAGGCTGGGAGGCGTGTTGTCTCCTCCATCGAGGCCTTCTGCCACACGCTCATACAGCTCCCTCGGGGCAAACGTGAGCTGCTGGATGATCATGCTGGGGATGTCAGCTGTGGGAGCCAAGGGTGTTTGCAGTTGTCTTGCCCGCCTGGTGCAGTCCACATGGCTCAACTCACAGAATGGGGAAAACAACATAGGCCGTGAAGAATGTGTGGCTTTGTCTTGTCAGCATGAACTTTGCGGCAATAGACTCCAGACTTACATGCTTGGCGTACCAAACTTGAAAAACACTTGCTTGAGGCCTACCAGTGGGAACGAGCTGGCGTCGAACGCACCAGTGATTGAGCCCAGCACCAGACCAGAACGGGAAGGGAAGGTATTGGAGACTTGTCTGTTAATAAGGTGCGCAGTGGGAGGGCTACTCACGATGGAACTGGGCCAGGAAGAGTGCCGGTGCACCAAGAGCCATGAGGAAGTAGCCCCTACGATGAGTCAGCGTGCTGTCGCCTGATGCTAGCGATTGGGTCCCACACCTACAGCATGTACGTGTCCATCCCTGCCGTCAGCATTGTCTCTCTGGTCACTTGCAAACCCACATGTCCCCACATAGCCGACACCAAAAGTCAGTGTGCCCGCAGCAAAGACGGCTGCACCCGTAATGGCCGAGTACTGCGGGCCAATAGTGTCAAGGAACCAGCCGACGGGGAGCGATGCGCACTGGATAGCGTCAGCCGACATGCGGTCACTCATGTATCCCCACGTTGGTAGTGCTGGTCGCAACCACGAATAGCAAGTTTAGTTTCGTGTCTTGCTCGGGACATGTCGAGTCGTCGCCGCACAGGTCAGAGTACACTCCCGAAGCGATGAGCACCGGCTTGAGTGCAGCCTGTAGCGTTAGCCATACCATTACTCCTCGCGCCTTATAGTCTTCCCCTGTCCCTCTTCATCCACTCACAAATCCAAAGACGAGACCCGCGACATGGAAGCTGTGATGCAACAGGTCAGTCACCGATGGCGGCGAGAGGCAAAGGGGGATGTCCCACCTCCACCATGTTGCGTCATATCATACGCACCAGAAGAAGATGCTGGCGGCCACCTGCGCGATGCGGAGGGCGGGGCTAACGTCTGAAGGAAGCATGCTGGTGATGCTCGTCGAGACGTCGGTAGGGGGCACACGCCAGAGCGTGTTGATCCAAGGTTGGAGGAAAGAGAGAGGGAGAGAAAGAGAGAGAGAGATATCGGTATCCGGGCCGAAATGTCAACCTGACGCTGTTCAAGAAGCTGGCAAACAGGTGTAATCTCCCAGCTCCGATGACCCGGTGGATCGGGCCTGCGTTGCAGTGGCTCACCAATCATTCATTCGACACAGTCCGAGCAAGCTATGCATCGTGTTGGACGTCGTCCGTGGTTTGTTGTTGCCTGGCGGCGCTGCTGCTCCGTGTACATAGCGCCGGCAGCCAACATGACGCCATTGCAGTCCATTCGTCCACGGATTGGTCGCGCATTCCCCGGCTATTGTCCGGTAGCGTCGATACGATGATAACAACCTGTCCTTGCCCAAAAGGCTTTCTTGCGCGTCCGATAAAGTACCGCCGGCACCGCTCCGAGCGAGCAGATCTGAATGTCTTGGGATCCCGGGGGGGGGGGGGGGGGGGGGGCTACTGCTAACCATGTGCATGATATGAAGAAAGTGACAAAAGGACCAATACCAACTGCTTCTTCTCCTACAACGAACCTGTTCTTCCTCTTCCTCCTTGTCCACGTCTTGAACTCTAGAACGTCTAGGCCTACTACGGTGTGTATAGACAACAGCACCTTTTTGTTTACCAGAGCTTCTCCATGGCCTTGAGCGAGAGCTCGACACCGACAAAGGTGGCGGCGTTGGCGGGGAAAGCACGGCCCATGGCCGGGCCAAAGCCCTTCCAGAGAGCGCCAACACCGTCCTGGGCAATGAGGCGCTTGGCGCAGTCGAAGAAGCCCTTGTACGTGCCCGAGGGGGCCGACTGGAGACGCGACTTGATGGTCTAAAGCAAGTGTCAGTGTGGTGCAAAAGGGGCCATGGGAGGAGACAAAGGCAACTCACGTCGGGAGGGATGGCAAGCGACCACATGGCAACACCAGCCATACCACCGGCAAACGAGACGGCACCGAGCGAGAGCGCGGGAGGCTTCTCCTCGCCGGTAGCGGGGTCAACGACGACGGGGCCAGAGAGACGGGTCTTCAGGAGCTCGTAGGTGACAAAGTAGCTGAGGCAGCGTTAGCACTGGTACATGTATGGGGCGAGGGACACGGGCAAGAGGACGCATCGGCAACGGACTTGTCCGTCCCAACACCCTGCACCCCTTGCCCCGCCCCCAAACATTTTGTCCTGTTTTTTTTTTCTCTACTCACACAGCCGAACCGGGACCGTCACGGGCAAGAGTGGCGCCAGTGCCGCGGAAAATGGACTTGACACCACCCTCAGCGTAGAGCTTGCGAAGGACGTCGACGGGGCCAGTGTAAGCGGGCTTTCCACCCTGGCCCTGCACCTGGAGGAGAACCTTGACACGCTCGGCAGGAGCAGCGACGAAAGTGGCGGGGATGGCAGAGAAGAAACCGGCAAAGGCAAGCTCGGCGGGAGTGAGCTTGGACGAGGTGCGGCCGGGGGTAGCGGCGAAGACAATCTTCTTGCCCATGTCGTAACCCTACAAGACGCGTTAGTCACCGTCCTCGACACAAAAAAAAACAAGTCCTTAAGAGGCGGCGCCTTTGAACATTGCGAAAACGCCCGACGTGGACACTTGGCGCCAACGCAAGGTATCGCTTTGCTCTCGCGACACAAGTGACACCAAGGATGTCCTCGTCGTCCCGTGGGGACCCTGTGCGGCCCCACAAGCCGTTTGCGTAACTGCCTGCGCGCGCGCGCAACTACTCACCCAGAACGAGATGGCGAAAATGGGCGTCACACCGATGAGAGGCGGGGAAATACCGCGGTACATGCTGCCGAAGGTAAGCCCTTGATCTCAGTGGTGTGGGGTGGGGCCGCGCCGGCGGTCTACCCCGCGTTGTCGCCCCATGTTGGGTGCATTCACAGCAAAACTCACCCACGAACACCGTCACGAGCGAGGGTCTTCTTGACGACGTCGATGGCGCCAGTGTAGGTTCCCGGGGCGGCGGTCTGGAGACGAGTCTTGGTGAGGTCAAAGGGGTGGCCGACGAGGACGGCGCAGGTACCACCAAAGCCGCCCGAGATGAACGACTTGAGGGCACTGCCCTGGGCAGCACCCTCGGTGACGACGGCCTCGATCTCTGCAGCGTCGTCGGACGACATTTTAACGGGAGGTGCGGGGGCCGGGGCGGATATGGTAGGCAACAGGCGTGTAAGGGGGTGTGTGTGTTGAGAACGAGCTCGTGGGAGGAGACGAGGTCAGGCGCTCGGTGAGGAGGGGGGAGAGAGGTGAGGTGAGTAGACTGAGGAGAAAGAAAGAGAGAGATGGGGAGAGAGATGTTTAACGGGCCGGGGGCGGGGCAGGTTGGCGAGTCATCGCCGCGTCCATCCAACGCAACCCACCCGATCGGTCATCGGCGCGCGCGCCCGGCGTCACACCGGCACTGTACCGCACGCCATATGCGTCGCTCTCGCTCTCTCTCTTTGCGTTTTTTGTTTCCCTTTTGTTTAGACCGCGCGGTGTTTAACAGAAAAACCCCCCTCGGTATTACAATCACAATTTTGGTCCCGTCGACTCGCTCTCGTCGACGCTCGGGTATCTTGCGGTAACCGGCTACCGCTCACAGCCGGACGCAGGGCACAGCGGGGACCGAGAAAAGCCGGGTAACAGCTAAACGGGGGTACCAAGTATATATATGCGGCAACACGTGCGCCTCGCGTGAGCGGGTATTTTATGTAATCATTTAGTATTACATAAGCCTCCACCTGGATTTTCCTTATTACGTAACCCAAAAGGCGGGGAGCACTCCGTGATGCGTGATATGAGGAGAGCGAGTCGCACAGGTGGATAACACAGGAGGGAGATACGTACAACAATAGATAGACACCTCACTCACTCGTCTTTTTCACACACACTCTCCCCGCGCCTCATCTTGCATCATGGCTGCTCACGTCACAGTAGCAGTCGCTGCAGCAGACCCGGGCTCCCCTCGCGAACAGCACCTCCAGCTGCACCTCGACCACCACAACCACAACCACCACAACGCGTCGTACGGCGCAACAACATCCCACAGTCAACAACCCACAGTTCACATCCTGGAGCCGCTGCCAGACGGCACCAACGGTTATGACTATGACGAAGAGGACGACTGTGACGATATCCAGGACCCCCTTCTTGAAGGCAAGTGTCCCACAGGTCGCCTCAATGCTTGCCCTTTGTGCTGACCGGCATCCTCAGTGTCATGGGTCTGGCTGTCGCGCCTCTATCTGCTCGTTCCCGTCGTCACCGCCCTGTGCTTTGCATCACTCGTCGCACTTGTGACATATGGATGGTACGTCAACTGTTACCACCCTACCAGAGCCTCCTTATATTGACACATGCTTCCCCAGGCCACCGTCCAAGGACGAACGCAAAGAGGGCCAAAGCTACCCGCACCCATTCTTCTGGCAGGCGTTCCTCGTGGGCCTGTTTGCGTCATTTACCGTCCAGTCGTTCCGCGTGCCCATGTTTGTGGCAACGTCGTGGCTCCACCTCTCAGCCACATGGACCGTGTTCCTGTCGACCGTCTTCCATGCCATCTTGCACGAGGCAGTGCGCCTCGTGTCTGTGCCCCTCGTGAAACCCTCACCCACGTCTGGGTTCCACTCGAGCTTCTGGCTGGGTCTTGGATGGGGTCTGGCAGAGACAGCATGGGGGATTGTGCAGGGATGGGAACAGCTCTCCCTGTACGAAGACGTTCTCAAGGGCCCACAGGAGATTGCCGGTTGGGCCGACATTGAAGGAGACAGTGGGCTCACCACTGTACCCGAGGAGGCGCCGCTCATCGCCGAGGACGACGATGACGACGACCGTGACGACGAAATCGCCGAGCTCGAGCGCCGTGTCGAGGTCCTGGAGCGCTTCCGTGCGCGTCGTGGTATGTATTTATGCGCTATTTGTGTCATCTTTAGCTGACCCCCCGCTAGAACTCGAGGACGTCATGGGCATTCCATTCCCTGTATGTCTCGACCGCTTTTTGCAATGCATACGCGCGGGCTAAACATGACACAGCTCATTCCTTTCCCACTCCACATGCTGTGGCGTATTGACACGCTGCTACTCAACCTGGGTCTCACGCTGATCCTGTCGGCCTTTTGGCTGGACCCCGAGCCGATCTACCACCATGGCGTGGGCCACATTGGCCACCCTCTTCCGTCTCGCGAGTGGCCACCTGCGCGGCCCAACCCCGAGCCCAGCCCATACCTGGGTGTTGCGTGGTGCCTTGTTGCGCTGCTGCATATCATTTCTGCGTTGGTGTGGAAGGTGGTTGGACGTGTTGGTGTTGGCGCGGTCACGTGGGGTGTGAGTACGAGGAGGTTTATGGTTGTTTTAGTGGAGAGTGAGACCGTTTTGCTGACTGTTTGTCTGCAGGGACTGATTGTTGCGCTGGGCACTGTGTTTGCTGGACTTGGCGAGTGGGGTGGGCTTGTGTAAGAGAGTGTAGCAGTGCGGTATACATGCATGCATATATGATATTGTGGATTTGGCCAACTGTCGTGCATGCACCTGGGTGACTGCCTGGCCTCCCAAGTGCCACACGACCCCCGGCACGCGCGGGAAAAAAAGTCCGCACGCGCCCAACCCCGCCAGCCAGCCAGCCAGGCAGCCAGCCAGCGGCCAGCCAGCGGTTCCGTCTCTCCTCTCCCTGGCTGGCAGCGCTGCTCGCACCGATTTCTCGTCTGCGCCGTTTTCCAGCGACTACAAGTAATCGATCCATCTTGTCTTTCTCCATTTCTTCTTCAATGTCCATCCGTTCATTCACCACCCCGCTCGCACGGGCGACCCGCGCGTCCTCGTCCCGCGTCGGGCTCGACTTTGGCATCCCCGCCGTCGCCGGGCCCTCCCGCTTCGTCTCCACCTCTGCGTCGGCGTCGTCGCCGGTCCCCACCGCCCCCGTCAACGCGGTCGGTTCCAAGCGTACCGCCAAGGGCAAGGCGGCCGCTGTTCTTGGACCCCGCTGGCAGCCCCTGGACAGCCTCCAGTATGCTGGCGAGAAGGGCATGGCCCCGACCCACACCCTCACCGTCTTTTCCTCGCGCAACAACACCGTCCTGACGTTTACCGACAAGACTGGTCCCCTCTTCCCCACCATTACTTCCGGTACCGACAAGGTGTTTAAAAAGTCGCAGCGCAACTCGGTCGAGGCCGCACACCAGGCGACGCTGAAGATGTTTGCCCGTATCCAGGCCGTCACGACCGAGTGGAAGACGATGCAGTACCAGCCCAAGATCAACATTGCCTACAAGGGTGTCGGAGGCAAGGGTCGCGAGGCGGTCCACCTGGCCATCCTCAGCAACAACGGCGACGAGATCCGCCCCCTCATCACCCGTGTCGAGGACAGGTCCCCCATCAAGATTGGTGGTACCCGCGCCCGCACTGCCCGTCGTGTCTAGTTGTCTAAATGTAGAAGAAATAGGTAAGTTCCGAGAGAGTGACCTTCTTTTGCCGAAAGCTGACTCTTGTCCCAGTTGTGCATGCAGACAGCATTATTTAGGAAACGGGTTGTATACTAACGTGTGTGGTCTAGTCGACAACTGTGACCTCCCTCCGAGCGGTGTGGCTCTCCCCTTCCTTCCCTCCTCCCCTCCCCACTCGCTTTTCCTTTCCTCTTCCTCTTCCAAGTCCTGACCACGCATTCGCGGCGGGCTGGCACTTTCGAAGCCCCTTTGTCTGTTTCCTCCAGGCTTGGGGGTCAAAAAGTTGCCAATAACGAGCAAACTCGCGATCCCTCGCGCCTACGGGCCGGGGGCCGGGTCCTCATTTATTACTTGGCTGTCTTGTTACACGGCAGTTGAGTTATGCTTTGAGGAGACATTCTCGCTAGCGCTTCTTATCCATTATGAACTGTGTGATTGTTTGCGACTCTGGACCCTTGTGGATGTTGCAACTGGTGTATGTGTGGATGGCGAGGTGCTTGAGGAAGTGTGTTAAGAGTTGGGTTCAGTTGTTTGCCTGTTCTTTATCACAGTCCACTTGTCTACGTGCGCTCGTTTCTATCTTCAACGGAAACTTGAACGCGTTGCTCAGACGGTGGACATCTGGGCTGCCGTGTTCCCGATGCATACGTCGATGCCACAGAACCCGTCCCAGAGCGATTGTAAACCCCTTTGTGTAATACATATTAGAAACTGATTACAATTCCTCGGTGCCACACCTCTTTCTCCGCACAAATCCCCGCTGGGCGATTGGCTGCTGCTGCCCTGCTCACCGTCGCGGACATCGAGCTCATCGTTGACAACAACGCCGACGACGTCGACGACACCTCCCCCCTCGCACACACCATGTTCCTCCGCCCGGTCCTCCGCGCCGCCCCGCTCGCGCGCGTCAACGCCGCCCGCGCCCTCTCCTCGTCGGCCCCCCGCCGCGGTGACCACCACGACAGCCACTCGTCGTCCAGCGAGGCCGACACCACCGAGTGTGCGTAGCTCTGTGTTTGGGCACACATGTCGGCACCGCCGACGCTGGCGATACGGGGAGCGATACGGAGACAGACAAGGCATAGACAGCGGCGGTACGCAACTGCCCAGCCCCCGTGTTCTCGTTGCATGTCCTCCCGTTCGCCCGTCGTCTGCTCGCCTATAGCCTATCGGCCACCTTGCATGTTAACTGACGTCCCACAGCGTTCTTCAGTGCCGGCTGGGTTGCCACCTTCGGCCTCGTTGCCGCCGGCTACGCAGCGTACTTGTACCTCCCTTCCACCCAGGTCGGCTCGGGCTCGTCCGCCCTCAGCAATGACGCTCTCGAGGCCAAGGCCAAGGACGAGTCGGCACCCTGGCTCACCCGTGTCCTGTCCAAGGAGCTTGCTGGCGAGGATGCCGTCTGGACCAAGCGCAACGACAAGCACCTCGAGCTTGCCTGCGAGGCTGCCGACACCAAGCTTATCATCCAGGACGCTGAGCGCCCCAAGGTCCACCGCCTGACGTACCCCTCGTGAGTGGAGAACAGGACGAGGTGTCCATGCGAGCGCAGTGGAGTGTGTGGAGAATGGACATCGGAAGCGACATGTGTTTGCTGGCCCACAAGCTTCCGTCCTGATTGCCTCGTCGTAACCGACGTGTGCACCTGCTTTCGGTGCAGCGGTCCAATACCACTCTACTCCAACCGCAGGAACATTATACCCAGAGTGGCCGAGACTGACAACCCCAGGGCGTTCGAGCAGGCCTCGCCCCACTCGATTGCCGTCGGCTCGCAGTGTGACCTGTCCGACCTCGTGGTCAAGTCGGAGTCCAGCTAGGAATAGACCAGACAATGCAATATTAAAGAGACACCACCAAGAGAGACACACCTTCCGGCTCTGACCTCTCTCTGACTTCTGTTTGATCCTTGCATTCCCAGAAGGCTTGTCTACTACAACTATTACTTGCGACGGTACGTCCAGTTTCCACCGAGCATGGTACCCTCGACGACCATATTCCTGATTCCGTCGGCATCGCACGCGAGCGGGTCCGAGTGGAGGATGACAATGTCTGCGCGCTCGCCTTCGGAGATGTGGCTGCGGCCACTCCACGTACTGGCGTTGAAGGCCGTCGCCACATCAATACACTGCTCGGGGTGGAAGGCCGCGCTCGCCTCGTCTCCGGCGCCGTTGCGGGTCATGGCACACGCAATGGCGTCCCACGGCTGCAACGGTGCGACGGGGCAGTCGGAGCCCAGGCGGAGGGGGATACCAGCGTCGTGGAGCGTGCGGAAGGCGTAGGCGCGGCCTTCGCGTCCGGGCCAGTAGGCGTGGCACAGGTCGCGGTCGTCGACGAGGTGACGCGGCTGGATGGAGGCGACGAGGCCGAGCGACTTGAACAGGGGCACGTCGGCGGCCTTGGCATCGAGCAGCTGGGCGTGCTCAATCGTGCTGTGTGGCAGGGGTGGGCAGCCGTTGCGCGCCGCCGCCTCGAGTGCCGTGAGGGTCGAGTGCAGCGCGTCGTCGCCGATGGCGTGCACGGCCAGACGAAGACCGGCCGCGTGGCCCTTCTCGGCCAGCTCCTGGACGGCCTTGTCGTCGTACACCAGGATACCCCTGTCCGTCGTCCCCGGATACGGGTCGCAGCAGAACGCAGTCTGCGAACCCAGGCTGCCGTCCGTGATCACCTTGAGCGGGCCGGCCGTCACCAAGTCGTGCGTGCCGGGCACGCTGTCGCCCGTCTTGAGCCCAGCCTTGATGGCGTCGTCAATGTGCGCAGGGTAAAAGCCAATGTGGACACGCAGCGTCTTGAACCCGCCTGGACCGCACCGGCGCTCCCACGACGCGAGGTTGTGCGCCATTTCCAAGTCGACCACCTCTGTCACACCAAAACTCGCCGCACGCTCTGCTTCGGCAGCGACCCACCCGTCCGTGATACACACGTCGGCCACGGCCTGGAGCCGCTGTTGGAGCGCAAACGCGTCTGCCTCGAGCAACATGCCGTCATGTCCATCGTGAACCTTGATGTCGTGAAACTCGAGAGCAGGCGAGTTGCACACGCACGAGTGGTAGCCGTTGAAGATGATGACGAGGGGCTTGTCGGAGAGGGCGTCGAGGGCTGTACGGTTCAGGTCGGCCGCGTCGGCCCATCCCGCAGCGCGCAGGTTGACACCGACGAGGCGACCGCCCTCGTCGTGGGTTCCCGCTGCAAGTGCTTCCTTGACCGTGGAAAGCACCTGGGCAGCAGACGTGCACGCACTCAGGTCGAGGCGGCGCGAGGCAATGGCGTTCATCGTAAAGTGTGTGTGCCAGTCGACGAGGGACTGGGGAGGGGAGCATTAGCAAAGAAAAGGGGTGAGGGGGGCGAAAGGCGGGGGCGACCGCCTTGTGTTGCTTGCTGGGGACTCACGGGGCTGAGCCAAAGCTGCTTGCCCTCGAGCTCGAGGTCGACAATCTCCATGTCGTCCTCAATGTCGAGGATGGCACCACGCGACATGGACACGATAACGCCGCCCTGCACGAGCACGCTGTACCGCCCAGCTGGGCGGCCCACGAGCTGCGCATTGAGAAAGAGGGTGCGAGGCGAGTCGAGCGGTTCGGACGCGGAGGCGTCGGCGGCGGTCGTGGTGGGCATCGGTGGTTAGGGCTAGCGGGTTAGTTGGGTGGGATAGAGGCGACGGATGGTGAGACCCCGGGTGCTGGTCTACCTGATTTCGGGTAGGGTTGAGAGAGACCGACAGAGAGAGAGAGAGATGCGTTGATGGGAAAGGATCAGATAGAGAGAGTGGGCAACAAGCTACAAGCGAGAGGTGCGACGGATTGGACAATACACAAACAGCAGTGTGTGCTAATTAACCGTGGATAGCCGATGACGTCGGAACCGCCCGTGCCTCGTCTGGGCCATTGCGGCGAGCGTGGCGATAACAGCCGTGACAGCTCTGTGTGGTGGGCCGCCAATTATGGCTGCTTGACAGCTGGTCAATGGAGTGTGGTGACTGGGAGAGGGATAGAGCTACACCTGCAGATCCCTACCAAACGACCTCGTTCCATCCAGACTGGCAGAGCTGCTTTCACCTGGGGGGCTGGAATGTAAATCCGTCGATGAAGTCTGTCAACGCTGATGGTTCAGCCATAGCGGAGGAGGGTCGGTGGCCAAGGACACGAACAGAGACACCCACAGAAGACCTTTGGATAAGAATGCTTTGGAAAGAAATGCTGTTGCACGGGCCGGTTTGCTGGCTTTTATATCGGTTCCTCTTCGCATCAGAATGGCAGCCGTGGCGTAAAAATATATTCATAACAGCAAGTTGATGGGCATTTACTGAAGTGCACGACTCGATACCTGTAAAAATCCAACCTGCCTTACAGGAAGGGATATCACAGCATTGCCAGTAAAATCCAATGACTCGTGTACTTGCTGAGAACGTTGTTATAATGCATGTATGTCGTTCACCAGCTTGAGCTTAAACGTATCCAAGAAAACTGAAAGGATTGAACGCTGCTGCAAAGGGCTGATCAGTCTCTAGGACCGCGGGAGTTGTATATGTAAAGAGGAGACTGGTAGCACTCTGCAGACGCTGTAAACGGATGCGTAGCAGGTTGGAAAGGTCGATAGAAGATAGAGTAACGACAGCAAGTCTGCATATCAAGCATATGGACAACACTAGTCTAATAGACAAAACGAGGCTATAGAAACGGTCCAATAGTCCTTATTCTAATATCCAACAACTGCGGACGATGAAAGTGCCTTAACGGTTACGAGGTGTAAGACGCAAGTATATGAATTTTCATAAAACTGTATCCCACCCCGGGTATTAGTAGTGAGACCGCCAGGGATTCTGGGGGCAAAAGTTCGATTCTCAGGTGGCGCTGGGAATTCGTAATAAAATGTATATGGGATTCTGGGGGCAAAAGTTAAGAAGTTCGATTTCGATTCTCAGGCGTGTGAAAAATGCTCTGGCATTTTTGTCCAATGTCACAAATGCCACCCACGGCCTTGTGGTCAATGGATCAATGGAGGGACGGTTCTGGCACCGTGCACATGGAAGAAGCTAATAAACCATACATTAAAAAAAGAAGACATCGTGGAGCACCACTCTATGAGGGTGAGGGCAACGCCAGTTTTACAAATACACTACCAGCCGTGCGAGTCGTTGGCCGGATTGTACCGTGGCGGCGCCTGGGCACGCATCTGAGGCTGCATGCCCTGTGGTGGTGCGTGTCCCCAGCCAACACGCGTCGCTTCGTATTGGGCCTGCACCCCATACTGCTGGCCAACAGGGGTCGGCCCAGCGGCACGTGGCGGGTACGAAGGAGCGCCCGTCGCAACTGATGGAGGGTACGACGGCGCACCAGCAGCAGTGGCTTTGGGTGGGTAGCTCAAGCCTGGTGGTGCGGCGTGGTGCAGCAGACTCGTCTTGGAGGCGGTGCCATCTTCGCCGTAGGTTGCCAAGGGATACGAATCACGGTCCTTGTCGGTCCCATAGGCGTCGTAGATGTCCTCTTCGGTGACGGGTGGTGAGTTCATCTTTTGGTGGTGGAAGAACTGGTTGGGCCCAGGAGACCTAGCACGTGGTGGCCCAGGAGCCATGGATCTGGCTCCTGGGGCCGGGGACAGAGCGCGCGAGTGGGGCGAGATGGGTCGCTTGTGATGACCGTAGTCGTCGTCGTCCAAGTCGATCTGCGGGAGCGTCGGCATGAGGTGCGAAGCGTCGACCTCTTCGCCCTTGGCGTTGGTGATGGTGCCTCCGATGGCGAGCTTTTGTTCAATCTCATTGTTGCGCGCAATACGCTGCTTTTGAATGCGACGCATAATGTCTCCAATACGCTTGTCGACCTTGTGGCAGACGTACTCTTTCAGGTTGCCCTGAATATAGCACAGGAGAGGGACGTAGAGGACAGCGGCGATGCACAGCGAGATGAAGCCGATGAGGAAGAGGAGGACGGTCGTGATCATTGCAAACAGCAGCAGGGCTGTCACGGCCGATCCGCCCCAGTATTTCGACAGTGTGCTCCAATCAAAGTTGAAGTCGTACACCTTGGCAATGGTGTACAGGATGATGCCGTTGATACATTGACGTGGTCCGTCTGCGAGCAACGTCCTCTTCCAGTCTGTATCGGGTTAGCCACGTTTATCCTCACATGAGGGAGAGGAATACCCACCCTTGAAAGCGAAGAAGACGAAGAAGGCAACCTTGTCCTTTCCCTTCTTGCCTTGACCAAGGCGACCGAAGAGACAGTACTTATTATAATCCCTCAGGGAGTAGTAGTCGTTGGCCATGATGTTTGTGAACGAGTAGGAAATGTCACGCGAGAGAATAACCTGACGCGCCTTGTAAAACTCGTAGACGTAGAGCAAGATTGAGAAGATGATGCAGCCGACAAACACCCATCGAGCAATGGAAAACTTGACAAAGCTGCAGTCTTGCGACTCGTTGACACACTGGGAGTACACGGCGTTGGTCCACTGGGAAGGGGTGTCAGTCGCAGGCTTTTGAGACATACGCGTCTTTACTTGGCACCCAGCCCCCGCGGCCACTCATGTACAACCTGGGGGAGGGTCCAAGCCTGAAAGTGTGTACTCACGTGGTCGGTCGAGATCATGGTGACGCAGGTGAAGATGTCAAGGCCCAAGATGGCAACGGCCTTGAACACCATGATGTAGACCAGGCAGTACTTGAGCCTACTGACAGCGTCGGTTTTGCGGAAATCACGGACATCGATATAGTCCCACTGAGGCCCGTGTCAGCAGGGCCATGTCACAGAGACTGAGGATGACGAGGGCAGAAGCCGTAGCTTGAAACAGGCCCGCCGCCGGGGGCCGAGAGCGTCGTTGCTTACCTTGTAGTCTTGAACTACTTCGCGCTTCCAGTCGGCCTCGCAACACATGGTGTGGGATTAGATGCGCTAGATGCGGTGTCGATGCGTGTGTGTGGAGAGGGACGGGGGCAGGGAAGGAGGGGCGGGCGATGGGGATGGCAAGTGTCCAGTGCGCGCAGCGGTGGATGTTGAACTAGGAGACGGATCTAGAGGCCTGCAAGGCTGGTGAGAGATGGAGAGTGTCGATAAACGAGTAGTAGTGGTGTTGATTAAACGAGTGTGGGTAGTAGAGTTGTCGAGCTGCGGCGAGTGCGACTGCGACTTAAAGAGAGATCACAGTTCTGGGGTGAGAGGCTGTGTGGACAGGGAGGGAGCAAGAGTGCACGTCCTGCGCGCGAGTGTGTCCAGTTGGGGGGATGGTGTTGATGAGGGCGAGGCAGACCGGCTGCAAATAGAGATGTATGGCGAGGGAGAGAGAGAGAGAGCGTATGGCAGTTAAAGAGCGAAAGGGTTGTTGTTGTAGCGAGACCAGCGCGAGTGTGGGTGTGTGTGTGCACGGATGTCCTCGGCCAGCGAGGCGTGTGTCTGGTGCGGGCAGTGGTGTCGGAGAGCGTTGGTTTGAGGGGGGGATATGTGCCGAGAGAGAGAGATGCTAGAGAGGGGTGTCTGGCAGTATCCACACGATGGCGACGAGAGAGAGAGAGAGAGAGAGAGAGAGGAGGGGAGCGAGAGGGATGGACAAAAGGAGGGTTTGATGAGAACAAGAAGGGCTTCCTGGCCGTGTCACACACCACTGCTGCTGCTGCGACCCACAGCCCCTCGCGTCACACCGTACACCCTCCCGCATGGCGCCGCCGGGTGCGTGCATGTGGGTGGCCAATTCCTCGCACAACCGGCACGGCCTGTTTGCATATGCATATGCACTTGCCATTTTACTGCAGTAGTCTTACATACCCCCCACATGCATCCATGTCTACAAACATCGATGCATGCACAGCACGACCCAGACGCGTCAACAAGAGAGGTGGCAAGGAACGAGTGCGCAGGCTTCAACCCCCCCACCCTCTTTTTGGGCGCGTCCACACCAAAAAACCACATTCCCCGCCAAACGCGTCCACTATGTACACCCACAGCCACAGCCATGTTCCCTCTATGGCCCGTGGGGGGCAGCACCGCTGTGATGATGGCTGGCAGCAACACGGTGGCTATAACGAGCGAGCGCGCGAGCATGCGCGCGCACGTCTGCCAGGATGCAAGGATGCCAGGACATAGGGTACCGGTGGGGTCTGTGCAGATACCAGTGGTTGTGCCATGGGCCCATGAGACGACGACGACGACGACGACGAATGCGTCTGTAGCAGTACACCACCTCCGGCCACTCCTGTTAGAAAAGACGTACAGACCCAAAGGACACAACCTCCATGGATCCATTCATGGCCCCTCTCTCTCTCTCTCTCTCTCTCTCTCTCTCGTATAATTTCCAAGAAGTGTATTTGATTAGAAACTGTGTGCCCCCTCTTTTCTAATCCACACTGTGACCCTGTTTTCTAATGACATGGCCGCGAAACGGTTTTATCTCGGATTCGGTTGGCTCCACGTGAAAGCGAGATTGTGTGTGAGGTCTCGCTCGGGACTTTGGGTCTTTTGCTTCTCCTCCGTCCATCCCCTTTACCCCTCTCTCTCTCCATTCTCACTCCCCCCTCCCCCCTTTATATACCACTCAATCATGGGTCGCGGCGGTGGTACTTCGTCGCGCGGACGCGGGTAAGTGGACCTTGGCCCTTTTCTTCACAGCGGCGCGCTTTAAACGGCAGCCGTGAAGATCGCGCTCGGCATTGAGCATACTTGTCCAAAACTTTGTGTTGCCACCGGGGTGCCGTTTTCTTCTGGCCCCCACATGCTAGCCGCTGCTTCAGCCGCTACCGTGCCCGACACCGACCAAGGAGAAAGCACCATGCTGACCACTCCTTCTTTACAGAAAGTTCAAGGTGACCCGCGGTGGTGGCCGTCATTTCTCGCGCGATCTCGACCCCCGCTATTCCGCCGAGCAGAACAACAACGAGAGCAGCAGCGAGGAGGAGGAGTCGTCTGACGAGGAGGACGAGGAGGACGTCACTGCCAAGCTCGCTCCCGAGATGGCCGCTCTCAACCTCAAGCTCGGCAACACTGTCGCCATCGACGAGGACAATGACGGCGAGATGAGCCGTGCTGAGCGCAAGGCCCTCAAGAAGAAGCAGGGTGAGGAGGCCGCCAAGAAGAAGGCCGCCGCCGCCCCCGTCGAGGAGGAGAGTGAGGACGAGCTCCCGGACCCTTACGCACGCCGTGAGCCTTCGCGCCGTGAGCGGTACGTTGTTGTGGCAAGGCTGTACATGGACAGAGCTGAACAGTCTTTTTTTATAGCGAAGCGGCTGAGAAGAAGGCCGCTGCTGAGCGCTACGCCAAGCTCCAGGCTGCCGGCAAGACCTCCCAGGCCAAGAGCGACCTTGCGCGTCTCCAGGAGATCCGCAAGAAGCGCGAGGCTGCCGCTGCCGCCCGTGTCGCCGAGCAGGAGGGTGAGTATCGCAGCTGCGAAGTCCGGAAAGGTTGGAGCTGTGCTGACACGCATTCACAGAGGCCGCTCGTGAGGCTGCTGCCAAGAAGGACCGCCAGATCAAGCACTAGAGTTCCTTCCCCCCCGTCGGGGCGCAACTCTTTTGTCATCCTAGACATTCATTATGTGTATTCTTCAGCTATCAGCAGCGACTCGCTCGGCTAGCCGCGCATGCTCGCAGCTTGCGCGAGGCCCGGGGCAAGGCAGTAGCCCGGTGTGTGATTTGACCTCGCGTCTCTCCCCGCCCGTCGTGCCACCTTCTCACCCCGCATATTGTATGGGCCCGACAGATGCATAAGTGTATATCTCGTATATCTAGAGTCGACAAACTAGGAACTAGGCCTCCTGGCCAGCAATGAGACGCTCACCCTTGAGCACGGCGCCGGGGAGAGCCTCAAAGCCAGGACCAAACTCGCAGTCCTTGATCTGCGCCTTTTCGCCAATACGCACGTTGCCGCAGAGAATGACGTTTTCGAGACGCGCATTGTCCTCGACAGTGACCCAGTCCCAGAGAACACATCCAGTGAGCTTTGCTCCACGGCCAATGTTGCAGTGCCTGCCGACAATACACTTTTTGATGCTCGCGCGGTCGCCAACGCGCACGCCGTCGCCCACCAGCGAGTCGGGAGAGATCTGCGCCGAGTCGGCAATCTCGTCTGCGGCAGTCGCGGCGGCGGGAGCAGCACCCGTCGCAGCTGACACACCGACGTTGGCCACACCGCCCGGAGCCTGGCCCGCGTTGGCGGCACCAAGGGCACGAACCAGTCGCCTGTTGATCTCCCAGTAGCCAGCCAAGCTGTTTGCGCGGACGAGGTATTCGGGCTCGGGTCCAGGAGACTGCTTGCCCTTGTTACCTCCCTTTGCCGGTGCGGCGGCAGCAGCGGCCACGGGGGCGGGCGTAGGCGGCTTGGAAATGACCACACGGCAGGTCCATGGGACATTGTCGCGCGCAGAGCGCCGGCGCGTCTTGCCCGACTTGGAGACGGCAGCCTTGAAAGCAGCGAGCTCCTCGCCAGTCGAAGTGGCAGGGAGAGGCGCGTTCTCGGACGCGGCAGAGCCCGGGCATGAGCTCTGGTCGAGGAGCGCTGCCTGCTCCCATGGCATGGCGACCGAGCGCGAGAGGGCGAGCGACAGGGGGTCTCTCCTTGGGGGGCAGAGGACTAGAAAGAAGAACGGGTCAGAACAGCAGCACACAGACACAAACGCCTGGCAACTCACTTGGGGTCCACTCGTGGCCAAGACCACTCTGCCAGGCACCCTTGACGAGCCAGGGGACAAACTGCTCGCGGACAGACGACAGGTCCTTGGACCTGCGGGTGGCGAGGAGGTCGAGCACGGTGCGGCGGAAGACGTAAACGTGAGCGTCCAAGAGGCGGGTGGAGAGGGAGAGGGTAGGGTGGCGGGCGATGAGGCTGGTGCGCAGCTCGAGGTCGTCCTCGGCCTCCAGAGTCTCGAGGGGTGTGATCAGGAGCAGCTCATCAGTCTCCTTGTCGGTGGCCACCAGCATCTTCTCCTCGTTCTCCTTGATGGCCTCGGGGGCCTCGTAAAACACCGAAGTCATGACAGCGTCTGGGGTCGCACGGTGCTTGTCGAGAATAGACGCCAAAGTGAGCGTCGAGGGGAAGCTAATGTCGCACGGCAGCAGCACAAAGTCGGTCTTGATCAACGAACGGAAGCGCTTGAGCAGACGAGCAGTGCCCGCGCGCTCTTCCATCTCCATGGGGTCCGCCTCCTCGTCGTCGTCCTCGCCGTCGGCATAGCTCTTGAGGGAGATGCGAGCGCGGGGGTGCGACTCGGTGTTGTACGACTGGTGCAAGTACTCGGACACGGACGCCTCGGAACTGGGCGGCACAATGACGAGGATGTCTGTGGGAGCGAGATCAGTAAAAGGGAAGCGGCGCGAGCTCTCCAAAGCAAAACGCACCAGTGAGACCCGCAGCAAAGACCCAGTCGAGCACGAGGTTAATCGCAGCCACGTTGCCGACGGGCATGAGAGCCTTGGGCAGGACGTTGGTGCCCTGGTTGAACGGGTAGAGGCTGGGTGGAGAGGTCAGTGGTTGGTCGTTTGATTCTTTTGCGCGCGGCCTGGGCTCTCACTTGTCACCAGTGCCGACGAGGATGACTGCGCTAAAGTCGGGCTTCTCGACGGCCTGACGCTCGCGCGCCCGTTGACGCGGGTCGATGATGGCCGACATGGTTGTGAGAGATGGGAAGGGTTGGATAGACGGGGGTGGAAGTGAGAGGGTTGTTGATGATGAAATGTTGGAACGAAATCCCAAAACGCGGCCGCCTGCGCGAAATGACTGTTTGGCCGATCACCTACCAAAAGTGTGTACAACCGGGGGACGGCGACTCGAATTGTCTCATTTCTCGTGTGTGTCACCTCCTCTTCGTCCATTCGTTCCCATGTCCTCGCAACAGCAGCCTACACCAGCAACGGCAACGACGGGGGCCGAGCAGGCAGACTCCCACGTCACCTGGAAGGAATGCTCGTACGTACCGCTGGCGGTCCGTTTTTGTGTCGTCCCAGCTCGCTCACCCTGCACCCATCTCACAGCACCTGCCGCTACACTGGCGCGGCAACGTTCTCAGGCATCGGCGCCTACGCCATCTACACTGCTCACGAGCAAGGCGCCTTTGCTCGCGTACGACCTCCTGGTTCCCCGCTCGTCGCCGGGAAAGTCACCGCTGCGATCGGTGTCGGTACGTGTGCAGATGGATACATGCGACTCGCCTCGCCGCTGACGACACACAGTGTTCCTTGGGCTCGGCATTGGACGTCTCTTCATCAAGTGAACAGGGGAAACCTTTGCCTGGCTGCCATGTAGATAGCATCGATCATCACCTCTCATGTAGCATTTGTCTCTAGTCTCCAACCGCACACCCATTCTCTCGCTGGTGAACCAGCGATGCCACCCCGCAATCGCCCGGTGGCGCGTGCGAGTGTGTGTCCGTCGTATTGACGGGACCATCCTCACAAGTGCGTCTAATAGTACATGCATGTACACAATCTAGTCCAACTGGCTCATGGCCGCCTGCGCAAGAGTCATATCAAGCGCTCCCCTCAACTTGACCAGGTCACGCTGGAACGCAAGTTCGCGCTCTACACGGGTCTGGAGCTTTGCAACCAGCTCATCGACAAGAGGCGAGTGGCCGAGGTTGGCGGCGTACAGGTCGAGCACGACCGAAGCGACGTCGGCTGCCACCTCACCGAATCGAGGGTCAGTCACATGGCGGGCAAGGAAGGAGAGAACGGGCTCGAGGGTGACGTCGTCGCGGCCGCTGAGGGAGACACGGAGGGCGTCGCGCTGCACCAGCTCGTGGATGAGGGCAAACGTCGTGACGGGGCGAACAGTCTTTTTCAACGCAGCGTCGAGGGCGGCGCTGTACTTGAAGGCCTTGAGGTAGCGGTCAAACTCGCGAAGACGCTCACGGCGGCGAGTGGCGACGCGGAACTCGTCGGCGGGTCCCACAACGGGAGGAAGCGCAGAACCCTTGGCCTTGATGTGGCCACGACCAAAGACGGCCTCCATGTCGGCAAAGTACTCGTATGCGCCACCGGCAATGGCGGCCTGCTTGGCCTCGCTGGCAGCGGCCTCGGACGCCTTGGCGTCACGACGACGGACGCTGAGGGTGCCGTCGGTCATACCGGCCGCAATGTGGGTGTCGTCGGGGGAGATGGCCAGCGAGAGAATGGGCGCCGGGTAGCGCATGGTGTGGACGACCTTCCACTCCTCAACATCGTACGCCTTGACCATGCTGTCCAGACCACCCGTGAGGACTCTGCCGCGCGAGCCGTCAAACGCAATGGAGGTGACCGTCTTTTGGTGGTTGGACAGCGCACGCACACACTTGCCCATGGCGAGGTCCCATACGCGCAGGATTGGGCCACCGACACTCATCGCAACGCCACCGTTGGGGAACACGGCAACGTCCTCGACGGGGGCACCGCCGTGACGAAGAGTCATCTGGGCAGACTCGGGAGCACGCACGTCCCACAACCGCACAGTCGAGTCGTAACCCGAGGACAGGATGGTGTGAGGCGAGGCAAAGACGGCGGCACGCACATAGTCGGTGTGTCCTGCCATGGTCGCCACACACTCCTGCGTCGAGAGGTCCCAGACCTTGACGGTCGTGTCATCGGAACCGGAGAGCACCTGGGGAAGGTGTGGAGAAAAGTGGGTAACGTGGACGGGCTGGTTGTGCTCCTTCATCGTACGCAGGACCGCACGCGAGTTGACGTCAAACACCTGCACCAAACCGTCGTCTGAACCGGCGACCATGAGCTTGCCGTCCTTGCGGAACTCGCCGCAACGCGCCGTGTCCTTGAAACGTGTGACAGTCTTGACGACCTTGCCGGTCTTGGGCGCGTACACGAGCACGCGTGTCGAGCTTGTGACCGCATACCTGTGCGGCTTTGTGGGCGAAAAGTGAATGTGGGTGACGGGGGCAGCGTGCTTGATGAAGAGTGGGTGGCGGAACGAGTGGAAATGGCGCGAGTGGGGATTGACAGAGGACGAGGCCCGCGGCGCCGCTGGCAGCGCCTGGAGCGGAAGAAAGTCCATCGTCGTGGGGGTGTGGGTCGAGGGGAGATGTGGATGGAGATGTGGGTTGTAGATTTGTGGTTGTGGATGTCCGTCCAACTTCTGGCGACCAGAACCTCCACACACTCTCTGGAAATCTTGGGAGGGAGGCACGGCGTCGTGACACGTCATTATGGAGGGAATTAGAAAACACCGTTGTAATTGTCATTAGTACCCTTATCAGGTAATTACAACAAAAAGCTTAATTGGCGTGTGCCATACCTGTGCTGGAGAGCTTCACCTCACATGCATGCACTGTTGTTGTCTGGAGTCTCCACTCCATTACCCCGCCGCTGTAACCTCACGTCCGTCTATACGCTCTGTGTGCGTGCATATGTCCGCTCGCCGCAGGACGCGGACCACAGTGCCAGAGATCCAGAGAGCGCGCTTTGGGCCGCGGGATGCCGCCCCCCAGCAGCTTCCGGCCGGCCGGTCCGATGTCCCGGCATGTCCGCCCCCACTTATATATTGCAGCCTAGCGGGCCCGTCTGTTTCTCTTCCCAACCCATTCTCTCACAATGTCCTCCTCCTACCTCGAGCAGCTGTTTAGCCTCAAGGGCAAGACCGCTCTGTGAGTTGCTTCATCCATTGCCATTTGACTGCAGCTGACAGACCCAGTATCACCGGCGCAACCCGCGGCATTGGTGCCGACATGGCCCTCGCCCTCTCCAAGGCCGGTGCCGACCTCATCCTCGTCCAGCGCAACACCACCAACACGGCCACCAAGGACCGCATTGAGAAGGAGGGCGGTGCCGAGGGCAAGGGTGGCAAGGCCGAGATTGTCGTTTGCGACCTCGGCGACGCCGCATCAGTGTCCAAGCTCATCCCCGGTGTCGTCGCCCAGGGCCACGTCCTCGACATTGTGGTCAACTGCGGTGGTATCCAGCGCCGTCACCCTGTCGAGGTCTTCCCCGACGATGACTGGAACGAGGTCCTCCAGGTCAACCTCAACGCCGTCTTCCAGATTACCCGTGACGCCGGCAAGCACATGCTCGAGTCCCGCGGCGGCGTCGCCGGCCAGCCGGGCAAGCCCTACAAGTCGAACGGCAAGATCATCGACATTTCCTCCCTTGTCGCGTTCCAGGGTGGCCTCAACGTTGTTGCGTACGCTGCTGCCAAGCACGGTGTCCAGGGTATCGTGAGTAAAACACTCTTCTTACTCTTGGGGACCTGTCCAACTAACCCTCCCTCAGGTCAAGGCCTTTTCGAACGGCTGGGCTTCCAAGGGTGTCAACGTGAACGCTATCGCTCCCGGATACATTGCTACCGACATGAACGAGGCGCTCATTGCGGACAAGGACCGTTCGCGCCAGATCCTCGAGCGTATCCCCGCCGGCCGCTGGGGTACCCCTCAGGACTTTGAGGGTGCCATCGTCTACCTCGCATCCCAGGCTTCGGACTATGTCTCGGGCGAGTGTCTCGTTGTTGACGGTGGATGGATGGGCCGTTGATTTGTGCGTAAGAAGTATTGTTTGTATACCAGGTAGAGTTTGCATGGAACGTTGTTCACGTACAAATCATATCGTTTACAAGACTCACACTAACAACATGTGCTGACTTGGCGCGACATGCAGCTTGACAAGCACCAACCTACTGTTCGGCTTCCCGTCCTGGACGACCCTTGGCACGCTCGAGCATCATGTCCACCATCTTCTGGCTCTTCTCCGTCCCCTCAGCCTTGAAGCCATCAACAACACCCTGCCAATCGCCATCCGTCTCGTCCTGTCCCATTTTGATCCGTCCTTCAATCTTGGTGATCGAAAGCTCAAGGCCGACGATACCCTTCTTGATCAACTCGATGAAACGCGGAGAGGCGTCCGAGATCTCCCATCCTTTGCCGGGGACGCGGGGTTCCAGCAGATGCGTTAGGTCCTCGACCTGGCGCTGAAGATAGTTGCTAGCGTCCTCGCCCGTGTGGTGGACTCTGAGCCGGCCATACACCTGCACACCGCTGTATTGCCATGTCGGCGCGAGTTTGCCGCTCTCGGCCCTCGCTGCGGTGTACCATCGCGGGGTGATGTACGAGTGGACTTCGGCGGTGAACAGGACGAGAACTGGATCAGCCAGCTCGTTGCTCCCACTGGCTTTCACACTATCCAGGATGGCGCGGGTTTGAGGGTTGTTGCGTCCCATGTGACCACGGAGCACGCCAAGGCTGCCCGGTGGGCGGTGACCCCGATCGTCTACCGCCAGCTCGTCATATGCCGTGTTCTCAGGCGCATCGATTAGGAAAGGGATGTGTGAGGACTGAAGCGTGTCGAATGTTGGGTGCTGGATGGCCGTCGTCACCATACCCAGAGGATTGGCGCGAATGAACTGATGCAAGGTCGGGACGTCAATCTCTGCAAAGTGGGGGCGGATGTGCATGATGGTTCTCAGCCGGGAGTTGAGGTAGCAAACGAAATAGGAGCGGTTGTGGACCGTAGTGTTGTCTCGTGGACACGATCGATGAGAGGAGATGCTGGTGCTGGCGCCGCCTGGTCACTTCTGCGCAGCCGTTTAAAGGTGGACGGACATACGATTGGGGAGGACGGATACAGATCTGGTGAGGGAGAGACGAAAGGATATGGGAGATGCTGACTCGCGGATAGCTAAACGCACAAGATCGCAAGGAACGAGAATAGATGTCGCTGACAATCGTGGAATGGTGGAGTAAATTGGGAATCAAGGCGGTGCTCCTCTACATGTTGTCTCGTGGCTCAGCTCCACCGCGGGAACATGATGTTCTAGACCAATCGGCCCCCACTGCTGGAATCAGGTAGTCCCGGTTCCATCTCACAGAGGCGCTCACACTGAGACCTGCCTGGCAATGGAGCCCTAATGACCTGCGCTTCCGATGTGACCGTCGACCCTGTCAAAATGCATGTGGCTGGATCTGCAATATCTGCGACAGCACTACTACCGTTGGCAGGTCTCTCTCAAGACCAAACGACCATGGCACTGGGTGGTTTCGGCCGAGAGGGTCAACCCTCGCAAGGAGCATATAACATACCCATACACAAAGTGATGCAGCCACCCTGTGCTTTGGGCACCAGACAGGTTCATTTATGGCAAGGACATGCCCTGCCTGCGTAAGTACTTACGTTGCATAACGCGTACTGTAAGTGTTGTACGAGGCACATGTATAAGGGCAGCCTTACAATGGCTTCACGGTACCCATCCATTGTGCAAGTGCCCTCCATTGGCGCAATGGGCATCCCCAACCGACGACTTTGTGCATTCTCCCATGTCGCTTTGCGGACTCCAGCTGCCAACAGTAAGAACTGGTGCACACGCTTCCGCCAGCAATGAATCTCGGAAAGGAGTAACGCGAAATTGTCCATATATTCATTCTATTTGCTTTAATACTCCTGGGCCACACACTTACCGGCGATGCACGCAATGGCACCGTCGCTAAGGGTGGTACAGTCCACACCACCGTCACCAGCACAGCCACCGCAGTGCTCAAGGTCAGACGCTGTGTTGACACACCTGCCGCCACAGGATGAGTAGCCCGAGGGGCAGGCAGTCTGAGCAACACGCTTGCGCACGGTGTTGCGGCGCGTGATCGAACCCGAAGGGATGGGAGCGGGGGTCGGCACTTCGGCACCGGCAACGCACTTGCTGAACGTGTTGAGGGTCCAGTAGACATCTGCAAAGAGTCAGACAGTGAACGCAAGTCAGTCAACGTACCGTCGCGAGTGTCAACATGAACGCTGCCGTCCGCGCGCGTCAGCTTAACACCAATTGCGTAGGTGTTGAGGCCGACAGTGTCGGCGACGAAGGCGCCATAGTACTGATATTGTCAGCGCTTTACCCAACCACGTCTGGCCGTACGTTATAAGTGCCATCCTCACGGCCGCTCCTGTAGCTCATGCGGATGGTGGTGACCTCGCCGGCGTATGTGCGGAGGAGTAGGTCGACCTTGTCCGACGCGTCAAAGGGAGCCAGCACGGCAGCAGTGACATTCAAGCCAGTCCCATTGTCATTTGCAGTTCCCGTGTACACACACGTAAACTTGTTACCGTAGTCCTGTAAGACGTGAGAAGAGATCGTGGTGACTGCTGCCACTCACAAGAATAATAGTGTCGTCCATGGTGATCGACTCCTCGCCCTCTGCGGACGAGTAGACGGTGCCGTCGTTGAGAGTAACAGTGGCGAAAATCGACCCAATACTATAAGTCTGTCAGCCGGTGAACGGAAACTAACCATTGACCACGCTTACCCGGTGCTAGCAGGGATCGTGATGCCCTGTGCCACAAAGTTAGCAGTTGCTGAAGAACGCGTGATGGTTTATCTCACTGTGGTCATTGTCTTGACCTCGACGGTCTTTCCAATGCTGTAAGTGTTCGATGTCTTTGCTGAGACAAGTCCAGCGGTGCCGACCACACCGCTGCGCTCGGTATAGCCAATAGTGAACGACGACCACTGACCGACCATGTCGTAGAGACGGAACGAACCGATGGAGACAGTGTAGACTTCGTTTCTCAGCGCCATCCTGAGGGTTCCGGAAACGGGGAACGGAACAATGGGGCCCTTGAGGGAAACAGACGATGGGACAGCGCTGTTGAAGAGTTTGCTCAAGGCGGTGTTGCACTGGTTGTTGAAGGCATCGTTCGAAGCGGCCATGGAGCTGATGGTGGCGTTGCCGTCGATAGCGAACACACGGGCGTCACTGCTAGTTCCAGGGTTAGACGGGTCGTACGGCTGGGCCATGGGGTTGATGCGGGTATCGTTCATGTACCCCACAGCGACATTGTTGTCAAAGTTGGCAATCGTCTCATCAAACGGCGCGTTGGCGGTGGTGGTGAGTTCGGGGTGGTTGGCAGCCTTGACTCCGCCAATAGTGTGCCCACATGCGACGAGCTGAATCATTTCAGTCTCGCTAAAGCCCATTCGAGCAAAGGTCTCCTTGTGAGTGGCAGCCGAGTCGGCGGGGTCTGGGGTGTAGCCCTTGGGGTGAGCCGCACTGGCGTCCGTACGGCCGTAGTAGAAGGGAACCATGGGACCACCACACGACTGCAATGTTAGCTAAGAGCGGGTGTTCTCGAGAGCAAGGGACCTACGCCAACGGCCACGATAGCGCCAAGAGCGATAATGTCCGCCATGCTGACGGCTTGCTGGCGGTAGAACTTGTACTGGGTCATGACCGAGGAGAAGCCAACACCGCTGTTCTCCGAGTACTCAGTCTCATATTGAATGGAACTGTCAATGCCACCGGTTCCCGCCGCTGCGTCGTGGTCGGCACCATCGTGAAACCCAGTACGGAGCCACTCTGCAGCGTTTTGACGGTTGATACCGCCGCCCTTGCAAGGACTGGAGTGAGCTGCATTCAGCGTGGTTCATACGCACGAGATGATGGAAATAAAGCGATGGTCGACCATGAGGCGACGCAGCATGGTCTCGTCAGACGCGTTGGTCTGCACGAGGCCAGCCAAGGCCAAGGCGAGGAGGCTCCAGGTCCGCATAGCGAGTGTAATGTAGAAGGAAGACGACGGTCACTGCTGTACCTTGCACCCCCGCCATGCTTTTTAACCAGACGCGTGGGGCTGGCAAAGGAAAATGAAAAATATAAAGCACAGACCACGCCAATTCTTGGCACTGGCGACGAAAACAACGTTGGACCTATGATACCCCGCTTTTAACTAGACGGCCGAAATGTTGTTCGGACGAGCATGCATATGTACAGGGCTTGAACGCGGCAGCCCGCGGGAACGTAGGCCTCTCACTCCTGTTGCCCTCTCCCCTCCAGCGATCCAGCGATCTGCCGCGCGTTGTGCCCAGGGCGGGCGTTCCGACGTTCCAGGCGACTGGTCGTGGGGCATAGATCATTCGATAGGCACAATAGTTATCAGATATGCGAAGGCATGGTCGCGCGTGGGCAAAACAGGGTCCAGCTCGCCACCTTCATTTTTTTTTTGGGTTTCACTGGAATGGTCACAGTGCTGAGAAAACAAGTCAAATCTGCGCGACGCGAGAACATTGAATGAGTCCCTCCTCCTTTTATGTCTGCGTGACATGCATGCATGCATTTTCACACAAAGCACGCATCAATGAGCACAAGAGTGAGGATGGGCATGGCCGGGCCCACCCGCCGCTGCCGACGGCGCAGGGTTGTTCCGGCGGCCGCAGGGTCAGAGCTCCCTCTCTTGGCTACCCAATTCCATGCACCAGCTCGTCCTTGGCACTCAGGTGATCAGGTGCACAGACAACGGCAGACGTTGCCGGGCTGGACAGGCGCGGCAGGCGTCGGCCCGATGGCAGGGTAACTTGTTGAGGACAGATGCATGAGGAGTCTTCTATACGGTATGTTCGGCGGACAACTAGCCTGTTTTGGCCTTGAGATTATGCCACAGAGTCATGAACAGGACAGTGCCAACAGCCACATATCCAAGTTGCAACCCAACGTAGCCGAGCATCCCCACTTTCACGCCAGCACCGCCCCACACAGCCCCGGTGACGCGTCCGGTGTAGTTGCTGCACTGGATGAGGAGACTGATGCGTCCATTCCACTCTCCGGGGAGTTGCTTGGACAAGAGAGCGAGAGTCACGGTTGAAGCAACATTGAAGCCGAGGGCCACGAGGAACCAAGCGACAAAGAACGAGCCATAGTTGACTTTTTCCGATGCAAGAATGCTGATAGCGACCAACAGTCCGACCGCTCCAACGGAAGTGCCGAGCGCGAGGGTGTTTCGATCTTGCATACGCCGGGCAAAATGGAGGTTGATGAGGAGGAATGGGATGGTACACGCGCCGCCGAGTGCAATCATGTTGCCCGAGGCAAACGGCGAAAAGTGGAACGGGTTCGCGGGGGCATCCGACGCTGTGAAGACTGGGATATTTGACTCCCAGGCGCCGAGAATGAAAAAGCAGGTCATAGCAAACCAGCACATGGTTGCCGCAACGCCCCACTGTCCTGGAGTCATGTTGTGCTTTGGCGATACCAGTGGCACTGTCGAAGTGGCGATAGATGGCTCCGAGGCAGCAGGGGTGGGTGGTACCTGTGCGTCCTCGGCATCTGTGGATGACCGGGCCGACGCCTCCTCGACGGGTTGCAGAGGGATGGCGGGAGTCTGCGCCGGAGGAACCTCCACAAAGTAGATGCGCACGACCACCCAAAACGCTGCCCACGCCGCGGCCATCAGCCAACCGGGGCTCGTAAAGCCGTTAAAGACTGCGTTGTCGTACCCAATCTTCGACCTGCGGCTGTTAGCTCCATTCCCAGACACAGGGGCTGCCGGCAGGGTGCCCGAGCGTCGGTGTACCGCTGTGTGTAACGCCACCACTTGCTTTCCCAAAAGGGCCACACTTACAGTAGACCACCAGCAAACGGACCAAAGCTAAAACCGATGCCTTGCCCGAGCACTTGCCAACCCGCAAGCGTTGTTCGACGTCGAATGCCCACAATGCGTGGATCAGAGCAATAGCGCTTGGCGTACATCCAGAATGTGAAGCCTGGGACTTGTCAGCAACCGACAAGGAAAGGCAAGGCGTTGAGCAAACTCGGCAACAAGTCGGCGTAAGGAACCACCGAATCGCTCAACATGGCTCGGACCACACTCACCCCCTCCACAGATCATCCTCCCCAGAAGGATAAGGTAGAGAAAGTTGGCGCGATACGCCAGGGCATAGAGAATGTTGCCCAAAACCAAGCAACCGCATGCAAAGTTGAGTGGAATGGCGTAGCCACCTAGGCGTTAGTCCAATTTCTCCTAGCATCGAGATCGTACCTCGGTCGACCAGCATGAGAGGTACAAGTGTCAAGGCGGACACTGCAGTGGGGATTCCAATGACAAGACCGGAGAATGTGGAGCTACCGCCCAGATACTGGGCGTACTCGTTAGAGCTTGACACGATGATGAAGAATGTCCACTGTAAACTGTCAGCATGATCCTCTTGCGCAGAGGGGGTGACAGCAGCCCCAGTGTTCAAGGGTCTTCCGGCAGCGGCCTGGTACTGTTCAATCTGTTGGACTCACCTGCATGAGCACGTTTGCAAAGAGGACGATGATTAACGATGCCCGGTCCGGAAGCTTGAGCTCGTCATCGATGGTGACACTCTCGACAACGACTGTCGTTTCCTCAGCCTCAAAAGTAGTTGGCTGGCGACTGTCATCGTCCTTGCGGCGTGTAAGGCTGCGCAAAGGCGCGACCCACGATCTCTTCATGGTGTGGAATGTATGATGAATAGAGAGAACGAGCGAGCAAGCGACGTAGATGTTGACACGGGCAGACAAAAGTAAGTCGACTCGGCGCGGAGCTCGGCTAATTGGCGGGACCAAAATGAGATAAGCCCGGAGTCACCGCATGTGCCATTGTACGCAGGGGCCCAAAATACGCTATACCATGCGTGCGTATGTCGCGCGTGGTGTTGACCTGAGCACTGAGCAAGCAGCCCACAGTTACATAGCTGTCAGGACGCAGGAGGTCTCGCAGGTGACAGACACATGCATACACACATGTGGGCAGACCACAACACCGTGGCAACGGAACGCATTCCAGGAGTGGTGGAAGCAACCCGTTCATCAACTACCGCATGGACTATCTTTTCAGAATTCCCTAAACGGCGTAAACAAACCCCCTGGCACGCCCCCTGGGCACAGTCTCCGTGTGTGATAACAGTTTGTGTGTCGGAAGGAATCTTCGTGTACGGCGGCTAGACGTTGACGCGTTTACTTGTGCTCAGTGGCCGTCCATCGCTGGTTTGTATTGCCATGGAAGCACTGCCACGTCTGAATGCGCGCTCCGTTTTCCTTTTTGCCATCAGGAAGGTCGACACAGGTCGGAGGAGGATGGCAGTTCACAGGGTCCTCCCCAGGGCAAGCTGTATCGGCGCTCCACCACAGGACGATGCGGTTGGGATCGACCCCCGGGCTAGAGTATGGATTGTCGACGCCCTCTACATACTCCTCTCTGGGGTTTTCAAACATGTCAAGATTTGTCGGAAACCTGGGCCCTTCGTTGCATGGCCGAATCACGAAGCGTGATGGCTGGTTCCAGTTCTCGCGGTTAAGGCAATAGTCTTTCTCCTCGCCGACTTGGATTTTCGTTACTCCCTTGTGGTTTTGGAACGTGAATTTCTGAGCTGGGGTCTTGTTGCAGCGATAGCTGGAACAAGTGAGCGCGTGCAAGTCATTCGGACTGACAGTTGAACAGGCGTGTTGTTGGCAAACACGGCACCCTGGACATCGAGGCACCACTTGTTGTCTCCATTGGGATGTAGATCATGAGACTTATGGTGCCCCAACACTAGAGCAAACAGACCGACCAGGATAAGCGTCGTGAGCATAGATGAGGGATAAGAAGACTTTGTCGACAGCGATGCGAGAGCGTACTCGGTACTACTAATGGTGATGTGAACAAACCATCCAGCATTGGGAAGAACCGCCCAATAATATCTGGGTGGGTAGACGTCAGGCTTGGCTTCGGGTATTTATGTACGTCATGGGATATCGGCATATGACTCGGCTGCAGGACAGCAGCAAGAGGGACGAGTTGACACATATGCAAAGTGTTCGCCGCGCATCCCGTGACACTCTTCGCCAAGTACGGAACGGCGTGGAGCTTGCTTGGCGACCAAGAGATTCCGAAGCAAGACTGCATAACTGGAGGTCAGAATGCGAGGTGGGAGTTTTCCGCAAAAGACACGGGTGCGATGAGCATGACAACAGGTATTGTTGCGGCCGGTGGTGATTGGTTGGCTGGTATAAATGGTATACAGTTCTGGCCGGACGATTCCAGTGATGTCAAGGCCGGGCGGGGAAGTTGTTGGTCATCACCATCCTCGGCGTACAAATGCTAGTATTGTGCTGATCTAGCGTGGTATCACACAGTTGGACTTGGCGCGGCAGTGTCGATCTGAACGGGCGGCTTTCACTTTGCACTTTCCTGGCCTGACGCGAAGCTAGTTGCATCTTCCTTCACGTCGCTATGTATGCACATTCAATAACAAAAAGGTCAGGCTTGCAAAGAGACGCGCCGCAGTTGTCGATGGGCCACAGCGAGGACGAAGGCCACATCGATGTTGCTCGCCGGCTTCGCCTCTTGCATACCCTCCCACCTGTCCTTCCGCCCCGGAATGTTGACGCAGGGCAGAATCACACGCCCGGCAAAAGCGACACGCCGAGTAGTTGCTAATTGCTAATCTATGCTGTACCTGGAGACTTCACAAAACTTGAAATCACCATGGCGGAATCTGAAATCCGGTGCCTCAGGAAATCGGACATCGCAGAGTTCCTCAGTCGGCCGCGGGCCCGGCGGGCTGACGTTGAACGGCGATCGATGGTTGCAGCCTCCCCATCCGGTTCATACTGTGCCCGCCCCTCACCATCGGTTCTCGGTGACAAGGTGGGTGGCTCAACTACCAGGAGGGCTACATGGCTACTAACTGAATGGTTGGCACAGGCAACAACATCGCGTTCGGGGCTGATGTGGAGGCGACACCACGTCCGAGTCGCCCGTCAACCCATCGCTTGGGGAGAGGCATGACGTTAGCCACCAAGACCGGACAGTGGACGGTGCCCACCTGCCGCCTGCCCCTGGATGAGCATGCCAGCTTGCCAGCTTGCCAGGCCGCGACGCCAGACTCATCAGCACATGCTCACATGGCATGGGGCCACACAGTACGGGGACGGCCGTGTCCCATGGAGCCCCGGCAAAACCGATCGGGCCCGATAGCTTCGTTCCGAGGCCACAAATGTGGTCAGCGTCAACTCATCTTGCTGGCATGCAAACGTGTGCGGCGTGCTTTGCATACTAACACGTGACGTTCGAAGCCGAGATTATGCACTCCTGAGAAACCAACAAATAGACTCAAATCTCCCCTTGGTGACTGGACGGGAAAACCAATGGGCGGCATCTCCCACCTACTGTAGCGGCAATGTACGGCAATGGTTGCATATATAGCGAGAGCCAGACATGTAAAGTAGTACGGCGACTCACAGCAACCCACAGTATGGCATCTATAATGCTCAACTCGGCGTCCGCGCTCGTCATCCTGGCCCTAGGAGCAGTGATGGTCGCCATTTTCCTGCACCTCGGCAAGCAAAACGCCAAGAATGCTCGTCTCCCTCCTGGGCCCAAGCCACACTGGCTGAACGGAACACCAATTCCAGCTAAAGCGCCGTGGCGATACTTTTACGACCAGTCGCTCAAGTATGGTCCACTCGTCACCTTCTGGATCGGTCGAGACCCTGCTATTGTGTGCAACGATGTGGAGACAGCGACCTTCTTCATGGAGAAGAACGGCCGAGACACTGCGGATCGACCAAAGGTGATGGAAGTATTCTCGAACGGGAAGCGCACTCTCCTTGTAGGCTACAACGAACGCTGGCGCCGCCTCCGTAAGGGACTCCACAACCCGCTTCAGCCCAACGCTGCCCGAGACCTGCGTCCAATGCAGGAGAAGGGAGCTCGCGAGGTCATACTTGACATTCTCGACACGCCACTCGACTTTCAGTCTCACATCCAGACGTACGCGGCAACGCTCGTAGTCCACATGGCCTATGGACGGCAGGACCGCGCTCGCTACTCGGACCCCGACATTCAAAAAGTCATCACCGCCTCTGAGCGTATTGCTGTCTTCCTCAAGCCGGGATCTTTCAGAATTCAGCAATTTCCATGGCTTCGCCATGTGCCGGGTTACCTGAGTCAGTTCAGAAAGTGGGCCGACGAGGAGCTCAACCTGTTCCGTAAGCAATTCTTCGAAGTCAAGGTAAAGGTGGATGCCAAGAAAAGGGTCGAGCCCTGCTTTGCCACCTATCTCATGGCCCACCAACAGGAGTACCAGCTCAACGACGACGACGTTGCGTACCTTCTCGGAAGTGTGTTTGCGGCCGGCAGCGACACCACTTCGTCTGCGCTCAACATTTGTGTCATGGCTGCAGCGATAAACCCCGAGGCGCAGAAACGCGTTCAAGCTGAGCTCGACAGCACCGTGGGCAGCGACCACGTTCCCACCTTTGACGATCTCGATGACCTGCCTGTCCTCAAGGCCTTCATCTCTGAGACATTCCGTTGGCGTCCGGTTTCGGCTGGCGGTTTCCAACACAGGACAACCAGCGAGCTTATTTACAAGGACTATGTGGTGCCAGCGGGAACCATCATCACCGGCAACCACTGGGGCATTCACCGCGACGAGTCATACTACGGTCCAAACGTCGAGGACTTCGACATCGACCGCTGGCTCACTCCAGACGGCCAGACGAAATCCAACATGAAGTTTTTTCAGTATGGGTTCGGCCGGAGAGTGTGTCCTGGCCAGCACGTTGCCAACAACTCTGTGCTCATGAATGCCGCCCTCCTTCTCTGGTCGTTTGATATTGGCAAGACGATCGGTCCCGATGGCAAGCCTATCGACATCGACACATATGCGTTCACCAACACGGCCAACATCCACCCATTGCCATTCAAGGCCACTTTCACTCCGCGCAGCCAGCACTTGGCGGAGCTGATCAAGGAATCTCATGCATAAAGACCTGTACTGAGTCGGGGGTGTCGGCACAACGCGCCGAGAATCCTGGGCTTCAGCTGCATATTGAGAAGTCAATCAGAAGTTGTATCAATACAGACAAGAACATGAATCCATTTCGGAGACGCGTTAGCCGCCAGGCAGCCCATCCGCTCCAACTCAACATGTAACAACGTATGTCAGCTGAATGAAAGCGTGAGACGATGTGCTTCTGTGTGACGCAGAACACACTGCACTTCGCCTTTCTCGGCTCCACTCACCGTGCACTTTGCCCAAGGAGTATGCTTGTTTAAGCATCACCGCTCAAGGTCTTCCGGACACTCGCAAGGCACCCGCCATGTACATAGATACTGCTGGGTCTGGGGCCTCTATGCATTCGTTGCAACATCACCCGGTTTGCTGCGGAAGTCACCTGTGATCTCGGCGGCTTCTAAGTTGCTGTTGCATAGCAACGACGGTTTAGACGCACAAGTGAGCCGTTCCACACCGCCCCCTTAGTTTTCACAACCGCATCGATTCCAATCTGCTTCCCATTGCCCACTTCTGACGCTTGTCCATAACACTCAATAACTGCACCGACATCGACATGTCCTTCTCGATCTTTGGCCGGACGAACCCCAACGCCGTGGACAGTAACGTTGTCGACGCCAAGACAGGCGAAACCGCACCTGCTCTTCCTAGGTGGGAACGCCACACGTTCGGTGAGTCGTTGCCACCGTCACCAGCCTAACGTGTGGAGTGGACTACATGGCTCCCAAGCGTATCGTCCAGGAAACTGGTACTCAATATGGTCGTATCTGTCCGCAATGCGGCGCGCGTTAGTGGATGCACATCCTGGAAGAAGCTCACATTAGCCGCCGTAGTGGGCGCCGCGCAGGAGCGTGTCTTCTCCTTCTTCTGGGTCGTTCCAGTTTTCCCTCTCGGAGAGGTAAAAATCTGGGGCTGCGGTCGCTGTGGTAAGTGACACTACTGGGGCAGGAACCTGACACGCAGGTTGGCGCCAGGAGCGTGGTAAAGGCCCCGACCCCGTGAAGCAAGATGTACCGGAAGGGGGCAACCAGATGATTATGCATGGGGCCTTCTCTGGCGGTACTCGCGATGATGAGGGGCCATTTGGTGACCAGGCTGATGAGGCCAGTGGGTCTGCCCGCCTGGTGCACAACCAGTAAGGGGGTGTTCGTTGTTCTTTGTTTCAATAGCCAACGTGGTAACAACCAAACACGTAAGAGTGCCATGGATCTATCTTTGTTGCGCCGTCTGTAGCCTCTAAAGTCTAGAAAGGACACTTGGGAGACGCGATGCGAAACGGGATAAACAGCACACAAGACGCCGATCTCGCCCCCAACGGCAACGGCGATCGCCGGTCACAACCGAGACTCCGTGTCCGCGCCGGCTATTTCCCCTCCGCCTACAGCCGGCCGGTGCGCCACCAGCGTGCGCACAGCCAACCAGTTGGTCAGCCCCCTTCTTTCTCTCTGACCACTCCGTCTCGTCTCACAATGCCGTCTCTCACTCGGGAACAATGCTTGGCTTACGGTTCACGTCTCAAGGAACGAACCATCCTCATCACGGGCGCAGGCTCCGGCTTTGGCCGAGAGACTGCCCTCGCCTTCGCCAATCTGGGGGCCAAGGTCGTTCTCGGTGACGTCAACCTCACGGGACTTGCAGAGACTGTCCAAATGGTCCACGCAGCACATGGAAGGTGAGCATTGGATCGTAGTGGCTTGCACTGACTCTCAGTGGCGTAGCAGTATCGGCCAAGTGTGACGTTACAGCCTGGGATGACCAGGTCGCGCTGTTCGACCTTGGAAAGAAGACCTTTGGTAGCATTGACATTGTGCTCCCCAACGCAGGAATCAGCGAAGTGGGGCTGCTCAGTGACCATGCTGGGTCTGGCGACCGTCCCACACCACCGGACATGACGACACTCGAGGTCGACCTCATTGGCGTCCTGTACACCACCCGGCTGGCACTCTGGCACTTTGAAAAGGACACGCGCGTCGATCCAGGGTTGCAATGTGTCTGCTTTACGGGGTCGCTGTCGACCTTTTATGGCGCCAACAACGGGCCAATGTACGGCGCGTCCAAAGCGTACGTGCGATTGTTGTACTTGTTTACATGCTAACAGTCAGTGGTATCCTTGGTATCGTAAAGGGAATCTTGGATCATTGCCAGGACTCTGGAATTAGGGCCGTCACTGTATGCCCATACTTTACCAGTAAGTTGCCCTCCCTGACATCGTGTCTAACCCTAGAAACCGGCCTCATGACGGACGACTTTGTTCACCCAAACCCCAAGCAGGGTATGTGTAACATGGAAGACGTCGTCGCTGCGTTTGTCGTCAGCATCACGGACCCAGACCACAACTTTGGCTGCTGGCTTATCCCGGACGCCCAAGGTGTATTCCGCATGGAAACGACGGGTCAGCTGTGAGTACACGGCAAATAGACCACAAACGCTGACATGCCCAGTGTTGGTGCGGAAGGTGCTCGTAGACCGAAAGCAGAGAAGGTCTCCGCCAAGTTGTGAACTGTGGATGAACACTTCTCTAGCATGGTGCTGGGATAACAGTGGTCTACCACATGATGCTGCGTACATGCTTGGTTGGCCGTTGCACATCTGTCTCATTCACAGTCTGTCCTACGTATACCCCAAGGATCCACCACTCTCGCAAGCGCAACGGTCTGACCCACAAAGTTCCTTGTCATGGATTCGGAAGACTGATATCCGAGGCGTACCCGTTGGCGACATTCGCTGTCGAACCGCATTCTCAGGACTTCGGGTAATGATTCAATGACAGGAGTCACTCTGCATACATCCTCTCATGTATAGACTGGCCTCTCAGCAATGATTTACGTTTATCTACTCTTTCACGACTGCGAACCCAGCATCACCTTGACTACGTCAAACAAGTTCGCCCAGGCACTGCCGTGATGTCCATTGCACTTTTGGTGAACATACGCGGCAGTCTCCAGGGGGACGTACGCTGCGAACTCCCAGTCAATGAGGGCTGCGACCTTCGAACAATCGTCCGTCATGATAATGTTACTGGGGCTCAGGTCAAGGTGCGAAAGCACGCAGGGTTGGTTCCGGAGGTTGGCAGGGGTCAAGTTGAGGTGTTCCTCCGCGAGGTCGTGAAAGATCGGCCGTGTTCCACTGACAGTTTGAGGCGATGTTCCGTTTGTGTGCTGGGAAAGCTTGCAGACGAGGTCTGCCACAAGCAGAATCGAGGCCGCACGCTGCTCCTCCGTCATATCCTTCATCACTTTGTCCAGAGTGACGCCCCTGACGCGGCGTTGAATGAGGATATCAAGCTTGGGGGAGACGAACAAGACGTCGGCCACAGGAATGAAGTGGGAGACCAAGCGCATGGCGGCAAGAGCGTTTGCATTCTTGTCAGAGACGCATGTGTCGGGGATGTAGCCGTCGTAACCAGACTGGGTGTTGTTGACCAAGATAATGAACTCGTCCACTTGATGGACGTGTCGGTCAAATGGCGGATTAAGGGCGTTGCTCTCGCTGCAACGACTGACGAGCGAGTCGGCCTGTGCTTTCGAAAGGGTGTAGGACATCGGTTGATTGCGTTTGGAGAGGGGGGAAATGAGAAGATGGGTCAGTGTACCACTTATGATTGCATGAGAAAATGGTGGGTGTGATGGGCGGCTTACATGTGCCTACAGCCACCCCGAGGACATCGGAGTCGCAGGGTGACGGGGTGGGCTCATGAAGACTTTGCATATTTGCCGGACACTACTAAAGCTTTCTTAGCCCCATCATGTCCTTCACATACTCAAACAGGAGGCCCCACTCGGGCGGGCAGCAGCTCCACCCGCATATCTCATGGGCATAGGAGGCTGTCTCGAGAGGCACGTATGCAGCACGCTCCCAATCAATCAACCCAGCCACCTGAGACCAGTCCTCTGTTATGATAATGTTACTGGGGTGGAGATCAAGATGAGACAGAATGAAGACTTGACGGGTAAGTTCATCGGGCGATAGTTGGGTCAGGTGCTCCTCGGCAGTGGGCTGGAAAATGCGGTGTCCTCCAGCGGCGGTCAGCGGGCAGGTCGTGATCTGCTCCTTTGCAAGCTGGCAGACCAACTGGGCTACCTGGAAAAGAGCAATAGCCAGTTGCTCGGCGCTCATGTCTCTGATGACATCAAAGAGGAGGACACCTGGGATACGGCGCTGGATGATGATGCCTTCTTCGCTGGAAAAGTACATGACTTCAGCAACTGGGACGTTTGTGCGAGCCGCTACCAAGCGCATCGCTTCAACCGCATTGATGTTCCTTGCACAGAGTTCTCCCGCGACCTCACTGCCGGCTGGGGCTTCGGCATTGTTCCACATGACAACGAAATCGTCGACGAGGTGAATGTGGCGGTCGAACAGATCGATTTCGTTACCCTTGTTGCAGCGTGCGATTAACGACTGGGCTTCGGTTTCAGACATGGGCTGTACCATGGGGCGCCAACTGATGTTGTTGTTAGAAGGCAAGTGGAACCGTTGGTGTTCAAGGAATTTGTGTGTCTACGGCGCACTGGTGATGGCATAGCAGTTATGACGTCCGCCGAGTTGATCGTGGTTTGAAGGTGCCAACCGCCGACTTCAAGCATGTCGCACATGCGTTGAGGCTGAAGCATGCACCTCTTCACTGCCCTTGGGTCCCACTCGCTTCTGGTTGTTGTGTCCCTTCCTCACATATCAATGCCCATATCAGTGCCACCTGTCTTGGGAACCTGATTCTAGACTGATTTAATCGGCCTGAAAACACAAGAAGGTTCATCGATCGTTGGCAATGGCACAAGCTCCGACTGGAACCGGACTGGAACCCGGCATCAATCATCTGGGGCTGTAGCAGTCTGGAACGAGAACCATGATGGACCTGATACATGCTTAAACATTGGCTCACCAGGTGTCCCAATCCGAGTTGGTTACATACATAGGGAACAGCCTTGTGTCTGCCGACGAAGGTGACGGCGCCCTTCAATTGTTCTCGCCCCCATGCTCCGTCTCTGTACCACCAGACCTGTGTGGTTCAAGCCTGGCAAGCCCAGAAAACCCCGCCCAGTGTCGCTCTTCACTCTCGAGCCATGGAGCTTGAAGGACCTGCAGCGGCCCGTGACTCTTTTCGGGCAAATCATCTTGGACGTGCACTGCTCAGGCTACATCGACAGTGAGTACCGACATGCATGCCTCTTCTGACACGTATAGCCGACTTCGACGAGGAACGACGCGGTAGCGTATTGTCTAGCATCGCGCATGACTATGCGGAAACACATTCACCAGGTGAGTTGTCATGCCGCCACACCGCGCTGACTCCTGTAGCTCCTCCCGCCCGTGTGTATGGCTACGGTAAGGAGAAGGACCGTCCCGCTCCAGAGCAGGCGTCACCTCTTCAGGCCAGGTCGACCAACGCCGGCATGCTCACCGGCCAAGACGATAGTCCCGCTGGGAACCCGCAGATTGTTTACTTTGCGCGCCGTACCCGTCCCCTGCTTGTGCCCTTGAGGTTCGAAACCAGTCACGCACAAGGTGCATCCAAGGTGTCTTGCAACTAGTACACATAACGTCTCCCAGGTCGCTTACAAACTGTATGCATGAACTGCACTAATCTATGTCATCACTGACATGCGCTGGCTGACTAGGTTTGCGTCTAAACCTGACAATGGCCACGCGGCTGCTGTGTAGGGGAGGGAGGGTCGCGGTCAGGATTGGAAGATCGTCTATTCGGTTGGTTTGTGTTGCTCGACTTTTGACTTCCGACCGGGCCTTGGATGCCAGAAGCAGTGGGCGTAGCCCATTAGAAGGGTGGGAGTTGCCTCTTTTCCAAGTTGTCGGGCACCTGGAGGGGATCGGAAGAAACGCGCAAAACATGGCCGAGATCGACGGAGAGGTCGCATGTGGCCCAGTCTCTTGCCAAGACAGTGGCAGGCGGGTGATCGACAACTGATGGCGGTGAACACCGCTGGGTGATACTAGTGGTGGGGAGGGCAGAGCATGAATATGATTCTTGTTGGCAGGAGGATCGATATTGAGGGGGTGTAAGATGGGCAAGAGGGGTGACATGCGGTAGCTGGAATCTTGACGCCAAATGTACCAGGTCACGATCCGTGGGTCGCGGTGGTGGCATTGATGTGGATGAGGTGGTAAATGGACAACAATACAGACCTTCCACACATTCCCCTGGTGGACGGTAGACCTTGGTGCTTCATCCTGACGCGGAGGATTGTTCGAGTGATCGGAACAGAAGTAGGTATGCATGCAGGTCTACCTGATTGACTGATCCCATCAGTGAACGACTTAGATTCGATAGTTGCCGCCGCCCATGTCGTCCTCCTCGTACCGTCGCTTCCGCCCAGCACTCCCTGGTGAAGGTCTGTTATCCGCTTTGGGGGACGACATGCCGGTCACACCATTGAGGACTGTCGTGGTGGAAGCATGCTCGGTAACTGTGGGGTCGCTATTGTTGAGGTCCTGCCGATGCGCCATCCCTTCTCGAGCTTGTGGGCGGTCTACTCAAGTGCCAAGCTTGCCAGGTGTGCCCGCTCCCATCTGGCTAGTGGGTGGCGATACCCGCAGTTTGGAGAGGGCCTTTGCAGACGGCGATGATGGTTCCTTTGGAGCGACTTCTGCCGAGAATCGTCTCAAAGTCGAAGCCGTTGACGGCCGCTGGCGTTCGGTGCCATGCGCGTGTTGTTGCTGAAGAGTCTGCGTGTTAGTGTACCAATGCCTACTTGAACGTACCTGGTGAGTGAAGACGTGTGCTTGTTTGTGCTGAATTAAGGCTTGCTGCATTGCCGCCTGTTGGGCTAGAGTGGGTGGATGGACCGGAACAAATAGTTCATCACCGCTTCCTTGCCCAGGAGGGAAGGATGAGCCCGGGTGTAGTGCTGACCGAGGTGGTGCAAACTGGTGCGATACTCCATGTGATCCTTGGGACAACTGGCCGCTTGTGCTCTGTCTCGTCGAGTGCCGACTGGCTGGTATCACTGGCGAGGGAGGGTCGGGGCCAGCGTGTGGCCGGGTTCCAGAAGGACGCCCGTATTGGCCATGTGAAAACTGCACGTAACAGTCTTGTGTTTTGCCAACTTGAATCGTGGCATTCAAGTAGGCTGTGTGTGCTGCCCAGGTGGGATGCTCGGATAGCTGTTGCTTGTTTAGCAGCATTCACGCCCAGGTGCATGGACTTGCCTCCAGGACCATGCTGTCAACGAACGATCGCAGCCGACGGCGGACGTAGCGCTGGGCCTCTTGACGATACATTGCTTGGTCTGGCATTTGGCGATGGAGCACTTGCGGGCAGAAACGTGAGAAAGTGAAGACGGTGGTGAGCAAGAAGGAGGGTGCATTCTGATGCAAGAGACGTGTATGTATAGATAGCGACCTGGACGGTCCTTTACAGCTCACCAGGAATCTCACTGGAAACGCATTGTCCGCCGCAGCGACGCCGCAAGCACACACGCCGAACACGAGTCTGTACCTCACGAGGCGCTTGGCTGCACGAGCCATCGTGGTTCCGTGCGGCGTCAATGGAGCTGGCGAACTGGGCTGCTGGATGCTGGTATGTGTCTTATAAGCAGGAGATCTAGTCGGTCCATGAGTCTCAAGGCTGCTGTGGTGGAAGGATGCCTTCGTCACGAATAACAAGTCTGAGCGCCTTTTGGATTGTGTCGGATTGCTCACCTCACCCCGAGTGGCTTGCTACCGGCACAAGGTGGGTGGGTACCTTATCCTTGTGCATTCCGAGATATCAGCGAGCGCACCATTGAGCACACTGGAGTGGTGGCGTCGAGAGGTGGTAGGCATGCTCTCACACAACGCCGCCCAAAGGCCAAAGCGCCAAGGTCCCGAATACACACCGCAAGAATGCTCGAGTGCTCACCACCCGTCGCCTCATCGTGGCCACCTGCTTTTGGGGGTTTGGCAGCGCCTCACACATATATACACAAGCGCCGCGGCACCACAGAGCCCCAGAGCTAAAGTTCCGCCCAAGAACGTGATGCCGTGGAAGAAGCACATCACTCAATCCATACTTGGCCTTTGGCCCCTTTGGAACATTTTGGCGGAGCGTGGTGTTGAGAGAGATTGTGGCCGAGGACCGTGGTTAAGAATGGGCCGCACGGTGTACATGTCTTGGCGTCTATGAAATCTTGTTCCTGAAAACAACCTCGCATCTCTTACGACTGCTTCTCCCCTTCACCGTATCCCGAGCGCTGAGACGCTTGTGTCTTGCGTGTCTCCGTCCGGACCAACTCCACCATCGTGTCCAGGGCGGTCTCCTCGTCCATGTCTGCGATGGAACGGGCAATGGCTTCCTCTTCGTCTTCGTCGGGCGATCGGTGAACTTCAGGATGAGCAGCATGTTGGTCAGCTGCCTGCTGAGCTTGCATCATCTTGACAATCATCACACCAAGGTCGTCTGCCTCGCGACCAATCTTGGTCATGCGGCGAAGTTTGCGGCCGTACATGTACAGGAGGATTGGAGCCGGAGCAAAGGCGAGGGCAAGGAAGGCGACGAGCGTGCCGGCCCACTGGGGACCGAGGTTGGTGTACATGTCGGCGGTAAACAGGGGGAACACTGAGAGAGAGATAGTCAGAAGACAGAGGTTTTGAGCATGTAAGAAGACGCACCGACACCAAGGATTGAACGCATCACTGTTCCGCCGGCCAGCACCGACGCGGCCATTAGCAGATACGAGTCGACAACATAGTTTGACACGCTGAGGAAGAGGAGCACAAGACCAGCCCCGTACGGGACAGTCGAGATAATGGGCGCAATCCAGTGAATGCGGACGGGCATGCAAGTCCAGGCAAAGATGAAGAGACCCATACTGGGACATGAGCTTCATGAAAAACAACACACGTAGTAACGGCACTCACGGAAGCAGGAAGCCGCCGGCAATGGCGCCAGGCAAGCGGGCCTCCGGTGGCATGTAGCCATTCTTCTGATGGGCCTTGGCGTATGCAGGGTTGATATAGAACATCAGGACCGCCAGAGCTAGGAAGGCTCCAACTGTGACACCGGCAAATGCCAGCCCGCTGATGCCTGGTGACCAGTGACGATGACCTTGGAACACGATAGGGAAAGCTGTAAACTCCATCTGTAAAGTCAGTCAAAAGCTGGCTTTTCGGGGGCTTACGTAGAGAATGGCGTACACCACAGACAGGCTGAATCTCGTTAGCCACACTGTAGAGGCATCTACTCACTAGAGAGACGTAAGTAAGACGACAGGCTCAGTAAAGAGGAGGACCAAAGGGACACGGAGCTGATTCAAGAACAGCTGTTTTGTATGAAGGGGCTTGGCCACGTCATGTTGGCAGCGATACACCAGGCCGGTGTGTTTGGAAAGTCGAGTGGCGCGGCGACGCAGAAGAACAGGTGCGTACGTCTCCGGCAGGAGGATGGTGGAGATGATGGTGAGAATGCCAGCAAAGGCGGCGATGACCGCGCCGACCCACTCCCATTTGGCGGCCTGCGAAAGGAAGCCACCGCCCTGCGACTGTCAGTCCTCTCCCTTGTATGCCCGTGCCGAACACTCACGACGGGGCCAATGGTGGGACCGAGGAAGGGCATGATCGAATAGACACCCATGGCAAGACCGCGTTGCTTTGGGTCAAACATGTCGGCAATGATGCCACCAGCGTTGGTCATGGTGCTGCTGCCAAAGGTGCCTGCAAAGAAGCGCAACACGAGCAATGTATTGAGGTCTTTGGCTCCGCACACAGCAGCACAAAAGGCGGTGAAGGGAATGTACGTGATGATGAACATGGAACGGCGTCCAAAGATCTCTGAAGCTGGTGCCCAAAGCAACGGGCCCACCACAAATCCAAGAACGTAAATGCCCGTAACTTTGAACGTGAGCCGGTGATCTCCTGAGGGATCGAGGGACCAGGACTCACCCATAATGTAGAGCATGGTGTTGAAGCCCGGGAATGCTTCCTCAATAGCTGTGATGGCGGCACTCAACATTGAGCTGCCCATACTGACAGCCAGGGTGCCCATTGCAGCTGCAGGTGTTCAGCCCGCACGCCGTACACTAAAGGCCCTGGGAGGACGCTGCAACTCACCGAGGATGGTGATGTTCCATTTGTAACGTGGCTTGAAGGTCAACGGGTTTTCGGCATCGTCAGGCAGCCACACGACCACATAGGGATCGGTTTCTGTGCCGCTCCCCTTGTACTCGTGATTGACAAGATCGGCCCATGGCGTAGTCTTGTTCCTCCACGGGAAGCGTTTGAGAGTATAGTCCTGGCTGGACATTGTCCCTCCGGAATCTGAAGAATAGGCGCCCATGGCACGCAAGATGGCCAAGGAAACGAGCGTGAGGATGGGCGGGAGTGGGACGAGGAGCGTGTAGGGCAGAACAATGCGACAAGGGATGTTGGCCTGGTGTATATATACCACACGCCAAGCTGTTGGCCCACGGCCGGCGCCCGAAACGCCCATGGCCCATGGCGGGAGTGAGTCTCGGGCTCGGTGTTGGCCGGTGGCGCCTAGCTGGAACGCTCACTCATCGCTCTGCAAGACGTGCTCCGAAGTATTGCGGCTGGAAAGAGAGTGGGGATCGTGCGCGAGCTCCCCTAGAGGTGGGCAGAACTGACCAGTAGCATAGCTTTGTGGACTGCTCAAAGCGCAACAAGTGAAAACGGGTTGCGGTGATTGTAAAAGTAGGCGAGGGTCCAGGATATGTTACATCCTCGAAACATCCGTACAGCCGTGGCGCTTGGGATCGTGGGATTGATGCTGTCGTGGTCTTCGTGTTTGTGTCGGCAAACATGACTATCTTGCGAGCACAAGATATAAGATACCGGCGTGGCCACGTTTGCCAATCGTCGCAGGCCATTTCCAAACACTACCGATACGATCAAGTATCAGGCAATCTGGCACGCACCAGTCACGCACGTACTGACTCTCCGAAATGCACCCATCGACGTCTGTCTGACATGAACGGCCCCGCCGGCAAGACTGAGGGGACCCACGGGGAGAAGGCTGCGTAGATAGATAACGTCTGGTTTCCTCTGTTTCCACCAGCTGCATGCATATGAGGGTATGGAGCTGCGAGCACAACAAGTGTTGGTGTGATGGGGCAATTTTGCTGTGTGTCGAGGAAGCGGACTGCTTCCTTCCCCTCGCACCGCATCCCCATCAGTGAGACCACCGCCCACTGATGCTGCCACCCCTCATATTCGCTCTTGTCCTCTCGTACCCACTTCATGCTCAATCACTCTCAACTGACAGACAAGCTGTCAACAGAGAGCTGTGAGCTTCCTGCCTCGAACAATCCACTGTGGATATGGCTAAAGCTCTCAGCCGCCCCCGCCATCACCCATGCGGTGCCAGTGTCTCGCCCAGCCCATGAAGCTGCCGATTGCCGATCATTTGACAGTTGGGCAAGTTGTGCGACAGACAATCCAGCACTGCCTGACCGATCGAGTTCAGACGAGTTGGTCAAACCGTCGAGGATGTTTGAGTACTGACGTTCGCTCTCCAGGCAGCCCAATCAGGACACAGCGTCTACCCCACAATGGACAATGCTCGGATCCCAGTACGGCTTCATTCGAAACATTGGCCCCTTCAAATCCACTGCAGAGCTTCGCCAACTGCACTTGGAGAGGACTCGCGAGCAACACAGCAGAGGCCTGCCTGCTTCAACTGTGGTCTCAAGAGACTCGCTGTTTCATCGATCTCGCTCCCAGCCTCAAGTCTTCACAGTCGCCCCGGCCAGTTCAGAGTTTCGTATGGCCCAAGCAACCCCGAGCCGGTCTATGGCATCAAGGCTATCGTTGGGCACCGTGCTGCGGTTAAGAAAGGGCGACCGCAAATGACAGGGGCGAGCCCGCATTATTGTGACGTAGACGTAGAAATAGAGACAATGGACGACTTTGCGACGAGGGCTCTCACCAGGAATCGAGGGGTGCAAATTCGCAATTGTGTTACTGCGTCCCCCATGACCAGCACAGTGTACAGTGCAGGCCAACCTGAGGCATAAGCGGAGTGGGTGACCCATCCTTTATTCTCCTGCGATCACGAACTGAGATGCAGGTCGCACGATGGGCAGCAGAACGGAACCGTGTACTCCTTCCGGTCTGTTCTCTCTCGATGTGCTCCAGTGGCCAGTGGCCACCAATGCGGTAGCCGTGTGCCATCAATGAGAAGTTTGCGCACTGTGGCGTAAAGAGATCTGTCAGTCAGAGATCAGAGATGAGGTCCGGGCCCGTGTTGGTGACTGCCTCAAAGCGGTGCGCGTACAAGCCTAAGGAAGCAGCCTGAAGCGTCCCTCGTTTTTATGGCAACGGTACGTGCTTCCATATGCATGCCAGTAGACTTCTGTCATAGATTTATCGACCCTTGGCATGCAGGACCATCATATTGGACAGTAGATGGTCCAAGGAGGAGGTGTGACCGTGAGTAGACGCGTAGGTCACGATGGGCTTTTGATGGCCGAATGCGGCAAGTGCCAAGGTCCTGGCGAACGCGTCTGTCACAACGCGTCGATCCGTCTTTTGTTCAACGACCATGATGGGCTTTTGTGGTCCTGGGTGACCAGAAGTGCGTAGAACACGTTCGCGCTGACCACGAAAGGGGGAAAGCTTGCTCGATACACCGCCATGGCCAGTACTGCAGATGTCGCGTCAGCCAGTATGTACTTGGTGGACCGCGACCTTTGGGCAAACCTGCTGTGATCATTATCTGGTAAGTAGAGGACACAGCTGCGCGACACGAACCGCCAAGCCGACCTGGATACCCTGAACAGATCTCATCATGGACGTTCTGTTGTCTGCACCTTCGGCGGCGCCGAGGACCGTGCAACAGATGCACAGATGACTACTCGCCTCGCAGGCGGGAAGGGAAGGGTCTATGGGCGAGACATCACTCGGCTCAGGGCCTTATTCCAGTCAATGAGCAGCGACGCGAGCGGGCAGCACTGGCCGACTGTGTCGTCTTCTGCCGTGCCGACTACTGGCGGTAGTCGACATTGAGCCCCACTGGCTGAGGATATAAGTCAAGTCTGGCCAGCGGTGTCTTGGTTCTCCATCCATCAAGTCCCTCAGCCATTCCTTCCCACCGGCCCACCCACGGGTCCAGTCTGTCCTTACCGTCGCGGAGTCAGGCCTCGCCGAGAGCCCATCTGCCTTGTTAGTTACCCCCCACCTTTCCGGAAATCCAAATCGTGAGCAAGCAGATTCCCTCCAGGAAGGGAGCTGATCAGTCAGGTCTCACAGTCACACAGACAGCACATCACCAACATGCCCTTCGCCAACCGCCCCCATGCCACTTTTGTTTTCTGCATCAATGTCACCACTACGGTCACCACTAGTATCTCCTCCTCGACGTCCACAGTTTCTCCTTTGACGGATTCCACGGTGACCACTACTACCCCGCCCATTACTCCGGCCATCATCCGCTCTCCTGTTCGCAAGCGTGCCGCCACGGACCCTGCCGAGAGTCCTCGTGCCTCACCTCGTCGCCACTCTCAGCGCCGTGGTCTCTCCACTCCTCTCCACATGAACGCTCTCCCCCCCTCGCCGCAATGGTCCCCCGTCGGTGTCCGCATGGCCTTTGGCAACTCACGCGCGATCAACACCGACCAATCGCCTGGTACCCCCCGTCGCGTCTGCACCGTCCCTACCACAGCCTCGAGGCGCCGCGGGTTCCAGGACGAGAACGCGCCTCCCCCTTCTGTTATTCGTGGCCGCTCCACTTTCCGCTCTGTTACCTTCTGAGACCCAATGCCCAATGTCTTGTACACTGCCCCCCCCCCCCCCCCCCCCCCCATCCCCCCTCTCTCTTATATTAGTGCTCCGTATGAATTCCTTTTTTGGCCGCAACTCCCCATCAGGGTGTTATCAGTGTTTCGTCTCAGTGAGCTGTGAATGGGGGGGCTGGTCGCATCAGCCTGTGCGGTAGCAGTGACCGGGTTACCGTGGTGTGACAGGGCGGTCGTAGGAGGGATCCGGAAACGGCGTAAAGGTGTGCCCCGAACGTGTTGCGCCTGTAAAGGTGCAGCGCGGGCACCACACTCCATTTAACTGTTTAGTGTTTTTGCAACGATCGTAGTGACCTCGACCAGATGCAAGATGGCCAGATACCAAAAAGGTGGTGCGGTGGTGCCCCGCTTTTGCACGTGACTTGTGTGCCGAAGGTTTACCGACACCAGGCGTGTGGAGGTCTCTGGATCTCTGGGTTTCAGGCCAAAACCACTGTGGCCTTGTGTGACGTCATTGCTGGGTGGCATGGGTGTGGCCTGTGGCCTGTGGGTGCTTTTGATTGTTTGTTTACAGCGACGGTTCACTACTGTCTCATGTAGACTCTGTACGTCTGTGCTCTGTCCCATGCATGATGCATATGCTGCTGCTTGCGAGTGACTGCTGGGCAAACTGTCTCTCTCACACGACGAGCGGCCCCTGCCCGCACTGCTCTCATAACGCCACCACAGGGGGGGATATGGGAGAGAGGGTCGGGCGGTTGCGCGGTTGACGGGGGGGGCCAAACGAAACAGACTGCGGCCCCCGGTCTTATTGATGATTCTTCTTCCCCCCCCCATGCACCGGGGGATATGCATGGCATAGCGTGTGCATGCATGCATAAGCATGTATTTAAAAGCGCAGTCGGTGTGTCTCTTGTGATCTTGTGAGCGTGTGGGTGTGTGTGGGGGCCCACTAGCGCCGCCAAGCTTGGGTCCTGTTGCGCCGCCCAGGGGGGGATTCACGAGAACCATCGACCCCATGGCCCACGTTGGTCCGAGAGGAGATAGACACACACTGTCCAGATTCCTCTCTCTCTTTCTCTCTCTCTCTCTCTCTCATTCAACTCACTCTCCCTCCCTCCCGCCATGGGGCACTCGGCCTTCCTCCTCGGCCTCGCCCTGGGGCTCATGCAAGCGCAGGCCGCTGCAGCGCTTGAAAACGTCACGTTGGCCGCCGGCACTCTGAAGAATGTCACCTTCAACTACACGTTGAACGACATGGACACCATGCTCGTGTACACCCCCAGCACAGTTGCCAGCGCCACCATCGGCTGGGACAACACATACAGCAACTCTGCCAAGCCCGCCACCTCGTCAGACAGCGTCTATGGCCAAGGCAACTCGTCACACTACACCTCGCTGGGCGGCGCATACATTGACCTGTCCTTTTACGGTACCGGCGTCTACTATTTTGGGAGCACAGCCTCAGGCAACGACTTGCGCCTGACGGTGGATGGCGTCAACTATGACTTTACCCCAACCGCCAACAACCCGCTCCTGGCCTACCGCGAAGTGTCCGCCGGCTACCACTCGGCAACCCTCAGCCTCAACTCGAACAACGGCAACCTCACCCTCGACAGCGTCAACGTCCAGACCCAGGCTGCGTTTGAAGTGTGAGAGGAGCGGAAAGACAGAGTCCCCGCAGCCAGCGCAGTCATCGCAGACACAGCATGCTGACCGGGCCCCCAGATCGTCCTTTAGCGCGGCCAGTGTTACCGAGGAGCTCTTCTTGACGGGCTCCAACGCGACAGGCGCCAGTAGCGGACCAAACGCCCTGTACACGTACAGTGGGGCGTGGGCCCAATCGTGGACTATCGGAGGTGATGGTGAGTAGCAGGACCACCCCATTGGACTTGGACTGATTGCGACATTGTAGGGGACACACAGGCACTCTATTACCCCGTCCTTGTGGGCCAGGTCGGATCGTCGTTCACAGTCGACATTCCCGCCAACACGAGCTACTTTTCCATCGAGGGCGCGTCCCAGCCCACAGTGTCCTACTACACTGTCAGTCTCAGCCCGGCACCACCTCAGGGAGGCAGTGCCAACTCGACGTACACGGCTACGCGCGAGTACACCAACCCCGTCAACTACTTTATCTCTCCTCTCGACCCAGCCGAGAATTACACACTCACTTTCACTGTGGCCGGCATAGCCACCATCAATGGGCCGATAGGGATTCACTCAATGTCGTTCTACTCGTCAATACAGTGAGTAAAACGCTGGCTGCAATGGAAAGAGCTGACGACAAACAGGGCCGCCAATACGACAAACACCACCGACTCGACGTCATCAACAACTGGGACTACGACAACAGGCTCGTCCAGCGGAGAGAACGGCGGTTCCAACACCGGCAGCTCCTCCTCAAACTCAAGTTCCGGCAGTGGGGGCAAGTCGACAAACGCTGGTGCGATTGCGGGCGGAGTTGTTGGTGGCCTCGTGGTCGTGGCCGTCATCGTCGGCTTCGGCGTGTGGTACATGAACCGCCGTCACGAGCGCAAGAGGTGAGTCGAGTCGTCTTTCGCTATAGCTGACCACCCGTCCAGAGGTGCCCCTCGCACGTTTGAGGCAGACAATGGCGCGTTTGAAATCGACGAGGAGCCAGACGCCGCTGTCGACCAGCCGTATCTCAGCCCGCCATATGCCCCTCCTTCTCTCCGTGGGTCCTCCTCTGTCGCTCTTCTGACACTTGCAGCCGCAATGGCCGAATCGCGTGACTCTAGCCTGGGCTTGGTCATCAACAGCCATAGTCAGGACCAAACCACTCCTGTCAGCACCGTTGCACGCTCCAAGAGCGCCTCGGCTGCCATGCTGGCGCGTGGTGCAGGCTTTACCAGCCTAGAGCAGGAACTCGATGCTGGTCGCCTACCTGACACCATCCCCCCAAGCTATGACCCCACCTGGGCCGTTAGCGACCGCGACAGCACCGACTATGCGCTCTCCGACCCCGGTGCGGGACCGTCTCGCCTCTCGCGGGCCCTGTCGGACCCTTCCGAAGTTGAATCGGTGGACGGACTCGCCACCGCAGAACGCGTCCCAGTCGTCGCTGCTTCCACAACGCCTTCTACTGGCGCCGGTACCCCCGGCGCGTAGCCCCACTCATCTCTCATCGACGGACAATTAATAGACCCCCAAGTTGGTGGTGCTGCATGTATAGACTGCTGTATTGTGTTGGTCAGAGAGGGGGTGAGACTCAAGGGCCCAGGTTAGAACCCAACACGACACCACCAGTCGTGTTGGATGGGTGCACGACGTCAGTGGAGGGCTGTAGCGATCAGCGGTCACGGCAGGACGATCGTGTCACACAAGGTGATGGGCTCGAGCGACCGACTCCACGACACAAACATGTCCAGCATGTCCTCCTCGCCCTCGTCTTCAACGTTCGCCAACACCCAACCGTCTGTCGCTCTCAAACCTTTCATCACCATGGCCGAACACGAGCACCATGTCCGTTTCGCGCCCATGATGCGTGTCAGAAGCTTCGTCGAGACACCAGCGTTCAAACAGGCTAGAGTCCCAAAGTTCACCAAGCCCTATGACAACGACGCCAGCGGAGTCGCAAAGCTGGTATGTGGAACCCCAGCTCGTCATCCACTCACTCACACGGTCGACAGATCAAAAACTCGAAGACATCCACCACCTCAAAGTCTCCCCGCCCCCGCGGAGCGTGCAAGGACGTGAGTAGAACGTACACCGTGACATCTTTGCTCACCATCCAGAGCAATGGTACCCCAAGGCCTGGTCGTCCGCTTCGCAGCGTGCTCGCTACACCCAAGCTATCCAAAGTTACCGTCCACCACACGGCAGGGACCACGCCTCGCCCAGTCCACGTAAGTGTAAAACGACAAGAAAGCGGGCTTACCCATAGGCCAGCTACCGCCCTACCCTTACCAGTCGAGACTTGAACATTGACCGTCACCGTCGCCATGGTCTCAAGGGCAGCATCGACAGCATTGTCCTCCCGACCACGTTGAAGGGGCTCAAGACGAAAGAAGTACCCACTGAGACGTTTGTGGCCCTCCGCAAGCGGGTGTCAGCGTGGGCGCTTCACTGTGCCATTGAGATGCAAGAGGCGGTCTTGGAGATGGAGAGGGGCAAGAACAATGAGGCCCAGAGCGTCGAGAACGACCACGACGTCCTTCCGGCCGCGTCGGAAACTGCAGGGCTGAACGTGGACGACAAGGTGGACGTCCTCCACTCCGGTTGACGGACAGTCTGCTCTCCGGTCTCTGGGGGGGGTCTGACCCCCCCCCCCCCCCCCCCCCCACACACACACGGGTACGACGCGTTTCGACCCCACAGATCCACCGACGTGGACGCGTTGGGTTGTTGTTGCGATAGTGGGGATAGCACGGCCCCGCGGACGAGGTGTGGGGGATGCATATGCTCTGTGCCGGGGTAACCGTGTGTACGCCGCAGTCGCACAGAAGCATAAGAGGAACCCCCCGTATCGGAGGGTAGCTGGTAAACGCTGGGCCTGGTGGGCATCAGCACCCGCTAGCGGAGAGTCTGACAGTTGACGTTTTGCTAGTGTCAGGCCCCCCACGACATACTAAGCACCGCCGGGAAAGTGCGGGATTCAGTACCGCACACTGCCGGGGCTAAGGCGGAGGGACGTCGACGTGGTGCGCGTGGTGGTGCGTCATGCGCATTATGGTACTGTGGGTCAAGCGGACGGCGGAAATGAGACATTCCGCGCGCGCGAATTGACCGAATGGCCTGGGCAACCGATACGAGGCCCCCACTCCGGCCACTCGTTTGATCACAAGACCCCCTTGGCCTCACACCACTGCCAACCACCCAGCCGCGGCCAGCGCGGTTCCCAGGGGGGCGGGGGCCTGATGGTTGGCACCTGTTCTGGGCAGTGCCCACACGCACAGGTGACGCAGTCGGTCCGGACCAAGCAACAACACTAGACCACCCCCCACGTTCGTTGTCATATATATACAGCACTGTGGGAAGAGACGACGTCCAACACGACTCATCGCCCACACGCACCCACGTTACTCTCCTCTCATCAACCACATCCAAACCACACAATGAAGGTTCTCATCGTTCTTTACTCTGGTGGCCAGGCCGCCAAGGAGCAGCCCCGCCTCCTCGGCACCACCGAGAACAAGCTCGGCATCTATGACTGGCTGGTCAAGGCCGGTCACGAGTAAGTACCAACAAGGGGGGTGGCGCTGATAACGTCCAGGGTTGTCGTCACCGACGACAAGGAGGGACCCAACTCCGCATTCCAGAAGAACATTGTTGATGTCAGTCAAGAGTGGCTATGCAGACCGCTTTCCAGAAGCTGCTGACACCCCGCCTAGGCTGAGATTCTCGTTACCACGCCGTTTCACCCAGGCTACCTCACCAAGGAGGTCATGGACAAGGCCAAGAACCTCAAGCTCTGTGTTACCGCTGGTGTCGGTTCCGAGTGAGTTGTCATGGTGGCTACTCTAGTACCTAGCTAATCACTCCCCAGCCACATTGACTTGAACGCCGCCAACGCCAGGAAGATCACTGTCGCCGAGGTGTCGGGCTCCAACGTCGTGTCCGTTGCCGAGCACGTCATCATGACCATGCTCGTTCTTGTTCGCAATTTTGTCCCGGCCCATGAACAGATTATCGCCCACAAGTGGAACGTCGCCCAGGTGGCCCGCGACGCTTACGACCTCGAGGGCAAGGTTATCGGTACCATTGGGTGCGGCCGTATTGGTTACCGTGTCCTGCAGCGTCTCGAGGCCTTCAACCCCAAGGAGCTCCTGTGGTTCGACTACACCGACCTCCCCGCCGATGCCGCTAAGGCCATCAACGCTCGCCGTGTCGCGACTCTTGACGAGCTGCTGTCCTCTTGTGATGTTATCACCGTCAACTGCCCCCTGCACGAGGGCACTCGCGGCTTGATCAACAAGGCGGCCATTGCCAAGATGAAGAAGGGTGTCTGGCTCATTAACACCGCCCGTGGCGCCATCTGCGACCGCATGGCTGTCGTTGAGGCTCTCGAGTCGGGACACCTTGCAGGCTACGGCGGTGACGTCTGGGACGTTCAGCCCGCACCTGCCGACCACCCCTGGCGCGACATGCGCGCTCCCAACGGAAATGGAAACGGTGAGTGGCAGTTGTGGCCGCTTTCGAGTCCGTCGCCGGACTGTCATCCGACGGGTCCCAAGCTCGCTTATACGCGCTTTTGCTCCTTTGTTTCCCTTTGTTGACAGACGTAGCCATGGTTGCCCACTACAGTGGCACTACCATCGATGCGCAGGAGCGCTACGCCAACGGCACGAAGGAGATTATTGACAACTATCTCCAAGGCAAGCCGCAGAACCCGGCCAACATCATTGTGGAGAATGGTGACTACGCGTCCAAGGCTTACGGCCAGCGCAAGTAAGCAGGGAGTATGTATGCAGTATCTAGTGCCGAAGCGAAATGCAGTCTGTACTCATTGGAGGTTTGCTTGGGAGTAATCTGTTGGGTGGACGAGGAGGCAGCGGACGGCACGAGACGAACACGAGAAACCCAAAGCATTAATCGCACACGCAGTGACGTCCGTCTGTCGGTGATGGCCGTCCACCAGATGCTGATCGAATCGGTCACAAGGCTCGGCGGCACTTGTGGGGGCATGTGTGGTCACCTGCATCGAACAACACCTGCTTCCGAGCACAACCAGCAACACTACTGTCCGGCCTTCAAGTCGTAAGCGAGTTTGTTTGCATCATGGCTCTTCAGCTCCTCGGACCCTTTAGACTCCCCAACTTGAAGCCCTTCCCATACGCCGACCGTTCATATACTCGACCCACGATGACCGTGTCAGACCCCTTCAACGTGCTTCTCTTGGGAGCTGGCATGGTCAACTTTGGTCCGTAGCAACGGCGATGGGCCAGCTGTGCTAACCGTTGCAGGGACCATCGAAGGACCGTGGTGTCACGTACGTTGCACTAGTCACTACAAGATCGCTGACACCCACAGACTACACGCATTGAAAAGTGAGCGGCCCGCACAACCAGTTGCCAACCTTTCCAGGAAGCTAGGGGACCGCCTTTGTGTCGTCGGCGTTGTGGATCCGGACGCAAAGCGCGGAACAACAGCTCGGCATCAAGCGAGCTGCAGATGTTGTGGGGTACTCGACGTCGCAAGTGTTCCCAAACATTGAGGCAGCAGCCCGTGGACTCTCAGCAGAGTCCACTCCACAGTATGTGACAGCAGCAAGCCATGCGTCACTTCTGACATGCCCAGCCTCATCATATTTGGAATTCCACCCAACTTTCGTGGATCGTCGCTCAGTGGCAGTGACGCCGAACTCCAAGCTCAACATCACTTTCCCCGCGCGGCATTGTTCCTCGAAAAGCCGATCACCAGCGGGACGGCCGAGGATGCCAAGAGTGTCAGCTCTTTGCTCTCATCGGCTGGAACGCGCACGAGTGTCGGATACATGCTGCGATACCTTGAGGGTGAGTCCCGTATGCATCTAAACATTGCTTAAGGTATACAGCCACTCAGCAAATGAAGCGTATCATTCAAGAGCACAACCTCACGGTCACCGCCACCATTGCCATGTATCTTATGGCGTACGAGTTTGCCGGCACGAACGACCGTGTGTCTTATTTTGATCTGCGGCAGGAGCCTGGTCGTGAGTCCAAACCCGCGCCCAACCTCATTGACCAAACCCAGCCATTGTTTCTCAGGCCACGCACATTGTCGACCTCTGCCGCTACCTTGCCGGCTCGGAGGCTGATCTGGACACCGTCTTGGCCCACGTTCTCGAAGTCTCAGAGGCACCGGGAAGGCTCAGCCGTTGCACTTTCGAGTCGGACATTCCCGACGAGTTTAGTATCCCCCGCATCACGGACGCCATCTGGAAGTGGGAGAGCGGGGCGACGGCTACACTGGTACACGGTGTTGCGCTTCATGGTGGGTGGTGGGGTTCAAAGACCCTGTGACTGACCAGGCCGCGCAGACGGAGGGTACGATACGGAACTCACAGTGCTTGCGGACGGCTGGAAACTCAAGCTCGTCGACCCGTACGGAACTCCCCAGCTCCATGTTCGCAGGCCTGGACAGGAGATCACAGGTGCGTGTGGTGCATGGCGTCCGACGCTGACTTCGGCAGAAGTGACCACTTACACGTCCGACGACCCGTTCTACACCGAGGTGTCTAGCTTTATTGACATCATCGGCGATTCCGCCAGCGACAGAGCAGTCCTGTGCTCATACGACGACGCGATTGCGACTTATGAGCTGGTATGTTCCTCCGAGGAAGACCCGTAGCTGATACCTGAAGACCTGGGCTATTCGTGCGGCCGGCGAGGTGTCTGCCACCAAGCGCAAGGCCAAACGCATGTGATTCTATTTCGCCAACGACGCAGAGAAGCAAGTGACGTCTGGGCAGCGTCCGAGTACCGCACCATAGTCCATGTATACACCATATCACACGTTAGTGACCCCGGGTCCCCAGGACTCTTTGCTGACACTCACAGAAGAGCGAAGCAGGGCAGCCAGTGCACTAGGTCGCATACCAGAAGGGACTTTGCGTAACTTGCCGATCCCGACCCACCGATCCCACCGACTACGGCGTCTTCGCGTCTTCCCAAGCGCGCGCAAGCGCGCCAACGGCCTGGCAGCAGGCACGGCGCAGCGAGTTTGCGATTCCCTGGGTGTGGGTCGGCGATTTCATTTTCCTCATCCACCCGTCAGTCGGTCGGTCGCGGCTGGCACCAGGGTGCAATGGCGGTCAGTGCAAGACCTCAAGCGCTCTTTGCCGGTTTCTTGCCATCTCTGTTCGTCGCCACAACAGTGGACGATGGCGTGCCAGGAACACACTAGCCGCTCTCTCCCTCACATTACATGTGTCCCGCACCTGTTTATGGGGGCCGCTTCAGGTTCCATCGCTTTGAGCTTGGACTGTGGCCCTCATCTCGCAGTCTATTTCAGGCATGAGCAATGTCTTGTGAAGATGACGTGCGAGTGGGTAGACGCCGGCAGTCCGGACTGCCTTCACCGACACCGCAAAGGTGGAGGGGGGATACACTGCAAGCCGATAAAAGGTGAGCCTGGTGAACGATGTCAACGACAGAACTTTAGCCCAGAACACACTTGTCATGTCCCAGCTCGACCACCCTGCGCCGGTGCTGGAAAAGATTGTGCCGGCTGACGACAACTATGGCCACGACCCTGTTCACGACATTGACGAGCCGAACAAGACGGTTCTGCCACCATCACCCAGTGTCAGTGGCGATCTCGAAGCCGCACAGGCCGACGACAACAAGCAGTGGCTCGAGAAGGATCCCTTCGTCCATGATGAGGTCAAGGAGGTGGTCCCTGACCAAGCCTTCAAGTGGAACGTCGACGGCGACCAGAGCCCGTTCCCCGAGGTTGCTGCCAACGTGCCAAACACGGACGACCCCACTATCCAAGTCAATAGTGAGAATATCTACGAATGTCACAGTCCTCTGCTGACATTTACAGACGTGCGCATGTGGTTCCTCTTAACCGTCTTTGTTATTCTTTTTGCGGGCGTCAACCAGTTCTTTAACCTCCGCTACGTGAGTTCCACACCTCTTTTGGGAATACACCTTGAGCTGACGACGCAGCCATCGCTTACCATGGGCTATGTCGTGGCGCAGCTCCTTGTCTTCCCCATAGGCAAGGTTTGGGCACGCTTCTTGCCCGACTGGAAGATTGGGTTTGGGCGATTCTCGTTCCGACTCAACCCTGGCCCATTCACTATCAAGGAGCACGCCGTGATTGTCATCTGTGTGTCGCTCACTTCGACACCCGCGTACGCCATGCCTGCTCTGGTTGCCATCCAGAGTGACGTATACTGGGGCAGAGACTGGGTCAGTGATTAGGCCCAGCGCTGTTGCTGACGTCTGCAGGGAGCAGGATTTGGATTCCTCTACCTCCTCACGTCTCAAATGCTGGGCTTTGGCTTTGCAGGCCTCGCCCGCCGTTGGATCGTTTACCCTGCTGCATTGGTATGGCCCCAGACCCTCTCTTCTACGGCACTCTTCCGTGCCCTTCACGAGCAGTCTGACTCCGGCACCGCCAACGGCTGGAGCCTGTCTCGTGCGTTCACCGTTTGTTGTTGGTCTCTGGTATTGACGCTTCCTAAGGGTACCGATTCTTCGGCTACTTTACACTTTTCGCCTTTATCACGTTCTGGTTCCCGGACTACATTGCCACATGCTTGTCGTCGTTCGCTTTTATCACTTGGATCTGGCCGCACAATCAAAAGATCAATACAATCTTTGGCATGAGCTCGGGGTTGGGTCTCTTGCCTATTTCGTTTGACTGGACAGTTATCAACTATGCTGGCCAGCCGCTCATGACGCCGTTCTACATCACCGCCAACTGCTTTGCGGTCGTAGTTATCTTTTACTTGTTTCTCTCCCCGATCCTGTACTACAAGAATGTTTGGAACAGCGCTTAGTAAGACACGAGGTGGCAAACCCCCGCCTGTGATCTGCACTGACAACCTCATAGCCTCCCGCTTCTGTCGTCGAGCACCTTCGACAACACGGGTGGGACGTACAACGTATCCCGTGTTGTTAACCATGAAACCCTCGACTTCAACGCGACAGCATACCACGAGTACTCGCCAATGTACATTTCCATGTCGTACTCACTGTCATATGCCCTGTCATTTGCAGCAGTCACCTCCATGATTGTCTACATTGCTCTCTGGAATGGCAAGGACATTGTGGCCAAGTTTAAGAATGCGGCTCACGGCGGTGAGGATATCCACAAACGGTTGATGAACAAGTGCGTCAAGCCAGGGGTGCTGTAACTTCGCCCGTGCTGACAGGGACACAGCTACAAAGAGGTCCCCGACTGGTGGTACGGTGTCCTCACTCTCGTCGTTTGTGGACTCGGAATCTTTACTATTCGATACTGGCCAACTGAGCTCCCCGTCTGGGGCTTCATCGTCTTTTGCTGCGGCCTGGGGGCGCTCCTCATCATTCCCGAGGGAATTCTGGAGGGAACGACAAACCAGCGCGTGTTCCTCAACATTATCACAGAGCTTATTGCGGGCTACATCTGGCCAGGCAAGGCAGTAGCCAACATTATGGTCAAGACGTTTGGATATAATTCAGTCAAACACGGGCTGGACTTTGCCGCTGACCTCAAATTGGGCCAGTACATGGTGAGGAACATGCATCTCCGTGCTTCTGACGCCAGAAAATCTCCCCTCGACTCCTCTTCGCCGCCCAGCTCTACTCCGCGGTCCTCTCATGCGCAACGATTACTGGCGTTCTGCGCTGGATGATGGGTCACATTGAGGGCCTCTGCAATCCGAACAATTCCGCACGCTTCATCTGCGCTGGTGCCAAGGTCATCTACAACGCCAGCATCATTTGGGGTACTATCGGTCCCCAACGCATGTTCCAGCACGGACAGGTGTACAGCGCCATCATGTACTTTTTCCTCATAGGAGTGCGTTTTCTGGTGGTGTCAAGCAAACGCGTACTGACCATCACACCACAGCCGGTTTTCACGGTGGTCGTTTACCTCATCTATCGCCGCTACCCCAACAGCTGGGTCAAGTATGTTAACCCGCCAATTTTGTGAGCCACTCAACCCAAGACGTACCCCGAAACTGACACAGTACAGCTTCAATGCCGCAGGTAACATTCCCCCTGCCAACACAACGCAGTACTCGCTCTGGTTCATCTTCGGGTTCTTATTCAACCATCTTATTCGTCGCCGCGCGTTCGCTTGGTGGAAGAAATACAACTGTGAGTGAATGCTCGCTAGAGACATATTCGTCTGCCCTGACACTCCACTCGTAGATCTGCTGCAAGCGTCAATGGACACCGGTGTGGCGCTGGCAACTATTCTCATTTTCTTCGCCTTGTCCTACACAGGGACAGTCTTTTCATGGGCACTCAACAACGTTGGAGCGAACACATACGATAAGAAAAGTGTTCCATGGCTGAAGGTTGAGAGTGGTTCTCATTTCGGACCGGATGTCGGCACCTTCTAGTACATATGCGAGTAGTCTTTGCAGTGGATGCAGCGCGGGCTCTGTTTTGTGACGGCCCCGGTCCATGGTGACCTACAGTGCTGGTCCCGGGTGCTACTCCCGGGTCTCCCATTGCATCTTTGGTAGAGACTGGGGAGACGGAGTCTAAGCAACCGTAGAACCACCCACCTCACGTCGGAGGAGAGGAACATGGTAAACAAGCGCGGGTCGTCTTTGCAGACCCCCCTGATCATCTTGGACCACACCTCCCCAACGTGACCTTTTGGGACCTTCCGCCGTCATTACCCCACTAAATGTATAGGCCAAGCTGCGAACAAGCACCTGTCTTCTTGGAAGCCTTCCACGTCTCGAAGTGTGTACCGGTATCCGGACCCAATCGTGCTCCTACATCACGGGCTCTATACAGCTTGTCCTCTCCGCCAATCTGAAGCGGTCTCGCTGGAGCTGGTCGTATCACCAACGCGACACTCGGGTCATTGGCAGGCGCTAGTCTGACAAACCGGGTTCCGCTGGTCTCTAACAATGGGCACACGGCCAAAGGGTCTGAAGATTGGGTTGGGCCGACAGCACGCTTGGAAAGCATAAGGCAGCATGTCGCGGACACATGTCAGCTGTCAGGAATACTGACACCGCTGTATTTCGCCGTACCCGGCTGCAACGTGGTGCCGAGGCAATACATAAGGACCCCATATACAACGTTCTCATACCCCCTTACCGAACACTAGATATACGGCCTCTCAGCCTGTGAAGTGATGCGGGCTCCATGTCGCTTGGCCGTGGTGACGGCGTCAAAGTCCACGAGCGCAGAGTGGGCTGTGACCCTGTTGTCCCAAAGAACAACGGTCCTCGGCTTCCAGCGAAGGCGAACCTGGAAGTCGGCGCCCTTTTCAATATGCCCGTACAGGAGCTCCAGGAGCGCGTCCGACTCCTCCTTCTTGAAGCCGACGATCCGGCGCGTAAACTGGCGGTTCACGAACAGGGCCTTCTCGCCAGTGACGGGGTGTCGGCGGACAATAGGGTGCTCGTTGATAACCGGCTCGCGCTTGACAATGCCACCGCGCTTGCCTTTGCGGGAGTGCTCAGCCTGCTCGACGCCCGAGTGCGTCGCCTTGAGCGTCTCGAGAAACGCGGCGAAGGGCGGTGACAGACGCTGGTACGCCTGGCGCTGGTCAACGTACGACGTGTCGCCTCCCGATTTGGGCGAGTCGTACAGGAACAGCGCGGTCAGTCCGGGAGGCTGCTTCTCATATGTGACGTCGGAGTGCCAGAGGACCGAGGTGAGCTGGTCGGGCCGCTCAAAGTTGAGCGTCGAGTTGGGGCTGCGGTAGACGAGGTGAAACTCGGGGTAGCCCTCTGGCGCGCCAGAGGTTGGGTGGATGTGCGGACGGCCGAAGAACTGGCCCCAGTTGCGGATCTGCCATTCGGGTGGTTGGTCGATGAAGTCTTGATCGCGGAAGGCCTGTGGTGGATAGGCGGTTGTACAGTGGGCAATAGCGGGCAATAGCAGGGCAGAGAGGGGCAGTCAGCAGTGGTTTAAAGAAAACAGAACAGTTGCGGGGCACAAATAACACGCGCTGTCGATAGACTCACGACCACGCCCCGCTGGGCTACGAACAGCGCAAGCTGTTGCCTCCCAGCGTCGTCCAGCTGGGAGAGCTGAACACCCGTGACTTCGGATCCAAAGCGGGGAGTCAGCTCGTCGACGTCCGAATTGGCGAGGAACGCGAGCGGATCGGCGTGCTCCTTCGCCTCGTGTCCGGGATCCTTGTGCTCGAACTCGGTGAGCGGGGGGAGCTTGAGGTGACCGTCAAACGTCGGCAGAAGATGCTTGTAGGGGTACAGGTCGTCCGAGAGCCCAGTCTCACTGAACCACTGGGGTTTCGCTCCCTTGACCGGGAGGGCAGGGGCGAGTTTGAGTGTCGTGACGCTCGCGTCGACTGCGGTGATAGTATCGGTCGTCATGTTTGTGCTGGGTTGATGGGGATAGATAGTACACGAACCGGGCGCCTTTTATCAACCAATCCACCTGTCTTACAGAGCATGTGCAGTCAAGTCGTCATTGCTGCTCGGTTCTGCTGACAAGTGTTGCAGTTGAGAATACAGGCGATGGCCGATGTGGTGAAGGCGTCAACAACGGCAAAGTGACGTGCTTCATCGCAATGCCCTGTCGCCAAACTCGCTTCGTCGGGTCGGTCAGACACGCATCCCACGCCGGGGCTCTGCGCACTCTCCCATCTCCAACAACCACCACGGCGCTGGCGTCATCTTGGAGGTCTAGCGTGTGTGGTTTCTGGCGATGAATTACTGGGAGACAATGGGTGACAACAAACTGAGCCTGAACATTGAGCCTGATGTGACTGTGACGTAAGCTTGCTCCTGCTGTCGCTCGCCCATTTTTACACTTTGTACGGTCAAAGCCGCCAAAGCCGCCAAATCCGCCAAATCCGCCCAGGCACGAGCACTGTCGAGGACGGTTGTCTGTCCTAACCGCTGACTTTTGACCTTTGCCTCCTGTGTCACCCGTGTACCAGTGTCACCACCCCATTGAGGACGAAGTTGCATCATTCCACCACGACCACCTTGACTACACGGAATTCTGCAGCCCTTATTGGTCCTCCCAGGCCTCGACCTTGGTGGTAGCAAACTTGCGGGCAGAGACGCGTCGCTCAAAGAGGATGTCCAGCTCTCGGTAGCTGCGCCCGCGCATCTCAGGAAGACGGAAAAAGACCCAGATGCAGACGATCGCGGCTGTACCGGCGGCAAAGAAGGCCGTGTATCCACCCCAATTCCAGGCTGAAGGGTTGAGCATGTAGTTGAAGAGGGTTCCGAAAGGCATTCCCACGAGGTTGTACGCGTTTCGGGAGAGGCCAACGGTAAGACCTCGGAGTCGGGTCGAAGACGTTTCGCCCACGATGCAATAGGCGAGCGGGCCGATAGACAGGTCGAAAATGAACACCCAGAGCATCATAAGAACACCCTGAGCCCACTTGGCACCGTTGGCATGGGAAACGGTCAGGATACCAATGATGAGGAGCATCATTGTCAAGAAACAGGAGCCATAGACCATGATGGTTCGTCTGCCGAATCTGTTCAGGATAAACCAGGAGAGAATGGTTCCGACGAAAGCCATGCCAACAGATCCGAGGTTGAATGAGAACGAGTCTTCCGCGGAGATACCGACCTGCTGCAGGAAGTACACAAACGATCCGGCGAAGGAAAGACCGCAGAGGTTTTGGGAAGCCCAAGCGAAACAGGCAATTTCAGTTCGGCGCAGGTCGGAGCCCTTGAAGCAGTCCCAGTAGGTGGTGCCGGCCGACACCTTCTTCTCGTGGTCGTCCGTTCGGATCATCATGGCGATAGTGTCTCGGGGGTCAACCTTGGAGCCCTTCTTCTGAATTCTGATGATAACAGCCGTAGCCTCCTCAAGACGGCCCTTTCGGACGAGGAACCAAGGCGACTCAGGAGCGTAGTTGATGAGGATTATCAGAGGAATAGGCCAGATCCATTGAATAGCGAAGGGAATTCGGAATCCCCACTCGTCGGTTCGTGACGACATGGCCTTCAAAACACCGGCGGCGAGGAATTGACCGATAATCCAGCACAAGTTGACGTAGGTCTGGCAGGATCAGCGTATGTTCATTTGTGGGGCGCTCACCGTAAGGTATCCTCGGAGTGCTACAGGAGTGATTTCACTGGCGTAAGAGACGACGCTGGCTTGGAAAACGCCCCACGCCCAGCCGCAAAGGTGGTAACCGACAGCGAGCATGACAATGTTGACGGCGAAGAATTGGAGGAATACGAAGCAGAACATGGCGGCAAGCCCACCCTGAATGATTCGTCGATAACCGTATTTCTGTTGCAACCCGGAAGTGACAAAAATCGACAAGATTGATCCGACGCCACCGCAGTAATTCAGACCAGTCTGCCAGGCAGCGGTCAACTGGTAACCTGATTGAGCATCGACGTAGACACCGTATTTTTGTCGAAAGGCGGGGAGACCATTGAAGTTACCCTGCAGTGTCAGCGGGGCAGTGGGGAACTGTATCAAGACTCACAGGAAGAGCAGTATCGTAACCTTCCATGATGATACAGAGGGAGATGGCAAAAGACCAAAAGACGGCTGCCTTGTAGTCTCGGATAGCCTCCTTAAAAGTCATCTCACTTTCTTCCTGCTCGGCGACCATGGCACCTTCCAGGTCGGCACCGACCAATCCTTGAGCCTTTTCGACCACTTCCATGTGGCGGTACTCATCGTCATCCTTCTTCTTCTCTTCGGCCCGAGACTCAATAGCCGGGACCTCCGAAACGAGTTGTCGCTCAATGACAGCAGCCATAATGATTCTGTTTCGGGTGGTCGCCAATGAGGTGGTCTGGTGGTGGTTGTCGAAGTTAGAGCTGACAGTGGGGGTAGATCTGAAGATAGCCAGAATGAGGTCTTTATCACAGAAGCAGGGGGCTTTAGGCAATCTGGATCATCGGCCGGAAGCCCCATGGGCCACCCCACTTTCCAGCAACGTTGCCAAGGAATCGGTGGCCGGTCCGCAACAGGTGGCACAGTGGGCTCCCCGATTCAACGATAGTCACCGAAACGCCGAGCTGCGGACCGGTGACGTCATCCGCCGGCTGATAACCGACGAGCAGTGCGAGTTCACAGATCGTCGCAGTGCATGCTTGCCCGCTAGTAGGCCGCAGGGTAGTTGATGCACCTCGTCTTCCTCAGTGCCAAGGCGGGCCCGGCTGGGGTTCATCGATACGATTGCGATTCAATGGGCTTTTGGGAGCGCGGCGCGACGGACCGGTGACGTCGCCGGCCCGACTGAGTGCCACCGATCAGTACGAGCGCAACATTGAACAGGGTTATGACACCGGAAGAGGACCGACTTGGCACACACATCAGCCGGAGGGGCTCGGACCTGGTCCGATGACACCAGGCTCGCAATGCATTCGACGACATTGAGTTTCCCGTCATAGGAGACACAATATCCTTTGATAGACCATAGAAAAGATGCAAATACATAAATCTTAACGATTTCATGCAAATAGCATGACATTTGTTGAGATTACGTAACCACTTGCGCCACTGCAGTGTGGCACCGAGCTGACCAGAGAACGAGGGTACCGCACCAATGCTGCTCTTTCTGCTTTTTCATTGTCCTCGTACTTCTCTGTAGTGCTCGGGCCTTCCTTCTGTGTGCATATAAGCAGCTCTGTAGACGTGTATGCGTCCCCATCCTCTTCTGAAAGATAAACTGCTAGCCAAGGACCATCAGTCTTGGGCGCTAAACGGCATCAAATTCCAACAGACATTTGAACAATCCGCAAACACAAATGACTGGATTGAGTAACAAAGGCAGTGGAAGGTGTACCGTATTGCGTATTGATGTGTGTACTGTACTGTCAGGGGACCCGGAGTTGAAGACCGTGGTTCGATTGTCGTCTGTTTTGGCGCAAAAGGCCGCTAATTTGATTCTGGGGTTGCGGGTGAGGCCTCATTTGACCGCCGCACAGCATACTCAAGAACGTGCGGTCCGCAAGCTGGACATTAAGGAGGTCGCGATACCCGTGGCACGCCGCTGAGACGACTTTTCCGCGGGTCCACAAGTCGACAATGAGCTTGTGCAGCGCAGCCGAGTCGATGAAGTCGTACATGACTGCGTGACCACCTGTCAAGTAGATGGCGTGGACCTCGTCGGGATTGATATCGGCCGGAGTCTTAGTGTTCTCGAGTAGTTTCATCTTTTTCTCGTCACGCATCCACGACTTGGCAGTTGCATCGAGGTTGAAGTAGGTGAGCGAACGAGGTTCGGAGGGGACCTTGCCGCCCAAGGGGCTGATAAGCGTCTGGGTATAGCCCCTGCTGTCGAACTGGTGCCACGCATGCGTGAGTTCCGAGAGCCATAGACTGGTCCTCATCACATCAGAGCACGGTTGTTTCGTGGGGGTTATGGGGTCTTCATCATCAATCGAACAGAGAGGGTATGTATGGCATTAGCGATGCCAACAGCGGCCAGCTATGCCCACAGTGTACGAATCTTTTCCTTAATTGAGCCCCAGACTGATTGCGTAGTCCTACCCTGTATCAATGTGCTAGTACAGTCTAGTCCTGTACAAAAGATGAAACCTGCAAAGATTGCTGTTGCAATGGATCACGCGCTCAAATGTAGCCGAGATGACCGCCAGCGACGGGCTGGATCTATATTTAGGTCTCGGAATAACACACTACCTTGGAACGACCTTTGCCAGAACACGAGAATCACATGGGCCCATCCATCGGCTGTGATGGTGGAGCTTCTGCTCAGCTGGCATCATGACATCAGAGATCCGACGCGGGACCCGTAGCGGCTCCCACGGCGTGGCGCCGACATGCATATAAGACTCGTCCTGGATGCACATCGCCAACCATAGTCGCTGTTTCACGATCGGAAGTGAATCACTGCAAGAGTCTGTCTCCCCCATCGCATTCTACCTCTCTGTCACCATGGCCAATCCACACCAATACGCTCTTGAGCCGGCCGCTCTGGCTTTTGCGGAAGCGACCTCGAAGCCGCCTTTTCTCTACCAGATTCCCCCGGAAGATGGCCGCAAGGCCGTCGATGCGGTGCAGGATTCCGAAATCTTCAAGCCTGATGTCGACGACAAGTGGATTGAGGTCAACAGCGGCAAATTCGGCAAGGTCGCTACACGCATCCTGAAGCCTAAAGGAGTCGATGGAGTGCTACCAGTGGTGCTCTACACGCATGGGGCTGGCTGGGTGTTTGGCGACGCGCACACCCATGATCGTCTCGTCCGCGACCTATGTGTCGGAACAGGTGCCGCGGTTGTCTTCCCCGAGTACACTCGAGCCCCAGATGCCCAGTATCCGGTACAGAACGAACAGGCATACGCAGTAGCGAAGTGGGTTGTCGAGCACGGAAAGGACGAGGGCCTCGATGGAACCCGCATGGCCATTTCAGGCGACTCTGTGGGAGGCAACATGGCCATTGTATTGCCCATCATGGGTAAAGAACGCAAGGAAGTTTCATTCAAAGGTGTAGCCGCCTTTTATCCCGTTACCGAGGCCAACTTCGACACGGGGTCGTACATCGAGTTTGCTGATGGTTACTTCCTCTCCCGCCAAGGCATGATTTGGTTTTGGGATCAGTATACAACCGACGAGAAGCAGCGCGCCGAAATCACAGCTAGCCCACTGAAGGCAACCGAAGAACAGCTCGCCTTCTTCCCACCGACTCTGATCATCACTGCCGAGTGCGACGTGTTGCGCGATGGCGGAGAGGCTTTCGCCGCTAAGCTTCGACGTGCAGGCGTGAAGGTCACTGCGGCTCGCTATGGCGGCATTATCCACGATTTCGTCATGGTGAATTCAATGCACGACACCCAGGCGTCGAAGGCCGCTATCGCCCAAGCGATCACCCATCTCCGCCAAGTTCTCTTGGCTTAAGACTGGATGGCTGCGACGAAAGGCAGATCAAACAGCAGCGAGGGCCATCCATTTTGACCGTAACTGTAGTCGAAGAGACATTGCCTCCCTTTATGCAATGGCTTATGCTTATGTAGTAGTCTAATGATGTCCGTCCTTTCTACAAACGAGAACTAACGACAGAAGGCTTCCGGTCTTCACAAGAGAATTCCGACCGTTCAACCCTCTCCGCCAGCTTGCAGGAAATAAAAGTCTATCCCCATCTGCCTCTCAATTCCTGCATACTCGCCTCCGTCCGGAGGGCTCGACTGTGCGTCAGGCGTACGGCGGCGCGGACCTGTGAGAGATGGCACATCGTGGACGAATATAGATTTTGGGCGTACTGCATGAGACCCGATATCATTTGCGCTGTGTCTGATTTGTCAGCTGGTCAGTTTGCTCATCATCTATCTCTTCCCACAACACCCCGGAGGGCTTTACGGTAGTAGGAGGCCATGAGCCGCAGACAATCTCTCTCTCTAGGCTATCCACGCAGTATGTGGGAGGCGCAGTCGATCCCACCCCAGTGCCTGTGAGTGCCATCCGACTTTTTTTTTGGTGGCCGATGGTACCAGCCCCAACACTGAGGAGGATGAGTGGGGCTCCGTTGTAGAGGCTTTGGCAGTTCCGCTGGTTGCGGAGCAGCTGCTGCTCGCCTCGACGCTGACGGGCCGCGAGCAGCTGACTTTGGAGACAATGAACATCTTGAAGACCTTGGGGGCGTTGGTGTCGAAGTCGGGCGAATAGCGTGACTTCTGGGCAAGCTCGAACCAGTGAGGTACCTCGAGTACCGCTGTGCGTGTGAATGGAGTGTACCGGCTTACACCACTCACCTTTGTGGTGCGAGAAGGTGTTGAAGCCGTGGACACCGTAGTAGGCGCCCCATCCACCTTCACCGATGTCACCGAAGGGAACGGTGGTGGCAGCGGGAGTGAAGGCAACGTCGTTCCAGATAGCCGAGCCACTGAGGGTCTCGTGGATGACTGGGGTGTCAGCGGGTTGCGACGCATGGCTCCTACTCACGCTTGTCAAAGTAAAAGAGGTTCTTGGAGAGAACGTAAAGAGCGAGAGGAGGCCGCCTGGCGTTGACATACTTGATAGCAGCCTCAACGGCCTGCACAAGTCAGTTTTGGCCTAACACGGGGCACATACATACGTCGACGGCCAGAATGGGGAGGATGGGGTCAATGATCTCGTCGTTGACGACAAACCCCCCACTCGCCGTCACCGTCCTTGGGTAGCTGGACGATGTTGATGCCAATGCGCCAATGCGCAACCAAGGGACACTGCCTGGCGCTTGCTGTATCCTGCCCGAAATAACACCGACGAGGCTGTCTTTCTGGTGTGGGAGGCATTACGACATACTGTATTTGTCTGGTTCGCGGACACATGTAGGCATTCCATCATAGTGTAAAAAAGGCAGCCACTATCTAAGCGATGTATGGAACAGGCCATGACTGAATTTCCGTTGCTGGGTAACTAACGTACATACGTATATCGCGGACTGCGGAAATGGCGGGCCAGACCGATGCCTAGCTAGGCCAACATCCCTCAAAAGCACGAACTCTTGTCCCTCCCCAACTACGAATTATACGAATTACGCGGGTTAGCAAAGCGTTCTAGGAGGAGAACGGATCTTGCTAGTCGTCGTTGGGCCACAGAAGGCCACCATCGTTGCCGTACTGGCACTGACGTTGGTCATTGCCCTGACAACCACTGTTGCACCCGGTATTCCCTGTGACAGCGCCATTGTTCTTGACTGCTTGGTCCACGTTCGCTTGCTGGCTGTTTGTCCAGGACCCCAGACAGGCGTAGTTTCCAGTATATTAAACCGTGGCCTGGCCATCGTGGTAGGTCATCATCGGCTGGTACCAGATGCTGTGACAGCCGCTTTCAACATAGTTCCAACTGCAGGTCTCCGTCGTCGCAATACCTGCTGTGTCGCTGCGAGAGAAGCCGAAAGTCAAGTGAAGCGCTTCCTCAAAATCGCCCGTAATGCCGGCTGTCCACGACTGTTCAATCGAAGCTGTCTTTTGAATAGACCAAGTGCAAACGTCGCAGTAGAAGCATCCGCCAACTTGCTGCCACGAGTCGTACCAGTAGCCCCACGCATCCGTGTGATAACCGTAACTTTTGGCGTACAAGCAGGTTGCATCCCGCCCCTCGAGGACAGAGTCTTGGCGACGGAGGATTGAATCGAGCCCTGTCGCATTGTAAGAGACATCGACCAGGGTCGAAGTCCCGTTCACCTCCTGATAGGAGAAGGTGTATGGGCTGGGAAGGAAAGAGATTGGGTTGTAGCTGCTAAGATCGACGTGTTCAAGAAGCTGTTGGACTGTAACTGGCGCATGCTGGTTATCGAGAGATGCGCCATCGTGCTTGAGAGTAAGAGACGAGAGCCAGAGGATGACCTCAGAAGAAGTCATCGGCTTGAAAGTTGACCCCAGTGCCACAGAGTACTGAAAGACTCATCGTGAGCGGAGAGTGCTGTTCTCTTGTGAACGGCACATTCAATTCTACATTGTCGCAATGCACGACAACTCAGAAGACTGCATATGCGGTCTGCAACGCCGCCTTCAACTCCGCCAACGTGACTTACAACTCGACTGTGTCATGTTCAGCTGCTCAACCGCCCTGTCGTCTTGCGAACCCCCTAAGTTCATACGACTCAATGCATCAATACTCACGTCGCGACGATCTCCTTGACGAAGTCGTCAACACGCTGCTTTATAACGAGGATGTAGTCTGGGGTAACGCAGACCTTGCGGGGTGTTAGCCGGATACGACGTGCTGCAAGTCGTCACGCTCTTGACCGAGGTTCAGCGACTTCATTGGGAGGACACGCAGATAGCCCATCTTGAGGCCGGCGTCCGGCTCCACAATGACCGAGCTCTTGCAGCCCAGCTCGAGCGTGGTGGGGGTGAGCGTCTTTGCGGAGGCGCCGGCAACGATCTTGCTGATGTCTCCAGAACCGGTGTACTTGAATGCTGGGTCAGTAGTGTTGTGAACTGGCCACCCCATGTGTCCCCACTGCTTCTGGAGTGCTTCTGGAGAAGGACGGTGGTCTGATCAACACCGCCGTTGATGACAGCATAGGCCTCGGGGTCGAGGTAGCGGGGAATGAGCTCCTCCATAAGGGCGGCCGAGGCGGCGAGCGTTCCGACATCTGACAAGTCAGTTGATGATTCCCAGCAAGACGCTCACCTTGATGACCGCCGGGTACCCAGCGGCAATGGCGATATTACACTCCGCAGAATCCCATTTTCACACTCCATCCGATAAGCGGGAGCAAATCTTGATTTAGCAAAGTTATGCGGTTAAACTGCGTTACAATAAACTAGCTGGTCATCCTAATCAAGGGGGAATACATATAAACGAAAATGGACATATAACATGAGATCCTAATAGGGCGCCCAAGATCCTAATCGGCGCAAGTAGGACTGTAAGTAAGTACCGTGCTGACATCTTGATCACTGTGGCATTTTCCATTAGAACACCTCAGCAGATATAATAAACCCAATTTCTCCCTCCACAGAAGAGACAGACCTTGCATGGCTTGCTAAACGTCTCCTACATAGGAAAGGGCACGTGTAAAACGATTACAACGCACGAATAGTGCTCTATTTAAGACAGACGTGCGTTTTGAAGCCTACATGACGTGTAAGTATTGTAACGGAGTGCAATGATGTGGTTTAGCGGTTTGGCGGAGTGTAATAAGAGGGGATCTAGATGGGGTAGTTGTCGAGTATGCGTATGCATTGAACCACTCACCTTCGGCCTGGGCGTCCACCCTGCTTACACCCTTTCTGTTCTGCAAGAGAAAGAACGAATCATATGCCCCAGTAAACGGACGACGTGTCACCACACCTAAAGCCGAGATCTCCTATCTCGATCCGGTAGCCGCGGAATTCTGGACATCTGTGGGACTTGGCACCAACGCACTGTCGGGATGCATCTCCGTTGTTGTTGTTTTCTGTTCGACTTGCTCATTCCCTGACACAATGTCAAGACACAGCGCGACTCCAACACATGGGTCGCAGAGGTCATCGTCTGGTCCCATTCGAGTCAGCCAGAGGCAACCGCAGAGGTGGGGTTCACCGTCCTGTCATTGCTGACCTGGGTAGCTGTACAGAATGTACGAGGTGAGCTTCCAAGGCACCGGTGTCACAGGGCATACCATACAAAACTGACGTCTACACAGACGAAGACTAAGTGGGTTTGAGGTGACCTTGACTTCCCCTGCCCACACTCACTGGCGCCAGATGTAACCGACAGGTCCCATGCGTCAACTGGTATGTCACTCGCGAACAACAGTTACTCACCTCATCGGACAGTCGGAAGCGAGGTGTTCCAGAAAAGTGCTGCATTGAACAGGTCATTCCTTCCAAAGAACTGTGAGTCAACTGGTCCTGCTCGATATCTTCTCCAGCCTAACTGTTAACCAGGAACAAAGCCTCCCGAGTCAGCTCGCTGAGGGAAGACATGCTGGCTGCCAATGCCCAACTCTCGATGCGCATTGGCGAGCTGGAACGACTTGTCGGTTCAACCGTGTCTGCTCCAGCTTTTAATTCCTCGAGCACCGTATTCGCTAGTACAGCACCGTCGGGGGACCTTGCTCCTTCCGAAACCTCGCCGACGCAACAACTTTCACAGTCCATGGAACAGGAACCGGTGAGTGCCCAAGCCGACTGAGCAAGCCAAGTTCGTGTCTTCGACGTTGATGACATTGTCCAGGTTCACAACGTGGATGTGCCCGAGGATCGCTTGCCTCTTGACGACGACGAAGCAGACGCAGCGACCACTCTTGAGTTGTAAGTCGTGCCGTGTATGCCGTCGCTAACCTTCAAGTCTTGCCATCGGACGTGTCCGCGGCAGGTCCCCCGGTCACCTGTACGAAGCTGAGTCACCCGAGTCCGACTCGGTGTATGATTCGGACGCGTACCATAGCACAAGCGTGAGTCTAGCAGTCCTCACAACGCACATCTAACCGCACCAGATGTCCTCGCACGCTGGTGGCCCCAGCCAATCTCCAGTCGTCCTCAGTTTGACGGAGCCGACATGCCCCATTCAGCTTCCTCCGGTCATCAACTCGCGCCCTGACCGACACCTAATCGCAGTGTACCGCAAAGCGGTACGACGCGATATCTTGGCCCAGCTCCCGTCCGTCGCCGTAGGCCAGGCGCTGATTCAGTTTGACATGGATAATGTGGCTTGGATGCACTGGTGGGTTTCCCTAAGCTTGACCCGGCTAACCCAACAACAGCTGCTATCATGGGCCCACCTTCAGTAAGCAGGTGGTTTGGTGTCGGTGACGGCATTCTGACCTGCTACAGAACGGGAGACCGACCTGTTCTGGGCCGCACTCGGTTCAGACGACGTGGAGATCAACTGGAGCTTTCTGGCGCTGCTGTTCGGTGTACTGATGGTTGGTTCTCAGTGCCAAACAACTGCTGACCTACTCAGTCAGGGGCATACCACCTACCTACCCCCTAGCACATTCTCTTACCTGTTCCCTTCTTGTGAGGCTAAGAGAACTAGGTTGTGGGCTCACACGCCTCCCAGACAAACGCCTGGAACTTATTACCCAGTGGTTCGAGGCGTGTACCATGTGTCTCAACGAGGGCAACTGGATGCGTTCACATAGCCTGTGAGCTTGAGTCGTGTATCCTTGAAATGGCTGACCGTCAGATATGCTGTGCAATGCGTCGCCGTCATCACCTCGGCCGCAAACCATATCGGAAAGGCCGATCTCTACTTTACCCTACTGGGTTCAGCTGTGCGGTGAGCAGAGCACAGGCGGCAGACCTCGTCGTTCCATGAATCTGATAGCAACAGTATTGCCCAGTCACTCCGTCTCCATCAGCTTGGTCCGGACTCGGAGGTGACGTATCGGTCCAAGAACCCAAGAGTCATCATCGAGAGGGAGGTGAGGAAGCGGACATGGTATCAGCTTGTCTACCAAGGTGAGTCTGCGTACCACATTTACATCCACCAACCTACTTAGATGCGTTTCATGTTGCATTCAACGGAGCTTGCTGTACGTTCATAATTTTGAGTATTTTGTTGCGGACTTACGGAAACCCAGCCGTCAATCGCGCTCAATTCAACACTGCACCACCCCTGCATGTCATAGAAAACAAGCTCGAGTTGGGAGTGGAGGAGGCTGAAGTCTCATACGACATTCCCACTACCGACTCGCATGTCTGCCAGCTCTACAAACGTCAGTCCAGGGTGGTTTACTCTGCTAACTATTCAGTCGCACTGCAGGTTAACAGGTGATTGAAAGATCGGCCGGTAATGTCCAAACTAACCGATGTCCAGAGCATACTCGTCCACAGACCACATGTCGCCCATGTCTTATGAGGCGCTTTTGGAGATTGACCACGACCTCCACACGGTTCAGGAAGAAGCTCCAGAATGGATGAGGGATGAAAAGTTTGTTCTTGGGCCCAATGCGCCGGCGTGGGCCGATTGGCAACGAAAGGCATACATTGTGAGTTAAGCCCCTTCCCTACGCATTTGCAGCTCACATCCTCAGCTCTCTGCAGCTCACAAGGTATAGTGTCTACGCGCGAGTTGTTCACCAACCTTCCAGGTCATTGTGCTTCACCGACCGTTCCTTGGTCGCGCATTCCGTGGCGACCCGCGGTATGCTCGTTCTCGTGCAGTGAGCATATTCGACTTGATCCCAGCGACAATATCACTAACACTGTCATGTCAGACTTGTCTTGAGCATGCACACAAAATCCTACGAATATTCAAGGAAACTTCAAATCAGCAGTTCCGGACCACCTGGTCAGCTTACCGTTTGTGACTTGGCAGCTGATACTCCCAAGACCGTGCTCGTCCACGCCGTCGCAGCATGTCTCATTCTCCTCCTTGACGAATCCCATCGTACCGATTATCTGTCAGTGGTCAAGGCCACCACAACTGTGCGCGAGACGCTGGTCATCCTGCACGATCTGGCCGACTTTTCCATAATTGCCAAGAAGGGATACCTCGTGATCTCTCCCTTGATCGAGGACTCCGCGCAGCTCACCGACGCCGGTTCCGTAGTGACGGTCAAGGACCGAAACGACTTCCTCGGCCGAACCGAGGGCGAGCTCAAGCGCGCTCTCGACATGTTCCGCCGCGGAGATCAGGATGTTGGTCCACCGCCAGCCCCAGCGTCAGCGTTTGAACCATATCGAGCAGCCGGTGCAGCTACTGCACAGACACTGGGAGCCATGGTAGGGACGGGTGGCGGCGAGTTGCTGGTGCCACCATTCCGACCCGCAGCTGCCGGGACGCACCTGGAGCCCGGCGCTCTGGCCGAGGTCTGGGACCCGTTCTTGTGGACCTCGCAGGTTAATCTGGAGTCGCTTGAGCTGGACTTGGATGCGGTAGACTGGGATAACTTCTGATTTTTGAACATGCATGACTAGAATTGTCATTAGTGGGGATGTTGCAGGTTTGTTAATCCCCAAGCTTTGTCCTTCAAATATATCATCATCGCCATCTCGGACGAGCTCATCCGAGCGCCATCGAAGCTGCGGGTGCTTCAGAATGTCAGTTCTCGGTGAGTTTAGTTTCGGAGCAGGTAGAGCATCAGACCGGGCCAGTTTCCACTCTCGTTCCCTCCCTGGTGTCGGATGATTTCACTCTCGTTCCCTCCCTGGTGTCGGATGATTTGTTAATCGGGCGACATCTCGTTATCTCAGCCGGATTGGCCATCTTTCCCTACCTCCGGATTCGACCATGTAACACAGTTAAAGAGCCCACCTGTGGATCTTGCGTCCACAACATTAACTATACCACTTTCCACCATGACCGGATTCAAGACTGTGACGTTTGCCAAGCATGAGGGAGTCGACATCAAGCTCGACTACATGCTCCCCGCGGCCGCTACTCCCGGGAGCAAGGTTCCCATCCTCCTCTGGTTCCACGGCGGCGGCCTCCTCATGGGCACGCGCACGTGTGCATGGTCCCACCTCGTCAACGCGGTTGAGAAGCATAACCTTTGCCTCGTAACAGCCGACTATCGCCTCGCACCTCAGACGCGCATGCCGGGCATCATGCTAGACGTCAAGGCTGTGATGGATTACCTCAACTCGCCCGACTTCCTCGTCGAGACAGGCGGTGTGGTGGACCAGCAGAAGATTATCGTCTCGGGCGGCTCGGCTGGAGGATGGCTCGCGCTGCTCATTGCGACTGGAGTTGGATTCGAGGCATGCGGCCTCATGGCGCCCCCAAAGCCACTGGCCGTCGCTCCACTCTACCCCATCACCGACATCGAGGCACACTTCTTCACCTCCAAGCAGTACCCTGTGTCGTACGTCAAGCAGATGATCCCCGAGTCGGCTGTCGCACCGTTCCTCGACCCCAACGCACCGCAGTCCAGCGAGTGTGCCCTCACTAGTCCTCGAATGAAGATGTACCCTTACATGGTGGGTGTGATGTACGGAATGCTGCTAACCAATGCAGGTCCAGGAGGCGATCGAGCAGCAACTTCTTCTCGAAGGGACCAGCATTCCCGCCAGCGCATTCAGCATTGCTCCCGCAGTTGCTGCCGGCCAGTGCTCAATGCCACCCATGTACATTGTGCACGGAACGTGAGTTGGCTGAGATGTAACGTCCAGCTTGCGTGCTGACCTCTGCGTGTAGCATTGACGACAAGGTTCCCATCAGCCAGTCCGAGGACGTGGTCAAGGCATGCCAGGCGCGGGGATTCGAGGTCGAGTTTGAGGTCCTCGAAGGTGTGGACCATCTCTTTGACATGGACCCGAAGTACCAGCTTGAAAACATGTACGCCTTCATTGACAAGCTGGTCAAGTAGATCAGTAGAGAGATGTGAAGCGCTGCTGCTGTGTGAACGATCTGCGCTGCTGCTGTGTAAACGATCTGCAAGGTTGCAAGTACTTGGGGAGAGCAAAGATCTTCATGCGGGCTTATTGCTGAAAACCATGGTGGATAGATAAGTTACGGCACTCATAGAGAGGTTGGGCCAATTGCACTTCGCTTCACTGCGTAACGACACTCCAAGGGCATATTGCAATCAACATGTCCTCATTGTTTTGCATCCTAGTACTCTACAGTCGAACACCGGTCACTCAAAACTAGTCACTTTACGGAAAGGGTTCAGACCCGCATCCTCACGAAGCGCAACAGCGAGAGCTGACCAGTCCACATCGTTGCCGCATAGCTCTTCGGCGCGCTCCAGATGCTTGGTAGCAAGTGCAATGGTGGGGAGGTTTACTGGATGGCCAAAGTCGGCTCCAAGCGTCAGGGCGTTACGCGCGTCTATGCGGGTGAACAAAGCCCTTTTCTGCACACCCACCTTTCAAACCTGCCTCGAGACGGAACCCCCCGACACCGTTGAACTCTCCCTTGCTGATGTTGTCGCCATAGGACAGGTAGGGGTAGAGAGGGAAGAAATCGCCTGTGGTGTTAGGTGGGATGGCGCATTCCAAACCCACGAATGAAGCCCTGGTACACATCTGGGTCGAACCCAATCACGTCCGCGAGGGCATACGTCTCGGCCAGCATTTCCACAACCCCGAGAATCATGCTGTTACCCAGCAGCTTGAGCGCGGAACCTAGGAAAGTGAGCTCACCAAGGCAGACAGACATGAACTAACCCTTCCCCACCTCGTCACCTGCATCGACCACACGCTTGGCCACGGCGGGAACGAAGAGCGGCTTGACAAAATGCTTGGCTGCTGGTTCGCCGCCCATCAGTTGAACAAGCTGCGCCGACTTGGCGGCGTCTGGACGACCAAAAACGGGGCAGCCAAGGTATGATGCGCCGACCTTGTGCGCTGCCGCCTCGAGCTTCACTATGAAGAGGGGGAGGGTTAAGCCTAGGTCCTTGAGGACTTCCTAACCCAACTTACTCGATGTCTTCGGCTTCAAACTCGACTGATCCACAAACACCACCTTGCCCTCACCCACAGCCGCAAAGAGCTTTTCGTACACCTCCTCGGCCACGGGGTCATTGAGGAGGCACGTAAACACTACATTGGAGCGTTTTACCACCTCCTCTAGTTGTCCGCATAGCACGAGGTTGTGGCATTCGGCGCGGATCTCGTCGTACCGTGACTGATCAATGTTCCATGCGCATGGTTCCGGCCACTTATTGGCGGCAGCGTGCCGCGCCAGGTTGAGGAAGATGAATGTACCCATGTTACCGAGGCCGACGTAGCCAATCTTGTAAGTCATGGTGGATGTGGGCGGGTTGTGGAGTGGGTGCACGATAAAAAGGAAGAATTGGCGAAAGTTGGAGTAAATGACCAGTAAATGTCAGCCGCAGGTTGGATCTGCATATGTAATTGAATGGTGTCCTCCAAGGCAGACAGTCCCCGACGAGTTGCTCAGGTATCTCGCCCGGTGACCCAGGACCCATCTAGGGTAGGCTGTGTTTCTCCAGCCCGACCCACACAGAGTTATCGTAAGAAGTTGATTGGGTTGGGAAGTGGACGAAGCGGATCGGGTGAGCTAGTAAGATCTCGTCCGGGGCCGTCCGGGGCCGTCAGTGGCCCTCGCCTCCGCCCCTTTTGCATGTCATTGAAGCTTCAGGCCAGTCAGCAACCTAGTGGAGAGAGTGAAGACATCTAGGGGCATGTGCCGCACCTGCAGGCATTCTAAGACAAGCGGCGGTTCTATTGTAATTGCAGAATCGATAGAAGCTACGAGGCAATGGTGTACGGAAGGGCATACCGCACATAGAGGGAGGGCCCTATATGCAATTGTATGTATATAGATGGAACCTATGTAAACAACTACAGACCAATAACCCGGAACAGAGACGCGATCCTAACAAAATTGTAGTGTGGAGAGGAGAGGAGTCTGTCCGGCAACTGACAGACTACAGCAGTATTGTAGTCCGTTTGTGTAATGCCTCCAGAGGTTAGTGAGCATGATCAACAGCTTGCAAATAAACACTAGGTTGTGTGGAAGGTGAAGCGACATCGGACCGAAGTGGCCACCAAGTCATTTCAAGAGGTGAAACCGCAAGGAACAAGAACAACTAATCATTATCAAGCAGTACGATACTCCTCTTCTTACTGGTACAACCAAGTAGCCACCCTGCGCCTATCGGTGCGCGCAGTCTTGACCGCCGACATGGTGAGCTGACTCGGCTTGCGCTTTTGGTACTGTCCATCCGTCTTGGAGCCAAGAAGCTCGCCCTCGGCCCAAACAACCTTGCCGCGGAGAATGGTGTAGCGAGGCCAGTTCTTGAACTCCATCCCCTCGTATGGAGAGTCTGGGATGTATTAGAACGTTCGGCTATAAACTTACAGTCTGCGTCGTGGTGGAGGTGGTCGTTGGTGAGGCTGAATGGCTTAATGTGGCCCTCAGGGTACCTGTTAAAGATTAGGACTGGGTTACGAGCTGAATTCGAACTCACCAGATTACGAGGTCAGCGTCCGAAAGGCCAGGCATGAGAGCGCCCTTCTTGGGATACAGGCCGTACTGTTGTCAGTTTACGATTGCGAGGTTCAGAACCTACCAGCTTGGCCGGCGCGGTCGATGTGAGCTCCACAAATCGCTCGGCCGTGATTCGGCCCTGGGCCAGGCCGTAGTTGAACAGCAGTGGTAGACGCGTCTCAAGTCCTGGGCATCCTGACACGTTAGCTCGGAGTCAGAGGATCAGAGGAGGCTGCAACTCACCGTTGGGGATGTATTTGAAGTTGCCAGTCTTGCCGTGCATAATTTCATGCACATGGTCATCGTCGATCGGGCATGTGGAACCCTCGATGCTCTCCTTGTGCTGGATAATACCAAGAGCCTTGCCACGGACGTCGTGGTAGCTGGAATCAGCTGTGTGGCCACCCTCTGGCAAGACCAACTAACCGGAAAGCACAGTGGTCGCTGGAGTAGATTGTAAAGGTGCCGTTGCGGAGGCCACTGAATTGGGTCAACTTTTGTTCGCACTCGATCCATTGTAGTACTGACGTCCAGAGAAGCTCCTGGTCCGTGTTATCGGGGCCAGGAGGAGGTGAGCAGATCAGTTTAGCATTCTCAAAGCACTGCGGAGAGTGGAACTTCTTCTACCGACCAAGTCAGCTAGTTTGGGGAGATTCGTTATGTTACACTTGCGAGGTCTTCCCAGGTGAGATGCAGGTATTGGGGGCACGTCTCGGCGTAGATGGGAAACCCTCGGGTCTGGGTCGACCTAATGACTTCTGCCGCGGACTGCAAGGTCAGCCAATCTGCGCCGTTGTAACCTTGTACTCACCGCAGAACCAACATGCACGAAGAGAACGGGGTTCTGGATCATCTCGGCGAGGACAATGGCTCGGCTGGTCGCCTCCATCTCGACCACGGGGGGTCGCGATTGGGCGTGGAACCGAGGTTCAACCATGCCCTTCTCCTGAAGCTTATCTGCGATGGATCAGTCGACGTCCTTGTACTAAATTCATCACTCACCAGTGAGCCATGAGATGATGTCGCCATTCTCGGCGTGGATCATTGTCGTGATAGCGAGCTTCCGAGCCTCAAACATGACATCAAGGAGCTCATTGTCCCTGAGCTGAAGGGCAGCATAGGTCATAAAGAGCTTGCACGAGGTGACTGACATGATCAGTTCTGCCTTTGAATGTTCGTGCATGAACTCACTACCCCAGTTCTTCACCAGAACCGGAAGCTCGCGCTGCAGCATCTCAATGTCGGGTTGAGTGATGATTACATGGTAGCCTTGAACGTCAGGTTATAGCCTGAGAATCAAACCACTCTGCTACTCACCGTAGTCACAGTAAGAACCCGACTCCTTGGCGAGCTTGTCGTAGGCCTCGACAACCTCGAGAATCGAAGGGTCGCAGCGGTTCTGATGAGCTGTGGGACATCAGCTCTGTCGCAGCAAGCGAAACATACCAAACGACAGAAAAGTCGTAGTTCCACCACAGACAGCGGAACGCGAGCCCGACTCGAAGTTGTCGGCACATTGTGCGGACACACCGTTGGCCCCACTGGGGAAGTCTTGTGCGACGTGGACATGCGCGTCAACTCCACCAGGCATTACATAGCCTCCTCTGCATATGTCAGTTGCGGAGTACATACATGCCCAGTGTAAAGCTCACTCTGCGTCAATGACCTTCTCTGCCAAGTTGGCGTCAATGTCGGCAGCGAGGTAGGCAATTTTGCCCTCCTTGATGGCAATGTCGAGCGGGCCGCTGTCACCCGAGGTAACGACGATACCATTCTTGATGACCAGGTTAAACTGTTTAGTCATGATGAATCAGAGTTGTGTGCAACAATGGGCGGTCAGGTGCTAGGAAGAAAGGTCGAGGAGTAAAGTATGAGAAGTATGAGCACACTGTTGGTGACCCACAGTCGGGCGAGATTGTGTTATCTCGGCCGACCCGATCCGTCCACCCCGGTCAACGGCCATGTGGCTGCGGCGTCCGTATGCACTCACCCGAATGATGCTGCAAGCCAGAGACTCATATTTGAGTCTTGAGAGCAGCGAGACGTAGGAAGACACACAAACTGCATTTCAACGACCCGAACACTATTCTTATCAGGCAGCAACAAGAATCACCAACAATGCGAATTGCCATCCCCGAGCCTTCCCTCCCCATCATCTCTGTCGCCGAGCACAAGTCTGTCCACTCCCTCGCCAAGGCTCTCTACGACTCGTGTACTGCGGAGGGATTCATCTACGTCTGCGACCATGGCATCCCTCAAGAGGTCATTGACAAAGCGTTTGCCATTTCTGCGGGCTACTTTGACGGCGAGCTCGAGGACAAGGTCCACCTCAGTGTAGACATCAAGAATAACACTGGTTACACTGCAATGTAAGTGGGATGCGTTGGGGAACCATAGGTCATAAGCTCACCGGTTTCAGTCGCCAGGAAAGGTAGGCCAAGACAGTAACGCCTTCCCGCTGATGAATAAGCCTCGACACGACTAATAGCTCTGGCGACCTCAAGGAGCTCTTCCACTTTGCCGACGGTCACTGGCGCACCGTCAACGGGGTGAAGCAGCAGAACCTTCCTGCCGCCCTCGAGGCTGCTCGTGCCGACCTCGACACATTTGTGGAGTACACCAATGCCCTCGCTGCCCGGTTGTTGGAGGGTTTGGCGGTGGCACTGAAGGTGGGGGGCGCAGCTTTGGCTTTCAGGTCCGCTAGCTGACCTTCCCTCAGCTCCAGTCTGACTTCTTTACCAGCCAGCACACCGGCGAGTACGTTCACTGGGCACTACTGGCAGCACCAGCTAATAAGGTCAGACTCAACCGCATGCGGATGCTCCACTACCCACCAGTCCCCAACGACCACAAGGACCTGGACCCCACCCAGTGAGTTGAGGATCGCGATTGCTGCAGTTTAACTGACAATCACAGGGCTGATATTCGTGCGGGCGCCCACACCGACTATGGTTCCATCACCATCCTCTTCCAGCACCTCGTCTCAGGTCTGCAAGTCAGACGCAATGGCTCCTGGGTGGACATTGCGCCTATGAAAGGTTGCGTCGTGATAAACATTGGCGACGCGCTCGAGTTTTGGTCTGGCGGTTTGTTCAGGTCGACTCTGCACCGTGTGGTGATGCCTCGTTCTCAAGCGGAGCTCGCTTCCAGATACTGTGAGTTGGCTGCCCCCCGAGGTATGCTAACACTCTTAGCCATTGCCTACTTTGTCCACCCGGACAACAACAGTGTGCTCGACGCGGTCATGGACGGATCGTGAGTACTGGGTGCGGTGCCAAGTTGACCGCTTTCCGCAGCAACGGGGTGCTTCTGGACCGTTTCATCGTTAGCAAGGGCCTTCCCCCTGGCACCAGGCGCATCAGTGGCGGCGACTATGTCCAGCACCGTCTCAATGCAACTTACGATGCCGTCAAGAAGTAGACCAGTGTTGATACGAGCAGAGAAAGACGTAACGAATGCGAATCAGCTGATCGGGTCAATCTGAATTACATTTGGTTCCGGTTGTAATGACCCTTTGCGTGCCTGGGGGACGCGTTCCGATGACATACATACTGTGTGCCCATCGGGTCGTTGTTGTTGCATTCTTTCTCACCACCCACTTCTTGTTCAATCATGCCGTCACCCACCCAAGAAACAGGCATCTACAAAGGTACTCTTGCATTGTCCAAGGCGCAGCAACCGCCATCCTCCAATGTTGTGAGCTCTCGGCTGCGTCATCGTCCAAACCGTGAGTGTTCCTGTGTCGTGTGGGCCGTACTTGTACGCCTCCTGATCCCCCAGTCGAGCCGCGTCGGCCGCATCGCGCCGTGGGAGGGCTCCACAACGGGCAAGATTGAAGATAGCGAAGTGGAATTAGAGGCGGTGATCCCTGGAGTGGATACGGCAGCACGGACAAGCCGTTCCAGTTCATCAATCCGAAAGTTAAGCAGTGAAATGGCGGCCACCATGTCGCCCCTTAACGTGCTGACACGAGAGGCTTTGCCTCAGGGGCAACTGTTAACGCTGTGCAGGAGTCGCCTGAGGTTACGGACAGTTGCTTAGATGGAATAACCTGCTGGATACAGCATTTATTGAGGACGCCTCGCTTCTGGCCGGCAAGTGAGTCATTGCTGCGATCGTGTGAAACACCAGTTTGTTGCAGGGGCCTTCACAATCACATCTGGGCGGCAATGTGACTCCGAATTCGACCAGTCATCGCGGTACCCACTTGTTCTTACTTCTGAGAGGAGGTTAGCGTTACATCCAGGAATACAGTCCCTCAAGCTCAGCGTGTGCATTCCGTACAGCTGGTCCAG